AACCCTAACCCTAACCCTAACCCTAACCCTAACCCTAACCCTAACCCTAACCCTAACCCTAACCCTAACCCTAACCCTAACCCTAACCCTAACCCTAACCCACGCCCACGCCCACGCCCACGCCCACGCCCACGGCTTCCACGGCCTCGTCGACTTTCACCCGTGCCGATCCGCCCGAGCCCGACGCTTCCTGGCCGAGCCCAGCCATATACCGCCGTATGCGTACGGCTTAGAAGGTTACCGCGTTCACCTAACTCCTTTCTAGGTCTTGCTGCCCTGCCCGTTCAAGTCCGCCCTAATTACGATTCAGCTTCGGCTGTGGGACACCTAATATCCAGTAACTGTCTGCCTCTCCCGCTCCTGGTATATAGAACTGGAGAGCGACACAATATCCTAAGTGTAGGACACCTCATACTCGGTTGCTGTCTGACTCTCCCACTTATAGTATATAAAAGTCAAGACGTCCACAAACTTTAGACTATACAACACCTCATACTCAGTCACTACCTGGCTCTCCCGCTTAAGGCATATAAAAGTCAAGAGGTCCATAGACGTCAGACTATACAACCCCTTATATCTAGTAACTATCTGGCTCCCCCGCTCATGCTACATACAAGTCAAGCAGGAATAGAAGTCGGATTATCATCTGTGGTGTGCATTATCTGCACCATCAACCTATGGAATCTCTATCATCTAGGTGTTCGCTACCCTAATTGCCACACCAGAATTAGACTCTAATGTGCTCCATGGTAACGGCCCGACCGCTACGGCGACTCTCGAAGCCGCACCAAGCCACGCACATAAAAGGGAGAAGGGGGGGAGGGGGGTGTACCCTGTTGACTGACAAGGAAGACCCCCCCCTTTACCCTTCTGCCTATCATACTATCACTGCCTATAATCCCGTGCATAGGTCGTAGCCACCACCACACGACCAGAGCTCCTTCCAGAGTACTCAACCTCTACTTCATGGAGACGTCGCCATCCTCGTCGACATCCTCACCAGGAGCATTACCCTTATTACCCTCGCGCTACTGCTCCTTCTCCACCCAGGCAAGAGCCTCCTTGACGCTGACACCCTATTTCTCAGCCTGCGTCTCAAGGAACATCTTCCACTGCTGGTCCTCCATATGACGCTTATACTCCATCAAGCTCTCTTAAATAGCGGCGTCAAGTGCTGCTTCGTCAGCCTCTTGCACCTCTTGGGCAGCCTCCTTCTCAAGCTTCTCTTGAGCCAGCTAATCCGCGGCCTCCTACGCCTTCTTCTCGTCAGTCTGAGCCTTCTTCTTGGCGGCTGTCTTCTACTGCTTCTTCTTCTTCACCGCAGTGGGCTTCTCACCTTGCTTGTCGGTCGGCCGAATGGGATGCAGCCGACAACGGACGGGCGTTGGAGACTCAGGGTCGCCCTTGAGCATGCTGGGAGCCAGATCTACAGCTGGCCCTTTGTCCTTGGCAGCCGGTCCTGTATCCTTCGCATCGCCGTCCGGTGCACTCATGGCCGGCAGGAACAGATGGACCTTGGCAGGTGTGGCGATGTCGAGTGAGCCGGGACCAACCAGATATAGATCGTGTAGGCGCTAGGGGTTGTCCTCGGGGGGGATAGGCATGTGTTAGAAGCTGATGAGCTGCTTCATGTAGGCCTGGACTTGCATGTCAAGGTGCTTCTCGGTGGCCTTGTGTTGCATCAGCCCCAGCTGCATCTCCTTGGTGACACCCTGTGTGTCAGTGGGCATGTTCTTGACCTTCTTGAGTATCAATCTGATCTCCTCGGACGAGAAGGTCTTCTTATTGAGCTTAGCCTAACCCAGCAACTCGGCCTTGTACTTTAAATAAAGGCGCTAGGCAGCGTCCTTATTGTAAGTGCGCTCTATTGAGAGAATATAGATATTCTGCTTGTGCTCTTAACTGAGACGGTTCACGCGACCCTTGCCTTGATTCAAACTGGCCATATTCTCCAGGAGCCCGTTCATGATAACGTTATGACAAGTATTCTGCATGTTGACGCTGACACCCAAAACTTTGAAGGTCGAGATCAGCACCCGAGCCTTGTCCTCACAGTTATTGAAGCGCTGGATAATGGCTTCCTTTTCCGCACCAGTTATGGAGGCGTAGATCTCGGTGTATTCAATACTGAGGATGTTCCAAAGTATAGCGTAGATCCAGCAGTTATTAGGAAAGTTGCAGAAGATTAGCAGCTTGTTTTGCTCAAGCGCCGAGCCCGTGGTGTTATAGCGTAGGTTGTAGATGATTCGACAGGTGTAGCGCAACTTAGCTGAACCTTTGACGAGCCATGTGGCCATGTCCTAGTGCGTGGAGTATAGATGCATCATGGGATTGGGCCGGCAGATGTTGAAGAAGGTCGTGGTACCTGTATCATTGAAGTCACTGAGGAACTCACGCACCTTCTCAGAACAAAGACTGACACTCTGAATGACTTGGTACATGCGAATATCAGTGGCAAGGGTGACTAGCTTGTAGTAGACACCTCCGTGTCAAAGAGCACCAGATCTGGAGAATGGTTAGCACTAAGCCCGGAGCGCAGGAGGAGAGGGAGGGGGGCACCACCCTGTTGACCGATAGAAAAGGCGCGCCTGTTAACCGACAGGGTAGGACCCCCGGGGGGCTGGTGTCAATGGCTGACAAGCCAAGTGAACAAGAAAAGAGAAAATACATACCTAAGATCGTCGGCGTTACTATTGTTAAGGTACAGATGAGGGATTAACACCTCAAACAGAGCCTCTGAGACAGCCGCTTTATAAGGAGAGCCTTGAATCTCGACCATGGTTGATTAACACATCTTTATATCATCGTCTGTAGTAACAACCGCACCATTCACCTGGAACTGCGTTACAGAACTTGCCTTGAACTAGATAATACCGAGAATAGTCCCAAGCACATTGTAGGCCATCTCACCCTTTATAAGATCTTTATTAATAATACAGGCAAACGTCTTGGGATTGAGTGCAAAGAGACAGTCATTGGTCGCGGTGGTATAACGCTTGAACTTGGTGCTGTACAGCGCGCTGTTAGCCTTGCACTGCTCTAGGAACTCCTGGTGCTTGTCAAGCTTGTAGATCCAGAAGTCGCTCTCCTGGTCGCTATCAGTGTGCCACTTAACACTCTAGGATAGACACTATATCAAAGTGAGGTAGCCCAGGAGATCCTGAGCCCTATTAAGTATCAGCGTGGCGGAAACAACCCAGTGATAATCCACGTAGGTGGTGAAGATGGCCTTATTGTTGTTGGACTTAGGGTTTTTAATCTTCTGGCCTTTATCAATAAAGATATGGTAGAAGACACCTTATATAACGTTTATATACTTGTAGGTCTGATTGTTAACGCTATTGTCGCTCTTCTTCTGGTTCTTGGTTTTGCCAGTAATCTCGGGAACCAGTTCCTTATCGGCGACAGCCATGTGAAGCGAGTTATCCGTCTTATCAAGACCCTCTTGAGCCTCAGCGGCGGACAGGAGAATTTCACTGATAGTTGGTGCACACGCCTCTCACTCTAGAGGATATTAGTAGATGTTCAAAAGCGGCGCACTAGGGGGGCGGGGGAAAGGAGGGGGGCCTCTTACCTTGTCAGTCAACAGAAAAGGTGCCTGTTCTGTCAACTGACAAGGTAAGAGCCCCCCTCCTCCACACTCCGCTCACACCAGCTAAGCCACAAGGAAGGGAGAGAAATATACCGTCTATTAAACCCTCTCTCTACAGGTTAACCATATCTTTAAATCGCTTGACCAGCTTCAGGCAGCGCTTAGTGAAGGTCTTGTAGCTAGTGATAATAATCACAGACTCGGTCTTAGGATCGTTCTTCTTGTAGGTGGACTACAGCTGCTTAACCGCTTCTTTTGCTGATGAGCTGAGTAGGAAACCCTTTTGCTCTTGAGTGATGATATCCTCATTGCTATCACTATAGTTAAGGCGGATCTACAGGTGCCGGCTAAAGTAGCGCTAAATCTCTGTAAACCAGACCGCGACAACCACGGCGGGGCAAATCATGATGCTGGGCTTATAGATAGGCAGCTTCTCCTTCTTACTACCAGCTGTAGCAACACGCGTGTTATAAGCCAGCAGCTTCTTGCGATACTGGTTGTAGTGGTGCAGCAAGCAAGACAGGGTCTTACCTATGCCGGCGTCAAAAGCCAAGATACCACTGCCAACAGCCTTGCTCTCTATCTTGTCCATCCAGCCAGCCGCGAAGATCTGGGACACAACTGGTTGGTAGGGAGAGTTAGGGATGCGGATAGCCTGGACACCTTGTGCGGCAATCTCAGCAGACACACTGATGGCACCACAGCAAGTAGTCCAATCAGGGATGGTGGTAGTATAGTGGGCGGTCTACTAGCGGATCTTGTTCCACGCTTTACACTTGTCTTTGGCGGTATACTTGTCATTATCGTGAGGGGCGATCATACTGGCCTCACTCTGCACACTCACGCCCATAGTTCCTTGTGACAAAGCCTTGATTTTGGCAAGCGAGGGGAAGGTGTTGTGGACGACTTTGACTTGCTGGCCGGTCTGGAAGAGAAAGTTCTTGATGGTGGCTTCAGGTAGTGGCGGACGTTCAATGGCGGTGGTGGCGAGGGTTTTTCTGAACGCCTTCACCAGGTCTTCCATAGCCTGGAATCGCTCCTGGGCTTTCTTGGAGTTGTTATTGTCAGGCACTTCTTGTTCTTTGTCACATAAGGGGAGTTCCTTCATATAGCGGTTAACAACATTTTTAGCCTGCTCCTTAGTACTGAACTGCAGGTGCTAGGTAGCCCATACACACAGTACAGATCTGATATTGAGTATCTAATAGATAGCGTTAGTCTCCTCAGGCACAGTGGCAACTGGACGATAGCCAGCCTTGCTCTTCATAAAAGCGGTGGGATCTACCTTGAGCTTGCCCTGCCAGTAGTGCAAAACACACTTCTTGAACTTTCTGCCGGTAGCGATCTGTCTTGTCGTGTTGCGCTGGTACATCTAATAGAAGCAATATATGAATGTTAAGGCATAATACTAGTTATTAGCGCTAATATTGTAGAAGTACTGTGATGGCTCAGGCTCCTGGTTAACCCACTCAGGTGGGGGGTAGAAGATATGCTCGTTACACCACCGGACAATGATCTTGTATACTGTGATTACCGTGATCAGCGCGGCACGGTCTATATCCACTCGGAAGCTCGCGAGCTCAGGGGCGTTATACCAGATCTTTGGTATGTGCAATATATCGGTGTAGTAAGGGACTGTATCACAGAATTAGACAGCGGTGAAGAACTTCCTAGTCAGGACACCATACTTCTATAGGTCAGTGACCTGGAACACTTCTTGCTTTATCTGGTAGTAGTGGACAAGAAGCGAGGCATTGTTAATAAAGGCCTGATGGAGCGCCTTAGGGTCCTTTAGACGCATGTAGGCGGCCACCGCGGGGTAGTCTGAGAAATCCTCAATCTTCTTTGACATGATATACACCCTGAACTCTGCGACCTTGTTATAGGCCTCTTTACACCTATTGAGGTCCTCGGTACCCTTAGTCTTACTCATGTTGGCAGGGTTGAGGTTGTGTCTGATCTGTATAGCCTTGTGGCGCGCGAATGCCTTGGTGCTAACCAGACAGAACTTAGGGTGTTCTTCCTATCTCTCACGGTCGGAGTCAGCTTCATTATCGCTCAGCTACTAGTCACCCTTAGGGGCGAAGTTGTCTTAGCTAACATCGGAGTGGTAGGAGTTATCTGCGTTAGGGCGAGGTTGAACAAGGTGTATAGTCTTGCTGTGACAGACCCTCTTGCTATTGTCTACAATCTTAAAGTCCTTATTAGAGTCATTGGTATTAAAGTGATACTCAAAGGTAGAGAGACTGCTCAGAAGGTTGTCGTGCTCTGCATCACCCACTTTCCAGGCTCGCTTCTTCTTTAGAGTAGCTTCACTGAACAGAGTGGCGGGCGTCTTGCGCTTCTTGGAGGGCCCTTGCTCCTCAGCCATGGTGTAGAGTGATAAGTGCGCGAGGGGGTGTATCTCTGTCGGTCAATAGAAAGTGGTGCTACAATCCAAGTTAGACAAAATCAACAAGAGGGGGTGGGGAGTGGGGTGCTAACCCTGTTGGTTAATAGAGGAGTGGGGGGGCGGAGCGGGGGGGGGGGGTTACTTTGTCGGTCGACAGAAAGTCGTGGACTCACGGAAATCGCGATCTCATGAAACTTAACGCGCCGCGCGCACACGGTATCAATATTAGTATTAAAAGTGTCGCCTAAACTGTGCGATAATAGCGCAATTAATATGTTGATAAAAGATGTGTAATTACACAAGTTATTAACAAAGTAAAAGTAGTTGTAAGTTGTAACTTTTTTAGTGGGAACACAATTGCAGATTAGCGGATCCCTCTTGGCACATCCACCTACTATTGACTGACAGGGTACACCCCCCCTCTCCTCTACCTGCTCTGCCCTCTCCTACCTCTGACAGGTTACGCTAAGCCTCTGTCACCAGAATTCAGCCTATAAACACAAGGAGACACCTTACGGATGACAATCAAATCAATTGTCACTTCTCAAGGCACATAGATAAAGGCACATAGCCTACAAAGCACCTTTAACCAAGAGGTCAGGATCACGCTTTAGTTTGTGACAACAGAAGTGAGCTATAGTCCAGGTAGTGAAAGCTTGGCAGATATTGGTTGCCTGCCAAGCCATGATACAAGGTGACTGCCAATCTGTTTTGCCAGCAGGAGAAGGTCACGTGATTTTCCCGCTGGTGTTTTAGGTCGCCGCTACAGCGCCCAGGGGCCGCGGGGGGGGCCTTACCCTATCGGGCAACAAAATCGTGTCAGCTTGTCGGTCAACAGAGTAATGCCCCCTCCCTCTCTTGTCTGCGCGCCTGTACCGCATTGCACAGTTAACCTGTTCTCTTAACAGCAGGACTGTAGTGCAGCACTGAGAATATATTTACAGATAAACCAGGTATAGTTTCTTGCGTTATGGTAAGCTTATCTACTCCTACAGTTGTCTAGCCATTTCTTCCTTAATCCACTCTTCCCATGCGAGCTTGTCCCATTAAAGGTAGTTTGGCAGTGCAGACAGTTAACCAGCTTGCCAATCCTTCCGCGCCCATTCCCATGCCTCAGGCTTGAGCAACTCTAAGTTATTAGTGGCCGTGGTTGAGATCAAATACCATATCCGATTACCCCCCTTGGTAGTTTGTAGTAATACACCTCCTGCTGGATGCGGTAGGATCCAGTGGTGGGTAAAGAGTGTTCGCTAAAACCGCCGTTAAAATTGCCGCTTGATGTCGGAGCGGGCGCTATATGCCGCCACCAGTGCTGTGGATGCACGTTAGTACAGCTTATAAAATGGTTGATCTGCCCAGTGATCTTGTCTCCAGTGATTACTGCTGCTAAAGTTAAACAAGTAGTGTCCCAAGTGCCTTGGCACCTTGAAGTTACAACGGTTACTGGACAACAAGTACATGTTGTGCGCTATAATCTTAACAAAGTACTTATAGCTGAATGGCTGCTGCCCAAGTAATGCCTCCTGCCGCATCTCAACCTTGATCTCAGATCGCACACTCGCTATAATATCTATATGAAACTGCTGAAGACAGATATATATGATCCAGTACACCAGGCGGTTACTAATGGCCTGGTAAGCGTGGTACTGGTGCAGCCACTTGAGTGTGAGGTCTAGCCGCTATGTGAGATGAAAGAAGTCCTGCACCTGCCTACCGCAATATAAATACTGTCCACATAGTATGTTGTTACCAAAGAGTATGCGGTCTGTAACATGAGATAAGAAGGCTACCTATGTCCAGTCAAAACGTGGTTCTAGCTAACAGTACCTGTAGCGCGGCAATGTGTTGCTAAAGCCGAGACTATACCAGACCTGGAGATTACCCTGAACTGGGCGCTCCCGTTAACTCCACTAAAGTGCCGACTCTCACTTAATACTATAGCCACCCAGAATGAAATATAAGCACTGCAAAAACATTGCCATTATCTTTGTTTACTCCTATGTTACAAGCTCACTCTGTACCTGTGCTTGCACCACCTTAAACCCTATAGCGAATTTGTCCGCACTCCGCCAAACAAAGTCCAGAAAGACAGGTGTCTAGATAGCCCATACAGATAACGGACAGTTGTTAAGTGTAGGAGCCAGCTCCTCCGCGGGCACACAAGTGAGTTGCGCTTGAAGCTGTGTAAACAACCGCCACAAGATGCGATACTCTTCACAGATGCCAAACGACTTGCGTTGTAAGTCCTAAATAGCTTGGTGTGCCCGCCGCTTACTTACCTTATAGCCACACTTAATAATGTGCGTATCCCGGGTACCACCGCCCTAGACATGTTAGGCAGCCTGCCAGATTAGAGGGTCTAGTGCTATCTCCTCTAAGCCATTATTATTAAACAGTATACTCTTTACCGTGTCCCACACTTCCTTAACCAATGTATACAGCTGAAAATAGTGAACACCACCCTTATACAAGAGTGAACGCTTCAGTAGCACACTAGTCAATAAGCCCGCTTTACCCAGTATGTTCTGGGTGTAGTAGTACTGCCTGTGACCACCCTTCTTTAGTAGCCGACTGTCATAGATCTGACTGGTGTGTTGCTCCTGACAGTATTGTTTCCAGAGATACATCTGCGGTTGTTTATTAAATGCAAGTGCCTGCTAGGCCAGCACACTAACCGGTAGGCACACCTCCCTGGTGATGTCAGTAAAGAAACGATCCTTGTCTACATGCTCTATATTAATAATATCGGCAAGATAGATCTGGAACTCCTCTATTACATCCAGCAGTGTTAGACAGTATAGGGTTAACTTGAAGCGCAGTTTTATGCCCTTAGCACTAAAGAAGAGCTGTGGTTCACAAAAGTCCTGGAGTCCAGCGCTATGCAGACTAGTGGCTAGCACATCAGCCTAGATCAGCCCAAGATGGTGTGGCTGTAGGTAGTAGCCTAGCGCTTACTGTGCCTAGTAGCTGCTTGTCTCAACCATTCGCCCTTCCACCTATCGCGCCTTCAAGTTGGTAAAGGCCTGCCTAAAACTCATAGGTAGATGCTGGCTGTAGTGCGCCGCACAGTGCGTATAGACCGCAGGATGGAAGATCTTATTAAACCAGCGTGTAAACTACTCTTTTATTAATACCTGAAACTTGTCCCCACGTAATTCAAGATGCGGAAATAAGATGTGCACCGTGATGTTATGTGCCCCTTCCACGCGACCTAGTAGAAAATGCGGCATGTCACACAGCATCACCGCTATCGCGCACATAGTCAGGTGATTGCCTTCCTCCTGCCCCACCCCACCGGCCCTATTCTCTTGGAATACAGTTGTGTTAATGTGCATATTGTTGCTCATATTCTAATGTATCTATAGCGCTGGCTAATACCACAAACCTTTGCGTACAAAGGCCAACAAATCGGCGAATCCTAAGAAGCTGTCCACATTGAATACCACCTGGGGTGCTACAGCCTGTGTCTCTTCTTAATACAAACACACCTGCAACAGCCTTCTGTTTTGTGATTCAGGGGTGACACCATAGTACATGGCCCGCCATTACACAGGTACAGGGGCTGGTAAACGCGCGAGACAGTTAGTGGTAAGCATCATCAGGAGTCCAAGCACTGACAGGAAGTGACAGTTATTAAACATGTCATTCAAGCTATAATGATTGTTGCTGTGTGCATGTATATATTACTGGAGCCGCTCTCAGTGCTCCTCAGTGGTACAGCCTTGAACCCTGTTAATAAACACACCCATCAGTTTCTCCACTATATGTGATACCTTATCCTCATCCTCTGTATTTTTAATAGTACTCCTATTCTTAGCGCTACCAGAGTGGTGGGAAACAAAGTCGTGAAAGTCAGACTCTTCCTCACTCTCTATACCACCCGGTAGAGACAGCCCTAAGACAGGTGAATTGTCTAACACAGTGTTAGTAGGTTTCACACTATTATTAGGGTAGCCTGGATCAAGATTATCGCCTATTATCTTAATCTCCTCAGTAGTGTTGTTATTATTAGCTTCTTTATTACTACTACCATATATCTGGTCTTCAGACCCTCCTGCTAGTAGCGGGTAGGGGGGTGGTAGAGGGAGTTTTCCTAGGCTAACTAATAGACAAGACTGCGGAGTTGGGAAGGTGCCATGCTAAAGATCTACTGATAGCCTTAGAATTGGATTGCCAGCTGGTAGACTATGAAAGAAATGAGCGATGCTATAAGCTAGCACAGCTTGCTAAACAGCCTGTGAAGTAGTGACAACTGCTGGAGTATAAAGGGAAGTGTGACTAATATTTGGAGGTGTATACAGCTGGCTATGCTCCTGTACCAGTATGGCCTCTTATTGGTTGCGAATATAATTAGTATCTTGGGGAAGTGTGAGACCCTGCACCTAAAGTCCTAGTTGTGATAGTGTCTGGGAAGGTTCAGGAACCCCACTGGTATATGTGATTCTCTCATTGTGTTGTAATTGCTCAAGTTAGGCTTGACAGCGTCACTCACAGTAGCGGTGTGAGCGGTAAGCGGCCAGCTCACAGCGGTAAATTATAGTGGCTTCCTCTGTTGCGGAAGATTCACCACGACTATGTTTTGACGCTATCCTATCTATGGGCCCAAGAATCTAGTAAAGGATTATCGGAATTTTTAGAACTGTTATATATATAATTAGAAATGGTGTAAGGCTGTTGCTATATACTGTAAGACCCTTGGACTGTCAGGTGAAGGATTACCCTAGGGTAGTAGTGTCACACTCTTGGCAGTCTAACCCCAGCACTGTCACGCTCTTGGCAGTCTAACCCCAGCACTGTCACGCTCTTGGCAGAACCCTCACTGTCGCCCCAGATCGGCTAACTTCAACGCCGACCCTAGCGACAACCACATATACCACACCTTCGACAAGAGTATCATTGGAAAGCCCGAGTCGGGCTCCGCCCTTTCGGGCTGGTCTCGCGTCGCTTACGCGCCGTTCGACCTCTACTGAATCTCTAATCTGTAAGCCCAGTCTCTCCCGTATAATATCGCGAGGTATTTCGGGGCTCTCAGTGTTAGCTTGACGCCATGCAGCTGTGAAAGCATTCCAGTTCTTCCGCACAGTTTCCACACAGGCTGCTTCAATGCCTTCTGCGCTGTTGATTGCATATGCCATAGCCATGACAAATTTTTGCAGTGAGCGTAGATCGTATGGAGATGTGTCTGGGTTCTGTCTCACAAATCTGCAGGCCTCGTTAGTAAGACATCTTCCTGGAAATCTAAATCACTTACTTATGCCACAGATCTAACTGTTTTTGATAGTTTCTTTTCGTTCCTGGCTCAAGTTTCCTGAAAGTCCGTTTACTATCCGCAATACCAGTATCTTGTCCAGCGCCCTTCTCTTTGGCTTTGCGAAGAGTTTCAGCAGGGTCTTGTTTCTTACCCATACTGTGAAAACAGAATAGGCCCGTCTAGATACGATTGTAGTAGAGAGACGATAGAGAGGGAGATTAGTCAGCTTGATAAGAATGGAGATGGAAAGTAACCAGCAGGGTGATGCACAAGAAAAGGCGAGGACTGAGTGATATGATATAATAGTGTGCAGATTATCCTTTATAGAAAGCCTTGCCCACGTGAATGCAACAGATAAGACACGACTCATCTACACAATACCTTGGAGGGGGAAAGTACATCCACCATCTTACAAGGGCCCCAGTTTTAGACCCTGGTGCCCGAGCATATACCTCTATCAGTGGTTGTATAATATTACTATCTCTTTGAAGAGACACTTGCATAGTATAGCGTGAGTAGCCAATGACAGCAGGGGTCTAGAAACGGGACTGAGTCAAAGTGATAAAGTGGGTGATGAGCTTGAGCAGTGGTTTCATTAGCCTGAGCACTTGGCTGCGAGGCTGAGCCGGAGTTGAGCCAGGTCACGTGGAACCTGAGTAGGGCGGCAAGGCCAGTTCCTAATTGGGTGCCAAGGGCAGGTGTAGATTCGCCGCTGAATACCATGGATCTCACATCCGATTTCCGCTTCTCCGAGCCTCCCCGTTTATTGGATCACCACTACTACAAGGGTAAAAATGTCCATGACATCAACGATAACAACTTTCTAGCACCAGTGCCTTTTATTGTTGTATCTACCGCTTTATCATTACTAGACAAGGCTCGCTATTAATTGTATGTAGTACTTTTGTGATCGTTACGATGACAGATTCTGTGTTTCAGCTGAATTGTCAATGCAACAACTACCCGTGGGGAAAGACAGGGCATGATTCACTCGCAGCCAGGTTATGTGAGAAGACACCAGGTACTGGATTCAAGATTCAAGATGGCAAAGAATATGCCGAGATGTGGATGGGTGACTACCCAGAGTTACCTGCAAAGTCTCTAGATACCGGCGAAGATTTGCATTCCATTATTGAGCGAAGAAAGAGCGAGTTGCTAGGAGCCAGCTGTATTAAGAAGTTTGGGGTGGCGCTGCCATTTTTGCCGAAGGTAAATACTGCTCAAGTATATCACCACACGTCGCTAACCGAAAGCACAGATCCTCTCGATTCAGAAGGCTCTTCCACTACAGATCCATCCCGATAAAGAGCTTGCTGAACGTCTCCACCAAAAGGACCCCGAGAAGTTTGCGGATACAAATCACAAACCTGAAATCGCGTTGGCTCTCTCGAAGTTTGAGGTCTTCGCGGGTTGGAAGCCTTTTGAAAAAGCTCGAGCTCTTTTCAACCTGAAACCTCTCCAAGGATTTCTCCCGTCCAACACAACGGACTTCAGCGCGGAAGTCCTGAGATCAGTTGCGCACGCCATTCTTACTTCAACAGACAGTATGATTACGGAGACACAGAACGCTCTTGCGTCCATTCCAAGAGAAAATTATGGCGACCAGTCTTACATTGTCGATCTTCTACCACGTCTACAGCAGCAGTACTCGAAGTCAGACCCGGGAAACCTGGTTGCCCTTCTCTGTATGAACTACATGGTGCTATCCGCTGGTGATAGTATCTATGTTCCCGCGGATGGTATCCATGCGTACCTATCGGGGGACATCGTGGAGTGTATGGCTCGGTCAAACAATGTAATCAACACCGGGTTCTGTCCAAGGGCGGATAGGGATGACATCGAACTCTTTTCTTCGAGTTTAACATTCAACTCCCATCGAGCTGAGGAGATGCTGTTGGAGAGCAGACCTAGTCCAAAAGGTCGCAATGGCAAGACAGTGGTATATGCACCACCCCTAAGCGAATTTAGCATGCTTGCGACAATGCTACAGCAAGGCGAGACTGAGGTAACCCAACACTACATTTAAGATGAAACGAAGTCCACTGACATTAAACAGACCATTTCGCCCATCCAGGGTCCGACAGTCATGATCGTCACCAAGGGCAGCGGGACGATGACAGCAGATGGCAAGACTTTCGACGTGAAGGAAGGCTATGTCTTTTTTGTTGGCCATGGCAAAGAGATCAGTTATAGGGCTACAGGGTCGTTGAGAATCTACGCCGCTTTTGCGGAATAAGACCAGGACCTTTTGGGAAACGCCGTACTACATGCAAACTCGCCTATCAAAGGCTACTGACTCTCTCGATGACCTAAGACTGTAGAAAAGATTATCTCACAGCCTATGCTGGTTTCCACTCGAAATGGTGCGTGCCAGTCACTGGTTTACCAGGGGGATCACTCTTCAGATCGAACATGTGCTTTCCAAAGTAATCCAACTCTGCCTCATAGAAGTCCGTGGGAAGTTGTGTGTTACTGGAGTACTTCATGTACTCCAGAGTTGCGCTGAAGCTCGGAATCACCGCGTTCGTCTCCACACACCTGGCGACCACTCGTCTCAGAGGAAGGTAGGTCTTGTTGAGTTCGTCCATGAAGCTTCGAGAGAACAAAGGATTCCTCTCCTTGTCTGTGCCATTCGATGTGTAGACTTCCTCCATAAGATCGGTGATCGTGTCTGCTTGAATAATACAGCCAGCGCGCCATATCTGGGTGACAGTGAGGAAGTTAATGTGCCAGTTGTTTTCTTTGTCAGCTTTGTCAATGATCTTCAATCCTTGAACGTAGCTTGCCACGCATGCTCCATACAGAGCCAGACGCAAGTCTTCAAGGAATTCTTTTCGGTCTTGGTCGATCTTGTGTATGGTTTCGTGGTGTTTACTCGTTTCCTTGGCGTGTACTCGCTGAGCTCGGTCGCCCGATGCAAGACGAAGGAAGTGAGCAGTGGCGATTGAAGGCACTGGAATATGTAGTCGGATAGCTTCAATATTGGTCCAAATTCCGGTCCCTTCAGTATCGTCGGTGTCTTGCACGACCTTATCTTGAATGGCCGGGAGTACGAGCTTGCCACTCTCGTCTCTTGTCTTGCAGATATCTGCCGCAATACTTACAAGAAAAGTGTTTCGCTGCATGCGCTGTCAGCAAGACTCGGGCTGGGAGAAATCAAATATAACTCACAAGTTCTCCTTCGGTATTCCACCTTGCAAATGCTTCCGAGATTTCGTCCAGAGTCATGCCCAAGCCAACGTTCATGACCTGAAACGCTTCCGCGACAGCGCTCATCATAGCTTGTTCGATGCCGTTATGGATCATCTTGACATAGTGGCCGCAACCTCCCGTTCCAACATTACCAACGCAAGGTCGTCCCTTCGAGTCTTTCGCGCAGACTTTCTCCAGAAGCGGCATAACCTGTTTCAGCGCCGGTTGATCTCCTCCGGGACACATAGACGGTCCTCTACGTGCAGCTTGGTATCCACCGGAAACACCCATGCCGATATAGCAAACACCCTGAGCGGCCAGCTTTCCTTGCCTTCTCTGTGTGTTCTGCCAGTTTTCGTTGCTTGCGTCGATGATGATGTCACCAATGTCCAGATACCGTTGTAGGCCATCCACGACGCTGTCTCCAACATTACCATGTGGTAGTGAGAACACAAAGACTCTCGGAGAGTCGAGTTTCTGGCACATCTCTTGGTAATCTTGAGTCTTCTCCACTCTGTGTCCGATTCCGTCTTTCTTTGCAGACTGAATGACGGAGTCTACCTGCTCTTCTGACGGATCCTCGAGGTAAACAGTTATGTCGTGCTCCGCAAATAAAAGGGCCATGCCGCCGCCCATGCTCCCACATCCGATCATCGCGACCTGTTATGACTCAACAAGAGGTTTCCTTGCTTTGATAGAGCAGACTTAGGTACTTACACTCTTAATTTCACGCGTATCCGACATGTTCACGGTGATCTTTGCTTCGCTGAAAGACCTAGATCAATCCCCCTGCTCCGTGAGAACCGCGGTGTGCGCCGTTCAGAAAGGCAGCCCTTCCGAGCCTGCGATTACCCGGGAGTTCCTATGGATGTCCTGGGAGTGACCACTGAGTAGGATTACGATGTTCCTCTGGGACACGTAGATACTCTGACTTTCCACGTTGCTTATACGCCAGTAAGTTGTCCTTCACGTTACGGTACACTTGTTGGAATCTTGATTATCCTCCAAAGGCCTCAAAATCTTCGTATGACAGGTCTGCGACCAAGAATTCGGTCAAGCTTCAAAAAGAAAGAGGTGCAGCCAGTCGGTAAATGGTTGCGTACCCACTTATCTGTCATCAGTTTGTATCGTAGAATCTGATGTCATTATGATCGCACCGGTTACGAAAGCCTGTTACTACCGCAACTCCCATCAATCACATCGACATACCCAACCGACTCCCTTTGTTCTCTTCTTACATCTGACGATATATCATACTTGTAGCCGGTATGTCTTGGGACGACAGAGCAGGATGTAGCTGTCATACATCCTCAAGGCTTCTACCTTCAATCATCACGAGCCCCGTGAACATCTGCACAGTTGGCTGGAAGAGATCGAGAGCCCTTGACTTGACGGCGATCGAACAGAGGCAATCGGGACTTAAACACCTAGTTCCCACAGTACTCGCTATAACACGTTGGATTCTACGTCCAATTACAAGGAGTAGACTTGGACAGTTGGTTTGGCTTTTCGGTTGATTAGTAGGAAGTGTGAACTTATTAGAGGCTGGTGTGCCGATTTTTTTCTCGCCAGTGCATCCAGCTGAGACCAAGGCACCGCTTAATAGCACGAGTATGGCCCAATGAAGTTTCTGAGTCTAGTTAAACCAACGACTGGTAGCAAGTCCTTGTATTCCAATAGCGGCCGGCACTTAGCCTCATCCCTAAAGAGGATTGCGTAATAGTACGGTTATAGCGCGCAGGAAACAGTTTTGTATCTGTATAAGCTGAAGGAGCCACCAACCACTGCCTTTAGATTTCACCTCTAACTATCGCAGTTACGAAAACCCAGTACGCATACTTAGACTCTTGTGCTTTGCTCGGCAGAAAGGGTAAGGTCTATTTCGCATACGTTTAGTTGTCCAGCATTGAAGTCTCTGCTTGGACATAAGCCATTTGCTTATCTTCATCACATCTCTCTCACGGTGCATCCGATGAGCATCGCACTGTCTTTACCCGAGGCCGAGTTCCAAGGAAACGGCCCTGATCATGAGCTTCCCATCACGTCCGGACGCGATGGAACTCGCTCCTTCGCCGGCACAGCAGTCATTACCCCTTGTGGGAGGCTGCAGTCAAAACAGACCGAACTTTTCCGCCTTTTTCTAGGTCCGTGGGCAACTGCAGACCTGACAAATGACACAAGTCGGCCAGCAATCCCCTGTGATACGAGCCCAGTTTCAGCTGCAGTATTAAAGACGTCCTTAGCATAGCGCGAGCTCTTCAAGTAGATCACTCGCTAGAATGTCAATAAGACCTGAGGTCTCATCTTCAATGCCGAAGCCCACGAACAGCTCATCGTCGATATGACCATGATATCGCTGTCCGTGTGACTTCCAACTCATCGACGTCACATACAACATTTCGGTCTGGTCCCATTCCACATGTGCTGGCACCTGTTTCGGCCGCTTCTCCCCAGGTCCGCCCCGTCCATGGATCCAGATTGGCTTCTTCGATATCGCATGCAATGCATACGGCGCTGTAGGCTGGAATAGCACGACATAGGGTTCGTAAACACTATGCAGCGAATAGAAGCGCTTGTGCTGGATGATTGTCATGATGTACGTGTTCCCAACACCAGTCTCGCAGCCCTGCTGACCCCGTTTGCACATTGTAACAGACAGCGAGTTGGTGGCTTGATGAATACTTTCTTGCGCCTCGGGAATCTCAGGCATATGCATCTTCAGACAGGCTTCGTCCGTCTCTGCTGAGATTGGTGCGAGATCCTCGCCAACACTACCATCAGCTTCCAGCTTCGCGAAAACGCGCTTTGGATAGATGTCATGATGGAGATATGCATCTCCCGCCGCATTCCAAAATATGAACCAGTTCTTCTCCACCGCTCTGTATCCTCCTGGCCGCTGTAAATCAGTTGGCGTTCGATATGGCTGTGGCGGGCTTCCCTCCTCCCTGCCCCAATCAACAAGAAGCCGAAGATCTTGTATCCACTGTCCAAAACACGTGTGTTGAGAGTTACTCCCATAAATCACGTAAGGATTGTGCGGCCCGTAAACAACACGTGCATCATGAGGACCAACATTCCAACCAAAGTGCTCGATAGGGCCAGAACAGTACGGACTCACAGTGAGAGCTATTGGCAGAATCAATGGAGATATATCGCAACTTATTGCTTGAGAAATGGCGCTAGAGTCTGTACGCGTGTTGGAAGCGGAAGGAGATGACCTGGGCGAGAAGCTAGCGGTACAGGAGAGCTCGGCAAACCAAACCGTGTTCTCAACCTCTGAGCGCCCTTGCTGAGCGACAAGGATATAAGAGCCTGGGAGGTGTGGATGAGGGATTATGTTGGGATTCGTAGCTCGGTAGTCGCCAAAATCCAGGGCATAGTACTTTCCATCCGGGGTAGAGCGTGAGAAGATCTCGTGGTAGGTAGAACTTATACCCGGAGTAATTGGCAAAGTGGGACTGGTGTATTGCGGGTTGTCAACGTCCGACTGCTGAAGCACAGGCTTTTGAAATGAGTCAGGGTGAACCCATTCGTGTAGGTAGGAGGTTGTGCCACGAAGTTGTGGGTGAGAGTAGATTGACAGTATAAGCGCTAGGAGAGTAATGCTGCATAGGACTGCCGCTACACGTTTGATTCCTTTAGGCATGGCTTGGGGATTGACAATACATCGAAGGATATATGTTAGGAAAAGAAGCGGGGGCTAGGAGGGAGGCAGATTCAGGGTATATATATGCCATCTACATCAATCCAGGACGCCTTCTACACCTGATTGGCCAGTCTTATAATCGCTGATTGCCATGTGATCATAGTCACGTCCTTAATTCAGAATCTACGGCTACCAAATGCACGAGCACGTTTTATTTGCCCCGTGCGAAACACTGAACTAGAGTTTCCCTGGCTCCGACTTCGTGACCTTTCTATATATCCAAGACGAGAACTTGATACTGGGCTCATCAAACAGCGTTGTTGCGATCTCTGCCATCCACAACGTGACTGGTAGCAGGATCAAATGCGGAAGCAGGAAGCTGATCTCCATCCCGAATGGGCCCCAACGCGGCAGTGGAAACTTGTTCACCCAATCGGGAATCCCAAGCGCATGAGATTCTTGTGTCCAACCTGTAGCAGCATACAATCTGTCGCCCAGTGTCCAAAGGATAGGCCCGTGAACAAGGTAGAATGCAAAAGAGATTCTGCCAAGATACAAGCAGAATCGGCTCTCGAAGAACCGCTTGAGGCATGGTAAGCGCGGCGCCGAGGCAACAACGAAGGTTGCAGCCCAGAAGAGGAAGAACCACTTGTAGTCGAAAACAGCCTGTGGAACCAAGAACGAGATATGTCGCCAGCCCGGCGAGCTCCTTAGGACTTGAATATCCCATGAAAAGGCTGGGCAACCTCCTAAAAGAATGCCAAGGGCGAAAAGGCAGGGGAAAAAGTAGGCGTTGTAGGGTTTCAGCCTCTTCAGCCATAATGGTAAATCGTCCCCAATCGCCAGCAGATCAAGGTCGCAAAGTAGCATGCCGACCATGAACATGGACATATGCGCGCCGTCGACGATCCACATGAAATAATACACCAAGGCGGTCTCGCCCCATAAACGTGCTGTGCGCGTGCATTTAGAAAACGACACAAGTGCTGTATAGATGACGACTGAGCCTTTAAACTCCTCCGGAATTGACCAAACATGGAAATTGTAGCTGAGCCACGGCTCGCCTCCGAGTCGAAATATGAAGCTAAAGCTTTTGAACTCAATATACCAGTTCCAAAGCTCGTCCCGGAAGTTGCGCTGGGGTTGGAAGTTCGCCAGCACGCCAAATGCGTGCCACATAGAGAATGTGAGGAACGTGGTGCAGATAACTGGCAGGTAGAGTCTTAGCCATCGTCGGAAGAGCGCAGAGGAGATGTTGTCGGAGAATGCGGCCCTGTCTCCCGACTGGATCAGTGCGAGAGGTTTGGCCGAGAGTACGTAGCCAGAAATGACGAAGAAGCAGGACACTGCCAGATGACCGCCAGAGAAGAATGTGCGGACACCAGGGAGTGTGACCATGTAATACCGCGTCTCGTACCCAAACGCGTTCTCCAGGATCTGGTCTGCATGCTGGGCTTTATGAGCCCAGAGCTCATGGTGGCCGAAGTAGACGAGCAGGGCTGCGAAGCCACGCAGACCATCCAGATAAGCAGTACGCCGGAGTTTTGTGCTTCGGGGCCCCGCTTTACTCAAAAATGAAGGGCGGACAAATTGAAAGAGAACTTGAGCGTAAGTAAGTAGGGACGGGCTGGGTGTCGGCTTAGCCGGCTCCCAGTACCCTGCTTCCAGTAATCCTTCATCTGCTCGGCCCATTCTGCGAGCGTTCTTGCCTAAGCTTTCCACAAGAAGACGGAGCGAGGTAGAAGTAGAAGACGATACCATGGCAACAAAATATGATCATCGAGAAGCTGTCGACAGTGGGATGATCCATAGCCACCCTTGTCATGTCATAGAAGCGGGGCAAAGCCCCGAGAGCTTCAGCTACTTACCTTTCCTTTCGACTCAGACGTACCTTGCAGACGTGGACCTGTCACATGCAGGGTGTTCCAACTGATGAGCCCGAGGTACTCGACTTGTAAGCATAGATGAGCTCGATCAATCCCAAGACCAATGCTAGTCCTGTAACACGCTTAGAGGTCGGTGATCAGCTTTGCTTACCAACTTAACAGCCAATGATCAAAGAACCCGCTAGGAAATCAGCGTGTCACATGTACTCTATCGAAAATGCCGAGGCCGAAAACGTTACCAGCCCCGATTGAGCAGATCAATGGAAAGTTTCGCGCTAGCCAGGCTACCCCCCTGGCCAAGTGCTACCCAATAGTGCTCGCAGGGATGTGACCTCTCCACACTCGGAGAACGACATCACCTACTATAGCATAGATTCTTTCACCGCTGCTCGACTCAATGCCGATGCGCGCCGAGAAGGGTGAGAATGGCTTGAATGATCGCGAGGATGCGCACGAAAACAGGCATTTACACCCGTTCAGTGACGAGACAGTCAGTGTCAAAGCTTCGGAAAGTAATACCCTTGTCGAAGGAGTCGACTAGGTCGAAATCCTAGTTGCGCAGAGGATGCTGTAAACTGATAGCAGCCTCTGCTTTGCGCCCGTCCGTGGGTCAAGACTAGTCGATAGTGGCGGCCGTCGACGTCAGTGACATGGGTAGCTGTCTTCGAGCTCATGTATTTCGTGGAAGCATTAAAGAGTGATTGCAAGTAGTCCCACTTGCTCTTATAGCTGGAAGTTCGAATGCGAGAGGTCTTCCAAGTTGCCATAGCAGCCAGCTTCCATCACTCTCGTTCAGGTGGCCAACAAGATGAAGATTGGAGCGAAGGACATCAGTGTCCCCAACGAGTTCTCGTTGCCTAAGCAAATTCAGCGCATGCTACCAGCATTTGGCGCGCTCTTTTTGTTTGTCATGTACCTTTCAGGTTGTTTCGATAGTTCGTCACCTGGCCTCCACCGCAAGAAATCTGAGCACTTTCCTCGGAAGGTATGGCAGACCTGGAAGGTTGATGCCTTTGGCTTCGAAGAAAAAGATTCCAAAGTCGCGCGAACTTGGACCGCGAAGAACCCCGACTATCGTTACGAGGTCCTAACAGACCAGAATGATCTCGCATATGTCGAGACTCATTTTGGCGCGGATGGACTCAATCGTCTAGACATCGTTTACATGTATCGAGAGCTTCGCCTCCCCATCATCAAGGCGGATATGCTTCGCTATCTCGTCATGTATGTCGAAGGTGGTGTCTACACCGATATCGATGTTGAAGCTCTACGGCCAATCAACAAATTCATTCCGGAGCGATACAGTGAACGAGGCATTGACATGGTCATCGGTATTGAGATTGACCAACCAGACTTCCACGACCACCCTATCTTGGGCAAAAAATGCATGTCATTCTGCCAGTGGACTTTCATGGCGAAGCCTGGGCTGCCAGTCATGCTGGATCTCATTGAGAATATCGTCAAGTGGCTCAAAGACGTTGCTATGGAACAGCAGGTGCCAATATCAGATATTCAGCTTGACTTCGATCAAGTCATCAGTGGCACAGGTCCAAGTGCATTCACACGAGCAATCCTCGAATACCTTTCGCGACGAGCAGGAAGGCAGATCACCTGGGATCTTTTTCACAACATGGGTGAGTCGAAGCTGGTAGAGAATGTACTTGTTCTCACCGTCGAGGCCTTTGCAGCTGGGCAAGGCCACTCTGACTCCGGGAACCACAATGCAAAGCAAGCTCTGGTGAAGCACCATTACCACGCATCAGGGTGGCCCACAAATCACCCCAGATACTCACACCCAACGCTAGGAACAGTGGAAAGCTGCAACTGGGATCCAGTGTGCGTCAAGGCGTGGGACGATAACAAAGCGGGGTTCGATTCCCTGTCAGAAGAGGAGCAGGCCGCGCAGATCGCTCTCAAGCAGCAAGGAGGGCAGCAGCCAAAGAACAAGCGACAAGCCCGGCGCACCAGGCCGAGGTGAGAGGGCGGGGTCGCTTGGTGGGAAGGTCGCAATGACTCGACGTAGATACGAAAGTGGCGCTGAGAATGCACAAGCAGTCTTTTTAGAATCGTACCAACAGCGGTAATGATTTGTTCAGCAGACTTGTTCGTGCATATGCTACCATAAGCGACCCACAAGCAATGCAATGCTCTAGTGTGAGTGGGTTGCATCGCCATGCGAGAAGGCTTGTGCATGTTTCCTGCTTCTGCGAGCATCGTGTTTCGATAACTGCATTGTTGCAGAACGGGAAGTCAATCCAGGCACGTTCGTACCCAGACATACTTCACTGCAATGAACGTCGCCGGAGATTGACGCAGCTGCTTTTCGGTACGATGGAGACAACTGCTATCTCTGCTCTCTGCTCTCTCAGTACTCGGCTGTCGCTGTTGATGTGAACGGTGCGTCAATGGGATCGGGAGTCTTCCGAGACATAACGCGAGCTGGTGGAGCGTCTGGAATTTGCTCGGAATTGCACTAACGAGAGAACATGGTCGCGCACCGGCCTGAGGGTAGACCAAGCTAACGAGGAAGTTGCGCAAAGAGGTGTGCTGGCGAACCACAAGTCGTCCAACAACGATGGGCCTCGGTCACTGTACCTGACATTTGCTGACAAGCCAATCAAACGGATTATTCGAGCCCTGGTTGTGTCGATCGTGAACTTCGGTAGTCCCGGGCTTCTCCACAGGGGTCAGACGTTGGAGCTGACTGAGCCTCGCCTCCCCGGACACGCCCCGCGAGCCGGAGCGGAATTGTGGCCAAGCTTGGTCTAGTGGATATAGCACTCGTATCGTCGCCGCAGCTATACTCTTTCGAGCTCATTTGCCGAAAGGCAAGGCTAGAGTCATTTACCTCGATTGGCAACATGTCCAGCGACCACTCGCCTCTGCGAAAAGTTGAGCAAGATGGTGTTCACATGTGCACATGGATGCCTCGGTCTGACTCTAGCGAACATTGGTAAGTCGAAAGTTGTGTTGCATGTGACGATTTAATATCTTCGCTAAGGGACTGTGCGTGACTCCCGCAATTTCTTGTCGAAGGTGGATCGCCGACCAATAACTCGAGGGTCTCGACGACTGAAGGGCCTGGGGATCCCGCATTTCACGACTCGCTTCCCCAGGTGTTCTCTCCATGCAAAATTGATGCCACTGAAAGCACCACTGGACGGCAGTCACTCAAGAAAGCGAACCAGCCTCGTCGAGCACGACTCATTAATTGTCGCAGCAATGGCCAGCGAGAAAGGCGTATCACATCAAGAAGAGATGGCTGCGAGCAGAGGTGGACGTCGCACGTTCGGACAGAAGCTCAAGCGATCGTGCCAGCGCTTCTGGTGGATTTATCTGTTTGTCTTCATCGGCATCGTGTTGGTCGTGGTGCTGCCAATGTAAATTTGCCGCTGCCAGATCCTTGCCATTGCTAACAGGTCGACAGCATTTATGTCGGATATCCGAAGATGGCACAGTCGAGTGTGAATGAGTCGAAACTCCATGTCACAGCAGAGTCGATCTTGAACCCTGCACCGAACGCGTTTGACCTGAACCTGACAAGCGAGTTGGAAACGCATGCAAAGTATCACCCTCAACTTGATGCGTTCGAGGCTTCCCTGTATCTCAAGGACAGCGATATACCATTCGCTACTTTCAACACCCCCGCTATCAAGGCGGACAACGGCACTGTCAGCCAGGTGCTGCAACGAGTCGAAATCCAGAACTTGACGGAGTTCACTCGATATACGATGGTGGCGCTCGCGAGCGAGGAGTACACCATATACCTGCGAGGGAATGGAGGTCTCAAGCAAGGCTCATTGCCAAAGACTGATGTAGACTACAACCAAGAGGTCCAGATGATCGGTAAGTCGAGACCAAATTAGGTTGTATATGGCTGACACGCCGAAGGACTGAACGGCCTGAAGGGACTTGAGGTCACCGAATTTCATCTGTTGACCGAAAGTCTCGCAGACGGAAGCAATGCCATAGGCAATGTCACCGTTCCGAATCCGAGTGTGATGACTCTTGCGCTTGGCGACGTTTCTTTCGACATGAGCGTGGAGGGTACATTTATCGGAAATGCAACCATGCCAGACCTCACTCTGCGACCAGGGAACCACTCCTATCCAATCCACGTCACCAGCAACCAGACACGTGTCGCCACAATCATCCAGCGGCCAGAGTATCATTGTGGTGTTTTCCCGGTGGACATTGCAGGCAAGCAGAGCGTGTATGGCGGGCAAGTACTGCCTTACTATACCGAGGCTCTGATGCACAACGATTTGACGACAATGTTGAACGTTTCGGCTGCATTGAATGAGGTCGGTTTTGGTTTCGCACTTGGTAACTGCACATCATAACATAGCATGCTCCGTCGAGTGTCGCGTAGACCTCGGATCAAAAAGCTGCCACCCTTTCTACTCGTGTTCCTCGCGGCTACAGGCCGTCTGCTTTTCGTTGGCGCGTAGGACGAAGGCAGTTGCGTTTCATGGTGGGAGCCGGGATTTATTGACTGAGACTGAGCAATACAGTAGACTTGCTGCTGAGAGCTCACATCTGGTCTGCGTTTCGACACTGCCATATACCAGCACTGACGCCGGAGGCTACCGGGAACCCTAAGACATTGCGGGCTCAGGTGGTAATAGAAGCGTCGTCTGCAGATCTCTGAACATCCACAGAAGTCGACAGAATGGTAGGCTGTAGTCGGCACTTCAGCTGTGCCGACAACACCCCGGAACATCCATGCTCCGGCGCCCGCCGCATAGCACCCAGCCGAGGCACCCATCGTCACCTGCCCGGATATCTGTCGCGATGCTGCTGACGCGCTTGCAAGCTCGCATCCTTCGCATCGCTTCACAGTGAGCTTCTGCATGTGGTAGATCGCTGTCTACTGAATCACTCATGATATCGGTCTGTCAACATGGCATGGTAAGATCAGTCCTAGATGGACATTTCGTACGCGCTACGCCTTGCGAATGACTTTCCTCCCAGCATTACAGCGACCACGTCCTAATTGCACTAGACCTTTGTCACCACTGATGTGCAAACTGATCGCCGTTCACCAGATTGCACTGAATTCTGGCACCCTGAGCAGGTCCGGCCGTGGCAAGCTGCAGCGTCGGTAATTGACCCCAGGTCGGCATCTTCTGTTCTCGCGTCCTCGCGTCCTCACGTGCTCATGTCCTCACGTCCTCCCCGCTGACCGTCCCGACTGCGGTTGCCTTTCTACGCAGGCACACACATATGAAGCTTGCGCCGCACGTTGAGTCTTCCGGGCGACCTCGTCTGAAACCCGACTACCGCGCACGCCCCACGCATCAAGAGTGCAGCTCAAAAACCAGTGGTCGAGACATGGAGCCCGAGTCTACCAACTCGGGAACAGTTGCTTTACAGGACTTTGAGGGGGCCGGGGATCATATTGCAGCCCAGCCATCATGAAGCCGCACGCCAGTAGGTCCGCAGGGTAGTTGCGACACCTGTCGTGCAGCGCAGATCGAGACACCCATTATGCCACAAGGTGAGCTCCCCGTTATCAATCATCATTGTCACGGCCTCCGAGAATCGACGGAGGCCTGCAGTCGGGCATGAGGGAAAAGATTACTCCAGCCATAGTGCTAGATGTAAGCATTGCGCGATATATGTATGCCGAGGAATCCAGAATTTTGTGGCAAAAATTCGTGCCTGTTCATCTTTGAGGCTCGAGCAGATCGTTGCATCGTTTCTAACATAGCCTTCCTGTCAAGAACACGGAGGCGGGCGATGCTGATGACATAAAGGCTGGCCGCGAGGCGCAGCGCCGAAGCCAAGCACGAGTCATCTCGGCATTGATCAACCCCCGACACGATGCTATAAACCACGTACTGGCTCCAATGGAGCGGCCCTCAGCGTTGATGGAACTGACTCAGACACGCAGCGGTCCCACACAGATGCCCAAACCGTCACATTGGCGGTGAGTCACCGTTCGGAGACATCCACTGCAGCTGCAACCTTGTCAAATCATATACAACGAACCTCAGCCTCAGCCGTACCATGGAGATCGCGAAACGAAGAGTTCACATCCTCTTCCACAACCACTTGAAGCCGATTGTCCGCAAAATGTCTCTGACTACGTCGTCGTCGAATTCCAGCGTGGAGCTCGCGTTACCCAAAGGGAGCCTAATACTTGTCACTGGAGCGACGGGCTACATCGCAAGCCATATCATTAAGGAAGCTTTGGACCTAGGCTACCGCGTCCGCGGCATTACTCGTTCGAAAGCGAAAGCAGAGCTTATTGAGGCCGCGATCAACGATGCCGATTTCTCGACATGCATTGTTGAGGACTTTTCCAATTCGGCGGCTTTGGAAGAAGCCGTCAAGGACTGCCTAGGGATTATTCACACTGCATCTGTCACGAGTCTGTCCCCGGATCCTGAAAAGGTCATACCTCCCACGGTGGGCATGGCCTCCGCGATCCTGACAGCGGCGAAAAGGGTGAATATGTGCAGGCGGTTCGTCTTCACAAGCAGCTCTTCTGCCGTTTGGATTCCCAAGCCAGACACTCCGTTCAAGATCGGCAAGAACACGTGGAACCAGGATTCGGTACAGAAAGTACAATCGATGACACCCCCTTTCAAGGCTGAAGGCTTCTACGACGTCATTGCCGCCAGCAAGGTCCAGGCAGAGCAAGCAGTCTGGAGGTTTGTTGAGGAGGAGAAACCTGATTTCGTGGTCAATACGATAGTGCCCAACACGAACATTGGGAGAGTCATTGTCAGGCCCGCGACTTCTTCCGCGAACTTTGCGCTCGCGGTCCTGAATGGCAGCATCCAAAGAATCGCGACAGTGCCGCCACAGTGGATGATTAATACTAGCGACGATGCAAGAATTCATCTTGCGGCGCTCATCGACCGAAATGTGTCAAATGAGCGGATATTCGCCTTTGCTCAACCTTTCGACTGGAACGAGATGCGGGAGGCAGTACTCAAAGCCCGACCGAATGCATCAGTTGGAGGTCCTTTGCCACCACATGGGAGAGATGTCAGCGAGGTCGACAACACGCTTGGGGAAGAGCTGTTGAAGAGATGGTTCAGCCAAGATGGGTACAAGCTGCTCGATGAGAGTGTGAGAGAAAATCTCGAGGGCTACGGAGAGCCCGATCCGGAGAGATAGCTGAGTCCAACTACGGCAGCCAGTAGAGCATTAACACCGTTAATTGCGCCATTCCGCACAACCTCTGCGCGAAGCTTCGCAGAAGTCGTATACATCAACCTCTGGTGCTTGGCGCAAAGCCTTGGTTCGGTGACAACCATGCCCTTGGAGGTTCCAACCGGAACGCCAGCGCCACTGCCTGCAGCACTCAACAGAGCCAGAGCGCCCGCCTCAACCTTGAGATTGTCGATCCAGTGCAGCCTTAGTGAAAGAGCGATCTCCACCGTGGTGAAGAGAATGGCGCCCTACCGCACCCTTAACACCCAATGGCGCGGCTACGTGGGTTATATTTGCGGCATCCTGATCAGAAATATTGGCTTCGCTAGGGATGTTGGCAGATATCTGCCTCTAGAAACACCTCATCCGTATCGCCTAATCTTCTTCATCGATTTCATTGTACGCGGCGTGGAAGCCTCGTAACTTGCGGCCCTCATTCTGGTGCCGGCTTGGAGCCTTAAGGGAAGTGGGAGGAGGTGGCCAACCGATTTCGCTATTCCATCTTTGCCTATGGAGCAGCTGTCGCAGAGGAGATGGGAGAACCGACTGCAAACTGTCACGAGCAACATCCGAAAAGCGGTGGCACAAGGTCACGAAGTATTTCTCAGCTTGATGTGCTGGCTCGCATAGAATAGCTTTAAGTGACCAATCTATGGAGGATCAAACATATCGGCCGAGCGCTTAGCTGGACGGGATTACCTCATACCCCGAGTTGGAGAATTTGGGGTAGTTGGCGAGTCAAACTGAGGGGATCCTGCGGTCTCACTGCCTCGCTGGCGTTTGTTGCGATAGCATCAATGCCCGTTGCTTCTTTAGCTGGCTCTTGTATATCTTCTGGTATGGTTCAAAAAAGCTTAGTGCTGAATTATCACGCGATCCTGCCCAGCAAAGGTCTTGAAGGCTGCGAGCGACGCTGACACTCTATCGGACGGTGACTTTTGCTGTAAGGCAGTTGATACTTTCAGTTGGTGTGGTGCGGCTTCTTCAAATTCAGGCCGACCACTGTATAGCATAGCCGTTCTGCTTAGAAATTCGACAGGAGCCGCTGTTGTATATCACACCGCACGGCACATCCGGGATATCCTCGTCCGCCAAGCAAGATGTCTTTACCAACGACCACCGCCCGTTACACGATTGATTTCGACAAGCAACTCGATGGACTCACGCTCGAGGCTTCAGCGCCTTTGCCAAAGCTCGGACCAGATGACTGCCTCGTGCAGATTCAGGCAGTCTCGCTCAACTATCGCGACATAGCCATGCCGCTGGGCCTCTATCCCGGAGCAAAGAAGAACAATATTGTACCGACTTCTGACAGTGCCGCCGTAGTCCTCGCTGTTGGGGCGCAGGTATCGGAGTTCAAACCGGGCGACAAGGTTTGTAATACGTTCTTCCTGGATTTCGAGGACGGCTATATATCTCCCGAAGCACGGCAAACGAGCCTCGGAGGCTTGAAGGACGGCCCACTGGCAAAGTATGCCGTGTTTCCGTCCAAATCGCTCGTGTTTGCGCCAGCGTCACTCACTCCCATGCAGAGCTCGACGCTTCCGTGCGCGGCTCTGACGGCCTGGAATGCGCTGTTCGGCGTTCAAGGTCGGAGTCTCCAGGCTGACGATTGGATCCTTGCAGAAGGCACCGGCGGCGTCAGCATTGTAAGTGAAAATGCTCAGGTTTGATGCAGTTTACCAACAGTCAACAGTTCGCAATCCAGTTTGCTCTCGCAGTAGGAGCCAATGTCATCGCCACAACCTCTTCGGACTCCAAGGCGGCGAAATTGAAAGCCATAGGAGTTAAGCACATCATCAATTACCGCACCGATCCTTCTTGGGGCGAGACTGCGAAGAAGTTGACGCCAAAGGCGCGCGGCGTGCAACACGTCATCGAAGTCGGCGGCGAGGCGACCATGGGTGAAGCTTTCAAGGCCATTGCATGCGAAGGCGTCATATCGATCATTGGTTTCCTCGGCTCCGGCAAAAAGAGTAATGGCTTCTGGGACGCATTCGTTCGAGCGTGTATCATCCGAGGCATCAACGTGGGCTCACGCGCGCAATTCAAAGATATGAACCGCTTTATCGAGGAAAAGAAGGTTGTTCCAGTGGTGGACGAGCGTGTGTTTGACTTTGAGTCTGCAAGAGGCGCTTTTGACTACTTGAAAGCGCAGCAGTTCTTTGGCAAAGTGGTGATCAAAGTGTCTGATGGATGAGCATGTTGTGTCATGAGAGAGGGTGTCGCTCGTGGGGTAGATACTCCGCCGGTCGCTTCCGTACGGAACCACGCTCTATCAACGAAAAGGTGCGCATGAAACACAGGTCAATGTGTCTTCCGACCAATAAGCATGGCTCCAAAGGATATTTTGCTGTAATGAGTCGTATCTTGTCACTTGTAGTATCTATGACGTATTGATGACGCCTTGCCGTTGCCTTATGCGGAAGCCTGTTCCATACACAAAAGGCAGACATTGCCCGCCAGTTTCGCGTCTAACTACAGTCTACTCCCGGATTAAACTCAAGACACCGAGAAATACCATCTACAATATCAATATGGCGTCCAAACCCACTGGAGGAGGCAACGGCGGTATGGCTTCGGACAAGCAGACCCCAGCTACGGCCGCCATCGGCGCAACCAAGCCCAAAGTTTTTGATCAGCAAGGTGCTATTGGAAAGCAGTTCACCGGTACGTTTCGGGTGCCCCTTGTCGAGTCAGGGACACGCGACTGATATGCAGCAGAACAGGGAGCTATTGGAGGTGCGGCGCAAAGTATTGGCGGACCGTTGGACAAGGAGGGCGCCATTGGAAAGCAATTCACAGCCGATGGAGCTCTAGGAGGAAGCGTGCAGAAAGCCATGGGCGGCGAGAAAGGCGGAAGCTAAGATGTAACATCGTATGCCAACACATTTTACGGAGTCTATGTCCACTTTGGAATAAGATTATATAACTGCTATATCTAGTACCACCTTGATGGAGTTTCTGATGTAGTTGAACGTCACAACAACCCAGATCGTCAATAACAGTCACAACTTCCAGGAGACAGGCTCATATGACCAACCTGAGACCTACGTCAGGCAGAAACCAGTTCGCCTCAAAGTATGACCTATTGATGGTTAGTCGGTATTTGGGGACTACTGACGTAGCTCTGCGCAGATTGTCCGTGTCCACAGTCGCGTTAATGCACCCCTCAGTAATGTAGGCGAGCAGAGGATCCCTTCCAGACAGGCCTCGAGCTGTGGGAATTGAATGTATCTCTTGTCTCTTGGCAGCATCAACAGCAATCCCTGCAAACCAATCTTCTTCGAATGTTTCGTCAGCTATGAGGCATCCCAGCGCTGCCCACAGAGCAAGGGCTGTATAGTCGTATTTGGTGTCCGATTCCAGGTATTCGACGAGAGCTAGCACTGCGCGCAGTCGATGCACTGAGATCGAAGCACAGCGTTGATCAAGACGTCGCGACTGAGCAAGCGCGATCCAGTATATGCACCCCAGTCTAAAGACTTCCTCCTCTGGTGAGTTGTCTTGAATCTCAAGAGCACGATATCCCAACAATAGATATCGAAGGCTTGCCCATTTGCAGTGCTCACTGCTATACTCACCTCTCCTCTCCATCCATTCAACGAACTCGAACAGATCTGCCAGGTCTGTTCCCAAATTTGCGACTTCCAAACGCAGCACACCACAATTGATCAGTACTTGGAGTTCTGGGCCGAAGAGGCTCGACGCAGCCGTGACTGGCGCTCACGCAATTTAGTGACCGCTCGAGACTCGACGATGGTGTTCCGAAGATTGATTACGGGTTTCTCCAGGATCCTAGCGCGGCCTACCAGCAGAAGATAAACTCGCTTTCGATAAAGTAAGGGTCAAATTTATCAAGACTTCCGAGCGTCGATATCACGACTACCAGGGCCTCCGAATGCAATCTTGCGGTCTCTTGCATATCAGTCAGGTATGAAACGGCAACAAGCCGCTGGCCATCTCTCGCGAGTCCGTGATCAACAATCCCTGCGTCGATAGAAAGACGAATTCTGTTGAGTGCTTGGCTTTTGTGGCCGAGAGCCATGTGAATACCGTCGTGACATGAGATACCTGGGAGGCTGAGCTTGCCGTCTCTCACTAGCATCTGGACCGTGACCATTGCGAGAAGCGAGTCCAGATGGCCCGAATCTGCCAGTGCCTCATGTATCTCGGCCTGGACTGCTACCCCATGTCGTAATTGACTTATTGGGGCACTCTTTGAGTCCAAGGGAACACGTTCGGGGAGTAGTACAGTCGTCCAGTTACCCCGTAGATCGGAGGCATGCTTCAGCAAAGAGTTCAAAGGCCCAACCATTGAGCTCTTCAATCACTCCGCTATAAATTCCTGGTAAGCTCGTGTGCAGACTGAGCTGCTGGATGTCGGCTGACCGTGATCCAACAATCATTACTGGCTCGTATCTTTCCCAGAGGCGACTTGATGACCGAAGGATACACAGAGTCGTGGCAGCAGATAGCATCTGAGGCACCAAGGGCTCGACTCAACTATATGCAACTGCAGTGCGAATGCTGATTCTGTCGCGGGACTGCTGGGAGTCTGACCGAGAAACTTGCATGCCCGAAGCCGCCAACTTGTCGCCATCAGATTGCTCATTGGCAGTCTCCTGCTGTGAAAGAATCAACTTTTTTGGAAGCCTCGTTGTACATGACTTTGTATAGCTTGACTAAGTTTCAGGTCTTTGCCACTCGTCTGGATCGTACTGGCGCCTTGATTGACGAAGATCAATAGGTGCGGGCCTGTCATACCGCCAGAAGCACTCCCGCAAGCCAGGCGAACTGCTGAGCGATTGGCTGTGGAGCTCCAGGTTGTGATCTGTGGGAGGCTCCTGGATAAGGTCCAGAAGAACTTAGAGAAATACCATCCAGAATCAGGCAGATGATCACCTTAGATAGCAGAGATTATCTGCGTAAGATATATCTGAAATACTCCAGCTGGAGAAGTATATCCGCTTCATGTCCTTGGCTTGAGCGTAGTCCACATGCGGTACTTGATGCCAACTTGGACAGGCCATACTGCGCGAAGCACTTCTTGAGCTTGACAGGTGTGACGTTGTGGCTCGACGGAATTATAGGTTCAAACTCAATGGCGCTGTACATCGCTATTGGGATGAGACACTTCCTGTCTGGTCAGTGCACCTGTCGCCAAGGACGTTCCGACCTGAAGTCTGGCCGCGAGGTACGGACGGCTCCTGCATCGCACCAGAGATGTGTTGTCCGCACGTTCTGTGTGATTGCTGAGACTCCAGCGGGACTGTTCATCATTCAGTCAGCAGTCATGTCGGCCCGCTCGCTTGAGTCTAAAGCAGTCACGGGATTTTGCTGCTTAGCAAGAGCAATGTGGACGTTCACGGCCGACAGGTGCAGCATGGTGAATGTACCCAGTCCCGAATTACACGAGATTGAAGTACGGCCTTGAGCAGCACAAGCTCGCCCATTCGCAAAAATCAATGCACCCATTGGTGGAAAGTCAAGTGCCGGCAGGTAAGCTAATGCCGTTGCGGAAGGTGCATTAACTTCAGGGGCAGCCGTGAACGCCCCCGAGGCCACAACGAAACTGGCCTTTAGCCAAGAGAGCGCGGGGCGCCTTGATAATATCGGTCAGGGACTGTGGTTGCAAACCTCCTTCTGTTTACGGCAGTGTGTCCTACAGACATATTAATCTCGGCCAACCTCCGTCTCAAAATGGAAGGCCGCTAAGCAGTCTCGATGCAACGGCTGCAGTTGGATAGCCGAGCTACAGACCTGCCATCCTCGCATGTGGCGTCTGTGAGCCCCGAGGCTTACGTTCCAGCCATCTACAGCCAACTCTCAGACCGCCAACGCCAAAGGGCTGAGAAAGTCTTGCATCTGCGTGGTGATTTGAGAGAGTTTGGGCACAGAGGTCGACTTTGCGCCAATGATGTTGCAGGCAAATGGCGTCTCGGAAAAAACCGTCGCTGCAGGCATGCCGCAGTCGACAGAGCTCCTGCAAATACGGCGAACTTACCAGGCACCATCATTTCGAACCAGTCCTCCATCGACAGCAAGGAGCTGAGAGTTCCCGATTCACATAGCGTCCTTGACTCTGGACAATATGATCCGTTTTCCACTCTACCAAGCGATCTACCCCAGGTTTTCGTCAGTGAGCACATACAGTCCGGTAGGCGCAGAACCTCTTCGGTAGATGCGAGCTGATGAGAAGTCTTGCTGCAGCTAAATCTTGTTTGACGGACATAGTCACGAACTTCAGTCCGCTGGATCAGTATGGGCCGCAATTCGCACGGGCGATCCTGGGGATGGCGTTGGAGAGTGAAGCATTACTATATAGCATCATGGCTGCTGCTCTAATGCATCGACGAGCGGGAAGAGTGCGACGGGGTCAATCAGCTATGGAGCTACACATCGTCGCGAAAGCCGTGCGGCTACTGAGTGAACAAATGACTGATCAGCACACGGCGGTCCGGGAGTCGAATATCTGGGCTGTGGTGGCATTGGGATACACTGGAGCCATCGGCGAGCTCAGAACAGGCAAGCTTCCACAGCAGTCCGTACTCAAAGAGCTGCAAACGATCCATATCTACGGGCGACTCATAAACAACAAGGTACATCTACGAGGACTGGTCCAGCTCCTCCAGATGATTGGGGGACCGCAAAATCTGAAAACGCCAAGTATGGGGGCGGCCATCAGCTTGTACGTGACAATGGGAACTACGAGCGAGAGCGAGCTGACTTAGATGCAGCGCCGATCTGTACAACTCGGTCAGAGACCTGCAACGACCCTCGGTGCCGTTCATACCCTTCACCGTCGACTATCTAGATGGCGATCGCCTTGCGGTCTCGCAGTATGAGCGAGAGTGGGCTCGCCCTGTTCTAAGTGTGTTGGGAAGCACTTTCATTGACGTCTGGTCAGGTCCGACGGATGCAGTAGTGTTGAAACTACTTGAGGTCATCCAGCATATCTGCGACTTCACCGTCCTGGTTGAAAATTATAACCAGAATCGATCCGTTGCCAGGACCCCAGCAGCGCTGACTGATCAGAGAAATTTCACACAGCATGCTATAATGTCTTTGCCAGCTGCAGAAGATTTTCAAAGTGAGAGAAAAGAGGTCTGTGATCCTCAGTACGAGCCCTGCCGGCTCGCCTGCATCGTCTACAGCTTGCTGATCATTATGCCGTTCCCGCCTACGGTTCGATTCTTCGAGAGGGTGATTGCGAGACTTCAGCGCAGTATTTTGGACATGAGAGCAACCAAAGTGAAAGGCCAGTACCGGATGCAGCTGCAGTTGTGGGTACTGGCCATGGGCGCTCTCATTTCGATCGGTCTACCAGAAAGAACCTGGTTTATCACCGAGATGAACGCAGTGCTTGAGCGTCACGAGGTGCTGCATGTTCACGACTTTCTTGCTCTGCTCCAGGGCTTTCTGTGGCACCCCTGTACGAACTCTCATGATGGCAAAGAACTGTGGCATGATCTTCAAGCAGCCCGTCAGAGGTCCTTGTGAGGTCGATTCATCTTATGGAGGTTTGAAACCAGTACCAGGTTGAGTGTGCATTTCAATTACCAGTCAGTCTTTACGGAAAAGAAACCCCGTGGGAACGGTATTCGACAACGAGACAGCCGTGTTGTGATGAATACGCCACACAGCTGGGTATGGACCACGCTTCGACGATGCCACATAGCCGACATGTTCTCGGATATCTCCTGTGATTTCGCAAGGCCCATGGCCATTTATGGCAGCTGCTGTCATTCCCGTAGCCACTGCATCGGCGATGTGTTTGCACAATCAGATCGCTGCAGGAGCGATCAACATCTGTCCACCATCCGGATGCAGAATTTGATTGTTGTAGAACAAGGCTGCAGGCGACACCAAGAACAAGATCGAAGAAGCCATGTCCGAATCAGCTCCTCCACGGCCTGCCGGGTTTCCCATTTTACTGCTCAGCTCACTTTTCTGCTTGTCGTCTGACTCTCCCGTCGTCATCTCACTGGGGAAAATTCCGGGGGCAATCTGTACTGGGTAAGCCGATCGAAACGGATGACGATGCCTCGACTTACCTGATTCACGCGAATGCCAGCATCCTTGAGCGTTGTAGCTAGGGACCGGGTCAGATGGATGGCCGCAGCCTTGCTTGCGGCATAGGAGAACTGGCCATTGCTGGAACCCTTCATGAGACCACTGATTGATGAGATATTTACGATCGAACTCATCATAGTGAACTTGCTGTTCGAAGTGCCCTTAGCGAGAAGAGGGATGAATGCAGCTGACATGAAGAACACTCCCGTCACGTTGGTCTCGAACGTCTCGGCCCAGTGCTCGGGCTCGGAGCGAAGCAAATGCTTCGAGATAGCCTCGGGATCAGTCATCTCAGGCTGACCATTCTTGGTAAATCCGGTGTTTTTGTCGCGTGCGACTCCAGCATTGTTGATGAGTGCCGTGATACCGTTGGGTTCGTGCTTCGCGACCTCGTCAGCCAACCGTGTGCACTCATCCTTTTTGGTCACATCTCCTTCAAGGGCAATGATTTTGCCTGGCCCTTTGCTGTATTGCTTGACGACATTATCCAGTGCCTCCTCGCGCCGTCCAACAATGTAGACGGTGGCACCATGTGTCTGCAGGACCTGGGCCATCATAACGCCAAGCCCACTCCCACCGCCAGTGATGACAGCCTTGACGTAGGAGACATCAAAAAGATTCTCGGACTTTAAGTCGTCATTGGAGAAATGTGATGTAGCCATGGCTCTGGATAAGGGTCGTGATTTCGTCGAAATAGTACTGAGGAAGCTTGGTCGGGGTCTTGGCACAACCGAGGCTGGTGCTAACGAAACGAGTCTGGGTAGGCTTCTGAGTGCAGGACCTGGTCGAAGAGCTCGGGCATTCATTATGACTATATAGCCAGGACACTTCAGTCGGCTAAGCGATGGTCGAGCAGGACGAGCTCCAAAGCTCATCCCCAGTCCTTCTACCTATGACTATGTCATGACGTCGATGCCAGCGCGTCCCAGCTTCCGGGCGAAACATATCCGAAATCCCCGCAGGACGTAGTTAAGAGGTAGCGAATACGGTCAGGGTATCTCAAATGCGACTATGAATGAGTAGGTTCATACTTGACAACGAGAAAGAAAGAGTCGATTATTGTTGGGCGGCTGTGAGCCTTTGCCGCGGCCGAAAGCGTGCCGAGCGGGCATGGCGTCGCGCGGTGGCTCAACCACGAGATATCCGCTCAGACTCCGCTGGTTGCGTTATGTGTGCATCCTGCCAGAGCACTGCTTACGGCGTTCGGTCCGCTGAAATAGCCTGTAAGACAAGACGGACGTGTGCTTCGCGATCGTGCTTGAGAGCAGCGAGCGGACGGGGAAAGCAATGTCCGAAACGGTCATCTGAAAGTCTGCGAGTGCTGAGAATAATTATCATGGCGCTCTTGATTATTCTTGTTCTTTAGATCTCGCCTCTATCATCGACAGCCCGGCGTGCGCACAAACCCATCGCGAGGCAGTGTGAGCTGTTTCTAAAATCCTAGATTTCTGGGCCATAACTAGGACACAGATCGCCGCCAGAATTGGTAGCGCACGTCCGTCAGCTGAATAGTAAGCCAAATGGGATTCGCCTTCCACATTTGCGGACCACCCCTGAGACGAAGCTCCAGAAGTCGTCAGAGCTTGCTGACCCAACTGTCATGTGCAACGTAGCACGATGGCTTACATGAAACAAGCAGCAAGACCGGCACAGGCTGGCCAATCTCGTCGACCTTGTCTCGGTCCTCGTCTTTGCAAATCAGCATGTGTGTTGCTATATGTATCCTATTTTCAGCCTTCCTCGTGGGGCGGCAGATGGCTACCGGTCACATTACGCTTTCTCAACGTGGATCCGGAGAGTAAGATGGACAGTCTTTGTGTGTCTCACTGCCCCTGTCTTTCGTTACACTGATCACCTACCAGCAGGCAGAATGTAGGCAACGCATTGGACGTTGCCCTTGTAGGGATCAACCCACGCAATCTCACACCCGGCATTACATACCATACTCAAGTCTGCCCCGTAGCAGCGGAGAGCTATAAAGCAGCTAGTGGACCGCAGGACTGAAGCGTGCCGCAAAACATTCTAGATTCTACCAGTCTCAACCAGAAGTTCATCTCTTCCCAGCCTAAAACCCCATCCTATATCAGCCTCAGCAATGAAAAGCTCTGTCATCGCCGCACTCGCTGGCCTCGCGGCTGCCAGTCCGAGCTGGATCAGTCAGACGCCAACCGAGACCTCTACCCTTCTACCTCCCACCACGAACATCCCTTCTGGACCTAAGATCAACGTAGTCTTCTTCTCGGACAACAGTTGCCAGATCACAGTGCCGGAAAGCATCTACACTCGTGACGTCTTCGCTCAGGGTATCTGCTACAACGACTTCCCAGACCAATACTACAAGTCGGTCATCATTGACAGCATCGACGACCAGTTCATCGGCACGAACAGCGCCTTGGAAATCGGTGTAGCAAGCAGCAACTCATGCGACTTCACCAACTCCGTCAAGTTCAACATCGCCACGAGAGATTCGGTGGGCAAGTGTCAGTTCATTGGCATCCCACAGGGGCAGGGAAAGCCGCTTGGAGCTGGCAATGAGTACCGCTTGACGACTCTGCAGTAGAGAAGGCTGAGCCAAGCCACGGAACCTCAGCATAGCATCAAGACATGGAAGCTGGACTGTTTTTGTGAGCGGTAAGACTTTTGTTCGGTCAAGGCAGTCCTCGCCTATTCCATATCACCTGCCCATTAGCTTGAACATACCATGTACAAAGAATGCAATGATGTCCGCTACAAGGCCAACCCATCCTTTGCCTGCACTGACCAGATTCGTTACACCGATCAACCGTCTCACGAACACATCCGTCTGCTTCCAGTCATCTCCCATGATATCCCGAACGGCATTTCCATACTGATCGTTCTCAACCCAGTCCACGCCTGCAGCCTCGACTTCTGCTTTCGTGGCCCTGCTCCCAATCAGTAACGCTCTTCCGACGATGCTCCTGTCCGCTATAAGCCGCACCGCCGCGTTCGTCACATCGTCTATCCTTGCCATGGCAGCGCCAGCCATAACGAGCGGGCCTTCCGGACCCAGGATAGGCGTATCCGTGAAGTAAGGGTTTATCATGTTCACCCGAACACCAGCAGTGATGGGCGCCGTGACGCGAAGGGCGCGGAAAAGCCCGACAACAGCATGTTTTGCTGCTGCGTAGATACTCTGAGTTGGAACGGCCGCCACACCAGCAATAGAGCTCACGAGGAGAAGATGGCGGTCACGAGGACCGTCGCTCGCGGTGAGTTCGCATTTAGACGATCCCGGATTGTGCTTCAGATAAGATAAGGCAATGTCGGTGGTGTAGAGGACACCAAGAGCATTGACACTGAAGGTCCTGTACGGTGGGGCCTTGGTGGTGTCAAGCAGCGAAGGGTGAATCGGCTCTTCAAAGGCTTTCTGTTCTGTCAAATTTGCTATGCCCGCATTTGCTATGATACAATCGAGGCCACCGTGGGGTGAGAGGGACACAGCCTCTGCAAAGAAGGACACTTGGGACTGCCATAAGGTCACATCGAGGTGAAGGCAATGGTGGTTGTCCGACTTGGTTGTCCTCCGAATGTATGCAACGAGTTCTTGTCCAAGGGTCGTATTGACATCACCGATAATGACATTGCCGCCATTCTCGGCGACCTTCACCGCAATAGACGCTCCGATCCCAGAGGCTCCGCCAGTTATGACAAGCGTGCGATCTTTCAGCGACTTGAGCGGGATGGGGATGGAAGTATCGACTGGAAGTGAGGTGATAGGATTACAGTAAGGCTGTACGCCTGCCGGGTTCATTCCTACCGCCATCAAGCAGCTGACCACACAGTGATTAGTGATTACATTGGAGGGACTGTCTTTCGGTTGGCATCGGGCCGGAGCCGGAAAAAGCTGTCTCCGACATGGTAGCCGTGACCCAACTCGATTTCGACTGAAGATGTCTCATCACGCCCTCTTACGCTTCCCAAGATATAAACACCTACACCACCGACAACATGGCTGTCGCCGCCGGCTCTCGATCCACTCGCTGCCTCCACGGTCACCGCTGGTCCTCGCCTTTCCAGATATTCGTTCCCTCAACCGCCGCCTCGTTCACGCCTGCGCGACACCTCGCCACCGTAAACGACCCTGACCCAACAACAACCTCCAGGCCCCGCATCCGACCCACGACGTTCAGTGACAAGTTAAATGCCGGACCCTCCTTCTCCGAGTTCCTCGGATCTGACGACGCACCCTTGCCCCCAACCGAAGCATATGCGCTCAAGAAAGCCCTGGTCGGTCCAAAAGGCAAACAGAAAGAAATCACCCGACTTCCGTCATGGCTGAAGACACCAATTCCCGACTCGAGCAACTATAAAAAGATTAAACAGGACTTGCGCGGCTTAAATCTCCACACCGTCTGCGAGGAAGCGCGATGCCCCAACATCAGCGATTGTTGGGGTGGTAGTGATAAGGCGGCCGCCACCGCGACCATAATGCTGATGGGCGATACCTGCACACGCGGCTGCCGGTTCTGCAGCGTCAAGACTTCAAAAGCTCCCCCGCCACTCGATCCACATGAGCCCGAGAACACTGCGGAAGCTCTGGCCAAGTGGGGCTTGGGCTACGTGGTACTTACAGCTGTCGACCGCGACGATCTTGCAGATGGAGGCGCCCGACACTTCGCGGACACGGTACGGAGGATCAAGAGTAAGCGGCCGGAGACACTGGTGGAGTGTTTGACAGGCGACTACGCAGGCGACTTGGAGATGGTACGGCATATGGCTCAAAGTGGCCTGGATGTATATGCACACAACGTCGAGACAGTCGAGGCGCTCACACCACAAGTCAGAGACCGACGAGCGACGTTCCAACAGAGCTTGCGCGTCCTGAAGGCAGCGAAGGAAGCACAGGAAGGCCTGATCACCAAGACGAGCATAATGCTAGGCCTGGGCGAAACTGAAGAGCAGCTCTGGCATGCGCTGAAAGAGCTGAGGAAGAACGATGTTGACGTCGTAACCTTCGGCCAGTACATGCGACCAACGAAGAGGCACATGCCCGTGCATGAGTACGTTACCCCAGCAGTGTTTGAGATGTGGCGGCAGCGTGCCCTGGATATGGGATTTTTATACTGCGCTAGCGGACCGTTGGTGAGAAGCAGCTACAAGGCCGGTGAGGCCTTCATCGAGAATGTCTTAAAGGGCCGCAGGGCCAAGAGGGATCAAGTCATCGCTGCCGAAGCGCTGGGAGATCTGAAAGGTGAAAAGGTTGTATAACAATACAGGCTGGGCTAATATGAACGACCTCAACGTCAAATTTCCATAGTTCAAGCGCTTCCGTTTCGAGCATCCGTTCGCTTTATCGTACAACATTCAACAACACTTCGCGCCCATCACTGGAGTCGGATAGTCAATGCGCACCCGATCCCATGCTGGCGATCTCGGCGCCCCTCTTGACCCTGTCCTTCCAGGACATATTCCCTTTCGGGCGATTCTTGTTCTTCTCCCTCTCTGCGGCGATGATCTCCTCAGCCGTCATGCCATTCAAGATCACCCTTCTCGATCCCCCGCGTTGCTGATCCTGCTCCTGCTGCTGCAACACCGCCGGCGACGTCTGTGTCTGCCGCAGCACATTCCCACTTACACCTGATTCCCCCAACTCCTCCCGTGTCGTCGCGTCCTGGTACTCAGGCAGCTCGCCCTCCGCCCTGACCTCAGCATACACAGGCAACACCTCGCTCCCTCGCGTCCATAGATCCGCCTTGGTCTTGGGCGCCTCCAGACGCCACTTTGCCACATCCTCTGGTTTCAGCAGACAGTCCTCTGCGGGCGCGTGCGTGCCTCGGTAGTTGCCATCGGCGTCTTTCGCGTAGTGCTTGCGCCAGTCGTCGTAGGGCACCTGGCGGAATTGAAACGGCGGCATGTCCTCGTTGCGCTTCTTGCGATCGGTCGTCAAACCGACACGCTTGAGCAGGGATTTCTTGCCCTCCGGCTTGTTGGGGTCCTCGATGGGTTCGTTGTGCGTCCAGTTGACGCGCTCGTCCCAGTTGAAACAGTCGGCGGCGGCGATGCCGTTGGGAGGGGCGAAGCCTTGGGAGAGACGGGGAGGTAGTACGGCTACGGAGACGAGCTGCTGGCGCGGTGGGCCGGAGGCAGATTGTTGGCGAGACAGTTTCCGACCAACGGATTCGCGGCGATTGGATGACATATTGAGAGATAGGTTCAAAGAGCGGTGGTGTTATTCGTTGAAGATTGAGCAACTCTCCTGACGCTGTTGTTTAATATGGTGATTTGATGAACTACGGGTCGCCCGCGAATTTATACAAGCTCAACTAAGCCATAACAAGCACTGCGGCAGCGTCCTACCAGCGGTAGCGGCAAGAAAGGCGGGGTGAAAGGACGGAAATAAAACATTCCATGTCTAAGGGCGGGGCTATGCTGAGAGCTCATCACCAGACGGAGGGCGTCATGGCAAGGCCTTTGCCCAATCAACGCCTGTGCTTGGGGTTCGGGAAGCCGAATATAGAAAAGATCTAGAAGGACGGCTAGCCATACCACGAGTCAACTGGCCTGGCCAGATCATAGAGTTCGGGCCTTTCTAGGATCAGCTGGGGATATGATAGCCGACAAAGGAGAAGCGGGTGAACGAGTAGGGGGTATCTCGACGATGGCAACATCTGTGTGTTTTTGTAAATCTAAGCCACACATCAACGCCGTACTTCCGGTACTTGCAACGTCTCGGTTAGGACGGCTCATTTCCCTCGTGACAGCGTGTCGCTGGGCTCAGCAAGTGTCCAGCATATCTCCCAAAGCGCTACTTTCTGCACTCGTGACACTGAGACCGAACTTGGCTTTGACCGCAATCCAGCCCCTGGCGTAGGTGCAGTGGAAGCTAGTCAGAGGCGGCTTCCAGGTATTGGGCGGAGAATCGCTCTTTGCCCGGTTGACACTCGCTGTCACAGCCCACAATTGAGGTGAGTTCAGGTCGTTGGCGAATTCGCGACGGCGAGCTTCGGTCCAGGAGTTTGCGCCAGAGATCCAAGCATTTGCAAGTGGAACCATATGATCAATGTCGATATCGCTAGCAGAGGTTTGCGTGGCACCGTCGTAGGGGCTTCGCCATGTGCCACTCGTGGCTGCGCAAGACGAGTCTTGGACGACATTGCTGCCGTCCCTGGCCAGCACAGTTTCGCGGGTAGAGCAACCACCGCTGGAGATCCAGTGAGGGAACTCATCGCGCGAGTAGCCTGTCATGCTTCCGGAAGAGCGTACAGTGAGACCGCTGAGCGAGCTGCGAGCTGATGAGGCGGATGGTATGCCGGGCTAAAAGGTTAGGCAAAGTACATTTGTTGGATGAGTACCTACTGGAGCTGGCAGAGGCGCTGGGACCGGGAGTGCTAGTGCCACGTTGGCCAGGCCGGCGACGACCGTGAGGATGGTGGTGAGCTGCATGTTGATGCGCCCGATACTTCAGATGATGGCACAGATAAGATGCTGCGGCGTTGAAGTCGAGAACGCGTCGCTCAACCCTGGAAGTCGCCCTCTGGGATTGTCGTGCCTACCCGCAACGTGCGGCAAGCACCGGGCTCTGCAGTCAGCTTTATACCCTCCCTCCACGCGCACTGCACAGTCATTGAGCCTCCTTCTTCGAAATTGGTCTCTGCATCTACGGACCGCACGTGTCGCTCGTGATTCGTGCTTCATCTACAGTCGCCTATCTCGCATCACACAAGCATTCTTGTCTGCCGATCCCCCGTGGCGAGACTCGCCGTGCAGCGCTCTACCTTCCAGAGTGGGAAACACAACGCCGATGAAGGTCGTAGCAGATTGCGGTCGGGGTGCTGGGCGAGTCTTGAAACGAAGCGGGCAACCAATGAAGATACAGAATCAAGCCATGCGATTGCGCGACGTGTTGTGCAGGGATCCACATTGGTTAACCCTCAGGCGCCAAAAGACAAGTCACGAGAGACACAAAGCTCGGCATATGAGTATTGCTTTTCTGTGCAGACGATGGCGTCCGTCGGCAGCGCTATAGATGCGGCTTAGCGATGCAAGTCTTGTGAATGCATCAATGGAGGTGTGCTATGCACGATGCGGGCACCGAACGAATACCAGGCTGAGCAGAGCTGCTCGAATCTCAAGCGTCGGATTGCGCATGTGCACCCAACGCCTCGTATGAAATCGAATGCCCGCAATGCTCGTCGCGGATACCTTGTGCCCATACAGCATGTGTCGCTTCTGGCGCCTTGGATCAGTGCGTTCCAGTCTATACTTGTCCGCCAGCTCGACGAAAAGTCCCTTCGTGTCAAAGCGTTCACTGGCAGCTCCCACACTCCGGCCCTCTGACATCGTCGACACGGCCCAATCTTCTCGCCGGTCCACCCCCACCACCAGGACCTCGTCCGTCGTTGTTACCCCCACTACCCCAGCCACTCCCACCACCACCCGAACCACCATTGCCGGCTCTGTTCACCCCTCCCCATCTAGCCCTCTCCTGGTAGGCATTTGGTCTTCCGACAGTATTGAACTGGCTATTCTGTGCGGCGGCGTAGGCGTCAAGGGAGAAGAGTGAGACGATGTAGAGACCGAGGAAGTTGTAAACCGAATCAGTGAAGCGAGCGAAGCGGGCACTGAGGGGTGGTCTATAGTAGAGATGTTAGTTGGTAATCAGGGATGGAATGCTTCCAAGATGTAGGCCAGAGTCCGCACTGTAAAATTGGGCGGATTGCACTCAAACAGAGTCACAGAACGCTGGTATAGAGATGCGGGGTGGTCAGTCTGGTTGCACTTACGTCTCGAGCACGTTGCCTGAGGAGGCGATGTATGTCGGCTTGCCCTTGTTTGCGGAAGGCTGAGGCTTGCCAGCACCGGGAGTGGCGCTCGGAGAGCTCATGTCGCACAGTATATCTATCACACCTGTATGAGGAGTCTGGTATGTTTCCGCTCCGAGTATAGAGCAGGCGTGAGTGGTGTTCAGGAGTCTGTAACACGTCGGAGGCGTAGCGCGGGAGTCGCGGTCGCCCAAAAATCTCAGCCTTGCGAGGCTGACATACTTGACATGCCAAGCCTCCCTCGCCCGCTGAACAAATGCCATCTCCAGTTCTTGAGCCACGAAGCTACAGGGGCTCAGAAGCTCATCTGTTCGTGTCTTGATCTTAATGAATAAATAATCTAGTCCCGCCATTGCGAACTTCAAAGGTCCGTCGATCCGGTAGAGACAGCACCTTGCACCCATATATTCTAGATTGGCTACTACGTCTGGAGCCCATACGAGTACGGTGCCTCTGGTGGGTGCATGAAACGCCCATAAAATTCACTGGCTTAGCACTTGGCCCTGGTTATCTGTTGTCAATATTCGCCTCCCTATCGTGATGCCTATCCTGATGTCAAGAATGAAGCCACCTACCGAACCTCAAATGCCCAAGCCATGAGAGGCTTGGTAGTCCATCGTGTCGCCAATGATGCTTGTGCTCCTTGGAAACTCGAATGCTGCTATGCGAGGTGAGCTGCAAAGGGTATCCTCTTCTTCCTTCTACCCAAAACGAGATCAGCACGAAACTTTAATGGGCTCGGTGCAGGGTACATAGAGCCTCCTGAGATCCGCTTTATGCCAAGACTTTCACTGCCTGAGTGTGTCAGCACCTTCTTAGATCACCTGGTGCTATGACAGCCAGTATCCGCATGGCTCATACCATCTTTCTGTTCGCCGAATTGTACTGCATGGCCTTCGAGGAGATACACACCGCCAAGCTTTTTTCCGGTGGGTATCGCTCCAAGAGTCACATATCGGATGGTTGTAAGGAGGAAAGAAAACGCAAAGTTCGGCCGCAGGCATTCGAGGGAAGGGTCAACACGTTGTAGAGCATATCTCCATATAATCTCTAAGCATGGCAAGCTGTAGGGGCTTCGTACAAGCTTTCCAGGGCTATCGTCGAACTCCACATGATGCTATATCCAGGCACCTTTGCCCCGTACAGCATCCATCTCACAAGCTAAAGCCGATTACTTCGCGGCTGTCATCAATCAAGCGGCCGTACCTAGATTGCGTTAGCAACCCCTTCCGCTTGTCAGTGACGAAGGGTCAAACTTACTCAAGCAATAATCGGAAATACCACACCTCGATGTCGTCTTTCCTCAGCACTTTATTCGCCCATTCCTGGCCCTGCTTTGCGATTCTCTTTCCCTCTGTCTGACCTCCGCTTTCTTCCTCAAAGTATCTAACACTCTCCACGTACTCTCCGCCCGTCAATCCCAACGGCACATAATGCACCCAAGCACGTAACCACTCATCATGCCACTCGCGAAATAAAGCAAGCTTGTGTACTAGGCTATTACTCTGCAGCCAGGCGTAGTAGCGTCCGGAAAAAGCGTTGCCGTCGATATCAAGCAGATAGCGAGAGTCAAAAGCGTCGAACATGTTCACCGGCTCGACAGTGCCAAAGTACTCGCGCTGCGCATCACAGTCACCGGGGTCGCACTGCCCAATGTATGTAAACTTGACATCGAAGAACTTGCTCGCCTCCACCATATCAATTTCGCTTTCCACCCACACACCGGGATCGCTGCTGTTGTCGTATTTAAGCGCCGTTGATTTGCCTTGGGGCTGGATATGCATGAGAAATTGCTGGCGGTGCTGCCTTCTCCAGCCGCCGTCGCGTGAGAAGCCACCTGTGGTAGAGCCACGCCAATACATGTTGCCGTACTTCTCGTCCCAGGGTTTGTCCTTTTCGGGCTCGTACTTGACTCGGTCCATATAATACCACGGTGATGGGTAGAGGATGTCTTGGAAGGAAGACACTTTGGATTGGGAGAAGATCGGAATCAGGTCATGTGTGACGTCGAAGGCGTTTGGGCGGTCGAAGAACCCAAACGATCGCTCAAGCGATGGACTGTTGCATATATCACTGAAGGCGGTGGTGTTGCGGATGAAGCCTAGTGGTAGGTCAGAGTAGCTGGTGGTATTGTCCGGACAGTCGCTGTTCAAGCAGGCACGCGCGGCCGAATCGATGGGACAAGAGATACGTGAGTTGGTCCAGGTGGGCTGGTGGGCAAACCGATTGAAGTGAGAGGTTCTGAATTCCTTGATTCTCATGCCGTCACCCAGATCTTCGGGTCTCTTGGAGAAGTCACTGCGCAGTTTCGGGGCATTGTAGGCTTTGTTCATGGCGTCTTTTCCTGCGACCACATGTCGCGCAAGGGAATCAGCCTGCAAGACCACTCGCGGCTCGTCGTGAATATTGAATGCGAGATCCATGTCCGGCAAATATTTGATGAAGTTGTCCAGCATGAGCGGCGTGGCCTCCCTATGCCAGGCGTACATATCGCCTCCACCCTCCATCTTGACCACCGTGCCATCCCGGATCATGACTGCGATGAGCGCATTGTCAAACCCGACGGCTTCACGCGTCCGCTCCCGGATCGTAGCCGGCTCCAGAGCCCAGAAGGGGAGGAGTGCATCGTAGATGGTATCGTACTCGTCGATGAGTTCAACACCCCTCCTTTTTGCAAAGTTATACCATTTGTCAAAATTCGGCGGTGGAGGGACCTTGTAGCGCCTTCGATACTCTGCTACCGCGTCCGCAAGGGAGCGCGATTGTCTTGCACGGACAGTCTGGAATGTGCCCTCGGCTTCGGCGACGAGCTGGTGAACAGGGTGGGCGAGTGATCTCGCCGGCAGGAGAGGTGAATTTTCTTCGTGTGCGTGATGACCGTGCAGCGGGTTTGCAAGGCTAGGAAGATCGTAATCAGCGCTTCTGCTGCGTAGGAGGTACGTTGTCGTTGTCAGGACACAGATGACCAGGAGAAGGAACAGCAGGCGGCGCGATTTCAGCATACCGCCTACATGGCTTGACGGCTGCGAGGACGGGATCATCCACGGCCGCGAGATAGTGGAGAGACAGAGCCCGTGAAGGTGTCAGTGCACGAGCAGGACGGCGAGTACGAAGGTGTGATTGCAGGGCAATGGCCAGGTCGACCGCAGCTTTGGGGAGTCGGCTAATTTGCCGCTTCTGTCACGGGTACACGAGGATGCCGAGAATGCCCCTGACTGTTGAACACTGCAACAAAGTTCACATACATCGGGGAACGAGATATTTCTTATTGTCTAGGTAGAATGACGGCTAGGAGACTGTTCATGGCGACTAGTACGCCCTCACCGATGGACTCATCGGACTCACGATAGAACTATTCAAATCCAACTCCCGGCCACCCCCCAATATTTCAAATCCTGGGATAGTTGCTGAATCTAGTCCGTTGTGTTGTCTTCTGCTACTACCCCCAGTAAAGCTCGTGTTGGCCCTTTGCAACTTCAGTGGCTCAGGTGGCGATCTCGACTGGCCTCTTGACGATCTTGGCGGGCGGTCCATCACCAGGCTCGCTCGCTTTTCCCACATGTTCTTGACGCTGTGGACTCTCGGGCTCGGCTGTCGTGTGGACTGTGTTCGAACGGGAGCTGGAGGTAGTTCCGATGGGCTTGGTCCAATGTCTTGGTCGAATATCCTTGGAGTTGGCCGCAAAGGACGCACTGGGCGCGCAACAGTAGTAGGAGATAGCAGTGCTGAAGAGTGCGAGCTAGTCGACGAGTCTGGGGTGTAGCGTGCTGCAGACAATACCTCCAGCCCTTCCCCGTTAAGGACTCTTGGGCTGTCCACGGTGATCTCTTTCAACACAGGCCGGCGCGTAACCTCTGCAGGCTCTGTCTTCGCGCGGTCACACTCTGGTCGCTGTTGAGTGATGTTCATTTCCCATGTGCCCCTGCTGGGGCGCTCGGTGATCGACTCCTGCGAGAATGGTAACGACATCTTGGACGAAGCATATCGCAGTTCAGCCCGCCCAGGCAGAGCAAGATCGTCTTCATAGTCGGAGTCGTCCATTTCCAGTTCGGCATTGAGCTTTCTCAGACGCTCGGCAAAGTCGATTTCGTGACGAGCCATGCCATCAGTCGTGCTGGCGCTAGTGGGCGTCACTCCCGCGGTCTGTTGTTTCGAGAGCATTGGAGATTCAGCGAGGAAATCATATTGTTGTTGAGTTGGCGATGGTCGCTGGATGATGTAGACTGGCTCTTCTGCGACGTCGAGCTCTTCTGGGGACGGAGCATGAATGTGCTGAGTCGTGGCTACCACCGGAAATAGACCAGCTGCAACAGGCAACAATGGCTTCACAGATTGCTCGCGAAACACCTCGTGGGCGTGCTGTTTGGCCCATTCGAAATCCTCGTTGACCTTTCGCGAAGGCGGATCCATCCAAAGCCCAACGAAGCCAGCGGTATAGCCAGAAGACTTTTCGCGTGTCACCTGGGGGGTGGACTTCAGATCAATCTCCTTCGGATGTCCGCTGCGTGCGGCTTTGGTCGGCTCGAGTTCAGGCGCCGCCTCTACGGCTGCTCTGAAACATTCAAAGTCTAGGTTTCGCTTCTTACTGGGAGGGTACATCCAGGTGCCTACCTGCCCCAAGGTCTGGCCTCTATAAGAACTCGGTTGAGAAGCCCTCCCTGGCGTGACTGGTGCTCGAGCAGTGGTAGGAAGGGCAATTGAGTGAGTTCCTTTTGAAGATCTGCCTGGTTTTGTCCAATCCTTTAGATTCCACGGTCCATTGTGAAGTTCGGCAGACACTAGCATGCAATCGTTCGCCATCCTCTGCAACAGCGATAAGTTGGTACCGAGCAGGTAGTTCACTGTGTTAAGAACGAGATACGCAAAGTCCGTGTTGGCCTTTTTGGAACGAGGACACATCCACATACCAACGCTACCGAGCGTGCAGCCGTGGGAGACCACTTCATCTTTGAGGAGGGTCGATTGCCACAGCCCATAGCTCTTGACAACTATCGAATCGGGTTGAGAGGGTGGTACCCTTCTCACGCTAGCTTGACGGGCGGTCCGGGTAGTTTGAGCTCGAAGGATTTCGAAATCGGTATTCTGGATGCGAGAAGCTGGCCTCATCCACATTCCGACATATCCTGCTGTCCATCTCGTTGCTGGAACATGCTCGCTGAGTCCGCCGTGCCAAAGGTGTGTAGATCTCTTACTTGGTGTTCCGGTCTCAGTGGCGATCCTCTTGGCTTCAGTCGACTGCGCCGCCAGATTGGAGTACGTTGCCTGGATTGTCGTCGACATGGACAGTGGTGTTATCATGCCACCTCTTCGGACAAGCTCAAAATCTTCGTTCTGCTTCCTCGAGGGAGGGCTCATCCACATGCCAACATAGCCTCGAGTCCAGCTCGACGGCGACGGCACATTTTCATGGCTGGTCTTCCAGAGACCTGCAAGTGCTCGCTCGTTGAGCCCGGTCAGAGCTCGCGCACTCCGGCGCTCCAGGTCAGCGTGGCGACGACACTCTGCAAGGTATCCCAAGAAGTCTTCGTTGCTGATCTTAGCTTCCGGGCGCATCCACATCCCAACATGACCCAGGGTACGCGCTTGGCCGAGCTTTAGACTAGTACTGGTGGCATATTGATCGGCTGGATGGGTCCAGAGGCCCCTAATTCCTGCTGCATGTGAGGTGCGATTCGAAGCCTCATTTGAGGAATTGCTCACAGGTTTCCGGGTATTCACCCCAATCTTGATAGGCCCCTCTTGCCTTACAGCGCCACGTCGCTCCTTTTGCGATAGCGTCAGGAGTGGCAGCTGTCGGCCTGAGAAAGCTGCTTGGGGCCTGGCAGAGTGCCGTGACGCCGGCATGACCGGCAGTGTGGCTGACATCTCAATCACAGGTGGTGGTTTGATTTTACTCTGCAGTGGCACTGCTGGCGGATGTATCTCTGATTGTCGTTTCGAAGTGATCGCCTGCTTTTCGGAGGTCGAAAGGGTGAACAACGGCATTTCCCAGTGTGTCTGCACGACTCTGCCGGCTTTTGTGGGCATATTATGCTTGGCTGATTGCGAAAGCGTAATGATGGGCAACTCTTTTGCCGAGAACGCACGAAGAGATGTCTGTCGCGGAGATGTATGTCCGAGTACAGACGGCAATGATATCGCTGGCGGCATTGGTGGTATGTTCACGGATTGTAAGGGTATTCCGGGTAGCGGATTGCCGCGCTGGCCTTTGTTGTTTGATTGGCGTTCAGCGGTAGAGAGAGACACTAATGGCATCTCCCAGCGCCGCGTATGGATCCCCTTCTCAGCTATGGGAACCTGTTCTGGGAGCAATGGGGACGGCAATAGTGCTGGCAGTCTTGTACCCTTGGTAGGTGGCTCATCGTGGCCTCGCTCAATCGAAACGGATGAGACTATCTCTGTTCCGATAGCCGTTGCAGACTGTGTGCGGCCAGGCGGCGATGGCCGGGTCGACAAGATATGCGCAGCTTGATTAAGATCAACCGATACCGAACTCTTGCTCAGTCTGGCTTGCGAGGTAGCTCTTGACCCCGACCGCTCTCTGGATCGTAGAGTCAACTGCAATGGCAAAGCAGGAGATGAAGCTACCGAAGCCCGAGTCTCAGGCGTGCCAGCTTCGGGCGAGGAGAAAATGCTCTGTGGTGCAGTGCTGGAGATCGAGCTGGCATTGGTCCTCCGACGGATGAGACGAGGACGGGGAGTGTCATTGCCAGCCTGGCTATCCAATGTCCGCAGAACATTCCTCGCCGCTGATGAGGAGCGGGTATGATTTTCTGAGTTGGTTGCATTCCTGCCGTATGTTGCCATGATGTACGCGAAGCTGAGTTCGGCTGGTAGCTGACTGAGGCGCTTGATAGCTGTCTCACTGCTGCCCAAGAAAGATGTCAAAGCCCGCACAGATCTGCGGCGATGAAACATATCAAACGTGGTTGGTTCAGGCACGGAGGACATAGCTTTGGCTGTTGGTACGATAGCACGCGTAAGTTGGCTGCGGCTACGATTGCTGGTGTAGGCAGCCATCAGATTTTCCTCGTTCACAGTCTGCATAGCCTGGTCAATGAGATGGGCAAAATTGACCATATGATCGGCAGTGTAGGCTGGAGGCTCGTGTTTTGCGCTGAATACGGGTGGGTCTGTAACGTGGGCGATGAGTGATGTCGACATTTTTCCTGATGTCGTTGGCTTTTGAACCATATCGTACTTCATCCGCAAACGAGTCTTTTCAAGTTTCGAGCGTCCGACAGACTCGAGTGCAAGCCGCTCCCAAAATGCCTGATAGCGGTATGCAACATGATCCAGAACGGTGAGCAGCTTCCTTGTGACGGTCTCGTCGACAGCGGGCGACTTCTCAAGGACCTCGAAGCCGTTTCGGATGTCGTCTCGAACGCTCTCCAGAAGGTGGATCTCAAGTTCAGTCACAGCCTGGGCATACTCGACTGCAGTGGTCGTTTGGACGCTGGTCAACTTGTTTGATCTTGACAAAGTCTCAAGAATCTGCAACTCTTTGACTGCAGTAGCTGCCCAAGGAGAACTTCGCGCTCGGGCGATGACACCCATCACATCTGGAATTCGAACGTCTGGCCGCGTCTTGTTGATGTGGGCGAAAGCTGTACGGACATGCAGCTCCTGCAGTTGTACACCAAAAATCGACGACACTCCGGTGTGAAAAACCCGAGCTTGCGCGCGCAAGAAGTCGCGGAGCGCATCACGGCCCGCCGCAACCTTGAACCACTCTGTGCATTCTTTAAGGAGACTTGTCGTTTCGAATGCTAGAGCGGTCAAAGTCTCAACAACAATGCGGAGATGGTTTGTCCACAAATCCTGCAGGGCACGATCGTCGGGGACAGAAGTGGTTTGTCTTCTAGACAGTCGCCCAACCATGAATTCTGGCAGCACATTGCGCAGCTCAGGGGTACTCTTGATGAGAAGCGACAAAGACAAGGTAGCATCAAGCCCGGCATTGAGGCGGACGATAGCCGCGTCACATGGTCTCAACCGAGGAAGGGCGGTGAGATCGTAAATGTTGTCAGAGATTGCAAGCCAGAGCTCGGTGTTTGGTCGATGTGCCGTCTTGCCCGCAAGCTGTGCCAGAGAAATTTGGCGATCAAGTTTGAGAGGCCGGCTAGGCGAGCTGTACACGTCAAGGACCATGCGCCCTTCGCGGATAGCATGTGCAATAAGGTCGTCAACTGAAGTAGCCACCATCATGAAGTCAGAATTGTAAAGAGCCCTCCGAATGCCTGCAACAACTGACTGCCAGAGGTTCATCGACCCAGAAATGTAGAAATGGCCGCCCAGTCCACCATTCGCAGTGGATGCCAGCATATCGCAGACAAGCTGGCCTTGGTCAAGGATAGCGGATGACAAAAGTCGTTTCTTGTCGAGGAAATCGGTCTCAGTTGCGGATGACGTGAAAACTTTGATCGAGTTACTCCGTTGCAGACGCTTTAGTTCCTCCTCAAAGGCGAACTTCTGCAGAGTTTGCAGAGCAAGAAACAATACCGTTTGACCCATGCAGTGTGTTCGCGACCGCCAGAAGCTGCGGAAGATGCCCAAGCTGTTTGCTTCGGCAAACATAACTACGTTGTCCAGCGGCGTACTTCGGAGACGCAAAACAGACGCAGGAGCAACACCAATCATGAAAGGATAGTCGTCACCGTCCAAGTGGTCGTCGGCATGGGCAGGGTGGGGATTCAGTGCGCAGCTGCTCATTCCAGTCCCTGTGGGAGACTCTAGGCCACCGTCCAGGCTGGGGTGGACCTTATAGGTCACCCTTTGAACCGTGATCTTGACAGAAGAAGGAAGGGAAGTCCCCATGAGAGCTGGACTGGAGATTCCGTAGGCTCGAGGTACAGCAACTGGGATCATTTCAGGTAGCCAGGAGAGGTGCGACAGATCAAACACAGTATCCCAGATGATTGGCGACACTTCTTCGATAGCTAGTTGTAGCACATCTCCCAATGTACCCATTATCGGCCATATCTCCTCGTCCAGTAATCTCGTGATGAGGGGGCAAGTTCCATGAAAAGTCTTATCAAGGGCATACACTTGCGATCGTGTGAGCGGCGCGATTTGGCCGTATCGGAGAACATCCTGGACAGTAAGATGGGAGGCTTGGAGATTTGCTTTGGGATGCAGCTGACGAGCAAACTGATCCCAGCTCGTTCCCCCGTACATTGGTATCGCAGTGTCCAGGGAGTTGTCCAAACCAAGGGCTGCTGCGATCTTCTCGACCTCCGACCATGGGTTCAGAGGCATCACCAGTAGCCTGTCACCAGGTTCGAATGAAAGTCCATGCGGTTCTTGCACAAGTAAAGAAACGAGCGCATTCTCACGATCACTATCATCATCAATCCGTGACCTTGAAGTGACTCTAGCTCTCGTGGAGCAGTGCTCAAAATCCTGCCTGCTGGATTGATGAGCCATCGCATTGCGCTCGTCAATTTGCCACGGAAATGCAATAGAGTCATTTGAATCGCCATCGGTGAGCTCAACGGAATGTCCTGTCTTTGCAGCCAATTGAGCTGAGGCAGATGACTTCTGCTCGTAAAGTGACAGCAGACCGTTATCGCCGCAGTAGGACTGCACGAGGGCGTCCCATGCATACCGAAGCTGAGGATGACCAGATTGCTCGACGAAGCGATAAACCGGAAAATGGCACTCAATTGCAGCCAGAAACGCTCGGACATTGACGGGCAACCAGGGTCGCTGTTCCGCAATCTGGCTGTTTAAGGAGGCACTGTGAATCTTCTTTCCGGTGAAAGCGTGCATCAACTGGAAGATTGGTAGACCAAGTTCTGAATAGGGCGGCGAATTGACGGTTAGGGGCGCGCAAAGATCAGCCTGTGTTTTATTGCCTCGCAGCTCCTCGGCGCTGAGCATGCGCAAGATAGGTATCAGATCTTTGATAGCTTTGGTAAGATCCACAAGAACACGCATCAGACCATCGGCGTCGTCAGCCATTGTTCTTTCCTGGCTCTGGGTAACGAGTTCGACACCGTTGGTGAAGCTAATATGGAGCTTAGATGTCCAGGAAAGCGAATCCACTCCATCCCCTGCACTGAGGACTGACATTCTAGGGGCAGCACGTTCGTTGGTTAGGTTGTGGGGGCCATGAACGAGGCGGTAGTTGCAGAGGGAGAACTCGTACGCGGACACAAAGGGCTGTGCGCGTCCAAGCCGTTTCGAGACCTGCTGCAGAGGAACTGAGATTGTCTTTGGAACCTGTAAGTCACCTTCGCCGGCCAGGGTTGCGTCTTTCCCATCACTTCTTTCTTCATGTTGGTACGCGCCAGCTAGGATGTTCAAGCAGGTCACGGCAGCCCAGAGGGCGTGATCCGGTATGGTGTCCGACGTACCACCAACCACAGGAATAGCCAAGATAGATTGCCTCACTTTCCCTCTGAGCTTCAGGGCTGGCAATCGGGAGCACAGCTGGGCCCAAACATCGCCTAAAGATCTTCGCAAAGACATGTACGTATGTTCTGGATCTGGCGGGCAGAAGCCGTCGGCGGTTGTGAGATAGCCGTCCTTCCAGCCGGTCGCCGGGCCCCGCGCCTGCGCATGATTCAAGACTTGGCGGGCGGGAGCGCCCAAGGCCAAAGCAAGGACTTCGGCATCAGATGTCGGAACGTTCATATTTGCAACCAGCCGATGGTAGTGGTGAGGATTGTTTCGCGCTTTGGGTGGATGTATGGCGCAGTGTGCGGATGTGTCGAGCCGGCGCGGTTGGAGTGCTTCAAAACGGGCAGATAGTCAAGCCGCTCACTGCTGCATGCTGAGGTCAATTAATTGTATCGTGGGTCTAGCAAGGAACGCCAACAGGTTAAGCAAAAGCAAAAGAAAGGTCCAGCCTGTGACCAGCACACGTAGAAGAGAGCGTCAAGGAGAATAGCAAGAGAACCGCGCGAAGGACAGACAAGGTAGAACGGATCTTTCGTAGTAAAATCTCCTGCTGACTGGTTTAGCAAAAGAATCTGAGCCAGGGACTTTCGCTCCGCCATGAAAGCCAATGGGGTATGCTCATGGAGTGCTAGCGAGCACTCGTGTCAGCCTGAAGAGATAGGCGGGAGTGACAAGGGCATGTTTCTCGATCCGAGCCAATGGGACCTGGTCAAAAGTGCCGATATTGTGATGGTGAGGCTGCGGGCAAGCAGTGGAAGGTAGCCAAGACTTCGGTGCTGCAAACGAAGGGATGAAGTAGGAGGCTGAAACAGTGCAACAGATTCGAACATGAGGGGTTGAAACTTGTCGAGAAGGGAATACCTGCCTCAGCTCTGCTGGTCGGATTGGCACGTTTCGAGGGGCGGAGCCCGTAAGACTTGATTTGCGTTGACAGCGACGACGACGCAAATCGCTGGAAAGCACTGCTCGGGACAAAGCATGACAACGCCTCAGTGCCGGTATCTTCCGGTATAACACTGCTATACAAGCCAATCATCGTAGGTGCCAGATACTAAGGTGTACGTGACAGGAAGATGAGGTCAAAAGAAGCGGGTGCGGCTCGCGGCTTGAGGTTGAAACACGGCCAGGTTTGAGCACCAGCGCTATTCCCAAAGCAGCTAAACTCCATTCAAGCCCCGTCGGCCCAGCAGCCTTGCATCTTACGCTATCAGGTATACCTCACTTCGCATACTCTCAGTCTTGCCAGTATGAGGGAACCAGCCCTGTCTCTGGTCGTAAATACGCGAAGGAGCACCCGGGGCACAGTCTGATTGAAAGACGCTGCTGTCCGACGACAGAATGGCACAGGATAGAGAGCCATCCCGACCTATCATTCACAGACAATTATATTCCCGTGGGTCAACAACGCAATGCTTTCGAGGATTCACGTTTCCTCAGACCTCGGGACAACAAGATGTAAAGAACTTTCATTGGATGTGATGCCGTTCTCCAGTTGCCATGCTTCAGGTAGCCACAATACTATAAAGTGATCCGACCACCACTATTCGATTGGCCGCCGGAAAAACCAAAGAAATTCGAGCTTGAAGACGAAGAAGTACCTGATTGACCTTCAGCATCGCCGCCCATCCATTTAGGCCTGCTGAAACCCTGGCCTTGCTGCATCCATGTGGGTGTCTCTATAGAATCAACGGTGTTCTTTACCCGACGACTAAAGAGCGTGAAAAAGTTCTCCTCCTCCGGCTCCGGCTCCAATGGGGCGGGGGGCCTACGTGCTTGACGCCCGCTGAGCGACGCCGCGCCTTGCGAGCGTTCCGCAGGAGGCACCCACCTGGTTGGAGTTGCTCGTTGTGGCTCATCTCGGAGAGTAAAGTTGGTACCCTGGAGATCGCGAGCGATCAGATCCCGACCATCCCGCCATGTCACTCCAAATGCCGACTCTTCCTCTTCCTCATCCATGATGCCAAAACCAAAGAGACGCTTGATCCGGCCGTAGAGGTTGAAAAGCGTAGCACACACAGGTATGAGGATGAATATGGGGAACAGATAATCAAACCACGTACCCAGGTGCGTGATATTGATCAGTCGGCCAAGAAAGTCGTAGAAAACAGTCTTTTTGTGCACCGCTTTTGGTGTGAAGGTCAAGAAATTGTAGGTCAGAGGTACCGTGAGCTTGGCGATTTGACCAGCATACCAGCATGCAGATTCGGGATGGGTGTTTCGACGCACCAACGCTCGGCCATTCCAGACTGGTACGTCGCTGATGCTGGTGAGAGCACACATACACATGTAGGCAATCCAAGCCGCTGCCATGACCTGACCACCGAAGCCAACCTGATAGTCTTCGTTGTTCGGATGATGCACGACTGTGAGGCTGACGGGCGACAACTGCGACGCCGGGAATCGGATTATCTCGGAAGAGATAACGGCAATAGACGCAAGTGCCATTACAGCCCCAGTAGCCAAGCAGAAATACGGCAACACTTGAACGTATAGGACGTAGCGCACGTAAGGGGTCAACATCGAAGTCCCTCGCCCAAACACCAGCTTTTTGGATGCCTGTGAGTCGAGTATCGCCTGCAAGTCCGTGGCTCTTTGAACAATGCGGTCCCACTCTTCGACATATCGCGCTTTGCGATGGAGCGCACGTTCGAGACGCCGGGTAAGATCAGCTAGATATCGCTCGGTAATAACGGCGGGTATCTTGGCCGAGGCCTCCCTTGTCGCCGGGCTCGATATATGCTCTTCTCGTCCGGAGGTCATATCAACGAGCTCGTCAATCCATTCCTGGAAATCTCGTGCAGTCCCAGTTTTGCGTTGCCTCAACTGCAGAACCTGGGCCTCTAGGTCCCCGAGGTCGGTAGCAGCATCCTCGAGCCTCTCGTGCACACGCGCAGCCTGGATTTGTACTCTCTTCAGAGACCCACTGGTGCTTGCTCTTCTGAACAGATTTCGAGGCACAGCCACCATTCCATGACCAGCCAGATAGATAGCCAACATCAAGCCCCAGACATAGGCCAGCGCCATTAGCAGAGCCTTGATGGCAGTAAAGTTGAAGTTGTAGTCGAAACCGATGTAGATGAGGCCGATGACCGCACAAGATAGCATTATAAGCTGATAACGGCCATTGGAGCGCAATGAATACAACCATCGCTGTTTTGGGTCGCGGTATCCGGCGTCCATGTATTCCGCCAGTAGTGGCAAGATAAACCACGTCAACATAAATGTCAACCAGTAGACGAGCCTCCACGCCACAAGCAACGGCCTTTGTGCCAGCCAAATTCCCTTAGAAACTTCATCTTCCGGGCCGGAGCTGGAGGCAAGGTCAATGGGAACCAGAAGGACCGCAGAGGCCGGTAATGCTAGCGCAAGGAATATCGGAACGGCGAGAAAGGCCGGCGTCGTGCGGAGAGGTAGGTAGCGTCGGAGCAGTAAGAGGACGGCGATGCATATTGTACAAAGGGCGACGACGGTGACGGTCACCGAAACGACCGCGTTCGCCATATTCACACCTGGGAATGATGGCTAAAAAGCAAGAACATGACTTTGAACGACCGCATCAGCCACGCAGATGTGAGGCTCGTGATTCCGGTGTCTACCGATGGATAGCAAATGACAAAACCAGGCAGCACTCACACTCTGCAGACGGCTGGTACCCTCGAATGAAGGGGAGACGAGAGGGGGCCACCCGCGCTAAGAGGCGCATGTGACTGACGTTGGAAGCTGCCAGGATAGGCGGTAGGGTTAGGGCATCGACCGCCTAGAGCGCTTGCCTGCCCATCCACCTGACGACCTCATTGGACAGGCGCTTGCAGGCGGGCATTGCTTAGGCTCGACGTGGCTTGGTGTTACAGGCGGCGCAGGCGCCCCGACGAGACCATGGTCGATCATAACACCTCCTCGACCTTCGACATCCTCCCAGAGCTTTAACCATCTTGCTAGCATAGACAAGCACGAGCACTCCTCTCGATCCAACATCTGTTAGCTGGACCGTGCGCCGGACTCTGCTCTACTCCCACTCCAAATCCGGCCCACTTCTCTCGGATCTGAACCATCGGACGACGCCCTGCATCTGTCGCTGTGTGCCGCCTGGTTGGGCGTTTGACGCTCCGCCAGCCGTCACTCTTCTGCTGACTGTGACTTCACCTTCGCAGGCCACCTCGTGCAAGCGCCCGCCTTTGTCCTACCCCATCCTGCGCCCATCTTCGTCCACTCTCGGCACTGCCCCGTCGTCCCACCTCACGAACCTCACATCTCCTCTACACCGGGCCTCCCACTTCCTCGCCCATGACAATACGCCGACCGCCACACTGCCAGCAGGACTTGGTCCTGTAGTCCGCCAACCATGAATCCACAGTTTCCCAACATGAATGCCATGGGAAGGGGTATGCCAAACAATATGCAGATGAATCAGATGAATCCTGCCTTCATGAACCCGCAGATGGCCAATGCTATGCGTGGCCAGCAGGGTATGGGTGTGCAGGGAGGCATGCAAGCCCAGATGGGAATGGGAAACGCACAGATTCACCGCCAGATCTTCCAGAATCTGCAGAGCCAGGGCCCTTTCTCCGGCTGGCAAGCTACAGTTCCAATGCCTGAACGTGCGAATCAGATCCGCCAACTCGTCGACTCTCTGCGTCTCGTCCGACCTCCTGTTGAGCCTCCTCGCGCCGCCGATGTTGCCATTCAATTTGAAAGGAAAGCGTTCGCTCAAAGTGCCACCAAAGAAGACTATATCCGCGAGTGCCACGAAAAGCTGACGAGGATTCGCGATCAGAGAGTCCAACAGATGAATGTCAACAATAGCGTTGGTACGAATAATGGCAGTATGGCTGGTATGCAAGGCGGCATGCCTATGCAAAACCAGGCTATGATGCAGCAGATGGGACAGAATATGACTGTCAACCAAGGCATGGGAATGGGCACGCCTCAGCAGCAGATGCAGCAGAACATGTTCAATCAGCAGCGACCACAGAACATGCAGCAAAACAATGTGATGGCAAACCAAGGCAATAATGCGCAAAGCAATACTGCACAAAGCAATACGGGACACAAGGCGCCTGAGGGTTTGTCACAGGAAGACAACCAGACTATCAATCAACGTGCTGCGGAGCTGGCCAAGAGCACTCCAAAAGACAAAATGCGTTCGATCATTGAATCAATGGACGCTCGACTGAGAGCAGGTCTCGAGGCAAAAGGCGTTGACCCAATCATCTACTACTTTCGCATGATGGCGACCCGCGAGTTCCGACGACAAAAGGACGCACAGATGATGTCGCAGTCAGGGCAGCAGAATCAGAACATGCAGGGTCAGACTTCGTTCAGCGACATGGGCCGGTTTCAGAGTCAACAGAACGAAGCACTTCGCTCGCAGCAAGAGGGCGACATGGTGGTGCCAGCAAGCAACAACCAAGGGACCATTCCTGACCATATTCGATTGCAGCAACAAATGATGGCCAACACTCAGCGAATGAATCAGCAAGGACCTAATCAAGCCATGCTTGAGCGGCAACGTCAGATGCAGATCCAAGCCAACAAGATGCAGCAAGCGAGTCAGATCAGGCAACAACAGCAGGGTGTCAATCAGGGTCTGGCTCCTAATCAGACCCCGCAACAAGCTAACGCTGGCTTTAACATGCTCAATCGCCCCGTTGGCAACAATGTTCAAGATCCCAGTCCACAGAATTCGCGGCCTCCTTCGCGAGTCCCTCAGCAGCCCGGCATGCAACCAGGTGGTCCACAGATGAGTCTGCAAGATCAGCAGAAACGTGAGCAAGCGCTCGCTCAATTTCCTCCACAACTACAAAACATCTTGCGACAGAAACCTCACACTGAATGGGGCAACATCATACGATCCTTCCAGCAGAATATGAAACGAAGCGTCTCTCAACAAGCCGCTATGAACCAACAGCAGCCTAACCAGGGAATGGGCACCCAGTCGATGTCAGGTCCACCTTCGATGCAGCAGTCTCTTTCCACTGGGGGCATGGCACAAAGCGATATGGGTTCAAATATGCAAGGCGTACCTCAAAACCAAGCTCAGATGAATCAAGAAATGATGCGACAACGTGCTATGCAACAGCAACAGCAGCAGCGCATGCAGGGCGACCAAGGAAAGCAACAGCCACAAGTACAACCACTCGGTCCAAATGAGATGCAAATCATGGATCGAGCCCCTGTGCCTAATGCCATCCTTCAACCCATCCGCACCAGTTCACGAGCCCCACTACCCAATGTGCAAGGGCCATTTACCTGGATAATGCTGAAGCAATGGGCGCAAGCGAACCCTATTCCTGGTATACCTATGCCTCAGCTCATGAAATGGCAAGCAACGCAGTACCACACGCATAGAAACAAGCAACAGCAAGCCCAGATGCAGCAGGGCCAGCCGCAGATGATGCAGCGTCCAATGAACCAGCAGCAACCCCAACAATCACAAAATCAGCCCCAGCCTCAGCAACAGCAGCAGCAGCAGCAGATGGGCGCACCTGGTCAACAGATCGGCGGTATAACAATCCCAACTCCAGCTGACATCCAGCGCGTGAGGGCACAAAATCCGAGGTTGCAGGGCATGTCTGATGAAGATGTTCGTCGTGCACTTATAAATAAACAACGGCAGAATCAGCAGGCCCAAATTAATATGGCCAGGCAGGGCATGCATCAAGGGCAAGGCGTTCAAGGTCAGCCGCAACCAATGCATCAATCTCAGATGACGCAGATGCAGCAAACTCAGCAACAATCAAAGCCACCTCAACAGCAGCAGCAGTCACAACCACCGCAACCTCAACCACCGCGACCCCAAAGCCAGCAGGCGCAGGCGAGACCCAATCAGCAACAACCTGTGAAGACTCCGAATCAATCAATCGAAGGTCCGAAAGCTCCGTCAGCTCAACAACAGCCGCAGCAGCCGCAGGCTGGCCCGCCAGGACAAGTCACCCGAGAACAATATGAAGCCATGTCGCCGCAACAGAAACAGAACTGGATCAGGATGCAGCAAAGACAGGCTATCGCAAAGAAGATTGTGGTGCTCACCGGGCAAGTTCAACAAGGCTTGGCCAACCTGCCTCCTCCGAACTTGGACGATGCGGGCCGACAGCGATTGAGCTTAAAACTCAGCGCTGACAACGTGAAGCAAATGCTGGGACGAATTGATTCGTTCTTGGTGGCCTATTACGACATGACAAAGGACGAAGCTGAGTTGCGAAAGCTAGTCGAATTTCGGACACTACTGTTCCGCCAGTACCAGCAAAAGTCCGTACAGGAGAAGACCTTTATTCCCAGTGGCAATTTCACCATAAACAATGAGAAGGCAGAAGAGATGATTGCCGAGCTCTCTGCCAAGTTCCAGCAGACTGCTGCGTCTATACCTCGCCAAGGTGTGCAAGGTCATCAATTGACCCCTGAAAACCTCAAACAGCTTGAGGCGCAAGAGCAAGAGCGGAAGAAGTCTGTTGGCAACAAAAGCAGAGACGTACCCCCTGCCCCAACCTCATCACAGCCCCCTTTCAGTTTTGGTGGGGAGCGAGGGCACGGTGCACCCACTTATGCGCAGCCCGGTATCAAGCAAGAGGATCTCAAGTTGCCTGCTGATCCCAAGCGACGCAAGAAGAATCCTCCAGCAACGCCTTCCACAACTACGAAGACACCGACTGGCCCGACTCCCACACCTCCACAGGCCAAAGCTGCGCCCCCGGCACCTGCCGCGAAATTCAAGTGTGTCTTCAATTGCGAACGGCAAGTCAAAGGCTTCCAAACCCAAGCTGAGCTCGAGCATCATATTGCCACTGCACACGGCATGGAGCAAGTTAGCGACCCCCTCGCATTTCTCGACGCGTCTCTCCGCGAAGCTTTCAACCTCGATGAGAATATGTGCCAGATTATGAAATTGCAGCCTCAGTCGCAACCTATGGTCAAGACCGCGTCAAATCTCAAGACAGAGAGCCGCGTTGGTACCCCTTCGGCTATGGCTCGCATCCCCAGTCAGTCCGGCCCGATGACCTCTGCCGCCATCAAGTCTGCGCAAGCTCAGCAAGATGAAGAAGACATGTGGCAGTACTCCAATATCAAGCCTGCTCAACTTGATGACATCTTTGGTGATATGGAGTGGGAAAGTGTCGTGCCAGCGACTACACTCGAACTACAAGATCAGATACTTGCCAAATTCCGCGAAACTGATGCATGGAAGGCGCAGCTCAAGCAGCCGGCAGAAACCCCTGAGACTAACCGCAGCAAGAGTGCCAGCCCGCCGACGGCCAAGGACGCGGAACCTAAGACAGAGGAGAAGCCTGAAGACGATTTTACGGTCGACATGTCTGGTATTGACGGCCTTGACCTCACAGGTCTCGAGGAATATGAGACATTGGGCATCTCCGACAGCTCGAGTCCGTTTGAAATGGTTGAGAAGCCTGGCGATGCCGACACCAAGATGGCTGATGGTGAGCCGCCGGAGTATGACTTTCTGCGCAAACATGGAATCGAGCCGACGCTGCCGTACGAGCAACTCGATGAGAACCAGAGGCAACTATACGACTTCATCATGGAGCCCATGCCGGACGATACAGTGCAATGGATCGACGACGGCGATTGGGCCGACCTAACAGCGAGACCGCGCGTGACGTATCACAGCATATACCCCTAAACGGGCGGGTGTGCAGGGAATGACCGGGCGGTGGCCATTCGTCGTGCGCCGGTTTTACTTTCTCGGTGGCTCTCAGGTATGCCACCCGGGGACGGAGAATCGACATCGGGACATTGGTGGTAATTTCTCCTTTTGAGCACGGTGTCTGTTGATCGGGACTTAAAATGGGTGGGATGTTTGGACTTGATTACCAACGCATGAAGTCGGGACGTATCAGATAGTGCTTTACACTTCAAGCCTTGCTTGCCGTTACGGTGTCCGCCATGCAGAGACATTTATCAACAAGTCGCAACGATAGCTATGAAACGAAGATATGTTCAAGATACCGTCAAGTCAGCCCTTCCACTATGTGAAGTAACGTGTCCATGGCAGAAACAAGGCATTTTGCGTAGAAGACCCGCGCCAGGATGAGATGTTGATGCTGAGCCAGGCACCGGAAAGGCTCGACATATAAGAACTGCTTGCTCATCCAAATTAGTGCGTATAAACATGACCCAAGCCAAGGGCACCACTCCTCTGCTAATCGTAAGGCAGCCTTACCGCATACGCTACCAAACCACAAGATCATTTGAGTAGCGTGAGAAAATGGGTTCGTAGATCCCTGGACGCTGGAGGTACTGGAGAAGGGAACGCTTGGCAATCTGCAAAACGAACGACCGACCCGAGAACACGAGCCAAGAACTAGTAGGAAAGCGTTGCAGTCCTCCAAGTACTGTTAAACACCACGGCGTCATTGTGAGTACTACTACTACCACTACCGCTGCTGCTGAGGGCTAGCAAGAGAATCGAAAAAAGGGATGCCACCGCCCGCCCGCCCAAATAGGTCCTGCTCCTTCGCTGCAATCATTTTCTCTGGAAATGCAAGTCGTAAAGCTGTGGGAGGCTTAGCAGTGCCCGACAAGAGTCTCTGCTTTGGCGCACTCCCTTGCACCAGGACTCTAGAAGCCCGGAGGCCATAGTAGACTCCTGCTCTTCCGGCTCTTCGCCCGCCCCCACGCGCAGACACACCCGCCTACTCCCTTACCAGCCACCTTGGCCACCACCCATGATACCCCAGCACTGCTCGGCGGCATTGGCGCCCGAGTGCTTGTACACAGCGTTATAGCTCTGGAACAAGAAGAGGTCCTCCGGAGTGCTCTGGAAAGCGGCCTTCAAGCTGCTGACGGCAGCCTGCTGCTGGGACGTTCCGGTCTGAGCGGCGCCATTGCCCGCGCCGCAGCTGGGCCAGCCGCTCTCGGTGATGACGGTGCGCTTGCCGCCGGCGGCCTGGCTAACCTGGCCTTGCATGCGGTGGACGAATTCGCCGGCGCCGGAAGCGTCGACGTTGCCGTCAAAGAAGGCGTGCGCGTTGGCGGCGCAGTAGTCGCTGACCTCGCAGAGCACGGGGTTGGCGATCATGGCGACGAAGGTGTCAACGGTGACGACGTTGCCGGAGTAGCCTGCGGCGGCGAGCTGGCTGCGGCCTGCTGCCACGGCCGAGGCAACGGCCGAGGCGCTGCCGGCGCCGGAGTTGACGACTTCGTTGCCGATGTTGACGGTGTGCACGACATCCCAGTGGGCGGAGAGGTAGTTGATGAGCTTGGAGAGGTCCGATTGCACGTTGGAGATGCCGTTGATACCGGCAAAGAGGGAGAGGCCGGGGTTCTGGGAGATGGCCGCGGCGAGCGCGCCGACGTCGCAGCCCACGTCGTAGGTGCGGATCTGCTTGTAGCCTTGAGCGGCCATCGAGGCAACGTCGCTGGCGATCTGGGTGCTGGAGCGGCAAGAGCCGTCATCGGCCATCAGGTCGTACGCGATGCCATAGCTGGAGGTTGGCGCAGGGGCATCGTACTGCGGCACAGGAAGGGCGGAGGTGAGGAGAGCGGAGGACAGAACGCTGAGGATCGTGGTGGACTTCATGATGCTTGGGTTGTGGGGAAAAGACGTTGGTGGCTTAGTTGAGAATATTTGTTTGCGGTGCTGCGTGTCAACGAGAGACTGTGATATTATAAGCATGCGCACGCTCCATGTTCTAAATCATCACGGGGTTCAACGGGGTATATGTCGAATCTTTGCAACAGCTCTTGCGGCTTTCCTCCTTGTGAGGCATCCTCTTCCTCGAGAGCGTAGGCCGGGAAAATTGCATACCTGAAAGAATGTAAAGCTCGACAGAGCGCGTAATGAGCGTGCTGTGTACGGAAAGAGTGTGGTGGTTCAACTAAGGAACCTTTCAAAGACTCGAGGCAGACCTGCTTGCAAAAAGAGTGATGGTTAACCGACCAAGATATTCCCCGGCCAGGCGCATGGGCGCCAGGGGCGTTTTGTACCAAAAGCCATCCCGAGACCACAACACGATAGCTCAGGTTATCGACTCATTAGCTGGCTGCAACACTAATTTGGCAGACTGATGGGTGGAGGAGATGGCGCGCCAGGCTTAGGCCGAGAGCGGGCTCGGGGGCTGCAAATCATTGGCAGGATCGCCGGCAATTCGAAAGCTCGTTGGTACGTTTCAAGTTGAAGTGGGTTTGGTTGCCTTCATGGCCCACGGCGGAAGCTGCAGCCACGTTGAACTGGTGTCTTGGTCTTCAAGTTGAGGGTGGACATCCTTCAGTCTGGCCAGAGAACCGGTAACTTGGACGAGCGTTGACTTTTCTTTCCCTTGTATGTGCTCCACGGCTGTTTCTTCCCATGCAGTGTTTCGAGGAGCCCATGCTTGACTCGAGGATACTGGCACCGCTGCAACACACCCTCTGCGATGCGCCGCGCAAATCAGGTTGAGGCTTTCAATCATTAATCTTAACAAGACGCCCTAAAGATAGACTTTAAGACAAAAAGAGCGGCGGATATCATGTCCGACCGCGTGGAAAAGCGGCCAAGGAGTTTAAAGTGATCATCAAATTTCCACATTCTTGCCTCAGGGGCTGCGGTGACTCTGGGCCTGCTCCAGCGAGATGCATCCTTTGTCCAGGTTGCGGCTGCGTTCGGAAAAGCGACTTTGATGCAAGAAATGTGCCGGCAAACTCGTGCAAGTTACTCATAGTAGAAAGGGTGTCGCAGCCCAATCCTTTCGGTTTGCAGTGTACAAGTAGCATTGTCAGAGCGCACAGAGCATAACGGCTCGGAGGATTTCGGTGGATCTAGAGGCGATGATCACCTCTGACGCTTGCCACTATCTCATTAGCTGGCGCTGAATCGAATTTTACACCCAAGAGAGATAATTCTTTCGCGAGATTCGTCTGTGGACCTCGGGCCTCCGACCGCATTGTGGGGGGGCAGATCCTTGTGCGAGAAATTCATCGGTGATCTGAAGGATGCGATCAAGCCAAATAGCCTGGTACAAGTCATGCGATATGGCATCTGTACGCAACATGGCAGCAGACGCAAAGTTGAGAAGATATGGACAAGAGGGCGAGTTGCGGAGATGTTGACCTGGGAGAGACGAGTCGAGATGAGCTGGTGCGCAATGTCGCCTCGCCTTGGCACCCAACGTCCCTCGCGAGCCCTGCTTGACGGGGAAGACTGCTCATGGAATGCAGCCACAATGAGGTATGCGAATACCATTCTATGCTACGCTATGAGATGCTCTCGCACTCACTGCTGTGTCCACACTGTAAAGTCCCGCCATGCAGGTGCCGGAACTTCGCGCATAAGCCTGAACTCCCCAAATTGCGACGCCCATTAGAGGCTTGAGTGGTAGTCCAGGTCTTTCAGGCCCTGATCAATCCCAGCGAGCATTCGCTAAGCAGTCACCTCACTACCCCTCGCTCTTCCATCACCCTGTTAACAATGTTAGCATTTGTCTCTAAGTCTCGTGGTCAGATCAACGCCTGCACTAACCTCAACCTCGATGCCCATCTCTCTCAACTTGGCTACCATCTTGGCTCCGATGCTTACTGCACCAAACCCAGCTGGCAGCGAGTCCCCAGCCTTCAAATATGCAAACTTGATATTCCTGGCCTTGTCTTTGAGCTGCACCTGTCCACGGTGCTGCAAATACTTGACCGGCTCCTCGTTATCCGCCTTGAGGATCTTGCTGTACGCCGGCCCATATACACCGATAAAGTCAATCAGTGCCGTCTCTTCCTGCATTGTCCATGCTTTGCGCTCTTGGTACGTCGCAGCAGGTTGCGATGCTGGGGAAGCGGGACCTTGAGTGCTCTCTCCAGGTAGACCTTCAGTGATCAAAGGCAGCGCTTGCCGGTGTTTAAGTTCGCGCGTTGCCACCTTGGCTCTCTCTTGGACTAGGCGATAGCTCTGAGAGGCGCTCACATCAACATCGCTGGCTTGCGATTGAGGTCGCACGGCATCGGTCGAAGTGCTCGGTCCAGCCGACGAGACAGGAGATCGCTGTGTTGCTGTTACGCCCGAGGATGCAGGCAGGGCCGCCACCACCCCAGTCTTGTTGCCGCCGCGACCCGATAGAGGCCGAGGTTGTGCAGAAGGGGGAAGGTTGGGCTGGGAAGTGCCGACCTCTTCCATTTCTATTGTAGAAGTTGGGTTGTGCCGAAGACGAGGGTCAAGAGTGTTGTCTTCCATGTGTGAACGCTTGGCTTGTGGACGAGCGTCCGTCACGAAATCGTCTTCGTCATCATCTGAATCCGCGGCAGCACGCTTGCCGTTGTGGTCTCGAGGTTGCGTCGCCTCTTCCCATGGTATACGTTGTGCACCTTCTTGCCGGTCGGTAAAGCGCGGCGCGGGGTTGGCCGCAGGCAGGTTGGCAGCAATAGGACCACGATTCTCCTTATTCGCCTCTTCAGCTTGCACAGCGAGTTGAGCCATGATTTGTTGCGACTGAGTCGCCGCCCTCTCGGCCTCGAACTGGCTGGTGAGCATGTTTGCAAGTTGCAAATCTTGATCATTGATGACCATATCTGGACCGAAGTTGGCCATATTGTCATCTGCGACAGACTCGGCGATTTCGCCTTGCGCAGATTGCGATTGAGAATCGACGTCGGTCATGGGCAGGCCAGAAAGCTGGGCGTTATGGGCTTTCATCCACTGAAGACTCTTGACCAGTTGACCGGTCGCAGCCGTCGTACCGTGCGTCTCGCGGGTTCTAGCTGGCGAGGAGACGATGTGGGAACTTTCTGGGTACTCTAAAGTGAGTTCGCCGCGTTGTAGATGATCCACGATATCAGCAACGCCGTCTTGGGCGCCCAGGGACGCCTCCAGCTCTTGCCTCCGGGCCATGACCCACTGTTGCGTCTGAAACATGAACTCAGGCCAAGTGTATTGCGCTTCTAGCTCTTCAAGGCGAATTGGCGTGGTGCTATCTTGAGTAATAAAAGTACGGAGCTGTCGAATATGGCTATTGACTTGCTCGGCACATTGTGTAAATCGGTCGCCAGTGAAGTCGAGGCCACCTAAGCCAGAGTCACTGCTGTAAAAGACTTGTCTGAGGATATCGTCCGGGTCGAAGTTGGGCTGATCCATGTTTTCTCGGGCATGCTTGATGAACACTTGTGTCCGGAGCTTGTTGCCATAGTCGACAGTTTCTTCGATGAGCTTAGTGGCAAAGCGGCTGGAGGGATCTATCGACGTGAAAAGCGACGGGAACACCGGATAGGATCGCCGCAGAGCCACGTCGATCTGTTCATCACCGCCGCCAACGATGGTCGCCAAGAAAAAAGCCAGATTGGCGAGGTACAACACTGCGTCTGGCCTCCATCTTCCGTTGTCGACTGCGTCATTGTCGGCCTTCAGTCTCAGGACAATCATCTCGGAATTAAGAAACAATCGATTCGTTGTGCCGAAGGCGCTAGCGCTGACTCCATATCTATTGACGTGCAGTTCGAAACGCTTGCATGCGGTCGTTGAAGGATCATGAATGCTCTCAGATAGTTGTGCAAGCGTAGGCCCGTCAACTCCGCGGAATAAATTCAGTATCTTCGTTGAGTCGTCGCACAACGAAGGCAAACAGTCGATGATCAGCTCGGCATCCAAACTCTGGAGTTCGCTGTTTGTTGTGGCAGAAATGTCACTGTCAGACTGGCCAACGGAGGGTTCACGGTTTCCATTCTCATCGGAAACCTCCTCTTCTATCACTGCATCGAGTTCCTGGGCTGGCGGTGCACTAGATGGTACTTCTCGGTCACGACTTGCCGATCTAGTGGATCGACGCGTCGGCCGTGGTGAGTTGGCCGCAGGCTGCGATTTCTGCGGAGACTGAGGCGCGTCTCGACGCTGCCTGGAGAGACCACCTCTCGATGATGGCATCCTCGCCGTCGCGACGTGTTCGCGTCAACAAATAGATGGGTCTCGTCAGGGTTAGGGCGATCTGGATGGCAAGAGGAAGGGTTAGGGCAGTCGAAGTCGCGGCGTCGAAAACATCGGCAGCGTCGGAGGAACTGTGAGATCTTGGCAGTCTAACCCTTCCAGGACATGCAAGCTGCCGTCACCGCCAATGCATGTACGAGGCAGACGCCGTCATCAAGAGGTACACCTTACCTATCTTTACGGAGATTCCTCACATCAGCTTGACCTACTTTCATGTCACCTGCTAGCCTATCAGATGCAAGAAGCCCCAAGTTGTGAGCCCTTCACTCGCAACGTACTGGTCAAAGCATTTATATTCCACGTATCGAGATGGGATATCGGCGGCCACCCAAAACTACTATTCAAGGCAATCTCACATCATCTATGAGGCATACCCAACACCATGCTGAACGCGGCAGGGCAAATCTGAAAGACTAAAACGAGCCATACTTGGACTCGCTAATCAACTTCCCACAGTCGGAAAAGAAGCCGGCTTGCTTGATATGCGTGCTCTTGCCTGTCGTCTCATCGAACAGGTTGAAGCCAAAGTTGGCAGCATGTGGTGGGGTGTAGAGGTGTAGTGAGACAGCAATATCGGTGCTGGACGGATTCGAGATCTTGTGCAACCCGATGTCGTCGGAAATATAAGTCACCTGATTGTTGTCGTAGATGGTCTCTTTGACGACTTGGGGTGGCGTGCGAATGCCATCCTTCTCTTCTGCCTGAAGCGGCATATCGTACAGCGTTTCTTTCAGAGTTCCCTTGAGCACTTTCATCACGCAGTGTGCATCGGCGTGGTCATGAATAGGCGAGCCCTTGCCCGGGTTCCACACAACAATCAACAGGTTTGACTTGCCGTTGCCCTTGTCAACGAGATTACGTGTGTAGTTACGGCTCGGGTCAGCGAATGCATAATGCTGCCATTCTTTCTCGTTGGAAGTATAGATTGACATAAGGTTGATGAGGTCTTGAGGATTGACATCGGCCGAGTTGATGCCACTGGACGGACCAAGGACATCTGATAGCGACTTTACTAGACACTAGAACAGGTTGTCAGTAATCCCGTGGCAGACAGTTTGGACACTGAAACGGCGATGTGAGCAAACTATCGGTAGGACGACAGTCCCAAGAGGATCGAGGCTAATCTGAATCGGGGACTCACATGGAAGGGATCGGACGGACAGCGAAGGTCGGTGTAAAGGCTCGCATCCAATCTGGCATGGTTGGTGCTTGGTGCCGGAATCGGGTGTTGCAGCATGATTTCGGTATTTTGGGTCAGAGTTAGGCTGCTTGTAGGAGGGCCGAAACAGGAGATGCTAGGAGAGCAGTAGAAGAAGAGCTGAGGTCAAATATCGACTGATAGGGAGGGAATGGCGATAGTCAGTGGGGTGAAATGGTAAATGATAAGAAAGAACAATCAACAGGCAAGCTGTTTGTTGGGTGCGGTCAGGTGTGCTGCTCCACGCCTTATGACTTGTGACCATGCGACACACCTGTTCGGCCACTGAGGCAATCAAGGGAAGTTTGCCCATGTGCCTGAAATAGGCCCAAATCCAGACGGTCTCTCGTAACATGAACTGCGATCGATGTCAGCCAGCGTCCGTGCACCTGCAACTCGACCGCCGCACCTGCAAACGGCGGCAAACCCCGGATAGAAGTGCTTGGCGCGCTCATCGCCTCGCCAATCTCGAAAGATTTGGAGTACATGTCCCAGACTTCAAAAATTCCACCGCTGTGTCACCATCAACCGTCAATTTCAACGTCACCTTTTCTCTAACTGAGCAACCTCCGAGCCGACGCTGTGCTTTTCTCGCCGCACATTTCTTCCAGCGCGTTGAAGTTCTCGCCCGAAGACGAACGAGTGCACCAATCCTTACCCCTCTGTACCCCTCAATTTGGTACGTAGTTGCCCAGTATGGCGACCACGGTGGACAAGATCAAAGACATCGAGGCCGAGATGGCCAAGACGCAGAAGAACAAAGCCACATCTTTTCATCTTGGTCAACTCAAGGCTAAGCTGGCAAAGCTTAAGAGAGAATTGTTGACACCCTCATCGAGTGGAGGCGGCGGTGGCTCCGGCTTCGATGTCGCCAGGACCGGAGTGGCCTCAGTTGGCTTCATCGGATTCCCGTCCGTTGGCAAGTCTACTCTCATGAGCAGGTTGACGGGTCAGCATTCCGAGGCTGCGGCGTATGAGTTCACCACTCTCACCACCGTACCCGGTCAGGTCCTCTACAATGGTGCAGCAATCCAAATGCTGGATCTCCCCGGTATCATTCAAGGAGCGAAAGATGGCAAGGGCAGAGGCCGACAAGTCATTGCCGTCGCGAAGACGTGTCACCTGATATTTATTGTCCTCGATGTCAACAAGCCACTCACCGATAAAAGGGTCATTGAAAACGAACTCGAGGGCTTCGGCATTCGCATCAACAAGGAGCCTCCCAATATTGTTTTCAAAAAGAAAGACAAAGGAGGCTTGAACATTACGAGTACTGTTCCACTCACCCATATCGATCATGACGAAATCAAGGCTGTCATGAACGAATACCGTATCTCTTCCGCTGATATTGCCATCCGCTGCGACGCAACAATCGATGATCTGATCGACGTCCTCGAGGCGAAGAGTCGCAGCTACATTCCAGTCATCTACGCACTCAACAAGATCGACTCCATTTCCATCGAAGAGCTGGACCTCCTCTATCGCATTCCGAACGCCTGCCCAATCAGCTCTGAGCATGGTTGGAATGTCGACGAGCTTCTCGAACAGATGTGGGAAAAGCTGGAGCTAAAACGAGTCTACACCAAACCTAAGGGTAAACAACCCGACTACTCTGCTCCGGTCGTTCTGAAGAAGAATGCTTCGACCGTGGAAGACTTCGTAAGCCATAACCTGCACGCAACCCTTCTGCGGCCGCATCGCTGACCATTCGCCTAGTGTAATTCGATCCACAAGTCGATCGTGGACCAATTCAAGGTCGCGATCGTGTATGGAAGGTCTGTGAAGCATCAACCACAGCGCGTAGGCCTGTCACACGAGCTCGCAGATGAAGACATCCGTAAGTACACTGCAGTGGCCGCAAGTCACGTTACTGACAAGGGGTTCGTAGTCACGATCGTCAAAAAGTGATCGGTCATATCCGTGAATCTTTGCGAAGTCGAACTTGCACGACGACCCTGATAGTGGTGTGAAGCAACCGACAAAACCAGGGCCTCGATTCAGAGTTTAGGGCTGGCTACTAGCAGTTCGGCCGCTGTCTTGATTAAGCTAGGTGCCTCACTTCCCGCCATCCACCCGTTGAGGATCCCAGAGTTGGTCTGTGCATCGCGAACATCCGCAGCGGCAGCTAACATGCAGGAATACCTGCATCGCATGCCAATCCGGAGTTCTGCTGATCAATTAAAGCATTCGTGCATGCCCAACCGCTGCACATCAGTCTCACAGAAGTGCTGAAAATTTTCACCTAGGACACACGCCGAAAGTGGCTGCGCTCGGCGCAGTAGACCTGAAATGAACACCGCCGAAGCGCGGTGCCTTGCATGGGCTGTGTCAATGGGCCCTGATCGGCATTGGGCAGCTTGTGCGGAGAAGCGAGAGCCGTAGACAGGGCTAAGGCTCGAGACGCTCTGTTCTCAACAAACGAGCATTCTGTGACCCGCGGCAGCAATGATCTGAAACATGGCTCGCGAATATACGCGCGAAAGGAGTCGAGGAGACCAACAATGGACAAATGACGCTCGCGATTAATCAGAACGTGGACGAGGATCTGTTTTAGAATCCAATAATTCTGGCATCACCTCAGCCTCCCTCATGCGCAAACGCCGACAAAACAATGTGAGTGGAGCATTATAAATGGTACTCCATAGGGCCCTCGCCAGCCTGCTCGAGCAAAGCCCGACCGACATGGGGGTATTCGCTACTCTCCAAAGGGGCAAGTTGGCAACTGGGAGTTCACCTCGTTTACATCCCTATCTAAGTCGCCGTTGTCGAAAGGATGGGTACGGACTGTTGGTCCTTGGTCTTTGCAACAAAGCCTCTGTCGATGATGCGCTACAATCTCTATCGCCTAGAGTTCTCGATCGCGCCCAAGCTACGCCATGAGCTGTCACGCCCACGCCAACGCTATTCTCTGCTTTTGAGATCAGGTTGATTGTTAATCTTGATATACACACTTTTGAAGTGCCTCTCTGGGCCCAATCGAAATGAAGACGTGCACCATCAGAGGCACTGTCGATCACTTTTGCGCAGATTCGTGTATGCTGCAAATCTGCACTCGGTGCGAGTGCTAGGGTTGAAGAAGAGGTTTAGTTCCGCTCGGAAGCGACGAGCACGAAGAGAGACCGCTTTACCTGCTTCACGCGAACGCGGACGTTCTTCAGCAAACCTTCTCCACCATGTGCCGGTCTTATTGGGCTGGCAACGGGAAAATCTGAGCAATTACAGGGCTCATAGCATCGAGAACGACGCCTATTGGACTGTGTAAAAGCCGAGCCCTATCTTGCCGCCCGCATGTAACTGCTACCAAGCCAACAACATGGCAAGGAGCCTGTAATGTCAGCTGTTTCTCTCTCCACCACAAGCCTCACGAGCATTCGACACGAGCGCGACAAGCCCCGTGGTGCGTTGCACAATTGACGAAACATAGAAGGTCCTATCATCCCCCACGGACCTGGTTCGTTTTGGCCCTTCGAACGGTATCGAAAACCCGGCCCTTGTACCGTAACAATACCGAGCAGCTCATGGGTCTGCGATAGCACCACTTAATGTTTGCAGTCATCGAGTCACTTCGCAACTGGTTGGTCTGAGTATGACCAATCTCTTAACACAATAACATCAACAGCGGTCGAAAGATAAATTAGATCATCCGCGTCATATCGCTCGGTAGAGGCCGTGCCGTGGGGAATGGCACGAGGCCGATCTGACCGGCCGTAACTTCAAGAAGCCAGTACCGCGCTCAGCTCTAGATTGCGTCTTTCATTCGACACTGCACGAGCTTCAGCCTTGAGACAATCGCCTATTATTGAATGAGCAGCAGTACACCTCGCAAGGAGCACATTGCTGCATTGAGACATCAGCACGAGACCGGCATTCCGTTCGAGCTTTATAATTCACAGGCCACCCGGTCAACATTACAACACCAGAACACTAGAACTCTGTCCTCGCAACCTCCACGCGCAGATTCTCGCCGACGCTCTCTCGAAAAAGAGATTTTCTAGGTCTAGTGGCTTGCCCTTGAAAGTTTAAGCCACTGCAGAGGCCCTGCCAGGATCACCGTGCTCTAGGCTCGAAATCGCCTAAGCTTGCCTAAACACCAAACCGAAGTGGACTGGCCTCTGTCAAGACTAGGCACCCTAAGCGTCCGCCTGTGCGACCCGTGCCTTGCACTCCCCGGTCCCGACTAGCCTCTTTATAGGCCACCCTGCCGCCCAGGGCCCTTTAACCACCCACCTCTACAAGACTCGACCACGCTTGCATGCAGCTATCTCCTCCTGCTCGTTGGTACTGCACTTTCCCTGCGACGACCTCTCTGACCTCTCTCGCGCGGCACCGCTCGCCATCCTAGGATCCACTCCTTCCTCCAGCTTCTCTTCTTTATACAGTCCGTGCCATCTTGAATACCAGCTCGCCACGTTGCGTGTCAGACACTGGACCTCGCACAACAGCTGCTGGTACATTACCCCGTCTGAAGCCACCGGGTACATGCATTGGTGACCTCGCCGCCTAGGAGGGCATGCACGGCCAGATTACCAACCACCCTCAGCCTCGGTTTGCCATAGGCTACAGGCTTCAATGCAAGTTCTGACTATGCCATCGGACCATCATGAGTCGCAGGGCTCTGGTTATGGTCACAACTCGTGGATGCAACCTGTGGGGATCCCTTATTCGCCTGCTCCACCCCCGTCAACCACCATGTCGCCAATGCATGAATATTCTCAATTCGACTTTGGACCTTCAGCAGCGGCTCCAATGCCCATAGAGCCCTCGTACAGAATGGCCAGGCCACCACCTTATGCCGCAGGGGTCCCACAGATGCCGCCGCCTCTTATCATGCCCACAACCCTGCCGCCGAACGGCCTGTGGCCCAGTATGATAGCAGCAGGAGGTCACCAGGGCAACTATCAGCCTCCGATCCTGCCTGCAGCCCCAATCACGACACCATTATCTGCGGGTACCAGTTCAGACATGACGCCAACCAGTGCTAAGACTACGACTTCCCGACGAAAGCTTACGGATGAGGAGCGTCGACAGATGTGCCTGGAGGCCGAGCAGAACCCCAACATGAAACAAACCCAGATTGGAGGTGCGTCTGCGTGCCGAACTCCCTGACTGAAGCTAACCTTGATAGCCAAATTTAATGTTGAACGAAGGTTGGTCCGATGTCGTTGGAAAAAGGGCCATCACTAACATGAATAGTACTGTGTCGAAAATTCTTCGCCACAAGGAGAAATACATGAATCTGCCACCTTTGGAAGATGTTGTGAGTCCGGGCAAGAAGTCCAAAGCGAAGCTTCCCGACTTTGAGAAGACCCTAGCCAACTGGGTCCGCAATCAGCAAAAGAGAGGTCTCCCAGTCAGCGATGACGACCTCAAAAAGCAAGCACGCGTCTTCTCGTTCAGCAGAAGTGATCAGGCCATCGTGTCCAGCAGTAGCTGGCTTGAGAAATTCAAGCAGAAGAACCAACTCGGCAGATATGCTGAAGGCGTGGATATCAATGGCACATCAACCGGTGAAACATCGCCACTAGGTTCGCCAGCATCTTCAAATGATCTCAAGCTTCCAGCTGCTGCTGCTGCTGAAGACCACTTATCGTCTGGCAAGGAAGAGCACACCGATTATTACGATTTCGAGGTCAAATCACCAGGACCGGGCGAATTAGAAGCACATGAACTCGTCTCTCCCTACTCCGCCACAGACCCTCAAGAAGACGATGAGATGCCGGACCTGCCTCCAAATGAGGCTTTCTCGCTGGCTGCCAGCAACATGATCCGACAGCGCAGCCAAACTTTACCTCACTTAGGCGAGTATTCCCATACAGACTCTCGCGCATCGACAGCCGCCCTTGATAGCAAGCCGGCTTTCTCCCGAGCTTTGACGGCATCGATGGTCACGGGGACGCAATCCCACGTGGACCCTAGTGTGATGATGAAACGACACAAGTCTGTACCTGACATCCACGAGGAGATGAACGAAGTCCATTTCACCTATATGCACCCACCACCGATTCCTGGTCACTCTGCTTCTGCTTCTCCGATTTCGAACCCAATGAGTCCGTCCGAGGACGACAACATCAGGGCATTGCACAGTATCAAGAAGTTGTTGCAAGAGAACCCTGGCGTTGCAGACCCAGATGATTATCTAGCCATTGGGAAGTTGATGGAGAAAATGAGACTGCTTCGAAGTCCAACTCCGAGCTCCATGAGCCTAAACGTTGATGGGAAAGGACGCAAGCGACAATTCGTTGGCATCTCATAGCAGAGGGAAGCGGCCTGAGGAGCGGCCTCGACTCAACCCGAACGCACGGTCTGGTGGTTGAGCAAGTCAGCCAGCACCTGTCGTCATTCCTTATTTCGACTGAGATCCTTTATCTTTTGCATGAATATCAGGGTGGGACAGGACGATGGCGAGGGCATACCGACATGAGATTGGAAGACAGAATCAGAATGGATGAAGGTGACCCCCTGGAGCAAGACTCGCAGGGCAGGATGGTGCATTCGACACGGACACGCGCCAACGGTCTAATAAATTAGCCAAACCATGCTGCAAAGGGCAGCTATGGTGGAAGGGCAATATTTTCCGCAGCACATTCCAGGCAGTACCTGGCTACGGCAACACGCCAATTGCATATATCCTGACGACTGTACGACTTTCCACACTCCACACCCGTCGACGATGCGACGTTGTCTTATTGGCAAGTGCGCAGTTCAACCGGCGGCCACTACCGATGCAGCGACGGTGGTAGACATACCCGGCCTCAGTGGCCCCTCTCTTACCGATTCGCTTCTCACACCACACTTATCATTTGGTTGCATATGTATTGTTGCACATGTCTGTATCTTTTTCAATTCTCGGGGATTGGGTTCGTATGGGCATATAAAGGGCCCAGCGCAAGCGGGAACAGCCTCAACGAGGTTCGGGCATGGACAGACGAACAGAGTACGGTGGAACGCGACGAGCCCGCCACATGGCGCGAGGGAGCAGGGGAAGAAACCAGCAGAAACCAGGACGAGGCGATACAAGCACGGACAAAAGGAGCGACAATTCCTGATGCAGCAATGCCAGCTGGAGGAATAGGAACAAGTGACCAGGACTTGCAGGTCTGGGGCAGGTAGACGTGCGACTGCCGCTTTCTGGGCGGTCATGAAAGTTATCATGCGTTCAACAAATTTTTCCTTTCTGCTTCGTGCTTCGAAAAGCGCTCGTCAGTCGCTTGCTGGTTTTCTTCTGGTCCAGCTGACCTATTGGCCATTCGGACATTTCATTCAGTATGGGGTGCGCGGTGAGAAGTGCCGAGCAGCATCGCCTCACCGCCTCGTCCTATGACCTTGGGACAAGTAAGATTATGCCCCAAACCTACAATCTTCGACCGGGTCCATTGTAAGAAGTAATTCAGAGTCGTCAAAGCACTGAAAAGACTGCGTTTCGCTCTAGAGCTTGGGTTGCCGAGGTGTACTTCCTGAAGGCCGGCTGCTACGATCCGAACTCTCGCCTAATCGCCTCATCGCCTCATCGCCTCACTTTTGGTGCTTTCTTCAACGGCCTTCCATCCTGCAATGATGATCCTTCTGCCTTGTCATGCACATCACGACGCATTGTCGGATCGAAACTTCGGAAAGCTGAACGATCTACTATGCGCAAGAGAGAATGGCTCTACATGATCAACCTTTGGTATCCCCAAGTCTCCGCCGAGTATCGGCGATATTGTTGTCTGGGCCCAGCCTCCAGACCTCGAATCCGTGACCAGTGACTATCAGGGCATGGAAGCGCTCCCAATGTCACTTGGATCGTAGGCTGCTCTGAGTACAGTAAGTAGCCTCTGGAGAGTGGATCTGTCCAGGGCCAACCATGTCTGCGTGCTGATTTCTCTTTACTGTCGAGAAACGAAACCGGTCATCGCTGCCAGAATTGATCGTGAAAGGCCACAACAGTGGTCAACAGTCTGGAAAAGCCCGCATGATCTACCACCGCTTCCACGTCGATACGACCTGTCCATGAGCACTATGGACGCCGTTGGAACAGACTATGTCCTCGCCACGACGCGACTTACCTCGTTAGTGCTACAGGGGTTTGAGCCAGCCTGCCCTCAAGCCGATCCTCACCTGCGCTCTTTCACCATCGTACGCAGTATCAGGTTCCCCGTGCCAATGATGCGCTCGTGCAAGAAGTGACAGGTCACCTCTCAGGAAGATCAAGGAGTAAATTTGACAGACGTCAGAGCTACCCGCCCTGATGCTCCAACTCGGCCACAGGCCTGACTGCAACGCCACGAAACGCTGCTGAGATCCCGTAATAGAGTCGGAGACACTGCTAGGTCAGCGTCCGTCCCGTCTCCCCGCGGACATGGGTCCCATTTTCGGAACTCGTATTCATACGGCCATCCAACTTGTGACGCTGATCAAACTAGACAGTATCATCAATGGGGGCCAAGAAATGCCATTCGGTTATTCAGCACTAGGAAACCCATAGGTTCCTCGACAATCCCGCTCCCGTGCTTGTCAGAGCCATGATATCCCTTGAGACATGATTCCCGTTGCAGCCGGGTGCAGCGGGAGCACTTGCGTGTGCCTCATTCAACATCTCAGCGCTCTTAGCCTTACCAAGCCCTAACGTTCGCTAGACAAACTAGCTGCACATCCGTTCTTATAGTGCCGTTGGGCATCAAGGCCTCTGAAACCAACGGAAACTCTTCAAATTGTCCGAGGCGTTGGCAAGCCCTCAAAGCTGCCAGACCTATCGTGCGAGCAACATCCCACGTGCCTAGTGTAACAGGTCCGAAGAGTTGCGTAATCTCCGAAGACCAGAGTCTGGACTGTTGGAAGTCGCGGTCAATGAGGCTACGACGCTACCGATACTGAGGTTACTTCGAGGACACAGGCGTGGCCGCTTATTGTCGGCTGCACTTCACCTCGATTGACCACCCCCAATGCTGCAAACAGTTTCCCAACAGGAAAAATGCATGAGACTATGCCCTTGACCGTCGAGGACGTCACCTCTGCATCACAGCAGTACAGCTACCTTCACCGAGGAAGGGTTGTGTGTGTGTACCCTTGCCTCCATCTCGCGCTGGGAAGTACAATTCCGCATTATTCTCTGCTAAATAGTGAGGCTGTAAAGGTCATCCCCCACACATGCCTTGAAGAGCCACCGTCGTGATAGATATTGGACGGGGTCATGCAAGACTTGTGTCTGAGGGAAGATGAGGACATATTGGAGATGAGATACGTCGATATCATGACAATGGGAAGTGTCGAGGCGACAGCCCTTCGACGTGAGAGGTCTCAGGACCCAGAAGAAACACTTGCTTCAGCTAATTTGTATCATTTCTTCGGTCTTCTGACTACTACAAAGCGCATATGTGCGAACGAATCAAGTGACTTTCTCCCTTCACCCACAGATGAAAGATGGATTGGGCAGCTATGTCTGCTGGTAGAGCACTGCTGGGGCTTTAGCAGTCTTGCTTGAGCCAGCCTTTGTCGTTGGTGAGTCTGCTTGGTCCCTCAAGGGTGTGGTTGTAGTCTAACAAAGTGCTGTAGACCAAAGTTCGTCCTTGCCACAGGTAGTCATCTTCATGCATGGGTGTTTGTCGTGACTCACACTTACTCTTTCACGAACACAGTGACTAGTGCTCGTGGAACTCCTTCTACACAACAGTGAGAAGCACTGTAGATGACAGCTGTCATCCCTGTCCATGCGTCTTTGACTTTCTCTGAAAGACAAACAACCTCTAGTCAATCGCACCTTGGGTAGATGAATGTACTGCCGCGAGACGGTCGAAGTGCAGGCGACGGGTTCGAAATGACATGTGAACAGCCCACCGCTGCTCGGATTCAATGAAAAGAACAGAGAGGCGCAAGCATACGCGGGACAGAGCGTGCCCGACAAGGCGCAGGAAGACCATTTCGCTGCATCTTGAAGTCTGGAAACGCTGGCTGGAGTTAATCTGTGGTCGAGTACCACGAATCCCGCAAAGGAAGAGAAGGAGAGGCCGAGTGGCCTTGCTGGCAAAGCAATCTCATCGTTCATTGCGAACTTGCGTAAATATTTGTTTCCTACGCTGACGTAGCTCGCTCCGCTTCCTCAGTCGTCCTGCTTGCCATCCCAGACAACACCCCTCTCCTCCAGCAGCTCGCCCGGCGTCTTCTCCAGTATCTCGGGTACCAGTCTCGTCACGATACATTCCAGGATGCCGTAGATCAGGTACTTGTTGATCTTCCTGTCACCCAGCAGGTCCAGGATCGCTTCAACCTGCTCGACTGCAACTTCATACGCTTCTACTGCCGAGTGCGCCTGTGGCGCGAAGAGCTTGCGCGAGACAACGTCCGGGACAAGAGAGAGGAGGTCTGTGGCGGCCTTTTTGCGGATTGCTAAGGCTTCTTCTGGCGTCGGAGGTGGGGGAGCAGGCGGTCCGAGAGAATTGTTAGGGAAGATGACGGCGCGGAGGTTGCGGAGGATGTTTGGGAGGATAGATGGCGGAAATAGGTAAGTCTGTATGTTGTGGTAGAGGAATCTATAAGATGATTAGTGAGCAGGCTGTTGTGGACATGATGAAGAGGATTGCAAAGCGAGAACATAACACGCAACAGCAATAGGGCGCAAAAACAGGCAAAGCAGCTCTGATCACCATCGCGATGAGTAGCGCATGCCTTGTATCGAGTAGTGCGACTTTTGCTCTGCATTCTGCTTTGATACACTTCGTCGCCGCCGCCGCCTCTTCTGTCAGCACCTCTTCTGTTGACACAGCTCGAGGCCACCAAACCAGGGGTGAGCACGTGATGCGTGCTTGACTGGCCGCGACCAGTATCGAACGCTCGAGACGCACGTGCAGCCTGTGAGACGTGGCAGAAGCAAGTCTGCGCTGTACGACATTGCATCGGAACGCTCCATATGCGCCTCGTCCAAAAGAAGCAGCGCGGGCCAGAGATGAGCAGACGTCTTGTGCCCGGAAGGGTTATCGAGCAAAGTTTCACTGCGACTCGGCGCTGGGATCAAGGATCGGGAAGCCTTGCGACGAGATTGAAGCCTCATGCAGGCTTAGCAATGAAGACAGAAGGCCAAAGGGCTGGTAAAGTGATTCAAGTAGCGAGTAGAGAGCATGCTCGAAGCGCCACTAATCGAGTCGCAGTAGTGGTAGCGTTGGCGTCGAGACTAACGCACAGGCGAGGGTCGATTGACCTTGCTGCGTGGAGACCATGTTACACAAGAACAGGTTGGGGACGCGGATGGGGAGGGGGAAGAGGGCCCGCCCGCTGTCATGCAAGCGCAAAGGAGCGCGGTCCGAGCTATGTCCTGAATCGAGGCGACGAGGAGGAGTTGAGCGACCAGATTGCGATTGAAAGGCGCAGGCAATCAGCGCGGGGCCGGGTCCAGGCTTTTCTTGCCGTCAAGCCCGAGTTATGCTGAGGCAACGCCGATCCAAGAAGGACCGGGCGAATAAAAGGATCAGCTCTGGCCAATAGCAGAGCGAAGGAGGGCCGAATTCAAAATTCCCAGTAAGCCTTCAGCGTTGATTGGTCGTGCCGGCGAGGTATTTCTTGTCGCGTAAGCGTGGTCTCCTCAGGCTCTCTGGCGCATGGCAGCCAATATCCAGGCTACTCATGGTGGCGAGGTTGGTCGTACCACATCTATTGGATGCGTGAATTGGAATGAAGTGGATTTGCGGCATCAGCTGGAAGGGCCCGTTCCATGTTATCCGCCAACCGACCAACGTAGTGTTATGCCTTGGTGTCCGGATCGGTGTCTCGCACGTTTCGCTACGTCGCAGCCATGTCTGTGACCAATCTAGACCAGCCGCTGACGCCTTGGGAGCTTGTGGACCAAGGCAGTGACGGAAGTCCGCACGAGAACCCTTAGGACCCACCAACGACGACAAGAGTCGCAGTAATGACCAAATGGTTGAGACAGGGGAGGGCAGTAAATCCAGAAGAAGCCTAGCGACAGACAATAGGCTGTCCAATCGAATGCCAGATATGACCGGAAAGCGTGACAAAAACGGTACCGTAAATACCGCGTATCGAAGATCATTGGCCGCACATGGGATTCTGTGTATTGTGACCCACACGCACTTGGGGCCATCCTTGACACCAACCCATGTGCCGCCTGATTTGAGTAGGAGCTTCTTGATGCATATTGGTTGGAGGCCAAGTCATATGACCATAACATCATGCAGTGCAATAGAATAGCGAGGCAGCGGAGCGTTTTGAACGGGTCGGCTCTTCCTCGAAGCGACCAAAGGGCAAGGAGAGGAAATCACAGGCCAAACCAAGAAATAGAAAACTCACCTATCGAGAATCGAATGCAGACCTCCGGCACGGTTGCGCCCGGATGTCAAAACATGGCCCCAGAAAGCCAAAGCTCCTGCGACCCACGGCATGCGTCTGGACAAATGCAGAATGGTGGAGGTGGCGGGAAACATCCTGTACTCCAGCACCAGGCGAGCCGCATGATCGTCCGTCTGCTTAGCACTGGGCTCTGATAGAGCATGTTTCGTAGAGAGACGCGTCCGCGCTGGAAGTCTCCGTGCATGCATGAGACCGAGTGTGGTGAACCGCACTGCCAGAAATGCGAGGTAACCCCATTGCAGCATGCTCCAAAACACGGCAACAATACTTGATTGGCGAGGGGGGGACGAATCGGTGGGCGAAGCATCGGTTTTGGCAGATAATAGGCCGAATTTCTCCAGCCGACTCCTGGCATCAGCCTGGATACCTTCACTCGTAGCCTTAGCTTGCTTTCGTGCGGCGATGGTGGCAACAATCTTGGACAGAGAGTCATGCAGGAACCACGGCTGGCAGAGTCTGTCTTCGATTGCCCTACCCAGAATCAGGTCTGCAATGATATCGGTGACCAGAATGCGCAGGCTTGTGTTTTGAACGTCTTCAGTAGGAAGCAGCACAGCAAGAGCGCCAGTCACCAGCAGTTGGCGGTACGTGCGCTCTGCCTGGGTCTGATCTTCGGGCGAGAGGGACGGATCGAGGGCTGGGTGGGGATTTAGACTGTGGTAGATGTGATGGGGTTGCTGGCTGTAGCTAAGAGTCGCATGTGATTCGTTCGCTGCATGGTATGCTGTTGCCTCGTATCAGCTTCACGTCTCTTCTCCTCTGTACTCACATACCCGCAACGTGCCTCTCCAGGCATGCCGTGATTTCGTCCAACGCAAGTTGGGCAACATCAACCCGACGCAGTCGCTGCTCGAGCGCACGACTGCAGTGGGCAATGATCTGGACGATCTCCTCGACGAAGCTCTGGTCAGGCGTGATCTTGGTGTACCAGGGACTAATGAAGTCTTTCACCACAACAGCAATGATGGCGTACAGCTGAATGTCGACCTCGTTGCTGCTCGTCAGTGGAGGCAACAACGCCTCGATGGGAGCGGGCGTGCTTCTGTCCGTGCCATGAGTGTCTGGCACGAGTATGCGCCGGATCAGCGACACTGTCGCATTGTCCGAGAGGAAGTCATTGCTGTGGGACTCTTGTCGCGCTGGTTTGCGCGGCCGGGCAGCAGAAGTGGCTCTCGAGGTGGATGGTGTGTTGCCAGCAAGGGCAGACAACTGCGAGTGCTGTGCAGTGGATGGGGCTTTCAAGGTAGGTTGGAAAGGAGCAGCAGTCATGCTAGAAGGTCATCGAGGGCATGGCGACGGTTATAAGGTTGCTGGCCACGCTGGCATTGCACGACTGACGTTCTCAACGACCTCTCACCGGTCAGAGGAAATGCTGCTAGAGGTAGGGAGAGAGGTGTGGCAATGTGTGATTGGCTGAGGGGGATATGTCAAGGCTCCGAATCCCAGGAGATGGAGGGTGGTTGAGCCAGCTGCCAGCGGCCAGCCTGAGGTGGGTGGTCGGAACCGGACAAAGCTGTGCTCCGAAAGATCTCATATCGATAAGCATAGCTCCCCACCCTCTCCACTTCCGCGAAGTTCGGTGGTCTTTGTGCCATTGCAATTCGTGTGTCAACATTTATATGCCCGCTGTAACCCCGTGGATCATTATGTAGTCTCTACTCCTCCCTGCGCCGCTCCACGCAATTATGGTGGCTCTTCCCATGGACAAGGTCCCTTTGTGGCTTGACTGCGATCCTGGTACGTGTTCCGCGCTTCCTAGTGTTGACATGGCCAAAGAGTGCTAACTATTCAGGGCACGACGATGCCTGCGCCATCCTGCTCGCTGCGTACCACCCGAAGTTGCATCTTCTGGGAATCAGCACTGTCTATGGGAATGCACCTCTGACCAAGACCACCAACAATGCGCTGGCCGTACTGGAGGCTATCGGCAAGCCGGACATCGCCGTTATTCCCGGCGCGGCCAGGCCCTTCTGCCGACTGCATCGTGCGGCGCAGGAGATCCACGGTACGTGAGAACACGGGAAACACAATACCTGCTGACGGAGACAGGTGAAAGCGGACTCGATGGCACAGACTTGCTCCCCAAACCCCAGCGGAGACCGCTCGGCCACCTGAATGCGGTCAAAGAAATGAGAGACTCTTTGATGGCGTGCCCTCCAAACACTGCCTGGATCGTGGTGACAGGAACTTTGACCAACTTGGCGCTACTTATGGCAACATTCCCAGAAGTTGCGCACCACGTCAAGGGTGTCAGCATCATGGGAGGTGCTATCGGCGATGGCTTTGCCCCGGTTTCAATGGGAACAGACTACACCGATGCAGAAGGTCGCACGCGCAAGAGAATTGGCAACTACTCTCCATTCGCTGAGTTCAATATTTGGTGCGATCCAGAAGCGTCCCAGAGCGTCTTCCAAAACCCAGCCCTAAAGAATAAGACTTACCTCATACCGCTCGATGTAACGCACCAGGCATATGCCGGCAAGAGTGTCCAAGACATGCTTCTCAACGGTAAGAACAATCGTGGTGGGCAGCCAACACGAGTGCGCAGGATGTATAATGAGCTGCTCATGTTCTTTGCCGAGACTTACCACAACGTTTTTGGCTTGAGCGAGGGACCACCTTTGCATGACCCGCTGGCCGTTGCCGTCCTTCTGTGGGACTTTCCTGAAGACATAAGCCGGATAATGTTCGACGATAGAGGTGGTGAGAGGTGGGACATCAATATTATCACCGAGGGCGAGCAGGTCGGCCGGACAGTCGCGGTACCGGCAAAGGAAGGATGTGTGATACCACGTTCCCTGGATCTCGAAAAGTTTTGGCACGTGTTGGAAGACTGCATGGACAGGGCGGATGAGCAAACAGGGCGGCGGGTGTAGACATAGACACGTATACCTGCATTAGACATCAATAATCTGGTGGGAAGGCCAGGGCCAGTCTGATGGACTCTTTGCGTATCGGGTCTGCCAAGCCCTAGCGAAATCTTGGCACCCACGGAATTTGTCGACGAAGCGCAGTTGACTTCAACCACTTGTGCTTCTCCATCAATCGCTCGTTCGTCCTGAATTCTCGTGTGCGCAAAGCTATCCCTGCTCTGTTCAGACTGTCTAACGCCGTAACAGTTTCTCTACCATCTCAATCGCCCAACATGGCCACTCAGCAAGGTGCTATCTCTAAGCGCAGAAAGTTCGTCGCCGATGGTGTTTTCTACGCCGAGTTGAACGAGCTTCTCCAGCGTGAGCTGGCCGAGGAGGGTTACTCCGGTGTCGAGGTCCGCGTGACTCCCACTGTCACCGATATCAGTACGCCTTCGAACTTCCCAGAGTCGCACAGAAATATCAGAATCTAACGCCCCGCAGTCATCCGCGCAACCCACACTCAGGAAGTTTTGGGCGAGCAGGGCCGCCGCATCCGCGAGCTCACCTCCCTGATTCAGAAGCGCTTCAAGTTCCCCGAGAACTCCGTCTCTCTCTACGCCGCCAAGGTGCAGAACCGCGGTCTCTCCGCTGTCGCTCAGTGCGAGTCCCTGCGCTACAAGCTGCTCAACGGCCTGGCTGTTCGTCGCGCCTGCTATGGTGTCCTGCGCTTCATCATGGAGTCCGGTGCCAAGGGCTGCGAAGTCGTCGTGTCCGGCAAGCTTCGTGCTGCTCGTGCGAAGAGCATGAAGTTCACTGTAAGAGATTGAGAAGCCAACAGCAACAGTGAGACTTGTAGCTAACACCATATCAGGACGGTTTCATGATCCACTCCGGCCAGCCCGCCAAGGACTTCATCGACAGTGCCACCCGCCACGTTCTCCTCCGCCAGGGTGTACTCGGCATCAAGGTCAAGATCATGCGCGGTTCCGATCCCGAGGGCAAGGCTGGCCCCCAGAAGTCGCTCCCCGACTCCGTTACCGTCATCGAGCCCAAGGAGGAGCAGCCAGTCGTGCAGCCCATGTCCCAGGACTATGGTGCCAAGGCTCTTGCCGCCCAGCAGGCCGCTCAGGATGCCCGCGTCAACGAGGAGGGCGCCGCCGAAGGCGGTGAGGGCCAGGAGGAGCAGTTCCAACAGCAGTAGACTCACCCGATGTCGTCAAGCGCGATGCGAGTATGAGAACGAGCGAACGAACGAGAAATGCGATGGGCTGAGATGATTGATACCACAAAACACACTCATGACATCCCACGTTTGCCATGCAGAGCATAGCTTGTCTGGGCGACTGGACATGCTAGGACGAGCTGGCAGTTACTTGACGGCTGTGGTCGTCAGGTGCTGCAGAATTGCCGGAAGCTCTGCAACACAGAAGAAAGCTAGAAAATACTCAAGACTGTTTAATCTTGCTTCGATCTCTGCTTCGCAATCGAGTAGTAACCCACTGATGCATGCATGAATTTTGTCCCATCGTGGTGCGCACTGACTGTTCTCTGCTCCTCTATATCTTCTACTCATGTCTCGTCTCATCATCGCGCATTGACCGTTTTTACTCTCTATCTAGACCATCTCACAAGAAGACTTCAATATTCATCTCGAGCGTGCTGACCGGGTACCTCAACTCGAACTTCTCCAGCACGGTAGGGTGTAGAATGCCGAAGACACCTACGACGCTCTCCTTGCCGCCCACACGTACGTGGATGCTGGCGCTGTGACCCTCGAAGAAAGTCTTATCCTCCACTTCCTCAATCCAATACTCCATTCCTTTCCCATTGCCCGCGAGATCCAGGCCATCTTCTTTGGTAATGAAGGCCGTCTTCAGCATTGCCATTACGCGATCCAACAGCCCATGCACGACTTCGAAGCCACTCGTCTTGCCGTACCAGGCCGCGGCGAAGTGTCGCTCGTTGCGGCTCTTTCGCTCCAGCTCGGGCGCCTTGAAAGCTACATCGCTGACCTCGAACAACTTCATCGGAAGGCTGTGGTGCTTGTTCTCGCGAATCGTCTTCAGTAGCCCCGGCAGTAGACTTGTGCGCACGACCTGGTACTCGGCGGTCTTGGGGTTCGCCAGGCGCACGGCGGTTGATCCATCGTCCACGCGGTTCAGCCAGGCGAAGTTCTCATCGTGGCTGCACAGAATCAGAGGGAGCACTTCCGCCCACCCCGCCATAGCGGTCTCGGCGCGCACGATATCGGAGAGCTTGTTAATGGCAAGAGGTTGCCCGATTGTGGTGCCAACGTTGGGGAAGGCGCGCGGCAGTTTGTTGAAGCCATATGCGATACACACATCCTCCATTATGTCGGCCTGGTGGAGAACGTCGGCACGAGTTGGTGGTACGAAGACGTCGAGGAGGTTAGGGGATGCGGATGACGGCTTGGCGGTGTAGGACATGCGAGTGAGAAGATCGCAGATCTGTTCAGGCTTGAGGGGCACACCCGTACAGCTGTTGATGTAGTCGACTTCAGCTTGCGTGGCGCGCGGAGTGAGGTCGGGGACAACGCGGGTTTCGTTGTTGTGAGGCGAAACGATCTTGATGGGCTCGACGGTGAAGGGCTCGGCAGAGTATTGAGAGAACATGGCGACGAGGATGTTGCAGACAATTTCTACTTTGGTGCGATCGGTGGCTGTGATTTCGATGAAGACGTTCTTGGTCGCAGTGGTGATCTTACTGTGGTTGCCGTTGATGATTGGCGGTAAGGAGCAGACGGTCCGTTTTGCATCATAGATGACAGGGTAGACTGGGGAGTCGCGGATGATGGGCAGGAAGCGACTGAGGTGGCGATCTTTCTCGTAGAAGGTCATCAATTGATCGCCGTCCATCTCCTGATTCTGGTTGAGTGGGACAAACTTAATGTCTTTGGGTGGGAGGGCTTCGTAGGTGAAGGGGCCTTGAATGGTATCGAGATCGTGTGTACCGACCGAGACAAGAGTGCGTTGGCGGGCGAGATTGGCGTGAAGTTTGTCTTGTAGATCGATGAAGGACTCGTAGCGGGCATCGTCGAATTTGACGTTGCGAAGAATGGCGCCGGAGACGTAAGGCCGTATTCGGTCGCATTCTTTTGAAACACGAATTTCTTGTAGCTGTCCATCGGCGGGTGGCTTCAGAACGTACTGCGGAGCTTTTACACGACGGTTAAAGATGTTGAGCATAAGCTGAATTCCCTCGAAGCAGAGCATATCGTAGCGGTTGGCGGGAATTTCGATCTTTAGCTGAGGAGGCTCTTGAACACCATTCACTGTTGGTCGTTCTGAGTTGGTGGTGTCTTCATCCAGCTCGATACCAAAGTCGAAACATAGCTCGTCGAACTCGTCAGTGGTGTACTCTCTGCCGAGAGCCCTGAAAAGGGCAGCCTTGTCCACAGATATGGTAGGCATGGCGGTGGCCGGGTGGATAGGACAGGACACAGGGGAGGCACTCTGTCACCCTTGTAGCTCAGTGAGATTGACTGAATTGCTCGTCCTACTCGATGGGCGGCAACAATCTTGCTCGGCAGTATGTCAGTTCCACAGGCCCGGATACTGCTGTTTGAAAAAAGATGTTTCGAGTCATGCTGGAAATGGCTTGGCATAAACTGCTCACGTGTGGCGGGGAAGGCTTGGCATTGCCTTGTGTGGCTTGTGGGTGGTGGCTTGGACGCTCATGCCGCTGCCGTTGCCTCTGCATGATGTAGCTTCGAAATTGCGGACTCAGCCTTTCCCTGTCACTGATGCCCTTCTGTGATATCCCACTCTTCCGCCGCGTTACTGGTCCAGTCAATATTCTTTGGATTGAAGACTCGCCCACGAACGTTGCGTCTGAACACCCTCTGATCATTCGCCCCACGCATCGCATGTAGGTCAAAGCCCAACTGTTTACGTCGTACCCATTTGCAGCCTCGACGGCCGCGACAGCCCCAAGTGAAGCATGCGCAACCTTTTCGAAACATAATATGCAAGCTTTCGCTGACAGCGCATGGTCTAGGGAACTTTGGCCTGCCTCAACGACTTCCCACTGCCACCCGACCTAATCTGCGGTGGCCTCGACTCCGACCTCCTAAATCCACCCCTCCGAAAGCCACTCTACCGCGCCATCGTCCCACGCCCGAACCCCTTCACGCTTCATAGACCTACTAGACTATCTTTCGATCGAAAATGGAAGTTCAGGGAGAGCAGGATGAACTCTACCCTATTGCTGTGTTGATTGACGAGCTGAAGGTGCGGTGAAACGTGTCTTGCACTGCAGACAGATGTTGACACTCGATAGCACGACGATGTACTTCTACGACTAAACGCGATCCACCGGTTGTCCACCATCGCGCTGGCGCTTGGTCCAGAACGGACAAGAGATGAATTGGTACCCTTTCTAGACGGTGGGTATCGCGCACGTGCCTTGGTCTGGTGTTGCTAACGCGGCTCTGCAGATTCCGTTGAGGACGAAGATGAGGTCCTGACCGCTCTGGCTGAAGAGCTCGGCAACTTTGTCGAGTATGTGGGCGGGCCGGAATACGGACATGTGCTGCTTGCTCCGCTGGAGAATCTGGCTGCGATTGAAGAGCCGCTCGTCAGAGACAAGGTAAAGCCTTTCCACATGCAGTCCTGCCGAGCTGACCGTGTCAGGCTGTAGACTCTCTGAACAAGATCTGTGACGAGCTCTCCGACGCGCAAGTCGAGGAGTCCTTCATCCCCCTTACGATCCGCCTCTCCAAAGCCGACTGGTTCACCTCGAAGATCTCCGCCACCGGCCTTTATGTTGCTCCATATCGGAAAGCTTCCTCCCAGTCCCAGCAAGGCCTCCGACAACAGTTCGGCCATCTGGTGCATGACGAGACACCAATGGTACGGAGACAGTCTGCCAATAATCTGGCCAAGTTCGTGAAAGAGGTCCCCATACAGATCGTCATTGATGAGATGATTCCACTTTTCCAGCATCTTGCGGGAGATGACCAGGACAGCGTGCGCCTGCTAACCGTCGAGGTTCTGATTTCCATTTGTGAAGTCATTCCCAAGGAGCAGCAGTCGAGCCACGGCGTTCTCTTGACAGCATTACGGAGCCTCTTCGAAGATAAGAGCTGGAGAGTCCGATACATGGTAGCAGAGAAGTTTGAGAAGATTGCCAAAGCCGTCAACGAGGAGGTGGTCACGAGGGATTTGGTGCCGGCCTTTGTCAAGCTGCTTAAGGACAGTGAGGCCGAGGTCCGGACTGCAATCGCCAGCCAGATCCCTGGCTTCTGCAGTCTGCTCGACCGTGAAACACTGCTCAACGAGATCATGACCAGCATCGAAGATCTAGTCTCAGACCCTTCCCAGCATGTGCGGGCCGCGCTAGGCACTCAGCTTTCCGGACTCGCCCCTATACTTGGCAAGGACGAAACAATTGGTCACCTACTGCCAATGTTCCTGCAGATGTTGAAGGACGAATTTCCGGATGTACGACTGCACATCATTTCCAAGCTGGAGCTGGTTAATGATGTTATCGGCATCGACCTGCTCTCGCAATCGCTGCTCCCCGCCATTGTCCAGCTCGCCGAGGACAAGCAATGGCGAGTGCGTCTCGCTATCATCGAGTACATTCCACTCCTTGCCAAACAGCTCGGCGTGAAATTTTTCGATGACCAGCTCAGTTCTTTGTGCATGGGCTGGCTCGGCGACACTGTCTTCTCTATTCGCGAAGCCGCAACCACGAATCTGAAGAAGCTTACCGAGGTGTTTGGCGTTGAGTGGTCGAGCGAGTCCATCATCCCGAAGGTTGCCCAGATGGGTCAACAAGCGAACTACCTCTACCGCATGACAACTTGCTTTGCGATTTCGGTAAGTCTTGCACTAAAACTGTGTTATTCATACGCTAATTCTTCAAAGACACTTGCCCCAGTCGTCACTCTTGACATTATCAGAGAACACCTCCTGCCCATCATGGACCGTCTCGTCGCTGACCCAATCCCCAATATTCGGTTCAACGTTGCCAAGTCATATGCAGTTCTAGTCGATACCCTGCGCCGCCTACCCGCAGAAGGCACCCTTGCTGAAGCTGCCGAGAACCCAAATTCTGCTCCCAGCTCCAAGGGCCAAGATCTCATTAGCACACAGATCTTGCCTCACCTGGAAAAGCTTCAACAAGATGATGACGCAGATGTGAGGTACTTCGCCACGACTGCCGCTGGAGGCAAACCCGGAGCACAGGAATCAAGTGAGCAGATGGATACGGAGCAGTAGAAGCTGGGTTGGGATAACATTGGTCTTAGGGGCGACGTGCAGCATGTGTGATGATGCGAGCCGGCGTGTCATCCGATTAGACGGAGAGTTCAACCGACAACAAAACTCGATACCAAAATCACGATGTATTTGAAGACAGTATGTGTGTCTACTGCGCGTTTGTGTGGCGTAGAACGGACGAACGCTGGGTCTAGAGACGCAAACTCCCGGAACTTGGCCAACCCCCTATCCTTGGCAGCCGAGTTGCTTTCAACGTCGTCCGTGACCTTGCTGCCCCTTGCACAGTACCCTATGCCTGCTTGTTGGCCGCTGAGTTGACATATTTTGGGCCATCGCGCCTTGACCCAGCCTACGTCCGTTGGCGTACAAGGCCAGGTAGGCCCTTTAGTCTGTCTCCGGTATCTGCGTTGTTCTCACTCTTGCTGATCTCCATCTCACTCTGGCTGTCTGTCTCATTCTTCTTCTTCTTCTTCTTCTTCTTCTTCTCCTCCTCCTGAGCAGCTGCAGCTTTGGAACGCGCTGCACTCCCGGCGCCCTGCACTCCTAGCCGTCTTGCCCTCAGGTACGGCTAGTAATCCTTCGGCATCTCTCCACTGGTCTCTATCTCGCTCTCACCTTGCATCTCATGAACGTTCTCGTCTTGTCCAAGGGCTGCTTCAGCACGCGCTGCCTTAGGCCGACTGTTCCTCACCACAGCAGTCGCAACTTCCGCTCCATAGTCCTCGACCTGCTCACCTCCTTCCTTTCCCGGCCTGATCTCCCTCAACTCCTGAATCCACGCCCGCATCTGCTCGTTGCGCCGTCCCTGCTCCTTCAGAAACATGTCCACGCTTTCATTGAGGTGCATGGCACGAATGGTGGTGATGGTGATGTTGTGTAGCACGTCCTCCATCGTCTCGTCTTTTGCCTTTGGGGCGAGGTACAGTGATTCAAGGTGATCGTCTCGCTGCGCGAAGGAGAGGTGGGAGAGGTGGTTGGACAGGTCTTCGCGCATGGTGGCGTTCAGGTGGGCGAAGGCGGTGCTGGAAGCGGAGATGGTGATAGGCTTAGCTGCGATTGTGGCGGGCGTGGTGGAGGACTGGTCGGCGCTGTTGGCGGCGTCCGTGGCTGTAGATACCATGGAAGTGCTGGTGATAGAGGTACGTATGGACTCGACGTGTGCTTTCACGCTAGGCAGTTGAGCCACTGCTGATGGGCTGATGCAGATGACTCTGGGCTTGGGTCTCGTGGACCCCACTGCACTGGAGCTGGGACCATGGTCGTGAAGGTATGATGCCGCTCGACTGATGCCGACTGTCTCGTTACTGTGTTTGGCACGATTGACTCCTGCTGTTCCCTTCCTGCCATTGACGGGCCGAGACTGAACGTTGAGTCTTGAATCAGTCTTGATGGTCGAATTCCCCACCAGGGTTTGCGAGCTGCCAGGAGGTTGGTGCTGAACGCCGTCTAGGGTCTCGAGCTTGAGCTGTCCGAGAATGAGCTCTGCCGCAGTGCTCTCCTCTGAATCATCCTTGATCTTAATCTGACCACCATGTTGGTCCAGAACCTTGTTGCCGCGGGCAATAGCCTGACAGAAGTTCTCAATGTGCTGGTGTACAGTGGCGCGGTGTGACTCTCTTGCTGGTCGTTCCCGAGGTGTGTGTGGAAGATTCGGCCGCCCGAGGCCCGGGATGATATTGAGGCGAGCAAAAGCGCGTGGTGAGGTGTCGATGCCGATTTCACGAAACAGCCCCTCCATCTCGTCGAAGGTCATGTTGTCAGCATAGTTGTGCGCGCATCTTTGTGAATTGCGGAGGAGGATGAGAAGTGGATGCTGAAGACTGGCCCAAGGCATGAGGTGGCTTTGGAAAAGAAAGGGTAGACGAGCTAGGAACTGGAGGATGTAGTCGTGAAGATGACCTTTTGTGCGACTTTTCGTCGCGCTTTATGGTTGGCACGGTGTCTTGTCTAAAAGGATCAACTGCGCAATAGCAAACTAACAATGATACAACGCCTGATAAGGGTGGTTGATCTTAATAACTTTAGTAGACGCGTGAGAATATTCTGTAAGCAGTGTTCCAGGTAGACATCCAGTAGAGTACAGATTGTTAATTGAACATACTATGAGTATTGGGTGAGTATATTCCCATGTTTCAGGCAGCTGTCTTGCAGGCTTCCTTGGGATGTTTGAACAACGACCGAACAATTGGTTCAAGCCCCTTGCTCATGTTTGTGCATTGTCAGGATGTAGAACTGGCGACTGATGGTATCTTTACCTATGACTCGAAAGGATGCTCTATTTGCTATGAGAATTAGCGTAAGGCTCTTTAATCACTATTGCAAGGTTTTAGAGCCTCAAGCTTTTGGCGAAGCATTACTATCCCCCTTGTAGTAATGGTTCTCACTACGGATGCTAAAGTGAGCTGTCGTGGTCTAAGCATTGTACTAGTCACTACATTGTGCTATAGAGCCACATCACTGAAACGCGTCAAGTAGTCCAATCGAACCGACAACAGTAAGGTATGGCTCAGGGGTCATCACTAGTAGAACTATCCCGTTTGCATTTGATTGCTACCCGCGTTTGAGCGCGGACTTGCTCATCATCGCATAGTGAAATGGCTGACATGACTGAACGACAGCGATCGCGAATGGGAATCTCGACTATAAGTAGTGCCCCTAGCTGCCTACCTCCCCGAATCAGAGCCAGGATTATACTTGCAACCATTCCGTCGTCAAGAACACGATTAAATATCACCCGGCTCAATATGCGTAGCAAGTCCAAGAACAACGTCGATACATCTCTCGGTGATGCCAGATATGACCCTTCTACCAAGAGCCGAGGTGCCAACGAGGAGCTAGCCGCCCCAACATACAGTCAAGAACCAAACCCATCGTATCCATCTTTCCGTGATGATCTAGTCAAGCCCACCACCAAGACATTGAGAAAAGCTCTTAACAAAAGCGTCACCCCGAGTGACAGCGTCAGCCAGGTGCCCAAGAGACCGAACAAGTCTCTTGAGATCGAGCGGCGCCGCACTCCTTGGGCGAAGCCTTCGAACTCGCCACTTCTTCAAGATTACCCTCCAAACGGGCTTCGACAACAAGCTTCCAGGCCGTACGGTTTGGCATCAACTCCCCTCAGGCGGCGTCAGCACTACCCCTCACCTGCTGGGCCCCGTGCCGTGCATTTGGATGCAATATCATGCGCGCACCGCTGGTTGAAAGATGTGGAAACAGACATCACGCCGCCCCTGCCGCGTCAGTATCGTCCAGGACTTGATCCTCGTCGCAAACTATACTCGGGTTCGGTTCAAGCCGAGGCTTCGTTGACGGATCGGAAGTTCGACAATCTGGCTCATGAAGCATTAAGGCTCCAATACCAGGCAAAAGCCGAAAGGCCCAAGCGCCGACAGGAGCGAGCAACTGAAGCTCAAGACAGTGCCAGAGGGCAAAGCAAGGGCCAAGACAGGGGCAACTACCCCGTCAATGCTTGTCTAATCCCCACATCGAACCAGTACAGCGGCACTCAAGCTGGTCCCAAGACGGTCAAGGAGCTGAGAGCGCATGTCACGCGTCTGCAAGCCGATAACCAGCTGCTGAAGGAGGACATTGAAGGCCTTTGCAACGAAGTTGCAACGCTGAGGCGAAAACTACGGGGCCGAGATGCGACACAGGAGCGGACAGCGGCCCTGTTGCAGCAGTACAAAACGAAGGCGAGCCAGGTCAGTAAGTTGTGGGAGGAGATGGCGATCATGCATATCTGAAGTCAGATATCTGTATGCCAAAGCCGCAGCTTGAGGCCTGCCCATACCCGATCCTTCAAACGCATGGAGCAATCAGTTCGATATGAGGCTGGGACTCTTGTGAAGCATCAGCCGCGGTGGGACTGATAATCGCACTACGACCAGATACAGGACTGCATGTAGTCACAAATTACATGTCATATATTGGGACAGCATTTATCGTACACGCGTATGATGCTGATACACACCCCACAGCTCCGTGGCAGAGCTAACTACCCTGCCCACGGAATGCTCTGAGACCGGAACAGGCTGACCATTCCAATGGGCAAGACACCGTTATCCACGATGTTCAAGCCACCAAATCTACGCAGTACTTCCGGACCATGCAATCCCAGGATCCACTTCCAGTAAGGCTGTTGCAAGTTAGCGTGTGAGACATTTAGCTCAAGCGCAATATTACTTACCTGCATCCCATACCAGTTCCCATTGATACCACATTTACCAGCCTGTCCTACAACGCCTCCCCTGTCCATCAGATTCAACGCAGTGGTGATCTCGGTGCTGGCAGTGATGGACTCCTCATCCGGCTGTCTCATCAGATTCAGGAAAACGCCCGCCAAGTAGTAATTCCCTTCAGTTTGAAACTCTTCACGGTACCTCGAGTATTCTTCATAAGAGAAGAAAGTATCCGGGTTTGCTGGCACATAGTTCGGATAGTGCCGGCCGGCCCTGGGAACGCTACCACTCTCGAAACGCTTCTTGGCTTTATGATATTCTTCCAGCTCCGTTTCCATTGTCAGTGCGACTAATCTCTCCGGGCTCTTCAAGACTGCGTCTCGCAGCTGCAGTGGAATTACGAAGGGATTTCGCAGCTCCAGTCCGCCTAGCGCGGATGGGAAGAACACGTAACCTTCAGGGATGTCACTGATCCCGAAGCGGGCCGACAATGTGGCCTTGAGGTACTCCACGACACTCGAGACGTTGTCTTCGTCCTCAAATATCTTACGTTGAGCGCGTTGGAGCGTCGAAAGGATGTGGTCGATATGTGCTTGGCCAAAACAGTTCACAGGCTTGCCAAAATTCGTGGTAAAGAACTTGTCGGCGTACGCATTCCAAGCCTCGATCCATGAGAATATCGAGGAGGTCTTTGCACGGAGCTGGCGCTTAAGGTCTCCAACATGCCGATTGATCATCTCCTGGTCAATCTCGAAGCGTGCCGACTTTGGATCCAAGTACAGGAACCCCCATCTGATTGTGCCATGTGGTAGGAATTGGCCGATCCGACTCTGGTCATTCCCGACTCGAACACCTCCACACTTGTCTTGATAGAGGTCCAGGCCCATGAGTTTTGAGAACTGTGTGATCGTCTGCCAGGCAACGACACTGATATCGTCGTTCACGGACCAGAACCAGAAGTCGTCATATACTCGCCACAAGCGACATCCATTGGTTGCCTGGTTGACACTCAAGTCGAGACAAAACAGCACAGATTCGCCAAGCATGTCGCTCAGTGGGTGAGATCCAGGCACACCGCGCTTTCGATGATGAACAGTCTCCTCGTCCTGAAAGCCCAGCGGCGCCTCGAGGAATGTCCGGAAAAAGCCCATCCATCTCTGGGATACGCCAAAGTATTGTAGTATTGCCAGGATTGTGGAGTGCGGCAGCAACGGGTTCCAGCTCGCAAATTGTCCACGGAAGGCTGTCAAGCCTCCATACAAGTGCTTGTTAATAAGAATTTCGGTACTCAGTAAGTGGAGCAGTATTTGTTTCGCTTGAGTAGGATTTCCTGGGCGCTTCACGAAGTCAGGATCGTCGTCCACATACTGACTCTCGCCTCGAGCCATCATGCGCTTTTTGTTCTGCTGTTCCAGCTTCATCAGCTGTTGCGCTTGAAGCTGATGATTCAACTGTGCAGCCTGCATAGCTCGCATGTCTTGTTGAGCCATTGGAACACGTGTAGCCCCTTGAGCTTGCACGACGGGCTGTGTGCCGCTGGCCTTCCTCGCCGTCTGCATGGTTTGTGGCTTGGGCTGAGGTGCGAAGTCGGCTTCGACTTCCCCTTCAGCCTGCATGATGCCGCTGGTTTCCGAGTCCGGAAGCTGAGCCAGAAAGTACGAGCTACTCCACAGGGACTCTCGTTTGGATTGCAGGCCTTTTCGGCTTTGGTAGCCCAGGTAGTACTCACGGCGCTTGAGGTCCTCCAGGGGCATGACCTGCTTAGCTGACGCCCATGCACCGTCTGCATTTACAAAAGCATTCAAAGCACTTTTGAGAAAGACTGACCACTTCACGCCGATGTACTGGAGAAAGATAGCCTGCAAAAGATCTTCGTGCATGATGATGTGAAAGTGCCCCTGTATCTTTCGTTTTTGCTCAAGAGGCACGCGATCTCCCCAACTCCAGGTGTCAATGCTGCTAATGCGCAAATTTAGTACATCTGCGAGCTCGTTGAGGATTATCGAATTGGGTAAGAAGTCACGAAGCACGTTGCGCTTGTCCTCAGTCAGGAGATCACTGGCGAGTAGGCCATTGATAACCCAGACGAGCACACTTTCATTGAATTGGCCAGGCCGAGCAAGTTCATTTTGGAAGCCCGCCATCTTCTTGCGTAAGGCTTGCAAAGCCTTGAACGCCTGCTTATTAACACCAGTCTCACCGAAGAGCTTCTTGAGGTAGTCAGTGATGGCGGTGGTGTCGGTGTCGAATGGTTCGAAGACCGTCTGGGCCCACTCCGCACGAGATTCAAGCATCTGCTTGCTCTCCAGCTCCTCAAATCCCGACATCTCGAGGTCATCGGCAGGCTCTTCTTTGACGCCGATCTTCTTCTCGGCCGCAAGCCATTCAGTCACGAGCTGAGCGTACAGTGAAGCATACTCGAGTCGAGAAGACTGCACGTTTAGCTGTTGATGGAGCTCTCGCTCCCAGTCTGCCAACAAGCTCGGAGATACCGATGGATCGTACTGAGGTTGAGTAAGGAATCGTTCCAGGTTACTAAGCTTTTGCTCGAGCTCATAGTGCTTGCTGCTTCCAGCGACCACTCGGCCGTTCATGGATCGGATTCCGAACGTGGTCTTGACACCGTCGACGAGGACACGGAGCTTGGCAGTATCGGTGGACTGATTTGCGGCGGCCCCAAGCAAGATGCCTTTGGACTTCTCGAAAACGGCTCGCTTCCTCTGGAGTTCGCCAAGCTTGGCATCGATAATGGATTGCAAGGTCTCTGAGTAAATACCACCTGCCGAGGTAGCCATGGTGGATTGAAGTACCGAGTTGACTGGACTAAAGTTTAAAGCTGGAGGTCAAATAAGTGAGTGTCGTCAACTCAGGCGTCTTGTCGCGAGGGGCTCGTGTGAAGCGAATCAGGTAGGCAGCAGGAATACGGTTTAGGGATTGACGAAGTACAGTGATATCGAGTACACAGAGAGAGTGAGGATCGTACGACATTTGAGGACGAGGACGACCCTAATATACTGGGGGTGGAAGAGGTAGGCAACAGCGCGATCTACATTGTGGTGCTGCCAGACTAGGTTGCCTCGCGACAGGGGGTGGATCATGCCATCACGTGAGGCGAACTCCGGTCTCTTGGCACTACCGAGCCGCTCTCAATGGTAAAACTGATCAGAGCCTCGAACTTGATCACTTCCTTGAAAGGCACTCCGATCGCTCGAACGACAAGTCAACAGTGTGTTCAGTCGCCTGGAGACAAGCACATGCAGCGTGCTGCACCGACACAATATCAGTCGCTTGCATCGCACCTATAGCCTAAATCGCCTCAGCCGCTCCATGCGCCCCGCGAGGCCCGTTACGCTTCACACCAACCACCACGCAACCACGATCGCGAACGCAAGTACGGCCACAGTGTCTATGATGACCAAGCAACACAGTAGCGCTCTATTGATAGGCCCCTCACGCAGCTTGCACAGTTTTTGCATTTTCGCATGAGCAAGAGGCTGGTCCGGGATCTGTAAGTCAAGACAACTTCAGGGAAACCCCACGAATTTTTCATGTCAAAGTGGTGAACGTGTCTGGAGCCTCTTGGTCGCACAACACACCAGATGTTCGGTAAGTTCTACAATGTGTGGGGCTTGTTTTACGCTCCGATCTCGAGCACATCGAAGCCACGACACTAATGAATGTGAAATGTGCTCAGGAGATCAGACCCCTCCGTTGAAGCTAACATGATCAGTTGTGTATCTACTTTTAAGCCTTTGGACCACGTGTGCGAGACATCTTTCCCGTCAGCGTATTCTTCACACACGCTGAAGAAACTGTTAGGGAGACAACGGTCGTACGATGTTGTTGTCCCGTCCTAGAGGGCCTGTTCTTCTCGCGGACGGCCCACGGCAGCTTGCCTCAAATCGTGTAACGAAAGTTAGGGTCGCCCTCCAGGATCTTCCCTTCCTTGTCAGCCTTGCGATTTTCCCGACGGAAGATGATCGTATTAATCACCACAATCGCGATGATAAGTACGTTGCATGCCAGACCTGCATAGATGCCTGGACGGTAGTGAGGGCGATCCTGGCTGCGGAAGATGAGCGAGCCAGCGATACCTCCAATACCGCCAAAGCCAATCAGCGTGGCTGAAGAGAATGCTCGTTTCCAGTGCCCGCGGATGTTGTTGCCTTGATAGGCAAGGCACGTGGGGATGCCTCCTTGAGCACTGGCGCAAATGAGGAAAGTGCCGACAAAACGTACAGCAGGTTGAGTCGCAAAGCCCTGAGGTCGTCAGCTATGGCCCATAAAACATCGCCAGTGAATTACCAGAAGCGGTAGACCAATGAGACCAAGTGCACAGTTGACCAACAGCAGAGGGCCACGGATATGGTACTTGTCGCCAACCCATGCCAGGCCGTACATGAGGATGGCTGCGAAAACATACTGTGGAGCTGACAAGCACTGCGACATGCCCACGCTCATCCCCATGTTCTCTCGCAAGACAACCGGCAGGAAGCTTGCCTTGTCAGCTTCAGGTCAACTCGAGGTGTCATGAGGTACTTACAAACTTAGTGCGTATGCCATGGTGGTGAGTGCACTATGTCCTATCAGTATAAGGATCCACGGAGATCGTGTCGACTTACAACAGGATCATTGCAAACATCCACACTTTCCAGTCTTTGCCGGCTGAGGCCCACTTTTTGAAGTTCCAGGGTTCACCCTCGGCGTCATTTCGGTCCCTGTTGATGCGCCGAAGGACGAATTCGATTTCATTTTGCTTGAGGAAACCCCAATGATTCTTCTTGATGGCTTGGTCGGGGAAATCCACAAGGAAAATATATCCAGCAATGCCAATAAGACAGGTTATGACGCCTTCGATGATGAAGATCCATCTCCATCCTCGGTAATTGGCTAGACCATCCTGCAGAGGTGAGCTGATACTTCTTCTCTGTTAAGTGCTGTGCTCACCATCTGTTGTAAGCCGAAAGCTAGGATGCCACTTCCCCCCGACGCCAAGGAGCCGAGCAGGTAGAAAACTGCGTATCGTTTTTGCATATCATATCGAGCGTACCATGTCGAAATGAGATAAACACAGCCTGGGAAGAAACCTGCTTCGAAAAGCCCAAGCAGAATGCGAAGCGGAATCATTACTGTCCAATCGTTGGGGAATCCGAACCCGATCTGCAGCAGGTCAGTGGACTGAGTGGCATGTTTTCTGGCCGATCAAGGCAATTATACCATGACAACGCCCCACGCAAAGCACAAGCCAGACAGGAAGGGTCGGGGCCCAAGCTTTCTCGTCAAGACTGTTGCTGGAGGCTGGAAAATGGTGTAGGTCGTGAAGAACACAAGTGCAATGGTGGACTGTGCTCAAATGTTAGCCCGCCCTTCAAATACCCAGACTGGCACTTACATATCGGAACCCAACATTCAAGTTAAGCTCGGCGGTCATGCCCGCAATGGCGGCGTTAGGAAGATTGGATCGGTCCATTAAACTGACCATACTACATTCTGGTCAGATGTATTCCAGGACCAAGAAGGACCGGAGCAATAAGTGGCGCTGCCTGTACAGAATCCTGGGACACATGTTCCAGATCTCCCACACAATTTACTTGCCCCGAACCACTCTGCTCAAAGACTTACTACATGCAGCCAGTCGTAATCACCAGTCGTCGGTCAATCTTATGAATGATCTTCCGCTGCTGCGCATAGGTAAACTCCGGGTCGTCATCTAGAGCCACCGGCATGGGCTTTTCGGGGGCATCTTCGAGCTGGTCGGTATTGCCCAAAGTCTTCTCCGGTTCAGCCACCGCAACACTTTCTTGGCGCTTATTCTCGGACATGATTGCACAGCAACAGAAGGCTCGACAAAAACGCGGATGTGTCCAACGCAGACGTCTTACATTTATACTCGGTCTCATTTGGCGGCCCTCGGTAAGTGCAAGAACGTGGTCTCGGATCCCGGTGCCCGCGGGTATCCCACCATACCCCAAGTTCTTATCTGTGGCCTGAGCCCACTGTGTGACGCCTCAGCGGAACCGACAAGGAAAGTTGCAAGTCTTGGAAGCTGACTGTCGCAAAGCTCATTGGTCCGGAACTGCTGCTAGGACTTGTCAGGCTCCGCCCCCCAAGAACTTGCCGGAGCTCGTCTAGAATTCCTTGCGACAGCTGGTTGGAGAAATTGCGGAGGACTGTAAACTATGCCTCGGTAGCTAGCTAAACTCCGAAGAAACTCGTACAATTGAGTAAGTTCCTCAATGGGTCTCGCTCACTCATTACGGCTAGTTTCCGAGGCGACTTGATGTTGCAGTCGCTTGTCGAGAAACATCAGCAATGTGACTGCCTCCCTGCTGAGCATCCCTGCGGTTGGACTGGCCATGTATGGTTTTATGCAGAGTTCACTGTGCGTCGAGCCTTGTGCTTCCGACGCTAGTCGAGTACATTGCAGTCCCGTACCAAGTACTTCACACCACGGGTGAGGGCAGTCTCACCCTACTCCACAGCAGAGGCTCGAGGAAACAGTGCGGTCGCTCAGTCTTCTGGAATTTTGCGACCGACGTGGCTCTTGTGGCCAGGTGCTGTCACTATGCTTCTATTCGCCCTCATCATATGCCTGCATGGTTTCACATGATGCCTCCAATATGCTACGGATAACGACAAGCAGGCATAATGCTTGAAATGAGTTTGTCACAGGCTTCGGCTGCCTGTTACGAGAAAATGAAGGTAGTCTCACCATTGCATGGATATTTGGTTCCATGGTTGCATAGCATCCAGCTCAGCTGCTACATCATTACAGGCGCAGCAGCATGGGTGCTAGCACCACATCACCCGGCGAGATATCCAGGCCTGAGGAAGATGCGTCATACTACCGGAATCTCCTTGCTCAAGCCATCAATGGTTTCAAACGTTATGATGGCTGCAACAACCCCCTCCTTATTGATCAATCACATCCCCCCTCCGTCGTCGAAGCACTGACTACCATCGGAGCCTACAGCGACCAACCTTTTCGCCCCACCGCAGCACTAGCAGTGATGACTATGCATGGTCACCTCGTTCACCGAATATCTGTTGACCTATTGCAGACTTCGCTTAAGTCCCTCAGAGACGCTTCGAAAGCCGACAATACCAATCAAGACTACCAGCTCGTGGAGCTAGATGGGCGGTGCATCGTCAATGCTCCGCGAGCTGGTTTCGCGATTGAGAAGTGGCGCGATGTCAGAACTCGTCTAGAGCGTCTCAAAAGCTGCCTGCGGATCGATCAAGCAATCTTCGGAAAGGCATTGGTACAGGGGACCGCCAAATTCATCGACGATAAGAGAGAAGAGGTATTGACTTATTTGGCTTCCGATCTCCAAGTCCAGCCGAACGGGGAAGGCTAGAGCAAGTGAAATATGACTAGAGAAACTCTGTCCCTCAACCTACTTCAACACTATACCAAGATGCAGCTACTCTTTTGATGCTTTGGAAAAACGTAACTCACATTTTCGGCTTTATTGGGATAGCAAAGGTGCGTGGCAATTGATCTATAGAGCCGACTAGAAGATCCCGCGACTCCAATTCAACAGCAACGCCTGAGCAAGGCTCCGACCTGCCGACGTTTGTAAGTCCACCATTCCCGACGCCCCAAGATTAGACTCCGCAGCAGCATCCCTCTCCTCTCGCGATGCACCAATGAAGTTATAGAATAGTGCCTGACGCACTCGAAGCACAGCGTCATAATCATCAGCACCCAACTCTGAAGAATCCAACTGCTGCTCCTGGAGCTCCGCTTCTTCGCCGTCCTCCGCATGACAGGTGACTTCTTCAGCACCCTTACACTCAGTAACAGTCTCAGTCAGCTTCCTACCCAGCAGCTCCCACTTCTTGATCTCTTTGTCGATCATGCTCGCCGCCTCCCGTGCGTCGGGCCTATGCCCGCGAAGGCGTTTCTGGATGAGCCTTCTCGCAACAGCGACATCGGCGTCGATCTTGGCTAGTGCAATGTTGATGAAATGCGTAAGGTGGTCGGCTTTCAGATCAGGACAAGTGGCCTGTGAGCGGGCCTTGAAAGCCTTGAGTTGGTCGTAGACTCCGGACGCCACGAGGGGAAGGACATCTTCGAAGAGCCGCGAGTTCTTGGTGCGTAGCTCTTTCAATGTCAGGGGAATACTGGCCTGCAGCTCCTCCATGTCGAGAAGCTGTTGTCTCTTCGGCTCCGTTTTCTCGTCGGACGTGGTGGACGACATTTCTGATCCGAAGATTTCGGGTGCCGTTTGAGACCTGTCAGATCTTGCTACAGCCCCCTTTTGTGCTTCGAAGGAACGGCGTCCGACAAAGCGCCTCGTCCAGTCTTCCAGACAATGCATACAGGCATCAACAAAGGTTTTCACTTGTATCATCTTTGTCTATGAAGTGTATTGATGCTGCATTGTTGCCCACTGACAGATGCCGAGCTTCGAACATCGAACATCGAACATCTACAGAAGCAGCCAGCCTGCCACGCGCGATCGCGGGGCGAATCTCAATGCACACCCACTGTCTGATACGTGAGTCGCATACAGTCATGCCTGTAGACACCTACTCATGCTGCAGCAGCAGCTACCCCAGACCGAGCAGCTAACTTCGCATGGTCCTGCTTCATCGGGACAACACCAGTTTCGCGCTGGACGAATTTCTACTCATTGGCCACCGTATCTATTCAGATATTGCCCGTCCTGGGTTCAGCTGCGCCACTGTTCTCCGTGATAGGTGAGCTGCAGGTAGCGTTGCGACAGTATTGAACCGTCCCCTCGACAAACGTCGTGAATCAAAGGCATGTTTAATCCACATCTGCCGTGTATTAGAGACGCCCACTCTGACCCCGGCAGTACTATTCGGCCTTCTGCGCCGCGTTACGCATAGTGTACCGGGAGGGCCGTAAGCGTAAGCTATGCCACCAGTTTGGTCGAGGATTGGCGAAAGTAGTTATCGTGAGATTGTTTATCATTTTGGTAGGCCCTGGTTCGACAACGTCAAACTGCCTATCAGGATGAGACACAGCCTAAAGGAATAATTCATGCACATAAGAATGAACCCAGTGTGGCACTGAGCTCGAATCTATTAGACTACCGAAAGTGGTTTCTGCGCGTACACTACGTGTCTTCACAACTAGTCAGCTGATGGTCATCCCATGTTGCACACGACTTACAGATCATGCATCGCCTGCAGCCTCGGGTTCCTCAATTCCTCGCGCAACTTAGCGCACAGCGCCAGTACCTCTTCCGGCGTATAGTTTGCCAGAGTTGTGAAGATCCTCATCGAGAGACCCTCCATGTTCTCCAAGAACTGTACAATGTCAAAGGTGCCAATCTCTTTCAGCGCTTTGTCCTTGGGCCATGGTCCGATTGGGATAGGGAGAAGCTCATGATGGATGTTGACAAAGCCCGCATCCTCCACCCACTGCTTGAGTTTGGGACCAGGCTCAGGCTCCAGGCCGGCTCGCTGGAAGGCTTCGATGGCTTCTTGACACCATTTATCTAGGAGGCATCCGGGCTTGAATTCGCCTTGCTGCGTGTACCAGTGCATCTCAAAGTCTTGAAATTCGACCCATCCACCCGGCTTGGTGTGCCTGGAATGGAGTTCAGTACCTCCAGATTCTTTGAGTTATTTCATAGGATTCCGGGTAGACATACTGAAATGCTTGTCGCATTAACCTGGGCCAGTCTTTGAGGGACCCAGCCATAGAGCGTGAGTGGATGTAGTCGAAAGGAGCGTTGTATGCCCAGTCGCTCTCGATATCATCGACCTCGAAGGAGACATTCGGCGGAACACTGTGGCTATTCAGGCTTCGATGCCAATACAGAGGACGCTGCAAGCTTACCTCGAGGGCTGCACCGGGCTCAAATCGTTTCCAAGAATCTGAACACTCTGTAAGTCAACCGTTCAGTCGAGGAGTCCACGCACCTGTGCCGAAGGGTACAAATCCCCCATTTCAATCGCCCAGATACCAGTCCCAGTACCAATGTCAAGGATGCGTTGCGGGTCCGCAAGAGGGGCGAGATGTAGTGTCTTGCCTAGCCTGAGGCGGATGATATGGTGATGCATATCCAGACGTTGAAGCTCAGCCTACGTTCGACGTCAATGTCAAGATGCAGCGGGGTGGACGATAGTGAACCTCATCGTTCGGGGCCCAGTACACTGGGTTGTTAGTGAGGTCTTCGCGGAGCAGCACTCAGACTGACCTGTTCCCGCACTGGTTCGATCGGCATGATATCGTCGACCATTTTCGTATTTGAAAGCCAGCACGCTCGATTTCAGAGACGTGGTGTAACTCTCTCTATTACATTTTCAGCCGTGTTCGAGCCTTTCGAGTTGGTGCACGGTACGTACGCATCGTTACCAATAGCCGAGTCCACGTCGGACAAGATTTGATCCTGTGTCAAGTCAGCGCGCGGCGTGATGGCTGAAGCTTATTTTATACATCATCGACATCAATGTGTTCGTCGTCGCGCAGAACGGTCGGGGCTGCCATAGTGCAAAATTGCGTCTGAAGATTGTCGAGGTCGAAAGACACCCATCTGCTGCAAGAGCGTCTTAACTTGGCCCTAAGATGATCGGAGTGAGGTGGCACTTCCGCACGTGCTTAGCAGTTTGCTGTCATCCGTCCGTGGTACTAGTGTTTCTTCTGCCTTAGCCATGCGGCTACATAAGTACGCGCAGTAGCACCTCCGCTGTACGCAATCGCCTATTCATCCGGTGTTGGTCGATCTTTGTACTACGCGATAGCCGCGTCTCCAGTACGTGAAGCTCTGGGACTAATGCATCGGCTGTTGTTCGGAGCGAGCTTCCGTGACAGTCCGACCGCTAAGCGGACCAATTCGACTTGTCTGCCAGGGAACACCAGCAGGGATGCGTATGCATGTGAGGGTTACATTGCAGGAGTATGTTGTGATTGTGCATCGGCTGATAAACGGCGCATGTGCATACTGGATAGCGAGCTCAAGTCAAGTTTCCTTCTTTCTCGAACTGCGTATCTTCATACTGGGACTTCATCACCGAGGTTGACGAAGATACACTTTTGGGAGTGAAAAAGTCCAAGCATAAGGTAGCATAGAGCGGCTCCTCTGCTTCACTCACAACACTTGGACGACTGTTCGTGGTCGTACAAGAACTCAAGCGTGGTCTTGTGGCATCGACATGCTGGTCGGTTTTAGGTCTCTTCGGCTTCGATCCTTTTTGCTGATCGTCGCATGTCGGCGCAATTCTCAGCGTCGTCAAAGCGTTTGTAGCTTGTGGGATATCGCGCTTCAATTCTGGAAAGCTTTCGAAGAAGTCGACCGTGCCTGGGTAACACCGCAAGTCTACGATCCGATCGTAGTACATGTTAGAGTACGAGTACTTTTCGGTCATTGGATCCCAATCGTACAGCTCGTGCGGATTATCGCTCCACGTGAACTCAATTTCGCACCGTAGGTTGTTCATAAACTTGTCAGTGGCAAATGTTGTAGGCGAGAAGACCATACGCTCGCGCAGGCCTGGCCAAGGGAAGTATTCAATCAGCGGATCATGCTCCATGTTCTCCTCGGCTGGTCTCGGTGCAAAAAATGAGGGTACGCGGCTGCCCCATTCACTGTTGCGAAACATCTGTCGAAGAAAAACAAGTCGACAATTTCGCAGGTGCATCAATCTGAAAGGCTCGCAGCGGTGGAAGTAGATGCGCTCGTCAACCTCTTTGAGCCACTGCCAGCCTTTGTCGAGAGGGTATTTCTCCGATACAGAAGACCATCCTTCAAAAACTGCACGAATAGCGATATCATCGTCGTGTTCATAGTTGATCTGACTCGGGTGCACGGTAGCAAGTATATGGCGCAGTAGTACACCAGCGATGTACCACATGCGACCATCAAGGCCGGTATTGCTGGAGATATCGGAAGCCATCTGCGTTATAGATTTCCTTGACGCTTGTTGTATATGTAAAGATTTTGCTGGCGCTACACGTGTTTGGGATCCATCGGAGTCCGTGGTGTTCGGAGATGCGGTGGAAGTATCTGTCGGAAGCCCCCCGCCATTCACGAATTCATCATCAGCTTCGAGCTTCACAGGGGTCGGTTCCTTTGGAGACATCCAGACCGTGCTGCTTCGAGAATCAGGTTTCGCGGCATTGTCGCCAGTTGATGTGGTAGAGCCACCAACGAGCTTAGCTACAGCGCTTAAAAGTCCTTGTAGCCGCTCAACCTCGGTCTTCTGCTGATCGATCTGCTGAATCAGTGTGGTGGTTCGATCTTTGTCACTGCCTTGAAGCGATTCGACGAGATTCTCCAGATGCGTGATACGGTTTTTCGTCTTTTCTCGATTTGTTCGTTGCGCTCGCCTATCGAGCTCTCGCTTATGCGCGAGTTGAGCAGGGGTCAGCTTTCTCTTCCGGCCGCCCGATGGGACCCCGGCTGAGCCGTCAGCCATGGCTTTCGACACTGCACAGAGTCCTTTGATGGTACTCGATGAATTGGAACAATGGCGTGGGATCAGGGGCCAGGGTGGCAATCATCTCGCAAACAACGGAAAACGTTTCCCACAAAGAAGAAAGGGAGAAATGCGGGGGTGGAGTGTTTTAGGCGGCGGCAAAGTTGCTCGGAAGGGGCTCTCGTTCGGATCTAGTCTAGTGCGAACCTTTCGGGAACCCGGGTCGATCATGCGGCCATGGCAGCTGAGGCGGAGTTGCCCCTGTTGGTCCAACTTGCTGCCACCCTATCATACATGCCAAAACCTGTCCCTGTCACCATGCAGCTCCCACCCGGACCGCAGCCTTGCAGCAAGTGACTTGTAGCGGTCGAGCTCTTTTTCAGACATCGCTACAGCACCGGGATCGGGCGTGCTACTTGGCAGGTGCTGCGTACTCGTTTGAGCATGCATTCAGCTTGCAACCGTTGTCGTCCGGCACCAGCGAAGATCTGAATCACTCGATACATGGCCAGACAAAATGGCACATTTGATGTCAAGCATACGCCGCATTCTAGGGTTACCTTTCAATGGACTCAAGAAGGAGGTTGATGCCTGTTTGGAAATTAGAGATAACCGAAAGTGAGGCAAGGGGTGGAGTCTTTATGCAACACGAGATCTGACAACGTCCTCGTACGCCTTGCAGTTTCAGGATTGACAGATACCACTGGTCTGTGTAGTGACAGGAACATCAGAGTCCTCGATCTCGTAGGCCTTGGGACGGATGACTGCGGTAATCCTGTCTATGTTTCCACTTTGACGTCTACTTCCTGCTGCTAACACGGAACCTATATCCATAGCGTAATGTACAGCACATGACTGAAATGAATGTTGCTAAGTGTAAAGACGACACCATGGGAATGAGGCGACGTTGTGTCAAAGGTGTGAATACTAAAATACTAGTAGGAGGCTGTGGAGCCCTGCGGCGGGGTTCATTGGCACATTAAGACAAAAGAACGGATGTGGCATCCACTCCTTGTCGTGTAACCTTCGGGACAAGGGACACACTCCCGGCATATCCGCCGCTGACACTCGAGATGATCCTGCATTGACCCACAATAGCGCCGAGCGAAACCCGACCGTTGATGTTTCCCCGTCGGGCGAAGGGACAGTACGTACGAGTACCTACACCCTGGGGGCACGCCCGCAGTCATGAAAGATTAACTCCACCTACTTGTCAGAGCAGGTAGGTCACTAGATTGATCAACTGAAGCCGGTAGGTCCTTCTCCTCCTGCTTCAACAGGCAAATGGGTCTAAAGTAACGATGACTGCGGGCGCGCACCTAGGATGCAACGCATTTCTTTATGCAACAGGGCCCTGGCTGTCGCTGTTCCTCCTACCAGCGGCAGATGCAAGGCACCTTAGATCGGCGGACTCTGGTTTGTTTACACCCGCCCAGCGGACCGATACTCGAGCAGATCCAGCATTCGGCCAATCACAATGTGTCTTGGCTGCCCAATCTGGCAAAAGGCTTCTTGTTACCGCCGTTGAGTCTGAGCTGTCCCATCATGGGCAACATAGGAGCTGAGCCACTGTGTCACCAGGATAGATCTATCAGCGATTCAGCTGTCTCTCCTTGCGAAGGCAACACGTCGCAGATACACATAAGTTTCCAAGACTACGACTGGATAAATCTCAACGCAAACCATCCTCCTCCTCGGCGCGACGGCGGTTGCACCAACTCCTGTCTGACACATGCCCTCCGCGCCGGCCATGAGTGTATTGTCCTCGTCCGCACACCCAGCAAACTCACAGAGATTGTCACCAGCCTCCAAGATTTACACCCAACCCTCCTTGCCTCCAACCTCACTATCGTCCCCGGCGACGCCTGATCCGTCTCTTACCTCAAAACTGCTTCCCTCCTCCTCCTGTCCTCCCCCAAGACCATCGTGTCCGGCCTCGGCATCGGCGCCAGCATGGGCCTCGACATCTGCACGCCTCTCCAGATTATAAGGCCATGAGACGCCACGTGTGCCGCGACACCGCCACGGCGCTGATGCAGGCGCTGTGGAACACCTTCGCCGAGCAGCAGGACCTCAAAACGGTGACGCCGCGGCTTGTCTTGGTCAGCACGACGGGTGTGACACGTGGGCCGGAAGACGTGCCGCCGAGCATGCGCTTCTTGTATCATCGAGGTCTGGCGCTGCCGTATAGCGGATACGAAGGCGATGGAGGACGTGTTTCGGAGCGACGCGGAGATGGCACGAGAAGGCGCGCCTGTTTGCGAGCGTGAGTCGGTGCGGCCGACGTTGACGAGTGGGACGGGGAGGACGTGGGAGGGGATTGGGCTGGGGAAGATGCGTGCGCGAACGAAGATCGGACTTGAGTTTGGATATGGGATTAGCAGGGGCTATGTGAGGGAGTCGAAGTCCGTGAACCTGGTCAGTGAAGGCGTGGCTAGGACCTGGGGGACCGTCAGGACGGTGACTCTGACTTCATGAAAAGATATTGTTTGAAACAAGACCTAGCGCTGTGTTGGAGATGGTTGTGTATACGTGAAGCATAATGGTTCAATTAGATTGTACACGGCAGTCATACTATGTGCGTTTTGCCTAGTGTATCGCCACCACCGCAGCTCTGTATTCTATAAAGGAAACGCCAGGCTCCTCATCACCCTTGGTTTTGCAGATATCGAGGCACATTCACAAGAGCACCCATGCCCGTTCCTTGCATACCATGGAACCAGCGGCTCAGTCGCTCAGGCGCACTGTGGTGGCTGACCACAATGGCACGCGTCCACTGATTTTCGTAGTCATTCAAGACCAGCTCGAAATACTGATACCTCAACTTTTCGTACATAGTGGTCAGACGGTTCTCTTCAGCGCGTAATAGCATGAGAGCCTTTGCCACCATGGCCACGTCCTCTCTGATCTTGATGCGCTGCAACGTTTCGTCGCACTGATGCTGGATTGCACGATAGCGAGACGTCTCATTGATAAGGTTGACTTGCAGGATCTCGTACACCGACGCACCATAAGGTCCAGTGATCTGTTGACGGATGAGCAAAGTCAGCAGGTCCTGTAGCTTCTTGGCCGCATTCCTATACTGCCCGTTCTGTCGGAAGACGAACTCGCTACGGAGCATCGGTAGCAGGACGGCTCTCTTGACTCGGCGGAAGGCCCAGCTGAGAGGATCGCCGTTCTTGCTCGGCTTGAGGTATAACGGCTTCATCGTAGTTTTTGAGGCCGTCAGTGTTGCTGAGGATTGTATCTCGACGTAAGCGACATGACAGAGTATCCAAAGACCTCATATAAATGCCATTATAGTATCTTGATGCCAGACGTATCTAATAACGAAAGATACTATTCGATTGTCCGAGACTGGCAAGAACCACAAAGACCTTTGTCATGGTCGTTGACAGCATGGGCCAACAAAGGCAGATATCAGACAACGACAGCAGTATTGGGACGGGGTAGGCCTGCAGAAAGGTTCCAACTATCACGGCCTAGTCGGAGCCAAGATGATGCGATACTGCACGAAGAAACCAGCGAGGGAATACAGAATCGAGGAACACATGAGTCAAAGCATATATGCAGTTTAGCCATCGTAAATAAAACATAAAGATACCAGTCTGTTCGATGTAGGACGTTTGGAACTTCATAAGATGGGCTACCGGACCCTGCGCCACCATCACGTATCAACCGTCCGGTCTCGTTCCACTCAGTTCTGCCAGATCCCTCATGTCATCAACTCGCCTAGCCTCATACCAGCTTCGAAACAAGAGGCCCGCATTGGGATACTTGGGCACAACCCTGCCGCTTGGGAGAATCTTGCAGCGAGCCAGCGCCATGAACTTCAGCTCCGAGTACATCAAGTCAATGCGGTCAATCTCACGACGAAGTCTGCCCAACAGCTTGCTAGCGTCTTCCAAAGGGATTCGCTCGTACTCGTTGAGATCATCTTCGAGGTCCAGCCAGCGGTTCTTCTCGTAGTGGTTGAGGTCTGTTATGGTTTGCATGATGCAAGGGCCGTCCTCACCTCTGACATCAACTTTCTCGAGCTCGCTAGCTAGGTTGAGGAACTTGTCGACCCGTGGAAAGTATCTTACATCGGTATAGTGGCTGATCTTTCGTTGAACGGTGCCTAAGTTGACATGCCGTTTGATGGTAGCCCATGACTCTCTGTAGAGCTGCCGTTGGACTTGGTGTTTGGTGTTGTCGCTCATGAGCTGGTGGTAGCGCTTCCTCGCTTCGACATGATCAATTGGATGGTTTGGTGGAACACCGAGCGTGATAAGTGCTAGATCAAGGTCACTGACTACGGCATTGATCGTGATCTCAGCATTGTTTTGAGCCATGATTCGAATTGTCTTGACGTCTTGCTGAGCCGGAGGTTCAGTCGTAGATGAGGCAAAAATGTAGCTCCGGAGGAGAAGACATACATTCTGTGATCAGAGAGAACACAAAAGATCTCGCGTCTATTTTCTCAATAACACAGAGTGTTCTTCGAAAGAAGCACGAGAAAACGCAGATGTGCTTGCAAGTTGACGAGACAGGCAGGCAGGCGAGTCAGAGATACTTTCATTGTCTTGCCTGCTGCGAGAAAGTGAATCAAAGTACAGCAACCCATCATATCTACATCAAGCCAGTATGTACTCAGTAAGTGACTGGTCGAGCAGAGCAACTTTTGAAAAATTCCAGCCATGATGCCATCCTTAAGCGCTTAGCCTCGTAGGCAGTAACGTTCTCATTTTCGACATCCCCGGATAGCCTGCGGACTAACTGCGGCATCTCAGAAAGCGAGACAGGCTCAGACAAAGAATTTCCATCGGCTGATAGGCGATAGACTCGACCATTTCGTTGTACGCCGTTGTCCAGCCGGTCCGTTGGCCAATATCAGCAGCGAGTCGTAAGACCAGCACAGACCACGACGCGCCCAACACCTGCTTGTCACACCTCTACCGGCTCGAAGCGCACGTCTCCCATCAGAGCATCGGAAGCCCAAGATACTCTACACACACCAAAACAAGATGTGGCACCCGCCGCCCTACTGGCCGAGTGGAATCACCATCCATACCACAATCAATTCCAACAGCAGCAACAACACCTCCCATTGATGCCATCATCGCCTCCCAAGAAAAACATCGCCCTACACCTCTCCTGGCCCCCTCTTCCAAACCTACCACGCCCTCCTCACCACGACACTCCCACCTCTCATCCGCTCCACGAGAACCCTCGTGCGCCAGCTCGCGCACTCCGCCACCCTCAACAGCCCACCACACAACAGCTACCCGCACATTGACGCCGCACTCGCCGCCGCCGAAGCCACCGTCGACGACATCTCTCTAGAGTTCCTGCATAAGTACTATAACATTCCGTATCCGCGGACGGCGGCGGAGGCGAAGATGAGGCTAGATGCAGTGGAGAGGGTAGTGAGATGGGAGGGGTTGGACGGAGGAGGCGAGGGGGATGTTCGGGGCGTGGGCTGGAAAGGGGAGGGCTATGTTAGGAGCGGACAGTGAGGAGTAATTGGATGTTGAGACGATGAGAGGCAGGAAGCGGGTATTGGACTGGGTGGTGGGTTGGGAGTGGAGGGCGGGACTGCGGTAGGAAGGGTAGGGTCGTCGAGGAATTTTGAATGTAGGGGTTTCGAATGTTTACTTCGGAATACGTGTATGTGTGTCTAGCCAGTGCCAGCCATCCAATGTTGTCTAGTTGCAGAAAGACTCTGCCAGCTTCTGCAGGACGTCCGTTGTCTGCCGAATGCTTTCCACGTCCACCCACTCATCATTTCCATGCAGGCCCTCACCAGTGGGCCCGAAGACAAGCGACGGAACGCCCGCTTCGGCCAGCAGGGCCGCGTCACACCACCCGAAGACGCCCTGCGGCTTGACTTCCTGGCCAAGGACCTGCTCGGCGGCAGCCCTAGTCAGTTGCGTCAAGGGATGGTCACCTCCGATCTTGTGTGGCTTGCGTTCGAATGTCAAGCGAGGTTCCCGGAATTGGAACTTCGCATCGGTCATTGAAATCTCTGTCAGAAGGTCTGTAACGTCGCGGACGATCTGATCGGATGATTGGGCTGGGACCGTGCGAAACTCGACGGTGAGCGTGCATTTCGACGGGTAGCTTGAGGGCTCCTCTCCGCCAGTGATGAGTCCACAGTGAAGACTGGCTTGGCCCAGCATCTCGTCCGTGGGCAACGTGGGCGCATACTCCTCAAGCGCCGAGATGACTTTCGCCGTCTTCGCGATGGCATCCACGCCCTCAAGGGGCATAGACCCATGTGCGGCTACACCGAGGACATCGATTTCTACCCATGCGAAACCTTTGTGTGTTGTACCAAGAGCCAGACAGGTGGGCTCCGTCACCACAGCTCCATCTGCGCGCCACCCGGCAGCCAGCAACTGTTCCGTGCCCTTTGAGAGGTGCTCCTCATCAGAGACGGCCGCAAGGATGATGTCGCCTTTGAGCGGATGCTGCTGGGCGTAGACAAGCAGCGCCATCCCAGATGCGATGCCGCTTTTCATATCCATTGCCCCTCGCCCTGTGATCACCTCTCTGCCGTTCCGCTCTTCCATCGCACCGGCAAGAGGCTCTGCCAGATATCCCGCCAGGCTGACCGTGTCGATATGGCCGTTGATCATCAGACTCTTGCCGCTCCCTGTGCCTCGCACCACTCCCACCACAGATGGCCGACCGATTACTGGCTCGATCCTGTGACATTCAATTCCCCTATGCTTGAACCATGCTTCGAGGTAGCCAGCGATGGCACGTTCGCCCGAGCCTCCAGATTTAGAAAGCGTCGGATTGGTCGACTCGATCCTTGTCAGTAGCTGTGTTAGAACTACCGAGTCGCTGGCAGAGACGTCGGCTGCAGCAGCGTCGCTGTCGGTTGGCTTCATTGCGGGACCGATTCAACAGGCACGTCTGTGCATATCAGCCTCGCAGGACATCAAGGCTTATGTAGTACGCGTTGGCGTCTTCGTGCGTCGGAACCATGTCGATGTCCGGCTCGGCATAATAAGCCAATAGTGGGGCGCAGACCTGCCAAGCCGCCTATCAATGGCTGAAGATTTTTACGGTAAAGTATACGACTGTTGATTGGCAGGGCCTGATCGAAAGAGCGCCTTCTCGGTACAGGCCGGGTTCGAGTCTATCTGGAAATGACGACCGTTAATGCCCGCCCTTATAACGACGACATCGGAGTTGCTGTTGATAACAAACCCTGGTCGTACCAGTCCTCCATGGTCATTCCAGTCTTGAAGTGATCGGCCAAGTGCGCAACTCGCTCAGTCCAGCTGTCAATGGTAGCGCTGCAGAACCCGCAAGAGCTCTGAAAAATATCATGCTGGTTGCGCCACAGATTGAGATCAACATTCCAACCATCCCATTTGCGGCACCCATGATACTTGCTCAGATGTTGCCAGAAGTGGTCTTTGCGACAGAACGTGCGTTGCGGCAACGGCCTCGCGGAGCAGGAGTCGAAGTCATGCGTCGCGAAATGTTCCGCGTCAGGTGATGCTTGCCCACATAGACCACACTCGGGTTCAGGTCGCCCAAAACGCCATGTTTGAAGGTTCTCGCTCGTCTCCGGAGGTGCTGTGCAAGTGTAGGTTTCCAACTCCGGCATATGTACTGCTCGTTCGTGGCGTGCCCAATCGTGCTTCTTCTTGAATGGCAATTTGCAGAATGTGCACTGGTATTGTACCTTGGTTCCACGCGCTCGACTTCTTCTAGATTGCGGACGGGACCGGGGCTGACTCAGAGCTTGATGAGACAGACAAGATGATATAGAAGACATAGATGCTGAGGCCGAATCACCCTGGCTGCTCGCCTCTGAGACCTGCCACTGATCCAGCATTGACGGTGACCATGGGCTGTGGGGCCTTGAAGCCGTAATTGCTGCTGCTGCTACAACGTCGGGGGTGACATGTTCGTCTTCTGGCGGAGAGTTACGCCAACGATCCATCGGCGAGGCGCCAGACATCATTTGCGGCATCGGGGAGCCAGCTCTGAACTGCTGCACGGACAGTGGGCGCGTAGATTGCCTTTGTCGTCTGCGAGCATTCGTAAACCAGTTGTTGACCTGGGTCTTTGTGAGACCCGACTGGATGCTGAGAAAATCCACGTCTTCTACGGTCGGGTATGGATGGTCCGGATGCGTATCAAACCAGCCCCGCAGCAGTCGAGTCTTCTGATATCGCCGAGAACTTGGTCGCTTGTCACGATCATATGCTATCACAGGCGCGACAGATGCTGCTACGTTGGCAGCCGTTAGACTCTGCTCAAGTGATATCCCGAGTGAAGGATAGGACTCTTCATTAACGCCGTGCAGCTGTCCGATTACGGGGCCAGAGGTCTCGAAACCGGCAGGTTGGCGTTTTCTTCCACTGGCTAGGCTGCAGCCACGAAAGAGACCCACGCAGGTCGAACACGACTTTTCGGGATTTGGGTTGGCAGGTCCGGTATCCATGATCATGCACTGTAAGCGATGGCGGCGACAGTAGCTACACGGCACAGGTGCTAGACATGCCCCGCGCTCCAGGAAAAATTTGTTGAAGTCAGGCTCGTCACCGAAGCCGTTCGCAGCAGGAGAGGCCCAATCCAACTCGGGCAGATCTGGAGTCGGGCCGAAGTCTAGCAATTCATCGCTAGATATATCGGCGCTGACTGTTCCATGAGGACTCGCTCTCGGAGCTTGCGTGTTGGGTTGTGGAGGGGTCGTGCACGACAGCTGTCGAGGATCAACGTAGACATCAGTCCAGCGAGACTCTGTATCCATCTCGTGTCGTAGAAGTGAGCAAGTCGGCTGATTGGCGCTTTGTGGCGGAAGAGTAAAAGAGTGCATCGGCGAGCGAGGAAGAATGAAGCCAAGATTGCTGACAGGAGCTGTAATATTTCAATACGTCCTCAATACGCGCAGCCCGCGATTGGTGTTGGCACAAACAGCCGTCTTCTCTCAGTGGGTCTGTGCTTCGCATACAGGTAGTGTTGCTGATCTGTGTCAAACCACAGACCTTTTCTGCGGAAATTCGCCCTTGCGTCCCAATCATCCCCAGTGAGACGTCGCATGGACATTTCGACTCTGATCCCCCCATTGGCTTCGGTGCATTAAGCGCATTCCATCAAGGTACGCGAGATAGGTACCAGCAGCCCACACTGTAAATTCAAGCCAGATAGACAATCCATGATTTGTCATCGCAAACCGTTGACAACCTGAATGTGAGACATAGGACATCTTGTCCCGGCTCTTAGAAAAGCAACTAGCCGCTGAAGCAAGCATGCCAGATACCTTTTCCTGCCCATTGACCATGCGAAAATTGAATGGTCGTCACTGTGTTTGGTAATCTCTTCTTGGAGATGCATGAAGGCTTTCTCACCTTCACCGTAAAAGAAGAGGCATGTTGAATGCGAATACATCCATGAGGCTGCAAGCAATGTCTTTAGAGTGGCTAGTGACTCGTCCTACCACCCATGACTTCTCTTGAGCAGTTGAACGTGATCTATGTTGCCATTACTGAGGGCAGTTGTAGGAATGCCCGTGGCCAATGAAATTCCGCTTGCCAGTCCTCGTTTCGTCCCTAATAATTGCCAGGAGAAGTCATAGAGCTTGACCACTTGAGGAGCTAGCAACTCTTGCAGTGTCCAGCCTCGTTTGAACCGTTCGCTCCTCAGAAGCGATGTAACCAAATGCTTCGAATCAACGTCTGACAAGTATACGTAGCAGACCTTAGCATTCTGACACTGCTGATACATGGAGTTAACATGTATATCGTGGCTTCCATGTGGAGCTTCTCGCCCACATTTTCAGGATACAGCGTTTCACCGACCCTGTGATGCAGTGGAACTCGAAACATAATCCAAGAGCACTTGTGATGAATTTCGGTATCTCATAGGTAGAGGCTATCAGTCGAGCTTCCTAGATCATTCAATTCAAGCGACCAATTGAGCAAATCCGGGTCCCACATATCCGACAATTCCGAGAAGTTAGACTGTTGACCGTCGGCTCGGGCGTTGCTCACGTGCTGAATTAGAGCACTGTGATTAGACCCAATATATGGATCATTAGAGGTCGAAGATGGTGAAACTGGTAGCAGGATAGAAAATCTTTTGGCCATTTCACGTTCTTTGAATGCCAGGCTCTGTGTTTGAGTGTTCAGGCCTTCTCTGATAGCCGATATCAATTCTGTGGCAGGCTCCGGGTCAGCAGATAGTATTGATCACAGATAGGGGAGACACTGACGGATAACGACCTGACCCAGAGTCCAGTATCTTGCCATGTGACTCAAAACTAAAGTCGAGACCTCTAGACAGGATGGGGCCGTCTCAGGGGCTTGAGAGTCCAATGTCGCAGGAATCACCAAGCAGCAAGACATTATAGGATTGGTGAGCGGAATACACTCCGCCGACCACGCATTAGCAATGTGCGTTAGGTATGATTTCAGCCGGGCCACTCTAGGACTGGGAATCTGGTCTGAGTCAAAGCCATCAATGCAGCTGGGATAAGAGGACTGAATTCTTGCAAGAAGAGTTTCACATCTGTAACTAGTAAGGTCATGAGAAAGGGTCAGGTGCGGGGGATATGACTTACGCTAGGACCATCAGATGTGTTGAAATAATCCAGTGTCCGTCCACGAAATTGTCGCGGGTAAGATATAGAGACGAAATCTGAAAGTGGACAGGCAAGATCAACTTGAGGCAGCATACAGAGGTATCGTATGAGTTGAAGGTCTCTAGAGAGATTGAGGTGTTTTGGCGACCAGCGGCGATGACAAGCAAAGATTTGACCTGATTTGCGACCAAATACCAGGCATGAGGATTCTGGTTAGGGCATCCTTCCAAGCTTTTACAGGCCGTGGCAAGATGATGGTCCAAGACTGATGACGCGACTGGCTGACGAGAGTACCAATGATGATCAGAGACTGGTAGGAAGACCTTCATCTCGCTAGATTTGTTGATTCCAAATGTTTGACGTGAAAGAGTTGCGATGAAAGAGTCGAGTTCCCAGATGGCCCACCAGAGTCTGCGAAGGTCTTCTCTGTGTGTCCATGCATCCACATCCTGTAGGTTCTCTCTGCTTCTCCCATCGTCATTGGCATGATTCGCATCAACCATGTCTAATTCGAGATCGTATGCAAAGTGAACACATAGGCTAGTGAGTATGGCACCTGGCCCAAGTTCGCCAGCTGTGATATAGTGGTATGCAAGAAGAACGCAGCCTTTAACAAATTCCAACGTTGGTTCCTCGATGCCAGAAATCATCGTGTCTTTGATCAAAACAGCGCTCCTCGCGGACTTTTGCCCACGTTGTTGGGCAGGAGTCGTTGCGAAAAAAGGGTGCGTCGAGAACCTTGCTGCCAGCGTGAAAATGCCGTGAATCATGAATACTGCTGCCTGTCCCAGCTCCGTTGCAGGCCGAAGACGTGCCTCTTCAGAGCCTGCCCTGACCACGTATGCCTCATAAAATAGTGGACGATGCAAGATGCGAAGCCAGGGCTGGATATTGGCAAAATACTGATCGATACTAGCACCTAGTAAGTCTTTGTTAGTGCACATTTAGGGGAAGCAGGGCTCACACTTCGACCGCTACGTCGTCGGGCATACCCCAACTGTTCGGTGCGTTGAGCTGGGAACTTTCATGGCTTGTACCTGAGTCCAGCCCCAATGTGGGAGTTTCCACGCTAACGCCGACATTTTGCATGTGCTGGGCGTTCTCATTCTCGGAGTTTGGTAACGATATGATGTCTGGAAGTTCGATACTGGAGTTGTACCGGCCACCTAAATCACGTGTGAGAAATTCGGCCAGTTCATCTGCTCTTTGCTCACCAGTGAAGTGTTCTTGCGACTCTCTCAACAATGACTTTGAATCTATCACTCGGAAGAGGGGATCTGTGAGGGGATCACATCCGCCTCCACCGCGAGGCAAACCATCTCTTACAATGACGCCGATGGTATGTGAAGTGCTAGCCTTGCGTTTAGAGGCATTCGCGTAGATGGGCCTTCCACGATTCTGCTTCTTTCTGTTTGGAAACACGCAGGAGACTCCGAGCCTCTTGCAAAGGCCGCAACATGGACGTCCCATATCACCTAGATCTAGCGTCAGGGATGATTATGCCCAAGCTTGATGTTAAGTGCCCTTCTCAACTTACACCTCACCTTTTTCCTATTAAACTGTTAGTTCTAGGCAAACAGGTTATCAAGGTACGCCTTATGCACTTCCCTGCTACATCGTTGGCAAGATCGATTAACACTCGGGAGGTACGTTATTTGTCTCTCGATGTTGTTAGAAAGAGTAGGGGCAGGGTGCGGTTCGTTGGCCATAATATCCAGAAGTTCGAGCAGCTACGACGTGATGAAGCAGTGAGACTGATGGCTCAAGTCAGCAAAGCGCATTGATTCCACAAAAATGTGTGTGATGGGAACTTGGTCATCGGCTACTATTAATTTCCCCGCACTCCACGGCCGTGAGAGACGGAATCATGCGAGCTGCGGACGTGGGGTAAAGAAAGAGACGGACACGTGATTCAATGGATCAGGGACGGCAACGCCCAGGCTACTCGAAACAGTGCCGAAGTCATCTATCGTCAACGCTACAATGAGATGTTTGTCCGCAGGCCGGGATTAGGTTTAAAATCACAGGAGGCAATATGTATCACCCAAAGTCTCAAGAATAGTTTTGTGCCCTTTCCCAGTTTGTATTCAATGTGAGTATGTTCCCAGTCTGCTACTCCGTGAGAACGGATGTACTACACTCATGATCGGAATGCAATATCTGGAGCGCTAACATATAAAAAGTTCTGGTCATCTGGATCTGAGAATCAGGCTAATTACTGCTGAAACTCTCCTAGCATGCTGATGCTGTTCTGATCTGTATTCCCAACGGTAGATGTGAACACGAACTTTTCAGCTACCGTAGCCTTTGCGTCTCTGTCCAATTCTCTGGTTTGCGATGTTTGTCCTAGAACAATCGACACAATTTCGTCTGCGTCAATGTCTAGGCCCTGTTCCGCAACTGCTCTCCATGCAACATGATCGTCCGGCCGTATAAGGACAGCATCTCGCTCCCAGATCTTGTGTGCATGCCGTTCGTTCGGCAGGTGAAGTGGCTTGAAAGGAATCCCTCGTTGGGTGAAACTTCGCTCGAATTGTTTGACAAAGTCTCCCTGCAACGAGAAGTCGACAAGGGTAAACTCGGGTCCTGTTCCGAGTAGATCAAAGATACTCGTCTCGCCATCTTGGAGAAAGACATGTGGCGCTCTTGCTCCAGGCCAAGTTGACGGGATATAGTGGCGCTCCGACCATTCTGGCTCTTGCGTAGCGTCCTCAGAAGACGAAACGATTACCTGAGAGCTGTTGTAGCGGTAACCCATCTCAATTCCGTGGTCTTTATTCTCGTTGTCGTGAGCATTCACGTGCTGGGCGATCCGACTTTTGAGTTCGCTTTCTTCTCGTCGTCCTGGTGCCGCATCCGCTTTGTTGGCATCCGCCCACCAGCCTATGTACGCAGCGTGAACACCCCAGTGTACACCAGACCTCTCAATATTTCGCATCGCTACTGGTCTTCGTTCCAGTTCGTATGACTGCAACAAGAGATGACCGCCATAGCCATTCACAGCTGCCGCGACTTTCCATCCTAAGTCGAAGCTATCTCCCACTGCAGTATTCATTCCATAGCCTCCAGTCGGGATATTCTGATGAGCAGCATCTCCACACAGGAAAGCCCGACCAGACTCAGAAATATAGCGATCTGCTAGACAGATGTTAGGTCTCCAGAGGCTGGTGACCAGAATCTCGTCGATCTGAACTGGAAGTGGGTTGAACAACGTTCCCAACGCGGCAGGAATTTCTTTGAATGGATCTAGGTCTTTAGGATCAGTTCCCAAGGGCACCGGCTTGTGAACTGTCCAAGTGTCCTTCTCATCCTGGGAGATGATGACGGGTCCATTAGTAAAGAACATGTGCCAGAATTGCCCCTGGCGGTGCAACTGACTTAAATCTCGCGATTTGAAATGGACCAGGTACATAGCTCCTGGCCTAGACTTGTCAGTTCAGGCGAAGAGTGCACATAGTTGAGAAATGCTTACGTTGGTCCTCCTGTTAACCCGATGCCTATGCTTTTGCGAACTCTGCTGCCAGCCCCGTCACAGCCGAGAACATATTGTGATTTGACGGAGTACTTGTCACCAGTGGTTTGATCTACCAGCGTGCTGACAATGTGGTCTTCATATTCGACAAGCTCTTCGAACTTCAGACCGAATTTGCACATTACGCGTGGATCTTTCGCAACATGCGGCCGAAGCCATGCCTCAAAAATAGCTTGAGAGCAACGCTGATAAGGTTCGCGTGGCATGGACCCGTCGTTCTGCTCTTTGATCTTCTGCCTCCAGTCCGCTACGGACGGGAGATTCTACCAGCGTCAGCATCGCGAGATAGTACAGATTGCTCAGTTCATACCCATTTTGCGATTAGTTCCCCAGAATCAGATAGTCCCGTGCTAAAGAGGACATTGAGGCTGAAGTTCTCCGGCACACCTGTAGGCAACTTGTTAGGACCACCGTATTGTGAGTCAAAAGCCTCACCAATTTGTCTCAGACTCTGATCTATCCCCAGTCTTTTGAATATCTCCATACTTCTACAGTTCGTTATGTCCATCTTAGGCCACTTGGTAGTTTCGACAGTGCGGTCGACAAGCATGCATTCTGCTCCATTCTTTGAGAGCTGTAAAGCAGCAATCAATCCGGCCGGACCGCTACCAACAACCAAGACTGGAACCTCATAGTGGTACGTCTAAAGTAATTCAGAGCTGGATTCGATTCTGAGCAAGAACTCTTACCATAACGTTGCTTTTTAGTGGAAAATGGATGTCGCCGGCCTCCGAGCACAGCAGCTGGCTAAACAGGTAAAGAGCTTCTAACCTCTGGGAGTGCAGAATAGACTTCGCTAAGTAGTACTTTAAAGTCCCCAGGTGACAAACCAGTTAGAACCCCGGAGCATGCGGTCAGCCTTCGATTGAGGCTCTGGGAAATAGTGGAAGTCGTAGTTCTCTGAAACGACCTGTTGTATACCTTTTGATCTGGTATAATCAGAGCCTAGTAGGTTGCTGATACTAGGTTCCAAGGCTACATTAGAGCAGAGTGATTCAGTGCATCGTATCGTGTAGACTCTTTGACATTATCTGGGTTTCTCATATCCCAGCGAACCAAGCTGCCACATGCCAAGAGGGAAATCCTAAAGAGGAAATTTCCCGAGCATAATTTCCGTGGGTGGGATCATATCACGGAACATGTAGATTCCTTGAGGAAAGGTAAGCTACAAGTATTTCACTAGATGCCGCTCTACATTGAACAAGAATTATCGTCCCATACGGCAGTGTCCAAGGCCAACATTTGTTGTATTCCGTCAAGATAGGCTTATTAAAGCCGCTACCCATCATTAGTGAAAGGACCGTCTGACCACCGACTCCAACAGTCGTCAGGAACGTGGTGTGCTAGCAGAACCCCGAATCCGGCAAATTGCCTACACTGGTATGGGGGGAACTTGGCTACCGCAAAAGGTGGTCCGAATAGGCTATATAGATTGGCCTCGGCACGAAATTTCTGAAGCGGAATGGCGCTGCCTGTTACGCTGTTACTCGCCATATTGGCATTCTTTCTGACAGCCGAGCGCTACCAACCACTTGCCCGAATAAATACCAAACCAACAAAGATGACGCGTGACAAGGTTGACGTTCATCATCACATGATTACGCCAGCGTATCGAGCTGTGAGTCACCTTTAGGGCCTTCTTCGAATAATTCACAGCACTGAACTGGCTAATTGGGCGACAGGCACTTGAAGAAAATGGAGGAGACCCATCGGGCTTCCCTACACCTGAATGGTCCCTTTTAGCAGACGATCAATTCTGTGATGCCATAGGCGTTGGGACGACAATCTTCTCGTTGACTGCTCCCGGAACTGATATTGTTAAGGGGAAAATCGCTGCCGCCAAGCTCGCACGAGAGACGAACGAGTACCTCGCGTCCCTCCGCGATAAAGATCCCCGTAAATACGGCTTCTTCGCCAGTCTTCCTCCTTTGACGGATGTGCCGGCTGTAATTGAAGAGATAACTTATGCTCTGGATGTTCTGAAAGCCGATGGCGTGACCGTCTTTACGAGATACGGCCTAGGGAATGGCTACCTCGGTCATGCAGACTTCAAGCCAATATGGCGGGCTTTGAACGAGAAGAATGCCGTCGTTTTCGTTCACCCCACGCATTCAATCGACACTACTCTGGTCAACTCTAACCTACCACAACCAATCATTGATTATCCGCATGAAACAACTAGGACAGCGGCGGATATGATTCTCTCGGACACTCTAAGGGAAACCCCGAATTGCAAAATCATTCTCTCGCACGCAGGCGGCACACTTCCATATCTGGCAAACCGACTGCAGGCAGTAGTAGACACTGGTCTCACTAATAAATCCTCAGATGAGATTGCAAAGGACGTGGCATCGTTCTACTACGATCTGGCCTTGTCGAGCTCAATGAACACCATTGAAGTGCTCATGAAAGTCACCACACCGGATCATATCCTTTTCGGTTCTGATTTTCCCTATGCGCCGGCTAAGACTATCAAATCTTTTGTCGAGAAGTTCAATAGTGCTGGTCTTGATCAGAGCTTGGAAGATGCCATCAGTAGGGACAACGCTTTAAGATTGTTTCCACGCTTAGAGAAAAACTAGACGGATGCAAAAAGAGGTTAAATGCGGTTAAGATCATATTTTTGTTATTACTGATACTTCATTGAACATTTGTGTGAAAGCGTCGGCTGCATTTTTGACCCCATGTATAGTTGTAGCGCTTTTCAACATATGCAGGTCCTATCTGCCACTACCTAGGTATATAGGCTTCCCGTCTTCGCTCGCCAACCCTATTTCCTTCCTCCCTCTCCCATTTCTTTCGGTGCTCTGCTTGTGTCCTGTTCAGGCGGCCACTGCATCCATCTCTGCGCATGAGTATTATGCGCGTGGCTTTGCATCCTAGTTGGTGAAATTGTCAAGCGCTATTATGTTCAGATTGTAGAGTATGTCTATTGGCCCGATCACGGCCGGTGGAAGTCACAGGAGGTCTAATTGCTACGTAAGTCAAAGCGCACAGTGCTATTAAAGGCCCAGCCTAAATGGGAAATTATCCATAGGAGGGGATGTTAGCTTCGTGTAGTTCGAAACCCCCGCACGGGGTAGGTGACTGTGATTGGAGGTCATCCTCTTTGTGCGGAGTGCAGTACGGGGATCCCGAAGGTTGGCACGCTTTAGAAATCCCGGGCCCACCTCAGGATAGCCTATTAGCTCTTAGGGACCGAACCTTTGCTGAACACTGGTTGAAGCGAGTTGTTTGGGCCACCGATATATCAGTGGACTTCGTTGCTCCGGGTCCCAGGCCATGCCATGATGCAAATCCTAGCTTATCGTCATGTTAGCCAAATCACTATGTGCTACTAGCCTCGCCGTACTCGGCTTCTTGGTCTACATCCTCTGTACTGTAGGCAGGAGGGGGAAGAGCTACCCACCAGGTATGTTGCAGCAGTTAAAGTGACAATTGAATCTCAGTAGGGCTTCAAAACTTAAGCTTACGATTGTCATAGGACCACCTACGCTGCCAATTCTAGGAAATCTCCATCAAATTCCCTTCAAGGGGGCGCATTTCAAGTAAGTTTCCAAGAGCGGCTGCAGCAGTAAGCTAACGTGCAGGAGGTTTGTTGAATGGGCAAAACAGTACGGAGGAATCTTTTCACTTAAACTAGGCCCCGGCACGGCGATTGTCATCACGGAACGTCGCCTGGTGCGCGAACTTCTGGATAAGCAAAGTGCTATTTCCAGCTATCGACCGCCTTCATACGTTGGCAATCTGATTACGGGAGGAGACCATGTACTCGTCATGGATGCTGGTCCGAAATGGAGAACGATGCGGAAGCAGATCGTACAGGAGTTCACAGAGACTATGTGCGAAAAGAAGCATGTCAACGTGGTGAATGCGGAAGCAGTTCAGATGCTGCGGGACGTGGTCCTTGACCCCAAAGGCCTGATGAGACACCCGAAACGATTCGCAAATAGTATCATTATGAGCCTGGGTGCGTAATTGATCTCGACATCATGCCAAACAAACAGTGCTTTAGGCTAATGAGTCCAGTTTTTGGAATTCGTACTCCGGACGTTACAACATCGCACATGCAACGAATGTTCGAACTCATGGAGCATTGGTCGCTCGTCATGGAACTAGGAAGTACACCTCCAGTCGACTTTTATCCATTTCTAAAATGGGTCCCGGAGCGTTTTCTTGGTAACTGGACTACTCGAGCAAATCAGGTAAAAGAAGAGATGCACACCCTCTACGAAGACCTCGTCGAAGACGTAATCAAACGAAGAGACTCAGTTGGCCCGGGAGAGTCAATGATGGATCGAGTTCTAAATCAACAAGACGCAGGGAAGCTAACGCTGACTAAACATCAGCTTTATTTCCTCGCGGGCATTGTTATTGAAGGAGGTTCTGACACTACGGCGTCAGGAATATTAGCATTCCTCAAAGCCATGACATGCTTTCCAGACCTACAAAAGAAAGCGCAAGCCGAGATCGATAGCGTTGTTGGAGAGGATCGCACCCCTCTCTGGTCGGACTACGAGAGGCTTCCTTATGTGGCCCAGATTTTGAAAGAGTCTATGAGGTGGCGGCCCGTTGGGGGGGTTGGTGTTCCCCACGCTCTTTCTGCAGGTAAGACTCGGAGTTTCTTACATTGAGTCGCAATCTAACCTCTAATAATCCGTACAGATGCCTACGTCGACGGCATGTTTCTGCCAAAGGGAAGCGTGGTTTTCTTCAACATGTGGGGATTACACAACGACGAGAAGTACGTATCGGAGCCAGAGCGATTTAATCCCGATCGTTTCGCTGGGCGCATACTTCTCGCGCCCGAATACGCTGCCTCGGCTGAGTATGAGTCTCGAGACCACTACAACTATGGTACGTCTTCTCCCGCATTTGTGCGAATAGCAAGCCTATCACTTTGTCACCTGGAATCCTTGTTGGCTAATCGAGGTCTGCTTTCTTAGGTGTTGGCAGAAGACTATGCCCGGGTATCCATCTCGGTGAACGCAACTTGTGGATTGGAATGGCAAAGTTACTTTGGGCTTTCAATTTCAAAGAAGACGTGGATTCCAATGGTAGAGCAATCAAACTGGACATGAATTACGAAACAGGATATAGCGAAGGATTCATCGTCTGCACGAAGGACTTTCCGTCCAAGGTTACACCAAGGTCTCAAAAACGAGTTGAAACCATCATGCGAGAATTCGACCAGGCAAATTACGATATCTTCGCAAAGAATTCATAATTACACCTCGAGGTCATATAGCAATCTCAGTATCCATGAAACTATACGCAGCCTACTCGGTAGTGCCCCTATCATCCCGGCGAGGTGAGTAGTGGCGTTTATTCAAGCGCGCTACACCTTTAGTTCAGCCTGTTCCAGGATGTGGTCCCGCGCTTGAGGCGGACAGGATTTACATCTTTTCTTCTGTCAAGACTTTACTGCCTCAGAATGTAGAAGCACGAGTTCACTCAAAGACCAATGCGTTTGGAATAATGTAAGTGATTAAAATTTCTATAGCGATGCTCAGAACCTGCCGATAGAGCTCATGATCGACCAAGCTGTCGAAGTCCGGTTCCCAATCTGTCGCACAGCGCACTCCAGCCGCGAGGACTCCGTGACACTGACAGCTCCTGCTGAAGTTCCAAGGATACAGGTTCATTCGTTTCTTCTTCCTTTTGGGCGATCACAGCCCCCGAAAGCATCTCTTGCCATGCCACGTTCAGGACACCAGCAAGATAATCACGACCCTCCCACGCCACAAATACTCTTGGCGCACAGCCACCCGCGACAATCATGTACGGGAGCTCATTCGCAGCTGGCTCATTCCACAACACTTCCACACGTTCCAACACAAGCAGAAACGTCTCCCACTTACAAGCCAACGCTTCCGCCATATCCGTCAGCTGCGCCAGAGACAGATCTAGCGCGGCAGCCTAGCTGAGCGTCATCATGGCAGTGCTAATTGCGTCTCGCGTCTCGATATTGCGCGGACGCAGCCCTTCAGCGACCTGCGAGATGATATCCGCAAGGCCGTCCTTGTAACGGGTCCAGCCCGGCCGCATGAGCATGATTTCTCGTGGCTGGTTCGCTAGTGTCGCGCAAGCACGCACGGCGTTGCGTGGGCGTCGCTGGCAGGCTTGGATCTGCACGAGGCTTTCACAGTAGTCGAAGATGGTTCGATGGGCAAGTGCACTTGCAAGTACTTCGCGGTCGTCGGAGTTGAGGTCATTAGCGAGTGAAGGTGAGCAGGATCCAAGCAGGGCAGTGTATTGAATCAGATAGGTGCTGGGGTAGTGGATCGTCTGGAGAGCCTGCAGGATGTGCGGTGGATGGGGGTGAAGAACGAGGATGTTCGTTTGAGTTGGTGTAGTGGGCGAGGATGGGGCTGGCTGGGTAAGGCTCTAGTGTCAGATCGACATCGCTCGACGACGGCGACCATGTTTCGGGTGTATAAGAGTAGATGCTGGACGGAGAAGGCGACTCGCTCCAGGTATAACGCTCTCGGGGGTATGGTGTGTGATGCATTGCTGGTGAGTCCCCGAGGATTCATCGCGGGACCTTCTGCATTTTGAGCTCCAGGCAATCTTCGACCTCTCGAGTACGACACTGAATGTGACAAAGCTTTGGAAAAGTGATCATAACGAAGCCATTGAGTTCATTGACAACTCGACGAACTCCTGTTTTGATCATTGTTCGAAACGACTTCCGATTGCGAGCGACCCTGTGCAACGTCACTAACGACCGACAAGACCAAGAGTAAATTTAGTACAACGGTAGGAACCATCCAATACCAAGTCAAGGCGCCAATTCCTGCTGAAAGGTAGAAGGTTTTAGGACTCGTGCAGGCATCGATGTGGTTGTTCAACTTCACTGCTGCTGTAACGTAGCATGATCTCACTATGCCTGCAAGGTAAGAAGAGATGAGACGCAATACAATCGGCATTGCGATCTATGTATCGGTAAGAGAAGCCACCCCGGCTTCTGAACAAACATGGTCAGCGCCTTTTGTGCCGCCTTCTGGCGGTCGTTGTTCTTTCCGTCCCACCAGCGCCAGTGCTAGAATAAAATACTCGATCGATCCCGACAGAAAAAAGTTCGTCATGAATACAGCCTCACTATTCCTTTTGGGCACCCTTCATTAGTTCCAACAAGCTGTTGGCGGCGTCTCCCTTAACGACGCTACTAGTCAGGCTCTTGTACGTCTCGTCCCGGTCTTGTCGCTTCAGCTTCTGGGTGGTCGTGAGCTTCTTACCATGCTCCGGGCTGCCAGGTGGGCTGCTCAGCTGCACCGGAGTGTGCGGTAGATTGTGGGAAGCGGGGTTCGGTTTGGGAGTTGGCGCGCCGTGAGCCGCATCTGCGCTACCGTGCCGGGTTCCGGCAGAATGACTGAGCGGCGGGCTACTTGGGATCTGCTGGCTCGTCGACTCAGCTTCCTCCATATTGCGAGCAGAGAAAGCTGTTGGAGCGAGCTGGGGAGCGGGCATGGACTCGAGAGGCTTCACGGCTTTCTTGGCTTGCATCGTAGCTTTGGCACGCATGATGGCAATGCGCGTCTCTGGTGAGGGGCGTTGTGGTGCCGGCGGCGAGGATTGAGGTGATGAAGAGACTGGTTCAATTGGGCGCTGAGGTGTTGTAGATCGTGAGAGAGGACGAAGTCGGCCGAAGGGCACCGTAGCTTGGTTTGTTTGGACCTTGTAGTAGGCCAGTTGGAGACGTGTTCGCAATCGTTCAGCCTGAAACACCACAGGTCAATTTACAGACAGAAAAGAATTTGCGAAGCAACTTACAGTTTCCATAGCATCAGTCTTGCCGGTCGTGGTGCCTGGACTTGCCTGCTCGCCGCTGTTCACGTTGGCATCGACCGGTCGGATCGGTTCCAAACCATCGCTGACATTCTGGGACATGTTTTGGTCGAAGTCAACAAAGCTCGACATGCCGACGCTCAACTGAGAATGCTCCTTGTCAAGGACGGGGCGAAGATTCTGGGGTTGAGATGCGTTCTGCGGCAGCACAATGGCATTCTGCATTTCCATCAGCACCTGACCTCCCGTCCAGGTCACTCTCAACTTACAAGCTTGTCGCGACTATTCTGGCTCATGGTTTCCTCCACTATCTCGAATGTCGTCTCTATTGGGGCAGAATCGGGTTGCGAGGGCACGAACGAGAGAGACGTGGTAGCCATGGTAGATTTGGAGTTGTCGGTAGCGTCCATGGAGATGTCTTCGGGGCCATCGCTCATAACAGACAAAGCTTGGGTGCTGTCAGAACGCTGCGAAAGATCGTCCTTGGTATCATCGCGTTCGACATCGTCTACTTCCTCAATGCGACGTTTTTGTCCGGCTCTAGGGCTCTTGGAGGCGTTGTCGGAGTGCAACATAGGCAGTCGGTTACTGACAGAAGTAGGGAGGAGGCTCGGGGTCTGGCTGGTAGTCTGCATTGGCTTTGTAGTGCCTTGTTTACGAAGCGGCGCGTTGGTAGGCTTGTCCCCGAGGACGCGACGAGTAGGAGAGTCAGTGGACGCCATATTGAGGGCACTACCTCGGGACCGGCTACGGATCGTTGTCGCGTGTCGTGATTCGGCTCATGCGGTGTGACTGAGGTGATATGGGAATTAGACGCAGTACGAATTTGAATACGACGGAGCGAGCGGGGTCGGCACACGTCTGGCACGCGTGACGAAATGGTAAGAACAAAGTCGTGCAATTTACAAAGAATGATACAAACGATGGTCGGAGACAATGTTGGTTGGACAGGACAAGTAAGTTGGGTGTGCACACGACAAGAAGAATCACGTCGCGTACTAGAGGGCCGTGGTATTTGGTCTATGCCCCACAACGCTCGTCACGAGCGTGTCGAAGTTGGCGCCTCGGAGCCTTGCAGCCTTGCGCTAAAACAGACCCTGCATCGGCAAGCTCGACGCCTAGCTTCACCGGAAACAGCCTAGACCCCGGTTAAACCCTCCCGATCGCCCAGCGACGCGCAGCGCGGTAGTGGAGTCATAACACGACATGCCTGTCCCGCAATCCAACTCATTTGCTCTATCCTCCTCAAGATCCACCGGCAAAGGACCGCGAGAGTAGCCATTGCGACCTCGCGCTGTGCAGGTCGGCGGGAAGCAACATTCCTTTGCCGCCACTCAATCAAAATAGTCGGTGAGAAGCTGCGGCTCAAAAGCGCTTCTAATTGCCCAGATGCCTAATGACCCTCGAGCCCAGAGTCAAAACATGGAGCATGTGTCGGCAAAGTTCCTGGGCACAGTTGTTGCGTTGTGTGATTGCTGGGTTTGGATCAATAACGTGCCACACTGTCGAACTCCAGCGATAGATCATGTCGTGGCCAGTAAGTGAAGGTTTGGTGAGACGCCAGAGCGACGCAGTTTCTTCACAAGCCTGCGAAGAATCGATCATAGCAGCCGTCTCTCACTTTGGTACACTCGCCAAACAATGACGTCTTCAGCCAGTGTTCGTGGCTGAGCTTAGGGCTTCCTTCCATAGACGACATGCAGCCGGCTATACATTTGCTTCTGCCCCTCCAGACACTCCCTTCTAACCTTGTGCAGGAAACTTTTGAGCTCTCTTTCTGTCCATCCTAGAATGTGGATGAAGGGCGCCAAGGATATGGCCTCTAGCCCGTCCACGTACGACATAAGAGAGAACATTCCGAGCGTTCGTTGATCAGTTTCCTCAGGCCATCTTCCAAAAGGTATCTTGACCTCTTCATGTTGTACCTCAACAAAACCGGCGTTGCGGAACATGGCTTCTAAGTCAGCTGCACAATTCAGCCTCCGCCCCACCTTTTCCGTTGCCTCGTCCAACAACTTCAGCCATTTGCTGACATCGCTCTCGTTCGGGTCTGATTCATCGGCGAATTCCATTTCGACCGTCATCTCCTGCATCTCGTACCAGCCGCCACTTATCAAATTTTCATACCCTTGTCTAAACAATCGTGGCCAGTCGCCAAAGCTCCCGCACATGCTCCGCTGGTGGATGTAGTCGAACGGCGCCTGTCCCTCATAGATCCAATCGCCCTCGACATCGTCCACCACAAATCGACAGTTAGGCAATACCCATTGCATCTGCATCGACGACAGGTCGTTGCCGAGCACCTGGGCATCTGGGTGCTGATCTGCGAATTCCAGTGCCCAGATACCTGTGCCCGTGCCGATATCGAGCACGTTTCGGGCATCGTCCACGGGCGCTAAGTACAGTTGACCATGAAGTGCAAGCAGGTACATGTTGTGGACGATGTTATAGCGGTCCTGTTCTGCGGCGTCGTTGGGAAACAAGTATTTTCCCTCTTGGTATTTGTGGTATGATCGACCGTGATCGCGAACATACTCGTGAATCGACATCCGCAGCGAGCTGCACGTCGACTCGAGGTCAGATTCGTCGTAGGCTGGAATCGGCCTCCTCTCGTCCAATCTGCTGCTAGTGGCCATGTGTTGGGCAGCTGGTTCGTCATCAACGCCACCTGTCTTCTGCATGAAGGGCGGAATGGGAGTTATCGGAATCATCTGTACCCAGGCACTGACGATTTTTTCAATTAGAAGATATGAAAATGAACATGGCATGCCCGCGATAGGCGATTGTCTTAGAAGTACTCTCTAGTGCTCATGCGTGGCTCTAGGTGGTCTTGAAGCTGCCGGTCAGCGGGTCATGGTGCGTGCAAGAAATCCCCAAAATGGCCAAAAGCAGACAGTGCACATTTCGCAGGTACATCGAGGAGTTATCAGCCTTCGCACTGATAACGGAGGCGGTGAGGCTACTCGTTTGTCGAGCACGATGAGGGGCTCTTCGGCAAGAAGCGAGATGCCGCCTGGTTGCCCCGCATTGGCGTGTCCTTGTACATCCCGTTTCCAGAGCTTTGGGTCATCGGATATACCTACGAACTGAATCTAGGGGAATTGCATGCCAGCTTAGAAAACGTTCAACGTTTGATATCGATCTGCACTTTTTTCACAAGGTCCCAATCGGCACATGCTGATTCGGTGCTCGGCCCGAGCCTCTTTCAGGTACCATGCCCGCGGCCGTAGAACGTCCCACCCAGGGTGCGGGGCATCCACCGGACAAGGCGGCAACTCAAACTTCACAACACTACAAAGGTCACGCATGATCGAGCATCTCTTCCACCCTTCATCGTCCCAGTCAGAACATCCCACTGCCTTGCTCCCAGCGTACAACAATGTCACCGCCCCCCGTCGAAACCTTCAACCCAGACTCCCACCCCACCTTCTCCCCCACCTACAGCCACATCTCCCGCGTCCCCCTCTCACCCAACAGCACGCTCATCACCTTCGCCGGCCAGGTAGGCCACGACCCCACCACCAACACCACCGGCGCCACGCTAGGGGAGCAGTGCAGCATCGCGTACGCCAACGTAGACCGCTGCCTGGCGGCCGCAGGTGCACGCAAAGAGGACATCGTCGGCGTGCGGCACTATGTCGTGGATCTGCTGCGCGGAGGCAAGGGGCCGGATCCGGAGCGCGCAAAGCGCTACACAGAGTGGTTGGGGGAGCTGAGGCCGCCGGCGACGCTGTTGGGCGTGCAGGCGTTGGCAGCGGAGGCGTTGGTGTATGAGATTGAGGTTGTTTGTGTGGTAAGGGAGGGGGCGAGCGATTAGGGGCCATGCAGAGTTGGTGGGTGGGCAGGCGCTGCTTCCCGTTGGGATGCTCGGAAGCTAGGGTCGTTCTTGGACTATCAGTGCCCAAGTTGACTTGGATCGCCTAGAAGCCATGATCTCACTCAGACGAGACAAATTCCGTCGTCTTTGCAGCACCCCTCGATGGCGCCGCTGATCCACATCCTGATCCTCTCCGTGAAATAGAGCGGTGACGACCATGGAGGCGCGCTCTCGTTCGCTAGGAGCAACGGTGGCACTGGGTGCACCAAGCCGTGGAAGTCTGAGGCCGTTTTGGAATAGCCATGTAGGCTGTGACAACAGCCAGAACCGGCACAGTCACATCTGACGAGTCTCGAGAAGTCCGCAAGCAATGACATGGAGTGTTCTAATGTGCTCGATCACTAAGAAGTACCAGTACGACGTGGATCGCAATCGACTAAGAAGCGGCAGGTACGCGCTAACCTATTCGGGTCCAGGTTGCTTGCCAATCGCAACTCGCCAAAGCTGCGAAAGTGACCCACTTGCTACATCATCACTACTCCCACATAACTCGGAGCCTCCCTGCACGTACTCCGTACACTCATTTAATCCTGCATCTATTTGTGGACATACAGGCAGACCGAGGACCCAAGGAGATTACCGTTAGCACCGAGCGCGGCACTTCCTCGCGAGCTAACTTATCCTGTCCCAGGTTGCGGCGCTGTCCCCCCCTTCGCGTCATGACACCCAACGCGCCATATCAGACAGTAGGCAAACTAGTAGTACTGACTTGATATATCTCCCCGAGTACGTCTCCTGAGTTCGCGGGTCAGAACTTCCAGTCCCCAGCGCTCGTATCGGCACCAATACCATTGACTCTCAAACGCCTCTCTCGTGTCCCCATCATGGCCAGCAGTGAACAGCTCCCGCCCGACTTTGAGCCCGGCTACGGTACCTGCACAGAAGTCACGCCATACTGCCCCGTTCAGGCCACCATCTATGGCTCCTTCTTCAATCTCCCGGCCATGTTATTCTTCTCCATCCTCTACTTCCTGCTTCTTCTTGCTCACCTTTTTTTCGGCATTCGCTACCGCACTTTCACCTTCTCGGCATGGATCGTCGTTTCTGGCCTGATGGAGATGCTCGGCCACGTCGCCCGTGCCGCGATGCATTTCAACCCTTGGCCTATGGGTCTATTGTCACTCCAAATATGTACACTTCTCTGGGGTCCGACACTCACCGCAGCCGGCATCAGCATCAGCTTCAAGCATATGGTCCACTACTGCGGTGCACAGTATTGCATGCTGCCACCGAAGCTCATCCCCTGGGTTTTCGTCGGCACCGATATTTTCAGCGTGTTCTTTCAGGGTTCGGGAGGCATCATCGCGAGCGTCAGCAGCGGTGACGGAGACACCACTTCGGGCCTGGCCAGAGCTGGTGAGGTCATCATGATCGCCGGCGTCTGCTTCCAGGTTGCCAACATGATTGTATGCTCCGTCATCATGCTGATGTTCTGGAGGAAATACCGGCAGTCACGAAAGGTGGGGGACGTCGGCGGTCAACGCTCCAAGTACAGTGAGGATAAACGTGGAGATCCCAGTGTTCGGACAAAGTTCACATGGTTTGCGGGAGCATCATCGTTCGCCTTCGGATGTGTCCTAATCCGTTGCATCTATCGAGTCGCAGAGATGGCGGGTGGATGGGCCAACCCGATCATGAGGGACGAAGTCAGCTTCATCATTTTGGATTCAACGTGAGTTACCATGGTACTGAATCACTGTCTCGTACTAATCTCATCATAGGATGGTCGCCTTAGCACTGACTGCTCTGGCCGCTGTTCACCCAGGCATCTTCTTTCCCTCGCTCCGAAAAATACAGATCGAGAAAGATGATCATGAGGCACATGTTGCCCAAGCAGCATCGGAGAAGCATGCCGGCGACAGCAGCACCGATGAACAAGCACATAGACCGAAGTAAAGGTCTGAGCCACAAGATGATAGACCTCCACGGTTCTAGACATAGGGTGATGATGCGAATAGTTGCGTACGAACTGTTTGAAAGTAGTCTTGCACAGCGGTTTCGCAATGGATACATTCCTCGACCGATGAGGACATGAATAACGTTCTTCGTTACCCTGATGATGGGACTTGCCGATAAAGCGCTAGAAGGGATTGCCTCAATAGCTGTACTTCAACGCTATGAAGGCTAGGTACTTACGCAAGCAAAGGTGAATTGCACTATCCTACGCTTCTATCTTCGGAGTAGTTTTGTTCCGTAATGTCAAAGCTCGAGCTCAGTGGTGCGGACGGCGGCGCGGCGGAGGGGCTCAAGGCTCTGGGACGAGCTCTAAAAAAAGTCTGATAGCGGAGACTCTGCCACTGCTGACCGGCAGTCAAGACATTCTTTAGGCTCCCATAACCAAGTTGGCAAAGGTCCAGCATCTATCCTCGGGTGCTTCGCCGACATTTTTGGCGCTGCAAGCCGTTCCCGTACCAACTTTTCCTCATTTTTAGATAACAAAGAAAGCGATGCAGTGGTCTGCAATGATCTGGCCCCCGTCCGTCATCCCTGTTGACAGCCTGTGTGCCTTGAGAGACAAACGGCAGAACAAGCATGGGCGTGCAGCGGCGGCACGGGGCCAGTGGGGGCGGTGTTCTGGGCCGGAGCTCAAGCAATTTCAGTGTGGGCGCCTTATCAACTCTAAAAGGCTTGACTATCTCGCCAAAAATGCTTTACCCATCTTGGAACGAGCGCGTCTATATGCCTATAAGGTCTTGGAATCATCGTGTGTCTCAACACAGTGTTCTAAGTCCTTCAGCTGGTTGACTTTGGGCAACGTGTCTGGACATCTATAGGACCTGTGCAGTGGCATGGGATGGCCTAACATTAGAGCTCAGCCTTACCGGGTAAATGTCCCTTGCCCAAAATTGATGCTGTTTCACCTCCACCAAACTTTCTTGTAACAGGCAACCCCATGTCTGATGGCTATGGAAGAACGAGCTGGCTTACTGCGTCTGGCGGGTCCATTGTCAGGATTGGCTCTATCATCCACAGAAGCAATCGTATCTTCGCCAATCGCAAGATCGGCTCGCCTAGTCTTCATGCACCTTGATGGTGATCATTGGTGGCTGCGAACCATCGTCTAGATCCGAGCCTTGGGGCCAGCGGCGACCAGGAGCGGGTTCAGATCATTTCTTTGCCACGAACAGCCCTTTCAGGAGGGCGGCTGCCTCCAGTGTTGTGTAGTCCCTACCGTAGCTCCGGCCGAATTTCGCAGACTTGGTGCCCCAGTCCCTGATGAATCAAATTTTTGGCAGGCGTCCTGCAGAATCCTTCAGCTCTGGCTGGACCGGGGCGCTCATCTTGTACGATGTATTTGGGATCCATAATTGCTCCTAGACCGACCTTCTCTGGCTGCTGCTCCTCTTGATAGCCGCTCAAGCATCTGTCGGCGAGTTTTGGTCTTCTTCTCTTTTCGTTTGTCCCGCTCGGTGCTATCGCATTGTTGTAGGCCTCAACTTGTTGCTGTACCCTCGACCAGCATGGCTCCTCTGGTGCAGTCCCTTCTGCTGGCAGTTGCCGCGTTGATGAGCCTTGTAGCAGCTGACAATGCCACCTGCTATAACCTGTTCGGACAAGCGGACGATAGCCTTCGACCATGTGGTCCCAACGCAGATGTGAGCGCCTGCTGCCGTAAAGACGACATTTGCCTTAGCAGCGGCTTGTGCATGTCCACCGCCAGTTCGTGGGCTGGCTTCATCTGGGTAAGCATTCACTCTATCACGCTCTCATACCATGTTTATTAATACCAGGCAGGCAAATGGTTGTACGGACGCCACGCACGCCGACAAAGCCTGCCCCAGCCAGTGCCAATCCAAAACCTGTACGTGCATCATAGGCTTCCCTCCCGGAACCCCCTTCCTAGATCTCACTAACAGTCCTCTCTAAAGCCGTCAACACCTCCAGCTCCTTCAACGTCCTGCAATGCACCTTTCCTTTCTCCAACGGGACCGAGCAACGCGACCCGCAATGGTGCTGCCGCTCCGCCACCGACTACGACAATTGCTGCTCCGACCCAACCCTGACTTTCAACGATACCCAAAACATCGGCATCTTTCTGACCCCGGGCAGCACCAAAGCTATCAACCCAGCCGACGCCTACATCCCCGCCGCTGACTGCGCCTCTACCAATACCAGTTCCTCAAATACGACAGCCGAGCAACCCTCCTGTCCAGCCGACCACACGGCAGCTGTAGGCGGTGCCGTTGGCGGTGTGCTGGGAGCGGCGCTCCTCGGCGCCCTGGCGACTATTTTCCTGCTATTGCGGAACCGCAAGGCTCTGCGAGGCCAGGTAACCGCCGTGGGCGCCCAACGCGACGACGCCCTCAAGCAGGTTTCGGACGAGAAATCGGTGTTGGCCCAGTTGCAAGCGCAGCAGCAGCAGCAGCAGCAGCAGCAGCAGCGATTCAGCGCGGGTGGCATGGGTCAGGGCCAGGGACAGGGTCCGATGATGGGATATCAGCAGAGCGGGGCGTTTGACCATGGTCAGATGGGCCAAGGGCAAGGGCAACCGCCGGCGCCGGGATATGGGAATGGGCATATCTATAACCAATACTCAGAGAATGGGAGTTTTGCGGGAACGAGTCCAATGGGTCCGCCGCCGCCAGCGGAGATGAGCGCGACCAAGTATGCGGAGATGGATGGGAGTGGGACGCCGATGGAGCTGAGTGTGCAGGAGGTGCAGCCAACGCCAGAAGCGAGCCGGAGTGGTGGGAGTTTGGGGAGTAAGGTCAGCGACTGAGGGCCAGGGCGTGCGTGGCATGTGGCATTATCGGGGTGATCGACGTGTGTGGTGAAGCAGTGCTGTTGTCAGCAGCAATATTGATGATTATCATGATATTAGCATTGGGAATTTACGGGGTGGTGTATACTTGAAGATCGCTCGCCACTGCATGGAGCCGCGGTTGGGGAGACTGCACGACCACGAGAGCCAACAACCTTTCCAGATGCCTTTATAGCTGTGCACTTCTCAAACTCACTCCTGCTTCTCTATCTTGTCCTCGTCACTCGGACCTCCACTTCCACTAGATCTCGACACCAATGCAGCAGGATGTCCCTCGGGATCCGTCCCATGCAAGATCCCGGCCTCAGGCTGGCCATATTTGGAATCATACTCATACCTCCCATCATGGAAGAATGCATATGGTTCCTCACCATGGATCTCGGCGTCGCCTATCAGCAGCACTGCCTCGCTGTACCGCAGCGGGATGCGCAAGACGTACTTGATGAACAGACAGATGGCGCTGGTCCAGAAAGCGTTCCATCCCATAATGAAGAGGAAGCCTACTATCTGCACCCAGACTTGGCGGCCATTGCCGTCGATGGCACCACCGCTAGGCGCGAGCGCGAATGCCGCGGTGCCCTCGCTGGTGGCGAACAGGCCGGTGAGAAACCCGCCCACAATACCACCCACCAGATGTGTGTGGATGTCGCCGACGACATCGTCGCAGAAGTCGAGGAAGAACTTTTGTTTGCCGAGAACGTTCATTGAGATCCAAGGGATAGTGCCGGAGCACACTCCGATGATGATGGCTCCCCAACCAGCGACAAAGCCGGCCGCGGGCGTTATGGCAACGAGGCCTGTGATAATTCCCTGAACGGCGCCGATAACTGATGGTTTCTTGAAGAAGATCAGGTCCATGACAGTCCAGGTGAGCATGCTCATGGCGGTGCAGATATTGGTGTTCAGCACCGCAGCACCAGCGTCTGGGGACGCGGTGTAGGGGTCTCCACCATTGAAGCCATTCCAGCCCAGCCAGAGGAGGCCAACGCCCACGAGCGCGAGCAGTACGTTATTGGGGTGGAAGTCGTTGCGGTCGCGTGGGTGGCGGGGTCCAACCCAGTATGCAAGCACGAAGCCTGCGGTACCAGATGATACGTGAATAACGTAGCCGCCTGAGTAGTCCAGCACGCCCAATGTGTAGAGGAAACCGCCGCCCCAGATGCTGAAGGCACCAACGGTGTAGCAGAGCGTGATCCACAGGGGCACGAAGACCATCCAGGCTAGGAAGTTCATTCGTGCCAGAGCAGCGCCGGCTATGAGGACCACAGTGATGGCCGCGAAGACGAACTGGAAGTATACCATCGTAGACATAGGGTAGGCGGCGGTGAGGCCGGCTGTGGGGAGAACTGCTTGCTTGAGCTCATAGTCCATCTCGACGGCGGGGCCGGGAACTCCGACGAAGGGGAGCATCTGTTTGCCGAAGCTGGCCTTATAGGCGTACTAGACAACTATCAGCGCTTGTCGACCGGAAAACAAGAGATTGCGAACTTACCACGACCCATACGATAAGGACGGAGGCAAATGCATATAGAACCATAAAAGCACTATTGATCGCCCACTTCTTCTTTACAAGTCTACGAGTGGTTAGACAGGGTCGTATTGCCGTCGAGAGAATTGTGAGCTGAGCTTACCCGGCGTACATAACCATCAGGCCTGGAACGGACTGCAGGCCTACCAGTGTAGCTGCCGTCAGCTGCCAGGCATTGTCGCCATTATTGAGCCAGTCTGGTGCGACCAACTTGTCAGCATCCCAACGCGCACGAAGGGCTGCCATGATCATGGACAAGCTTAGATTCTGCCCCAATCACACGAGAAGCAGCGCCGATCCGTGGCGTAGAACGTGGAAGGCGTGTGATGGTTGTTGTTCAGTATCGTAACTGGTAATAAGAAAGCTGTTTCGGTGTGGAAGGACCTCGACAGCGGCGCTGCAAGTGCAGGGGGGCTGGAGGCCTTTTATTCCGACGACTGGCCTCCAGTATGCATGGACTCGTCAGAGATGCCATCTTGGTGGCCTCGGCTGGGGTGGCAAGCAGCCCGCGCCTCCAATTCCAATGTAATAAACTGTAGTCAGATCATCGTCAAGATCTCAAATCCAGACGTGCTATACGACGCGTTGTGATGCTCCTGGACTGCTATCAAACGAAGTCAAAGCTGGCAATCCTTGCTCGGTCGATCGTGGTGTGGTCGAGACGCAAAGGTTACACGTGAAATGTGGCCAAACGTGTCGATGTGCTCAGTAGCATGTCATGCAATTGGGTTCTGGTCATCACGATATCGTGAAAGCATAGTTCTGGATGCTGCGGGACCGGCAGAGTCATCAAAGGGGGGGGAATGATAGCCAACTGCTGACCAATGAGGATGACGAGCGTTATCAGAAGGACTGGCCAGAGAGAGCTAAGCTTCGCTAAGCACCCGGGGCCGATTGCTTGCTTGAGCTTGTTTATTTGCTGAATTGCCTGAGTGTCGAGCCTTCATGATGATATGTGCCGTTCGTTGCAAAGATAAGCAGCCCATTGGGTGTGCACAACTGAGGGACTGGTCGATGCCTAATGACGCAACCTCGAAGATGTTCAGCAACCAACGCTCTCTTGGCGCCAAGAGTCGAGACAGTCTCCAATATCTGACAACACGCCAGCGACAGATCAGCAGCGCATGAAGCAGGCGTGTCCGGTGTCTAGATCGAGCTGGTCTTCTATCCGGTTCTGCTAGACCTGTAGTCGAAGAGTCTGCGACGGACCTACATTGCCGGCATTAGCTTCGGGGAGACGACTGATGTATGCGGCCGGTTTACTCGACCTTGCAGCCCGTGCCTGCTGGTCGCTACGGCTGTGTTGTGAGGTGCTAGCTTCGATCACTGTGGTTTCGTCTTTGGTCAAGAAGGAAATGTTGAGTTTGTTGAGCATCCATCCCTTAGGCAGACGTGTAAGCGTATTGAATGACTGTCGACTCTTCCATGATGCACGGTGCGCTTCGTAACCCGCCGTGGCGTATGTGCCGACGATGGCGGATGAGCTGAGCTGGTGTTTGGGCGGAAAAATGGAGTAATCGACACCGGTGCGGATCGACCCTCATATACCAAACCCAAGTTGGTTGTATTTAAGTGGGGTATGCCTGACGAGAACTGACCCTACAGGCTCAAAGACGCCACAGGCGCAGTTCCGGGTCTTGTTCACGTCGCAGCAAACGAAGGTAACGGGTCCATGGATTGGCAGAAACGAAATTAGCTATTGGGGTCTCGGCCACCTATTTATATACTAGCTTTAGGCGTCCCAAATTTCAAACGTTCCCCTGTCCCAGGTAAAAGTACTGACTGGCCACTGCAGAGCTAAAGTCCTCCCAAAAAGACCTCTCTTTGCTCGGCCTGGTGCGAACGTAGGAGTTCTAGATCCAGCTAACCTAGATACAATTGACAACGTGAAAGCCATCTATGCTGCTGCCTTCGGCGAATGAGGGCTAGTTGAGCTCATCGTATGTGCTTGAGCAGCGGCCATGCGTTTCCCTAGGCGCGGGTTTGGGCACTTCGCTGGACCCACCGGTTAGCGACGAGATGCAGCAATCTTAAATGGCCCTTTCGCGCCCAGGGCGAGATTCAAGAACGCCTTGCGAGAACAACTACCCAGCAATGCAGCCACTCTCCCGTTCTGTGTCACCCAGTCCCAGCCGACTTTCCATCAGCAGCTTTCAGAACCATGTGCAGTCACTTGGGCTTGGAGATCATAGCTCTATTCACTTGGCCTCCAGTAACAAGCCGCTTGCACCAACCGGGGCAGCCCAGCGCTACCAGTTTCGATTTTACTTCGCCAGAGCAATCGCCAATACCCTCGGTCCCTTGGCTGTAGTCACAGTCTATCTGTTCATCGTTTTCGAGTATCTCGAACGCGAGGAGCAGAATGGCGTCATCCCAAATAGAGTCGTGAGCGCCAACGCTCTATTCGTGAGTCTTTTCTACTCCTGCCGTCATTGTCAAGATGCGAGCATTGCTACACAACACACATCCTCATAGAATGTCCTTACCTGACCGGCTACGTCATAGCATGCTAACGGCTTCAGTTCACATGGATCATCCTTAGCATCTTCTCGCTGGAATGGGCCCGCTCAGCTCTCGCTGGCTTCGAGGCCGCAGCGCTCATGAAGCCGCGACTGGCGCCCAGCAATGCTTTGCAGTTAATGTGGCACACGGATCGAGACTGGGGCCAGATCGGTGGCTGGTGGAGAGCTATGCTGTGCACCATCAAGTACCTAGGCGACAAGACATCCCGTCGTGGATACTCTGGGATCGGGCCCAACCGCACATGGGACGGTCCGGCCGGCCTGTGGTGGTACCTTGGTTGCAGTAGTTTTCTGTTCTACGCAGCTGTGCCGCTATCTGGGCTGTCGATGAACCCAGCCGACTCTCTGGAGCTTGGAAACCAGCCAGTCGTGATCCTCGGTGCGAATGAGACCACCTTTGGGTCACGGGCCAATTCCGAGGTTGCAGACGCGGCCATGAGTGGATGGAGGCTTGGAGGTGTCGCTACGCCTGAAACACCTACTGTCTTCTATGCTCCGGCTGAGAGTCCTAATGTTAGCGGCCTGTACTATGATGATGCCATTCAGGCCATATATCAGTACGATCTCTCTGGTACCTCTATGAAATCGCGGAACATCACCTTCTTCTCCGGCCCTCGTGTATCAAATAGAGTCCACGGCGTTGCATGGGGTCTGCTGACCACCACTTCTTGCACCCCAGTCAACATCTATACCGGCCTCGAGCTGATGAACATCTCAAGCTACGCGAACTGGTCTATCCCAGGCATAACATCAAGACTATTTAACGGCAGCGCTCTCCTCACCGGCTCAAGCTCGTACTCCCAATACGGCAGCTCCCCTGGCGTCTACTTCCAAGACGATGGGTTCGGCGTCAATTTCACATACCTCATCGCTTCCGATCACGACATAATTGGTCTGGGAAACCCGGACTACAACAACGCCTCCACGCTTCCCATCAACGGCGCCTTCGAGATTGCCCTTTGGCAAAGCAACCTCGAAGGCTATCCGGTCGATCCAGCTTTCACTAACCTGACTCGCAGTCCCCTCGTCGAGACTTCGGACAACCAGACTGGGTACGGCGTCCGCTGCACGCTCTCCACCGACGTCGGCACCGCACAACTTTCCCCCTCCAGCCACACTTTCAGTGCCTTCACCTCCAAGCCCGCCAATTTCACGCCTGCACTCAGCGCCACTTTCGCAGCCGCGGTACCGCTCTTTGAGTACGCCGGCGGCTACGCGCTGCAGACCGTAATTCTCTCTGCTCTGACGGGAATCGTGCCAGGCTATATCGGCGCACCTTCTTGCTTGCCCAAGAATATCTCGCCCAGCGTTGACACCACCTGCAACGTCTTCTACAGCGCCAATCTGGCGACGGGTGGCAACCCTGTGCAGCAGACCGTCGATTCAGGCGCCGTGTTGATGCGTCAGCCTACCATCCCGCCTGAACGCCTTACCCTCGCCATGTATAAGATGGTGGGTGAGGCGGCTGCCAGCGTTATGGCCGTAGGTGCCGGGGAGTGGCAGGGTGACCTGCGCGGTCTCCGGCCAGCCAGTGATTTGCAGGTAGGCTTCGTGCCGTGGCAGGTTGTGGTCGCGATGTTGGGCTTGTGGGCCGTGCTCACCGTGGTGCCGCAGTTGTGGGTGTTTGGCGAGCGCAGATGGGCAGCTACGCTGACAGGTGAGGAACTGGTGAGATTTGGTGTGCAACTGGGCCGCCAGGGAAGAGACGTGGGTGAGGCCTGGAGAGAGGTACCTGGCTTGGTGGGTGACCTGAGACCGCAGGAGGAGGTGGGTGAGGTGGGCTTTAGTCGATATCGGGCGAAAGCTAGGGGAAGGGAGTATGTGACAAGTATGGAGCGGGATTGCTAGGTGCAGACGTAACTGATACCTCTCATCAGCAGTAGTACTAATGTACCTCTTTGAGCTGGTGCCCCAGCCTAGTCCACGGACACCTCAGTTACAGTGTCAGATACCCCTTTCTGGCGCCCCATGTACATGGTCTAGACTTGACTCGTAGCCACAAGCAACCTTCAAACGTTGCCACGCGCACACAGGCACACACGCTACAGCTTCCCTTTCTCTCTAACCACCCTGTTTGCAAGCACCCGTCATCATACTTCAATCCATGAATTTAGGGAGGGCGCTAATCCTATGACACAGGATACTTCGAGGCGCACAGTTGTCTCTTTCCCATTCTGTTCGTCGACTTTCGATGCAATGTAGGGCGACCTTAGATGATTTAGAGCCATTGACAGCACCTGAAAGAACGCATCCCCGTCGCCGTGAAGAACGACGTCGCTTAAAGGCTGGGGATGCGAGAGGAACAGGCTAAGCGCGCCAAGGCTGTTGTCCCCCCTCTGTGGAGAAGCTGCGTCACGATTGGAGGTCACGTAGCATCCAGTCGGGGCGGCCTCGGGGGGCTCTCCCAGCTCCTGGTGTTTCCAACTCCCTACCCCACGATGCAGATGGTCATCTGACGGTGCAAGCGTGAGCAGGTCTTCGTAACACCAGTGTGAGGCTCAACTGAAGTACTCCGTAGAAGTCACTCACCCTCACCAACGACTTCTCCTCTTCTTTGAATTAGGTCCAGCTCTGGCGAACTCTTACTGCACCGTCGACGTCTTCCCGCTGCTTGCACTTCCGGGGTGTCCCCACCATGCGTGCCCTCACAGCCCTGGCCCTGGTGGCCGCTGCTGTACTACCAACAGCCAGCTGCAGCCGCCTGACCCCTCCAGTGCTCCCGTTGACCGTACGAAACCCGTACCTAAGCACCTGGTTGTCACATGCCCGTGATGAGCCATGGGAGCACTGGCCGCAATTTTGGACTGGCAGATCCATCGGCTTCTCCGTTATGGCGAGCATCCCTGAAGAACGGACCTCCTACCCGCTCCTCGGCAGGCCGCAGGACTCGTTACGCCCGGATGATGAAGCGTTCGTCTAGCCCTGCAGCTGTTCCTTTGGGCACCTGTGCTAACCTGCATAGATACCGCATTGCGCACCCAGTCTACAAGGGCGCCCAGTATGATGCCTCGACTACGAATCTGTCCTACCTGATCCCTTCTCCCTCGTACGCAAACGAAAGTGTTGAGATCACGCTGTCCTTCTTGTCCCCTATTACCCCCGATTCCACTGTCAGACAAGCAATCCCTGCTTCATACTTTACTGTTTCCGTCTCTGGACCCGTCGATGTTGACATCTATACCGATTTGAATGGTCAATGGGTTAGCGGAGACCGCGGAAAGAAGATCGTCTGGGGACTCGATCATCACAGTTTGGGCGCAAAGCATGGCATCAAGAGCTTCCACGTCCGCCGTGAGCACGAGGAGGTCTTGCACGAAATATCGGACATGGGGGAATGGGGCACCCTCTACTTTACTGCTCCCGCAGATGTCAGACACGAGGCTGGAGTTTCTGCCGAGCTCCGTCAGCGCTTCTCGCGCACCGGTACTTTGCAAAATGAGGTGGACAATCATTTCCGTGGCATTATGGAGGAGGAGCCGGTCTTCGCCTTCGCAAAATCGTTCAAGGCGAATGCGACCAGCCATGGAGAATCGCAGCAAATCACTTTCACAATTGCCCACCTACGGGATCCGGTGGCCAAGTTCGCGTCAGCCCGAGGCATGACCTTGATGCGACCATTGTGGAAGTCCTACTTCCCCACCGATGAAGAGGTCTTACAGTTTCACTATCTCGACTTTGAGCACGCCAGCAAGCTCGCTTCGCTCTACTCGGACAGATTGGCGAAGGATGCTTACAAGTCTGGCTCTGATGACTACCGCGACATTGTTGCTGTCTCCGCACGCCAGGTGCTGGGCGCGACCGAATTCGCCGGAACTCCAGACGACCCGATACTCTTCCTCAAGGAGATCTCATCCAATGGTGACTTCCAGACCATCGATGTCATCTTCCCTGCTTTCCCGTTCTTCCTCTACACACAGCCCAAGTGGCTGGCCTACCTGCTCGAGCCTCTGATTGAGCACATGCTGAGCGGACAGTACCCGAACAGTTACGCGATGCACGATCTGGGGGTCTTCCCCAATGCTGTCGGTCATCCTGATGGAAATGACGAGTACATGCCAGTCGAGGAGTGCGGCAACATACTCATCATGGGCCTCGCCCTGGCCAACGCGATCAAGGATGATACGCATCTTGCTCCTGCGAATTTCGAAGCTGTGTCTGTACCTCTTCATCTCCAAGCCACGCCGAAAGAGGATGGTATAGTCGCCCTCAACGTCGGCGATGCAGACGGTATTCAGTTCATTGATGCTCCGTGGAGAGGCGATATTCTTGGCAAGAAGCAAGCACGAGACTGGATTACTCGAAGCTATAAGCTCTGGAAGCAGTGGACTGGGTATCTCGTTGACTTCTCACTTCGTCCAGAAAACCAGCTTTCAACCGACGACTTTGCAGGCTGGCTTGAGCTACAGACCAATCTGGCACTGAAAGGCATCATTGGAATCAAGGCTATGGCTGGACTTGCCGAGATCATCGATGAGAAAGCTGATTACAAGAAGTACACCAACATCTCAAGCGTTTACGTCCGCAAGTGGGAGGAATATGGCACCTCTCGGGATGGAACTCACATGAAGCTGTCCTACAATTGGTATGGATCATGGACTATTCTATATAACCTCTATGCCGACAGCCTGCTGTGCTTCCATCTTGGCGGCGATTCCGACTTGTCCATCGGCCATGGTGGTGAGCAAAAGCCTTTGAAGCCTATCAAAGGCGACCACGACGGCTTCGTGCCCAAGCACATCTATCAGATGCAGTCCGACTGGTACTACAACGTACGACAGAAGTATGGTGTACCCCTGGACTCCCGGCACCGCTACACCAAGACTGATTGGGAGTTCTTCGCAATGGCCGTCACTGCACCGAGGGTCCGTGCGGAGATCTTGCAATTGAAGGCTCTGTGGGTGAATGAAACCACCAGTCAGGACCCATTGACCGATCTTCACTGGACACATCATGATGGAGATTCATTCCAGCGGTTCATGGCCAGGCCTGTTGTTGGTGGCCATTTTGCCTTTCTTACCTTGGAACGGGCCTGTGATGGAAAAGCAATGAGTGGCCTTACGTATTTGGACGATAGCATTGTTGATGATCAGAAGCAGCAGCAACAAGTTGATGTTGAGCGCATGGAGCTATGACCTAGCTTGGTGTTGGATAGCGGCTAGGAAATGAAATGCATTGTACAGTCGTGCTTGAACCGTTTCTCCGATTGTCAACGCGATCAAGTGCTTGATCGCGCTCCTGTTAGGTCACATCCAGCTCTGATGTTAGCGAATACTGGCGATCAGGTCTCCAATGTAGATGATGTTAGATTCGCCGTATATTGAGTCTATCACCTGCATGTCAGTTCCTTCGTCGATCTTTTAACTGTTCATAGTCGGGGCAGTGTAGCTAGAGGAATCAAATTCATGCGAGTCTGAGCTAAAGCCCTGGCCTTGTATTTGGATTTTGACCATGAGGCCCCTCTATCGATCGTAGACATCCATGGCGCTTATTATCAGATCAATCGCCTCAAGCCTGTAGTTATCTTCCTCCACAAAACTAGTGACGTTGGCGTCATATACAAAGTTCAGCTTCTCTCCCTCCTGATCGCCATAGACCGGCCAGTCTGGCACGTCATACTCTTCCCTACCTTCCCATGCATTCGGATCTCCCTCGCTCACGAATGAGATCCAATCACCACTCACAAGCTCTGCCAGTCGTGTATAGCTTTCCGGTTTCCCTTCGAACGGCGCCACTCGTTCCGGCTCCCAACCTACTCCCTCGAGTGAGTACATGACGAAGGGGATTTCGGCGAGGTGAGCGGCGCCGTCCATTTGAGATCCCCAGGCAGGGATGGCGTTGAAGTAGTAGGAGTACGAGGTGAGGTTATTCTCCGCCCACACCCTAGCAGAGTGGCGCCGCCCTGCATGGAATAGCGCGTCTCCGACGTAAGTGACAACTCGCCGATACTCCGCACCATACGAAGAGTTGGGTGTGAAGTCTACCGGCAGATTTGCGAGACTAAGCGGCAACAGAGGATTGTTGGGGTACTCTGTGACAAGCTCGTCTGCAAATGCTTCGGGGATGCGCTCTGTCCCTGTCAGCCACTGTCGAAAGTCCTCTGTGGAATTGATGTTTCTTGGCGCATAGGGCGTGCCTTCATCGGCAGTGGCACCGATCATGATTGGCACATGCACAAAGGAACCGTCCGCGAGCTGTTCGGAAGAGTGTCGCGCAATTAGATCTCCGTCGATCCGAGGCGTCCATACGCCACGTGCTGAGGTACGGTTGACAATGTCGTTGACGACCTCGAATGGCGCTGACCTGAGGCAGGCCAAGGTGTCGGTAGCGTCGCCACAACCTGCGACAATCGTGAGATTGTCGTAAACTGCTTGTGTAGACCTGCTCTGATCATCCAGAGACAGGGGCCCACCACTCTGCATAATGGCGTTCCGGAAAAGGCCGTCGTCTCTCCCGTCGAAGGCTAGTAAGTGGTACCCAGCTGAGGCAGCACCAGCACTTTGGCCCCAAATTGTCACTTTGGAAGGATCGCCTCCGAACGCCTCGATGTTTTCCTGTATCCAATGCAGCCCAAGGCGCTGGTCGCGGAGGCCAAAGTTCGAGTTCCCAGATTCGGCAACTTCCGACGATCCAAGAAATCCCCAGACACTCACTCTGTAGTTGATCGAGGCGGCCATGATCGGGTGACCCAGCTCGACCGAGCGTTCAACGATGAAGGACAGGTTATAGCGCTGGTCAGGTGCACCACCTTGAGTCCACGCACCACCATAGAACCAGACAGCGAGGGGAAGAGGCCCTTCGACATTCGCGGGTCGAATGATGTTCAGGTACAAACAATCCTCGCTGAGTTCGTATCCCGCCGAAGCCCAACCATAACCGACACAAAACGGGCTGTAGGTAGTAGCATCACGAGTACCGTCCCAGCTTTCCTCTGCCAGCGGGGCAGGGTTTGCAAATCTTCGGTCCCCGATGGGAGGTTCTGCAAATGGAATGCCTAGAAAGAAGTCCTGATCGTAGGTGCTGGAGTGGACGCCAGCATATGTGCCATTTTTGACTGTCACAAGCGGATGAGAGGAATCAGCTTCTACCCAAGGCGGAGCAGGAGCGCATGCTGCCCCCCAAATCGAAGTCAAGAGAAGTAGCCGAGTGAGCATTCTTCTGTCGCTCTGGGAGTGTACTATCAGAAGGTTAGACGACTGTTGAGGTACTGCAGAGCTTCCTTATGGAGCTCCATACAGTACTTGTTCTTCTCAACTACCGGTGTGTTCGGACCGTGGAGGTACAGCCAAGCAGCCGGGCCGAGGTCGAGCTCTGATGATCGTTCCCATTCTCGCGTGTAGTTGAGGCTAGCTATCTGCTTGGTATATAAGCGAGCCAAGTTCCTACAGTAGATTGGGAGCTAAGTTCTCAAAGAAGTCAAGTCCTGCTCGTACCGATCGGTGCTTCAACTCACGGTCCAATGGTACCGAGCCACTAACTTCTGGCAGATAACGCCGCATTCCACCGGATGATAAACCATGAGACTGCGGGGCATGGTGCCGTATTACGGCAGGTGGTAGACAGAAAGCGCGGTGTACCTGGGAACACGTTTGAGCGAGTTGGAGGCACGCATCTTTTCTGACGCACGTGAGCAATTACAACTCCACTGGAGCTCAAGCACTAATTGACATGCATGATTCGCCTCAAACACAGAGTCGCGTAAAGATAACTGACGGCATTGGAAAGGACATGTCCTCTGTGTGAGACAACCTGATTCATTCATGCTCAGAGTAACTTAACCTTAAAACTTCAGCGCCTTGCTACAGTCAGGTCTCAAGTCCCGCTAGAAACGAGGTGAGAGACTCTTCCGGAGTCATCTGCCCTAGCCTCTCCTTGCTACAAGCAAACTCGTCTATCGGGAACCAGGGCCGTGCTTCTTCTTCCCGGCCTGTGATAAGGTGAGCGAGTCCTTTGCCTGACAGCCAACAGTTGACCATCCCAAAACCATTGAATCCAGCTGCAATCCATTCGCCTCCAGTCCTAGGATCACACTCTTCTCGTCCCGACACAAAGCCTGGTAGTCTGTCAACCAAAGGTAGACCGTCGCCAGTGCAACCCATTATACCTGTCCATTTGCGGATAATTTGTGCTTGATCCCCATCCTGGAATGCTCGAGCAGGAGCTGTCTCAAGACGATCTAGACACTCGAAGCTCAGCTCGCCATCGTTGGAGCATCCGAGATCTAGTTCTCGTTCCGCAGCATCAGGGACCTGGAGGAGCCCACCACCCCAGTAAAGGTAGCCATCTGGACCAGGGGATTGCGTGACATAGTCGAATCCTCGCTCCCAAACCGTGCTCCAAGAACGCTCACCTCCGAGGCGTGGGAAGTTCTTGGGCACGGATTGGACCGTCATTTGGCCCCTGAATGGCCAGAGCTTTCCCTTCAGAGATGGCAATAAATGCGCAGCAAAGCCATTTGTACAGTGAATGACGTGCTTGGCCTGAATCGAGCCTCTGATGGTTTGAACGCTGTATGGAAGTGTTGGTGCTGAGCTTCTCTCAATAGCAGTCACAGGAGTATGTGTTTCCAGAGTTACATGTCCTCCATGTAGCAGCTTCTGTAATACAGCGCCCACAAAGCGGTAAGGCCACGCAGCTCCCTCGGGTCCTCTGACTGTGCCACAGGCGCTTTCAGATAACCCTAAGCTCTGTACTAGTTAGAACCGTGTCACCAAAACGGCAATGAGCATACCTTCAACACTGCCCGATCCTCAATAGCCTCCCATTTCCCTCGTTCCTCCGGAAAGTCGTCTAGAAAGTCTTTCAACCTCATCTTGGATCCTTCCCACGCTTTGGGGCTGTATGAAGTGCTGAGAGCCTGCGTGCGGCGTACAAGACCCACTTGGCCAGCATCTCCGAGAGCAGCGGCCTCCTTGCAGAAGACATCGAGGTGGGCCATTCTGAACTTGATGATCTTCATCCCGCTCTCTTTGCCGAAAAGTTGTTTCAAATCGTGGTAATCAGCCCAGGGCGACGCTTTGATATGCCCACCATTACGCCCTGTGGCCCCAGAGATAGCAGAACGTGCCTCGAGGATAACGATCCGAAGCTGTGGCTCGAGTCGTAGTAGATGCTCTGCAGTGCTCACCGATGTGATCCCAGAACCGATAATCACAACGTCCGAGTCTTGTGGCAGAGACGGTGACTGCAGATGAGCGAACGAATGCTCGGGATCTTGCCAATAAGACATGGTAGGATTTGGAACTGGGAGGCCAGGATCTCTTGCCATCCTTTCCGCAATGCTTTGCGTGGTCTGGACCGCATGTGACTTGCGAGTGTGGGTTGATGCCAACGTTCCGGTTAGTTGGGCTAACCGTTCGCGAGCCTTGCGTGTATCCTGAATTTTCGTCATAATGGCGTCCAAAGGAGCTTGAATCACAATAGATAATGGAGCTAGCGATTCAAAAAATGTAGAATATATCGGTCTTTATATGTGGAGGTGCTTCAATTACCACGGGCAAACGTTCAAGTCCGCCATGTAGGTATTTGGCCACCGGGCCGGGCTCCGGCGGACAGTCGGGTGAGGGAACTATAACTGAATAGGCAAGTCCTCCCGAGTGAAAGTCGTCCTTCGTGACGTGACCCGTCTGTATTTGTTCGACCTGCCATAAATGGCCTGACATGAGGTTGTGTTAGATTATTGATGCATCCACATAAGACGTCTGCGATCAGGCCGCAGCACTCTACGCTTCACCAGGGAACCTCGATTGACGTGGAGAAGTACCGGAGGGGAATGGCATTTCATCCCAACAATTATACTGCATCACATACTGCCTCAACAACGCCACCAAAGGCACAAAGACCGTATGTAAAACCATGAAAAGGATGGCTGTACTCCCCGCGTTGGTACCTTGGCAAAAGGACGAAGACCGTGGTGGGCTGAGTGCAACAAGCGTGCGCGTCGACCGCATCCGGGGTGCTTGTTCAACGAACTCGGCGTTTCAAGCAGACATCGAACCCTTCCTGGCCCACAAACCAGCCACCCCGAATTTTCCACTCCAGACCGGGCTGGGGAAATGCGAGCTGCTAAAGTGTCAGTGGCAGTGTATATGGTTTCTTGGATGGTGTAACATACCTCATAGTGGCGCAAGATCTGAGGAACCAGTTTGGCTATTTCGAGCATGGAAATATTCTTGCCAATACAAGAACGTGCGCCATGTCCAAACTTCAGAGCTTACGTTAGCATTGCAACAATATATAACCTGGAAGTCATTTACCGCCAGGTTGGAACGTTCCATCACCGCCAACCTTTCGGTTGTTGCATTAAGCCAGCGTTCGGGAACGAAGTAGTCTGCGTCTTCGCCGTAGACAGATTTGTCACGCCTAGAGGTTTGTCAGATAGAGCGGTGCGAGATGCCAAGAACGAACATACGCTGTCACCCATGGATTAATGCCGACTATTGTGCCTTCGGGCAAGTAGCGGCCGTTCAATTCGATTCCACCTTTAGGCACGTGCCGTTCGAGGAGGAGACCAACGGCGGGATGGAGGCCTGGAGCTGGTCAGTGTGTGTCGTAAAGTGGAGCCGGAAACTGTATACGCATGGCCTCTTTTATGCAAGCCTGCAGGTAGGTCATCTTGTTTGACGGCTGCCACGTCACAAACCTGCTGAGTAGTCCACCCTGATCGGCGGTATCAATCTCGTCCAGCACCAACTTCATACAGCGAGGATTCTTGATAAGATAGTAGAATATCTGGTGAACAAATTAGCATTTTTCAATAGCTGAGATGTGGCAACTGACGGCACGCAGAGATATCCCGGTTGTATCGCTCCCAGCGAGAACGTTGTCGATGTTGTACATTCTGATGATGCGGTCGGTAACAAGGTCTGGATTCTTCTTCTGAGCTTCGTAGCAACGTGCCAGGAAGTCTCGGTGGCCTTCGACGTCACCGCTCATACGTTCGTTCATCCGATCGACAGTGAACTTGACAACAGGATGGGTCGGGGCTAGGGCCAGGTAAATCGAGCTTTTGGTCAGAAAGCGGTCGGTCGCGGGTATCTGGCCAATCTGATGTGTACCATTAGGGACTTGTTTGCCTGAGAGGCACCACGAACTACTCACAGAACCTCCCGCGGAGACCTTTGTCTTGATGTCGGCGATAATGCCGTCGACATCCGACCTGGTTTCAAGAAAACCAAGCTTCTTGCTGAAGACTATCTCTCCACTTGATCTGGTGTCAGCGGCGATGGCCATGTCTGCATTGCTGCCGTTGCTTACATGACATCGAAAGCATACATCTGCAGCCATTTCCCAAAGTCGCAAATGTTTCCAGAAGCACAGAATTCATCGAGTCGGGACATGAATAGAGCACTAGTTGAATCGATCATAGGTTCGAAGTCCACGAGAGTCGACATAGAATATGCGTTGGCGATGGGTCGCTTGTACTTAGCATGGTAACCTTCGTCGAGCGTCGTGAACAAGCTGGGCGTGAATTGCTTGTTATATGATAACATGTGCAATGTATAGAAGTCGGTCTTGGTAAAGCCACTGTTCAGACCATATACCTTGGGAATCAGGCTTGGATCTGATATCGAGATGATGCGAGGTCCGATGCGGACGAAATCGGACTTGAAACGCCGATGCAAGTCGATATGTGTTGTATGAGGTGTGGCAACAATACAATCTAGAAATCGCCAGAGGTCTGTAAAGCCAGCCAGGTACGGGCCAGGAATGAGATTCAACTTGTTGCCATACTTGTTATACACGAGGCGTCCCAGAACAGCTGTGAGAAGTATTGTAGGCCAGTGCACTACAAGAAATCCGCGTAAAGCATCTATTGCTGCCATAGTGAGTAGCTCGACTTACATTCATTGCTTGACGGAAAACGAGGTCGATATATACATTTGGCAGTACACTAATGACAATTCTGGGGACTGGCGTTCCGGCCGAGGAGGCTACCTCTGAAGTCGCACACATCGCACACGCCGCATTCCAGAGCTACCAAGCGTCTTTCACACCCCAAGTCTTCAAGAGGTTCCTTGTGGAAGGTAGAGGGAAAGATTTTCTTGGTGTGAGTGAGGGGGACCGAGTAAACGCTTGAACAAGCTCTTCCGAAGTGCGGGATCCGAGTGCCAAGACTCGCCACTCGCTTAAGAGTACTCGGGGTACCCACGGGGTACCACCGGGGCTTGCTTCCTTATCACCATTCTTTTAGACTTTGTATTGTGTCGCACTGTCGCACAGTGGATGGATTCACCGGCAAGACACCAACTGACATGCCATCTTCGCGACTGGAGCGTGGGAAGCCATGGGCGAACGGCCGCATTCTGAGCGCCGAACAGCGCGAGCGCAAGCGCAGGGTGGACAGGTTGAATAAATCCAGACGTCGAGAACAAGAGCAGACCGCTGTCAGAGATGTCAAATCTCAGCTTGCCACACTGACTGCAAACTTGCACTCTCTGCAGCGAGCACTCCCGGACAACGCAAATTGTCTGCCTAGGAGGTTCGACACAGATCTCGCCTCGACCTCAGACACCACATTACCATCCAACACCTCCGGGCCTGAGCTCTCTTCAGCCTACTTCAGCTTCAACGTCTCATCTGAACCACCGGTACGTTCTTTCTCAAGCGACGTTGTTGAGCTCGAAGACGAAGTTCCCCACGTACTACCGCTTCCCACCGAGGCAACTGTCGGTGATCGGTGCTTGCTTGTTTCTGGGGCAAGGTCCTTTGGCACCACGGTCTCGATACAAGACCTCTTCAACCAACTGCTTCGCCAGGGCTGTGTTAGTGACCGGCGCCTCATCTGTACCGATGAGGCTCTGAACCAAAATGCTCTGATTCGGGGCATCGTTCACGGCTGGCACACCGTCCTTGAGTCTCCCTTTGCCTGTCCATTGTGGGAGGTCACAAGTCGGCTCGATAAACATATCTTCGGATACAGCTCGCTAATCACCAGGTTCTGCACCTTACGTATGACCCATTACATGCTGTTGGTGAGTAGCAGTGAAGCTGCACCCACCAGCATTCTGACAGGAATAGTTCATGACGCAAGCAATCACAGCTGCAGAACTGCCACCATGGCTTAGGCCAAGGTGCGTATTGAAGGTGGGCTTTCTGTTGGCACCAGCTGACCCCTCGTAGGCCAAGTCAGCTACATCTCGCGCACGATCTTTCCGTTGATGTTTTGCCCTGGTCTGAACACCTGATCAATTGAATCAGATGAGATTCTAATGCAAGTAGGCCTGGGCTACGCGAACGATCAGTACTGGATCAGGAGACTACGAAATCAAACAAGTTCTGGAGAGAAGTCATTCAGCTTTTCCGGTTGAATTGGCCGTACTCGCCGGATTCCGCCTACCAACTCGACCAGAACAGCGGTCTATACAGCTTTACTGGCACCTACGAAAACCATGTTCGTGAGATCAGGATGTGGAACGTGGATCCGTCCTTCTTCAAATCATTTCCAGCCACAGTCGACGACATTATACCACCAGGGTCCCTCGCCCCACTGTACGTTCGTCCAAATCCGCTGGTCCCACTTGAAATAATGGATGCCGTGAACGAAGAGCCTTCTGCCAACAGGCTTGACCTGCTCGTGGCAGGTAGGAGTCACCAGGATCCAGTCGCCAGCCAACCAACTGAGACCTGTTTCCAAAAGCAGGCTTCATGTGGGGGAGAGCTCCACGTTTCAAGGTCGCCTACATGTGCGACAATAAGGTTTTGAGTCGATCGTGGGGAGAATCTTGCATCCACCAATGCTTGCAGGGGATCGGATGAAGCACCGTTGCCTCCATCCAATCACAGCAGCCCCAATACTATCCACGCATTATGCAAAGTCGCACACACCACGTGCCAGCTCTCCCAGCATGAATCTTTGGTCATGAGGAGGGACATTATCCGATGCAGTTGCGTGGGCATACGCAGGCGAGATAACATGTCTGCTCGCAGCACACGCTCGGCAAAATTGGATAGATGGTGATCCTTACGCCATGGTGTTGTACCCGACCTCGAAACGACAAAGAAAGCCACTCTGTGGGCATATAAAAATGCTTCAAGCCTCCTTGGCTTGAGCGGTCTGCTCCTCAGACTACTCACTGGATCACTCGAAATGGCCTCCATCCAGGTAGCTGACGCCGTGACTGGCGGGTTGCGAACTGTGTACAACCATCCTCTCTATGCGTTGATTATGGTTGTCGTTCTTCGCCTGGCATATAACAAGTTCCGGCCCGGCGTGAGAGCAATACCAGGTCCATTCGCAGCAGCCTATACCAAGCTCTGGCGTGTGTATGATGTGTGGAACGGCACGGCCCATCTGACTGCGATTAAACTCCATCGCAAACACGGACCCCTCGTCCGGGTCGCACCTAATCATGTTTCGGTTGGAGATCCAGACTACATCCCGGTCTTCTACAACATCAAAGAAGACTATACAAAAACCGGCTTCTATCCCATCCAGTGCATCTCCTGGAAGAAACGACCAGAAATGAATCTCTTCTCCACGCGCGACCCGGAAGAACATCGCATTGGCAAGCGCAAAATCGGAGCCGCATACTCTTTGCCGAACCTCTTGCAATCCGAGGCCGCTATCGACTCATGCATCGAGCTTTTCATGTCCCGACTCAACGAGCTCACCTCCCCAGACGGCGTTATCGATCTTGGTGCTTGGCTGCAATACTTCGCCTTCGACGTCGTCGGCGAAGTGACTTTCGCCTCGAAACTGGGTTTCCTCGAACGCGGCGCCGACGTCGACGGCATGATGAAAGCCATAGAGGGTATGCTCACTTATGCTGCCCTCTGCGGGCAGGTTCCCGAATACCATAAATACCTGCTCGGCAACCCACTGTTCTCCCTCATATTGCCGGCCATGGAAACCTGGAACCAAGTTTTGGTCTTCACCCTCAAGGCCATCAACTCGCGCGCCAGCATCAAACGTGATGGTGAGCTGATCAATGCCGACACTGAAGGTCGCGATATGCTGTCCCGATGGGGTAAGTCTTTCACGCAGCTTGAGTTTCCTCCCTCCTTTAGTCATTCTGCAGCAACGGCCTCGGAGCTACAGACACAATGACCGTAAATGGTCTATGAGCTGTTGAACGACGGCTTCGAAAAGAGCCATGTCGTGTGTTGAGCCGCTGTACCCTCATTGTACAGATCAAGATTTACTAAATATCTCTTCAAATACAGCTTACGTCAAGTCCTCCGACCCCGACAAGGTACGGCACCTCTTCCTGTTCCCCTATTGCAAGTTTACAAGTACTAATCGCGTTCACCAAAACCAGATGACCACGCGAGACATAATCGTGCACCTCTCAACCAACGTCTTCGCCGGCAGCGACACCACCGCCATCTCGCTCCGCGCCATCATCTACTTCCTCTGCCGCCACCCTTCCCAGCGCGCCGAGATGGTCGCCGAGATCGACGCCGCCGACGCCGCCGGCAAGCTCTCCCACCCCATCAGCTACAAGGAAGCTACCACGGATCTGCCCTACCTGGGCGCCGTGATCCGGGAGGCAATGCGCCTGCACCCCTCGGTCGGGCTGCTCATGGAGCGGCACGTCCCCCCCGGCGGTCTTGACATCCATGGCCATCACTTACCAGCGGGAACGGTGGTGGGCATCAATCCGTGGGTGACCAACCGCAACGAGCGGGTTTTTCCGGACCCCGAAGCATTCAAGCCCGAGCGCTGGCTGGAGGCGAGTGAAGTGGATCGGAAACGGATGGACTCGCTGTGGGAGCTGAACTTTGGTGGCGGGAGCAGGAAGTGTATTGGGCGGAACATCAGCTGGATCGAGATCGTAAGCCCTTTTCCCGCCCCCCTCTATTTTTTGGCATCTGCCCCTGTTCAAAGGGCATGGAATCTTCTGTTGGATGAGCCCACACTGACATACAGAACAGTCCAAGGTGATTCCCGAGCTGTACCGACGTTTCGAGATCAGTCTGGCGCACCCGGAGAAGGAGTGGAAGATCACCAATCATTGGTTCGTGCAGCAGGAGGGCGTCGAGTGCATCTTGCGGAAGAGAAAGCCTTTTTGAAAACCAATCCAGCCGGCTTGAATGCCGAGACTGTCAATGTGAAAATACCACTAATGGTTCTGAGAAAGCTGAGATATTCTCTCCAGATCACAAAGTGTGTCTCCTCGCTGCCTGTGGACTTTCCGATGACACTATCGATGTGTTCGTTAGCAGTGTTCACATCCTATCAGGTTGTGTTTGTCTCGGCAACATCTGTATCAGTATCAGGATCGAAGTCGGTCTTGTCGTCGCGTTCAGTTGATGTTCCAGTCTCGTTTTCAGGCTTTGATTCTAGAATTCTCCGTTCCAAGTTAGAACCAGCCATGGCCTGATACTGTCGATCTTGCCTCAGCATATCCTCCACAGCTGCAGCTTCGGCATGAACGATAGCTAACCTCTGGGCTGCCAGCTTTTTGAGTGTCTCTGCTACTTTTGACTCTAGAACATCCTTGTTCAGCTTCAGTTCGTCTACTGCAAGAGATACTTCCCGCCGGATTCGCGACAGGTGATTCGCGCAAACATCATCGTGAAGCAAGTTTGCCAGAAGTTCAGCGTCAGACAGGTACTGCTCAAGTCTTGTTACTGTCACATGGAGTCTGTGTACAGCCGTGTGCCGGATGCTCGTGATTGACTCGAGGACTTCAGCCAGAGGCTTGCCGAGGTTCGCAATGTCTTGCTTGTCGAAAAGGCTTTGTTTCGACTTAAGGATTGTGGCCCAGATATTGAGCTCCACAGACTCAGGACCTGTCCACTTTTCTTTGGACATGATACCAGCAAGTCTATCTTGGCCGAATGAGTAGCAGGCCCTCTCTAAAAGATCTTGCACTTGTCTCATAATGCGGTGCTGGTTAGCGTAGGGAAGATAGACGGGATACAAGGATGGAGCTCGTTTGATCAAATTCGTCGCTGTGGTAGGTTGTAGCTCTGAGCCTGAGTGTTTAGGAAGTTTCTATTAGAGGGCTTTCGCGAACAGCATATGGTGTCTTACTCTTTCCCTTTCCTTCGACTTCGGGTTCGGCGTGAGGAAAGTCATCACCTGCCTCCTGCTGCCCCTGAGAGATGTCGTGTATCACATCTACCTCAGCTTGTGCAGCTTCTGCCTCGGAGGCAGCACGGTCTGCACTCTGGGTGGGGGAGACGTCAAAGACCTCTGGAAACTTGAGCTTGGCCTTCAAGGTGGACTCAAATATTTGTTGTTCGAGAAGGCTCTTGATCGAATTACAGACGTTGTCATGATTGTACTCGGTGATGAGATCTCGAATGTCTGTCTCGTTTTGGTGATTCTGGACAAGCTTGCGGATCTTCTTACTTGTTCGAATTTGAGCTTCCGGCCCTTTGAAGACGTTCTTGAAGGCAAGGTATACTGATCTTTCATCAGGGGTGAATTTCGCCATGTTGGCTAGAATAGTTGCAAGGACTGTTGATATAGTACTTTCTTAAGCTCCGCTCTGGTTTCAAACCTTGGTATAAGGACGCCCTTGGTGTTCAGTCTACTCGTAGTGATGTCACAGAACACGTCGAAAGCGGGGTTTGTTCGCGGGCAGTCTCATCTCTGTCAATGGCGTTACTGTTTATCCCTTCTGTAAGTTCATGGCATGAATCGTAGCCTGATTCTATCAAGGTATTGAGAGGGTGTCCATCTGAAATAGGCGGCTTCGCTCGCACAGAAGAGCAGGGGGAACGAAGAAAGGTGAGAAGAAATGTAAAAGGGCAGAGGTGTCGTTGGAGACCCTGACGTTCACTGTAGGTCTGCCGAGAAGGGAGGAGCGATGAGGGTGGATACTTGTAACAAAGTGATTGAGACGGGAACGTGTTAAGGGAGGTGGTCTCAGGTCTGGTTGACTGGCGCGAAAAGGAGTGTAGGACTCCATTGCATATAGGTAGGGCTGAAGTGGGTCGGGACAACTCGAGAGTACAGGTGAACTTGGTGAGGGGCCGAAGGGGAAATGCATGCCTACTCTCCTTTCGTTTTCGTCTTCCCATTCGTTCCCTGAAGCTCTTCAACCAACACCTCCCACCACTTCTCATCTCCAGTCGTCCCTCTCTTCAACCCTGTTGGCCCCTCCGTAGAATGAACATGAAAGCTAAAGTCGACCTCACCAACCAACTCCCGAATGATCCTCACAATCTTCCCCAGCTCCGCCGTCACAAACGCGCTTGCCACTTCGCCCACCGCAAACGCTGCGTAGGCCGGGTGAGCAAAGTTCTCTATGCCAAGTAAGTCCTGCTCTTGTGCTTCGCGCCTCTGCTTCCTCTTTTCGGCAGCTGCGGCATCGGTGTTGGGTTCTTCATACTCCTTCATAGACTGTGCAACAGGTCGAGGCGGAAGGAGATATGGCGGTAGCGGCTGTGAGCTGCGGATGGCGCTGGAGAGCAAGCAGAGCGTCTTGGTGATCTCGTGCGAAGTTACGCGCTGGTGAGCGTCGGCCACGAAGGCGCGGAAGTTGACGAGCCAGCGTTCTTCCTCTTCCTTGGTGAGTCGCTGCCTGGGGTAGTTGATGTTGTCTTTCTTCTCGTCAACATCACTAGCATCTTCATTTGCGGTAGTACTCAGCGCATTGCCATTCAACTGAGAAGTTCCCACGGTGGCATCGCGGAGGACATCTCTGTCTCCTCCGGAGTCAATGAATGCGTTAGATGAGTAGACTAGAAGGGCGAAGTAGGAGAAGACGTTCTGCAAGCTGTCCACCAACTCGGCGTACTTGTCCCGTGGGAATTTGCCTCCAAAGGTCGGCTCAATCTTGCTGAACTTCAAGTGCACTCTGAGCTGGTTCAGCATCAGTAGAACTTTTCCGAATACCTTGTTTCTTGCAGAGTCCAATTCGTACACAGGATGTCCCTTCGGCAGATCGTGAATACCGTGTCCCAAGTGCAGCCGGACGTCTAGAGTCGAATGCACACAACTGTAGAAGTTGGCAAGTATGTAGAGCGTATCGCCTACATTCCGCCGTAATGCGCCGTGGGTAGTAATCGGAAATGGAAAGTACGTCCAGATCCACGCCACAAACAGGCCAGCACCAACAGTGGCAAGTCGATATACGGCCAGGAGCTCTACAGGGTAGTATGCTTGTCCGTTAGATGTTGCGAGCCGCCTTCCAATGACATCGACTTGCAGTTCGTAGCCTATGATTAAGACAACTGTGACGCTCGAGATCATGCCAATGACTGCGAATTGGGGCAGCTTGATGATGAAAAGCATCCACCCAGACATGTAGAGCCAGAAGATGGGGATGATCGCGGCGTGCTTGTGGTCGCACATGTACCATATGACGATGGAGGCGACCATAGCGAAGGTTGTCCCAGCGACGCGGCCCGCGAAACCGAATAATCCTTGACCAGCGAATGGGTCCATGCTGATGGCCACCATGATCAGTGCCCACATGCCGCGCTGCTCCAAGAAGAAAGGGTGTGTCCGTCGCAAGTAGGCGATGATCGCGATGGACATTGTTGCCAACGCAGCGCGAAAACCAAAGGCTGCGCATCTAGACTGGAAGAATGCTGGTACACGCCGTAAGAAGTCTGTTGCTTTCTCGTACGCATTAGTTGGCGGGAGATGCTCGGGGTCTTTCTTTTTGTTGAGTGCGTCACCCATGTAGATATTGCTTCCACCATTGACGCCAGCAGAGAGAGTCTCATCAATACTAGACTGTGTAAGTGCATCCATGAATAGCTTATGAATGCGCCGAAAGCCTGGATTGATAATGCGTCTGCGAGCCATTGTACCATCTTCGACCAAGCCATCAGCATACTTGGCGAGCTCCAGCAGTGCCTTGCCCACGCTGAAATTTAGGAAGTTCATGTAAAGGATCATATAGAGCTGATGCTGATTGAGGCGCTCCCGGACGATAGCAGTGGTCTGACGATGTAATTGAGGCTGATCGGTGACGTTGCGCCAGAAGTGCTTCGGGAGCGCCAACCCTTTGCCGGTAGCCCATTCTTGTATTATTCCGATGCGTAGATCCTCGTACTTGAGCAGTTCGGTTTCGAGGTGCATCGCGAACCCCCTGTCCCCCGGCCGAACCGAGGACTCGGCAGCCTTTTCCACGTCCGCAACGGTTTTCGGGCGCTTTTCCAGCTCGAGTTGATAAGCAACATGCTGCAGACCCGAGAAGAGTGCTGTTTGGTATCCAGCGTAGGCTTCCTGAGAGATGGTAACCACTTCCTCCCATTCTTCAGACTCCAGCTTACGTGCAGCCTCCATCGCCTCCTTGACGTCAGGTACATCAGAGATTGTTGCGCGATGTTCTCGGAGCGCCGTGACAATCTCAAGGAATGTAGTCATACCAATGACCGGCAAGTAGACCTTTCGGATCAGGCTGTATATTTCGGAGAAGTGATGCGGCGAGAGCTTGCCGTACGCCAATTCCTTCCGAGCAAAGCCGATCTCCAGTTTGATCTTGCCAAGAAGCTCGTTGCTCTTCATGATGGTTGCCTTCAACGCCTCTGCGGCATTCGTCTCTTCGGCACTTGCTTCTCCCTTGGAACCGGTGGAGTTGTGGATCGCTTTCATGTAATTTCCGTGGGCAGCAATACAAGCCTTGAGAAGCCCGGTGAAGCCACCCAGCTGCTTGGTGACGCTAGCTCTGGATGTGATTGGAAGGACAAACAGCGAGACGCCCGTAGCGACAGCATACCCAGTGAGAAATGTGATCAAGAGCCGGCGCACGAAGCTCTCTCCAGCCTCCATACTTGGGAAAGAGGGGGCATACACCGAAGCGACAACCACGAATATGACAGATTGGATCACAGGAAGCATGAGTTGAGGCCTAGCTGCTTTCACAGAGTTGGCGATGAAGACCCAGACAAACAACCACGTTCCGGCCACGGCACATGCCGCTGCATTGTACGTTGGTGTTTCAGGCGAGCCAGATCCGCCAGTGCTCGGAGGTGCATGTGGACGCCTACGCGCGGCGACGACACATTGTATCTCGAGCAGAGCCAATGCGGCTCCCGTGCAGGTGAAAATTAAGCTGGTGAACAAAGACTGTAGGAACTTTGCCCTCGGTTGAATAGCCAAGCTCAAATGGCTGATGATGGCAACAAGATAGCCAAGAGTTGTGTAGGTGTCGGCCCACCCCGTTGCTTCGTATGCTGCCAGGGCAATGGTCGACGGTAAAGCCCCTTTGCAAGCGAGCACGATGAAAAAGGGAGTCAGGCCGGTTTTCTTCCATAATCGCTTGATCACATTGGGTTGCTTCGTTGTTGCAGTTGGATCGGTCATATCGGGCTGAAAAGTAACCTTTGATTATCCCCATGTGATGTGCAGACGCATGGCGTGCAACCTCGATGTGCCAAAAGGAGGTGCGGATATGCCGGCGAGGATAACGGAGGTGAGAGTACACGTCCGCTATTTGGACAGTTGAGGAGAGAAAACGCCAGACGGATGTGTGGGTGTACGTTTGCTGATTCATCAGACGATCGGAAAGGGGGCTGGTCTACAGCGCGGAATAGCCGCAGCACTTCGTTGCGGGCGGCGCGATAGTGCCTGGAGAGATCGAGCGATGGGGGAGCGTTAGGGCTGTAGGCGCCAATGACAGCGTTCGAGTGTGCATGCCTGTTGGAATTTCGACGCTGGTTACACTTCCGGAAAGCCGGAAGCCGGAAGTGTAGGTTTGCACAGCTCATGGTGAGTCTTGGTCGGCTCTCGTCTACATCCACTACCACAATTGCCAGATTGATGATGCCTTAGGGGGGCGCTGTACGATCGGAGGTTACAAGCACTTCGCTAGTGTAAAGCGAGTCGTCCAAGCACTGACTACTGATCGACAAGGCCAGTGCACAAGGCTTGTGCTAGTAACACTCGTTTATGGCAGGGGTGTTGTCGCGTAAGCAGTACCCTTGACAGGCGTGCATGTCGTGTTCGATACGAGACAGTCAACGTAAGGTTTTATAGCACATTTCAGTAATTAGATATAGACACTAAGACGATGGCGGAAGAGCTACTTCGGTCGACATGGTCAGTAGTAGGGTATTCGTGAACACATCAAACACCAGGTAAACCCTTCTCGTTGCCCAAGTACCTCCTGAGGCTTGATCAGACTCCTTTGCTCCGCCTGTGTAATCTGACGCGTTCATGGTTTTATACATTATTCGTTTTGTAAGGGGTGTGCTTGCTCGCAGCTGACTCTCGCTGAGTAGGGCTCGCGGTCGGCTCACGAATATTCTTTGCTGCCATTAATAAAGCTCCCTCGGCTTCGAGTACTCCTGCTTCGCTTGCCGCCGAAGAAATTACGGCGCTTGGTTGTCTTGGTCGTGGTTCGGTCCTTGCTCCGGGAGCCACCCAGGCAGAAAAAGACGGAGGCAAGGAAGAAACAAGCCGCGGCAGCCCAGGTGAAGCCGAAGGCATACTTGCCGATGCGAGCAGACTGGTCGTTGCTGCGGAAATTGTCCCGACCTTTCACATACGCAGCACTAGTATAACGTTAGCAGAGAAATTGAACACCTTGAGATGTACCCACGTCATGAGGGAAGCTTGGATGAGTTGAAAGAACAAAGCGATCATCGTCAATAGGCCAGACAGGTATGCTCCGATCCGAGTGCAGAGGGCCAATACGCCGGTCAAGAGGGCGCAAACGGCGAAGAAAAGAGCGATCAGCATGAAAGCGAACATGAACCGGGTCAAGTAGAAGTAGTAGCCGTGATTGCGGACAAAGTTCTCCGGGACATTGACATCGGTATCGAAGGTGCGGTGGCTCGCCGGGTCAAGAGGGAAGGCTGGGTGCACTTTCTCATAGTTGGCATCCCCACAGGCGGTTCTGGAGCCATCGACACCGCATACATTCCAGTATGTCCATCTTGACAGTGGAGGCGCATTCGGAATATTGCTCGTATCGGCTTCGAGGAAGTACCAGCGATTGACTGGGGCCCCGTCGACTGCACCGGCCAGCAGGATGAAGAACATCAACAGCAGACCGCCCGCGACGAGGATGAGGGACAGGAGCCCAAAGATTCCTTCTGCAGCGGTTGTTAGTAGTGAGGCGTTTCTGAAGAAGGTGACGTACTTGAGGCCATGGTGAAGTGTTTCGAGATGGAGCTGGAGCTGGTCGTAGGCGAGCTTGCTACCGATGAGCTGCTGTTGGACGCTGGTCGCTAGCTACTGATTGCTGCTGTTTCGTGTGGTGGCAGGGACAGGGAAGACAGAGTTGTGGGAGGACCAGTTTATGGAGAAAACAGGGCAACAGAACTGAGCAGGGGTGAGGTCACCATTACAGGTTGCCTGCGTGTTGCAGCCCCGGGAAATGTGTGGTGCCCTGCTGTCAGTCAGCCCGAAGTCAGTCGCGGCCAGCGCAGCTTGGGAAACCGTCAACAACCAACAGTAGCAGAGCAGATGACGTCGTGGCGCGGCCGGTGCTCTTTTCTCTGCTACCGCTAAGCCTGTCAGAGTTAGGCGTCAACACCCAGCAAGGAAAAGCGCGGCCGGCTTCCTCGGCGATGTGCTCTTGGCGGGCCAGAAACCTTCGTCAAGCTTCGTTGCCCTCTTCTGCGCTTCTGCGGTTTTCGTCACCGTCAACGCGGCTCCCGTTGAAGTGGCTGTGCTGCTGAGTCGTTGTTGCCCGTGCCCTATTCATTTCTCCACATGAGCCCACCGGAGTACCTGTGCGAATGAGATGTCGTACAGAGTCCTGGAGTGGGTGTACTTACAAGTCCCGTGCGACATAGCCATCGTTGACGGTGCTGTGACAAGCAGCAGGCTGTCTGTACCGTTCATGTTGCTGCTGTAACCCATCTTGGTTCATAGTTGGAGGTGCCATTCAAACATGTAAGGCTGCGTATATATCACCTGATGACTGTAGCTACTCCTTACAATCCGTTGTAGCCCTAGCATATATATGACGTAGGCCAGGGCTCTTCTGCTATTTCTTGAGCCAACAGAGCAATCTAAAAGACCAATCTGTAGCAATTGCTATCCGTAAACCGACAGCAGAGCATTACTCCTAGATGACTAGTGGGCTTATTGCCCACGTTGGATGCAAGCTGAGGTGCGGACACCATGTACCGGGTTGTAGATAGCAGTCTCAGGCTTGGCGCGATGCTGCCGCGGTTCTGCCGAGTCGTTTCACCTGCCAGGTCTCAATGATACCTAGGCTCTCCTCTGGGTAGCTCATGTCTGAGCTCAGTGAGCTGAAGCAGCTCTCTAGCAATCATGTGGTGTCTTCTCGTCGTCAGTGTGTTGTTCCTTGCTATCACAGGGAACACATCAGTCCCTTCCCATTGGGAATCTCCTGCCAGGAGTCATGACGCCGACCGCGTACAGCAACCGCTTGACGCGCCCACAGCCAACGGGACTGCATTGAAATGGCGCGCTAGCATGGTTCATAAAAACCCCGGTGAAGGGCTTACCAAGACCAAATACTCCGATCCTCGCGTTGTTCGTGAACTTGGCTTCAATGTGATGGTCAAAAACGATGGCCGACCACCTCATACAGCCATCACGTGGGATTCCTTCGACCCAGACGTTTTCCCCGAAGGAAGCGAAGGCAGGGCCTGGGTCGAGCTTCGAGCTGCCGAAATCGACCGTGAGATCGAAGCCATGCACGCAGCGGGGATGAAAGCCATGTACTGGTCCGACGTTTTCGTCTTGCCAAGAACTCTTGCCGATAAGTACTGGCCAGCCATTACTGATCAAAAGGGTTATTGGTCTTTCGATTCTGATCTGATGATAAACCTGACCAAGTACATGCTTGATGCAGTTTTTGTGCGCTTCCCCGATCTGGATGGCCTTGTAATCCGAACCGGCGAAATATACACCCACGATGTTCCTTTCCACCAAGGCAGCAGCCCCATCACAGATGGTCCGGACAGCCATATCCATTTGCTAAAGATTTTGGATGAAATTGTGGTACGGAAGCACAATAAGCTGGTCTTCTACCGGACATGGAGCTTTGATGGCTTTCATACAGACCCCAGCTACTATCTCACAGTGGCCGACGCAATCGAGCCGCATCCTAATTTGGTCATGGTCATCAAGCATACTAAAGGTGACTACTGGCGAACATTGCCGTTCAACCCGACCTTGGGAATTGGTCAGCACCCGTTTCTGGTAGAGATTCAGTGCCAGCGCGAGTACGAAGGCAAAGGTGCGGTTCCGAACTACGTAATGAAAGGTGTAATCAATGGTTTTGACGAGAATATGGAAGATGCTGGTGCCAAAAGCCTGACGGATCTGCTTGACCACGATCTATTCCAAGGAATTTTCGCTTGGCCTCGAGGCGGTGGCTGGCGTGGTCCTTATCCTGCTAACGAGTTCTGGATCGATATGAATGTCGAGGTCATTGCCAATTGGGCCACCGATACATCAAGAACTGAAGAAGAGCTTTTCCATTCGTGGGTCCGCCACACGCTGGAACTGGACGAGGAATCAGCACGTGCTCTGCGCGAAATTGCTCTGCTTTCGACGAGGGGCACTCTACTTGGCCACTACTCACTTGTCCATCAGGTCGGCAACCTGCCTTGGACTCGAGACTACTATATCGGAGGCGCAGATTCCGCGCTCAAGGGAGACTTTGAGGCCATCTTGTCGGATGGAACTGTGGAGGATGTGCTCGGCGAGAAGGCCCTCGCTGTCTACATCTGGGAGATGTTGCCAGGGCCAGCTCGGCAAATTCGGACTCACGACAAAGACCTGCGGGACTTCATTGACCTTAGCATCGAGTATGGCATCCTGCTATACACGATCATCTGGCGGTCATGGATTGCGCAACTAAAAGGCATGGAGGGCGATCAGACTGGACAATACGATGTTGAGTTGATCAGTGAGGGTATCAATGGCTATGATTTGGCAATGCAGAAATACAACGACCTTTCTGGATCACGCAACGCGACCGAGCAAGTCTCGTCGCTGTACGTCCCTTTTCAGTATCGATTCACCGCCCCGGATCCTATCAAAGGCGTGAATAACTCTATCAACATGTGGCGGTGGATTCTCGACGAAGCAGAGACGCAGTCAACGATGCGAGACGACTTGAAGCGATGATCATTAGGCTGTCAAGTCCTAACGCTGTCGAACAAGACTTCCCTGTCTTAGACGTGTATGCCGCACCAAATCGGGCCTAGCGGGCATTGTACGCCAAGCATCGCTGACCTCGCACATCCGGGGTCGTGCTACCACACTTGTGGTTGCACCGGGCATCGTCCTTCGGTGACCTCAACGAGAATCATAGGTCGGCCAGAATCCAGCCATGAAGAGAGATCAAGTCGGATTCGGCCAATATAGACAGTTTTCGTGACAGACGATGCCAAAAGCCAGAGTCGGCCCGGAGAATTGGCCCACATCCTTACCATATCTTTCGGCTTCGATCCTCAGTCCGGATGTACCCAAAGACACATTGTCGACAAAAGCTCTGAGCTCGCCGTCGTTGGAAGCAGACGTCGCCACCATTCCTCCTCCGCAGACGCCCTACTCCAACATTTGCATCACCCCGATCAACGACCCAGCTCATCCGGCATGCGGCCAATGTGGACTCTTTACTACGCAGGTACATGCTCCAGACAGTTTCATCTGCCTCTACCTCGGCCTTGTCCACTCTACGCAAGCTGAGCCTTCCGCCGCCTTTACAGACTACAACTCTCATGAGCCCAAGTCCGACTATGATCTCTCGCTCGACCGCGACCTAGGTCTTGCCATCGATGCTAACAACATGGGCAACGAGGCTCGCTTTATCAATGACTATCGTGGCATTGCCGACCGACCCAATGCCGAATTCCGGGATGTCATCGTCAAAGCCAAGAACGGAAAGAGAGAGCGAGGCGTGGGTGTGTTTGTTAAGGCTGCCAAGAGGGACAAAAAGACTAAATCGAAGAGACAAGACGACAACGGCATCAGCAAAGGTGCGGAGATCCTGGTGAGCTATGGCCGAGGCTTCTGGAGCGCGAGGCGCGCGGAGGCTGAAGAGGCAACTCAAGCGACCACCGACGCTTCTCTCGATGGATACAGCTGAATGCAGTTGACTGCGAAGTTTCGCTATTGTTGATTGTCGGTATTAGTGACTGCACTAATCCGCAGCCCACACAATAGGCACGTCGAGTGAAGTCCGAAATGCCAAGAGTTGATCAACTCCAAGGGTATCTTCTCGAACTCGTCAAGTTCTGAAGAACACCTCACTCGATCGCCCATGCTCTTTTCTGCAAACTCGGTTCTCCGCGTCAGTGGCTCGCTGTCGTTCATGAAGTATCAATCTGATGGGGGCGAAGATGCCCAGCGGATTCCCAACAAGCGCAAGCGTGACGACTGTGACTCCAACGATGAATCACACGTGACAACCTCAAAAGCCGTTTGTCTCTCCCACCCCTCCACTGGTCCAGCGCCGCCTACCCCAACTCTCCTGAGTCTTCCTCTCGAGCTGCGCGACCGCATCTACGCCCACACCGAAGGACGGCTGGTAAAGCTGCAACTTCTGAGTACCCGGTACGCTAAAGAGGTTGGGTACACTATACGCTTCAGGACACCCGGCATTGGCTTCTCTGGTCTTCACGGCGTAAACAGGCAATTTCGCAAGGAGCTCGAAGAGTGGTTTGGTACCAACCATAAGATCGACCTCAAGATTCACAAACGCATCATTCTCGGCCACGAAATTGCGAAATTCTCCCCCGAAGAGTGCTCCCGCATCGTCTACCTGCGCATTTTCCCATTGCCCTGGGAATCCTACGACTTGTGGAACCAACCCGCCGGCGCAATAATCACCACAATCATGGGCTGCTCTGCTGCAGCACTTGCGGACACCCTTCCGTCCCTTGATGGCATCGAATTCACCTTTGAGTGCGCTCGGAACAAACGCGATGAGGTCAATCGAGACCTCGACGACTTCTGCGAAAAGTTCGCCGCCATCAGACGAGACATGGATATCGAGAGCAGAAGCTGGTCAAATGGTCGTTATGTGGTAAAGATGGCGATCCTCGAAGAGCTTTGAGCTCCTAGTGAGCAAATGGGTTGCGCAGAATGCGGAATGACTTGAAAGCTTCTTGGCTCGCAGACCTGGATACGTTCATATGCCCTGGTGTGAACCATGGCTGGCGGGAGACAAACCAATCTGCGACCCGCTTACAGATCTCTGTAGCCTGTCATACAAACTTTGCCTTACTTCATCCAACCAACTATCTACTTCTTTCCTTCTTACGCTCGATGTAACTGACGCGAATTTCCGAGGGCATCTCGTTCTGTGGCAGCCGGACCGACACCACGCGGGACACGACCTTCAGCTCTTCCGTAGCCATTTGAGAAGTCCTGCATAACAGTCGGTCATTATCCGTTCCTCGCCGTGGCCCGCTACAAACACCCTTCTCCCTATTATGCTCGTACATCCGACGCAGCTTTCGCCTTCCTCAGTGACATGAGCTTGATGCTGCAGACCAAAAGTCAACACTGACGCTGGCGTCGAACAAGAAAGGCAATCAGTGGACGCTTGAGGTATGGCGAGCGGTGTACCCGCAGATTGCCAAATCCAACCTCACCCGTTCTTGCAACTTGCCAACTCAAAAGATCGCATCGAAGATCGCTGAGGCGGTTCGAAATCTGACTACCGTCAGGGCTCAATCAACAATTTCTCGTCGTCATGCACACAAACTCCACCGAGCTGCGTGGCGCAAGCGACAATGCCTCCGCTTACGAGACCTTGGCCGAAGCACTGCTTGTCCGACTATGCCTTTATTGAGTCTGTCACTGATACCCAGTAATTCAAGTCAAAATCCACACATGGCGCCAAGCTCGTTCAGAGAGCCCCCGGCAGCATTAAACCCGAACGACATGTCGGTTGGTGAGGCTGCTACAAGAGTCCAATCTCGGTATGAACGAGTTGTAAGCATGAAGCTAAGACATGACAACCTAGGTGGGCATGATCCGCCGCACCGAAGTAGACGGTGATATTAACTCCACGCCGACATTTGCTCAGCCTCAGAGCCACATAGCCATCGCTGGCCATCTTCGACGTACTCAGATGCAATATAAATTCGGAACAATGACGCCCTCATAAACACGATATCATCAGCGACAGTTTGTGACTCACCATCAACGAACTTCCACAACACCGTGAAGATCCCAGCTACGCAAAAAGACACTGCAATATGGCTCCACGATCCGGCCTCGGCATTGCGACCATGGTACTGGCAATGTGTTCGATCGCATCTGGTAAGTCATGCACAGCAAAAGCATTATTCGGGCTTCTGACATAGTTCCAGCACAAAACTCCAGTACTTCAAGTCCTCTACGCGACCCTCGAGAGCTCTATCTGCAAAACGTGACCCTTCCACCGCCATACCGCTTGGGCAACACAGGTCTGCAAAGCGAGTTCGATCCACCACCCGATTGTGGCGAAGACAGCTATGTGGGCAGCGGCCGTCTAGCTGGTCGTCGAGCACTGATCACAGGCGGGGACTCGGGCATTGGCCGGGCAGTCGCCATTGCGTTCGCAAGGGAGGGCGCAGATGTCACTATTAACTACCTCCCAGACGAGCAGTCTGACGCGGAAGACGTTCGTTCCATCATCGAGTCCACCACCGACTCCCGGGTCTTCACTCTACCAGGCGATATCCGTAACGAAACCTTCTGTGAGCAACTCGTCGCCGATGCAGCTGTACAGATGGAAGGCATTGACATCCTCATCAATAATGCTGGATGGACACAGCTTGCTCCGAACATCACAACCCTGAGCACCGAAGTCTTTCGACGTACACTCGAGACGAATGTCTTCGCCCCTTTCTACATTACCCGTGCCGCGGTCCCATACATGCCACCCGGATCCAGCATCGTCTTCACCGCCTCCAGGATTGTTGAAAGTCCACCCTATGAGGGTGCCACCTATGCTTCGACGAAAGCCTTCCTGGCGACCTATTCTCGAGCCCTGGCTTTTGGTCTGATGCAACAGAACGGCATTCGAGTGAACGCGGTCGCGCCCGGAATAGTGTACACGCCTTTCTTACCGACGCAGGGTCTTGTGAGTGAGATTGCGAACGACAGGGTTGGAACACTGCCTATGGGACGCGTCGCACAGCCTGTGGAGGTCGCAACCTTATATGTCGGCCTAGTAGAGAATGCGCAGACGCATGCGTACGGAGCAGTGTGGGAGCTCTGAGCTAGGGCTCGTTCTGCTGTGGAGAGTGGAAGTGTATGCGCCTTACCATGTGGTAATGGGTGGAGTTGCTCCTCTCATACATGACAGAAACTCTTGAACGGGTCAGTAGGTCTGGCTACCAAGTCGATAGATCAGCCCTTGGACCTTTCAAGGCAATATACCGATTACGCCAAGACGGTGCAACGATTGCTCCGGTCCGACCGTCTCCACTGCTATGAACCCACCCTGATCGTGCCATTGCCTCTGCTCAACAGTCTCTACGAAACCTCAATTGCAGCACTACTACCAGTACAGTATGCGGAGCAGAAATCTCGGGACGATGCCACCTCCAGCCGACGCAGACGATTGGCATCTGGTAACCGACGCCAAGAAGCGCAAGCAGATCCAAGATAGATTGGCCCAGCGAGCGAGACGTACGTACAGCTCTGCCGCTTCCTGTTATGCCCATTGATCACCCCAGATGATGAAGTACTGGTGCTGTGGCGCCTACTATAATGTCGTTGATAGATAGGCTGTCGATAATCGGAACTCTCAACCTCGAGTGTTCTCTTCACGACTGCAATGCCAGCCTATATGCTGACAAATGTCTGATATTAGGGAAACGACTGCGAGAAGCGCAGAAGGCCACGGCTCCGTCTCATGGCGACTGTACAGCAAAGTGTCGTAGCCTTACCAGTGAGACAGTGCATTGTTGTCAGCTCATCTCGGCAACTGCTCTTGATCTTGATACCACTGCACCCCAATCTAGCATCGCCAGCACCGTATTCGCATTCACGCCTCTAAGCCTCGAGGACGAAATGGATTTGTTCAACGCGACACCCACGATCATTCGCGAGCTGGGCTTGACCCATTCTATAGCTGCGGCCCTCTACTTCAACGGCGAAGTGCTCGGCCTCTCGTGTTGCACCGTGGTGCCGTCCAGATCCCCACCAGCTGGCGATCATGTCCCCGGCTCGCTGCGGCCGACTTCAACACAGATGATCACCATCCATCAAATGGGGGTCGATCGTTTTCCGTTTCCTCGGATGCGCGACAACATGATTACCATGAACGGATTGTTCGACGACGACGAATTTGCTCGCGACTTACTGACAACGCCGAGCTTTCAGATCGATGCGGGCGCCCCATCATGGGAGCCCCGTGCGTGGAAAGTATCAAGACAATTTGCAGACAAGTGGGGGTTCCTGTTCTGAAACTATACGATGCTCTCAACGATGCTTCCCGATCCGACCGGCCTCTTCAGGCGCGTTCAAACACGACGAGCTCCACATCTATTCTCGCCTACGAAGACTCCATCTCGGCCATCTTCACAATCCAATTCACCACTGTCTGCGGCGCGCTCACATTCGGCGCATGGTCCGCCGCAACCGACGTAACGTCAACCTTGCTCCCACTCGCCTTCTCGATCGTCTCGATCCCCTTCCTCTGCACATCAGGCGGGACACACCTATCTCCCTCACACAGCAGATAGCTGACGGGCACATTCTTGTACCCGGCGTGCGTCAACTCGCCCGCAAAGCTGATGGCCGAATGTCGCGGCCAGTTGGCGAACCAGGGATCCGCATCCTCGGGCTTCATGTTGGAGCACACGACGTCGCGCGTGCGATTGAGGTCTTCGTGGTACATCCAGCCGTCGTCCTGGGGGGACCATCAAGTCAGCACAGTGGCCCTCATCGAGAACAGCCTGCAAGAAGAAGAAGAAGAAGAAGAAGAAGAAGAAGAAGAAGACGAAGACTCACCAACACCTTGAACACCAAGCGATCCTCCTCCTTCACCTCCCCCAGCACCCCCATCGCCGTCCCCCCGACCTCAGGCACCAAACAAGTCAAATACCCCGCCCTCACCACCCCACCCCTCTTCCCCTCCTTGGCTCTCTCACTCTTCACCACCCCCTCCAACCCCAAACACTCACTCATCGGCACCCCGCCATAACTATGCGCCAACAACACGATATCCGTTCCCTTGTCGTCCGCCAACTTGCGGATTTCGGACGCGATGTAGGCCGCGTCGTCGGACATGGTGGGCGCGGGGACGGTGCCGGATCGGTCGCGGCCGGGGGAGACGGTGCGCAGGTGCGGCACGTGCAGGGTTAGGTGTCGGGGCAAGAGGGAGAGGACGGGTTCGTACATGCTGGGGAGGGCGAAGGAGCCGGTTACGAGGAGGAACGTTGGGGGCTGGGTCGGAGGCATTGTTGGTGGTTGTGGTGGTGATACGGTGGCTTGGCGGCTGTGGAAGGAAGGGGAGGTATATGGGGGGTTTGATAGAGGGGCTGGGTTGGGGTGTGTTGGTTTGGCGGGACAATTCCAAGAGATCTTGCCGTATGTAGTGGCAAGGCAGATAGCAACTCAGTCGTGTAGTCAGCGAAGAGTTCTCGCCCAAATACTCAGACTTCTTATACCAAAACGCAGGGGACCTAAGCGACATATATACCCTACCCCTCACTCTCACACACGCACTCTCTCTCTCTTGCTTCGCGAGTTCCACAAGCTCTTTGATTAATTCTAAGCCTCTCTTTCTTGGACCTCTTCGTCCGGGATTCCCGGCCTCCGCACGAAAGCGTGCCATTGCCCCTCTACTTTCTGACAATGCCATGCATTCTGATTGTCAGAAACCGTCCAGTCTACCAGTGGTTTCAAATCCGAATTGTGGGGTACAGTATTCAGGGCACCGGCCAGGCCCTCCGCGGCTCCGATTTGTTAGGTGGCCTGTTTGTGATCACCGGCAAGGATGTCGGAGACGCGCTATTCGTCTATGCATCAATGCCGCAGCTGACGATCCGAGGTTTCGTAAGCTGCTTTGGTGGCCGAGCGGGTGGTGGTGCAACCGACAATGCGACGCGGTAAGTAAGTTCAAGTTTGGGGGCCTGGGCTATGCAAGTTGCGGGCGCTAAGTCGATGAGGCAAGGGCTGCATTGGGGGGAGGGGAGGGGGGAGGCGAGGGGCGCCAAGAGTTTCACTGCCTATCCATCTGGAGCATGAGCTCATGTGGAGCGAACAGCCCTGTAGAGAGTGCGATGGATGTCTGATAGTCTGCCGAGGTAGCTGCTTCGCTGGCTCCGGTCGAGGGTTGTTGTGGCGCTTGAGAGGGGGGTGTGTCTGAGCCAACTTGCGCCTATATTAGATCAGAGAACATGGAAATTGCACTACTTGGACCTCTATGGGTAGGGCATGTCAGAGGCGGCCACTGGTTCGATGTTCGCCCTGATCACGAATGAGGGTCTAAGCAGCCGACTCAATGAATGCTCATAATGCCAACGTTTTCTTCCATGATCAGTCAAAAAGACACGACTACGAGGTGAGAGTGTGGCCTGTGGTTGGAGCTGCTCGTCCTTGCAAAGGCTCATGCCCGTTTATATCTGGATTCTCTTTTCTGGCAAGCACGACTTCAGATGTACGGATACCTTCTTTGCGGATGTTATACCAGGACCTACTGCACTCAAACAAACGTTGGGAGAAGTATGTTAATGTCGTGTGATGGACGGCGTTGAGTAGAATAGGGCGTCGGAGGCTCGGAATGGGGCAATTTGCGGCCAAGGACTGCTGCCTGGGGCTGTGGGACGCCCGGAACTTTTCACAAACATCGTGAAACATTCAACATATCTGGCTGAGGACAACAAGGCAATCTTCCATCATGCGCAATTCTGCCCGCATCACACATGTCGACGAGGAGAAGCTACCACAAGGTCCGGGGAGGTTGCCTCACCTGCAAGCGGCGCAAAGTCCGCTGCGGGCTCGAGCGACCGACGTGCGACAACTGCAACCGGCTGTCTCGTGATTGCACCTACGCTGCTGAGACAGCGATCAAACCGGCTCTCTCGAGGTCGCCTTCTATAGCCCCCATTCCCAGTGCCGCGCTGGAAGTCGAGCTCATGCACCATTATACAGCCTTCACCGCACCAACAGTGGGCCACGATCAGCATCTCGTCTCACTATGGCGAGACGTCGTCCCCAAGCACGCCTTCAAGCACCGCTTCCTGCTCCTGGGCCTTTTTGCCGTCGCCGCCCAGCACAAGCTGCACTGCGGCAAGCCCGAGTTCCCCGACGAACTATTTGACGCCGCCAGCTACTATTATCAGGAGGCACTACCCATCTACATCAGTCTGCTCGACGATATCAATGAGGACAACTGTCACGCCCTGTTCGCCTTTTCCCAGCTGCTCGCCGGTATTTCCTGCTCTCGACTGAGTCTGGGCTTCTACGACCAGCCGGGCAGTCCGCAGAGCCTCATCGACAGCCTCGTCGGCGTTTTCGAGCTGCTCAAGGGCGCGCTGGCCATCGCTAAACAGGCCAGCACGTGGCTGAATGCGGGAGATCTGAGAGATATGATGAACAACCTGCCGGTGCTCGATGCTCCAGAGGAGTCCGCTGCTCAAAAGCCGTGTGCAGAAGCGCTCGCGGCCTTGACTGTTCGAATTGTTGGTGACACGGAGGCCGATGCGACTGCCGGTGCAAGCACGCGGGCCGAGATCCTCCTGCCGACCATCGAGCTGATCCGCACGCTCCTCATCCGTTATCCATCATCCGGAAATGACGGCCTAAGCAAGATCGCCGGCCTGCCGGTGTGGCTCGATGCCCGCTTCTACCGCCTGCTGAGGGCTCGCGACGAAGCTTCACTCGTGGTCCTGGCGTACTACGGTGCGGTGCTGCATCGCGTCAACCACGTATGGTTCTATGCCGGCGTGGGTGCCGATGTTGTGCAAGCCATCGCCCATGTGCTGAGTGAGGAGTGGGCACTGTATCTGGAGTGGCCGCTGCTCGAGATTGGTCGGCAATCGCGTGGATCATCACGCACCCTCACACCGCAGCTGCGGCTACGTCTCCAGTAAGGTGGTATTGGATGACTTTGGCACCGCATCATTCGGTTTCGCAACTGCTTCCTGCGGCCTTTTGGTTGACTCCTCTGGCTTCGCGACTGGTGGCTCTGGCTTTGGTTTCGCAGGAGCAGGCACTGGCTTCTTCTCCTCGCCGTTGATATTCTTGATGTGCTTCTCCTGCATGTTCTCAAAGTCCATCCACTCCACCCGGCCCTGCACCTGGAGGATATCGTCCGCCCACCGGCCCGGCGCGGTCTGCTTGGGCCACTGACTTTTCACCCAACGGTCGCCCGCTAGCAGCGTCTTGACGTTCTGCATCACCGAATATACGACATCCCACGTGGATTCTTCGTGCATCTGCGCCGTTGCGGCAGCTACTGTGTGGATGTCGCTGTCCCTACTCGCGGAACCCGCTGCACGATGTGTCGCCATCAGCGGCGGATAGGGTGCGTAGCAGTCAAACGGCTTGATGTAGTTCTCGTGGCACATTTGAGACAGGGCGATGTCGTACGGCTGGGTGTTGACCTGCAGTGCGGCGACGATCTTGAGTGCGGATCGCAGATTCACGGCATACGCAAAAGTGCCGCTGCTGAACCTGGTACGCACAATGAGACGCGTGTTGTCAGCGCCCGCCTCGGTGGGGACATGCGACTGCCGCCAATATCCGTGACGAACGTCGACGGGAGGGACGGTGGTGTCGTTGGTCAGGACATAAACGGGCTGCCGGGCGTTGTCTGGGCCGACCTTACGATGGCCCAACCAGAGCACGTCCCAGTCGCGTCCGTAAGCAGAGTCGGAAGGGGCTGTCCTGTTGCTGCGCAGTTCTTGCAATGCTTTGGCGCCGGTGGCGAAGTGCGAGAACTGCTGCTTGATGGTGATGTCCCAATCTGCGTCGTCCTCCAGAATCAAGGCTGTCTGAATGTTGTTCTCGACGATGTGCACGAGGGCATCCATGTGTGCCCGCCAGGAGCCTATGAAGGCCTCTTTCTCTGAACCTTGAATGGCCGGATCCATGTCCCAGCCATCAGGGATGGCCTTGGCGTCCATGTCCCGAAAGAGCACGCCAGGGAGCCAGGTGATGTCGAATTCGGACAGCGACGATGCCAAGGCGGTGATGTCTCGCTTGTCCGTCCGTGCTGGCAGACCGATGGCGAATACCTTTTCGAATCCGAGAGTCCTGTTGAAAATATCGCTACTCGGATCGCCACCTTTTAGATTTGAGAAGGCAGTTTTGAGACGGGGCAGAGGGTTGTGCTCATGTGTGAGACTGAAGCTGGCGTGCAGAACAAAGAGCAGGATTGCGGCCAAGGCCACATACCGCAATGTCACCCGATTCCACAACGGTACCAGCATAGTTGATGCGATTCAGTAACGAGGTAAGATATCTGACCGACAGAGCTAGTTCTCGCAGACGAGGACACAAATATCCATTCAACCGTTGAGCTGGACTGCGAAGTTGTTATGCTACCAAGTACACCCTACTGTGGGCAAGCCGCCGGACCTCCCTGAACGGACTTTTTCCACTGAGGCCAACCCCAGGGAGTGTTGATGCGTTTCTTGGCGACAGACGCCACTCAACGTGCGTGCAGGAGTATTGACGCAAGGGGTATAAGCCTCGTCCGTGAAACTTGACGGCAGAACGATCTGGTACCGGTGGAGTTTTCGTCCCGATGACAGGGTCCCCTGCGCTAGCGGTGGTTGGTGGCTGAACTGCGTCAATGTAATGACGGCCTTGTATTACGAACGTCACCTCTGCTCTATACCTGGCGCTAACCGCGAATCAATGACAGATTCCAGTGAGCAGCGGCCACTCCTTTCTGACTTCTGCTTTCATCAACATCACTCAAAGCTGCGCGCCATAGAAGGTGTTGAGGAGCACCAGTCACGCCATGGACTGTAGTTCGTCAGCAGGACTGACACCGCGAATGCTACGACGACAACTACTCTGCTGCATGGTCGCCATCGTCATCACCATAGCACTTCTGCTCTCTTATCAGTCCTCAAGCGGACCGCGGCTATGGGTCCGAGCCCAATCTTCAGAAGCACATGACCACCAAAGTATTCAACAACCCCTGGATCCTGATGCTGGACTTGTGCCATCGACACCGTCAACTTCCTTGCCTGGGGTTCGTGACTTTCCCCGCACCATCTGGCAAACTGGCAGCACCGACGGCATCAAAGAGTATGCCAAACAGTCCCAGACGTGGTCGACGCAAAACCCCAACCACACGCATGTCATTCTCACAGACAAAGATGCCAACGACTTTGTGCAGCAGCACTTCCCTTACCGGCCCTCCCTTCTCCGCTTTTGGAACGAGCTCCGAGTCCCCGTACTGCGCGCCGACCTACTACGCTACCTCGTCATCCTCTCCCGCGGCGGCGTCTACAGCGACATCGACACTTCGTGCCTAATGCCGATCACGCAGTGGATCCCGGCACAGTACCGCTTGTCAGCCAACGCGGTCGTGGGCATCGAGTACGACGACAGTAGCATGAAGATGTTCGTTCGGCCCATCTCCTTCAACCAGTGGACCCTGATGGCCAAGCCGGGCCATCCCATCTTCGAGCGCGCCGCCGCCCGCGTCATCAGCAACCTGGAGTTTTTAGCCCGCCAGAAGCGGCAGACTCTCTCAAACCTCAAGCTCGAAATGGTCGAGACGCTCGAGGCCACGGGGCCGGGAATGATCACCGATGTTGTCATGGAGGTACTGCGCGACCAGGGACACAACGTCGACTGGAAGACGTTCCATGCGCTCAAGGAGCCGATGCTACTTGGGGATGTGCTGATCCTGCCTATCAACGGTTTTGCTGGACACCAGAAGCACAGTCACAGTGGGGATCCGGCGTTTGGGCCGAAGTTGGTGCAGCATCATTTCGGGAGGACGTGGTATCGCAAGAAGCCGACGCCGGAGCCTGAGCAAGAGCAGGGGCCCAGGAAGGAAGTGGCTCTGGTGAAGGAGGAGCAAGTGGAGAAGCAGCCCGTTGGGAAGCATGAAGAAACCAAAGCGTGAGATTTGAGTTCGATAGGCTATCCAAGTAGCTCGAGTCTGTAAAGACAGCTAGGTCTAACTACTATATGGGTCCATACTCAAGCTGTGCGAGTATTCCGACATGGACCAAGTGCTCACAGTGTACAGCCTGCACAGGTAGACCGTGAATCAGGGACAGTCAATGGCCTTACTCAGCCCCAGGGACCTACAACTGCTCGCTTTTGACTGGCCTTCCTCTGCCACTGAGCGCCCGTGGGATGCCGTAGTGGTGGCAAGAAAATACACGCAGCAAAGTACGTCGTCGAAAGGTAGCCCGAGGATAGCCAGCCTCGGGGATCTCACGTTAGCGCTGGCCCATTTCCGACGCCCTCGGCTTTGGCTGAACCGTTACGACGCATATGGATGCGGTGATTGAAGACGACGGAAGCAGCAATACTTCGGAGTCCGTTTGTTGCAGCTTGGGGGCCTTGGTCGGTCAGTCGCGCCCGGCTCATCCGATGTTCTCAATGGGAAGGAATGGTGTCAGGAGGGGGAGTATAACGTCAATATCTGTGCTTGATCCAACCGAAACAGTCCTCAGTCTGGCCCCTGGCTTCCCCGTCAAGCGGCAGTTATCGTTCTTCTTGTTGTCCGCAAACGGGACATCGTCTCGACTCCTTGCCGGCGTCTGCAAAGTCTTGGTGGCCGCAAACGCCACAAGGTGACGTTACCAGGTACCTGGCTACATAATCGTGTGTGCTGAGTACGACGTTGGGGTACCCTGATTGGCTAGACGCCCAGTCTGCCTCGCACAGCGCGGGTCTCTGTACTGTATGGTAATGGTACAGCCACCCGTACAGACCAGAACGTGGCTTGTGCAGATCGGATATCCATGCTGCATCCGAGCTTCACTAGTGTCATGCGAGGTATAAGCAGTATACAAAGCTTACTTTAGCGCAACGGTTACCCCGTCTGTCTCTTGCGTCACACCTGGGATACTCAGTTTCGGGTCCATAGCAGCCAAGACTTGTCACTGCTGTCAATCGTCCCAGATGAGGGCCAGACTCGCGTGATGCTTTTCCGCATCAGTCGTTCCCCTGCTGGCTGATCCGGATGAGGATGGAAGAAATCTCAGATGTCGCGTGTCTGAAAGTGGCAGCTGAGGGAGGCAATAATGGTTTCGGAAGGGCTCCGCTCGTCGAATTGTTGCATGCATCTTCATCTAACATTCGACGGATTGGCAGTCTAGAACAGAGCCAGACGCAAGCCACAGCTGGTTTCAACACCCCTGAGTTATGCTGGATCTATGCGAACAAGCTCCTGACAACTATGTGAGAAAATTTGGGGATCCATGTAGATGTGCAATTTGAAGTCGTCCCAACATTTGGACAGCACGAACTACACCGTGAACACTGGCTTGAATCGTCGAGGAGCAAGGGAACCATGACCCACGGCAAACGTGTGTCCAATTTGAATTGGATTCTCTTCGCCATCTTGACCGTCCTGACAATAGAGGCCTTGTTCAGACGGCACCATGAAACCACCAGCAACACCATCACCCAGAACAGCGTGTCGACTCAGTCGAGTCCTGCTGTACTCCAACACAGCCTTCAATCACCAACACACTCCAAAGTGGGCAAACTCTTCATGCAATACGGACCACTGAACCCCATGTACGAGCGCGCCCTAGCAACACACATCCCACACAACGAACAGCACGGCTACCGCATGTCCATCCTCCGCCGTCCCACCGTCAAATTTCTCTGGTCCAAACCGGCCTTCATGCTCTCGCACATCCTCCAAGAACTCGAGAAACCCGAGGCGCAGCGCCTCGAATGGTTCTTCTGGTTCGACAGCGACATGCTCCTCCTGAACCCCAACATCCCTCTAGAATCCTTCCTCCCGCCCCGCCAGCACTGGAATCACATCCGCGCCCTAGTCGTGCAGGACCGCAACGGCCTCAACACGGGCGCCTTCGCGCTGCGCGTCGACCGCTGGTCCGCCATGTTCCTGGCCGCCACGCTCGCCACGCCACACGCACTCCCGCACCTCAAGCTCAAGTACAACGACCAGTCCGCCATGGAGTACTGGCTGCAGAGCGACCTCTACCGCAACAGCACCATGCACGTGCCCCAGCGCTGGCTCAACGCCTACCCGGGCCGCCGCGGCAACACGCCGGGGTTGCCCGCGGACCCGAACGCGCCGCAGTCCGCGGCCCAGAGACAGCCGTTTACCGTGCGCGAGGGGGATTTGGCCGTGCATTTCGCGGGTGGCGGGGACACGCGCGCGCCGCGCATGCTGCCGTGGTTGGATGTGGCGGAGCAGAGATTAAAGAGGTGGGAGGTGGCGTGGAATGAGACGACGTATCCAGGGGAAATCAGCGAGTTTTGGGAGCGGGAGGCCGGGGGGGAGTGGGAAAGGGTGGAGGCCATGAGGGAGAAGTGTGGCTATCAGTATTCGTAGAACTTGGTCGTCGCCTTTGAGTTTGTCTTCAATAGCTTTGACTTCGCGCTGTTGAAGTGTTGTCACTTGTCTTGCTTGCCGTGATATCTTTCCCCAGGTGAATGATGAGGGTGGTGTCATGTATTTCTTTTGATCTGAGTCTGCTGATAAAAGTGCGTCCGACCGCTTAGTCTACAGATAGAAGATATAAAAAAAGCCTTGGCGATATGAGCAGAGTACCCAGATCACTTTGCTCCACATAGGCATGGAAGGATCAGCAAAGAGCCTCCAATAGACGGCGCGAAGTGTTGCCAACATGTTTACGTAGAACCAAACATGCATTTTGTATAGAAGACCAATAGCCACGCCCCAAATAATCTCTGCCCGCCCCAGAAACGCCAAAAACTCCCCTTTCCAAAAGTTAACTCCAACATGGCGTGGGCGGTATTGAGGCCATTATGACAGATCTCACAGCTTCTCCCGCTGCTGCTGCGAAGACTGTTTTTCTTTCAAGAAGCAAAAAAAGTACTAGTATTATAGAAGCTGAAATGTCCACACTGAATCCTCTCGCCATAGAGATTGGGCTTCGTTTCTTTCGTGTCCTCCCTCCTCTTTCTCTTGCAAAGTCCCTCTTTGCAGAACCTCTCCTGTCGTCCCCTTAATTAGCATTGCCCCAGTACTTCCATCCATGTCCATGCGGGCGTGAGGGCTCCTCACCGTCCTCGCCGTCCTCGGGCTGCTGAGGGTGCTCCTCCTCGGGATCGGGGTCTGAGGACGGGTCTGGCTTAGGTGGATCCGTCTCATCAGACCAGGATTGGTCAGTCTCAGTGGGACTCGGTCCATCGGTAGTGGTTGGCGAGGGTTCGAGTGGGTCGGGCTGGTCTTGCCATTCGTGAGGGCTCGGTGTCGCGGAGGCGGCTCCCGGAATATTTGACGAGGTCTTGTTTGGGTCTTTGGGTCTGGTGGTTGGGGATGTAGAAGCGGTCGGTGTTGAGGTAGGTTTCATGGAATCTCCAGGCACGTCTTTCCACGGGTGGTCACCGGTGGATCCTGAAGATGGCTTGCTGGGGTCCTTGGGGCCGGCAGTAGGTGTGTTTGAAGACCCGGAAGACATTGATGTAGCTTTGGCGGGAGAGACAGGAGTTGCTGAAGACGGGCCAGGACTGGAGGGCTCTCCGCCCATATCGTTCCAAGATGGATGACTACCATCGTCAGAATTCTCTGGAAGGTCCGCATCGTCTTCCAAGTCGGAATCATCGTTGCCTGGGTCTGGGTATGGATCTGCCGTATTGCCATCTGGAGTATGAGGCACTCCGTTGTCAGGCGAAGACGAAGGTCTTCCAGCAGAGGCGTCCGGCGAAGACTGTGAGGATGGCGGTGATGAAGGTGGTTGTTCCTGAGCAGGTTTGTCTTGAGAGGGCTGTTCCTGAGAAGATGGCTGGCCTTGAGATGGTGGGACAGGTCCTGTTTCAATATCAGCAATTCCGACGTCGTGATGTCATTCATCAACGCCAACACACCTTTGGATCGGAGGCCTAGTCCATAGCATCGGAAAGGCGGCTTCTTGGACCCAACCACGAAGATGTTTCCATCATCGCTTGCACAAAAGATACCATGGCCTTTGCCGACGGAGAAGTCACGGCGAGTAATGTCGATATCTCCCTTGTTGCTTCTGGAGAAGGTACAACCATCATTGGCCGGCTTCTCGGATAGCTCAAGCACAGAATATCCAGAGCCACCATCCAGGTTGACGAATTTGTTGTTGGACTTCAGGTGGCCGTTCTTGATCGAAAACCACGCAGCGTCGTTGATGTTGTCGGTAACAATGGCATCATCTCCAGAGAACGCCCAGTAGCGTTTACCGGTCTGATATCTGCGTCCCGAGCGAGAGACTTGGATTCTGAACTGGTTCGGTCTGGGCTTGCGGCCGTTGGGGAAGTTGTGGGAACCACGGAATGGGAAGCCAGGGCGGCCACCGCCAGCTCCATGGTCGGCCCAGCTGGGCCCTGAGGCAAGAGCCAAGTTGATTAGGAGGAGTAACGAGAGGAAGGAAGAAAGCATTCTTCCGTTATTAAGCATAGTTGCTGGAGGTGACCGGATCGGTCTTAACTAAGGTAACGAATGGCTAAGGACAAAGAGGTCCTCAAGGCGTAGCAGGTAGCACCCAAACGAGGCGGGCGACTGTGAAGAGCCGGAGCAAAAGAGTAACAAAGCGAGAAGGTGATTTTTCCCCATGACAGTGGGTGTCTTGCTGTCATTATCAACCTATAGCCATGGGTCTCACGCATCGACACCGCCGCTGTCAAGGGTTGTTGTTGATTTCCTTCGGACGCTCACTGTTCCTCAAGGGTGCTGTCGGCGGTCGTGTGCTTGATTTCCGTGTCTGGGTCTAAAGCATTGAGCAATACGGGGATGCTATACTCTGATCCGAATGCGGCGAACGCCTGGACCCCATAGGGCGGCACGTCACGTATTGTGGCGTATTGTGGCGGAACGTCATTTGAACAGTACGTTGTAACCACTCCTGGCGAATCATGTATGGTTGAATGTTGGATCGGACCCACCACCGTACGAACGGGCTGGTCCAAGCCGCAGATCGACTACCGACATCGATGTCGTGGCAATTACTTGACTTCCGTTGTCTTGCATGTCACTCGCGGTGAACAGCAAGGGCTATTCCGCGGCTGCAGAGCTCAGCCAGCCAAATCAACCCGATACAGCAGAGATAGTCCTGACCAAATCTCCCACGTCTCGGGTACTTGTGACGCACACATGGCGCTCTGACGCTTTTCGCCGTCCCCTGCTTGTGCACTCCACTGACCGTTCCTGATAGTCTCACAGCTCGCGTGCCCTTTCTCCCGAAATGGATACGCAAGATGAGTCTAGCCTTTCGAATCATCAAAACACGGCCTGAACTTACCTCGGCACTCCGAAACGGACTGGCGTGTCACTCTCCTGGCGGCTGCATATCACGGTGTCATCGCGGCTGGACCGCCAACGGACACACACGGGGTATGAAAGTTGGTGCCAGAAACCCCCTAATACTCAGATATACACTCAGGAGCAACGACGGGCCCTTTCACTGTTGACACATGCAGCACAACCACGAAGCCAGCATATATGAGCTTCGCAGATACAGCAACACGGCGCTAGCAGAGATGGGCGCGTGCGATGACTGTGGTCCAGGTTGCAACATCCACCGCAACAAGTGGCAGCGAAGGGTTCGACTCCCGAGACGTCTGACGCCTAGGAGGCATGTTCTAATCTGGACCTTGCTATGCCTTGTCACCTGGCAGTTGCTACATAATCGCACACGGCTGAACCTATTCTCAAGTCGCAAGCATACCGGTACGGCCCTGGGGCATATTGAGGCGCTACCAGAATCAACGAAAGGCGAGATTAGGCAAAAACGGCCCCGTGATACCTCGTCCAACTCCCAAGCCACGCCAGAGGAACTCACAATTGACTCCGTACAAGGAGACAATGCCAAGAAAGATCAGACGATCATATCTCAGGACAAGCAAGGAGCTTCAAAACACGGCGAAGACGACGAGGATGATGACGAAGCCATGATCCGAAAGCACAAAGCCGCAGAGTCCAAAGAGCTGCCCGTCGAAGGAGGTCTAGTCATTGGGAAGGAGGCCAGTCCTGATCCCGAACAAGAGCAGAGTCAGGAGTCTGAGCAGCACCTATCTCTCGAATCACGGGCAGAGTCGCTACCAGACTTCATATATGTGCCTTTTGAGGAAGCTGTCAGAGATGAGAAGCTCGCTGGATGGGAGGACGAGTGGATCGGCCATGGCATCTTGGACACTGCTAAATCTGGGGGCTTGACAGAACCCAAGATTGACTTTGTGTACCTTTGTAAGTCTGAGTGACAATGGACCAATGGTACAGCAGTTGCTAACAGCTATATAGGGGTCAATGGATCAGAAGAGGAATTCCGCAATACAATGCTCCCTTGGGAGGTGAAGTCTGTGCTCAACGACCCCGAAGGACTCTGGATGGCGTCTCATGGGGTCAATCGGTACCGAGATTGGGACGAACTCCGATATTCATTACGAAGTATACACCGCAACGCCGGCCACTTCCGGAACAACATTCAAATCCTCGTCAACTCGATAGATGCCTCGACATCGTCAGATGGCAAATGGCAGCGTCAGACACCTTCATGGCTGCGAGAAAAGTCAGATGCACACAATATCCAGGTCGTTGCACAGGAGGACTTTTTCGACAAAACGACGGCAGCCTGCCTGCCCACCTTCAACTCGTTGACAATTGAGAACCAGCTTTTTAATGTTCCTTCCAATGCGGACCACTTCTTTGCTTTATCCGACGATATGCTACTTGGTGCTCAGCACTCGCCCTCGGACATCTTCTCGCCACTCTTTGGACCAGTAATGGGCTTCAAAACGAATGGCTACAGCACCGTCTCTCCACCCACGGAGCAGGATGCTCGTCGTTTCGGCGAAAAGCCTTACCTGATCTACACCTCTTGGCTTCTCAATCGTCGCTTCGGCATTCGAAAACGCAAGGGTCAGAGTCATTTTGGACATTCGCTCTCCAGGAGCATCATGCGAGAAGCTATCAGCTCCTTTCCTCGGCCAGAGCTGCGAAGCGCTTGCAAGCGGTTTCGAGGTGAGCCTGGCTTTCAGCTTTACTCTTGGTATGTCACGTTTCACTATCTGATCGAGCGACATCGGGAAGCTCTGTTATGGAGTTATCTTATGCTTCGAAGCGACGTTGATGGTGACGGCTCCTTATCATTGTCGGAGCGGCGGCAGGTCGTTCAGGACATTGAGAATGGTCTTGACAACCTTCCCAAGACTTCATTTCGGCGACGTTACTTCTACCATGTTTCAGCAGCATTGGAAAAAGCAGGGCTTGCGCCGCCACAGGTCAACACCAACATACAGTGGACGTCTCTCGATGGCCCTGTCTCTATGCGGGATGCCGATTGCAGCGATTTCGATGTGGACGACTGCCTGGGTCCAGGATTCAACCTATCACGCACTTCCACCGGAAATCCGGTGTTCACCTCAGCAGTCATCTTTGACCGCGCAGCACGGCAAAACCCACACTGCGGAGACTGCCTGCTGAAAATCATCCTACATCAAGTGCGGCAGGGCATGTCGCCGCTTCTACCCTCAGCTGAGCATCAGCCACAGCAACGAGAGTTGGTCGTCAAGGCTCTCATGCGATATAAATATACAATTATGGACCCCACAAACTCACTGTTTGTCATGGTCACGGACGCCGATCAAGTTGACAGTACTCTTGTGCGAAAGTATATCCGAGAAGGCAAGGACATTCCTGGCCAGCTCTGCCTCAATGACGACGTCTCAACGACCGACGAAGATGAACTTCAAGATACCCACGAGGCGATGACGGAATTGCTTCATGGCATGTTTCCCGAAAAGGCAGAGTGGGAAAGGTGAGTGTCACCGTCGCTACACAGATTTGGCGTGCCAGAAGAGAATTCACCCGGGCTTTCGGAAATTCGGGATGTGTCTTGGACCATAAAGGACTGCATGTTTGGCGACAGCTGTGTCGGTGAGGTACATCGTTGCCAATTCGACGAAGACGCAGAGTCATTGGACGCCTGGAAAGGAAAAACTGAAGCCTTCGGGCCATTCGGAGGATCGTCCGCGACGACAGCGAGGGCCAATCGCAGCACGATCCGACTGACTTGGTTGCCTGAAAGGGCGAAAGATCTACTCGACCTGGAGCAGTCGTCTTCGCTTCTGGATGTTCGTTTCTTTTGCTAGCATAGAATAACCTGTTTAGATAGAGCACATCGCCGACCAAGTGGCAATGAATCACGAGAGCATTTTATCCACATCCCAGCCCCTGATTTCTAGTTCCGTTGTTGAACCACTATTTATAGCGGCAGACTTCACAGCCACGAAGAATGAGCATCTTCGAATGATGCCATAAGTATAAGACTGACAGACCACAAACATGAAGTGCTGAACAACCCACACTCAATCTTCTAGGAGACTGCTATCTTATACCGAGCCCTTCTCCTCGACAAGCTTGCTAGATCTCAGACAAGCCGCAATGCGAACATCTCGACGACCCTTCGCGGTCCTAGCAATTACCTCTCTGGCATACTGCACTTCTGGCGTTTATGCCCAAGAAAACTCGACTGCCGCAAGTCGTGAAATTACAGGTTTCCCTCCGGTACGTCTCCATGCAATGAGAACCTGGTCACTAGCATCGACCCACTCGACGGGGATATCCTCCTTCATCATGCTATCAGCAACAAGCAGCTTTACTGACATACTTTCAATCTCCAGTGCGATGCTCTAATCGAGGCTGGTCTAGGTACCCAAGTCCTTACCGCGACTTCCAATGAGTACGAATCTCGGGTCGACAGCTGGTGGTTTGCGAACGCGCGCGTCCGGCCCTGGTGCTTCGTACGGCCACAAAATACTATGGAAGTCTCAAATGTCGTCAAAGTGCTTTCTGATGCTGGATCGGGAGCCGGTGACTGGCACATTGCGGTTCGAAGCGGTGGGCACTCCTTACCCTCTGCCAACAGCATAGTCAACGGCGTCACTATCGACCTCACAATGATGAACAACTCGTGGTACAGCCCGGAGCAGAAAGTCGCCAGTGTCGAGCCCGGAGCAGCGTGGAAGGACGTTTACGCCAACCTTCTTGATACGGCCAATGTTACGGTCACTGGAGGCCGAGACGGCGGTGTCGGCGTCGGTGGCTTCTTACTGGGTGGCGGCAACTCATACTACAGCAGTCGCAATGGCTTTGGGTGCGACACCGTAGTCAACTACGAAGTCGTGCTCGCCAACGGCACCATCGTCAACGCCAACGCCAGCACCAACCCCGATCTCTGGCGAGCACTCAAAGGCGGCGGCATGAACTTCGGCATCGTCACCCGTTTCGACATCGAAGCCATGCCGGCAGTCGACTTCGCCTACGGGCAGAGCGTCCTCAGCACGAACTACTCCGATGCCGTGGTGGACGTCATCGTCAACTTCACCAACAACCCGGAGGAAATGGAGAATGACCACCTCATCCCGCTGTACAGCTACAACGCCAGCGAGGGCGGGCAGTCCATCATCCTCATCGGCGTCAACACGCAAGGCGACCTCAACTCCCCCGCCTTCGACGGCATGAACAGCATCCCGGCACTGAGTCGCACTTGGGAGCACAAATCTCTCGCCCGCGCGGCGAACGAGTCCCAAGTCGCCGGCGGCCTCCTGTAAGCCGGGCGCCTCCCCCCCCCCCTCTCTTCTGTCCTCTCCTCACGAACATCCTTCCCCCACCAATCCATTCATGCTAACAGCCCTCCCCCTCAAACCAGCTATACGCAATCCACGCTAACCCTCCCCGCCAACCCCACCGCCGTCCGCCGCGCCACCGCCCTGCACTCCAGCCTGATCCGCACGCTCACCGCGACCCTCGGCCCCGAGAATTTCAGCGCCTCCACCTTCCTGCAACCGCTGCCCACGCAAATCGCCAAAGCCGGCTCTCGCTCCGGCGGCAGCAATGTGCTAGGCCTAGACCGCATCCCCGGCAACGCCATATTGTGGGTGTCGGGCGTGGGCGTACAACCCGACGCTGGTGACGCGGGGTTGGCGGTCGCGAGGGCGGAGTTGAAGAAGTTGGTGGCGGAGTTGCGGGAGTTTGCGAGGGGACAGGACGACGTAGAAGGGATGGAGTGGACGTATCTGAACTATGCGGACGCGGACCAGGATCCGTTGGGGAGCTATGGGGAGGAGAATGTGCGGTTCATGCAGGAGGTGGCGGAGAGGTATGACCCTGAGGGGTTCTGGCAGGGGAGGGTGCCGGGAGGGTTCAAGGTGGGAAGGGTGGAGGTTTGAGAGAGGGGAGGAAAGACGGGGTGGCGATGTAGGGCGATAGCTGGCGGTCTTCGTGATTGATGGGAGGTGCTTCCAACATCCTCTCACTCCCCTCCCAGTCCTCCGCCGATCAATCTCACATCCCAACACGAACCGTGCCTCAAAACCTCCTCGGCGGCAACTTCTTTCTCCATTTGAACTCCGCCAAATCCTCAAAGCCATAAACACTAACCCTCGCCGCCCGCACATTCTCATCCGCCAGGATCTTCTCATACACACCCGCAAACTCGCTGGCACGCATGCGCTTCCCGTAGCCCATCTGCGGAGGCGACATGGGCGATTCGTCGCAGACTAAGTCGTAGTCGACGCGGTAGTGGAGGTAGACCTAGGTACTTCACATCAGCAAAGCAGGGCACAGCACAGTACAGCAGAGCCAGGCTGCAGAATGACGAGGAAACTGGCCCCGGGTGGGAGGGGCCTTACCTCGTTGAATCGCACGTTGGTGTCCTCATTCTCGTGGCATGCGACGTTGGCGAGCGAGAAGAGCGCGCCCTGGGATGTCGCGGTGGCGCCTCCCACGCCGGATTCGCCAGCGCCGCCGGTTACGAGTGTCCAGGTGCTGGTCTTGGCGCCTTGGGCGAGGAGGTAGGGCATGGTGGCGCGGTAGGCGACTGTTGGGCGATGGCTGTCAGCTGCAAGGTCGGGAAGAGCGAGAGTAAAGTGAGGCGGTGCATCTGAGCATGTATGAGAGGCTGTGGGAGCTTACAGAAGGCTGCTTCGAAGCCTGTGGTCATTATACGCCGGAGGGAGGCGGTGTCAACGGTGTAGATGGGAGTCTTGGGCTCGTATGCGCCCACTTTGATTTAGGTTAGTGTTGATGTGGCGATGTTGGGGTGACAGTGCGCATGGCACCCCGACTTACCGGCGGAATATACATGGTGGAAAGCCGGCAATTTGCCTGCTTTGACCTCGTCCACGACACCCTGCACGCCGCTGTCACTCAAGACATCAGCGTAGGTGAAAGTGATGCGATCGACCGGCAGGGATTTGTCGTAAGTGAGGTTATGCAAGACTTTCTCCTCGGACTCCTTGCCGCGGACGACTGCTAGGACATCAAGATTGGAGCGTAACGCCCCGATGATGACGCTGACGCCGATATTGCCGGATGAGCCGACAACGAGGACTGTTTCTCGCGACATGGTTGCCGGCACAAAGTGGTTTCACTATCGCTGCTCTCGACCTTGCCACTTCAGAGAGCCTCGTGCATTTGTATACAACGTTTTGTGCCAAGGGCTGTAGCGCAACAACCGGTGCTTTCGCCTCCGACTTTGTAATCCACACCAGGGGCCCTGCCAGACCAGGTATAGCGCATGGATTTTTGGTCTTTCGTCCGACTCGGCCGGCAGCCCTATTACCTCTGTAGCTAATGAGCGCTTGGTGTGTAGGCTGTAAGGGTTGTGGGGATAGACTCGGCCATAAACAAAGCCGAGTGGTGGTCGAACAGGACACAAGCAGTGCTGGCAGCGCAACTGTCTCAATGCCATTGGGTGTTTTCTGGTAATCGTAACGTAGCCTGCTGGCGGATGAGGTCTGCCAAGACCCTGGAAGCGCGATGCGGGCAACAATACCGATGCTTAGTAAAGGCGTCAAAGGTGACCTGATGCATGAGCTCGGGGTTTGAAGCTCTCCAGCAATAGATCCGAGGAAGCAGCGACAGGCCCGAATGAGGCAACGGGCAGCCCTTGGCGTCGTGCTCCGCTCGATCAGATGACTGTTTCTGGGGGGGCGACGGAAGAAATTGATGAGCATTGACGCTCGACAGGCAGAAGGAGGTGGCTCTAGTCGCGTCGGGTGGAAGTGATCGTACTGTAGCTGTATCTGGTCTACAGCATCCAAGAAGGAGAGGACTAGGCAATCAAGGAAAGCTTCAGCTCCAAAGGGGAAATGAATGCCATTTGTCTCGCCCACCAAGCTTCATCGCTCTGCACTACCTAATTTGCTATCTGGCACCTTCGTATCTCTGCCTCCCTCCTCGCTCTTAATCATCAGGCTCTCTTGCACCACACTGACTTTAGCGGCGTATCACTAGGCGTAACCTTTGAAAAGTCCGTGAACAACGTGGCGTCTAGGGATTTTCCTGTATCTCCAAACGGTGTGGTCGACCGTTCGTCGCACGTCTTATGATATCTCCAGCACTTCAAGCCCCCGTACACCTGCATCGAAGACGGCGGGTTGGCATTGCCGTCGGCCGTGGTGAAGCGGATGCACCGCCAGCCCTCTTCTACCGTCATAGGGTTGTATGTACAGGACCCGCCACCATTAGGCTTAGTGCAGACTGTGTAGCCGGTGGCGTACCCGGGCATGGCGACGGCGGCGTTGGTCGTACTGGTGAAGAGGAGAAGGGGAAGGGAAAGGTAAAGGAAAAGGGATTGCTGGGAGACAAAAGTGACCATCTTGTTTCTTGGAGATCTTGATATCGGAGAGAATTGAAGCGGTTAGAAGTGGTAGATAGTAGCAGTCGAAGTTTCGACTCTTGTAGTTTTAGGTTAGCGTTGAGTGGGAAGTGGTAGACAAAGAAAAAGGCTCCAGACAAAGCACGTTCGACGGACGACGCTTGGTCTATGCGGTCTATTGTCGTTAGCCTATAGTCATCAAAATGGATATCGACTGCTATTTCCAGGACCCGTTCGTTATAGTTTCTTTGTGATTTATGCGTTATAGCTTCTTTGTGAGTTATGAATAATCATTCCACTGTAGCCACAACAAATGGTCTTACGAAAATTGGATGCCTTGCACGAATTAGCCACCTACATGCTCACTGATGCATGGTCAAACTTACCTCCATCGCAAATCATGCTCTGGCCTGTGATATTCCTTGCCTTGTCACTCACCAAGAAGCTAACCAGATTCGCAATATCTGCCGGCTCGCTCGCGCGCTGCTCGGTCCGTATCAGTATCCCATCGCTCTCGTCCACTTGAAGCACCCGTTGAACAGAAACAGCAGAGACTCACCTTCAGCGCACTTCTCGCCGCCACGCTCTTCCCGAATGCTTCGCCCGCCTTCAATCCCTGACCGTCCGGCCGCGCGCGAATACTTTCATCAATGGCGCCCCACATATCTGTATCGACGGGCCCGGGGCAATATGCGTTGACATTGATGCCATACTCAGCGAGGTCCAATGCAGTGGCCTGCGTCAGGCCCCGGACCGCCCATTTGGTGGCCGTATACGGCAGAGTGTTGCCACTGGGCTTGAACGCAGCAATGGAGGCGGCGCCGACGATCTTGCCGCCGCGGCCCTGCGCAATCATCTGACGAGCGGCTTCTCGGTAGCAGAGGAAGACGCCGCGAACATTGACGCTGTAGATCTGGTCGAGGTCCGCGACGCTAGTCTCGAGGAGGCGTGTGCATTTGACGATTCCGGCGTTGGCAACCATGACCTGTAAGAGTGAGCTTGGTACCAATAGTCAGAGTAAGCAGGCTCGAGAGGACAGACGTTGAGTTCGCCATAGGTATCGACGGCGGCCTTGACGAGGGAGACAACGTCATCTTCAATGCTCACATCGGCAATAACAGCTTTGCATTTGCGGCCTGCAGGACAGAGGTGTCAACTAGGTAGCATGGCACTCGTTGACTAGGCCAGAACTTGGCGATGTAAGATGAGGAAGTAGTATATGAGCACACCTTTGGCTTCGACTTCCTCTTTGACATTGTCAAGATGACTCACTTGTCGTTCAATGTCGTTGATCTATTGTCGTCAGATTAGTGGCCATTATAGGGGCGCAGGCCGGCGGTACAGTCAAATCATAGCCATCCTGTGCGAGCTGCAGTGCAATGGCGCGGCCTATACCTCGCGAGGCGCCGGTGACAATGGCAAAGGGCATGGTGGCGTCGGTTTCTCACTGTTAGTTAGTGTACATATAAATGATAAGGCATCACTCCGTGTTCGAGTCAGGCATCTGCCATCTGAGGAGAAGCCTTGCTGAGGGGGTCATACTGCATGAACTGCCTCGTGAGGGGAAAGGCCGAGGGGTAGGTCCAGTTGTCCTTCTGTGAGCGCATTGGCTATGTTCATGGCATGATTACCTTTCAGTCATAGTCAAGCTGTCTGCTGCGATTCCTGTGGCGAAGACGCCAGAAATAAGCGTATATACGAACCGTCCGAGGCAGCCGACATTGTTGCCAAGACAGTTGAAACATTCACTGCCTGAGATTCCAGCCCCGTCAACCATGCCGCGACCAAGGTATCGAGCTCATATACCGGCAGTGGCTTGTCAGACTCTCCAGACGGCCATTGCCGGCCATTCCAAATGTCTGGCTATCGTCAGCAGATCTTCTCATAGGATTGGTTGGTTGCCGTTGTTCTAGACTTCGATCGCGGAGAAGGGGTGACGGCATTGTTGCGGGGAGCGTGTGCCTCAGTTGCGATAAAGTTTGTGTATTCCATTGCCCCAGTAGGTAGTGCACGACGCTGATATATAGATCGGTCAGTAACCTTGGTGAGCTCGACGATCATTCAACAGAGCTTCAGCATATATATTCGTATCAGCACGTCACAACACATCATGTCAGCACACAAGCCTGACCCCCAAATCACATTGTTCCACTACCCCTTCTCGCCATGGTCGCAGAAGGTCACCCTGTACCTCGCACTCCGCAAGATTCCCTATGTATCATGTGTCCAGCCGGTCACGCTGCCACGCCCGGACTTGAAGAAGGGTCTGGGTGTCAACTATCGTCGCATTCCGATCATGTCGATTGGAAGAGACATCTATTGCGACACTCTGCTTATGTTCGAGAAGCTTGAGGCGCTTTATCCGGTCGGACCAAACGAGACCAAGCGTCATGGCACCACAGGTATCGAGCGAGCATTGGAGAAGCTTCTTGAGAAGTGGACAGATGTTGTGGTCTTCAAGTACGCGGCCGCTGCCATCCCAACCAGCCTAGACGCGGTCCGCGACAAGACATTCATCAATGATCGAACCGAGCTGTGGGGACGGGACTGGGCTGTTGATCACCAGGATAGCCTCCGACCCGAAGGTCTGGCTGTGTTGAGGTCCAACGTGCAGTTTCTCGAGACAACCGTGCTCGAGGATGGTCGCGAATGGGTTCTTGGCGGGAAAGACATGACCTTGGCCGACATTCACGCGGCTTGGATCTTTGTATGGCTTGCTGAGATGGATGGCGCCCTCCCCGATAGCCTCTTCGGCCGGAAAGAGTATTCAAAGGTGTGGGCATGGTGGGATCGATACACCAAGGCCAGGGGAGAGGCACTTGAGGCGATGGAAAAGGAAGGTCTAAAGACAGAAGAAGAGGGCAAGGTTGCTATATCCAGAATCCTCAAGGGCGATTTTGGCGAGAAGGAGGGTGAAGTTGACGAACGAGACCCCATGGGCCTCCAGAAGGGCGAAGAGGTTCGAGGATATCCTACGGATACCGGATCCAACCACAAGGATACTGGCAGGCTAGTCGCTCTGACAAGTCAGGAGGCTGTCTTGTCTAGCAAAGGAGAAGGTGGTCAAGAAATCAGAGTGCATCATCCACGCTGGCAATTCTTGGTCGAGCCGGTCCGCGGAGGCGACGTCAACCCGATCAATGGTCATGGCGAGGAATCGCGACATCTGGTCAGCGAAGGTGAATACGTTGGAAGCAGAGATTAGTGCTAGTATCCATCTTATCGACCTACCTGTAGTAATGGCATCCATGTCGTTGGCAGCCAAAAAGAGAAAAAGTCGCTCGCCTATTTTCCCCGAGAAAGCAAGCACGGTCGGCGGCACATGCAAGCCCGGGAAAGCTTGGCAGTCGTTCTCCCGCGACGTAGTTGCGACCTCCTCAGCTTCAACGCAGCTTGTAGATAGCTCATTTGTTTCCTATACAACACCACCGCAACGATGCAGGCACTCAGGACCAGTGCCTCGTCGGCGCTGCGGCAATCCCAGCGCAGAACCTATGCCTCCGCTAGCACCCCGTACTCCGAGACTGCGAAGAACCTCATGATTGTGAGTCTGTCCCTGCTCCGCCGGCGCATGGCTTCCTAGGCTCGCAATCTGGTACAGCATGCTGGCTATCCGGGAGCATGTACTACAACGCGCAGATTGAGCTGTCCCAAGCCTTACAGACTTGCTAACAACCACGACAGGGTGCTCATACCAAGCTCTTGGTTCAGGGTTTCACCGGAAAGCAAGGTACCTTTCACGCCCAAGGTGCCATCGACTATGGCACAAATGTTGTCGGTGGCACGAACCCGAAGAAAGCTGGCACGACACATCTCGATCGACCCGTCTTCGCGACCGTTGCGGATGGTATCAAGGAAGCCGGCGCCAATGCTTCAGCCATCTTCGTTCCTCCTCCTCTAGCCGCCAAATCGATTGAAGAAGCCATTGAGGCTGAGATGCCTTTGGTTGTATGCATCACGGAAGGTATTCCTCAGCATGACATGGGTAAGCATAAACCATACTCCATACTCCATACAGAGATCGTTCAGATGCTAACCACCAGTCAGTCCGCGTCACGAGTAAGCTATACCGAACCTCTTCCAAGCCCTGCTTGTATCTCCCACGTTGCTAGCTGGAAGACCGCGAGTGACGATCCTTTCGCGAGGCCTTCTTTCTCCGCCGTCTCGCTAGCTAGAATTGAAGAGTACACAAGACTAACACAGCCAGACATGCTCAAGACCCAGAACAAGACACGACTCGTTGGCCCCAACTGCCCCGGACTGATTCGCTCCGGTGTTTGCAAGATTGGTATTATGCCTGGCTTCATCCACAAGCAGGGGCGCATCGGCATCGTCTCTCGCTCTGGTACCCTCACTTACGAAGCCGTCAACCAGACCACTCAGATCGGTCTCGGCCAGTCCCTAGTAGTTGGCATTGGCGGTGATCCGTTTTCTGGCACCAACTTTATCGACTGCCTGAAGGTCTTTATGGAGGATGACTCTACGGAAGGTGTGATTATGATCGGCGAGATCGGCGGTTCCGCTGAGGAGGACGCAGCCGACTTCCTCAAGAGTGAGAACGTCAAAGGAAAGCCCGTTACAGCTTTTGTGGCTGGAATTAGCGCTCCCCCAGGTCGACGTATGGGTCATGCCGGTGCCATTGTGAGCGGAGGCAAGGGTGGTGCCGACTCCAAGATCAGCGCGCTCGAGGGTGCGGGTGTAAAGGTCGAACGCAGTCCGGCTGCTCTGGGCAAGTCACTCTACGATCAATTTGTGGCAAAGGATCTGATATGAGCGGATGAGCCGGGATGTACAGGTGTGTTTGAAGCGCGGCGCTTTGCAAGCCTGTGTGTACGTGTATTTCTTCTGCGAGCAGGCATCCAGCGCTGCAGATAGCGATTTGCGTAGTGGAAGCTTGCAATCCAGACATGGCGACCAGGGAGCGTCCTGCTTGTCTGCCTTTCTTCAATACTCGTGCTTGATCATGTCCTGACCATCGGTCTGCAATGACAGCAACCGCAGCTGCCCTCCAAACGCCATCCCATGCAAGCCGTCTAAACATTCATCCGTCCCTCTGCGCTCCGGCCTCCAATTCAATCATCGCAGCGAAATGGCACCGCGTCGGCTCGCCCGTACATGCAGCCACGCCTGGGAGCCGCAGAAGACAATAAAGCCCTGCGAGATAGTGTCAGTCATGCTCTTGCCAGTGAAGGGCCGCCGGGGAGATATACCGCATAGACAGCCACCGCAATGAAAATGCTCGAGGCGACCGCCGCATTGGTTCCCTCGTCCGGGTCTTCTTCCATGCCCATTACGACATGGTGATTCCGCTGTGCTTGTGTGTCAGTCTCGAGCGCTTCCTAAATCGTGGGTCGCCCGGAGGGGATGGGCCCTTACGGCAAAGAGGGAGCCTAGGACGGAGAGGATGATGACGGCGAAGATCGAGATGACGGTGCTGTGCCGACGGTCAGCGTTTCGGGACCTGTAGACGAGATGTCCGTCCAGGCTTACCAACTCCACGCGTTGAAAGCGCTGACAACGGGCTTCATACGGGGCGAAATATGGGAGCACGAAGCTCAATGAAGGCGATGAAGAGTCGAGTCGTCGAGGTGGGTAAGGACTGCTGTCGGGGGTTGTTGGAACGCCGCGAATTCGTAAGTGCGAGGACAGAGACCGGAGCCAGCTGCGAATGATGTGACAGACTGATCAGTAGCAGATCAGAGGTTTAGCGAGGGTGGACAGTGAGCTTTCCGTCAATGCAGGTGATGCCATTCATTGATGAAGCCGACGAGGCGGGAGAAGGATGCAAGGCTGACCAATCAGCATCCGACATCTCTGCCCATCTCTGGGAAGCACGAGATTAGGCCTCACTCATCATGGGGCACAGCACTAGCACTTGACAGTGTTGTTCTCGTGACCTCCCTCGATCCTACATATCTCTCCTGCCGCCCTTTGCTTCTCTGCGAACACACATATTCATGAGCTGAGCAGGCTGGACCGGCCAGTGCGACCTCCCTAGAACCTACATCGGCATTCGTACCTTGCAGCGGCCGGCCCCCACTTTTCGGGATCTCAGCACGAGTTCAACTCTCCACCCCTGTCGTTCCCACTGCGAGTCTTTATGAATCGCAGAGATCAGAATCCTGATATCAACGAGCAGTCACCGCTCATCGCAGCGGAACGCAGTCCTCGCCATGTGGACGAGGAGGCGGGACCTATCTCGCCATTGTCGCCCTTATCCGAAGACTCACTTACACCCGAGGCGGACTTCAAGCTCGATAATGAGCCGGTCGAGTCGAAAAGTGTCTGGTATCTAATCCTGCTCACGCTCAGCATCGGCGGCCTTCAGATCGTCTGGTCTGTTGAGATCTCCAATGGCTCACCGTTCCTCCTCTCGCTCGGCATGAGCAAGGCCCTGGTCGCCTTTGTTTGGGTGGCAGGGCCGGTCACGGGTGTGCTTGTGCAACCGTACATCGGCCTTAAAAGCGACAGATGCCGCATCTCATGGGGCAGAAGGAAGCCGTTTATGGTTGGTGGCGCACTCGGCACGGCTGTTGCTTCTCTGCTGCTGGCCTATGCGAAGGACATTATGAGCGTCTTTGGGTTGATGGCGGGAACAGATGGCAAATACGAGGGTATCTGGCGCACGATGACCATTGTGTTTGCGACAGTCATGATGTGGTGTCTGGACTTCTCCATCAACGCTGTGCAAGCAGCTATTCGAGCCTTCATCGTTGATGGTGCACCATCCCACCAACAAGAAGCCGCCAACGCATGGGCTTCACGCATGACTGGAGTGGGCAATGTTATTGGCTACCTCTTTGGATACCTCGACTTGCCACAATACTTCTCCTTCCTGGGCAATACGCAGTTCAAAGTCCTGGTCACGATAGCATCCATTTCGCTTACCACAACAGTCCTTATCAGCATTCTTACCATTCCGGAGCGGAACCCACAACTTGATCCGCCGACGAAAGTGCCTGTCGATGAAGGTGTGCTGGCGTTCTTCAAGCAAGTCTTTGTTGCCATCAAACGATTACCTCCACAGATTCGAAGAGTATGCGAGATTCAATTCTTTCATTGGATAGGATGGTTCCCTTTTCTATTCTACATTACTACCTATATCGGTCAACTTTATGTCAACCCGGACCTCCAACCAGGTCTGTCAGAAGACGAAGTTGACGCCCTGTGGGCCAAAGCCACCCGAATCGGGACACTCGCACTCCTCGTCTATGCCATCACCTCCTTCGGGTCCAACATCATACTTCCATTCTTGGTCGTTCCCAGCTACAAACGCGAAGGGTCAGTCTCGGCAGATGACACGAGATCCTTTGACCCCACACCGTCAATGGGGACGTCCTCATATGCACCAATTACACGCAGCAGGGCCAATAGCGTTGCAGAAGGGTCTTCGTACCAGGACATTGCAAGTCCGCCGCCAACCTTGATGCGACGTTTCTTGGTCCGCATCCAGATACCAGGACTAACACTGCGTCGGACATGGTTGCTGTCACAATTTCTGTTCGTCTTTTGCATGTTCAGCACCTTCTTCATCTCTACCTATCAGGCGGCAGCGGTCATGACAGCATTAGTGGGGATATCCTGGTCACTGACATTATGGGCTCCATTTGCCCTGATATCAGCGGAGATATCGGAACGCGAAGAAACGCGGCGGCGAAAGGAACGGCTGAAGCTGCTCAATCCGAACGAAGAAGAGCTAGAAGAGGGTGATCAAGCCGGTGTTATCCTGGGATTACACAACGTAGCGGTCAGTGCACCACAGATCTTGGCCACTATGATTTGCTCGGCAGTGTTTCAAGCACTGCAGAAACCCCGAGATGAGCCCGGCGACACCAGCGTTGGATGGACGTTGCGGATCGGTGGAGTAGCTACTCTGGTTGCGGCCTGGCTCACGTATCGAATGCGAGAACCAGCGCATTCGGAGCAGCGAAACGTAGGATAAGCAGAGACTCCAAATGATGAGCGGTGACCATCCATTTCATATACCAAAACGAAAAGTGCCGACGTAGAGCCACGAGAAAGGCTCCAGCTCGTGACATAGGGAGGGATCCGGGGTCGAGACGAGCATGCGGTGTTCTTTTAGCCTCAGTCTCGGCTGCTGGTCTTGCGAACAAGCCCGGCTTGCGTCAACCATGTCACCGCTGCTGACAACATCGTCCAGATACCGAGAACGATAACGACTGTGATCAATCGGAGGCTGAGCCGATGTAAGACGGTATTCCAACGGTCTAGCCCTGCTCAAGGACGTGGGATGTTACCTCGACTGAGAGGGACGAGTCCTGTTGCCGGCTAATTGCAGACATGGCCCGGAATACAACTGCCCACTAGCGGCTCAACGGATGCTGCATTGCCATGCTCACTACTCCATACTTCAAGTACCAGGGCGGGTTTTACATCGAGGGTTCTCGCTGTCAGGCTAAACGTCGGCCGCAAAGCCGCTTGACCCCCTCGCAACCTCCCCTCAATTCCCCACCCTACACCCCCGTTCCATCCTAGTCACGTCCAGACCCATGCATCTTCGGCCGATCCGGTGCATAACAATACTATCCTCGTTCGCATGGTTTTGCCGTCGTTGTTCCGTACCACTGGGAAGCGGGCTTCCTTCAGGTACCGCCAATTATTCCGCTGGCCTACGCTCGTTTTTCTTTCCTGCTACTGTTACCCACGCTCCGCATCGATTCAGGAAGTTTACCCTATTGCTCAGGCCTCTCCCCTGGTCAGCCGGACAACAGCCACATACTGTGAATCTGGATCAAGCACCTAGCCCAAGACTATTCCTATAAAAGGTGCCCCGGTCAGCAACCATGGCTTCAAGCGGCTGTACGTCTCATTCCTGTGTCGTCGAGTCTAACGACCACATCACGCCCTCTCTGTTCTCCACTAAACTAGCTTGACTCACACAACACAGCCATGGTCCGTGACCCTACACATCAACCCGGTCTGCCGGCAGACTTTCTCTGGGGCTTTGCTACCGCAGCGTCAGATTCCTAGTCCCTCCCGTGTGCGCGAATGCTAACAGATGCAGATATCAAATCGAGGGGGGCGCCAACGACGATGGCCGCGGCCCTTCCATATGGGACAGCTTCTGCAAAATCCCCGGTAAGATCGCCGATGGCAGCTCGGGTGATGTGGCCTGTGATTCGTACCACCGTCACACCGAGGACATCGAACTCCTCAAGAAGACCGGTGCCATGGCGTACCGCTTCTCCATCTCGTGGTCGCGCGTGATCCCACTCGGCGGCCGCAATGACCCCATCAACCAAGCCGGCATCGACTACTACGTCAAGCTGGTCGACGACCTCTACGCCGCCGGCATCACGCCCCTCGTGACCCTCTTCCACTGGGACCTCCCCGATGAGCTGTACAAGCGGTACGACGGGTTCCTCAACAAGGACGAGTTCGTCGCCGACTTTGAACGCTACGCACGCGTTGTTTTTGAGGCTCTGCCCAATGTCAAGCACTGGATCACCTTCAACGAGCCGTACTGCAGCGCCGTGCTGGGCCACAACTGGGGCATATTCGCCCCTGGCCACACCTCGGACCGCAAACGCTTCCATCGCGGTGACTCGTCGCGCGAGCCATGGATCGTGGGGCACAATATCCTCATCGCTCATGCCCACGCCGTCAAGCTGTACCGCGACGAGTTCAAGCCCAAGAACGGTGGCGAGATTGCCATCACGCTGAATGGTTCGTCTCCCCGATGAGTAAATCACATTCCAGACCAACTGACAGGTGTAACAGGCGACTGGGCCGAAGCCTGGGACCCAGAAGACCCCGAAGACGTCCAAGCCGCGCAACGCCGCCTCGAGTTCTGGATGGGCTGGTACGCCGACCCCGTCTACTTCGGGCGGTACCCAACGTCGATGCGCGAGCAACTCGGCGACCGCCTCCCCAACTTTACCCCGGAAGAATCCGCGCTCCTCAAAGGCTCCAACGACTTCTATGGCATGAACCACTACTGCGCCAACTACATCAAGCACAAGCCGGCCTCGGAACCCTTTGACCCTTTCGACCACCAGGGCCACTTGGAATCCCTGCAGGAGAACAAGGCCGGGGAAGCCGTGGGTCCCAAGACGCAGAGTTTCTGGCTGCAGCCCAGCGCGCCCGGGTTCAGGAAGTTGTTGAATTGGATTAGTGAGAGGTATGGGAGGCCGAAGATCTTGGTGACGGAGAATGGGACCAGTATTTTGGGCGAGAATGATAAGTCCAAGGAGGAGATTCTGCAGGATGACTTCCGCGTGTGGTATTTCGAGACCTATGTCGAGGCCATGGCGCAGGCGGTGGCCATTGATGGCGTCGATGTACGTGGATATATGGGGTGGAGTCTGATGGACAATTTTGAGTGGGCTGAAGGTGAGTCGTTGACATCTCTCTGTTGAGTCCATTGGAGGGGGATGTTTTTTGGACCCGGCCCAATTTTTCCTTTTTCCACTCTTGACCAAAATGCTAATACGGACACGCTCCAGGCTACGAAACCAGATTCGGAGTCACATATGTGTAAGTTCGCAACCCTGTCATCTGACAAGGAGCTCTACCGGGGTTGAAATACTAATTCTCTCAACCAGGGACTACAAGAACAACCAACAAAGGTTTCCCAAGCGAAGTGCTCTGGAGCTGAAGAACATATTTGCAAAGTACATTGGCAAGCTACCGGCGGTCAACGGCGAGATCAATGGCGTGGTCGATGCAGAACAGGCCTGAGGTGGTATGGTTTGGCGAATGCCAAGACCTGGGGACCGCAGATCGTAGAGAAAGGCCTGAGAAGTGGCACATCTGCTCACCGGCCAGTCAGGCTCGGGAATATCAAGCAGCATGTCAGGGGAGAAAGTACAAGAAGATGTAGGGAGTTGCTCGATGGACTACCTCTAGCTCTAGCATCGACGGCGTTAAGCGTGTTTGCGGTCCACCCCTCGCGGCTGCGGCGCAGATCTACAACGACAGACTTTATTGTGTAGTGGCGACAGCATCAAGACACGAATATCACGATGATGAACATATCCGATGTTACTTACATAAGCTACGGGCCTGGGCCTGGGTCTGGTGTTCAGGCCCCCTTGAACAATCACACAGCATTAACAGCACTCTCTGGGAGGATTAGTGCCTCTCCGGGCTAGCGCACTCGGGCCCGGCCAATGCTTAGACCGATGCCGACATACTTCGACATCAGGCCTACCTACAAGCATATCTTTGACTGCTCGCGCTCGCTTTTAAGTGGCGAACCGTCCTGTGCTTCGAATACATTGATACAGATATACAACGACAGCACTAGTGTTTGTGGAATTCGTGCTGACGCATCTCTATTTACTCACGGCCTGAACCACTACATCCTGCCCCGCCCCCGCCCTCGCAATGGAGACTCCCCAGGTACCCAGTAAGTCCAGCAGTGGCCCAGAGCTGAAGGGCTCAGAGGCAAAACCCCCTGCCTCTGTGATATGGCCAGTTCAAACAACAAAATCACAACCGCTGCCCGCCTCACCCCCTCCAAGACGCCTCCCCCACCCCAAAGCCTCCCAATAACCGCTTTCAAACAGTCAACTTCGTGCCCGCCAAAGCCGGCGAAATCCTCAAGCTGGGCACCATCCAGATCCGGATCATCGAAGACGGCAGCCGCACCGGTACTTCCCCTTTCCCCCTTTATCTATTCCACTTTCCACCAACACGGTCAGCGGCTCTACTGACGTTGTCATAGACAACCGCATCGGTGTCGCGGAATTCATCGTCCCGCCACACACCTCGGGCCCCCCGCCGCACTGGCACGAGATGCACGACGAGTTCTTCTTCACCACGCAGGGGACCATGCGCTTTCATGGCTTGCAGGGGGAGACTGTTGATGCTAAACTTGGCGGTAAGCTTTTCCCCTTACATTAGGATATTGCTGGTAGGATTTGCGTGAAACGGAGTCCGTGGGGCGCACTCTGTGGCTGTTGTAGTGATGATAATGTGAGTTACCGGCTGACTAGATCGAAAGATAGTGTGACGGTCCCAACCCGCTCGCCGCACACGTTCAGCAATCCGTTCGACGAGGAAGCTAAGTTTCTGAATACGTATACGCCGGCGCATTACGTGAGTTCTCTCCCCTTGGCGACAGTTGTGCCTCTTTGTTCCCCTGATATGCTAGATGCCCGCCGCTAGAGGAGAGACGAGCTGAGCATGGGACTGGACGGGACTGGATATCGGTATCGATATGATAGATTGTGCTGACACGACACCAACAGATCAACTATTTCAAACTCCTATCCACGCTAGGCGAGGCGGGCAAGCCGATGAGTCCCGAGGCGAATCGGAAGGCTATGGCTGTGAGTACCTCCCCAATCCCTTCTTCCCATTAGCTGTTTCTGGTGCTGGAAGCCGCACCCCGATAGTTGGAGCCGGTCCTCTCCCTCCTCTTCCTACGCTATTCAGGACTGTCCCCTGATATGTGTCGACGATTCGTGTGATGAATTGGACTGACTGACTGAATGAAACCCGCAGTACTTCGCCACGATCGGCGTGAGCGATGACGAGATGAAGATGCAGAAGGAGGCTTGATCTCAGGATCTGGGGGGCCGCACACACAGCGCAATTCCGTCGAAAGAGCCCGGGACTAGAACACGGTTGGTGTGGTAAGAGTTGAAAAAGCAAGCTCCGACGAGACTGTATGTATCGACCATCTTGCGCCCCAAATGAGGAGTATTTTCCCCTCCACAAGCCGTAGAGAAAGACACGAGATCTCGCAGTGAAGTACTTCTCCGCAAGTCCACATCCCACAGCCCTCACAAACCCCGAAACGTACAAAGGTATCTGCGATGTTGACGTCGCCTCGTCGCCTTTCCATTGGCCGTGTCCGGGGTCCCGTTCCTGAAGATTTATATCCGTATCTCGTGTCGTGGTGACAAGGCCGAGCGGCAGGGGCAGACGTGCAGGATTGTCACGACCAGGCTGATGGTGTCCATGTGGAACGTTTTGGAAGCCATCCCGTTCTGACAGTCGTGGTGTAGTAGGCTTTTGGGTCAAGGAAGTCCAAAACGGGCAGCTGCTGGATGATGTTCTGGCAGGGTCATGCTGTATGGTTGACATTTCAGCCTCCAGCTCCTCCATCGGAGATGGCCTGCAGGGCGCCCGCAACCATCAGCGATAATTTTGTTGCTGAGCTGAGGCTGTCAAGGTAGGGCAAGCAGCTACCCAGCTTCCCTCGCCAGTCGGGCCTGCTTCCGTGACCATTCCAATTCGATCTCGCGGATCATAAGTGCTCTTTCGTCCTCTCGGAACACTATCAGATCCTCCGGCTTTGCCATGTCTGCCAATATCCATGAAGCCAGAGCTTGCCTCATCTTCGCACGCGTCGATTCCGGCGCGAGCATCATCAGTTCCACAAACTTGATGACATCCCACAGATCGAATCGGCGACGACTTGCTCCGTGTTCCTCCTGTATTCGAGACCCGCAGTATCCGATGATATACATCGCTGCCATGGGCGTCAACTGCGGTACGCCATCTCGCACGGGACCAGGTTCGCTCATGGCGAGGTAGTACAGCAGGTCCTTGACGAAGTCGATCGCCACGGATTCATCATGGCGACAGGCGCAAAACACCGTGTTCACCGCGAACAATGCTCCTAAGCAAGTCCGGGTCCCGAATTCCGTTGTCTCAGCCAGCAGCTTCCGTACATGTCCTCGGACAATCGACCGCTCTGATTCAACCGACCCTGCCCTTGATCGGAGGTATGCCTCGCTTGGATGACCAAGAACGGATTTACCACCTTCCACCGTTGGTCGATGCACGGCGTCCGCGACACATTGCCGGATTGCAAAGTTCCAGCCCTGTATCGACCTCAGTCGCTGGGCAATAGCCGACGAAGTTGTGACGAGAGTCACGTAATGCTTGAAGAAGCTGTCGACGCCGAGTCCGATATACGCATTACAGCAGACCAAGCCTGATACGATGAGCGAGCTTTCACGCCGACAAGAACTCCAAGGACTCACCTATAGGATATGTCAGCTGCGGGTGTATGCTTTTCTTCCGCCGCACTTCAAAGAGCGCGAGCCCGGCCTCGAGGTGCTTGTTGGCAATCTTTGCACCACTCACACGGTGTTCAGCGACTCCCGAGGCAACTAGACCAAGAAGAATCTCGTCGGAGAGCGTCTCGTCCTCTGGAGCGGTGAGCTTTTGATGCATCAATTGGTATGTCAGTCGGCGGCGATGAAGCAGCGGTGGGTCATCTTCCGGACTATGTCCGCGGAGGACGGTCCTTCGGTGCTGCATCAGGAGAATTGCCCAGCTCAACCATATCTCGTTGGTGGCTATGGATACCAGCGTCGTGTCTCGCACAGGGCAGAAAGCCGACTTGGGGCCTGTTCGGTATAGAACCTCTGGTACAACGGTCAGATCTGGACAACGTCAGCTCCGTCAAGCGGTGGCTCGCGGGCAGGAGCTCACAGTCATGCAGCAGATTCCTCTCCTCCAGTGTCAAGTCCATTGGCAGCTGTACGAAAGGATCGAGGAAGCTGTTGCTCATCTGCGTCGCCGTCGAGGAAGGTGAGTATGCCCATGCGGGCTCTGCCTCGTCAGGTTCTTGCTTCATTGCATGGATCGCCTTTTTCGTCAGCGCCGACTTTCTTCTTGCCTCGTGCGCTATACGCGCGGCATGACTTCGAGCACCCGCATCGACCAGCTCGAATTCGCGACGATCAGTCGTCTCCGGCTTCATGCGCTCTACGAGGACGAAATGAAAACGCCGTCGCGACTGGGTCTGAACTGCCATGGTGAACAACAATCTTGTTGCTTAAAGTCCATATGTCCAATTAGGCTCGACATTGGCCCTGTTGAGGAGCGGGTCAGTGTAGTATGGCTTCAACAACGACCAGTCTCAAGCCTGTGCAGGGCTGGAGTGCCCAACGGGCATCCTAGTGAAGTCAGGGTTTGTCGTGTCGGCGGAAGCTCAGGAGCACCCGTTCACTTGAGGGAGTGCAGAACCAGAACTGCCTGTGGTAGCAGAAACGTCTCTTGTCTCGCCGAAACCCAGATCAAAAGCGTGATGGGTGACGCGGCGCAGGGGAAACGACCCTTTTACTGAAAGCGGTAATTCAGGTGTATAGTAATCAAGCAGAACTCTGACTGAGCTCTGCGCCATTGCTCATTATGTCGACTATTGACCATATTACTTATCGGCGAACTTAGTCATATGCATGTCAACCCATCAACCTGCTTAAGCGAGTCCCAGTTCGACCGATTGGATCGGTGGAGGACAGAAGGTCAAAGGGGGCATAAGCAATCTTCCTAGGAAGACTAAAATGATTTTTCGGGTTGGCCCTGCATCATACAGCCGCACATGAGGATTTTCGAGGTGTGGTGAGTTCCCTTCTATACCGAGTTCTCAGACGTCTTATCTTGGGCTGTTCAAAACACTGCTCACGTCCAGACCTCATGCTTCGGAGACGATCACTCCCGCCATACCTAGAACACACTCCAGTCAGTAAAAGTTTGCATCACAACTGTTTCAATCGGTTTGCAACTCACCCATGCCCGTCCCAACACACATACTCGTGACGGCGACCTTCTGCCCTCTCCTCCGCAGCTCACTCAGCGCCGTGACAACCTGCCTCGCGCCCGTGCAGCCCAAGGGGTGCCCAATCGCAATGGCCCCACCCCTCACATTGACCTTCTCCTTATCCAGCCCCAGCTTCTCCACGCAGTAGACGTACATGCTCGCAAACGCCTCGTTGATCTCAAACAGATCCACCTCGTCCTTGGTGAGGCCCGTCCTCTCCAGGATCCTCGGAATCGCGAAACTGGGCCCGATGCCCATGATGCGCGGCTCCAGCCCCACGGTCGTGCTGAGCACGTACTTGCCCAGCACGGGCACGCCCAGCTCCTCGGCCTTGGAGCGGCGCATCAGCACCACGCCCGCCGCGCCGTCGGTGATCTGGCTGGCGTTGCCGCCCGTCGTCGTCGCCGGCTGCCACTGCGGGAACGCGCTCTTGATCTTGCCCAGCCCTTCTTTGGTGGTTCCCGGCCGGATCCCGTCGTCCCGCTCGACCGTGACTTCGCGGGTCTCGCCCGTCTTGGCGTCTTTGATGGACGTGCGCACCGGCACGATCTCGTCGGCGCTCCACCCTTCGCGCTGCGCGCGCTCCGCGCGGTTGTGGCTCATCTCCGCGTAGGCGTCCTGCATGGCACGCGAGATGCCAAAGTCGCGCGCCACGTTCTCGCTCGTCCAGCCCATGGGCATGACGTTGTCCCTGGCGATCGGGTGGTTGGAGACGACGTCGGACATGGGAGGCGGCTTGTCGGCGTTCTGCGACATGGACTCAATGCCGACCGCGATACCCACGTCGATGGCGCCCGCCATGATGGCCGTGGCGACGTTTTGGATCGCCAGCAGGCCGGAGCTGCAGAAGCGGGAGGCGACGTTGGCGGAGGTGCCGACGGGGAAGCCGGCGGCGAGGACGGCGGAGCGCGCGGCGAAGCCGGGGGCCGGTTGCAGGACGTTGCCGACGCAGACGTCGTCGACGTGGGAGGCGGGGAAGTTCATGCGCTCACGGATCGAAGTCAGAAGCGAGGTGAGGAGGGCATCGACCGGCGTGTCTTTGAGGCCGCCTTTGCGCGCTTTGGTGAGGGGCGTGCGGATCGCCGTCGTGATGACGATGTCGTCCGGGTTCTTGGCGAGGACGCGCTCGCGGCCGCTGAGGGAGGGTGAGGAGAGTTGGGAGGATAGCATGCCCAGACGCTGGGCGGCGGGAGAGGTCATGGTGGCGAGGAAGGTGGGTAAGGGGGGTGGAGGTGTCTGTTCGTACAGATATGTCCTTAAGTCGCACTTTGGGCTCGACAGCGATATCAAGAAGTTGATCCTTCCGTACAGTTGCGTTACTGATTTGGCACAATGGTGGGGATTCCTCGTCGTCCAGAATATCGAAGACAAGCACGCTTGCGTCGGGACACCAGGAGGTCGGTGTGATGTTGGTCACAGCAAGTAGGTCGGTGATACTTGTAGCAGTAAGCTTCAAGTTTGCCTCCGAATGATAAAACTTCAGTAATCACGACCCTGTCCGTCTAGCATACGCACGAAAACAGAGAGACTACCCAGACCTTTGCCTGCATCGGAAGAATGCATCCATGTTTGAAGTCGTCCAGTGCCTCGGCCGGTGGTCTTGGCGGCACTGACCGACTTCAACTGCCGGCCTCCTCGAGCTCTCCGACCCCGTGCGAAGGGGGCCCCTCCAGGGGTCAGCTCTCGCCCCACATGGCGCCCAGATGCAGTACTTGTCCCTCTCGAACAGGCCCGTTGCGGCGAGCAACCAGGGGGCCACCGTTGAAGCGTGTCCACCGCCCCGGACCGAGTTCCCCACTGGCCTGGCACCACCGCCACCGCGGTTGGGGTCGTGGGCATCCAAAGCTGGGGCCCCGTTGGAGGCCGGCGCCGAGTCAGCTCACGTTTGAAAGACATCTAACGGGGACCAAAGCAGTTGTTCTTCCAGTTGCGAGACCTCGAACCCATTAGAGACACGTTTGCTGCCTGATTGGCATTCATCGGCGACGACTGACGAAACTGAGCGTCATTTGGGAATAGAGGTGTCTGATCGCCAAACCCCGGAAGAAGGACGGACCTCGACAGTGCCGTATCTGCGTGCCGGACGCGTATCAAACCTTCATTGCACTACGGCCGTGAAGCATTCCCTGATATCGACGCAAGGCCTCGTCTCAGAGCTCACGGTCTTCCCAAACCCCATATTCCAGGTCCAGGGCCATCGGAACACAACTCACCATGGCGACCAAACACCCAGGCCAAGTTGCAGCCGCCGCTGCCGCCGCCCTCGTCGCCGCCGTCGGCATCAACTCCTACTTCGGCATCAGCAGAGACGTCAGCCACCTGCAGTTTCAGAAGCAGTATGGAAAGCTGCTGGAAACCCATCTCGCCCGTCTGGGACCACAGTCGGTGTCGCTGTACAAGCTACTCACCCTTGCCGATCCGCGCGCCGACGCCATTTATTTCGAGGGCCGCAGCTGGACCTACGCCGCCATGCTGCGAGAAGTCAGTGCCCTGGCCTTGGGGTTCCGGAGTCTAGGAGTGCAGAACGGTGACGTCGTCGGTGTCTTCATGACCAACTCCCCAGAGATGGTCTTTACCGTCTACGCACTGACGAAGTTGGGCGCGGTGCCGGCGATGATGAACAGCAACCTGCGAGACGACACGCTGCTGCATTGCGTGCAGGTGGGCGGCAGCAGTCTCGTTGTCAGCACGCCAGACATAGCCGGCCACGCAGCGCAAGCAGCGAAGAAGGTCGGCGACCAAGTCAGAGTGACAACTCTCAACCTAGGCAGCTTCCCCACTGGCCTCGCGCAGAGCGGCGCCGAGGTATTCCCCTACCCAACCGGCGACGTCGTCGACGACATCATCCACCCTCCCAAAACATTCACCGACCCGGCCGTCTTCATCTTCACCTCCGGCACAACCGGCAAGCCCAAAGCCGTCTCGATCAAGAACCAAATGATTTGGTTCACCTCGTGCCCCTCCCCCGCCGACTGTCCCAGCTCATACGGCCAATCCTCCACCGCAGCGTTTCCACCGCGCATCTTCTCCTGCATGCCCATCTTCCACGGCACCACCTTCTTCACGGGCCTCTGCTACGGCGTCGGCACCTCCGGCACCTTCTGCATCAGCCGGCGCTTCTCGGCGCGCAACTACTGGCGCGAAGTCCACGACAGCCGCGCCACCCGCATCCTCTACGTCGGCGAGCTCTGCCGCTTCCTCCTCGCCACGCCCCCCAGCCCTTACGACAGGAAGCACAACGCCCGCCTCGCCCTCGGCAACGGCCTGCAAAAGGACGTCTGGCTGCCCTTCCAAACCCGCTTCGCCATCGACGAGATCCGCGAGTTCTACCGCAGCACCGAGGGCCTGGTGAAATACGACAACATCCACTTCCGCCGGCAGGGGGAGCGCGGCGCCGGCCGCGTCGGCTACCGCGGCACCCTGCTCCGCCGTCTCGAAAAGGACCAGCACATTGTCAGATTCGACTACGACAGCGAGCAGCCCGTGCGCGACCCCAGCACGGGGTTCTGCGTCGTGGCGCAGCGCGACGAGCCGGGCGAGGCGATTGCGAAAGTTACCAGTATGGAGACATACAGCGACTACCACAACAACGCGGAGGCGACGGAGAAGAAGTTCCTGCGCGACGTGTTTGTCAGGGGGGACGTGTGGCAGCGCTCCGGCGACTTGTTGGTCGTGCAGCGCGACGGCTGGGTCAGGTTCGTGGACCGCATCGGCGACACGTTTCGCTGGAAGGGCGAGAATGTGAGCGCAGGCGAGATTAGGGGGTTCATCGCGGATTTGGACGAGGTGCAGGACGCCGTCGTCGTGGGGAAGTCACTGAAGGGGTATGATGGCCAGGCGGGCGTGGCGGCGTTGAGTCTGCGGTGTGGGTCGCTGAAGGAGGAGCGGGCGTTTATGGAGGGGTTGTATGCCAGGTTGAAGAGTAAGGGGGTGCCGTCGTATGCGTTCCCTAGGCTGGTGGCGATTACGGATGAGGTGAAAGTGGGGGATACGTTCAAGCATGCGAAGCAGGTGGTCAAGGCGGTTGAGTGGGGGGATGTGAGGGATGGTAAGAAGTATGTGCTCGATGCGGCGAGGCAGCGCTATGTGCCGCTGGATGCGGGGACTTGGGGGGAGGTGTTGGCCGGGAGGGCGAAGTTGTGAGAAACCACGAGTTAATAGATGTGGAGGGAAAGGTACAGTAGCGGGAGAGCTGAGTGAAGATTGTAAGAGAGCAACGGACGGAGAAAGCGGCCATAGTGCGGCTATGTATACAATTCTCTGGAATGGTCATGTCCGGGTTACTGTAAGCATGGCTGGGTGGGCGCTCGTTCCCTCTCTCTTCTCTACCTCACATAATCTATTCCTACTGATAAACTCTGATGGACTTCATAAAGCTAGTGAGCGGTAGACCGGGTGCAGAAATGCCTGCTCTTGCCGCCACGTTTGGCCGGATCCGCTGAACTCACTGACCCATGCTGCTTTGCGACCCACGATCATTAGGATTGGTCGGTGACGATCGCCGCATTCGAGCCCGTACGAAGGCAAAATGCCCAAGAGAAAGCTACAGGACTAATTGTATACCTTCTTTAGGCATCAGCTTGATGATTCTTAATCAACTACAACCATACACCGACCACGACTTAGGTAAAGACCACTCGACACTCCCGTAGCAAGATGAAAGGTGGATATTAGGTATCCCAGACTCGAACTGCAGAGTTGTCACTAGCATTTTATGCAATATTATATCATGCAACCTCTATTCTATTTCAGCCGCTTCGGGGATTCAACGCCATCGCTAAATGCCCACCCATGAGCCCAAAGGCAGACCGCGACGTAATAATGCCAGAAACAACAGCGGTGAAAGCACAAAACCAAGCCCCAGTGAAAGGCTCATGCAACCCATCTTCAATGCTCTTCCCAAGGCTCCCTTGCCAACAGCTCCAGCTCCGCACGACTAAACTCTCGGCCCATCCCAACGACCCAATCCTTCGACGCCCGCAGCATCTTCTCCGGCGCGTCCCAACTCAACATCATGCGTCCGGGCTCCCTCACGCTATCCATCGGCCCACCATGTCTCCCATTGCGCATGAAACCCACTCCCGTGATCGCTCCAGCTCCATCCTCGCTCGACGGCGCCTTGATACTTTTCACAGGGCTCTCCGCCAGACCCACCTCCCACTCCTCCCTGACACTTTGCGGCACAATACCAGCGGGACTAACACCCCATTTGGCCTTCCAACCAGACCAGATCGCAATGACGTCCGCCTCACGACACCTCTCGACCTCGGCGAGCTTGGCTTCGAGATCGCGGATCGGCTTTTCGCGGCCTGCAGCGCGCAGTGCGTCTTTGCTCATGCCGGCGGCCCATTCGCTACGGTACGCGGTTCTTCGCTGGCGCAGTCGGCGGGAGAAGGTCTCGTGCTTGCGGTTCCAGGCGCGAAGGGACTCGGTTTCGAGGGCGCGGTGGTGGTGCAGGTCGCAAGGGGCACAGCGGCCGGGAATGATGTTGATGGTCAAGGGCTTCTGGTTGACCAGGTGCTGACGGTGGGCAAATGTCGGGTAGGCGAGCGTCTTGGAGGTGAGGCGCACACGCTGGAGAGGCGCATTGAGGGGAGTGTGCGCTGGTGGCGAGGTGTGTGGGCAGAGGGTGAAGTAGGTGGGCGTTCCGTATACTTCAGCCGCGGATGGGAGGGTGGCTTTCGTTCCAGCGTTTGTAGCGTCAGATAACACCGTGGTGGTGGATGGTTCCGACTGGCCGAAAGAGGACTGGGTATCGGTGGTCGTGGATTTGGCGGCCGTAGACGCCGTTGAGGCATTCGGAGCAGTATGCGAAGAGTGTGGTTGGCGCTTCGGGTAGGTGCTGTCCACGCGTGCAGCGATGGAATGTCGAATCTTCTCTGAGCCTTCCTTGATGTCGTCAACAATATGTGCCGCGGCGTCTTTCATTCTTTGCAGCGAAGAGCGCCGGCGTCGCTGAGCGGGCACGACAGAGTGACCAGACCACTCTGATCTATCAGAAGTACCCTGCGACCGGCTCTTGCGGCGACCACGTCTTGGATCGCCCCTGTCGGAGCCGGAGGGTAGGGAAGCACTTGGTGGGTATGAAATAATAGAGGTGTCTACCTCCAGAACAGTGGTTTTCACCTTTGCCGACTTTGAAGCAGCAGCCTTCGCGAGGCGCAGGCGTTCCAAGTCGGGGGCATGTAGAGGAGAACCAGGAGCGTACTTCTTCTTTGGGTCTGGCTCCACGTCAGTATCCATCCTGAAGCTGGTCGGTGGATACTGCTTCCGAGGAGCCTCAACAGCCAGGTCCAACGTGTCATGTGATGATAAGTCCATGTCATGCTTGGATAATTCTTCACTCTCGACGGACTTCTCGCAAGGCTGGCGAGTGCGTTCTCCCTCTCGGCGAGATGATGAGCGAGCTGGCGACTCAACGGGAGCATCGACAGCATAGATTTTCATGCTCTTGGCCTGGTCGATAAGTTCTTTAAGAGGAGATTTCGACAGGTGGATGCTCTGCCTCGACTGCTCTGGGTTGAGAGCATTCAGTTGGCTGGCTCTCTTTGGAGGGTCTTCTCCCTGCTTGTTGGACGATGATAATTTTGATAGTCGGGGAGCCGCAGGATCCAGGTTGCTAACTGGGCTGGAAGACTGGATTCGTTCCACGGTGCTCTGCATCGGCTTTGATGACTTGGAAGAGCTAATAGTATATCGGCTTGTGCTCGCAGTCTTCGTCGATGTCGCCAAGGTCGATAGGCCACTGTTTGTAGTGGCCGAGCTCGAGCAACACGAGGCGCCATCTAGGCTCTCGGCATCACTCGTAGCCTCGCGCATCCTTCCAGAGGATCGTTGAGGTACCTTTGGCTTCTTGATCTCAATGTAAAGATTTGACATTATCGCGGTTGCCGTGCCTAGTCCGGCCTGTGATTGTCTTTGTGGTTTAGTAGTCGGGCAATCTGGACCAAATGTTCGCTCGGACTCGGTATTTGAATGTGAGACTGGCCCTCTTGAACAATGCAGCGAGTCGTCACTTGCCATTCGTCAAGAACTACAGGGCCATTGTTCTCGCTCTAGCCTCATTGTCCGTCATTGTTATCGGTCTTTGAGTCTTGCCATGCATAAAACGGTATGGCTTTGTGTGGATCCAGACCCCACTAGGACCTGTCCCGAAAACCATCCGGTGTGTTTGACGTGAAAGAGTCGTTAATGTTGCTGTTCCAAGTCTTCGCGTGAAAGTTGTGGGAGGCATTGAGTCTATGCAAGAATGTCAGTGAAGATGAGTCGGCGGGGTTGGTCGCAGACTTTTGTTTGTGCTGTTGAATGGGTCGGTCACGTGACGGTCTCTACTGACGCCGTCGCGACGATGCATTGCACCAATGCACCATCATGCATGATCGGCTCCACTCGCGCCAAAGAGAACCGACTCAACCGCTTATTTGTGACGCGTGATCCGAGATTGATGGGTTCAATCGTCTTCTTCACCCATCACAGTGCGGAGGTTGTATCGCCATTTTCCGACTTCGTGCTCGAGTGCGCTAAGCTTGGCAGCGGAGCTCATGAGACTCGGGTCGCCAGTCTCAACTCTAGTCTTCTCCCTTACAACGACGTCTTGCTTTCCAAGCCACTCAAAGATCTGGCCAACCTCGTCGTGATTGGGCGCCCGAGGTCCGAGTCCCAGCAGCTTGTTGCGAAGACTGAAGCCAGAGAGTGAAAAGCCCGAGTCAGATGCAGGCGTGCTGGGTGTTCCTCCGGGAGAGGTAGGTGCTAGTGTGCGAATTGTTAAGACGATGTTGGCATCCTGGATCGTGAAGTGTAGACTGAGATGGTCGGGTAGAGGGGGCTGAAAGACTCTGGCATCGACACTGCTCGTCCACCACTCACAGCCCGGTATTGTTTCGTCTTGACCAGCGACGGGACCTTTCATATATGCTTTAGCGTTGGCAAGATTGTCATGCAGCAGGCGCAGCTGTCCTGAAATGAATGATGCATCAGTCGCTTGTCCGGCCCAGCGAGAAACATCAATGATATCAAGGGAGTCGTTGACGAGAGAGCGAACGGCAAACAGTTGTGGCAGGACTAAGTCCGGGGCGGTAGGGGAGGGAGCAAAGCTGAGGTGGGTAGAAGGGTTGGAGTTCGTCTGAGTGCGCGGCGTGTTCGGTGGTAAGCTTGTAAGTCGGAGGTGGATGTCGCCCTTGACGATTTTGGTGCCGACTCGAGTAACGAAGCCTTTGACGTTCTCTGACCGGAGCGATGAGAGCACCAGTGTCGAGCCTGGCTCTTTCGGAGCGAGCAAGGCAGCACATTCTTCTAGACCTTCCTTGAGGGACATCAAGGACTTCTGGAACTCGCCAAGCAGCCACTGCAGCTCGAGTTGTTGCGATTCGTCTTCACCCCTGCGTTGCTCTTCTGGGGAGACCGGCGGATAGACCGTCAGGGACATTTTTCCGATGGTCGAACGTGCTTGACGTTGGGTACGAGCCTGATCCGTTGGTCGTCCTCGACGAATGCTCGAGTGAAGGTGTCGTGCCCAACATCCACAACTGAGCCCTTTCTGGCCTAAGATTCTTATCAAGCTTCGCTCCACGCGCCCTTCGGATGTTAGACTTAGCTGTCAGGATCCGAAGATGAAACGATGAAAAATGGACAGCAGATTGACGGATGCATGGGTCGCGTTGATGATGGCAGGTCGGACCTAAGCCAAGATAATTGGTCTTTTGAAATTCAACTTTCTAAAGACAGGCATAGACTCCTCGACGGGTGCAGCCTCGCGTAGGACCGTCTACCCTACTTCTACTTGCACTGTGCTCTCCTGAACGTTGTCATGGTATACACGGATGGAAATATCGATGGCTAAAGTTGGTATGCTTCTGGGATCCAAGAAAACTGACCTGCAGCAACATTGACACATACAAACGACATTCATGACTGCCCTACACAGCTTCCACCTCATCTCTAGGCTTGTCCAACATCGGCACCCGCTGCCCTGCATTGTGTTCCGTTCCCCTACTCGCGATATAGCTCTCCTTCCCCTTGAAATTCGCACTGTTCCACGTCTTTGCCCTGTTAGCCACCCAAGCATCTGCATTCATCAGCCCTTCAGCGGTGGCATTCGGGTCGTCGAACAATGAGCGAAGTAGCACATCACTGTTGGGTCGCGCGAAGTACACTACCGAATGTCGGTCAGACTGTGCTTGCTCTCCCGGCGGGCCCATGACGCGGTGGACGGCACTGTACAGCCTGTTGCCGCAGAGTTTGACGAACGCGTCACCGAGATTGATGATGGCGCACTCAGGTCGGGGCTGCACGTACTTCCAGTCCTTACTGTTGGGCTCTAGGACTTGGAGGCCGCCAAGTTGGTTGAATAGGACCTGAACGCACATCTCGTTAGCCATCAATCCCAATACAAGCCGTCCGGCTCCGCCCCAAGCCCCTGCTACTTACCGTCACACTTCCAAAGTCCGTATGCTCCCCCAAGCAAATCGTCTCCTGGCTCACAGGAGGCGCATGCGTGACCCTAGCCTGGCACACGCTCGGCCTGTCCACCTTATGCAAGCTCGGCAGCAGCTCCGGATCCATCCCCAGCTCCGTCCCCAATGCCCGCACCAGCACTGTCACGACCTCATGACACCTCCGCATAAACCTTTCCAGCTCCTCCTTCCGCGCCATCACCACGTCGGGATGCGGACTCGGATTCGCACCCAACTTTCCGATCCCCAACACCTCGTCCTTGGAGATGTTGTAGAACTCCGATTGGTCTGGCGTGCCCTTGTCGTCGACGATCATGGCGCCGGACCGCTTGTAGCCGAAGTAGTGGCCGGTGGTGCCCATGTCGTACTTGTTCTTTTCGGTCTGGGGGAGGGTGAAGACGGCATTAGCCAAGTCGAACATGAAGGCATGGTCGATGTGGTGGTTGGTAAGGTAGAAGAAGCCGTAGCCTGTGGCTGCTTCGTGGACGAGTCGTGATTGGGTTTTGGAGCCGGCAGCGAGGGCGTCGAAGTCGATGGCGTGGATGTCTGCAGTGGGGAGGTTGTTGGGGAATGGTGGAACGGAAGACTGAGATGGCATGTTGTTGTGGTTGGCGGTCGGTGGTGTGGAGTGAGAGGAGTAGAGGGTATTATTGAGAAGCTAGTGCGCACTCGTACGTGTTTGCTTTAGGATGCGACCGAAGAGCAGATGTACTATGCGTTAGTATGGTATGGCGTGGTATAAGAGGTTTGTAGCGACTTGTGATTCGAGAGAGCCTACCAAACCTTTATGGTTCTATTCCCGACGTCTTCCGTTGGAGTAACTCAGCATGGGTCGGTACCAAAGTGCGGGGTCGGCCTTAGCAGTGGGTGCACGCGGCGACGGGGATAGAGGAGGTTCATCAGCTTGGCGGAAGTCTAGTAAGTAGTAGTGTACATGTATTAGGTGTTATCTGCTGCAAGTAGAGCACTCTATTTATACATTAGATGTTCATGAGAGCCACGAGCGCGGCTATAGCAACCACGGCACTCTCGATGTGAACCATTGCGGCGCTGTTGTCACTGTCAGTGGAAGATGTCGCTGATGCCGCTGCGCCTGTCTCGCTGACTGGCGCTTCGGAGCTGTCGGAGCTCTCGGAAGTGGTGGATGTCGCACTTGTAGACTCGGTAGTGAACGAGCTGCTTGAGGTAGAAGAGGTCGATGAAGACGACGAAGTAGATGAGCCCGTTGAAGACGACGTGGTAGAATTGGTCGACGTGGAGTTGCTGTCAGCAACCATGTTCTGAACCCATTCTCCAAATACGTTGGAGGAGATATCGAAGTAGTTGAGATGAGTCTCGACTTCTTCAGGGCCCAGGTCCGCGGCACAGATAGGATCTGTTGCGACACAGAAAGATTGCAAAACACCAGAGTACTCATTCAGATCTGCCAGTTGCGAACCATTCCGGGGGAAGAGACCGTTACCGGCAGCGCCTGACAGGGCATTGTATGACTGATCAGCTGTGTGGCGAGTATCTCCGATGAGGAGGGCGGCGACAACTGGAACCACGTCAGTGACAAGATCAGAAATTCAAAGTGGCAGCCTTACTTTTATTACCAGGACTGGTCTCGGGATCAAGTGGCTCGTTAGGTGCTTGCTGGCAGCCTTGAAAGAAGGTACCGCCTCCACCCCCCAAGATATCACCCACAACGTGAGCACCTTGCGAGTAGCCGCTCACAACGAGCTTGGAATCCGGACACCGTTCAGCGTAGTCGGTCAATTGAGTCTTTCCATTTCTTGCGCCTTCCTCGAGTGAACGGCAGAAGACTGTCTCGTATCTATTGTCGAAGTGGATGTCCTCGTAGTCGCAGCTATCAAGGCCGGAGCAGATGGCGTCCACGAGCTTGGCCTGCCGGCCAGGCTCAGTCTCATTGTTGCCCTTGGCCAGGAAGATATGAACATCCTGGCAGTCGTTCTGTCGTGTGACCAGCTCGCTTGCAGCTGTTTGTACAAACGCCGAAGACACAGCCAGCACAGCAAGGCCGAGGTTATACGTGAACCGGCCCATCATGTCAGCGCCTTCAGGTGTTTGTATCGGTAGGATGAAGTGCAAGGACAACCAGAAACATAGCCGGCGGCATCAACGAGTTTTGGGAGTTCGCTTCTCGGGAATAAATTTGCATGATCCACCTTTGCCTCCGACCAAGCTCCTAGCGCTCAGATAAAGGTGTCCATTATAGTGGGCCGTGTTTCATCTGGCGGAACCGTGTTCGGTGAACTACGAATCAATATGGCCAGAACACCGCCATCGTAAGACAATGCATTGAAAGCTAGCCCGTCCATGGCCTTTGCGGAGCAGCCAAAGCGTGAGGTGGGGGTTCAGGGACGAGGCAACGAGATATCGCGCCGGGTCTTGGCACCGGCGGTTGAGATTTCGCCGCGCGATTTCCAGAACCTCCGCAAGTGTCCTCCATCTGTGTTGATTATCTATAAATAGGTTTCAAGCAGTCTCCGGAGTACCTGCGTCTATGTCTCATGGGGTGAGCTGTATGATGCATGTTCTCGTCAACAGCCACCACCGGCCATAGCCAATCAAATCCGCCGATTGGCTGCTAATGTGGGGGTACGGGCGAAGCAGAACGACTTCAAGTGGCTTGAATCACACTCCTCACACCGCCATGTCGCTGCCTCTTGCACCATGGCCACGGTAAGATGCTCATATACCAGTATCAGCAGCGTGTTTGTCCCTTTCGACGATGTTCAGCTTTTAGATCCCAAGACCATGACCGCGATGCGGCGTGAGCACAAGCCATATCTCACAGCATGTCGGCTGCCACCGATGCTCAGTCAATCCAAAAGGCCTTCGCCAATGCTTGTTCAATCGCCCTCCAGAACATTAGCCGGGAGGCTCCCGTCTATCCCGGTTACAGGCCCTTGACTGCCTCGCCGCGGAAGATCCGCGTCCTTAGCGTCGGACCTGGTCTATCATGTGTTCTCCGCCACTGCGATCTCGATGCACAACCTCATTACTACGCTTTGTCCTATTACTGGGGTGCCCCAGGCGAGGAACTACCCATTCGCGTGAACGGCGCCAAAGTGCTGATACGGAAGACGCTGCATACATTCCTCACCATTCTTCAAAAGCGTTTTGGTCAACTGACTGTGTGGCTCGATGTCATTTGCATCAACCAGAGAGACAAAGCCGAGCAGAGCCGCCAGGTCTCTATGATGGGCGACATCTACCGACGAGCCCAAGCAGTCTATGCTTGGCTTGGCGACAGCGACACGGACAGCGACTACGCCCTGAACTTTATTGTTGACTTTGCCTCCCAATCCTATGAACCACATGAATGGAGCAAGGTGCTAAGCTACCTACAACAGCTGGCCATGCGCCCTTACTTCTCCCGAACCTGGATAATACCAGAGTGTGGGCTCAACAAAACCTTGCTGATCTTTTGCGGTAAACATATGCTTCAATGGGAGCATCTTCACGACACTTTCGGAAAACTGAGGGCTTCAAATACCTCCAAACACACGCTCCCTTTGGTGCAGCCAAACGAGTTTGCTAAAATGGCGTGGAATCGGCTGGACTCGATCTGGGCTGTCCGTGAAACTATGGCACAAGAATCGATCCGCCTCTACGACTACGTCAAACAGTTTCTGTATACTGGCTGTGCGGAACCAATGGATAAGATCTATGCTTTCAGAGCCTTGGCGCATGATGGCGAAAAGATACATGTGGACTACGACCAACCAGTCCTGGATGCGATAATACAGACTCTCTCCATTACTCCCATCACCTATCTCGAGCGTTTCAGTCAGGCCAACCTTCCAGTCCATGCTCGAACCTTGGTCGCACACATTCCGCTGACCAATACTCAGATCGTATTGGGATTGCGCGACCTCCCATCCGACAAGCTGATAGTTCGCTTCCTGAATGCTGAGAATGAAGATGATGGCCGCATGGTACCAGAAGGCCTGCCAAAATCTGTTCCCTGGTCCGAAGGCTATACTCTGGCCCCAGCACTGCGTGCATACCTCGCCATTTCCGCCGCACGGGAGTCGGGGGTACATGATGAGACCGTCATGACCGAAAGTATGATAAAAGAGATTCCTGCGAATCGTTTCGTGTCATGCTATCCGCTGGATGCGGGTCGCGAGATATCGTTGGTGGTCGATCTCGACCCAGACTCTGGTGCCGTCAGTCTGGTATGCTGTCTTCCATCGGCATGGTTCTTGCACGTTCAGGTAGCTCTGAGCCAATTACTGGCGGGCATGAAGAGATCCGACTCTGACAACACCCAAGTTGTGAAGACTTGGTTTGCAAGCAAACAGCCATTGCTTCAGAAGATGGAAGACATAAAGCCGTTGGAGGAGCTCTGCCGGGATAGATTGAGATTATGTCGGCATTTTGACAGTGATCAGCGTCTATTAAACTCTGATGCAGACCTTAGGCCACAGAGCCTGGGTATCCATATGAGTCGCCTCGTGCTCATGTCACTGGTCTTCTGTATCGGAGAGGGTGAGTCGGCAAAGGTACCTGACTTCCTGCTCGAGTATGCTCGGCAGCACCTTCCCACGGCTGACAAAGCTGCCTGCCGCTGCGAACCGGCAAAGGGGGAAGCACACCTCTAGGAGACCTCTCAATGCCCAAAAGGTTTCGCCGTGAGGTCAACAATGCGTTGCTGTAGTGGCAAGCAGCGCCGGCTGCAGCCGTTCCAAGCTCTCCATCTGTTCATGCTTTCCGGGGTAATGTCCACCGGTAGTATTGAGCTCCTTCCACGTGGATTCAGTGGAGATCGCGCCTCTCCTTCAAAGCCTATCTTCCAACCATACAACAGGTTCCATGTCCCGAACAAGCAGGTCGTTATCGGTGGCTGCAGAGCGCGTGCATCTCCGCACCCAGTTGCAGCCCCGACACAGCTGGCAGGGCTGCCCACGGAACGAAGCCGCAAACGACACCGCTGAACGACGCGATAACGCCCCAATCAGACCGGGGGCGCGCAGGCTCGCAAGCCGTCGAAGCGACAAGCCACACCAAGCATTGGTTGGCTCACCTAGCACTGAAGCTTATCATTGCCTGTCGACGAACGATCTAGCCAATTTGCATGCCTGATTAGCATCGACGAACCAATGGCGCGATAATGAACCGTGATCACCCATGCTATCATCTTAGAGATAACCCTCAGAGGATCGGTAGCTTGATACGCCAGACTTTTGAGTACCCCTCTCCGATTTCAGCTCTTGATAATCTTTCGCCGAGGGCGGTGAGGACACTTGTGCTGCTTCATCCTACGGTTCAGCAACAGCACTGCGACGCTTCGGCTGGGTGTACGAATTGGAGATTTTGCACAGCCACTACCAAAATGGCCACCGAGAAGCACCTTCACGATGCAAATGCAGCGTCGCCGGACCGTTCAGAGCGCCGTGGCTCCCTCGTTGTTGATCCCACGCTGGCCTCTGAAGAGGATGCCGCCGTGCTGGCAAAGATGGGGTCAGTACTACTGGATGTGACGATGTGTCGGACGGATACTAACAGCATGCTCTCAGCTACAAACAGGAGCTTCGGCGCAACTTCTCCATGATCGAGGTGTTTGGCATCGCCTTCTCCATCATGGGTTTGCTGCCTTCTATCGCTTCGACATTGAGCTACTCTTTGGCGGCCGGGCCCGTGGGACTCGTCTGGGGATGGTTCTTGGCCAGCATGTTCATTTTTATCGTCGGGCTCGCGATGGCGGACCTTGGAAGTGCTATGCCGACGAGTGGTGGGTAAGTCAACGCCGTGATGGGGTTCACAAAATTGAGGGGATGGCTCCTCGGACTCACACGGGGGGCTTTGTGTCTGAGTTCGGGGAGCCCACCCGTCAATTTTACCAGCTCCTCGTAACCACATGCGATAAACCAAAACTGACACAGATCAGACTCTATTACTGGACGCATTACTTCTCGTCCGAGCGATGGCGAAACCCGCTATCATTTTTGGTCGGGTACTCCAACACTCTTGGTTTGGTAGGAGGCTTGTGCTCCATCGACTGTAAGTAGCTGCTCAAACCCTCCGACATCTCTGACACAAGCAGACGGCTTCTCGCTGATGTTCTTGTCTGTCATTGTTATCTCACGCGACGGCAACTGGTCCCCGACAAACGGGACAATATACGGCGTTTTCTTGGCGACCGTTGCTTGCCACGCCCTCATTGCCTCCACAATGGCCAGGGTCATGGGCAAGCTGCAGACAGTCTTTGTGGTCATGAACTTTGTCCTCATCTTTGCCACGATCATCGCGCTTCCCATCGGCACCAAACATCGCAACCGTGCCGCCTTCATCTTCACCCAAGTCGACAATCTCACCACCTGGCCAGCAGGCTGGGCGCACATGCTAGCCTGGCTCTCGCCGATCTGGACCATCGGCGCCTTCGACTCGTGCGTACACATGAGCGAAGAGGCCGCCAACGCCACCAAGGCCGTGCCGTACGGCATTCTCATGTCCATCGGCTCCTGCTGGCTTTTCGGGTGGATACTCACCATCGTGATCGCGGCCTGCATGAACCCGGACCCAGAAACGCTGCTCGGGTCGGCCTTTGGACAGCCCATGGCCCAGATCTACTACGATGCCCTGGGCAAGAATGGTGCGTTGGGCATGATGAGCCTGCTCATGATTGTGCAGTTCCTCATGGGGGTGTCGATCTTGGTGGCGGCCTCACGCCAGTCGTGGGCGTTCTCGCGCGACGGTGCACTTCCATTCTCGCAGTTCTTCCGCCCGATCTCCAAGACGTTCGGGTATATCCCGCTGCGGACGACTCTAGGCTGTGCGCTGCTCGCGGCGGTGCTCGGACTGCTGTGTCTGATCGCACCGGCCGCGGCAGCAGCGCTGTTCTCGCTTGCAGTTGCGGGCAATAATCTAGCGTGGGGGGTGCCAATTTTCGCGCGGGTGGTCTGGGGACAGTCCAAGTTCACGCCCGGGCCATTCTACACCGGACGGTTCTCGATTCCGATTGCCTGGACGGCCATCGTCTTCCTGGTCTTCGGGGTTCTATTGTGTATGTTCCCTGTTGGTGGGCCGGATCCGACTGCTTCGACCATGAACTACACGTGTGTCATCAATTCGGCGGTCTGGGGCGGTGCTCTTCTCTACTACGCCGTGGATGCGAGGAAATGGTTCCGAGGGCCGGTTGTCACGGTCGACGTCGCGCAGCTCACAGCTGAGCAGGAGGAGGTGCTCCGTCAACAGCAGGGCCTCAAGCTCGAAGGCGAGGCGAGGAGAGGCAGCCGTGCGAGCACCGAGAAGGCTGCTTAGGGATTTTACTTGACGAGGTGGTTGAGCAGCAATATAGTACCGCGACGGAGAGGTACATCATGGCCACCGTACCGAGTCCCTACGGCGGAGTTTTGCTCCAACGGATTCATCTGGCCACCGTAGTGCCATCACAACATCCGTAAAGTCTACCTCATCTAGAAAACGTACCTAGGTACATATTGATGTCTCCTCTGCCTGTCTCTATCGCGAAGTCGTGATCGTTCAATCCATCCTACGATCTCCTGCCATCACACGAGGCTACCACCTGCATGGACATCCCACTGACTCAGCAAGGCTCTCACCTTGGTCCCCGCCAACAGAAATTTATTGTGGACCTCCCCTCCGTAAACTCCTCCCAGACAGCCCACCCACCCACGGTCTTTGGGACACGTCTGCCAAAGGAGCGCTTACAATGCGGTGAGATGGCCCATCACAGCGCGCTCAGTCGTGATCGTCAGGGCCAAAAGTATTGGCAATGCTATTCCGGCGGTCAGAGGGCAGACCCATGCCGGACATTGGGGTTGGGACTGGGGATTTTAAATGTACCTTGCTACTAACGATATCAAAGACTGCATCTTATCTTTTCACTGCCTGCCCAGACACAACATACCTTTCCTTCTCATTCTCTCAATCTGATCTGTCCCTCGCTCAACATTTAGCCCCTCCATAACCAGGCTCTCCCTCTTGACCCATCTCTCACCATCCACCCAATCTGCTCCCTTCAGATCAACTCCCCCCGTCTACAAGCCCACACCCCTACCGCCCACCATGCCTCCCATCAAAACCCTCCTCTTCGACTGCGACAACACGCTCGTCCTCAGCGAAGACATCGCCTTCATCGGCTGCTCCCAGCTGGCCAACGAATGCCTGCGCGCCCACGGCATCGCCAAGCAATACACGGGCCCCGAAATGATGTCCGCCTTCGTCGGCCTCTCCTTCGGCAAACAACTGCTGGCCCTCAGCGAGCTGCACGGCTTCACCCTCGAGCAGCCCGAGATCGACGCGTACGTGGCGCGCGAGCTGGGCGTCATCATCGCCAACCTCGAACAGGGCGCCGAGCCCTGCGAGGGGAGCATGGAAATGTTGCGGGCCCTGCACGACGAGGCCGGTCTGCCGGTTAGGGGGTACGACACGGCGATCGTGAGTTCCTCGGCAATCACGCGCGTGCAGGCCAGCATCCGCAAGACGGGCCAGGACCGCTTCTTCCCCTCCGGCAAGGTGTTTAGCGCCGCGTCGTCGCTGCCCAGCGGGCCGTCGTCGAAGCCCGATCCCGCCATCTATCTGTATGCCTGTGAGCAACTGGGCGTGCAGCCGCAGGAGGCGCTGGCGATCGAGGATAGTCGGTCCGGAGCCACGGCGGCCAAGCGCGCGGGGATCCCTTTGATGGGCTATGTGGGACCCTACTATGCCGAGGGGGGCAAGGAGTTGGCCCTGAAGATGGATCGCATGCTGAGGGAGGAGTGTGGCGCGCTGGCCGTCATGCATCACTGGAGCGAGTTTTGGGAGTGCTTGAAGATCGTCGAGGCGGAGCCGTTGCCGAATTGAATGCATTGTCGGACCTATATATAGCAGACTCGGAGCGGGATTGGGGAATCTGTCTCTGGTACGAAACAGCAGAGAAGGCAACGTTGGCAAAAGGGGTAATCGGCGGTGCATATGTTGGAGTGGGTATTGGGACCGAATCCAGCAACGATAGATTCATGGGATATAGACATCAGAGGCAAACTGACTAGAGGCCTCGGTATAAAAAAGACCACCACACCCGCTATGGTGCGTCTTCTCCCCCCTTTCCAACCACCTTTATGATCTCGTCATGTGACGATTGACACATCGTTTCGACGTGACACACCTAATCGTAACAATATAATGCACAATGCAACACACACACCATTTTTTGGTTTCCGCCGGCCGGGCTCGGGCTCGGGCAGCTTTAACTTAAGCCTTCTGCTTCAGGTACTCATCGAAGTTCAGGACAGCGCGGCCGAGCACGAGGGCACTCTCAGCGCAGTCCTCCTTGTCAGTCCACTCCTTGGGCGAGTGGCTGACGCCGTCTCTGGCGCGGGCGAACACCATGGCGGTGGGCACGAGGGTGGTGGTCATGGTGGAGTCGTGGCCGGTCAGAGTCCTGGAACCCATGCCCTTGTCGCCGCAGGCACGCTTCACGCAGTCGATGGCCTCGGGCCAGAAGTTACCCGGCAGCAAGTGGACGGTGCGCTCGGTCTTGACGTCGAGGCCGTGGGCCCAGGCGATGCTCTGGACTTTCTCCATGATGGACTCGCCCATCTTCTCGAGGGCGGCGCCGTCCTTGTGCATGAGGCAGAAGGTGGTCTTGGTCTTGGACTGGATGTTGCAGGCGCCCCAGGGTCGGCTGTGCAGGCCCGTCACGGTGGTGCGGCCGTTGTGGTCGTACGCCAGCTTCTCCAGCTCGACCACGATCTTGGAGGCGCCCACCAGCGCGTCCTTGCGTCGCTTCATGTTGTACGTGTTGGCGTGCCCGTCCTCGCCCTCCAGGTGCACGTCGTACCACGTCATGCCCTCCCACCCCTCGACCCAGCCGACCGGCTTGCCCGCCTTCTCGAGGTCCGTGTTCTGCTCCACGTGGATCTCAAAGTGGCCCGAGATGGGGAATTCTTCAAACGTGTTGGGCCCGTCGCCCACGTAGCCGATCTTGGCCAGCTCCGAGCCCATCGTCGCCGCCGATGCGTCGTTGGAGGTGGCTGCGTGCGCTTGCTCCACGGTGGAGCGACCAGCGTACACGATGCTGGAGCCCAGGAGGGGGAAAAACCGCGCGCCTTCCTCGTTGGTCCAGTTGATGAGGACGATGGGCGCCCGCGGCTTGATGCCTTGCTCTTTCATGCTCCGCACCACTTCGAGACCTCCAATGACCTAAGTACAGATTAGGGCCTGTTTCCAGGGAAGGGGTGGGTAGGACTTGTTCTTACTCCGAGCGGGCCATCAAATCTGCCACCAGTGGCGACAGTATCCAGATGGCTACCCATGGCGATGGGTGGGATGGAGTTGTCCTCGCCCGCAAACAAGGCGAACTGTGTGCCGGTGGCATTAACCTGCGCGACTGCTTAGCTTTACGTTCACACGATCGGGATGTTTGCGTTGTACCTTGTAGTCTGCACCCAGCGCGAGGACCTGCTCCTTGAACCAGTCTCGTGCCTTCTTGTCATTCTCGTCCGCACACAGGCGGCTTACGCCTCCTGGAGAAGGCGCGCTCCATTGTGCTGTATAATGGATGTCATCCCTGCGCGTCAGGAGTCAGTGTGAGTTGACCACATTTGCTTGTTCTTCATACCAGAGTCTGTCACCGTTGACAGAGAGCTTCTCAGCTAGCGGCGCATTCTTGGCTGTTGCGTACGCTCGCTGACCGACAAGTCTCAACGCGGGCGCTGCGCGTACCGCTGGGGCAGCTCTGGTAGCAAATCTGGTAGCAATGGTGCGGGAGAACATTTTGTCTGGACTGTTCAGAACCGAGAGAGGAGATGTTGGGTGGGAGAAACGGCCGGCGTATAGCTGCCCCAGGATATTCTCCTCCTCTGGTTTTATAGCTACGCGTAGAGCTCCGTTGGACCCGCGTGCCAGTACCTCGGGTCCAGGCTTCCAGCCTCTGGAGCGAGAGGGGTCTCAACCAACCACATATGCTGGAACATTCTTGGAGCTATTCACTAGCTGAACTATCATGTATGGCACAACACCATACCGTGTCGGGGGCTGCATAGATAGTGCGCGTATCCCCGCTGAACGCGTGCTCAGCGCTCGAGCCGGTAGCAGGCTTACCACATTAGGTTTATCAGACCATATACTCGACTGTGATATAAAGATAGCTGGCGCAAGATGGTTGTTGGGTCGCTACAATAGGTTTATCAGAGCGTCAGCTTATCGAACGGCATTCAGACTTGCCTGGACGCGTTAGCCACCTCACCAGATGCGGTTTATCGGTACGTCGGCTTATCTGATGATATTAACAGCTGCTATAAAGCAATGCGGAGACTCAGGGATGCAGAGAAGGCTTATCACGAAGATCGTGCCTACTACCGGTGTATGGGTGTCGAACGTTGAGATATGAAACTAGGCTATTGGCTCTTGGCTGGGGTACGTACCTTCTTGGCGTACCCGCTCAGTATTCCACTCACGGCGGATCCAGCGGACTTCCCCCATCGCTGACAGAATCGCTGCCATAATGGCAACGACGTCAGTGTCGAGTTGGGACACGAGTGTGTTACCAAACAACAGGTGTCAGTCTTGGTCGCAGCGAGGCAGTGTTGCGTTGGAACCATCTTCCGTGCCACGCGGCGGGATGCATTAACACGTTAACAAACTGCTCGGCCATCCTCAATGGAGTCAGAACCTTCCAATCCCAATCAAAGCCACAATCCAGTGGCTGGCTTGCGACCTCGGCCGATACCCGACCAAAGGTTCTGCTATCAAAATCGGGTATCTTTGGACACTAGCGCCAAAGGCTGCGAGCTGCCTGCAATCAGTGTCAGTATCAGTATCAAGCGGTTCCGCGCTCCACCACTCCCGAGAAATGTCCACCCCCTCTTAGAACCATATGCCCGGCAGAGGCGCGCTCCAGATCAGGACGGGGCCAGAGCTGCAGGGCCTGGGTCTGTGTCCTCGACAAGATAAGTTCCCTCAATGTGGATATATATGACAAGGCCCGTAGCCTGCTCGAATGGTTCAGGCCTCTTCCTAGAATCTCGACGGACAACGTGCTGCCAGACCATCTACACGTCTCGTGCGGTTCATTACTAACTTGGTGTCGCAACCATGTCTGACTCCGACTCCGGGTCCGTGCTACCTATTCTCCCCCAGGCCGCCGGCTATGGCGTCGTCGTCGGCATTGGCTTTTTCTTTGCCCTCTTCATGCTGGGAGTCACCTACCTACAGGTAAACTACATCTGGAAAAGACTTCAGATGAACATCGTTGCTAATATGACCACAGAATCGATACACCAAGTACAATTCTATGATGAGCGAGGAGTTCAACACGGCCAGTCGAAGTATAAAGTCCGGTCTCATCGCTTGCGGAACGGTCTCTGCTTGGACTTGGGCGGCCACTCTCCTCCAATCCTCCACCGTCACCTACCAGTATGGCGTTTCAGGCCCGTTCTGGTACGCTGCCGGCGCCACGGTGCAAATTTTCATGTTCTCGGTCCTGGCTTGCAAGGTCAAGCAGAACGCACCCCGGGTTCACACCTATCTCGAGATCATTCAAGCGCGCTACGGTACCGTTGCGCACTGCATTTTCATCTTCTTCGGCTTGATGACCAACACTCTGGTGGCTAGTCAACTTCTGTTGGGTGGAAGCGCTGTTGTCACCAGTTTGACTGGTATGAACGTGTATGCAGCAGTCTGGCTCATTCCGCTGGGAGTGGCGGCCTATGTTATTATTGGTGGTCTGCGAGCAAGTTTCATCTGCGACTACTCCCACACGCTCATTGTCATGGTGATTATCCTGTACTTCATGTTTGAGGTATGTACCACCCCAACTCTCCGAAGAGTCTGGCTCAGCGCGATCGTACTGACAACATCTAGGTTTTTACGGCCAACTCCCTCATCGGGTCGCCCGGCAAACTCTACGACCTTTTGGTCGAAGCCAGCCGGAGCAGACCGGTTGCAGGAAACACTGACGGGTCATACTTGACGCTCAAGTCTAACTTCGGCCTTATCTTCGGTGTCATCCAACTGTGCTCTGGAATGGGTACTGTTTTCCTCGACCAAGGCTACTGGCAGCGAGCCATTGCCAGCCGACCAACAGCCGCCGTCCCGGGCTACATCATGGGCGGCTTCGCCTGGTACGCCATTCCATTTGGATTTGCGACAACCCTGGGTCTCACTGCCGTCGCTCTTACGGATGACCCGTCTTTCCCCACGTACCCGAACGGAATGTCTGCGACCGAAGTCTCAGCTGGTCTCTCTTCGGCTTTTGGAGCTGTCGCGATCGCAGGATCAAGCGGATGTATCGCCCTCTTGATCACACTCTTCTTGGCTGTCACTTCGGCATGCGCATCTGAACTCATTGCCGTCTCATCCATCCTGACTTTTGACATCTACAAAATGTATGTCAAGCCAGATGCCACACCCCAGGCCCTTATCAACGTCTCACATATCATGGTCGCTGCATGTGCAGCTTGGATGTCTATCTGGGCTTGCATCTGGAACGTTCTCGGCATCAACCTCGGCTGGCTCTTCCTGGTCATGGGTCTGCTCATCGGAGGTGGCGTCATGCCCGCAGCCTTCTCTATCACATGGAAAGGCCAAACCAAGCTCGCAGTGATTGTTGCCCCCATCGTGGGACTCTGCGCTGGACTCACAGCTTGGCTTGTCACGGCTAAGGTCTACCACGGCGAGATCAACATCACGACCACCGGTAACTCGTATCCCACCTTGGCAGGAAACATGGCCGGCTTCTTCACGGGTCTCATTGTCACCGTTGCCATTTCTCTCATCAAGCCTGACAAGGAGAGGTTCAACTGGGCAGTTACTCGCAACATCAACGCGCTTCACCTCGCCCCAGGCGCTGCCGCCTCAACCGTCGGCCCTACCGACACAGACGCAGTAACTGGAGAGAAGACAACTACCCCCAACACCAACTCGGAGCTCCCCACACCCGGCGACCAGAAACAGGTCCCGACCAGCAACAACAGCGACGACAGCGTCGGCGAGACACAATCTCTCGACGCCGACGACCTCGAAGACCTCGCCACCATGGAAGACCCCAAGAAACTGCGCCGCACCTACATCATGGCCCTCACGCTGGCCATCGTCCTCTCCGTCTCCATGGACTTCATCATCCCCATCCCCATGTTCCTCTCGCACTACATCTACTCGAAGAAGTTCTTCACCTTCTACATCGTCATCGCCTTCTTCTGGGCCTTCATCTCCTTCTTCATCTGCAGTATCCTGCCGATCTGGGAGACGCGCCATTTCTGGCGCACCGTGCCCGCGCTGGTGCGCGCCAAGAACAGCGCCAAGAAGCAGGGAGGAGCTTCGAGGCCGGCCACCGCAAGCTGAGACGTGTGAGGTTGTGGGGGCGAAGTCAACGTGTGTGCGATACTATGTGTAGTTGATAGCTTATATATTCACCAATCAGCTTGCTTCTTCTCGGTGGGGTTAGTGCGGCAAAGACGCCTGCCTATGAATGATCAAGAACAAACAACAGAGGAAAGATAGTGGAGCTTTTCTTACAAAATGAATTATGTTATAACAACTTATGCCTCGCTCGGTAGAACGGGCACAAGTCTCAAGAAAGCCCAAACCAAGCTTGGCTAGTGATTCAAGCTCCGGATCGCCATCGCGTGTTTACCGCTTACGACTCTTCGTGAACGCGAGTTCCGTTTTTGACCAGGTTTCGAGTGTATTGCAGTATAGTGTGGGTCGGCCGTTTTACTGCGCTATTCCTGAACCTGACCTGACCTGACCTGGGGAAAGCTACGACCGGATGGGGGATTTTGTGGATGTATCTACTGGAAGTAGTATCCGCGTGGACACTACTTACAGTAGAATAGAGTTGAGTGTTTATCAGCCCACTACGCTCAGCTGTGTTCGTCCATGACTATGATACTAAGCAGTCCCTGCGACTGACTGTACTGTACCCATTGCAGGCTAATATACTTGCTCAGAGGCTCTCTTGTGGGTTCACAGATAGTACTGTGTATGTTAGGTCGGTATTCAATGTGTTTGGCGTGTGCATGCTTTTGATGCTCTCAACTCGAAGAGGATCTACACCGTGTTTGGGTCGGAGCTCCAGCAAGATAACCTCGTCCTGTCGCGTAACAAGCAGCGCTTCTGCTGCCAGAAATTCACTTTTCGGGGTTCCCTCCAAGACTAGTAACTGCGCAAGTCCAATAAGACCGTACCAGACGATATCTGCCTCCTCTTGGGTTTACCAAGTTAACAGTTAACATCTAAACCCATGAGCGTGCCACTAAGGTTCTCGTCGTTATTTTCACGTTGACCTCGGGGGCCTACCGGGAGTGACAAGGTCTTTACACGCATAGAGTGAAAAAATTCTGCATAATGGGATGTGGGTTAAGATATCGTGTGAAGAGCAGCAACTTACTTCGCTCGAACCTTCCATTGGCAGAGTCACCAGGGGGACGGTGGACGGCCGTCATGCTCTGTTGTATGGCGACTTGTTCATGAAGCCAAGGCTGCACTTCAATCCTTCCACATCCATATATATTGTTGAAGACATAATTCAAAATTCAAAATTTCCAGCCAAATCTGACGGATTCTTGTGGCAGATAATGCAGGTAATGAGCAGCTTGCAAAACTACCTCCTCAGCTCCCGCGTCACCTGTGCAGCAATTCGCCGCCGGTGTGTGAAAAACATCCAACAAGCTCACAGGGCCTAAGGGGCTGTCCACAGGGAAATACCGCGCAACTTACAGTACATTCTAACACTTCTTGTCTGACTCGCTAGAAGCACAGTGAAGCTGGATAAACCAGAACGTAGGCAGGGTGCTGGGAACTGGGAACACGGGTTCTTGTGCTGCGTCACATATCTTTCCGCCTCGGCGGGACATACATTTCTGTATGAGCGGCTGAAAGCGAATGAGTTTGAGCAGCACCGGACCCCTGTAGCTATAGACGAGTCACTGCAACCTTACCATTTCTCGGTATAAGGACAACGGCAGGTACAGACGGTACAAGGCCAATCAAGGACAGGGTTTGAGCGACTTCATGGGCTAACACGAAATGTACGTCTCTACCACCCACGAGCCCTCTCCCACGTGTCAATGACCTTCCTCCCCCCACTATCATCGGATGAATCCACAATCAAGTACCTGGGGTACAGCGCCCCCGCGACGCACGCATGGTTCGGATAGATGCGGATCGTCTGGCCCACCTCCAGCGGCACAGGCGGCACAGGTGACACTTCCTCGCCCTCACCCTCCCGTCGCTGCTCCCACGCCATGATGGAATGCTCCTGACTCACCCGCGCCACCACAAGCCGCCTCTCTGAATCCTGCCGCCCTAACCCAGCATACGCCTCCCGATCCACGACCCCCCACCCTGCATAGGCGCCGCAAGGCTCCCTTCCCAAGCCCAGCGTCCCCACCGCAGCCAGGGCCTCCGGCTGGGCGCGCTCGCCGTCGTTGTAGACGCTGCAGATCTCGGCCACGACAGAGACGGCGATCTCGTCTTCGCAGGCCCCGAGCTGGGCGCCGCGGGAGTGCGTGGCGAGTTGCTGCACGTCCAGGAGCGCGTAGACGCCGGCGTGGAGCTCGAGGGTAGTTCTGAAGCCGCTGGGACGGGCATGTGCGACGCTGCGGATGGTTCGGAGGAGATTGGTGGCTTCACGGGAGGGTGAGGTGGTGTCTTGTGTAGGGTTGGTGAGGGTCTCGATGGAGGTCACCTGGGGTGAGGCGCCGACGCTGATGGTCAGGTTCTGTGCCGCCGGGAAGAGGTGTGAGTTGATGGTGAGGGCATCGAGACAGCCTTTGATCTCGTTTTCGAGATTTAGTAGGGCCTTTTGTGGTGTGGAATCAGCGTAGCTGAGGCTGCTGTGCGAGTATAGGCCGACAAACGTGGCTCTGCCCTGCTGTTCGAGAAGCATCAGGCTCTCCACGAGGCCGCTCTTGTTCACGCCTGTCGGAGGCAGCCCGGCGCGATGGTAGCCCGTGTCAATTTTGAGGAAGACGCCGGCTGGAAACCTTGCATGCCCGTAGAAAAGGCTGACATGCTCCAGCTGACGCTCGTTGTCGACTGCACCGAGATACTGCCTGCGCCGAGCCGTCGCCCGAGCGCCGCAAGTCGGCTGACTTGAGAACGTGGTAGAGGGATCCCATATAGCACGTTGACATGTCGACCGGTCGTCTGGAAATCTTGGAGGATTGGCAGCATATGTTCCAGCTCAGCTATCGTAGACACCACCAGACGGATATTCTTTGCCGATTCACCGGCTTGCAACTTTAGACCCTCTCTGGTCTAGATCAAGAGTCAGCTTCGGTCCCCCTGGCAGGTTTGAGACGTGTCCCATACCTTGTGACTTTTCACATGGAATCGAAAGTCCACACCCAGACGCTCAGTAGCGGCGCGTAAGGTCTGGCAGTGACGTTGCATCTTGGCCTTGTCGAGCAGCACGGCGGGTTTGGCGACGTCGTGAATGTCTCTGCCAATGACGTCGGATTCTGCGCCATCGCTACTGGCTGGGGACCTGAGTGAGGCAGTCATTTCGAACTGTGCTTCGGTTATGGGTCTCTGTGACAGTAGCAGACCGGTGTACTAGCAGATGAGGTCGTGTATAGTGTTGAAGGGTATGTGAAGACTCACTCGAGCCTCGGGAAGGCTTTAAGTAATATCTCGGGGCACGCCTGAAGACAAGCTGTGTTCTGGACTTCGTTTCTGCGAAAGGTGACTGAAGACTTCTCCCACCACATTCCGTGTAGGGCACAAAACTCGATTGGCCCATCTGGTAGCATCTAACCAGCTGTATTTCCTAGTCTCGGCGGAATTTGACCGCAGCGCTAGGGCAGGGTCGCCACTCTTCTCGAATTCTCAAGAAAGTAACGAAGAGGTCCACATTCGGGTGTTGCTAGAGTATGACACGCTTCGAAATTTGAGCAGTGATCCCACGGCAGGTCAGGCAGTTGTAGCATATTGAATCGAACTAGGCCGAAAGTGGTGCGCAGGAGAGATGCGCTAGGATAGGAGTGGTAATCGCCAACTCAAATTGAGCATCTCCACTAGCTACGAGTGGCGAGAGTGGTACAGAGGTTGGTCTTCTCATTTCCTGCAGTCATCGTAAGCTTCCCAGCGGAACCAACGCGGAGCAACCCGGGCGCGAATTCGTGTCCAATACGTCTACAAGTATCGAGGGGACAGTAGCAGGATAGAATGTCACCTTGACACCTCAACCCAGGCGAAATTAAGACTAGCACCACCCAAGGTCTACGGCACCAGCACAAGACTCTCAAGATAGCCAGCATGTCTACGACCCACGACCCAGAAGCGCAACCATGGCGCCCCAAGGCTATCATCTTCGACTTGCTCACAGCACTCCTTGATTCCTGGTCGCTCTGGGACGCCAGCACGCCCTCCGGAACCACAGCTGAAGGCCACCGCTGGCGAAAACGGTACCTAGAAATCACTTTTGGCGCAGGTATCTATGTACCGTACGAGAATCTCGTGCGCAGCTCAGCTGGGGATGCCGGATTGCCGGAATCTGCTGCAGATAATTTGCTGCGCGATTGGGAGAAATTGGCGCCATGGCCTGAGGTTCCGGACGTGCTGAGAAGATTGAGGAGCCGCGGATATCAATTGGCGACCGCTACGAATTGTTCGAAAGAGCTCGGACATGCGGCGGCCAAAAGGGTCTGGCAGGGTGGCGAGAACGCAGGTTGGGATGCGGTGATGACGGCGGAGGAGAGTGGGTTTTATAAGCCTGTCGAAAAGGCATATCAGGCTCTGTTGACGGCAATGGATTTGGAGGCCTGTGATGTGCTGTTTGTTGCCGGCAGTGCGGGAGATGTGCAAGGAGCGACCAACGCGGGCATGAAGGTCGTCTGGCACAATCGCATCGGTCTCGCCCCGGCGGGAGACGCAAAGCCACTCAGAGAAGGCAGGACTCTCGACAATGCCCTGGAGGACTTTTTGTGAATGGGCTCACCATGCTCATAATGTACGCTGATACACACGTAGCTCTCCAGTAGCCCGGGATCTTCCATAAACCACGAGTGACTGCAGATCTTGGCTATGATACGAGCTGAGCTTGCCGCTTCCGCCTCCATCATCCTCAATCTGGTGCAGGGAGATAACATCCCAACCCCTGCTGCGCTCACGATTGATAAGGCGAAGTGTCCCAAGAACTTGGAACACAGGGAAATTGCCCTCCTCAAAATCGGTATTTTGGAGCCTCTCCTCTAGCCAGGTCTGCATTGAGGCTCCAATGGCCAGATTATGCGAGCGAAGGGCACAGGCGAGTAGCAGACTGGCAAATCCAACTCTGTAGACATTCAACCTAATGCATTCTCTCCAGTCGATACCAGCGGCTATGCCAAGCAGTAGCGAGATCCAAATCTCTGCCTCTTTGTAGGCCGAGGGAAGACCGGCTGTCGATGCTAGGCCGAGTATCTGAAGCGGCTGGATGCACTGCATCACACGAGCAGTGGCGTAGTACGCAAAGTTCATGGCAGCATCGTGAGATCTGAATCGAAGTGGCTGGCCCAGGCTACTTTGCGGGCACAGGGCAACTGGAGAGATCGGCAGATCGGTACTTGACTGCGAAGCATGCCAATTGTCCAGCATCTTTGACTGACATTCGAGTTGTGCGGTATACCTTTCAAGAGTGTTAGGTCCATGGTCCGCGCATGTATCGACGCTCTCCAGGAGTTTCTCATCATGTCGCTGACCCCAGCGGACTAGAACAGCAGTGCTATTCAACCGATGAGACTCGCAGAGTATAAGTAGAATCGATGCTCTGGGAGTGTTGCTGGTATGCAGCGCAGCAGCCAATTGCGGTTCAAGCAGCTGTGGTGATCCGGAATGCTTCCCCTGGTGAAATTCAGGGGTGCTGAAATATACTCTCCGCCACCAGCTCTGCGCTTCTACCTCGATCCAAGCGGCTAGTAGTGCGAGTCCACACTGAAGAACTGTGTCAGAATGGTTCTGTACGAGAACTTTGATGGCTTTCGAATGCAAGTGAAAGTTTCGAAAGTTTCCCATTGACGATTCCAGATAGCAAAACATGACAAGCAAGGCCAGACCGAAAACAGGGTTCGCGTCGAAGTTCCGGGGATGCCAAGTAGCCAATCTGTGCATCACGATGCCGTAGTGCTCGTAGCTGAGTGATTCGTGGTCGCCGTCCGGACGAAAAGACATGGCTGGAGCTTTTGCACTGAAGATGAGCTTCCGCTGCGGCAGTCTTCTGCTCAGTCGGCATGCCGCTAGAGAGACAATGCTGTCTGTAACGACCGACCCAAGACCAGACGGCGAGGTAAGATGACGGAATGTAGGGTGCAGCGCGGGTAGACAGTGTACCGTCCAGGCGTCTGTGTAGTACGCCACAAGACTCTCAGCATTGGTCTGAGTTAGTGTCCGAGGGACAGTGGTGCACCGTTCCTCGACGCGTATCGGGCAGAGCTGACCCATTGTAGCAGGTACAGCGGCACTGCCAGGCAGTTCGTTCGATTCTCCGTGTAGCCCGGATCTCCATGCAGTGCAGCTATTAGACGCGATGCCTAGGGACGAATCATTCTCACCACGCAGGACATTACCGGTCTCGCTGACCAGTGAACTTGGGCTGCATGGGCCATGAATCTGCGCTTCGGCCCTCTGGTGAGCATTGCCATTTCCTGTCGCTGGAATGTCCCAACCCCCATGCATATCATTGACGCGATTTAGCTCGTTGTCTGCCCAATTCGACGAAGTCGAGGGAAGTGTTGACATCGGAGTACCGACACTCTGTCTGGTGCTCGAATCATTCAATGTCGAAGGCGAAGCAGCCGCTTTGGAAGGAAATAGCACTTCCCGAAACGTGAGACTGGATGTTACAGGCTCGCAATGCTTCCCCAGCCTGAGGCAAGTACTACATGAGGGCTTCAACTCATCGCACTACCCGTGTGTTAGTCCTGTACGTGCATATGCCCAAGAAGGGCGGAGTGGATGATGACCTTTGAGCGTCTGGCTCTGCAAACTTTGCAGCCCGTGCGCTTACGGGTGATATTAGTCTTCCTCGGACGGAGAGGTGCCGGTTTGTACATTTGCGAAGGCTTTTTGTCGTCTATTCCATATGCCTGAGAACGAGCTACACTGGTGTAGCTGCATGTTGCAATGCATCACTCGCTGATGCAAGGCGGGAGCGAGGGCGTGAGCTGAGCATGGATCTTTATGGCATCTGCTGATCAAGGCCGGGTGTTCTGAACAAACACACTAGACCCGAAGCTGTAGTGACGAAGAAGTCTTATCCAAGAGTCGTCCGTGAAATGTGACTGCGATGGCTCGTATCGTTAGTCTATGACCAGTTGTTGAAGCCGCAGAAGACGCCAGCAATGAGCTGAAATCGGCGACAAGAATAAGTAGGTGAATGGTAAGATCGAAATGACCCGGATCTGAGGCGGGGCGGATTTACTTGCCGCCGTTGCGGACATTTCGTTTCGGGAAGTCGTAAGGAAACATTTATTTGACAGTATTTCAACAAAGCCAATGCCACAACTCAGAGTGAACTTCCTTCGCTCCTGATATCTTACCCCAAGCAAAGCAGTCTGTAGACGCTCGAAGCGTCTCACTGCGCCGAAAATGGCCACGCAGACAATGACTATGCGAACGCAGGTGAAGGTAGGCAAGAATGAAAAGCTGCCACCTGAAAGCGAAAGGTTCGCAGCAGCTTGCGTCGATATAGCGAACGCTCTGATCCAGGAGTATGATGCCCTCCACGATGACTCCAAGCCCAAGAAAGACATCAATCTGAACAGCCTCCGCGGTCAAGTCGCAAAGAAGCACAGACTCAGCCAGCAGCCGCCATTGACCGCGATTCTGGCGGCTGTTCCTGAGAACTACAAGAAAGCTGTGAGCCAGAAACTAATAGCCAAACCCATCCGGACAGCGTCTGGTATTGCAGTTGTTGCAGTCATGTCTAAACCCCACAGATGTCCACACATCGCATACACCGGCAACATTTGCGTTTACTGCCCAGGTGGGCCAGACTCCGATTTTGAGTACTCAACGCAGTCATATACCGGCTACGAGCCTACCTCAATGCGAGCGATCCGTGCACGCTATGATCCATTCGAGCAGGCAAGAGGAAGAGTAGATCAAATCAAGTCACTGGGACATTCTGTGGACAAGGTTGAGTATATCGTCATGGGTGGTACTTTCATGTCTCTTCCACAGGACTACCGCGACAACTTCATCTCACAACTACACAACGCTCTGTCGGGCTATCAGACAGAAAACGTTGATGAGGCTGTTGCTGCCGGCGAGATGTCGAGCATCAAATGTGTGGGCATCACCATCGAAACTAGACCCGACTACTGTCTGGATACACATCTCTCCGATATGCTACGGTACGGTTGCACCCGACTCGAGATTGGTGTTCAGTCGCTGTACGAGGATGTTGCTCGAGATACGAATCGGGGACATACTGTCGCGTCGGTTGCGGAAACATTCAAGCTGTCCAAGGATGCCGGATTCAAGGTTGTGTCACACATGATGCCCGATCTGCCGAATGTAGGCATGGAAAGAGATGTCTTCCAATTCGAGGAGTACTTCGAGAATCCCAACTTCCGAACAGACGGCCTCAAGATCTATCCCACCTTGGTCATCCGGGGTACTGGTTTATATGAGCTTTGGCGAACTGGTCGCTACAAGAACTACACACCGAACGGGCTGGTTGACCTCGTTGCCCGCATTCTGGCATTGATTCCTCCTTGGACCCGCATCTACCGCGTACAGCGCGACATTCCAATGCCGCTAGTTACGTCTGGCGTCGAAAATGGCAATCTACGTGAATTAGCGTTATCAAGAATGAAGGACTTTGGCACAACCTGCCGTGATGTGAGGACGCGAGAAGTCGGCGTCAACGAGGTCAAGAACAAGATTCGTCCTTCTCAGGTCGAGTTGGTACGTCGAGACTATGCTGCCAACGGCGGATGGGAGACATTCCTCGCCTACGAAGACCCAAAGCAAGACATTCTCATTGCTCTGCTGCGGCTGAGAAAGTGCAGCGCGACGCATACTTTCCGACCTGAGCTCACGGCCCAACAGACCAGTCTTGTTCGGGAACTGCACGTCTACGGCTTGGCTGTACCAATTCATGGGCGAGAGAAAAGCAAATTTCAGCACCAAGGCTATGGAACATTACTCATGAAGGAAGCTGAACGCATCGCCCGGGATGAACACGGCAGCACGAAGCTCAGCGTCATCAGCGGCGTCGGTGTTCGAAGCTATTACGAGCGTCTTGGGTATCATCTCGATGGCCCCTACATGAGCAAGGGGTTGAACTGGGACGACGACAGCGATGAGGACTGATTTCGCCCAAAACGAGCTTGACACCAACCAGCGCCTTGGAAACGTTACAACAGTCATCATATTTCGAAGACAAGTCTCTTATCGAGCCGGCGAAGACACGAACCTAGATGATTTGCCCTGACGAGCACCATCGCAACCCCGCGGAGCCTCAAAACTGCAGGGGGGTCAGGCCTTGGCGGTCGATTTCATCATTTCGCCGTAGCCAATCGGAGTTGCGGCAGATAAGCGATAAGGACTCGGAATGTTTCCCCGAGGAAAATGTTCAGCAAAAAAAACGCGGGCCAGACACGCCTGCTGCGTGCAACATCTCCGAGCTCGCAGGTGAAGGTGGGTTTACAAGTGGCGTGTTGTCCATTTCTCATTCTTCCCGCATCGCATGGTGTTGGGTTGTTGGTACTACTACAATTGGCCATTCCTGTCAAGTTTTGATGGTCCCGCTCTTGCGATGGCGACGCCTGCGCTCCTCACTGCGCACGACTGCACTGGACATATTCACCTGATCATCGGCTCAGGTCCGCTTGCTGCCTCACGATGCGCGAGATCGGTCCAAGTTGGGGCACACCCAGTAGTAATAGCGCCTGCGAATGCTGCTGTGCACTACAGCCTAGCCCAGTCGATCGAAGAGGGTGTTGTAAGGTGGGTTCAGGAAGACTTCAGAGATGAGCATTTACGCACGCTCGGGCGCGCCGAAGTCGAAGGCTACCCTGATGCCGTTTTCGTGACAACGATGTCGAGCGATCCTCTCCGAGCGACCATCTCACAGCTGTGCAAGAGGTGGAGAATACCAGTCAACGTTGTCGATGCCCCGGCACTGTGTACTTTTACCCTACTTTCGACGCACACCGACGGACCTCTTCAGGTTGGCATTACTACCTCAGGCCGAGGCTGTAAGCTCTCCTCACGAATACGGCGCGAGATTGCTGCTGAGCTTCCTCCAAACTTCGGTGTTGCAGTTGAACGACTTGGCACAATGAGGAAGAGAATATGGGATGAAGATTACAAAATGCAGGCACACGAGGCTGTCAAACCTGAACCAGAGATTGAAGATGAGGAAGCGGCGCAGAAACACACATTCAATAATCTCGTGAAGGAAGACGACACGTCCGCCGCTACTCTCCGCACCCGCCGCATGCGCTGGCTTTCTCAGATTTGCGAATACTGGCCACTCTCACGACTAGCCGCTATAACCGACGGAGACGTCAACGCTATCCTCGCAGCCTATACTGCTCCTACGGAGGTTGCTACTCCGCCGACCGATACTTCCATCCTACCGAGACCACCCCAGCGGAAAGGTGTGATTACTCTCGCAGGTTCAGGACCAGGCCACCCTGGTCTACTCACTCGAGCTGCACATACTGCTATCGAGACGGCGGACTTCATCCTTGCCGATAAGCTCGTACCGGCCGAGATCCTGGCCTTGATTCCAAGGAGAACTCCCGTGCATATAGCTCGGAAATTCCCAGGCAACGCAGATGCGGCACAAGAAGAGATGCTGCAGCTGGGCCTTGCGGCTTTGGCACAGGGGAAGCATGTTCTGCGGCTGAAGCAAGGCGATCCATACCTGTATGGTCGTGGTGCTGAAGAAGTCGCCTTCTTTCGTGGCCATAGGTACCAGATTCGGGTCATTCCCGGCGTCACGAGTGCCTTATCGGCTCCTTTGTTCGCCGAGATTCCAGTCACTCATCGGGCGGTGGCGGATGAGCTGGTGGTTTGCACTGGTACAGGAAGGAAGGGTGCCGCTCCTGTACCGCCTAGCTACAAGGCCAGCAAGACCGTCGTGTTCTTGATGGCACTGCACCGGGTGCAAAGTCTGATCGAATCGCTAGTGGACAACAACTCCATGGGCGAGCCAAATGGAGAGGCCCAGCAGGATTCGCGCACACGGTGGCCTGCAAGTACGCCTTGCGCGGTGATCGAAAGAGCAAGCTGTCCAGATCAGAGAGTGATCAGAACTACACTGGAGCACGTCTGCCAAGCAATTGAAGATGAAGGCTCGCGCCCACCTGGTCTGCTGGTCGTTGGCAAGGCCTGCGAAGTCTTGCACAAGCCCGCCGAGGGGAGGAGATGGGTGATCGAGGAAGGGTTTAGAGCATTAGATGATGTTACATCTCCCGACACTACTCTAGACATGATCAAGGAATTAGGTCATGATTGGAAAACAACAGCCATGAAAGACACGACGATACCCCACGTGCAAGCCGTAGGGCCTGACCCCGGGCCGGCTAGCGCCGTATAGAACCATGTTTTAGATAGCCGGTTACCAAATAATGGTCACTCCGTCCGTGGATTTTCCACGTGAGTCGCGGCCCATTCTTCTTCTTCTTCATTACGAACAACCTTAGTCCGGCCCAGCCTATTCTACGTACCTGCCTTCTTGCCAGGCAACACGGCGACAGAAGGGGTTCAGCCAAGACTTGTAAGGCTGTGCAACCCCTGTGATAAGACTCAAGAGTCCGTCCGGTGCAGGTGTAACTTCGAGGGAGCTGGTGAACCGTGGGAGGCGTAACGACTTGGACGACAAACGGTAAACATGACGAACTCCCATGACTTGCTTTGACAAAAACGATATATTGAAAGGGTTTGGTGATTCAACGAAGACAAAGTCACGATTTGCTGAACTGTTGGACGAGATGATGAGCTGAGCTGAGCTGAGCTGATGGGCTGCTGCGAACGAAGCCATGAGTTGATTTGACGGACTGATGAGTTGATTCGTTGGAACGATGAGGTTCTTGGACGACTGAGTAACTTACTTTGAGGAATGAATGACTTACGGTACTTGAGGGTAACAGTGAGATGATCTGGGGACATGACTAGATGACATGACGGATGAATGAGCTACTTTAACGAAATAATGGAATACTTTAACGAATTATTGAGCTACTTGGATGGGTTGACGAGTTATTTTGACGAATTAATGAGTTCCTTGGAGGGTTGAAGATTTACTTGGACAGAGTAATAGGTCCCTTAGACAGATTAATGAGTTTTATTAACGGATTAATGAGTATTCTTGACAGATTGATAAGTATTCTTATGAGTATTCTTGACGAATGAATGAGTCCCTTAGAGAATTGGTGAGTATTCTTGACAAATCAATAAGTTCTATTAACAGATTAAAGAGTATTCTTGACAGATTAACGAGTACCTTGGAGGGTTCAGTATATTTCCTAGACTATTCAAGAGATTAGTTACACAGGTCAATAAATTCCCTTGACAAATTCATGAGTTCCCTTGACGATTCATGAGTTACTTTGACGATTTAATGAGTTACTTTGACCAAAGGAGGCATACTTGGACGACTTGATAACTTATTTTGACCTAACAGTGAGTTACTTTGACATAACAGTCGGTTACTTGGACGATCCAGTAGGTTCTTTTGACCAAACGTGAGTTACGTTAACCCATCTATAAGTTTACTTGGGGCGACCAAAATTGTCCTCAGCTGACCTTCAGTGAGCCTGACTACTTAGGTCCATCGTCACACGCTGAGTGCGACTCCTTGTAGCACCACCGTTCACACAGAAGGGGTGCCATACCGACACTTCTCTTGGCCGTGACTGCCAATGACGACGACCAACACGTATGCTTCAGTGCTAAGCAGTTACGCTTGCTGAGCTCTATGTCCGTGACGTCTACTCCGAGAGCACATCCTGGAGCGTTACCCTGGCGAAGCAGGTAGGAGATGAGAGTGCACCGAGTCTTGGGGGTTGGGGGTCTGAGGCAGTAAGTGTCAGAAGCATGGAGTTCCGCTTGAGGCAATGGGATTGAACATCCCTGGGCCCGTCGTACCTGGTGGACGGCCAAGATCATGATGAGTTGTGCTCATCCTGATTTCGTTCATCGCGAATCAATGCGCATATAGGTCATTGCTCTTTCAGAACACAGATACTTATATGCTGGCAGGGCCTTCGACAACAGGCGACGAAGCGCTCTTCTCCACGCCTTTGTGATCCTGTAGATCATTTGACTTCGGTGCCACAGACACCCTGTGCGCGGCAGGCGTGTCGCTTGACTTTCTGGCCGGCACCGACTTGGTCTTCTTGGACTTCTTGCTGGCCTCCGGTTTCTTCTCAGCCGGTATCTCAGCCCAGCGCCGCAGGACCTCTTGACGCTCTTCCTCGGTCGCTTTTTGCATCTCCTCAAACCCGTCTGCGAAATGTGTCGCCAGTATGAAGCCGAGCTTCTGGTCGCCGTAGCGCTTCTTGAGCACTTCATACAGCGCTCGAACACCGTAGCGGAAGCCGCCGAGGTACAGGCCCTTCCGGGGAAAGACAAAGTCGCCTAGACCCTTGCCGAGGCCTTTGCTGAATCCGCGCCAGCCGCCGTCTCTCGCGCCCTTCGTCGGCTCCCACACGATGCCACCTAACGCCTTGCCAACGTTGACTGGCCATCGCACCACTCGGTTCGCGACCGTGCCCGCCATACTAAGTGCAGGGTTCGCATCGCTCATAGACGCATAGCCCTGCAGGTCCTCAATCCCGTACTCGCACGGTCGGTAGAGCTTGAGCTCATTGATATCAAGTAGGCCTTCAGCACTGAGCACGGTGGCAGCGAACGCGCTCAGCCTCGCGCCCTGGGACTTGAGACCTTTCGTCCTGGTCTGCCATACTGCAGGACGGCTGGGAGCCAGCATGCACCGCAAGCGCTCGAGGTCCAGCTGCGCATGGAAACTGGCGGCGCCCGCTTCGGCACCCTGCTCGTGCTGGATGCGCTCACCGAGCTCCTGTGCGCGCTCGAGAGTTTCGGGCTTGAGTGCTTCGCCGATCGCGTCCGCAAGCGTGGTCGCTGTGAGGTCCTTGTAGGGGATCGAGCTTGGGCCCGCACCCGCGCGTGCTACCATCGCGCCCCAGAATGGCTGATCGCCGAAGAAAGGCACGATCACCGTTGGGCGGCCGAGCGCGATCCCTGCGGCTGTAGTGCCGGCCCCGCCGTGGTGAACCACACACGATACATGCTTGAACAGCCAGTCGTGCGGGCAGTTGCCCAGCATGAACACGTCTTTTGGCTTGCCCATTTCGTCGCCGCCGATGCCTCCCCAGCCTTTAGACACCAAGGCGCGCTGGCCTGTCTTTTCAACCGCTTCAAAGATGAGCTTGGTCATGGCGTCAGGATCGTCGACCACAATCGATCCGAACCCTATATATACGGGGGCCGGGCCAGCAGCGAGGAACGCAGCCAGATCAGCTTCAGGCTGGTACTTGGTGCCAAGCGAGAGGAAGTAGAAGCCCGCAATGTCGATGTGCGGACCCCAATCTTTCGGTTTGGGTATCAGAGCTGGCGACCAGCAGTAGGTATAGGGAATCTTGAGGCGCTGGACAGCAGTGGTGGCGGCCGCCTGCGAGAGCTCCGGCAAGCCCAGCGTCTCCTCGCGGAACTTGTTGGTCACGGTACCGAGGCCTTCCCACGTCATCATCTCAACGATCGTGTAGCTCATCTTGTTAGTCGCGGAGCCGCTGGCGTCCGACGACCGAATATTCGCGAGCGGCTGAGGAAATTCACGGGTCGGTGACCAGGGCATGGTGAACATCAGGTGCACTGGAATGCCCAGCTTGTCCGCGCAGTGGATGTGCGCAAAGCTCGGTGGGTTGGCGATAATCGCGTGTGCAACGAACGGCTTTGGTCTGGGGGAGCGTGAGCCAGCGCGGTCGCCAAGCTCATCGTCGGTGACGGCCTCGCTGGCATCAGCGCATGACCTCCAACAACCCTGCATGATCTCGGCCATGCCCTTTTTTCGCTTGCCGATGTCACCCTCGCGAAGCGACTTCATTCCCGGGATCAGGCCAGGGTTCTTAACCATGAAGGCCATCAGCTCTGCCGGATCGCCACCGATGTCGAAGAACTCGAGGCCGTTGTCCTCGACAAACTTCTTGAACGTGCCATGAGTCGCAAGGCGGATGCGGTGGCCATACTGGTTCTTCAGCACCAGGCCAAGCGCGACGAATGGCTGAACATCTCCACGCGAGCCGACAACTTGGATGACGATGTTCAGCGGTCCTGGAATCACTGTCGACTTCGAAAGGGTGCGCTGTGCATCGTCCTCTTCGGATTGAGCCGCATCGAGCTCGGCGCGTTCGAACTGTCGCACAAGCTTCGAGTCCACCTGCTCGAGATCGATGTCGAGCCGTCCATCCGAGCCAAATTGGGAATGGGCCTTGACCCCGTCGCCTTGAGTGTCTAGTGTGCCTGTCTGTTCGTTCAACGTCGTCGAGCGTCGTCGAAACGGTGGTGGACGGTCTGCTTGCGTGTCCCCATCCTGCTCCACAGCCTCATACGTTGGAGGAGCGCCTGACGTCATCTAGACCCGTTGCTGGAGGTAATGCTCACTGTGAGGGCGGGCCTTGTCATGGATGCTTGTGTCTACCGGACTTGTGGCGTCGATTATGCGACGCAAGCCAGCGCGCTCAATTTGTCTGGCTTCCAAGGAGGCCTTTGTATAGAGTTCACCAAGCTTCATGGTACGAGGATCTGGGGAGTTCGCATATCTTGTCGTTTACGAATACGCGGGGGATCGCGTGGGGGCCACAGCGTAATTTTATGTATGTTGCGTTGGGTAAGCCCCCCCCCCCCCCCCCCCCCCCATCACGGATCGGTCATAAAGGCCGGAGAGCCTCCAGCGAGTGCTGCTCTGGGAACTAGGGAAAAGATGCGGGTTCCTGGGATCTTGTGGAAACATCATATCAAGACATATTTGACGTAGCGGGAGTTTTACATAGCATTAAGATCTTACCCAAAGACTAAGCCCATGAAAAAGCCGTTTGGACCTTGAAACTTGTTATGGACAGGAGGCTTTGAACAGTGTTGCCCAGAAGCACTCGCACCATGCGTTGAAGCTGGAAAATACTGTGAAGCCATCATCACCTACTACGGCAACTCGACCGCCTCGCTGTCCCTGCCTTTCTTCCCTACACTCGACGCCACGGCCGAGTCTAGTTCCTGCGGCACCTGCTCGTAACCAGCAAAGCCACCCACTCCCCTATGGTCCTTCCCTTGCATCTGTGCGGGGCTCGCCAGCTCGCTGATCCTAGAATCGTGGCCAGCTGTCTGCGGACTCACAGGACTAAACAGCTCTACCGGTCCGTTTGTGGCCAGCATGTTGGATTTGTCGCCCATTTCCTTCGCTGCAGCAGCGTCATGCTGCTGGTACGACGGCGGCAGCTGCTCCTCCATCTTTGCCGCGGTCCTACCGTCCCCTGACCCGCCTGCCGCATTGCGCTTTTTGCGACGGAGGTAGAACCAGATGCCGAATGCGATGAGACCAAGGAAAGCGACACCTCCGATAACTCCACCTGCAATGGCGCCCGTGTTGGTCCCGGACCCATTGCCATTGTCGTTAGGATCGCAGATTGCTTCGATATCTGGTTCGGGGCCGAAGTCGAAGATGTCATCGTTGTCGACTTTGATGGCTTTGCCTATCTTCCATTGTTGGCGTGCGTGATCTATGACCAGGTAGTTCTGACTGAGGAATGTGAGGCCCCATATTGGTGGGATAGTCGGGTCTGTCAAGTTTGAGACCATTGCAAAGGTTGTATCGTGATCGCTGATTTCATACACGCCTTCGTCGTTGTAATGACGCGGTTTCGTGAAAAGTTCTTCGGCGGGAACGGTGATCGTGTAGTCGTTGGCCAGAGTGACGGTCAATTCGCCCAGAGGGACATCTGGAGGAACGACTGCGAAGAACAGATCCGGGTTGTAGGTGGCGCCCACAGTGCGGATGAAACGGTCGTAAGTTGACTGTGGGACACCGATGTCACGGGCGTACATTTCGAGTAGGACGGTGAGGGGCTCGTCGATGAGTGACTCCGAGCCATCAGGGGTTTCGTAGACGATCGACTTGACTTCGACACAAGTAGGGCATTCTAGGTTATAGTCAAGTTCCACGAGTTCGCCGTCGACGCGTGACCTGTCGTACCCTCCCAGAATCAAAAGACCGTCCTCTGGATTCTCAATGTTTCGTCTTCCAGGATATAGGCCAACAGCAGTGGAAGAAGATTGGCCTGATTCGTATGCCTGGGTGAGGAAGGTGGAGTTGGGGCCTAGTGGGAGCCCTCCTTGATGTGCTAGTAGGTCTTAGTAGATGGACTTGCGACCATGGACGTGGTAGACATACAAAAGCTTGGTTGACTCATTAAGAGTGGAAAAGCATCGTGACTCGAGTTCGATCCGTATTGTACACGATCATTGAAGAAGATGAACCCCTCGTCTGTTCCACGGCTGTCCGTGCCGTTCCATTGGGATTTGGTGACCTGACTGTACGTGTCGCTGAGTGTAGCATCGTACATGCCTCCAAGCTCGCCCGCGCATACGCTGGCGGTCCCGTTGCAACTTTCAAGGTTTGGAATGAATACTTCAGAATCGAGGAGTGCTAGCTGCAAAGCCACGATCTGCTGCGGTGTACCAATACCGAATTCTACACCACGAGAGACTGCACGGCCACTGCTCGTGACCGTAACGTTGTGGATTGGAAGTTGCAGCGGCTCGACGCCATTGGGACACGACATTCTCTCGATATGCCGTCACGGCCGGCACGTAAGCAGGGTTCCCGACTCAGTTGAAATATTCCAGCTTCATTTCCTCACGTCTCATATGGCTGGAGTGCTTAGTGGATGCGTTGAGTGACAAAATCGAATGTAGGGTCCAGGGATGCTGGGTGCTCGGACACGACTGACGGCGCGAAGCAAGTAACGACTGTGGTCCAGCAAAGCTGGCTTAGAGGCGAGTGTGAGCACTGAGTAGTGCTGCAGGCGCGCACTCGTAGAAAGTGGGAAAGCAGAGAAGCAGAAGATGACAAAGGAGGATCGGCGCGGTGTCGATCGTGGTGGCTCTTAGGGCGGTAGAGTCCCATAATTGTCGGGGAGAGAAGCCCCGTCGCTGTTTCATTCAAGACTGGTTAAGGACGACACCAACGATAGCCAGCCAAGAGACGCCGGCCAACGCCGTGGCAGCTGATGTGTGTGGAGTACCCTAAGATATGGGCGCCACTCACTCTCGGGGTATTCTTGCACGTAACGTGGCAGTCGACAGGATGATGAGCCTGGGGGCCATTTCAAGCATGAGCAAACAACACCAGGTAGTACGCAGATCACCCCAGTAAGCCTCACGATGCGAAATTCGCCAAGTGCGTTTTGAACTTTCCCAACGCCCATGGGACGTGTGCGTGAATGATCCCTGCTCCTTCAGAGCGAGCGCATGGGGCTGAGCGGAGAGCTTGGCGGTGGCCGAGTCAATGGGAGAGAGGTTTGGGTTGGCGACTCTATACCCGATCCAGGCCCTATGCGCCGCTCAAGTACTCCAGAAAGAAATTTGGATGGAACTATATCCCACTGCTCTCACCCCCGAGCTGATAGTGTTCCTATGCTTCTCCTTTGCGGTATCAGACTCGATTCTCGGCAACAGCCAGGCAAAAGCAGTTGTGCGAGTAATGAAGCACCATCGTAAAGCAATAGAACTGACTGGGTACTGCTAACACCACATAGGGCCAACCACACGTGTTGATTGAACAAGTCTACGAGTTATTATTCGGAGTACTATCATGTTTCTCAATACAGCCATGCGTCAACACACTTCCCACATAGACCTAACTAATATGCGTTTGCAACCGCGGCTACAGCTATGCCGGCAACAACCGTCACGCCAACTTTGGCTTGACCGACAGACGCCGTCCCGCTGTCCGTGGTTGGCGATGCAACAGCTCCAACGTCAGTCGTTGTCGCCACCGCTGCTCCTGGAGTCAGGACTGCCGGAATGGACCGCGTCGTGGTAGGGACCGGAGCCGAATAAGCTACAGCCGAAGAACTCGCTCCCTCGAAGGCGATGGTTGGACTCGTCTGCGCGGTGAGAGTGTCCCTATCGACTTCGCTGGATTCTGGGTTGAGGACGCTACAGAAGTTAATCCCGCAAAGCTCTGAAAAGGGCAGAAAACCTCCGAGTCGATGACATGAGCCACCCCGTTGGTCAAGATGATGTTGGGGATGACGACCTTGGCTGAATTGACAAAAACGGCGCCATCCTCGACCGATAGCGTGAGATCATTCCCCTGTACGGATTCGATCGAAGCGTTGGTGACGTCCTCACCGAACAGGACGGCGCCTGTCACGGCATGTTATTGCAGGATTTCTGCGACGAATTCGATGCTAGCGCCTGCGAGTACGGACCCGATGGCGTCAACGGCGTCATTCGTCGGAACGAAAAGCGTCAGGTCTGGCACAATATCCAGTGTCTCGGCCAAACCTGCTGCTTCGATGTACGGGACGGCAGCTGTACCACCGACTTGTGGGCCTGTGGTCGTGATGTTGTTGGGGATGCTCAGGACACTATCGATCTTGTGGACTACAATGTCGCCAATAGTAATGTCCTGGTATAGCGTCAGAGTCAGAGTCTTGAATCCCTGACACCCCGGCGCGAGAATTACCGCTTCAACTACGGGCGAGATTTGGAGGTCCCCGGAGAGACACTGTACAGCAGAACCGTTACTGACGATTTGCACATTCTGTCCGCCAGTTACGTTTGTCCTGGTGCTTCCCAGGATGGGGATGCCGCTAGTGAACAACGTTTGAACGTACGTCGGAGTGGACGGGGTCGACGCAGATGGCAGTGGCTCTCTCAAGACATGGTAACTCAGCAAGTTGATGGTGCCGTTAGGGTCTTTGGTGTTCAGAGCTTGATTCTCGGCGTTCAGGGGCGCAGAGAGCAACGCAGTGAACGCTCCATCAGTCGGTGCGAGGATGGTGATGTTAGAACAACCGTTCAGAGTGCTTGCTAGTTCTGGGACGGTTTGCAGAGCTTCGAAAAGGACGCTCAAGTCGGGCTGGGATTGCAGAACACTGATCAGGTCCTGAGCGGTGGCCGTGGCCATCGAGGCAGAGATGAAGGACGAGAAGCGCATGTTGATTCAATTTTGTACTACTAACGAATAGATGGTATTGCACGACCGTTCATTTCATGCCTGTCAAGGAAGTATCCAGCCATTTATACAGTATCCAAGCTGTGTGGCAGTCTGGAAGCATTCTGCTGCGCCTCCTTCGATATAGCAGCAATACTTCATCCAACCTCATCATCACTTGCCACAACCATCGATCCCTCAACATTCAGCCAGATTTCACAATGCGAGTGTCACTAAGTCTCTATCACTGACAGCCAAAAGGTATACTAGAACGATCAGACAAATGTCGTCCTACATTCTCCTACGCGACGCCTTGTCTCTACTCGGCATCGATACCAGTCCGCATCAGGAGCGCAGCGGAAGATGGTAGTGCCTCATACATTGGACGAGACTACGCTCGACACGACGAAAAACCTGGAAAGTGCGGGAGGCATTGCGCGATACCCGCTGGATACAGTCCGGGGTCATTCAAACAAGGCAGACAGCTCAATGGCTAAGGCAACCTCTGCTTTCTCGGCCGAGTGAGCGATATCTAGAAGTTCTCGGGCGATACAGCAGGCTCCTAGCTAAACCGCAATCATAGGCAGCAGGTTATGTTCCGGTTTCTGTGGGACGTTAGTTCGAGCCTCGACTGTTGAGGAGGTTGATGTTCTGGCTGCTGGGCCTCGTTTTCCTGCTTCTGCGGCTCGAGTCTGCCTAGTTGCGAAGTCAACCGGTTAGTACAACGATGTGAATGACCGTGCAGAATGATGATGCATACTCTACCCAGTTTTCCGTCTTCCTAGGTGGGCGCAGCAAGAGACCCTGTGTGTCTAGTCAAAATCAGTCGTTTAATATGAGATCCGGGGCCGAAATGGTTGAAGATGAATTACCCATATAACCGGCGGGCTTTTCGCTTGAGTGTGGAGATAGTACTAGGGGGAAAGAGGCTCTTCATGAAAAGCTCAAGGTGTCCGGAATGGGCTGTCCTAATGCGAGGTTGCCTTGTCACTTGACATGCATCTGCGCTCTTTCTGCAGCCTGCACATTTCAACATGCTCGTGCTTGGCATGGAGTTACAGTACTCCCAAGTCTTCCTCAATTGGCGCCGCCGTCCAAACCATGTGTATATCGTGAAGAGCCTCAGCAGAAACCCCTCCGGTCAGCATCACGATGACCTCGAGGGCTCAAGCTCAAGAACTATAACGATACCGTCCACAGCCATAACCGACATTCCACCTCCAGCATCTACACTCTCTCCCCCACCATCCACCGCAACCCCTCCCCCACCACCCCCTTCACAACCTCCAACTCCCCCCCATCCCTCGGCCCATACAGCATGATCCACGTATGGCCCAACCCCAACTTATCCGTGCCGCCTCCCAACCACCAAGGCCACGTCCTACTCAAGCGATGCCTCTCCCCCCACCCCTTCTCCACCACCGCCGCCGCGTCCGCCGGGTGCAGATACAGATGCAGGCTCCTGTCGCCATGCACGTGCGCCGCCTCGCCTTTTGCCACGCGCGCCGTCCTCGGCACCTTGGTTTGCGTCGCCGGCTCCGCAAGCAGGGCGTCCGAGACGTACAGCGCATCATTGTGCCGCTCGTAGTGGCTCTTGCGCATCACGAGCTTGCCTTTAAGCGGGCCGTCCTGCGCGTCCAAGAAGTCGCGCAGCATCTGCTGCAGTGGTGCCGCCATGCTTTCGGGAGCCAACTGGCTGAGCTGGCGGTGTGGCACAATGCCGCCGGTGTGGGCGCGCTCGCCGCTTCGTGACGGGAGAGAGCGGATGTACTCGGTCGCGGCGCTGGCGGGTAGGTAGTCGGCGATGAAAAGGCGGTCGCGCTTGCTGAGGGAGAGGGGCCGGAGCACGAGGAGGTTGACGAGCCAGCCGATGGGGTTGTAGGGGAGGCCGCCGGGGCCGAGGGCCAGGAAGGCGCGGTAGTCGTTTATGGCGGCGAGGAGGGTTGCGGTGGTGAGGCCGGCGAGAACGGTGGCGAGGAGGGGCTGGGCTTTGATGCGCGTGAGAAGGTGGTTGAGGTGAGGAGAGAGGGTTGAATGTAGGGTGCTGAGAGGTTGGGACATGCTGGCCGGTGCGTTGGGGGATTGGCGTCTGGATTCGAATTATGCCACGTGGGTGCGGCGAAGGTAGTTTCGCGGCCCGTCAAGACAACGACAGGCAGAATCCGTCTGAGATCTGAGTCGCGCTCACAGGGATTGTCCTTTGAGGAAGGCCTTGTATGAGAAGAACATCAGTCAAGATATATACTTACGATCATCCGAAAATAAGCTCACACCACATCCTGGACGCCTTACTGGGAAGCTTATCTGCCCTGAGCCGAGGCAGCATCTAGCCTATGAGCGTCGAGTTGCCTCGTTTACTAGCAACGCCACACGCTTTCGGGTACCAGCAGTCGCCGAGAAACCATAAAGCGCCGTGACGAATGCCGCGACCGAGCTGGCACATCCAGCGACCTCGCCTACAGGCCAAGGCGGGTATTCCGGAACGGGAGAGGTAGCTAGTAGACTCGCATAGGAATTGCTCGAGCGCAAGTTTGCATCGTAGCAATCAAGGACGTGATCGATAGTGTTGAAAATATCATTGTAGCCAGGAGATAAAATCAGAAACGCCTGCCGCTGATACAATATTTACATCCAAAAATATTTGATGCCCGCTTCATAAATCATGCTTAGGAGGACGTAAGCTCAAGTGCGCCCAAGATGCTGCCGTTCCGAGCCGCTGCCAACTCCCAGGGGCCCAAGTCAGGCTCGCATACAGTATCGGGGTCAGGCAAAGTACCATCCAAGAAGTACTGCTGCACATGCTTCTGAACACACGTCGAAGGGTCTGCAAATATGCCATGGCCAAGGCCATTGTGCTCCAACACAACGCTGCCCTTGAAGCCGGCGCTGGCGCTGCGTGCATCCGAGATTGGCGTCACGGGATCATAGTTGCCGTTAACGTACAGGATCGGAGTCTTGGTGGTCTTGTTGAAATCACCGAAATAACGCTCCTTAGCATCCATCTTCCAACGGGCAGAGGCCCAAATGCTGATGTACTGGACATCGGAGAAGCTTTTGCTGACATTGGCTTGGTATTCAACCGTTGGGAGATACTCCTCAGCAGTTTCGGGGCGGAAGATGGCATCGGAGCCACGAATGCCAAGTAGCGCGTTGACAGCCTGATCGTAAGGCTCGACTGCTGGGGTAGCGTCGGCCGCGGGTTCCTCTGGTGCCTCGGTGGGGTTCAGTAGAGCGACAATGGCCTCAGCAAATGCAGGCCACTGAGCAGGAAAGTAAAGGGGTCTGATCAAAGGACTCTTGACGGTGATGAGGTTGACGTAAGCTTCGATGCTCGTAGTAGCGTTCTCTGCCAAAGGTTCCAGTGCCAGGTTAATGACGTCAAGCATATCTTGCGTACTGTTCGCGTTGACAAACTGCGCGAGAGCACACTCTTCCTTGTTGTCGAAGCAAGATTCTAAAAAGGTCCAGAAGACTTCGTCTATGTCGTCGACCCAATCGCCCCAGGTACCGGACTGGTAGGCGACCGGGTCGATATTGCCATCAAGGACCATCCGTTCAACACGGTCTGGGAACAGTGCAGCGGCATAGGAGCCTAGCGCGGTACCATAAGACCAGCCATAGTAACGGAGGAGGCCATCCTCGCAAAGAGCATCCACAATGTTCATCATGTCGCGGACCGCAAAGACTGTGCCGATGAGTTCGCCAGTTTCGTTCGCGGTGGAAAAGCAGCTGTCTGCAATCGCACCAGCGTATTCCCAGCCACCGTTGAGGAAACCTTCGGTGAGATTGCCACTTGCGAGGGTGCCAACGTCACGTTTCGCAGCAGGGGCAGACCCATCAAGGCCTTCGAGGGGGCAATTGAATGGGATTGTATTGCCCGTGCCTCGTGGATCCCAAGACACAAGATCCCACTGCTCTCCAACGTTGGCTCGAAGGTCAGTCGCGGCGGAGTTGAAGTCGAGCCCACCGGTGCCGCCTGGCCCACCTGGGTTGAACATGACTGAGCCCAGAACAGGCTCCTTGGTGGCTTTGACCCTGAAGACAGCAAGGTCCAGAGGGTCTGAGTCGGGTTCGGTATAGTCCAGCGGAACAGTCAAGGAGCCGCATTCGAATGGCAGAATAGGGATATTGCCGACCTGCAAAGTAATGTTCTCGTTGAGCTCCGGACAAGAGTTCCATTCAATAGTTTTTTGTGTTCGCGCATGAGGAAGCGCACCAGCGACGGCGGACAGCCCCAACGCAGTGACTGCCAAAGTGAACGACATGCTGTATCTGTCTGTGCTGCTGTTGATGAAAAGAGTGTTGTGATTTGTTTTTGTCTGCCGTTGCACATTGGGCGGATTCGACCGGTAGTACTTATACATGCAGGTTCTCCAGGCTGGATGCCTGAACCGCGCCAGGTGACGTCGTGTAGAGCAGGTACCATGGCTCGATGTTCGTGGCTATACCGCATTCATGCAGGACATGGCGCAGGACCACGATGGGTGGGTATTGATCACCTACCACACTTTCCTGCTAGGAACAAAAGTCGTTCCACACCAGGATGCATGGCGGGGTGCGGGAGGGGTGCATTACCAAACGAGCTGTTCTTGGGGGCCCCGAAATAGCACACCGTTGACATAACCCGAGGCAGCGCAAGTAGGCTGGCGATGCAGGTACCCACGAACATCGAAGGGACCTAACCTGTTCGAAGGTGCGCTGCGATGCATCGTCTTGGATCAACCAATAACGTATTCCGAGGATCTCTGGGCTGACGATAGACACTAAACCTCTTTAGGTGCAACGTGCCGCTGGAGAGGCTGAAGAGGAGAATTATGGGGAAACCGAGCCTCGCCGAGCGGCCGAAGATGACTTAAGCATAGCCCAACTCTGCAGGACCAAGGTGTCACCAGGATATGACGTCTCAGGTGCTCAAAAGCGAATGACCGTCGCGAGCGACATCGGTTATCGGCGTCGCCAATTCCGTGAACAGCTGGTAACAACGTGCTCAAATCAATGGCCCCGTACGACGAACACCTTCATATCCAAGTTGTGACCCCGTCCTGCGCAGATTGCGGCGGACTTTCAGGCATCCCATCTGGATGGTCTTCGTCGACAACGTAGTGCCTATGTGTCGTCTTGAGGTCACTGAGATCAGGTGTCCTCGTTGCAAACGGCTGTGGAAGCTGCCACCCCGGCGGCGACTCAATCTCGACCTTCTCTCCAGTCACTGGGTCCAGCCGGTAATGCCGCGGGGCTAAGACCTCGGTGACCTTGACAGGTTGCTCATAATGAAAATGATGATGGACATGAATGTCTCTTGTGATGACCGGCTGCACCACTTCGGTGCGGTCGTGATGGATGACCTGCTGCTCTACAGCAGGATGATATGTGGTTTCGATGGATGTCCGCTCGGTCGTCCCTAGATCGAAGTCGGGTGGCAGACGGACGTGTTCCGGTATGTCAGGCTCGTGTTTCTCGGTGGTGTGCGAAGGTGCAGACCGAAGTGAATCAATCCGTGGAGACGAATGCGATGCATCGTGGGTCGATGCCCGTGGTCGATGGGCAAGACTGGTCATGCTCTTGCCAGAAATTTGGTTTCGAGACATGTCGGACGATTCAGAGGAGTTCGTCGTGTGGCCACCTGAGGATGATCGGGTCATTCCGTCAGTGCTCTCGATGCTCCGTCTCTTCTTAGCAATACTGCCGTACAGCTTTGCTGTAAGTGTCTTGGGCTCGCCTGGCACATCATTGACCAATTCTCTCGACATGGGCTCCTCCAGGAACGTTGGAAAGTATCCTGCGCTACTACTAATGTGTGATTTCTCGTTCGGAGAGGATATGGTGTAGTGCCTCCGTCTCCTAGCGTGTTCGGATGTTTCTCCCACACTCAAGACGTCATTCAAACTTTCACTTCCACCTCTGTGGTGTGCTTTGATCGAGTATCGCCCTCGGTTTTGGAGGGACGAATGTCTGGCTGGGAAGTATTCGGCAGGTGGCTTAGAGGGCAAAGCTGGGACGGGGGGAACTTCGGTCGATGTTGGACCGTTCTGTAGGCCTTCCGCTAGTGAGGCAGGGTCTAGACCATTGGGAGTCCGCGGCGGTGCGTTGCCACACGCTATCGCGAGGTCGTCCTCGGTCGGGTCTGCAAGAGCCTGTTGTCTTAACGACTTGCAGCGGACAAGGGTACCGGTACCATCATCCACAAGTACATCTATGCCGTCGACAGACTTGCCTCGTCGGGACTTATTCCGCAGTTTTGACTTGACCAGTCCGACCACGGTTGCCATGATGGTTATTGGCTAACAGTCTATGACGAGTTCGATGCGGGGACGAGAAGGTATAGGAGTGAACATCCAGGGTGGTCATAGTGGCTGAACAGGAAGACCGCAGTCGGTGCCCCCATGCAGCTGCACCAACACTGGCAGCTGGGGGGATCGGCTGTTTAGCCAAACTTTGCCATCTTGCACATTTCGCGAGTCGACCAAGAAACATGGGGAATGGGAGAGGGGCTGTTGGTGGCCTGTGGCTGGCCACAACCCGGCGTAGGCAAGCCACCGATCGACGTTGAGGCGTCACAAGCGGAAGCGTTCGCCAATTGTCTGCTCTTTTCAGCGACAAACCCATGCCTGGACCACCAGGGACTGCCTAGACAGTTGAAACTGCTAGGGAGGACAGGGGCGAGAGAGGCGCGAGGGGGCGCCCGGGAACGGCGAACGGGGGCCAATTGGTGCCAAGATAGCCGCCTCGAAATTGACATGATATCATTTGTGGCACTTTTTCATCCTTTCATCCTCTCATCCTCGGGATTTGCACCTCCATCTTTGACGACACACACCTGGCCGGCCATGAGCTCACTCTTCAGCTTGCGTGTTACCCGTCTGCTGTACCGCGCCATCCCGAGCCAATGGGGATTAGATTCTACGCCGCGAACGATCATCTCTGTGCTAAGAGATCCAGCAGGCTAACATCCGATCGATCGGCCTCGGACTGCACGCTCCACTGCTTACAGACGGCTCGCTGCAAATGACCTCTGCCCCACAAGAGATCCAATGAACCGAGCTGCATCTGCAAGAAAAGCTGCCACAATACATGCCCAGCTGAACGTTGTGCCAGTGACGCTTTGATATCCATGTCTCGCGTGGAATATACCTCCGCACTTCCCAATACGGTCAACATCTGTCCAGGCCGGTGGGCCAACTCGGTTCACCATGCATATTGACAGTTGTTTGTGCCTCAACGGTCTGTCACCTTCAGGCTCGATCACGCGGTATCACGCCGAATTGAGTCTATGGTTACTTCAGCCACTGTCTAGCCACATTGATGGCGGGGCTCATCTCTGTATAGCCATAATTGATAGGGTACCGTTCATGCCAAATACTAGTAGGTTTGGAAGATATCCCCGCCCATGCCAGCTGACGACATGAAGCTTTTGCTCAGAAATGATATCACAGTGAGCAAGCGCAGATCCCAATATCGACCATATATTACGATATGAACGATGACGGCCAGGTATCAAGCACAATCACTGAAGTCACTTTCGTACCCCAGAATCAACTCCCACTACATCCATTACATCCAAAACTACCAGCACCTTCACAATGCAGGCTGCCAAAGACGCGGTTCACAAGTTCACCTCCAAGCGGGGTCACGATACCACGGTTGACGAGAACGTCACCGGTGCCGTTACCAAGGAGAATATCCGCCCACACCAGCATGAGGAACGAACTCAAGCCCTAGACCGTGAGGTCCACCAGGATCATTATCACACTACAGTGCAACCCGTTTCTCACCAAGAGCAACTCCCGGAAAAGCACACTCACAATCTGATCCCAACCGAGCACCGTGAGATCCGCCATGAGGATCCCAACCATTCCAAGTCTCAAGCAGCCGCCCATCTCGCGCAATTCCAGTCAGGTAGCACTACGCATGAGACTACCCGCAGTGCCGAGAACAAGGCCACTGTCGCAGGCGAACACGTCCATCACCACGGTATGTTGCCTGCTCCAGTGCAAGTCCGCTCCCTTTTCACTAACTTTTACCCTCACACAGTGCATGAGACGGTCGTCCCGGTAGTCCACAAGGAGACCATTCAGCCTGAAGTTGTCCACACCACACAGCCCATCCACGAGACACATCACGCTCCCAGCCAACACCATGGAATTAGTGCCTTGCCTATGAAGTCTCTTGATGAGTTCAAGTCCGGAGGTGGTACTTTGGACGGCCATGCCAAGTCTGCCCATGAGGAGTACGATGGTGCACCAAGGCCCTACAATGACAAGCTGAGCACCACCTTGGACAAGCTCGGCTTCAAGGAAGGTACAAACAGCCACGGACAGCAGGCACAACATGCAGGCAACGTAAACCCTGCTACAGGTGAGAGTGGCATTGGTGCTGGCCAACACTCTGCTGGTCAACACCAGACTGGTACGCATAACACATCATCAGGCCTTGGTGGTGCTGGTGCCGGCGCTGGTCTTGGTGCAGGCGCGGCTGCAGCTTCCGCCTTGGACAGCCATAAGCACGGTCATGAGCACACCGGACGAGACTCCGGTGTAGGTGGCTTGCGCCGCTCCGGTAGTCAGAGCAGTTCTGACTACGAGTATGCAGCTGATGGTTCCAAGGTGGGGAAGAACAAGTTGGGTCGTCACCAACAAGAAGGCATGACCGAGGGACGTGTTCTGTAAAGGGAGCATTTTCTATAAGTCATCTACGCCAATGTATTCCAGACAAAAAGCCATTTGATTTGCACATGGAGGATCAGGAGTTTCTAGCATTATCGTGTCTCCTGCACATCAGGGCGACAGCACTGAACATTTGAACATAACATCTACAAGTATGCATTGACATCCACCAATACTGATCTCTTTTCAACAACACAACTGACGTGTACCACCTGCTTCACTGATAATTCGTCGTCAGTATATAAGTACTGGTCTAGTACAGCTCTACCAACGAACATGAAGAGTGGCAACCGATGATGACCAAGAGAACAGTCAAGCCTCCAAGCACCTGACAGTGTACTCTGCAATCCCCGACGATATACACACAAAACTCTCAGGGATTCAGTACAACCCATCTGCTTCGCATCGCATCGCATCGCATCGCATCGCACTACAACACTTTATCGCCTCTATGATCGACACTGTTAGGTAGTCAGTCAGGTTGACCGTTGACCATGGTGTGCTGCCACCGGACAACACCAACCGGCCAAGAAATCTTCTTATCAGCTGTCAATAAACATGCACGCATGCATCATCCCCTGGGCCGGTAGCACGCCTCGGGGGGCCATACATACATGGGACTCGGAGGACTACAGGGGCACGGCAAACTCCTCGAAGCTGCAGCACACTGGTGGTGAGCATGAAGGAAGAGCGTCTGTGGTATTCGCGAGTAGTGAGTTCTAGCACATGTCTAGAGACTCTACTCTACCTCTTGTCTTGGCTGTCCAGGTGTACACTACAACTCCCCTCTTCTTAGACCTTACTCTTAACGGGCCTGACAGCCACAATTCTCCCAGCCTAACAACGAAAAACACCAATGATCCTCCAACTTACTACTTTCTTATCCTCCCCAGAAAAGTCCAGCCCCGGAAGGAGAGGAAACGTGTTCAAACAATCGAAAGACTCAAAAGTCCCAAGCCAAAGCCAAAGCCAAAGCTCGGCCCCATCAAGCCTTGTTGGTACCCTTCTCAATCTTCCACCCCTGGAAATCATTCTGCACCGACTTATCCAGCGTCTCCACGTACGCGACCATGCCACCAGCCCTATCATTCAGAAACATTAGCATTCTGCACCCACCCACCCACCCACCACAAATAAGAACGAAAGGGGAGAAAAAGGAGGAGGAAACCCCCAAGACATACCAATTAAGCGGCTCAACCTTCCTCCCAGGGATATTCGCCCCCTGATACCAACTCTTAGCCTGGGGGAACAGACTCTTGTTCCACTCATCATTCATCCTGCGGGACCAATCGTCCTCGCTCTCCTGAGTGGCCTCCATCCGCGTAATCCCCTGCTCCTTGACGAGCTTAAACACCTTCTCGACCCACTCGGCCTGGAACTGGGTGCACGAGGGCCCGTTGCTGAACGCGGTCGGGGCCTGGGGCCCATAGAGGAAAAACATGTTGGGGAATTCCGGCATGGCGATGCCCATGGACGTTTTGGTGCCATCCTTCCAGTGGTCGGCGATAGTGCCGCCGGTGGTACCCTGGATGTTGAGCTGCGCCAGGGAGCCCGTGACTGAGTCGAAGCCCGTGGCGAGGATGATGACGTCTACCTCCTTGAGGCCCTCCTTCTCCGTCACGATGCCCTTGTCCGTCACCTCGGTGATGGGCGACTGGTTGATGTCGATGACGTTGACGTGGTCCTGGTCCACGACCTCGTAGAAGCGCTGCTCGAGTGATGGGCGCTTAGTGCCCCATGGATGCGGCGGGATCTCGGGGGCGAGGATCTTGGCCTTCTCGCTGTTGGGATCCTTGAAGCGGCTGAGCACGGTCTTGCGCCAAAACTTGTACGCCTCGTTGTTGGCCTTCGTGTCGAAGAGCATGTCCTTGTAGGTGTTGAGCCAATAACGGAAGCCGCCCTCCTCGACGAGCAAGTTGCGGTACACCTTCTCGCGCTCCTCCTCGCTGTCGTCAAATGTGTTCTTCTCCAAGAAGTCGTAGGTGAAACCGGCGAAGGTGTGGCGAGTCTTCTCGATCTCGCGCTCGTATGTACCGTCCTTCTTCTTGCGCTCCTCCTCCTGAGGGTCAAGCTTGCGCTGGTTCATGGGCAGACACATGTTGGGGGTGCGGAGGTAGACTGTCAATTCCTTGGCGGCATCGCCAACAGACTGAATAATCTGGATGCCTGAGGCACCGGTGCCAATCTCCGCGATGCGCTTGTTCTTGAGGTTCACGCCGTGCTGAGGCCATACGGCGCTGTGGTAGATGTCGCCCTTGAAGTTGCTGAGACCCTTGAATGGAGGCGTGTATCGGCGGGATGCGAAGCCAATGCAGGGCAGGAACCACTTGGCGTAGATCTCAGTGCCATCTGAGCATTCGACAAGCCATTGATGGCGCGACTCATCGAAGACAGCACCGTCGACGTGCTTGTTGTATGTCACATGTTCCGAGATCTTCCACTTCTTGTCGACGAACTGAAAGTACTCGCGAAGCTCTTGCCAGCCAGCATAGCGTTCACTGAAGGTGAAATCTTCCCATAGCTCCTTGTCGAAGAGCTGGTAGATGGGAGTATCGGAGTCAACTCTAAGTATCGGTTAGTCCGCATGTAATGATTTCGGAACAGTTGTCCAAAGTCTTGGATTACCTTGCTCCTGGATAGCAATTCCAATACCAAATGCCGCCCGAAGCTGAACCTTTCTCGTAGATGGCAACTTTATATCCTAACCGGCGCAGACTACATGGCGTTAGCTGAGTTTGGCGAGTGGCAAAAGGTGACAGACCGGTTGAGTAGTGTATAAGAGGCAAAGCCAGCACCAACCAAAAGTACGTCAATTTCCTCGACAGCTGTAGCTCCCTGCATAGTGGGCACTTCTTTGGGCGTAGGTCGGTTCGTAGGATCCCGGCAGGTTTATGAAACCGAGGATGATGGGTTTAGATTCATGCCTGGGGAGATACTGTCGAAGATGTTATACATGAGTGTTGACGTTTCCTGAAGCGCGTACCCCGCCTGGTCGACTACGTCCGGAACCAGTCGACGCGAAAAAGGCGTCTCAAGGAGGGGCCGCGGGCAAAAGGCCTGCCCGTGCAGCAGATGACCTCTCCGTGGTCAGCCAATGGCCACGGCGGATTGCGGAGGGAGCAGTAGCCATCTGTCCAGTCACGAAAACGGCGAATTGCGAGTCGGATGAAACGCAATGCTCCAGGAAGCAAAAATCGACCACCCGGGAGACGGAGAAGATGGTTCGATGGGGCCGCAGCGCAAGTGATCAGTGATCTCATAGACAAGCTTAATGCGTATATCAGGCAACGATGGGACTGTGGGGAGAAAGGCGGGGTGGAGAGCGTCCTCCGGGTAATCGAAATCTCCACGTCTCTGTCATGATTGAGTTTCCGAGATCGGTGTCGTCGAGCATTCCTCGCCTTCTAGACCACGCCAATTTGTCAATGCTCATAGCCGATGGTGCTCGGGGGGTACGGGCCCGACTCTATTCTGGTTCTCGAGCCGCATGGTATCGGTTCTATTTGGCATTATTGTCGCTACTCTCGCGGTCGAGTTGAACGTAGCTCGAGACTACAGGTCTTCTGAGCGGTCACTTTCCGCTGAGCAGATACCACTTCTGGCGTAGGCTCGCTTCACAAAGCCGAACCAGGACATGAAACTTGACATGCTGTTACTGACTCGAGGCGAAGTGCATGCACCGCACGTGTCGAGGGCGTAGTGCGTATCAACGGGTCTGCTCAAATGCGTTCGCCTATCATGTGAGCCTTGAGGCTGCACCGTTGCGATACTCGGGACAGGCTTGGGCACTAACAAATTCCGAGGATGTTGATAGTTGCCTCCTCCCTTGCTCCGTGCCAATCAGGGTATTGGTGCAAAACTTGTTTGTTTCCACAGCTCTGATTCCCGGGTTGCTCAGAGTGCTACCGGCATGCACGATTCTATTCAGGAATTTCGACCGCAACTTGGGTTCCAGTGGGCTCACGTGCACGCACAAAGGGAAGCCGAAGTCTTGGGCCATGGTGGTCCAGAGAGGCAAGCCAGTTGGCCAACGCGTTCAACTATACACGTCTCTCCGGTACCTTCCATTTGTGGTCCTCATTCACGTCGAATGGGGCGGACTGATGGTACCAGACGTCTTCTGAACGGGTCCGAGAACGTATGGGTTGTATCCACCGTTGCTCATGTTCTGTGTGTCGACATTGCGAACGACGTGGCCGCACCGTCGTCATTGATACCCTGTCATAGTGTTTTCCGGTCTTTCGATGATTGATCGGCATCCGCTCCGCTCCGAGAAGACTCTCGATCCAGGGGCGGACCACGAGCAGGACTTTGCGGCGCAGAGCCTTGCGGCGCTGATGAGTGCTCATCCTGTCTCGGCTCTCCGGTCCATCGTTTCTGCAAGCTCTCCTCGAGCTTTTGAAACATCTTCTCCAGGAGCCAGTTGGGCTCATCCTTATCACCCATGAGTGGAGATCTTTGGCCGATCCAGGACCATCGCATGGAAGCACCTTGTGGAGATGCAGCCTGGGAGCTGTTGCTCAGACTCTGTCCCTGCATTTCACCCCTTTGGTTGTTGTCAGGTTCACCTGTATTCTGGTCGTGATGATTTGAGTGGGAGCCAGGCAAGTCATCAGCTGCATGTGGCTGGCGGTGATATTTACTGTCTCCTTCATCTTGGCCCAGGAGCTTGATATAATATGACCACTCCGCATAGCTGTAGTGCTTTGGCTGAGATGCTGCAGAGTCGTTGTACACCTTGCGAATCTCTGAGAGCAGAAGTCGCCGATAATGGTGTTCATCTTCGGCAATCTTATCGCCGTGTTCCCTTGCCGCCTCTTCGTCCACTGCTTCCGACTTCTCAAAATCCTGGGCAAGCCGTTCGTTAGCGTCCTTGTTGGCCTTCTTCCGTCTACGGAACACCCCACGCCCGAGGATGCGCCCCGGTGGCTCTTCCAGATACGGGCCATCCTCCGAATCAGAATCCCTTGCTTTGGTGGATTGCTTCTGGTCTCTCTTTTTTCGAGCGGCTTGTTTGCCGAAAATCGACCTGTATATACCATATCGGAGACGATCGAGCATGCTAGACTCGTCGCTTGGCAGCACTGTAACCTCTCCCAGCCAAATTGTAACGTCCTTGACCCACTGCACCACGGTGTCGCCCATATTGGAAATCAGAATGGTCAAGGTAGGAACGGCTAGGAGGGACCAGAAGACGAAAAATGGCTTTCCACTGTTGCTCATTGGCTCGAAGTCGCCGTAGCCTGTGGGGAGTTAGTACGACCGACGGCATTATAGCGTGAGCGAGAGACTCACCGATTGTCAGTAGTGTTGTATACGAGAAATAGAGCGACTCAAAATATGACCACTGTTGATTCTTCTCCGCTTTATAGAATACAAAAGCTCCCATGGTCCACTGCCAACGCGTCAGCACAAGCTCGAGCAGCTAGTCTTCACTTACCAAGAACGCAAAAGCGAACGTTGAGACGGAGAGAGCCGTATACTTTCGGCGTGTAGAAGCAACCTCTTGAACCTTCCTCATAGCCTCGAATTCATAGTGTCGACGATCCAGCTCGGCCATTGTTCCATCTCCAGGCTGCAATGTCAGGGCTCGTTTCATTCTCTTGGGGATTCTGTGGGTAAGTGTCCGATGACTGCGCTGCTCCATTGCTGCGGCTATGCGGCGGACGAGTCTCTGACGTGTCTTCTCGGTCATTCGAGCCTCCATTTTACGTTTGCCTCTATCGAGAACCAGCGAGCGGATAGATCCAATCACGAGACCAAGGATGACAATGCCACCTAATGCGAAAATGAAAAGAAGTGATCTGCCAAGATGGGTCTTGGGAGTGTATGAACCACCGATACCAACGGTGAGCGAGGTGAAGTCGGCCCAGTATACAGCATCGAGAAACTTCCATCCCTCGATATGGGAGTATGCAAGGGCCCAGACGTTCTGATAGACAAGGAAGGAAATGGTCTGCAGCATAAGGGTCCGCTGCGCAACGGTTAATTTGAACTCCTTGCTGTAGTGTCCCTTCCAGGCACCATAGACTGTGACACACATCAGATACGAGACGATCTGGTAGATACCTGCAGCAAATATGGCGTAGTAGTATGCCTGTGTGAGCGCATGGTCGGCGTCTCCGGGTAGCTCGAACAGTCCGGAACTTGCGACCGAGATGAGTGCGATCAAAAGAAGCGAGGCAATCCAGAATCCAAGAATTGTGATGGGCTGGGCGACAGAGAATGGTATGCGGCGTGCCATATTCAGCAGTAGGGAGAGGTTTGCGATCAGAGCACACACCAGTGAGACGGCATTCACTGCGATGAGCCATTGTGGATCCACGACGTCGATGCCGTGCTCCTCAGTGCCGCCAGGTGGAATCCGAACTCTCCAGTTCTCGACGAGTGCGCATCTACCATTCGTGAGTCTTGCATAGGGCGCGAAACGGGGGTGTTCTCACATGCTGAACGCGTTGGCCATAGGCCCGAACGTGCCCGCAGCGAGCGGACAAGCCGTAGACGCGTACCACCATCGCGCGGGAATCAGGTAGGATTGCTCCTCTTCCTCTTCGTCAATGTCATTGGGACTATCTTTCTCGTATGTATCATTGACCTGTCCGTCGAGTTCGTCAATCGGTTGGTCGAGGCCAGGGTCGTTCATGTCTTGGTGGGGGCCGTGAGACGCGGTAGGATTATTCAACGACACATTTGCATTTTCGGTGGCTGGAAGGAAGGCAGCACCGCGAGGCTGGACTGAGCTGCATTCCTGGTGAGAATGAATCACTGCGTCAGGTCGCTGAGCCGATCGCAAGCAGTTATATCTGTCGACGAAGGACGCGCGGGTGCTGCGGAAGGTGGGATTGCCTTTCGGGACCAAGATCTAGGTGAAGATCAAGCACTAATCTGGGGAAAGCTTGGCCTACGAGCGTGTGGGGTACCTGCCATTCTAGTCCGGGCTCAATAATAACGGACAAACTTAGCTCTCAACCCTGCACGAGCTTCTATCGTGAGCTTGTGCATTCTGTATCTACGTAGTAAATTATTCAGTATTATTGTGATACATTCTGTTTCGCGGGCCCACCAGTTTGGGGCTACAAACGATCGTATGCGTCGCATAACGGGGGTATATATATTCACCTCGCTTAACGCTCATATGCTCCGACCCACAAGTTGGGCACTAAAATGTGGTGTATCCAGCCATCGATCCATCTCAATATTTTCGAGGTGAATTGTTGTAGGCTGACGGACCCATGGCTGGGTTGGCCATCTGGGGCCCAGGCAGGTCAACATCGACTCTCGGCTTGTTGTAGTCCTGGCTCGATAGAGTGGGCTGGTGCCGGATAATATAGTCCTGACTCCGACGACTTGTCTGCTGCCGACTGGCACGGTCCTGACTCGATCTGTTCGGGGGCTGTTGGCCTGTGAAGTTTTGGGAGCTGCTTCTGCCTTCCCTTGAATCTGTCACAGTGAGGTCTCTGCTCACCGGCCTCTCAGGCGGTGGCGCATTCGGGCTCACAACAGGCCTGGAAAGATCCTCGTCGGGATTGAAGGCACTGGCTTCGAGATCGTCGAAATCTTGCCCTGGATTGGCACCTTCGTATTCAAGGGCCTTGATGAACCAGTAAAAGCCGGAGGCGATCAGCGCACCAAGTACGGGCCCGAGCCAGTAAATCCAGTGTTCACTCGGAAAACTGGCATTGGCAACACAAGGCCCAAAAGATCGAGCTGGATTCAGGGATCCGCCAGTGTAGTACACACCGGCGAGCTCGGAAATGAAGAGGGAGAGACCGATGCCGACGGGTGCAAGATATGTTCCCTTGTGCTTCTCCGCAGCCAGCATGAAAATGGTGAAAATGAGGTTGGCGGTAAGGAACATTTCGATAAAGAGTCCCTGGGCCAAGCTCGTGCTGGCGCTGAGTGAAGTGGTGACCGCAAGAGGACCAGGGAATAGACCCTTGACCACACCGGCAGAGGCCATAGCTCCCAACATTTGCGCAATGACCGCGAGTCCTCCTCTTGACCAGGGGACTCCGCCAATCAGGCAAAGACCCAGTGTTACAGCAGGATTGAATAGCCCACCGCTTACTCGGTAGAAAACCCATGCGTTCACGGCCAAAGAGAAGCCGAAAGACAACGAGATATATAATAGCTGCGCCGGGTTCGGGCCTTGAGGTAGCTCGGTTGACTGGCTTCCGGCGTTCGTCGCAGGTGTGTTCGCAACTTGGGTGCCAGCGAAGGCAAAGAAGAGAAACATGAATGTTCCGACAAACTCTCCTGCCATTGCCACAAAATGGTTACGGATCTTCTTTGGTACCATGTTCAAGGGCGAGCTGGATTGCGAACCGATGCTCCTTTTCTCTGCATTGCCATTTCGGGTATCCGATGTCGTTTGGCCCCGACCAAAAAGGCCAGGGAGAAGACCCTTTCTGGAAGCGAGTCTATCCATATTGTCGTGTCGGAGAGCAAGACAGCGATATCGCTGATCGAGGACTTAGGCTCATATGCAGGAATTAAAAAGGCCACCTGCGGAAAAAGGCGTACTTAAAGTGCAGGGTGGGAGGACAGCAGTATTACGTTGAGAACACGCGGAGGACGAGATCTTTAGCGGCTAAGAGACATTGTTAGCTATGGATCGACAGTCCCCGCTGTCAAGAGAATGCTTTTGGTAAGGGTGATATGCGCCTTGGAGAAGCTCAGCAACCGCACAGCTGCCCACGATCGACATGTTAGACAGCATCGCAGAATTCGATGACGGCTCAGTCTAGCGAGATAGTGACGGCATCGACGATGGAGAGGCGTCGGACACGAGTGGGGACAAGAAACGCAAGGCTCGTGCTGAACGGGCCAAGAAACCGCCATTAAGATTATCGCAAGGAGTGGTTGACCGGAAGTAATGCTAGGATAACGAATTCGGTCAATTCGTAAGGACAAGACCACCAATTTGGCTGCAGAGGCGTCGCTCACGCTTAGATCGGCATACTGAGCAGTCCGCTAAAGGGCCAAGAAGGATTCGGCGAGACAGGCGAGTCGAAGGATACCGTATCGCGCATAGCCTGAATCTGACGGTTCCCTGCTAGTGCTCTGGGCTAGGCTTGGGGTCTGCCGGGGCTCGCCCAAAAGTTTCGCAGCGGGGCGGCGTGATCAGCCACCGTAGGCCTATTCCCACCACACGCGGCATGTCGGCTGCCACGATGACGCGTTGCAAGCATTGTAGACGTCTTCCGTATGGAAAGCTGCTGTCTACAGGGAGGGCGGCGAGAGTCTGAATGAGCTGAAGTTGACAGAAGTATCTGGGGGATAAAGTGGACGCTTCTTCAGCTGCAACCCGAAGACAGGAATAGTTTGTCTGCAGTCAGCAACAATTATCGAAGCTCGCAGGACCCTCCCGCGAACCTGAAATATTAGCTTTACCTGCCTACGGGATGGGTTTCCCACCAATTGTCAGCACGAGACCTACCGGACATGCGAGCGTCTCATCCTGCAGGGTTTCGAGCAAAGACAAAATGAACCATTCAAGAGGACGGAGTGCATTATTTCTAAAGCACAGATTCGACGACAGTAGAAGATTAGTACAAGTCTCGATCAGCATCGTGCTCTTGAATCTGGCATGGGAATTTCTCATGCTATGGAGCACCGCGAGACTGTGGCTTGGCATTCAGCCTCACTCTGGAACATATTCAGCCTTGCCTAGCGCGAGGGTTAGGGCTCAGGGCTTCCCCTCTCAGAGCCCTGTTTTCAGACTGCGCTGGTTGCGTGTCGAGAGAGTCTCGACCAAACTCTACCTGACCGACTGATTCGTATCTCCTTCCCCTGTACCTTCGTTCAGACACTCTCTCTACGTCCTTGTTCTTTCCTCCTTGTCCTCATCGAGCTACTGATGGCTTGCTTCGATTCTGTGGCAAGCTGGCGTTGAATCGAGCCCCTTGACACCTTCATCGAGCGCCCCTGTATCCGACATCATGCGGCCACTTCGATTTATATTGTTACTCGCCTTCTTCGTCGCCCTCCCTATATTTTTGACCTGCTGGTCCCTCCTCTCATCCCACGATGCCTCTGCCGATCGCTTTCGAGTCGGTTATACCGAGGGCACCAGCCGCCTAAGAGCCTTCTTTTCATTTTCCACCCCTTCCTCATTATTCCCGCCGTCCGCTCTAATAAGCCTCACGAGCGACAACTCGACCTTCTTCCTGGCTAGGCCCGCCGCGTTTGGCCCGAGCCTTCCCACAAAAGGGTTGAGCGGAGAGTTGTGGGTGGGGCGAGGATTTGGCGACGAGGCAATTCTGGACGAAGAAGATCTGCACGCGGCAGGCTGGGAATTGGGCTGCTCAGATGTGCCTGGGTGGCGCGAAGATGAGAGAAAGAGGCTCGAGAGACTTGCCCTTGCCGAGAAACCCGCAAAGCGATCCATTGACGCCGTCGAACAAGATAGCGACGCATTGACTGCCGAAGAGTCATCCGACTCGACACCTTCTACTGACGATGGCACGGATGACTATCTACACCGGCCCCTTCCTGACTCTAACCCAGCTAAGCCTGGCAAGCTTGGAGAGCCTGCCAATGCCGATGCTACTAAGGGGAAACAACCTACCCACGCTGATATCGAGTCGTTGCAAGAGAGTGCTGATATTGCTGGCAAGATCGTTCTTCTCGCTCGTGGCGGCTGTGGCTTTCTGGAGAAGGTCAAGTGGGTCCAGCGACGTGGTGGCGTAGCCCTTATAGTTGGAGATCGGGAAAAGGGCGCTTCATTGACAATCATGTACGCCAAAGGGGACACCTCCAACGTCACCATCCCGTCCATCTTCACCTCCTGGAATGCAGCCCACTTGCTGTCCAGTATGGTCCCAGCTAAGGACCAATCCGATGTCGTTGACGCTAAGAACGATAAAGCGCAAGCTCAAGGGAACAAGCCTGTGTTCACTTCCACCACGTCTACTGCTCCTACCAGCACCACAACGCCGGTCGATCCTGACGACCCTCACGGCTGGATGCAAGACACTCTTGCTGCTATTGGACTTGCTGACAACAACTGGCACCAAGAGGATACTAGGCGTCCTCCAGGGAGCGGCAACATCCAATGGGTTTTGGCAGAGAATTGGGATGATGATGTCCAAGGCAAGGCTGATGCGAAGGACGACGACCAGACCTTGACCCGTACCACGACCAAGATTGCTAAGAACGCAAAAGCGACTGCCACCACTGCGACTGCAAAGTCTAAGAACGGGAATGTAGGAGCAGACGATTTTGTCATTGGCGTTCAGGACTGGCGAGATACGCAATTGCTGGAGCCAAAAGTCACGACAACAGCAACCGGAAAAGCCGCCGCGAAAGACGCAAAGGTCAAAACCGATACGGCAGTAGTTGCGAAAGGGCCTCAGGCTACCGAGACTGTTCTGAAAGGTGGAAGTATCACTCCTGGAAGTGGCGAGTATGACCATTCCAAACTCGACCAAGCAGGACAGCCGAGAGACAAGGTTGCTGCCGACGGGTCCCGCAGGCAGGGTGCTTCAGAGAAGCAGTCCGCAGGGTCTAAGACTGGTGGTTGGTTCTCGTGGCTCAAGTCCAAGCCCAAGGCGGCTCCCACTCCGCAAACCGTCAAAGCAACGAACACATCTCCAGCCAAGCAGCCCACCAAGAAGCCAAAGGAGAAGCCAGAGCCAGAGGCTCTCTGGGTCACCCTGACACCAACCAGTGTCTCTACCAGCCCATTCTTTGATACACTGCTTGTGCTTGTTGTGAGCCCTCTGGTGACGTTGACCGTCGTCTACGCCCTACTTCTGCTTAGATCCCGGATACGGCGGAGACGCTGGAGAGCTCCTAAATCTGTGGTAGAAAGGCTGCCGGTGCGGACATACCACACTATGACCACGTCGTCGTCGACCACGTCGTCGCAGGTTGCATCCCCGAACCAGTCGAACGCAGCATCCCCTCTGCTACTTCCAGCTACCCAAGAAGTAAGTGGAAGACCGAGACCTAGGTCGCAAACGACAAGTTCAGTACTGCCCCCTCAAGAATCTTCACGCTCTATGTCGCTCAGTCCGCCCTCGGAGAAACCAAAAACGACCAGCAAGCGCAGGAGATATAACGGACGACAAGTCGAGTGCGTTGTCTGCTTGGAGGAATATGTGGACGGCGAGTCTCGTGTTATGTCTTTACCGTGCGGTCACGAATTCCACGCCGACTGCATCACGCCCTGGTTGGTTAATCGCCGGCGAACCTGTCCTATCTGCAAAGGCGATGTGGTTAGGAGCATGGCTCGAGGTGTTCATGACGATTCCGGAGCCGACCGAGACCTGACAAGCGAAGAAGTACAGTCACGTGCTGCCGACACAGTAAACGAAGAGCCAAGCTCGGCAATACCCATTCCTTTGCGAGAAGAAGAGTCAGAAGATGAAGACGTGGAACGTGGTCAAAACATTGATGAACCTCTGTTAGGTGGTCCGCAAACAGAGCCGCCATCGGCTTGGCGAAACATCCTTGCAACGAGCCTCAGCAGACTGAGTGGCGAGACGGTGTGGCGGCAGACACCAAGCGACCGTAGCCGCTGAAACATACAGATCCTTCACAGCGTTGTCCGGACATCTTAGACGGAATTCGATATGGCGTTCTGGAGCGTGGTAAGGTGGCTCCGAGGTGCGGTGTGTGATTATCTTAGGTCATTTTTCATTGAAGCAGTAGCAGAATCGATACCCCTCATGCATGTACTTAAACCTGCCGCTTTATGACTTGTGTCATATGCTCGTCAGCCTGCGGAAACTTCATGCTGACGCTATTTGACAGAGAAGCTAAACTGTTCCAGGTAGCCGAATGCTCGACGACTCCTGGGTGTCTGGATGCCTGGTTGCCTTGCCGGCGCCGAAATTCCTGCCATACTTAATTTGTCTGCGCCCACGCCCATAACATAATTCAGATCTACTTCAACGGAGTTCCTGCGTTGAGATCGTGCCACCGAATTGGCACAAGCCGTGCATAATCATGGTGTTCCGTGGAAGTTGCACCACGAACCCGTCAGCCCTTGAACGACCGAGCAGGCTGATCCCATGCACTGCCTTTCTATCTTCCTTGGCCTTTGCGTCCGCTGCATCTGTTTAAGTTTTGTCAGTATAGGTTGAAAAGTCCATGCCGCACCACCAAGGTCGAGTGATTTCGAAAATCGAGTGCGAAAGAGGAGCTGAACATTCTCCAGCTGTTGATTCTGGTACACATTAAGTATTTGGGCATGTAGTCTTTTCCTCTGCCAACCTCTCTCTCTTGTTAGAGAGAGCAGCCGTAGTGCCATCCGCCCAGTTTCTCCTGCACATGCAAATCGACGGTAGCAATCCCAGGTAGTCCTCGACCGGCATTCCGCTCATCCTGACCCATGATAAAACATGCTTTTTACACCCCCCCCAGAAATCAGTCCTATCAATACAATGCTTCTAGCAAGTACAGAATGCCAAACACGAGGAATGCAATTGCACCGCCCATGGTAATCGTGCGCAGGCTGACCCGACCCGCGATAGCCTTGCCACCAATTACAGCCACGCCAGTGCAGATGGCATGCCCTCCTAGAGCACCGGCCGTGACCCACCAGTAGTCTTGACCCGCGGCCATGGCAATCGTGGCAATCTGTGAGCGATCGCCCCATTCGCCGAGAAATGTCATGACAAAGGTCTGTACCCAAGCGGGCGACAGGAGGAGCGAGAGTAGATTCGTGAAGCCGTCGATGGCGTTTTTGAGAGCCGAGCCTCGGGAAGGAGAGACGTCACGTGAACCCGCTGATGAGGGAGATGATGGGGGCGATGGGAGTCGACCAGGACCACCACTCGAGCGGTGCTTCCGAGGCGCCCGGCCTGCTTCGAGAACGTAAGGTGATATCGAGCTCCGCCTCCGAGCACGGCGCGCAGCCTGGTGTTCCTTCTCTTCCAGTTCCATCTCTACCTCTTTCATCTCCTCAGTGACACCCTCGTCTGGAGAAATTCCACGCGCCTCGAGAAAGAGACGAACTCCGAAGACGAGGAAGAGGCCCGCCGCGAGGAAGTTGGTGATGTGAGGAGAGATGAGAGATGGGACGGCATGGCCAAGTAAAGCGGACAGGACTGTCATAACGAAGAGCGCTCCATATGCTGCAGAGAAGACCACCATCCGATCGTGGCGCATGGCCATGAGGGCGGCTACCAGGAAGGTCTTGTCGCCAATCTCGGAGAACATGATCATCGTGAAGGAGAGGAAGAGCGAATGCAAAGGGGAGATCACAGCGGGTTCATGTTCTGAGCCGCTCTCGGGCGTAGAGGTGAAGTCTGGTGGTTGCTTCGAAGGATCCATGGATATGGTGTCGTCTTTCGGAGAGGACGGGTTCTTGGGGTTCGGAATGTCGTGAGGTCGTGCTGGAAGATCTGTTGGCGCCTGCGCTCTAGTCAGTAGCTGGATTCAGACGTTCATATGGGGACTCACGTCAAAGTTCTGAGGCTTCTTGTTCTCCTCTACTGCATCGCCTGTGATCTCGTCGCCCTTGGTCTCGTCACTGGCCAATTCCATTCTCTCCTTTTCCGAATGCGGCAAGGGAGGTGCCTCTTTAGGCTGCTCGGGCTGTTTGCCAACGGGCTTCCCGTCTTTCGTTCTCTGAGATACACCCCCCCCGGTCCCTCTCGTGCCCTCCCCAGGGGCTTTTCGGTTTGGATCATCCATGACACCGTCATTAGACTGAGGCATGTCTTTCGCAGGTTTTGACTCTTTCTCATCGTAGATTGCCTCTTCTTCACCAACATCCTTCAGCTTCTGGTTCTTTCGGTCTGTTTCCGTCTCGATCCAGGGGCCTTCGTGTGGCATGCCATCCTTGCCATCGACAGGAGCGTGTTCTGTTCCCAAGCGTCCTGTACGTGTCTCGCTCGCAGGATCTGACGCACCCACGGGGTCTCTCTTCACCAAATGAGTTCGGTCTGACGAGTCAACATTGCAGGACGCGACTGTGGCAAGGAGGAATATAATCAAAGACGTCCTCCTCCTGTCGACCTTCATTGTAGGCTCTGGTTCGACTGAAACACGAGGAAAGGGTAGGTCCTCGAAAAAGGGTATATGGCAGTCCCAGGTGATGATACACGAATTCAAGGTAAGAAGTGAAAAGAATGAGGCACGCGACAGGTGGATGAAGTGGTGAGTAAAGGAGACAGGCGGGCGATGGGGGCGCAGGAGACATGCGCTGCCAAACTCCTTTCTGTACTTTTGGTCAGCCAATCAGCAGCCTCAATCGGGCACAGGCTTGGCATCAGCGCAATTCTAGGACCTAGGCGTTCCAGATCATCAGCTTTCTCCTCTCCTCACCATCGCTTATTCGCAACCAGACGTTCCCAGCGTCGGCAGATACTCGCCACGGATGTTGTCAAACACGGTCTCGGCACAGACTCGTCCATTGCCCAATGGCTATGCCTCTGCATTGCGGCCTTGAAAACATCGGCGTGTCGTCTTCGTCGAAGCTGCTCAGACCTCGTAGGTACGGCATCCGAGAGCAATAAGTCAGTATCACCGGTTTGAGGGCTGCCTGTGCTCGTTCAAGATCGCCGACCCTGCTGGTTGGTCCTTCGTGGCGATGTTTCGCGGAAGCTTGCAGATATTCATGCTCGAGGTGTCGGAAGAGGTCTACAATTCCTCGCTTTGATCGAATACGACGATCGCGCTTCCGGACAGGTGGTCCTCAAAACCGAACGCCAACAGGTAACACTCTGCAAGGCATTTGCGACATGATCGACGTAAACGTACCCAGCCTGGTCTGTCTGATTCGAGTACCCTGTTCCGTGCGTCTGAATCGGTTCCCTCCCGTGGATGCAGGAAGGGATCCCTCCACAGTTCGCCCACTCCAGCACTTGGTCACACTATTTGGAAACGAGTTCACTCACTCGAGGTCTTGCTTATCAATCATCCTTCCAAGGGGTCATCCTTACACCACCATGTGCGCCGCGCCGGTATTGACGCCAGATCACTTAAATGGAACATGCGTGTGTTGGCCAGTGATGCACTATTCCTCTTTTGTCGTATAATTTCCTATCTGGGACATTCATCTGCAGACCCATGCCCATGTACAATGGTTTTTACTAATGACTAAGCAGTCTTGACCATTGCACCAAAGACGTTCGAGCCTGACGAGACTACGAGTGCATGTCGATAAACGTATAAAGCACAACGCCCTGCTCCGTCCTTGACACTTCCTCAACGAACAACTCCCAGCTCTAATTCTAGTCCTCGATACAACGCAGAATCATCTATAACAGGCATCTCTCTGCGTTCAAGACGATGGCTGCCGCTGCTCATGTCGCCTCCGGAGAGCAATACTTTCCTCTCGCAACCCAGCGCAGTGATGGCTGGCATAGAGATGGCCGAGCAACTGCCACTTGCTATTGCGGCACTATACAGCTATCATTCGTAAGTACTACCTCCAAGACAATCGAAACCCACATCTGACTTTCACTTTCCAGCCAGTGGACGGTCCCGGGCTAGTTGGCACTTTTGTCTGCAACTGCAGTGACTGTCACAAATTCCACGCAAGCATGTTTGCGTCCAATTTCACCATCGACGACAAGTACCTTGTCCATGAACGTGGTCGCGACAATCTAAGCGTCTACGCGCAGAACAAGACCATTGAGTCGGGGAAAACGATGAGCAACTACTTCTGCAAGACCTGCGGGACCCTCATGTATCGCGTCGGTGAGGATTTCCCGGGCCTGAGTATCCTCCGCATCGGCACGGTGGATGACTTTACTTTGATGGAAACCAAACTGAAGCCGAAGCTGGAGCAATACACAAAGGATCGAACTTCTTGGTTCACTGGTGTTGAAGGGGCTCGGCAGACCGAGGGCGATGGGCTACGCAGTTAGGGCGGCGACCTCATACGCCCTCCACAGCCCGCAACTGCTCCACAGTATCCACCACCATCTTCTCGAGACCAATCCAATTGATGTTCAAAGTCCTCTCTGTCTCAACCATATCAGCATCCCAATGATTCAATGTCTGCACATCTTCACTCGTCTTCCACCCAAACTTCTCCCTTATCACCCCCGCAACATCCGAGTACGGCACCCGCCATGGCCCAGCAAGCAGCCTCTTCCCCTCAGCCTCCGGTGTTATCAACACCTTCACATGCGCCTCCGCCACATCCCTAACATCCACCCAATGCACAAACTCCAAATCCTGCAGCTTCTCCTCCGGCTTCGACCTCGCAATGTTCCAGATTACCCCGGCGTTGTAGCTGATACCCTTCAGACCTTTGGGCAGGGGTAGCAGATACGGCCCCCCAATCGACGCCGGCAAGACCGTACTCAGGCGCCACCGTGGCTTCGCTGCCCTGTAAAAGTCCCACGCCGCCTTCTCAGCGAGCGACTTGCTGGCGCAGTACGTCACGAACGGCCTGTACTTCTCCGGCCAGTGAGTCAGATCCAGATTCGGATCCGCGGCTTCGGCGTAGGTCGTGGGGTTCCAGTCGGCGCCTGTGTAGGTATAGCCTTTCCTGCTGCCTTGCTTGAGGTCGAACAAGGCAGCGAAGGAGGATGTGACGACTACTGCTTCGAGATTTGGACAGTTTGCGGCCGCTTTGAGCAGGGCGGTGGTGCCGCGAATGGCGGGGATAAGGAGGTCGTTTTCGGTGTCTTTGGGTGCGACGACCAAAGGAGAGGCGACGTGTGCGATGTGGGTAACATCTGATAGCGCATCTGTGAATGCGCCTTCCTTTGTGATGTCGGAGATGAGGATGATCTCAAGGGTACCGGCTTTCACGTGGGAGGAGAAAGTGGTGGCCAGGGCATCAGCCGACTCCTGGCGGCGGCACGTGGCACGAACACGTGGGCGAGTAGCTTCAGGCCGGGAGAGCAGCTGTGACACTACATGCTGCGCTACATGGCCGTTGGCTCCTGTCACAAGGACGATGGAGAAAGGGGTGAAGTCTTTGATTGCTGTCATACTGTGCTGGTTCGCTGGTATCGGTTGTAGCACTTCGAGATCCGGATAGCAATGCAAATATTTATATATTTTCACTTGATGCGGTCTTGCTTCGGGCCATGCTGTGCAGGCAACGACGATATCCATTCTATTGCTGAACACACCAATCATAGAGTAAAATTCTTGTAGGGGATGCGGACTCTCCGCATGGCGAAACATGGGCATTGCTATCTCCGTTCAAACCCCCATCGCCTTGCGCAAGCTGACATTATCAAGTTGAGTGTTCGACCGAGATTTGCATCGCTCTTGACAATATCTTGAGAATCCCTGCCGCCATCTCGTAAAGTATCTGCGATCTAGACGGCTCCAAAAGCACATCGTATGCTGTGCCGACTTCTCAGGCAGTGAATATGGAGCTAGGGCCAATCCGGACTAGCTCGTTAATATGGGCTTGGCATCGAGTTTGATCTGTTCTCGTCTTCTCGCATCAACTTTGCCCAGACCTCATCATTCGCACTCGCGAATCTCAAGACTATGGCGAAAGATAATGTGAGCCGATAGACCGCATCTCATACGTCAGGCCATCACTAACCCATCACAGAAGCGAAAACGATCCGATACAAACGGGACCACCTCCTCAGGACCCGACACTTCCAAGCCCACCGCTGTGTTTACGCCCAGTGGCCCTCGCTCCACCACTCTTACTGTTGCTCTTCCTGGGAGCATCATCGCAAACGCCAAATCGCACGACCAGAAGACCTACCTTGCCGGCACGCTCGCCCGCGCCTTCGCCGTCTTCTGTGTCGACGAGGTCGTGGTCTTCGATGACCAGCCCGCCTCCGCCTCATCTCGCTCCCGTCGCGGGAACGACAATGAAGGTTATACGGCACTATCTGACCCAAGTCATTTCTTGATTCATCTGCTGAGCTTCCTGGAGACGCCGCCACATCTGAGGAAGACGCTGTTTCCTATGCACGACAACCTAAGGACGGCAGGCACGTTACCCAGTTTGGACATGCCGCATCACCTGCGGTCGAACGAGTGGTGCCCCTACCGCGAGGGCGTCACGACTACGAAGTCTAAGGCAGGGACGAACGTGGATGTCGGACTTGGTGACGACTATCTCCTGCCTGGCGTGGAGATTCCCGCGAAGACGCGAGTCACGGTGCGCTTGCCCGAGGACGATAGCGTCGAAGCCGAAGCGGTGGCTCCAAGCACACCCAGGGAAGTGGATGGATTCTACTGGGGCTACACCATCCGAAGAGCAACATCGTTGTCTGCAGTCTTTACTGAGTGTCCATTCGATGGTGGCTATGATATCAGCTTCGGGACCTCTGAACGCGGAAGATCTGTCTCGTCGCTTACGCCATCAGATGTGCCCGAATACCAACATTTACTGCTGCTCTTTGGCGGCGTGGCCGGTCTAGAGACGGCGGCACGAAACGATACAGACTTGAAGGAGAGGGGCATCACCGGCGCCAATGTCAGCGAGTTGTTCGATTTCTGGGTCAATCTGGTTCCAGGACAGGGCAGCCGAACGATCCGCACGGAAGAGGCGGTCTGGTGCGGCTTAATGGGCCTGAAAGGGATTGTGGACGAGCGACGAGCATCCGAAGCAGATGTTTGAGGACGTGGGAAGTGGAGTGGACATCAAAAGGGTTACCGATAACAAGCGCCAAATGGCCCGGAGTTTGCTTTGTCCATTGAACTAACAATGCTCCCGAACTGTTAACGCCAAACCGGAAGTTGTACCAAAAACGTACGCCCTCGAGAAACCATGCTTGCCCAAAAACAGCCAGCCTCTTCAACGGCGCTTCCCCCGAATGTGGTACCGATACATTACTGTAGCGCAATTGCTCAGCTTTGAGATCTTCAACTGGTCGCTGGTGGAGTTTGGTCTTGGCCTTTCATGTACTCAACCATCTCGTCGGGACTCAAGTATCCTTCGAGTCCCTGGTTGAAGAACCACCGCCATAGACGTCGACGTCGATTAGACTGGAGGCTCAGACGCCTCCAGTTCATGGGCCATGGTGTTGGCCGCATCTATATCGAGTGAGTCTGTTGTCTTTGAACTCAACGGGGATGGTACATACCTTGAGCATGGTACCACGCCACTTGGATGATGGCGACGATGGCAGCCATCGCGGCAATGCTACCGAATATGGCTGTCAGGGCGATGGCAATCGAGACCATGACTTTTGCTTGGATTTAGAAGTCTCTCGTGAGTGAAAGACTGGCTTTGTTGAGTTGTGTCCCTCGAAGATACTTGTCAAAGTAAGGTTATTTGGTGGCTGGAGTGCTGAAGTCGAGTAACAAAATGACGGATGAGGATAATTATCTTGCGCAAGAATTAATTGTGAACTTCAACAGGAGGAGCTGGCAAGCTCTTTGTACATCGAAGCTAGATTCCAGTGTCCCAACCTGAGATTGCCGTCCTGTGCACTTGATGCCCTGGTGTAGCCGGCCGTCACCAATATTGGATGGATAGATAGGCCACGCTCAAGACACAGGTACCAAAATACCAACCCTGAGGATGCAAACTTGATTGGCCATGGCCGGCCCTTAGTCTCATGGACACGGCACCCTTGCCCCTCCCGTTCGGCACTGCACTGTGTGCAGACCCTAAATCGCCCGCGTCGGGCTCAACCGCCTGTATCGCGTGTACCCGCCGGCACCGTACACGGTCCGCAAGCCACGACCCCTGCAATCTGCGGCTCTCTTGCTGCCTCGTCTAAAACGAGTCCTCCACCCTGTCAAAGTCTGAAGGTACGAGTTGGATGAACGAATCATCTGCCCGCCCTGGCCTTGCCTCGCCCCCTTGGAACATTGTGGCTGCGGCACGCCATCATCCCTTCGCTCATCAGAACAGCGGGCTGGCTTTCGTCAGGAAAGATGTTTCCGCTTGTATGACGATACGGTAATTTCGTGGAAACACCCCTGCTTCGATGCCCCAAGCGCGAGCCCCGCCTGCCCTCTGATGGTCAATAGCAGCCGATCCCTTTCGTTGTATGGCCATGCCCCCAGCCCCAGCCCGTGTCTTTGTCTTTGGCCCCATGCTCGGGAAATCGAGATGGCAGCCTGGCGAGTCTCAGATGCCATCATTTCGGTTCTCGCCCACCTCGCCTCTTCCACGTTCTTCAAGTGAGCCGCTAATCACTCTAGTTAGCCTGCTGGGGGTTGAATTACCACCGCGATTGTTTCTATCGAGAATCCCATCATCTTTGAAAGGAGACACAGTGCCGTGGTGTTGCTGTATATTCCAGCCGAATCCCTCAATCACCTTCGCAGCACGATGGAGACTCGGAGAGCACATTGACGTAACAACAGAAGTCGTCTCACTGTCACGGCCACAAACAACATTGTCTTACAAGAATGACCCACTGACTCTGGTTGCTTACAAGGCAATTGGGGAGTTCAAGTTGCTACCTCCGGTAGCTCAGCGTTGGCACTGTTAAAAATACATACGACTCTTCACAAGTCTAGATAGTTTTCATTGCTTCAACTATTTGTTACTTACTAGCTTCCAAAATCGCGCAATTGTACTTTCTGCCGCTGGGATCCTTTGAAGGTGCCAAGACCAAATATCTCCACGTACCCGCTCACTGCCGGAACCATGTTGCACTTCACACCAAGCACTGCAAGGTGATGTGCGTATCGGGCAGCTCTTCCATTTTCCTCCATGACATGTCGGCAACGCCAACTACGTCGCCCTGCGACGAGACAACGACACGACCGTACGGAACCGCTCCACATCGACCAGGATGGATCCTGGAAGAGCATTAACACTAGCATTCATCGTCATGATAGGTGTGGGGGTAACGGCACCTCTATCCCGCTTAGCAAATATGTGCCCTCCAACGACAACCCCGAAGAGTGCGGCGACGCCAGAGAAGTCGCTGGTCCACCAAGATGGGATTGACGAATAGAACGATGCAGCAAGGCTGACGTGCCTGGCTCTAGGTCTTGCCGGAATTCGACTTCTGTTGTCACGGATCTAAAAGCAAACGTGTAAAGCGGAGCATCGATAGAGAAATATAATCGCACTCCACTGCCCACACCATCCCGGTCAGCGTATGGTGTTTGGTACCTGCGGTAATCCCGCCGTAACGCTGTCACCAATACGTACGATCCGTTACGGGTACAGATAAATTTTATTACTTCAAGTATTGTTCGTACTAGCTTCGAAACCGAAAGCTAAAGCGCGCACTCCCTGGGTGCAACAGCGGCTCTCCTCGTTACTTTGAGCCCACCTGCCTGTCAAGGCAGGAGGAGATAAATCCACACCCCCTGATTGATGGACTCCTGACCTATCTGCCCTAACAAGTATGCCGAGTAAAGTAACGAGGACAGCGGCTGTGCACCCCTGGTATATCAACAAGTGACTGACCCGCGGTTTAACACGAAGATCTGGCCGTTGCTTCTTGGCGTGGCTCTGACCGGTATTGTCAATGACAGATCCCGGCCTTGTATCGTCCTGACGTGGGCGGAGCTAGCTACAGTTCATCGAAGTGCCCAATCAGAGCCACGACTTTGTGCAGGCATAGGACTTTTTCTTGGCTTGAGACACCCGGAGAGCTGGCTTGCCGTACCGAGTACAACAGAGGAAAGCTTGGGATACCTTGGCGAGAGGCTTAGGACACCTTGAGAAGCTCGCCAAGAAGACGAGACGCCACGATGCCAACGCCCCGCAAAACATTGAGCAAATTAGGGAGGCAGTCGGTTTCACCTCCCAATCCCTGATTACCGCAGGAAAACGCAACCAGAGCTGGCTCGAGAATCCACGTGCGCCGTGTTCTTCCATCCGTCAGTCCTGACACCAGCCTTGTAGGTCTGCGCCACAAGAGGCGAACATGGCGGCGCTATCATACAGTGACTGGACACGAATGGTATAGATTATGGTATCACACGTAATTATCGCAGCAAGGCTTGATAAAGCCCCGCCTCGTCATTCCCTTCCACAGTGTCTCTCCACAGAAACCTTCTGCTCTCCTCATTCGCCTCCTCCCATCAACATGTAGCAGGCCCTCTCACTAAGCTCCTCGCTTGCTCAGTTTTCAAGCTAGTGGCCCTCGCGATGTTCCCCCTCCGCCTCACCCGAGCTACGGTCCAAGTCCTGCTCCTTCTCTCTCGCAGCCGCCAACGCCGCCGCGTCTTGCTCACGGCTCCGATGCTGCTGGATGGGATCCTCAGGATCAACGGCAAGATCCGTGCCAGCCTCCTTGCGGATCCTCGCGATCTCCTCTGGAGGCGGCGCCACCCATTTGGACGATTTCCATGGCAGCACGCCTGAGATGTACATGGTGTCGATCTCTTCGAGGGTGCGGCCTAGGGTGCAAACGTTAGTATGATGGGGTCGAAAAGCACTTATTTGGGAAAGTAGAATGGGTGGGGAGGGAAGGGAAGGGGAGGGGAAAACGCGTACCTTGGCCTTCCATAACGAAGAAGAAGACGATCAGACCACCGACGAGGTTGCAGGCGGCAAAGACGTAGCCATAACGGAAGTCGATGGCGCCGGTGATGAAGGGGGTGAAGAAGGCGAGGAGGAAGTTCCAGAACCAGTTGGAAGCGGTGGAGAGGGCCATACCCTTGGCGCGGTAGCGGGAGGGGTAGAGCTCGCCGCAGATGGTCCTGATGGGGGCGTCAGTGTGGCTGCAAATGGATGGAGTTGTGATATGGGAAGAAGGTAGAGGAAGGTAAGAGACGGTCAAGGTTCAGGAAGGACGGATGAGTGTGACATACCAGATCATAGGGCCCCAGGTGGTAGCGAAGCCGAAAATGAACAGAGAGGCGATAACGATCATGGCGGTGCCAGTATCTTCGGTACTTTGTGGGTCATCGCGGTTGAGCGAGAAGTGACCTGTGAAGGCATTAGATGAGGCGCTGGCATTGAAGGATTTTGAAGCATACCAACAGAGGCGAAGATAAAGAACATCATGCTCATCCACACGGATCCGACGATCAGCGATTTCCTGCGGCCGTAATGTTCGACAATATACAAGCCGTAGAAGGTTGTGCCAAAATTGATTCCGTTCAGAATCATCTGGGTCACGAAAGAGTTGTTGATGCCTGTTGCTTGAAAAATGACCGTGCCATAATAGAAGAAGTAGTTGGCACCGGTCAGCTGCTGGAACATCTGCAAACCCATACCCAGAGCGATACGGTAGAACATCTTGGGCGCGGAGAACATATGAATCCACTCGCCAACGAGAGTGCGCTGCTGTTCTTCGGCACGCAGCTTCTGTTCGATCTCCTCGAGCTCGACGTGGATGGCGAAATGATTGGCCGGGGCACCGTAGACTTTCATCATGGTGGCCTTGGCCTCTTCCTTCCGACCACGGCGGTACACGAAGCGAGGGGTTTCAGGGAAGAAGGTGATACCTCCAGCCAGGATTATTGGCCAGAGAAAGCCGACGCCGAGCGGGATACGCCAGGAACCGGAATTACCGCGTTGGTGCTCATTGGTGCCAAAGTTGATACAGGCAGCGAGGAAGATACCAAAAGTGATGAACAGCTGGTAGGTGGAGATCAGTGAGCCACGAATATGGCGGGGACCTGTTTCGGCCATGTACATTGGTCTGGTCGATGTATCAGTGGAAGTCCTAGTTGATGACTTACAGGTCGCACTTACACTAGCAGGGAGAGCGCGCCGACGCCTAAACCTTGGACCCAACGACCCATCATAACCTGGTACCATTTGTCGTCGGCAGCTATCATGACGATATTGCCTACGCAGAAGATACCGCACCAGACTTGGACGGAAGGCTTCCGCCCAATAATATCGGCGATGGGACCACCAACCAAGGCGCCCATCAGCGTACCAATTGAGAGCATGCCCACGATGAGGCCAGAACGAACGTTGCTGAAGTAATAGGTGCCATCGTCATGCTGCAAGCCGAACCTTTCCAGGAAATCGGGCATGGCCAAGAAGCCAGAGATCTGACCTGCTGGATGTTAGACGAGCCAGGACGAGAAGTGGAAGTGACTGACCTGTATCATAACCGAAGATGAAGCCGCCCATCGAGATCAATACGGCCATGTAGAACGAGGGCAAAGTGATACGGCGAAGTGGCGAGTAGTCGAGGTGTCCCAGAGACTTTCTCGCCTGGTCTGAGCCATCGTGGCTCGGGTTGTACTTCGCATAGTCGACATGGGTAGTCAACCCTAGCGATTGCCGGGTGGGGACCTGGAACTTGGGACGGTTCACGTTGACCATCCTGCCTACGTGGCTCGCTGAGAGCTGTCAGATTGCACAGCTTTTCAGGAACAGGAAGAGATGAGAGATCGGGTCGGGCAGATGCAGGCAAGCTCGCTCTTTATATGGGCCACAGATGAGCAGTGCGATGCAACATAGGGACCGGGGTGTGGAGGCCCATGCCAAAAGTAGGTAAGTACTGCCTTGGATTGCAAAGGTAGCAACGGGTCAATGTCAATTGTTGTGTGGCCATCATGGGATGGACTTAGCGGTTGGTTGCAACGGGAGTGCGCGATTTGCTCGTTGGCACAGTAAGCAAAGGGCCAGCAAGCTGGCAAGGGGGTACCGCGCCCTGCAGAGGGACTGCTGTACTCGGGCGTCCTATCGCAAGGAGACGTGGTATGTTGACAATAGTGCAGCGATGCTCCAAACGGCCAGTGGCGAGCCTGACATAGTCGGGGTGCAGTCACAGGACCGGAAAATATTGGGCGGCGAGGGAGTTCCACGGCACCTGATGTTCAAAGAATTTGGCCTCTGGTGTGCTCGTGCAGCAGCCTTTGGCTGAATCTGGGGTAGTCCCGCGGGATGCTACACGTGTCAGGCAGTTCGGAAGGCTGCGGAATAAGGGGTACCCACCTTGGGGCGAGGAGCGTCAGCACAGCACGATTGGTAAAATCACACGACCTATGACGTGTAATTGTAAGCAATACCGGGTATGTTAGCATCTTCTGTCACTGAGTGTTCTGATTTGTGATGTTGAGTGGAGAGTACCCCGTGGGACTAACCGTCGGGGGTTCTGGAAACCATCTTCGTCTTCGTATCGTACACGAGATGGAAGTATTGAGTTCGTAGGTAAGCAGCGATGTAACATGAAGGTGGTGCAAAGTGGTGCATGAGGACAATGAGGATATACTCCTTGTGCAGTAAACGCTACTCATGAGGTGACCGGGATTGAGGCTCTGATGGAGGGGTGGAAATAAAGGTGCACTAGGTGCACTAGCATTGCCGGGATGTGCACTAGTCAATTGTGCACAACTCAACTTCGACTTCCGTCGGCAGTTGATCTTGGCGAATACTCGACTCGGACGGGAACTAATGCTCGAGGAGGGTGGCTTGATGATACCTGGTAATAAGGAGTTCGGCAGCTCCCTGAGTAGATCAGTGACAGAGAGCGGCGCTTTAAGCGTAAACTCCGGCTGCGGAACGCATCTAACAGTCGATGAGGTGTGCTGACTGTCGACTTTCGGTATCCGTGCCGCCGGAGACCTCTGACTGGGTCGCGGCGACGCGCAAGAGTTTCTGTATCTTGGTCAGGCAGAGCTCATGCTGTGAAGAAGGGCAAGCTGTCTGCCATCAACCCTGTGAAGCTGGGAGACGCTAATCCAAATGCGGCCTAGATGGAAACCGACCTGACTTTCCCGCGCCGCAGCACCATCGACCATGAGCAATTTCCGCACCACGACAGCACTACCCTGAGACCTATCTTTGTCTCTCCCGATCGCTTGAACTGAGTCGGCCATGCCTGGCTACCGTCCACGTGGCGGTCATCCGCCAGTCGAGCCTAGATCATTCCAAGCGCACACATGCGAAGACTTCTATGACGACCGCCGTTCAAGATCAAGATCCCCAGATCGTAGACACAGCTCGCCCACTAGAAGACGGACTCCTCCATACGGTAAACCACGATGGGATAGAGTGCCTGGAATAGCAAAAGAGATGCTGATTTGATCTGCGCAAGACATTCCAAGAGCTCCGCGTGGACCTGGTTACTCCTACAACTCAGGCAGAAGAAGCCCTTCATGGCGACACAATAGCCGCGGCAGAGATGACACATACTCTGATCGACGCTCTCCCTCGCCTCGAGGTGCCAGATCTTATCATGATCGTGACCGCCCATACGATGAGGACCAGGACCGCAGACCTCGCGGCAGAGATCGGACCAGAACTCCAAGTCGCGATCGTTCTTCCAGTCGAGGTCGGCCCAGTAAAGAAGTCATGATGGATGGCCTGGCTCCGCATCTGACAGAGAGTGATGTTCGATTTCTCCATGCCGATCCTACCGATCAACGACTTTGCTTGTTTGAATGAGACTTGATGCTAAGATTTTGCGTGTCCTCGATAGATATCCGCCGAGCTCAAACAGCACTATCATGTCCATCGCCTTGACGACGTGCGAATCATCAGAGATCGACAGACCAGTAAGCCCGATGAATGACACCCGTGATGGGAACTGAAGACAGTGCTCAGAACAGTCACGCCAATTTGGCTTTTTGCGCTTTCCGACTCTAGAGGAAGCTCAGGACTTCATGGATCGCCACTATCCGACAATCTACCTTTATGGCGATAGCAGTAAAGCCCAAGGTGATCCTGACGATTCCAGGGTCCGCCTCAGCTACGGCAAGGAGCGTCGCGACACACGCCCTGAAGATACCGACTGGATTTGCTCTTCCGTGCGTTTCACCAAAAGGAGGAAGATCTTCGCTTACATTGACAGTGCAACGTCAACAACTACGCGACTAGATCGAAATGCTTCCGATGTCAGACCCCGAAGTCAGGTAGGAGACTGCTGTCTGTGTGTAGATCATGCTAATGTCCTCAGATGCGGCTGCAGTTGCAAAAATTGCCAACATCGGTGACAACGATGCATCTCCGGACAACACACCTTCCCAATTCCTTCTGATTCGCGGTCTGGAGGCATCCGTGTCGGAAGAAGTCTTTGCCAAAGGCATAGCAAAGCTCAATAAGCCTACAGGCATCACTGGCTCCTCCACCTCCAACCCTGGCAAAAAGGGTGCCAAGGTAGCTTCTACGACCGGCGACGCAAACCTCGGTGCTAGGGAGGGCACATTACGCCGTGTTCTCCTGGTGCGCGATCGTCGTACCAATGATAGTTGGCGCTATGGCTTCGCCGAGTATGCATCCATCGAGGACGCTCAAGCAGCCATCACGCGCTACAATTCGTTCGATCGATTCACCATCGCCTCCAAGCATGTTCTTGTCAGCTATATCCACGCTGGTGTCTTCGTGCCGGTCATCAATCCCGCACCGAGCGTCGAACGCTTCCTCTTCTCTCCGCTCAACAATCCATCACTCAAGCTCGCCTACTGGGATGAGGACGCCTATGTCACCGAGTTGGTAGTCTTTGCGCCAGACTCAACTGAAACAGATCTACGCACAGGCCAAGCTAAGCTCGCCGATTCCGAAGGTCTGAAGTCTAGCAGCGCTAAAGAGAAAAACAACGCAGCGATCAGAAAGCGCAAAGCCGAGTCCTCCGACCCCTCAACAACAAAGAAGCCTGCTCCGTCCCATCTCCAGTTCTGGAGCAATCGTCATGCCGAGCTACACGGTATTAAGTCGTCTGGTAGTGCCAATGGCTCCGAGGATGGCGAGCTTTCCACCTCTTCCACACCACTCGTGGCTACCACACAATCCTTCGCAGACCCTGTCCGCCACTGCTGCTATCTGTGCATGCGCCAATTCAACGACGCTGCCGAAGTGAATGCACACGAGCGCGTAAGTGAGCTGCATCGTGCTAACCTGCGCAACAAGGCAAAACTACAGAAGGCATTGGCGAAGCTAAGTAAGCATGGCGTTGCTATTATCCCTGTTGAAACAGATGGAGGAGAAGTTGCATCAGAGTATCGCGATCGCGCTAAGGAGCGCAGAAAGGTCTATGGCGTAGTCAACAAAAAGGGAAAACAGGTCTCCGCATCCAAATCCAAGCCGAAGTCGAACGCCTCGTCTTCTGATGCTGAGACTCCCGCACCGAGCAAGGGAGCCGCGCTTCTGTCCAAGATGGGCTACACAGCAGGGCAAGGTCTAGGCGCCTCGGGCGAAGGCAGGAAAGAGGTCATCAGTCAGGATGTGTATGCGCCCGGTGTCGGACTCGGTGCGCAGGGCGGCAAGATGGGTGACGCTGTCGAAGCAGCAGAACGAAGTACCAAGGGAGGTTTCCAGGACTGGTTGGATCAGGGACGAGAACGTGCGAGAGAGCGGTATCAGGGGCTAGAGTAGCGCTGGGTGAATCAGTACAGGCAGTTGGTAGGGCGCGCTGATGCTGAGCTGCGATATCCTTAGTGGAAACGTCACGTTGGTCAATGACGGATCAATCGGGCGCGCAGCAAGGCAACATTAGATCGTCACGCCTCTCAATTTACGATACCTGCGCCAAGCCCACCGTCAATTGTTTCCGCACCCCACCCCGCCTTTATCCTCGTTGCCGCCCCTTTCCCCACCGTCATCGCATTGTACGACCTCCGTTGCCACACCCTTAGTACACACCTGCATCGCTTCCTTCCAACTCCCTGGGAAGAGGAATGTCCCCATTTCACTATTGGCTATCGCAGCTGAGAAGCGAGTATCAATGTACGCAGCCTGTTCAACAGCGGAATTCGAAATGCTGCTCTTGCGGTATAGGTGTCGTAGATCTGAAGAAGAATGATTACCAGCGAATCATCGACCTATGCAACGACGCCGCGGACGTCATTCTTACTGCAGAATCTTTCACCGATATTGGCGGTGTCATGTCCCATCCTTGAGCGCATGCCAGGTTGACGATGACGCTTCGATGGGACGGTTTCTAAGAAGCGGTCCATTTGGCTAGATTCAGGTATTCTGAACCACGTGCTTGGATACCCATCTGTCGGGTGGTTTTGAATCGCACAAATGGGCAAGGTTATGGGTTTGAACATGGTACATGACAAAGATGATCCATAGAACCAACTGAGAAGCAGATTGTATCGCATTGCTACCTGGCGTAAGGGCCTGAGCAAGAGGGCTACCAGGTTGCGGGTCAGTCGGTGTACCCGTATCTGGGCCTATATTTCCAAATGTATCGGCTCCAGTAGTGGCCGGATTGCTGTGTAGATGATCTCTGGACTGCCCCTGTGACGTTGCTGTCGGTTTGTGATTGCTCAATCCATCATGAAGTATTTGCAATCATGCTCTGGTTGCAGCAATGAAATTGTCCCACGAAGCCCAATCTCAACTTTCATCGGCGGCGCAGGAAAATTATAACGTCCTCGGCACACCATCTCTTCTTCATGTTTACAGTTGCCTGTGACCCGAGAGTCTGGTAAGTCTGTATTCGTCCACCGTCAGATCATTAGAGCAGCTCAGTTGCCGCAACGCAAAGAGCGGCGCCGCTTTCATTGGAATCAGCATGCAGGCAACTGGAGCCGGTGTGAGGCTGTGGTGAAATTTGTCTTTGCATTGATGGTGGAGCTGTCGTCAATTAGGGTATGGCCCGCGAACACGCTCTAGTCGTTCGCCGCTGAAACTGACCCTACAATCGTATTCGAACTGCTCTTATATTTGTTGACAATGGCTGGGAATATATTACTCAGAAGTGTGATCGCAGTCTGTATTGCAGCATAATAAGTAATGTAGAGAGGTCAAAAAGATAGAACTAGAAGAAGCAAAGGCTCGAGAGAGTTTGGTAGGTTGCACCCGCCTAGGCAATTACAAGTAGCTGCCTTATGGGCCTAGTCTAGCGTCTACGGAGTGGGACGGTTAAACCCTTGGCAGGCAACCCACGTTTCTACGGTGACCCACACAGGCCAACCGCCGCATGAAAGCCTTGTCTTTGACGGTCTGACTCGTCAGTCTTTGCGCCATGCGGCTATATACCTCAAGACTACGCCATGAATGATAGACCATCGCCACCCGGCTCATCAGCCTCATCGCCACTCTCGAAGCAAACGACGATGACGACACCCGAACAGACATCTCCAACACAAGACCCCGCAGCCGCGGACGATGACATCTGGGCGGACTCACCGCCGTCCACTACTCGAGACAACTCCACCAACCAAGAAGTCCTTTCTGATTTGCCATCAATACGTCGCCAACATATGACGGATGGCTACCGTGAAGGTCTGTCCCAGGGAAAGGCAAAAGTGATGCAATCAGGCTTTGATGAAGGGTATCCAATAGGCGTAGTAATTGGGCTGAGGGCAGGGAGGGTGCTTGGCGTGCTTGAAGGATGTGTGGCTGCGAAGGGCGTGAAACAGAGGCCCGATGTATTGGGTAGAGTGGAAAGATTGTTGAGAGACGCCAGAGCGGATCTTGATCGACGGAAGTTGATGGAGGGCCTCGAAGATTCGGTAGTTGCGGAGGCGAAGGGCGTGCCTGAAAGGGTTGAGGGTGTGCTGAGGTCATGGGAGGAAAGGGTCCTCGTTACCGATGAATTGAGCCGTCGACAAATCGCGGATTGATGGAGGCTTTCGGATTGCCCTTCATGCACTGTGGCGCCGGTCCAAGTGCTCGCCGCTCCTGACAATATGATGTCCATAATCCAGTACAAGACCCTCAGTCGTCGCTAGAGTCATTGTCACCCATGAGCTCATCCGCGCCCTCGTCTTCAGAGATCCTTCGCTCGGCCTGCTCATCGACGCCGGGCAGCACGTTCGCATCCGACTCTTCGGGGTCGGGTAATGCATCTGCTTTCAATGGCTGCACCTCTCTGACACCGTTTGTCTGTCTGGGGTGATACAGCAGTGTCCCAAACCAAGCCTCGAGCTTCCATATGTCAAATCCGAGTTTTGGATGCTGACTAGCTCACCAATATCGGCGATGGTCCCCACTACATCAATAAGCTTGCCTCCCGTTCCTGGATATCTCAACAGAGCTCGTTCGGCCACTAGACATAGTGTTGGGCCGGCGGCGTGACCGACTTTGCCGAGTGGGCACGCGGTGGTGACATTTCCGATCAAGTCCCTCATGCGAATGCTGCTGGCAAATTGAGGCCGTTGTGAAGACTCGACTCGATGAGCATTGACCAGGGTCAATTGCAATAAGTTTGGCAACTTGCTTAGACCATCTTTAGCAGCTTCTATGACGTGCTTTCTAGTTTGCACGCCGTTTGCCTGCTCGAATTTCTGGCTCTCCCAAACGGAGTGTGATTCGTCGGGGGTGCTACAGACCCTGGCCCTTGTTATGCCTTGTGATGGAGCGATGATGGTGATGACGAATGAACGAACGCTTCCTGAGGCGCTGGAAAGATTTTGCCAGACGGCAGTCAGACGCAAGCTGAGGTGGACAAGCCTTGGAAACATCTCAGCTATTACGAGACAGATGTCGCCGTCTTCAGAAACTGGTTGAAAGCGGTCGTAGCATTTGGTGTCAACCTCGAGATATCTCAGACTTGAAGGGACGAGCCGAGAGCAAACCTGAGAGATGACCTTGGATTAAGCAGAATCTGAGTGGGTGATTGCAATCCTTGTCAGCCTTGATGTAAAACGAGAAGGAAACGAGCTGTTTCATCAACTCAAGCCTCTGCGGCAATAGCTGCAGCGTGGCGAAGAACTTTTGAGTCGGTTCGCTGCCTTGTTCACGTAGCGCGATTCTTTCCCGGCTGCCCAGCTCTCGTGCTTCTGAAGGGTAATGTTCGGCTGGTCAGGTGCAAAGCTAATGGTGAGCGATTTGACGAGGTGGAAGTTGTTCGATGGTGGGCCCCTGGCTTGTCTTAAAATACTGCTAGGTGTCGATTAGAGGATGTCGATCCATGTACGTCTTGCATCGATGTCCAGCCATCTTTGGCTGACGCACAAGGAATTGATGAAGTCTTTTCGGTCGGGTACGCTTAGATCGTGAAGCTGAGACCGGAGCACCAATTCAAGAACTTCGCTTGGTATGTGGGTAGTCATGTTTGACATGGCTTTGTGGTAAACTAAATTGCTAATAAGAGGTCGGGGTATGCGATATGGGAAGGATGCAGAACACAAGAATAAAGCACCGTGGCTGTATATCACTTATTAGCGGGTACTACTGCCTGTGTGCTATCTGGTGAAGCTTGAAGCAAATGCACTATTTCAGCATTGTTTCAAGGAAGTCTGAAGGAGCAGTTGAGCCAAGATTTTAGCGTATCCCGCAAGGCAGCGAGTTGCCTTCCTGGCATCAACTCGCCCAGCCACTTGTCGCCAGCCACCAGTATCTTAGCCTTGTGTCACCTGCGCTTGAGCTTGCCGAAAGTACCTGCCAGGAACACCTTCGCAAAGATATCGAGCTCCGACTCCTTGGTATCGCCTTTCAATACTTCCCTCATCAGCGTCTGGTCAAGATGCCTCAAACCGAAGTCTACATCAACAGCAAGCTGCTCCCACTTGGCGTGACTGCTAGCCTGCCAGGGACCTTTGCGTGTTGTGAAGGGCATCGCACCTATACAACCACCAGGCACGAGGTGATTGCGTGCACTTGCAGCAGAGCCTATGCCGTCTCGTAGCAGCATGTAGAGGGAGTGTATGGTAGTCCCTATTATGAAGGCGCGGCGAGCTGACTCGGCCTGGATCCAGGTATGCCAGAGCTGGTTCTGCGCCTGCCCTGAGGACCGTCCAGACTCTTGGGTAGGCGGGTAGAGCGAGTCTTCGCTCGTCGGATGGTGGCTACGACATCGTGCCAGCAGTTGCTGCATCCAGTCTGCGAGTATAGGGATTCGAGCCTCACCTCGGCAACGAAGGTCAGGCGAGGGTGAAAAGAGTGACAAGAGCTGATACACGGCCAAAGCATGAACACGGGAGAGATGCTCATGCGTATCAATATCCGGATTGATGGACAGCGGCAGTAGTTTTATCGAGCGAGCGGATGACGAATGGTCGAGAGCAACCACATTGTAGTCTGCAAGTAACTGAGTGGCACGAGACTCAATAAGCTGCAAAATGAAAGGCGTTCTTGCAGGTGTACGCTGAGTATACACAGAAATGGTCGAGAGGGCATCTTGCGTGCATCGTGGAAGCCGATAGCGATACAGTTCCTGATGAACGAAGGGGCTGCTCCCTGTATGCAACCATTGTTCAAACCATAGGTAGATTGGAGCCATATGTTGCCTCAGATGTCGACTATTCCCAGATCGTAGTAGATGTGTTCGTGGCCAGCTGACTATTTGCCAGGTCGACGGATTGGTGAACCAGCTTGAGGCGAACACTGAGTCCGTCGAGGGTCCAGGCCATATCGTGACTGTCAAGTTGAAGGGATCAGGTTTTGGATCAGCACCTTCTGTGAATATGCAGCTTGTGGGGATGAATCTGGTTGAGCTATACCGAGCCACTTGGCGTTCGGGCGTGCTTGCGTCTTCTTCCTCGAGTAGCACGAAAGACGATGGCTTTGAGGCCGGATACTGGCACTCCACGCCGCGTCTTCTGCACCTCACGCATCGTGGAATCTGCCTAGAGCACTTTCGCTTTGCCGACGAGCATGCTCGGCAAGACTTTGTCTCCATTCGCTCAAGCATGGTCGCGTTGTTGTAGAGACAATCACGAGACATGGAATAGTGCAAATGGTCGGGAGACGTTGGAGGCGCAAGTGGGCCGCCTTAGTAATGACCAGCTGCTTCCACCGAGGCGAATTGGCTTTGGCATTGCGGACGCTATCCACTTCAGGATTAGCTCGCCACTGATCCTTGCAGAGTCGTGAGGGCCGAAACACTCGCCGCCTGCTGCTCAAGGCAGCCTGTGTATATCGCGGGAACTATCTGTTCTCGATTAGTGCCCGCCGTCGACTTCGTAATGCCTCAGAGAGCTCCGGCATACGACAACACAGGCACACGGCTGTGGCCGGCAACGGACAGACCATGCCGCCGTCTGATGGGGTCTTTGAGCAGCTGAATGCTATAAAAGATCGCGCTCTGTGCCCATTCCTGCCATAAAATCCTTGAATTCACGCCCAAATTATATCCGTGTGTCTCAGCTCACGAGATACATCTAGTCAGAATGACAACCAAGGAGGAGATTAAAGCAGTCCTCGATTCCCTACGCGATGCAAAGGTGACGCCGTTCACACACGATAAACCGTACGCCGCCATACTCCCAACGAGGCCAGAGCTGAGCCAAGCAGGCCGGACCATTCTCATCACAGGTGGCGGAACAGGCGTCGGGTTGAATATTGGGCATGCATTCGTCAAAGCATCGCCCGATACCATCATCATCCTAGGTCGCCGTGCAGATGTTCTGCAAAGCGCTGTCTCGGCATTGGAAAAGGAGGCGAAATCGGTCGGGGTCAGCACTCGGATCATTGCTCGTCCATGTGACCTTACGAATGTGACCGAAGTAAAGGCTTTCTGGAAGAGCTTGGCAAATGAAGGTATCACGGTGGATGTTCTTGTGCACAGCGCCGCCAAGTTCACTGAGCCCAAGCCAATGCTGGAACTGGGTGCGGATGAGGTGTGGTCCCAGATCGAAGCCAACACGAAGGCGCCTCTATACTTCACCGAGCAGTTCTGTGCTCAGTCAATGGATAGACGGAAGGTAAGCACCCATTGGGTCGCGCTTTGGGTGTCGGTAGAAGTACTGACTTGATAGTTCATTGTGAATCTTACATCGGCCGTCATCCACAGCCATCGCCATCCAGCGGTTGCGATTCGTCCAGCTTACATCCTTTCGAAGACGACGGCAACACTGTTCTTCCAATTGCTCGCACAAGCTGTTTCACCGGAACACACACAGATTGTTACCATGGAACCAGGCCTGGTTTACAACGAGTACTGGGAGTCTCTAGGTTTGCCAACGGAATACTTCAGCAATCGTAAGATCCCCGCAGCCCTAACAGCAATGTTAAGCGACTGATATCCTTTGCAGCCGAGCTCAGCGCCGATTTCGCAGTTTGGGCGGCGTCAGAAGAGGCTGCTTTTCTGCATGGTCGCATGGCATGGGCTTCATGGGATGTGGACGAGCTTCGGGCCGGCGAGCTTCGCAAGCGGATCGACGCGGATCCATACTTTCTGCAGGTGTCCGTCAGTGGTATCGAATTCCGTGTCTAGCATGGTATATCTCAGATCGACGCGTTGTGAGTGGACTAGTACTCTATAGTAGGTAAATAGTCGGAATTCGGGGACTGAAGTAGATTGCCGGTCTTGGCATTATCAATGAGTCGGAACTCTAAATTTTGACATACAGATTGACTCATCCTGCACTTTTCATGAGTCGACCTTCGCCAAGCTGCATCAACGTGCCGCATTCTCGCTGCGCGCCGTAGCTCGCCATGCAGGCTGACCTGACGCAGCCAGCCCCCGCGTCCCCAGACGGTTCGCTGGCTCACGACTCTCCTCCGCCTGGCTCTCGCAAGCGTAAAGGGTTGTCGACCAGCTCCCGCGGGGTTGCGAGCCTCACACCCGACCAGCTTGCGAAGAAACGTGCCAACGACCGAGAGGCCCAGCGAGCGATCCGAGAGCGTACAAAACGTACGATTGAGAGCCTGGAGAGCAAGATTCGTGAACTCGAATCTCAACAACCTTATCAAGAGCTACAGGCTGTTGTCCGTCAGAAAAATGCCATTCAAGCAGAGAATGAAGAGATCAGGCGGAGGTTATCCTCTATCATGGCCTTGATACAACCCATCATGGGTGCACAAGGATTGACTGGTGAGCACGTTCCCTCTGGATCACCGCACGTACTAAACGTACAAGATCTTGCATCCGCTGCCCATCACAACGCTCAAGCCGGCATTGCTCAGAACGGCTTTCCTACCGACCCATTCGTGAATGGTCCACGACCATATGGCCCTCAAACTGGACAGATGCCGCAAGGCGAGAGCCAGCCATTTTCACCAGATGGCCAACCTGACAATCGCACCTGGAACGCCTCACGCGACCTCGAGAATCAACGCGACAATATGCAGCGTGGCCTCGAGCTTGATGAGACTGGCGAGCGTCTGTCCTTCAACATGCTGCTTGATAGCTTAGGCCAACGTGCTAGCAACCCCCCTGCGCAACAGCAGTCGCAACACCACCATTCCCCTGACAGTCGCTCAAGTTATCCTGCCATCAGCAGCTTCCCAGAACAAGCACAAGCACAATCGCCTTGGAGCGCGCTCCCCAAGAACTGCGAGCCCACCTGTCCACTTGACAACATACTGCTCAACTTCATCTCTACGCAGCGTCGCGAGATCGCCGAGAACGGTGGTGCTGCCGATACCGCCGTCAGCCTCGCAGCTCCCGCATATCCAAGCGTCGCATCACTTCTCAACCCGACCGGCGGCCACCGCGTCGATCGGCTTAGCCAGCTCATGACCGACGTGATAGACAAGTTCCCCAATATCGCCAACTTGCCAGAGCGCGTCGCCACTCTCTTCTTCATGTTCAGCCTGACGCGTTGGATGATCAACCCCACGCAAGAGAACTACGAGCGGATTCCCGAATTCTTCACACCTCGCCCGTCGCAGATCCTGGCGCCGCATCCGCCGTGGATCGACCACGTACCCTTTCCACGCATGCGTGACAAGTTAGTAGCTACCTACAAGGAACACCCTTTCGAGTTATTCTTCATGCCATTCACCGTCGGTCTGAGTGTCAATTGGCCGTATGATCCGACCGACTGCCTCATCAGCACGAGCGACAAGGAAGACCCCATCATCAATCCGGTCTTTGAGCGGCATATCCGCCGGCTGGAGAATTGGAGCGTGAGTCCGTTGCTGATGGAGAATTTCCCGGATCTGGTTGAGACTGCGCGCGTCAAGGCCGTTGAGCATCGAAAACTGGATTAGGCGTGGTACGTTGGCTGAGCTGTTTTTGCTGCACGCGGCGCTAGAGGGCTTTCTGTACAGTTACTTTCCTGGCGTTGCTGGTGGGTGACGAGACCATGTCTCGCAGGTGGACGGGAGCAGTGTACTCTGAGCACTCCACCGCTTGCACACCGTTGGTCTATAGGAGTGGTTACCTTGGTCGTCACGACAGGCTCGTGGCGTGTTCTACCGCCCGCGAGGCAGCGCCATCAACTAATTTGCAAGGCCAAACCCGGGTCGAGGGGGGAGCAAAGCATTCCATCCATCCCAGAATTAGGTATTCTTAACATCACATATGAATGAAACCGCTGCTGGCACCACGCGAAAGCCGCAGCAAATCGTCCTAGCCACAGCATTCTGCTAGCTCTTTCTGCACTCGGAGGCGTCCACAGCATACATCGTTTGCTGATCCCGTCTAAGCCACCAGTAGAGTGTACCAGAAGAAAAGGCCCGCATCACATTCCGCATCATCGTTTTCCGCGTACTGTACACCGCACTGAACACCGCAGCTGGGGAGGAAAACATAGCTCTTTCCTTGCAACGCCTTTTTTTTCCCGCTCTTGAGACCTGCGGGCCACGTTGCGCTGCTGACCTCCAGCATGGCAATTCCCGATCACGCTCGCCACGAACATGGTTTCCAGGTTCCCATTTTCCCATTCCCAATCCCATCTCCATTCCCTTTTCTTGATTCTCAGGAGGGCAAAAAACCCCCACAATCTCTCAAGTAAACGGTTGAAAGCAAAGTCCAGTCCGTATCTGCGCCGTTTTTTCCCCCTCACTTCAATTTCGGCCATTGGTCGCGCCATTGTGCCAGGGCGGCATACCATCCATGTGTTTACCTGCTGTGATGATGGGCTCATCCAGTCTTTTTAGGCCTGCCTCTCTTCGCCGCCGTGGCAGGCTTCTTCGGCAAAGTAGTTGACTTCTTCACACCGGCGCCCGTCTTTGCTGTGCCCTTTGGCGCCGTCGCTTTTGCTGCTGCTGCTGCTGCTGCTGCAGGACGACCTCGCTTCTTGGCCGAACTCTTCGGCGCGGTGGTAGCAGGGGTCGGTGCGGCGGCGACGGCGGTGGTCTTCTTGGGGGATTTGGGGGACTTGGCAGCGGCAGCCTTTGTCGCCTTCTTCGCGACCGGGCCTCTCTTCGTAGGTGGCCCGCGCTTAGCCGGTGCCTTCTTCTCGACCTTGGCTCCTTTAGTCTTCGGCGCAAGTACGCTCTGAGCTTTACCCTTGCCTCTGCCGTTGCTCTTCCCAGCTGTAGGTCCTCTCTTGGCTTTCTCGCCACCGGCAGCAGCAACAGCCTTCTTGCCCTCCTTTTGACTCTTCTCGAAAGCTTCGACGAGTCGGGGAACGCTCTGAACAAGGTCATCGCGATCTTCTTCCCAGAAGCCCTTCCAGCCCTTCCACTTGACAAGCAGCGTCTGGCCATCATTCTCTGCGCCAGCGATGCGCTCGATCTCCCACTGAGTTTCGCCATTGACATCCACCGAGGTGTCAGGACCAGTCTGGCCAGCGAATTCCACTTTTGCAGCGTTGGCGGCTTTGGGTTTGGGAGCTGCTTTAGTGGTGGTTGCGGCGAAGTTCTTCTGTGCTGGAGTGTTGGAGGCTGACTTAGTCTTGCCTTTGCCGCGTATGCCCTTGGTAGTGCTGGCGGCGGTAGTCGTTGACTCCTGTGTCTCAGGAACAGCGACAACATTGACGTCCATGTCCACATCTACATCAACCCCCAATGATTTGCCTCCTAGAGCCTCTACCGCACCCTCGATTAGCTGCTCTGGCAGATCAGCAACAGCGGCCGCGGCGGCTGCGGCGAGATCAGCACCCGGCTCGTTGCTATCGTCATCAGAATCCTCCTCAACAGCAGCTTCCATAACCGCTGTCTTGGAACCAAGGACGGCACCGGGGACGACAGTACTGTTAGTGACTGGGGCTGCAACGAGATCTGTTGCGATGTCATCTTCGTCGGAGGAGTAGGTTTCTACATCCCGATGGGAGATGACTGTACGTGAGGTTTCGGGTTGGGGAGAAGCGGAGTTACCACTGCCACCAAGCGAAGGCGCCATGGCTGCAGCGGTGTTGGAAATTCGATTCAAGAGATCCAGCGTAGCGACGGGGCCTTTTTGTGGGCGAGAGGAAGACGCCTGGTCGATAAGGACCAGTTGGAACGCGGTGATCCGCGTGGAGACTGTTGCTCACATACGCACGGAATAGAAGCGATTTCAGGCCAAGAAATGCTGAAGCGGAGGGACCGTGGCGCTCTTGACGCGGCAATGTAGGAGCACATAAAGGCAAGAAGATCGATGCCCTGAGGAAATGATCAAACGCGCAGCCTTCAATGATCAGTGCGGAATATTCAAGGCGTCGCGGTGGACGCGCTCGAGGCGAGGAATACGGCGGAGGGGGGGAAGCTGGAGGACTAGTTGACCCCAAACAGAAGTCGACCTGCCCAGTTCAGAAATCCATTACTTCCATCGGGCATTTCGTCGTTCTGACGAATTCTGAAACCATTAATCGTTTCCGTCAAAGGCGACGAAATACTTGGTGCAGCAGTTTGGAAGATTTCGCTGTAATTGTAGAAGATGCGTCCAGGTAGCATGCGATTGACCAAGCTTCAGTTCTTGTATTGGCATCAATTCATGGCATGCTGGTTGCTAGACAGCTTTTCGTCTATCATATTCCCATCATGAAGCGACCTTCGCGCTATATTTTCCAGCTGCTTGATCGAACAGCTCACTCTTCTCCTTCAAATCTTTTAGTAACGCATGATCATTCTGCTGGCCCCCCAACTTCTTCAACAGTTCCTGCACCTGCTCGTCTTTCTTGCCCAACACGCTCGCCAGGACCGCCGCATTGGCAACACTCTCAGCACTAGCTCCTTCGAGTGACATGGCCTGTTCAAGCGCTGCGTTTGCCTCCTCCCATCGACCAAGGTGCATCTCGGCAACTGCCTGACCCACCAACGCGGTGGGGCTCGTGGTTCCTGGTGTGGTCGCCAACTCTTCGAAGACGTAGAACGAAGACTGGTACTTCTCGCTGCCTCCAACTCGCAGGTTCGTCCATGATTCGGCCAGATTGATCAGCAAAGAATCATTCGCCCATCGTTTCGCGCCTGCCACCTCCTTCAGGGCAAGGTCCGTCCGGTTTTGCTGCAAGTGAATCTGTACTAACAATGCCACAGCCTCGAGGCTTCCCTGGTGTTTTGAGAGCAGATCAGTGGCTTTTGCGTAGTCTTCGCCGGCTGCGAGCACTGTTCCTGCGACTAATTGCACGACAGCATCTTCGGGCTCTTCATCGGCTAATGTTGACGCATCTTCTAATCCTGAAGCATCACCGGAGGAGAATTTCGCAAGCGCTGTCAAAGCCCGTGACGAGGGATCTTTTGAGCTCTTCAGAGACGAGATGACTGCTGACTGCTGGCCAAGGGCAATCTGCGCACGATATTTAAGGATCTGGGCGGCCGCTTTGTTCTGAGCGGAGAGAGCTGTGGTATCGAAATCTAGGACTTCCTGGTAGGCATGGGTGTAGAATGCAGTCGTTATGTTGAGGAGCTCTATATTCGATCAGCATGGCGCTGTAGCCAGAGTTGGGAGGTCACCCACCGCCCTCGCCGGAGAACGGGTCCATATCTACTCTTCCTGCGCTTCAAATTGGGGACGAGAGCGTTGTAGTTGTTCCGACACTCAGAATTCGCGTTCAACAGCAAACATATCAACTAGGTTCTAGGTGGTAGGAGTCCGCGCAATGTCAACCGTGTCAACTTCTTTGTCGCCGACGTGTTACAAGTGGTGGGCTGTTGCGGTTGGAGAAATATTGTTCCGTGGGCGACCGGAGACGCCTGGAGCGTGCCTCGCGTCCGTCGCTGCGACTCCCGCGCCAGGGTTCATCTGTACCACCCCCCTTCTTCCTCAACTCTACAAGGGCTCGAATTTTCTCCCAACGGACGACATTTATAGCACAGCTTTTGAGCCGCGAGCCTAGGCTACAAAGAAGAGTCGTTTGTTGACTCCAGCACGATGCCAGGCCCACGTCCAGCCCCATCGGTGGCCCCCCTCAAGCCCCTACAACAGATTATCCTCTCCCACAACGCGATTGCGACACGCAACTCATTGTCTGGTGTCAAGTCGTCGTACCACCTCTTCCTGAAAAACCAGCCTCATCCGCCGCAGCAGCTCAAGCGCAAGGCTATTCCCAGGCGGTTGAGACGAGACTGGCGGGCGCCTAGGGTTGACTATTGATGGTCACAAGGGAAGCGAGCAACAAACAGATGCTTCGGACGTGTACGATACGGAAAACAGACAACTGGATTTGTTGACGATGGCTTATTCGGATCCATGAAGTTCCAGGGACCATGTGTAACATTACAGCACAGATTGATGATCTCTCCTCAGGTTGGCTACGTTGTCTAGCGACAATCTCCTGGCCACAATGATACCCAACTCCATTGTTTTCTCCTTCGCTTCTTCCCAACGTTCGGCATTCATGTCTTTCAGGCTTTCTCGGGGACGGTATCCACGAATAGTGCCTTCGCAAAGGCCGCGGGATACCGCTCACCTTTGACATCGGCGTTCTCAATCAGTTTCCGAATCTGCTGATCTTCCTCCTTGCTGATTTGGACCTTCAAGCTCCCCATGTTCTCGTCGAAGTTCTTGATCCTCGTGGTACCAGGGATGGGGATGATATCATCTCCCTGGCTCATCAACCATGCCAGAACCAACTGCCCCGAAGTGCAGCCTTTCTTCTCGGCGATCTTGTTCAGCTCATCCACCAATTCGAGGTTCTTGTGGAAGTTTTCTTTGTTGAATCGCGGGGCAAACGTGCGGAAGTCGCCCTGCTCGAAGTCATCGGGGCTCTTGAGCGCGCCGGTAAGGAAACCTCTGCCAAGTGGCGAGTACGCGATCGTCGCGGTACCCATCTCCCGGCAGGCCTTGAGCAGGCCGATGGCTGGGTTCTCGATATCCATGGTGAAAGGTGAGTACTCGATCTGCACTGCATCAACGTGCGCAATCTTGCAAGCCCTTCGCAGTGTATCGGCACTGCACTCACTCAGGCCAATATACTTGATCTTGCCCTGATCCTGCAGCTTCTTCATCTCGCGCATTGTGACCTCGATTGGCTGATCCTCCTGTACACGGTGGACGTAGTACAAGTCAATCTGGTCAATACCTAGGCGCTTCAAGCTCGACTCGACTGCTGAGCGGATGTACTCAGGCTCGTTCCTGACCGACCGTTCTCCCGTCTTGGGGTCCATATAATTGGCGAACTTGGTGGCCAGGAAGATCTGCTCACGCTTGCCTGGGTTGCGCTTGAACCAGCGGCCCAGCAGGTCCTCGTTGTCACCGTACATGTCGGCCGAGTCCCAGTGACGTTCGCCAGACTCGAAGACGTGGTCGAGCAGCGCGTAGCGCTCCTCGTCCGGCTTGACGGTGCCGTAGAAGGCGGAGAGGCCCATGAGGCCGTAGCCTAGGGCGGTCACTTCAGGGCCGTTCTTGCCCAGTTTGCGCGTTGGAAGAGACATTGTCGGTCGCGTTTCTGTGGTTTTCTGATTACTTTATCGATTTGTTTGGTGTCGAGGCAGTTTGGCTGAAGGGCAAAGTGAGATACTGATGGACAAACACACAAAACACAGTCTGCTGCAAAACTACCTACCTTTATACCTCCTCAAGCGGCCGCTCATGACTTCACATTGGCACTGCTATTGTCGGCTGAATCGGCAGCCCAAGCGGGATTTGCGCCCGCATTGAGCAACAATCGATCTTCTCAGATCCGTGTTCTTCTCCGGCCATGCGTCGAACCAATGGAGCAATCATGGAGATTTCTCTTTACCCAGATTGGTTACCTTGATCAGCAGGCAGTGATGCTCGCGCAGCCATTGGCTCGGTGATAAGCCAAAATTTCTGCAGGGGTTTAAGGCCGTGACATCACGTTTCTTTCAGGACTTCGAAGCTGGATTGCCGAGGGAGCATTTGGGGATGGATTGGCACCAAGACGAGACGCCGGAGTTTGTCGAGCTTTGCGAAGTAGTGGCTGGGACCCTCTCTGTGGCTTGAATCTACTTCAACCGCGTGAGGCCTCGATGGAGTAAGAACGTAACTACGGGTGGCAGGGCTTGGCAACGGGTTTCAAAGAATCGAAGCATACGCTGTGCACCGTGTTTGTCATGGCACATTTTCTTCATTGCTGATGTCTAAGCTGATGTCTAAGCTGCTGTCTAAGCGCGTTGTCGAGCCGAACACAACTGCCGTTCTTAGGACCCAGAGCATCGCACGGTATCGTCGGTGCCCCCTGCTATTCGGACGAGAGCCCCTCTCCCTTGGCCACGCTCTTGGCCTGGCTTTGTCATCTGGCGTGCAGCGGCTCTCTTCACTCCCGCGACCTACGGTTGCGCCTCGCTTCCCTTAGCATGTCCTGGTTCTCCATCGCCCACATTACCTGCACCTCGAATCTTTGAGCGAGGACACTGCGGGTGAGTCTGGTATAGCGCAGGGCTCGGACGATACTCTGCACTTGTTTATTCACTTCCAAGAACTTCTCTGAGAATTGCCAGACCTGGAACTCCCACTCTTCGGGGAGCTCCACAACGGTTGACCCATCCACTGTCTCCAAGGTGGCCTCCTGTGCGCCAAGGTGATCTTCGAGGACGATGGTCAGGTCCTCTGACAAGGGAAGCCGCAGTATGAGCTTGAAACCGCCCAACTTCGTGCAGGAGGCAAGGGCATCGGTGCGCCGTTTGTGCTCGTCAAAGTCGAGTAGTTGCTGCTGGATGACCGCATAAATGCCGTTGATCCGGTGCTCTTGGTTGGGCTCGCCCATGATCGCAGAAATGGTCTCAGCGGTATTGTTCGCCACCGGCCAAACAAAGGTAAGCTTTTTCAACTCCGGAAGAATAGTGCCCAAGGACTTGTGCAGCTCGTTGGCGTGGGCCACGGAGTGAATGATTACCTGCTCTGCACGCTGGAGCGAGGGCCATGTGCCCTTGCGCGACAACTTGTCGAGAGTGCTAGGTGTCAACCGCAGGTCGAATGCAACAGCAGGAAGAATGAGGGGGAGGATGTCTTTGCGAGTGGCACGGCTGACGTAGAGAGGGGCGAGTGGGGATTGAATCTCGTGGACACTGCGGCTCTCACCGGTGGGGAGTCGTGCATACGCAATGCTACCCTTAAGGGCCTGCTTCCAGATGGCTTCGCGTATCTCGGAGGGAATAGGTAGATTGTTGTGCTCAAGGACCTCGCCGGATCGAATTGGAGATGACATGATGGGAGGCGTGGTTCCGCGAGAAATCTGCTGCTGCAAACATTGACGCGTCAAGTGGGTGGAAAGAAGAAATATGAGGCTCTGCAGGACATGTCAACATGCTGCGGTCCTTTGCCTGGCGAAAACATGGGTTTTCAGGCATCGACTAACTTTATTATCGATTCACAACAATCCTCACAAACAAATGAGTGGTGCTTTATCGGCTGAAGGCTCCGCCACAATCATATCAAGTCAACTTCAAGGTACGGCCAGCCGCGGGCAAAGTAAGACTGGCGGGCCGGTGAAGCAACGGCCAGCTACGGGCCAGCTTGACGTCTGGAAGCAGTGAATCTACTCTGATCGGAACTGCTGCCTGCACAAATATCTGGTACGGTGCTTGAGCTACAGCAGGCCACTGTAAACTGGCTGAAAAATTACTTCAGGTGAGTGTGAGTACCTCAGGCAATGTCCACCCTCGGAGCTATAAAAATGTCTGCTCTCCAGCAACTGAAGCCTGTTGCTAATCATAATTCACTGGACATAGCCAAAGGTCACAACCCACTCGTCACTCCAACAACACACTCTGTATACCAGCAGATTCACTCACCACAAGCTATCGTCCCCTCGAAATACACCACAACATCTACCACGCAATGGCATTCACCAAGGTCACCCTGCCCCTCCCAACCGAGGTCTGCGAGGTGGTTTACGAACGGCTCTTCTCGTCGTTGGAACCGACCTTGACCCTGGGCATAGTCAGCCCAATATACCCCCGGGACAACTCTGCCCTCGCACTGCTGGGCGTCTCAAGACGAACGCGCCAACAGTCCGCCTACCACCTCCTCCGGCACTTGAGGCTCTCGGTAGACTCCAGAAGCCTCCACTACTACCTGTCCAAGCCGAGAAGCGTCCCACTGCCGATCTGGGATGTCCGGCAACTCACCATCCGCATGGGAGCGGCCAAATCTTTCTCCTGCCCAGCCACGGTATTCAGGAAATTCCCTAACCTGAAGAAGCTCACCATCAACCTGGAGCTGTCGACATTGGCCACGACACTGTGCCAATCCGACCGGCCAGCTGACCGCGGTCTGTTTCACCACATGCTTGTGATAGCAATCAAGCAACTGAAACGGACCTATACCAACACTTCGGATCTGGTTCCCGCCTTTGCAGCCATGGCAGAGGCCAAGAAAGTCGAGTTGGAACTGGTCTTTAGCGGGGCCAATCTGCCGACAATCACGACCGACGTCGTCCTGGAAAAGGTCCGTCTCAGTGACGGCAAGGGTGTTCACGACCAGGACCTAAGCGGCGCCAACGATGGCTGGTGGGACAGGCATTTCGAGCGTTGCGTTGGCGCTCTCGCCCAGGCTAAGGCGCAAGCCGAGGAAAATTTGGAGTCAATGGTCAATCTACGTGCCACGCCCGAGTATGCTCCGTTGGCGCTGTTCGGAGACGACGTTGCTGTTGGTGGCGAGAAGCCCAGCATGACCTTGTCCTTGAGGCCAGCCACGAACAGCAGTCGGTGGATTCGGGTGGGCGAAGACAGGAATGGCCCACCTCACTGGTGGTGAAAGAACAGGAGCAAGGGAGGACGAAGGAGTACAGAAACTGGAATGGATATGAATTGTCTTCAGGATGTGATAGTTACGAGCAGATTGTGGAATGATAGCAGTGATGAACGATCAGTGTACTGCCCCTATTCTCCCAAGCCTAACCGGAGTTTCCGGCCCCATCTGCGGACGCTCCGGGGAGTCCCTGTTACGGCGGAGCCTTGCAGCAAAAGCCTCGCCGATAATCGCTGCCTACTATCGTCATACATTTTCTTTGAAATCGATCTACAGGCACGCGGACTTCCTCGAATTGTTCCTGTGATCCCTTTTCTCTCCTCTACCCTCTCGACGCACACGCAAACCTCCCTCTCGGCCGTCTCGTCCCCGCGCGGCTACCTTCCTATGGCCTTTGCACCTCGGCGCATCTGCGTCAATTGCCTGGTCTCTCTCTCGAAGCGCTCGTCCGTATCTCCGATCAGTTCGAGTAGATCCGTCCGCAGCTTCACCTCGACTCGGTATAGAGCCGCCTTCGCCCCTCCCACCCCAGAATCGCTGGGCAAGGCCGTCCCCGCCAAAGAATACAAGCGCACACGCAAATGGCTGCGAAGACTGGGGTACCTGACGGCCTTTGGCGCAGTCGGATATATTCTCGACAGGCAATTCTTGGCCTCTGCACTGACACGGAGTTGTCGAACCTTTGCTCTCGGTCTCACAGTCGCCTTGGACTACAAGATCAACTTCCGTGAAGAGCCCTGGTTTGCGGACGACGTTGCCGAAGTCCACGCCCGCAATGCCCAGAAGCTCGCGAATTTGCTCCGCCATAACGGCGGACTGTACCTCAAGATCGGTCAAGCCATAGCCATGCAGTCGGCCATTCTTCCGCCCGAATTCCAAAAAATGTTCAGTACCATGTTCGATGACGCTCCACAGAATGACTGGTCGTCCGTGAGGCGAGTCATCAAGGAGGAGTTTGGTCGAGAACCTGAAGAAGTCTTCGGCATCTCTTTTGATGGCGACCCTACCAAGGGCGTGATGGAGCGCAAGGCCCGCGCCTCAGCTTCCGTTGCACAGGTACACTGGGCGCGGCTTCCTGATGGGCGAGAAGTTGCTATCAAGATTCAGAAGGAGGAGATCAGTAAACAGGTCGGCGCCGACCTGTTTTCCTTCAAGGTCGTAGCCCGGATTTACTCCTGGTGGTTCGACCTGCCTCTCTACACTTTGGTACCCTACATCACCGAGCGTCTAAATCTCGAGTGCGACTTTCAGAACGAGGCCGCAAACTCGAAACGTATGGCGGAGCTCGTACGGCAGGAGCCACGCCTCCGTGATCGAGTTTACATCCCTGTTGTCTACGATGACCTGTCCTCGAAGCGTGTCATGACCGCCGAGTGGATAGAAGGCGTGCGACTCCGAGACAAGGACTCCATCACACGACCTTGGGGTGGTGGTTGGCGTGCCGGCTCACCTGGTAGCCACGGTACACCGCTGGATCCTCCCAGCACACCTCTTCCCCAGCTTCAACGTAAAGCACAGTCCATCGATGCTTCACTCAAGCCAGACCGCACATACTGGAAAGGCCAAAACGGCCAAGGCGGCCTCGGTCTGAACCTCACCGAAGTTATGACCACCATGGTCGACCTCTTCTCCGCGCAAATGTTCATGTGGGGCTGGGTGCACTGCGATCCGCACCCCGGCAACATCTTCATCCGCCGCCTCCCCAACGGCCACTCCGAACTAGTCCTCATCGACCACGGCCTGTACATCGAGATGTCCCCGTCCTTCCGACACCAATACTCGCTCTTCTGGAAGAGCATGATGACCTTCGACAATGCCACCATGCAAAAGGTGGTGCGCAACTGGGGCATCAACGACAGCGACCTCTTTGCCTCTGCCACCCTGATGCGCCCCTACGAGGGCGACCATGGCCGGATCTCCAAGAAGTTCGGCCAGATCAGCAGCGAGAAGGACCGCAAGAAGCGGCACTACGAGATGCAGCAGGCGTCGCGCAAAGTGGTGCGCGAGATCCTGGCCGACGAGGACAAGTGGCCCAAAGAGCTCATCTTCATCGGCAGGAATATGCGGATCGTGCAGGGCAACAACCAGTACCTGGGTAGTCCCGTCAACAGGATCAAGATCACGGGCAACTGGGCCAGCAGGGCACTCGCGGAGGACCGGCATCTGAGCTCCGGCGAGCGATGGCGATATTGGGCCGGCCATCTGGTCTTCAAGGTCGTGTTGCTGGGCAGTGACGTCTGGTGGTGGTGGGCCAGGGTCAGGCAGTGGTTGGGAAAAGGCCGAGGCATGGATGACGATATGGAGCAGTCGATGCGCAAGATTGCAGAAGGCTACGGCGTCGAGATACAGCATGATGTTTTCCAAGGTTAGGTTAGACGGTCTCCTCGGGCTTTGTCTGCTTGCCCATATTGGGGCGGTCCAATAGATTTGAACGTGGTTTGCATAGCGCGGCGTTGGAGCAGGCATTGGGAGAAGGCTCATGTAGAGTATTGGACTTTGGGGGAATTGAGAGAGACCATCAGACTCGCCGCTTGACTCGATAGTGTGTACAAACTATAACACTTCTGAAGCCTGTATATCGAGTTCGAGTACATTGGCTTTGATCTTTTGTTAGGCCAATCTTCACATACAACTTCAGCACCTCTCTCCCTGCGAGCCAGCTCTGCATCCCCTGCCCTCTCCTCCGCCCTCCCCCAGCCCTGCCTCACCCTCACTCTCTACCATCCCCCACTCCTCACCGTACAATCCAGCCGACTGGCCCACAGATCCCCCGGCCCCTCAATCTGGCCATGCACGACCTCGGGCGCCAAGAACCCATTGGGAAACCCGCGATCCAACGGACTCGCGTCGTCAATGGCGTGCATCTCCTGCTGGGACAGCGTCAGCTTCAACGCACCAATCGAGCTGCGCAGGCTCTTAGTCGTGCGCCCGCCCAGGATGGGGAAGGTGTAGGGCGCTTTTTGGCGCGCGTATGCGATCAGGACGCTGCCCATCGTGAAGGGCTCTGCTGGGGGTGGGGCTTCTTCTTTTCCGCTTGGGGCGGCGCCGGCGGCGGTGGTGGTGTCTTTCTCATCGTTGGTGGTGGCAGAGGCAGAGGCAGAGGCAGGGGAAGTGGCGGCATTGTGGGCTTTGGCGATAGAGTCGAGCACGTCGCGCACCTTGTCGGCGAGGGCTTGTTGCGGGGGCGGGACCATGATGGGTCGGGCGCCGGGCGCGGAGGCGTCTTCGGCGGGCTTGAAGGCGCCGGATGCGAGGACGCCCCAGTGCGTGAGGGCCATGCCTTCGGAGGCAGCCATGGGGATGATGTCGCGCTCGAGGTCGCGCGAGAGGGGGGAGTATTTTCCTTGGTACTGTTGGGGGTTGGTCAGATCTGGGTACAGAGGATGGAGTACGGTGGGTGAGGGCATTGGTGACAAGAGGTGGGCACACGTACCACGACGAACTGTCGTAGTCCATGGTCGCGGGCGTATTGATTCGCCTTGCTGACGATCCAGGCGGGTGTGTCGCTGATGCCGAGATAGTGGACTTTGCCGGCAGTGACAAGGTCGTTGAGGTAGTGCATTACTTCCTCGATAGGGGTGTCGTAGTACCACTGTAATCTAGTTAGATAATATTGACATATTGAACGGCGTCTCCGAGATTCCGTGTCGATGCACTCGTGGGCAGCTCAACTTACAGCATGCAGGTAGAAGACATCAACAAAGTCGGTCTGGAGCTTCTTCAAGCTCGCGTCGATGCTGGCGCGCATATTCTTTGCGCCGTTTCCACCGTAGTTTGCATGGATCGTCTTCCCGCCCGCCGTCGGTGCCGTTGCCCCGTGACTCTTGTAGTTGAGGGTATATTTTGTGGCCACGACCATTTCATCGCGGCACTCACGTGCTTTGAGCCACTCGCCAACCCAAGTCTCGGCTTGTTCGTCTTGGTACTAGAGCTGTCAGCAACTGGGTGTGACGTTTGTGAGTCGGACGACTGTCAAGAGCTGACCTCATCTGGAACAGACTGGATGCAAAAGGACTGCTTACGTTGTTGGCAAGATCAACGAAGTTGCCTCCTTGTGAACGGTAATAGTCAAGAAGTTCGAACACCTGCTCTTTAGAGGTCGAGCCCATGAATGGTGTCCAGGCGTCGCCAAATGACATGCCGCCAATGCAGAGAGGAGAGACTCGGAGACCGCAACGGGGTGACAGTAAGCGGTACTCCGCCAAAGGGGAGACTGGTGGAGGTGCCGGCTTGAACATGGTGGGTGGTCAATTGGTACTTTGAGAGTATTGCTGAAGGTATGTTCTGCTGTCGATAACTGTAGATGTAACAAGAACAGCTGCTCATCGATGACCGGACAGGACTTTTATATTCCGTGCGTGACCTTCTCACCTAGTATCAGGGTCAGGCATCGTTCCGCGGTCCGAAGACCAAGGCCCACCTCTCCGAGCGAGATGTTCTGTCAACGATCGCCTTCTTCATCGATGTGTAGCCAGTTCGGGAGGGAACCACTTGCTCCACCATACCGGAGCCGCCTGATTGTGGCTGATGTACCCATCGTACGTCCAGGGCTACCTTGCAGATAGATTGCATTGGCGGCTGAAGATCAACACGCACAGACGATTGAGCCTCGCGGGGATAAGGCGACCAAAGTACTCAGTTAATTACAAAGACGTGTTCTGAAGTGAACCTCGACGTCTGGATGAGCACTGAGGCGCTCATCCAGCGACCCAGGGCGTCGCCTCGCAGACAGGTCGGAAGCACTAACCGCATTCGTATTGTCAAGAAGTCAATGGGGACATCATCTCTCGCTCGCTCCACCAAGCAGCTATCGCCTACTTCCGAGCAAGGCGCCTTGCCGTGAGACAGAAACTGGCTATGTAATCAAGAGGATGGCTCAGGTGGGCTATAACTCCCCCTGACTCCCGCTCGCAATGCGCTCGGGGGCTTTAACTTCAATCAGGATCGCATGATCGGCTGCTCAGTTCACCACCTCCGTCAACAAGCTTACAAACCAGCACGTTAGCGTACAATGCCAGCGCACAGCAAAGGCTGTCTAACATGTCGACGGCGTAAAGTCAAATGTGATGAGACACGGCCAACATGCACAAGATGTCAGAAGATTGGTCGTGAATGTGGAGGCTACAGCGGCGCCGCAGAGCCAGCACCTAACAGCCCGGTGCAAATCGACAGCAATCTTGCGGCACGCTCTCGCAGCGGATGCACGACATGCAAGCAGCGCAAGCTCAAGTGTGACGAGACCTGGCCCTGTTGCAGGCGTTGTCTCAAGGCGGCACGCATCTGCCGATGGGCAACAGGCGATCCCAGAAACCTCTCTTCTGGAGGAGTGGATATGGACAGGATCACGTTCTACCGATCTACATCCTCCAGCGAGAGTAAGCCATCCAGATCACCGTCGCCTCACCCGGACGTGACGTGGGATGAGAAGCGCGCCATATCGTTCTTCCACCAGCGCACGGCCTTCCACATTTCAGGCTGCAACAACAGCGCCGATCGATGGTTTGGCTACTTGCTCGCCGTCGGCGAGACTGAGCCTGCTATCAAACATGGTGTGATTGCTCTGGGTGCGTTGCACGAGGAGTTTGAGGCGCTCTCGCTCATTCAGGACCGCAGCCGCCACAGCAACTACACTCCTCTACAAACCCTCCCCGAGACCCACTTGGCTGTGCAGCAATACTCCAAGGCCATCAATCTTCTCGCAGTCGCCCCGTCATGGAGCAACCGCGACATACCCCTCCTCGCCACCCTGCTATTCGCAGCCTTCGACTCTCTACGCGGACGGCCCGAACCGGCTCTCTTCCACCGCTGCTCCGGTCTACGCATCCTCGGCGAGAGTTCCTTCAGCCCCAGCTCTCCGCTCATGGAGCTCCTGTTGTGCGTCTTCCTACATTTCGACACCGAGAACCTCGAACTCGGCGAGCCCCACTTCACCGACCTCGACAGCTTGCCCACCTCCATGGCCTTTACCTTCCCTCACGTCACGCGCCCATTGTCCGGATTCAGCCGCCTCAAACAGGCCTGCGAGATGTTCGAGGTGCTCTATAATCGCCTTCTCCGTGCCGCCAAGCAGCCGTTGCGCGTTCGCGGCCCACGCTTCAACGGCGCCGGCCCTTGCCCACAGTTCCCCGACATCATCACTCGCTACGGCGAATGGTGCTACGCGCTGGACGAGTACCTGCGCTCCGCAGCGCTGGGCATGCAGAACATCGACCAAGACGGCGTCAGCGACCTGGTCATCGTGCAGATCCGCCGCGTCATGCTGCGTATCATCCTGCACGTTGACATCCGCTACGACGAGATGGACTTTGACCGCTTCGCCCCGGAGTTCGCCTGCATAGTGGCCCTGGCCGAGTGCTTCCTGAACGGCTGCTCGCGCGGCGCCTTGCACCTGGAAGAATTCGAAGACCTCTACCCGACACCCCCTACCACCACCACCTCCCCTTCAAGCACAGACACCACTACCAGCGGCAGCAGTAGCAGCATCGACAAAGGCACCTACACCCCTCCGCAATACCCACGCGCCCATCCACATCCACATCCCCAACCCAATCCCCCCCCACCCCTCCCACCATTCAGCGGCCCCCGCCGCCACCTCCTCGGCATCATCGCCTCACACACGCCCCTGATCCCCCGCAGCATCGGCGCCCTCGACACCTCCATCGTGGCCTCGACCCTCTCCATAATCTCACGCCTCCCCCTCACCCCTTTTCCCTGTCCCATGGCCGCCAGCCACCCCAGCTCCTCCCCTCCCGCCTTTACCCCACTCCCCAATACAGCCCCGCACACCGCCTCACGCCGCCTGTACGCAAAATCCGCCTTCAGTCTCGCTCCCGGCGTGATCGCGCCGCTGTGGGTCGTGGCCGCGCACTGCCGCGACCCGAAGCTACGGCGGCGGGCGCTGGACTTACTGGGCAGGACGCATCGCAAGGAGGGGCAGTGGGACAGTCTGGTGTGTGCGGCGAATGGGCGGGCGGTGATGGAGGCGGAGGAGGAGAGGGCGGTGGGGTTGGCGAGGAAGAGACAAAGGAGGAGGGCGTTGAAACAGTATGGCGGCGGCGCTCCGGGGCGGCGAGAAGAGGAGGGGTGTTGGGACGCCGAAATGCTGGAGAGGGGGGAAGTGCGGTATGCGTGGCAGGTGCCGGATGCGGCGCGGGTGAGGGAGGTGGAGGCGGTGATGCTGGAGGGGACGAGCGGGGAGGGGAAGGGGAAGGCGCTGAAGGAGCGGAAGTGGTACCAGTGGGTGGCTGTGGGGCAGGATTGGAGTGTTGAGGTTCCAGGCTGCACGATGCAGTGAAGCTACGAGGGTGTGGATATTTGTTTGCCTGCCTTCAAGCCATTTACGCGTACAGATAGGTATTGATGGTTGTGGGCTCTTGATAAAACGGAGAGGAACGAGGTAGGCACACACGAAAGGATGCTCTGATTCTGTCATATCAATCATGTACTGTATGTCATGTCCAAAGTGCGAAAATGCACTGGCACTGTGCTTTCGAAGAGCTGTCAATTAATCGGCCTCTCATTCAAACTCCCCATCTGGAGGAAGATCAAGAAACTCCCCGATTTCGCAGCACAACTCCTTTTAGTGCGATCCATCGACGCACGAACGAAATCATCCAGCTGATAGGATGCGAGAAAATCTGCTTCAGAGAGTGGCCGTGGCTTCGAACCATGTGTTCATATCTCTTCAACAACATCGATGCGCCGTGGAGATGAGCTCCAAAATTGCTCCTGCGCCTTTCGCCGAGTATTCACTTCCGCCAACCGAGCCGAATCACTGCTCAAATATCTCTTACCGCGCCATCGGGAATTACTGGGGCCCCTCTTGGGTAAGGTCCATCTGCACTTGGTGGTAGAGCAGCGCCTGGAGGCGGCATTCTGCCACTGACTCCACCAGGAACGAAGCCACCTCTTCCGCGCGGCGGCGGCCGCCTGCCTGCTGGACCTATACCTGGCACGCCGAAATCTGGATTGGCATCCAAGATTCGTGCTTGCGTGTTAGACTGTCGTCTCGCAGGTCCCAGGGAATTGAAGTCTCCACCAAATCCAGGTCTCCAGTTCGGGTTAACACCTCTTTGCGATACTGATGTAAAGTTGCTTGTCTCGGATTCAGCAGGCGACCTCGCGCCCGGCAGATCCTCGTATGAATTCGTCAAGGGTGGCGGCGCGATCTGAAGTGAATCAGGGCTTTCATCATGGTAGCCCCGTTGTTGCTGAGGTCCGGCCGTCAGAGCAGCTGGAATCCCTCCCTGCTCCGCCGGCAATGGCGGCATAGGGTCCGCTTCTCCGGCAAATCGTGGATCCACGTCTTCGTAGTAGATATCGCTACCCCCTGAGTTAACTCTATTTGGTCGAGGAGCACCTCCGCGATAGCCTCCGACGTTGCTACTTGACGACGGCAGCTCTGCGGGGGCGCCTTGATTCCAGCCAGCTCTGGCAGGAACGTACCTATATTTGTCAGCAAAATCCAACGCTCGATATGGTTTGGCTCACCCTTGTGGAGGGCCGCTCTGGCCATCCATCTCAGCGACACGAGCTGGAGGAATGGATGGCAGAGCTGGTGGTGGCGAGGGTTGTCGCATTCCTCCGGCGGGCGACGGACCTCTGCTACCATTCGATGGTCGCCGACCGGGCGACTGCGCTCTCCGCCCATAGGGTTCAAAAGCATCGGGTGCTTGTGAATAAATGGAAGGCGATATCGCCGCAGCACGATCGGGCGGTGGGTAAGGCCCTGAGCCGTCATCATCGGGTCCAGGTCCTGGCCCATAGCTGGGTGGAGGTGGCCCCATGCCACGAGAAGCCATCGCACCGGCTGCTCCTCCGGCTACAGCACCTGCCATCATTGCACCTTCCGGCCCTCGAGGTGGACCTGGAGGAGGATAACCGCCTCTTCCACGACCAGGGTATCCTCCACGCCCAAAACCCGCGGGAGGCGGCCCTCGCGGCGGGTAGCCGCCACGACCCCGGGGCGGGTAGCCACCTCGGCCTCTAGGCCCGTATCCTCCTCTAGGTGGAGTCATTCCATCTCTGTAAGCACCCGGGGGAGGGACTCTTCGGCTATCGGGTGTTCTCATCGGCATGGGAGGAATTGTGCCAGGACCGCCTGGAGGTGGCATGGGGTTGCCATATTGGTCACGAGGACCGCTGTTCGAGCGACGTGGAGGCGGACCGTAATATCTGGAGCTGCCATCATCGCGGCTTGTGCTACGTGCGATGCTTGGCGGGCCTTGGTTGAGTGGTTGGCGATCCTCCGCGGAGTCATAGGTTGCGAACCCGGGTAGATTGTCTCCTCCAGGAGCACCGTTCACCATCGGAGCCTTGGATTCAAGAGGGGAGAAAGCCGGAACTGTTGCAGTAATTTTGGCATCTTGAGCGGCTTGACGATTGTAGAAGTTCTCCCCACTCATCTCAGCATTTTCCGCTATTCTCTTCTTCCGAGCTTTCCGCGAAACGAGAGTCCGTCTCATAGCGCAAGTTATGACACCCGCGGCGGTGATGAGCACCGTGGAACCGAGGACGATCCATCCTCCCCAAGCAAGGTGCGGGACGAACAATAGGATATCGACAAGGAAGGCCAGAAGGGTGACAAGAAGAGTCGGGAGGAGGAGGATGAGTACACCTAGCAGATAGCGGGCGGAGTGGGACGGTGAATGGAGGTGTGCTGCTGCGGCGAGAGCCAGAACGATCAGATTGAGCAGAGCGGCAACCGGATGAACGACAAGAAGAGAGGAAAGTGAGCGTCGAGCATCGGAAGAGAGGTTGAAGTCGGGGTTGTCTTGGGGTTGGAAAACGGAATCTGTATGAGATTAGATGGGCTCGTGAGGTAACAGATAGACCGACCAATAGTGTATCCTACCCGGATGCCGCTGCAGCCTCTGTCGGGTGTACAGTAGCCAAAGACACCGAAATGGACACCTTTGTATGTGGCGATAGGGATGCTTGGTATCACAGGGCTGCTGAGGGTCGAGAGCAGGAGCAGAACGAATGATATCAGCAACACCACCGTCAGCGGAGTTGCAGGTCTCAGCATGACGGCTTGACAAGGCTGCTGAGCCTGGGACTATGGTGAGAAAACCGGCGCCAGCGCGCAGAGGATATTGCTGTGTCCAGACAGCGCCGACGACATGGGTTGTACTCTTGCAGAACCTCGACGGCGGGTTGAGAGGTCGGTCTATGAGGTAAGCTGGCACCCGGCCGTGGAAGGTGCACTGGAGATAGAGGTCAGCGCAAGCGATTCCGGCCGCAGTGAGGGCTCAGTGGCAGCCGTGTCGTCGACGGTATGTACAATAGAGCGAATGATAGAATCGAATATGGCCACCAACAATAGAACGAGATGGTGCAACAGTCGTGGAGAACGGATGGCGCAGACGCAGTGCCAGAAAGACTGCGAGACGACGAGACAAGGCCGCAGACTGGGGGCGGCGGGTGGATGCTCACGTTCTGGAAACTCGTGCTCCAGCCACCCCTGCCCGCGACTACTGCACCTCTTTCCCCACCGCACTTGCACTTTCCATGTTCCGAGACTGGTAAGGAAGGGGATGAGAGCTAAGCGATCTCAAGCACGTAGCTAGCAGCTGCGGCCACCCTGTGGTCATTGTGGTCGTACAACTACGACAACAAGCTCACCTTCTCGAGGACTTCGACGACAGCACTCTACCAACTTCACCCGCCACGATATCGGTGGCTCGCAATTACCCAACGTCTGGGCGATTCCCTGCCATACTCCAAACGCTAAATACCGTCTCTAACAGAGGACAGATCCAATCGGAAATCGTCATGATCTCGCTTCCAACCTTGAAAGCACGAGAAGCCTTCCCAATCAACGCCACAATCAGCCAAGTCCACCTGCAATTCCGTATGTCTTTTCCATCGACACGACGCGAAGAAACGCCGATGGGGCCACAGTGTCGTGGGAGCGTAAATTGTGATGCGAGAATCTTGAAATCATGGCTAACTGTGTCCAGCTCCTTGCTGAAACCTGCCCTGTGTAGGAACTCAATGTAGGCCTAGGGAGCTCCGACTGGTTGGAATCGCAATGCCCCCCATGCATGTCTCTGAATCCCCGCCCCACGCTTGCATGCAAAGTCCGGATCGCTGAAGTCATTATTGGTATGCATATCTGGTTACCGCAAGCCTCATGATCGTGCATCGCAGACACCACGATCAAGACCATCGTAGTTCTGTCAAGACTAGGAAGCGCTCGCGCAAAGTAGACCCGACACATCTCTCATGCCTGTCCCATGAGTTTCAGACCTCATCGAAGCCCCCGTGTTTCCGGTAGATCATCCGCTGCCGCGGCTATGCTCCCCAGAAGCCCCCAGCTAATCACGTCTTGCCCGCTTTTGAATGTATGAGTCGGATCTGTTCTTCAACGCTCATATTCCTGCCCGGCGGTTGCTGACCAGTCGAGGGCGTGGCCCCCGTATATGCAACAGCCTCTCCGCCCGTTCCCTCCAGTCGGATCTTTTTGCGCCGCTCTTCCTCTTCTTGCTCTGCTAACACCCGGCTGGCGGCCTCGGCAACGGGATCGACAGGTCCACCTCCACCAGTCCGCTCGCGGAGTCGCTTCAAGTTCGCTGCGACATCGGTTCCGCCAAGGTTGGTGGTGGCAGACCGAGCGGTTGCTTTGGCTTGTTGCTTCTTCCATTCGGGGTCTAGAAGCTCGATCCGAAGATGCTGTTCCATCTCCGATAATGGAATTTGTTGACCGCAATTTGGGCATAGACCAGTCGCTCCCCGGGCTGCCCTCTGCTGGGCGCGGGGCACATAGTCTTGTCGTATCCGCATAGGTGGCTGACCCGGCACTGGTGCGGGTGATGCAGTTGCTCGAGGCGGCGTTGGTACACCCGGCGGAGCAGGTGAATATACGGGTTGCGGCGTCGGTACTTGCGCTGGAGGTTGCGGCGAAGGTGCATAGGCTGGTTGATCTGCAGAGACAGGTGGAGCGTAGCCGTAGTCTTGGCCAGGAGCGGCCTGATACGAACCGTTGTACGCGTAACTTGCCATATCGTCGGTTGGCATGGCTTCCTCGATCCTCCGATCGGTTCTGGACAGACTCATCATCGCCTTCTGTTCGAGACTGGCGCTCTGTAGGTCGTTCAGCGTCGTTGGTGGAGGCAGCTCGGTGTGGTCGTCTTGCTCTGTGAACAGCACGGTCTCGACCACCACGAAATCATGCCAGTCAATCTGTGCATACGCGATCCTCTCTGCCTCTTGCGCTTGTTCCTTCTTCTGCTTCTGCGACTCTTGAAACTTGAGGTACTCCGCGCGTTTCCTGGCCAGATTCAGTGCTCTGAATCGGTCCTGGACGTTAGCTTGTAGAGCTTGTATCCGGGCCTGCTCAGCTTTCTGTCCGTCTGGTCCTGTCTGTAATAAGGTGGTATATTGGTCGACTAGCCTCTGGAAGAAGTTGTATAGCGAATGTTGTGGACGAAGGAAATCGAACTGATAGTTTCTCGCCTCTCTTTGCGACAGAGCAGTCATCCAGCTCTTGCCTTTCCGCGCAACATGTAACGCAGTCAACTTGACGACCTCCAAATCCTGCGCGCTGATGTTCGGTACTCGGGCGCAGAAGTGGAAGTCTGGTGGAGGCTCGGGGCCTTTAGGCTTTTGCGGTGCAGGTGTTGAGTCTCCCGCGCGACCTGCAGACACAGCTGTACCACGACCAGAACGGACTTCGGAGAGCCGCCACTGATAAAAGGGCGCATAGGCATCGGCGGGCGTCAAGAAGGAGAACCTCGAATTTCCTTGTTCCTTGTCGCGAATGCGGTCTTCAAAAACAGGTCCATTTCTTGCGACGTAGCCAGCGGTCTTCTCGATGATGGCGCGGATATCTTTCGGTGGGAGCACAGTACCCTCGGGTGGTTTGTTGGCAGCTTCTGGCAGCTCTGGCACGCCATTGGAAGCCATCACTGGCGCTGAACTGTGACGGTCGCAGTGGCTGTCGCTCACAGATGGTGCACGAACAAGACCAGGAAGGCTGAGATGAGAAAACGAAGATGAAACCCGCAAAGTATGAGTGCCGGTCCACCACCTACTCGTCGAACTGTTGTCTATCGACCCGTCAAGGAGATACAAGTCATGGAGGCCTCGCGAGTTGCCGGGTAAATTTCTCGAAGATGAATTCCATGACTGTAGCCTCGCAGATCTAGCCTTGCGAGCCGCTAGGGTTAGGGTAGCCCCGCCCCGGAGCAACGCGTGGACGCGCACATGCTGCTGCGAATCACGCCTGTTAGCTAAGAATAGGGGCGCGAGCCTGAACCTCCTTACTGCGCCCGCGCGAACCTCAGTCGCACCTGGTTGAGAAGTTAACAGCTGTTGGCATTCCCAGTTATTTCCCATCCCTTCTACATTTCTTCACTTGTCTTCTTCATATAGCGCTTTGTGTCGACTCAACTGGTCATGTCACTTTGATCAGTGACGGAGACCCAGCGCCCTTCCTGTCTCTCCTTCCATCCTCTTTCCCATAACTTTTATTGAAGCCACGTTTCAGGGTTTACGTGGGACCATCGCTCCACGAAAAGCGCCTGTAATTTCTACGCAATCTGTTGGGGAACACCACCATGGCGAACACTTCACAGAAGAGATTCTCTGAAAAGGGACGGTCTCCTGCACCACCTGCCCGCAACAGCAGCTCGGGCAAAGCGTCCAACAAGAAGAGTTATGCCTCGGAGGGTGTCAAAGACAATGACATCTTTCTGCTCCCGGCCTTCGACTATCAGGTCATGGCTTTCATGACTGTGCTCGCGGCCGCTGTTCGTCTGTTCCGCATCTATCAACCCACCAGCGTCGTGTTCGACGAGGTGCAGTAAGTCAGCCCACCAAGTCAACCTTTGGCCAGTCTGACATGAGATAGCTTCGGTGGATTCGCCTCGAAATACATTAAGGGCAAGTTCTTCATGGATGTGCACCCTCCCCTCGCGAAGCTTCTCATCACTCTTGCCGGCTGGCTTGCTGGTTTCGATGGCAAATTTGATTTCAAGGATATTGGAAAAGACTATCTCGAGCCAAAGGTGCCATACGTTGCCATGCGCATGCTACCCGCTGTGCTCGGTGTTCTCACGATTCCGACTATGTTCCTTACCCTCAAGGCCTATGGATGCAAGACCGTCACTGCGGCTATGGGTACGGCATTGCTGATCTTCGAGAATGCTCTCACCACACAATCACGTTTGATCCTCCTTGACTCGCCGCTACTCATCTGCACTGCATTCACTGCTCTGGCTTGGACTTGCTTCAACAATCAGCACGAGCTCGGTCCTGAGCGAGCTTTCGATCCAACCTGGTGGTTCTGGCTGGCTGCCACAGGTCTCGGTCTTGGTGCAACTGTCAGTGTCAAATGGGTCGGGCTGTTCACCATCGCGTGGGTTGGCAGCTTGACTATACTTCAGCTTTGGGTCCTTCTAGGCGACACTGAGAACGTCCCAGCTCGCAAGTGGTTCAAGCACTTCTTCGCTCGAGTCTTCTGCCTGATCATTATACCCATGGCTTTCTACATGGGTATGTTTGGTATTCACTTTCTTTGCCTCGTCAATCCTGGCGATGGCGATGGTTTCATGTCCTCGGAATTTCAAGCGACCCTCAACAACAAGGGAATGGCTGATACACCGGCCGATGTTGCGTTTGGCAGCGAGGTCACGATCCGACATCACAATACACAGGGCGGATACATGCATTCTCACGCTCACATGTACCCGGGAGGCAGCAAGCAGCAGCAAGTCACGCTCTATCCTCACAAGGACGAGAACAACATTTTCCTGCTCGAGAATCAAACCCAGCCAGTGACCGCTGACAATGTGACGGTAACTGGACCTCGCGCTTGGAGCAATACCACCGATTTGATCAAGAACGGCGACGTCATCCGTCTGTACCATTTGACTACCCACAGACGTCTGCACTCCCACGACGTTCGACCTCCTGTCACGGAAGCTGACTGGCAAAACGAAGTGTCGGCTTACGGCTACGAGGGTTTTGAAGGCGATGCCAATGATATGTTCCGCGTTGAAATTGTCAAGTCGTTGTCCGATGGAGACGTTGCCAAAGAACGTCTGCGTACTATTCAGACCAAGTTCCGCCTGATCCACATTATGAGTGGATGTGCCCTCTTCTCTCACAAGGTCAAGCTTCCAGACTGGGGCTTTGAGCAACAAGAAGTCACCTGTGCCAAACAAGGTACATTGCCCAACAGCATCTGGTATATTGAGCAGAACTTCCACCCGACATTCGGTCCGGATGCTGAGAAGGTCAACTACCGCAACCCGGGCTTCTTGGGCAAATTCTGGGAGCTTCAGCGGGTCATGTGGCGTACCAACAAGGGGTTGACTGAGTCTCACGCATGGGATTCACGTCCTCCATCCTGGCCTACCCTTCGCCGCGGCATCAACTTCTGGGGTAAAGATCATCGCCAGATCTACCTTCTCGGTAATCCTGCGATCTGGTGGCCCTCGACCTTGGCTATTCTGGCCTATGTTGTCTTCAAAGCTGTGGCTGTGCTACGCTGGCAGCGTAGTTGCAATGATTACTCAAGCGTCAACTTCAAGCGCTTCGATTACGAGCTCGGCCAAACCGTGCTAGGATGGGCGTTTCACTACTTTCCGTTCTATCTCATGGCTCGCCAGTTGTTCTTGCACCACTACCTCCCGGCCCTTTACTTCGCTATCATGGCTCTTTGCCAACTATACGACTTCTTTTTCAACCGGATCCGCAGTTTCGGCATGAAGGAGGTTCCAGCGATTGGCAACACGGTCGCTGCATTGTTCGTGCTGTTTGCCGTCTTCATTTTCACTTTATATGCTCCCTTGACTTATGGCAATACATGGACCAAGGATGCGTGCCGATCAGTGAAGCTCATCGATACCTGGGACTTTGATTGCAACACCTTCCATGACGATGTAAGTCATTTGGCTCCTCATTTTGGATAGGAACTGACGCACACAGTATTCCAAGTATTCGACACCTGTATCTGTAGCGTTTGATGGAGCTACTCCCACATCTTCGCCTGTCGCGGCCGGCTCCTCTGAGGCTATGCCCAAGGAGGCTGTCACTCCCAAGAAACAGGACGATTCCAAAGTCGTAGGACGAGAGGAGAGCGTCGAGTACAGAGACCAAGACGGCAATCTTCTCGACGATGAGGCAGTGAAGGCGCTGGTGAAGGAGGGCAAGGCCAAATTCGAGACCAAGTATGAGACGCGGACTAGAGTCATTGACGAGGCTGGTAATGAAGTGCCAGCTGTCGCACCGGACCACCCTGACATACAGGGCCAGAACCCTGATACTAAGGGCATTCCCGAGGCGAAGGGCAAGAGCCAACCCGCCAATGCTAAAGCCGAGTCCGAGTCATTGGAAGGCGAGCGAAAAGCAAAGGCTCAACCCGCCAGTGATGCGAATGAGGCTACGAGATAGTAGAGGTCATGAAAAGTTCTGCTAGGCCATCACAACAATGCCAGTACAAGCATGATCGTTCTCATGCTTATAATCATTTGGTCTTGTTTGTGTGAATTGTGCAACCGTGGTGGAGATGACTGAGAGGAGCCGATGATCACCCGTGGATGTTTCAGCCTTAGCCGTTCGGATTGGCCACTTTCTCCGAGCGTTCTTCCTCCACAAGGCGGCTTCACTTCGTGAGATAATTCGTTTGTTTTGATTGTCTACAAATCTGAATACTACCACATTATCTTGTGTTTGTGCAGTGGCGCAACTTTACGCATACATAGTGATCCTGCACAGTTGTCTCGACAGACATTTGAAAGCGAGCGCATCCACCGTGACCGATCCAGTTCCGTCTCCCGCCTGAGTTACCCCTCGATCGGATACCGACACTATGGGTGAATCTAGGTGCGCCCCATTAGCCGAGTTGAACACTCGATCCTCTGGACATCAGCTGATGATAAGTCAGACAAGAACTCCTGCACTGGCTCAACAGCCTTCTGCAGCTCAATGTGACAAAGGTCGAGCAGTGCGGGACAGGGTGCGTTAGTCCTCCTGGACACCCGATTCATACTGACCGTATGCAGTGCTGCTCTCTGCCAGATTCTGGATTCTATCTACCGTATGGTCCCTCAACACAGCATGAGATCAATGGCTGACAATTGACAGTCGATATCCCCATGAGCCGAGTCAAGTTCAACGTCAACACTGAATATGCTTACATTCAGAATTTCAAGATCTTACAAAGTACATTGCTGCGGTCCTGTCATGTCCATGTCTAACCGCGTATCCTAGATGCTTTCACCCGCCATGGCATCGAACGAACCGTTCCGATAGAGTCTCTCGTCAAATGCAAAATGCAGGACAACCTCGAGTTTCTCCAGTGGACTAAGCGCTACTGGGACCAATACTTCCCAGGACACGACTATGACGCTGTCGCACGCCGCAAGGCTGCTGGTACAGCTGGCCCCGCTGCGCCTGCCGCCCGTCCATCGGCAGTTGGCGCCGGTGCCCGCAAACCAGCAACGTCTGCGGCGCGGGCTGGTCCACGCACTGGCTCGGCCGCTGGCGGTGCAGCGATTGGTGCAGGCGGTGGTGCAGCAGCTATGGCACTACGTCAGGAGAACGAGACGATGAAAGAAGCGATTGCAGGATTGGAGAAAGAGAGAGACTTCTACTTCAGCAAGTTGAGAGACATCGAACTCTTGTTGCAAACGGCCATTGAACAAGACCCCGAGATCGAGAAGGACGAGAATGGATTAGTGCGCAACATTCAGGCCATCCTCTATTCGACTGAGGATGGCTTCGAGATTCCCGCGGAGGCAGAGGAAGGCCTCAATGGTGACGAGCCGGATACCTTCTGAGGTTGATATGACAGCGTGAACGATTGACGCGATAACCCATAAAATGACGATACGAGCGATGTTGTGCTGAATGAGAGGATGGACCACTGTCCGGTGTCATGAGACATTGCGGTCTGTCAACGAATTGACCCAGATGGACGAGGCTGCGTATGCTTGTCGAATAGCACGCAGTTCCCCTACCCGAAATCCGATTCTCGAGTCGGAAATGAAAACCCTGTACGACCCCTTCATCACCTTGACTCTTGGATGAGCACCGACGTTAGGCCACGAAGGTCTAGCGATAGGAGTCCGTCTTCACAATCCAGCGGCCCTTGAGCCATCGATAGATAGCCGAAAGTTGGGAACATAATGCAGGTCTTCAGCCCGTGCTTTCTGGCTGCGGACCGAATGACACAACCCGATTGACTCAATGCCGACGGTGTACCAATGCTGATCCGTCCACTCTGCCCTGAATATTCCGAAATTAATACACGTGAACTTTCATACCGCGTCGAACAGGTCAGAATCCTCCTTGGTCTATGACGCTCAAGGCTCAAAGTATATCAATTGATAGAAGCATGCGTTTCAGGCGGATCCGTGTTGCTTAGGCTGCACGATCAAGTCATCTGACGTCGAGCAAACATGGACAACTCGTTGGGCGAGCTCGTGTTCGACTCACATTTTACGTGAGGCAAGCACCTCGTGTTATGCTTTCAGCGGCCGAGCCCCAAAAAACTATGTCGTAAGAAATTGAGAAGACGCAGCGGTAGGTAACGACAACGGATATGTTCAGTCGATGTATTAGCCCAAAAAATACACAAGTGCTAAAAACATAGACGCCCTGCCCCTCGCAAGGGTACAGCCGCCAGAACGCTGGGACGCCAACCGCGCTTTTTTGCCAATTGTACAACGCTCATGTCCTGCTATCATCTGCAGCAGGAAAGCGCCTGTCACACACAACACGGTCTAGTCCGCCCTCAGGCCCTCTTGGACCAGCTCCACCCGTTTGACGGGATGCAAGAGCATTCCTGGTAAGCACATTCTGCCCTCACCGCTCACCTCAGTCTGCTCGCCGCCGTCGTTGTTGAAACGCATTCCCAGCCAACGATGCCACAGCACCTCTGGGAAGCCGGCGTTGTAGTACCAAGTAGTGCCGCGGAAGTTGTGCTCTCGGTCGCCAAAGACGCTCGTTCTTGTACCGCCTGTCGCGCCGTTTCGACCGCCGTTGAATACCGACTCGAGATACTCGACGGGCCATCGGCGGTCAATGTACTCGGCATGAGGCGCGTAGACGGCTTTAAGACCGTGATGCAGAGCACAGCTGGCGGGCCACATTTCCGAGAACATGGTGTGTCGGTTCTTCGCGGTTTCTTTATGCATGTTGACGAGCAACTTGCGGCTCAGACGGGAAGCGGTGATGATGGCAGTACGGCGTGGAGGCTGTCCACGGGTCTTGTTGTAGCCAGTAGTGTCCTCGGCGAGCAGCCAGGTTGTGGCATCAGGATCGAAAAGCGGGTTGAAGCTGATTAGGTCGGCCTCCTCTCCGACGCCCCAGGTATACTTGTCTTTTTCAAAGGAGGTGGGTGGCTCAGGGTCATCATCAAAGGCAACATCGTCATCCAGTGGGCGTTCTGGTCCCCAGATTGGGCGATCGCCGTGTTGCGCGCTGGCACCGGGCGTGCGGTCGCCTTTTCCTAGACCTGACCACATATTGTTTGGGGAATTGGTGCCTTGCTCGGTTTGAATGCGGACCATGTGACTGAAGTCGTCCCAAGAGCCATGCTTAGAAGGGACGTAGAAACGCGAATTCCGTTCCCAGAGGAGTTTACGAGGTTGTTTGCGGGCCCAATCGACGACGCTGGAGAACAGGTGGTACCAGTGGTTGGTGGTACGGATGTCCATTTCCCAGTGCCAGAAGAAGTCGAATTCCGGATGAGTCCAAGCAAGATATTGCATGGGCATGAACGTGCTTCGGTAGACGCCATGAACCGGGAGGTCACGCATGTGAGTCTCCTCAAGACCACCATACATGAGTTCCATCTGTCTTTCATTCCACAATACGCCCATACCACGGAATTCCTCGGGTAGAGAGTCTCCCAAGACGCGCTCGTATGTCTCATCGTCGGAGAAGATGGGCAGGTTGTTATCTTTGACGTGGATCAGGAAGAGGACCGTATACTCGCCTCCACTCTCGATGCTCAACTCGGAGATGATCGAACGGAGGTAGATAAGATCTTCTGGGGTATAAGGGTAGTCGTGCCAGGTTCGTATAACGACCGCTGTGCGCGATAAGGGATCCGAGCCAGGTTTCTTTTCATCTGATGGCTTCGTAGCTTTGAAATCGCTCGGTTCTTCTTCTCTTTTTGAGAGACCCCCGATCGGCATTGCTCGAAACTTGTCAGTCTTAGGCTTTGGTGGCTGTTTGAATCGGTGAGCATTGGCAGCGAGACAACGATCTTGTACGTCGATCCACTTTACGCTTCGGTAGTCGACTTCAGGCGCATTTTGCCATACCAGATCAGACCCTTCCCTTTCTCCCTCCAATTGAGCTCCACTTCCCCCACGATTCAAGCTGTACCCTAAGCCATAGGGTCCCAATCTTCCAAAGCGTTCAAAGCAGAGGTCAGTGCGCATACCTAGCATTTCCGCGGAGCCCAAGACTGGGTCAGGGAAGCCCTTCGGTACTCCCTCATATGCCCTCACACTCGGGACAGAGATGGTGTTTGCTTCATCGAGAAAGCAATCAACCTTCTCACCGTGCTTGCTGACATAGTCTGGCGACTTGTAATCTGGATATGGGTTAAATGGTATGCTGGCTTGCAGTGCTGCCTCTTGCCGCTTCTCGGTGGGATGGTCCTCTTCCGCGGGCTTGTTTTCGTCCACCTTGTATTCGCCTTCGTCGTCTGTTTGTGGATACTCGGGCACATTGTCCTTCCGTGCGACCAGACTTCGCAGTCCTCCATAGTATCTGTCAAGGAACGGAAACTCCTCCCAGACTGGAGGTCTCGCCGGAGCCACTTGTTCCTGAATCTTTTCCTGTATCGCAGTCTCAACTTGTTTCGCTGAACTTTTGCTCATTTGTACCAATGAAAACATGAAGAAAACTAGCACTACCGCAAGCGCTAGGCATAGGTATCGTACAATCTGCGCCGGGGACTTCATAAGAAACGAGGAGCGTGGTCTTCCTGAATATGCCACGTTCAACCTGTGTGAGGACGAAACGCTCCGTGACGAGCTTGCGGAGAGTGGGTCATCGTCGTAGTCGTCGCTGGGTCGTGATATTCGTAATGGTTCCTTCTCGATATCTGACTGTGCACGGCCACGCATGTTTGCAAGGTCTCTTTCATCGTGGCCCGAGGAGGCAGTGCGCTGCCACCCCATGGCGGAGACGCTGTTATCGTGGAGGGAATATAGTGACAGTCATACGACACCGGTAGGTCTGGGGCCTACAGTGGCCGATAAGGAAGGCTAGGAGTGCGCTGGTGGAAACGGACTGGTATGACGGCTGCCTCGAGGTGCGTGTTGATCCAACCCCTGTCGTCAAGATGCTTGAGCTAGTGGGTCGCGTTTGCGAATCGCGAACTCACTGCCTGAATAGTGTTTTGTCGGCGTCCGTATCCCGCACGTGGTTCTTGCTTTGCGGCTCTGACGTTGATATTATACAGAAAATAAGAAGAGAGATGGCCTATGTACAAGCGATGAAGTTGCGAAGGACCACCGCGTTTGCGTCGAGTTCTTGGAAAGTTCCTTGGAGGCGGGCTAAGTTGTTTTCTCAGGCCAATTGGGGCAGGCTCGGCTCGGAGCGACTGTGCCGGCTTGACAGGGGTCTGCGGTACTGTTATGTAGGAGAGCGTCTGACGAGATGCGAACATGCACCACAGTTCACGCGGGTGATACGTCGTGTGCCACTATGATATTGCTGTCGGAATGACCTGGCTTGCGCCTGGCCATCTGGCGGCACTTTGCTGGACTCCCCAGCCGTGCCTACACACGAACCGCTGGCAGGAGTCGGGCGAGGCACGTACGATGGTATTCATAGTGAGCACCAGGTATACTATAGCAAATAAGACTCTTACGTGGCAGTAAGGGAGCAGGAAGTGTCGCCGTAGCCCGGCCTGAGCGGACCCGGCTCGTGCACTTCTAGGAGCACAAGACAAGACATATGGTCCAGGCAGAGATGAGGCCGCGAATTGCCACAAGACCGTAGTGCTCGGCTCCCTGGCAGGGAGACACCGGCAGGTATCAGAATCCGAGTTCAATGAAATAGTATTGCTGTCGCAAAAGACTGAAACTTGTTCTGTACAAGCCGACAAAAAGTCTGCCATTCTTCGATCGTGCTTTCGTGCCCTAACGCCGCTGCTCTTTGAGCCTGTGCAATTTCGACCTCTACTACTTTCTGTACCACATTCTCGTGATGCGTGTGTGCCTCACTAGAACTTGTTAGCATCGCCACACAGTCAGCGGATTCAGGGAACGCACTCTTCTTCTGTAGCTGGAACATGCCATACATCAGAGCCTCAGCAGTGGGCGGGCATCCAGGCACGTAAATATCCACCGGCACAATACGATCGCAACCTCTGGTAACACTGTAGCTGTAGTGATAGTAACCGCCACCGTTGGCACAGCTGCCCATGCTGACGACCCACCGGGGATCTGGCATCTGATCATAAACCTGTCGCAAGGCCGGCGCCATCTTATTGGTGAGAGTTCCTGCCACAATCATCACATCACTCTGTCGGGGTGATGCACGGAAGATTATACCAAGTCGATCCTGATCGTACCGGGGCGTTGATAGATGCATCATCTCGACGGCACAGCAAGCCAGACCGAATGTCATGGGCCATAATGAGCCTTGACGAGCCCAGTTGGCGACCTGGTCGAGTGTTGTGAGGGCATATTGCATAGCACCCTTCTTCGGCTCCTGCGAAGCGAGGGGTACTTCGCGTCGTCGGCCGCCAGTGACAGGTAGCCGCGAAGGATCGCTGGACGTCTGAGCAGGAGCTGGCACTGAGGTAGCAGACTTTGAAGCCGAGGAAGAAATGCTGGCTGATGGTGTGGCGCGGAGGAGGAACGGGGTCGCTTGCGCTGCTACTCGGGTCAGTGGGAGCTGTGGCAAAGACAAGGTGTGGTAGCTACCTCGCAGCGCACGCGGCGCAACGGTCCTTGAAAGGGACATCATCTTGTCAGTCCTCTAACAAAGGAAAGGCAGGGCAAACAAGAAAGTGCAAGGAGGGGAGACTTGAGAGGCGACAGTGGTGTGCCGTCAATGATGTCTTCCATTTGGCGTCGTGGTGCTCCCGACCTTGAGTGGATCAATTATTCCTGTTCGTTTATTCACCCTTTTGTGATTGGCCGGATTCGCCCAGCGCGGAGAGCACTCCCGCAAGCACAACTCATCTGCCCATTGCCGCCCACAACTTGATCTGACAAGAGCATTGGCCTGAATCCATTCAATGCACAATTTCATGCGACTACGGCGATGACAGCTACGCCGTCTATCGCCTGCATAGGCATCATAGGCAAACATGTCAGGACTACGAAAGCTGTAAGTGCGTAGCTATGGCTGACCCTCAGCGCAGGATGAACCCCTCCACATCTCCCTCTTCCCACCACACGAAGAGCAGGAACTAGATATGTCCTTCATTCTGAATTCAAGCCTTGACATATTCGATATACGTACTCGCGCAAAGACGGTCGACCAGGATCTGGGTCTACTCCATGCAGTTGATGAACGCCTGGCGGCCTATGGCTGGCTTACCAACACAGGCATCAAGTTCATCATCATAGTCGATATGATGGGACGGCTAGCCAAAGAAGAGCCAGATGACAAGCGGAAGGCGCAGCCAATCGTCGGTCTCAGGGATGCTGAGATGAAGCCAGCTTTTCGAGCTGTGCAGACTGCCTATATCCAGCTCATGCTGAATCCTTTCTTCACTCCGGAGGAACGTACGCCGTTGCAATTGGCCAATTCGAATGGTCGGCCTGCCACCATCACAAGCAAGAAGTTTGCAACAGAACTGCAACGGATAGGACACGCATGGTCTCCCGGCGTCACGAGCATATGATCCGGCCATCACGTTTCCCTTCCTTGTGTGATCTGCCGGGGATGGCGTCTGTTACATCCACTTCAAAAGCACCGGGTGGTAGGAATGGTAATCTGCCATGGAGACCACCGCTCGCAATCCGGAAAGACAACCGGTCCCCTGAACTGTGAAAGCGAGGTTCGTCAGCCCAAGCCAAGTCTGTCGCCTATCCGCTGAATGGCCTTCGAATACCTTATCCGTGTTGCTGCACCATCCAGTCGCATGTCTCCCGTGGCAAATAGCGAGTCTGCAGCACGTTTCTCGGATACAGGGTCTGCGCATGGGCAGAATTACGAGGAAAACAATCATATACTATCCCAGTCAATCGGAAGGCACGGCCACTTCGGTGCATGCTGGGCTGTGCAAAGGCGAGCACTGCTTCCCTCTCGATCGCTTTTGAACAATCGAGTCCCCTGTTTGCTTGCATGACATGCCTCCATAGCGACCGAGTTGTCCGTATTTTTTCCTGCAGCCTGCATAAGCAAAAGATGTTTCCCTTCATCCTGTCCACATGCCCTAAGCGCCCTCCTGCTTAACGTATTCCAGGACAACATCCAGAGTGCGTTGCGGGCCAGCCTGCTCCCACAACTTGACACCACCATCCACTCCCAAGATCACCACCCCCCTCGTCGTCCCCTTCCCCGCGCCCGGCTTCTTCATGCCAATCGCCGTCGTCAGACTCGCATTCGGATCACACTGCAACCTGTCAGCCACGATTCCCCCAACTCCAAAACCACACCTCACGAAAGGCCCACTCACCAACAAAGGATACTGCAGTCCCTGCTTCGCCACAAAATTCGTATTCGCCTTGGGGCTGTCCGTGCTGAGGCCATAGATCGCAAACCCGGCCTGCGTGATAGGCCTGTAGTTGTCCCTGAAGAGGCACGCCTGCGTCGTACACCCCGGGGTAGACGCTTTCGGGTACGTGAAGAGCACCAACCCCTTCCCACGGCCATCCGCGCCTCCCACGGGACTCTGCGCCACCTCCTGCAGCAGCTGCTGCACCGTGACCTCGCGGCCCTCGTGCGTGGTGACCGTGCCGCCGAACCCGGCCAAGTTTACCTTGCTGCCCACCGCGTCGCGGCTCAACTTCGTCGATGTCGACGTCGTCGTGCCTGACGCCGCCGTCGCTCCGCCCGCGGTACCAGCAGCAGTAGCTTCCGTGGTGGCGACCGCGTTCGTGACCGGAGCGGCGGCCGCGTCCTGATCGCCGGCAGTGCCGGTCGTCTCGGGCAGCACGCCCGTCTCAGTCGCGACGGGCATCTCGCCAGCGCCGTGGTCAGAAGCTTTAGCCTCTTCAGAGGGGGAGCCAGAGATGGCGGCCTTGGCCTTGTCGACGGCCTGCTTGACCTTGGAGGTGCTGGCGGACTTGCTGGAGGAACGCTTGGCTGGAGGGGGCGCGGGGGCCGGGTCGCGGGCGGGCCGTTTGCGGAGCTCGACCATTGTGAGAATAGTTGATACTGTTGTTGGCGAGGAGGGAGGTGTTATCGAAAGGGTGCAGTTAGCTAGTAGGACGGTCTCACATTCGAATGCGGAGATTTTGTCGGGGCGGGGCGGCGTCAGAGGTAAATGGTGCCAGGTGGCTCAAGTAGTAGGCATAGCACCACTGATGGTTTGATATAGAGACTCAAGCGCTGACAATATGGTGATCTTCAATCGGGTCTACAACAGCAATAAGAGCTCTCTCGGCAACTTCATTACCAACCACTTCCTTCTTAGGACTACCGTAGGTAGCTTTCATTAACCCCGGTCTCGGTCAAGTCTAGACCCGTCGATGCTTTCACATCCCGCATTTGACGCTACACCATGAATGGAGTCTTTACCTCTTATCATGTCAGGACGCTGCAAGCATACGAAACTCACCGCCGAACAAGATGAGGACCAAGTCCCAACACACGATTACAGACAATTCAAGGTGGGGCTGAACTTCCAATTAGCATTGCGGCGCCTCTGCACAACAACGTAGGTGGCTGTACACGTTGCAGAGACTTGAGGAAACCTAACCAGCTCGCTCACCAGTAGTTGTGATATTCCCGGGAGCCGAAGCAGGTGCACGACATGGAGAAAGAGAAGTCCCATTTTGGCACAAATTTTGGGTTTTTGGATTGACTGCCTAGTCGAGTGTTGTTGATCGAGGTCACAAGCCTCGAATGATAAATGTTTCCAGCATAGCAATGCTTCCCCTTTGGACCTCCTCAGAAGCGGCCCCTCACAATTCCCCCACCGGATACCTAAAATTGCTGGCTCACCCTCCCAAACATGGACGAGTAGGTTACAGACTCTCGGTACACTTGGAGTCAGAACCTTCGACATCGTCTTCCGTGCCGGGTCTGCTGAAGAGCAGGCATGGCGTGTTGGGAAGGATGATAAGAAAAACTTGCTGAGATAGTGAGGGGAGGTCGTAAATGATTGATCTGTCGGTACGTCGGTGGCTCATATCATCGATGCTGTGGCAGTTTGAGTCGAGCCTGTCCGGTCGGTGAGGATCGTCAGACAGGCTCCTGTCCAGTTGTCATGATATTTTGCAAAAGTCGGAGCCACATATTTCTCGTTACTCGTAGTAAGGAGGTGCCCTTGGTCGTGATTTGATCGATCGATTGGGTCATGGTGGTTGAATTCCCGATCCGGATCTGCCATGTGCCGTTGGCAAACCCCGCGCGGGATCCGACATTCCCAGATTGTGTGAGTCAAGTAAAGTGGGTGGTTCTTGGCTCAAGATGGATAGAGTGGGTGAACACGATGCCATCATTCTGTTTCAACGATAGCCGCCGTTACCGGTGGTTACCCTCGTGCCAGAACGCAGCCTATCGTCGAAGTCTAGATATTAGTCAGATGCCATTTCAAACCTCCACGGAACCGAAGCACAACGCAGAGGAGGTCCCTTACACAGAACCGAAGGTCTCAGTACTCACATCCTATCACTTCCACCTTGGTCGTTGCCTGATGCACCGCGTTCAATGACCTTGCGTCGAGAGCTGGAGATAGCGTTAGGCTTACCAGCACCGGTTGGAGTAGGGCCCGTAGCAGCAGCAGTGCCGCGAGGGCGGGGCTTCTCCTCCTCATCTTGAGCAGGCTGATTGCCAGAGGCAGCAGCGATGGCCTGTGCATTCTTCTGATACTTGTAGACGGTCCAGTCGAAAACATAATCGTACTGGAATGATTCGCGGACGAAGAGATCACGGAAGATCTTTCGGAGATACGAATAGTCGGGCTTATCGTCGAAGCGGAGAGATCGGGTGTAGTTAAGGTAGATGGCGAACTCGTTGGGGAAACCGCGGCAAAGGACTTCGGTGGGAGTGGTCATCTTCTTCTCCATGATACGGTCATACTTCTGCTTCTTAGTGGCAGCCTTGAGACCTTGCCATGGAAGTGAACCCCGGCAGAAGTAGAGCATGACATAGCCAAGAGACTCCATATCGTCGCGGCGAGATTGCTCCACACCGAGATGGGTGTTGATGGAGGCATAGCGAGCAGTACCTGTGAGATTCTTGTTCTCTCTATAGGGGATGTGGAAGTGCGTCTTGGGATCGCGGTACTTCTTAGCCAGACCGAAGTCAATAACGTTGACCTGATTGCCTCGCTTTCCGATGCCCATGAGAAAGTTGTCGGGCTTGATATCGCGGTGAATGAAGGACTTGGCATGGATGTATTCGATGCGGGAGATGAGTTGGTCAGCCAACAGCAGGACGGTCTTCAAAGAGAATTTCCGGTTGCAGAAGTTGAAGAGATCTTCGAGCGAGGGACCGAGAAGGTCAAGGACCATGGCGTTGTAGTCACACTCGGTGCCAAACCAGCGGACGAAGGGGATACCCACGCCACCGGCCAGGGACTTGTAGACGCGTGCCTCATATTCGAGCTGGGGGTGCTTGGCCTTGACAGATTCGAGCTTGATAGCGATCTCCTCACCAGAGATGATGTTGGTTCCAAGATAGATGTCACCGAAGGAACCACTGCCAATCTTGCGGCCAATGCGGTATTTGTTACCGACACGAAGATCCTGCTATGTTGTTAGTCCACCATTTCTGGCTGACCAGTGCCTCCGCCGGACGGTACATACCATTGTCGTCATCTTGACTGATTATTTGGCTGTCGCCGGTACGAATGAGGAGGTAGATAGAATCGATCGAAAGTAGGAGGAGCAAGGGAGGTGGGCGTTAGGCGTGGGGTCCAGGCCTGGTTTCAGAGTGGAATTAGCACCAAACAAGAGGTCCGAGGTGGTCAAAGACAAACAAAGCCAACGGACGGCCCAACCGAGAGAATCGACGAGACCGTCAATTTCTTCAACGAGTGGAAGAACGAGTGTGAAGGAGGAAGGGTAAGGTGTTGAGGTTTCGAGGCAGATAAGTGGAGGTTTGGGCAGATTGAGGTCAGGCGGAGATGCCGAGTCAAGGAACGGGTGACGAAAAGCAGCCTGATGACTAACCTTGGCGGATTTGGGTCGATTCACAGAAGCAAGTAGTGTCAGAATGTTGACGACAAGTGAGCAAGACCTCACGAGTCGTGCTGACGACGAGCTTTTGTCAAGGAAACGGGGTGTTGTACGCAATCGGTGGAGTGGTGAGGAGGGAAGAGGATAGAGATGAGAAGGTGCAGATGCAGTTGCAGGCACTACTGGTACAGCCAAGTCAGTGCAGGCTCAAGTGGGTGCAAGTTGGCTGCGGTTATGGGTGGGCCGCCTGGGGCGATCGGTTGACACCTGATAGCCTTGGCGGTCCATCCGCCACTTTTGCCCAGGCTCGCCGGCTCTTCACCCCCGTAACGACATTCCAGTGCGCCCTTAGACGCCTGGCACCGGCCGGGTGCTCCGGGGAGTGGCCTGTACCTCATGGGCGCTGCTTGGGCTGGCCAGCTACTCCCCAAAGATCCTCTTTCACCGGTGTTACACACCTCGGGGGCTCATCTGTGTTCTGGACCACTTGCGACCTCAAGGTGCCCCCCTCTTGGGCACCAATAATTTCATTCATCCACCTAGGTCCCCGCAACGTTGTTCGAATGAGATTGCTCTCAGTCGACAAACACAATCCGTTCGCTGGCAAACCCACCCGCGACGCTGACTGCGGATTGGGATTTGTTCTGCCGAAGTTATTTTGAGAGAAGATCGCCCCGACGCGACCTGGTGCGCTGGTACGGAGTACTACGACCGGCCTCGAGGAGTCAAGCTCAAGGCAACCTCGCTCCTTTGCTGCGCCCTACAGCTGACCTGACTTGTCCTGTCAACCACGGAACCGCAACTGGTGGCTGCCTCGCTCTCGGACTCTCTTTGTTACCCCTCATCATTCAGAGACACGGCTGATAACCACCCGATCAGAATAGAGAGACTCTAATCCATACGGCTGTAAATCGGTCCAGCACACCGTACTTTCACCCAACTTTTGACCGCTCGCTTGCAACCTCCGAGCACCTAGTTGGGCAATTCCCTACTGATCTGATACGCCGAGCCATTGCCTTTTTCCGTAAGGAAATGCTTGGGAAGCCGATGTTCCGTAATATTGGAGAGATCTTCGTCGCTTGCATGACGGTTGCGTGATGCTCACGATCCCGTGTGGCTGGTAACGCATGCCTCAGCCTCACCCGCCGTGAGCCACAGCGTTGCCTATGATGATGCAGGAACAGGCGACTCAGATTCCGCGTGACTTTTGAACTCCATCGAAGATCGAAAAACTTCTGACATCTCACTTTGAGAAGTTGATGACGACGTGAAAATTGTACTCGCCGTTTGGGTTCGCTTTCTCTGTTGGTGGGTGTCTTTCTACTACCGATACTTGATAGCAGCAAGGGTATCCGAAATTCGACAACTAGTATGCTGCAATCCCTCTAACAATAACACCCAATAGCATCAGGCTTCCCCAGATCCCGCTATCGCCATGACTTGGCCAGAGATCGAACCGTCAACAAGCCATTTGACTTATCTACTGCTGTCCTTCTTCCTCATTCTCTATGCACTGTTTTCGGAGCTCATTCGCAACCGAGCACATCTGTCGGAGCCACCATTGGCAACACTAGCCGGCGTCGCTTTTGGTCCGCAAGCCGCGACTGTTCTCGACCCTTTTGAATGGGGGTGGGCCGACAACATCACGCAGGAGTTGACGCGAGTCGTCATCGGTGTCCAAGTCTTCACCGCCGGCATTGAACTGCCACCCAAGTACATCAAGAACCATTGGCGAGGAGTAGGCTTGCTGTTGGGTCCCAACATGGTGTTCGGTTGGCTTGTCTGCACTGCTATCATCTACTTTGTACTAGGTGTCTCGTTTAAGACCGCTCTCATTGTGGCCGCCTGTCTAACACCAACGGATCCTGTTCTGTCGGCAAGTGTTCTTGGAGAGGCTAGGTTCTCTCAGCGAATCCCAAAGAGAGTCCGACATATTCTGTCAGCAGAGTCGGGGTGCAATGACGGATCGGCTTTCCCACTCATCTACGCCGGCTTGTACGCCGCATTGAGTAAATCAGCGGGCGAAGGCGTCAAAGAATGGTTCCTCAACGTCATCATTTGGCAGTGCGGCGTTGGCATTGCCATTGGAGTTCTACTTGGCTACACTGCCAATCGAGCCCTCAGATTCGCCGAAACCAGGAACATGACTCAGGAATCAGCCCTCTTTGTCTTCTACTTCCTACTGGCTTTCTTCAATGTCGGAGTGGGCTCGACGCTCGGCCTGGATGATTTCCTGGTCTGCTTCTCGGCCGGTCAGGCCTTCTGCTGGGATGGGTGGTTCGCAGAAAAGACGCATAAGATGAAACTCCCAAGCATCATTGATCTCCTCCTCAACTCTACCATGTTTGTTTACTTTGGAAGTATTATTCCCTGGCAAAAGTTCCACGGCAATCTATCAGCTGGTCGTCTCACACTGGTGGCAGTTATGGTACTTTTGTTCCGCCGCCTTCCGGCAATACTGGCCCTGAAGAGGTTCATTCCCGAGATCAGGACTTGGCACGAGGCACTCTTTGCTGGGCATTTCGGTCCGATGGGTGTGGCCGCGATATTCCTAGCTATGGAGGCCAGAGCACGTCTCGAAACTGGAACTTCGATTGTGCTGCCCCATCCTCCCAAAGATCTCGATCATCACGAAGAGACGATTCAGGAGGTCTGGCCCATTATATCGTATGTAGTACTCTGGTCAGTCATGATCCATGGCTTCAGTGCGGTTGTGATGGCCGCTATTGGTCATTTTTCGCGCCACGAGAAGGAGCGCCATCCTCTACTCGGATCGGAAACAGGCAGGCTGTATGGAATGGCTAACGAAGACGGAGACCTTACAGATGGTGATGGTGACGGAGACGACGATGGGAACGGAGAATTATAGTGAATGCGCATAGATCTAGCGGCAAACAGACATCTTTGAGAGAGGTGTGGATTATATTCTCTTTACGGCAATCCCGTGGTGTAAGGCCGTACCTGCATGAACGAGTCTGTCCAGCAGTTGCGCCTCGCCGCGTTACTCAGTACATCATTGTCGCCATTGTCATTAGCGCAAAAGCAACATTCCGTGCGCGGAACCAGTCGGTGACAGGCAGTAAATCAATTGCCGGTCGCGAACATCAATTGTACCGCGCCACCAGCGGAACTCACCGCCCGCGCCTCGTGTGGGGAAGACATTTATATTTGCCTTGTCTCGACTCCGCGCACATCGACGTCTTGCCTGTCACTGCGAACAGGGGCATATCTCGGCGCGGAAATGTACGAACGTCTCGATGCAGGCCGATTGATATAGCTATCGACTTCTTCATTGCCGCCGTTGTCGTTGCAAGATCTTCAACGGGCCGTCCTTGACCTCGGTCTCCCAACAATTGGAAGCCCCACAATGGGAGCAACCCATTCGACTGAGCACCCTCATGTGCTCGAGACACCCCTAGGTAAGCTAAGCGGTGTTGAACAACGAGATCCATCTGGCAAAGCTGTCCTGCGCCGATATCTCAAGATCCCATACGCATTACCACCAGTCGGTAAGCTAAGATGGCGGCATCCTCAACCACTACCCTCGCACTTCACCTTCAACGACCCGTCTGGCTCGCCCGGCGATTACACCAAGTTCGGTCCAGTATGCCCTCAGCCAGTCTATGGCTCTAGCACCGCTGTGCTACCGAATCCCAATGCGGTACCACCAATCCCAAATGAGCAGTCCGAAGATTGCTTGTATCTCAATATTTGGATTCCCGCGGGCACGCCCCCAGCAGATGGATGGCCCGTTCAATTTCACATCCATGGCGGTTGGCTCCAAGTTGGCAACGCCATGCAGTCGCACGACCATGACCCGTTCGACCTGCTCCGTGAGACTACCCCACGGATCATCGTCGCACCGACCTACCGCCTGAACCTTTTCGGCTTCCTGGGAGGCGAGGACGTGGTTTCACAACACGAAGATCCTTCGCCCTCTAACTTTGGTTTGTGGGACCAACGTAGAGCGTTGGAGTTCGTGGCCAAACACATCACCCATTTCGGAGGTGATCCGAACAACATCTCAGTCGGCGGCCTCAGCGCTGGGGCCAACAGTACCTTCTTCCAGCTCTACTACGACACCCACCTGCCTCCTTCTCAGCGACTCATCAAGCGCATCTACCTCTGGTCCAATGCAGTAGCCATCCAGCCCTCTCCCACGAACTCGACACCATTGACAACGCAATTCAACGAACTCTGCACAGCTCACAACATCGATCCATCCCTCCCCTCCGCCACGAAGCTCGCCAAGCTGCGAGATGTGCCCTCTTCAGCCTTCATCGCCTCGCTCTCCCGGCTGAAAGCACACACCTTCCGCTCCAGCACGGACGACGCCTTTATTCCCAGCACCTTCCTATCATCCTTACACAACGGACAGTTCACCACCCAGCTCGCGCGCCACAATATTCGCATCCTCCTCGGTGAAGTCCGCGACGAACTGAACCTATACCGCCTGGTCAATCCCCCATCCTCCTACCCAGGCCTTCTCACGCAGTTAGCCAACTATTATCCTCGCCCTGTCGTCGACGCCTTGCTCCCACACTGGCCGGTACCCAGCAAGGACTCCACCGATGCTCAGAAGTGGGAGGACATCTTCGCGTCCATCACAGCTGCAGGCCAGGTGCACGTGCCACAGCGAGGTTTCGCACACCTCCTGCTGCATCCACCGAGATCGGAGGGTGTCACGCCGCTTCCAGAGGATAACCTATACCGGTATCGCATCGAGTGGCGCGCCAAAGGACTGGATGCGTGGCTACGGCCGGAATTGGGCGTGTGCCATGCAGGCGACACGCCGCTATGGTGGTGCAGCGGCTGGCGTGCGGGCTACTCGGAGGACGACAAGAAGAATGTCAAGAAATTCCTAGAGCCTTTCGGTGCTTTCCTAGAGGGCAAGGAGATCCAATGGGGAGCCAAGGGAGAGAAGAGATTCAGAGTTATGAGGCCAGATGGTACGGTTGACGAGGATGTGAGAGATGAGCTGTGGGACAAGTACATGGAAGTGTGGGATAGTATCTGGGATTGTCAGAAAGACGCGGTTGCACGGTTGTAAGCTTGTCGGTGCAGAGCACAGCTTGACCAGGCGGAGCTCTTAGGGTCAGACCGGATACCCTGCAGACTTGTTGATAGCAGTTACCACTCGAGCAGGGGTCAGGTATCGATGCGTATTCTCATCGACCGAAAAGCAATCATCATAAAGTGCTCAGTCAGAAGTTCTCTATAATTCATGACAACGACTAGACTATGCTCCAGCCAATCCCTTCTATGGCCCGCCTAAACATCGCGAGCCTACGCAGGACAACAGCAAGGCTGCCACCCACTCACCAAACCATTCCCGAGCGCCCGCCCGAAACTCTCACCCTTTCGGACCATTCTGGCCCCGCTTGCGCCATCGCAGCGGTGAAGGCGGTGAAGGCGGGCGCAGGCAGTGAAACAACCCCCCTGGAGGCGCCGGCTGGGAGCAGAGCTTACCAATTCAATCGCAGTCCCGCCCTTCGTGAGCAAGTTTCGCGGCCTCGAGCAATCAACTAAGGCTTGCCCGATGAGATTACTATCGTTTACTGTAGGTACTCAAAAGATATATATAAATATGTTCGATTCGTAGACCCCTGAAAGTGTACTTGTATATATCATCTAATTCTCATTGCCGACCTGGCGCAAACAAAGCATTCTTCTTGTCCCCCCCTCGTGAATAGTACCTATCTAACAGGTACTTTGCTCGTATTACCAATCCTTGCTGCGCCTATTCCTCCTCCGAAACATCATACCCCCCCCCGCTACCACGTCCGCCGCAATCCGCCAGCGTTTGCTTTCAACGTCCTCATTTCGCATCTGCCACACCAGCGACTGATCACCAACCAATCTTCGCTTCTTGCGCTCTCATTCCTCCTGTTCTGCCAGTGACACATTCACACCGCCACCGCGACCGAAAATGTCCGAACACAACTACAAGTTCAACGTCACCATGACCTGCGGCGGCTGCTCCGGCGCCGTGGAGCGCGTGCTCAAGAAGATGGATGGTAAGCGGCTTGACCACCTCCCATTCCGCTCCCTCCCATTCCCCCATCCTCTCTCCCTCTCACTCACACACTTCTGTCTCCCCCCCCACTCTTCTCAAAGCCTTCATCAAACTCACCGCTTTTCCCCCACCCGCAGGCGTCAAATCCTACACCGTCTCCCTCGACACGCAAACGGCCGACATAGTGACAGACGCGAGCGTCGACTACGCGGCCGTGCTGGAGAAGATCAAGAAGACAGGCAAGGCCGTCAACAGTGGCGAGGCCGATGGCGTGGCGCAGCCGGTGTAGATGTGAAGTATACAGGTGCGGGTGCGGGTGCTAGCAAGCAGCAGACACACCTGCGGCATGCAGAAGGGGGAGAAAGGGCAGAGGAGGAGGGGCGATGACTCCTAAGGGGTTTAATGCCGCACGGTTGTGGCAAGGTCTGTGCGTGGTTCACCTGTTGGACTGGTGTGGGATTGGACTCTTTGAAGGAAGGTTATGATGCATCGAAGGCGAGGTCTACTTTCAAGACGGCCGCATACAATACAAAATAAAGTGCTAGAACAGGATTGAAGAACGAGGCACTAGAAATGGCCTGTGAATGCACGCACATGGCTCTCCTCTTCCCGCCCGTTGTGCTGTTCGGTACTATCGACAAGAAAAGCTACCTGGTGATGGATCAAACAAACCATGTGAACAAGTCCCTGGCAGCGATTGATTCACTATGCGATAGCATCAATTGGGCCTCCTAAATTGGACGTGCCATAAACACGCGAGGCCAGTGTGCCTCGCCTACCCCTCCAATGATGGGTATCGTCGTCATTCATACATTGTTCGATCATGTCGAACAGGTCTGATTCGTTCCGGGTCGAGAATGGCATGCCAGCCATACTCTCGAACATGCAAGATGCTCCGCCAACGCCTACGCTGAGAGCATGGCAACAAAAAAGGGCTCGGTAAGCCCAGTGGTAAAAAACAGACAAAAGTCAGGCGCTGTACAAGACCGGGGAATATGGCACCTAGCGGCGCGTGTAGTTCGTTCCTGGTAGCGGCTCATATCTGGCAAAGCCGTTAGCTGGGACTGAAGGTGGAAAAACAGGCATGACGTTATTCATGCCATTGCCGTGACGGCGCTCGATAACGTAGTCCTCGGGTGGATTAGCATAAACCACGCGTCGCTCGGCCGGTGTATATGTGGATGGAGGAGCAGAGGTATAGTAAGGCTCTGGTGCAGGAACGTATTCTCGGTATCTTTGAGGTCCAGCATCCGAATAAGGGTCGTCGGCCGGAATTGGCTCCAATATCCGTCTGGGAGGAGTCTCCGGGTTCGGTCGCCGCAGTATCTCGAAGGGCGCTGGCGGTGGCAATGGCTCCAAGCGACGCACTTCTTGAGCGTTACGATCCTGGAAAGGATTGAGCCGAGGTGGATGTTGACTGCGTATGTGGTCATATCTCAAATCATCTGCTGCTAAGATAATGCGCCGGGCGCTTGCTTGCGGGTCCAAAGGACGAGTTCCGGCTTCTGAAACTCGTGGAGACAGGTCTCGAAACACTCTCGGCCGGTCAAGAGTGCTGTGAAAAGGATTGGTGTTGGCCAGCTCACCTTCAGTCCGGCGGTATCTGGTGTCATCGGCGTTGTTGAAGTTGACCGGGCTGCCTCTGCGATCTGGCTGTTCACGTCTATCGCGATAACCTGCGGCGACTTGCTGATTCCGTGCTCGAGCAACCTCGTTTTGGCGTGCAATACTTGGCGAATAACCACCATTCGGTCCTTCAATAGAAGGGACAATGTTTTCATCACCTCCGCTAGGACTTGCAGAGCGTCGACGATACCTGCCTCCAGAAGGCGTGGGTGGTCTGGACTGTGGCTGAAAGGCTGGAGGGGGAGGTCTGAAATCATCCACCATCCTTTCGTACCTGACTCCGGCAGGGCGCGGATACATGGGAGACTCTGGTCGAGAGAGTACCTGTACAAGGTCAGACCCGTCAGACTGGAACGCAACGGGGATGTGGATTCCGGCAAGCATTTCGGGAACGCTGGCTGGATGAAAGCCTACCTCGACTTCATGCGGGCGATGGAGCATGGATCCATGATGATCGCGCTCAATGGCTCTGCCTGGTAGTGGTTCATCAATAGGTATCAGACGGCGCACAGGAGACGGTTCGCGGATAAGTACTCTCTGGTATGAGGGCCCGGCTTGGGACATTCCGAGGCGATATTCTTGTTGGGCTCGCTCCCATCTGGCAGCGCGATTGCGTTCGCGGGCGGCAATCTCAGCTTCAGAGAGCCGGTACGGCTGCACGGCCTGAGGCAGATAACGGTATCCCGAATGGACTTCTCCAAGAGGGGCACGTGCTGGAGATATGGGGCGGGCTTGGGCCGGCCAGTAGGCATTGCCATCAAGCTCCTCTACTCTCAGATCGTCGTGACGGACTTGCTGAACACCTTCAGGCTCCGGGTCGCTCGCCTCTTCGTCCGAGATAACAATTACATCGTCTAGGATATCGTTGATGGCGCCTTCAGCGGCTTTGCCGTCACCCCTCCACTCGACAAGGATTTTCAGGGTTTCTCCTTCAACCTCATGCCGGGCATTGTTATAGGGCATTCTCCGCAAGAGTCGGTCATATTCAGTGTAGCAGTGGCGGATGTGCGCGACTACAGACAGCGTTGCTCTGCGGTGAAGGGGGATCTCATCAGCGGTACCAACCTTGCCGTCACCAAGCTGAAATGCGGTCTTGATGATTTTAAACAGGTCCTTATCCGGGATATTGGGGAACAAATCTTTGATGGTTTCTTTGGCCTCAGTGTTGATGGTCACTTGATCTTGGACCTTTTCATCGAGTACGAGCTGGCCTTTCTGATACACCTTCATAAAAAGGTTGTCGGATTTGTCCTCATCGATCAATCGCCCATCTCGGGTCAAGCGGATGCCATAGTGATTGCATACCTGTGCGACAACAGAAGTAGGGAAATGAAAGCCAATACGGTGGACTTCGCGAGAGAGTTCATGGCGGGTGGCATGAGGTGTGGTCTGTTAACGTTAGCGAAGGAGGGGAAGGGCGCAGGGACATCACTTACTGAAACTGAGAAGATCTTGTGATTCTCCTTCTTTGCAAATTCTTTGAGCGCATTCGTGAGCTGAGGGTTGCCAGCGGGTATGAAGGTATATCCTGGAGGTGGCTCGGTGTGGAACGAGAGCTGACGGGGATGAGCACGGGGTTTGTCCTTGATGTGACCTCGAGCGGCCAATTTCGTTTTGCTTACCACGCTGCTGGGGCCATTCTGGCCTTGGGCACTGCTTTGCACCACGACTTTCTGTTTCTTGTTGTTGCGCTGTTTCGCTATCTGACCTCCTCTGGTAGAACCTGAAGCGCCATTCTGCTTGGCAGATTTCTGATGAGTTACACGTGCCATGGAGGGACCCGGAGTACTACAGAACAAGTAGACGCAACAGACGCCGGAGAAGAAATCAACAGAATCAACCCAGGGATTTGCGGCTGGCCATTAGTGATACAGAACGAAAAGCAGAATGCGAGTCCTCTCGAGGAAGGGGCGAAGCTTCTGCAGGCGTGGCCAACAGAACAGCGACGTGGCAGACTCGATGGCGAGTCGTAACAACGCAAGTGATGATCGAGATACGCGAGCGCAACTCTCAACACAAGTTTCCTGGCGTCAATAGTCCGTATTCCAGGTAGTTCAATGCAGGGTGTGCGTGATGGAGAAGAGGGAGAGACAGAGCGCGGTTGAACAGGCGCAAAGTTGTAGTCAAGTGGCGCTGGTCCAGGCGGCAGTTGTTGCAGCTTGATGGCGCCTTGGCACCGCCTAACCTACCTAAGACGCGCCTCACTCTTTGCTCTAGACTGACAACGTTGGTGACGCGGTAATTACTCGCTTGTCACTGACACGGCATCATACGGAGAGGCACCTGATGAGCACCAAAGAGATTGTGTCAGCCTATCGAAGCCTCTACAAAAGAGGCCTTCGAGCGATAAGATATTCTCGGCCTGCGCGATATAATCTGCGAGACATCCTTCGAAGGTCCTTTCGAGAGGAACCGTCATCTTCATTCGATCCCGAGAGACTTACCAATACCCTGAGGTTCCTGCAACGCGCCGACGTCGACAATGGCATGGAGCATAAGATTATCAAGAACTTGTTATTTATTAGGTATTGGCGTGACAACGATCGAAAGCCGACACGATTGTTAGTACATGACCCCCCTCTTTTCCCGGCCAGCGACTGACTACGTACAGTATGCAAGAGCAGACCGAGCTTGGTGTGAAACTCCGCAGATCGAGTTGGGCACACTATGATGCAACTCTGGCGATGCTGAACGAGAGTCAGCACCTCTGCCTCCGTTCATGAAGCACACGAGCCACTGCGAGTGACCTCCCACGAACTGCAAATACGCCCCGCAATCGCGACGACTTCACGCACTGCGTGCTATTGTCTGCAGCATTGCATGGTCTTGACAGAGACTTGGTGCATCCTCCATGGCACGACGCAGTGTGAAGCGACGGAACAGAACAAGGGTTCCTGCTCGACTATGACGAGCCGCCATCAGGCTTCGGAATCTATGCCAACACCATTCGTCTGAATTTTTGGCCATGTGAGTAGATGCTGGGGCAGTGTGTTGCCAGATCTTTTGCTATGCGTTTCAACGCATCAGAATATCGCAGCGCTGATGTATCAAATCAGGGTGAATTCGCTCAGCTCGTATCCACGGGCTCTTCGAAAGGTTCCGCGTCGCTCTCGACCTCTAGAGCCTTCAGTTCCTTTTTCGACGCTTCCATAGCGGCATTCATCGCAGCATTGGCCGTCTTCTTATCCTCTCCTCTCTTGATTGCATCATGATAAGCTTGACGTCGCTGAAGGTCAATGTCATCGCGCTGTTTCATCCTCGCCAGACTTCGTTCCATCATCTCCAACTCTGTCTTTTTGTATGCAGCCAGGGTCTTTTTCAATTCGGCCACTTCTTCCCCTAGGCGCTCGGTCCTGATCGCACTTACGCTAATGCCGTTCGAAGGGCCAGCAACTGCGCCGTCGTCAATGGCTCGGATGGCCGCATCGAGCAATGATGCTGGCCAGCCGTTTGACGTTATCGCAGCCGAGAATGGATCATCAACCACCTCCTGGTCCATCGGTGCACCTGTCAACACTGCGTGAAGCTTGTAGTTGGCGGGAATCCCAGATGTGCCATGTTCCAGACGAGCGTTGAACTCTAGTCTCGGCTTGACAACTTCAGGCACCGAGAAGGCACGCTGATGTTTCTTTTGAAGGCCTTCTGGCTCGAGCATTCGCAAATTGGTCACAGGTTGTCCCAACTTGGCAAGATCGTTCGCTACCTTGCGCTTAGCAATGTCCCACTTGAGGATGGATCCGTTTTCATGCCCGGACAGCAAAGCTGTGGCGTCGTATGTGAGAGCAATGGTGTGACAAGATCCAGGATCAGACGCAGGTGTCCACTGATCCTCTTCTCCTACCTGGACAGGCAATGACGTGTCGGATGGCTTTGGCATGCCAGTCTTGCCCAACGACAAAAGATCCACACTCGTGACCTTTCCAGATGTGTCGCCTAGGTATATTGCGCGATCAGCTGGATCAAGTGTCAAACAAGTAGGCGCAGACGGTAAGAGGACTGTTCGCAAAATGCTGCAAGTTTCGATGTGCCAGATGTGGCAGGTTCCATCTCTCGATGCCGATACTGCGAAATTCGTACTGGGTCGCGAGTGGCCACAGTCAAGAGCAGTGATCGCATCTCGATGCTGCGAAAACGTGGCCACGGGCGTCTTCATGGCGGAACCTTCTGTATAAGACTCAGACGCTCCCTGAAACGACAAAAGACTGCTCAAAGACCAGACGAGGACTGTCGAGTCCGTTGATGCTGAAAGGATGTGGTAATCGTCGGGGGTAAGGCAGAGTTGGGAGACTGCCTGTAGATGAGACGCCGAGGACGTAGTGATCCTCCCAGTGCCAACCTCCCACAGAATCAGCTTGCCCTCCTCAGTCCCCATGACCAAGACCTCTGGACCATCCGCGTACACCAGGCTGGTGATCTTCTCGGGAAACGGTACGGTGGCCTCCTGGTTGCCCTTGTCGCGACTGTAGACGTTGACCACGACTTTCTCACTTTGTGCCGTAAATACGTGCGATCTACTCACGGCCATGCATCGCGGCTGCACCGAGCTCTTCTTATAGCCATGCCTGAGAACCGGCTGGGGTTGAAGTTCGTGTAAAAAGATGCCGACATCTTTCAAAGACGTGGCTAGATGCTGTGCTGGCTTGTTGGCTGCCAGCACGGCAGCAATAAATGACTCCGTTAGCATGATAGCCCCATCACGCACTGGTTCCGGCCACGCCTCTTCTGTTGTGCAAAACCCGTAGTCTCATGCCCGACATCAAAAGTTCAATGACAGACTCAGCGCGGTCGGGTTCCGGAAGATGGTTAATCCGCCGGCTTCTAGTGGCTTGGCGACGATCTATCGCACACCAAAGCAGTTTTGTCTTGACTGCGGACTTGTTGGATACTTTGAGCACCACATCAAATACCACGAGTCTAGATATTCTTTCTTCGTGGTGTCGTGACATACTGTGGCAAGATGTCGACATTCGAGCCTGTGGTAAGTCTACACTGCAGCGGCCCACACGATTCCCACGAGCCGCCCGAAGAAATAGGATTGACACTTTTCGCAGGTTGTCATTGACGGCAAGGGCCACTTGCTCGGCCGTCTCGCCAGCACGGTCGCCAAACAGCTACTCAACGGTCAGAAGATCGTTGTCGTCCGATGCGAGGCCCTCAACATTTCCGGCGAGTTCTTCCGCGCTAAGCGTACGTCCTACGACCCTACGACGATACTTCGAGCGCACACTGATGTTTCACTCTAGTCAAGTACCACGCCTACCTCCGCAAGATCACCCGATACAACCCTACTCGCGGTGGTCCATTCCATTTCCGTGCCCCGGCTCGTGTCTTCTACAAGACTGTGCGTGGTATGGTTCCCCACAAGACTGCTCGCGGCAAGGCCGCCATGGAGCGATTGAAGGTCTTCGAAGGTGTTCCCGCCCCGTACGATAAGAAGAAGAGGATGGTCGTGCCTCAAGCCCTGAGAGTTCTGCGGTTGAAGCCCGGCCGGAAGTTCTGCACGGTCGGCCGTCTGTCTCACGAGGTTGGATGGAAGTACCAGGATGTGGTTGCCAGGTGGGTTTTGCATAGTCTTTGGATATGGATTGACATACTGACATCTGCGACAGACTCGAGGAGAGACGGAAAGTCAAGGGTGCGGCATACTACGAGCGCAAGAAGGCTGCTCGGAGACAACTTGCCGAGGCGAAGAAGACTGCCAGTGTTGATGATAAGGTCAAGAGCAAGCTCGCAGAGTACGGCTACTAGATGTCCGTTGCGCCGAATGCGGTGTGAGGGAAGGATGATACCGATGGTCGACCGGTGAACGTCGGCTTGCTTTGCCGCGGACGCCAAGTTCATGAAGCACGAGGATAGCATGGCAGGGCATGGCGGATGATCCACGATTGCAGGCGCTGAAGATATCAGCCACGGATCAGATGTGGTCGAGTGCCCTTCTACTTCAATCACATTAAAAAAACGAATCAAAGACCATGACGATCCGAGGGTGACTGTGTGGCTGGGCCCTCAATTCCAGCGCGAAGCGAACGTGCATCTTGCTGCTCACGATGTGACCCTGCTTGCCGACCACGGCCATACGGCTAGAGCTTATCTCTCGTCCGACATATTCGTTGCCTTCACTGACATCGATATAATTGAATACCTGGGCCACGTCTGGGCCAGCATGGTATGCCGTGGTTGACTTGATACCCACCACTGTTGTCAACTGCGGATAATGTTGTAGTGTGAGCGAGTCACCTTGATAATCCATTTGTTCTCTCACTTGTAACAGCTTGCCGCCTCGGCCTCTGCAGGGCAGTGATGCTTGGCATCTCAGCGTTATGTCAGCCCGTCTCCACCTTATTTCGCCGCAGTCCGCGTGCCTGCTACAGCACTTCTGGTGACGACCCATTCTACATCATTCGCACCTCGTTCAACCCTTCATCGCCCGACGACCGCTCCTATGGCCAGCATGGAGCTCTCGCGGTCGGTCATTCGGAGTGCGCCCTTGCGTACGGGTGCCCTCCGCAGCCGTCGAACCGCAGCTCTAGCTTGCTCACCAATGGCCGTTTGGAGCCGCAGACAGTTCTCCCTCAGCAGCGGTAACCCAATGCCCGGTGCTATTGGCACGGGCTTTGGAGGGCAGGGAGGTCCACCACAAGCATATTTTCAACGATCTCAGCGACTACCCACGAATACTATTGTCAAGTTTGTCCCACAACAGACGGCATGGATTGTGGAGCGAATGGGCAAGTTCAGTCGCATACTGTCGCCCGGTCTTGCCATACTGCTACCAGTGATCGAGGTGCGCTAAGACCACCAGCTACGGGAGGCAATGCTGATGCGTTTACAGAGGATTGCTTACGTCCAGAGTCTCAAGGAATCTGCGATCGAGATTCCCAGTCAGAGCGCTATCACGGCAGACAACGTCACATTAGAGCTAGATGGAGTACTTTACACAAGAGTCGTCGATCCGTACAAAGCGAGGTTTGTATTCCTCTGACTCGAGGAGGCAAAGTACTGACTTGGATCAGTTATGGAGTTGAAGATGCAGAATATGCCATTGGACAGCTCGCCCAAACTACCATGCGCTCAGAGATCGGCCAGCTCACTCTAGACCACGTTTTGAAGGAACGTGCGAATCTCAACTCCAACATCACCCAAGCGATCAACGAAGCGGCGCAGTCGTGGGGTGTGGTGTGCTTGAGATATGAGATTCGCGACATCCATGCACCTGAGGGCGTTGTCGCAGCTATGCACCGACAAGTCACAGCGGAGCGATCGAAGCGAGCAGAAATTCTGGAATCCGAAGGTCAACGGCAAAGTGCCATCAATATCGCCGAAGGTCGCAAACAGTCCGTCATCTTAGCCTCCGAGGCCATGAAAGCAGAGAGGATCAACGAGGCATCTGGCGAGGCGGAGGCTATCCTTGTGAAAGCGACTGCTACAGCTCGGGGTATCGATGCCGTCGCGAACTCTATCCGGGAGGGTAAGGACAGTGCTCAAGGAGCTGTCAGTCTCAGTGTGGCCGAGAAGTACGTTGATGCATTCAGCAAACTGGCGAAAGAGGGTACAGCGGTCGTCGTGCCAGGAAACGTGGGGGATATGGGCGGCATGATAGCAAGTGCATTGTCTGTCTACGGAAAGGTGACAGAGGGCCAGAAGAAGGCCGCCTCGGGTGCTTCTGCTCCCACGCAAGCGACCAGCAGGCAGATCGGCGACGAAGTGATTGAAGCTGCGAAACAAGGATCAAGTCATGATGTTCAGAAGACGGTCTTGGAGGGCTTTGAAAAGTCCAGGGAGGGCAAATGATGGAATAGTCGGCGTGCCAGCCATTTATTCTTCCACTCAATCTCTATCTGCAGCAAGGCGCATGCAGTCGTGTACCTCTATCGGAAAACAGACGGCATAATCGTGTGTACAGCATAGCAGGGGCAGGAAATCTAAAAGCCTTTAAGTTCGAAATTAGACCCGTTGTATAGGATCCATGTTCAACACCCACAGTGGTAGGCAGCCTTGTCCTTCGAGGCTCGGCATGCGTCTTCGACGACTTTGAACTTGCGACGTACGCGCTTGAACTTCACGCATTCATCACTAAAGAACTATTCAAAGCGTTTCTACCAGATTTCGACATAACTGTCTGCGGGTCTCTTTCGACCTCCCCGAAATGTTCTCTTCCTTGCCCCACCGATAGCCAACATGCACATCTTGAAGCCAATCTGGCTCACCCACGGCGGTATGCCTTCCCTCGTCGCCCCTCCTAACGCGTCCTCGGACGTGTCAAAATATCGTCGCTGCACTGCTTCGACCACGCAAAAAGATCCAGGCTAACACTGTACGTGACCAGGCGAGAAGAAGAGCTTTGAGGTTTATTCCTGCGATGTTTCGCCGGATGGAAAGAGGCTTGTCACATCTGCTGCCGGTAAGTCTGCGAGTGCGGTAGAGGCATCGCAAAAGTCAGACGAGACCATATTCTGATCTGCGGTAGATGGATACGTCCGAGTCTGGTCGACTGAAGCAATCTACAATGCCGCAAACGCTGCCTACGATGGGCCGAAGCAACTGGCCTCGATGAGCTACCACTCCGGCACTATTCATACAGTCCGTTTCTCTCCAGGCGGCAAATTCCTGGCATCTGGAGCAGACGACAAATACGTCTGCATATATACTCTTGACCCTAACCCGCCGAAGCACTCGACCTTCGGCTCCAACGAAACCCCTCCAGTTGAGCATTGGCCAGTGTTTCGCCGCTTGATAGGCCATGACAATGATGTACAAGATCTCGGTTGGTCATACGATGGAACAGTGCTAGTGTCGGTCGGCTTGGACTCCAAGATTGCTGTGTGGTCCGGCTACACCTTTGAAAAGCTGAAGACGATCGCGAATCACTCCAGTCATGTTAAGGGCATCACTTTCGACCCCGCCAACAAATACTTTGCCACTGCTAGTGATGATCGCTCAATCAAGATCTTCCGCTTCACATCGCCTACACAGAACTACAGTTCTCACGATGCCGTCAACAACTTCATGCTCGAGGCCACGATCCAGCAGCCGTTCGTCAACTCACCATTAACAACGTACTTCCGGAGATGCTCATGGTCGCCAGATGGAATGCATATCGCTGCGGCCAACGCCGTCAATGGTCCAGCTCCTGCCATCGCAATCATTGATCGCGGCTCGTGGACCGGAGACACTACGCTGATTGGTCACGAGGCAGCAGTAGAAGTTTGCGCATTCGCTCCTCGATTGTATGGCGCTACGCCAGATCCGCCTCCAGCAATGGACGGCCATGCACCGCACCATACCACAGTGATTGCTTGCGGTGGTGCAGACAAGACCCTGAGCATTTGGACAACACAAAGCCCACGCCCACTCATCATTACACAAGAGATTGCTGAGAAAGCTATTTCAGACCTAAGATGGACGCCGGATGGGATGACCCTGTTTATGACAGCTCTTGACGGAACAGTCCTGACGGTCATGTTTGAGCCAGGTGAATTAGGCTATCCACAACCGATCGAGGAGAATGCCAAATCGTTGACAAAGTACGGTACTATGAGAAAGGGCCAAGGTTTTCCCGAGACAGTCGATGCCCTGCTTCTAGAGGAGATGGCTAGAGCGGGCGAGCAGAAGGTGGTCGAGGAGCGAATGGGCGCACTGATGGGTGATGCACAACCTTCGCAGACTAATGGCACGGTGAAACCGACCGAAAATGGTGCCACGGACCCAACACTGAACGGGAGCGGTGCGGCCACCAATGGGGCATCGACACCTCAAACTCAGAACGATCAAAGTCAAGCCAAGCTAGAGCGTCTGAAGAATCGGGTCGAGATCACGAAAGACGGAAAAAAGAGAATAAAGCCCTTGCTTGTCTCAAGCGCTGGCGGTGGAGAGTCGTCTTTACCGCAAACAAGGCTGGTGAACGCGGCGGCTGCTTTACAAAGCCTTGATGCACCAACTAGCGTGCTAGATTTGTCGAAGCCGTTTGATGGTCTGCCTAAGGGCGGGCTCGCGGCTTTGCTCTTGGGCAACAAGCGCAAGTATGCACAGATTGAAGGCGAGGAAGAAGGTTCAACCGAAAAGCGAGTGGCTGCTGCAAGCAAGAATGAGCGGACGCCCATACTGACGAATGGGCCGGACGGTTTAGCGCTTGCCCAGCCACAGCCTCCGGTCAATGGGCGACAACCGACACCTGAATTCATTCGGCCGGCTGTCGTCAATCCTGCTATATCAGTTAGTCAACTGCGCTTGGCAGTTCCCCGAGTGCGAGCTACCGTCGTGCTGGGTGTCAACGCTGCAGGCAAGCCGACTGATCCCGGTGCCGACACCGGGAAGGCGAGAGCCGAATATGTCTTTGAAATCAGGAACCCTTCACCACAGTCATTGACACAGCGTGCTCAGGATCGAGAACCTGCCAGAATATCCCTAACTAAATCCGGGCAGCCACAGTGGCAAGACTTTTTGCCTCGAACAGTTCTGCTAGCAACCGGCAACAACAGTTTCTGGGCAGCCGCAGACGAAAATGGTGCGGTCTATATTTGGTCCCCGAACGGACGGAGGCTGAATAGCGCCCTGGTGATGGAATCGCAAGCCGTGAAGCTAGAATCATATGACTCGTGGCTACTGTGCGTAACGTCTACCGGCATGTGTTACTTGTGGAATGTTGCGACCATGTCATCTCCTCACCCACCAGTGTCATTGGCCCCAGTCCTAGACGCTGCTGTCTATTCGCTGGCAGCACATCCAACAGGTGTGCCGGCCATTCATCACGTACGCCTCAATTCGGAAGGACGAATCATCATCAGCTTATCGAACGGTGATGGATATGCCTATTCTCCTCAGATGTACTGCTGGCAGAAGCTGTCAGAAGTATGGTGGGCGGTCGGCAGCCTATACTGGAACACGACTGATTCGTCAGTTGGCAACCTGCAAGCTTCAAAAACCACTCGAGATGGCGAAAAAATTGACGTCTCCAGCGGTGTCATCCCATGGCTGGAGAGAAACACCACAACTGAGACTCTACTCCGTGGCCGCGCCTACTTCTTGCAGAGGCTCGTCAAGGTCCTGCAGTCGCGAGAGGGCTTCGAGACGTTCGAAGAGGGTGTGACTCTGGCACACTTGGAGAATAGGCTCGCAGCAGCTCTGATGCTGGGTGCCAAAGATGAATTCAGACTATACCTCACCATGTATGCCAAACGTCTGGCGTCCGAGAACTTGAAGCTCAAGGCCGAGGAGCTTCTGCGAACGCTCGTCGGCGGCATCGTTGGGGATGATGGCGAAGCGGTGCTTGGTGAGGCGGCGACCGTGAATGCGAGCGAGGATCGCAATTGGCGGGAGAGTTCTAAGACGCTGTGCGGCTGGTCGAGGGAGGAGCTGCTGAAGGATGTGATACTGGAACTGGGTAAGTCTCATCCTCTTCTCGACAGTTTGGCACTAACCGCTTTATAGGCAAGCAGCGTAATCTTCAGCGCTCAGTGGTTCCGTACGCCAGGATACTCAATCTAGTCGGAGAAGTGACGGCGGCCTCGGATGAAATGGACTTGTAAACATAGTCTCGGTTTAGCGTCGGTGTCCAGGGAGGTAAAATATCAGCACGGCGAGGCTGATTTCGCCATCACGATTCATGGTGCCAGGCAGAGATTTTGTTAGGGATGATCAGCAAATAGCGAGAGGACAACGGGTCCTGCTCTCGGACGCTGTTGCGCGTCGCTACCGGGCTGGGGCACAGCAGGACGACCGCGTAGCTTCGCTTTACGTGGACCGGCGTTTGTGGTTCCGGTTTGCCGCCTCGAGATTCGATGCCAATCAACGAACTCTACGTTGACCTGCTCGCCAACCCCGTTTCAATCACAATAGTTGTCAGATCAAACCCTCCTCACACGATGTCAAAGTTGAGCAACTCATCTTCGTCATCCCCTGCCTGGCGCTCATCCTCGACGCTCTATACCGATAGTCGTGACCTCCCATCAAGCCCTCCAACTCCGAGCTCGATCAAATGTCTCGTCTCACCTCCGTCATGGAAGCCAATTCACCGGCCATGTACCGTTCATTCCTCTCCTCCCCACAGACTATGTCCAATACCGACGGCGAGATGGGTTCTCGCCGCGGTCTTTCTTGGCCTCACGGTTGCACTATGGCATTTGCTTCCCACTCAGCGACCATCCTCGCCTTTCTTCTCTCATGAGATACGTATCTGGGAGGTCTTACAACCTATTTCCCGTTCGACGACTCTTCGGAGCCCTACACATGATCCTGAAAACTGGCTACGCACACACTCCATTACAGACTACGACGGCCCTGCATATCCGATCGAAAGTCGCCCGAGTGCTGCTCTCATCAGCCTCGTCCGTAACGAAGAACTGGATGGCATCTTGCAGTCCATGCGTCAGCTAGAGTATTTTTTCAACCGTCGCCACAAGTATCCTTGGGTGTTCTTCAGCGAGCTCCCTTTCAGCGAGGAGTTCAGAGTCGGTGCTCTCGATTCTTGTCTTTTTCTAGCCAGTATTGACCATGACACAGGCCGCAACATCGAACGCAACCTCTGCTGAGACCTCCTACCATCTCATTCCGACCGAGCACTGGTCAACTCCGTCGAACATCTCCAGATCTCGATACCACGACTCCCTTGATTATCTAGGCTCTCTCGGCGTTGGCAAAGGTTCTCTTATCTCCTACCGCCACATGTGCCGCTGGAACAGTGGCTTTTTCTTTCAACATCCTGCCTTGCAGGACTATCGATATTACTGGCGAGTCGAACCTGACGTCCACTTCTTCTGCCACATACCCTACGATCCATTCTCCTTCATACACGAAAACAGCATTGTCTACGGCTTCAACATGGCAATTCTAGAAGATGCACGCTCGTTTCCGAGCCTCTGGCGCACAACACTCGCGTTCACACACGCCCACCCTGAAATGCTCCACCCTGATGCGGACTTGAGCTGGCTCGTGGACGACGATGAAGGGGGAACTTATGCTAACTGTCAGTTCTTCTCCAATTTCGAGATTGGCAGCCTGGACTTCTTCCGCAGCGAAGCCAGCAAGAAGTATTTTGAATGGTTGGACGACAGCGGCGGCTTCTATTACGAACGCTTCGGTGACGCCCCGATCCACACGCTGGCGGTCGCTTTGTTCGCTGCCCGTAACCAAGTCTGGTTCTTCAGAGACATCGGCTACCAGCATGACAGCGCTCGACACTGCCCAGCGGAGTATTTGCGCGGTCGCGCGAGCCCCCTTGAAGGTCATGGCCGCAAGGCCGCTCAGCGGCACCACGTCGGACAAATTGGCAGGCAAACATCGGGCCGTGAAGCTGGCAGAGGAGGTGGGGAGCGTTGTGCTTGTGAGCCTACGCCATTGGACGAGAACTTCTATCGTCTGGTGCCGATGGAGAGTCCGCAGCGGAAACCGGCGGATACGTGTGTAAGATTGTGGTTAGGTGGTGAGTGGCTGAGCAAGAGGGATGGTTGGAAGAGAGATATCGAAGTGCAATTGGGAGGAGATGGGTACGGCGGCTACGAGCGAGGGTAGAGCGGCAGTGAGACCCTGTCGAAGTGCGAAAATCCGGCCAGAATGCCAGAAGTCTTCTTTGTCTACTCTAGCAGGTCTTATCATCGTGTAAGGACTGCAATACAAGCCCATTCTCTTGCCTTCCAGGCACACCCCTTCACCTCCTCTCAACTTGCACTCCCCTCCCGCTCCCTCCACGTCCTCAAATCCTTATAATAATACACCCCATCGACCCTCTCCCCACTCCCATCCGGCCTCTCCCCATACTCCGGCAGCACCCCAAACGCCACATACCCCAGCCTGGGATACAGATACCGATCCGCCTCACTCTCCCTCGTCGTGCTCAGCACCAGCAACGACCTCCCCACCTCCCTCGCCCGCCCCTCCACCTCCGCCATCAACCGCCTCGCCAGTCCCCGTCCCCTCCAGCCGGGCGCCACCATCAACATCTCCACCTCGGCGCGGAAGTGGCCGGTGTCGCTGGCGGGCGTGAGGAGTTCGACGACGCCGACGAGGGTCGGCGGAGGAGATGTGGGCGCGCCGGAGGTAAGGAGGGGCACGGCTGTGGGAGGGGAGAAGGCGAGGAAGACGTGGTGGGAGGGGTGGCCGGCGTCGGAGAGGCGGTGGCGCCACCAGGTGGTCATGGTGGTGGTCTTGGCGGGGGTGAAGGGCGGGTGGAAGCGCATCAGGGCGTGGTCGTGGAGGATGGATTGTTGGTGGAGGGTGACGAGTTGGGAGAGGAGGGTCGGGTCTGGAGGCGTGGTTAGGGGGATGACGGGGATGGGTTCTGCGGAAGAGGTGGTGGTCGTCATGACGATGAGGTTTGATGGCAGGCTATTTGGTATGCGTGCAGCAATCTAGACTGTGGTGAGCCGGTTGCTTTGCTGGATTGATCTGGCAGTAAACGATCGGAAATTATTGCAGCCGCACTTGGCTGGAGCGACAGGGTGCGGGAACTTGCGGCAAGGTGACTGCGAAGTACTTGCCTTCCGATGAATGAAGTTGCGATGAACAGAGGAATACTCACTTGCTACATGAGGTTGAGGTACGTTTTAGGTAGTTCTATAGTACGGCTTGTGGTAAGGCGCTATGTCAGCAGGGCGTACGTGTACGCTAAAGGGGCGTATATGGTCACACGCGGCACGCAGTCCGCGACTCTACATCATTTCTAAGAGAGTATGATTCTCTCGATATGTGCTGTAACACTCTCCTTCGGTTGAGGGACGATGTGAGGCCGCCATCGATGGCGTTGCTGAGCCATGAGAAATCGCGAAGGTAGAAGGTCAGGTTCAAGATTGCCCCTCGAATTACCGGCGGAGAAGCGGTAGGCAGGCCAAGAGGAGATTCCCGCAAAGGCACTTCATGGCTTTTTGAAGACATTCGACTAGCTTGATCCTAAGCTTCTCCTAGCCGATCAGTGCCCGATCACAAAGCGACACAGTGGACATTCCTCGTAGTAGTGCGATCGACAGAACACATCCACTTCGCCTCAAAAGTTTCAAAGACGTTCATGGATATTGTCCCGTCAGCCGCGCGGTCAGGTAGGAGTGTTCCAACATTCCGTTAGAACAGATCCCTCGTCAATCGTAGAGACCGATGAAATTGGCTGTCTCAAAGATGACGACAATCAATCATTTGATTGCCAGGGCATCATGCGGCCATGGAAAAGTTGGCCTAATCTTCCCGGAGCAAAACAAGGCGGCTACCCCTTGTACCCCGGGCGAATGAGGCAGATGCTTGGCTCTACCCGAAACTGGGCCTGTCGGGCATTCCTGACTGCCCCTAATTGGATGCAGGCGAGGCATCGCCCTTAAGCGCAGAAGAAAGGATATCGCTGCTGGCGAGTCGTCTTCCCGGATCTGCGGTCTGATTTATTGGATTGGGCGGCCGTTCGGGTGGGTCACTATCAAAACAAAAGCCGGCAAGGCACCAGATTAAACACGGAGACTTGATATATACAGTCTTGTTCTACCATTTTGCCCTGAAACCATCTTCAACCCAACACCGCACCACACCGCTGTTTAGCCCAGTCTAACCGCCAGAAACACACAAGAGGCACACATGGATGCGCGTATAGAAGTCCTCAGCTCATCACTCGTGCCCTTGGAGGAAGAGCCAGTGCCATCGACTTGCTTGAGAGTGCATGCCAGAGTCAAGGTTGCCCAGGAGGCATCGACAGCAAGAACCCCCTTCGAAAATGTCGCCCTCCGCTTGCTTGGAGCAGTTGTAACAGAGGTTGGGTCTCGCGCAGCCACCGAAAAGGTCAATTTGCCCGCAGAAAGCCAATCCACTTGCTCACCGCTTCTAGATTTTCGAGATCACAAAAGAGCGACGATGGGAGGAGGACTTCGTTGCTAGCCCTACCAAAGGCTCTCGCCCCGTCGCATCCAGCTTCACCGATGTGTCGTTCTGCATATTGCCCAAGCCGGGTTCTGTCGATCCGGATTCGAGCCACTCCTTCATTCCATCGTTGAGACTCGACGGACAAACATATATCACAACCAGTGACGTCCTAAGCAGTCAGCAGCTAGTGAAAGGGAAATGCAAAGTTCTGTACTGGATCGAAGCAGACTTTAGGCGAGGCAAGGACGTCGTCCGAAATCTGAAATGCCCCATCGATATCTCCAAGGCAGCAGCACCGCTTCAACTGCAAGTCTCTGCCAATTCCATGTCTGAGCATATTGCCGTGGATATGAAGCCGCTCAGGTGGTCCATGGTAATGAGAGGCTGGCCTTTGAGGCCCGTCCAAGGCAAAGGAACAAGGCCGAAGATGTCAATCCACTTACCAAAAGATCTCGGCCTCGTATACGGCACCAGAGCGCATTGCGACACCAGATTCCAGATGGTTGCAGTACCACTGCTGTTCGTGGTGAAGCGCCCGGCGAGCTCCAGCCATACAATGCACGACATCATGGGTAACCTCTTACCGAAGCTCTCAGTGGAAGCTATGTGGCACACTGAGAAGATTTTCTCGACATCCAACTTGGCGAATCGGCATATTCAGAAGGGGACCGTCCAGTCTTGCAAGATCACCCAGAAGTCGGTAGTGAAGCAAAAGCAGGTATTGAAGTTGCCTCCATTCTATCAGCAAAAGCCTGGCGAGACGCTTGTTGGTGAGGCGGAACAGGAATTCTCGGCATCTGCAACGCTTGAAATGCTCCTCCCGGATACCATCAAGAGCCCGTCGATCACCACAGGGCTGCTACGAGTGTCGTATCAGCTGGAGCTGCTCTTCACGCTTGAGGACGAAGGCCACGGTAGTATCCTGCCATGCAGAGCATCATTGAAAGTCCCCCTTATCATTGAGTCGACTTAGGAGGAAGTCATAGAGGGTTCACCATGTCATGGCGTTTCGCGGAAGTTGTAAGGACCGTTAGTTCTTGAGGCGTCGGATACCCATTGATGCATGATGAATGAAACGACTGGAACGATAGATAAGTTATAATCATAGAGTCCTCCAGCGGCCACGGTCGTCATCAATAGCTCGCTGGATGGAAAGAAACAATGCCCGAAGGATTGGGGGAAGCTCCACCATTCGCGCCAAGCCAAAATTTTGGAGCAAGCAGCAATGTAGAGCGCATCCGGGAGAGCACCTTGATCAGTATCGTCTGCTCCGTAGCACTTTTAGGGGTGCTGTACGATAGCATCCTGTCTCTGACTCTCTCAGTCGAGGCTTGTCTGTTCATCATGTCGCGTGGAGCTGCGACGCTCGTCGCCATTCCTCTGCCACCTCCCTTTCTCCTCCCTCGATCAATCCTTCGATCTCAAGCCAGTACGATTCAGAAGAGATCCTTCGGCATCAAGTCTACAGACGGGCCTCGACATGATCGATTCCACCCTAAGTCCCTGTTGGCCAGCCAGGCATCTGCAAACAAAAGGAGGGAGTTAGCTGATACGCTGCCCCTGCGGACAGGCGCCATGGCCATCAAGAAGGGCATGACCGCCGTCTACGACGAAAACGGGAAGCGAGTGCCATGTACGGTTCTACAATTTGACCGAAACCAAGTTGTCAGTCACAAGACGGTCAAAAAGAATGGCTACTTTGCCGTATGTGTCGGAAGCGGCACCGTCCATGAGAAGAACGTCTCGAAGCCTATGCTAGGCCATTACTCTGTGCAGGGCGTCAGCCCGAAGAGACACCTCCATGAGTTCAGAGTCAAGGATCAGAGCGGTCTTTTGCCAGTCGGCGAGCTCATTCCAGCGACTTGGTTCCATCCGGGCCAGTTCATTGATACCAGATCCAACTGCAAAGGCAAGGGTTGGCAAGGTGTCATGAAGAGATGGGGTATGCACGGTCAAGACAGATCGCATGGTGTTTCAAAAACTCACAGAAGCATGGGTTCTGCCGGTCAGGGCCAGGGTGGTGGCAGTCGTGTCTATCCCGGGAAAAAGATGGCCGGCAACATGGGTGGTCAGAGGAATACTGTTCAAAACGTCAAAGTCCTACAAAGCGATGCTGAGCAGGGTCTCCTGGTTGTACAAGGTAAGTCCGCCTGTGCGCTGATCAATTCTTTGTACTGACGATTATTTCAGGCGCCGTCAGTGGTCCCAAAGGCTGCATTGTCATGGTGCAGGACGCTCTCAAGAAATCCTGGCCCGAAGTCCCCTCGATAACTATCAATCCTTCTCAAATCGAGGATGCTAAAACAGAAATGGCGGCCCCTGCGTCGGCCTAGACCAGAGCGCGGCATAGCCGGCCATTGTATAACAGAAGCACAAAGGAAAGCACAGACGGCGACGACATTCCCATATCTCGCGTCGCCGCAACCACGCCTTGGCCATTCTTCGTTGTCTTCTCATCTCCAACAGCGAGCAGCATCTCTGTAGATATGTCAAATCCTTCTATCACTTCACTTTCATAGTCTATTCACCCAGATCTACTGACAAGATGCGCTCCTTCATCCTCGCTGCGGCCACCTTTGCCGTCATTGCCTACGCCGACGACTCATCTTCCACTTCTACATCATCCACCGCCACAACCGGCACCCCCGCCACGTACACGCACGAAGTCAAAGTCGGCTCCAATGGACTCAACTTTGACCCTGATGCTCTGACTGCCAGCCCAGGCGACCTAATCAACTTCCACTTTTACGCCTCGAACCACAGTGTTGCGCAATCCTCCTTCGACAAGCCTTGCCAACCCATCGACGGCAGCAGCGGTATCTTTACAGGCTTCTTCACGGCAAGCGGAAAGGACGAGGCGTCTCAGATGTTCAGCATGCGTCTCAATGGGACGGATCCAATGTGGCTGTATTGTAGCTCGGGCGAGCACTGCAAGGGCGGGCAGAGCATGGTTATCAACTCCGTGTAAGTCACAACCATCTCTGCAATCACGAGGTGAGGAAGTCAACAGGAAGTTGTGCTAACAGTAACGATAGATCCGGATCCGACCAGACGCTGAAGCAGTACAAGGAGAACGCAAAGAAGGCGGATGTGAAGAGCCCTGACGCCGTCAATGGTGGTGTTGTCCATGACAAGCCGACCAGCTCGTCCACCAGCGTTAGTGCGAGTGCGAGTGAAACGAGGAAGTCAGCCGCCAACAATAGCGCCGGGCCGGCAAGTAATGTTGCCTTGATCCTGGCGGCGGCTGGTTTGATGTTGCTGCTGTAGAGGCAGACGTGGAGCTCGCGGGCTTGAGCCTTGCTCGTTTACCAATGGGGCGCGTAGAAGTTCAAAAGGTCGTTTCATTCACCTCTTGACGAGTTACCCGTCGAACACTAGTAGATTAGCTTCCCGTACCTCAAATACAAATCCTATCGTCTCCAATCTCTACCCCTGGCCATCCCACACCCTTTGTCAAGCCCCCTTATACCCATACCTCAATCCCCCTAGCTCCCGTAGCCCCCTCTCCATCTCTCTCATCGCCGCCCTCACCACCGCCACCACCGCCGCCATCAGAGCCGGCAGCAGCAACAACAGCCAAAACCCCTGCCCTACCCCGTCTGCATCCATAAGCAGCACCGCAAACACCACCAAAATTGCCGGCGCCCCGCCATTCAAGACGCCCATCCACCTAACAACCGGCCCCCCAACATCAACCGGCACACTAAACGGCAATTCCACGCCCAATTGCCCCCCGCGACTCGCCACCGCCGCCCGCCGCCGCGAAGCCTGCGCGTGCGCGATGTCAGACAACCCACCCCTTCCCTCGCCACCGCCTGCCCCAGCAGAATCGCTACCAAAATCCACCCCTTCCAGGGGCACGAACCCCATGACAAACGCGCTCGCGCCCAGACTCGTCAGCGCCAGCAGACACGGCAGGACCGTCAGACGGTGCGGGCGCAGCACCAAAAAGTACAGGAACGGCAGGCACGCGAGCAGGGGCAGCACGGTGAAAGTGCGGACGTAGAATTCATTGGTGGTGGCGTTGGAGGAAGCGAGGTCCGTGATGAGCGTGTCTTGCTCTTCTTCGTCGAGTTCGTCGCGGTCGGCGTCCATGGAGGTGTCATCTTCGTCGGCTGGGTACTTGAAGGTTTTGCGGAGGTGCGTGGTGGTTGCGGATCTGAGGTTGGAGGTTGCGCTGGCGCCGACGCTGGCGCTGCTGGAGGTGGGCATGCTGAGGCTCAGGTGTGTTTTTACGGTTGGGACCGTTTGGAGGGGTTGTTGGACGTGTTTGGTGCGGGGATGGGAGGGTGAGGCGAGGGCGGGTGACAGAGTTCGGGGTTGTGTTTGTTCAAGCAAACTGGCAAGAAGCCTAGAGCCGTGCATTGCTGCCGGGTTTTGGGTTTTGCGAAGGGGAGTGACGTCGGCGAGGCGGCGAATCAGGCGTCGGAAAAGGCGTCGCGGGGATGGGCGCGCACATGCATTTTCGTGCTACGGATGACAGGACAATATGCAGCAGACTTTACTCTTAGATGGGCTGGTCACGAGGGGTCGGAGGATCAGAAGAGCCTTCATGCTTGTTTTTTATCTGTTTGAGTTCAGGCATAGGCTAGGTTTCGTGAAGCATGTGCCTGGATTGAACATGCTACGATATTTGACCGATGATCTGGTTCGAAGGAGGATCTGTCAAGCTGCTCAAGCCTTGGCAGCACCAGCTTTAATCAGAAGAATGTCGCCGTCTTCCACAACATAATCCTTGCCCTTGGTCAGGATCTTGCCGGCAGCTTTGACACCCGCTTCATCACCAGTTTCTTTCAGAACGGCAAAGTTGTACACAATAGCCTGGATGAATGTCTTCTCAAAGTCGGTGTGGATGACACCGGCTGCTTGAGGCGCTTTGGTACCCTTTCGTATTGTCCATTGTCTCACTTCGTCGGTGCCTGTGGTGAAGAACGAAGCAAGATTGAGAGCTTGCCTCATGGTGACGATAATCTTGGGAAGGGCAGACTTGACGCCGAGCTTCTTGCACTCCTCCTCAGCAGCCGCGTCATCGGCCATAAGTGTAAGACGCTCTTCAAATGCGATCGAGATCGGTAGGACCGGATCGCCTTCAGCGTGCTCTTTGAGCCAACCCATGACTTTGGGAAGGTACTTGTTCTTTTGGCGAATGAAATCTTTTTCAGAAAGATTGATGAGATAGACTACAGGTTTGGCGGTGAGAAGGAAGAGAGTGTTAATGGCTTCGACCTATTGAGTTTGTGTCAGCGCGAAGCTCACAAGCTCAACCGATAGAATTCAAACGTGGTGATGTGTTGTTCAGATTGGACTTCATCTCACTGCTATCCCGAGCGTTGTTTTTGGTGGGATAGCATCGACGAGCTGGGATTATATCGGGCCTAGGCCCTTGTTCATCATAGAATGGTGGAAAAGAAAAGGAACCTGCGAAACTTACCTCCTTGGGCGTCCAGTCACCTTTCCGAACTTCTTTGCCATCTTTGAGCCACTGCAGGATCTTTTCGATGGTAGCCTCCTCTTCTTTCAGCTTCTTCATCTCCAAGCTCTGACCACCTCGTCGTGTGAGTTTGCCGATGGCCTCTTTCGCCTTCTCGGTAAACTCGATATCCTTTGCAATCAACTCGCCTTTGATGATGTCCAGATCGCGCACTGGGTCGACGTCGCCTTCGACATGGGTAATTTCGGCGTCGTCAAAACACCGTACAACCTCGAAGATGGCATCGACCGCCCGGATATGTGACAAGAAGGCATTGCCAAGACCAGCACCAGTAGAGGATCCTCTCGTCAAACCAGCGATGTCGTAAATTGTCAAGTGAGCAGGCACTTCTGACTTTGGCTTATAGTGTTGGCATAGCCAGTCATATCGCTCGTCAGGCACAAGCACTCTCGATTCTTCTGGGTCGATGGTGGCATATGGGAAGTTGGCGGGGTTGCCTAATGTACATTTGGTGATGGATTGGAAGAGTGTTGACTTTCCAACATTAGCTAGACCAACCTGCGCGACGTTAGTTTCTATTCTAGATTTCTCCATTGGTAGGCCCTACATACGATACCACTCTTCAGGCTGTTTCCTGGTCGACCCAAAAGAACTTTCTCTTCCTTGACGGCCTTTTTAGGAGGCATTTTTCCTTTGCGCTTTGCGTAGAATCGACGCTGAGTAGACTGAGAGAGGAAGGGGGATGTTGAGAGACGTATGAAACCTGCACAAGGCTGAAGGGCAGGACCGGCTGCGAAGATTGAAAAGTGGGTGGTAGAAGTGAAGCGGAGCCAGGTACGAGCTGGAGGAGACGTGTTGAGTGAAGGAGGTCGGAGCCTCTTGAAGCTATTAGATCGTGATGCTTTCTGCAGCAGTGTCTTGCTCGCAACACGGTTGTGGGCAACACGGCAATTGCGCCTGTCAAACAGAGCGCAGCAGAGCTGCAATTCTTCAGAAACTTTTGCGACTTATGCCAAGCCTACTCCGGCCTGGAACAACCTCTCCCGCAAAGCTACCACAGACCGAGTCCCACACCCTTTGGCCTGGGCTCAACGTCGAGGTCTGCAATGTCACTCTATCATTATTAAGATGACCCGATCGCCTTGTGCAGACGCTCAGGGTTGCAGTCCAGCCTCAAGCTACCAGGCTTTTGCGGCGGTAAGGTTGGGACTTGAGTGCCCCGCGTGTTCCAGGAGAACTTGAAACGCTTACTGACCAGGGCCAATGAGCCACACCCCAACCCTTAATCCAGCGTCTAAAGCAACAACAACCCATGCTTGTGGGTCGCGATCTTTCTGACAGCGGCCGAGAACTCATACCAATATGCTTAGCAAACAGATGGTCGGAATACCTGATCAAGTTCTCAATCGAAGCCGCCGCCTCTCCTGTACTCTGGATAGCACTGTCGAACTTCTATCCAACGTCCTGCCGAGGCTACATGTGATGTATGCACGATGCAACCATGGAGTCGGCCAATGCGATCTCACCTCACAGCTATGCAAGACTATAGCGTCCTTCGACAGCTATAGCGTCGACTGAAATGGCCGGGGTATACGTCGTGAGGTGATTCCCACGCTCCCGCTCTGATATCCTGCAATTTGGGCATTAGTGCTGGATCTACCCTGGTCCAGGAACAACCCCCTCAAATCCGCCATGTATAGATAGGTTGACCGCAGATATACTGTTACCATCTTTGCTTTCCAATCATTCCTTCTGAGTTCTACCACGTTCATTTGGTCTACAGTACCGCGGCCTGGTGCTGCTGCCATTCCTTTTCCTTCACGATGTATCCCGTATTGTTCTGTACATTCTTACTCTCCTTTTATACGTCGTTCGCTATTGCAAGACCCTTGGACCTGGACGGCAACGGTATACCTGACTGGTGCAACTTCAACAAGGACGGGACAGCTCATTGCTTGCGGCCTGATGGGACATGGACCGTGTTTCCACCTAGTGCAAGCACTGCAAGCTTGAAGCCAGTTTCGACCGTGACAGGCATTGCCCCGACTGCAACCTTGGGAGCACCTACGACAACCGCAAGTTCTTACGCGACACCAGCAGCCTCGAAAACAACACCCGTAGCAGGGAATTTACCCACGGGAGCGCTACCACCCTCGGGTCAACAATGGAAAGCGGACAACGGCAGCAAATGGCATATCGAGTACGTTGGAGACATCCGCTACACGGGAGACCTGGCTACCAAGAACTTGATGGGTGACAAGTGCCGAAGCAGCAAACTTGGAGGGAAGGTCATCTGGAACTGCGGTGACATGATGTGCACCCCCGACTACACGGTCTGTGGGTTTGCCATGGGTCCGGCATTCTATGGTACTGACGACGTTATGACTATCAATACTGACGGCGTGACTCATGTGAACAACAATGACTTCCTTCAGGCATGGGCTGGCGACGCGCAACCTCAGAAACCGCAGACCAGTTGGGGAATGGACACATCAAACGTGGCTGCTATCAACGATACCCATGGCGTTGCGTATGCTCGACAGATCTGGCGAGGTGCTCCCGATGGGTCTTTTAACGACCAAGGTAATGTCGTGGCCGCCATTACTCTTGGAGACACGCAACCCGTGGCTACGCGTATGGGTCCGCTTCTGACGGGTCCCGATGTTGTCGAGATGGGCTTGCTCGCCATCATGCGCGATGGTGACTATATATACATCTACTCCATGGGAGGGCCTTCCAAGATCACTGTTAGCCGCGTTCATGCTTCTGATGATGTCTTCGACAGCACCAAATACGAATCCCTCGAGTATGGCAGTGCCACCGAATGGAGTGCTGGGATACCCGGCAAAACCGACGACAAATACGGCATGACCACCGCCAATCCAGGCGGCCAGTTCGGATGTTCTGTGTATGGATCGGCCTTCTACAACAACTACTTGAAAAAGTATACCATCATTTGCAATGTGTACATGAGCTTCACCAATATGTACACTTCTGACACTCCTTACGGACCTTGGTCCGTTGAATACCCACTGTTGTCTGGCTGGAACGGCTACGGAAGCCATGCTCATCCGGAGTACTCCCCTGGCGGGTCACACAAAGAAATATATTTCTCCCAGGGTCCAAACCAGAAATTCAACATGTTCAAGGTCACATTTGGCTACTGAGACGATCAAGAGACGATGCGTTTGGCATCAAATGTAATCTGTCGCTATTCACACATATTTCAATTGAAACTTCGGTTCATCATGTCGAGTCTACCAAAGCACTGCCTGATGCCAAGGCTCGTTTAACATTTTGCCCAACAACGTCCAGTAGTTCTCGGCCTTACATATCGGGTCAGCAGCCTGATTGTTCCTGTGATTGATATAGCTCCAGGCTTCCACAGCTAGACTCCTTACCCGTCCCTTAAGTAGACTCTTGGATAACCGCTCTGGTAGCTGGCAGAAGCAGCCAGCTAGCTTCACCGCCGCTTTTCCGGATACCCATCTTGGACGAGCTTCGCCGTGGCCATTTTGGAGCTTGCTCGGCCAACCAAATTGCCAACACATCGCTAAGAGCCGCGTGCATATTCATCACGGGGCATAGTGACAGCGGAAAAAATCGTCCCGAGCCGCCATCCGCTCTTAAGACTTAAGAGCCTTCCACTGAGCTTTCAATCTTAATAGTCTCGATCTAGTGCTCGGCTTGCCATCACACTTCGCCAAAATGGGCCTTTTCGATTCTCTCGAAAAGAAATTCGATGAGTTGAAGAAGGACATCGGTTTCGGCGGTTCCAAGCAACCACAGCAAGGCTATCCCGGAGCTCAACAACAATCCTACTACCCTCCCCCTCAAGGTCAATACCCACCGCCTCCTCAACAATGGGGCCCTCCTCCACCTCAAGGCCAGCACCCAGGCTCTCCACCTCCTAATCCTCCACAACCACAGCAACAACCCCAATCCGGCAACCCCACTGACTACTGGGTGCCCACCCTCCACGCCTCCCGCGCCGTCTCGGAAGACTGGGACCAAAAGATCGGCAACGGCGACAACGGCTGGGGCAACAACGAGCTCCAGCACTACACCTCCAGCAACGACAACTCCTTCTACACGCCCAACAACAAACTCGTGTTGCGCGCCGTCTCCAACCCCTCAGACCCCAACCCAGCAACACGCTACACCTCGGCGCGCCTCGTGTCCCGCCAACGCCTCGACCGCCCCCGCGGCTGCCTGACCGCCACCATCAACAACCCCAGCGCGCCCGGCATCTGGCCCGCCTTCTGGCTGCTGCCATCCGAGCCCTTCGGCTGGCCGCACGAAGGCGAGGTCGACGTGGGCGAGAGCTGGAACGCTGACCCTACAAACCACACGTGCCTGCACTGGGGGCACTTCACGCCCCAAGACAACGACAAGCACCGTGTCGTGGACACGCCCATCCCCGACCTGGGCCGGCGCGCCGTCAAATATGAATTTGCGTGGGATCAAGATGACGCGAGCGGCCGCGGCAGGTATCTATGGTGGATCGACGGGCGGCCGGTCATGAAGTGCGAGATCCCCAAGGGGTTCCGACGCATGAAGGAGTGGACGGTCTTGTTGAATATTGCGATGGGCGGGAATGTCTGTCAGGGGAAGACGCCGCCGCAGGGGACGTTTGAGATGGTGGTGCATGAGCTGCGCCTGAGTGGCGAGTGTGACGGCGGATGGGGAAGGTTCGAGGGGAGTTGGTGGCAGGCGCCGGAGGGGAGGCGGATGTAAGATGGGACGGAGCCTGTGGAGCCGAAGTAGAACGTGAGAGATGGCATGTCTGGTTTTTTGGTCTTTAGATCTTGTTTAGAAGTACGGGAGTGATAGACTCAATTGGGTCGTGAGAACCCAGTCCACACGTCTAATGTCACGTTGGCCAGATCTCTTCACATACTCAACAAATTCCCAGCGTCTTCGTCTTGCCGGAACCCCCTCTTACTCCCCTAATGGGCCCTTTTGAGGCATATCCAGGATCATTGCAGGCTTCCAGGCATCACGTGATTTCAAAAATACTCTATAGTTTGCGTACGTGGAATATCCTTTGCAAAATCTCGCACATTTCTACGAGCGACCAACTTCAACGTTCTGGCAACCTCAATAGTTGTCTCCTGTGACCAGGCCCTGCTGGCGCAATGGTAGCGCGTTAGACTTCTATTTACACGCTTTAGGCGTCCCCAAACTACTCAATGAGTGGGTGGGATCTAAAGGTTGTGGGTTCGAGTCCCACGTAGGGTGGTCGTTCTATGGTATATGTGCTGTTTCTTTTTGAATTTTTGGCACCCTCTGAGGAATTTAGTGATCAAAGAAGAGGGAGGAGCGGCGCTGTTGAGTCAGGGAAGAAGAGGAGCGGTGCTGGTGAGTCAGGGTAGGTTCGAATTTTTTCGCTTCAGGTGGGTGCGGGGAAGGGAAGGGTATGGCGAGGGCGGACAGCGCTGGGGACCGAGAAGGAAGAACATTCCATAGATGCGTACTTTCAGGTTGCGAGTCTGGCTGATATGGGCTGATGCAGTTGCTGTGGCGTCTGCTCTGGGTGGGCAATGCTTTACCTGGGATAGATCTGTTGCAGAGATTCAACAGCATCAGGCAGTGAAATCTTGGCGCTTTGGATGTTGCGAAGCAAAACGATAACAAACCAGCATGCAAAACTCGGTTCTTGTATATTAAGCCATCTGGTTCAACTGTACAAGTATAGACGCTGCAACCACTGACCGTGGATCTTCGCGCTAAGCCAACCAAATTATGCACAGCGCGAACACCCTAACGCCTTGCTGCCCGAAAAATGCCACAGGTCAGATATCCTCCCCTCCCCCTTCTCACACCTTAAGTTGAAACCTCTTCCTCAACGCCGGCCCATAGCGCCAGAACAGCAGCGGACTCGGCGCAATGAGCACGGTCAGAAGTCCAAAAACACTAATCCCCCAGCCATAACCCAGCTTCTCAAACATCATGGGCGCGAACAACGGCACGATGCCACCCATGACACTGCGAAAAACGCTCCCGCCCGCGATCGCGCTGGCCGCGTACTTCTCAAAGCTGTCGATGTAGTAGTTCTGCACGGTATTCAGGATCACGACCTGGCCGATGCCGTAGAAGAAGGAGATTACGATCGGGACCATGAAGTGCAGCCTGTACTCGACGGTCCACGCGAAGCCGAAGAGGCTGACTGGGATGAGGACGGAGCCGATATTGGCGAGGGGGAGGCGGTATTCGGGCATGGAGACGCCGTCGTTCTTTCGGGTCAGGTGGTTGTAGACGGTGTCGATGCGCGGGACGATAAACCATACGGAGGTTAGGAAGCCGATGCCGGGCCCGAGGTAGAGCAGGCCGACTTGCTCGGAGTCGAAGTTGTAGGGGGGAGCGGAGAAGATGGATTGCATATTGGTGTAGATGCTGTAAGTCGTGCCGAAGATAATGGCCTGGTATAGCGACATGGTGAAGACGATGGGCTGCATGAAGATGCTGACGGGCCGCTTCAGAGAGGCCAATAGCTTGATGTGCAGGGGTCGGAGATCCTCGCCCTCGAACCAGAAGCCAGGATCTCTGCTAGGGGTGGTCTCGCCGTGAGTGCCGTCTAGCAGCGGATCGCTTTCCGAGTAGTTGCCATTGGCGCCGCCGCGGGACCGAGAAGTGTGCTTTTCGAGCAGCGCTCTCTTACGCCGCGCAAGAAGTACGGGCGCATAGGTTTCGCGCAGCCAAATGACGCCGACGGCGGTGTTGATGAAGCAAACGATGGCAAGAACCCAATATACCCAGCGCCAGCCCAGGCGAGTGACGATGACGCCGCCGATCAGAGGTCCAAGAGTCGGGCCGAGGAGTGGACCAAGGAGATACCAGCCAAAGATACCAGCGCGTTGAGAGGAGGGATACATGTCGGAGATTGTACCGCCGCCGTTGGCAATGCCGACGCCTTGCTTTGTCAGTGGAAGTTCAAGAGGAGGGAGAGGACGGCGTACTGCCAAACAAGCCGCTAATAGTCCTCACCGCGATCAACGTCGCGACGTTAGGACTCAATGCCGTAGGTATCTGCAGCAGCGTGAAAACCGAAAAACAAACGATATACACCCGTCTCCGTCCAAAGGTCTCCGAAAATGGCGCAAGAATTAAGGGCCCTAGACCAAGCATGATCACGAATCCCGTCGTCGTTGCAATGACCTCCTGCTCGCTAGCATTGAAATCCCGGGCGATTTGGCTGATCCCGGGCGTGAACATCGACGACGCCAACGGCGAGAGAACGGCCATCAAGGCGATGATGCCGACATTCGTGAGCTTCTGTCGATTCGGCCAAGCACGCGGGTTCTCGGGGTCGTCCTGGGCGAAGTCGATCTGCTTCGAGGACGAATCATGGCCGTCATTGGAGTGGAAACTGGCGTTGTCCGGGTGGAGGAACGGGCGCTCCTCGTCGTCGGGCGAGGCGTCGTAGCGGAGAGGCATGGCATCGATGAACACCCGTTAACAGATTGAGCGACGAAATGTATGGGAAAGGCAGAGATGACTGTCGTGTTAGCCTGAGAAAGCCTAATAAGGCCCGTCTAGGCAAGCCAGGGATTACTATGCAAGATGGTTACCCGCACATAAGTTGAATCTGGGTGAGATCATGGGTAATCTCTGGGGTCGGCTGCACAGATCGTCGATCTCATATGGGATTCTGTCGGGGCGCCTGTCAGTTGTGGGGGCAGATCTAGCGCCTACGGAACTGGTTTCCGGGCACCAAGCCCGTGGCGCTGTCAATTTCAAGCTTATCAATATCAACGGGGAACCCTTCTGACAGCGGAGTGAGCAAAGAAGTATTTTGGTGACTCGCTGATGACGCTGTTGTGCATTACAAAAGCTGTCCCAGGGTCCATAGTCTCATGCATGGTGGAGACGCCGCTGGTTGAGGACAGATATATTCAGGATTACATTGATTTGATATTGATGCCAATCAGTATGGTAAAGCGGAGTCTTGACATGAGAATCGTGAAGGATTCAGTGAAGAGATACGTAGCTTGTTCAAGTTTGGTCATTTGGTCATTTGGTCAAGAAGTGGGATACTCGCTCGCCAGGATGCTGGTCAGGTCTCTGTAGAGATACATGGCTGGAGTAGCCGTTGTGCTGGTTGTCTTAGATTCGTTTCACGGCCAGGCCGCTGATGTCTTGAAAAAAAACCCCCGAACCACTGACGACCATATGGCTAGCGCGGAAGTGTCGTCAATTGCCATCGCTTGCACACCTCTCCAAGCTGGCTGCGATGAACTTGCAGCCGTGTGATTATCGGTGGGCAGTCTCAGCGTCGTCTGCTTTCTTCTCTGAACTCGACTGCTCGTCCAGGTCCGCATTGTGTTCATCGTCACACGTCTCGCAGCCTCCATCGCTGCAGCGATTTTTCTCCAAATAGTAAACAAGATAGGAGATGAGGACAACGACCAGAATCACAGACAGGATGCCCAGCGTGGCCCATAGCCAGCCCAACCTGTCGTCAAAAGGGCCGGGGCGAGTCCCAGCCAAAGCGAGAGAGCTGTCGTCAATGATGATGCTGGAAAAGTCTGAGCTGGCTTCAGGCATGGTGATATCCTTGACTGATCTTGGTAAGAAGAGGATGGTAGCGGAGACATGAGAGCAAAGGCTCGTGGGCAGGAGGATGAAGAACAGATCAACGAAAGTGTTTGATGCAAACGTCGTGAAGGCGTACTGACCCGTGCGGACTGTGTCGCTTGGAATATTGCAGCGTCGACTTCGCACACCCCCAACGATCGTGGCGAAGGCAGCTGGTCGCTGCCGTTGTCTGGCTAGCCGTCAACTACGTCAGCGAGCAGTCAACGACATGTAGCAAAAGGAAAAGATGGCAACCAATTCGTGAGATCGGCCTGTAGCGAAAGTGAAAGCTGTAGAAGGAAGATCGTAGTCAATCAGGTGCAAAGGGTCGTACAGCAACAAGCTGTGTTTGCTGCTAGCTGATCTGGAGTTTCACCTTCGACGCCTGATCAGAATGGAAACAGGTATCACATTGGTGTTTATTGGAGCTGGGAAAGGATTTTTCGGTAGTATGCTTCACAGATCACTGCTGAGACGTAAACCGGTGGCCGTGACGGTGCTTGGGTCGACAGCGGTGCCCCAAAGTCCTGAGACCGTAGTGACAGTGACAATACGAGGCCTCGCAGCAGTGCCCTATGGGCTTCAAGTACACCTGTGGACAGTCCGGTCATTCAATTGAGCTGTTCATCGTTCTGGGCCAAAAATGCTCGTTGGACTTCTCCTCCCTGGCATGGCTCGTGCATAGAAGGGATCAAATACACGGCTTCTCGGTTCTTAACTCAAGCAACCACTCGAGTATCACTCGTCTTGATCGTGGAGAGCTTTGCTTCGGCTGCACAAAGTGGCTGATGTGTAGCCGGGAGGCGTGATGGCCAGAGCCGGGCAGGTCTGATCTGGGATATGCCAATCGACATTCTTCGCTGAACAAGCCCTGAGGGAGAACAGTATTCGCTGCCGAGGACCAACTGAGCACTCCACAGCTACTGCTCTCGCAACAAGTATGTCACTCATCACTGGGATTCCCAGCATCACTTCGCCGAAGGGGCCCCGTTGCTGTCTTGCGAAACAACACTGTTCGTGCTTCACTCATCGGCCCTCCCGTCGGACCCGCTCCACCTCGGCCATAACCTTCCCCTTTGCTTCGACCTTAGCTTCCTTCCTCGCCAGCGTGCTCGCCATCCACTCCTCAAACTCCTCTTCTGCTTGTTGTTCACTTCGGCCAGTACCGTCCACTCCTAGTCCACCTCTGAGAAGCGTCCTCGCGTCTTGCATACTATTGATGTCCAGGTACCAGAGCGCACCGCCCGTCGCCATCATAGTAACGCTCAGCACATTCACGGTTGCGATAGTGAGGGCCTCGACAGCCTCTAGCGGCCCACTCACCTTTGCTGCCTGTGCCTCGTGATGCGCCGGGCCGTTGGTGTAGAACGCCGGATTGGCACTGAGGCGGCGGCGCACGAATGCTCTGCGTGTGATGAGCATGGAGAAGGCGAAGAAGGCGAGGCCGGCGGAGAAGATGACGGCGTTACGGTTCTGTCGGGGGTTTTGCTGAGGCTCCAGGGTGGAGGGCGGATGAGAATTTTCATTGATCTGTGAGGGTCGTGTAGCGCCTGGCGAGGGAGTCTGTGGTGCTTTTTCTTCGAGTAATCTCTTTGCGTGTGCAGGCTCGGGCACGGATGGAGAAGATGTGCTCGAGGGCTGTGCAGAGAACAGAGAGGTGAACCAGGACATGGCGTCGAGGACTTGAGGACTGTAGAGGGAAATGAAAACGCAGCTAAATGTGTACACACACGAAATGAACGCAGATGATTTGATCGTGATAGATTATGGACGCTTTCAGGGCTTCGAAAGATGCGCGAGCTGCGCTGCGTCCACGGACGCTCCAAAATTTTGTGGAGAAAAGAGAGCAAGCACAACCGGGAAAGACGCTAAGCCGTTTGCAGAATACATCGCGCCGGCTGACGGCGGCCATGATGAACCAGTGACGAGGTTTGCAGCACAGGTTAAAGCGGTTGTGTATTTGTGATCCTATAACAAGAAAACGAGGTGTACAGCCCGCTCCCGCGATGGTGGCACCGCCTATCACTTTGCTCATAAACGCCGTCAATCATCACATCGTAAACACATGCGGACGAGGGACTGTGTGCTCTTCCCTTCCGTCCAGACGGAACCAACAGCGAGGCCCTATAATCACTACTTCTCACCATTTCAACAAGCAAACCTGGCAGAGCCACTGCCTTCCAAAGTAATGCCCACCTCTTCCAAATCGCCGTCTCCACGCCAAGCAAGCTTCTCGCGGTTGCTATCCTGTTCGAAATGAAGACCACTTCCCGACGCACGCATGCTACCACTGCCAAGGCTGCGCATGCGCAGCTTTCCCATCCAGCGCCTGGGGTACTGAATCTGAAGACTCGCGCTACCGTGGACAAGGTGCCTGGACTCGAGGTTGCGGAGGTCATGAGCAGAGGACGATGCTACAACGAGCGATTGGCTGCCGGACTGACTGATGGTCTCGAGATTGCTTGTCTTTCCTCGAGATCCAAGGTCGAGAGCATGTATGGTGAGCGTGATGGACCCAGAGGCAGTCTCAACGCTGGTCAAGCCGCCATTACCGGCAACGATGCTGCCACGAACGCTGCCCGACTGGGTCTTGATTGTTGTCTGAAACGTGCGATTGGTTTCGTCGCTCGAGGGTAGCCACGGGATGATGCCCCTACCCATGTTGACACGAACCGAGCCGGACGTCGAACTGATTCTCAAGACTGCATCTTTTTCGCCAGCTTGTGGCTCGATATTGACATTGATACTTCCCGACGTAGTCGAAAGATCAAGCAGATCGTAGAGCTTGAAAGTACCCGATATTGGGCTTGAGGTTTCGTGTCGGCGGTATTCACGCCCTGGGTTCGGCCATGCTGGCAAAGGAGACTTGTCTAGATCGCCTGAAGGTCGATGGTGCCAATGTGGTCCACGAGTGCCGGCCTAGTCAATACAAGTCAGTCGCACATAGCAATGTCAAGACGGAGCAGCAATACCCGATCCCCTATCAAAGCTGGGAGCATCAACCACAAGCAAAGTGCTAGAGCACAAGAGAACCAGAACACCCTCCTGAAGCGCCGTCTGCGGTCTTTGCACTGGCCATTACCCCTCCTAGAGCATCGCCTGGGCTGGACATCTGGCTCAGGCTGTGCACGCTCCAGTAGAGGCGAAGATGCATATGGGTCGGAGCTGGGGACTTCTTCTTGAGGTTCCTCCGGAATGGCAGGGTAGGCAACGTCTTCCGGAGAAGACCTGGGTTCACGTACTGGTTGAGGTTGGGAACGGGCAACAACGGGCGAAGGTGGTGTGGAGGCCGTCGTCTCCGACGGCGTATAAATGGGAGGAGGGTCCGCCGGATCCTCATCGCGGGAGAAGGCTTCTGCCTCTGTCCCCATTTCCGAAGCGTTTGCGAGCGGAGTCCGGTTGATGTAGTTGTCACTCCAAAGACCTTGGGAGGCAAGCCGTTGTGCCTCTATGCCAGCGGATATTCTGGTCTTGTCAGAGTTTGAAGTTCTGGAGTTGTCTGATGGCTCCGAAGATGACGAAAAGGTTTCGTAACTGCGCGGAATGGGCTTCTTCTTCAAAGTCATGATGGTGAATGGCCGGGTGATGGATCCTCAAGCCACAACGACGAATACGTTGATAAATCCTGGAGCCTGGGATTATCCAGCGAAAAGTGTCGTCGCTAGACACGCATCAATACGTCAGAAGCTGTGGTTAGCGAGGGGTTCTCAACGGAGGCGGGAGGTAGTATTCAGGCAGACGTGAAAAGAAGATGGGAAATGAGGTTTAGCAGCAATGGCCTTATCACCTTAGTCATGGATCGGGGGTGCCGTTAAGCGGTATGAATGGCCCGAAGGAACATCCTTTCCCGGTCCTGATGCAGCGCCATTTTAATGGACGGGATTAAGAGCTGGAGGTGGTTGGCGACCGCTGCGGGGAAGGCGGCAAGATATCTCTCCACCCATTCGATGTCGCCGATGTACCTGTTCACGAGTATCAAGAGCGGTGTTGCATGGTCGCATAGCCGAGCATGAGAAGGGGATCCAAATGGTTTCCATTCAGTCGTGGCCGATTACTATGTGCAATGCTCATCTCATCTGCCATATCTGGCTCGAGTGCTGCATGGGATTATGCAAAATGCATAGTCTTCTGGATATCTGTCAATACTCATCACCTTTGCTTAGCAACTCCCATTTGCCCAAGTCGACACGCCCATGCTACACCAGCTCTGCTAAACGAATGTAACAAAACGCCATCGCTGATGCGTCGCTAGTATGCTGTCAATCAACGCTTTCCAACAATCGTGCAGTACCACATTCCTGATGACTTTTGGTGGAATGCTAGTCAAACATTCAAATGTAGCCCAAGTTCTCGAGCAGCGCCTTCGCTTCGTTCTGAGGCATACCTGCAACTCCCAAAGACTGCACTATTGAGCCCCTTCGCAGCCTTTGCAGACCGACAGCGACCTTCCAGCCTTCGCTTTGCGGAATGACAAAGACATACTTCTTGCCTTCTTGGTCTCGAATCGTAGCGCGGAGGAGATGTATGCCGGCCATTTCGCAGCTCTGCAGTAAAATCAGCAAGAGTTTGAGCACTGTGTCTATGATCAAGAGAAGTTGAGTGCTGGGGAGATGTCGAACATAAGAAATTGGAGCACCATACCTCGACTAACTTCATGGTCCAGGCTTTGACATCCCACTCTCGCTGGGGCTCGCTACGTCGGTCGTCGTCGATGAAGAGACCCTCGGTGGTGATCCGCAGAATGAGTCCATCCGTCACTGGTCTCTGCCCGGAAATCAATTGGGAGATTGGTGTCCTCATGAAGGCGTTGTTGAACCGGAAGACTCCTTTGATCATGATCTTATCAGGATCCTTGGTGGTGTATGGGCCGCTGAACGAGGGCGGAGGAGTCGTGCGAGCTGTGCTCTGAGAAGGTGCGTACGACGATTCCGAGTACATTGACGCGGCTGAGTTGGCCTTGTGCTTCGGTCTGTCATAGGGTCGGAAAGAGTAAGCGTCATCGTCTTCAGTCCGAGCAGATGGCATAGGCGGTCGCTTGGGAGGTGATGCCTTTGGCGTAGGAGCTGCAGCAGCTCGTGCAGCTTTCGCGGCATTCGCATCTTTGGCCTCCTTCTCCTGTCGCTCTTTCCGCTCGCGCTCAAGTCTCTCCCGCAAGTCCTTCTCGCGAATCCTCTGACGCTCTTTCTCAAGCTCGGCTTTCCGCTTCTCCAACTCTTCAGCCCGCTTCTTTGCATCTTCAGCCTTCTTGCGGTCCTCCTCCTTCTTCCGAGTCTCTTCTCTTGCTTTCTCCCAGCCCGACTTCGCGCCAGGGTTGGCCTGCGGCTGCGGTCGTTGCCAGGATGATTTGGGCGGTGGTGGAGCAGCGTTGGGAGGAGGCGCGGCACCACCAGCCGGCTGAGAGTTGAAGTTTGGTGCGGCTCCGGGACCACCCTTCGACGAGCTGTCAGGATGCGTGGATTCAGCCTGTGTCTTACCGAGAGCCCATGCAACAACTCCAACGGCCATGAGTAGAAACATGACGCCTGACCCTCCACCGGCCATAGTATCGTGGAACCAGGATTTGACGACTGGGACAGTTGTGTTCCATATTACTCCAACCAGAAACATACAGACGGCACCAGCGATGAAGCTGTTTCGGTTGACTTGAAGTGACGGGAGGTAGAGGAAGCCGGAGCCGGCCGACGAGGGAGGAATGACAAAGATGTCATATTTGCCGTCTGGAAGGCCACCACCGCGCTTGCCGCCTGAGGCATTGTCTCCGTGGGGAGGTGGCGGCGGAGGCGGTGGCTCCATGAGAGCAAGCTCTCGAGGAGGATAAGATTGATTATTTCAGCGGGCAAAAACTTGTGTTTGGTGGCCGTTGTGGTATTTTTCTATGCTTCATTATCAATGCAGTTTGACACTGCAAGGATGACGTTGAGCGAACAGCGCGGTGGAGACAAAGATTCTGTGGTGTTTGAGGCTGACGATCTCAAGCTCATGGATTCGTGGCTAGGGCTTTGGGATTTGGTGAAGTCGATTTGAATTGTTCTTGGAAGAGAATTGAGAAGTTGAAATCGGCGCAGGCAGAAACTGTGACAGGATCTGCCGTTTGGCAGGGAGGAGTTGCCGTAGGCTGGGGTCGAGGACGGTAGACTGTTTGGGTTGCCGCTAGAAGGCCCTCTGCTCTCGGGGAAGCCACGCCGCTAGCTCGCGACCAGGATGAATACTGCCCAACGAACAGTGCAATTTCTCACCTCAGCACTCTGATTGCATCTTCGTGTTTGTTCGAACAAGATCAAAAACTGGAGGCGCCGCGAAGAGAATGGAATCGATAGATGTTTGGCTACAACTACTTTACAGCCGAAACTACGACAAGCTACGCTCGTGGCCAGTCCAGTCGTGATAGAAAAACATATCCCCATATCCCACCAGTCACAGTCGCAGCATCCGAAAATCCAGGGTCTTTCCGACTACGATTGGAGGACGATTATCCCCTCCTTGCTTCTTGCAGCCGTTACCAGGACTCCCTTCACACCGCCCACTGCAGCGTGAGGCACCGGCTTGCTGCTACGAACGGTCCTGCATTGATTCAATGCACGTAGAACCGTCAAATAGGTAGCCACGTTGTCTCGCAAAGTCGGGTGCAGCAAATCTCGCATGTGATTCGATGCCCGAGCTATTGTTTACCGGGTTTAGCTGAACGCGCCCGAGCACGTTGCCTAAGCAACAATGGGTCCGCCGCCATTGTCACACTTCCGGCGCCTTTACCCGTCACTTAGCGCTACGGTCCGATGCACGCTGAGGTCATGGCCTCACTCCTTTCCATCGTGCTGGGATCGTATTTATTTGGGCTCTTCGAGTTCAATGACTTGGCATCACTGCGCCACATTTCGGACAAGTCGGTTATAACTATAGCGCGTACATGCCCCGGGCTTACGGCAGCAGCCCGCCAGGGCGCGACGAGCTTGACCGCTAGGAGCTCGACCTTTGTGTACCATTGTACGCATCTTACGATGGCCCGGTTCTACTCTCCTCCAATGGTATCAGCTCACTTCTACTCCTGGTCTAGAGTAGTCTAGCCGCTTCACCCGCTTCCATACCTCCCTGACTACTCTTTCTTGACTCTGCCTCCCCGTCTCACTACCATCGACAGCATCCACAGCTGGTCGAATGCAAAGGTACAACCTTCCTCCGAGACTGATCTCAGGCACCCCCTGTCCGGGTCCCCACCTCTCCTCCCAGTTCACCGGTGGATTCGCCGTCGTTACCAAACCACCCGCTTCTTGCAGCAGACATATACCTGCTGCAACGTCCCACTCCCAACAGCCGCCTTCCCACCATATATCAAATGCTCCCATCGCCGTATACGCCAAATCCATCGTCGCACTTCCCAGACTCCGCACCCCATGCACCATACCACCCCTTTCCCCCTTTCCTCTCGGCTCCATCGCCATAGTCACAAAGCTCTCGATCTTCCTCCCCAGATTCCCCTCCCCAGTCTCCGGATCCCGGCGATCCTTTCCCCACTCACACCCAAACAGACACTTCCGTGGCGCCTCCCTCGGCAACGGCCCAATTCCCCCTCCCAGCAACGGCAAACTCGTACTCTCATTCAACCACGCCCCTCCCCCGCGCCTTGCCGAGAACAACTGCTGCAGTAGCGGCGCGTAGATAACGCCCACGACGGGCCGCTGGTCTACGCACAGCGCGATCGAGACGCAAAACATGGGGAACCCATGCGTATAGTTGACTGTGCCATCGAGCGGATCGACGATCCACGTCGGGCGGTCCGTCACCAGGTAGTCGCGCGTCGCGCCAGCAGAGTACGTCTCCTCGCCCACAAATTCATGCGTAGGATACCGCTCTCGAATGGACTTGTGGATGAAGGCTTCGACGTCTAGCCCCGGCAGGAAATCGTAGCGTTAGCCCACGCACTGCATCCAAGATCGCGAATCTCAATGCTCGTGCCCTCTTTTCCCTCCCGCATCATGTATCTGCGGCCATTATCACGAACACATGACAACCCCCGCAAGAAACGAAAGCAGAGGCAAAAGGTAGAGAAAACATACCATGATCCGTCTGCGTCACGATATCCACCGCATTCAATTTCTCGACTTGCGCCTCCGGCATCCCCTCGGCTCCCAGGCTCCGCCGCCGCTGCAGGCCGTCCAGCAGCATCTGTCCCGCATCCCTGCCTAGCTGTATGGCGAAGCGGTAGATATCCTCAAGCTCGCCGTCTGATATCGAGTCTGCAGAGGAGGACATCTTTATCTTTGTTTACCCGAAGGGATGGAATGGCGAGGCTTTTTACCACACTGACTGGATGGGTAGACCGATGGGTAGAGTGGCGGTGGTCTTGACTTTTCTTCAGACTCCGCTGTGCAGTCAGGCCCGGTGTGGGTTTGATACTAAAACGACAAATGGTAGTGACGAGGACCTTGGATTTCCCTGACGGGGAGTACTGTAGCAAGCGGGAAAGGGTCCTAACCGGGTATCGCCGGCTACTGGACGGAAGCCTCCTGAAGGTTCAGGGTTCCGCTATGTGAGTTATCGAATAACTGTACTGTGTTACTCGACTGGAATACCGTTAGAAACTGCCTAGGTGAGTAAGTAGCGGAAGAGGTCTTAGCCGACGAGGGGGTGGAGTTGGGGCGGGGGAGCGGGTGGGTTGTGGCGGGAGGTTCTCCGCACTTGTGATGAGAGCCGTGAGACGGACATGTCTGGACGGTCGTGAAGAGTTCAGGCGGCTTTGGGAAAAGTGGTTTTTTTCCCCCCCAAATTTGAGAGCCACTCATGCTCCCGCCGACGCTCCTCGAAACCAGCAATCTCATATTCACAGTAGGAACGCTACATACAGCACGACAGGGTGCAGCGTCGTTGCCAGAGTCGTTCGCTTGGACTAGCATCATTGCATCGTCAGCTCGTCACGACTTACACAACTGCTAGCCACGCTACGATCCTGAAGCTACGCCGCAACCCGCCATATAGCCATGGCCGATCAAAATGCTTCAGGCAAATCCATCCTGTTCATCAACGGCCCCAATCTCAATCTTCTCGGTACGCGCGAGCCACATATCTATGGCTCCATCACCCTCCCGCAGATAGACGCCTCCATCAAAGAGCACGGTACCAAGCTGGGCATTAACATCCTCACGTTTCAGTCCAATCATGAAGGTGGAATTGTCGACCGTATCCAGCAAGCTCGTGAAGAGGGGGTCGACGCTATTGTCATCAACCCTGGAGGCTACACGCATACCTCAGTGGCAATCCGTGATGCACTGCTCGGTGTAAGCATTCCCTTTATTGAGTGCCACGTTTCCAATGTGCATTCCAGAGAGCCTTGGCGGCATCACAGTTATTTCCATGATAAGGCGACGGCGGTGATTGCTGGGCTTGGAGCGTATGGCTATGTCGCGGCGCTGGAGTATTGGGCGTGGAAGTTCGGTGATGGGCCAATGAAGGGCATTTGATTCCTGCCGTGTTCATGCGTTTCACCCATTCCAAGAATTTCTTGACATATCAAAAGCGAGATTGTGCGATTGTGGTAGTATGGCAGGCATGTTGAAGTCGGAATCTGCTCGCTGGCCTAGATTTTCCGGCTGAGGATCGATAAAGCCAGCAGAGAAAAGTCGATCGGGATCATTACAAAATTGCTCGAATGTCAAGTCATCGAATCCAAAGTCCCTCAAGCCTTGATTCCTTCCAGTTGTCCATTCGGTGGTGTCAAGCTGAGCCATTTCATGGAATAGAGCATCAATCTCGTCACCCTGGAAGCTCGGTGAAGTAGCGATGGATGGATTGTATGTGCCAGCAGAGGGAACAGTAAAGCTGCCACTTCCGGCTGGCATTGTCAGGCCACCATCCCGCAGGTTGGTCTTGCCCGTTGTGATGTCTATACTGCTGCTCCAGTCTTGAGGCCCACCAATGCTTTGCAGGTTGCCAGAGCCATTCATGAAGTTTGGATGCTGGCTGATGTTCCGGGGCATTCGACTTGTTTCGGCTTGCGCAAAGGGGTCGCTTGGGAAGAATGGCTGACGTCGGGGAGGCTGGGCAGGTATATCCGAAGAAGGCAAACTACCAGGCTGCCACTGAGGCTCCTTCGATACCGGAGCAGCCACTTGGACTCGTACTATAAGTTCCAGAAGCTGAGTCAAATCTTCAGAAACTGGCCAGAAGACATCTGAGATTTGTTTCGCTATCGCCCTCAAAGTTGAGATGTGCCTCGTCGGAGGAACATAGCGAGCGCCATCGACCAGCGACTTCAGTTGACGGAAAATAGGGTACATGAGACCCATGATCCACGCTGGCATAAATGCTGTCTCCGATGCTGCCTTCTTCTCAAGCTCTCTCAGTACCTTGCTGGCCGATGTCAGGGCTGCAATGGACGACTCGACCTTTTCAGGCTCTAAACTCGTCACATATGCGATTGCTAGAAGATGCGTAAGCTTCAACCAATTCTGGTGCGGCGGACCTGTTTCTGACTTGCCCAGCTGTGATGCGGGTGGATAGTCTAATGATAACAGATTGAATTGGTTGATAGCTTCGTCAGCCCTGACATTTGCTATATCGCTTGAAAGCGCTTGTTGCTCGCAGAAGTAGTTATTCAAGAGAGCTGATAATCTTGTCAGACCGTTGAAACAGCTGATCACAAAAGCAGGCGCCGTGGTTCCTGGCCAAGTTTCCCATTCCTCATGACCGTCGGGTCTGAGGCATGACTCTGCAGTGTGATCGTAACGGCGGAATTGGGGTGGCCGGTCGAGCTGAATACTGATCAGGGTATCCAGCACGAGACATCCCTGGTGGGTCGCCAGCCGGTCCCGCGGGCCGTGAATGAGACCGTCAGAGTGCTCAAGCAAGCTTCGCGCCGCCAGACCGACAGAACGCCAGGCGGACTCCCAAGCACCAACTGCAGTATCAGAGAGAGCTAGAACGAGAAGTGCCTGCAGATGGTTAAGACTGAAAGAGCCCTGAGTACTTGGCACACATTCACGAGCAAGCTTGGACATGGTAGCGAAGTCTAGGAGAGCAGGCACAGCGTTTCCTCTTAACTTGGCTGCGTGACGGGACGTGTAGGCGAGGGTGGCAGCAAGGACAGCGAGGTCTCCGTTGCTACTCGTAATCTCAGTGGCGGTTCTTGTCATCTCATAGCATCGTCGAAGCATCTGCGGACGATCCAGAATTGGGAACCAGCAATGCGTAAACTTGAAGTAGTGGCTGAGTAGCTCAGAGGCTGCAGGAGGCAGCTGGATCGTCCGAGCCTCGGGAGTATCTAATGGCTCGCAACCGGGAAGGACGCCATTGAAGCTCTTGAGGGCGTATCGAGGCGGAAGGATCGCGTTCAAGTCCAAGCTCCCGTCGAGCTCGTCCTCGTCTTCTTTGTCTCTCTTGCGCTTTGATCCTGCTGCAGCCGAGTGGTCGATACCAGTCAGAAAAGCTTCCAGCTCCTGGAAGAGGCGCGAATCTTTCCACCTCGAGTGCAGTTCTTCGCCTACCTCCCGGTGATTCCATATGTTCATAAGCAAGTCACGATCTTGATGAAGCATCAGGAGCATGTAGTCTTCGAGGCCTGTGACGCGAGCAAATGTAACTGCCCATAGCTTCTCGACAGCTCTAACATAGCCTTCTGGAAGGCCTCGCTTCTTGGTGATCGGATCGTAAGAGCATTGTTGGTCTGCGTTAAGGCAGTTTGCGCAGCTTGGTGTCGCCCCGTCACACCGGTCCTTCCGCTGTCTACAACGGGTGCATGCGCGAGAGACTCTTGTACGTGTCCGTGAAGGACCTGCATCTTCTGCAGCGGTGGTCCCGTTGCTTGAGGCATCATGGCCACCCGGAGCCGACATCGTGAATCGAGCGTTCAATGCCGACGGTGGAGGGGCACTTCGAGGTGAGAAATTTGCAGCTTCCCGAGCATCCTTCTCGTTGGTACATGCATGATGGCGAATGCTCTCTCACACACCGACAATCCTGGACTGTGTCCCATACATAAGAAGCACTGGAGACATGGGCGCAGGATTGCAGGGTTCAGAGTCTCGGTTGCTGTTCAAGATCGACGCTTGGCGCAAGAACTCGGTTCGTTCCCCGCGGGGCGAGCTCTAACCACTTTCCTCTCTAGCTTCATCCTCGACACTCTGCAGCTTGTGCACGATTTTGCGCTGGATCACAGCACTGCTGCGCTATAATGAGGCTGTGTTAATGTTGTGATAGGCTGGGAGCCATGGTGACCATGTTGGCCGCCAGGATATAGGCGACATCTTCGGATCCCCAGAATCTCTCCGCTGAACAAACGTGGCTCTGCCACCCTCACGAGCCCGTGAGGTCAGTCGACAATCCTCATTCTCCCAGCTGCGGTTCTCACAAGCAATGAGCACCCCCTCACAAGACCGGGCGACTCGTTCCGCTCCTGGTTCGCCTCGGATAATGCAAAAGCCACCCTCTCTCGACAGAGATGGCCTTTTCAATCACCACGGAGCATGCAGTGACCATGGAACTCCATCGGCTGCAACCACAAATCGCACCTTCTCTCCTGATGCTTCCATTGTTCTGGTCGGTGTACGTGGCAGTGGGAAGCGGTCACTCGGGCTGATCGCTGCCGCTGCACTTGGTAGGCGCTTCGTAACAGAAGATCACTTCTTTCAAAGTGTTACAGGCCTTTCACGACAAGACTACTTGAAACTCCATGGAAGCGAGGAGTTCCACAAACAAGACGTTGATGTCACTCGCAGAATGTTGGAAGAGAACAAGCACCGCTGCGTCATTGATTGCGGACTTGGTAGTCTCACAAGCAGCTTGCAGGAGTACCTCAAGCAATACTGCCTGACCAATCCTGTTGTATATCTTGTTCGCGACATGAGCCGGATCAGGTCATTGTTGAATCTTGGAGACAGGTCTGCTAGACTGCTCGAAGCTGGGGATCCAAGTCACCGCAAATGCTCAAACTTCGAGTTCTACAACTTGGAAGATGACACTAGTGGTATACCTGATGAGGAACTCACCGATCGCACATCTCCAGTATATTCGTTCAAGCTCCGGCAAGCTCAAGAGGATTTCTCTCGTTTCGTGCGACTCATCACCGGCAATGCCAACGATGCCAGTCCTGTCTCTCCCTTCGCACTTGACGTGCATTTGCAGGCACGTGCATATACCCATGCTCTCGAAGTCCCGCTTTCGAGATATGGAGATAGCCTCGACTTGAAATCCCTGCAAGCTGCTGGTGATGTTGTTGAACTTGTCGTTGACAGGTGGCACCCCTCACTCACGAAGAACCTCAGCAAGCTGGTCGCCTCAATTCGGCGCTACGTTGGTACACCAATCATCATATCACTCAGACTCGCAAGCTTCTCACCCGATGTCCTGACTGCCATCCTCAACCATGGCCTCCGCCTGGGCATCGAATACCTGTCACTTGACCTTGAACTGGACACTGAACGTCTCGTGAATCTGATCGCCACCCGAGGCCATACTCGAATTATCGGCACGTTCAGAAGCGCAAGAACGCAGCTCGGATGGCATGATCCATTGCTATTCGATCTCTTGAAAAAGGCTGACGAATTGCACTGCGATTATGTTAGGATCATGCTTCCAGCTCTGTTTCGAGAAGATCACGAATCATTGGATTGGTTTCGTGACGAGGTCAAATCGAAGCTGCAGATTAAGGCACCGCTGATTGCTTTCAATACAGGAAATCTAGGGCGGACTTCTCAAGCCTTAAACCCGCTTCTGACTTCAGTCACGCATCCTGGGCTGTCTTTGGGTGGTCAAGGCGATGCTGACATGCTGGCGCCGGTTCTTACTTCTTCTCAAGCGCTCAGAGCTCTTGGTACAAGTTTCATGCTTGATGCTCTTCAGTTTTGTATAGTTGGCGGAGACGTCTCTGACTCCTTGTCACCCGCCATGCATAACGCCGCATACGAAGCTCTGGGTCTACACCATTCCTATACGACGAGAAACATCACATCCTGGGACGAAGTGGAAACACTTGCCAAGAACAGCCACTTTGGCGGTGCCAGTGTTGTTCAGCCTTGGAAAGTCAAGGCCGTGGAAAAGCTATCTTCGCTATCAGCAAATGCTAAAGCCATAGGCGCTGTCAACACCCTCATTCCTCTTCGAATCGATTCAAACGGCAGGCTGATGTCCCTGGAACAACAAGCGTACAACCGCAACAGGGCTGGGAATATTGCTGGCTGGCACGGTGACAACACAGACTTTGTCGGAATCAAAGTCTGCCTTAATCGGAGCCTCTCACCACGCAATGTCATCCATTCCAAGACCACCGGCCTTGTAGTGGGCGCAGGCGGTATGGCGCGAGCAGCTGTTTATGCCATGCTTCAATTGGGCTGTCGGAATGTTTTTGTGTACAATAGGACGACCTCAAACGCACGTGCCGTCGCGAACCACTTTAATGACTGGTTATCAAAGCGATCTGCACCGACTAATGGTTCAACAAGCGACATGGTTCGAGTGTTGGAGTCCCTAGACGAGCCTTGGGAGGCAGGCTTCAGCATGCCCACCATGGTGGTCTCATGCGTAACGCACGAGCACATCGAAGGCAATGTTGGCTCGGAATTTGAGATACCCAAACAGTGGCTGGAATCGCCGTCAGGAGGCGTCGTGGTGGAGATGGCCTACATGACGAAGGAAACTGCGCTCACCAAACAGATCGCGCAATTTCGGGCATCGACTGGGTCACCCTGGGTTATCGTCTCTGGCGTCGACACTTTGATTGAGCAAGCTGTGGCACAGTTCGAGATCTTTACCGCACGGCGAGCCCCACGTGCAGCCATGATGCAGGCTGTCCGAGCAGAGATGCAGACCAATCGGCAATACATGATGGATTGGGGCAGTTATCGCCCGTGGTAATACTTCGCCCGTCGATAACGAGCAGCACGGTGAGTCAAGAACAGCGCCGACTAGACGAGCAAAGGATCCTCTATTCATGGCAAGGATGGATGCTGCGCACGTTTCTTCGATATCTCGACGATCCTGCCTCCCGGAGTCTTTCCATCAAGACGAAGAGATCGCGTCGTCGTCAATTGAAGGAGCCGTGGATTTGAAAGGTGATGTTTGCGGTTTCATTTCGAGCCGTCAGACGCCTTATCAACGCTTTCGTCCTTTGTATGTTCCTGGGCATCGCTCCTTCCTATTTTGGTAAAACGGCAACTGGGGTAAAACCTCCGAGAGCAGCGATACTACTCCTCACCTGTCAGCAGTGATGATTTCTGGGCCTACTCATTTTTAGGCGATTACGCAGATCACCGCCGCGAGCAGGTTTGTCGGCTATCGTTATCTGTGAAACACCTTCGATAAAGAATTCCCGCGCAAGAGAGCAGCGTTGGGGTTGTGGGGGTTTGACGTTGCTCGGGGATCACCAACTCGGTACCTGCGCCGTTGAAAGCCAAGCCTTGTGAACCAGCCGGCGTTCATGATAACGCCTCAAAATGAGCGTATCATGTCACAAAGCGCGAGAATGGCGAGACGTTAGCGTCGAGAACGGTCTATGCCGCTTCAACGATTGTCAAGAAGGAAGATCTGACGTGCGCCATTGACGCCCTTGTTGGGCAAAGGGTGCCCACGTCTGCATTGCCGATAACGTGTACGGCAGCTGCGTGGCATAGTCCAGCCATACGGCGCGCTCAGCCTTTTCTAGTACTGTGCAGGATTACTGCATAGAAACTATATAAGAAAGTCGCAATCTTGCCACGCGATCTTGCCTTTGTCCCTGCGACTTTTCCTGCCCACCACTTCCTTGCTTATCGTCTATACAGATAGAGTGGACGGCACATTATGTCTGAGCAGGTTGAGACTGCATTACCATCAGGTGTTGGTTATGGGGTCGTCATCGGGGTCGGCGCATTCTTTACTATTCTGGTAATCCGGCCTCTCTCGATGGTAAAATCCTCTAACCTTGGTAGATGTGCGGTTTGACAGTCATTCAGGTACATCGAACCAGCTTCTGTGTCCCTCCGTGCTCACATCCTGCAGAATAGATACACCAGCTACAGCACAAAGACAAGCGAGGAGTTCAATACAGCCAGCCGCAGCGTCAAACCTGGGCTAATCGCTGCCGGCATCGTCTCTGCCTGGACTTGTGGGTTCGTCGATCTCTCTCCTAGAATTCCCGCTGATGTTTACGAGGGGCCGCAACTCTCCTGCAAAGCTCGACTGTGGCCTACACATATGGCGTCGCCGGTCCGTTCTGGTATGCGGCGGGAGCCACCGTCCAGATCCTCATCTTCTCCATCCTGGCCTGCAAGACGAAGATGAATGCTCCGCGGTGCCACACGTTTCTGGAGATCATTCTTTATCGCTATGGAAAACTCGCTCATTGCGTGTTCCTGTTCTTCTCTCTGGTCACCAATATCCTCGTCGGCTCGCAGCTGCTTCTTGGAGGTAGCGCGGTCTTGACGGCGTTGACCGGAATGAATGTCTACGCAGCGATCTTCCTGATACCTCTGGGAGTCGTCTTGTATGTCATCACAGGAGGACTGCGAGCGACGTTTCTGTGCGATTGTGAGACCTCCTCTTCCCCCTTCAACAACAACTTTTGGCAGGCGTTTCGACATCGGTCCAAAGCATATCGGCTGATAACTCATTTACTAGACTCCCATACGATAGTCGTGATGATTATCATATTGTACTTTGTAAGTCGTGCAGGCGCTGAAGGGGCTGGGTCAATCAATTTGGCGCCCTTCCTCTAGTCCTAAGCCCGTCCCGGACCTAGTCTACCCATAACAGTCTTTCAGGTTTGAATTCACTTACTGACTCACATGTCCCGGCATCTACAGATGTTTCAAATCTACGCCCAGATAGATCTGATCGGCAGTCCTGGCCGCATGTATGACCTACTCGTGCGGGCGGGCGAGCAGAGGCCAGTCGCAGGCAACAAGGACGGCTCCTATCTAACACTCAAGTCCAATTCAGCACTCATTTTTGGCGTAATTCAGCTCTGCTCCGGGTCAGGTACCGTCTTTCTGGACCAGGCCTACTGGCAGCGTGCCATCGCCTCCAGGCCATCGACCGCGGTCAGAGCATATATCCTCGGTGGCCTGGCGTGGTTTGCTATCCCCTTTGGATTCGCCACGACAATGGGATTAGCGGCTGTTGCATTGACAGACAGCCCATCCTTCCCCACCTATCCCGAGGTACCGACGCGAGCTCAGATCTCCAGCGGCTTGGCATCCGCGTTCTCCGCCAGCGCGGTCCTGGGCAGCAATGGCGCAGCAGCATTGCTAATCACATTGTTCATGGCTGTAACGTCTTGTGCGTCGGCAGAATTGATCGCCGTGTCTTCGGTCTTAACGTTCGATGTCTACAAGACATATATCAGGCCTCAAAGTTCTCCGAAAGAATTAATCTTAGTGAGCCATATAAACGTGGCAATATTCGGTCTCATGATGAGTCTGTTTGCCGTGATATGGCACGCAATAGGGATAGATCTTGGTAGGTTTCTGTCAAGTTGTCCTGTTGTTAAACCTGGAGCAGCTGACATTAACCACAGGTTGGCTCTTCCTGTTCATGGGCTTGGCAATCGGCGGAGCAGTATTTCCCGTGGCTTTTAGCATAACTTGGCGCAAGCAGACACGTGTAGCTGCCATATCCGGAGCTCTATTCGGTTTAGCGGCTGGTCTCACGGCGTGGCTCGTAACAGCACAGGTCTACTACGGCGAGCTCACCCTGGAGACTACGAACTCGGAGTACTCCACACTTGCTGGAAACCTTGCAGCAATCAGCGTGGGAGGCATTGTCTCAACTACTGTCACTTTGATCAAGCCTGACAACTTCGACTGGGAGATCACCAGGGCCATCAACGCCGAAAATGCTAACCTTGATGAAGTATCACCGACCCCTGTTCCGACCGTACCTAGTGTCCCAACAGAGAAACAACCACCTTCTGATGCACCGACGTCCTCCGGTGACTCTGCAAAGAACGAGACGGACGTTGAACAAGAGCCTGCGAGGCTCACCCAAACACTGTCCCGCGACCAGCTTCTGGAAGAGTCACCAGAACGTCTACGATCGGCTCTGACAGTCGCCATCACTGCGTCGATCACAATACCGGCAATAATGGATTTCATTGTGCCTATACCAATGTTCCTGAGCCACTACATCTTCTCCAGAGCCTTCTTCACGGCCTGGGTAGTCATCAGCTTCATCTGGGTTTTCACCAGTACTGCGATTACCTGTATCCTACCGCTATGGGAGACGAGGCAGTTTTTGGGTGACGTGATGGGCCGAGTGATACGGGGCGAGAAGCATTCCAGAACCTGATCAGGCAGTCCTTGGGCGATGTTGTGTGAAAAAGGTACGCCGCGAGGAGCGGGCCGGAGCCGCAGCAGGCAGTGAAAGTCTTGGCATCTCAGCAAGTGTATATACCACAAAAGGACTGTCACCGATCTTCTGCGGCTGCAAGATGGGCGAGAGTCATGCCACATGCTTGGGGAGACCATGAAATCTAGTTCATGAATCCCTCGGCTTCGAAGACGAGCAAGGATACTACGCTGCCAGCATGGTCGTAAGTAGTCGTAGAGGTACACTGATGAAGACACACTCACTCGCCTAGTGACAGCTTGCAACCATGTGTGGTATCGGAGATTAATCAAGTGATTGTATGAGCGCTACAAATTTCAAAGCAGTTTAAGAGCTTGTAAAGAGTAGCTACCGAGGTATGTGACTATGCACGGCGGGCTTGCCAAGACGCCAAGACGAACCCCCGGATCTGCAGCTTTCCTCGTCGTTCGTTCACTTGGTATGACACCATCTCAACCTCATCCGCTGATCATTATTTACATCATGACTACTCCAGAAATTTCTCTGAGAAGCTCGATACATCTCCTCCCGGTTCTATGCTCGAGTACAGGCCTCACACGTACCCACGTATTGACAAAGTGGTACTCCCCCCGCACCGCGCTGCCAGCAGCGGGTCGTAACATCAATCTCGTCTGATACGCACTAATGCATCATGTTGCGTGCGAACCGTTTTCGGTTTATGAACTACCAGAGACTATCTCCTCTCACTGCGACGCCGTAGGTCACCCTGGTGGCATTTTTGTTTTCCCACTGCGACTTTGTGAGATTATTGGCTCCAAGCGATGAATTTCCTCATCACATTGGCATTCGCCATGAAGTCGCTACTACGGCCAAAGCGTGTGTCTCAAATATTGGAGCTCTCTCCACGCCGTCCTCGTCGACTATGTCTCCATCAAGGATACTCTGTACCCGATGTCGGCTGTACCCGAGCTCACGATTCGAGGCTAGCATTAACAACCCTGATCGATTCCAGGCAAGATCGTTGTACACTATACAAGTGCGATCCTGTCATGGAAAAGGCAAGTATGTTTGACCAGTCACCAAGCTTTCGGCCGTTGAATGGGGCCACAGGAACCGTGTTCGTACGCTATACTCCATCGGCGAGAATCTCCGGCTCATGTCACGACTGCAAATGCTCCGAGAGCCTCAGCACGCCTAACGAGACCCTGCTCATGGATGTCCCTGTTCGGTCAGTACATTATTACTAATGTACTGTGCTGCAGATAGTATCTTCATTGCTCGCTTCGTGGTTGTGTACGCAACATGCCGGAGACAATGCAGCCTCTGGCCAGTCTGGCCTATTCCGCTACGATGAGTTGATACTCAGCCTACATGGCGCCCCAGACTACCAATCCGAAAGTCTTGTGCCCTGCAACGATGACTAGCTTTAGTCGCCTCCTTCGATCTGCTCGTCCGAAGTTGACCTCTCTTAGGGGTCGAGACCTGGCACAGTCCCCATGCAGACCCACACTACGATTTCCCGGCTGTGCACGCACGGTGCATCCTCGTCCCCTGGTCCTTGCAGATCAATCGATAGCTGTCCGGGGCCACACCAAGACGACCGAGTCCCCTGGCTGCCGTTGCATTCTGTCGAAGTCTAATGCATACAGTGTACACCACCACACTCACTGGCGCATTGGTTGCCCACTTGGGTAGCGTTCTACGGTTGAGAAGGTCAATTCGCAATTTCACCTGCACACAATCTCCTGCTCTGGTGTTCGACATGCCACTGGCGCTTGGAAGTCAAAGCTACAGTATATTGTCTATATAAGACCATGGCCCTCGGGGTATCTGCTACCTTCTCCACCAGCCAACTGATACAGTCACTCTTTTTGGGCACCTGACCCTAGTCACTCCTTTGAACAATATGCGTTCTTTCTTCACATGGTCTTTGTTGGCAGCAGCCTCTCTGCTTCCCTCCACTTTTGCAGTCCCCCTTCGTCGCCAAGCAATCGGCGTGCCGGTCCAACCAGGAGATGTATCCGACATCATCATCAGCGAGTCCAACACCCTGAATGGCACCTTCCCTGGAAACAAGCCGCCTCAGATGCACCCCTTCGCCGCCGAGCCCGATCTACGCGTCGATCTGGTCAACACTTTGGGCGGCGCCGTCAATGCCTACATCGCGGCCCAAGATCCACAGGGCCGCGTCATGTTCCTCCTCGCCAACGGAAACTGGTTCTACCCAACCGCCAGCGACCCCAACGTACCCCAAGCTATCCCGCAGAATCTGGCTATCCCTCTGGGTCCGGAAGGCTCCACCACTTCCCTCAGGTTGCCGGGTTTCTTCAGCTCTGGTCGTATCTTTTTTGCCGCTGGCCAGCTCCAGTTCTACACGCTTAGAGACGCTTCGAACGGCGCCGCTAAGCTCGTGATGCCGGACCCGCTGAATCCCCGCGGTACGTTGCAAACAGACAAGTCGATCTCTGGGGGACTTCTTTGCTGAACAGACTACAGATCCATCAGCCGGCGTCTTTTGGGGATTTGCTGAAATGACTTATAGCGCTCAGGGCGGTCTGTACGCCAATCTGTAAGCGCCACCCCCCTTCCCGTCTCTCCAAAAGTTGTGACATGCTCCATAAATAAAACACACCGTGGCTGGATTTCCAACATCCCACTGACCTACCACCTCCAGCTCCTTCGTCGACTTCGTCGGCCTCCCCGTTGGCCAACGCCTAACCACCACCGACGGCGCGCCCCCGCAAATCGTCCTGGGCCTGGCCCGCGATGCCGCAAGACAAGTCTGCAACGCCATGGTCTCCCGCGCCCGCCAAGACAACCAGCCCTGGGATCAGCTCTGCCAGACCGACGCCAACGGCAACATCCTCCGGGTCGACGCTCCCGGCAAGTACATCGCCGCCCACGGCGGCGGCTTCGACAACTACTGGACCTCGTACGTTGACCAAGTCTGGGCCCGCTTCGCCTCCGAGCCCCTCATCATCAACTCGCAGAACCACCTGGGCGACATGCGCTGCTCCACGACATCCGGCCAGATCGTCTGCCCGGGCGGCAGCCGCAGCTTCGCCAAGCCCTCGGCCCTCGACATCTTCGGCTGCCAGGGCGTCTTTGGCAGGCAAGACGGCGACAACGATGTCATCCTCGCGGCGACGCCGCGCATCTGTGCCGCTCTGCAGAGATCCACGCTGTTGCTGGAGGGAGGGCAGCGTCAGCCGCAGCTGCCGGTCGGGCGCTACTACTTGAATAGCCCGACTAATTGGTACGCGAAGGCGACGCATGATGCGGAGCTGGATGGCAGAGGCTATGCGTTTGCGTACGATGATGTGAACCCCGATGGTGCGCCGGATGCGAGTGGCGCGGTCGTCAGCCCTAATGCCGATGTCTGGACGCTGTTTGTGGGTGGTTCACGCTAAGGAGGTGGAGAAACGGGGGATCCTGGGAGCCCAGGCGTCGGCGTTCGGAAGCAGATGGGGAAAACATGTTCAGGAACTCTGGGCCGGACGTGTTTATGGAGGTGTGAACCGATCTATCATGTTGTACCAGCAGCTGAGGCCCATATAACAGCACAGTTATTGCCAGGTCACCAAGGTCAATGTATTATATGTCGCACTTCTTGCAGAATGTCCGGCTGCGAATCCTCGAGACACTCCTGGCTCCCAAGTGTCAAAATGGTTGCGATGCTCCGAATTGAAGTCTGCAGATGGGGTTGTGAAGAAAGGATCCTTGAGTTGTAGGTTTACCACGATGCTTCCCCCCACAAACGAAGGTTTTGCGCGTAAGGTGGTCATGACACGTGTATTTCAGAGACAAGTGCCTCGAGGAGGGCTGCTTTGGACAACGGCATATGTGGGGGCATGGTAGAGAATCATTGTACTACAGGGTCGTCAAGCGTCCCAAAGACAAAAGACCAAGGGAAACTACAGGCAATAATATCAGAATGGCAGTAAAGCAATGAGAGGTCGTGCCGAACAGCAAGGTGGTCGGCAGACTTCAGAGGTTGAGATAGAGTTTTGGACGGGCAGCAATGAGATAGCCGCACTTCCTGGACGGCCATGGCACAAATCTGTTCATCTAAATCTCCCCGTTCTGCTCTTTTGTACTTCTTCCGACTGTTATTGGGCTGCCATCATCGGCGCAAAGCAAGCCAGTACTTCCCCTTAGAGATGGTGGGCGGCCCCGCTAAGATCTCTTCGTCCATCATAGTCTTGAAAAACGCCTTATAATTGTCGGAGCTCTCGTGCTTGTGCATCGCGGCCTGAGAGGCATATCTGAAAACTCGTCAACCTTATTTCAACAGCAACAGCTGACGAATATTCATCCCATCTACAGTCAGAGTCGTCTCACCTTTCAACCATGAACAGCTTCACTCCAGCCTCGCCATGCTCTTCATAGATTGAGAATTCCAAAGTCTCTGGCTCATTGGCCTGCATGTATTCGAGCCCGGCTTTGAAGAGCTCCCGTACCTCAATGTCTCAGTCAGGGCGGGAGCAGCTCGTAGAGGCTTGTGTTCTCACGTACCCTGTCGAGCTTCCCGGGAGCTGGCTGAATGATGGCAACGATGGCTACTTCTTCAGACATTTTCTGGGCGACACCTGAGCCAGAAGGTACAAGCTCATAATGCACAAAGGTTGGGATCTGGACAAATATCAGTAACAAGTCCGCTTTGGAGTTGCTGACATGGTAACAGCCTAGTCTGAAATCCTAGATTGTGTCGTCATGAACAATATTAGACTTTTTAGCCTGTTAAAGAGTACTTGAACTTTGGTCAAGTGTGATCTGCTATCACGCAATCGACAACCGACGTCCGGTCAAACCTATTCACTATTCAAGGAGATATTCGCAAGACTTCTGTCCTGCTGGTCCCGAATTTCTGACTTTTGGTGTATTGAGGCATCATTTCACAATTGTTCACAAGAAGCAGAAATACTCAAGAACTCAAGACAGAACAAAGTCGAGTCAGACATACTGCGATACACTCAGTGAATAATATTTCAGAAACGCTGAATTACCACGACTCCGAGGACCATATGTGACAGCTGAATTCAGCTCTGGCTCGATTTGGGCTATAGCTGAGAATGACACTGGCCACGTGATCACACAGCCGGCAAAGCCGTAGTCGGGCTAGTATCAATGCCTCACAGCTGGCGCAGGACTGTCACATCCATTATAAGGCCCTCAGGAGTTCACGTCGTGCTTCATCAACATATATCGTGAAGGCGCGAGCTTCAAATCGATGAAACACCTGGAGCAGTACCAGACCTCGGCTCCATATTTCACCCTTGTCAGACCAATAATCTTCACTATCATCCAACTTTGAAGGCATACGAAGTTCGTACTGGATCTTGAACGCTGTTTTCTATTCCTTGCCTTCACGCATGTACATATGGTAGTGGGTATCCTATATATTGATAGCGGTAGAGTGTTAGCGCCGGGGAGCCTCTAGATGATTACGCTCTAACTTTTGAGATCTGTAGGAATGGAAAAGGATTGCGTGCACAATAACATCTACCTTAGGGAACGGGAGCATCATTTTCATGCTTATCAGCAAGAATCATATTCTTGTAGTACATTTAGCAAGACTCTCCTTCAGCGGTGTCGACACGGTCCTCGACTACTTTCTGCACTGCTCGGTCGATATCCTCGTTCCCATCAAGTAGGTCGATCCAACCACTCTGAACATCAGGAGCTGCCAGTAAAGCGGAAATAACTTGAGCGACAGTCTTCCGGCTTGCAGTACCTTGAACCCCTGAGGTCTTCCCGAGCTCGACACCGCCTGCGGCCGCTTCTGTTAACACGCCTGGACGAAGACTGATACCAGTCATGGACTCAGAGTTGAGTGCAATGTCGTGAAGGAACTCATCCGCCGTGATTTTAGCCTGGTAATATGTGCTCTCCGATCCATTATTCACAGATCGGTTATACTGGTCCCATTCAGCCTCATCCCACCATGGTGCCGCCGTACGACGACTACCATTGTACGATACAAGAACGAATCGTGCGATAGATGAAGTAACTGATGCAGTCTTTACAAAATTAATGGCTGCATCTCGATCGATCTTAAGAGTCTAGCAATAGTCAGTTCTTCGCGCGATCCTGGGGTGGGAATGTTTCGAAATTACTCGATCGGGTCCACCTCTGCCTCCGGCGCCTGTAAAGCTCGTCAGTAGGTTTCCCACGTTTATTATGACTCCTTTACACACCAGCCGAGAATACGATATAATCAGGGTTGACCTTCTCAAGGATAGTGGCGGCATGCTCCTGTGCTGTTACGTCCTCGATGCTGTGGACAAAGACATTAAGCTTGCCTGATTTGTCGACGTCGAGCCTCTCAATGTCCGCTACTTGATCTTGAGAGCGAATCATGCTTGTGACTGTCCAAGAGCGCCGGAGCAGAAGCGGGGTGAGCAGCTGGGCGATCTTGCCATGCCCACCGATAACCAAGACATGGTGTGACATTGCAAAGAAAAACAGAGCGTGGGACGGATTTGAAAGAATGCAATGTAGAATATGTGAACTGGGAATCGAAACGTATGTGCGGAAATTCGGAGAGCAGGGAAATATAGTTAATAGATGTACTCTCTGGTGTAGTCTGGCTCGGTTTCAACAGCTAGTCCCGTTGGGCTGCGCCAGGCGGCAACGGTCCTGATATGCAGTGCAGCTACCATGAAGGCTTCGGCTCATACCAAGAACGCATGTGACGTTGGTACGGGCATCTCGGAAAGGCTGCCGAGGGTGCCCGGAGACCATATTCAAGAGCAACGATTCCAGGCATACAAGCTTGCGTTAAGCGTTGCCTGACTTCAATACTCTGCTTAGTGGCACCGGCTGGTGAGGATGAAGCTACATCTCCTCAACAAAAGCAGGACTAAGGTGCAGGACATGTATAGAATGAGTTTCTTTGCACCATGCTCAGGAAGATAGGGATTGGGTGAGCGTAGTGAAACTTTCGGAAGCTCGGGGTCTAGCGGATTCATAGCTTGTCTTCTCCGCTATACGAGGGCCCATGATATTCAGTAGCGAATGTCAATGGTCTAATCATAAGGCTTGATGGTCGGAAGATCGGTTTGACACAAAAGCAAAATCCGGTGAAGCCGAGGATCCTGTGACACATCATTGATGTTAGCATGTGTACTTAATGGCGGTTTGTGTCCCTCATTCTGCTCGAATATTCTGCAAGACCAAACATTTAACGCAATCGCTATGGCCAATATCGCCCGCCCTGCCGACAAGTCCGTCCCCTATTACCCCGTGTCGAGTCTAGCCGGTGATGGATGGACTTCCGACGACGAAGCCACGGCTACATGCTACTGTGGCTCTGTTCAGCTAGCCTTTGTGAGTGATACCCCGAGCCCCAGGAAGCAGGAATTGGAATCTGCATAAAATCTCGATGAGACCAAGGCATCAGAATACACGAGCCGAAAAGCTAACACCGTCTCACATAGCCTCTGAAAAAACCTGGCCTTGTCAATACTTTCTTATGCCACTGCGCCGACTGCCATAAGATCACGGCTACTATGTTTGCTACAAGCTTCACTGTCAAGAACGATGCCATTCGTTGGCTCCGTGGGAAGGAGACTTTGACAAAACTGGCTCAGTCAAAGACAATTCCGACCGGACACGTGATGACAAACCACTTTTGTCCGAAATGCGGGACGCTGATGGCGCGGGACAGCTCGGGCTTCCCGGATGTATCCTTCCTCCGTCAAGGAACGGTAGACAATTTCAGTTTGACCGATGGACAGATGCACCCCGAGCTTGAGATTTTCGTCAAGCAACGAGCAGACTGGATTAAGCCGCTTCCGGGCGCAAAGCAGTTTGAGGAGATGTGGACCTAGTTCGTTCAGAGGTTATGGACACAGATATCTGACAGATGCAGACGTTCGTAGGCTAAATACTGTTTCTCACGAAAGCTACAAAGCGGGAGAAAGGTAATATAGGATCGATACGATGGTAGATAAGATCAACCCACACCCTCCTTTGGACTACTGTAATTCTCTTCCACGGGGCTTACTCAGTCTTGCTTGTAAATTTGTCTGATCATGAGCGGCAAAGACCAACACTTTTTGCCAACTCATTAAACTCGTTGAGACCTCTTAGTAGCCCTTCGATATACTCAGACGACCTTCCGCCAAAAAGATTTTGGCCATTACTATGCGATATACTCGCCCAGTTCTCGGAAGGCTGTATCATTCCTGGGACTGTTTCACCTGTGTTCATATTCATCTTCGTGAATGGCTCGTTGAGCGTCATGAATTCCTGAAGTTGCGTATTGCTGTTGAGATTCTTGGCCGTCGACGTTGACTGGCTGTCCTGTTGAAGTAGAAAGTCATGAGGGAAATTGATGCTTGATAGATGGGTCTTATCGAATGTCTGATCCCATGTCCAGCCTGTCGAACTCAAGGTGCTGTTGTTGGCGGGCATCATGGTAGAAAGACCGTGGTTGAGCTGCCACAATTCTTGCTGTGCTGTCATAGCATATTCTTTGAAATCGTGACAGGGGTCTGCTGCTTCGAATTCTGTCGCAATGGGCGTATCTTGAGCCCTCGAATGTGCCATTTCAGTCTGCGCATGTTGAACCCTTCGAACAATGTCTTCAATGACTGGAGTACCATTGCTATCTTCCTTAGGCGTGCCGAAAGTCCAGGGTTGTGCTGTGCGGACCATGAAATAAAGTTTGTGGATTGTTTCAATCAACGTCGATTGTGTCTGTTGGAGAATCTTCAATTCTGGGTTGCTGCTTATTTGTGAGCGGTCGACAACTGGTTCGGCCAAAATTGCGTCCTCACCTCTCACGTGCTTGAGTTCCATGAGAACCAGATACACATATAATACCACTTGTCTTACATCGATTGCAGGGGTACCTTCCATCGCACTACAGTCCCAAGCTTAGTGTGCAGCCCTCATTGACCTCTCGAGGGGAACGACACACCTTCAACTTTTTTACCCGACACCTTGCGCATGCTTTCCAGACTCGCTTTCTTCTGGTATCACCACTGGCACCGTCTCGATGCTCGATGCTGGGCTTCTCATCCGCATGTTCCATGGTGACGAGGCAGGAATGGGGCTGATGCGCGGCTCGTACCTCTGTGATCTCAAGCGCTCTATATCCTTGGTCAATGGAGATCTAACGTGGCCGCGTACCGACTTACGCTAGGAGTAGCTGTGAGACCGGGGGAAATCAAAAGTGCCGGTTCTGCTGGCGAATCAAAGACCGAATGCCGCCAGTCGATGAATGAATCGTAAACGATCACAGCGTTGACAAATTCAAGAAGAATTTGTCCTGGTCGCTTTATAAAATGCAGCTCTAGCGAATGACTCGTATCAGCATCTGCTCGTACAGCATAGATCTTACTGTGAACATGCACACCACTGAACATATAATGTTGTCAATGGTTACACAAATCAGTGCCTGCCATACCTAAAGCCAAACCTCAAAATGACTTTACGTACAACCAGCCCCCCCTGCAATATCCATAAATTAAGCTGCTTATGCTGCGTCGCCCCGCTTTAAACTTGACGGAGCAGGAGGAGCAGTGATTGGTTGTTCAAGGATCCAATTCCGATAGGTAATTACTATTGGTGGAGGGCTGGTAGAGAAGTTCTGATCTGCGAACGCGTCGGCATGCAGAACGTCATAGGTCTTCACTGCATACCCTCTGGCTTTGTCAAGGGCCTAGGTATGGAAGGTCTTGATACCTTGCTTGCAATTACATTCAACATCGTTGGATTGTGGGAAACTTTAGATGGCAACAGGAGTTACGAATACAAAACAACACCAACTAATCTCTTAAGCGCAATACCTCAACTGTCGTGCCTCCTGTACGCGGACTCATTGGATACCGCGCTGCCGTCTAAGGAAATAATCTCAACTGTTCTTCTCCACGAAGCCCCCTCCACCGATTAGTTGACTCGAGCAATTCATTACAGCCTTTAATCACCCAGCCCCAGTCGCGTGCGAACTCTTCTGTCACCTCCCAGTTGTCAACTGTCCAAGGATCGCCCCATACCAGGAGTCCGATCTGCTTTTGGGGACTGCTGCAAAATCCCATCATAGCAATGCACACGTCGTCGTCGTCGTAAAGGTCATCTACGAGAATGAGATTGTCCCTCATCCTCGGGATTGGGACGATATCAATCCAAGGATGATGGCTGTGGCTCCGCTGAAGATCAGTCGGTTGCAGTGCGGCAGGTATTCGCCTGCCATGTTCCACCGTGTCACCATTATAGAACGGTGAGATTGAGTCGTCTGCACAGACGACCTGGTAACTGACATCGAGTAAGGTACAATTCATGATTATCGCTCTGAACACATTGAACTGTGTAAGAGTTAGTAGCATGTCCGCCCTTGGTGAGCCGCAAGCTCTGTCGTTCATGGCGTGAGCTTCAAAGAATCTTTTGAGATTGCTGATCTCGATCTGCGACAGATTGCGCATCGAAACTGTCTGCATGGAGGTGCCTTCCATAAGTTCCGAGAGGGCGATATCTGAATCTCGAATCGCTGCAATACCCGGCCTCGGGCTAAGTGTAGAGAGAGTGTGGTCGTCCGGTGCCTGCTGTTGAATGATCAAGTTGCTCTGAGTATTTTCATTGCGAACAGTGCGCGCGAGCTCCTTCTGTCGCTGACCTGCATTGCATGTGACATCTTGTTAGTCTTCTTGGCTTCTGATGGTTGGAAAAGGGTGGGACCTCCTACGCCAAATTCTCTGTGCTATTCGGTTCTGGACTCTTCGTCGGACGGCTGGGGGCAGGTCATGGACTTGTTCACCGGGATGACGTGGAAGCTCGTCTGAACATCTGAGGTCTGACATCTTGATCGTAAGGACCTTTCTCGAAAGGTGGCATCAATCCCTTTACGCACTTAACGATGTTTCTTGGAATGGCCAGGGGAAAAACTGTAGAGCCGCGCAGAAGAGCTAGTGCGAGTGAACCTAAAGTAACCTACTTCAGCTGCAAGGCACGGATCCCAGGCTGAAAGTCGCCTCTACAACGGCCCACAAACAGGACATCATCTTTGTCAGAATCCATGTACACGGTAAGTACCGGAAGCGGGGGGGACGCGGAAGTCGAGGAGCCGAGGTTGCCAAGGCCGCTGCCCCCCAACCACAACAGCAATTCAGAGATCGCTAGGTACGAGTGAGGGGTGATCCTGCGGTTCGGTTCCCTTAATGGGCCCCACGAAGCGAAAACTCGGATACCGGCTCCGGAAACCTGATGATCGATATTGCGTCCTAGTTCTCGGCTGTGCTTGTGTCTCCTGGTAAACGGTTCTTAGGGTTCTTGTGAAGGTCAACCCTCGGTCGCGCGTGTAATTCTGGGTCCAGCCGGAAGGCGAGGAATGTGTAGGACGACGATGAGTTCGCACCGACTAAATCATTAGCCGTATCCAGGGTCCTCTGAGAAAGACCATCGTAGACTCTGGGGGCCAAGACGAGGCCAGTGTGCTTGTCGCCTTCTGTGACGAGGCTCCGTTCTGATGAAAGATATTGGTGAGTATTATCCCGATTCATGATACAATAGTCCTGTTCTATGGTCAGTCAATTTAAGCGCTGCATTAACTCATGCCATTCGATCCCAGCAGACCACTTCAACTGACAGCAAAACGACTCTTGCTGCGCATCCACCCGCCATAGCTATACAAGAACTGCAGTCCCAGAACGCCCATAAATGAAAGCCTTCCGAGCTACGTAACTCCTTGGTCAATGCCCAAGTTATTGTACATGGGCGCGCTCCACATCACGAATCCGACTGCCGCAATCGATCTGCAGAAGTCGTTGCTGGCGAACAGACCAGCCACGTAATCGCGTTAAACCAAGGGGATGTAGCAGATGATGCACTGGAAGAAGATGAAGCTGGTGCCGGCAAAGATGGCGATGCCCAATGTGGGTACAATCCAGTGGATACTTTCTCTTGCCGTCCACGCAAAGAAGAACAGACCCTCACTCGGATGATGACTACCCTGTGGCTTACGGCCAAAGAAACCCCTACAGCATAGGTCTACTTGGCCCGCCCTAATAGCGATGATCAGGAGAAAAGTTTATACGCGACCGCAATCTGGGGCTGGCGTCTTGGCGCAGACTCGCTTGAGCAAATGGACCTGCCTCGCCTGCATCTAGCCTTGGTCTCCTCCGTAGCCCGCACGGCTTCTGTCAGCAGGGATTTTCAAGCTCACAAGGTGTCGCCACCTACGGAAAAGCAACAGCATGGGTGATTGTGACGAAGACCTTGGAGACAACGACATAAGGGGTCTGAAAAGGCGTCGAAGCGATCAAGAAATACCCTCAGTGCTTGGTCGTCGCAAGACAGCTTGTCAAACGTGCCGGAACAGAAAAGTCAAATGCGACCTGAAGCGCCCGGTCTGCTCGCTATGCGAAGCGGCGGGCAATCACTGCATCTACCTAACAGAACCGCCTAAGCAAACGTAAGTTCTTGTGAAAACTCCTCAATCTCCAACTAAAGGTCGCCACAACAGCCTCGAGAGCGTTGCCGAAACCCTGACTGGCCGTCTCGACCTCGTTACTCGCCAGCTCGAAGACCTCAAAGCCGTGGTGCAAGCCAATGGCAAACCTGAAAGCACACGGGAGCAGTCGGCGAGCTTTTTTGCCATTGAGGAAACCGCCGGGCACCCGAGACCAAGTCCATTCTCGCCTGGTGTATCTTCCCTCATCACCAGTCCTCCCGTTTTAGCTCCACCGATTACCGAGCCCTCGAGGGACTTCTCACATATTCCCCCGCATCGAACCACAGCCGACACTGTTCTTATGTGGCCTATCTTTGCACAGCGCTTTGACAGTAACTACCTTATTCAGCCACTCTTGACCGATCCGGAAGTTGCAGACCCTCATCCACTCTCTTCCACATCTCCGGAGCGAGATAACTATGCGCTACACAACTCGGTCGCCCCGCTCGACGACGAGCGCATACCAATTCTAGTTGACAGTTTCTTGCAGAACGTTCACACCAAGAACCCTGTACTTGATGTTGATACACTGATTCTCAAGAGTAGGCAAGCGTCGATCCATGGCCTGGGCTGGGACGCTTGGTCGTGCTGCATTCTTCTGGCATGTGCTCTTGGATCGGTCGCGAAGCCTTTCCCAGCCGATGCTACAACCCCGAAAGTTGCCAATCTCAAAGAGCTTCAGATGGGGGAGCACTGTTTTGTGCTTGCATGTCGTAGGATTGGGTTACTCAAACAGACTGTCTTGTCTGCACAGTGCCACTTCTTTGCAGGAGGTAAGCGACTGGCCTCCTTGAATGGCCATGGCTAACTATACAAGTGTATCTAATGTATACGCTCAGACCGATGTTGTCTTGGCAACACTTTCACCAAGCATCAATAACATATCAGCTCTATCTAAAAACCAATGGTCGTCTGCTAGACAACTTCACCGTCCTTGAGCCAGGCCATGCACGCCTCCAGCCAGCTAGCGAATCATTTCGAAAGCAATCGCGTCTAGAACAGCGACTTTACTGGTCATGCTTCAAGTCCGAGGCCGAATTCAGAGTTGAGCTACCACTACCACAATCCGAAATTGCCGACTATGACTTTCCAAAGCTTTTCCCAAGCCCACCCTCGCCACCATCACCCACTACATACGCTGCAGGCAATAGTGATGCGCAGTCAGGCCTGTCAGAGCATTTCTCACCTACTATCGAGAACCGAACAGAAGAGGATCTGCCCGTTCGCCAAACCGAAAGCTGGTACTATTATCTCACCGAAGTGGCGCTCCGCAGGATTGGCAATCGCATCATCAACACGTTCTTTACTGGCAACCGTGAGAGCTGGCTCCACATCGAGCCTTACCTGGATATTGCGGTCGAGTTCGAGGCCCAGGTGTCTTCCTGGTATGCCAATCTCCCTCCAACCATGCAACGATATGAGACCAATTCGACCATCAGAGCCCCACGCCGAGAATCTGTTGCAGGCCTGACGATCGATGCAGTCTCCCAAGAGCTCAGCTGGGCAACGGAAAATAGACTTCTCGAGATGCGGTCGTGGCTGTATCAACCTTTCCTCTACTACCTGATCCATGCCAAGCCACAAAGACTGCAGCCACAGCAACCCCTTGCTAGCCCCACAGGCTACGCCAGTAGTAACAAGTCTGCGTCGCTTGCGCCAGAGACAGCCAGCGTGCTCTGGAATCTCATCCTGCGCGGGATTGAATGCAACCTCACTATCCTGGAAACGCGATCGGTCCCCCATCGACATCATGGTCTGTGGTACGACTTACGCGCTATCATGTGCGCCTCATTGATCCTCCTCGCTATCGTCAGAAGCGGGAACATTGATCTGATCCCAGGAGGCAACGAGACCCTGGTCGGTCCTTCTACCGAGCGCTCAACCGCTCAGGCACCCCAACGACGTACTCTTTCAACGAATTCATCGAACGGACGGCCAGTAGCTTTGGTTGGAGGACGCTTGGGAAGGGTCTTAGATCAGCTCCGCTTCTGGTCTGTTGAATCTCCGGATATGGCGCGTCACGCCGACACCTTGGAGCAGCTGATCTTCGAGATCATGGTCTAGGTGCAACGATGCCAACCGGCTTGCCAATGGCCAGATTCTCGATCCAAACAATACCCTAACTGAGCTTGCGCGTACCTAGGGACCCTGAACTGCACTATGTGTATGGGGAAGTCAAGATGCGATCTCACACACCTGTACTATTCCGTTCGATGGACTGCTTGATTATTTAAGCCTTCTAAGCCTACATGAAGCGGAAGTACGGGCCCGAGACAACATGAATGGTCCCGTCTGATTGGTTCTCGGGGAGAAGCTGCATTCTCCCCATTGCCTTCGACGGCCCTGCGCCGGCACTACCCCACACTCCGGTTACATCATGACGCATCTGGGTATGATTTTCACGCTCCAGCATCTCCCGCACTGGAAACCAAGATCTTGCTAAGCTACATTGGCAGAACGCTGAGGGATAGCTTGTGATATGCTTCTGCTCCACGTTTGGGAAATGGAAGCTGGACGCCGAGCTCCAGATATACTTAAGGTCCACGAGGGGCCTATATCCACGAGCTTCAAACATCCACGTACAGCGAGATCTACGGTAGACAGTTCATCATGGAGAAGATTTCCAAGTACAATGTTGTCCACCACTTTCAGAAGCGGTCCTTGCTCATTGCCATCAATGGCCTGGCGGGGCTGTCTATTTTCTTCTTTGGTTACGACCAAGGTAAGGATTTCTTGAGACCACACTTGAGATGTTCTAACTTGGAGCAGGCATGATGGCCGGCGTGAACAATGCAAAAGATTACTATACGGTAAGCTTCAGCATTTGTCTTTCTACCATTAAATGGCATCAGTTACTGACTCTTGCAACAGTGAGTAACCTGTAGGAACGAATACAGTCTTATCCTAGACTGAGCCTGCCTCCGCCGTCCCCTTCCCCCTCAATACCAACTAAAGCTGACCGCAAAGTTTGATGGGCTTCGGTCACGAGGATCCAGAGACAGGCGCCGTCGTGGTGGATGACGCTCTGCTTCAAGGCGGAATTGTGTCTGTCTACTATCTCGGCACACTTGTCGGCGCCCTCGTCGGTGGCAAGATAGGAGATCGATTCGGCAGAATCAAAGCCATTGCCTTCGGCGCCGCATGGGCCATCCTTGGTGCAACACTTCAATGTTCGGCCCAAAACCACGCCTGGATGATCTGCGCCCGTTTGATCAACGGTTGGGGAACCGGCGTCCTTAACGCTATTGTGCCCGTCTACGCCACTGAGACCGCTGAGCATACCTCTCGCGGCCAGTTCGTCGCCATTGAATGGTAAGTTCCCAAAGCTTTGTGAACATTTGTATCAGGACACTCGGAAGTATCAGTCTTCGGTTTTTCGTTGACACCTTGCCCGTATTCCCATCTTCTGCTCTCTGATTGGGTTTTTGCTGACTCTTCGGCAGTAAGTTCTTAGGTCCTGTTCCATGGTTTAGCTCGACTCCAGAGACTCTGATGTCTCGAAACCCATTGAAGAGGTGCTCATGCACTACTGCGAAGCCTTGAGTTACCCACAATTCGCTTTTCCTAATAGTACTCTTGTTACCCCGATACAAACTAACTGAGTAGTCACTCTCAACATCTTTGGTGTTGTCGTGGCCTACTGGCTCGAGTACGGCTGCTCATTCTACAAGAATGGCGAATCTGAATTCGTCTGGAGATTTCCCGTCGCCTTCCAGATCTGGATGCTCCTACTCTTGCTCGGCGGCTGCTGGCTCTTCCCGGAAAGCCCCCGATGGCTTACCAAAGTCGGTCGCGGAGACGAAGCTCGATACATTCTAGGCCGTCTTCGAGGCGAAGAGGGCGACGACACAGGCAAAGCCGAAGCCGAGTACCAGGATATCGTCAACGTGGTTCAGTTGGAGAAAGACACTGCCAGCGAACAGCACTATTACAAGATGTTGTTCGGAATTGGCTCCGGCAAGCTGCACACTGGCCGCAGAGTGCAACTCGTTATCTGGTGAGTTCGCCCTGTATGCCTTTCAACCATATCCAAAATCATGCCGAGGCTCGTGTTACAAGATTGGGAAAAATGCTTCCTAATCGGAAAGTTTGGTGAGGTCTGCCAAAACACTACCTTTACCATGGCTGTTGAGGACGATTCCCCCTTCCCTGACCTCAATCCTTCTCTAGAGGTTCACCATTGAACACATATTAACGTATGTCTCCCTCCCGAACAGGTTGCAGATCATGCAAGAGTGGATCGGAATCGCCGGTGTAACCTTGTATTCGCCTACTATCTTCAGGATTGCTGGGATTGCCAACAAAGACTCGCAATGGATCGCCGGACTGAACACGATCACCTATATGCTCAGCACACTCATTTGTGTCTTCACACTGGACCGAATTGGGCGACGCTGGACGTTATACTGGGGCAGCATCATGCAAGCCATCACTCTTTTCTTGGCAGGCGGCCTGTCGAAGGTTGCCAAAGATACGACAGGCTCCATGTCGAAACAATCTGGCAACGCCGCCGTGGCGATGGTGTTTCTTTTCACGATCACATTCGGCGCCACCTGGCTAACCGTTCCCTGGCTTTACCCCGCCGAGATCTTCCCACTCAACATCCGCACCAAGGGCAACGCCTGGGGCGTCGTCGGCTGGAGCATCGGTAACGGCTGGCTCACCCTGCTGTGCCCCGTCATGTTCAACGCCATCTCCGAATACACGCTGTTCATCTTCGCGGCCTGCAATATTTTGACCTTGCCGATGGTCTACTGCCTCTACCCAGAGACGAACCAGCGCACGCTCGAAGAAATGAACCTGCTGTTTGCGGCCGATAGTCCCTGGGTATGGGACGCAGAGAAGAACTATCGTACTCTCGTGGAGGAGAATCCGGATCTTGTGCAGGCGGCTCGACGTGGCAGCATGGCCGCGGGCGATCTGGAGCGACAGTTGCGTGAGGGAAGCACAGCGGGGGCTTCGGGCAGGAAGTTCAGTCTTGCCACGGGTAATGAGCGCCGCACGAGCCAGGCCGGGACTGAGGTCGAGTATCACGAGAAGTCTGGCAAAGACTTGTAAGCTGTTGCGGATTACGTTGCGGCAGGACATGCTGTGGAAGAAGATCTGAGGAGTGATGGGTTAGATGCTTGGTGGTGTCTACTCTTCGCCGCAGTGCGAGGTAGTGGGTGGCATCGACTTCCATGGAACTGGCAAGCCAAAGGACTAAGTAAGCACGTGGGAGCATTATCTCGCGGCTATTTTATACTGGAGTTGTATGATAATCAATATGCTACAGATACCCAACTTTCTTTCAAGGTGTTCTCCAGCATATGAGTACAGGCTAATGTTCTAGCTCCGCCAGTCACCCTTTGGTGGTCATCCAAGAGCCCCGCCTCGTGAACAGCACCGATCGGCTATACGTCAGTTACGCCACCCTTAATTGCCTAAGCTGCCCTACCACTCGCGTGGACTGGTAAGTCCGAGACCCGCGTTCCAGGAGGCAGACCTGCAGCATGGGACTCAGGCACTGGGCAGTGCTAAGCCATGACGCCATGTTATCTGCATAGGTCGTCCAGATACGATAGCAATACAAGACTCAGTAGATGGAGCAGATCGCGAGACGGTAGATCTCAACAGGCTTCAAAGTTGCTTTGCGAGATCTATGACGGACGCATCTAAATGGTGCCGTTCGGGGGAATCATGTGCAGTCGATCAACATGAGTAGCTTTCTTTTCTGGAAAGTTTCACGACATCCTGGACCGTTCCGCGAAGCCTGAGATACCTCTTTTTCTCCGTTTCCTCTTGAGGGACCTCTCGCAATATCCGTATACTGCTGCATTGACATGGGCTGGGCTGCCGCCAAGCACATGCTAAGCGATGCCACAACCAAGCAATGCTAAGCACGGTCCCAAAATACTTCTATACATGATTCGTACCCACGGCAAAAATCACTATACCATCCTCGACACCACACCGCTGCGGTGTCCGAGAGAGCGCAAACTGCATATTCCGTAATTTTGCCCGTGTGGAGATGTTTGCTTAATGAAACCATCTGTAATCTGACATAAATTCAAAACCAATCTACTTCTAGATATCCTCTTGAGTACCCCTGGGGCACCCCCAGGGCACTTTCTTTGGGTATCCTCTTAGGCACCCCTAGGGCACTTTCTTGGGCATCCTCTTGGGCACCCCTTGGGCACCCCCCAGGCACTTTCTTTGGCTCAAGAGGGCAAGTTTTCACATGTACATAGTGTGAGATTACAGGGGGGAGGGGCTAGTAGATTTGGTTTCAGATTTATGTTAAATTACGTTTTGTGGAATCGCGCGTCTGTATGGGTATGAAATAATTTTGGAATATGCAGTCTGCGCTCTCTCGGAGACCGCAACCGCAAGCGTGCTGTCCAACCATGGCAGACCACGTCCTTGGTTCGGTGACTGCAACTGTGAGCAAAAACCATCGCAATCGGCTCTGAAGTGGTTTGTCTGGCAACCGGGGCAGGAACTCGGGCAGAACGAAAAAATATATTTGCTGCTCAAAACGCACAGCGCCCAGCAAGAGCAGGACGGCGGCGCCGCTGAGGCACATAATTGGACAAAGCGCGAATGGGGCGCTCGCTGATGTCGAGGATGATCTGGGAGATTCACCAGCTCATGTAGCGGGATCAAGAGCAGTCCTTCAGCAACGATTCTCGAAATGAGATTCCGACAGAGCAGAAGCTGCCCCCCAGCGGTGATGATACTTGAGCGCCGGCCTGGCTCTCAAGGATGAGATTTCATGCGAGCCTATGCCCCAATTTGGAGAAGGTGCTGATGAGGGACGTGCTGTAGTTGATCGTGATGGATTTGTCGGTGGGAGGCGAGAGGAAGGGCACGTGCGTGGGAGGAGCATCAGGGGAGAGGGCGCGAAGAGCAGAGGGGGGAATTGGTCGGTTTGCTTGGTTGCTTCTGGGATGAGGTTTCTTGGGCCTTGGTGTATGGTCTTGAGTAGAGGGTAGACGAATGAAGGGAGGAGAAGCAAAGGCAGGCCGCCTGCGCACCATACGCCACCTCTATCGCAGTCTTGTCCCCATTCTCAACGTCGTCTGCTAGGTTGGCAATTGATGTGCCATTTCCTTTGATCATTTCTTTTGGAGAGGCTGAAATTTGTGGGATCAGAAACAGAGGGCTGACACTGATCGAAAAAGACCTTCTACGAGCGCCCATGATGCCCATCCGCTTATCAGCTGAGCTCACCGCCATCACTCCCTGCCGAGACGACGGTTTAAGAACCCCATCAGCTGACGTCCACCCCTCTCAGCCCTAGTCGAACGTCTGACATCCTTTGGAACGGCGGGAACGTCTTCATCGGTCTTTCTCATCCTCTCCTCAAGCTTCTCTACCTCATCCTTGACTGTCGGACCGAACTCAGTCAGCGCAGGGGGGGCAGATGGCGGAACAAGCTTTCTTAGTTTGCCACCGCCATTGAACGGGCTGAGAGGCCGCTTCTTTCGCTCAATATTGAAATCTGTACCATTGATGTTGACCGTGAGCTTCTTTTTGAGTAGTCGTCGAGGTGACATGGAGAATTTGCTTGGCGAAGGGGGTGGAACAGGTTCATCGTTGGTCTGGTAGTCAATGATCTCTTCGAAAGTCTGAGGCGATTTGTTGGGAGAATGTGGAGGCTTGGGAGGTGCGGACGCATGAGGCGTTTTCGGAGATTTGGGAACCATCGACGACAGATCCTCGATGCTGTCTTTCGTCACCAGACTGAGGGATTCCTCAGAGTCGCTTGGAGGGACGAAGCTGTCTGATTTCTGAGATGTGCATTCGGACGGACCTTTTTTGGCTACGGCGAAGGGAGAAACAGAGGCCTCGTGTGTCGTTGAAGCAATGAGGTTGACCGAGTCGACAGTATGTTCAGCATCCTCCGGTGCCCGAAGAGTCGAGGACGCATCTTTGCAGTCAGCCGAAATAATAGAGCTCGAAGTGGAGTCTGTTGCAGACTCGACGATACCGTGGCGCTTGAGATAGTCTTGTAGATGTCAGAAACTGCAAAAGATGAGAAACTCCAAACTCACCAATAGTTCGATAGTGGAAACGAAACGTAGCATAGGGATCGTCGATAGGATCGAGGATTTGGTACTTGTAGCGACGCTGTGGGAAGCCAGGCTCCAGCAAGCCACCTTCAGTGAGTCTATGAGCTATCAGTATAAGCCATGGCACTAACAGGAACAGAAGCGAATTGATTGCCAACGAGAGGGCGTGCAGTAGGTCTTACCGGAGACCATTCTCTGACTTCGCCTTGTACTCGGTGCGCCCAAGCCTGACCTCGACCTCGCGGGCGCGTTGACGGTGCTCGATGCGGTGGATACGGATCTCAGCGACATCCTGTTGCTCCGATGGTTCGGCACTTGGATCAACATCAGAGAACTTGAGAGCCTCCCTCGTGAGTTGAGCAGCGCCAGTATCCTCGTTCTTGCCCTCGCAGATAAGGTTGTACATCATTTTGCCGTGGTGATCGTGCTTCTCTGTACAGTCCCAAGATATGACGAACTGCCCATCAATAAACAGCTTGAAAAGATAGCCTTTGCCTTCTGGGGGATGAGGACCGTCGATAGAGTACTCGAACCAGACTGGAGGGTCGTCAGAAGTTGCGACATCCTCATTGGCCAACTTACCCTGCGAGCCAGCGTAAATCGGAACGTAACAAGAGGCAACAGCGTTCGACGAGGAACTAAAACCAAGTTCCCGAAAAGGGTCAGACTGCGGAGTGGTTTGACGCAAGCGAAATTCTGGCAGTTTGCAGATGTCAAATTGAGAGATGATGGAAATCTCGATGCCGCGAAACTTGACCATTTTGGGCCCCTCGACAACGGTGGGAGGTTCAAAGGTTAGAAGATGGCTCGAAGACGGACAGTCGCAAGGACGCGGTGTCAGTAGGAGTGAAGACGACAATGTGACGGCTGGGAGTGGCGGGGAAGGCAGGAGCTCAGTCACTGCTCAGCAACCGGTTGCGATATTTGGCCACCTTTCACCTCGAACATCAGAACACATGCCGAAGAGGCTGAAGAGAAAATTGTCTTAGTGAATCTCGTGGATGACCCTCCCAAAACTCGCTTCAAGCAGATGCCATGTCGTAGAAATTGTATTCTCGCCCAACAAGCTAAAGCCACAGCAACACCTCCCAATGTCAACGCCATCGGTGGGAACTTCGTGGTTCAGCCTCAAGCCGGGCCCCTTTCTCTATGACCATCCAGCTTCCCGCTCCTCCTCTGAGTATCTGATAGGCTCCTGGTAATCTGGAAGAGTGTGTACCACGTTGAAGTGATCCAGCATACTTCTCCAGTCGCGGATAATAATGTTCTGCGGGTACATTTCTTCTGCACTGGCAAAGCAATTGCATCCAACCTCGACTCTGCCACTGACTACGGTGCCCTGGGGCTCTTGAGACATGGAGAAAGCGCGACACTTCGTTGAGAGGAAGTGAAGAAATTCATCCGTCGCTCCGTACATTGCTTGCAGATCCTCCACCTTATGCTGAGGCTCACCGAAGCACATGGCTCCGATACGATGCGACCACTGCGACCCTGCACACTTGTTAGACGCGACTTTGGGTTAGTCTGGGAGCTTACAGTTGAGTGAGATGTATTCGAGAGCTTGTTTGCCAGTCCATTCCAGGCCGATGATGTCAATCTTGGCTTCCTTGTGGATAACGGCGTCGAGCACATTGCCGAGAACGTACGCCACGTGGGCCTCCGAGTCTTCGTTGCCAGGTACAGTATTCTTAATAGGATCAACCCGGTAAGCCTCGTGCACAGCGCTTGGGCGCGGAAGGCTCAGCCACTCGAGCCAAGTGACGGCTCTCTGACCAGCCCTGTACCAATAAAGCTGAGCTGGGTTGGCAATGATGATTCCAGGCTGATCGTTATCGGATGTCGCCGTAGGTCCGTTGAGGATTGCGTCGACGAGACCGAGCACGGAGCCGTCCTTGATGTTCTCGTCACCTGTCACGCGAAATGAGAAGATGACAGGGTCGAGCTGACGTTCAGGGAACAGGACAATGACTCTTTTCTTCGATCTGATATTCGGGGAGAGATAGATCGGGACATGGTTATCCTGAGGGCCGGCCTCCAACGGAAGACGGAGCGTCTCGAAGCCGAGCGAATCTAGACGGTCATGCACCAGATTCTCGACGCAAGCTAAGGCAGGGGAATGTGAGCTTGAGTACACCATGGTTGAGCTCGGCGTACATCTTACCGTTCATGGATCTCTTGTACGTGTCATTGACTCGATCGTTGGCATTGATCTTGAATTGGTATTTCTGGTCGGGATTCCTGATTTGTCGAATTTGGTCTTGGTTATTGATGAAGTAGCCAAGATCAGAGAGATTTGTCGGAAAGACGGTGTCCTTCGGTAAGGTATGTGGCAGTCGACGAAACATGATCGTAGAAAATATGTGGCAGAAGAGGCAAGACGATATGTGAAAGCAGGAAGATGGCTATTTGTAGCTGTTAGGATCGGTCGAGGCTGGGCAAAAGTAGCAAACACTTCAGGCGATGATGAAATCCGCAAACATGGCATTATTTGAGGGTGGCAACGATTCAGAAATCCTCGGACGCATTTTCATTCAGTCACGTTAGCGTTGGTCGCATCTTGAATCAGATGTTCAGCTTGCAGGTTGGGATGTCGCGTATAAGAGATGAACAGCGAGGATGGATAGAATGAAGTGAGGTTGGGCTGCCAAGGACCATCCGGCTAAGCCGTATCTAGCGTCCAACCGCCTCAGGCGGTTCTGAGGCTATATTCATTGATACCACAGCAGCTTCTGATCGAGGACTCGGGTGTGCCAGAGGCGTCGTCGGGATGCAGCAACATGCCATGAGCTCACTTATCCGACCATGGCAATGCAGCACTTTTGAAGGCGATGGCCATGCGGGCCAGCCCGCCTGTATAGTATCCTCCTCTTAATACATCAGAAACCCAACGCCGTGTATGCCGAAGCGCTAATCTTGTGAGACATATATCGAACACGAGACTCTACCAGCTGGCCTTCTTGACGCCTGGTAGGTTGCCTGCGAGGGCATTCATTCGGAATTGAAACTAGCCATGTCAGTCCAGGATTCGTCCACGCTTGGCCATCGGTTCAAATGTGTCGTGTCTGCCGAAGTCGGACTTACTCTGCCCATTCTAAAATCTCTGAAGACACCTCTCGCAACGCCTCCCATGACGCATCTGTTCACGATCTGGTTCGGTCGGGTGTAGCAATGCATCTTGGACAACTCGATATGCGCCGCCGTCCTCACGCGCTGTGGCAGGGTCGTATTCCTGATGACATATCGCAGAGCTTGTCTATAGAGGCCAGCGTTAGCGAGGTATCCTGTAGCACCTTTTCAGGTCGAGTGCGAACTCGGCGGACCTTTCCTGTTCGTGTTCGGCGAAGACCTTCCGCTTCGTGTGATCACGAATGATTCTGGCGTTAATGAATCCTCCTAGGTCGAGTTTCTTTGCCCGAAACTGCGACATGCCGGGCAGTGAGTAGAGTGGATGGTAGTCTCTCTTGCGCAGACCTCCAATGATGAACAGCTGCGGCGCTACAAAGCCCAGACGACTTCGATCCTCACCAGGCTTGGCAGCTTCGTATTAACCCTAACCCTGGCTCACCCGTAGCTCCCCAGAAATCCTAAAACCTTCCAGTGGGGCATCTCCTCATTCGCGCTTCGTGTCACTCGCGGAAACGTGAGTCACTGTAAAACCCTCCCGCTTGTTTTGACGAGGTTCTTGCATGAGCAAGAGTCATCGTTGCCCCGGTCTCGCTTCAGCTGGACCGCCAATGTTGTACCCCAATAGGACCATGTTGATATTGCTGGTTGAGTATTTATATTGCATGTACGGTAGGCCATCAAGGGCCGCGACTTTTGCAAAGCCCACTGGTACTCTTTTAACAATAGTCCTGTAATCGGACCGCCGAGACATCTTGCGCATCCGCCCGGGGCATACTATCTATCTTGTTTTATATTCCGTTATGCCCAAAGCTAAGGATCGTGTCGCCAAAAATTCCAAAGATGGAGGCATCGTGGTCACGAGTCAACAGAGCCGCTTTCACACGGAGAGCATTGATGCCCCAACGCTGAGAGAGATAGACATCCGAGACCTGACGATCTCTATCGGTGGGTTGGAACTGCTCGACCATGCGCACCTCCGTATCCAGCCTGGAGTCCACTACGTGTTTCATGGCCGCAACGGCACAGGGAAATCAACTGTGCTAAAAGCATTGGCAGAACGACGCATCCCCGGAGTCGCATCAAATCTACGGATGTTGCTACTTGGGCAGACCCGCGTCAGCTCTGACATCGACAGCGACAATGTCCCGCAATCACCCGAGCAGAGCGTGCTGGAGTATGTGACTCGAAGCGATGCCAAACGAGAACGAGCGCTACAAGATCTTTCACGGCTCACAAGTGTTCTCGAAGCGTCAGAAGTAGACGTCGAGGCGACGTCAAGGACAGTCAGAAAGCTTCAGCTCGAAGCCGCGGAGGATGAAGAGAAGGAAGCACAGCTCACAGCAGCACGACGAAGTGGCGCAAGGGGTGCAAAGGCTCGTCAGGCGCTGATCGAAAAGGAGCAAACAGTGGCACAGGCTAAGGGCCGGTAAGTTACGTCTCGGAAAATCCTCGTCGGAGCTCACGCACGTCAGACTACTGGAGGAGACCACGTCCGATCCTGTGGAGGACCAACAGGCTGGCATTGACATGATGGAAAATCTCCGGTCAGCTTTGGAAGCCATGGATGCCGGCAGCACCGAGGCCCGGGCTCGAGCTGTGCTTCTCGGGTTGGGATTCAAGGGGACGCAGATCGAATCGCCAGTCTCACAGTTGTCAGGGGGTTGGCAAAGTCGCTGTGACCTGGCCTGTGCTCTCATTCAGGCCACTGATATCCTTATGTTAGACGAGCCAACCAACTTCCTCGATCTACCGGCCATCATCTGGCTCCAGCGATATATTACCACTGATCTTATAGGCAAGACCGTTGTGGTAGTTACGCACGATCGAGACTTTGCTGATGCAGTTGCGCAAGAGCTCATATTACTGCGGTTGGCGCCAGCTAAGACGATTGAGACCTTCAAAGGTAACTTGGGCGAGTATGAATCCGAGAAGAGCCGGCAAATTCGTCGCATGACCAAGATGTCTGAGGCCCAAGAGCGGCAGACCAAGCATATGGAAGAGACTATTGCCTCTAACATCAAAGCTGCAAAGCGCTCTGGAGATGACAAGAAGCTGAAGCAGGCTGCATCACGCCGCAAGAAGCTCGATGAGCGGAGTGGTCTTGAAGTTGGACTCAAAGGGGGGCGTTTCAAGCTGAATCGTGACCTTGCGGGGTGGTCAGTACTCCCTCCCCTCGATATTACTCGCACCACAATCGTTCTTCTGTCCCGAGACTAATTCGTACCTTCTGACGCTTAGGCACAACTCGAACAGAGCTGCCATCGAAATCCCCGGATTTGACCCTCCCGTCGGGATCAGTCTACCAGCGCAACCAGCTGATCTTCGTCACCCAGGGTCTTTGGTGTCTTTTGAGAAGGTGACCTTCACATACCCTAATTCGGGCATCTACACCCTGAAGAATGTCGACCTGGTCTTGCATCCCGGAGATCGTGTCGGGTTGGCTGGTCTCAACGGGTCCGGAAAATCAACATTAATCAAGCTCCTGATGGGATCATTCATTGGCTCAGGGCTACGTCCCACGAAAGGCATCATCACCACTCACCCAAAGGCTAGGATTGGATACTACTCACAGCACGCTGTTGAAGAGCTTGAAGCGCTCGGGAAGCAGGAGGTTGAGCTCACGGCCTTGTCTCACCTGGCGTCCATTGCTGGCGCAGAGTACTCGGAGCAAGATCTTCGCGGTATACTGGCCAGCCTAGGACTAAAAGGCAGCGTCGTTTCTGACGTACCGCTCGGGCATCTCTCAGGTGGTCAGCGGGTGCGTGTAGCACTGGCCCTGGCTCTCTTCGATTCTCCTCACCTGCTCATTCTTGACGAAGTGACTACCCACCTTGATGCAGACACGATAGTGGCTCTGATCGAAGAATTGCAAGACTGGCAAGGTGCGTTAATCGTCGTCACGCATGACCGGTACTTTATGCGCTGCGTGGTCGAACGAGAGAAGGTCACTTCGCCCTCGGATGATCAGGACGAGGAGGGCAGTGGGGAGGAAGACGAAGCACAGACTCCTGGAACAGTATACAGGATGTTCAAGGCAGGCTTGCAGAAACTTGAAGGTGGCATGGGCCAGTACGAGAGCTTGGTTGAGAAGGCGCTGGCGAAGAAGAACAAGTGATGGGAGGCGAGTGTTGTCGTGCACCTTGAGTCTTTCGCATCGTCGTCTGTCATCCTATGATCTAATTCGATCTTGTGCCATCGAATGCTGATGGCCTGCTCATGGCCGGCTCTCCTCCGGTGGTCAGTCACAACCCGGATAAAAACTTCCATCCAGAAATGAGTGATTACAGACGAGATTGGGCGTTACAGCCGCCTAGACTGGCTAGCCCCGAACGACAGCGTGTGCCGCCCCGCCAAGAGCCCTTCTTCTGGGGTCATGTCCGAATATGGCGGGCTCTCTCCTCTGATTTCCGTACCACTTGCACGCTTTCCACTGATCATCAGTCCATGTTGTAAGGTTCTTCTCAGGCTCTCTTGAGCTGTCTCGATGCTTACGACCAAGGAGCGGCCCGGTGGCAGGTCAGCAGCCTGTCCCGTGTGCAACAAGACGGTGAGTTGCCCCAGTTTCCCCCACAATACCAAGCGACCTTCTCCAGATTTGGTAGACTCCCGGCGTCGACCACTTTTGGCTGCACAACCCAGCGGGATCCCGATGTAGCTGACGAAGCTCGTGTAGTTTGCACGGAGCGACACATTACTCCGCCATCAGAAGAGCCATCATGCCACTCAAGACCGAGGTCCGGTACATCGAGTTACCGACGGGACCTTTCGCGCCTGTCTTGCATGTGCTGCTGCTAGGTCGAGATGCTCTGGAGGCTCGCCTTGTGGTCGCTGTGGCGTTCGAAAAATTGAGTGCACGTATCCCAGTAAACGCCGAAAAGGCATCGCAGGAGACGATATCAAGGACGAGGTTGCGACCTTCCAAGTCGAGCCGTCTGTTCAGACTCACGATCAGCCGTATCGTGCTCAAGAGCAGTTCCGTTTCGTCCATCAAGATGGCTGCTCCATGGGCACCGGAAGTCTTCAATATCAGCGAACTGTGCCACAGGGTCACCATGGCCAGCTGAACCAATCGCCACCTCAGCCAACAGATACCAGCTATGCCCATCAGGCGCAGAGGACCTCGATGCAGATCCAGACGGGTGTCGAGGATCAAGCATCGGTGAATCACCCAATCGCCATATCGAGCCAGATTCCACGCGACCAGCACTATGGCAGCATGACCGTGCCGTCGCAGATGCAGAACGAATTCTCAGTTACGCATGGCCCTTATGACTATCCAGCATGGGATGAGCCACTGAACTGGATTCCCATCAGTGTGTACCCGTCGCCATATGAGGGGGAACTAGAACATGATTTCTCCTTTCTTCTTCCTCCGCTGTCCGACTCGTCCACGCTGGGTGTTGATTATGGACCAGCCATCCCGATTGATGCCTCTTCTCAAGTCTACCAGATACCCTCGACCGTTCAGCATCACGAGCAGCCATTTCAAGATGGCCGTAATCTCTCAGTCACTTTCTCTGGTCTTGCTAACAGCCCAACATCATCTGCAAGCAACGAGCAGTCTGCCCCAAGATCGGGCATTGGCTCAGGTGGCCTAGCTGACGGGAAGAAGAGACGCCGTAAATCGGCAGCCACCCTGGACTTGTTTGTCCAACCGCGCCGAAAAAGCAATACTTACGCCTTTCCAACAGAGATTTCATCCGCTGCCGAAGATCCTGACTTTCACCCGAGGCAGTATTGCTCTGTGGGAGCCTACGACATACTATTCGCTGCTTTCGAGCGCCTGTGCAGGCATAGCCAGCAAAAAGCTCCGTTTCACAGCACCTCCTTCCCAGACATGGATGCCTTCAATCGCTATATCGATCTCTATTTCCAGCATTTCCACTCCATCTTTCCATTGTTGCATCGACCGACATTCGGTCACAATTCGCATTGGTCTGTGATACTGGCTGCAGCAACAATAGGGAGCACATTTGCCCAAGCATCGTACACATCGAGTCTGAGGGAAGCTTTCCAAGAGTTTCTTAGGCGAGTTGTCAGCGAAGCGTCTGAGACAGCCAGTGATCTGCTCGATATTCCACTTGCTCAAGCACGACTGCTCAATTTAGTCAGTCTGGGTCATGCCGAGGCAGATCATTTGAGACTCCTTGCGACGAGGTGTCATGCAGATCTTTCACATTGGTGCCTCGAGTCCGGAATTCTCCAGCTGACTGGGTCCAAGGGTCAGGACTCAGATCATGGTCTGGACAGCTCACACTCATGGCAAGCATGGTCGAGCTGGATACAAAACGAGTCACTGCGACGCATTGCTTACTTGACCTGGCTGATGGACACCTCCATGGGGTACCTTGCCAATACGCGGCCATTGTGCAATATGGATGATGCTCGGACACCTCTTCCCTCTGAGGAAGGCCTTTGGAAAGCCGAGACTGCTGAAGATTGGCGCTCGCTCGCTGTGGTCTCGCAACCTATGCCATCCCTATGTGGCGCACTCGAGCACCTGTACACGAAAAAGGCAGTTCCACCTGGCCTCAGCGACCTGTGTCAGACGCTCGTCATCAATGCGCTATTCCAGCGGACATGGGAGGTCGGCACACATATCAAACAGCCGTTGAGCGAGTGGGTCCCGACGGGCAAGGCTCGAGGGTTTCTGAACACGCCATCCAAGGATGATTTTTGGCTTCCCTTGTACCCTCTGTATGCCAACTGGCGTAACTCGGCCTGCGACTGCTTGGACATCATCAACTGGCAGGCAGCCAGCATTGTTGCCAAGGCATCAGGCGTCGAGCACGACTTGATGCTTCATCTCCATCTCGCTCGGATCATACTCCTGACACCATTCCAGGAGATTCAGGACCTGCTCTTCTCATTGATTGGCCGCGTGGGCGACTCATCAAGAGCAAGCTTTTACGTTCATGATGGCAGTTATCAGCCACGCAACCGCGCCAAATTGCCTCAGATCAGAAAGATCACGTGGAGATGGCTAAGAGATGACCAGCACAAAGCCCGTTTGGCTATGGTCCATGCTGGGTCAGTGTTCTGGCATGTGCGCCGGTACTCATCCATGAGCTTCTACGAACCGCTTGCGGTGTACCTTGCTAGCCTGGTGCTGTGGACATACGGCTCGTACAAATCGGCGGCTTTGGAGAGGAATGTAGCAAATGCCAACTCCAAGCCTATCGGAGGCCCGAGCGGCCCTTCTGCGGATCTGACAGTCGTGCAACCGTCTCGGGTTGAGCGCAAGATTCGAGTTCAGGATGTCATCAGCAACACGGAGTCTGCCGCCGCCGGTGATCGTCAAGGATCCGAGGCAGACGCCCAGAAAGGGTCCGGAGCCGATAGTGACTTGGAGGACAGCTCTTCCGATACATCTGGAGCTCAGCCGGAATTCATCCACCTTGACCGTCCGTGCGACGATGAAATGATACAACACTTCGTTCGCAACGGACACAACATGACCGGGCATATGTCGAATGTTGGGGATATCTGCAAGACACCAAGCAAGGTCTTGCTAGAGGGAGCGAAGTTGTTACGGACACGCTTAGGCTGCTGGGGTGTGAGCAGGGAATATTACGATATCTTGACCAGACTAGCTGAGATGCGGAAAGGGTAGCGTACGAATGGCCTCGCCAGACTTGCTCTCGTCAACCCGCGTTTCCCGAATTCTGATAACTGCAGTGATGGTCGATCAAGGGCCGACACTTGGGCGTCACGTTCGCGAGCTGTTGGCCCTGCGATCAGCGCAAGCAACCCAGACTCGGCGCCAGCCATACCAGGGTCCATACAGTGCGGGTTAATATATAAGCTATGCTAATATCTTCTGGCTCTCGCGCTGCTGAATGACGAGGCTGCACCACCAGGATTCGAGTTAGCAAAGCAGCTGCAGATCTAGCTCCAAGCCGCCTAGAGCTCCCCGTTTAGGCTCCACTCGAAGCTTTTTCTTAGCGAGGCTTCTCAGGCACGGGCTCTAGGTGCGCCCCGCCATTGGGCAGCCCTCTCACCCTTGGGCCCCGCCACCAGGCACTTGCAGTTCTCTACACCACGTCATCTACACATCTTCAGCCGCTGAGAAAAGCAACGGGCCATGTTGTTGTGGTTTAGCACCGCTGTCGCGGCCGGGCAGCTGCCGTTGCCTGATGTAGGACCATGTATAAACCTTGAGCAAACAGCTCCGGCGAGCTTCCTTTCCTCTGGCAGTCCTACTGGCCCGGCTCTACCATTGCTGGCAAGACTCTGTGACCTGATAGAGATGGCGCGGACTTACCTATTCTCGGCGTTGGCCATTGCTGCGTGCACTTGCGAGCAAGCTACAGCACAGAACAACCAGCAGACACAGCTGGCATACACGGTGCCGGCAGGCTTCCCAACTTCACTCTTTCCGGCCTACTACATTCCCCCATCACCCACTCAGCAGCCACAGCCTATTATCCACGATGAGGTGCTAAACTACACCTTTCCTCTGGAGCTGACCAACCCAGAGACAATCCCGCAGGAGGGCGAGGATCCAGTTTACTTTCCTGAGCCCATCGGCACGTTCAGCAATGGTACGGCCATCATCGCCGAAGCTCAAGGTCAACTCGAGAACATCCTTGGTGGGGATGGATCCAATTGCACCAAGTGCGTTTCTGCATTAGAAGTCGGGCAGTATGTCGCGCAGAGGGTACCGAAGATGGTGCCACAGTTGCTCATTTCGCTATGCCAACAGACAAAGTTCATGTCGAATGACTCTTGCGAGGTCGAGTATACTGCTGAAGATTTCGGAGCTGTTTGGACTCAGGTGTTGGCTCTGGCAGACATGAAGGAGGATGGACAAGCCATCTGCAATCGTCTCAGCTCCACCTTCTGTCCGCGGCCTCATACCATTCCCTCTGACACCACGTCTTTCTTCGGACCAAAGCCCGACAACGTCACTGTGCCCAAACCAAGTGGCGAGCTCGTCAAGGTCTGGCATGGCTCAGACTTTCATCTGGATCCACGGTACCTGATTGGTAGCGAGGCTAACTGCACCGGTGGAGGCGGCCTCTGCTGTCGTCCCCAAGGCAACCCGAAGTCTGGCAACGTCACCCTCCCCGCCACCCTATATGGCGAGTACAAGTGCGACTCGCCCTACTACTTGGTCGCGGCCGCCCTGCAGTCGATCGGCCCCTTGACAGGAACGAGCTACGACAACAAGTCCACCGACGAGCAATTCGCCTGGTCAATCTTCACGGGAGACCTGACCTCGCACGAAGACCAGAACGAACTCTCTCGGAACTACACTCTCTACGCCGAGACCGCTGTCTATGGTATGCTCAAACACTACATCCCGTCTGGCCCCATCTTCGTCGCCCTCGGTAACCACGACACCAATCCGGAGGCCATTGACAGCCCGCACTCCCTCCCGGGCGCCCTCGGCCAACAGCAGTCGTGGAATTTCGAGCACGTTGCCGGTCTCTGGAAACACAACGATTGGATCTCCGACTCGGCCGCGCGCCAGGCTCGCATGCACTACGGAGCTTATAGTATCAACCATCCAACTTACCCGAAACTCCGAATTATCACCATAAACACAGATTTGTAAGTGCAATGATCTCTTTGCGCCCTAATCTATTCCCAAGTTTTTGAGTCTGGTCACTGATTCGAGTTCCCCCGTGTCTATAGCTGGTACCGCAACAACTACCTCAACTTCATCAACACGACCAACCCAGACCCGTCAGGCATCCAGCTCTTCCTCAGTAAGGAGCTCCTCGCCGCCGAAGCGGCCTCGGAGCGCGTCTGGATCATCGGCCACGTGCTCACAGGCTGGGACGGCACGAACCCACTCCCCAACCCCACCGACCTCTTCTACCAGATCATCGACCGCTTTAGCCCGCACGTCATCGCGGGCGTCTTCTTCGGCCACACGCACGAAGACGAGCTGATGATCTACTACGCCAACAACGCCACCACCCAGTCCGCCGCAACCGCACAGACCGTCGGCTGGATCGGCCCCAGCCTCACCCCACTCACCAACGTCAACCCCTCCTTCCGCATGTACCTCGTCGACACGGGCGACTTCCAGATCTACGACGCCTTCACATACTACAGCGCCGTGAGCGCCAACCGGGTCCTCCCCGACCCCTCGAGTTCCGACACCGGCCCAGTCTTCGAGCTCGAGTACAGCACGCGCGACACGTACGGGCCCAGCGTCTCCTGGCCGGATGCCGCGCCGCTGAACGCCACGTTCTGGCACCTAGTCAGCGAGCAGGTCGCGCGCAACACGAGTCTGGCGAGCGTGCAGAATATGCTGCAGGGCCGAATGAGCGTCAAGACGCCGAATTGCACGAGCACCGCGTGCGCGGAGGCGAGGGCGTGTTATATGCGCAGCGGGAGTGTGGCGTTGGGCAGGGCGTGTCCACAAGGGTATGGGAGCGTGCAGAGCGCTTTCTCACCGAAGGCGTGACATGAGCTACGAGAGTCAAATATTGGGGAGTGGCAAAGGTAGGATAGACGATGGTGCAGATCTGAATCTGGTGTGACGCTATAGATGAGGTAGATCAATGGTCCAGTCATAAGAGGCCTAAGCATGTGTTCCGATATCTTGAAGCATTCCACCCGGGGTATAAGGCGGGCGTTCGTTGTACGCCAGGGTTCTTGGCATAGCCGGCGTCAAAAGGCGTCGAGCTTTCCCCCTCAATAAGGCGTCCTTCTCCTCGTCTTTCACCAACGTACCTACGCAGTATCGACTACACTCGTGCCGCCCTCCCTTGACTGGGTCACGTGCACCTACACGGCAGCCTCTACGTCGACGTCGTTCACCATAAAGTCACGCCAACCCTCCAACTCGTCTAGACGCTGCACCGCTCCTTGCTTCTCACACCCATGGCGTCTCTATTATCCCGAAGCATCCTATCCCCCACCTCCACGATCCAAATCCTCCGCATCGCCATCACCACGCTCCTCTACCTCACCCTCGCCAACTCGCACCCGCCCGCCTCGCAACACCCTATCGCCGCCACACCTTCATCCCCGTCCCACCTCCTCGTTACGGCCGTCCGCTCCACCGCCGTAGCGCCCCATCATGACTCTTACCTCCAGTGCCTCCGCGCATCCCACCCTTTCACGACGTACCCCACCGTCGGAGCCTCGAGTTTCTTGGGACCGGCCACGAACGTGACGATGGTGGTGCTGCCGCCGCGCAGCGAGGAGGGGTGGCATCGGCCGCCAGCGCCGATGTGGTTTGTGCTGCTGAGGGGGAGGGCGTTGGTGAGGACGGCGGATGGAGATGAGGTGAGGATTCAGGGAGGAAGCGGAGGGAAGAAGGATGGAAGCCATGGGGAGCGGGTAGAAGGCCAGATGGTGCTGGCGCTCGATGTGCTGGGGAAGGGGCATTTGACGTTTTATCCCGGCGACGAGGAGTCAGTGGCGTTGCAGGTGCCGTTGGCTGAGGGGTGGGATCTCGAGAGTGAGGTGGGCGAGGGGAGGTGGGAGGTGGTGAGGGAGGGGGCTTGCTGATTGTGGGTTGGGAGGTGGGTATTGAGTTATGAGTCTTTCTTGAAGGACTTTGGGTGCATTAGGGTCGTAAGCTGCTGTGGGGTTTTGGTGATGGTTATTGAGTCAACGTCGGATCCTTCGTGGCTCAGGGTTGCTTGTAGGCGTAAATGGCAGTGTGTTGACATCGAGAATATGACTGGGTTGTCGGCACCAGCATAGTGCTCCAGCCCTTTTGGGGAGCATGACCACCCCTGAAGAGGGTAAGGCTGGGGTACATGGGGGCTAGAAGTTGGGGTGATCGTCCCGCTAGGGCCACCCCACAACAGCAGCTGTGATCTCACCTTGCAGGGACCAGCTCGAGCTCTTTCAAAGGTTCCTTTCATCTCACTCATCTCACTATACCCATCAACACATGCTCTCGGAGTCACAACTCGTCAAATAGGCGCTACATGTGGCTCGCAGTCGAGGACCAGGCACCTGCGCCTAGCCGCAACCGGTGTAGGCATCAGCCCCGGCGAACCGGGGCGAAGCAGGCAACCACCCCACAAGACCCATTGAACAGCCAGTGAGTGACTCAATAGCCAGGCCAAACAGGTGGCCAGCCTGCGAGATGCGGCCATGGAGGGGCATATAGAATGCAGGTAAGTCGGGCAAAAACGTCTTCTCTTCTGGTAGATTCATCACGGTATTCTTCTCAGATTCCTTGAGGATGGGAGCAGGCATGTCTTGCATAAATCGCCTGTTCACGTTCCGTCGCCGCACTCGCCAACTGGGTGAAGAGCAGGCTGGCACAGTGACAAGTGATTCACACGCATCTCCTACTACAGAAGCAGCACTTACCTCCCAGCGGACCAACCAAGCAAGCACAAGCACAAGCGCGAGACACGCGGGGCGTACCTTCCTCTTCACCAATCCACTGAACCTCAACCTGAATTTCCTCACCAACCGCTTCTCAAAGTCGACATCTCTAGGCCCTCCTCTTCTCGACGACCTCCACGCTGCCGGTCTGACCTTCGATACGATGACTCTCGCTGATGACGAGGAAGCCTCATCGCTCCCCCGCAAACGCCTGAAACGCAGCCCTTTCCAAGGCAAGACCCTAACATGCGACTTCTGCACCGATGCTATTGAGAATGAGGAGTACCTGCGCCCCTGCCGCCATTGCAAGAGCACTCTCTGCTACAACTGTGTCGAACACACTTTCACCATTGCCTTGAGCGACCACGAACGCATGCCGGCCCGCTGCTGTGACCGTGTCTTGTATCCAGGAGTAGCCACTGGCGTGCTCGAACCGGCGGAACTGCAACGTTATAAGGAACGCTACGACGAAACCAACACTCCGAATCCCTACTATTGTCCCGTGCAGACCTGCTCCGCCTTCATTCCGCCACGCATGCTTGATGTCAAGGATGGCCACGTCACTTGCCCCCTTTGCGCCACCCAGTCCTGCTTCCGGTGTCGGCAAGTCGCGGACGAAGGCCACACATGTGAGCGCAAAGAAGAAAAGGCCATTGTCGAGACCTACAACTACAAGCTGTGTCCGAAATGTGGTACTGGGTTAATGCGGATGTATGGCTGTGCTCATGTGCGATGCCAGTGTGGGGCACATTGGTGCTGGGACTGTAGGCGGCCAATGCAAGCATGCTATCGCAAGCCTTGCGATCATGCGAGAGAAGACGGCGATGCGACCCAGGAGAGCGATGTCCCTGATGAGGTGAGTGACGACGAGGAAGAAGTTCAAGATGGAGAAGTCTCTGCAGAATCACAGCAACAGACGCAGCAGAATGGCACGGCAGATGAGCACGTATCAGATGACAATGCCCTCAATAATTCGGCACCGTTCGCTGGCAGCTCCGATCTTCCCACTGTGTCTGGCAACGGACCGGAGAGTACACAGCATACATCAATCGGCAATCCAGAGGAACCAGCGCCTTTGTCAAGCTCGCACCACGACACACCAACGGCAGATCCAGATTCTTCTCCAGTCACAGAAGAGTCGCTCGCAGGACCGAGGCCGGCAGGAGACACCACCGCCCAGAGCGCAACCGAAGTACTGACTGACGAAGCTGGACCAGCACCTTCTACCGCCCAAGACAGTGCTCAAGCCCCCGAAGAAAGCACATCTAATACAGTCACGAATCTCGATGACCCTGATCCAGAGGACTGGGAAGCACGATCGCTCGACTTCGGCGACGAGCCAGTTGATGAAAGTTTCGATGTGTGGGGTTGCCAACACAAGTTCCGAGTCTTCAACATCGAATCCGTCCCTGACCACTGGGTCAAGAATCTAGACAGGCAGAAGGGTCTAGCAGTGGAGTGCATGTGTTGTTTCAAGACCGTGCATCTACCTGGGCCACAAACGGTAGTGAAAGACAATAAGATGGGAGATTCACATGCAAAAGGCCGGAAGGGCCGACTGAATCGGCGGCGAGGCCGCTCTCCTACACCATCTGCCACCCTAACTCTCGCCCGCCAAGATGCAAGCATTGAAGATCTTGCAAAGACTGGCGCGGCAGGTAAGGATGATGTGAAGACAGAAGTTGAGAAAGACAAATTGGCTGGGCTTGCCATGGATGAGAAAGAGCTACAAGAGCTACAGAAGGCGGAAGTCCGCAGAAAGAGGACGCTGCTGGCCTACGTCTGCTGGGATTGTGGTGTATTGTACTGCTGGGGCTGCAGAAGGGACGCATTACGGCGCATTGGAAGGGAGAGGGCGATGGAGGTTTGAGTGTTTCTGGTCTCATGCATTGATACGGTCCTGGAGCGAGCGATCCTGTGACGAGATGATTATGATGTTGAAGCATGGCGTTCAGGCGGAGGCGCGCAACGGGCGAAGCACGGTGCCACGAGGCATCCACGGACTGGAAGCAAGCTGTACTGTACAATTAAAATGGCGAGGCGAGGCGATTCATGACGGCGACCGAGCGCTTCCTAGAGTCTAGACTCAAGAAGACGAAACGCAACGAAACGCAACGCAACGGATTAGAAACAGAAACAGAGACTTTTCTTTCTGACCTACGTACCTACCTACCTACCTACTTGTGACACCACAATAACCCTTCCCCGTACGAGGCCTACGGACATTCTCCCATCGAATGACGCGGGGAGGAGCTGAGCTGAGTGAATAAAAACCTCATCACAGCCAGCCCACGTGCCAGAACTTTGACACACCTAGGGACTCGGGGCGTGGATATGGTGATATAGATGCACACACCATCCGCTTGAGTTCAAACTTCGCGACGATGTGCGGCGTTTCACTGGCGGTGCTTGCGTCGTCCGGAATGCATGTCAGAGAGGGTCAGTATAGCCAAGTCAAACGAAGGTCCTAATTACTCTATCCAAGACAAGCCGAAAGATAGATATAGGGTGTCAAGCTCAAGCACGCCGCGTCGTCGGCCAATGCGACTCATTCATCTATTCCTCCCCAGCTCGGCCAGACCGCTTGCCGACAGGTCCGTGCTCACGCCTTCCATCTCAGCAACGTCACACTGTGCTTTGGGAACACATATCGGCCCTCCTTCACCTCGGCTTCCTTCTCCTGAATGTCCACCTTTTGCTCGCCCTTCATGTTGGTAACGTCAATCGCCTCGCCGTTGACCTCAAAGACCTGCACCTTGCCACTCACGCCACCCAGCTTCGTGTCATAGTCGTCCTCCTTATGCATGTTCACCACACAGAGGTTGACCATGCCCTCAGTATCATCGTACGTGGCCGAGACGTCGAGGTAAGGCGTCTTTCTGGTAACGCGAGTGTAGTCTTTGAATGTCTTACCCTTGTAATCATCACATGCGAGTTGAACGGCGATGAGATGACCCTTCATATACTTGCAGAACAGCTCATATGGGCCCCAAGTTGTCTGCTTGACAATACCACTGCCATCCTTTTTGGTCATAAGTGGACTTAGCACGTTGACGGACTGGGCAATGTTGGCCATTGCGACATCGGCTGACTTGCGGACGAAGATGTTCAGCCATACGCCCACAGCAAGAGCATCTGACAATGTGTAATCCTCTTCCGCGCCAGAAGAGCCGACAGCACGGGCAGGCATCCACACGTTCCACTCGTCGAAGCAAATTAAAGGACGTGGCTGACTGGCTGGAATTTGGGCCTCATAGTAGGCGGTATCAATGAAGGCAGAGGCAACTTCAATGTTGCGCTCGGCGGCGAGAGGCGCGGTGACATTCTCATAGTGGTCATATGATGCGGTGTACAAGTGAATGGAGTGCATATCGATTAATGGTTTGCGCTCCTCGCCGAGGTCATCTTTCTTGGTCGCCCGGATGCAGTGCTTGAGTACGGTATAGTCCCAGGAATTGGCACCTTCGGCACCACATAGAATGAGCTGGATGCTAGGGTCGAGGAGTTTGAGAGCTTTGGCCCATTCTGTTCAGGTTAGCCTCTGATGTTATGATCCAAGAGAACAACATACGATGCGCTTTCTCCGCATAAGCCGCTGCAGTTAGCTGCTCGATCTGCCAATCACCCCACATCTCGTTTCCAAGAGCCCAATACTTGACGTTGTAAGGCTCAGGGTGGCCGTTCGCTCTCCGTAGGTTGGCATACTTCGTGTTCTTGGTTCCGTTGCAGTAGTCGAGCCAGTGCAAAGCTTCGTCCAGAGTACCTGTACCGAAGTTGAGGCAGAGGTATGGCTCTGCGCCAACAATCTTGCACCACTTCATGAATTCATCTGTACCGAATTGGTTGGTCTCGACAGTTCCCCAAGCTAGCTCAGGGAAGGCCGGACGTTTGTCCCGCGGGCCAACACCATCTTCCCAGTGATATGTTGCGCAGAAATTGCCGCCTAGACATCGTCAGCTCGTTTCTCCTGTACTTCATCGGTCCCATCACTTGCCTGGATAGCGGAAGACTGGTATGTTGAGAGGCTTGAGAGCGTCAATGACATCCTTCCGGAAGCCATTCTCATCGACGAGTTCATTGTTAGGGTTCTCGGGGTCATAGATGCCACCGTAGATACATCGTCCCATATGCTCGGTGAAGCCAGCGTAGATGTTTCGGTTGATGGGGTTGAGTCTATGATTGGGGAAGACGTCGATGGACGGAGACGATGCGTGGGTGTAGGTCGTCATGACTGCGGAGTGCTTCGCTTAGTGAGGGAACGATGCTGGCGGAGCAAGCCACAAATATGTAGGAGTATGGATAAAACAACGAGTGACGAAGGAGCTAAGTTCCAAGGTCCTAGGATATTTGTACGTGTATGACACTAGACTGCAGTTCTGTTGTAAATCGTCGCCGGAAACTTGCTGAGGTGCCGGCTAAATGGTTAAGTAGCGGGTAGTGGTTTCCTTGGAGCGTGGCCGACGGTCTGTAGAAGTCGACAAGCCAACAGATTGCTAAGAGCTGTGCTTTAAGAAATGCTGCTGTAATATGCTGGAAGTATGTGCTATAAAGGCGGTTTTGCCAGATTGGGGTCGGTATGCCTGATGGAGATGGGATGCGTTGGGAGGGGTATCTCGCCGACCTTCTTAGGCACAAACCCCGCGCCTTCGCTTCTGCCCAAAGAGAGAGCACTGCCGGAAGGAGCGAGTGGTTATCCCACGATTTGACCTACCTGCTGTCACCGGGCGAGTCACGTTGAGATTTCCATCTTCTGCTCGTGCCACTGCGAGCCACAACTGACACAGCACGACGTCTGACACCCCATCCACCGGAGTTGCACAGCATTGGGGAGGCTTTGGAGCAAGAGATATCCACCCACGCCCCCGCCGCGCTCGGAGATCAGTAGCGTGGCATTGAGGGGATCCAGGTGACATTCTCGTAGCCGCTGCTGATGCTGCTGCTGCGGAGCCCGTACTGGGGTTTCAACATCATTGCGTATCGGCATACAAGCCGGAGCTGTGCGTTGAACTGCGGTGGAACTTCAGGACGCATCATTTGGAAAGCCGAAAGACTCGGTAAGCATCACCTGCCGCCGTTGCTAAGCGCGGCGGTGCGTCTAGACGTTGGTCAGGAGCAAAACGGGGACAGGAGTCGGGAAGTGACTGGTTCCTTGTGGTGAGAAAGGAAGGATAGCTTTAGGTGATTGGCAAGGTGCACAAAAGGCGTCGATGCCGCCAAGCTTGAAGTTGTTGCGCACGGTTCATGACCAACTGACTGCACCTGGCCTCCAGTATGGCAGTATGGACTGGACGGGTCTGTAATTCGAACTACTCACATTCTACTGGCACTTTGAACACCGAGTTGGTCCCCAGTCACGGTGTCCTGATCATTACTCACATCGCACTCATCCCACGTGAGACACTGCCGCGGATTTCTCCTCTACCACCTGCTCGAGCCTCCGCTCGATGTCACCTTCCATGTAGCTCTCCTTTGACACACCAATGACCACCCATGGAGCGTGCTCGAACAGGTAATTCATCTCCTCCAACGGACGGCGGGCGGTCTCCGGCAAGAAGGCCCAGAAGAAAACGGCATTGGTGAGATTGCAAACCACGAATAGAATGTAGAAGCGCCATCCGATGTTTTCCATGGCAATCGGTGTGACTTGTCCCTGAGATCAACGTTAGCTTCCTCACCCAGCAGCATCCGAGAGCGGCCACCACTTACAATCATGGTGTTGAATGCAAAGCTCGTCATGGTAGCAATCGAAACACCCTTGCTTCTCGTCCTGGTGTCAAACACCTCGGCTGGAATGATCCACGACAGCGGGCCACAAGTACATGAGAAGCTGAAATTCCAGATCCACGTAACGACAATGAAGCCCCATTGAGCACCGCGGTTGCTAGTCGTGCCGGGAGGAAACACCGCGAGCATGATCGTTGCGATGATGAAGGTGATGGAGTTGAAGAAGTTGCCGAGAATGAGCGGCCAGCGGCGCCCGGTATAGTCAATAAAGAGAATAGTACAGAACTGCGCAACCAAAGCGATGATGCTGCTGATGCCCTGGTACTTGAGCGTGTCGTCCGTGGCGATGCCCATGCGTTCGAAGATGATGGGAGAGTAGTACTGGATCGCTGAAACGCCAGTCATCTGCACTGACGCTTGGATCGCGCAGCAGAGAAACAAGCGGCGGAAGCTACTCCGGCTCCGGAAGAGCTCAATGTAAGATTTGGCTTCGTGGGCGTGCTCGTGGGCGATCGATGCGGAAATCTGGTCGAACTCGGCTCGCACCCAGGGATCCGAGGTGTCCCCATGGGCGTGCAGCCGAGCAAGCACATGGAGTGCCTTCTGTTCGTGGCCTTTGTCCATCAGCCAACGCGGCGATTCTGGAAACAAAAAGATCAGGGCACCCAGGAACAGAGCGGGGATGATCTGAATGCCTAGCGGAATGCGCCATTGCCCGGAGTTGGTCTTGATGTGAACATATGTCGCCCACGAGACCCACGCAGCCGTGAGTGCACCGAGTCCCAGCATGAATTGCTGCAGTGCCGTGATCCGACCGCGGATCGATGGGTGAGCCAACTCAGCTTGATAGAGCGGCACGATCATGACGAGAAACCCGACTCCGAGGCCAGCGAGGAACCGGCCCGCCCAGAGGAAGTGGAGGCTTTGTCCGCCCGTCTGGAGAGCACCGCCGAGAACGAAGATGAGAGAACCAATCGTGATGGTCCAGCGGCGGCCCAGGTAGTCGCCGGAAGGGCCGGCGCCTGCAGCTCCGAAGAAGGCACCCGTCGTGAACATCGACACCACGAGACCCTGTTGGGTGGCATCGGGTGAGAAGGCCGCAGCAAAGGTGTCAGACGCGACGACAGAGGCAATCACACCCAGGTCGTACCCGAATAGAAACGAGCCGAGCGACGCAAAAACGCCCACCAGGAATTGGTACCATTTTGGCGGGAGCGCCATGGTGGTCGATGGCGTGCTGAGCAGCGCAGCGGCCTGCGTAGACCAAGGGGTGGTTGGGTCAGTGAGGCTCACTGCCCCTTGCGAAAAGAAACAAATGGCCGAGTGAAGATTAGTCCGGACGGATCTTCCCCGGATTTGTTGCTGTCCGACTTCTGAATCCAGGCGACACAAACCGGAGAAAGCTGGGGAGGGAAGCGAGGTTCATATACCGCCGAACTGGGAATCCATCATCCCCCTCGTGGCAACGGAAGCATCCATATTGACTAGCGCAGTAGCGTCGAGAAGCGAGGCCATCATTCTCCCGTGCCGATGAGTAGTGTGTGGTGATGTGCTCGGTTGGCGTGTTGCTTGAGTGCGAGTTCCGGTGGATGTTGGCCGAATTGGGAAAATTCACGGCGTAGAAGGCGGTGGCATTAGACGGGGAGGGGGGCTCCACGAGGGGGGACTCCGCTGCTTCTTCTCCGCCTGGATTCCCTGTCCATCTTCGCGGATCAGGGTTGCCGGCGAAAGCTTGCCACGAACGCCCTGCCGGCAACTGTGGTCTGAGATGGTGCTTGTTCATGTGATTGGAAATAATTGGTACTTGACTAACGGCTTTCTCTCTTGCATGCATGACCACACGGTCCTGTACCGTTTACAGCTCATCCTTCGGTGTGTCCTTTGCTTCCACCTCCCTTCTATTGAGCTTAAAGTATCCATCATTCAACCCGCCTTCCACGAAGATTTGCTCAGGATCGTATTCTCGCTGCAGGCGCTTCAGTTCCTTCAGCCTCTCTTTACCAAAACCCATCCATACATCACCGGCCTGGAAGCGGCCGGCATAGTTGACATATTTATAAGGATGGAAGACGCCATGCTTCTTCGTCACTGCTTCTACCGCCTCCATGCTTGACTGAACGGTACTCAACATGAAGTCGTCATCCGCAGAACGCTCCCAGATGCCGGCAATGGATAATAGATGCATCGGACCCTCGTCCGGCTCAAGACCAAGTGAATTGCCACCGCGCTTCGCCATGAGCATGAGTATATTGCGGTAAATGGGTTGAATGGCGACGTTGACGTAGAGGCCTTCGATATGCTTGACCTTTTCAAACATGTCGTGCACAATCACTGCGATCTCCATTGCTGCCTCTTTGGACGGCCGGAACGTCGTCACCGAGTGCTGGGAGCGAAGACCGTTGGGTGGCCCCAGCTCCTCGCCCATCTTGAGTGTCTCGTAGTAGGTCATCATCTGAGGTTGTGAGGGAGCCAAGGTGGGTATCCTTGTGGTTGACTGAAAGGCTGGGGGGACGGTATCGGCGTCGGTGTGGTTGCCATGGATCTGCATGATGACGGTCAAGGGCATGCCAGCCTCTTGGTTGTATATGTACAGCTGCAAAGAGACGGCATCGAGGTCCACTGTCTCCTGTTCCGTCAAGTGAGAGTGAGTTTCTTCCACCACCGCCGGTACCTGGTCCCAGGCGTGGCTGGAGAAGGAGAACCAGAACGCCTTGCTCAGAGGCTCGATGGCCTCTACCTCGAAAGACGTGACAATGCCGAAATTGGATAGTCCGCCCCCCTTCATTGCCCAGTAGAGCTCTGGAGTAGACTCGTCGATTCTCGCGATGCTTCCGTCCGGCAAGACCATTTCGAAAGCAATAATCGTATCCATCCCGAACCCATATCTCTTCGAGATGTAGCTCATGCCACCTTGTTACTCGTCAGTCCCATGTCAAGAACCCTCCCAGAATCAAGCAAGCACTTACCACCAAGCAACAACCCACCAACACCAACCGTCGCCGAGCGCCCGCCAACAACATACAACCCCTCATCCTCAAGCGTCTTGTACACACTAGCCCACAACCCACCAGAGCCCAGCCTCACCGTCCTGCGATCATCAGACACCTCAACATGATTGATACGACTCAGCGAAACCGTAATCCCTCCATCCGTACTGCTCGCTCCGGTCCAGACGGAATGGCCGCCCGACCGCACCGCAAAGTGACACTCGGCCTCCTTCACAGCCTGCAGGATGTGCGAGACATCTGCGGCGCCTCCGGGCTCCACGCGGCACGCCGACACCAGCTCCCCCTGCTGCTGGGCGTACAGCTCGCGGCTCTCGTCTGGAGCGAAGAAGGTGGGGATGCTGGAGTCGAGAGCGAGTTTCGCGCACTGGCGTCTACTCGTCAGTAAAGGGCAGATGGGAAAAAATTCACGCAACGGGCGCCAAACTTGCAGTCACTTCACAGGCACTGGACCCATCTGATGCGAGCAGCAGTTTGGCATGCTCGACGGTTTCATCCGGCGGTATGGGTGCCTTGCTGTAGCGAGCCCATGTTGGGCTGAAGAGGGCTAGGGAAACAAACAGTATGGAAGATGGGATTTCAAGATACATCCTGTGGTGATGACGAGACGAGGAAAGGGGGTGCCTCCAACGAGGGACGCGAGTTGCGACTGAGCGTCGTATTTGAGGTTGGTGCTGTGCATCGCAGCAGTCACGGACATGCGGAGCTGAGACGATGCACGTCGGCCTTGCATTACGGCTGGACGCCCTATGTTATAAACCAGTGTCTTCGTGCACAGGATAGGCAGTCTATTCGCCGCTTATCGTTTCCTCAGTCGATCAGCTCAACCCGGACGTCTTGGCGGCAAAGCAACACTAGCCCCATCTAGTGGCCCTCGGAGGCTGCGATTCCTGTTACACAAGCTGACGTGAATGTCAGTAGACAAGGACAAGTAGGTAGGATGAGCTGTGATAGAGAGTGCAGATCTGGTCATGATCACTCTGCAAGGGTCAAAGCGGGGAGAGAAGATCTGTGGTCTCATTCGTAAGTGTCGCGACTTCTATCAGCGGCCTCGCAACAAGCAATTGCCGACAAGTTGTGTCCACAGGGCCCGAAATCCGAGATTCGACGCTCTAACACAGTTAGGCCACACTTTCACGCAGCTTGTCTGTTGTTAGACCTTTTTCCCACACCTCAGCCCAGAAACCTTCTCTATACAGCCGGAGCACCTCGAAGCCCACCTCGATCGCGATCAGCACAATGATAGTCCACTCGAGGAAGAGGCCATGCTTCTCGCTGAGCCGCTCTCGCAATACGTTCGCAATCTCGCCCGCGTAGTCCATCTTCTCGTTCAAGACCTTGATTCGAATGCCAACATCGAGGGCTCGTCCAACTTGGTCATAGTAGTTCTCGAGATTCAACTCGTGGCGTGAATCCCAGAACAGATCCGGAAGCGAGTCAGTAAGCTCGGAGTAGAGATTGAGCTGAGCACGAAGCTGAAGGAGCTGGCCCGTCTTGCGAAGAATGAAACTCCTGGAAAAGCGAAGTGGAAGCCGAGAGCCTTTCGACAGAAGCGAGGGAATGCCGGCAGTCGAGGCAAGGTAGGTAGAGAGGTTGGTCTCGAGGACGGCGAGTTTGGTGGAGCGTGCGAATCCAGAGGAGAAGGCGATTTTGGTGAGGGCGGAATCAATACTTTGGGGTGCCGACAACGTTGGGTCCTCCACAGCATTCGAGTTATGCGGCTTGGTGCCGAGAATAATCGTATCGCCACGAATGCTGCTGATCTCGCGGTTGGGGTCCTCCACATAGTCGAGATCTTCCGACTCAATAGGCTCTCGATGGGGGTTGACAGCAGCTGGGAGAAGAGTCCTGGTCGCAAAGTAAGAGGTGAAGCCCTCAGGTAGTGCCCAGGTAACCAGAGTACCAGATGGGAAGATAAAAACGTCACCGACCTCATGAGCAGCGAGGTCTTGAACAGATACATTCGAAGAGCGGTAAATCGATGATGTCGGAATCTGAATATGAACGACTTGCGGGTGAAGGCCTGTATTCAAAGGATCCGGCTCATAGCCTTTGGATCGTAGTATTTCCACCACTTTAGCTATGTCAAAAGTTTCAGCAACAGCGTAGGCAGTCACCAGCTTCGGTGCTTGTGATTCATCCTGGAGAGGCCCGCCGTGGACATCTTTCCCGACTTTGGATCGCTGTGCTTCAACGGCTACTCTCCGCAGCGACGTTTTGGCGCCGGTTGGTCTGGCAGTTTTTCTTTTCTGCGTCTGAGCAGCTTCAACTCGGGGTGTTGAGGCCGGGCTATCTGCATCTTTGGGGCTGGATAGCACAGCATTCGACGAGAAGAAGTCTCTCCGGCGCGGTCGCTGAAAGATTGGGGATGCGTGGAGAGGCCGCAGGCCCGGTTGCCTGTAGATGTCGACACCAGCTCTGCGACACTGGGTACATATGAATTGACCACCGAGACCCACAAAGGGGCGAATACCTGCGCCTTGCATGATCTAGAAGGCGGTGGTGGAAAGCTTGCAGATTCGCGGTGCCGTCGATGTTCTTTGTCTCCGCGCCGCAGCCGAGGAGGCTTGGCGTATATCATGCGCGTGATCGAGCTCCGCTGTACCTTCTCCGTCTTCTACATGACGCGACAACAGTGACCTATAACTCGGATGGCGGTGGGGGAGGGCTCTTCAAGCCCAGAAGATGGCATAAAATCCACCAGCCAAGAAGATGGTCCCGCCGAACCGAAGTCGCCCAGCAGCAATGAGTCTGATGGCAACGATGATGAAGAGGAAGAAGAGGAGCCGCGCTTGAAGTATGCAAACCTGACCAAGAACTTGGGCTCGCTATATCGAGGTGGCGATGCGGCGAGCTCATTCTTCGTCGCCGGCGAGAAGCTCATCATCGGTACCGACAATGGTAGCGTCAACGTCTTGACTCTCCCCACCCTCGATGTCCTGAAGCGCTATCAGGCGCACACTGCCGCGGTCCTGTCTATCTCAATATCGCCATACCCTCCGCCTCTGCCTACGTTGAAGCTCGATGCGACACAGCGATTAGTATCCGAGGCCGCACAGCAAGAGAGGGAGGCATCCCCCGCGAGACAGTCGCCTACTGGCAAGGACAGTCCTCGGCAAATTCCTGTCCCACAAACGCCTGCAAACCAGATATACATTGCCTCCTCGTCGCAAGATGGCAACGTCTGCATTCAGTCTCTCGTGGATGCAAAGGACGTTCAAGTCCGAAACTTTGCTCGCCCCGTGCAGTCCGTTGCTTTATCGCCCGAATACAAGTCCGATCGGAGCTACCTCTCAGGTGGCCGTGCTGGAAGTCTCATTCTGACAGTAGGTGGTCAGATTGGCCAGAAGACGAATGCTACGACCACAGGGACTGCTGCCGCTGCCTCAGGATGGCTCGGATCTATGGGACTTGGGTCAAATTCTGGGTCCGACAAAGTCTTGCACAGTGGAGAAGGCATTATCAGCACCATTCGATGGTCACTCTCTGGCAAGTTCGTGCTCTGGGTCAACGAGCAGGGCATCAAAATCATGAGGTCCAACCTACACCTAAGTAGTGCTCAGTCAGGACTCGAGTGGAAACGGATCAGTCACATTGATCGGCCCGACAGGCCTGCCTGGGAAGACATGGCAGGGTTTTGGCGAGCAAGAGTTGAGTGGATTGACAAGAACAATCTTGAATCCGACAACAGAGATACTCAATCTGACCTGAAAGCGCCTTCTCCAGCTAATGGAGGCCTTGCGGCAAGCTCCGAAGAAGTGCTCGTTGGCTGGGGTGACAGTGTTTGGATGATTCGAGTTCTTCCGGGCGATGAGCAAGCTCTCAAGCTCTCGAGCGAGAGTAAGCCTCGAGCCGAGGTCACCACGATGTGAGCTTCGAGGAACCCGTGCCAATAGCTTTACTAACTTGTTTAGTATACGATTTGACGACTGTACAATATCTGGAGTTTCGTTATATACCCCGTCTACGCTTTTAGTCCTGGCATATCTCGAGAAGAAGCAATCCGCAAAGGCCACTGATTCATCAAACGGCGCAAAGAAGGGACGACGGAAGCGCAATGCTTTGGAACCAGAGCTCCGACTCATTGACATCCACACTAAAGAAGAGATCGACTCTGATACCCTTACCATGAGCAGATTCGAGACTTTGACCTCGCCTGACTACCATCTGAGTATCCTACCGCCAATGCGAGTTCCGGCTGGCCTCGCTCAGAGAGGTTATCTTGGTCAGATCGGCGGTGCCATTGGTACTGGGATGACGACTGTCGGCTCGGGCCTGTACACCGGCGTGGAGACTGTTGGCCAGGGGGTGTGGGACGCCACCATGTATGGTCCACGGAAGCTAGGCGCCAACAGGCTGTTCAGTACGGGCGACAGCATACGCAGCGGTCGACCAGATTCGGACAAACAACTCAGTGGCAAAGAGCAACGCAATTATTTGACCGGGTGGCTTCCCGGATTTGGATCCCTCGCAGGCCAACAGGATGAGGAGGCCAGGGACGTTGCACAGACCAGGGGAATGAAAATATTCCTCTTCAGTCCATTTGACTGCATTGTCGCTGTCAGAAGAAATTTGGCAGACAGACTCCAGTGGCTAGTCAGTATGGAGCGCTACGAGCAAGCTTGGAAGCTCTTGGACGAGCATCCTGAAGCGGCCGGCGCCATTTCAGAGCCCTCCGATTCGAATCCAGAAACTCCTTCGAAGGCAAGTTCTATTGCCAAGTCAGGTTCGGTGACCAGTGGACCGTCTGCACAAGGGCGACAGCACGCCAGTCTGGCGGAGTTCTTCGCCGATAACACATCGATGACCAGCACTGTGAAGGGGAAATCAGAGAAATATTCTGCCACCGAAAAAGAGAAGCGAAGAATCGGCGAATTGTGGCTTAAACAGCTTGTGGCAGCCAAGCAGTGGGTAGAAGCAGGAGAGGTTGCAGGCAAAGCGCTCAACACAACAACGCGATGGGAACACTGGGTGTGGATCTTTATCAAGAACCAGAAGTTTGATGAGATTTCGCCGTATGTTCCGACTCTCGACCTTACGCCACCACTTCCGTCACTTGTCTTCGAAATTATTCTCGGCCACTACGTTGCGATTGATAGACAGCGCTTCAGAGAGCTTCTCGACCAGTGGCCGTCTGATATCTTCGACATCAGCAGCATCAGCACTGCTATTGAAGGACAACTCGCCTCCGTCGAGCAAGGCTCCGAGGATAGTCGCATACTTCAAGAATGCCTGGCTAAGCTCTTCCTCGCCGATGGCCAGTACGACGAGGCCTTGCGATGCTATATCCGCCTCCAGGATGCCGATACTGCTTTGACCCTGATTAAGGATCACCACCTTATCGAAGCGATCACCGATGACATCCCCGCATTTGTTCAACTGCGGGTCTCGGCGCAGCAATTGAAGTCAGCTCCTCGGGAAGAGCTCGAGGACCTGGCTTCGGAGCCTATCAAGCTCCTGGTTGATGAGGCTGAGCATGGTGTCGTTGATCCCGCATCGGTCGTTGAACAACTGGATGCCGCCGATCTCTCCGTCTTTCTGTACTTCTACCTCCGCGGCCTCTGGCTGGGTGAGGGAAGCGGGTCCAAAGCGCCCAGTACTCCTCTTCGGGGTCACCATGGCCGACTCAACAGCCTCGCCGCGGACGCTGGGAAGATCATCGTCGAGCAATTTGCGGACAAAGCAGTGTCCCTCTTCGCTGAATATGACCGACCTTTACTCTCCGACTTCCTGCACGCCTCGACTGCCTACACGTTCGATCTTGCTGTCAAGACTTGTGAGCAACTCCATTACGTGCCTGAACTAGTCTTCCTCCTCTCCAAGACAGGGCAGATGAAAAAGGCACTGTTTCTCATCATCGACGAACTCAACGACGTCAAAGCAGCCATCGACTTTGCCAAGGAACAGGACGACAAAGACCTCTGGGACGACTTTCTGGAGTACAGCATGTCACGTCCACGCTTCATCTCTGGCCTCCTCAGCGAAGTCGGCATGGCGATTGACCCAATCACACTCGTGAAGCGCATCCCCAGTGGCCTTGAGATTCAGGGCCTGAAAGACGGCCTCAAGAAGATGATTCGCGAATACGATTTGCAAGACAGCATCTCCAGCGGCGTGGCACAGGTGCTGGCTAGCGAAGTCGCTGTGAGAATGCAGACCCTGCGTCAAGGGCGACGTAAGGGCATTAAATTCGAAGTCCCTCTAACGCCAAAGAAGGAGGCTGCGTTGAGCGAATCACAAACACCAAGTGAGCAGGGTACTGCTACGCCAGGACAGAAAACGGAACAGCAGCGTGGTGAGCTAGGTCATTGCGCCTCCTGCCACCGTCCGTTTCGGCCCGAAGGCGAGAAAGAGACCCTCGTCGGCTTCGCGTGTGGTCACGTCTACCATGTCTCGCACCTGCTGCATGGCCCAGACGCCGAGGGCGAGGGCCCCAGCTACCTGCCAGGTCTGCATAAGGGGAGAGACGGAGAACATGACGAGGACGAGGATAGAGGCTTCACACGGAGCGTCGGTCCCAAGGTCACGAACGCAAGGTTACTCCGGGAGAAGATCGCGCTGGTCGGCGGGTGTGCGGTCTGCAAAGATCAGAGGGCGAGGGTCCGCGAGGTCGAATAGATACGTAGGTGGCATGGCCGCATGTGAGCCATTGATATGACGTATAGAGCAGGACATGAATAGGTATAACTAAGCACGGTGCTGTACCTCGAGCTTCTTCTTGTCGAACATACTCCAAGTGCGTACCTCCAGCCACACGGTATTCAGGCATATATATTCGGGCGCAATGCTCAAGAGTAGTCCAGATCTCCCCCCCCGCTGAGAGCATTCACTCGTTCCATGGCTACCCCGCCACCGGCACACCACTAATGCTCCTCCTCCTCAATCAGCCCGTAAAGACCGTAACCCGCACACCCTTACTCCCCGCCCGATACAGCGGCGTCACACCATCACCCACGATCTCAATATCCCTGTAGCTCGTGTCATGGAGCTCCAGCCAGCCCAGATCGGTCGGGAGGCGAACTTCCTTGCTGCCGTACTTGCTGAACACGGCGCCGACGGTGAGGTACAGCTCGGTGTGCGCCAGGTTGATGCCGATGCAGGCGCGGGAGCCGCGGGAGAAGGGGACCAGGTACCGGTCGAGGGTGGGGTCGTCGAGGAAGCGTTGGGGCCGGAAGGCCATGGGGTCCGGGGGGAAGTAGGTCGGGGAGTGGTGGATGAGGAGGCCGGTCATGGAGAGGGGGATGCCGGGGGGGAGGACGTATTGCTTCGCGGATTTGGGGTTGCTGTTAGTAGTGATAGTAGTAGTGGCGGGAGGTTTGGCCGTGTAGACCAGTGTCTCGTCTGTGGCGATGCGCTGTAGGCGTGTGCTGATGCCGCTGCTCAGGCGGAGGCCTTCTTTGATGACGGCCGTCAGGTAGGGTAGCTGCTGCAATTTTGCGGAGTCGGGGAGCTTGTCGGGGTCGGTGATGACCTTGGCCAACTCGTCTTTCAATCGCCGCAGCTCTGCCGGCTGCTTGAGGAGATAGTATGTGATGTCTGAGAGTGCCGCTGCGGTCGTGAGTGTACCTGCGATGACTGTCACCTGTCCATCTTGCCACAGACGGTCAGGAGACTTTTCGTGCTCGGGTAGGTTGCCTTGCAGGATCTCGTGGAAGACGGTCGTTTGTGAGCTATACTCGGAATTCGTTTCTCCACGGCGACGGTGAATCTCAGCCACTTGTCGTATAACATTCTGTGATCTGGTGTGAGCCATAATTGGTATGGTCGAGATGGAAAGACACGTACCTGTTGCAGGTTGATATAGCTAGCCATCACCGGGTTCAGAGCAATTTGCGCCGCAGGGGGAAGCACCTTCATAATGCTCAACATCCATGGCAATTGTTTGACCAAGTGACCCAGCTTTGCGCCCGCCTCGCCCGCCTCTTTGAAGCTTGGATCGAAGTCTGGGGCGAGCAAGCGCTCCTCACTGCGTGCGAACGCATACTCCATGACTATGTCTGGGCCCCATCAGCACAATTCTGACCGTGAGAGATTCGTCAGACCATTGGTGAGTGCAGCATAGGCCAACGACAACGTCATCGGCTTTTTGGAAGCCTCAAACTCTTTGAAGCGGACTAGCAGATTCCTGATGCTGGCTTCTATACGTGGTTGCAAGCTCCGCACCTTTGCCGTGGAGAAGTAAGGGTTCAGCGCCGACCTGCGAAGTCGATGGAGGTCATGGTCGTCTGTCGCGAACGTAGCTTGAGGCACTCCGCTCTGTTTCGTGAAGAAAGACCACTTGTTCCGTTTGCGCGTCGAGCCCGTGTAGACTTGGTCGTAGAAATCGGCATCCTGGATGTGGACTTCTTCGGGGTTGATGCGCACGATGGGGCCGTACTGTTCATGCAATTCCCGGATCTTCCAGATGTATTGACATCCCAAGACCACATCGTAGTAGAATTCGTACCTGTATTGTTGTATGAGACACTGGCACTGCTATGTTGAAAGCCGCCCCTACCAGTATGTAAGCTTTGCGAAAGTCGGACCAGGGATCTCCCGTTGGGGACAGAAATACAGCCGCCAGGATGACAGAGCAAGCAGATAGGCCAGCAGCAGCGAAGCTCCCGCTGTCCACAGGGATCCCACCGACAAGGTGGTGACGTTTTCGACCCACGACATGATCAGTGGAGAGTTCCAGACACCTGAGTGTCGGAAGTCGAAGCACAAAAACCCCAGCCAACCTGATGATCCAGAAACTCTTGGTCGAACAAGAACGGTCGGTATCCTTAAGGTTTGATGATGCCCAAGAACAACGCATCAGGCGGAGGAAGAACGATTCCTTCCTGACGCCTCGGGCGGTACTTGATCTGCGCCGGCCGCCCCGAACCTCCACGTTACCGGCTGTATCATGCCTTAAAGGGCCCAAAACCCCTCCCAAGAGCGTCACTTTAGCAGCAGCTAAGCGTCAACGGCTCTCCACCTGGAAGCGTCCTAATCAATGATGGCGTTCATCCCAGCGGATGCGAATTTCCCACTTCCGACCCTGAAAAGCATGTAGGCGATTTCTCGATCGTCCAATGCGAAGTCGTCCGGCGGGTCGCCAGCGTTACCCGTCTTGGTAACTAGCACCCGTTCGCGTAACCGAAGGGCCCATGATGGCGAAATCCTGGAAAACCACATTTCCAGAAACTCGGCACATGTGCTTCGATGTTCTCTCTGATCCCATGAGTATACTGCACGGATATATTTGTACCTACCGCGCAGATACAACACGCGTTGCAGTCAACGTCGCGGAGCAAGTCAACGTGTCGTCGACCCTGTAACGAGAAATTGCCATTTATGGAGGAACCAGTTCGGCAAAACGAAAGCGACGAGGTTGAGGTGCAGCCACCTCGAATTTATATCCATTCTGGCTGGAACACTCACAAAGAAGCCAGGTCGCCGCAGACAACATCAACGATGATGACTCTGCATATGGAGCGAGGTCTGTCGAGACTGTTGACTTGTTGTAATGTTACCAATGCACTGACAGCATTGCCAGTGAAACCTCCTCAATGACCACATCCTTGGCATCCCATGTGTTCGACCATGTGAAAGTTTGCTCAGCTCCAGGTACTTCTGCCATACTAACGATGTGTATAGATACGAGGCACGTTACACCATGTGGTGATAATGCCTGCATGCTGTGCCAAACTAACTTTGCGCCAGAACGGACGCAGATATCAATTACTCTCAGGACAACAATCTTACATGTTTGTATGAATGACCATGGCTCGGACGTGGACGATACTAACGCACATCAGCCTAATGATGAAGAAGAGCAGGACCGGCTGGATATGCTGCATCACATCTTTTTGCTGGTACAGGACGGCCAACTTTATACAGCCCCGATCGAAGATCCGAAACGAGTACTGGACATGGGAGCTGGCACGGGGATTTGGGCTTTGCATTTCGCAGAGTGAGGGTGCAGACAAGCGACTCCTAGGGTTATATTAACGTGATTCCAGTCAGTTCCCGGACGCAGAAGTTATAGGTGAGCCTATTCTTTTTAACAGCCTCTGCTGTTGCTGATTGTGCCAGGAATTGACCATGACCCTATGCAACCTAATTGGTAGTTACCTGGCCATATTAGTATCAGAATGACGTCTAACCGAAACCAGGGTTCCGCCAAACTGCCGGTTCATAGTCGACAATCTCGAGGACGAATGGGCTTATCCGCCACACCAAAAGTTCGATTATATCCACCAGCGCAGCATGTGCGGCAGTATCGCCGACTGGACTCGATTGTACCAACAAGCCATGCAGCATCTCCAACCCGGCGGCTGGCTCGAAATCCAAGAGTTTGAAGTCTGGTTCTCCTCGCAAAAGCCCGGGGGATTGCCCGACGACTCTGCTATCGTCCAATGGCAAGGTCTGATCGACGAAGGAAGCACGAAGTTCGGACGGCGTCTCAGCTACGCAGGCTCGTTCCACAAGCATCTCGAGGAAGCTGGGTTCGAGGACATTCAAGCTCGACGCTTCAAGGTAACAGCCCGTTGAAGATGGGTCCTTGATGTGGTACTGATCCTGTAACACAGACTCCTATTGGCTCATGGCCTGCTGATCGGAAACTGAAGTCGATTGGCGTATTTCTCCAAGCACAAATGATGGATGCGCTGGACGCAGTTACCTACGTGTATTTCACCCGCGCCCTCGGCTGGACCCAAGACGAAACCCGCGTGCTGCTTGCTCAGGTTCGGAAGGAGTTCAGCGATCGGTCTCTGCATCTCTATACGTATTGCTGGTTTTATACAGCCCGGAAGCCAATGAGTAAAACTGGGTAGAACCAAGCGCATCGATCGACCAGCTTTCGGGTTTGAACAGGTGTGAGCGTGTCGCGGTTCAAGTCATCTCGTAGAACTGTCCTCTGCGCGATCTTATGCTTGCTAGGAAACCCAGCGCACACTTGTTTCTGGAAGAAGCCACCGCGACATGATATATCAGGGAGCTCACTGTCTGGGCAAGGGGACCTCCGCCACAATGGTGGGAACTAAACCGTAAAAGGCTTAGTCTGAAGCAGGTTGACTTCCCTCGTGATCGTGGCCATCGTTTTTGGGATCCATCCTCCTTCTCATATCTGCCAATAATGCGGATACTGGCAGTGTGACTCCGCCTGGACAGGCGGGCGTCAAACGCTTTAAGAGAGACAGCTTCGCGCCCGCCATCTTCACTTGCGAGCCTCGTATTCCGAAGCCACTTGACCTTACATTCGAGGCACGATCATGCCGAAAGCCGCGGGTGTCTTGGTACTGAGGAAGGCATGTGTCTCGTGTACGAAATCAAAGCGGCGATGTATCGTACAACTGCCGAAATGTGTGCGCTGTGCCTCTAAGAACATCTCCTGCGTATTTGAGTTGCAGCCACTGGTCAAAGATAACACGACCGCTGCCGCTCAAGCGCTTCCAGATCTGGCAATAACCACTTCTGCTAACGGACCATGCTGCTCCACGCTCTGCTGGCTAGATCTGGTGAGCAGGCCGGAATTCGCCGATCGCATCAAGCTCGTGCGCATGGATCACGGCCTCATGCATCTTAGCCCAGCCCATCCCGCCATGGAAATTCAGGTTGATCCAGAGACTGAAAACTACTTAATGAACGAGCTGCAACGAATTCCCAGCCTGGCAGCTGCCGGTCAAATCAATGCCTTCATCCATCCCAAGCTGCGGATGAAGAATGTGCGAGACCACGTTGACGTGATTCTGGCCGCGTGCCGAGGCGACGAACAGCTGGAGCATTCTTTCAAAGACCTGGTGCAGACGGAAGTGGCCAAAGAGGATCTGGAGGGCTTACTGGCGGCAGTCCAGTCGCTTATGCTCTACCTTGTCATCGCGCTGAATGGCCCGGACAGCACTAATCGTGCTTGGGGCGAGGGCCTGCTTCCACTGCTGAAGAATTGGATCGAAGCGTTGTTGATATCGGCAAGAGAGAAAATGCCCCAACACCACAGTCCGTGGCGGTCATGGATATTGGCCGAAAGCGTGCGCCGGACTATTATCGTCGGATTCGTCATTGGATGTGCCTTCCAGCACGTGCGGCTTGGCTATTGCGTGCATAAGCTCTTTGTAGAGTCTCTGCCATTCGATGCGAGACCTGGACTGTGGGTGGCTCGATCACCTCAGGCTTGGAGTGCTTCTGCAGGCCATTCAATAGGCGCCAAGGTGGGCGAGCAGCTGACCAGTTTCCACGACTTCGCGCTTAGCTATCCACATGTAAGCGAAAGCGCTAACCACGATCCGCTGCAGAGGATCATCCTTGTGGCTCATTATGGAAAGTGGAGGATCGTTGAGCGGATGGGTTAGATATCTGGCGTCTTCCCAGGCTCTCAATGCCACTGCTGTTCTGTGGCACCGGACCCGTCCATACCAAAGGCGTTCGACATCCACGGGTCATTAGTAGTGTCAGTAAGATCCCAAGCCATGCTCAAGCTGTTCGAGGCGGCTGCCATGTCATCAGACTGTATCCTTTGGCGAGCTTGCTGCCGATAATGCTGTATGATACGCCAGGCTGAGGTCTGCCGGATAGAGAATTCGTCACTATCGTGTCGCTGGCAGAACTTCTCGATGTGCAGCCACCCTTCATCGATCTGCTCACGGGAGAAATGCTCCATTCTATTGATGATATGGCATAGCACAATAGACACAGCCAAAAACTCGGGATTTGTACGGAAAATCCAACCCCAGCCAAAGGAATCCGCCGCTGCTTCCGCGCGGGATATAAGGGCCAGTAGGGCGACAGCGCGCTGATACAAAACGTTCTTGAAGGCGACTCCTGATTTGCGTCCGGTCTTGAGATGGGTGACGTCGACACTGAGCGCTGTTCGCTGTACCATCAGGCGAACATACAGCGCCTCAAACCGCTGAATGACTTGACTATGGTCGAAACGATCGAAATAGTCACTCTGCAGCTGCTCTTCCATGGCTGCCAGAATCTCATCTGATCGCAGCACGTCGAGTTGTGTTGTTGATTGTAGTAGAAAGCATGTCAAGGTTGCGAATTGTCGCCTTAAAACGGGAAATTTGGTTCGGCGATTGCTAATAGCAGGATACATTTGGAGCGGTGCATGCAACCAGTCCTGCCACTCGTCGTCGTGGACCGCCACCGGATAGAAGGTACCAGACACCTCGAGGAGGGGTGATACATCCAGACCCTCGAAATCATGCGCGCGAGTGTTGAGATAGAGAAGGTGATTCCACGCGCGAGCTCGGAGCTCGGATATGAACGGAGAGATATCAAGTTTACACGGGTCTTTGTGGAGACCAAGTCTTCTCGCAATCTGGTTTGCTATGCCGATGGTGCCATTGGCAGTCTCGACATCACCACGTTCGTAGAGAAACGTGGTCCAGTATAGAAATGCTTGAAAAACAAGCAGACTTCGAGTTGTCATGACGTGGGCCACAGCGAGTCCAAAACGGGCTGCTGTACAGAAGCGCTCCACGGTCTCCTTTTTCGGCACTGAGAAGATGGCCGTTACAGCATCTGATGGCAGTATCTGGACAGTCAGCGCGTATACGGTAGACAGCAGCGCACCGAATTCCGAGGTTTGTGGCATTGTGCCAAGCCAAAACAACCGGCAATTCGACCTGAACGTTGGCTCATGTAGGATGCCGACGAATGGTTCAATTTTGTCGAAGAAGTAGTCTAGAAGTAGGGTTCGCTGCTCTTGTGTCGGCATGAGCTCATAGGACGAGACGTCAGCCGGGGATATAGGGATGTCACCTACCCCCAGCAAAACGTCGTTAGTTTGCATGTTGGCTTCGGTTTCCAATAGCAGACGCAGCTCGCTGGATTCTTCGAAGAGTTTAGCCCAGAAGCCACTATCGACATAGTTCGTGAGCCCGTCTTTTACAGTCAGGAAGCCTACTGAGACCAGCGGGAGCTTGAGTGCAAGCTCGATGGCTCGTGAAATGCCTATTACATGCACATTGTCAGGGCTCGTGGAGGCTGATGAGCTGGAGGCTGTCTTCTGTTGTTCAAGAAGGGCTTCGAGCCGATTGATGCGGGCAAGCAGTTCCTGAGACTCTCTTGAGGGGTCTGAAGAAGTCTGCGTGCTTGTTGACTCGTAGAGGCATTCTTTGTTGAATCTCACGCATTCGGTGCAAGGCTGACCTCGGTCACATTTGACTTCTGTACGTTCGTATAAGCTACTGCCGGGGTTGGTGCCAGAGTGCGTCGATTTCAGTGACAGGCGAACTTACTGCGCTGCCGGCAGTTGATGCATGGCTTGAGGATGGAGCGCGATTTGCCGATGCTGCCTTCCATGGTTCAAGGGAGCTTCTGATGGACAGGACAGTCCGTCCAATGTCTCCCATGTAGTCGAAGGTTTCTTGGAGCCCGCGGATGAATAATCTTGACGGGAAAACTGTCCGAGGGAAGTGACTTGGCCCAGTTGGCCTGGAACTGCTTGTTTTAGGCACCTCCTTCGGCTGCAAGATCTACACCGCAAAAGGTTAGCGGTATCGTCATACACCGAGATTCGGATTTTGCCCTCAAACACCAACGTCGCGTCTGTGACCGCGACCTGCATCTGGTCGCCAACAACGATGTCTGGTAACCTGCGGTCCTGCTCTAATACCTACGAGCGATAGTGTAAACCTACAGCCGATGATGCCTCGTGCCACCAAGGCAGCAGCACCACCTGCCGCACCCGGGTTACCTGCTCGCACCTTCGTTCTCGACAACGGTGGGCACTCTTTGAAAGCCGGCTTCGCGCCTGAAGACCCCGAGCCCGACGCTGACAGCGTTGCAAGATGTCACATAACACCAAATGCACTTGTTCGGACTCGTGACCGCAAGACGCATATCGGCACTCAAATCGATTCAGATATCAGTCAATGGAGCGAAGCAATCTATCGCAGACCGGTTGAACATGGCCAACTTGTGAGCTGGGAAGTCCAGAAAGAGATCTGGGATCATTCCTTCTTCGACAAGAAGACTGCTTCAAGAGATGTTCTGGTCGTCGAGCCCTCTGAGACCACACTCATTTTCGGCGAGAATCCGAATGTGCTACCGGCGCTGCAGAAGAACGCTGATGAGGTTATCATGGAAGAGTGGGGATTCGGAGGATACATGAGGAAGAATGGTGAGCACTACTTGGTCAGATATCCCACACATGGCTAATAAATTGGCAGCACAATCTATGAACGCGTACAGCGACCTCCATCCACTGTTCGAGGGACAAGCAGCTCGTAGCGCAAGCAGCCTGGCACAGTTGCCCATGGAGTGTCTGCTCGTGATAGACAGTGGATATTCACACACTGTGGTCACGCCAGTCTTCGAAGGGAGACCGCTACAGAGAGCCATTCGACGTTTGGATTTTGGAGGCAAGCATCTCACAAACCTAATGAAGGAAGCCATTTCTATCCGCCATTTCGATCTGCACCAGGATACCAAGATCGTAAACGACATCAAGGAAGATATCTGTTTCGTCAGCAACGATATGACCAGCGATATGGAGAAGACGTGGAAAGGCAATAAAGGGCGACAGAAGAAAGTATTGACGGACGACGACCACATGGAGATTGAAGGAGCGGCCAGCAACGAGATCCGCGTCGACTACGTCCTGCCGGATGGCATTCATCTTCTCCGAGGCTTCTCCAGGCCACACGACCCCTCAGCCGCCGCAGCAAGAAAGCGGAAGCTCAATGCTGTAGCTCCCAACGCAGAGGTGTCGATGGTACTCGGCAACGAGCGCTTCACCATTCCGGAAGTCATTTTCCATCCTTCCGACATTGGCTCAAAGCAACCAGGTCTCGGAGACTTGGTCATGCAATCGATAGCGGTCCTGCCCCCTCTAGTCCAGGCTACCATGCTGTCAAATGTCCTCGTCATTGGCGGCAATGCCAATATTCCCGGCTTCGTTGAAAGAGTCGACGCCGAGCTTCGGATGCGCGTCAAAATGGATTGGGCTGTACGCGTACGAAAATCTTCAAATCCAGTCACAAGCTCCTGGTTGGGAGGAACCAGGCTTGCTAGTAGCCACAAAGACGTTGTTCGCGAGTATGGCGTCACGAGAGAAGAATATTTGGAGCATGGGAGTGGGTGGATGGCCCGTCGTTTCTTGTCAGGGCCGACATAGGAGCCTTCATAGGCTCTTATCAGGCCTGACTCTCGTTCGGCTCCGCCGCATCTTCCTGGCAGCCGAACAACCCCATCAACCTCTAAGATCGAGGTCTTCGATGTCACCCGCACCAAAGGCGAACCGAGTGGCTGGAGTCGACGCGCATCCTTTGTGCAGCCCACCCACTAGCCAGTTGGCGTTTCAATCACTTGCTGAACCCTTCCAGCCATACGACAACTTACGCTGCCTGTCAAGTAAGTGCCTCAACAACTCCATCTTCCTGCACTCAGCTCTGATGGTTCGCTCCGTGCCTCGAGTCAATATTGCTGTGTGCTTGATTTCTTCCACAGCGCTGTTTGAGACCTCGTCGGATCGCAAATCTCGCTTCAGGCCAGCCATTCGAGCCCGCAGCATGGCGAGTCGCTTGCGGTCTACCTATAAGACCGATCTTGTGTGGCGTCCCACCTCCCACACGATCTCCTTGCTCCTCACTTTCGTGTTTGTGAAAGCTGCATTTAGTGCCGACCAAAGTGTGTATAGATCTGCCACATCATCTCCACTCAGTCTGAATTCCAGAACTTCTCTATACGACTCTCGAAGGTGGGTTGGCAGATACGACTGGAAGGAGATGACTGCTGCGTCTTTGCACATTAGTCGTCACATCTCTGAATTGATGTTCAGCGAAGAAATTGTCGAGGCTCACAAGTAGCATCTTGTTCGAGACTCAACTTCTGGCGAAGTCTTGGGACTTCTCCTGTCGGAGTGACGTTTCTTCCAGTCTCGCCGTGGCTCATCTCGTCCAGCACTTCTTTGACCGAGCCATGGCCTACTGAGATGACGAAATCCTTTCCGGTCTTTTCAAAGGTGAGTAATCGTTGAGATCTATGGCGTTTGACGTCGCTGGTCGCCACAATCGAGCGTGACGACGCAGGAGATCGTATTTGAGTTTCACTGCAGTAGACACTACAAGCGACAATGAGCTCAAGAAATACCTTCGTGTTGAAGCTGCCACCGCAGTCTCTCATTCACCGAGGATTCATCCAGGCAGACATGATGCCGAATGTTGGACAGCTGGCTACTGCCATTCACTTCGCCCACTGGTATGGTCCCAGCTGCTCGAGTACTCCCTCACCTTGCGCCTCTCAGTGTATCCATTTTAGCGAATGCTACCGAGCCGTGCACCTCGCTCTTCCGGAACGTCGCTCTGTGTAGAGCTTTGGCGGCCTTTCATCGCAGAAACCCAAACCGAGCAGGGTTTTGAATCTGTCAATCGTGCCATCGGTATTAGATGGGCCTACCAGGGCTTTGAAAAGTTGTGCTTCCGCTGCAAAAATGCCGTTATCGGTTATAACAAGCGCTTAGTTTGTGAAAAGCGTGGCTGAGGCTCTTGACTGAGAGGTCATTGCTAGGTGCCAATATTTCCGATTCGACTGCACATGGTGTGCCTGAATCTGTTGTGGCAGTCGCTAGCAATACCTGAGCTGCCAACGTCGGCCCGCTCTCATTGCAAGGTTTTACACAATGTTAATTGATATGGAAGATGGATTTAAAGAAGTACCAGAGCGAATAACACCGCAGGACTGCTCTCATTGGCCACCATCCAGGCACACATTCGGCAGATGTCGTGCAGCATCATGCAGGCTGGATACGCCTCTGGAGGTCTACTAGACAGACCAAGCAATGCAGTGATCAATAGTATTCGTTGCTCGACGGTATGGTAGCGGAAACCTTCAAACGCTCTCCCGCGGCGTCGATTCCGCCCCCCCGCGGTCGCGTTCCCCACCATCCGGAGATGTTGCCGCGTCAGATAGTTGAATTCACTGCCTGGTCATCTATCCATTTACCACACTCGCCGACAACTTAAGATCTCCTTTTCTTCCACCCCGTCTCCCCCATCTCTCACCTCCGTCCCCCTCCGACCCCTGACCCAACACAATGACCGCGCCCACCAAAGTCGCCCTAGTGACCGCCGCGTCTGCCGGCCTCGGCGCCGCCATCGTCCGCTCCCTGGCCCCGCACTACCGCGTCGTCGTCAACTACTTCTCGCGCGCCGAGAAAGCCCAAGACCTCATCGACGACGCCTCCGCCACCATCCCGCCGCAATACCGCCTCGCCGCCAACACCCCGCGCTTCCACGCCATCAAAGCCGACGCCTCCTCGCGGCCCGACCTGCAGCGCCTCGTGTCCGAAACCGTCGCCACCATGGGCCGCCTCGACGTCGTCGTCAGCAACAACGGCTGGACGCGCCTCACGGATTTCATGGACCTGGAGGATCAGGTGCGCGAGGAGGACTGGGACCGCTGCTTCGACGTCAATGTCAAGGGCCACCTGTGGCTGCTGTACGCGGCCAAGCCGCACTTGGAGAAGAGCGAGGGTGGGGGCGCGTTCGTGACGGTGGCGAGTCTGGCGGGCGTGCGGCCCAGTGGGAGTAGTTTGCCGTACTCGGTGACCAAGGCGGCGGAGATCCATTTGACGAAAGGGCTGGCGATGATTTGTGGGAAGAGCGTGCGGTGTAATAGTGTGTCCCCGGGGTTGATGATGACGGAGTGGTGAGTTTCTTCTTTGCCTTGCGCCCCTCCAAAGACCCCCTTTGCTATGTTGGGTGCGTGGGCCTGGGTGTGCGTTGTGGTTTTGGCGCTGACGTTTGTGCTAAATATTCTAGGGGTGAGAGGTTTCCCAAGGCCAAGGTCGAGGCCACTAAAGCCAAGTCGGCATTGAAGGACACGGCTACACCAGAGGACGTGGCTGAACAGGTCAAGTATCTGGTCATGAGCAAGAGCATTACCGGGCAGAACATTGTGATAGATTGCGGTATTGCGATATAGAGCACGCACTAGCTGGTTCGGATATGGGAAAACATTATGATTGTGCTAGTATATATTTCCCCACGTGGGAAGCTAGACCTGCTGCATTTCGCCGGCTTGTTGATAGATCAGCTCAGGGGCCTCAAAGAGATTACGCTCAGTCGTCGTCAAAGATCTCGTAAGTGTGGTTGAGAATCGTCTCCACAACCCTCGCCTGCCAACCTGCGTCTTTGATGTCCGGTCCGTTCATTCCCTGGGCTTGGCCGCCAGGCGTCGATGCACCAGGTTGTTGGCCCATGAAGGTTGGACCGAGACAAACGGCTAGATTGGCAGTTGGCATCCGGTTTTTGTCGGATCTCTGAGCTACTCGTCTAAGGTGCAGTGCCAAAACGCGAAGGGTTGCGTAGTTGGGGTCGGGCATATTATTGATGATAGCATGCAGAGAATCGCGACGCACATCTTCCGAGTCGATCTTGGCCGCTTGTATTAGTTGTGAGTAGGCAGCGGCGGTAAGGAGGGGGTCGGGGAGGTCCCGTAGGAAGTGCTTCAAGAGAGTTGTCACAGCCGCAATATCGTGATGGAAACTGGCTGGGTTGCGTAGGTCGACTTGTGACGAGTCTGCAAAGTCAATAGCTGATTAAATCCCGACAGAGGAGCACTCACCATGGTCAAATTGGGCCTTCATGGCCATAATGTTGGGTGCGGAGCCCGAAGTCCGGTAGATGCCTTCTGTGTCCAAGCCATGGAGATCAATGGCGCGAATACACTCATAGACAATAGCTGGCACAGCGCTGCCATCTCTGGAAAAGAGTTCGTCGAGAGAGACGCCGAAGACAGGGCGAAGAGGTGGCAAGTTGGGTCGGTTCGAGTCATTGCGCCTCTGGCCACTGGGCAGCATTGCTGCAGCACTGGTAGGGCTGGTCACAGTCGGCGAGGTATAGCTGTTTCCACCTTGAGGTCCTGAAGGCGGGCCCCGCGAATCCGTTGGTGGCTGTTGGTATGTCTGTGAGGTATAGGCTGGCGCACCAGGCTGTCCCATGGAGGGTCCCCTGCTTCCAGGACCATTGTTGTCAATTGACAGTCCTCGGGGACCTCTGCTTGCTGGTCCATTATTATCCATTGAGGGCCCACGAGAGTTGGGGTGGAAGCTTGGACCGTTCGGTCCTGGGCCCGCAGGAGGTCCCTGAGTTCCAGGTCCGTAGATGTCAATGGACGGACGGCCCCCTGGTCTCTGACCGAACTGTTGATTAGATGGTGATTGGGTTGGAGTGCTAGGCCTAGGCTCCTGCCTCTGCTCTTGACCATCGGACATGGACATGGACCCAATAGGTGGAAGCTGTGGCAAAGGAGAGTTGTTAACGGGACTCTGTAGATAAGGTGGATTGCCGTAAGATTGAGATTGCTGAGGCCCGGATGCAGATCGATCGCCACTTGTAGGCATGACACCAGACACTTGCCCAGACTGGCTTGGCCGGCGGCCTTGATTGTAGGGAGAGTCACCAGGGCCTGTATTGGATCTGTCTGGTGTTCCGTATGGCGATGGAGAGGCCTCGAACGGATGAGTGGCTGGTTGGTGCGCCATTTGCTGCTTCGACGACAAAGAGGGGTGCTTCTCATATTTGATCTCAGACGGTGTTGGTCCGGCTTTAGTGGTGAAGCTGAGAACATAATCATTGAAATCTTTCTCGTTGTCCACTCCTTGTGCGATGTCGCGTAGGCTACGAGCTGGACCTCCATGACTCTTCAATGGGCTGATACAGATGCCGTTACCAAGTAGAAGCTTTTCGCTGAGGCCTGCATATTTTGAGAACTGCATGCCCAACGCAGCGTCGCATTCCTTGATCAGTGCCTGCAATGCGCGGATGGCCTGAGGGCGATGAGTACTGATGAGATCCTGTCGTGACGCCTGCGCTTGCTGGACCTTGGTAGCATACTCGCCATCTGCGGCCTCCAGTTTGCGGTGAAGATCCTCTTCTTGCTGTGCAGCAGACTTGTGACCTTTGATGCCAAACTTGCCACCAGATTTCTCGCCTGTCCTGGCGCGGTCGTATTGCTCGGCCAGAGAGCTGTACCTAGCCTTGGCCTTGTTCATGGCATTCTCTGCATCGCTGACCCTCTTCTCAGCCTCAAGACCGGTTTGCTTCCAGTGCTTACGGGATCGCTCTGTATTCGCGATCGTCTCCAAAAGCTCATCGTGCATATGAATTAAGGATTGAGAGAACTGCACTCCATTGTCTGCCATGCGGTCGTGGATTTTGGTGGACTCTTCAAAGCATTGGGCAAAGGTACCCCCTCGGCTCTCGGGTCTTCGAACGAGCTCATGTGTACCTCTTGCCAGCCTCTTTAAGCTCTGTGCGTGTTTCTCTTCTACCGTCGCTCGTTCTTTCAAGAAACTAGAGAGGTCGCGTGCAGAGCTAATGCTCTGCTTGAGGCGGTTGAGAAGTGTACTGATGCCTATGTCCGAGCCGAGGACATGCTCAAGCCGCTCTCGGGCCTCTCCCGTCAGTTGGGTACTCTTGACATCTGCTGGCGGGGGCGGCAGAGGGAGTTCACCTTCACCGCGGGAGTCTCTGTCGCTATTCGACTGGGGTGCGATGGGTGGGCTTGGGGTATCGTGGGAAGCCTCTCGGCCCTGATCAACATCCATTATCGCGCGCCCTCAATCTTGAGGTGTGAAGGATGCTGAGAGGTACTAGACGAGGGTGCGAAGCGTTCCTTGTTTGATTGCCATGCCGCGGACCGCGTAACAGCCACACCCTGACGTACGTCGACGACTGCGCCACAAGTCTGCCAAGAGATGCACCAGATCTCGTACACGGCGTCTATCCCCCACCGTATATCACTTCGCTGATTCAGCAGCCTGATCAAATGAGTAGCTCCAGTCCTCGTGAAATAGAGAAAATAGTGTCATCTACAGAACTATAAACTTTCCATTTCGCTGCATCAGGCCGACCAGCGGTATAGCTACGACCACGCAGCTGCAATGCGGTGAATTGTGCAGTTATACGGGCTCCGATGCCGCTGAGTATGACTTCATTCGATCGATGCAGCTCTTCGACCATAGGCAACGAGCTCCGAAAGCACAGTACCCGAAGCAAGTACGTACTGACAGTGAGATCTGCGAGAATTACCTCATCCGGCACAAGGCCGAAGAGTCAAATTGCCTGAGCGAGATGTGGCGTTGCGCTTCTCGATGCTCAGATCAAGCTATAGTAAGCCAAATGGCAACTCAGGCAAGTCGTGTCATCTTCCTTCAGGCAAGTGAGATGTTGGAATTACGCGTTGTGCTGCTTCGAGAGTTTGACTTACGAGAAATGCCTCCCCAATCCCTAGCTGCTGGCTCCCATGGGCTGCCTGAAAGCAACAACTTAAATCACGGGCTCAGCACACGTCTAAGCTGGTCTACCTCTATCAGTCTCTCATACGTTTCTAAGACACGTCCAGCATGGGTTCTCTCGGTGCTACACGACATTGCGGCCGCAGACTGCTGCATACGACCGTCGATGAGCTTGCTCAGACCGAACCACTACGCCCCTGGGCCTCTGTCCCACTTGACGATGACGACTTAGCCAAAGGTTACGAGGACATCACCTATTCTGTGCTGGCAAATGCCGTCAACAGACTAGCTTGGTTTATAGAGTCTTCTCTTGGCCCAGCCAATAACTTCGAGACGTTCGCCTATATCGGTTGTCCAGATCTTCGGTATCAAATGATGTCGTTGGCTGCAGCAAAGACTCAGTACAAGGTACGGCTGCTTCTTCTCACTTGCCTCAATGGCATCTAACACGATCAGGCCTTATTCAGCTCTCATATGCACTCGCCACCGGCTCACCTGTCACTTATGGAGAACACAAAGACCCTTGCACTCTTCACAGCTAAAGGTGTCGTAGTAGATGACATTCTTCGTGGCCGACCTATGCCTCACTTTATCATCCCAGATCTAGATGATATGCTCGAGTCTCCACCCATAAAGCCCTATCCATACAGCAAGACCTTCGAAGAAGCCGCCCAAGACCCGTACCTGATTCTCCACTCCAGTGGCACCACTGGCATGCCTAAACCGATAGAATACAACCATGCCAGCGTTGCCGCACTTGATGCCCGCGGTAATTTATCGTCCGTCGACCAAGAGACCAAACAGCTGCGTCGCTTTCTTGAACACCCAGGCCCTTCACGCTTCCTCGTTCCTTTTCTTCACTTCCATGGAATCTGTACCGTTGTCATGGCAGTCGCAACAGTGTTCGGTAGTGCTACCTACATTCCCGGCTTCCGACGCCGACTCACGACCAAGGACGACATCTTCAAGGTCCTCGACCATGCACGAGTCGATGACGCCTTCCTCTCGCCTGCCATGATAGAAGACATCGTTACCGCGCCCCAGGCAGCTGCATACCTCAGCAAGATCCGCTTGCTACTCTACGGCGGTGGTACATCCCCCCTCCACCCCCTTCCCTTGCCAGTTTCAAAACCAACTAACACCCTCACCAGCCCCGTTGCACAGCGCCGCCGCCCTCTTCGCCTCTCAACACACCAACCTCCAATCCCAATGGGGCATCACCGAAACCGGCAAAGCAATCGACTACGCCACATCCCCCACCGACCACGACTACTGCGCCTTCGACATGGCTACCTCAGGCCTCCGCATGCAACCCGTCCCCGGCACCCCCAACCTGCACCACATGTTCATCGACCGCACGCCGACCTCCCACCCCTACGCCCTCATCTTCCACCGCGACCCCACCCTCACAAGCTTCGACACGGGTGACCTCTGGACCCCGCACCCCGACCCGACCAAAGCCGCCTTCACATGGCGCTACGCGGGCCGCACCGACGACCTCATCACCTACGCCGAAGGCTCCAACCTCCAACCCACGCACTACGAGCTGCAGCACGCCGAGCACCCGCTCGTGCGCGCCGCCCTGCTCTCCGGCACCGGCCACCGCCAGCCCTGCCTGCTGCTCGAACTCAACGACCCCACGCCCCTCGCGTCACCCACGGACACCGACGCCGTCCTGTCGCAGCTGTGGAGCGAGAGCATCAGCCCGATCAACGCCGTGGCGCCGCGGAACGGGAAGGTCGATCGCTCGCACGTGCTGTTGTTCGGGGCACCCTCTGATGGCGGCGGTGATCCGGCAGGGATGACCTTCGAAAGGAACGTCAAGGGCACGGTGGCGCGCAAGGCGACGCTGCGGAAATTCGAGGCGCAGATCGAGGCGTGTTACGCGAGGTATGGCGATCGGGGCGCGGACCTGACGGGGCGGTTGAGAGAGCAGGAGTAGATATGTCGGGCGGATATGGGCTGATGGATGGGAAGGACGGGCTACTAGTAGTGTGGGGATTTGTGGGTGAGTGGCAACGGCATCTGGGGAATGATGTGGGTGGGTATGAAAGCACGTGGCCAGTGTAGATAGGGTTCAGTTATATAAGAAGGAAAAGCCAGTGAAGATCAGAAACCAAGATAAATCTATTGCTTCACTCATGTAGTACCTACCTACGTATCTAACTAAATACATACTCCATGCGTCATGCCGAGGACCCGTCTGCTGCTGTGCTGAAGTATGCTAAAATGTCACATACCATAGATCACGAGTGCCGTGCCGTGCCGTGCCATGTCGTACCAACTTTGCCCCTTGCCCGACGCCAGAGCCAGTGAATCAATTGCACCATTGGCATCCCTTCTCTTCCAGTGACTGATTTCCATCCTCACCATTCCCACTGATACTCCCCGAATCCCAAAATCCAGACGCCTGGCGTGACATTGTCCAACCGCCAATATAGACAGAGACGCACGAAAACCCCTCCGTGGGGACCAAATCAGCCTTCAACAGTGGAGTCCTTGGTTTGTCCCCTCGTTCCCTCTCACATCACAACACAGCCGCCGCTCCTGGCGCGTCTGCGTCCACTGGGCCTGACTGTCCCACCTGGCGTTTCGATCCCACTACTCGTCTCTTCTTCTGTTCCCACATCGAAAGCGACTCCGCCTTCGTTCTCATCTCGAACACGGTTCTCGGCCTCTCGCGCACGCCTGCGTCTCCTTCTGCTGGACCAGCCGTGACCGACGGCTCCAACCTCTTGGCTGGCCACCATCCACTCCGCCCACTTGTGCTCGAGCCTGGCGGCTGCACCCCACCTGGCCGTGGCGCAGCGTTTGTAGTGCTCCTCCACTGTCTGCTGCCAGCCATAGAAAGCCTTGAGGTGAATGATCTGTGCAGGGTAAAGCAATGTAGATATTTCGATAATACGCTTGATGTTCTCGACTTCAGGCTCCCCGTCCTCGTTCTCGCGATCTGTTTCTGCGGAGGTGGTCTGCACCACGGACTTCTTCCGGCCGGACATGACGCGGCAATTGCTTTGTAGGACCTCACGGACGCCTGCCCACGTGACATTGGCGCAATCGAAGGCCACAAGCTCGAGGCCTTTCTTCGGTCGCTGAAATTTCTTTGTGGTGGATCCACGCTTGCGAACCTGCTCGGAGGCTTCCATAAGTGTAAGGTCAGAGACGCGAGTGTTATCAAGGCAGAGCGAGCGGATGTTGGGGCATGCCTTGAGGAGTGGAATTGTTCCAGAATCGCCCATCTGCTCGCAGTAGGATATGTTGAGATGTTCGAGCGATCGGGCGCACAGGGAGGACGCGATCGTGGTGAGCGTCGCGTTAGTTAGCGTCTCAACCTCTTCGACCTCGAGATGGGTCAGGCGAGGCGTGGTCGGGATTAGTGCCATGAGAGCATCATCGGTGAGAGCGCTGTCCTGACACAGACGTAGGCCTTCGAGGAACGGCACGTTGTATGCAAGTGCCTTGATACCACGATCGGTAATATGCCGGCAGCGCTTCAGATCGAGATGGCGGAGTCTTCGTGGCGGTACTAGGGGTCGCTCGGTCAGAATATCCCGCTCTGGGTCAATGCCATGAGCCAGAACCTCGAGAGAATCGTCGGTCAAGCTATCACAGTGCTGCAGAAGCAATCTTTCGAGGGTGTTCCGCTCAAACAGCTCGTTGACGAAATCCAGATCGTCAAATCCACGAACGTCCGAGGCTCTTAGATCTCGGAGGTTCGGGCAGGACTGCACCACTTTCTTCAGACCTCTAGAATCAATTTGAGAACACCAGTCAATGTTCAAGACCTCCAGCTGGGGGCAGTGGGTTGCGATAATCTTCATGGTTGCATTGTTGATGTTCTGCATTCCACGCATGTTGATATGAAGTAGCTTGGGGTTTCTCAGCAGGAAGAAGTGAATGCTGGAGCGCTCGATCTTGCATCCTTCTATGACCAGGTTTTCGAGGTTCCGGCATTCTTGATTGGTCATGCGAGTACCCAGACTCAGCCACTGATCCCGGAGTTGTACACATCCTCGTAGGTTCAGATCTTTGACGAACGCACCAGCCTTGAGCATGATTTTGATCAGGGCTTCAGATGTAATTTGGGTGTAGTATGTTTGACAATCAAGGCTCGTCCACAACTGGCCATCGAAGCACATTTCGTGCCATTGTTTCGATACAGCGGACATCCTTATGATTTCTTTTGGAGACAGGTAGCCGAAGATATGGACTCGGATTTCGTGGGGTAGGTCTCTCCAGAAATTGAAGTTCTGCCGTCGGGGCATTGGCTTCTCGGGAATCTCATGGAGGGTAGAGGAGATGGGCTTCGCAGATCGGATATCGATTGGAACGGAAACTGAGGACAGCTCGCTGGGGTCGATGGGTCGCAGGCGGAAGTTGGACTCGAAATAGGAGCGCTCGCTCCCAGGCGAACCCGGGGTGGTGGGGGCGGTAGAGTAGCCATTGGACAGCTGCGAGGTGAAAGAGTTGGGAGGGGATATAGAGACAGTCGAGGTGGGCGATCCGAGTGAAGTACAGGAAATGGAGGCCTTGTGGTTGGGCCGGTAGACCTTCTCGGAAGAACGGGTCCGGCCCAGTTTGGCGAGCGAGGGCGACGAAGACATACGTTGGAGGCTCTGAAGGAGCTTGTGACGGCCCTTCAGCTTCTGAGGAGGGCCATCAGCGTGCTCGATATCGGAGGAGATGGGTGTCGCTGGTCGGGGCTCGTGAACCGGCCTCACAGCGATGGAGGAGTCCATGACGAGCGGAGAGGTTTGGGGCGCGTGATATCAAGGATTACTGTTGGCGAGGATGTCCCCGCACCACTTCCCGGGACAGTTTAGCACATGACCCTCCTCAATTGCAGCACTGGATCAGCGTGGCACTCGTGTCGGATGAGGTATAGTTGTAGAACGTATACAGAGAAGGTGAGAGTTGAAGCCGCCGGCCAGCTCAAGGTTGGGTCGCTGACAGGTGCTGGGGGTGGATGGTGTATTGCTCGGTAGTATTCCCACTCCCGGAGTGGAGCCGCGGCCGAGGGCGAGACCTGAGAGCCGTTACACTATCGATATCGATAGCGATAGCGATATGCGATGGTGGGGTGCGAGGGGCAATGCGCCGGTGATTGTTTCTCTCGTGATGAGACTATGAGTAGTTGACGACGACGGCGGCGGCAGAGGCCAGACGAAGAATGGAGAGTCAACCGGCAGGTTCAGGCGGCGTATATCTGAAGGAAACTCTTGCGGTTACTGCTTGCGGTGGTCAGTCGGCGCAACCGCTGCAGGGACAAGGGTGATGTGGACTTGATGTGGGCTTGCCATCCCCACGCGACCACCTCTCCCAGAGGTCAGCTTCTCTCGGCAACCTTGTGTTTCGCCGGCTAAAGTTCAGGTTCAAGCGACAATGGGACACCTCGAGCTTGGCCCTGCAGTCAGAAGGAAGTAGCACCGTTGCATTGTGCCTTTTTGACCGGGCCAGACCATGCTTGCTCGCACCCCAACTCCGAAGCCACAGTCGCCTAACCAGCTGCAGGGTCTGCCATTGCTACCGGTTATCTCTTCCGCAAGTTGGCCTGGTAAGTTCACCGGGGCCTGTCCACGTCAATCAACATCACATCAGCCGGACAATGATTCCATAATGTTGAATCCGTGTCGGGCATTGCCTGACCATCGTGAAGCAGTACCGCCAACGCTGAAACCTATCAGATAGGCTCCCTGAGTCACCTTGCTGGAACATGATAGCTAGAGGCTGTGCAAAGCCAACTCCAAGGTTGCATGCAGCGCCAGATCCACGCCGGTGGGATCTGGATGATCCGTTTCCTGTTGCTCTAGCCGTCAAAACACGCGTCCCGTTGCACGGCAGCAGATGACCCTGGGCTACGTATCTTCTCTCACTACACCACACGGCATCTCTGCTCGTCACTTTAACCTCGCCAGCTTCGAACGCATGCGCTGCTCTGACAGATCCGCTCAGGCCCATCGCCCACGGGTTTACCTGCCTGCCATCCATCGGCCAACTTCGCCGTACCCCATCTGAGCCCATCCCATTTTCTAGCTCGACACGCTACCCATCCCGCTTCTGCTTATCTTAGCTCAAAGGACACCCTCCAAGCGACAGTTGGGCCCCACCCATTTGGTCCCTTCACCCCACTGCTGTGCGTTCTATCTCCATTTCACACGTTGCAGCTTCACGTGCGAAGGCTGCTCCAAGTACACAAGTACACTTGCAACATTTAGCCGCTCTCATTCTCGTGACCTCCTGCCACTATCTCCCTCGGGCCCATCGCTTCGCTTGCAAACATCCGCCCCGACTGAGCCCAGGAACGTTCTGCCATTCACTTCAACTCTGACTTGCACTCAAAGCCTCAGTCGCCAAACTAACCAACAACCCCGGTCTAACGCCGGAGGCCACCGACCCGGCCCCCAAGGCCATTTCCTTCTCCAACGTAGGGCCCCTTACCCCAACCCCATCAGCGCCACCAACCCCGGAATTTTTCATTTCGAAGCGGGACAAACACGGTCCACAGAAACGCCTACACAACGCTCGACACCACTCGTACAGCATTGCTTCTCTACCTTCTTCTAGAAACGCCCACTGAATCACCCCTTCGCGGAACCTCGCCCAAGGTTGCGGATCTCGCTGTATAAGTTTTTGCTGCGAGGGGCACAACTTCGGGAATCGCCTTTTTGTTGTACATACGACAAAGCAACTCTCTTACTAGCCTCAATCTGTGATTTCACACAATAGTAGTAGTAGTAGTAGTACGCGTAGAAAAAGTCAAGTTCTCTTAGTTAGTAGCTAATTTTCGCCTTCTGAATATAATCCTTTGGACAACACGACTCGACTCGACTCGATTCGATTCGACTCTCGACACGCAGGAGTGGACTCCGACAAGGTAGATACCTCACACAAAGAACACAGATAGGTAAGGCAGGTAGGTAGGTAGGTAGATAGGTAGGTAGGTAGGTAGATAGGTAGGTAGGTAGGTAGATAGGTAGGTAGGTAGGTAGGTAGGTAGGTAGGTAGGTAGACATTTCTCTGCATCATCTGCCTTGTTCTCTGTTCTCATGATCATCTTGCGATCTCGTATCATGGTAGTAGTAGTAGTACCCAAACATCCAGGCTCTGTTGACTCAGGGCTCCGTCTCGATTCCGACTCGGGGCCTTATAGAGCCACCCCGATTCTGTCTCCGTCTCTGTCTCTTTGTTGTCCTTCGCCTCTCGTGAAGATGTCTCTCTAATATGCAGATATCTAGCTTCTTGTGACCGGCCCATATCCAAAATGCCATGCATCCATCTGTCCAACTGTCCACCCCGTTTAGCCATCTATCCATCCATTCATCCAACCAACCAACCTACCAACCAATCAAGCTACCCTCTTCTTCTTACCTCTTACGAAGCTCCTCCTTATGCATCCTTTATATGCAAGCCCCCATCTTTTCCTCTCCCTTCATCCTCCCATGGATCCAAAGCCTCACCCCTTAGCGTAGCGGCGCCTCCTCCCGCGCCTTACTTACGACACGGCCCATCTCACTCCGTGTCATCCCCCACCTGGGCAAGCCAATGGTGGTTCTTGACCTGCTCGATATCCACCCTCTGATCGACATCGCGATCCAGCATCCTGCGTATCAAATCGATGCAGCCCTCGCTGAAGGGCAGGTAGGGGACGCGCAGGGGGTGATCCAAGATCTCATCTGTTTGCCACGAACACCGCTGGTCAGCAAATAGTGGCCTGGGCAGCAAATATCATAATACGCAAATTGCCAGTGATTGAAGGGACGCAGCATAGCATTTGATATATGGATGCTGGAATGATGGATAGGCTTCAGGCGGGCGCGAGAGAGAGGCGAAGGAGTTAGAAGGGAAGATGAAGACGTACCGATGTTGTAGAACGGATTCTCCTTGTACACGATTGTGTACAGCAAGATGCCAAGAGCCCACACGTCCTGTTCCTTACCGCCGTAGGGTTTTCCTTGCAGCACCTCGGGGGCTGCATAATCTGCACGAGAGTGTTAGACAAGCAGCCAAGTACGGATTTTCCATGTCGGCAGACAGCAATAGGGCCAAGCGTGCAACATGAAACGCAGGGCGAGACATGTGCGCTCGCGCAGAGCGAGCATCCAGAGACATCCGCTGTTCGACTCGGCCTTGCCCCTTGAAGCACACAGACATCTTGCCTCAACGCTCCAGCTGCTGCCTCGATCACAGGAGAGAAAGGAAGGCCAGTACTCACCAATGGTGCCGACAAAAACATCAAAAGGCCCGTTCTTCAGATACGCCGCGCTCCCGAAATCAATCAGTTTGATACGACCCTCACCATCCAGCACGACATTCTCGTCTTTGATATCGCGATGGACCACGCCCGCGCGCACATGCAGGTGCCAGATGGCCGCAACCACTTGCCTAAAGATGGATCTGCACTCTTCCTCCTCCATGTTCGACCTTAATTCAATGTAATCGAACAAATCCATCCCAGGGATGCCGTGCGGCAGCATCTCGATATAGTAGTTGACATCGTCTTCGAAGAAGTCGATCATTTCCACAATGTTTGGGTGCCGTAGGCCGTCTTTGCGCAGGTAGTCCATGACGTGCACTTCGAGCGGGACTGTGCCTAAACGCCGGTCGCGTGTCCAAGTATCAACTAAGATACGCTTCTTGGTGACGTACTTGAGGACTACCTTGCGGGAGTGTGGGGCCTTGTACCGGCCCAACTTAACCTGACCATACGCCCCGGCGCCCATCTCCTCGAGAATCTTGAAATCCGCAATAGTTTTGCGGGGGTGCGGAGCCGAGACGACGTGTGGAGGCGGGTGCTCCAGCGGCTCGGCTTGCAGGGCAAGGGTTTCATTTGTGACCGTGGGAGAAAGAAGAGACATTTGGGAGGAGGCATTGCTGGCTCCTAAGGAGACTGATTCGTCCGAGGAGACTGGCGGAGGGGACGGAAGATGCGAGGGGGGTTGAGGCTGTTGAGGCGGTGTCATTGGTCGGGCATCCTCAGTCGCTGCTGCGCCAGCCGCGTGAAGTTGGCGCGAGTAGGTGATCCAGACAGCATAGACAAGCTCGGTGACGGCAACTGTGTCGGGATTAGAAGCAAGATCCGCTCTGTCCTCTGCTTCAGGCTGCTCGGTGATGACCTGTTCGGTGGCGGGGAAGATGCTCTCGGACCGAACAACTCGCATTTGCACGTCGACCATGATATCGGAGCCATCTCGATGCTTGGCAGGTAGGCCCGATGGCCGGAGAAAAATATTGGCAGCGTTTTCTGAGCCATCTCGGAGGGACAGTAGGGCGTAGGCGCGACGGAATGAATGCTCCGGAACAACGAGACCGTCGACAAGGTCGACTTCGTCTTCCATTGTGAGGATGGTCAGGATGTCGGAGAATGAAGGAATCAGCGACAGTATCGACAAGCCGGAAGGCTTTTCGTAGCCGAAGAGCGAGGCACAAAAGACCGAATTTGAGGATGTGATATTCAGGTCTTCGGGGTTGAGCACCATCATGCCGGCCATGTGGGGAAGCGAGGAGACCCGAAGTTCACTCTTTCCCGGAACTCTGGTGACCGTGGTGGGAATATTGATGCTGTTGGCCGTTTGAGCTGTAAAGTGGCAGGCTGCAGGTTGACCACTGGGTGTTCGTCGGTCGAAAAAGGACGTTTCTGTTGGTACCTGTGGCAGCAGCGCCCGAAGTGGCGTCCCAGATGGGATCGGCTGTCCCCATATCTGCTCAGGCTCGCCTGTACATGCCGTGACGATCTGGTTGTCGCCAATCGACAGCACGGCGACGTCCTCGCGAATCTCTTCAATGACCCAGATGAGGCCACCCTTCTTCTCCATGACCCAGAAGCTGGCGGAGCCTATGGATCCATTTCTCTTCTGTATAGGCACAATATCGCCGCACAGCAGCACACCTCTCGACTTTGTTGGCGGGTGGTTCTTGGCTGTTTGTCTATAGTAGCCTCCTGACCCGTCATCAGTCGCGGCCCTCTTCGCAGGCTTAGTCGTCCTGGAAGGAGCTTTGCTCAGCAGCCTGGCTGTGATGCCCGTCTTTGCGCCTAGGAGTGACTTAGCAGCCGTAGCCTGGGCCGACTGCGGCCCCCGACTTCCCGCGTCTGGAATTGGCTTACCGAGCTTCTCCTCGAGCCATGATCTCCTGTCTTCCTGGATCAAACCAAGAATACTCAGTGCCCGTACTTCTGCGCGAGTCACGCCGAATATGAGACAAGCCAAATCGTTTGCAGCTAGAATTGTCCAAGGCGCTTCTCCGCCCGTTCGAAAGACTGCTTGGGCGGCAGGAGACCACTTGCTACTGTGAGAATGAACTGCAGCATTTGTAGGGGTGGGCCCAAGAGTGGAGTGTGTCGCTTTCGGCTGTGATGCTTGATGGTCATCGCTCGAATAGGGCTGCGCCAGGGCATCGATCAATTTCTGTTGGAGGGACATAGCAGAGAGATCAGTGTATGTCCGCTTTAAACCGATCCTTCGAGGTGCGGTTGAAGATATCTCTTCGTTGCTAGCGGTTCTTTCAAGTGGCCGGCGAGGAATTTCATCCGACCCTCTCCGCGCTCCGTGTGGATCTGGCGAGGTAGGGAGCGGACTCAGTACGGCGACGTTCTCATCCACCGATTCGAGACTTTGACTGAAACTGCTCTCAAATATGTTGCGGCCGTCCGTATCAGCAGGTCCAGTCATGGGCCCCAGCCCAAGGCCAAGGCCCTGGTTGTTTTCCTTCTTATCAGTAGCTGTAGGTAGGATCTTTGCCTTTTGCAACAGGTCCATCATTCCTTGTATCTCTGCATCGCCACTAGCGCGTGCTTGAGCTGCAGCCAGCGCTGGGTTCGAGGCCCATGCCGCCGAGTTGCGCACAAAATCCACCGACTTCTGTACTATACTCTGACGACTATGCAGGTAGTCCTCTGATTGTTTACTAAAAGAGAACGAGTGCAATGACTCGGCCGGAAATCGATGGAGGTCTTCCAGGACAGGCGAGCTTGGTCCGCTGACGAGGTAGCCAAAGGACGCTGACCGAGATGCCGTCCTCGAGGTTGGGGTGGACGCCGGAAGTGTTTGGGCATGCTGCAATGACGGCGCCGTCCAGTCGGCGTCCTCGATGATCAAGGACGGGGTTCGTGAGGGCACGGGCGGACGTCTGATGCGTCGCAGGCCTGACATGCCCAAACCAAAGTCATTTTCAGGGCGTGAGGGTCTGCAGTCACGAATGTTAGGTCACGTAAGACAGGTCACATGTGACAGAACGGACGAGGGCGGGCACATGTGCTGTGGGCGCATGCGTACCTCTTTAGATTTCTGACCTGCTGCGCCGACCCATCTTCGAAGGAGAACCTCAATTGTTCTGGCCCGGCAGAGACGACCTCTCTTGCCCCGAGCAGATTGCCCGTGCTTTTATTCTTGGGTATCCGGATCGACAAGTCCGGGGATTGTGGTGGGGAGACATCGTACGCGTCGTTGGGCGATAACGATGTGTGTATTTGTGCTCCTGCCATACGATCAGCATCGCCAACACTGGAACATTGCTGCGTGTCTCTCCTGGCCGAGACGGACGAAGGGAGCTCACGCCCACGGGTGAGCTAACCATGTTTGCCATTTCCACCTTCAGTCATCGCTTTGGGAGATGGAGGTGCAGGTCAGGATGAGGCGCGTGTGCCTCGACAAGAAAAAGAGAAGACAGTCGAATTAAGGAGAGGCGTGAAGATTCTTGGAAGAGTGTCGTTGATCTACACGGACAGCACGGCTGATACAACACGTGGGACGCTGCGGACGGTGGGACGGGGAATGTTCCGAGCTGAAGCACCAAGTACCGGCTGGCGAGAATCTTCGGAAAAGGTTTCACAAAGGGCTGAGAGAAAAGTCTCGGGAGTTTGGGAGGTGGAAGGCTCGAATTGGCGAGAGATGAGGCTGCACAAAGGCCTTCGAGTTGGATGGAGGGCGCAGTGGCTGCGTTCTCCAGCAACAGCAATCCGATCAACTTGAATGATTCGGTTCTCAACTCCAAGTGGAGAGTTCCTTGCTTGAGCCTTGGCACCAGTCCGGTCGCCGCCCCCACCACAAACACGACTTGGTCACCACAAGCGATCCGGTGCTCTCGTCAGCCAGGACATGGTTCATCCTACCATCCATGGCAGACATGACATTCATCAGATGCGCAAGTTACTATACATTTCCTGGCTATCATCGATGCTTTCCTGCCTATATCGCAGCTGCCCTACCCCGTATCGCACTATTACCCCCCCACTTACATCGGTGGCGGCCGAGGCTGGCAGTTGAAAGTATACCGCCCCAGACGTCCGCAACGGTTCCGCCCTTCTAGCGTAACGGCACAAGACTCCCTATGTCTGTCAATCTCGACGTGGACAGGGTGCAGATTGCGCACTGACTGCCAACAACGGAAACCCGGCTCGGCCTTGGCACTTTTGACAGGCGTTCATAGCCCATCTCCACTCTGCTAACAATGGCAGCATGTTGCTCATACCGCGTCGGCCCGCTCCTGTCCAATATTGTGCTGTTGATTTCTGACGCTTCCCTTCTTCGCGAGAGGCACGACTGTTCTTATCGCGTTTGCGCTGTGTCATACTTGCCGACTAGCATCCGTTAAGCCATGCTCCGCTGCGATGGTGAACGTGGGCGGGAAGAATAATGTGCGGGCAGTGCGGTCCCAGAGGTCATGGTGAGTTCAATGGGTGCTTCTGCGCTGAGGTCCATTACGGTGGCAAGATGGGTCATTGTGTCGCTGTATTGATCCGTAGATATGTCCAACAATGTCGTCTTCATCGGTTCCTACCCATACGATTCTTTGCAGTTGAAGGTCCAGCATTTGTTGAAAGCGGAGGCAAGGCTTCCACATCGTATGGCTCGACATCATATTCCACTGACTTCATGATATGGTTGTCTTTCTTGGCAAGCTCATCCCGCTTTGTTTTCTGATCACTTGACAATTCCAGATAGGCATCAGGTTTGCGCTTCTTGGTCACCCAGATTCGCTCGACCCTGCCAAGACCTCCGTGGGCATCGCCGCGAACCAGGTAGACTTGGTTTGGTCCGTGTCTTGAGGCGCTGCTCGTGGATAATCTGTCGACGTAACGCTTGAAGAATGGCTTTAGAGCCGGGGCACTAGCCGCATACACCGCCAGCCACAACTCGAATTCTCCCCATACCCATATCTTCCAGAGCGTCCAGGTGAAGTCATAGTCGACGTTGACGACTCGGTACATGTAGTAGCTGCGAACTGCACCACATATCACGACCGAGAACCCTAGGCTGAAGAGGAAGTAGAGCGCCCACTTCTGACGTGATGGAAGCGATAGCCGGCTGACCAGGACAAGCGGCAGAATAGTGCTGTAGGCGTCGCCGATGACGCTGAATATAGCAGACAACGGTTCCGCAATCTGCTCGCTGCCACATGTGAAGTTGGCCGTGGCATAGTACTCCAAGTTGAAACTCTTCCAGTACGCGTCCAGAGGTCGGCAAAGCAGGCACAATGCCATGATGAAGCCGACCACGTAGACAATGTTATATGCTATTCCGATCCAGACGGCGATAAGAAAGCCTCTTGTGAATGACACACTGAGGCGGCGGTAGAAGAGGAGGACACTGATTTTGACACATGACAGGGATAGTGTGTAGCACACTTGGGCAATCCATACATTGAGCCTGTGTGGTACAGCGCTCGCTGGAGGGGTGTCCTGGGTCGTGTCAGTTGAAGCAGTACTCGGTCGGAAGACCACTCACCCATATGTGATACCCATTGTAGTATACCTATTCGGCTGCTCTCAGCATCCATGCAGGAACAAGATAGGGGGACTAGCGAGCTGGGTGAAAGCATGGATTTGCACTCACCTGGTTTCCAACCATCACGAGGCATGACAGCGCTATACCGAAGACCAATCCCGCCACAATAAGCACGTCATCAATGCCGAATGCCCGTGTGATGTAGATTCTGGCGTAGAGTCGCGTTGCAACAACTCCGACGGCGATAGAGGGCAGCATGGATGCCACCACCATAAGACCTGGGCCGTGAGTCTCCGAGTTGACGAAGTTGGGCTTTGGCCAGGAAGCCACCACTTCTGGAGGTGCTGTGGATTTGTTAGCACGTGCACACAGGGGTCAAAGTTGTACCAAACTTACGTCTTAGCGCGTTGACCATTGCTGGTGACAGTGTTCAGTCAACGTACAACCGAGGTCGCTTGTGATTTTATAAGTGAGCACAGATAAGCACGCTCATGGCATAAAACTCATGATGCGCGATTGTTTTCGAGGCATGGAGGAAGTCAAGGGGGGTTTCTGGGGTATAAGGCACAACGTGGTCCCCAGTTTTGAAACCGTGGGTGGAACAGGGAGCCCGGGGGGGATGCAGCACCGGCCAGACTAGGATTTTCGAATGCCTGTCGTGGGAAGCTACCGGCTCCGTGGGAGTGTGAGACGTGGGCGCAGCGGCATCATCAAGTCCAGTAGTGGCCTGTGTCAGCAGCAATGATCAACGCCATAGGGCTTGGAAGAGGTCTGATCGCCAGCCTATTCTGCCAAAGCATACGGGCAGTCTCTGCGAAGCTTTTGCAAAGCTTGCTGCGAGGTACTCTGTGGGGTTTCTCCCGGCCTTGGTGATTCATGTCCGGCTGTATACTCCATTTGACAGTTTTGGCAGCATGAAGAGCCCTGATGACCGCCGGCCGTTGAGGAAAGCATCCGTCAGTTCGACATACGACCTCGCCAGAGCATCTACAATCTGTAGAGAGGGTGCCTGCGTACAGGGCACGCAACCTCGGGCGCCTGTCTGACGAAATGCACATGGTAGCCATGCCAAAAGGGAAGGAAAGCCGTGAATGTGTGGGGAGAAGGAAGTTGAAATGCAGCACTAGCAATTCTAGCGCAGTCGCAACGAGTCTAGCGAGGGGTTTGCCTCGGGAGTGGAGTTGCCCTCCCGAAAACTTTATATCAACCCTTTCCATTACCAAACCCCTTCACACTCCGTCTGCACGCCTGTCTCCAGTTTCATCGGCCTCAGAGACCCGAAGCTTTGACTCGGAGCTCGTGGCAATTCCTCTCCATCTACTTGTAACACCGGGATCCCACATAATTACCCCTGTCAATCAGCACTAATTTGCGCATGAGGCACCGGCAGCGGCCCAACCCTGGCCACGCTTGGCTGCCTCGGTTCTTTTATTGTTCGGCGACTAGTTCGTCGCCTCTGACGCCAGCCTGAAAAGAAGTGGTCCACACCGGGGCGGAATTCAGGTTGATGCTTCGTTAAGCGAAGATACGAACATCTGGAACAACTCAATGTGGTTGCTTCTGAATGCTGCGCTTGGTTCTTAAGCCATTCTGGAGGCCCAAATGTGTCACACGTGATTTAGGACCAAGCCGCTGGGACGCCACAAGTTGAGCATGTATCTGCAGCTCGCGGCTCGCAGAGACCTCAGACTATTGTACGGGTTGCTACGCATCAAGGCGAAGGCGGGGGAGCAGGCAGTGCGCACGCGGTGGATCAGGTGCTGCAAGTTCAGGGGCTTGTACAAGCATCTCCTACAGCGGGCCCCCTCCTCGCATGCTACTCATGGTAAACCCGTCGTCCTCTTCTACTTCTGCGCCTCCGGTCTTGGCATTGTCGCTACTCCCTTTCCTCTCCTTGGCCTTCTGCTTTTGCTTTTGTCTCTGCTCATGTGTCAACGCTTTGTTTAGTGGCTTGTCGGTGGAATCACTGTTCCGTCTCTCCTCGGGCAGATTTGCCACGGAACTCACAAAGCTGCTCCGATGTCGACCTTCGCCTAGCATGAAGGAGAATGATGAGTCCGTCAATGAGGGCCGCACCGCGGGCCTTGTCTTTGCGTTGTCGATCTGCGGGGAAGGGGACAATTGGCGAGGCGATCGGCCTGCCGTGAGAGCTGGCGATGGTGTCGCCTCACCAACGGGCTGCACCTCGGGTACCGAGGCCCGCGCATCTGAAGACTCTTCTTGCGCTTCCAGCGGTGCTGCCGTGTCGGCTATCGGCGGTTCCGAAGGTGCTACCTGCATCTTCGCTGCGGTATCTTCCGGTGGAATGGGTATGTCTGGGTCTGACAGATAGACTGACACGAACTGGATCTTGGCAAGCGAAATGTTGAACGTCTCTTCCGCCTTCTCGGCTGTTTCTGCGTCCGTGATTTTGCTCCCACGCAGTGATCCTAGAGCGCCGTCCAGCATCCTTGCCAAAGCCTTGTTTCTCGTCTCCAGCTCTTTCACTCGTTTTTCCAGCCGTTGGTTGTCGCGGTGCGGTGCATCGCCTGTCGCGGAAAGCACATCAACGCTCGACTGCCGAGAATGCGCAGCTTGAGCTTGAAGGCTGCTCATGTTGCGTTTCATCTCTCCTACCGCTCCCCGGACAGCCTTGGAGACATTCCATCCTTCCGCTCTACTTCGGATTCCGCCCGAGACGTCGTTAAATAGGGTCTCAAGCTGTCTCTGCGGGCCAGTAAAGCGAGCTGGGGAAGGATTCGGAGACAGATGATACTGAGGCGTCCTCGAATTCCTGCGTGTCGGTGTATGATCAATACTGATGCGCGCTCGATCAGAGCTCTGTACTTTTGGTTTCCTGCCGCTGTACTTTTGTATCAACAAAGCACCCGCATCCGGCGTTCGAGATTTCTCTAGCAATATGGCATCTCTTACCAAGCTGCGAGGATCTCTATCAGAATCTGGCAGCTCCACATGAGTCAGGGCCGTGATGGCGGTGGAGTAGTCCGCCTCGACAAGCGTCCACCTCATTCTCAACAGCATTGCCACACAAGTCATATCAATAACGTCCGAACGAAGCTTTTCAGCAAACAGGATGTCCCACATTCGAAGAACGTCCTTGAAGTCGAACTCGCGACCGAAAAGCAAGCGAATCCATCGGATGGCGTAGATCTGCGGCAGGACCCCTGCAACCTGGAGATGTAGTGCGAGCTCGGGATCAACGGCTCCTAGCAAGTCGTCGTGAATTCTGCGACTCTTGGTGATGATCGGCGATGAGTCCCGGTTATCGCCCATTTCGTAGAAGCTCTTGGCAGTCTGCATGACCGCGCAGAAGAGGGTGAAGGCGTCTGCTTCGCGATGCTTACTGTCTAGTATCTCCAGCATGAGGTCAACCCCATCAGTCTGACGATCAGAGACACTGAAGGAGGCAATATCGACGGCGTCCTGATGAACAACCCAAAGCAGAGGAGCCAGTAACTCGTGCATGCCCTGTCTGTACCCAATGTCTGGATTGAGCTTGGAGTAGATGAAGAGTATATCCAGTAGCATTCGTTGTGTCTCTGGCTCCCGAAAAAAGAAGTTGTCCTGCATGCAGCGCGTAACATCCTGGAATATCTCCTCGCGATTGGTCTCGTCTTGGCGGAGATTCGACCATGGTGACTAACGTGCCGATTAGCAAATTCCTTTACGTGTAAACCGCTAACTTACCGACTCATCATCAGCTAGAGGATCAGCCTGCGAATTGAGGTCATTAGGATGGTCAATGAAGCGGAGGAAGTGGTCCCTCAATGACGTGTAGGTACCCCTGGAATCCGCGAGCTGTTTCGGCCATGATGCCTGACTGACGGGCCCATAGAGCAGAAATGCCTGAGTCCAAGTCAACAGCGATTCGCGAATGGTGCAATATACGCACTTTCCAGCAGACAGATCGAAGTCCGCTCTCACAAGGATCGAAGCCTTCACCGTCTCGGACCGCTTGGCGGAGGTCAACGCCAATCGAGCTCTCGAAGATCGTCTTCCATCGGGTACTGTCTGTGTCAACATCGACTGTCTTGAGCTGAAGAGCCACCTACGGGATGTCCTGACGCATGGCGATGATGAACTACACTTCCGGAAGGCGTTTCATGCGGATAGCGGGATGAAACGGGAATGCCGGGTGGGGACATCGGGTGTCCCATGATTGGACAGTCGGGGTGACGCCCGGATGAGGCGAAGGCCGCCCACAACAACACGGATATGAAGTCCAGCTCACCAGTGAGTCCGCCGGTGAGGTAAGTGCGGTTGGCAGTTCTATTGTTCGGGCTGGGTCTCGTGTCAAGACGTCTACATTAGACCAGCACGACTGAAGAATTGAGATTCACGTGACATGCCGCTTCAGGGTGCTATGGAGTGTTGTGCGAGTTCAACAAAATGTTACGTCTCGTCTGAAGAGTAAGCAGCCTGCCTGCGAACAGTGTCGGTCTTCCTTTGTGCTTCCCTGCTCCTCGACGCTCAACCATGGCACATCACCTTCTGTTGGAAGTGTTCCTTGGGCCAATATCAAGCGCTACTGACGACGAAACCGAGTCTGGAACTCTTTCACGACACCACCATAATTGCTTCTTGAATCGTAGTAAGGAGTAGAAATGTGTTTGGTGAAGAGGACATGCCATACTACTACCTCAAGGCTGTCTTCAGTCCGGAAAGGCTGAGGAGGAGCTAAGAAGAGGTAGCGATATTCACTCAAAGTCGACTGCAGTGTTACTCTATTGTAATCCATGCGGCGGAGCGTCCAGAATGTACTACGACCCCGTACCTACGTTGATAATAGGCAAAGTAGAAACAATGCTCGAGCAGGCAGTGAATCACGGCAAGTGGGTCCGATACCTTGGCGTGCAAGGCCCAGGCGTCCAGACCACTTCATCCTCAACTTCATCTGTTCTTGGTGACACATAAGATCTAGCTCCCCCTGCAATACTGTTCAAGACACATTGGAAGCAACACTACCTTAGGGTCCCGAAATGTCCGCGGACCTCCTGGAAGCTTTCGGTGGCAACGGCTTCGAACCTCAAGGGCAACCTCGACAACCTACCCAATTGAATGATAAACCACTACAGCAGAACCCAGGACAGCACGGCACGGGATTAATTTACCAACGGACATTTGACTCCGAGGCTCAACCTCCAAAGCCCCAAAATGAATCACTATGGACAGCGAGGGAAGGTGGAAATGATGTGTTGTTTGATGCAACCGATGAGGAGAGCGGGGGACAAGCAGATGACGACTTCGGCGATTTCGAGGACGTGGAACAGCTGTCTGCACAGACTCGAGCTCACGCTTTGGCCGTAGCTACAGAGAAGAAGCCTCCGCATGCGTTGAAGGAGGCCCAATCAGAGGCTCCCCTTGTTGACCTGCTGAGCCTCGACGATGTCCCGGGACATATCTCTTCAACTCCGATTTCTTCATCGGGACCAGCGCCCCTGAATGAGTCGTTCGCCTCAGAACAACTTCCAGCTACGTCACAGCCTATTTCGCGTCCTCCCCTTCCAAACGAAGATGATGGCTGGGGTGACTTCGAAGCTCCGGGCGATGCTCAACGTGAGATTTCATCGTCTAGAGGTACACAGTCTGGCAAAAACGTGTACTCGACAGGCGCATTCGCGGAAGCCCAACCACAAGCACCACCCTCTGATTTCCAACCGGATGACGACTGGGATGCTTTTGAGGACGGCCAAACAGAACCTGCCCGGCCAGTGGGTACGTCGCATCCACATCTGGACACGAACCCGGCTCATACCACTTCTCGGATAACTACGGACCAGTCACTCCCAACAGACGATGATGAGTGGGACGCCTTTGAAGACGGCAAACCCATCCCCGAATCTGTGACCGCCACCACCACAGCAGAACCTCCCTCGAAACCCTCCCCACACCCCTCCTCTACCTCTAATCCCACCACCTCGGCGACCCCCCCTTCAGCCACACGCCCAACCAACATTCCCCCACCCTCCACCCTGCTCTCCCTCCTCCCCACAGTAATCTCCACCCTAAGCTCCACAACCCCACCACCCACCGCCCCCCAGATCCAGCACCTCTACCACACGACAGCCCGCATCGCCGCCGCCCGCTCCCTGCGCTGGCGCCGCGACACCCTCCTCTCGCAATCCACGCGCATCTCCGCCGCCGGTGCCGCCGGCAAATCCGGCATGAAGCTGTCGTCGCTCAACAAGGGCGAAGCGGCGCGCGAGGAGCGCGAGGCCGCCGAGGCGCTCGCGGCCTGGAATGGTGGGGTTCCCAAATGGCACGGCGTGCTGAGGGAGGGGGGTGTCAAGGTTGAGTCCAAGGGCAAGGGGCTGCGCTTGCGGCTACCGTTGGGGGTGCGCGGGTTGAGCGCGCGTGAGGGCGGCATGGAGGCCGCGTACGTATGTCCGGTGTGTGGGATGAAGAGGTCGGAACGCGTCGTGGGCGTGGATGAGGGCGAGGAGGATGTGTTTGGCGAGTTTTGGGTGGAAGGCTGGGGCCATCGGGCGTGCGCTGAGGTGTGGTATGCTTGGAAGGGCTTACTGGGCCAGCGCTGAGATTCGAAGATTACCGAGGGAAGCATGACAATCTAGCCTGTCGATTAATGATCCTGATGACTAGGTAAAATAGTGTCCCGTTTCCAGCCGTTTCGCGCCGCAGACTCAAGCTACTGTGGGGAGGTCTTCTACATCTACCGCTCTCCGCGTGCATTTATCTCACCTGCATCCCCCTTGCGATCTCTTCATCCGTCAGATCCTCCTTGACCTTCTTCAAGTACGTATCAAACCGATTCGACACATTAATCACATGCTCCAGCACCGAATAGTCCATATTCTTCTTCTTAAACATGGCCAGCTGCCGCGCCGTCGTGACCGCGTTCCGAATCTGCCTCCCGTTCATATCAAACCCGGCCAACTTATCAATGTGCCTGTGCAAATCATCCGTATCCACGGTATCGGACTCAAACGACTTGAGCCGGTTGATGAAATTCTGCCACACCTGCTTGCGCTGCGGCTTGCCGAGCGCCTCGTAGTGCAGCGCGAGCTGAATGCGCGACTTGAAGGCTTCGTCGAAAGTGGCGACGCGGTTGCTCGTCAGGATGAGGATCCCTTCGTAGTACTCGAGGACGCGCAGGAAGACGGAGACGAGGGCGTTGCGGTGCAAGTCTTCGAGATCGCGCGTCTGGAGGAAGACCTCCGCTTCATCGAGCAGCACAACGCAGTCCCACGTCTTGCCGAGGTAGAGCACGCTGGCGAGGTATTTCTCGACGTCTTCGGGATTGGTGCCGATGTCACCACAGGTGATGCGGTATAGTGGCTTTTTGGCATATTCGGCCACGCTTTCCGCCGTTAGGGTCTTGCCTGTTCCTGGGCCTCCGTGGAGGAGGACTATGAGGCCGTTGCCTTTCCCGCTGATTAAGTCGGTGGATTTCGAGATCTCGATCTTGTTTGTGACGAGTGCCATGATTAACTCCTTGGTTTCGTCATCGACGACCAAGGTGTCGAAAGCCTCGTCGTTCCAGTTCACCTCCGCGGCGTTTGCAACCAATAGGTTCACTGTCAAACGTTAGCTTTTGGAGTTTTCAGGAATTTCCGTCAGCCATACTCCATTTCTTCTCTTGCATGTTGAATCCGAAGATGTTAGGCGGTAGGAGTAGGGGAAACTGCTCGCTAGGTGGCTCATCCCGTGCCATAGCTTCTAGTCCTAGGTCGTCCCTGACGTTATCAGCACGTCCCGGTTTGCCTTTCTTCGCGGTCGCGTCCGTATGCATCTTTTTGTAGGTCTGCATATCGACCATGAACCTTGCCTCGGTCTATGCAATAGTCAGCCCATTCGAGTCGGCTACAAAATCATGGATGCTCACGAAATATTGATCATGGCTATAGTCCCATCCAGTATACGACACAAACTTCATGTTCCGGCATTTCCAGAATTTGTGCCCTCTATCACGCAAGTGTGCAGACACACTCTCGTCTGCGTATGTCAGTGGTAGGACAGACAGATCCTGGATTCGAAGTGGCCGGTCTGCTGACGCATCGAATTGAACCTTTTGGCCGCGGGTAGAAGTCTGGAAGTTGCCATCATATTGCCAGAACTGCCCCTGGAGGGACATGGATACTCTCAGGCTTTGTTCCTTGTTCTTGCCCGTGTCATCGTCATTCACGACAGCCGATGTTATTTCTGGCCATGTGGACAGGGTGAAAGCATGGTCGTACATGTAACCGGCTTCCTTGTCACGCTGGAGCACAACCTCATTCGGCAGCTTCGAATATTAGCGTTAGACGGAGCAAGCGGAGGACAGTCATTCGTAGCTTACAAAAATGTATGGTAAGAACTTGCTGGAGATGACCTTTTCTCTGAGCTGCGAATCCACAATCGCGTATTCCTCACCCATGTACGTACCAATATACTCGTCGGAGAAACAGCGTAAATGCTGTTGATGTTTCGAGGGAAGACGGGTGACAAGTGACTCGAACAGAGGCCTATCGTGATAGAACCACATGTAAGGAGCAACTAGCTCCGCACCACGGTTGAACGATGGGTACAGATGGCTCTTTTTGGAATCTTTTGACGCCCTTTTGAGGGCAGAGGAAAGGTCTCGCGATATTATGCGGATGCTTTCCGACTTAGGAGCCGGGTCACCATCGGCAACTGTCTGCCTATTTCCTTCGCAACAGACGTACGACTTGAAGACGACAAATGAGAGTCCTTGATGCCGCTCGACATACAGCTCCATGTTCGACACCGGGCCTCGTCCACGCAGGTGGTTGTCTGCGCCACTCGCTGACAAGAAATATGGCGTGTGGTTGTATACGTTATGGGAGTCATCTTTCTTGCACGACACCCGATGGAGAACCGTAAAGTACGCTTCCGGTCGAGACTTGCGAGAAGTGCCTGGCTCGTACTGTTGAATCGTCTTGAGGAGATCCTTATCGGTAGTGTGACGATCCAGGCTGAGTGTGTTGCAGAGATGGGCCTTCCAATCGATCTGTTCCTGCGTACTTGAGACATCCTTGGACCTCCGACGAGACTTGAAAGGGCGTTTCTTGAGACCAGTCTCGCGAGGGTTAATTGCTTTTTCTGTGTCGCCCGATGGTCCCTGAAAGTCCAGGCGAGGGGGGGAGGTGGGATCATTTGTTGAACGGTCATTACCAAGCAGCAGCTGCTCAAGTTGTGTCTGTACCACGATATCAGAACTGAAAGCATTACGCCCGGAGCTGAACTCATGTTACACCAGAGAACAAACTTACCGGGCTTACTCCAAGCTTTTGAATCAGCAGTGGAAGCAGCTCTTGTGTGGACTTCTTATCGTCTATTGTTCCATGCTTTCTGCGATTCTTCGTTGGACCCGATGGGCCGTTGATGGGATTGCAAGATCCTTGTCGGTTTGATGAGCCCACATCGGGATTTTCGACGCTAGATGATAGCTCTTCTGACTCCGTCTCACTATTCGCAGACATGGCTCGACTGGCGACGCCCTGTCTGTTCTTACTTGGTTTGAGACTTTTGCGAACTCGAATGGGATTCATCAAGGTGGGCTCAATTGGGTCCAAGAGGTCAGACCTTTTCACCGCGCGCCTAGATGTCACGTCTGAGTCCCTGGGTCGCACCTCTGTCAGTAGCCGGTGATCCAGGCTCGCAAAATTTGAAGACTCCAACCAAGGATCTAGATCTGGCTCGTTCGTAAGCACCCCAATCTCTTTTTCGCGATTTATCTAGACGTGAAGTCGTTAGACTAGACAAGAGCCGTGATTGAGATAAGGGTGACTGGTTAGACCTACTTGATTAATGTGTAACTTCTGCGCCAGAAGGGCAAGATTCTGGTTGGCTTCCTGCTTATTGCCGGCGGTTTTGTCCTGGGAAATGGTTGAGCTCACGTTAAGTGCAGCCGAATTCAGCCAATCAACAATGTTATATGGTTGGTGATTAGCTCCTGATCTCGGTTCCGCGTCGCTGTCAGTTGTTGCCGTGTAGTAAGAGTTCGAGAATGAGCGTGAGCGTGATAGTTCGCGTTCGTATCTTCGTACCCTTGCACGGCGTCTCGTTCCACTGCTACTGCGTGATCGTGACCGCCGGTCCCTTGGGTTAGAGTTCGAGGATTCTGATAACGGAGGCGAATATATGTCTGGGACCGGGCTTCGTGACTTTGGTACAGGTGTCTGTCCAAGTCAGCCATCAAAGGCATTGAATTAAGCTTAACTCGGGGCGACTTGCAGCGATGGAAGCCAACGCTTCTTTGTACTCCCTGAACCTTCTTAATGCTTCGGCTGCAGGCTCGTCCTCGTCGTCCTCGTCGTCCTCGTCGTCCTCGTCGTCGCCCTCGTCGCCCTCGTCGTCCTCGTCCTCGAGCGTATCTCTAAAATCTTCAGAGTCGGAGGCGTCTTGTTCCGTGGACCAGTGCTGATCTTCTCTGTCGAAGGAACTCTCAGCGCCAAAAAGCATAGACATTGCAAGAGCTCATAGTGATGAAGAAGCTGTCAAGGAGTTGTGGACAAAAATTATGAAGAGTGATGAAATGTTGTGCGACTGAAAAAGTGGACAACGTCAAAGCTCGAAGCAGAAGGGACGTTGCGCGTGCCTAATCTTTGCCTAATTGTTGCCGGTACTTTGGCGATCGTTGCTGGACCACAGGAACAGTGACAAGTGTCGGGTGGCTGTGGTCGGTACTAACGCATCATGCAGCTGCCAGCCTAAGCGCGGGATGGGACCTCGACAAGCCTCTTTAGCAATTGCTCAAAATCGGCAGGATTATGCGGAACTCCTGCTTCTCACTCGTGTAGCATGGGAGATATACGACCCGGTGCATAATCGACACTATTGCACGCAACAGACTGATGCTTACCATGTGCAGAGATCTATTGCATTGGGCACGCTGAAAGCTAGGACGAAACGACCAGATTCCGTGCCGACTCATGGGTCGCGTCAGTTCCGGCTGAGCACGAAAGGTTGACGCCCCGGCGCGGGCTGCGCCTCCTCGCGCGACCCAATATTGGAAGGCCTAAAGCTTGTCAACGAATCGCGGGGTTGCTTAAGTAAGAATAACGACCAAAGTTCCCTCGGGTTGTGGCCAAAACCCCGTGCAGGTAAGTCGTACGCTGCAATGACATCGTGGTCGATCTTTTGTCGAACAGTCAAAAGAAGATAGGTTGCTCCTCATGTTCGACGCCCTATAGCGCCGACCACAGCCACGGCAAAGGCAATTGTTTAACCTGCTTTGGCGAGTGTTCAATGCTCAAGCAGCGCACATGGCTGTTGTGAAATCCACCTCGCTGGTTCGTGAATTTATCGAGGCAGACACTACCAATCAGTACGTAGGCTCGAGTATAGCACGTACTGGCATCAGCGTGCTAAATGGTACAGATCTGTCGACCCCGCGCATGAAGCCTTCCAGCAAGGTATAGTACGATTTCGAGACAGCCTTACTCAAGACCTGAGGAAAGCCAGTAAGGCTCAGAAATCAGCTAGTATTGAGGCAGTATGGGATACAGTAGAGGCCGCACAAGTCACATACGAGTCGAAGCATGGACAATCCAAGACTTGGGAACGGCTACGGAGATTCAATGGCACGCTTCAATATTATGGCAACATTATGGATGTACTGGTCCAGCATCATCCAGAATATGTTTCTCTTGCTTGGGGCGCCATGAAGTTCTTGTTTACTGTGAGAATGCACAGTCATCCAAATTGATGGTGTCTCTGACAATTGGCAGACGTTTTTAAACCACGAAGCTACAATCTCAGCACTAGCAAAGGCGCTTTGCAAGATTGGAAACATGTTACCGCGCGTCCGGCTAGCGATAGCGTTATATCCCACGAAGCGGATGAAAAATGCTATATCCGACTTGTACGCCTACATCATCCGCTTCCTCATCAGAGCTCATGATTGGTATGAGGAGAATTGGCTCAAGCATATTTGGCACTCTGTGACTAGACCTGTTGAGCTTCGATACAATGACATTCTTGATGAGATCTCGATCCGAACTCAGATAGTCCATGACTTGGCTGTCGCTGGAGGGCAGGCAGAACAGCGCGTCATGCACGAGAAGCTCGATGCTGAAGGCAGCCGAGTCATGGCCTTGGAAGCCAAGATTCAAGAGATGAACGCGCTCCTAATCGGTAGATAGCTCCCCATTTGGTGTTGAAAGTCTGCTGACAATTCGCACAGCCTTCAAGACAATGGCGTCAGGGGCATTCCTTGATACAAATCACCGCCTCACAGACCTTCAGATATCCAATGTCCTGGATTTCGTTGCCGATGTTCCCCTGCCCGACCCGGCAAAAGCACTGCGCTTTGGGATGTTCATGCGTGAGCAGCGCCGAAGCAAGCACGCCGCGAGGAATCCAAACCACGCGTGGGTGTCACCCAGGCTACAAACTTGGTCGGACCAAGGAATCTCCTCGCTAGTCACGATACGGGGGGCATATCAATCCAGGAATGACATGAAAGACCTTTCAGTTGAACTTGTTGAGCTCCTTCAATGGTCTAACTTACCTGTACTCTGGGCATTGAAATCGACAGGCAAGGATATCCTCGATGCTCAACAGCCTTCTGCGATTGACGTGCTCAAGTATCTGACCTCGCAAGCCCTTCGACTAAACTCAGCAGCCCCTACCGAGGCTTCAATGAGTTCTGTCTGCATGCGTTTCAAGACCGCAAAGACACTGGATGAATGGATTGCAATATTGGCATCTTCGATACCGGATGTGGCAACAATCTACCTGGTCATCGACGTTGAGATTCTCAATTATGCATTCACAGATCTGTCCGGATCTTTTTGGCCAACGTTCTTCTTCAAGCTTACCAACGAGCTCGAAAAGCATGCGTGCAAGACATGTGTCAAAGTTGCGCTCATTAGTTATGGACCGACAAATCTGGTGTTGCCTAGCAATCCGTCTCAGGCTTCGAAGTACTGGGTGTCAACCGCTAGGGCACCACCACGTCCCTTGAAGGCAAGCTCCCGACGCAGCACTTCGGGAAGTGTTAAGGGAAAGTTTTCCACCCATACTGGTGGACAGCGCCTCAAAGGCTCACTCATCCGTTTCAAAAAATGATACTTGTTGCGATGTTCGACAATGCACAAGGAGAAATATGTAGCGATAGTACTTACGACTTATAATAACGTGGCACAATCTGGCAAAGCAAGCAGGACTAGGCTGTAAAGCCTTAAGCTTATCCTCCTCCAATGTATGTGCGTGTCAGATCTGTTGGGACGGTCTCTGGTTTTCGAATCTGAGGTCATATACCAAAGCCGGTTTCGCCGTTAAGTCACGGAGATGTACCAGATATACTTGATTCTTGGCACCCATAAAGGCCAAGAGAGGTATGAGAGAGCTGCATTGGTATAAGTCGTGGGAGGCACCTTGCTGGGGCACGTGAACACGGTGGTGAGTTGATGGTGAGTCGAATTAAGAATTCAACTTGGCCTCTTAAAGGTACAAACTTGCCAAGACCCGGAAGTGATTTCCGAGCCTCATGCGATCTCGACAACTTTGTGGATCCTTGCAGATGCTCTTTTGTAGACGCCAGATTACTTGATGATGAAGCCATCGTCGCGGTGCGTTAGGCTTCTGTCTTGGGGTCATACCCCTCGCGCGAGGTCATCAGTAGCACAGAAACGATTCTTTGCCGCGGTAGCGGATGGCATCAAGTACATTCACCCTGGCCCTCGAATTGTCTGCCTTCACTAACTGGTGCAGCCCATACGATGTCGTTGTTATCGGTGGAGGTCATGCCGGTACCGAAGCCAGCGCGGCCGCTGCAAGATCTGGTGCTCGCACTGCACTCGTCACGCCCTCGTTATCAAATCTAGGTGTATGCTCCTGCAACCCAAGTTTCGGTGGCATAGGAAAGGGAACAATGCTACGAGAAATTGATGCGCTCGATGGAGTCGTTGGGCGCATTGTAGATAAAGCCGGCATACAATTCCGCATGCTCAACCGGAAGAAAGGCCCTGCAGTTTGGGGACCACGCGCGCAAATCGATCGAGACCTCTACCATCGATATATGCGGGAAGAGATATTATCTACGCCGGGATTGAGTGTTGTCGAGGGCAAGGTCGCCGATATCATTGTGTCAAAAGAGGGTCTGAGTGATGGTGTGGCCAAGGGTCGGATCACAGGCATTAGACTCGAGGGCGGCCAGATTATTCCCGCCTCGCAAGTGATCATTACGACTGGCACTTTCCTTGGTGGCGAGATACATATCGGCCTCGAGACGTATCCGTCGGGCCGAATGGGTGAAGCTGCGACCTTTGGTCTCAGCAAGTCCCTTCGTGAAGCAGGATTCTCGTTGGGCAGGTTAAAGACTGGCACACCACCTCGCTTGGATATGGATACCATCGACTTTAGCGCTCTCGAACGGCAGCCAGGCGACTCTCCGCCGTCTCCTTTCTCCTATCTCAACGACACCGTCCAAATTGGTGATGAAGGACAGATGTCCTGCTGGAGTACCTATACAAATGAAGCAAGTCACGCTATTGTGCGCGAGAACCTGGACAAGTCGATACACATCCGTGAGAGCGTGCGGGGACCGCGATACTGTCCGTCACTTGAATCCAAGATCATTCGCTTCGGTCACAAGCCACGGCACATGATATGGCTGGAACCAGAAGGCCTGGAACCGAACAAAGTTATTTATCCCAACGGTGTCAGCATGACCATCCCTGCCGATGCGCAATACGCGCTTATGCGTACCGTCCGAGGACTCGAGAATGTGAAGATGCTTCAGCCAGGCTACGGAGTCGAGTACGATTACATCGACCCGCGCAATCTCTTCTCGACCCTTGAGACTAAGCTCATTCGCGGTCTTTTCCTTGCTGGTCAGATCAACGGTACGACTGGTTATGAGGAGGCCGCTGCACAGGGCGTCGTGGCGGGCATCAATGCTGGCCGATCTGCACAGGGTCTATCTCCATTCACCCTGTCGAGAAGTGAAGCGTTCATCGGCATTCTGATCGATGATCTAATCACCAAAGGCGTCTCCGAGCCGTACAGAATGTTCACCTCCCGGTCGGAATATCGTATGAGCTGTCGCTCCGACAATGCCGATCTCCGGCTTACAGAGAAAGGCCGTGCGGCCGGCGTTGTGAGCGACAAGCGATGGCAACGCTTCCAGACGGACAAAGGCCAGATGGAAGACCTCCAGTCGCGACTCGAAAATGTCAAGATGAGCAGCCAAGGATGGCTTGGAGCTGGACTCAATGTTCGCACGGATTCAAGCATGCGCTCAGCATTCGACATGCTGAGGCTAGTAGGCATGGACATTGACACGTTGGCACAGCGCCTGCCAGATCGGCTCTCATCGGCTGCAGCAAACTTCAGCCCAGGGATCAGGAGGAGAGTTGAGATCGAGAGCATATATGCGCCGTACATTGTGATACAGGCAAGGGCAGCAGCATCATTTGAAAGAGATGAGATGCTGCAGTTGCCACGAGATCTGGACTATGATCTAGTCTTTGGGCTCAGCGCTGGGGAGAAAGAAGTGTTGAAGTTGGTGAGACCAGAGAGCGTCGGCATGGCCAGGCGAACAGAAGGTATCACGCCAGCTGGCGCTCTGCGGCTCTTGAAGCATGCGAAACGTCTCCGGAATCATGACATTGACGACATCGCCTTAGGACCAGAGACACTCGCGCCAGTGCAGCCTTCATCAGTGCAAGGTAATATAGGCGCAGTCTAGTGCGCCTGCGCACGCATGTTGTACAAATACTATATAGAGCACAGCGCTATTCGCGCCTGGTGCCACTTCATGTAGCCATATATTAATGACCTCCCCCAACATCTTCACCACTGCTCGACGTCCCGGATGATATTTCCGTACCGCAAAGCCCCTAAGTTGCTTAGTCATCGCAACTTGCATCACAAGCTTTTGACGCGAGCTTCGACCAGATCTCTCATTATCAAGCCCAAAGCCCAACTTCCAGAGTCGGCCCGGAGCCCTTTTGCGTATACTGTACCTGGCTGTATAGAGCTTCAGGATGCTATGGCGACGGCATCACTGCGACAGGTAGCAGTGGCAGCACGGAGGGTGAGAATTTCGGCGTTCCCGCTGCGATCCGTCACGCTCCAAGCTGGGGGCACGCGACAGCTGTGTGGTGCTGTCGAGGTTCTGCGGCGGGGGAGAGACGCTCCAACATGCCGGCGAATACCGTTGTGGTCCAAGGGTATAGAGATTCCCGGCGCGAGAGCGACATACTCGGCGCAATCGAGAGACATCTCGACCACTCCATCCCAGGCAACTAGCACAGCATCATCTGCCTCCCGGACGTTCCTACGCCATGCATCACGCTCGCTCTCACAAAGGAGCTTTCTCCTACTCACTGCTCGATCAACCCAGATCCGCCACGCCTCTTCCAGCACCCCGGCCACCCCACCCAAGAAAGCGACCGAGATCCTCAAGCAACCCATCAAAACCCTCTCCTCCCTCACCCCCCACGAGAACATCTACAACCTCCCCAACATCCTCACCTTCACGCGCCTCCTCGCCGCCCCCGCGGTCGGCTACCTCATCCTCTCGCCCAGCTACCCGCCCATCTACGCGCTCAGCCTCTTCTTCTACGCGGGCGTCACCGACCTAGTCGACGGCTACCTCGCGCGCCGCCTCAACCTCCACACGGTCGTCGGCTCCGTCATCGACCCCATGGCCGACAAGCTGCTCATGACCATCTGCACCGTCAGCCTGGGCGTCACGGGGATCCTCCCCTGGTGGGCCGCGACCGTCATCGTGGGCCGCGACGTCGCGCTCGCCATCTCCGCCATCTGGTGGCGCTGGATCAGTCTGCCGCCGCCGAAAACCATGGCGCGCTATTGGGACTTCAGCCTGCCGAGTGCGGAGGTGTATCCGACGGAGATCAGCAAGATCAACACGCTGCTGCAGCTGTTGCTGATTGGGAATGCGATGCTGTTGCCGGTGCTGCCCGAGGCGTGGGTCGCGGCGGGGAATCTGTGGGGGGTGTTTGAGGGGTGGTGTGGGCTGGTCGCGGGCACCACGGTGTGGAGTGGCCTGAGTTATGTGGGGAATAAGGACGCGGTCAAGATTGTGAGTCAGGAGCAGATGCGGAGGGCGCTGGAGGAGAAAGAGGCGGGGCCGGACAAGGAGACGAAGTAGAGAGAAGGAAGGGCCTTCATGTGTGTATTGTTGGGACAGCGGGGGACTTGTATGAATAGATCGGGCATTGCGGCGGAAAAGCACATTGCATTGGCTAGGCGGAGCAGGAATCGTGTTTTCTACATACGTCAAGCGGGCGTCGGCGAGGACATTCTTTCTACGCCTTCATCCGCTTCCTTAGTGTCCGCATCGCTAGCTGCGCGGCTTGATTGCCACTCCTTTCATGTCCCGCCCTGCTGCCAATATGCAACGAGCCCTTTACCTACCCACGGCCCTACCCAAGCGCTGGCCTGCGGTCGTCGGCGCTGTATCCGGCCAGCTACCCACTGCGTCACCCACTTCAGCCAAAAAGGTCTCACTGTTGTGCACGCCCGTCCCGCCAAGCACGACGCGGACGCCCGGTACGCTTGCGTTGACCTGTGCCACCATCTTGGCTTCTTCGTACGTCACGCCTCCAACCATGAATACCACGATATCTTGCGGCTTGTCTCGTGTGTGGCCCTCGAGGAAAGGGTACTGGATTTCTTTCAGCCGGCCCTTGATGAGGTTCTGCAGTGTGGTCTCGAGACGTGGCGAGTGCTGCGTGTACACGTTCTCCACACCCTTGAGATTTAGGTTGCGCCGGAACTGACTGAATGGTGAGGCGGCCGAGTCGAAGAGGTCGGTGAAGCCGCCCGCTACCGGAGCGGGCTGCAGCGAGTGGTGATATGCGAGGACCTGCGGGATGATGGCCAGTTTGTGGGAGGATATACCGGCAACGGTGGTGAGCAGGTCGAGGAGCACGGGGAGCGCATTATTGGGGTTGCGCTCGTGACGAATCGCGTACAGGGCCACGAGGCGGATCTTGTTGTCGGCAGGCACCGCAGGATTTTGGATGTGGCTCTGGAGCGTACGTAGGTCGGCCGAATGGTTGTCGTTGCAGACGAGTGACTGCTCGAGTTCCGAAACATCGAGTAGATGGTCAGCCGCAACTCGGCGGGAGAGCTCTGACACCAACGCAACGTGCTTAGAGACATTACCAGACAGTTTGCGGAACTCCGGATAATCCTCGACGAAGCGTTTCATGTCGGCTATGGATTCGATCTGGGCGTTGGACTTGGTGCGGGACTGGTATTGTTCGACATATTCTTTGATATTGCCGCCCAGATCGCCGAAATTTTGGTACATGTTCTTTTTGAAGAAGGGGTCCTGATCTTGGGAGAGGACGATCTCCTTGAGTTCAGGCCTAATGTCTGGCACGGCACTGAGGTCAACTCGGCCGTTGTGAATGCCGAGCAGCTCATGCACTTGTGCTTGGTACGTCCACTGCGACAGTAGCGGAGTGATCGGATCGTCTCTTCGGTCCATAATGAGGAGAATGGCTGGGGTGTCTGTCTTGCGAAAGTCGAACAGCTGTTCCTCCTGTGTAATCTGATACCGCACCTCGGTGGCCAGCTTGTGAGCCATGCGACTATTCTTCTCGTAGCGGATAAGCGGGTTCTTCTTCAGCGATAGCAATAGTGCTATCACACCCTCTGTTGTCCGCTGCAATGCGTCTGTATTCCACAAATCTGGGCTATGGCTCCATAACCGATGTTTAGGAAAGCCCAGATTCAACGACATGAGATCTGGGTTGATCACAATGTAGTCCGCAAAATACTCCTGCACCGCCTTGACGACCTCATGGTCATCCGCTTCTGCCAATCTCTCGAGACTCGACTTCCGTATGATATTGCTGAAGTATATATTGTACTCTCCGTACTTGGGCTCTCGCAATTCGTCAATCAGGAACTGTACCGAATCAGGTGATGGTCGGACGAAGCACAAGCATCGCAGGTGCCGCATCCGTTCTCTCGCGGCATTGTCAAGACGATCGATAAGGAAGACTTCGTGTTTGAGCAGGGCTGATTGGGTGATGGCGGTCGACACTATTGAAACGGTGTCGCTATCAAGGAGGAGGATTTTCATCTTGGAGGACTGAGAGGCCGCAGCGCCCTCGCCCGTACCAGCGATCTTGGAGACATAGTGCTGGAGAGCGGCAGCGACATCCATGTTGAACCGCTGTCACCGAATGCGCTGCTACCTGTTCATGGTCGGGATTTGCTGCCTGCGGCGGTGACACGGGGTCTCAATTCGGGATTTCGGAGACGTGCCGAGTCTCGAAGACAGATCCGGACAGCTAGAGTCGTTTGCGACGGTGTATTAAAAAGTCGCTGCCTGACCTGATCACGGGTCTAATTGCTGAGGCGTGAAGTGTGGCTGTAGAGAGGTGGTCGAATGGCATGCAGGGATGATCGGCAGCGTGCGTCCAGGCTATGACATCGTTTGTTGATGAGCCGACTACAAATTCTTGAACCACCCCGCGTCCTTCCACACGATCGTGTGGGTCAGCAGTTGGCATTAGTACCATGTCTGAAGCTCGTCTCTTGCTTCTCAACTCTCTCCGACCTGTGTCTTCCCGCTCAGACCCGTCAGCATGATTCCCGGCATTGACAAACGTGGGTCGCTCCTCATCCCTTCATCTCCCGCCCTGGCTAACGACCACCAACAGCATTTGTAGCCCTGGCTGATGCCACGGGGGCATCTACCGACGAACTCAAGCTCATCTTCAGCTTCTTGACTTCGTACCCGTTGGCAGCTATACTGAAGCGAATACCCGACCGGTCACCATGGATGAAGAATGTCTTCATCATCAGCGTTTCCCTCTTCTACCTGGTCGGCCTTTTCGATCTATGGAGCGGTATTCGCACCCTTTTCATTGATGCAGCTATGACTTATGCCATCGCGTATTACATCGACGGTAGTCTTATGCCATGGATTGGCTTCGTTTTCCTCATGGGCCACATGTCTGTCAACCATATCCACCGCGAGATCCTTGGCCAGCCATCTACCATTGACATTACTGGTGCTCAGATGGTCAACATTATGAAACTGTCTGCCTTCTGTTGGAATGTCCATGACGGCCGTCTTCCAGAATCAGCCTTGACGGATTCTCAGAAGTCTCGTGCATTGACCGTTATGCCACCGATACTCAAATATACTGCCTGGGTACTCTTCTTCCCCTCTCTCATGGTGGGTCCAGCCTTCGACTACGCCGACTACAACAGCTACATCAACACCAGCATGTTTGATAGTCCACCAGGAAAGCCTGCACCACCTACGAAGAAGTCTCGTCGAATTCCACGCTCCGGCAGGCCCGCCCTGATGAAATGCCTCACCGGCCTTGCCTGGCTGGGTGCTTATCTGGCACTGAGCCCCCGATTCAACACAGCTGCAGTCACCTCTCGCGACTACATGTCTTACTCTTTGCTTCGTCGCATTGGGATGCTCTGGGCTCTCGGCATCGCCACTCGCACCAAATACTATGCCGTGTGGACGCTCACTGAAGGGGCGTGTATCCTCTCCGGTCTGGGTTACAATGGCATGTCTCCCTCTACCAACACGCCACGTTGGGATCGCCTGGAGAATGTCAATCCATTTGGCATCGAGTTGGCACAGAACTCTCGGGCCTACCTCGAAAATTGGAACAAGAACACAAACTACTGGCTGCGGAACTACGTCTATCTGCGGGTGACGCCTGCTGGCAAGAAGCCTGGGTTCCGCGCTTCACTTATGACATTTGGCACCAGCGCCTTCTGGCACGGTTTTGCGCCGGGATACTACCTAACATTCATTCTCGCCGCGTTTGTGCAGACGGTGGCCAAGAATTTCCGACGATACATCCGCCCATTCTTTCTTGCACCGTTCAAAGACAACTCTGACAAGAATCCGGCTGCACTACCAACGAAACGCTATTACGACTTCTTGTCCTGGCTCATAACGCAGGTCTCGTTCTCCTTTGTCACGGCGCCTTTCGTGCTGCTCTCCTTGCACGACAGCATGATGGTCTGGGCACGGGTATACTTCTACGTTCCGATTGGTGTCGCGGCTGCTCTGGCATTCTTCAGTCCATTTCTCCCCTTCAAAAAGATGTTGGTCAAGAAGCTCGATGCACGCAACCAAAGACCGGACGGGAAGCTCAGCAGGACTCATTCTCACGAATCACTCGACCCACCCACCTTGCTTGGCTTGCCCCATGACCCTGGGGCGCAGATCGATGACGCAATTGACGAAATTCGTACCGAGATCGAGGCAAGACGCAGGCGAGGGAGTGTTGTGCAGATGCCCACAGGAAACGAGCTACGTAAAATGGTCGAGGACAAGGTGGGACGTGGTTTTAAGATCGAGACGGACAAGGAGACTGGACGCATCAAGGTCAGTGTGGGCGGCGAGACAGCTGTGGTACCGCAGGTAGGTGTCAAGAAGGATCTCTGAGGGTGTCTGATCTAACGGGTCCTGTGGGCTTCGTGAGTCAACCACTTCATTCGATGCAATGAGACGGTGGAGCCCGAGGACGCGGATTGAACTGTTGAGCGCCAACAGCACTCTAACATGACCAGGCTCTAAGGCTTGGGCGGTTCAACATAAGCCTTACCCTCACATCGGTGACTCAGCTACCGGATGAGCCACTACCCCTTCCCAACTGGGAAGCCTCGTTCTACGTTGTCCATCCATATTGTCTGTTGACGGCAACGACTATATACTGTGGTCTCAACACTACATTTGTCCTCTTTTCGAGATATGCTTCTTGCCACAACTACTGGAGTACGGTGAACTGGCGAGACGGCGTGTTTGGTATAACAAGGACATGTGGCCGGCACGCGCGAAATGCGCCGTAAGCTTTGGTCTCGTTATGGCGAAAACGGGACCGGGCCTTCAGGAGTTGATTGGCATGAAGCACAGGAGCCAGATATCAGTTCGACGGGTCACGGGCTTTTGGGTCCTTGATGGGATGGGCTAGAGTAGGATGGTCTGCTCCAATGTCTAGCTCCTCTATATGAGCCCAGCCTTGAGCAGTCCAATATCGCTACCGAAGATCGTGCCCTGCACGAATATAAACGCTCAACTATCCAATCAACCTAGAGAGAGATACGTCGCCGGCTCCCACAGATTGGCCCGTGAACCTCTCATCACAGATAGCATTGTCTCATCTGTTTTGCTAGCCCTGACCCTTCCTCCATCAAGGTGCCTTTGCTACGGCGTATACCGTGCATCTGTCGAAGGACAGCGAACGAGGTCCTCGGCACATCAAGTGACGGGCGACAGGGATCCTTGCGCCGCCCACCAATAACCATCCACCTCGCCAATCGAACAGCCCGAATGCGCAAACAAGGTCAGTCAGTCAGCATGCTAGCTTGCCTTGTTTTCCCGCCTGCCCGCACACCTGGCGCATACCATGACGAAAGCGATGAGATGCAGTATCTACTGCCAGGCGAAGAGAGGCAGGTGTTGCGGGTTTCGGTTTGAAGGATTTATATTCCCGTGCTTCTCAGCCACTGTTGGTGTGGCGTCGAAGACTTGATAGATCAACATCATCGCCGCACACTGTCGCTCCTTTGCGCCGTCGCCGTCGCCAGCCTGACTCCATTGCATAACGCTCACCCCTCTTCCTACATCCTTCCGCGATCAAGGCGCCCACACCAGCGCAGCAGCCCATCCCCAGCACCCAGCACCAACACACCAACCCACACCCACCCCGCCCCCCCGCCGCCTCTCCATCACCCTAGGACTCCGCAATGGGAATCCCCTACTCCCGCCAAATCAACCAAGCCTTCGACCAAGTAACGCCCCTCGTCGCGGCGGGCTTTCGCGTCCTACAAACCACGCGCAACATCTCCATCCTGCTCGCCGTCATCCAGGTCCTGACCGTTTTGCTGTTGGGTTTGATCCTCATCGTGCTGCTGGCGCTGCTGGTCAGCGTGAACCCGCATTTGGAGGAGCAGCGCGACGAGCTCGTCACGCCCGCGCTGCAGAAAGTATGTGAAGGGAGCGTCAGGTTGGGGAGGGGGTTGGCTTGGTTGCTTTGGATTTCGGTACGTGCTAAGTGCTTTGTTGTACGATCTTTACCGTCCCTTGTTCTGTGTTGGGTTTGTGTGTTTGGTATTTGGGTGACTGGAGGATGGCGAGTTGGGTGTGCACCCACCCGTGGAGCTCGTTGGCGATCTCCACCCCACACGTGCCCGGTGGCTTTGGCTCTCTATTGTGCGCCTATTGCCTGCGCACGGCTCCCCTTGCCTCACGTGCGTCGAGGAATCAGCGACTTGGCCCCTGACGCGGACACCTCAGTCGCCTAACCCCCTAAAACACATTGCCGTGGCTGCTGCTTCAGGCCCAAACCAAATTCGACTCCAGCCTCAGCCTCCCCCCCCCCCTTTCCCGCTCCCCTCTTTCCCCCCTTCTGAACGCAACTGAATCTCTCGTCCCTCTCAAAAACTGACAAACGCCTTTCCTCCAAAACAGGTCGTAGGCAGCATGGTCGGCGGCGGCCTCGGCATCTACTGGACAGCCAAACACGGCGATTTGGGTGAGGAGGCCGAAGTGGACGCTGAGGTCAGGGAGGAGGAGGCTGTCAAGGAGGCGGAGGACAAGAAGGGGGAGGAGGTGGAGGTGGGGGGATGAGGATAAGTGAAACTGTACTGTACGTACCTAAGGCTCTGAGTTTATAGCCTGGCGGCGTGTGTGCGGTAGGTGGGTGTGGGAAAGGGTGTGAAGGGTCTTGGAGGGGTGGAAAGAGCATCGGGATAAGATGAGACGGGATGGGATTTAATGGTGCTAGGGCCGGCGTGGCGTGTTTCTTTCACTCGAGCTGAGATGTGTGGTTTCTCAGGTGGTACAGTCCCAACCCCAGCAGCAAGCGGCGTTGCGGCATCAGGTAATCTCCATAATGCATGCCGCCTTTGGGGCCTTGCCCAACGGATGCCTTGTACGACGTCTCTACAAGCCTTTTCGGACTTGGTATCTCAACCGGACTTTCCACTGCTCACGAATGATATCCATCTCTCAGGTGCAGCTAATGCCCAGTTGTGCAATGTGTGTAGTTGAGTGGGTGCCGCGGGTTGATCCTCAAGATGTCAAAAGCAGGCTGCCGCTCCAGTGACATCAGGTACAAATCAAGTACTATACGATATGAGTAAGTGGGCCCGGCCCAAAGTGGTTGCCTTCTGGGAGATACGCCTCCACTGAACGTCATGTCCATGAACCAGACAGCAAAAACAGTTCTTTTCAACGGAGCAGAAAAGTACACTGAAAGCCCCCTCCAAACCACCCACAAATTTCGCAGAATTGGATCGTCTGGCTATGCCATATAGCGTATATACGGCCTTCGTAGCCAACCGATCAAACGAGGCTGGAAACCTCCATCATCTATGTCGCAAGACCACACAAGTCAAGTCTAGTATATACACTACACCGCTGTGACACACATCAGCTCACTTCCCCCACAGCAGTTGTTGTAAACCCCGACTCCTATGGCTCAGCCCAAAGTTATGTCTTCCGTGTAACGCCACAATCCGTCACATCCGCCACCATCAACGGCTATCCTATCAGACCTACCTTGGCGTGGCTGCTCCAGGACGGATAGAAGGGCTAGATACTTCACATCAGAAGGTCGATGGGGGCGAATCGCAGGAGGAACCGGACTCCCACTTCCGCACTTCCGACATCCATGTGAGGATGTCCGCTCAGCGCTTCCGGTGCTGAGACGCGTCCTTGGATTGGAATGTATGTTGCGGTTCCTGCAGCGGAATTTCTTGGGGGGATACGGGTGGGTATAATGCCAAGATTCAGGTCTACCGTAATGGTTTGACGTCTTTCTGGCTTTCGCACTACGAGGCTGTATCGATTGATTTCCTAGAGAAGGGGGGTCTTCTGAGTATCAGGTGCTTTTCCGTGAGACATGGGTTTGTTTTTAATTTGGGAAAAACGATCTGCATGCTAAGAGCTTTCGAACAGCCCCAGGAGCGTGTCGAGGGTTGGCTGACCAAGGTACAATACTAGCCACATAAAATGGAATGGTTGTCGCAACTCGGGACTCACCGTGGACGTGCCGGAAGGTCTCACAGGCCATTTGAACTGGGTTTTTCTTTCGAGGGACTCACGGCGCGTCAATGGAGGCACATCGAACGTGGATGTTCCTAGAGTCTGCATGAAAACTTGAGTCCGGCGTCTTCAATTAATTCATGTTAGTGCTTGTGATGTGGCAACGACGATCTCGAAAGGAGAACGCTTTGGATGATGACCAGGCCGGTCGGACTCGGGCTTCACTCAGGAACATGGTGTAGCTGGAGAGTATACCGCCCTTTCCTGCTATTTGCAGCGTTTGGCGCTGCGTAGAGTACATCATCAGACAACTCGTGAATCGACAGAGTTGATCAAGCGGGCGCTTGGTCCGACCATGAATCGTGTATGACGTTCCATTTGCCTCTGAACACGTACTAGTGTAGTCTGTGAGGCGACAACACCGAACGATATTCAAAGATCGTTCAAATAACTGGGACGAAGCATTTTACCCACTTTGATCAGCCGTCTGGGCATGAACAAAGTCAGAGAGTCTGAGAAGCAGTGAGCTTGAATCCAACGCTCGGCTACCAGCTCCCATCTGGTGTCTTTGAAGTTGATCAGCCCAAGGATTGTAGACGGTCGAAGACGCTCGGGTGTTGGGATTGCGCTAGGACATTCGCCGGATGCGTCTCACTGGAACGATAGCCAGCGCTTACCCGCTCTAGACTGAGCACCATGGTTGTGAGCCGCTCAAATTTGGAAATGGGAGTGTTCTTCTGAGGTTCACTTCACTTTTCCAGCCGTTGATCAACCTAGGAGGTACAAGGTGCACGGCATATACCCCTTGATGTTCAAGTGACAACGGCACCCCGAGAAACCAGGTTTTCCCGTCCAAGCTGTCGAACTCGTGTTCTGAATCTCTCAGCGCCGAAAGTTTGCGGTATCAGTAGTGGCAGTATTTCGATGGACTCGCGCGTTGGTGATGTGCTTTAGGCTTCCGACCTAGCGTTTTGACCTCGCGGAGACGCACGCACAAGACGGAAGGGTAGACTCCCGATCCGCCTAACTTTTGTAGTGGTAACGCCAGCCCCAGAGCCAGGCGTGAGGCGACCGTCTGACGACCCGGCGCTGGGAAATGGTGATCTTGAGATGGCCAGGACATCCCTACGAGATAGGACAGCGTCTGTCGATAGTATGTTGCTTCGTAGCGATAGTCCTTACATCAGGGATGTATGTTCAGCGGCACGTATTAGGGCTTTTCGTCGAGTGGGGTGCTTTAACGAGGCTTTTGTGTTTAAGGAGGACGGTACCAGGGGCATGACAGCGGACTGGAATCGGAGTGAAGTCGGTGTGTACGTCTGGTAATCGGAAGTGCTGTCAAGGGACATGCAGCTCACTCTGGCCTGGAAGAGCGCTTGTAGCTGCTCTATTGACAAGCAAAACGAGAATAAGAGCAACAAAAGATGAGGTTGGGCCTAAATCCATACGCAGACACACTTGCGAGGCTCTCACGCCATCAAGACAGAGCAGCCCTGACCGCGCCCACAGAGCGAGATAATGGCCGCCGAAGCAAAAGGAGGTCAGAGAGCATACTTTGCTCCTGCTGCCTATCGGTAACCTTCGAGTAGCGGGTCCTTGGGGGGGGCAGCATAGGGCTCTACGGCTGCTTAGAGCTTCTTCCCGGTCGTTGAGACTTTCGCTTGTTCCTGACGCCGGAAGCAAGCATAGAGTGTCTCTCTGTTGGTCCCAGCCGGCTACAATGACCGCAAAGCAAGCAACCCCGTATTCCCCTTTTGCTGACCAGGAAGTTTTCCACCAACGAGTTTCACCGAGTGCTTTTTTTGCAAGAAACAAAACCTTCACATCCCAATAGGTTTTTTGGCTTTTGATGAATCTCCCACCCGGTCGCCAGGACGCGTAACATCAGAGTTTTTGCGCATTGGGCCAGCAGCAAACCTGTCTCGATTCTAACCCCCGGGGGGAAGAGCAGCGGTCTCCACAGGTGGAAAAAGGGCAATCGCCAGCAAGGTTGTCGGTAGGCACAGCCCTCCTGCACGTAAAGGCAAGATTGCGTTACCTCAATCATCCGACGGTGGCAAGCAACTCGGCCCCCTCTTGCTGTAGATCGTTTACCAACGGGAAGCTATCGTTAATACAAACGTCGAGGTTTCTTTAGTCATTACTCGGCTGTGACTGGGTTGACGGCGGCTACTGCCGCAAGGGACTTCGTTCTCACTCGACGCCAATGACGGGATCCTGGGTGCGAAATGCGCCGAGGTTCGCCGAGCAAGCCCTCGCTCTCGTCAGAGGAGGGGTAGCTAAGGTGAGGCAGGGGGTTGAGTGTGGAGGCAGCAAGGAGTCGTCGACGAAATCGAGCTCATCCTTTGCTTGAGCCGCACATCAATAGCGTAATAAAACAAGAACTCGGCTTGCTGTTCAGGAGTAATGACATGTAACAGGGCCTGAGGCCCCCATGGTTCATTCCTAGCGTGCGCAAGGCCACCGCGCCGGCTTCAGAGTGCCGCGGAGTTGCTGTGGTCTCTCGCGCGATCTGAGGCGCTCGCGCGGCCAACGCTTGTCGAACTAAGATGAAACGTATGACTCGTCTTATTGACAACACCTTTGCTATGGCTACAGTCACTCCCATCTCGCATGGTTGATGCCCGTTAACAGTCCTCTGATCACCTGCCTTACGCAGCCATGGACGAACCGCCCCTCCTATGCAGTAGCTAGCCACAAGAGTAGTCGGCGGGGTTTGGGGCGATGCTGTCCTCTCGCTCCTGTGCCCCTCCGTCACTTGACCCAGCCGCTCCTAATGTCTGATGTCTTGATGTCTGATGTCTGGTAAACTCATGATCCGTGCACCCCGATCCGCCTCTGATTTGCAGGCTCATGCCAACTCCTTTTGTCATGCCATCCCCACCTCATTCGCCATCTCCTTACGCATAATCATGAAACATATCAGATGAACCTCCCCATACCGTATTAGCAATGGTAGCAAAATAAATCACAATAGCCTTCCCAAACCCCGTGATGCTTTTGTTGGCCGTCGGAATCATTTCGGAGCGTTGATAACAGGCTCTTGGTCGAACAAGGCATCAGTAAAATATATGTACGCAGAAGTGAACTTCCCAGCGCAGTGACAAGCGCCAGACAGGTGTGAGTCCCCGCGCCATTTCGCAAGATAGTACCATTTCCCTCATAAGCTGACGTGCCCGCATACGTTCCATCTCTCCCGGACAAGACCCCAAGAAGATGGTTCTGCTGCCGTAGAACTTTCAGTGATGTTGCCCATACGCGACACGGGACTGTCTTTAGCAGTCGATATCACAGATTTGTAGCTCTTGCGGCAAGCTGCCCTTTATTAGCTCACAAGGAGGATATCGGAGGCAGTCTCATTTGATGTCATGGCTGAGAATGGTTCGTTGTTGACCACTGAGACAGTTGGGCTGGGTTTTGACCGTAAGACGGCTGATGGAGCTGCGAGCTCGCACCGTCACCATAGTATGGTGCGCGGCCAGCGTACAATTGCGCGTTGGCCTGTCCAGATTCGCGCCGGTCCTCACCAGGTCGGTGGCCGTCAATAGGTGACGCGGTGGAGCCCATACTGTAGCCAGGTCGGTAGCTCAGGTTGGTTCGGTTCTCCATTGACACAGGACTCAGATTGCTGATCGGGCGCTGCAGATTTGGTGGAGGGTACATCATTGGTTGAGATCGATCACCCATCAGAGGAGGCATCGTAGCCGAGGTTGGAGTCTTGGAGTCGTAGCCACGGTTATAGCTCGCATGGTCATATGAAGCATACTCAGTTGGTCGTTGCCCAGACATCTGAGGCGTAGCAACCGGTGTCTGCAGGTAGCTAGACTGCATGGGCGGCACGCCAGCCGAGTAACCGCCACTGGGAGCTTGAGAGATCGGAGGGTAGTACTGAGCCATTGGATATGGTGCGCGATAATCCTGAACATAGGCCTGATGACCCATGCCATACCGGTAAGCGTTCTGGCCATCACGGATTCCGTCCACCTCTTCCACCTCTTCTATCGGCGATCTGAAGCTTTGCTTGGAGGTCAGCTCTGGGCGCGGCCGAATGTACTGGAGATTTTCGGTTTGCCCCGGTGTTCGCAGGTTATTGGCGATGACATCGTGCACGTTGTAATAGCTGACTAGATGGTGGGTCACGCCTTGAACAGTCACACTCATGGTTTTCTTGACCAAGCCATCAGGTTTGAAGCCGTAGCTGTCGATCAGTGATCCAATGAGCTGCCGCTCGACCTCAGTAGGCGTTCTCTCATTGCTTCCAAAGGACCCGTTCTCGCTGCCAAGGGAGCCGGGATAGGGTTCGCCAGGTCGACTCGGGCGGCGATTCTGCTTCTTCATGGCGCGCTTCTTCTCGCCCGGAGGAAATGGCTTGTCCAACTCTCGATAAACGAGAAAATTGCCGAGAATGCGCGATGGACTCCAGGTAACACCATCAGTCCATCGCTTGATGCCTGAAGCGTTTTCTTCGTAGATGAAGACAGAGCCGCTGCGAATGAGGGAGCTGCGCTCCCGATCGTGAGGGCGTCGCGGGACATGAGAGAGATGACCTTGGAGACATGCTTCGAATAATACAAGAGCGTCCTGGGTAGTTGAGACGTGGCCTTGAAAGGTCGGTTGCAGAGCAGCACCTCCGGAAGACATGATAGCGGTAGAGAGCTGCGAGCGCAGTTGAGGAGATTATAGTTCGCAGGGCTGTCAGCAAGGTATGCGCACAGCCCAGACTTTACCGGCGAGAGCAAGGACTGATGGTTTGAGCTTCTAGTTCGAAGCGAAACTCAAAGAGCAAGATGTGCAACGACTAGCTTTGAATAAAAGCCAGCGCGAAGAAACACCTGCAGGACAAATCCGGCGACTGAGGGAGATGAAGCAAGTGAGGCCAGTGAACAGAAATGACCGGCTGTGTCGTCGATATTTGATGGATCGCCAGCCACGATTGAGGATAACAAATGACGAGATATACTGTTTTGGCGAGGATCGATGGTCGATGGTCGGACGGGCAAAGGGCCCCTGGTGGAAGCCACCTAAATCAACGCAGGCTTTTTGGGAACCCGTCTGGGGAAGTGCAAAGTTACGTGATGGGGCCTGGAGGCCTTTCTGGCACCTGAAGTCGTCCCCGTAAATCAAGGTTGACCGAATTAGGAGGCTGTGTGTGAAGAGCTCGAGCTTATAGTGAGGGGCCAACAGCCAGACCCAGAGGGGAGATGAGGCAACCCTGATAGACTTTCGGAAGTAATGGAAAGAATGAGTTCCCTGACTGAGTTCGACGGGGGGGAAAGCAGACGAGTGCTTGTAATGTTGTGGTGCGCTTGTTTGTGCGGGTCCAGAGGAGCTTCGTGGTAGAGTTGTGAGGGAGGAGCGGGCGCTACAGGTTTCTGCCACGCGCCTCAGGTTTAGTGCTGGGCCAGTAAAGTCAAAAATTCGAGGTGGCCGAGTCGAGCGTTTTGAATAGTGGCAGACCGGAAGCTCTGATGGCTGCTATTGCGAAGGGAAGAGATGATGGAGCACACGTTTGTCGAAGCTACCGAGCTTGGCCCCAGAGGCTGGTCACCGGGACGATGAGGAAAGGCGATGGAAATTCTGGCTGGAGGATTGACAAGACCGCTGAGCGAGGGTTCTAAGAGTATGTTGTGCATATGCCCCGATTATTGAATAATGAATCCGTGCCAAGGTGAAGGTGGATGAGTTAGATGCAATGTGCACTGTGAATGGATGATGCGCGTGGAGAGAACAGCTGAAGGCTGTCGCCACCTGAAAAGTGCTGAGATGGTGATGTCCGTAGCTGAGGCAGGAGCGATGCGTCAGTCGTTGCGCAAGCAGCAAGCAGTGGCAATGCGAGAAGCTGAGGTAATTATGGCAGGGGGTGAAAGGCACAGGCACATATGTATGTCACGGCTTGTCGAAGGAGAGAGTCGAGTCGACTCAACGTGGACGAGATGATGTGTTTTGGCGTGCAGTAGTGGTCGATTAGACTGTGCGTGCCTGGATGGACCTGGGTGTCCTGATCTGGTTTGGACGCGCCCGCGGGGGTGGTACGGTATCTTACGCAGCCCTTTCCGTGCGAAGAAAAAACCAAAATCAAGAGCGACGAGAGATGGTGTTGAGAATGGCGTGGAGATGGTGAAGGCGGCTGGATGCCGAGGTGTGGACTGGCCCTGCGCTCCCTGTCCGCGGAGTCCCTTGTGACAACCGACCGAGGAATTGAGGATCACTCCAGGGGGGCAAAGGGCTGCGCGCGCCAGACCCGGGTGTGTGAAAAATTACGCAAATTTCCACGGCGAGGGACGGCAAAGACGGTTAGCAAATTCAGCGTGCGAGACCCAACAGCCTGAGCAGCTCGGGACGGGAGGACGTGCCCAGGGACTTCAGCCGGCGTCAAGAGTCAAGCCTGACGGCCCACTCGCTTTCTTCAGCCCTGGTCCGTGCAATTGCCCCAAACGAGACTAGTAGAGGCAGATTCACACATTCTACAGTCCTCATTACTCCGTAGGGTGCGACGGTCGCTGTCATCAGTGATGGAATTCCGCCGAGCTGGTGCAGCTCATGATGCTGTCACGATGCGTACTAAGGGCGGGGGTTGAAATTGCTAGGGGCAACAACAAGGGGTTAACAGGCGTTAAGTCGCCTGGGTCGCAAGCTTCAGAGCCCGATGTAGCTCAGATCGTGGTCTCGTCGATCCGTATGCTTAGGCCACGGCAGCCAAAAAGTATAATGGCTACTGGTATACACTGCCCTATTGTCGCCGCGCTCAACGATACTTGTCCCTATAATGAATGGCAGGTGGTAAAGCCCGTCCATTCTTCTGTGCGATGGTGATGAAAGCGCAAATTTCGGGCATGCGTCATGACCCAGCACACGTCAGGGTAGTCGACTCAGGGCACAGCTGTTGGTCGCAGACGCGTAGTGGGGTCGGACGCAACTAGTTGTCAGAAGCCCGTGAGCCATTATTATTCTCGGAATCAGGGGCGGCTTGCAAGCTGAGACGATACCACGGGCCTCCGGCGGCGTCAACACGCCTAGAGTGTCCCGCCGGGATGGTTCCCCCTCCAGCCTGTTCAGTGTCCATCGTGTTGCACTTCAGCGCCGTACCGGGTACAGTGCTGCACATACTTGTTAGGCGCAGCGGAACCGCGATCAACTCGAAGTGGCCAGCTACCGAGAAGAGTCTAGCGACACAAGCGATGGGCTCGTCCACCTCCCAAGATGACAAGATGCAGTGGTGCAGACGAGATTGGGCAGATTCGCGAATGAGCTAGGACAAAGGGCTCTGAGCAGCAAATCAGCGGCTGACCAGGCCAGATCTGCCGTATTGGCGCGCGGGCGTGACATGAGAAAACCGGCCAGGGGGCTCCAGCACTGCCACTGCCACCCCCGCTAGGCACTGGTCGCTCGCCTGCCAGGGAGGAAAGACGGTCATGCTACGGAGGGTGTGACAGCCGTATTCTGCCGATCTGCCCCAACCGAACATTGCCGTACTCCACCTGGTGTTACGTTCCGTTCGGCATCAGTACTTTCAGCTTCAGCTGTGATCTGAGAGCATATACGGATACACACGGAGGTGGGTGTTCGTAATGATGATGATGGTGGTGTGAAAGGAAATCCCGCTAGAGAGCAGCAGTGCAGGTGCGAAGGGGTATGGTGAGGATCCAAGGCCCGTCAGCCGCGTAGCAGCCCCCGGACTAGAGGCACCCGCCTGTTTCTCAAGCGAGGGGTCTAGACTGACCTCATGTACGCGTACGGAGTCCCTGTGTATGGAGTACTGTCCTCGGTACGGAATCCAACTCTCCTCCCTGGTACTTGTACACCGCCAGCATCCCTGCTTGGGCTGAGGTGCGTCGATGGCTTGCGGCACCTCTGGTACCGACAGTCTGGTAGACCCGTTGAGGGATGCGTGACCCATACTCGTACCATCAAACACTGTTTTGCCTCACTCGGGCCCTTTTTTCCTATCCTTTGCTCCATGACCGCACCCGTATCCGTACCCTAGATCATCGCAAAGAGGTCCACCAGGAATGGCGACTTGCAGCTGCATGTTTCTCGATCGCTAATCAATTCTTGGAGGGTGGAGTGCCTTGGATAGAATGGAGCTTAGTGAGTATAGCAGCGGTATTTGCCTTGTTGGCACGCGGAGTGGTGGACCATGCAGGCCGTGATTCGGGACCGGTTTCCGCGTTGGCGCCATGCCGACTACTCCAAGGCCAGCGGTGCAGATGTTCTTGGACGCATCACATGCAGCGGTCCAAGGGTCCTGAAAACTTGGTAAAGACCGAGGTGCAATGCAGGCGCAGCAGTGCCTTCCCCACTCCCACGCAGACCACTGCAGCTGCCGGTGCCTCGAAACGAGCGTTGCAACATTAGCTTCGTCTGCACGACAAAGCTTGGTACTATAGCCAAGTCTGCCAGCCACCTTTACCCCCCGCTCCCTCGCGTCGCTTTGCCTCCAATTGAAGTCCCTGCGCGCGAAGTTTGGTGATAATCGCACCTGCAGGCCACCAGAGCCGTTGTCTTCGGAGGGTCTCCAAAGGGTCACCATGAAGGGATAGTTCGCTGCACAGCATCCGAGGTGGGAAAGTAATTCCCTCCCTCCTTCATCGGCTGTCACTTGGCCCATCGTGCAGCTATCTGCCATGCCTTGCTGCACCTCGCGACTGACATGATCGCTAGAAAGTCTATTTCCTTCTCCAGTCTAGTCGTCTTACGACGCGATTCCTTTTCCTAGTTCCAGGTACTCTGTACGTACAACAAGCGCTCGGTACCCATATTCATTTTCGCCCCTGCTGGACAAGGATGCTGGACGATGGATGCCGTGTCTTAGGGTAAGCCCTTGACTCAGCATCCGGCTACCCAGAACCGCCAGGCCATTCTGCCCGATGTCGTCGCCGTGGTGTGCGGGCACGCCAAGATCTGCCGATAGACTTTCTTGAAGCGCAGGAACGCCTCGACCTACTTTGGCGAACGCAAAGTCTTCATGAGGCCTGTGCAGCCACCTACCCGAACTCCGGGGTTCATCGTTCCCCCCCCGAACCCTAACGCCCCGCGACTCGACTCGGTCAAGCGTTGTCGGCTATCAGGCGTGCTCCAAATGCTATTCAGCTGTATCGATTTCATGCTGACGACTGCTGCGTCCTTTTCCATCAACTATGCCGCTGCCTCCGGTCGATCGCTGCAACCTGTGCCGTTCACTCAAGGTTTTGATCTGCGCTTTGATCGCTCCTGACTTGCAGGCGTTTCGCTTGTCCACCTAAGCTTCGTCACGCGCAGACACACCAACCCTGCTCCAATGTTATCTGACTTTGTCCTCCGGCGGTATGCAAGACCCGAACAGGGGCAAAAACGAACACAAATGGCTGACAGAACACGACTGAGGTTCGTCGGACCCACTGCAGGCCGCCAGGGCCGCCCGCGAGATCGATTTTTGCCTATCAAGGCACTATGTCGGCTACCCATCATTGGCTCCTAGCAACTTGCAGTCGATGCTGTCGCTGTCGCTGTCGCTGCCGAGGTCGCAGTCTGGCTCCTGCGCATAAGCCAGTCTTGTCGCTGCAGGTCTCTTCAGCCCGGCGTTGCTCTCTCATCTTCAGGTCGCCTGAACCTTCCTCTACTTGAAAAAAGGTACACAGATCAAAGTGGTGGTGCGATAGACTCGAGCTACGAGTCATGCAGGTGGACCACCCCACTCGATGCTGACCCTACAATATGAGTTACCCGATCTTTGTCGAGCCCCTTGCGCCAGCATTATTCCGACACTGGGCACAAAGTGGTACCAACCGGTCCTCGTTTCTTTCCACCAGCCCAAAAAGGTTGGAGAATAACTTTCCGCATAAGCGACTGTGCCACCAATGTCGCATATGTTTGCAATCAAGCTACTTCCTTGTCAGGTTTGACACATCCCCGAGTCTCATTCCACCTCGACGGTCCACCTTCATCGCATTGGCAACGCCGAGCTACAACCTCGTCCTCCCCGTTTCCGATTCAGGCAATATCAACATACCGAGCAAATTGATGGCAGAGACTCATTCATTACCGAATCCACTAGTAAACCAAGGCAGCCTTCTAGTGGCGACCATTGACTCGCCAGGCATCCGAATAGTTATGGGCACAATATCTTGAAACTCTGCAAAGACATCGTCGGATCCCACCTGGTCAAAGTGTTTCCTCCCTTGCCGTCGGTCCTTTGCAGCACTAGCTTTTGAGGCTGGCACGCGAATAATGACACCGCATTCCCAGTTGCGCATGGTGAGTTTCGCCGACGACCGAGTGGAGTTGTCGGATCTGACAGGCGGACCGGCTCTTCCCCTTGTGTAATCTGTCAGTTCAGACGATCCAGAAGAAAGCGTGGGCAGGCTGCATTCTTCTTGGGTTGCAACGAAAAAAACTTTCCCCAGAAAAAGACTTCCTAACTGCTTGACCGACGGGCGCCTCGGGCCCGACAGAGTGGGAGACGATTTCCACATTCCGCGCAAAGTGAGAAAGCAACGTTTGATGGACATCGAGATACGACCGTAGCGAAAAACACAATCGGACGGGGATGGGGAAGCCAAGAAAAAGACAGAAAGCACGTACCAGGCACTCTCGCTGCAATTTGCACTCCCCACGTAGACCCAACCCATCGCGCCTTGCGTCGCATTGACACCGACAGCCGCACCGTCGCTGATCCGCAGATAGTCGTTCCCTCCTTGATCAGCATACCGCACCAAAATGAACTTGCTGTGGCCAAGCAGACCCTCCCGGACGCTCACCGCATCTCGCACCACCTCCCGAGGGAAGTCCGCCTTGTCCCACCACTTCTCCTGAAAGCAGATGGTGCCTGCGCCGTCCGGCCCGCCGCGCGACGCCTGCACCGTGTCCGAGGAGGGGAAGTAGATGCGCAGGTTGTTGCGCCATGGCTGCTGCTGCTGCTGGTCTGCCTCTTTCGAAGACGACGACCAGGGCATCCTCACGACCTTCTTCAACTTCAAGTTCTCTTTCTTGCCCATCTCGACACCGCGGATCGCGCTATACAGCCGCGAGACGTACTCGGGCGTCAGCGCCCCGAGGCTGCTGGTCGCGTAGTCCACTTGCACTTGCACTTGCACTTGCTCCTCGGGAGTCGCCGTGGCAGCACCACCGCTGGCCGGACACTGTAGGCCCAGCTCTCTGACTGCGGCGCTCAGGCCCCATAGGCCTGTGCCGTCGCGCTCGTCTACATCAGTAGAAGTAGAACCAGTACTGCTGGTCGTAGTGCCGCTAGCATCGACGTGAAACCCCGCCACCGAACTCACAAATGCCAGGCCCTCGGTTTTCGTGAAGTCGACGCTCGCCAGCTTCCACAGCACCTTGACCGGGACGTCCTGGGCGGTTAGGAACGCAAACAGGCCACGCTCGAATGGGGTCTGCTGCTTCTTCCGCGCTTGTGTCGGCGGCTGCGCATCTTTGCCCTGTGCATCATCATCATCATGGTCCCCACCACCACCACCAGGCGCCGGCGCCAGCATCGGCAGATCGATGACAAAGACCAGATTCTCCATCACGGAGCCCACGCCCCAGTCATGCGGCACGAGGTTCCCCGTCGGCACCACGACCCTACAGCGCCCGTGCGCCCATCTCCCATCATCATCATCATCATCATTATCCTTCTCTTCCGCCGCAGCAGCAGCAACACCCTTGTAGAACAGCACCATCAATTTGCTGTGCATGGTGCCATGCCCCAGCATCCCGCCCCTCGCAGCAGGGAAGACGAGACGCACATTGGGGATGCCCTCGAAGCCGGCGCGCAGCTCGGCGCGGTGGGGCCCGCTGTGCGTGTGCAGCACGAACACGAAGTTGGTCGTGGCGGTGGAGAAGTGCGGGAGGAGCCAGTCGAAGTCGATGGTGAAGGAGGAGAGGAGCGCGGAGGTAATGGAGGAGGGGTCGCCGAGGAGGGCGGGGAAGGTGATTGTGTTTGAAGGGGTGGAGGGGGAAGATGAGGATGATGTTGTTGTTGTAATAGTAGTAGTAGTAGCGTGCGCCGGGGAGTGGGTTTTGAAAATCTTGCCGTGAGGGTAGTATTGGGGTTGGGAGGGTGAGGTTGTGGATCCCGTGGTTTCGGCCATTGTCTTTGCTGATTTTGCTGGTTGAGCTGGCTTCACTGGCGAAGAGCCCGAAGAGCGTTCGCGGCGGTTGATTATGGGGGGAGAGATAGATCTCATCCCTGTAGTGAGGTCCGTGCCACGTTTATCGGCCGCCTTGGGGCGCTTGCTGCCAAGGCCTGTAGTAGGATGAGGCTCTGCGGCGGTCTGAGTATTGAATGCTGTGGAAGGCACATTCGTGGTAGGAAACGGATCGGCTTCGGCATCCCGCTTTCGCTTCAGCCTCGCCAGCCGCTCTGCCTCCATCGCTTTACGGTCCAGGCCGAGGAAGCCAAGGGGTCCTTCTGCTTTCGTAGAAGTCTTGGGTGCTGTAGCTTCAGGCGGGACAGCCTCGTGTGCACCTGCCACTGGCGCTCGCTGGTGCTCATTATCGCTCTTCACATCTTCATGGTGCGCGCCCTCAGCATCCCTCAGGATCTCCTCTTGATGGCTCTCCAGACTCAGCGCGATGGCCCTCTTGAGCTCCTCGTCTTCATCTTCATCCGGGTCTTGCTGTCTCGCCATTTCTACTCTTCGGTCAATATGTGCCTGTCCTTGCGTCAAGTCGACCTCCTGGCGCAGCTGGACTGGCAATGTCAGAGGCCGATTGGGGCCCGGTCCACTGACAACAGGCTGTCCGTAATTGTTGATGGAGGCCCGAGCCAGATTGGAAGCTTTTGTGCTCAAAAATGCGGAAGATAGCGACGGATCCGTCTCAGTCTCGGGCTCAGAGTCCGAAGAGAGGGAAATGGCGTCGGAGGGGTCCATTTTGATGGTGCCAAGTGTGATGTCGTACAATCCAGGGAAAGGTCGAACGCTCGCTGTCGTGTGCAGCCAACGCTGACTTGGTGTTGACACACTGCCTCTGGGGCGGTAGAAAGAACCCGACTTGGCAGGACGCTGTATGGCCGCCTTAATCGGGTATGAAAGGGACAAAGACAATCGCTGATCGCCTACGAAACTCCTAGGAACGCCGGCGAATAGGTGAAACAGAACACTCGATCTTTGCGTGGCATGCGCTTGTACCATTCCAGAGAACAAAAACTGGCAAAATACCTGAACTGGATGTAGTGTTGCTGATGGGATGGCAAGGCTGCCTGTTGCCTCGATGCCAAGACGTGGCTTGAGAGACTCGAAATTGAAGAAAGGTGTCCAGAATGGCTCTTACTATCTCATAAGACCGAAGCTTCCCTTGCTCATGCCCTGCTGCAATGATGTGTCCATGGATACCGACGCACCGGACGGGTGCCTGCGCTTGCTGGCGATGCGACCAGCCGGGATAAGCGCGTCACGTTCCTGACTCCGCGGTGGAAGCGACCACTTCGCTCGGATCAATTCAAGTAAGTTGAAACTCGACACGTAGATGCCAGAGGGGAGCGCCGAATCCAGAACGTACAATCTTGGGGGACTGGGAGCTCGGAAGTTGCACAGAAAAGTTGTCTGTTCCGCGGCGAGGGCCTTTGAGGCTGCACGGTTCCATGTTGTCCCTGCGGGCAGCCGTAAACATCCCGATATTCTGCCTCAGCAGACGTCGATCACTTTGTCCACGCAGCAAAGCGACAAGGGCAGCGGTGTGACAGAAAGGGTACAAATACAGTGAACAAGAGGTAGGAGCATCGCAATGAGGAGACAGCATGTTGTAGTTGCTCTAGTTGCACTCATGTGGTACATCCCGAAGACGCATATACGTCAAGGCAGTCTCAGTGTGTGGAGCTCAAGCTCGCGATTAGCAGTACATTGCATATGCTTGTCGCTCTTCCGGGACCATTGACACCTTTTTCGACGACTGTCGATGCACATAACCGTACCGACAGCTTGCGTCGGGAGTTGTTCTGCATTGGAACTGCAGAGCTCAGCAGATCTAAAACCCCGTTTCCCTTCGCGCAACGCAGCCTGGCGCGAAACAACAGTTCGAGTCAAGACAAGGATATCTCTGTCAGGTTTAATTCTGCCGCATCAAGTGCTTGAAGACGAACCATGTCGATCAACTTGCTGAGCTGTAGGTGTGCGGTGAATGAACCCTGGGTATGTAAACGACTTGCCGCAAATTCTCTGGATAAGGAAGACCAGGGCGAGGGAAGCTAAGGACGATTGAACAAATGCAGCAGCAAGGCGAGGCAACCACTGCGCAGTGTGTATCGTGACACGAGCCTGCTCACAGGCAATTGTCGACTACCGTCCAGTAAGCCGGAATTGAACCTGGGTCTGCAGATCCAGCCAAACCTCCCATGTAGCCAAGTCTGGGCCTGCCTGTGTAGCAGGGTCTGGGCAATTTTGTATCAGCTTGGACAAACCAGCATGTCCGTGTCGTCGAAGTTGTGACGGCCAGCGCCTAGGGTATGGAGAAGAGCTTTATTTAGCAACGAGCAGCGCAGCAAGATCATTGTATCAGCCACTGCTTTGTCTCGACGAAAGCTACCCTTAACGAATCCATCTTTCAAAACGACGGTGCCATGTAGCTAGACGAAGTCAACCATCGAAGGCTACTGACGAATCCTTGGCGACGTTTCTGGATGCAGATACAAGGTGAAAGGCGCTGTGGTGGGCGATGGAAGGCCACAAAAGGGTCAGTTGCCCACACAACAGACACGTAGAACACAATGCAAAAAGCACAAAAAACACCACCACTTTGCACATGTTTGGAATCGAACTGTCTGACAAGCCTTGTCACTCCGACTTTGCTGAGATATCGGAAATGGCGTCCTCGTCTCCGTCATTCTCCCACAAGCAGTTCTTGACACGCCTCGAGTGTACCCGGCCACATGCTCACTCACTGCTAGCGAAGTTACTGCTAGGACCAAGAACTAACTAATGTAGCTCATGCCACTACGAGCTTGTTGTCTTGAGTGGTCTAATAGATCTTCGACCACATACGAGTCGACGAGATAAGTGAGGCGCCTACCGTAGTAGACTCCCCATTATCGTATCACACAGTGAGACCATGTCGCCAGCGGAGTCACAGCTAAGGCATACCATACATACTACAGACCTCCAAAAAAGCAAAAACTCAAAGTCGATGTTTGAGAAACCTTTCCGGAGTCGTTAACCGGGAGGTTTTTTTCGGTCTTTCGAAGACGGCGCCCAAATTTCACACTTGATTTCCGCGCACCCTCATCCTTTTCCACCACCCCTGTACACATCAGGTGCCAGCAGCCAGAGCAACTACGTCGAGCTCACCAGACGGGCGAGGAGCAGAGCTCAAAGAACTTCTATTCCCATCTGGCAGGTGTTTTAAGCCCCACTCGGAAAGTTGACTTACCCGGCACTGACACCAAATTTTCCCCTTTCTTTTTCCTTTTCTCGAGTAAGAGTGTCGATATCGTTTGAAGTCGGTATCGGAGGAGGAAGAAGAAGAAGAGCGAAATTTGGAGCCCGCTAGATTTCAACACCGGTTGAAGAAATCATGACCTGAGGCTCTGAGAACAGAGCCAGTAAGCGGTAATTCCGGTGCTGGTTGTTGGGGGAAAAGTTGGAATCTCTAATATTTATACATCAAATGAGGTTTGGGTAAGGTGGCTGCTTAGAGGGGGAGGGGAGTGCGAGGCTGCGGGGGCGGCGGCGGCGCCTGAGGTTGCCTTGTTAAGGCGGCCGTCCCGAACTTTTGAGTTTGGTGCACGCAACCCTGGCTTACATGCGCAAGGGTATTTAATTACTCTGATTGATTCGCGATTCCTTCTCTGATCCAAGCACAGAGTCTTGAAGCTGCTCGTGAGTTTCAGCCGCAGCGAACGCAGGGGAAAATCGAAACGGCTCACAAATCCTCCGTCGGCTACAAAACATCGGTCAGAAGATGCCACTACCAAACCACTCGAGATATGATGTCGCAAGAGAGTCGGTCGTCACGCATGCACGACAGGTATGGATACGGTCATTCAATCATTACCGCTGGTGACGAATATTGGACTACGTGCATGCAAGTCTCCGATACGCCCAACGAGACGCCGATAGGGTCGCGAACGCCGAACGTTCCATCTACATGTGTCGATCGAGGCAGGATTGCAACGACCCGATCCAAGCATCGTCAGCTTTGCTTCTGTAGGACTCGATTCCTCTCTGACCCCTCGATAGGTGGTCAGGTGCCACCTACCACACCAGCGTCACCGTAGGACTACTCGCGAGGCACGATGAATGAGGAAGTCTGCGGAACACTACCCCAGAACACATGCCTTGGCTAACGGCACTGGCACTGAATGCACAGCGCAGTAGACTATCAAGGCCTCCGTCACCTCGGCCGTAAAGAAGCAATGTGGTTCTGCCAGCGTAGTAGCTTTAATGGCAGTGACCTACCACAGCCGTAGCGCTCATCGAAGTCGGGGCCGGAACGAAGTCGGGTCTTCATTTCAGCAAGTATTGTCTCGTATTACTGACCCGGTGGTTCTGCAGTTGACGCTGACTGCTCGGGAAGACTCAACCTTCGTCTACCGCATCCTGACTGTCGTGCTAGCTGCTCGGCTGTCCTGATCAGATCAACCCTCACAAGCCGCCGGTCTTGACTAGCTCGTGCAGCCTGATTTCGTCGCTGTTACAAAGAGCTCCTCTGCGTCCAAGAGTCGCGATCATCTTCGGCTCGTGCTACCGAAGCCAGTCGACTCATGTCGACTGCCCGAATAACTGGGCGAGGAGGAAGAACTCGACGTTCTGGGCGACATGTTGACACCAGTACGTCCACCTCCTCCGAAAAGCCCGCCTCCGTTTCGTTGTGTTGCTGCTGGCTGAGTGCGAGTGTTATTGCGACCGCCGGCGAAGTAACCAGCAGCCGCACCGGTAGCAGCACCTGTCCAGAACCCAGGTCGCCATGGCTGTTGCTGCGGCTGCGAGGAGCTCGGGCGCGTGGATGTAGATGAGCGAGGAGCAGACTTCTTGGAGGAACCGTAGTTGCGCGGGTATGGGTCATACGGCGGTGGCGGGTCATCGTCGTCATTGTCTCCTCCGCCAAAGCCACCCCAGGTAGTGGGCGGTCGCCGCGGTCCTTGCTGATCCCTCTGTTGCCACTGCAGAAAGAGGCTGCTTAGAATGATGAAAGCGACGGCGGCGAAGGTGAGCAGGAAGATGTACTTGAACAACGTGCTGCCCTGCCCGGGCTCACCCTCGTCGAACCAAGGATCGCTCTTCCTGCCATACTTCTCCCCACCTTTGTCAGTCAGCAACAGACGGTATTCGACACCACAGCTTCCTTTGAGGACATAGGGGTCGTCGCTACTCTCGTAGCCCTCGCAAGTGACATCGGTGCTGCCAAGCTTGAACTCGTCCGGCAGCGAGGCCTTGCAAGCCCATTGCACGCTCTCAGCGTCGTAGTCTGAGCCTTCATTTGTGCAGCGCATGACATCGACCGTGAAGAGCTTGCAGACATTGGCCGGGCCAACGCATTGTAGTTGAGGCACTGGTGAGACTCTCCGGGAAGCCGTCTGCTTGCCAGCACGGACTGTGAGAGAGTTGACTTTCGAGAGCAGCACGGCGTTCTTGGGCACTTTGTTCGGATTCGTTACCTTCGCGCATTGCACCAAGGTGAGAAGCAGTAAGGCTGCAAATAGTAGGGTGGCGAGTGCCCGCGGCATTATGAACGGGTTGGCAGTATAGTGCCCGCGGGATGGGCAATGCAAGTATTGCAGATAGATATGGACATGTGTCTCGGCAGGTGACAGATTTATCTTTGCTGTGATTGTATCTATGGCTCCGCGTAAGAGGCAAGGTGGCCAGATGCAACAAAGACCAGAGACCCTGGAAGGAAACGTCGTTGCCTGAAGCCTCGGCTCGACCTGCTGCATTTTCACCCGGAAACAATAGCCGAAGTAACTGCTTCTCTTGGTACGCATGTGGCAGTGCGGTCTTCACGTCGTGGACATCGCAAGGGCACATGTGACTGAGCTCGACTGAGGTGGGTAAGCCAGTCACTTTTTCTGGGATAGTGTACAGCCTATGCTACAGTAGTGGTATCCTCGATGGTCGTTCTAGAATACAATATTCAACACCTTGCCTCCACCCACAAGCACCACTCTTTTCCGTTGCTCCCAGTTGTTCCGTTCTCGCAACCAGGTTTGACCGTCGTCTGTCCGAAGCACAGCGTCAACAACTTCCGCGACTCTCACCTCACTTGCTGTCTTGCGCCTGGCTTCTACCTCACTTGCAGTGGGGATTGCCGCAGTGAAACGTAGCTTGCCGTTGATCTGAACGGCACAAGTCATCGTTTTGTGGGACGCTTTTAGAGTCACCTCCTGCTCCTCGGAGAGAGGCGGCTGTGGCCATGGATGGTGGAATATGCTACTTGAGCTGGCGTTGCCGAGATTGTTGATATTCTCCCAGCATTCTTCGGCAAATGCTGGCGCGATTGGCGCAAGCATGCGCAGCAGCGCAGAGATGGCAACTCGAGCCACCTGAGCTGCGAGGCTGCCGACTCCAGCATCGTGGATAAGATTGGTCAGCTTGATGAGGTCTGAGATGGTCGTGTTGAGGCTGTAAATGTCATGATCGAAGGTCTTGGTCACAGACATTACGGTACTTTGAGTAGTAAGAAGAATGCTGATGTCGGAAGTGCTCAATGTGGATAGATCGAAGCTGGTAGGCATCGTGTAGTCGTCCATGCCGGTCATTGGCTGCGAGCTCAAGTCTGAGGCGAGTCGCTGAATGCGGCCAAACCAGCGCTGAACACCAACAATTTTCTCCTCATCCCACTGCAAAACCTCGCTCACAGGAGCTGTGAACAAGATGTGCGCTCGGGTGGCATCAGCACCATATTTTGTGATGCAGATGGACGGATCCACCCCGTTGTACTTGCTCTTCGACATCTTCTCGAAGGAGATGTTGGCTTGCTCGCCCGACGCTTTGACGACTGCAGTGCCAGAAGAATGGTCGACCTCTTCCGGGCGCAAGAAACGACCGGATTCTGGGTCCGAAAACGTCTTGCCGTGCACCATACCTTGTGCAACAAGCTGTTGGAATGGCTCTGCCTCGGGAGCGTGATCTGGTATCAGACCCTCGCTGCACAGGAACTTGTAGATGAATCTAGCATAGAGAAGATGGAGAATCGCATGCTCAACACCGCCGACGTAGGTGTCGACAGGTAGACGTGATGCTGCCGCCGCTTCGGAGAAGAGCTGACCATTATTGTTAGGATCCGTGAAGCGACCGTAGTACCAAGAGGAATCGACGAAGGTATCCATTGTATCAGTCTCCCTCTTTGCTGGATCCCCGCAACTGGGGCACGAAACATTGACCCACGAATCCATCTTTTCGAGGGGATTGCCCCTCTGGCCCTTCATCGAATCGTCAAGTTGCGGCAGACGCACGGGTAGATCTTCCTCGGGGACTGAAACGGTCCCACAAGACCTGCAGTGAATTATTGGGATGGGCGCTCCCCAATATCGCTGGCGTGAGACGAGCCAGTCTCTCAGTCTCCAGGTATCAAATCGCTCCGCATGTCTTGCTCCTTTCGGCCCAAAGCCCGTAAGGTCCGATGTGATCTGTGCAGCCGCTGCCGTACTTTCCATGTCGGCGTACTTGCCGCAGAGGCTGGTCAGAATGCCAGGGTCTGTGTATGCTTCGGCTATCTCTCCTGGCTGCACTCTCAGCTTGGTATTCAATGATGCGGGCGGCTGAATAACAACTGGGATCTCCTCGTCAGGCCGGTGTTGTTTCCAAAACGCGAGGTCTCTCGCATCATGAGCAGGCACACCCATCACAGCCCCTTCCCCGTATCCTTCCAGTACGTATGGCGCAGCAAACACTGAAAGATTGAAATCGTCGCTGACCGAGGGTATCCGAGCTTTCAATGGTAGCGGTACACCAGCTTTGGACCCGACCTCCAGCGAAGCCTTCTCATCAATCAAGATCTGTAGCTCTGGCGACAGTGACTGGTATGCTTTGGTGAGTGAGTGAGTCAGGGCAACAGCTAGATACTTGACTCCATAGATGGTGTCTGGTCGGGTGGTGAATACATAGTGACTGGTCTCATGGCCGTCAGGATGTTGTACATCGATTCGTAAACGTGCACCGGACGACTTTCCCAGCCAATTTCTCTGTTGTGTTATCACCCGCTCTGGCCACCGACCATTCGTTGAGAGGAAATCGAGGTCGTCGAGGAGAGCTTCCTTGAATTCGGTGATAGCAAAGAACCATTGGCGCAGGTTGATCTGCTGGACCGTTGCGCCCGACCGCCACGATTTGCCATTGCTGTCTACTTGTTCGTTCGCAAGCACGGTCTTGTCTACTGGGTCCCAATTGACGAGTGCATTGGCCTGGTAGGCGAGCCCACGCTTGTGCAGCATCAGAAAGAGCCTTTGGGTGTGCTTGTAGAAAGATGGGTCACAAGTTGATATTTCCTACCGAACGCATCAGCATCTATGTACGGACATCTTTCTAACACACGTACAGCATCCCAGTCAAAGCTTGTATTCATGCTCTTCAACTGCGCCTTCATTTTTGCGATGTTTTCTTCAGTCCACACTCCGGGATCCAGGCCTCTTTCAATTGCTGCATTTTCGGCAGGAAGCCCAAATGCATCCCAGCCCGTCGGATGCAGCACACTGTAGCCTTGCATGCGTCGATATCGTGCGATCACATCGGAGATGGTGTACACTCGCAGGTGACCCATGTGAAGGGATCCGGACGGGTATGCGAACATCGGTAGGACATATGTTTTCTTTGTCCGTTCTGGCTCGCGACTCAACGGCTCCTGCGCCCATCGTTGCTGCCATTTGGCATCAATCTCGGGGAAGCTCAGGCGCGACGCGTTCCGAAGCCGAAGGCATCTTATCACGCCCACACCTTTCGACCATGGTTGCTGGAGGCGCACGCGTGGCAATTGCGGCCCCAACATTACCTAGCTCGCCCGTGCATCAGTCGAGTATGAAAGCTACCGTCGCAATCAAACTGCAGCGATGTCAAAAGTTCATCTGAGTCGGACGGTGCAAAGGTCGGAAATCAATTCCGCTGCCGAGCGTATTCCTTGGCATCCGCTGCTCCGCTTTCAACCTCACTTCACCTCAACGGCGCACACATAGGAATACGAACCACACACATTTGTGATGGCCGATATTTGGACGAATGCGATGGGAGCACAGCATATTTGGGGTTTGGAAGTCAGCGCCGGGACGGCGATGAGCTCCGCCGTTCATCTGCATCCCCTTCAGCGCTTTCGAATCCTCACCCCTGAACCGGAAAAGGAATGAGTGTGTTTGAATGTTGTTGCAGAACTTTTTCAACAGTCTTTGACAATACGACACTACTAAGAAGGTCTCCTGAGCTGGAGCGCGCCAGCGGGAATCTGTCGACAAGCTCATAAACGGAACATGCGTCCATGCTAGCCTTTGAGTAGGTATGGGGTATCCACCAAATTCTTCAGTTGCCCTTCCGTGGCGGACTTGGTGGTCTACGCGAGTCAACCATTCGCTCGCATCGCATCGCTTGTACGTCCTTGTTGACATAGGATTCGGATACAGGTCTCGATGCGTCTCCCTGTCCTGACTCAACGCACTTTGATAGCGCGGGTTGACCCAGCCCCTGAATGTCGCGGGATCCCAGCGGAGGTACAGTGAATGATCACCAGCCCTTTCTCGGCCCTCTTCCTTGCTATTCATCCTATACATTCTATTCACCAGCCCCCTCGCTATTCAAGTTCGAAAAGTGGGCCATTGACCATCAGGTTCCTCACATGCTATACACCTTCTCGCATCTTCGACTTCTTCTGCTTCTATCTTCATCCTCCGCATCAACTTCATACCTCCATACCACTTCTGCTTCGCACGACTTCCATCTCTACATCATATCTCTTCTCATTGAGTATCGGCTGGCCCGATCTAAAAACGCACATTCCCTTCCCTCTACCCACATCCTATCGAACTGCAGCAGCAGCAACGTCAGGGCACCTGCACCTTCACCTTACATCTATCAACACTCAACTCATATTCAACATGGCTTCCGTAAAGGTTCTCAAGGGTGAGCAGCTTCTCGCTTGGGAACTCGCAAAGAAACAAGGAACTGCCGGTACACTACGTCAGCAGCTAGGTGCTCGTAGAGGCGAGCCTGCTCCCACTCCTTCCTCCCTGAGCACACCTCCAGCCTGGTTCGACCCAGCTCGCGCAACAGTCGGTCGTGCTGCAAAGGTTTATCCCGAAGCATCTCTCCTAGGTGCCCCCGAGGATGTCCGTCTGCTCATCTACAACTTCATGGAGCTTGATGCCAAAGACACGGCTTCTGACCTGAGCACTACCCCGACCACTACTTACGACTCCCTGTTATTGGTGAGCCGTCAATTCTATCACGAGTTGGATACTGCCTACTGGCAGCACTGGCTCGTGCGCCAGAACAAGATCAAGGCCTTTCTGAACATGCCGTTCTTCAAGGAAGGTGTCGAGTTCTGCAGCAAGACAGGCAAGGTCTCGCTCGTCTCAAAGTCTTTAGTATTGAGAAGCTTCAAGTCCCTGTCACTTGAGGTGCCTCTTGATCTTCATCCCAAGCTACTCGGAGCTCTCAAAGTCGCCATTCAAACCCTCCCTCTGACAGAGCTGAAGCTGCTTTTCACCGGTAAAGACGCCTATGGCACAGAAACCAATCTTGGCTCTTGCGGTCTCCAACAGGAGAAATCATCCAGACAGCTGCCAGTCTCAGGTCAGAGATTTGCTTATCGAGCAGAGTTCATCAACACTCTGATGAAGCTTCGAAACCTTGATACCCTTGTCCTCTCCAACGCCAATGTTCCAGTCACGTTCAACCAGGTTATCAACAACAAGCCAAACCTGACCAAGCTGTCAATCATTCCGGACAAACGCACCTCTCTGTCTTACGAATGGGAATCTGCTGCTCGGAATGCATATGATCCTACTCTGCGACATGCTGCTTTCGGCGCGGCTATCCCTCTAGATGTCAAGAATCTGCCACCGCTGTTGGAATTGGAGATCAGTGCCAATGCGATGGTCTGGTCATCGTCTGTGGTCAAACATTCCCTTGTGACGGTTGAGAAGCTCTCTTGGATCGTTCCTAAGCCTTCACATCAAGCCGGCCCTGTTCCTGGCTCGAACCTCAATTGGCTCAGGCAGACCAAAGACCTCCTACACCTTGCCGCGATGCGTGCTGATAGAGTTAAGCTCAAGTCGCTACGTATCTGCATTGAGCCTACTATCTATGACAATGCGCTGAGCCACCTCCGCTACGACCGTCATGAAGTTGGGGAGCTCATTGCTTCTCTCAAAGCAGATGTCAAGGATATCACGAGCCTCCGAAATTTTGAACTTCACATGGACTACCTTTCCGACTTTGCTCACAACGGCTTTGACTTTGTCACCAGCCTCGGCGACAACCTGGAACGTTACTACATCTCCGACAAGTTGATTGTCACAGATAACGAAAAGATCCCTTCCGCATACGTTCCGCATAACGAGGAGCTCACTGCGCACAATGAGTTCTTGACTGAGGACACAGACCACCTTGCAGTAGGCACTCAAACCCTGTCAGTCCACCACTATCTCGTCCGTCACCTCACGATCGACAACTTCGGCGTGCTGTCCTTCTCCCCCTTCCATCTCAAGGACAGCAATCACGCTCCTCCAGGCGAAGAAGATGCCACTCGCACAGACAGAATTCTCAATCGCAAGAACCTCGTCTTCCTTGCCTACCAGTACACTGACAAGCGCAACAACCTCCTCCGCGTCGTTGAGGCTGCTGACGGCGCTTCAACCCCCCCGGCTAAGGACCTCGAGGTCTATGATGAGGACCGCGTCCGTCTCCTCCGCCTCAACGGCCGTCTGCTCGATCGCGAGCGCAACAAGCACATGTACGCCGTCGGTTACAAGCCGCCAACTGCTGCAAATGAAGTCGCCGTTGGCATCGATCAGCGCCCGGCTCGCCGCTATCCGGTCGTTATCCGCCACGATTCGCATGATCACTGGATGTGCAAGTCCTGAGGGCAAAATCACACACCTCTCTCTTCGCTTTGGCAACAGAACATCGCCTCCAAGTGCTCATCGTCAGCATATCGACCCTCACTTCCACACAATGATCTACCGTCCCAGTCATGTCTCCCATTCATCCACACCTTCAGTACTCTTGCACTCGCTACGCTCTGGCAGCAGGCCTGCCCTAGCGCATCAAGCACTTTATCCATTATCGCACTTTCAACGACTTTCACGAACTCGAGATACCCGACCAGGCGTTTCAACACCACCAGCGGTCCGATTTTCATCTGTCACGCCTTGCCGACTGCCATACGTAGCATAGAGGCGCAGTGCACAGCAATTGAGTTCATAGCATAAATTAGATAGAAAACCAAGATCAGAAAACACAATTTTTTTTTAAAAAAAAAGAAAAACTGCCTTGCAAAACATGTATCTGCATTCTGAGCTCTGTGATCGTAGAATGCGAAGTCACCATTCACCTATGCACGACTGAAAGCCCGTAGTATTATCCAGAGGCCTCCCGCACCCAGGGCCAGCCCGCAGTCTTCTGCCGCCTTGATGCTCACGAGGCGCCCGCCCACCATCAGACCCCGACATTGCCCCCCCCCCCTCCCCCAAAGCTCTAACCCAATCACCACCTCGCGCCCTCCTATCCGCCTCCAAACATCTCGTCCAACGCCCTCCCCACCACCACCCTCATCTCACGCATCCCCTCCTCCCACCCCTCGGGCCTCCTCTGCCTCTCCGCCAACCCCTCGCCTCTTTCAACAGCCTCTTGTCCGCCGTCCACGTAAACGGCTTGTGCGTGCCACGCCCACACCGCTCCGTGACCGGCTCCTCCAGACCCTCGTCCTCGCCGAACTCGTGCTCGTGCTCAAAGGCTTCCAGTAGGCGCCGCATGGTATCCTTGGCGAGTATAGCGTCTGGGGAGTCGGGGGGCAGCGTGAGGCGCGCGTGGTGCAGGTCTTTCAGCGCCATGCGCGCATCGTGCACCATCAGCGAGCAGGGGTAGCGATGGAAGAGGTCGGTGGTGCTGAGGTCGTCTTCGCCGAAGCGGTCGAATGTGTCGCGGGTGATGATCGAAACGGAGTAGACCGAGGGCGATGGGGGAGCGTGGAGCGTGGCGGTGTCCTCGACGTCTGCGCCGTGGTGCGCGGTTGAGACGACACTTGGGGTTGGCGCTGGCCGACGGTGGTGCTCGCTCAGAGTATCGTTGTCGTCGTTGTCGGCTTTGCCCTGCTGGACATCGTCTAACGCATCAGCTATCTGGCGCTCGGGTCTCGGTAGTCGCATTCTTGACCATGTCACCATCTTCGTACCAAGTGAGCTTGGGTAATGCCCCTCAGAAAGCCGAGATGTTGCGTCGTGACTTGCTTGATCCAGCCATTTCTCGGCTCGCTCGCGTATGGCTTGTAGACGACACGCAACGATTTTAATGTTTCATCTACTGCTGCATTTCTGAGAGTGCCTATCAGCAGTGAGAAGCATTGCTCGGTGACCACTGTTGTGAACGTGACGAATGAGTTACGTCCTATAGCTCTTGCCAGCTAGTCTGTTGGGTCGAAGCTCAAGATAGATGGACAGAGCAGATCTTCCGAGCTGGCCTGCAAGCAAAGGTGGCAGCAAAGGACAATCTCGGAGCAGCTGTTCCTCGATCTCGTTGGCCCGGGTGGCATCATCACATGTCACCTTGAGCTGGACGACGAAGCTGAACTTTCCGAAGAGGCTCAATGCGTGGGTGCGGGTTTCTTCGCTAATTGCAAGCGCCGAGTAGATCTGTTTGTTTATTGCTCTCGGTGAGTAACCATAGTCGGTCAGAATAGTAAGCAGCTGCCGGAAACATGAGGTCGCGGAGTTAATCGCAGATGAGGGAGAATTGTGGCAGCTGCCTGAACAGCTCGTTGTCGTACACCATTTTGATCGGTTTCTCGGCGGCTGCATCGACCTCGATTGCAGCAACGCGGCCGGGCTGGTAAGGTTCTTGAATAAGCTCTCTCTTGTGGGCATTAGGAGCATGAGTTTTGGCAACGTAATAGCACGAAGAGTAGAGCCCGTTGCAGCTATAGCATCTGTACTTCACGGCCGTGGCAGGTCCCGTCATCTGCTGAGCTGGTTGCGCCTGCTGAAGAGGCTGCGTCTGCTGAACCGGATGTGCCAGATTCGCGCTGATCGATGGTGCTTGAGTTGGATCACCTGGTAGACCTGGCCCTACTGCGCAGCATCTCTGGCGGCTTGTCTGAGGCGTGCTTGGTCTGCGAGCCACTGCTTGTGTTGTCTCTCGCCTGTAGCCCGGTCGACAATAATGACTCTATTCATCGTTTCGCCTATTTTGGGAATCTGATCGGGGAAACGAGGCAAACTTTGCCGTATTCAGGGCTTGGCATTTAAGGCGCCCTTCCGTCTCTTCGTTCCCAGGCCTTTTGATGTAGTATCTCATGCACGTTGCACATTCCGCATTGCAACCGAAGCCGAGTCTGGTTCCTTGTTACTCATAATGACAGGGTAACTTAGCTCCCGGAGGAAGTCTGTTCGTTCCCGTCTTTAGCACCTCGTTTAAACACGCTTTGCACAACGTGACTCATGCGTGAGCTGAGAGCATACCTCAAGTACCTGCCTATACGCGAGCTGAAGAGACACTTGTGTTGTTCTTACAGCTTCGAGTTCAATAATCCATCATGGCTACCACCTTTGACACGCCCACACCGCTCCTGACTCTAACCCGCGGTCTGGCCGTCCGACCGCTCCTCCACTCCGATGCACCCAGCATGGCGAAGCATGGCAACAACGTTAAAGTCGAAAGGAACATGACGAACCGCTGGCCTCATCCTTACACCACCGACAGTGCTCACGCATTCGTGGCCTTCGTGCGAGACCACAAGCAATGGCGTGCCATCTCCAACGTTTCATCCCCCACCGTTCAGGACATCCCTGAAGGCACCAAAGCTCCACTCGACTGGGCCATCGCCCTCGATGGCGAGTTCATCGGCGCTACTGGCCTTATCTTCCAGACGGATGTCGAAGAGCGGACCGCCAGACTTGGCTACTGGATCGCAGAGGAGCACTGGGGCAAAGGATTTGCGCCGGAAGTCGTCCGAGCCTTCATCACCTGGACATGGGAGGCCTATCCCGAGCTGGATCGCCTGGAGGCTACTGTCTACTCATGGAACCCTGCCAGCGTCAAGGTCTTGCTCAAGCTTGGCTTCACTCAAGAGGGCAGGCTCAAGGCGGCCGTTTACAAAATGGGCCGGAGATGCGATCTGCTCGTCTTCGGGCTGACCAGACCTGGACTCGAGATTGCGTCAGACCCTCCGAACTGAAGAATGCGAAGACGTGAGTGTCTTTAGAACCAACCAAGGCTTTGTCTTGCCCTTGCAGAGATCTAGAGCACAAGGAAGGATGGTTCTCGACACGAAGACACAGCCGACCCCAGTTGTGTTCACCATCCGATGGGCTCACATTGCCCATGCCAGCAACAGTATCAAGCCTTCGGTTGCTGCATTTTGAAATGACTTCGCTTGTCTCACCCACAAACCAAGAAGCGTCGAAATGGGAAAGGATATGCCGTGAGAAGCTGTCTGGCGACATAGACGAGCACGTGTCTGCGGCGGTATAGACACGCAAGGGACGGATTTAATGGCGGCCTGATATAATACCTTCCTATCCAGGAATTGTAGCGCACCCGCTGTGACCACGTTTGACTACGGGTTTGGGGTACACAGAGTCCGATTTGGAGTACGAGAGCTCAGAGACCTCAGAGACATCTAGTGGTCTCTTTCTCTCACATTGCTAAAGAAAGCTCGGGTTATCTATGCTCCGCTCTGTATTTAGAAGATGCATACCACAGGCACGTGCCGGACCAGCTGGTGCCTTTATGCACTTCGCGCCGAGTACATTTTTAATGTACACAACCTCACCCAACACCATCACTTCCATCTCGTGCGCACACGGTGCAGGAATACGACATCCACGTCTTGGCAAGGCAAATCACTGCCTGAAACGCCACCCTCCCCGATCTGATCGCCCATTCCGCCATGAACTTGGCTGAAGCGACACCCCATCTCAGCCAATCAGCACCCTTCCGCCCACCAACGTGCCTGGTTTTGCGAAGCGCCTTGTTACAGCCTCCTACCAATGACCACAACCGCTGTACCAGACGATGCAGCCGGCAGTACCTTGCCTCGCTTGCTTCTGTGCTTGCCTCGGCCACGTCCGGAAGGCGGGCGAAGCGCGTGGCGCAACTGCAGACGGCCACTGGCACAGGCTGTGGATTGTGGGGTTGGGAGGCTCACGAAACAAGGAATGTGAGCTTCCTGTCGCGGCCAAGGTAGATCTTGGTTTGGCGACCGGCGGTATTCGCTAATGCACGTCACTTGACTTGCCTTGCTTATATCGTGCAGAATCCAAAGGTAATGTGTGCATTTTGCATTTGCTTTTGGGTGCTGTGGCCGCATAAGAAAGGGCAGCCCACGGCCTCCGCCTCCGCCTCTTCAACTTCGATCCAGAAGGCTCCCAACCCCAATCACGAGGCCAACTGACCCGTCCTGCGCTGGACGCCGTCACCTCCCAATCCCCAGCAGCCCATCCCAGAAGCCTCCGTGCCTTCCCCAACCATGCACATCTCCCCCCTAACCCACCCCCTCGTCCTCCTCCTCCTCTCCCCCCTCCCCCACCTCACCACCGCCCTCCCCTCCTTCAACGCCCCCCGCCAAACCCCCGCCCTCGAAGAAGAGACCGACCGCCTCATCTTCACCACCAGCATGTCCGAATTCCAATCCGCCCGCTCCGCCCAATCCCCCCCGGAACTCGACTGGACTTCCAACGGCTGCACCGCCTCGCCCGACAATCCTCTGGGCTTTGATTTCCTGGCTTCGTGCCAGCGCCACGACTTCGGCTACCGCAACTACAAGGCCCAGGACCGCTTCACGGAGCCGGCGCGTGAGACCATCGACGACAATTTCCGCGACGACATGTACGCGCAGTGCGCGAGCGAGGGCGGGCTGGAGGGCGTGTGTCGCGGCGTGGCGGACCTGTATTATGAGGCGGTCAGGGCGTTTGGGAGTAAGAAGAGGGGGGTGGAGATAGAGGTGGCGGGGTGGGAGATTAGGGAGTGATGAGGGTTTGGTGCGTAGAAGGGGGGGGGCGTTTTGGGATGGAATCCAAGCGGTTGGACCCCCGGGTAGTCTCATGAGAAGGAGGAGGAAACAAAACCTGTTACCTTTTTTGTTCGAAAGTCTGTGAAGGGGCGAATTGAAAGGGTTCCCTGGGGCGATAGCGTCGGCGCAGCCCTATTTTTTGGGGCTGCTGGACGCGGGTATGTGTGTCCTAGCGGCGCAGGTTTCTTGTGCGGCGCTGCGCTCGCAGTGAACTCTGCCAACGCCACAAAGGTGTATGGGAATACGCCTGACGGTCGTTAGGTAGGCAGTGAAAGTCTTGGCGCGTCGATGCCCCCCTCAGCGGTCTCTCGAAGGCATACATCTTCAGACTCAGTAATGATGCTCCGCGTGCAGCTACAAAGGCAATATCGAGTTCTTTCCACACTCTATTTTATGATGATTGTGTATATGTCCTCGAAGATCCCAAGTTGCGACGCCATCTCATCTGTAAGCACTCCAACCTCCACCCTCAATCTCCCCCAATCTAGCAATGTCAGAAACGACAGCAGATAGCTATCTCCCTTTCTCTAAGCCTTCTTCCACGCCTCGCCTGGTCCCTCCCTCACAAACCCCACCAGCCCCGCCTTCTTCGCCTTCAGGATACTCATATCGACCTTCGCCAGCCTTGGGCACTTTTCCCCCAACAGCGCCACCTCCTTTTCATCCAACACTTTCACACCCGCCGCCGACGCCCAATCCTCGTCGCCCGTGTCCATGATATTGTCGATCTGCTCGTCCGTCTTGGCCGGGCCCGACGCACTGCCCTTGGGCTTCGACATGCTGGGCACGCCGATGATTTCGATGCCTTCGAGGTTCTTGAGCACGGCGGGCGATGCCGCCAGCGCGTCCACCAGACCCTGTGCCCAGCCTTCGCTCATCAAGACCGAGAGCGTCAGGTCGATGAGGCCGGTGCCGCCTTCCTGCAGCTTTATGCCGCTCAGCAGCTCTTTGATGTCTGACACGCTGAGCGTCCACAAGCCCAGATTCAGCACTTTCAAGCCCGCCAGGTCACCCGCCGCTGCCAGTTCCTTGAACTTGGTCTTCACGCCCTCCGCGGCGCGGGAATCGCTCGCGTAGGGCAGAATGCCACCGACCTTCCCCTTCTTCTCATCTCCCGCCTCGATCTCCTTCCCGTCCCCCAGTTCAGTATCACCCTCTGACTCCTCCACCATCCCGGCCCCAAACCCCACGAGCCCCGACACCGCCAACGCCGCCAGCTCCTCGCCATGACAGCGCGCCAGGAAATCACTGTCCTCATGGCCGCGATACGTATAACTCACCTCCACGACCTTGACACCCCCATCATCCATCCCCTCCCCATTCGCTGCCCCATTCGCCGCCCCATCGGCCTCCCTCTCCAGCGCCGCATCCCTCGCCCTTTCAGCCCACAGCTTCCCCACCTGTGACCAAAACCCTGGCCTGGCAAAGCTATCGATGACATGACACTCGCGCAGCACGCGCGCCAAGTCGAAGAACTCGAGCGCGTCCGCGCGGCTCGCGTCGTCCAGCCCGTCAATCAGGCAGCTGAAGAAAGTGACGCTCTTGAGGTTGGGCAGCGCGCGCGCCAGATTGGCCAGCCAGTGCGGGTTGCGTCCCGGGAAACCCAGGCTGAAGAGCTCGAGCGTCAGGTGCGTGATGGACTGCGGCGGCTCCGGGAGCGCGTACTCGCCGCCTTTGAGCAGGTTCTGGTACTCGGTTAGGGGGAGGTCGGCGGTCAGGGTCAGGGCGCGCAGGTGCGAGGCTTCGGGGGGGAAGGTGGGCAGCGTGGCGAAGCTGCTGATGGGGATTTGCGCGGCGAGCGGGTATGAGGCTGGGAGGGCGGCGTCAGTGGGGGATTTGACGGGGCTGAGGGGCGTTGTCTCGGGGGAGAGCGTGTGCTGGTGGGGTTGGGGGGACGGGATGGTTGAGGTGGAGGAGGGTTTAGAAGCGGTGGTGGTGGTGTTGCCAACGGAGGGAGAGGAACTGGTGGGGAGGGAGGTAGAGGTGGACAATGACGAGGGGAAAGTACCGTCTGAGTCTGAAGCCATAGTGGAAAATTGGATAATGCCAGATAAGATGGAACAGGCAGCTCTCGACGATGAAACAGAAGAGAGTTGAGGGGACTATAAGCCCAGCCGAGGGGTATGCACGTGGCGGAAGGTGCACCCAGAAGTCAGCCAAACAACAGAGATGCTGTAGAAAATAGCTTCTTGGTCAAAGCCTTGTCGATGTTCGGGTCCAGGACCAGTCAGGGCGGGGAAGGGGACGCGTATCAGCTGTAGCTAGCTATGTAATGCGACGAGCTGGACCGGGTAACGTCAGAGCTTGAGCCGTCTAATTCGTATCGAGGCACACAAGAGCCAGAGCACTATCTGATAAGCGGGCGGCAGTCTGTCAAGAGAAGCTCTAACAAATAGTTACAACTCATGCTTTCACACGAACCTGCTCTCTTATACCCCAGCCTGGTAGGGGCAAGGAAAACATGAACTTCCATATCCTTCCACCACGATCTGATCGCGTAGCACATATTTGCGGGTCAATGGTTGGAAAAAGTGGTCACGCCTGCATCTTTCCCCTCAGTTGTTCGCGGCGAGGAGGAGCAACCAAGCAAAGCGTCAGCAGGGAAAAGCATGCAATGGGGAAAAGAGGGCGAAGGCCACCTCCGCGTCTCAACTGCTTGAATCGGTAGATCTCAGCGCGGGGAAAAAGGTGGGCTTGGAGGATTCCTGGACAGGGATGGGGCCAATGATGCCCGCCGCGCGGATGAACTGCGGATGAGAGGAGGGGTTAGGTTGAATTTGACATCTTGGGTCTGTTGACCCAATATTGTTGTTGGGTTTTGTTGTTGTTAGATGGGAGAAGAGCTTGATGAAGAGTGTAGGCGTAGCACGCCAGGCCTGCGTAGGTGATGGTGAGGTTGAATTAGCGCACTGTCAAGATGAGCCCTTTACGTCACCCTCCAGTACAGTATACAACGACGGCACGCGAAACTGATAATGCTTCAGGATTTTGCTGAGTGACACCCTGAATCCCTTCGATGCTCTCTTGCAGGTATACTAAGGAGGTGAGAAGCTATATTCGATGGCTGGTGAACGTCTCATAATCACAGGCTCAGCCAGCACTCGTTGCATGATGAACATCGTATATTGGGAGCAATGATCTAGCGTCAAAGATGGCCAGTGCAGAGGAACTGCGTCTTTGATTCATCATCTTGCATTTCGGTATCATCAGTGTCAACTTCAGGGCTGTGAACAAATACTTGTCACACTCGATCGCTCGCTGAGAGTCGACGTGGACTACATATCAGGATACCTCGACCATCTTCTCTTCAAGTTGCCCATTTCTCGATGATGCTTCTGATATCTCCTGTTCAAGGTTTGGGGACGGCAAGATGTCGGCAAGAAAACATTAGATCGGAAGCAAAGGGTCGACCGTAGACCAGGCTAAGATCTAAGTCAACGTAAGCTACATCCGCCAACAAGCCATGAATGTGCACCTCTGTTGAACCTTCGATCAAATCTTATGCGTATGAACAGTCGTTGGCACAGTCAACACTGCGGGCTCTGAATCCAATGGCGGAGTCAAGTGACTAGCTTCGATGGCATGCGGAGATGTGGTGGGCGAAGTGTCCAGGCTCGAAGTAGTGGCGGCAGACTTCGCGCTCGAGTCAAGAGTGATTGAAGTCAAGCCTGTCTCTCTGGTGTGAGTATCGCTTGAAGACGGAGTCTCTTCAATGGTCGAGCTGGAGAAGGTGATCGAAGGCCGGCCGGTATCACTCTTGCTGGAGGAGGAAGTTGGCTTAGGGTTGATCGAGTTGGTCTGGAAGCTCTTTATCGGAGTCATCGACGAAGTGTAGGTGCTGTTGAAGCTGACAGTAGGCAGAGCCACGGATATGCTCGTCTCGTTACATGCCAACTTGACGCCACCAATAAGTGTCAGGTTAGCCCGCTGAGGATTATTGAGCGATAACTTTAGGTAGCAGTCATTGAGACCATTGATGCGGCTAGGGGCGAACAGCGCAGCCTTGCAGAGCACCGTCCCGTTGCCCAAGTGTTTGGCATTGAACATGTCGCAGCGGTGTAGACACTCGTCGAAATTTGGAGCCCAGATCCAAGGAAGGGCATCCTGACCAGGGTAATCGATATTGAAGATGGGCTGATAGTGACGACGGTAGGCGGCTAGCGTGTCGTTGATGGGAATGGCGTCGGATGGGGCAGGGAATGGAGCGAGGTTCACGGTCATCGTCGTGGTGAGGTTAGCGAACGAGGCAGAAGTCGGGGCAGTAGGTGAGCCCGTAGAGAGGACGACCGAAGCCATGATTACGAGAAGGAAGACGACGACCAGAGGCATCTTGAAAGGCTCGAGAGAAGCTGCGGCCGATGAGTGAGCGTGAGCGTGAACTTGGCAAGGAGGATTCCGTTGATTAGCTGGAGCATAAGTGGTAACAAGGTGGAAGTTGGTCGGAGACAAATCGTACTCAGGGTCTTGGTAGCAAATCGTACAGTATACTTACGGCAGTCACTTCCACGACGACCCGGCAACCGCGATTTGCCTTGTTGACCTCGGCCGCTTTCATCACCCAGCATGTTTCGCTGCTCGCAGCACACGGCTTGTCTCCGGGCAAGCAACACATGGCATATCTTACTTCGGTAATCTCTCGTATCGATCTGTTGACCCCATCCCGTCTACTTGCTCATTTCCAGGTACTGATCATTCAGCCCGCATCGCCTGTTCGCGTAGGCGGGGGGCCGTGGTAGCCGTCTTTTCCAGATCTGCTGCCCATAGCGCTGCTCCAACGGTGTTGGTAAAGGCGAAGATGAGATTGGCGAAAGGAATCATCTCGAGCAAGAAAGCCGTCACACCGAATCTAGAATCCTGTTAGTCAATTCAAAGCACGAACACCGGCCACTGTCAACATACGCAGTGTATCCACCTCGATGTTCTTCCACGAACACCTCTCTCTGGCGCTTGTTCCATTCTTTGAGCTGGAAATACCTCTGATGCGTCTGCGGACCATTGCGCTTCCCTTGCAGCACAATGAATATCGCTGTACCAACGATAGGAATGAAGTTCAATGGCAGATACAACACTTAGACAGAAGTCAGCAGAAACTCGTCAGAATACTTTTGTAGCGGCATCAAGAGATCGGGAGGATATTTCGAAAGGGGTGGCAAGTCGTCCTTTGCACTGCGGTACAATTTTACAGAGGAACTTACAATAACGAATGAGGGCGTTAGGCGTAAACTTTGCGAACGGTTTCTTAATCAGCTTTCCCAGACGCTGAATATTGTCTCCACCAGTCTTGACCTGTCTTCCCTCCTCCACCAAATTGTTGCACCCTTTGGACAACAGCGTGCCATCAAACGTATCGATCAGGGCTTCCTCGATGAAAAAGGTGCGAGAGATGAGGTTCGTGATGGTAGAGCTTTCGGACAGGGTGAGAACGGCAGCCGAGACAGCAGCAACAGGACCGGATGTGAATGCCATGACCGCAGCCTGCGGGAGATACAGGGCGGCGAAGCAGGCGAGCGTCACCACCACGCCGGTGCTGATCGTTGGCGCCAACTTGGACAAGAGCGGTTTCCACAGGTCTTTGTGTGAGACGAAGTGGATGACGCCCTTGATAGGGTACTGTAGAGTGTCAGCTCATACGACCTTCGTAGGTGTAGGAAGAATCCTGCTCACCAGATAGGCTCGTGATTTGACCGCATCTGTGGTCATGGCACGGAATTGCCGCGCCTCTTCGGCGGCGACGTTCTTGACTCGTTCGTCCATGTCTGCAGTCTGCGCCCAAAATTAACAGTGTAAGTCGATGGACGTGGTTGTCAAGGCACGGCAGGAGCACGACTTTTGCGCATGGCGTAGTAAATAGTTGGTCGTTGATGTCTGACGTCACTTTTGCTATTGGCTGCGGAAAGTCCAACCGGCCGAGCATGTGCAAACTTGAGCAGCACCAAAACGACTGCTGGTGTATAAGATTTCATTGATGCCAATGAGGACGACTTATCTTGGATATCGTAATGCAAAAAGAACCACAACCCTCAGACTCCTCGTAGCCCGTTCATGTAAGGACACACTCTGTAGTCTCCTCGGCGCGCAACGCTAGTCCCGCCTTTGCCCGTCCTCGCTCTCATCTAGTTCAAGGGCCATCAGCAAGCGCAATTATCCTTCTGAGTCTTTGCACGATCCGCCAGGTTGACGCGCGCCTCCTCAGCTCGGTTGGCAGCACCAGATAAAGCGGCCTGTGTGCCAGAGCCGGCTCCCCGAGCGCCCTTCAATGAAGTCTCCGGGATAGCATTGGCAATAGCCGTGAAGACATCCGCGACATTAGTGCCAGTCTTTGCGCTCGTCTCGAAGAAGAGCAAGCTTTCCTCTTCCGCGTACTGCTTGGCTTCTCTTGTAGACACCTTCCTCGCATCACCATCATCTGTAGCCTCCGCTTCGGCGTCGCCTTCGGCGGCATCTTCCGTACCTTCACCCTCTGTAGCACTGTCGGAGGAGCTTTCGGCACATAAATCGAGCTTGTTGCCGACAAGGGCGATGACGATGCCGGGCGATGCCTGGCGCTGAAGCTCCGCGACCCAGTGCTTGGCCTTGGTGAGCGAAGTGGGTTTGGTCAGATCGTAGACAACAAGAGCGGCTTGAGCGTTGCGGTAGTACATTGGTGCCAGGGAGGCGAATCTCTCCTGTCCAGCAGTATCCCATATCTCAAACTTGATGATCCGGTTGGGCAAGGAGATCTTCTGTGTCAGGAAAGCGGCTAAAATTATCCCTACGTCAGTGACTCTGCTCGCTAGTACGGCTGCGGTGATTTGGCATCCCCGTGAGACGTCCCGCATGGCGGCAAAGGGAAAAGCGTACCTCCAATGGTGGGCTCCTTATTTTCCTGAAAGTCATTATTGACGAAGCGGAGGACAAGGGATGACTACACATAGCTGTCAGCGACGATTCTCTGCGGGTATTTGAATTGCTGGGTGGAGCGAGGTAGGAGAAGCTGCAGTGAAGTAGCATTGAGGTATAACATGGCGTCCGTGCTGTCCGTGCTGTCCGCATCGGCCGTTACATGAACCGGAGTATCACCGCACGTATGGTGGGACAGAAGCGACTATCGACGAATGCGTTACCCACCTTTCCCACGGCAGCTTCTCCAAGAAGCACGAGCTTTACGCTGCTGCTAGGTTTCGGCGTGGAAGCGTCAGCCATGACGATGTGATCTTGAAGGTCGTGTAGCTGCAGAGACTCGTGGATCGGAGGAGAAGAAGGCTATGCAGATACCCGTATACGACGATGTGGTGAAGTCAAAGTGAACGTCGAACGTCGAGGCGATGCGATGTAGGTCGCAATGGTGGTTGACGTGTTGCTCTCAGACACTGTCTGGGATCGACAGTGGGTGACGTAGGCGCCGGCAAGCGTAGGTACCAAACAAAACCGTGTGAGAACGAGAGCTAAAGGGAACTGAGCTCAAGTGGATGTAGAAGTCTATGCGACGTTCTGTTTGTATGTACGAGGGAGATGGTCGGCTGATGAATCGAGCAAGTAGTGCAGGCGCAGGTTCCAGTGAAAGCAACCTGAAGACGAGGCTGGCCAGTGAGCGACGAGGCTTTAGGCCTCTTGTTGCCGGCGACCGATTTGTTCCCTGCTGACCGCCCACCCACCCAAGCCGGCGCTTCTGCAAGAGCCCCGAAGCAGTATAGTGGCTGGACTTTTGGAATGGATTAAATCGGGGGTTGCTGTGCTGCAGCGGCTACATCATCGTGCTTGAATTCTCCAACTCGTAAATATTTTTCGACGCGTTGCCAATACGTTCACTGCCTGGCTCGCGCAACTCGTTGAGACCCTATATTAGTGGACAGGGTTGAAAGGCAGATCTCCAGTTGTGCTTTGTGGCAATGGCCGCCAGCATTATTATTCTTCGCTGTTCTAACAGAGTACACTATCGACCTTGTACTGGTCGTCGTCCGTCATATGATGACTGTCTCGAACGCCTCGTGCCTAGTCGTAAGATAGGCATCATTTGAGGCTGCATCGCACCCAGCATCCGTGTCTGACTGCCGACGCTGGTGCCCGTGGAGGCGTCGTCTATTCCTCCTCTTGAAGCCTTTTCCCTGTTCCCTCCATACCCAATGACTCCCAAAGGAAATGTTGACCTGAGTCACGCAATCTATTGTTGGCAGCGTGGCGTTGCTGCCCTCCCAAAAAAGCATTGCCGTCTATCGTGTCCCACCAACGCCAATGCCGCAAAAATGACTTTTTCTGTTACAGGAATGTTGTACAAGCAAGATCATACCCAAGATGATAAAGATTGCGGCGTCGTGTTTGGCGCCGTGTCGATGCTTCCCAATATGTCGCCGCGAAAGAACGCTCGAAAAGACACAAGCTAGTGAATAGTTGTACAGGGTAATCGAAAACAGTTCGAGTGAGTATTAGGCGTATGTCGCGGAAGCAATGATGGTGAAGCAAAAGGTGTACAGTGTGCGGGATACGCGTCGTGGTTCGGCGGAAGCACATGCACATGCAGGCTGCCGAGCATTACGTGCGACTTGGTGATGGCGCTTCGAAGCAGTCGCGGATCTGAGCGCTCGCCGCGAAGTTGTTGTGGTCTTCGGAGTGTCATCGAGGCTTTGGTGGGTTGGAGGGTTTGGGTTTGGGTACGCCCGTGGTATCGTATGCTCCGCGGCCCATATCGCAGGCAGTGGAGTTTTTAGATGGAGATATCATGGATGATCTGACCAGAGGCTGTCAGAAAGGAGGATTCATTTGCGACAAGCTAGGGGTAACAGAGGCTATATATTTCCCAACACCGGAGCTGAGAAGTGCAGTTACTTACGTAGTGAGACTATGCTGCCGAGAAGGCCGAAGGGGGGGACGGCCAACGGCTTCCCAAGTGGACAGTAGCGTGTTGGTTACACAAACAGATCTCGGAGACTTGGATCTGGATCTGAAATTCTTTTGTGCGCTGGCAAGGGAGGAATGTTGCGGGAGCGAGGGAGGAAGGGGGGGTCCTCGAGAATTTGAGAAATTGCCGGCTGTCAGAGCGTCTTGCTTTTTGTTGTATTGCGTTTTTGGCAGCGGCAATGGCGTAAATACAGCTTGATTGATGGTACAGGTAATGCGGGTTGCTTGCAAGGGGTAAGGTTTCGGATCGTTGGTGATGTATCGCAAGATCGGGTACAACGGGGCTGGATTTGGGGGTAGCGATTTGGCCCAATAGCGCAGGTAGAGCAAGCACAAGCAACGACAAAAGAAAGCACTATGACAAGGTGGTGCGAGTCAAGGGGGAGTAAAAAGCGATGTGTAGCATGCGAGGGGAGATGAGAGGCGTATATACTTTTCGTGCTCTACCGGTCGCTGAGCTATGCCAGTGAGTAAGATCTACCCCCTTTCGGCTGCTGGGGCTGCTGGGGGGGCTTACGGGTCTAGGAGCCTAGGATCAGGATCCAGCGGCGCCTGAAATTCTTTTTGGGCGCAATTCAGACGTTTGAGTGCGCGCAGTGGATCCTGCTTGACCAGTGTCTCGTCGACAAGATTCGAAGCCGCGGCCGGGGAGGGCATCCGAGTCCCAGGAAAGGGTGTTCCTTGGACGCGCCGGCGTGTTGCTGGAACATTTCTACCGTGAACACTAAAACGGCACTAGATCCACATCCCCGAGGATATGGCACCAGGGGGCGATGTGTTAGCTTCCGCTGCGAAGAGAAAGCAGGGGTAGGGTCAAGGGCGGTGACCCGCCACAGACCCGATCCAAAACTTTTGTCACGCCGGTATATAAAAAGAGCAAGTCTTACTACGGTGTGTGTGCGCGCGCCGCAAGTCACAAGTGGCAGCCCATGACAGCGCGGATGGGTGCCAACAAATGGCATGGCAGATCACCTCGGACCGGAGCTGATTGGGGACAGGGGTAAAAGGGGCAATGACTCCGAGCGCTGGTAGGGTTCCTATAATTCAACACACATCGCACTGCCGGGCTGCCTGGCGTAGTGGGTGGCAGCAGTAAAAAGGTACGAGGTGGGTCTGGCAGTCTGGCAGAATACAGGATCAGAGCAGAAATTCCATGCCTGGCGCGTCGCGGATGGCAGTTGGCGATGACGAGGCGAGCGGTGGCGGGAGTAATCGACTGGTATCCGGTCTTCGTCAAAGTCGTTTCATATTATCCGGATCAAGGATGTCGCTTGTGACGTTCTAGGCAATATCGAGTCGATAGAATAGCCATGCGACCCGTCTTGGGAGCGCCCTGTCGCGGATAGCTACTGTGTACTTCGTAGCTGAGAAGCTCCGAGAAACTGGGAAGCTATAGTCGGCAGTCGAATCACCCTGTCGCTGTAACGCGCAGCTATTCTGCAGCAATCGCATGGTGGGAGGGATTAGGAGGCGGCGGCGGCAGAGTCAAGACTCAAGACCCAAGCCACCGCCAGGGGTCTTTCTAGTTGGACTCCGTAGTAGTGATCCGCCCCTGTGAATCGCTGCCCGTTGCAGCGCGGCGGCGCCCCAGGAGCGACTGGGTCCAACCGGCGACCATCGTTAGACAGGTCCACAGCTGGCACCGGCCCTTTGGGAAGCACCCCGAACAAGCGTCGTGTACCTGCAGCAGTGGCAGATCTTTATGCCATGCTGCCCCATCTGCCGCCCGCTCCGTGTGAGGGCCAGGTTCCACCACCCCCAATCTTCGAGGGTAGTTACCGAGTCAGTCGACTATTTAGGTCCAATATCCAGGGTTACTGATCGACGGACGGCAGCAAACCGTCTCGATGGCCATGCCCATGTCAGCCACTGTCACTTGCTGTCGCGGAGAAAGGACCGACAAAATTCAATAGCTTGCGCTTTACCTGGAATAATCCAGTCACATTATGCAATCTCGTGATTCGGAAGCGCAGAACTGTTTGCGTGGCCGATCAACCATTATTGGGAGACAGCAGAAGAATGCGATGCGCGAATAAATTCGAGTTTGGGGCCCGTCGACGGCGCGGATGGATCTGTGACAGCGTCGCAGTAAAATTGACTGCAACAACACCTTGATTTTGGAGCAGTCAACGCCCGAACACGAGTCTCAAACAAGCCCTCGCTTGAGCCAAGGGCTTCGGGGGAAGCCTTCCGCCCACGTAAACAGTTAGGCGTCCTCGTGGCAGGTCAAGCGATAAGCCCTACCCAAGCATCCGCAAGATTGGCAACTGCTGATGCCGCCCCTAAGCCTGGCTCCCTGGATCCCAAACTCCAGCGCCTGCGCGTAGAATCTCGACAGAAGGATGCTAGAAGCCGCGGCCGCACATCGGTCGACGCTGGTCCATCGGCCGATGGATCTAGGTGATGGGGAAGCAAACCTGAGTTTGCCGTGGGACAAAGTCTCAGCCCCAGTCACATAATCATCCCACAGCGCGCACTCTCTGGCATGTTTATTTGTTTTGTTCACTTGCAATGGCTTGGAAGCTCGCAGTCCCATGCTTCTGCGAGGACTCACAGGCGGTGCGGAAGGTGGTCCCGTACGCCCGCGGCTTCATCTGCCGAACATTCCTCTACTGGAAATCTGTTTTCTGATGAGGCAGGCTCAAGAGCAAGTCCCGGGGCCCCTGGTCCGCGTCAATGCTAAACCGAGATTGGGGGGCGCCATGGCTGCTGGTGGCTGCACTCCGCAGGAATCAGCACTCCAGCAAGAAAATTCCGGGCCAGTCAATGCCACCTTGTCGATTGTGCGGCTGTCCTTCCCCGGCCTGTCCTTCAGCGGAGACAGAGGCATACTCCTAACGTCGCAGGCTGCAACATAAAGCTCGATGGAGAAAGATATAAACTGATACTCTCGGATCTTCGTCAGCGCCCCCATTCTTGTCGCGTAAAACGTCTGCTGGCAACCGTGATCGCCAGCTATTACCTCGGAGATTTGCTGATTGACCTCAACACTTCAACAACGCCGAAATTTCGGAAGCGAGCCATGGGCAGAAAGCGACACTTGCCCCGGGCTCCTGTCAAAAGTGTCAAGGACTCAAGGCCGTCCTAGCCGCCTCGTAGAAGGATATGTATTCCGTAATACTCGGAAACGGCACTGTGTCTCAACTCAGGAGCGTGAGGCAACTTGAGCAGCACTCGTAGCCCGACGCCGAACAACTAACATCGTGCACTTGTTCGCAGAAGCCCTGTTGCATCGACTGACAACCGTTTCGTGACTTCGAAACTCAGCTTCCAACTCCAACAATGAGTAAATGGCTGAGTATCTACATGCATCATGGCCCAAGCCAGGTAGCTAGGAGGAATCTCGTGGTCAAGCCAAGAGCCTTTGACTGCCAAGCAAGAGCTGTCCAACGCCGGCATCTTCGGCAGCGCAGGTTCGACATTCGCCCTACAACCACTCATTCGACCATTCTCGAGAATCATGCTATGCGTGAGGCAAGACTGACAGTGGGTGACAGAAGTGCTAGCTCATGATGACGGAAGAGGACCAGCACGATGACGACAGTCTCCATGACAAGAAAAGGCGAAGGATTGCTCTGGCCTGTAATGCATGTCGGACGAGAAAGAGCAAGGTAAGAACCTCTGCTCCACGCGGCTCGCCAGGAACTGAGCTTCCTGCAAGTGTGACGGCGCGAGGCCGAAGTGCACGTCATGCACGAGACTGGGCTTTGACTGCGTCTACGCCCATTCAGCGACGTCTGCCAATGTGATCGTAGGCAAGGAGTAGGTGTCTAGGATGGAATTCCTGCGGGTGCTGACTGTACAGATATCTCGTCGGCTTAGAGGACCGGCTAGTAGCCGTGGAGGAGCTGGTCAAGAGCCTCGCGCAAGGGGCCAATGGCCAACACCAAACAAGCCCATATCATGGCTTTGGACCTGCAGCGAATCCGCCAGTATCTCAGCAGCACGTGAGTCCTGGCCGCGGCGCTGATGCCGATCGTGCCATCGTTCTGGCCGCGGAAGGCGAGACTGGCTACTTTGGTACGTGATCCGGGCAAAGTGTGCTCTTCTCGGACTTATCTATGAGCAGGGCCGTCCTCGAATATTGCGCTTGTGAGACAGGTCACAAAAGCGGTCGCAGAACGTTCTTGGGATGGCGATACTGCAACACAACTAAATTCGCTTGCCTTTGGGCCACTTGACGACGGCAGGCCTATGCCAGATACTCGACCACTTGACACACGATCAAATGATCAAGTCCCGATCGATGCCTTCGAACTTCCGCCTTTTGAAACTCTTCAGGCCCGAGTCTATCATTACTTCCAGTGGACTGGAATCCTCTACCCATTCATTCATCCGGAGAGCTTCATGGCTACGCTCGCCACTGTCAGAAACTCGGTATCAGATGTTCGCCGTATGCCTCGCGCTATGCCTCATGCTGCCAATCAATCAACTGACGCTACATATTACAGGCACTTGGCTCGGCATTCTTAATCTCATGCAGGCTCTAGCACACAACATTCCCGTCAGCAACGATGTTGAGGGCGGTGAGTTGTATTATCGTCGAGCACAAATGCTCTGTGATCAGCAAACCCTGGAGAGCATAAATCTCGAAGTCGGTAAGTATCGACAACTGCCTGTAGCCATTTAGCACTATTAATTCGACGTCACCTAGTGCAATACCTCCTTATTCTCGGCCAATATCTTCAGGGCTCGCAGCAAACGATGAAAGCCTGGACCACCCACGGCGTAGCCATCAAAGCAGCAATGCAACTAGGTCTTCATTCCTCGGAGGCGTCCAAGAATCTGCCGCAGGTTGACCAGGAAGTTCGCAAGCGCGTATGGTTCATTTGTGTTCTGCTCGATCGGAATCTGAGTATGACCTTCGGCCGTCCCCCAGCAATACCAGATCATTATGTCAGATTGCCTCCAGCTCGCCCTTTCTCAACTCTTCCAGACAAGGCGGAGCGTGACAGCGTCGAGTTCTTCAATCAGACCACGTAAGTGGTTACATGTACTCCTTGACGTGGTCTGACAGACGGACAGTACACTAAACAGCATTATGTGGAAAATCATCGAACGCCTCTACGATGGCAACTTGGGCTGCGGTGAGGTAGTATCTCTTGCCGAAACTGTCTCTCACGCATTACGCATTGACCAGGAACTCGTTGAGTGGGAGTGCTCTTTACCGTCTGACATGACTTTGGTTTTGCCGGTTCACTTGGCTAATGGAGTCGTGCCTTCGAGGTTCCAGACGATTCTCACTCTGCGTCGCCATAGCGTGCACCTGCTGATCTACCGGCCGCTCCTGACCCGTCTGTTATCCTGGGACGGGCACCGGGTACCGGACGCTTCTACAAGCACGCTCCTTTCCCGCGCTTCGCCAAATGCGGCGGAATCTACTGCAAGATCAGCCACCGAATGCATCGAGATAGTTCATACTCTTTTGCTTTCAGGGGACAAGGCCAAGAGGACCTTGCTCGGTGCTTGGTGGTACACATTGTATTACAGTAAGTTCTCATGCTGGCTGCAGTCGTGTCAGTACATCCGGCCTGTCGACTGATGATCATTCAGCTTTCAATGCTGCACTCACCCTACTTACAATTTACCTCATCTCCAACACTCCTGCGACACAGCCTTACATATCTGGCCGTCTCGATCTAGCGGACATTGATCAGTCGATAGAGAAGTCCATCTCTGCATTGGGGCAGGTCAATCCTGGAAGCTCAATCACTGGCAAGTGTGAGCTTTTTCTCGGTCGGCTTCTAAAATCAGTTCGAGCAATCAATGGTACGAGACCCAGAGTATGTCGAAGCCCTGCTGATGATCTGGCAGAGCTCACGCAAGAGACAACTGCAGCGGGCACTTCGACGAACCAACCAGCACCTCTGCAGCTAGGGACCGGCGTGCTGGCACCGTCTGGCGTGGCTACTCCAGCTGCAACTGCCGGCGATATGAACTGGGAGAATTTTCTGCTCGACCCAGGACAGCTTGATGACTTCGTCTTCGGCATGTGAGATTGCGATAAATGTCACTTTCCTCTGGAAGCAGATCCCTCCGTGACGAAGAAGAGCAGACGCACGCACGCAACGCGATGCTGGCAAACTCTGTGGACATAGGACCCAAGCTTGTTTACTAAGCTCTTTCTCAGCATCTCGGAGCGGAGCGGCTCCTAACCCCCAACACCCCCACACTTTCGGCCTCCTCCTGTGTAAACGAAGTCGCCACCACCGCAATGCCAATATGGAGCACCGGCGGAATACTGGCAGGAGATTGCCGGTGAATAAGGAAGACTGCTTAAGGCCGTGATCAGTACAGCCTCCAGCCACAATAGGGAGCTGCATGTAGCCACCGGCAGTACCCCCCAAAGTTCTTGGCCACCACCATGATTCTCCGATAGACACTGCGGTCGGTTTTCGGAGATGCGAGCGCCGACGATGCTAACACCTGGAGCGGTATGTCTTACAGCTTCATAGCGAGGGATGATCAACACGCGGAGCTCTCTAGGCCAAGACAGCGTAAGCAATTCTGCTTGCGGAATACTCGCCATCGATGTCACCCCGCATCCCAACGTCGTATCACCCCACATATGCGATCATCATGCCTCTGCCGATCATGGCCGTCTGACCCGCAGGGTACGTACCGGCAAGTTCAAGTTACTTAAGCTATGTGGTGTGCCTGATGCGGACTTTCTCTTATGCACATTGGGCCGCGCTCGACGCACTCGACAGGCGAAGAAACTTCCAGCTCGTGAGATGAACCATGGAGAAGTTGTCCACTCTTCTGACAGTGATTGGCACAGCCACTCTTGTGACTGTGTCGAAGGCAGCTATAGTCAGTGGCCGTGATGCTCTACCGTGGGTGAACCACTTTATCGGCGCCAATGATGGCATACACGCTGGTCACGTGTTTCCTGGAGCTAACTTGCCTTTTGGTATGGCCAAGGCTGTCTCTGATGTGAATGGCGAGAGACAGGGCGGATTTGCAATGGACGGCTCCCAGATCACAGGCTTCAGCCATATGCACGACTCTGGCACCGGTGGAGGCGCTTCTTTTGGCAATTTTCCGCTCTTCCCACAGTCTGGATGTCCTGGGGATGACCTTAACCGGTGTAAGTTTGCGAAGGTGGAACGCGCTGCCGACTATATTGAAGACAGTCCCGTCGCACATCCCGGCTACTTCTCTATTCAACTCAACTCCAGCGTCGCTGGAGAGGCGACGACTACAAATCATACAGCTCTCTATCGCTTTACATTCCCCGAAACTCCCAGACCGCCCAACAACGAGTCGAGCTCCGAGGACACTCCCCCTCTCAGTCCTCTGATCATTGCCGACCTCACCGATCTGTCTGACTCGAGGCTCAACGGTACGATGTCTATCGACCCGGAAACGGGGCGAATGACGGGCTCTGGCGCCTTCCAACCGACTTTCGGCATTGGTGCGTATAGCCTGCACTTCTGTGCAGATTTTCAAGGGGCATCGCTGCGAGAAACGGGCGTCTTCGTCAACAATCGCGCAGGTAACGAAGTGCAGAATATCACCATGGTCGCAGACGGCGTCAATAATCAGCCCGAGATCCTTCCGGCAGGCGTATATGCCTGGTTCGATGCCCCGGAGCAAAACAACCAGATTGTTGCACGCGTAGGCGTTAGCTTCATGTCAGTGGAACAGGCATGTGGGCATGCCGCGAGAGAAATTCCTGACTTCGATTTCAACGCTACTGAGCAGGCGGCCTCGGATGCTTGGGCGCAGAAATTCTCGGTTGTGTCGCTGGACACGGGTGAAGTCAATGATACTCTGCAGACGGTCTTCTGGAGCGGGTTCTACCGAGCTCATATCTCCCCACAGGACTATACAGGCGAGAACTATCTCTGGGAGTCGGACGAACCCTACTATGATAGCTTTTACTGCATGTGGGATTCCTTTCGAGTGATACATCAGGCCATCACGCTTTTGGACCCGTGGTCACAAACATTAATGATACGAACCCTGCTCGACGTATACAGGCACGAAGGTAAGCTGCCTGATTGCCGCATGTCGCTCTGCAAAGGTTTCAGCCAGGGAGGGAGTAACGCCGATGTGGTGCTCGTCGATGCATTCCTGAAGAACATCACCGAGGGCATCGACTGGGAGCTGGGCTACCAGGCCATTGTCTCCGATGCCGAGGAGGAGCCTGCAAATTGGGCCGTGGAAGGGCGAGGAGGCCTGATGTCCTGGAAGTCCTTGAACTACATCCCAGCTGATGACTTTGATCCCTTCGGTACAGGCCTTTTCACCAGATCTGTTTCGCGGACCATCGAGTATGCTTACAACGACTTCTGCATTGCCGAAATGGCGCGGGCCATGGGCAACCAAGGCGACTACGAGAAGTATATCGAGCGGGCTGGATATTGGCGTAATGTGTGGAAGAATGATCAGACTTCATTCATGAACGCGACTGACACCGGCTTTGTGGGATTTCTGATGCCGAAATACCTCAATGGGACTTGGGGTTATCAAGACACCTTCACCTGCTCGTTGCTGCAGAACTTCACCTCCTGCTACCTCAATCCCAAAGGCTTGGAGACGTACGAAGGCAGCCCGTGGCTGTACAGTTTTCTGGCAGCACCGGCTGATATGGCGGCCTTGATTGCCTCGATGGGCGGGCGGGACGAATTTGTTCGTCGACTGGACTTCTGGCACGAGTACCCTGAGCTCGCGTACATGGGTAATGAGCAGCCCTTCCAGACGATCTGGCAATATCACTTCGCCGGACGGCCCGGCAAGTCCGCAGAGCGCATCCATCAGTACATTCCGTCGCAATTCAATGACTCGGTGGTTGGGATCCCAGGCAATGATGACAGCGGAGCGATGGGTTCCTTTGTCACTCTCGCCATGATGGGTGTGTATCCGAATCCCGGGACGAATTACTACTACATCACACCGCCCTTCTTCCCCGAGGTGAACATTACCAACGGCTTGACTGGAGCCACGGCTACGATTCGCAACGTCAATTTCGACGCCGAGTATAGCAACGTATATATTCAGTCTGCGACACTCAATGGTGAGAACTTCACCAAGAACTACATAACGCACGACTTCTTCCTCGAAGGGGGCATATTGGAGTTGACACTGGGTCGGAATGAGAGCGATTGGGGCACGAGAGAGGAAGACGTACCGCCTAGTCTGACGACTGACACGGGCATATTTGACTAGGCTGTTTGTCGTCGAAGACTGACTTGCTGACTCATGCATGGCGTCACCATGGGTCGATGTGCACAAAGGACTTTGTCAGTGTATATAGACTTGGGTACGGACGTAATGGGTAATGTGACGCGGTTCTGGGCCACCAAGAGTTGTCAATGATGACAGAGGTGGTCCCCCTCGCGATGGCTCTCGTTCATGCTGCTGTTGAAAAGAGCCGGCTTCAGCTGAATCGGCTGTGATCTAGCTCTCGGCTAAGCTCTAGGCACCCTGCTGTTGCCAAGCGATCGATCTAACGGAAGCGGAGGAGAGGGGGGTCTCGAAGCTTTTTTATCTCGCATCGGCAAACCACCTCTCCCCTCTTCACGTCCAGTTTGGATCACGCTGCAGGTCTGCGACAAACCTGCAGACACGGTGATTGTCGACGCACGTCGCGGCCGTCCATGATACGCAGTTGCTCAGTCTTCGTCCGATTCAGCCACATCAGCCACCAGCGGTCCAGGCCCGTTTCCGGTTTCAGGGGTGGGGAAGGCCTTTTCACCCACCATGCCACAGAACCACGGTCTGACTACGACCCGGACGTCTCTCTCGCGATAGCATGCCGCCCAACCAGTTCCTGTTCATCAACAAGGACCCGACCTCCAAGTCTCTCTCCAATAACCGAACCGAAAATTCGCTGGCCTACAGCAAGATCAACAAGCATGTCCAACGGCTCTCGGCACGTCAGCGGTTGCAGCACAAGGCGCGAGTTCCCAATTCAGTTGCTCAATCGCTGGTGGGATGGCAAAGCTTGATTCCGTTGACTCCAGAGTCGTCCGAGGATCAGAGCCCTTACACTCCCAGGACCGGCTCCGTCTCCAGTGTTAGCGAAGGGGAGGAGGACACGGTGGCGGCGGAGGATGATGTCGAGGAAGTGCCGAGGCCTCGCGCAGTCGAACCCGGGAACAGTACGTGGTTGCAACCAGCGAACCGTTCGTCATGGAGACCTGCGGTCGACTCACTCCCAAGCTCAGTGGTCAAGCTAGATGCCAGTGGCCACCGGGTGCTCCAGTACTACCTACAAGTCTGGATGCCCTCTGCAAGCCACATACCCGTGGGCTGCCAGATCGCTGGGTTTACGCCAATATGGCCAAATGATTTGCTGCTGGCGTCGCAGGTAATGGAGGGCGCCATGCAAACAGACGATCCGCTTTCAATGCACTCCCTGCTGGCTGCAGGATCACGGCGAATGCAGTCACTGCATCGTCAGCGGTTTGATCAGCCAGGACTGCCCGAGCTGCACACCCTGAAGGCAGTGCAAGCCTTGCGCAAGCGCGCCGAAACCTCGGGCCCGCTCAACGAACGACTGATTCTGGACATTTCGTACTTGATTCTTGCTGATCTATACGCCGAGATACCCTCGCGCTCTGAGATTTACTATCAGATCAGCCGCGACCTGATTGCGCGATTTGGGGGCTTGCAGAACCTAGACCCCTTCACCACCCAAGCCGCTCTGGCGTACGATTATTTCCACAGCATTGGGACTCTGACAATGCCAGCACTCGATCCACTGCACGACACGGCACTACTTGGCATCGACTCTTCGACAATGTCAGCGGAGAAAGCCAAGGAGCTGGCCCAGAACCAGGTGGCAAACCTCGAGCCGCGCATGCGCATGACGGCGCTGGTCAAACACGACTTCGCCCGGGTGCTGCGGGAAATCCAAACCCTGCCTCCCGCAGTGGTCGGCGACCTCAAAGACATGATGACGCACCATGTGCCGCAGCTATACCCCGTCCTCGCCGGACCGTTTGTCCAAAACGAAGGCGAGCAACCCGCCGCCAGCCAAAGCGCCAGCAATGCACTTCACCTCATGGAGGCCGACACGCTCTCCATCCAAACCCGCAACGCCCTGTGTCACGCCTGGCTATGGTACAGCGCCATGGGCTGCGTCGGCATCATCAAGAGCTCGATGGAGGACCTGGATCCCTGGGCCGAAGCGCACCAGACCTACCAGCCACCGGCGCACATTGGCCAGGCGTCGGGCGCGTGGCAGCAGTTGAGCCGCATCGAAGAGCTGCTGAAGGGGACGGGATGGCAGGTCAAGCCGCTGCTGTCGCTGTGGCTGTACGCGGTCGGGTACCTCCTTGCGACGACGCTGGAGGACCGCAACGCGTATGGCGTGCGTTTTCAGTGGGAGGTTCGCGCTCTCCATATCATCGATCTTGATGGGCTTCGGAGAGGCCTGGCGTCGCATTTGCCGCTGCATCGGATCGCGCCCGATTGGTTGCTGCTGCTGGGGGCACTGCTGCCGCGAGACGACGGTGGCTGAAACAGGAAATTGAGATGGAGCGAGATTTAATTGTCGCTGCAGTGTGAAAGCATTGTCAGAATCACTCGGCGCCCTGCGGAGCCGAGACTCGTTGGAAAATATGCACAGGGAAGACATGTCTGTATTCTGCCTTCTACTACGCAAAGCGCCGCAGTATTGGGTCAACAGTACCTCCGGCACACTCTGCCGCCACTCGGACGCTACATATTCAGCTTCAAAGACCACTATAGTCTGGTGCTGCTAGAAGATCGCCAGCGAGACGAGAGGCACAATGGATGGGACGCCTGGGCCTCGAGGCGGGGCATCCCGCCAGGCGATTGAGGGGCGAAGGCATCAACACAGCATTCATGTTGTGGCTGGGCGTTGCACATATATCTTGGCCCACAACCAAGGATTCTCGGTAGAACCATTATCAAATAAGGTACCTCTCGCGAGTCGTGCATCGAGAACGATAGGTACATGCACAAAATGGCGCCGGTCCCCACGTGTCCCCGTTGCCAACGCCTAAATCCAACGGCCCCCGGGGCACTGCTCCACTACTTCGCCGAACCGGGTTCCCGTAGGCGCCACTCCCGCCACTCGCAGTCGCCGACCGTTATCGTTCATCTCACCCCTCTCCGACTTGGTACCGTCTCACATGTCTCACATGCAGGCCCAACTGCCGGCTGGTGGGCTATCAACTACTTAGACAGCCTTACAGGATGGAGCAGAGTGAGCATGCCATGCCCAGTGATCACGCTCCCACTTTATCACTGCCGACGCCGAGTGTCCCGGACCGCAATCTTCTGTGACCGCCACAACTGATGCCACAGCCACAGCAGCAGCAGCAAAAAATTGCACAGACATCCACATCTTACGAGCGCTAGACAGCTACAGGCCTGCTCGCCTGTCCTGTGACGAACCTCTTGCACACGATCAACATGTCGGACCAACTAGGCGCAGCTGACAAAGCCCGCCCCAAACCGCCCAGCCTTCTGGCCTGCATCCCGTGCCGTCGCTCACATCTCAAGTGCGACGGCGTCAAACCACTGTGCAGCCGCTGCGCCGACAAGCGCATCGACTGTGTATGGATCGAATCTCGCAGAGGATACCGCGACTATCGCAAAGGCGGAAATGCCGCCGCTACGGGCAACACGCAGAAGCCGAAACGTCGAGACTCGGGCTACTTCTACGGTCCCCGACCTCAGCATGAGCCAGTCCCCGAGGCCTATGTGCTGGACGCCAGCCTCACCGCCGCTCATGCCTTCACCTATGACGAAATCTTCAACGTCCCCTTCCCCGGCGCTGAGATGCCCGCCTTGTATGGAGACGCCCATGCCGCATACCACACGTCGCTGCCACCCGTTGCCGAGTTGACGCCGACATCGTCCGCCACCAAAGACCTGCCGACGCCCGTCAGTGCTCGAGAGATGCAGTTGGCTCGGTCAGATACTCACGGGTCCCACGAGAAGGAGCCCTCGGACTTGATCGACCTCTTCTACAAGTACTTCTTTGGCTCCCACCCCTTCGTCGTCCCACAGAAGCTGTACCGGCAGCGGCCCGACACCATCCCAGAGGGGCTGAAGGCATGCATGAGATTCATCGCTGCCCATTACGTCCCGAATCACAACCTACTGGCTCTGCAGAAGGCAACGGCCGTCATCTTCACCGACCAGATGCCTGACGACGTCTACAAGATCCAAGCCCTGATGCTCTACATGTGCGCTGCCTTTGCCCGCTACGAGCAAATGCAAGGTGGCGTCGCACTCGAAAACGCCATTCGCATCGCCATGCAGATCGGATTGAACAAGCACGCCTTTGCCGCAACCGTCGAGCCACACAACGCCGTCATGCAGGAATCCATTCGCCGCACGTGGTGGACGCTGTTCATCATGGAGGGCCTCATCACCGCCATCGGAGGCCAGATGAGTCCCTTCCGCCTCCACCGCCTGTACTGCGACGTCCCACTCCCGGGCGACGACGCAGCCTACATGGCCCTCAAATCCTCCATGGCCCCCCGATCTCTCGCCGACTTCCGCAACCGCACCTTCGCCGAAGACAACTACGCCTACTCGTCCTTTGCCTACGCCATCGAAGCCATGTACATCATGGGCGCCGTCTTCGAGCTGGGGCCCGACACCTTCGCCATCACCGACCACCAGGTCGAAGCCATCGACGCCTCAATCAGCAACTTCACCCTCTCGCTCCCACAAGACAAGCGCGACGTGATCCCAGACCCCGACGGCTTCGTCGACGAAACCCTACTCATGGCGCACATGCTCATCAACTGGGCCGCCATCCTCGTGCACCGGCCCCGCAGCACCCTGACCTTCATCCGCAACCACTACGCCACCATCTGCACGCGCGTCGAAGCCGCGGGGCTCCCCGCGCTAGCGTACGCCAGCCACACCTCCAAAACCCTCCGCGCCGCCAACACCATCATCAATCTGGCCACCGTCCAGCGGCCCATCACCTACTGCACCCCCAGCATGGTCTGCGGCATCACCACCGCCGCCACCGTGCACTTACCCGCCTACGCCATCGCCGACACACCGGGCCACGCCACCGCCATCAAAGAACGTCTGCAGCTGGGCATCAGCGCCCTGGGCCGCTTCGCCGAGATCTGGCCCCGCGCCAGCATCGCCAAGAGCCAGGTCGCCAGTTTCGCGCGAGAGGTCCTCACCAGGCCGAGCGTGTGTGTTGATAGCACGGCGCCGAGTCTGCCGTGCGCGACGCCGTTGGGGGTGGTTGCGGGGCGTGAGAGTCATGGTGTTGGTGGTGGTGGTGCTGACGCTGCTGCTGCTGGCGCGAGTGGCGGCGCGAGTGCTGGTGGAGGCGGTATGTTGTTGGGCGCGCCCGTCAACACGGGTCTGGGTCTGCCGGCGTTGGAGTATGTGGGCGAGACGGTCGCGGCGGATGGCATGGTGGATCCGCCCGTTATGGAGTCGTCGGCTTCTGAGGAGGAGGAAGGGGAAGGGGCGGCGGCGGATGAGGAGGAGGAAGAGGGGTGGGTCTTGGATGAGCTGGAGGGGATGCCGGCGCAAAGTCTTCCTTGAGTACGCTATAAGTGCGAAGAAGAAGGGTTGGGGGGCGAGGGTCGTTTACCGATGATGGATGAACATCACAGTGCCACTGCCGCAGGTGCCCAGATGGGGAGGATGGGAGGGACGATCAACGAGATTTATGAGACTTTGCCGGGGGAACGGAAAAGTTTCTTCTAGAATATGTGTATAAACTCGCACATAGTTTCATTTGGGCAACGAGAACGAACAGACGATCATATACTGTGAGCTACAGGGCGGGCGGGCTACTGTACTTTCGCTGGCCCTGGGTCTTGCTTGGTCTTTTGGCCTTTACACCAGGTGGAATTGTTCAACTGCTGTCTTCTGAGGGTCCTTTCACCCTGGCTGGTTGACGGGTCCGTAGCCTCTCAGCCTCTCAGTCTCTCAGTCTCTCAGTCTCTTCTCTACAGAACGTTTGAACTCGGCTGTAGTTGTAGTACATGGAGATGCAGCATGGTCCTTTCGAGGCGCACAGTCTTGCAAATTGCAATTCCCACGTGTGGCATGTCGTGCCGTGTGCGTGCAACCAAAGCAGTACTAGTATTTCCAGCAGCGCGAACCGTCTCCCCTCTACACGAGCACGCACCAGCTGTACTCAGCATCTTTCTCTGCCTTTTCTGTAACGTGTATGCGTTGTAGCGTGTGCATGACTGCATCACCATCAATACCATCGATGCCGTCATCGTAATTGTACCGCTTGCAAGTCACCTTAGGTACACCGGGAGGAACGTCCGCTACCTAGGTACACGCGCTCGCACCGCTCAGTCTAGTTCTAGTTCGAGAGCCAGGCTTTCGGCGCAAGGCAACCACACCCCCATTGTACCGTACCCACTTGGGTAGGGGCGAGGCTTTGGGCTCCTATGTTGTTGAGCTGTTTTGGTGAGTGCCTTAATCTCAGTGCGATCTAGCTGGAGTAGGTGACCTTTTGATCCTATAGAGGGCCAGATGCAGCAGTGGGCTTATAAATGGTTGAATGGTGATGTTATCGCTGCTTGTGAAACTAGTGACATTTCGTGATTCGACACCTTTCGCCAGCAGGGACCTGTGGTGGGTACTACGACTTCGTAGTAGCGAGGCATGGTATCTTCTCCGATCTCCGTCAAGCTGTGATTGGTGGTATGAAATCGGAATGAAGTGGTTTCTGAAAGTGGGATGTGAACGAGAGGTTCTTCGGAGGACACGGGCGGGGGGAGGTGCTGTAGCTGTAGCTGCAGCTGGGCCGGCAGGGTCAGTGACCAAGGTAGCTGACGCAGCACGTGTTACGTCTGCGGCACTCTGTGTGCGGGCATGCAGGATTGTGAGACGACAGGAATGCGATACGACCAGAGGGTGAGATCGGCTTTGACGGTGATGGGATGGTGAAGTCTGGAGTGTCGAGAGCATGAACATGAGTTGAGTTGCTGTGATGGTAAGTCTGGCCGTTCCTTCTGCGATATGAAGGTTTGTCCATCGGAGGACGACGCGGTGATGAGGTTGAAAGTGGTTCGCAAGCGACGTGCAGGTGAAGCAGATGGGATCTTCGCGGGAGCTGGAGGTCAGGAGACACTGGACGAGCGTAGGAATAATACATTCAAGAGATATGTGCGTGATTGAAGAAGACCCCAGCGAGTATCTAGCTTCTACGGAAAGAGCGTTCGGCTACAGGGGCTGAGGATAGGCATAGCTGTTCGCCTTTGACAACATTATCATTGGGTAAAGTCTAGTACTACAGTCAGGTCGCTGCGGACTTTGTGGTTTGTTTGACTCTAAGTGTCTTGGCTGTGCACTGATAGCCGTACAGTCTCGCAGTTGTCAGTGCCGTCGTTGCAGCAGAGGACACACGGACAGCTAGCCATTTAGAGTGTGCCATACCCAAAACCAAAATTCACATCTTGCGCGGTGTAGGTGCTGTCGTCACGTTCTCGGTGTCAGTCTGCACAAGATCGCCTCTGACATTTGTTCTTATGTCGTGGCCTCGACACCAAGAAGACAACGGGCTCGTGTCACTTTTTCGCCTTCTTGCTACCGCCCGTCATATCCTTGCCATTGGCAGCGTTCTTCTTCCGCTTATGGTTGACGGTCTTTTTGGGGCTGTCGCCGGGGTTCTTCCCCTCGCCATGGGAAGCCCCATCTAATCGGACACCAACTGCTTCCTCCTGATCTTGAGAAGGGCTTTCGGTAGTGACTTTGGATGCGTCTTCAATGGTCCCAGACTGCTTGATCACAACTTTGATGACAGGCATGTGCGTGCCGTCAGGGTCGACGTTGATCAGCTTGAGAACCCACTTGTGCCAGTCCTCATACTTGCAAGTCTGGTTATGAAAGACCATGCCGTCGAACGTAGCAGTCCCATGTCTAATTTTCTCTTCGTCAATGGCCTCATACGGCGCCAAAACCCAAATCTCGGAGTCCTTAAGCTTGGTCGCCCAAGCCGGATCGTGCTCTGAAGAGTCATCTTTGTTAGGACGCTCTTGGCTGCTGATTGTCAAATCTCTGTTCGAGACCCCGTTATTGGCAGTAGAGATTGATTCTGGGGTAACTTTGACTAGCTCCAGTTCACAGCTGCCGAAGAGATGATGTTTGTTGCGTAAGGATCGCAGAGTAACAACAGTATAGCTCAAGACCTGACTCGTCTGGACATCGGAGTCTTCCGAGTCGCTGATGGTGCCAAGTTGGTACACTGCAAGCGCAGCAACAACTTCGGGTCGAGGAGTGTTCAGCAACAGTCTCTGCAATACGTCCAGAACGTTGTTGACGTGTTGTTTGAGAAAGCTGATAGCTTGCGTGAAGGTTGCAGTAGGTTGGTGGGATATTAGATCATACGTGTGCTACGTAGTAGTCAGTCAGCAGCTATGCATGGTGGAAGGCGGGGAATAGGATTCATGGCTGGGTTTGCACTGGCGTTGACGTTCGTGCTGGTGTTCATGTTGTTGTTCGCGCTTGCGGCTGGATTGACATTCATGGTAGAGTTCGCTCGAACGCAGAGATGGATAAAGAACTCATCAAAGACTCGCAGCCGCGATCTGTAGTCAACAATGTGCGAAATGCCAACTATGGAGGGTGACAGAGTGATGGTGACAACGGGAATGATAGCGAAAGACTTAGGCAGAAGAACTCAGGCAGATGACAGGGACACTGCGATGGGGAGTAGTCCGCGGCAACGGTACCACTCGACTGCCTCGACCTGTTTCGAATTATAATGTCCAGCTCCGAGCCGCATAGATAGATAAAATGGCTTGGAGATGTTAATTTGCAGTCTAGGTCTCTACATAGGTACCATCCAACATCCCAGTCCTCCGGCTCGTCATCCAGGCGACGGGTCAAGACAGCGAAACGTATAGTCTGTTGCTATTGAGAGGCCTTGGTTTCACCCATGCGGGGCTACTCACACTCTGCACCACGGGAAGGTGCCTCTCTACAGCAGAGCGCCCTATATTGAGTGATCAGCATAACTTTTCGGACACGACGTACCTTGAAGTTTCATCATCTGCTTTACTCAGACGTTAGACGTTCTCTTCTCGTTTGTGCTAGCTGTGGCGGCAAACTCGCTTCGATGGTTTGAATGCAGGTATACCAGGGGACGCTCAACTTGACAACTCTCATCTCCAGACTGCACGTTGACAGGAAGATCCTGTCAAGGTCGTGTCCGTTGAAAAGCGAGGCCTGCTGCTGAGGTCACAAGTCTGTATCTTGCTCATTCTCGAACTGCCAGATCTCAGGCACATCGGCGGCTCGATGCTCTGATATCTGGACAGCGGGTATTGGCGAGTCCACTTGACGCCGCAATGTCAGTCCAGCCGCCCAATGGAAAATTCCATGGTATCAGCCCTGGTCTCTGTTTGCTCTGCGGCGTGGAGTGTTCTCGCGCTTCCCAGCCCTACTAGCTATCAGCAGGTCAGAGGTGGCGTCACCGGAATCGGCGGTCGTGGTTCGAGTCGGTTGCTTGTCTAGATGGCTGATCAGTAACAGAACGCAAAAGCATTTAGGAGCTTACCAAGGAAGATTCGATAGAACCTTGCAAGAGTGCATTGGGGTCGCCGATACAAAGTTATGGTGTGGTGCGGAGAGAGTTGTATTTTGTAGAAGCGAGAGATGCTCAAGTGCGGTCAACATCAAAGTAGGCAACCAAGCGGCAAAATGGGGCCGCTGTCGCCAAGCCTGCAGCCGTTTGCACTCCAGCCTCTCACCGCCACCGAATTGTCACGAATGGTGACAAAGGTGGGGAGATTCTCAATGTCCTTGAGGTGAAAGCACGGTTGGCTACGGTCAGAGGCGTGGCTGAATGCTGTGACATCCAGGCGCAGCAGGCAGGGTTGGATACGTGACGGGGGCCCCGGGTCTTCAAGGTACCCATTGCATGTGACAAGTGACAAGTTGCCGAAACGACATTGTTCCTCACTATTGCGCTAATTAGAAGAAAAGCTCGCATCACATTCGAAAGTAGCGCGCCACCAGAATCGACCTGCGCTCTTTCCGCAAGGTGAAGCAAGGCAACCACGCAGAACGCTAGTCCCAATAAGGTAATCAGGACAATCGGCCCTGGTCTTGGCGCCTCCTAAGCATTTCGCCAGCTGGTACGGTCGCAACGCGCGTTTTCGCGTCAATAGCCTTCCACACCGTCAATAGGATCAATACAATCAATAGGTATTGCCGCAACTGTACAATCAATAGAGACATTAGCCAACACCCACGCCGTCTATTCATCCCAGCCACCACCATAGAGCACTCCACCATCAAACCCCTGTTGACTTGTAGCTCCCCTTTGCCTCACCGACCACGACACCCGTCCTTGAGAACGACTTCTTCGAGACTTTGTTTTCTTCTTGATACTAAATCAAACCAAACTCACCTTCCTCCCACCTCACCACAACATCACCTGCCATGTCAGGCAGATACAACCTCCGAAGCAGGGCGAAGCGGTCGCTGGTCGACGCTGAGCCGGAGCCAGAGCAGCAGCAGCAGCAGCGAGTGAAGAGGAGACGAGTGGTGAAGGGAAGTGAAGCAGTGCCAGTGACCGTGGCAGAGGAAGCGAGGCGAGAAGAAGACGAAGAGGAAGAGGAAGAAGGAGAAGCTGCTGGCAGTATTTCTTCTTCACCAAAAGAACTATCCCGAGAAGAGGTGCGCAGGAGATTGTTCGCTGATCGACGCTCCCCTACGCCCCCTGCAAGCGCTGTGCAGGCCGATACTGGCAACGAGGAGCCCTCCCCGACCTCTGAGCTTCACCAGCCAGCACCAGCACCAGCACCAGCTCCAGCGCCAGACGTGCCCCTCGAGGCACAATTCCACATCACGGCCGCCCAACGAGCCTGGTACCTGGCGCAGCGTGCCCGTCACGCCGCCGCCACCCCCTCCCTCCCCACCTTCCTCGGCAGCGTGCGCGCCAACATGAAGACCGCTGTGGCAGACTACGCCACCAGCCTAAACATCCCTCACGACTATGCCGTCAACCTGCCTTGGAACTCCCCCCTGCCGTCCGCACTGCACGAGCTCTTCGCCGTGCTGGCCGAGGGCCTCCCTGCTCCTGCTCCTCCTCCTGCCGAGCACGAAGACCAGCAGGAAGCCACCGCCACTGAGAACGACAGGCCGCGCTGGCGCCTCAGCGCGAACATGCTGGAGCTGCTGAGTCCTGGTACGCAGCGGCAGTTTACGTGGCGTGAGCTTGTGGAGGCGCTGTTGGGCGCAGCTGTCACGTCTTGGTGTCTTTGTGAGGAGCCGTTGGAAGATGATGAGTGGCAGAGGGGGTTGGGGTGGGCTGCGGGAGAGACGATGGCGGTAATGTTTACGAGAGAGGCGAGGGAGTTTCATCTGCAGCAGATTGCTGTGAGGGTTTTGGAGGAGGGGCAGAGGGAGGAGGTGCTGCAAAGGAAAGGGCACAGGCTAGCCAGGCAGTTTATGATTGTCGTGGGGGCTCTGGTTGGGAAGGAGCTTGAGGGCGTGCGCGAATTGGCGACTGGTGAAGAGGAGGAGTTTGTTTCCGTCCAGGCAGAGGAGCGCGATGGTGGAGTGAGCTCGCAGCAGAGGTTTCTGAACACTCTTGCGGAAATCTCTGCATCGGCAACGTGGTTACGCTTGCAGCTGGCGAAACCGGGCAATGCGGCATACCAGTTTGACTTTGCGAAGCATTTGGATCTGGTGCAGAGGCATGGCGAAGACACAGAGACGCGGGTCGTCTTTGGAGTTCTGCCGCGGATTGTCAAGCGCAGCTGGGAGAGCATGATCGAGCCATCAGACGACAGAAACACCACAGCCGAAAGGTTATACAGCGGCAGGGCGTACATCAGGGAGGATTGGTGGCTGCAAACATCTAAGTGATGGCCACGAAGCAGAGCAGTGTACGGCTGGTCCGTAATACTATGACTGAATGCGAAGGATGATCGATCAAGCGCGGAGAATTCAGAAGACAAGGTCTGATTCGAGGATTGCCTCTCCTATGCTGAGGTTACTACAAACCAGCTTGAGCACGACCACCAACTTCGAGGACAAACCAGTCACTTGCCAGACTTCTCTCTTGTAATAGCTCTCTGCCTTCATCAGGACTTCCTTCCCCAAGCCGCGAACCAAGACAGATCAAAGCCTTCCTCCTGAGCCTGCTTCATCACATCAAGGGTCAACTTGTCCATCTGCTGTTGCGTCGCCATTCCTGTCTTGACGAGTCCCGGCGATGCGACAGTGGTAAATCCCCGTAACCAGTCCCAGCTGCTCTTCTCCAGTTGCGAGCCCTTCCCAATCCTGATGGGACGCTCCTTGCTGCCAAAACCGGTCATGGTGTCTCCAGCTGCCGTTTGCAAGATCTCAGCCACACGAGCGCCCTGACTCGCATCCATGCCGGCTCGCACGAGGAAGGCTCCCATGGTCTTGAAGAGTCTAGCTGAGGGTTTGTCAGACTCAAGCATCTTTTCCGCCGGCATTGCTCCATCAATCAGCTGTATGAACCCTCCAGGTTTCACTAGATTCCAAGCACGCCGGACCAGGTCAATGGCTGCATCGCCTGGAACGTTGGCCATCACGGCGCGGAGTTGCACCAAGTCGAAATTATCTTTCCAGTCCTCTGGAAAAGGTGTTTTGAAGTTGTGAGTGATGACATCCTCCACCACGTCTGGATATGGCGCGACATCTGTCCCAACCAGAGTGGCGGTATCAGGGCAGGCGAGCTGGCTACGGACGCAGTGCAGGAACCAGCCATCCGCAGTGCCTACATCAAGAATCCGAAGGTTCTGCTGCGTGGTGTCGAGATGACACAGCAATAGGCCGCCTAAGGCATCAACGACAAGATCATGCTGGGCGCGAAGCCTGGCGGTCTCGGTCAGAGTGCGTTCGCCTGGGTAGTTGTCAATAGGCGGCTGAGACGACATAATTGAATCTGCGAAATGGGACAGGCTTAGACATAGGTTAATGGCATGGGTGTGCGTATAACAGTACTCGTTAATCGTTGCTACATGCTGATCACACTAATAAGGCGTCCCATTTAGTCTTCAACAGAGGGACATGCTGACAGCGACTTGAGCATATACCGCTCACGTCCGGATAGTCCCCGCGCCCACCAATCGATGGTCACAGTCGTTTGCAGAGCTCGCAAGACTCGCAAGGCGGGCACTTGTTCATATTGCCTATGCATGCCTGGATAGTCTAGATGCCGGCTTAACCACCGGATCGTCAGCCATGTTGAAAGGCAACGAATAAGGCAGAAACAAAGGCAGGCGGCATCTTTATTGACATGATTATCTACAAGATTAGCAACTCTTGTCAATACATCACAGGCTGCTTTCACTTCTTTGTTCACCACTTGCCTGCCAGTCTTTTGTCACCGTTTGCCTGTATCATATGAGAATCTGGTACCAACATAGCATCTTGTTGTTCTCTTCATTCAGGGACCGGAACCTTCTATAAGCAGGCATCTCGGAAAGAGAAGGAGAGATGTGGCCTCATCAACAGGAGCATGCTCAGTATACACGGCCATGATCGACTGGAAGGGTCGCCTCGTTGCTTGCTGTAGGAAGACCTCCGGTCTCGCATCAGCACCTGGAGAGCGACAGGGTTGTTCGACTGGTGCTGCACTTTTTCATCGTCATTGTTGCGGTATGCATCAAGTCGGGGAAGAAGCATCCAGCAGATTGTTCGTCATGATCAGAGACGAGGGACCGATTTTGGTAAGTTGTAAGAAGTAAGTGCCCTAGCTGTCGCCCGGGCTCGCCTGGAGTTGCTTCGGCTACCAAGCGAACAGGCTAAACTCCGATTTTACCGGCCAGAAACAAAATGCTGCCTCACGATCTGTCCTCCATGATTTGACCACTCTCTATCCCGCAAGCGAGATCAGATCGCGAGCCTCACGACTCCATAATCTGCCGCGACTAGACCTCTGTGAGCGGCATAGTTCAGCCACTTGTCGATGCACGAACAGGATATTGTACCGCTAACCGAAACTTCTCCTTTCCGGATAGCTTGAAACTCATAGGTACGTTGGTGGCTTTGACCTGCAGTCTTGTACGATATTTCGCAGATGTCAATGCAAGGCATCCATGCTGCCAGATCAGCTGCCCGTCATGGCAAGCATCCGACCTTGCAGAATGAAGAAAGCGAGCACCGATATATGATCAGTCAATTTTCGGTGCAGGACCTCTCTGCTCTGAATTCCGAAGTCCTCGCCAGCAAGCACGCCCAAGCGGCACGCACAAAGTCGCCGACGACCCTGGGTCAATCCGAAACTCGACCATGCGATGCCAAGAGGGTGCCACTTCCTTGCGGCATGGTCTAGGCTCGACGATAGATTTCCTGCTCTGTTAACACAGCGGGGCACCCATGCTATTCACCATGACCGGCAGCACGTTGCCTGTACAGCGGCAACGTGATCCAGACACCCCTCAAAGACTCTCTAAGCGAGGGTACAAACCACCGCTGACACCTGTACTTCAATCTCATGCCCTGCAGCGCCAAGTGGGACCAATATATCGACATGGCTTTACGGGAAAAGGTGAGAGCATCAAGGTAGGTCTATATAGCCTGAGCTGGCAACCTCTTCATCCTACTTTCCCTTCTGTGTGCTCACTACCGCATTCATTCGTTCATTGAATCTTGTCCCTCGTTTCGTCGCAGGTCGACATCCTCTCCTTTCAGTCGTTCGCTTCGACAGCCGTTCGCTTTTACCACCAGCAACATGATGAAAACACTGAGCCTGCTGGCCCTAGCGGCCACCGCGAAGCTAGTTTCCGCTCACGCCACCGTCCAGGCCGTCTGGATCAACGACGCCGACCAAGGCACCGGCACTGCCATCCGCTCACCACCCAACAACTCGCCCCTCGTGGACGTGACCTCCTCCGACATGACCTGCAACGTCAACAACAAGGCCGTGGGCACGACCCTCAAGGTCAAGGCCGGCGACAAGGTACACCTATCCCTCCACTTCCACCTACCACCAACCATCCACTAACACCTCCCCGCACCAGTTCACCTTCGAATGGCACCACGAATCCCGCTCCGCCAGCGACCAAATCATCGACCCCTCGCACAACGGCCCCGTCCTCGTCTACATCGCCCCCACCACCACCGGCACCGCCGGCAACGGCTGGGTCAAGCTCGCCGAAGACGGCTTCAGCAACGGCCAATGGGCCGTCGAGCGCCTCCGCGCCGCCGCCGGCAAGCACAGCATCACCATCCCAGACATCGCCGCCGTCACCTACCTGCTGCGCGCCGAGATCATCGCCCTGCACGAAGGCTACCGCGTCAACGGCGCCCAATTCTACATGGAGTGCGTGCAGATCGAAGTCACCTCCTCCAGCGGCAGCACCACCAAGACCCTCCCCGCCGGCGTCGCCATCCCCGGCGCCTACAGCGCGCAGGACCCCGGCATTCTTTTTGATCTGTACAACAGTTTCAGCAGCTACAAGGTCCCCGGCCCGGCTGTCTGGGACGGCGCGTCGTTGTCTTCCGGCGGCTCTGGCTCTTCGCCTGCACCTTCTTCCTCCTCGTCGTCAAAGCCCGTTGCGACTACTACTACTACGCCCACAGCACCGCCGACGGCCGTGCCCACAACGCTGCAGACCAGCGTGCGTCCCGCGACGACCAAGCAACCTGTACCCACATCCTCTCTTCCTCCTCCTCCTTCGTCTTCCACGCCCACTGGCTCCGTCGCCGAGTGGCAGCAGTGCGGCGGCATCAACTTCTCCGGCTCCGGCACCTGTGCGTCCGGCTTGACGTGCAAGCAGTGGAATCCTTATTACTTTCAGTGCATCAAGGCCTGAGACTGGCTGAGACTGAGACTGGGATTCATAGAGCCTCACTGAGGATAAGCCCGCAAAAGGGTAGGGGAAAGGAAGGCGGGTCCGGTTCGCATGTGCATCGCATGGTTTGGATGGTTTGGAGTGTTGTGGAGGTCGTGGGAAGAGTTGGAAGGACGCTTTGGTGTTGTTACTTTATTTCATTTCATTTCCGCTTCTTGTAGATATACATACATACACATACGCACAAGTCTTCTTGGGGGAGCATGAGTTTGCACCAACGAGTATCGTCACTTTACGTTCGCATTCCCCGTCCTTGCACACACTTTCGTGTCTGTTGAATGTCTTTGGGGACCCGTAGTGTTGGATGCAAGCAAGTCCACATCGCCTAAGCTGTTATCATGGCATGAGACTCTGTGAAATTCTGGTATGAGATGTCTGGTCTGGTAGGCCCTATATACACATGCCACGAACTAAGGCTCTCTCAACTTCCACCTGTGGCCGATCACCACTTCATGTGCGCGCATATACTTACGCCGCCCTATTGTACAATAGACACTTCTGCCGCTGCAGCAGCTGCCCGCTGGTGGAGTCTCAGACGAGGACGTACAAGCTGCACATCATCGCCAGACCCAGAACCATGCTGCTCCAAAACGCAGCATTGTTCAGAACCCAGTTGCCTCTGAGCATGGGGCTACGCTGCACCGCCACAATGGGCAACTGCAGCATCATGGCCACGAACCCGTAGCCCCTCAATTTCTTGGTGATACAACCCATAATCAGCTCGTGGCCCACCGCCGAAACCAGGAATGTGACCGCCATGGCAATCGAGTTGGAGGTGTAGTTGCGCAGACTGAAATAGACGTGTCGACGCAGGAAGTGGTACACGGGTATATTCCATTCGCGAGAAAACTCCAGCCAGTCGGTGCTGTTCCACCAGTCCGAGTAGAAGTGACGGTCCGCGAAACACGTCAACTCGGCGAATGCTCCAAGAACGTACTCCCAGATGACGAGGAAGACCAACAGGAAAGTGATCATAAACGGGAAAAGCAATAGGCTTGTTGTTTCCGCGAGGATGAGGGCGCGGTCGGAATTGAATGGTGTATGCTTGAGGCGAATGGCGCTATCAGCAAGGATCGGCGTGATGAACTCCTCAGAGATGATGGTCATGAGGAAAATGCAGCCGAATACAGCCAGTGTCTTGTAGAAGACCTCTAACCAGCGGATATTAGAAGTTCGTGGGTATTCGAGCTCGTAGCAGAGCGTGGGACATAGGGTGTAGTCGGCATAGTTCCAAAGAGTCAGGTTCTGCGGGAATGTGACCTGACCCAAAGGCGACGTGAGCTCTGTGGCCAGGTCTTTACGAAGCTGTGACAGCTCCTGCGACGCTTCCTGCTTCTCAACTACAGTCTCATCGAGCTCCGATATGCGAGAGGGCGACGAAGGATATTTGAACGCTCGGTCAAACTTGACATCTGGGGCAGGTTTGTCGAGGGCACGTAAGCGACGCTCGGATTCAGACAAGTGGCCGTTGTAAAAAGCATAGGAATGCATCTTCATCAGGAACGTGAGTGTGTGGAGCGCGAAGAAGACCTGTGCGGTCCAGGTCCAGTTCAAGAGAAACGGCCACTCGACCCACAAAGCAAGCCAACCGAGTTGGAAGATGGCCTGAATCCATACACCGCCGCGGCGCCACTGGAAGATGGTCCAGCCGCTTCGAAACAACTTCTGCAAAGGCAAAGAAAGCGCAGTGCTGCCGACCATGGCTGCATCTGAGAGAGCTAACGCCAGGACATTCTTGGAGAGGATGCGATAGACTTGCGCCCGCAATGGATATCCTGTCTCTTTGATATTGCGCAGACCGCTGGTAATGACCATGATGCTCAGACCCACCCAGAACAGGACGAAAAAGCCGCGAAAGTCGCTGTACTCGCTGGAGGGATCGAAGTGGGACACTCGAGGTTTATAATTGATGTTGTGGAAGGAGCGCACCTTCGCCTGGGCGCGAGCATACTTGCGTGCAGAGGAGATGGACTGCGCGGATGGAGGTGCGTCCTGAGGGACGGGTGTTGAGCGTCCGCTAGACACGCCGGAGGCAGGTACGTCGACGTAGCCATTACCGCCGCCGTGTCCATTCAGCTTCAGGGACTCGTCGGGTCTCCGAGGTCGCGGACGAAGTATCTGATCAGGGCTGGTGTTGCGCTGAGAGGTCATGCTGACAAGTTGATGCAGTATCGTGTACAAGTTTTTTGAAAGATGGAAAAAGATGTGGAACTAGGTAGCATGCTTATCCAGATGAAGAGCAGCAAGAATCTCACATATTATCATCAAAGGTCGACCATGACTACACAGTGCCTAGGCACGTAATGAGACGAAGAGGGCCATCACTAGGCTTCGGCTGCGAAACGACAGCCTTGAGTCGCAATATGGTCTGCTCTGGGATGCTCGGGATTCTCGCGCGGCGACGTCAGACTTGGCTCGGCGTAATAATGTACGGAGGGAATAATGCATTGTCCACCCGTCGGTCTTGATTGGCTGTGCCCGTACTCCTCCGTGATTGGTTGCGAACACTTGTGTGGGCTCTGGAAAGAGTGCCCGCCGCCATTCAGCAACCATATCCCCATCTTTGGTGCGGTGTTCCAGGCCACGGTCATTGCTTGACGAAGTACTGAAAGCTGAGTTCTAGGCCGCAGAAGATGCACTGAGAATAATGGGGACGATGCGTATCTCTTCCACATCGTAGATCCGAGCCGCAGGAGACATCTGTCACTCTTACCACCCTCCGTCCCCGAAGCGGCATCATGAGTTCCCGTACGTTACCCGCGGTCCACCTCAGAGTGCCGGTCACTAATTCGACTACAGTCAAGCAGTTCATTCGCAATGTGCGAGCCTCCAAGACGATCGCAGACGAGCGGGCAGTTGTGCAGAAGGAGAGCGCAGCCATCAGAGCCAGTTTCAGAGAGGAGGGCCACGACTCCAACACAAGGTACGTGAACATCTTACCGCCTATGGAAGTGTCCTAAGTGTTGCAGGCGCAATAATGTCGCCAAACTACTATACCTATTTACCTTGGGTGAACGAACTCACTTCGGTCAGATCGAGTGTCTGAAGTTACTTGCCTCTCCTCGATTCGCAGACAAGAGATTGGGATACCTGGGGACCATGCTGCTGCTGGACGAGAATCAGGAAGTCTTGACTCTCGTTACGAATTCACTCCAAAACGACCTGAAGCACTCCAACCAGTATGTCGTCGGGCTGGCTCTCTGTACGATGGGCAACATCGCCTCCGTTGAGATGTGTCGAGACCTCTTCCCGGATATCGAGAACCTCATTTCAACGGCAAATCCCTATATCCGACGGAAAGCCGCCATCTGTGCCATGAAAATCTGCCGAAAGGTTCCAGACCTCCAAGAGCATTTTCTCGACAAGGCCAAGGCCCTGCTTAACGATCGTAATCACGGTGTCCTCCTATGTGGCCTGACCTTTGTCACTAGTATGTGTGAAGCCGAAGAGATGGAAGAGGGCGAGGAAGGGGCCATTGAAATGTTCAAAATCGTGGTACCACAACTCGTGAGAGTGCTCAAGAATCTGCAAAGTTCGGGATACACGCCAGAGCACGACGTTTCTGGCATCACCGACCCCTTTCTACAAGTCAAGATCCTCAAGCTTTTCAGAGTCTTGGGCAGAGGCGATGCGGAAGTCAGCGAGCAGATCAACGACATTCTCGCACAGGTCGCGACCAACACCGAGGCTTCAAAGAATGTGGGTAATGCTATCTTATATGAAGCAGTTCTCACAATTCTCGATATCGAGGCAGACTCGGGTCTTCGAGTCTTGGGCGTCAACATTCTGGGAAAGTTCCTGTCGAACAAGGACAACAACATTCGATATGTTGCACTTAACACTCTTCTCAAGGTGGTAGCCATCGAGCCGAATGCTGTTCAGAGGCACCGAAACACGATTTTGGAATGCTTACGCGATCCCGATATCTCCATCCGAAGGCGAGCCCTCGATCTCAGCTTCACACTCATCCGCGAAGACAATATCCGAGTGCTCATCCGAGAGCTGCTAGCCTTCCTAGAGGTTGCTGACAACGAGTTCAAACCAGTCATGACCACTCAAATCGGCATTGCTGCGGACAGATTCGCACCCAGCAAGCGCTGGCATATCGATACCATGCTCCGGATCGTCAAGCTAGCTGGCAACTACGTCAAGGAGCAGATATTATCCTCATTTATTCGACTCATCGCAACATCTCCCGACCAGCAGACATACGCGGTGCAAAAGCTCTATTCTGGTCTCAAAGCAGACATCACACAAGAAGGCTTAACCCTCGCTGCAACCTGGTGTATTGGCGAGTATGGCGAGCTGCTTCTGCGGGGAGGATCTTATGAGGATGAGGACCTCGTCAAAGAGGTGCACGAATCCGACATCGTTGATCTTTACACGACCATCCTCGATTCCACTTATGCCACTCAGATCGTAACCGAATACATCATCACTTCTTCTATGAAGCTCACCACACGAATGTCCGACCCATCTCAAATTGAGCGCATTCGAAGGTTGATGGGATCGCGCACCTCGGATCTGAACATTGAAATCCAGCAGAGAGCGGTGGAATACGGCAACATGTTCGGCTATGATGGCATTCGCCGTGGCGTTCTGGAGAAGATGCCACCACCAGAAATACGAGAAGACCAGCGGGTTCTGGGGCAAGCTGTCGCTCCGGCTAAGGACAAGCGGAAGGCTGCGCTCAAGGAAAAGAGCAAACGCGTGTCCAAGGTAGCAGAGCAAGACATGCTTCTGGATCTCATGGGCGGGACCGATACTCCCGCGGTCGACATGAGTGCAACGCTGAACGGACAGCAGAATACGGCGGATCTCCTGGCAGATATTCTGGGCGGAGGCAACAGCGTATCTTCGCCCCCACCCCAAACCATGTCGCCAGCTCCTGCACAATCCAATACAGACTCGATCATGGATCTGTTCGGAAATGGAACCAACGCGAGTTCAAAGCCCGCAACGCCTTCGATACCAGCAGGACCAGCAGCGCACAACGTCTACAGCAAGAATGGACTGGCAGTTACCATGCAGATATCGCGGTCGGCTGCCGGCGTCCAAGCTCTGGCGCGGTTTAAGAATTCGTCAAATTTCGATACTCTGAGTGGCGTCGGCTTACAGGCAGCAGTGCCCAAGAGTCAGAAGCTGACGCTGCAAGCAATCAACAAAAGCACTTTGGAAGGCGGCGAGGAAGCAACCCAAGGCATGAAAATCGTGGGTGCTACAGGAGTAAGCTCACGCCTCTCGTCATTGTGAAAAGCAACTAACATTATTGCAGGCCTTACCGCCAAAGCTCAGGCTGAGGCTGAAGATCAGCTACAACGGACAAAGTACAGGCGTCATAACCGACCAAGTGGATTGGACTGAGCCATGATGATACGAACAAGTTGTGTCGCAGTAGATGTGAGTATGCAAGTCTGGTTGCGCCTACCACCTGCTATCTTATAGAGTCATGTCCAGCCAAGATAGGTCGGCTTGTGCGTTCTTGAGCCGATCCTACGCAGGCCTGATATTCGCCAACGCCAGACAGGACTCAAACAATGAAAAGAGCTCGGGCTGCCTTGTGTGCCCGTCTGATGAAACTTGACACAACCTTGGTTGTCTTGCGCTTGAAGGTGGTGTCAGCACTTTTCGTCACGTGTAAACCATTCACAAGGCTGGGTCACAAGATCTAATGTCTTGTCGGCAGTGAACGTTCGTAGCACTGGTACTCCTGAGGTTGGTGGACTGGTCCCGTCAGCCAGTAGCATCGACCGCCAAGGCACTTGCTGATACCCACTGGAGGCTTTCAAGACGTCCTCCGACCATCCCAACCATTCTCCAGCCTTGCTTAGAGCGCAAGTAGACATGGAAGGTCTCTACAGTCTGCACATCGTCTGCATGGAACGTGTCAACCCCGTGTTACTGTGCTTTTCCCTGACGAATGCCAATCCGCAGTGGGGCTGCCGTGTCTTTCCGGTGAGAGGAACCGGTGAGTCTCAGTCGTTTGCCCACAGTCATCCAGCATTTTGAGAAGCACAACCTTGACTCTAGGCTTTGTGGTGCTTGGAAACGTCTTAGTGAAGGTCAGTCTCCATCGACAGGTCACTTCCCTTCGCCGTCAGGCTTTGAAGGTGTGAGGAAGGACCTATTCGCCTGAGGAAGGGAACCACAGCACAAGTCGAGAAACCGGAGAAAACCGGAGTCGACAACGTACCATATCTGTTTTTTGAACACCTGCCATACTCTGAGGTGTCCTACAGGCCCGAATCCTCTGAATGTGCGTGCCCTTTGACGGTACATCAATGCACTACGAACAGCAAATCTTCAGAGGGTCAAGGATCAAATCCGTTGAGCATTTGTTCGCCTTCATGCCCCCACAACGAGATGGAGACACAAGATCACATTGTGTCGGTAAGGCAGATTTGCCTCGACCAGGCTAGGCTTTGCACCAGAAGACAACCAAGTAATTGAACTTCACTCACACCTCACCAGGTCTTCACCACCACCAGGAATTACTTTGTTATTATCGCGCCTTGAAAGTGTCTTCTGTCTTCTATCTGCCTCTACGTCTACTCTCACAAGGTGCAACTACATAGTCATCCCACTTTTGTTGTTGTTGTTATTTGTGTTGTGCGCGAGGAAGATTTTCTTTGCTTACAGTCTTATCACCCGTACTACTGTGTTGCAGCCTTTGCCAAGTTGTCAGCTATTCCATCAAGATGACCCGCCACCTAATTCCCTCGCGCTTTACGACCGAGGATTGCTCCTTTCGTCCACCCTCTACCCAAGAACCACCTCCAGGCACCAGTACGCGCCTTACTCGCTCCGCTGCTCGTGCTGCGACCCAGGACCTCGCTCTTCGTCCAGATTCTACTCTGGTGCCTCAGCCTGACACCACTAGCCGCCAAATTCGCTCCAGCTCCCGTGCTGCGACTCGGAATTTCGCTAAAGTGCCTCTTCCAAGCACTACTGAGCGTCGTACTGGTGCCGCTTCCCGCAAGCGTCCACTCTTCACCCCACCTGCCTCCGACTCCGAAGCAGAGATGGAAGCTAAAGACGAGGGCAAGTTGGTCATCCATCCCAACATCGTCCCAATCATGGACGGTGCAACCAAGAAGCTCATGGTCAAGGACCCTCGATGCGTCAAGAGCATGGACGTCGAGACTCCAGACGCCGACTCGACTGAGCAAGCTAAGCTCAAGATCGCCTACGATCAAGCTACTGCCGCCAAGAAAGCCGAGGCTGACCAGATGGCTATCGAGAAAACTGAAGTCGCTGCCAACGCCTCTGGTAGCGATGGAGCATCCGACACTGGAGTCTCTGAACAAGAAGCTGACATTGAAGACGTTCAGTCCGAATCCGAGGACGACTCTGAGCAAGAGTCTGAACAGGCTGAGGACTCTGATGAGTCTAAGGACTCCGAGGAGAACTCTGAGGAGGACGCGGATGGGGTTGCTGGTAAGCGCACCGAGCAGCACACCGAGGAGGGCTCGGATGCCGAAACCGTTGAGCACACCAATGAGGATACTGATGAAGACTCTGTCGAGGACTCTGATAAGAATACCGATGAGGACTCCGACGAGGATGCCGACGGTGACTCCGATGGCGACACCGATGAAGAGACTAGTAAGAATGCCAAAGAGACTAACGACATCAAGAAGGCTCAGGTCGCCAATGTGGTCAAGGCCTCCAATGGCAAACAACATTACGAAACCTGTCCTTACACTGGTAAGAAGTTCAAGGTGGTTGAATGGGAACCAAATTGGCTGCCAGGCCAGCCTCATAATGGTCGCCTTCACCCTGAGTATTACCTGTGCCCCAAGGAGGAGATTGAGCCTTGGTTCAAGGAAAAGAGCATCATGAACAAGATCTGCGACTACATCATGCCAGCCAACAAAGTTGTTCCCTTGGAAAACACCATCGTCAACGACGTGAATCAAGCCAAGGTTGATACCACCAAGTACCCCGAGCAAGACCGCCAGGCCATTAAGGACATGATGAGCATCATGTACGTGCACAGAGCTAGCCACTACACCTTTGGTCAGATCTTGTACCCACAGCTCCACTTTGAGTTGTACAAGTCCAGCCCTCTAAACGGCTTCATGGACAATAAGCGCCTCCACAAGTTCGGAACAGGCTTCATAACCTGCGGTGACCTCATCCAATCTATCACCATCCATGACTCGTTCAAGCAGCCTTTCAAAGCGTGGGTCGACGACTTCGCTCAGCTCGAACGTAACCCCTACACTGGTTTCATGCCGCTTCGACACCTCCAAGAAATCATCATCACTGGATTACCTGCCAGTAAGGACCCTGCCGTCAGTGGTTCTCGTTATATGCCAAGTGCGCTCGAGAAGCTGCGTGCGGTCTGCGGCAACTACGATACCCGCGTCTTCGACATCTGTGTTATCGAGAAGGATGCAGCGGCGTCGCAGGATACTGTCACAGTCCGACTCACGAAGGCGAAACCCGCTATCCCTGCATTCGGCCTCGATGATAATCTGGTAAGTCCATGTTTAGCCATGCTGGTTGCTTGTCCCTGTCTAACATACCCGCAGGAGGAGAAGTTTGACCCTAGTGCCGAGATGAAGAAGTACCGCGCTGCTCTCCAGAGAAACCGTGAGGCTGCTGACACCACTGCGGCTGCCAACAACACAGTCGCTGTCGATGACGCCGCGGATGGAAGCGACGCTGCGTCCCCCACCAAGAAGCGCGCTGCTTCCGGCGAGGTGGCTCCCCAGCTCAAAAAGTCTCCCAAGAAGTCCCAGGGCAGTATCCGCGGCCGTCGCAAGTCCGATGAGACTGAAGCGACCGAGTCTGATTCCGAATCTGATTCTGATTCTGACTCCGACTCCGACTTCGAGCCCGAGTCTTGACTGAGCTTCATAGCAGGACAGTAATGTCACCGACGTTGAGTATTACTAGGCCTGAAGACCTCTGCACCCTATTGTACGATCACCAGATCCTTTAGGATTTCAGAAATTTGTTTTTCTCGATGTCATCACTTCAAACAGTTGACGATATCGATCAACCGCCATCCTCCGACCTTGCTGCCACGAAGCAATCGCATGTGTCGGGCCCGCGAGGATATTTTGATGCACGCTTGTTCGCCTTGCAGGAAAGTATTGCATACTGTACCGAATGTCTTGGACATGGACTCGAAACGGCGGCATTGCACGGAGATGTACGTATGATGGTCTGAGTCACAGTGATCAGACCAAGCCAAAGTAGATAGAAAACTCCTCTCATGAGAACTTTTTGCCCATTCGCCGTAATCTGCTATTTCAAGTATGCCTCTGGGGTACGGGAAGACGCTGGCTGACAGCGGCGAGGGGCACCTGGCATGCGGCTTGACCCCGAAGGAGTTAAAGATATCTCCATCTCCAGATCCACCTCTCCTTCTCCAAAAGCGGGCGGTGGTGGTGCAATATGATTACTGTCCGACTCGATCTGTGAGCTCCCTGCGCTTCATTTTGGTTCCCGTCGCCTATCTCTGAGAGGTTCAATACCATCATGTCCCGATCCGACCGTGACCGAGAAGGGTTGAGCCCTTCGCCCGCCAATATCCTTGACTATCTCGGAGCAGATGATGACGATGACGATCTATACGAGCCCGCTACCGAGCAGAGCGATATGACCGCTTCGGCGGCGGATGAAGACGAGGAGATAGAATTTTCAGGTCAGGTCTATCAGAACGTCGTTTCTGCATTTGCTGATTTACTCAGATGCACAGGAACAGCTTGGAGATATTCAATTCGTTCTGGAAAGCGCCGAAACCGGTGAGGATGAGGAAGATGATGGTGATGATACAGAAACAGAGGACAATACCGCCGCTCGTCCTCAAGTACAAAGTATGTCCACGACAGAGATCTTTATTCGCAGCACTCACCGTTATCAGCAGTGACAATAGAGCATCTAAGCCGGTTATTAGGCGGAGGTCCGTTGCGTAGACTCCTCCTTCAGCACTACCCCAACGCCGCTGGCGGCCGCTTGATCATCGGTGATGATGACGACGACGATGATGAGGACGAGAACTACCTATATCGTCGCCCTCGTCGGCGCCGTCGCCCAAAGCCATCCGGTGACCGTTTCCCCAAGGTTCCTTCGGATGCTGGCCGGGAGCTGATGGCATCCGGGATCTATGGGTCGCGGGACACACACGTCGATACTCGGCGGCGACGAAGACGGAACATGTCCGAGCGCTTGATGTGGCGACGCCTTGGCCTCGAGCCTCGACCCAGCATGCGACGCCAGAACGCCCTCATTGCTCAAGAACTCATTCCCTCTACCTCGACCGCCGACAAGATCATACACTACGATAGTCGTGCCTACTCTGGACAGTTCTCAGACGATGGCAACTTCTTCTTCAGCTGTACGCAAAATTTCAAAGTCCGAATGTACGATACTTCGAATCCGTACGAATGGAAATACTATAAGACTGTCGACTTTCCCTTCGGTCAATGGACCATCACCGACGCCACCCTCTCGCCCGACAACCGCTGGCTTGCTTACTCATCCATACGGCACACAGTCTGTTTGGCCAGCACTGATCCCCTCGACACATCCGACTACACTCTGCTTGACTTCACCAACTTCGCACCGGGCGTCAACGTCAACTCCGGCCGCGGGCATCACGGCTATCGTGCTCATAGTTCTTTTGGCGTATGGTCGCTCCGCTTCTCCGGCGATGGCCGTGAGATTGTCGCCGGAACTTCCGATCATTCCGTTGTTGTGTACGACCTGGAGACCCGACAAAGTACCGTGCGCCTCTCGAACCATGACGACGACGTCAATGCCGTGTGCTTCGGCGACAAGTCCTCCCCTCACATTCTATACTCCGGCTCAGACGACCAGACTCTCCGCGTCTGGGATCGGCGGTCCATGGCGGATGGCCGCGAGGCCGGTGTCTTCGTAGGGCACACTGAGGGCCTCACCTACGTGGATAGCAAGGGCGACGGCCGCTATGTCCTTTCCAATGGGAAAGACCAGATGATGAAGCTCTGGGATCTCCGCAAGATGATGTCTCCCAACGACTTCAGCAACGTCAATCTCAACGAATACACCAACAACTTCGACTACCGGTTTTCCCCCTATGATGAGGACGAGTACAGACCCAACCCTCACGACTGCAGCGTGGTCACTTTCCGGGGCCACTCGGTGCTCAAGACGCTGATTCGCTGCCACTTCAGCCCTCCCACCAGCAGTAACTCACGGTATGTGTACTCAGGCAGTGAGGATGGAAAGGTCTACATCTGGAACCTGGACGGCACGAGGAAATCAACAGTCGATGTGCTGGAAGCCACCAAGGGGACTCGCCCCCGTCACAGTGCGCGCGAGGAGATGTTCATGTACGAGATGCACGGTGGCCGCGGTGCCGAGACGTGGAAGACGTGCGTACGAGACGCAAGCTGGTGTCCCACCGCGCCGGTCCTGGCTGGTAAGTTCCGCAGTCCCATCTATCCTCTTCCATACCGCACCCCGCCTCCCTAATCCCCGCATGCAATCCCCAATAAGGCGAAAGTGCACCCGCTAACGCGCAAACCCACTACACAGCGACGTCATGGAATGGCTACGGCATGTCAACCGGCACGGTCACGCTGCACAGCTGGTCGGACGGGGCCGAGGAGGACGACGCCGACCCGCCCATGGGCAGCAACTACAACGCCCGGCTGGACCGGCGCGAGGATTTCGATCGCGTCAGGAGGGACGACCGTCCCGGAGGAGCCGACGGGGCCGCGAGACGCGCGGGCTTGCGAAGTCATGTGGTTGGGGAGCGGAGGAGAGGATGGGTTCGCGGCGGTGATGAGGATGAGGATGGGGCGTGGTGACCAGTGAGGCGGGGAGGAGTTGTTGAGGCTGGGACGGGAGGAGACGATGGTGGTTTTGGGGACTGGGGTGTTGCGGCGTTGGTGAGGAGGTTGAGTGGCCTGGGACGACGGGAGAGGAGATGACGACGATGACGAGGATATTCGTTTTTTCTTTTGGGCGGTTGGCGTGCTGTACGCTATACGCTTATGTACGACATTACGAGGATATGGCGGTGCAGATAAATACAGGTATTGTTGAATGGTCAATCAATGATTGGGACATATATTGGGGCTGGGGAACCGGAAACTTCATGCGGAAATCACACAAGATATGCTTCCCGTGGAAGTCAGGGAGAGGTGGTTGGTTAGGTGAAGTAGGCTGTAGATGGTACACAGTGGATGTTGATCGATCCCAAACCACCAGCTGGCGCAGTGGCAGGACGTTTAATTACTTTTTTGTTTCCGTGGCGTGGCCGAACACACATTTCTTGCCTCGCTGGCTGACTGGCTGGCTGGCTGACACACACATGCTCGACACAGACGCCGCTTGTGTTTCGCCGTATCTGCAGTTCAGTGGTGTTGCATGCTCTGCCAAATCGCACGTAGCTGGCTCCAGTGTGGCTTCTTTGCAGCTCCCGGTATAACGCGTTCGGTGCGACGAAAAAGGAGAAGGAGGTGCGTAGCGTCGCTATCCCACTAGTACGTTGTTGACCGGGATATGTACTGCGGGCGGATCTTGGTCAGTTGATGTTGCTTCGCGGTGTGCTTGGGCGAAGAGTGGTGTGTGAGTGGGGAAAGAAAAGGAGGGAGGGAGGGAAGGATGGAGGAGCAGAGGAAGCGACGTACTTAGCTTGATGAAGTAGCCGATGGCGCCCATGATGAGGAATCCCATTCCCACGGCTTGCGAGATCTTGATGAATTCTCTCCGGTCGGCTGCGCAGCGGTCGTGTCAGTACAGAGTCTCATCTTGCGGATCGTCGGTGTTGGAGGGCTGGGTGGATTGGAGTTTCAGAGGAGGTCAAAGCAAACGTGGTGACTGTGGCCGCTTTGCGCTTTTCTTTTCTCAAAAGTGGTATAGCTAGAGCATCCGCAGAAGAGTATGGGGCGCGTACGCCCAGGAAATTGCGCGCGACGGCTGTGCGTTGCGTCCGCTTTGCTGGTCTGCATTGCACTCATGTTGCGCCTTTGCGTTGGAAGAGCCAGACTACTGGCACTCGTGCCAGACCACAGCTTCTGAACCTCAAGAGGATCACGTACGTTTTGTGCATCTGTTGATGAATTGTGTGCCATCCTTGAAAAATTCCTTGGGCACATCGGCCAGCTCTTGAATGGCGCTTGGTTGATCGGACATGGTGTCGTTTGGTGGTTCGGCAGGAAGACGACGAGGAAGGGGGAGGAGGATGAATTTCGCTTGAAGCTACTACCAGTCGTGATCCAAGGGTTTCAAAGCAAATTCGAGTGATAGGCAGTGAGTTATGTGTCGTCACCTAAAAGATGTGAAGGGTACGTCGCTTTTGGGATCTGGACTGCGGAGAGGACACGGGGACGGACTGCTTGGAAGTTCGAAGATCTGGAAACGCTGTCCCTGATGGCTTGGCGTCGGACCACACCTCTACAGCTATACTCCAGCTAACCGCTGCGTCTTGCCAGTCAATGCACTCTCTTCTATGATTTGACGCCTGTTGCTTGGATGACGACTTTGCTACAAATGCCTTGTGCTCGACCGATCGCAGCATGAAGTGACTAAAGCTCAAGTAGTGCTGCTTGCTATACCCGACTGACTCTACAGTCAACGCTGCTGGGTCATGTCGCGGATTACAGAGTTTCAGTCGACGAGTGCGGGTGTATCTTTGCTGCTATGCGAGCTGGCGCCTCAGGTTGTGCCGTCGAACGAATCTGCTCTTAAGGAATAACTGCTTCACCCCCAGACGAGTCCTGGTGTAGACAATTCCAGGTTGCAAAACACGATACTGGTGTTGCTCTATTGGTGTTTCCTGCGATTTTGGCATGCGAGAGAGTCGGGCAGCATTCGCAAGTCCCTTCAAATGTGTAAGCACTGCCAGTGTCTAACTGTAGCAATGACAAGCAGGTCTCGCAGTCCTGCCTTAAGCTGGGGGACTGGTCCCTATGCTTGGCATTTGCGGAGCCGGTGCGGAAGTCGGAAGTGACGCGTGCTGCGATTCGAGTTCGAGTTGCGCCCGAGTCGCTGTTTGGGGAAGGGGCTGCATACTGCACAGGTGACTGGTGATGAGGCAGTCCTTTCTTTCTTCCCACTCATTATATCTTTCTCAATCATCTCTTCTATTCTCTTGACACCCTTAGACTTCCCAAGTTCGTCCGTTCGAGCCTGTCTGGTGGCTACACCAGACGATAGCCTGCGAACTGTTGAACCCAGGACCCGGTCGGCCCCTATCGAATACTTCAACTTCGTCCGTCCACCGAGCACGCTCTTCGGCATCTTCATATTCTGCCATATCCATGAGCTCTATTAATAGTGTACAATAATACCTTCTGAAGACAGGACGGGATCTGGCGGCTGTATATTATCGATTGCACTGTAACATTAAATTGATGGACCTCGCTTGAGCGCTGTACCTGGTCGACTGTTTTATTCCTGTATGTATACCTCTTGTTGAGCTACGAGCGACGCATCCTGGGACAGGAGCAAATAGAAGCGAGAGTCGTGACCAGAGTGGCTAATGCAACATGTACGGACCAGAAACCGAATCTCAAATCCCTGTCTCACCTAGATCTTGACCCTCTTTGCATTTCCTTAAATATCGACACCATGTCGACAGAAGAAGATAATTTCGATATCGACATCTACGGAGAGGAATCCGCACATGGCCAGGGGGGCGGCGACGAGTACTATGATGAGGACGACCACACCTTCACCGTCGACGAACCCGAGCCTGAGTCTAAGGCACCACCATTTAAAACAGAAACGACCCCCGTGGACGGCATGCACTCTGAGGAGACAAAGCCCCCACAGGGCGTCAAAAGGAAGACTCCTTCCGACGAGCGACACATTGACTCCGACGCCACGACTGCACTGATGGTTTCAGACCTGCATTGGTGGACCACCGAAGACGAATTGCGAGCTTGGGCAAACCAGGTGAATGCTGAGACCGAGCTGAGAGAGATCTCCTTCTCGGAACACAAGGTCAATGGCAAGAGCAAGGGCCAAGCATACCTCCTCTTCCAGTCGGCTCAGTCCGCCACTGCTGTCAAGCACAAAGTCGAGTCTCTGACTGATGGCGCAGGCCAGGCACGCAAGTTCAGTGTCATCTTCACCGGCCCTTCTTCCAACCCATTCAAGACTATGCCCAAGGATGCGCCCGCGCGCAACAAGGAGGAGCGGCCGTCTCGAGGTGCATACAACAGTGGCTATTCTCGTGGCGACTACTCCGATCGAGGCTCGTTTCGTGGGCGTGGTCGAGGCTATGATCGAGGAGGCTACAATCGCAACTTCTCTGGCTCCAGCAGCGGACCCGGGTACAACAACAATGCATACGGAAACAACATGGGTATGATGAACAATTTTGGATTCAACAACCGGGGAAATATGATGGGTGGGAATATGCGAGGCGGTAACATGGCCATGAGGGGTGGGAGAGGTGGAAATATGGCCAATATGATGCCCATGGGGCCCATGGGCGCCATGCCAAACCTGGCCAACCCTATGATGATGGCTGGTATGGGTATGCAAGGTATGTCCAAGATCCAGAACAATCTTTCACAGCCTCACACAGTCGACGGGATAGGCTTTCAAGGCAACCAGTTCGGGCCTGGCATGTTCGGTGCCGGTTTCGGTGGCGACTGGGGCCAGCCTGGAGCGAAAAGACAGCGGCAGGAATGATGCATCAGTGTGTAACAGATCCGAATCCAGGGCCCTCACCAAGTCAGCACCAAATGCAGATGCTCCGACCCCCTTCTAACGGATAGACGGAAAAATCCGACCAAGGTCTCGTGCGATTGGCGCGGAAAAGCTGGACTGGTGCCTATGGACTAATATGGCATATACGGGTCGACATTTTGCATCTCCACTCTTACGAGCACTACTCTTTACTGCAGCGCACACGTTCCTGAGCAGTCGAGTCCACGCGCACACCTACAGCTGGGATCAGAGGAGGATCAGCGACTGGGAGCTGCCTAACGCGGATCGATATCCGTCGAAGCTGTATGGACTGTCGGCCATCAACGCACCAAGCAGGCCGTTGACTGCCCATGTCATCGTGCAGCACGCGCCCAGTTCGTGCCAGTACTGGAACACTCGGTGGAGACCGGTCGTCTTGACAGGGTCCATTCAATGGTAGCTGGGGTAGGAGGAGAAAGCGAGGCCATTACCTAGCTAAAACCTTCTGCACACACAAATTACACCATGGTTCAGGATATAGTTACCATGTGCTTTTGACGTGTACGAAAGGGAAATCTCCAAGAAAATCAGACAGAGCTTTGAGAAACACTTAGCCAGTGAAACTCGGAAGTCGCGTGTAAAAGACCCCGCTATCACTACCACCACCACCGCCACCACCACCAGTTTTCTTTCCATCGTACAGTTGTACATTTTCCTTGTGCTCTATTCTTCCAATTTCGCCACCCCCCAAAAATCTACCACCCCAAATATTCAACGGCAGTGCAAACATCATCCCAGATGCAGCGTTAATCCGCGCGCCAGCCCACTATGTCTGGCCGGCGGACCTCTCGCTCAGAGGGCCAGCAGCACCCCGCGCCGCCTGGATCCGACAAGTCTCACCCCACCTCACGTTTACGAACACAATTCGGTTCTGAGCCTGTTGACCATAGCCAACCTGGCCAGGCATCCCTCCAGTCGCCCAGCCTCACGGGTACTTTTCGTGTGCCAGCGTCGCCCTCGTCCGAAACCGCGGCAAAAGGCGCAAAAGTTGCCATTCCACGACTCAAGCGAAACGCAGATGCACAGGGCGAGGGCGCTTCAAGATCAGGAGGCCGACACCGTGTCAACCATGCTTGCGAACCCTGTCGTCATAGGAAGACAAAGTGCAGCGGCGAGCGCCCAACATGCCGGCATTGCCAGGATTTCAAAATCAACTGCTACTATGCCGATGGAAAGAGAGACCGTGTGAAGAAGTGAGTGAGTCCCCGCCCCGGTGGCAGGACGCTGACGAGCTGCAGGCAATTTGGAAGCATGACCGAAAAGGTCACCGACTATGAGAAGCTACTGAGAGACTTGCAAACCCGCGCGAGCGAATCCGATGCCCAATTGATAAAAAGCGCTCTAGACAAAGAGACTGCTTACGATCTCGATGAAGTCAGTGCTGAAAATGCCACTGTCCCCTCGGTCGAGTTCGTGCCCGAAGAGGAGGAAGCTGGCGCCGAGTCTGATGCTTCAGCCGGCGCTGGCTCGACGGGGGCACTTGACCGTACAGATGAGGACTTCACTCGCGAAGGCGCTCGCGATACTGGTTTTATGGGCAAGAACAGTGAGGTCACGTGGTTACAGCGCTTGAAGCACCAAAATATACATGGCGATCACAATGACAGTGATCAAAACGAGGGGATGCGATATCCCCCAGGCAGCTCCGACGAGATTGGTGTCAGCAACATGGATTTCCAAGTCAGTGACACCTCTTACCATCTCGATGATTTCACCGTTAGCACCTTCGAGCACGTTGGCCCCTACGAATACCCTCCACGAGAGATTGCACAACAGCTATTCAACGCCTACATGACCCGAGTGCATCCAACCTTTCCCATCGTCGGCAAAGTCAACCTAACAACTCAATTTAATAAGTTCGTCTCCGGCAACGTGCAACGGCCCCCTGAGAAATGGCTCGCCATTATCAATCTAATTTTTGCCATCGGTGCAAAATACGCACATCTCATCCACGCCGATTGGAGGGGAGACGACCGCGATCACCTCATTTATTTCACGAGAGCTCGGATGCTGGCAGTAGGACCCGATGCACTGTTCCAACATCCTGACCTGCAAGCTATTCAAATCATGGGCTTGATCTCCCTCTACTTCATGTCCATTAGCCAGATCAATCGCGCCTGGAATACAATCGGTGTTGCGATACGTTGGAGTACGGCTTTGGGACTCAATATGCGCAACGACAGCCCAGAGCTGAAGGATTCACTCAAGGAGATCCGCTATCGTGTGTGGTGGGCAATGTACTCGCTCGAGCACCGTTTATGCTGTATGACCGGCCGAGTCAATTGCATCTTGGATGACCACTGCACCACCCCTCTCCCAGTCCCGGTTGAAGAAGGGCTGTTCGAAACCGAAGAAGCCTCCAAGCTGCTGAATAAGGAACACCAGCAAGGTTTCCGTGCTCCAGGTCGTAATTCCCCGATGAACAGCGGTACCGGTAGCAACGCTTCATCAACCTCACGTTCGCGCTCGCAAACTAAGGCTTCAGCATCAGAGGCCCGTTCACCTTCAACGATAACACGCGGCGGGGACCTGGTGTGGGCCAAAGACGTTGCACCAAACGCATCTTTGTACTTCCTACATATGGTACAGTTGACACGTTTGACTCAAAAGGTCTTCCAACAGCTTTACAACCCTACAGCAATCCAGGGAACTTGGTCGGATATTCAGATGCTAATCCGGGAGCTGGACGAGCAATGTGAGAACTGGTACCGCGCAGTGCCTGCAGTCCTTGATTTCAAGCGCAATCAGCGAGATCGAGAATTCTATGAACATCGACTCAGTCTTGGATTCTTCTACTACAGCACCAAAATGATGGTGCACCGTCCTTGCCTCTGTCGCCTGGACCGCAAGATTCCTCATCAGTCGGACAAATCCCTGAACTTCAACCGGATGTCGGCGACAACATGCGTGGATGCAGCCAGAGACACTCTGCGCCTGATTCCCGACGAGCCCAATGCCGTTGGCCTAGTCAAAGTCGGTCCCTGGTGGAACATTCTGCACTGGCTTGTCCAAGCCACCACAGTGCTGATGCTGGAAATTTCTTTCCGTGCTCACCACATGCCTGAGGATGCCGACGATGTTTTGGATGCAGCCAAGAAAGGTGTAAGATGGCTTCACGCTCTGGGCCATGATAACGTTTCTGCTCAGCGCGCTTGGCGTCTTTGCGACAGTATGCTGCGAGAAGCTTCTATGAAGATTGGCCGAGACGTCTCTGATCTTCCAAACTATCAGCCAGGCCATAGTCCAAGTCATCACGACACAGCCATAACCGGTGTTACTCAACCCAATTTCGCTGATCTTGCGCAATCGCAGGGCTTCCAGACGACCAACATGTCTCAGTATCCTATCCCTGCCAGAGCAGGATTTGGTGGCCTCGACCAACTGATGCACTTTGATCAGTACTCACCTTTCGGACCAAACATGCAGTTTCCAATGACCTTGCAGTCTGGAAACGAGGCCGAGTTAGAATTCATGACACCGGCCTTCCATGAAGGTCAGGGTCATCACGAGCAAGAGCGACAGAACCCCGGGTAGACGACCGGTCAGTTCTGACGGCTTCATGCGAAAAGTGCGACAATGCAGATCATGAATGATGCAAGGTAGGTAGTTGAAGCTCGGATGTGTCTCGGTACAGGGTGCGGCACCTGCGGCTGTGGCCAAGTGATCAAGGGATGTCGTCAAGGGATATTCTCTGGACTTTTCACCGCCTTCCGCATACCACGCGTCGCGACGAACGCGCATACCGAAGGCCAGATGTCGTAGCTATTATGCAAATCCTCGTGCGCGTTTGGCTCACGGCCAAATACACCCCCCGAGCTTCATGAGGAAAAAGTACTTACTTCAACCTGACACAGTCCGCTCAGTTTGTCGCGCTGGTCGTAGACAACGACCATTCGCTTTCGTACACTCGTTTAACTTGTTTCATGATTTCTATTAGGCTTTTGGCTATACTCAGTTGCTAGGTTCGTCTCAGGCATGGCGCGTCGGCGAACACTTACACTCGTTGGAATGGCGACTGCGGCCAGCCTCTTCGCTTCAGTCGATGGTTTGAGACACGCGCCGCAACACAATGGCAAGGCTCACAATCTACTCCACATGCGACAGGAGCCCACTGGACCCGACGAGCTCGTCAGCGACTCGCCATCACTGCCGCCTGTCTCCAGTGTTATCCCAAACATCACCGTCACCATTGTCCCGATGCCAGGCAACACTTCTCTCGTTCCAATCCTTGGCCAGTCATCTCTTCCCAACGACACTATTCCAGTCTTCCCAACTTCCACCATACAGGAGCCCATCGTGACCCTTTGTCCTGGACAGCCAACGGAGAGTCGCGTTTTCACCATTTTGCCGCCCTTGCCGCCCCTCAGCAGCATCCCGGGTTCAGTCCCAACCATCAACGCCACAGCCTTGTTGCCTAACGGTTCATCCACCGTCTTTTCCAGCGGTCTTACGACAACACCCATCCCCTTGCCCAGCCCCATTAGCCAGCCAGCCAACGACCCAGAGAACGCCCACATCGCTATAGATGATTCCGGCTGCCAAACGTTATTTGCACCCACCGTCAAAGCCGTCTGCTCCACCACCGTGTCCCCAATTGGCATCCCCGAGGTGGTTGTTACCGATTGCGACCAGTACATCACTTTCAGCAGCGAGACCAAGATCTGCCCGACCGTTTCAATGCCAACAGTCATCCCAACTCCACGTCCCACGATCCTTGAAGGCCCCGACCCTGCCGTGGCCACCAGCTCTCCGCCCATCTTCACGAATCCACTCCTGAGCAGCGGCGCTCCCGTGGCAGAGCCCGTGATCGGCAAGCACAAGCGGCAAGACAGCGGAGCTGCCGTTGTCACTCCTGCAGGCCCAGCCATTCTGCCGCTCCCCAGCTACCCGGAATCCTCTGGCCCGCCAGGCACATACTACGCCGCGCCCTGGTACGATGTCGCGCGAGGAGGCGTGCCCCCCTCGGTGCAGGCCGTCGAATGCGACGGTAGTCATGTTGGATGCACGACGTTCAGCGAGCGCTGGAGCATCACATCGTTGCTACGCACCGTTACCGAGACTCGGCCTATCTCTTATTCCGGCGTAAGTCTCTTTTGCATCCGTCCATTCCCACTTCCGCTCCCCCCTTGCCTTCAGTTCCTCGTGAGGCCCCTCTCCCTTTTTGCCCTTAGCATATGCTCCCTCCATACCCTCATTCTCGGCTTGAAACCAGAGTCTTCAGCCCAAGCAATTTAAAAAAAAATAACATTCACTAACCCTTTCCCTCTTTCTCTCTAAAACAGCCCGTCGTCGTCGCAGACGGCACACGCACCTACACCACGACCATCAGCGTCGCAACCGTGACCACCACCACGCGCGTCACCTACTCGGCCAGTGTTATCAGGCGGCGCCTCCTGCTAGCGGATGCCGACGATGTCGCGTCCGCGTCTGCCCCGCCACAGACGGTGCAGGCGACGTTGACGCTGACGGCGACGGAGTTTGAGGGCGTGGCCACTAGCGGCGCTGCTGCTGGTGATGGGGCACCACAGCAGGAGGAGGCTGCCCCTCAGGGGCGCGTTAGGACAGTGCAGTTGGTGGATGTGGGGGCTTAGGGTCCGGGGGTTGCGGGGTGTGGTGGAAGGCGTGAAAGCTCGAAGGGATGTGAGTGCGGCGAACGGAGGCGTGTTAGGGGGGGGGGGGGGGGCCTTAAGAGTGCGCAGAAATCTAGTAGACGGGGCAAGGGAGGGAAGTGTGGGTTAGCCGGTTCTACGACGGCTGGAGCTCAGGCTGGGGAATATACTAAGAGTGGGGAGCGTCGTCACGTCTTCATTCGATATGCTGTCTACGAAAGAAATCATTCTGCCCTCTAAGCACCACTCATCTGTACCACATTTTACTCTTCTTCGTAGACAGTTGTGATGATGAGTGCAAATGAGCCCGACATCGTCACAACACAGCAGCACAAATTTATCCTCGAGTGATGAACGTCTCCGAGGAGAAGAGGCACAGGCAGTGAAATCTTGGCGTCCCAGCCCAATCCAGTGCAGCACAGCAGCAACACCAGCACCAGCACCAGCACGAGTCTCCCGAACCACGCATCCGCAAGTCCAGGCACACACAGCGGGGAAGCAACACATAGCATCCAGCGAAACACAACATCCACCCACACTGTTTCGTATATATGTGTACATATATACTCTACAATCTACTCCGCCTTGGCCTCTGGTGGTGCTGTATCTTGTTCCGCACAATCTTTCGCGCCCACGGGTGGGTGTCCCCGCGGTAGACGTAGTGGTCCAGCTCGGCGGTGTTGAGGAGGCCCGGGTGCGCCTGGTCCAGGGACGTGATGCCCACCATCTGCATGGCGGTCTCGAGCTCGTCTCTGATGACTGTATTGATGAGATGATTGATTAGTTTGGAAGAAGACTGAAGAAAAAAGTTGGGGGAGGGGGAGGGGGGAGAGAAGCGAAATAAAAGGGCAGATGAGGGCTTACTCTCGACCGCGTGCTCCACGCCCTCCTGCCCATAGCCCACGGCATACAAGAACGGTCTGCCCAGACACACGGCACTAGCGCCCAAACAGATGGCCTTGAGCACGTCGGTGCCCCGGCGGACGCCGCCGTCGATCCACACCTCCATCTGCTCCAGCACCTCGGGACAATTCGCCTGGCACTCCAGCAGCGTGAGGATGCTGGGCTGCGCCGTGTCGACCGCCCGGCCGCCATGTTGCTGATGTAGATGCCCCGACAGCCGTACTCGAGCGCCTTGCGCGCGTCCGCCGCGCACTGGATGCCTTTCACGAAGATAGGCACGTCCGTGATGCTCTGGAGCCAGAGCAGGTCGTCCCAGTTGAGGGCCGGGTCGATGAAGCTGCCGGTGGCGCGCGCGAGCCCGGACCCCTTGTTGTCGCGGGCGATGTTCTGGCTCTGCATGTTCTTGCTGGCTTTGTAGGTGGCTTCGATCTTGACGCGCTCGTCGTCCTCGCGCTTGCCGACGACGGGGAGGTCGACCGTCACGGTGATGGCTTTGAGGTTTGGGTTGCGCGAGACCTCGCGCACCAGCTTCTCGGTGACGCGGCGGTCGCGGTTGAAGTAGAGTTGGTAGAAGAGTGGGTGGCCTGGCGGGAGGACTTCGGCGATCTCGCTGAAGGAGAAGGAGGCGTTGTTGCAGGCGATGATGGTTGAGCCTGAGGCAGCCAGGCCGCGCGCCATGGCGCGCTCGCCTTCCGGGTGGGAGAGCTTGGCTAGGGCGGCCGGTGAGGAGAAGATGGGGAGTTTGAATTTCTGTCCCAGGATCGTGGCTGAGGTGCTGACGTCCTTGACGCCGACGAGTACCCGCGGCCGGAACCAGATGCGGCGGTAGAAGTCGGCGTTGGCGTCACGGGTGAAGCAGTCGTTGGCGGCGGTCATCTGGAACGCCCAGGTCTTCTTGGAGTGGGCTCGCTTGGCTGCATCCTCGAAGTCATTGAGGTTGATGATGGCGTCGAGGGGCGGCCGATCTTCGTCCACGGGCTTCGAGGATTCGTGCTTGTCCGCCTGCTTGGAGCGCCATTCATCTGTGACGGTGGATTCGTCGAGCTCGCCTTTGTTCTTGGATTCGTCGAGGTATTTGGCGGCGAGAGAAGGACCGTGGACCTCGTTATAGGCGTTGGTCGCGTCGCCACCTAGGTACTCGTTGATGATCTCTGCACCGCCTGGGTGGCGTGGCGCGAACTCGGTCACGTCCCATACTGTGCCGTTGATCACTATCCAGGCATCATCGACCGTGTCGTGTTTCGAGAGCTCCTCCACCGATAACTTCGCCATCCTGCGTCCTTGTATACTTCCTAAAGATCGAGATGAGATGTGGTTATGGTACACAAATCTATATGGCTAATGGGGCAACATCGCAAATGAAGTGGAGCTGATTGGGCCCAGATGTTGGGCTTGTCTGCGCCCCATGGGGCACTTGGATGACACCAAGACAGTTGGAGATGGAAGCTCTCATGTTCAGCCGAGGCCGCCGTCGCGTCGACAGCGGAGGGAATCCCGCGCTGATGTAATGCCAAGAAGGCGACTAGTTGCCTACTGGAGACAGGAGTACAAGCATCTTTCCTACCTTCTCATGTGCCTGCTGTTCAATAGCTCGGAGAAAGAGGCAGTTCCCTGCAGCGTGCATGATTATGAACTATCAGTCGAGGCAAGACTTAGATGACACAGGCATAGCAGCTAGACGGCTCGAACCCATGATCCGTCCCTAGACGTAGCTGGAGGGGACTAACATCTCGATGAACTCGCAGAGAAGGATCTTCTATCTTTTGTGATTCCAGACTCATTTTCCAGACGCCTCTCGCTCCTAAGTTACCACATATGCTGAAATACTCAGTCCAACGCCTTCTCCCAAATCCCATCTCCGCTCAAATCAAAAAGTTATTAATCCCATCACTAATGCCTCCACCCACGATATCAATAATCTTCATCTTCTGATGCTCCGTCTCCTTCCGCAGCTTCTTCAACAGGACGATCGTCCACGCCAGCACGAACACCTTCAACACCGTCTCCGCCACCGACACCCACCAGCTCACCGTCTGCAGCGTGCACAACTTGTCAAAATGCACGCTGGCGCCATTGTCCTGCAGCGAGGCCGCGACGTCGGAGCAGCTCCAGCCCCAGAGATCATTCAGGCGTTTCTCCACGCGGTACACGACCGCCACGACCACCCAGTAGGTGACTTCGACCGAGTTGAGCGCCAGCACGAGCTTCCAGCTCTTGCTCGCGCGTTCGTAGCAGCAGCAGAACATGAGCATGGTGATGATGGCGGTGAGGAGCGAGACGGCCGCGCCCGCAAGCAGGAGGTAGGTGGGCCACTCGGAGGGTTGGCGCGGCCAGATGGGCCGGTTGTCGACGCGCTCCGAGAGGGTGTTGGCGAAGATGAGCGAAGTCGCGGTCATGGCTGCGAACATGAATGCCGAGGTGATGGTGGAGATGGCGCGCGTCGTTTGCCGCATGCGTTTCATGCGCTTGTATGCTGGTGTTTGCTGCACGGCATGGTCGAGCTCTTTGGCGACGTCTTTGGCCTTGCGCTTCTGGCGCTGCCCGAAAGTACGCCAGGAGCGGGGGGCCGGGGGAGACTGCTGCTGGCGAAGGGCGGGCGAGCTGTCGGGTATGGGCTGGTAGGAGGTGTTGGCGTTGAGACGGCCGCCATAGGGCATTCGTTCGGGGTAGCCAGAGAGGGTGTGCGACATCTTGAAGATAATCCGAAATCAGAGGGTCGGTAGCAGCTTTTGACGCTATCAATAGGGTTCTCTTGATGATGCGTCGTACAGCTGTGGTTCATGAAATTACTGTTTGAAATTGCAGTCACAGGCGATTGACACAAAGATGTGGCAGCTGCTACAGAGTCGCAGGTCATCGTCCTGATCGCACGGCGAGAGGAGCGAGTGCAGTGTCCGACTTGATATGGGCACTGTCAAGCGATCCCTCAGCCCCCGTTCAGGGGAGTGCTATGTCAGCACAAGCATGGCAAAGCTGACCTGCAGTCGAGATCCTTTGATGGATAATCTAGATCCAGTATGCTAAACTTAGCGGTAATCGAAATCGTTTGTCTGGGCCATTGCCGTGAAGGGTATCCGCCAGACATGCCTAAGTGCACAAGCGATCCCAGTGCCCTCAAGGTCTGGGCCGCACCGCAAGCTTTCACCTATACTAGAGTGCTCGGAGCCCAGGTGTGTCAAGAAGAAACGCCCATGCAAAGAAGTTGCGGTACTTGAGGCTGTTTAGCTGACCTAATGGTGGAGGCGGCTGAAGTGGGCGCTGCGCTGTGTACGGCAGGGATTATGTAGTCAGCTTGGCTAGTTGGCCGTTCTTGATTACAGTCACTCGGCTCAGAGGACTATCGTCTGTTACATCCGAATCGGTGCCTCCGTGTGCATCCGGACAACATGTCAGACTCGTTATGCTGCCTGACCTTCACAGGGGTTAGTGCAGCGAGCTCCTCTGCGAATGATACCAGGTTATGTGCCAAGTAATGGCAAGGCAACGTGGTTGCCTTATGAGTTCAAGTCAGTGATATCCTACCAGAGATTGCTCATCTCTCGAGGAAATGTCCTTCATTTGCTCGTATCACGGATAAAGATATAATATTCCATCGTTGGGCAACCGATGCAGCAGACCAGAGAAAGAAATCTTTTTGATTACATGCACTGACTGAGAAACGCAACAAGTCGGAGCCTCGTAGTGCCGAATTCATCTCATTGGCATTTGACACTATGTGCGAATAGAGACTCTACTCCTTTCCTCGTGCTATTAGCTCGATCATGGTCATGACGGTCCACCAACCCACACCCTCAACTCCAGCGCAAAACACAGATGCCAGCTTCAGTATTGCTCTTCGTCGCCAGGCTTGAACATGACGCTCTTCTTCTTGAGTACATCCGCCGCCTTTTTCTTCTTCTTGGGCTTTTCGGTCGCCTCTTTGTCTCCGCCAGCACTTGCAGCCTCTTCTAGCCCGCAGAGTGCGGCGTATTGGTTCTGTTGCTTGATCATGGACGAAATCTGCTGCTGAACAGGGTCGTAGCTGTCCTCGAAGATGTCGGACCAAAAGTCAAACTCGCTCTTCCAAAAGGTGATGACAGCCTCGGCGTGGGTCTCGCTACCTTCAAATTCCGTGGCTCGACGATGGCGCAAACTCCATATCTCGCGCGCAAGCAAACGCAGTCGAGCAATCACTTGGGTCAAATCTCCCGACTCGGATTCTATACAAGTTAGCTGAGTTGGGCTGGAGAGCATGGAAACTTACGTATATGCGCCATGTAGTAGCCCATTTTCAACGTGTTGTAGTCATTGATCATGCGGTGGAAGGCTTTGGGCGCTGGCGCTCCTTGATTCATGGTTGCGACAGTCATAATTTGAGATTGGGGGCGATTTCCCATCATTGGCATACCCATATTCATCTGACCCATTGGGCCCATCTGATTCATGCCGTTCATCTGGCCCATCTGGGTCATGTCGCCCATATTTCGAGGTAGTGCCATGTCACCGGGAGGTGCCAGACTGTTGTGGAAGTTCATTTGCTGCGGCGGTGGGCCACCTATCTGTCCATAGCCAGGTCCCTGAGGCTGTGGACTAGGCTGAGGAGATGCAGCACGGAAGTTACCCGGCATGGACTGGTCGGGATAGCTTAGACGGCTTGGGGGTCTTGCACCTGGGCCGTCCATATTGTCCGGTGTCTGTAGTGAAGAAGCGCTGTCACCGCGGTGAGGGGGCTTGAAGGAGGGAGGTGGTCTCTGTTCTTGTCCTTGAGGTGGCCTCAGTTCTTGTCCTTGGGGTGGCCTCTGCTCTTGTCCTGGACTGGGTGGCCGGGAATTGGGGCGCAGTGATGGTCCTGATGGGGATCCTGATGTTCCAGGTGGAGGAAAGAGGGATGAGAGGTCTTGAGCAATATGTGGCGGGGAATGCGGTTGCTGTTGGTGCTTTGCTGGGCGAAGTGGCAGCGGCGCTTCTAAAGGAGGTCCAGAGGATGGGGGCCGGCTGTTTTGATACTGATTAATGGGAGGAGGACCGCCGACGTAGCTGCCTGCTGGCGGAGGACGGCCAGGTTCTGTAAGAGCGTCGGTGATGTAGTTCTTGACGGAGGTTCTGGGATCGAGGATGAACTGGCCCAACTTGGAGGGTTGTTTGTACGACGGGCCTGGAGGAGGAGGATAGTTAGGACCGTTGAAGTCAGTCATTGCTTGGGGAGGTGAGAGATCGTATTATGCAAGTAGGCTGAGGGAGGGACGGCCGCACTTTTACCTCTCTGGTCCTGATTCGGGTGGTAATTGAGAATGGTCCGGGGGATATTTATGGATGCAGCGAGATTTATGAAAGGCAACGAGAGATATTTGAAGTTGATCTAGTGGATTAGCTGACATGCGGGCCCGCGCGTAGCTTACAAAAGTTGGGCGTGGTGGTGCGTGATAGTGTCAGGGCTGATTGTAACCAGAAAGTCCTGTAACCATCAATGGGGTGTTGCTGACAGTCAGCAGCCCCATCTAGCAGCCTCGTGATTCCAATGACTGGAGACATGATGCTAAAAGGCGACCGTGCCCACATGGCGGTGCGATGGAATGTTGCTTCGTAGGAGCCAGACCGAGTCGAAGCTGAGGCAAGCTCATCGGCCACACCGGCAGGACGCTGTTCTCAGCAATCGTGAGCAGACGTTGACATCCTCAACATGTCTTCAGCTCGACCTTAGCCTGGCGACATGAGGCAGGATCATGTTGAGACCGAGTTTGAGCAGTTGTGGCCGCGCATCAGAAGGCCATCGAAGTGGAAGAGCGAGCTGCAACCTACGAACAGCAGGTCAAATAATTTGGTCTACGCTGCGACTATGAAGAGAGAACAACGATGGATAGGGTCTTGTTATTGACCTAGTCGCGTAGATACGCGACACAGAATACATGAACACAAGGTGGCGAGGGTGGCCCTTGACGGTGAGAAGCGAAACTCGGCATCAGAGAGGAAGCTGAAGCCCCCCGTGGGAACAACCCCCAGGCACACGTGATCGCTTCCGGGCGCTGGCACGCTTGAAACGCACCGAAATTGGGGCTTGAGAAACCTCACTCAGTACACTGATCTTGACTTCACGACCGCAGCTCTGCCAGAGAGCCTGGTGTATCTACGCATGACGTGCAACACAATCGACATCTCAGGTGGATTCTCCTACGGACTTCTGAGCTGCCCTCCATCTCCATCCATGTTCTAGCATGTCCGCCCTGTGACCGGTTATCGGCATTGGACGCCTACCGATCAACAGAGGCTTGATAGGCATTGGCACGGAAGCGACCGAACATCTCCAAATTCCCCCATCTCGCACTGGCGAAAAGATGCCGATTTCTATGGAGCTCATCTTTCTTTTCCTCTTCTCTGCACCTCGCGACTGATCTAGCAGTCCCCTTGGGAAGGTCATGGGCGACGATGCAAACGTCGAGGCGATCAGCAATGTGCCAAAAACCATTCCAACAGCAACGCCGGGAGGTGTCCCGCTGACCTCATCCCAAGACGCTGCTCGATCAGCCCCCGACGCCGGCCCCCTAACCGCAGAGCCTCACCACACGAGCCTTCTCGGGCGAATATGGACCGTTATCAACTGGATGCCTCCATGGTGTCGCTGGGACAAGGAGAAGCCGCCCGAGTTCTCCATGGGCCTCAACGTTCTCTTCGCTTTTGCTGGTGCCTTCACTGTCGCCAATCTCTATTACAACCACCCCATCTTGAACATCTTGGCCGAGGACTTCAACGTCCCCTTCCTTACCGTGTCCCGTGTCCCGACACTCATGCAGGCCGGCTATGCAGTCGGCTTAGGTCTCGTGTGTCCCCTAGGCGACCTCTTCCCGCGCAGACCATACACTCTGGGACTGGTCTTCCTTACGGCGACTCTTTGGATCGGTCTTTGCGTAACCCATGATTTCAATGCCTTCCTGGTCATTTCATTCATCACCGCCATCACCACCGTCACGCCTCAGATCATGCTGCCTTTGGTCGGCGAGCTGGCACCGCCCAAAAAGCGCCCACTCGCTCTCTCTATCGTTGTGTCTGGCAACATGATGGGTATCGTCCTTGCCCGCATCCTCTCCGGCATCGTCACCCAGTACACCCACTGGCGCACCATCTACCTCATTGCCCTGGGCCTGCAGTATCTGATCTTCGCTGCTCTGTGGCTATTTATGCCCGACTACCCCTCCTCCAATCCCGCAGGTATCAACTACTTCCGCATGCTCTGGTCCATCTTGCTCCTCTGCCGAAAGCATGCCGTCCTCGTCTACGCTGGCGCGGTCAGCTTCTGCATCTCCGGAGCCTTCATGAACTACTGGACCACCATGACCTTCCTGCTTTCCTCGCCTCCTTACCAATACAGCTCCACCGTCATCGGTTTGTTTTCTCTGATCGGCATTGCTGGCATGGTCCTCGGCCCCCTGTACGCGAAATTCATCATCGCCCCCATCACGCCCTGGGCTGCCGTCATCATCGGCGCAGCCATCAACCTCACCGGCATCGTTATCGGCACCTACACCGGTACCTTCACCGTCGCCGGCCCCATTTTGCAAGCCTTTGGCCTCGACGCCGGCATGCAATTTACTCAGATCGCCAATCGTACCGCCATCTACTCGGTCGAGCCCACCGGTCGCAATCGCGTCAACACCGCCTTCATGCTCATGACTTTCCTGGGCCAACTGACCGGCACATCGGCGGGCAACAAGATCTATGAGTTGGGTGGCTGGCGCGCCAGCGGCAGCTTCAGCGTTGGGCTAATGGGACTCATCTTTGTGCTGTCGGCCATGCGCGGGCCGTGGGAGCCGCGCTGGCTGGGCTGGCATGGCGGCTTCAGCTTCAGGAAGCGTGAGGGCTGTGGGAATGCAGAGGAGTTGGCGGCATTGCGGAAGAAGCAGGAGCAGGAGCAAGAGAATGAGCAGCATGATTCGGCTGTGCAGTTACAACAGCATGTGCAAGGCGATGCTGAAAAGGGGAGCGTGCGGTAAGCGGTGGGTGTTTCGTTTAGACATTAAACATTAGACATTAAACCTGATTTGTTGGTCAGCTTTTGCATACACGTATACCACGTCCGTCTCTCATCTCTCGTCTCTCGTCTTTCATCCTTCATCCTTCAACCCTCACCCTCACCCTCACTAGAGCCCGTCTCCATTCCCACCCAACCCCCCGCCAGCACCTCCCGTCCCTCTTCCCTCCAACTCGACCCACCCCTGCAGCCCGCGCCCATTCCCATTCCCATTCCCAGTCCTCGGCCCATGCCCACCACCACCACCACCATCCTCACCACTCGCCCTCAAACTCGCCCGCTTCCCCCTCTGCTCCCTCCTCAAGCGATGCACATCCCCAATGGCATACAACACTGCCGCAACATGGCACACACAAATCAAGATCTCCAGGAGCAGCACCACGCCCACCTCACTTTCGGCCCCATACCCGGCTATCAACATCGCCAGAATCGTCAACGCCAGCACGGCCAGCCCCACGATCAGCTCCACAGACAGATACACCGCCGGATGCAACCGCAGTCGTTCCCTGCCTTGGCCCTCAGCTCCCCCCTCTATATCCCTCCTCTTCTTCCTCCTAGGAGAAGCAGACGCACAAGGCCAAACGGCCGCGAACCTCGGCACAATCGGCACGACCAACAACGGCGCAGTCCCGACGAAACTGGCCCCAAACACCATGAGCCCAAACCAGCACAACGTAAAGCGGCCACCGTCGTCCGCGTACCGCTTCTCGTCCGGGAAATACTGCGAGAAGATGCCGCCCGTGACGATCAGGCCGACTGCCGCGAGGAGGAGCGTGTTGAGGCGGAGGAGCGCGTGGGGTTGCGCGAGGAGGGGCGCGGGGAGGATGTCCCTTCGGCGGCGGCGGGGAGGAGTGCTGTTGGCAGTATTGGTGGTGTTGGTGATGGAGGTGGTGTCGTTGACGAGGGTGGGCGTGGGGGAGATGGTGGGTGCATTCTCGCTGGTGGTCGTGTCGTTGGTCGTCGTGGGGGTGATGGTGGTGGTGGTGGTGGTGAGGACGGCGGCGGGGGGTTTGGTTGGTTCCGCCATGCTTGCTTGGACTTCTTGCGTCTGGCTTTAGATCCTGTTTTCTTTGGCTTTTTTTTTACTGCTGGCTTTGCGGCGACAACGTTTCGCACGCAAAGAGGAGAGAGACGCAAGCGCAGCTGGAGCGTCCACGTCCGTCGGCCTGTCGGTCTGGTGGTAGTAGCTTTTCTATGCAACTGTACTGCACCTCGGTATAGGCGGTGCTGTAAGTCCCCTGTGGGCCAGAACTGCGAAACGTTGTACGAGGGTGAGGCGCCGAAAACCCTTTCTTCGCACTTCAAGAGCGTCCGCCGTGCTGCAGTAAAGAAGTCAAGAAGAGTTTCTCAAATGGACATTGATATGAGAGGTAGATCATACGTGGTCGCGAGCGTCAGGATACAAGGTCTAGATACTAACCCACCACTCTCCACGATACGAACCGCTACAAAGGTACAAATGAGTACTAGTAATACGAGGACAAACCACCCCAAGCTCGCTACAAGCTCGCTACAAGCCTTTAGGTCAAGGCACCCGAAATATCCACCAATGAGACGAGCTAGCGGTGTTTCAACAAGCCAGCAATTCATGGTGACGAGTCCGGGGTTGTGTGGTGTGCACCAGTGCACAGCCTCCCAGTTTGGGGGCCAGAGGCCAAGGCAGGGCGGAATGGTACCTCCTCGGCATTGCGTAGCACGGGGACGAGAATGTGCTCGAGCAGTCGTTGACGTGGATGCTGGAGAGAGAGAGGCAATACAGTAGATTGTTGAACATGGTCGAGTACTGGATCTTATGACTCTAGCTAGGTACTTGGACGGGGCATTACGTATTTTTATTTGCCACGCTCACTTCGCTCGACCCAATACCTTCTTCAGGTGCGCTCCGTGAATGTCGCAGTCTGCCTCAAGCGGCATAAAGTCAGGTGCACCTCCGCGTGAGGTCGCAAAGTCTGTAGCTGTCGCACTGGCGGGTTCAGAAGAGGCCGGGTAATTGCCGCCAAGATTGAGCCCGCCCGCGTAGCCAGACGATTGCACCGCCTCTTCTTCCTGTTTCACGGATGGTACTGCCATCCGTTGATCGACCGGCACGGGGCCCAAGTTCATGCCGTTCATGCCCATGCTCATCTGCATGTTGTTGATGTTGTGTATGCCGTTCATGCCGTTCATGCCATGCATATAATTCATGCCGTTCTGAAGAGGGGCCATCCCGTGCCCAGGGCCAACAGCATACTGGCTGCGGTCTGGATAGTGGCCGTTCACGTGGGCTGTTTGTGACGTCGGAATGGCCTGCACTGAGGCAGGATCAGGATAGGTCGATGGACCACGCGGTGTCTGCTGTGCCGCTGTGCCACCTTGGTCGTGGGCTCCGCCACTCGCGACAGATGCCGAACCTGACAGCGACACTGGGTCTTCCTTTGGGTTGCCAGTGTCGAACGCTTGTATAATCAGCTTTGTGAGGGTCCAGTAACTGTCCGAAGATATTTCGAATCCCATTCCAGCAATTTGTTCCGTGGTCAGTTGAGAGCGAACATCATCCCAGAGACTCTTCCAATTGCGCATCGCCGTTTTCAGTGGATCAAGTATGTTGGCTGGCGCAGCTGTGGTGAACGGCGACTTGCGTAATAGAGGATTCGAGAAGGTCTGACGCCATACGTGTGAATAGAGCAGATGGATCAGGTACATGCAGTCCCAACAATTCCAGGTTTCTTTCTCTGCTGCCACCTGAAACTCGGGTGTAGGTGCGAACAGAAGTTGAAAAGCATCCAGCATTTTCATTCGGGGCCGGGGGAAGATTGCTTGATTGATTAGATCGGTGTAAGAGCCCATGTTCCAAAACACCTGATCAGACGGAAGATGCAGGTCGAGTTCGGAGAAGGTGATACGTGGCGGGACATTGTTGAAAATCGCCATGGCAGCATCCAATGCTGTCATGATGGCGAAATGCCGTATGCGAGATTCCTCACGTTGCCAGGCGGTGAAAGCAGCCTGATCGGAGATGGAAATATACGGTGAGTGCTGTGCCGAGGGTAATTTCAATGATCTTGCAATCTGCAACTGCGTCAGCCAATATCAATAACAGCAAAGCAACACCAACATCAAGAACGCGCATGAAGCGCTGCCGACGGGCACGACGCTTGGCAGCAAGATTTCCAGAGAAGTATTGCGCAACAACGATGAGGTATGCGCCTTGTAGCATCTCAAAATTTGCATACTGAGTCTCCTCATCTGCGGCTTGGCTGAGATCGAAGCTGAATGCAAACTCCTCACGTATTCCCGGGACATTGAAGATGTACAGCTCGATGACGTCCAGGAGAGAGCGCATACGATCGGTCCTGGCCTTGTCCGGAGCATACATACCGCCTAATGCCACGACAGCGAGCACCAGAGCTAGTGGCTTGTTGGTGGGCTGAAATGAAGCTTTGTGGATAATAGGGCAGTGTTTGTGATAGTGTTGAAAGAAGAGGTCGATCAACGAGGCAACCTCGGAGGCGGTCAATTGGCTGATTGCAGGTCCCAACTCGAGCAATGGCTGCATTTCGGGCAAGGTGCCGCCAAACGTCATGGCGGTCGTCTGTAGAGCTTGTCGAATTTCGTGGGCTCGAGGCTCCAAGGCTTGTGCTCTGGCGTCGGGAATGCACATGTTGATGGGTTGCATGGCTAGTGGATCAGTAGACATGCTTGAGTTTCCAAAGGTGAGTGATTCTACTTTAAGCCATTAGTTCGCTGTCGCTGGACTCATACAAAGTTGAATCCAAGACCTACCAAGACCGTCAAAAAAGGAGTCGAAACCCGAATCAGGAGCCCCAAGCCAGGGATCGTAAGACTCGATTTCCTCACTCCAATGAGAAGTTTCTGATTCGTTCTCGGGGGACGGAGCAGTTGCTTCATCCTCATCGCCTTGTTGGAGTTGTCCGGGAACGGGAAAACGATTGTGAAATTCGTCGTCACCGGCGTTGTTGAGCAGATGGGCAATGGAAATTGCATCTCGACTCTTGGGACGGGACGCGTCGGAGCGCTTGTTGACCGGATAAGGATGAGTTGTGGGTGCTGCATGACAAGTCAGTGTTGAACGCTAAGGGGTTAGTATTCGGCTCACCTCGAACACACTCCTTGCCGAGTTCTTGACAGCGGGAACAAGGGGTCTCCTGGTCGCAGCGAGTTCGGAGTTTGACGCAAGAAGCACACGAGGACCTCTTTCGGCCTTTGCTCTGGCCTTCGGGGACGGGAGCATCCCCTCTCTCTTTGCAACGGAACTGGTGGGCGCGTAGCACATCACTGCGGGTGGGTCAGTCGCGAGTGTGCGTATCAAGCAGCTTGAGTCTAGCATACCTTCGCTTGAAGGCTTTGGAGCAGAAGGTACAGTTGAAAGGCTTTGAAGTTGCATCTGTTCCTGGTCAATCACCATCAGTTGGAGAAGATTTGTAACACTGACGCTGTTGTTGGTGTCTGAGCATATGGGCTTTGCGAACAAAAGACTTGGAGCATGACGGGCAACTGTATCGCTCCGACTCGGTCCTGCTGGGGTTAAGAACCATCATTTGGGTCGCCATAATGGAGATGGTGGGCGCAATCCGCCGACTGTGTTGGACGAAACGGCTGCCCGCAAGGTCGACGGTTCGCCAAGATGTTGCGCGATGTCGGTGTGGAGCGTGGGGCAACTGGAGAAGTTGCGGACGAGCTCGAGAGCGGGCCGATTCCTGCAGCTTTTCTCGTCACGCGCGGCGCATGCGTAGGATGGAGGAGGCCGAGTGGCGCTACAATATCGTTGTCATGATGGATAGGTGTGATAGTTGTCGCGATTGAAAATGGCAGAAGAAGTTTCAGACTGGCACCACCAACAAAAGGCTATGGAGGTTCAGGTCAAGAGGCAAATCCGTGCATAGTGACTATCCCAGTCTGGGAGCGAAGTCGTCGTGCTGGAGATCTCGGCCACCTGCGGGCTGGGTTTGGCAGTACACAGGCAAGGGACCTGAGCCGCCGGGGGACTTGTGGGAACTGGAGAAGGAGAGGAAGGACGCTGCACGGCATTCCTCATGCTCCAAGTTGGGACGGGCGGGGTTGGGCTGAGTGGGTAGGAACTAAGGTGGCCGCGACAGACATAGCACGGACTTGGCAGCTGCACTCGACGAGCTGATCCGAGGTCGAGTTTTGGCCGCCTTTAGCTTCGCATGCTGTACCATTATCTAACGGGTCGTCATTGGACCATATGGATACACCGACTACTTGAACACGTTTTCCCTGGGCAAGTAAAGATGGTTTTGTGGCCCGGGTGGGTGTGGGCTTGGGGCGTGGAAGCGACGCCTGGAGTCCGGCAGCCGACCCCTCAAAATCTTGACGGTAGCGCGTGCTCCGGCGGTTCAAGCTAATCCACCCCGGACAAGGCGGCCTGTAGCCAATAAATGGGCCTGCTTAGGAACCCCAAGTCCTTCGGATTACTCGCCTGTGCAGCCGATCGTCAGCAAAGCTTAGCCTCCCCGGCTGGCATCCCCGCGCCGTCAGAGCCTGCCGCTGGACACCCCTCGACACACCGCAACGACCAATTATTGCTACCTTGATATGGAACCGCTTGACGTCCGACGATTATGTTCCACCCTTGTATGGTAGGAACACCAGTTTCTTTGCAACATTGTCACCTCAGGCCGTGGCACTCGATACGAATACCTCGGTCCGATCTGGAGCAGTGGACCCGGTGCGAAAGTAAGGCAGGCATGATCGCCCATCCCCTTTGCTTCTGCCATCAAGGAGGCAGCTAGGTCGATCAAACCCCTGGGTCCTGAAGAACAAGAAGAAGACACGGGACGAACTCGCAATGAGGTCTACAAGGTGTCAAATCCGCTCCAAGATGCGTATATCATAGTAAGCCATACAGAGGTCGGAGTCTACCCGCACGACCCCCAGTATCGTAAATCGTAAGTCACCCATCACATGTAATTCACCCATTCATTCCACCACTTAGCCTCAGCCTCAGCCGACATCTTCCACCAGGTCCATCCATTCTCTGACGTTATAGGCTGAGCAATGGACGGCGCCACAACCTTGATCTGAGCGTGTTCCCTTCCCCCTGATACCATCGACCTGATTCTGACGCACACATTCCATGACATTATTGATTTGATGCCTTCTTGGCAAGCCGTGCACGTTCCTGACTTGGGGGTTGACAGCGGTCTGATGCTCTCACTAGGGTCTCTCCAAAGCGCAGGCTGCTTCCATCGTGTAAGCGGAGTACCAGCATCGAGGGAAGAGATCCTTGTGATCTTCCAATACGTGCTTTTAACACATGGTGGCTGAACTCGAGGCATTTCCAGATAGACTTTCCCGCCTTGTTTTACTTATCAGCCTCCGTAGAGGCTGTGCTACACCAGAAGCGGACGCACTCTGGATCAAATGAGCATCCTTCAAGGCGGTAAACCCAGCTGTCATTACGGAAATGCGTCTGCGCACTTCCGAGAAAATGACAGCTGCGGTTGAATGTGCATGGACGGTCACCTGAGCTGTCAGATCTGGTTTGACTGGCTTACAGAAGGAAGCTTCAAGACGCTTCGAAACATGGTGCTTGTGGGTTCCTGCTGCCTGCTCTCGAGCATATATCGACACCTTATACGTCAGCTCTCCTAGTCTCACCCCTGGACTAGTTCGGCTGGATCTCATGAAGAAGAATGGCTCGTCAAACATGGCTCCGGTCACCGGCGGCACGGCCAAGATAGCTTTCAAGAATACAAAAGGAACAACACAAAAGGAGATGATGGAGTGGACGATGGGAAGTCATGGGGCGACATAGCTAGACTGTGAGCAGTGACGCGTTGGGAGTGCGATCTCGAGGAGAAGCTGCCAGGTCAATCCAAGCGCTACCCCGCCCCTGCTCGCATTGCTGATTGCCAACAGGACCAAGTGTAAATTGTGACTCTCGGGATCGCTGCCCGAGAAGGCAGACATGAGTTATAGTGGCTGAATCAGCTGTCATTATCTTTGTCTGGCATCTTTTGGCTATCCTAGGCCGTCCTTCGTCCACGTTCATCTCTCATTTGTCTTCCTCGTCAATGACACTTCAAAGCTCCGACTTGGTATGACCGCAAGGCGCGTTGTGGACGTGCTTTTCCGCCCGCTTCTCCTTGAAGCGAGCCTTGGCGACCTCGGCCGACCTTCTCCTTTCAGCAGCTCCACGCACTGGAATCGAGTCGAGCGAGGTGCCGTACAGGGCGACGGCATCAGCAATAGCTTTGGTATTGAGCAGGAATGCATCATAGTTGAGGTTGTCGATGGTATCACCGGCCTCGTGGTAGTTGGCATCCAAAGCCTCACCCGCAGTGCCGCCAAACAACTCAGCCTCCTCCTCGGTCTTGATTTCTTCTGCCCCGGTAAAGAGACCGCCGGCGGCAATACCGTTCTCAAGGAAGGGGCCGTAGTCAGAGCGGCCACTGAACTCGGTGGGCACATAGTTCGACCCCTGTGACTCGAAGAACTGCTCAAAGCCAAGCTCAATCTCGGCAGAGCCAGGAGGGCCGGTCAGATTGAAGCCGCTGCCATCACCATCGTAGATGCCAATGATGTAGTTGGGCGAGGCAATCATGTCGAAGTTGAGATAGGCTCGGACTTTGGCAAGCTCGGTCTCGGACTGGTTGAGCTGCGAAACGTAGTATTCGGCACCCAGCAGGCCAAATTCTTCGGCGCTGAAGAACAAGAAGCGGACGGCGTTGGTGGTAGAGAAGTTGATGAGCGCCTTTGCTACCGTCAGCAGACCGATGGTACCGCTGCCGTTATCGTTGAGACCGGGGCCGGCCTCTACCGAATCGGTGTGCCCACCAAGGGCAATGACATTGTCGTGGTCGCCTCCCTTGGTCTCGGCAATGACGTTGAACGTAGTCCGATTCTCAAGGATGGCGCTGACCTCCATCTCAACCTCTGTCTCACCGGCCTCAGCCAGAGCCAAAAGAGCCTCGCCATCAGCCTGCACAAGGCCAAGGACGGGCACGTAGTCGCCGACACCGCCAAGAGTGCCAGCTAGGCTACCCTCGACGTTGTTGTAGATCAGAGCCGCAGCAGCTCCGGCAGTGGCAGCGTTGGTGGCCTTTTGGGCGAAAGTGCACTCACCTCTCGAGATGAGGGCAATCTGACCCTCGACCTCGGCGGGAAAGTCGGCCTCTTCGCAGCCCAGGTTGTCGACGGCGACCAGAGATCCACTAGCGCTACCACTAGGGGTGTAAGTCAGAATGTCCGCTTCATATTCTTCGCCATTGACTGAGAGCGAGCCAGACCCGCCGGAGAAGAGCTCCACGAACGCCTGCTTTGAAACATCGTAGTAGCCAAGCGCGCTGAGCTCGTCGAAAAGCCAATCGACGGTGGCATTATGACCCGCGCCACCGAAAACGCGGGTGCCGTCGTTCTCATCGGCAATAGACTGGAGCTTTTCGGCGCCAGCCTGCAGGTCCTCGAGGGTGACGAGATCGACGAGGGTCTCGGAGGAAACAGGCGGGAGATCGCTGTCATCCCAGTCCTGAGCCGTGACCTGGGCGACGATGGCGGCACAGGCACACGTGGAGATGAGGGAGGTCTTCATTATGAATGCTGAGAACCTTCTGCTCGGCCCAAAACGAATGTGAGTAGATCAAGGGGAACGTGCGAGGGGGCCCCTCTGACTCGAGGCTACATTGCGTCTCTTATACTCGGTAGGATCATCTGTGGTACAAGATTAGCAGTGGCGAGAGTGGGAACGTGATGAGCCTTGAACAAGCTTAACTTCGGTTGCAACCATGCTCTCTTGATAGATAGCTGGTTGAAGGACATGAAGCCAGGCTGATTGAGGCAGCTCGCGTGCGGCCGATCGTCATCAGACAGCTGCGAACAAGGCCAACGGCTGCAACCTGTGAATCAAGCCTCGCAGCTACGAGCGGTGAATGGACAGGAGGGGTCGTCTCGAAGTCTTGTCACGATCTCTCGGGGGTGGCCGCTGCCTCCGCACATGGTAGCTCGAGTGGATATCAAAGCAAAGCACCGTCGAATGCGGTTTGCGAATCCTGCTGTCGAAGCCTGCAGATCGGCTTGGCATAAGAGCGGAGGACGAGCAGCTCGTGGATCCATTGGAGGGAAGCCGCCTGGGACACGGGCCCTGCCAAGCACTGATTGCAGGCCCGGAGATTGATCTGGCTTAGCAGGAGCGGGGGAGTCATCGGCGGCGCCTGCTTGGCTCTGCCAGGGCCCTGCTTAGACGGTTAAACGCTGCTCGATGACAGAGGGCCTTGCCGGGTTGCGTGATAGCAGGGTCGCATCGATCAATATCGTGTATGGACTTTCCTGGGTCGGTGCCGTGTCTATCCGCTGACAGGACGGATACTGGCAGATCCCATAGGAGGGATCGAGACGGGACGACCGGCAGCTTGCTATCTTTCTTTCGGAGGCAAGCAGACTGGGAAATCTCTCGATGGTCCATCGCGCAGGGACTTGTACGTGTTCGATCTTGGCATGATAGGGTATCATGCTCTGACCTGGGTTCCCTTACTCTTGTGAATCCCGACCTTCTTGATTCGGCCGAGGGGCCGCTTTGCTTTGATAACACAGGACCTCGGATCTTTGCGAAGACTTGATCGTAATTTCGGGCATTGGTCTGGAAAGAGAAAAGGGTGATTTATGATTACCATCCCTTCTCATGTAGTGATGTGCGTTTCACTGCCTGTCCAGCCTTAACGCAACAGCTAACGTCATCCCTTCAAGATTCTAGGGCACAGCTATCGACCATTAAAACCATCCGGCAGACATATCACAGTATATGAGCGCACAGAAAATGCATGCATCTGAACATTTGAGAGGTAAGCCGAACCCCAGAGAAGCAGGCACAGGCGACAGAGATCGCTTTTGGTCCAGGAAGAAATCCCCCTAGTCGAAGCATCGTCATGGCATATATGCAGGCTCCCTTGAAATGAGAGGAAGAGCTCGCTAGCAGAGCACATGGTGGATTTCTCCATGTATGCACTTATGCACCTACCCCGCCAATTCCAAGTGCATAGGGTTCTTGTGTAGTACGACTATGGCCCAGCCTAAGTCCGAAGCACGGACTGGGGTCGATTGGGGTTATTCTCAACTTCCCCAACACCTCAGCCAGCTTCCCCACATGGGACCGGTGCTTTATCCGCGGCCCTTATTCAGCAGCTTCCACTAAGAAGGTCTCTCGCTTACGGCAGTTGTAGGTCGACACAGGGCAGACGTCTGGCCTGGCTCCGAACATCTGGACCACACTCTATCATGCATAGCCCAAACCTCAAGCGGGATATACCCATGTGGAGGCATGCGTGGGGGACAATCTCAACCAAGGGCATATGCCTGACCCTCGGACTCTTCTAGAGCTCGAACGAAGCGCTTCCGAGAGATGCATGTTCTCAAATCCGTTGGACAACGCACTTGACCCTAGGAAGCCGACTTCACAGCCGGTCTTGGCAACTCAGAAGTCGCTGCCAAAATGTCGTCTATCATCAACGGCATCACAAATGCGATCCCTAGCCTGACTCAGAAATACAGTGGCGTGCCGGAGCGGCTAGCAAAGGAGGCTATAGCGGCCAAAGACCGCCTACTCTCACAGAAGACTGTGCCAGACAGCGTGCCAAGGAAAGGGCATTCGCTGCCACCTGATGTTGACCAGGCTACCTACGATGCGGCCATTGAAGAGCTCAAGGCATCGATAGGCGCTTCCAATGTCGAAGTGAACGACAAGACGCTGGTAGATGGGTGGTATATGGAGCATCCGTGAGTTCACCGAGCTTCCTCATCGTAACTCCTTTGATCTAATCGAGACAAAAGCAATACCCACGATGCCTACCATGTGGTGGACCAGGAAGAAATGACTTGCTCCGCCGTAGTCTACCCCGGATCGACCGAGGAGGTGCAAACAGTTGTCAAATGGGCGAACAAGCATACCATTCCTGTCTACCCAATTAGCATGGGCCGCAACCTGGGTTACGGTGGTAGCGCACCCCGCGTGCCAGGCTCGGTGGTCCTGGATCTCGGCCGGCGCATGGATCAAGTACTGAATATCGATGGCGACAATGCCTCCTGCATAGTCGAGCCAGGAGTTTCATATTTCAAGCTCTACGAGGAGATCCAGAAGCGAAACTTGCCACTGTGGATTGACTGTCCAGATCTGGGCGGAGGCAGTGTATTAGGCAATGCCATCGATCGTGGCGTTGGCTATACGCCCTACGGCGACCATTTCGCTAACCACTGCGGAATGGAGATTGTACTGCCCGACGGCTCGCTGCTGCGGACAGGCTTGGGCGCCATGCCAGGCAAAGACGGCGCCGATAATCCTTGCTGGCAGTCGTTCCAGGCGGCATATGGACCATATGTTGACGGAATCTTCTCGCAGAGCAACTATGGCATTGTAACCAAGATGGGTTTCTGGCTTATGCCCGAGACGGACCACCAATCCTACATGGTCACCTTCCCGCAGGAGGACGACTTTGAACGGATCGTGGAGATCATCAAACCTCTGGCACAGAAACGCATCCTTGGCAACATCCCCCAGCTACGGCATGTCATTCAGGAGCTGGCTGTGACAGGGAAGCCCAAGACACACTGGTATGATGGTCCAGGGCAGATGCCGCGAGAAGTGATACGGCAGCACGCCGCTCAGCAGCCTTGCGGCGACGTGTCGTGGGTGTTCTACGGCACACAATACGGTGACAGGGCCGGCATTGAGTCTCAGCTGAAGTTGATCCGGGCCGAGTTCGAGAAGATAGATGGCAGCAGGTTCTATCTACCACAGGAGTGAGTTTCCTCCCTCTGCATTTGATATCGCCGGCACGGCTGACCGTACCTAGCATGCCACCGGAGCACTATCTCCACTCCCGCGTGCAAGTGTGCTCCGGCGTACCGGTGCTCCGCGAGCTTGACTGGCTGAACTGGGTGCCCAATGCAGCTCATCTCTTCTTTTCACCAATCCTGCCGACCAAAGCCAAGGACGCTCGCGTCGTGCTCGACATTGTCTCTCGCCTGCACAAGAAATACGGGTTCGACCTATTCCCCACACTCTGTGTTGCGGGTCGGGAGATGCATACTATCGTCAATATCGTATATGACCGCTACGACCCCGATGCCAAGCAGCGGGCCACCGGTATCATGCGCGAAATGATCCGCGAGGCTGCCGCGGAGGGCTTTGGTGAATACCGCACGCACCTGTGAGTACCATGTTCCAGATGACAAGCCACGAGGAATGGCGACTAACGTTGGAGAAGACTCTTTGCAGACCAGGTTGCCGAGTCCTACGGCTGGAATAACGGCGCGCTGCGGAAGTTCAACGAGACACTGAAGGACGCTATTGACGAGAACTCGATACTTTCACCTGGTCGAAATGGAATCTGGGGTAAACGCTTCCGGGGCAAGGGCTGGGAGATTCTGGATGGCGACAAGCGCGATATCTTGCGGGATGGCATCAGGCCAAAGCTCTAGGGACGCAGAAGTGTCGCCCTTGGTAACAACAATAGTCGCGTCGCGCCTTGAATGCATGCTGGATACTGCTCGTTGTAGTAAATGCTACAACTTTCCTCTTGCACTGTGACATGGTTCAGGTGAAGACAGCGCCAAGTTGAACAGCCCTGTCGAGCTAGATGGCTGAGTACAAGGAAGATATTATGGACGAATTCCTTGACGCTGTACTATTTGGCACTGAGACGAACCTGTTGAGTCGCTGCTGCCATACAATCAAAGGAGATTGATCTTGAATTATCACATGCCTGGTTGAGCCAAAACGACATGGTCAGTCTATCCACCCCCCTCTTCCCCTGCTAGAATCTGCTTCCGACGCAATGACAGCTTTGAATGGCTTTGGCATTCTACCCGCCGCTGCGACGTGCTATGGTCGACCAAACCCTCCATTCTGCCTCAGTGTGAGTCCATCACTTCTTCACCGCCGCTGCAGTATCGCCACATGGCTGGCCTGTCTTGAGTTCGAGACCAGCCCTGCGTTCCCACATCTTCAGCAATTCTGTATGGTCTGCGTCCGGCTTCAGAATCCCCATAGCTTCCTGGAAGTACCGGTTGACCAATCCCGGCATCTCCGTTTCGAATCCTTCATGCTCAAACACGCTTTTCGCAATCCCCACGTCCTTAATCAACAAGGCGAGCTGAAACCCACTCGCATACTTCCGCGGCAGTGCATCACTCTGGTAACTGTCAGTCGTGGAGAAGTTCCGTCCGGTGCCCACGTTTAGCACGTCAATCATCTGCACGGGGTCCAGCCCGAACTTCTGGCCCGTCACCAACGCGTCCGACAGGGCGACAATCGAAGCTGCAGAAATGTAGTTGTTCAACGTCTTCATCGCGTGACCCGCCCCCAGCTTTCCCATATGGAAGACGTACTTGGCCATGGCTTGTAGGACTGGGAGAGCGCGGTCGAAGGATGTCTGGTCGTTGCAACCGACCATTAGCGTGGCGTCACCCGTGTCGGTGTCGTGTAGATGGGCCTGCGTGACGGGGGAATCGATGAGGACCAGGTCTCTTGACTCGAGATCTGTGCCTAGAGACCGGGTGTCGAATGGTGACGACGAGGAGGTGTCGATAATGATGGTACCTTTCTTAAGGTGCGAAGCGATTCCATGGTCACCCAGGATGACCTCGCGAACGACTCTGCCTTGTGGGAGCATGGTCACAAGGACGTCGACGTCCTTGAAGCCGTCCGGACCTGCCGATGCGACAGTTGTGTTCGGATTCGCATCGGCGAAGGCCCTTTCCCGCTCAGGGTCTGCGTCGCGGACGATGAGCTTGAACCCGGCACGTGGCAGGTTTGATGCCATGGAGGCGCCGGCTTTGCCTAGGCCGATATAGCCTACGGTGAGACCCATGAGTGCGGCTCAATTATGTTCACGTGTATATTTGTTCGGTCGTTGTCGTGGGAGAGAATATGAAGTTTGTCAGCGATCCGTTGACTGAGGTTGCCTAGTTGCCTGGTTGATAGCGACTATACATGAGCAGCGAAGTTCAGCAGCAACCCTCCTCTTCATCCGAGGCCCTGAGGGACTGGAAGGCTGTTCTCCAACTACCTAGTATGGTCACGCACGACATTCGAACACTGCCGTGGTCATGGCACTCTGAGGTCAGGCCTTGCACCGCTCGGCGTGCTACATCCGACCACAAGTCACATTTGCCCATCAACAGTGGGCAGCCTTTCTCCGCATCGGCAGGGGATCCGGGCTCAGCCCCAGCTCCGTACTGGGGAATGGCCTTATTGGTGGCACTCCGCAACTACAGTAGAGTGTTTGAAGGCGCAAGGTGGGCATTCTCCAAACATCCGCCTATTGCATGTGGGGTGGTGGCTTGACGCCTTGTGCTCGTGTGCGGAACTGCTCCATGTTCGCAAACCCCACCACGGAGAACCCATACGCTCGTGTGTTTATGCCTGGGGTACGCTTCTGGCCATGTGCCACCCCCAGTGAGGGTCGCTTCGCTTCTATACTGACTAGGGGTAGGCTAAGATCATCTAGTCCTCCTGCCTTGCACCACCCCCCGGCTGATCCAGATCCTATCTGTGGACGTCACAACTATAGGTTCCATCTACTATACCTGCTACCAGCATGGGCTCTATGGGCACTTCGGACCGTTGCAAGGGTAAGAAGAAGTCACTCCAACATTCCCGTCCAACTTCCAACTCAACCACACAGTCATTGTTGTCGGCGCTGGTCTCGGCGGCTGCGCGACCGCCCTAGCTCTGCACCATGCCGGCTTCGAGGTCGTCGTGTATGAGAAGCTCCGTAGGTTTATGCGGTTAGGCGACTCTCTGGGGCTGGGGGAGAATGCTCTGAAGCTGCTGGACCGCTGGTCGCCCGGCCTCCGGGAAGACCTGGTTGAGATTGGCAATAAGAGCAAGTACATGCAGATCCGACGCTGGGAGGACGGTCAGCTGCTTGCGCAGCAGGAGCTGATGGACATGGCCGGCTTCATTGGGCATCGCGGTGATTATCATGATGCTTTCCTGAAGGCGGTTGCTAAGGAGAGCATTCCGTTGCATATGAGTAGCGAGGCGAGTGGCAAGGCTGAACGAACGCAGGGGAACTCGGCTTACGTGTGAAATAGGTCATTGCCTACGAGGACAGCGAGAGGCCGAAGATCACGTTGGCAGATGGGACTGTTGACGATGCAGATATCATCGTTGCTGTTGATGGCATCAAGTCTCCGGCCCGGGAATTGGTACTGGGTTTCGATGATAAGCCAAAAGCTTCGGTAGAGATGCCTTCATTCTAACACGACTAATGACTCCCCCAAGCTGATGCCAACAACAGGGCTACGCATGCTTCCGCGCCTTCTTCAAAGCCGAACACATCCGCGACGACCCCAACAGCTCCAAGTACGCCAAAGAAGAATGCGTCAATTTCTGGATAGGAGAGGACGTTCACGTGGTGCAGAACACGCTCCGTGGCGGTGCCGAGTTCAACTGGATCTTGACCCACAAGGACACGGAAGACATCAAAGAGTCGTGGTTCCAGCCCGGCGACATGGACCAGGTTCGCGACATCATCAAGGACCTTGACCCTGAGATCGCCCCCATTCTGGCCCAGACGAAAGAGTGCTTGGATTGGAAGATCTGCTACCGAGATCCCATACCGACTTGGGTGAGCAAGAATCACAGGATAGTCTTGCTCGGCGACTGTTGCCACCCTCATCTGCCGACGAGCGCTCAGGGCGCAAGCCAAGCCACCGAGTCGGCGGGCGTGCTCGCTCAATGTCTACTGTTGGCTGGGAAGGACAACGTACCTCTGGCGGTAAGTCTTCTGCCCGCAAATGTGAACATTACCTCAGTTGCTGATTCATGAACACCAGACGCGCGTCTACGAGAAGCTGAGGTTCCCACGCACCAGAATCTCGCAGACGGCAGGCGAGGATCTGCGGGATCGATGGCACAGCGTGCTGAAGAACTTGGACAAGGGCGTACTGCCGAAGCCGGAAGACGTGCATGTCAAGGTACGTTTGCGATCGATTGCGCGCCCCGCCGTCGGTTGTTGCTAACACAGCCGAATACAGAACCGTCACTTGTATGACTACGACGCAGAACTGGAGACGCATAAGCAGTGGCCCGAGCTGTCGAAACGGGTGGGCTCGGAGCTGGAACAGGGGCGGATCCTTCCTTTGTGCTAGCATAAGAGGCGACTGTTCTACAGGCTTTTGTTCGAGCTCGACCGCCATGCAGGTGAGATATAGTCGTTGCATTTAATCTTGTCGAGGCCTACAGCATAGGGTCAAAGGTGCCCATAGACGAGTCATCTCAATCTTGAAACTCTTGTAGCTATGGAATGATTGAAACGAACATGGCTAACCAAAATCCCGCGAGCTCCCTCTTCCCTCTCCCTCAACCAAACCCCTTCAACGAACAACACTGCCCGACCACAGCTTACAATCCACCTGCTGCGCCGTCCCGACCGCCAGTCCCACACCACTGCTCCCAAAAAATGCATCCGCCGCCCCGCTATCACGACACAAATCAAAATTGACATTCCCACCATACTGATTCACCCCACCTAGCCCGTTCTGCGCACACAGCGGATTCCCCTGCGCAGGACACAGATTATTGACCATGACCACAATGGCGTTCCCCGCGTTGCTGAGTGCGTGGCCAGAACTGTCCGTCTGCGCCGTCAGGCGCCAGCAGGTGCCGCAGGCGGGGCCCGTGCCGGCGCTGGGGCCCACGCCGAACAGATTCTGGCTCGCGGCGGCGCTGTAGCCGGGGGAGGTGTAGAAGGCGCAGGCGGCGGTGTCGGTGTTGCAGTTGGGCGAGCCGAAGGTGTCGCCGGCGCCGTAGAAGGTGACGGTGGTTTTGTAGGTGGGGCCTAGGGCGAGGGCGGCGGAGGAGGTGCCGGCGTTGGTGTTGGCGCTGGGGGCGGGAGTCCTGTTTGTGGTCGTGCTGCTGCTGCTGCTGCTGACGCGAGGTTTGGCTGGGCCAGTGGTCGCGTGGACTGGCGAGGGGCCGGCACAGTCTGCGGTGGCAGCGACGAGGCTGGTGAGGAGCAGGACGAGGAGCTGCATGGTGTGGTTGCAGGTCGGCTGGACCTGATGCTTTCTTTTGGAGGTCAGAGGCAGGTGGAGGAAGGGGTTTTGATGCAAATGAGCGAAGGAGGAATAGAAGCGGGTTTGATTTGAGCTGATGCAAGTATGCTTCTCAGCGAGGTCTGCTGCTGATTATATACGGTGCTGCTCGGCCTCAGGCTGTGCTTGCAAACAAGCATAGGTCCTGGTCGTCTTCTTGCCTGTTGTGCAATTCTCGGGTCGATTTGTGGATTCCGTCTAGACCTCGTTCGTATGTTCAGGTCACCATCTTGGGCCGGCATGGCGTCAGAGTCTTTCGATGTCTGGGTATGCAACATGGTTCATATGTCACAGGTACGATATCGATGCTAGGGGGGAGATCTCGTTTGTGACGATGAGCCGCTCGCTGGTTTCGATCGGATCCACTTGTAGGGGAGGCAAGGCTGAGATACGAAGGGGATCCCTGACTTGAAACTCTTTGAAGTCCTTCAATTCTAGCACCCCGGATCAAGTGAGCCATAGCCACAAATCATTTTGATTACTCTTCAATGAGCCTCGATCGTCGTGGAGGGTAATTCGATGCCTGATGCGTCTCCTATCTGGTCGTAAGAAGACCCAGCCTGGGTCGACCGAGATGCTTCGGGTCCTGCAACTTGAAACGCGACAGAACATTGCCACATCTCCGATCTCGGGACAATCATCTGAGTGTTCGGACTGGTTCGCAGGGATGTACACAGCGACTCGTGGCAACAGCGCTAAGAACAGCTTGATATGATCAAGCTTCTCGCATCGGACAAGTCAATATTCGACAAGCGTTCAACTCAACTCCAGCATCTCTGACATGGGCCTCGCTTACGAGAAATCCAGCTCTTTGGTCGCCAGATCTTCTCCGTAGTGTAGAGCCCTCGACTTTGCCGTCCACCACAGAAAAGCCCAGGTAACCCACGACCGGATCTGAAACGCCAGCCAGCCCGAATCCTTCAGCGTGTTCCAGCCGAAGGACGCTTGTCGGTAGGCTTCGTCTGTGCGAGGTCGGCGTAGGCGTTCATACACAGCCAATCGGCCAGTGAGTCCCTTGTCATCTGTGGTGCACATTGTCCGGCCTAGAATTACGGCATCCTCAAAGGCAATGCCTGCGCTTTCACCTTGAGGCGGCATCTGTGAGCCGATGTTAGTCCAAACGCTGCTTCGGTATATTGGTAGAACTGCTTACTGCGTGAGCCGCGTCACCTACAAGGATGACCCTCCCGGTCGACCATTTTCCCTGCGGAGGCAGGGCATAGACGGGGTAGAGATTCCAGTCGCGGCTGGACTCGATCAGTGGGGGTATCCCATGCATCTTGATGTTAGCACCCAGGTACCGTTCCTTCACCCTCCTTTTGATCTCCTCCTGCTCCTTGCCCATCGCGATCCAGCCCTCCTTCGACCTGACGTCTTCCGTCTCCATGACGGCAGCGATGAATTGCCGGGTTCTGGTCCGCTCGTAATGGCTACACAGGAGACTGCCGCGGAGGGATTGGCTCAATGCTGTATCTTCCCACTGCAAGGGGTGATCTGGGGATACAACGGCGAAACCACCAATCGCAGCGATGCCGGTGTACTTGGGAGCTCGATCGGGCTCAACATGTAGCTTCCGAACCATTGAATGAATGCCGTCTGCTCCAATGAGGAGGTCGGCCGTCAGCTGGACTTGATCCTCTGCGAAGCCGATCACGACTGCATCGTCATCCTCGGTGATGCTGTTAACGGTGCGGCCATACCGTATCTTGATATTCGAATGCTGCTTGGTTGTCGCAAGAAGGGCAACTAGGAGATCGGACCGCAGGATTCTCAATCCCTTGAAAGATGGCTTTCCGACTCCATTCCCGTAAGCGTCACAGAAGTTGATGTTGCCGAGTCGAGCCGCTGAATAGACGTCGAAGAGCTCTATACGGTCTATATCCGCCCCAAGCCGTCTCTCCTTGATCCCTTCCATCACTCCGAGGGCGTGGAGTGCTCGAAGTGCATTGGGCGTGAGGCCGATAGCTCCGCCCATGGTCAAGGGCTTGGTCCTAAGCTCGACGACGGTGATTTCCGGTTTACTGGGCATCCATTTGGTGAGAGCGAGAGCAGAAGCTGTACCGGCTAATCCGGCGCCGACAATGATGATCTTCATCGTCGTAATGAGTACGCTGGGCTTGGGCTGCTGCCCCTGCGCCGCGTCGCTGGCACACTCCAGGCGTTATATAGACGTCATATCTTCGACCCGCGGGCAGAGATGGTCGCTGCCTGTTGCCCACTGCAATGTTGCGTTCTGTTACTGTTCGTATTCGCGTGTACTCGCGTCGTGGTTGGGCGGATAATCCGAGACTCGAAGTCAAACTGAGCGCATTTATATTCGATCCAGCCAAGCCAATCGTTTCATCCGACAAACAGCCTCGCAACAGCACTAGGATCGAGGTAAATCGATCCGAACCAAAAGCATCCCGGCAGCAGCTCCCGGGCATGAAAGTCCTAGCAGATTTGCACATCTGTGGTAGGCCAGGCGTCCTAGGATCAGTGACAGCCCAGAGAGATATGCTCATTTATTTCTGATGGGCAAGGCGACAGAAGACTCTACACTAGCTCGCTGCAGCAGATGCCTCAAACGGCAGCAAGCTCGACACTGACTTTCACAATAACCACATAGCCTGCAGAACAGAATGCTCTATTAACCCAAACCGGCCTTGTTGGTCTTGACCACGTGCTTGATGGAGTCAACGCTGCCCTTATTGCCCTCCTTACCAATGCCCATACCCACGGACCATCCCATCTTTTCAAGCATAGCTCGGCCCCTGTTGTCCTGGCCAATCTCAGGAGCTGCTGCACCAACGACTTCTCCATTGGCATACGAAGCTGCTGCAACCCCGCCGCGGTCGTTTCGGCGAGGCGTAGCACCCGAGGGACGGGTAGACTTGTAGCTTCTGTACAAGTTTTTCGGGAAGAACTTCCTCAAGTTCATCAGCGCATCGACCTCCCAGATGTTGTCGACAGTGTACTGGGGCGTATACGGAGTCTTGGTCAGGACCGGATACCTGCCGAGACCCTTGCCGTCCTTGCCGTGCGATTTCGAGTTCATGCTCAAGGATTTAGCCAGACGATGCACCGAAGCGCGCAAAGGAGCATCCATGGGAGTCATCTCGAGAGTGTCGGCCTCACTGACCAAGAACTGCCGGATCCGAGCCTTGATGACGGCGGGATCACTGCCCTCGGCCGAGTCAAGCTGCAGAGCCTGTTGCGCTTCCATCTTCTCCCGCTTTCTAGCTGCCTTCTTCTCACGATCTTTGGTCCACGTGTTCATAAGCTGTTCGGCAAGCTCTTCATCCAGGTCTTCGAGATCGTAAGGATAATCGGACTTCCGACCCTTACGCTTCGGGCGTAGACTGGGGCGGTCGAAATCCATGATGTCGAAGCCGCCGTACGGGTCTTGATCAAGTGCATCGGCGAAGGCGCTGGCGGATGGGAAATTGGCTCGGCCCCGGTTGTTCCGCTTACTCCTCCCACGATTGGATGTGTGCTTCGACAACGAGAAAGGTATGAAATCGTCGCCATTCATGAACTCGTCGAGGTTCATATCATCTTCATCATCGTCATCCATATCTTCCGCCTCCTTTCCGTCAAAGAGCATCAGATGGTCACCTCCCATTCCGAGCTCTTCTTGCTTGGCCAACGCGCGAGCGATCTGCTCATCAGACATCCGTGATGTTTGTTGTATGATGCGCTCATTCTCATCTTGCTCGGAGCCAATATCATCGATCAGATCTTCCAGTTCCTCGTCCTCACTACTCGAAACCTCGATGGAACCTTGGAGTTTGCTCTGGAACAGCCCCTCATAGATCTCGATTTGTTCGGTGGCCGTGGTAGAGACTAGCTTTGAGTGAGACACCCACTTGGCATCGCTGACTTCCATACCAACGGCAGTGACCAGATACTGCTTGCCCTGAGAACGTTCACGGTGTCTCAGCACCCGCCCAACCTCAGGAACGTCTTCGTCGGTAGTGCTGAGGTCGTTGAGATCGTCGAGATCCGCAGACTCCCAGTCATCCGTCTCGTCTGGGAGGATGCTTGTCTTCGCCGTCTTCTGCACGGACAAGAGTTTGACTTTCGCATGCTGTTCGCCAGAGCCCTTGTGGTAGCGAAAATGCTCGTTGCGTCGATGAGGTTTGGCTTTCTGCGTAGGTGCCTCATCCTCATCCTCGTCGTCATCGTCCTTTTCGTCAAGAGCCATATTGTCTATGTAGTCTCGCATGATTGCCTCTTCCTCCTCCTCTTCCTCTCTCCGCCGACGTTCATGGCGTGACTCCCACCGTCTCCGAGGCCGTGCAGAGATGGCCTCAGGGTGTAAATCATGGTTGGGCTCGTCAGACAAGGATTCTGAGTGAGGGGTTCTTCCATTCGTGGCTAGGTGATGCGCCTCAACAGGGACACGCAAGGGTTGAGCTTCAGACTGTCTAGGCGGACTGTTTGGCTTGCTGAGGAGCTTGGCAGAGGTGTTGCGGCCCTGGAAGATCACTTCATCTGAGTCAGAGGCGGACGAGTCTTTTTGATCCTGTGGCAAAGGTTGATCGGCGTGTGTTCCGTTGGCATGGAGTTCTTGCAGGCCTTCTTCGTGAACACCGACCAATTCCTGGACAGATAAATCATCAGCTGGCACACCAGCAGTTGTTGGCTCTTCAGGCGTCTGAGGCTCTGATTGCTCCGGTCGAGGTGACTCTGAACGGGATGATTGAGGATCCTCGCGCACAAGATTGCCTGCGCTGACGAAGGAGACGGCATTATCTCTCAAGCGAGCGTTGCCCCAGGTGAGACCATGACGTTCTGTATTTCTTGCTTCTTGAGCCATGCTAAAACCATTGCGTGGTGACGATGAGTAAGGAGTAGAGGCGAAGCTCTGCCATTCCTGGACGCTGCGGGTCTTGTAATCTGTGAAGGTTCAGCACTTAGTGATTAATCATAAAACGAGATGCAGTACCGCTCTGCGTAGTCTTGGACTGCTTCGAAGACCATGATGGATCTTTGCCACCGCCCTTCCTGGCGGCGCGACCTTTCGCTCTTTCACGGGCCCCCATGGCGGGGCAGTGTCTCGCGATTGTCTTCAGCCAGTGAGTGCAGCAGAGTCAGGACAGTCAATTCAGACTTATGCATGGACAAAAAAGAGCAGATGCTGCATCAAGAACAGTCGAATCGAAAAATGCACGAAGAATATCAAATGCTAGAAATTCAATGATTGACTCATTAGTGGTGGTTCTGGCTGGATGGGATTGACGCGGCGAAGGTGATGCGCATCATGCTTTCAGTTAAGCTGCAGGTTGCCCGGAGGGCTAACTGTTTTGGTTGAAGCCCTAGCCTGGTCTTGGGATCGTCATCGCCTATCAGTGATGCGGTGCAGCAAGGCTGTAATCGTCCTTCCCGTCATCCGACTACATTCCTACACTCGACGAGTCCTACACTGTGTCCAAAGTTGTCATTTGTGGTCGGACATTGAAGTTGTCGTTTTCGATACACTTCAAACACATTACCATTCTTCCGGCACGTTGTGGCGGTCTTACGCCATCCCGGCACTCGATTAACCACCCCGCAGAGCCGCCCCAGCAGTGTGCCAGACCTCCGGTGCCTGCCGCACTCTAGTGCAAGGTCGCCTTTGCGACTTCTCCTGACGGACATCTTCCCGTGTCTACGAGCGAGGCCATGAGTGGTGTTGACGTGAAGCGCTTCGTGCGCTACTTCTACGACCCTCCACCAAAATATGATGACATGTCCGGGGCCTCTATCTGGTTCCTAGGCAAGGAGTATCCAGCGACACCGCCAAAGCCTGTTTCTACTACCGATCACGAAGACATTGTCGAAGTCGAGTCCTCAACCGATTCTCATGATCCCTCCGAGGCCACCGCATCGACCCAAGATGAACAGCAAACGTCACGACCACCAGCGCAGTCTGGCAGTTTCGACGACGCCCAGCATGTGTCGGGAGACAACCTTCCCTCCCTCTCGAACGATCCAGCGGACGGTGGTTGGCCCCAGCCCTTTCTCGACGATTTCGAATCAAGAGTGTGGATGACCTATAGGTCCAACTTTCAACCTATACTACGATCGCAAGATCCATCAGCGGCCTCAGCGATGACCTTCTCTGTACGCCTACGCAATCTGACAGAGCGAGAAGGCTTCAGCAGCGACACTGGGTGGGGTTGCATGATCCGGTCTGGACAGTCTCTTCTCTCCAATGCCCTAGTGATGCTGCACCTTGGGAGGGAATGGAGAAGACGACAGAAATCCGAGCAATCTACAGCCTCTTCAGATCCAAAGTCTCTGCAAAGGACAGAAGCTTCTATCCTCTCTCTCTTCGCTGACGATCCCGCCGCGCCATTTTCGGTCCATCGCTTCGTCTCTCATGGGGCATCCGCCTGCGGCACCCACCCAGGGCAATGGTTCGGTCCCTCAGCTACGGCATCATGCATCGAAGCTCTTTCTTCCGAATCAGCCTCCTCTGCTGGTCTTCGGGTCTACGTAACACCATCTTCAAGCGAAGTCTTCGAGGACCGGTTCCGCAGCATTGCCGCTGCCTCCCCAACAGATCCTACCATCCAGCCAACCCTCATCCTCCTAGGCATTCGACTAGGTATCGACCGCATCACACCTGTATACCACGAAGCTCTCAAGTCCTCATTGACCTACCCTCAATCAGTCGGCATTGCTGGAGGTCGGCCCTCATCGAGCCACTACTTCATCGGCTGCCAGGGCGACCTATTCCTTTACCTTGATCCGCACGAGACCCGCCCTGCATTACCGTATCACTCCCATCCTTCAGAATATACAGAAGAAGAAATCAGTTCGTGCCATACGCGTAGATTGCGCGGCCTGCGAATGTCTGAGATGGATCCTAGCATGCTGATTGGCTTCCTCATTCGGAACGACGCAGACTGGGAGGACTGGAAAAGAAGGCTCAAGGAAACGAAGGGTAGAGCCATCATACACGTTTACGACAAAACGCCACCGACGCCGGGCCAGGAGGAGCGGAAAGAGGCGGTAGACGAGGTGAGCACCTTCGACGACGAGGAGGAAGGCGATGGAGACGATGCTGTGACCGTGACGGGAAAGGAATGAGCCTATAGCCAGATGCGGATATTGATTACGAGAAACTGAAGACACGACGAGCACGAATTGAACAATGACTATCGACAGGGGGGGAATGAGCGAACAGAAGGATTTTAGCACACTACAGCGGCCAGCGTCGCGGGCAAGGGCAAGCAGGACTTTGAGCATTGCATTCTACTAAACCTGCTGGTGCACTGAAGAAGAGATACTGGACTCCAGTGGCGGTTCTGTTGGATAGATGTTCTACGAACGTGACTGCAAAGCGAAGCGCTTCCCACCCAGCACGCAACCTCTGGCGCATTCCGGCTCTTTTGCGTCGTCTCCAGCCTCTCGGCACCTGTCACCACGCTCACCCTGGCCAACGAGCTCGGTGGCGCTTGTTTCATTAGCGCGTTTGGACGCGTTCCCAGGATCAAAACAAAGCCCAGCGCTGGCTTGTGCAAGAATTACAGAGAGAAGGCAGAGGACAGGATCAGATTTCATGCTTTGGATTGGTATCTTTGAATCCAATCGAGCAGCATACTCGAATGGATGGATGCTTTGCCTGTTGACTTGCGTTGGTGCAGATATTGTACAAACAAGTCGTCATAGCCACCACCATCGTTCTGATGAGAGCTGAAAACCGTAAAGGCATAATTGTGTTCTCCTGCCATGGAGAGCATCTTGAGCTTCTATGCGCTCATGACCCAACCCCGACTCAATCCCATGACGCATTCGTAATAGCTGTAAACCCGTTCAAAACACCGTTGATCGTGATGTGATCATTCCCATGCCACAACCCCGTTGCAAAAAGCCAGATAGGCCAGACCCAGAAAAACAACAAGCTCAAGAGCAAGTCGCTTACTTGGACTGGGAAGAGTACTTGGTGACAGCCTTGGTACCCTCAGAGACGGCGTGCTTGGCCAGCTCACCGGGCAGGATGAGTCTGACGGAGGTCTGGATCTCGCGGGACGAGATGGTCGACTTCTTGTTGTAGGCAGCAAGCTTGGAAGCCTCAGTGGCAACGCGCTCGAAGATATCTGGAGCCGAATTAAAACGCGATTCTTCTAAGCTTGGAGGAGAGACGCGACTTACCGTTGACGAAGGAGTTCAGGATGGACATGGCGCGGTTGGAGATACCGGTGTCAGGGTGAACCTGCTTGAGGACTGTAGAAGACGCGTTAGTCAATGATCAGATGCGACTGAGGTGCGCAAGCTTACCCTTGTAGATGTACGAGGAGTAGGTCTCCTTCCTGGTCTTGCCACGCTTCTTCTTCTCGCCTGAGGGAGCGGCGGCGGTCTTCTTGCCAGCCTCCTTCTTCTCAGCGGCGGGAGCCTTGCCAGCGGGGGCCTTGCCACCAGTGGTGGGCTTCTTCTCAGCAGCTTTGGGAGGCATTTTTGATGGATTTGGGATTTGGAAAGTGGTTTGAAGGTAAGAGTAGTAAGGTGAGATGAACTCAAGTGATGGAAGAGTTATGCGATGGGTATGTGGATGGATGAAGAAGAGGGAGAGGTCGTGATGGAAGTGGGAGAGGTGGAAGTCTTATAGCGGGAAGTGCGACAGGCGGGTTGATCGCAGGTGCGGGCTGATCTGGTGAAAGGCAAGTTCAATCGAATGTCGCCAGATTTTTAAAGCAACAAAACCGTATGATTAACTTGCTCCTTACATCAATTTTTGTATTTGCGAATGAACGAGCGTGTTTTGATACAGTAGGTGACTCCAGTCGCGTCAGGTCGGCGTTGATTGGATGATAAATCGCTCAGATCAAGAGCTGTTGATACTAGCGCGGGTCGCTCGTATTACAGCCGTTTCTGATCTCGCTTGCACAAGGCCTGCAGGCCGCTATGCGAGTTGAAAAGACAAATCTGCGGCCAAAGGCCTCTTGATCATTGCATTTGATTGGCTCTGATCTTTCCACCTTCCCAATCACATCAATCTTTCTTGGCCGGTGCGGGTTGATCTTTTGGAGCATCTGCGGCAGGCACGTCAGCCCGCGCTCGTCCTTATAACTCCTCTCCCACTCCCACCCAACAGCACTTGTCTTCCCCTTCTTCATCCATTCTTCAGCTCCAATCCATCGCACGACTTCAAGTCCATCACATCTACACCTCTTACTCTTTCAACCCTTACTTCCAAACCAACCCATCAAAATGACTGGCGGCAAATCTGGCGGCAAGGCCTCTGGCTCCAAGTCTGCTCAATCGTAAGTCTTCTCCCAGTCGCGCTGATTCCTTGTCGGAAGTGACGCATCTTTGGCTGGTTCAATACGTTCTAACATCCATTCCAGCCGTTCCTCCAAGGCCGGTCTCGCCTTCCCCGTTGGCCGTGTCCACCGTCTGCTCCGCAAGGGCAACTATGCTCAGCGTGTCGGTGCCGGTGCGCCCGTCTACCTGGCTGCCGTTCTTGAGTACTTGGCTGCCGAAATCCTCGAGTTGGCTGGCAACGCTGCTCGCGACAACAAGAAGACCAGAATCATCCCCCGTCACTTGCAGCTCGCCATCCGCAACGATGAGGAGTTGAACAAGCTGCTCGGCCACGTCACCATCGCCCAGGGTGGTGTTCTGCCCAACATTCACCAGAGTAAGTTTCTTGTACGCGTCATTGTTCGAACAACATCTAACGCGTTTTCCAGACCTCCTGCCCAAGAAGACCTCCAAGGGTGGCAAGAACCCCAGCCAAGAGCTGTAGATTGCCTTCTGATGTTTCTGGTGCGGGTTTTGCAAAGGAGTTCACGACACGATCATCATGGGGTTTAGGGGTTGGGCAAGCCGAGTAATGGCTTTTCAGATTTGATTTCAGGGATGTACATCACAGTCCATGCATGGCTTATTGTCATCATGAGCATGGGCACGAATGTGACAGCAGGGCATGAGAAATGCAATGGGCATGGGGCAACTGCGAAGCGGTCGGTACATCAGCTGCATTGCTCTGCAGAATGAGCCATTAGAGATACCACATTGACGATCCCAATCAATGGCAAAACATTCATCAACCTGATCTGAATTCTACTTCAACTGTGGCTCAAGACGCGTATCGACATCTGAAGACAACAACATGGACGCGTCGTATATCTTCAAGGGCAGGGGGTGTTCCGCGTTGGAACTCCGGAGAGGCGTCAGGGGGAGAACAGGCGATTTGCCGACAGTGATCTGACAGTGGCAGACAGCATCAGCAAAACAAATACTTGTGGTGGATGATTTTGGTGCGGCCTGCGGCTCCATAGTAGATCTGGAATCTCCAACCAGTAAATTCGCAGCGACACCGCTGCAACCAAAAGCTGAACCAAAAGTCATCGCGGAAGTGGGAATGACTCAGGGAACATGCACCCCAACCGACGAGTAGTTTCGACTGGTCTTCATCATTTGAACGCCGTTGAGCCTGAATGGCGACGACAACGAGCAGAGCATATATCGTAGTGCCTCCCATCTTTTGGTCTTTATGTACAATGCAATTATTCGCTGGCACCCTCGCCCTTAGAGCCTCATCTGACATCAATAGGCTTACAGCGCCTCCCGAATATGCTTACTGGGAGGAGGCAGGTCTGGCGGGGGGATGTTGCGTTCGTATTTGGAGCCTAAATGAAACTGTCAGAGATCTGCGTACTGGAATCTCGAGGATTCAGCGTACCTCCTGGCGCAGTTGGTGGCCGGTATGGGTCAGGGTGCTTCCACTTGTCTATGAGCTTTTCTGTTTCCAGGAAGAGGACCTAATGGTAATGTCAGCTGTGTGGCTTCACTCGATCTTCGCGCGCTGAACGTACTCTTTGCCGTCTAGGGTCGTTGACATTTCTGTTGGCATCGAACAAGGAGCGAATGTAGACTGCCTGGCCTCTCCAGAGATTGCGCTGGACCGCCCAATCAAGAGCCAGACGGAGTGACCGTCGATATAGGTCTCTGGTGTACACGATGAGCTGGTTTCACTATTGCGTAGCTGAGGTTGACTTACCTCACGGCCTTGACGTGGGGGGTGAATTGGACTGACATATTGCCTTGAAGCGCGAGGCGCCTGGCAAGCTTGAAAATCCCCTTGTGAGCTCCCTTGATGCTCACAAACGTCCCCTGATCGTTCAACGCAACAGGAAAATGGTGTCGTCGACTTTCGCAGGTTGTATTGCACAAGTTGTAATTCAATGTCGTCGATTGGAAGCAGTTCGGAGGACGGGCTTGGCACGCCGGCAGCTCCAGTCCTCCAATCGTCACTGCCTTCTCCGTTTCTCTGCCGCGCCGAGCTGTGTCATGGGAGCTCTACCTACATCCTCCTCTTCCGATCTCCTTTCCGAGCAACTCATTTTGTACATCTCAAGGATTTTCCCAAAGTGAACTCTCACAACGCTCTGCGAGCGTATCCTTTCGTTGCCTCCTAAGCGTCTGCTTTCTTTGTCGCATGCTCCGCAACAGCAAAACCCAGCTCTCTTGAGCCTGTCACGATCGCGCACGCTAAGCATGGCCAGCTTGAGGCTTCGCAGGGTGCCAACCCTCGCCTCGTCTCTCACGGTCCCCAGAAGATCCTACGTGCGCGCCTACAGCATCCTTAGAACCTCTACCGACCTGCGAAAACCTGGCAACAGCTCACTGAAAAATGCCGCATATCCTGCACGCTCTTCCCTTCCTGGCATCCGACCATTCGGAACCTCCCCGGTCTACCTGGACACCACCGTGAAGGTCCCTCAAATGGCCGAGTCCATATCTGAGGGTACCCTGAGCTCCTTCTCGAAGCAGGTTGGCGACTACGTTGAGCAAGATGAGGAAATCGCATCCATAGAGACTGACAAGATTGACGTCTCGGTAAATGCCCCCGAAGCCGGCACGATCAAGGAACTGCTTGTTAGTGAAGGAGACACCGTGACCGTGGGTCAGGAAATCGCAAAGATGGAGCCTGGTGCGGGCGGCAGTGGTGGTGCGAAGGAGGCAAAGGAGGAACCTAAACAACCTGCATCGAGTGAGCAACCAACCAGCTCTGACCCGGAGCCCAAGAAGGAGGAGCCCAAGAAAGAGGAGCCCAAAAAGGAGGAGCCTAAGAAGGAGGCGCCGCCGCCACCACCCAAGAAGGAAGAGAAGCCTGCTCCCCCCAAGGAAGAGAAGAAGCCTGCCGCCTCCGAGGGCAAGCAGGAGGCCAAGGGGATCGATTCCCCATTCGGCAAGGGCAGTCGCAACGAGGATCGCGTAAGATATATTGATTCGTGCTTGAGGAACTCGACTGATCTTGACAGGTGAAAATGAACCGCATGCGCCTGCGGATAGCGGAGCGTCTCAAGCAATCCCAGAACACCGCGGCTTCGTTGACAACCTTTAACGAGGTCGACATGTCCAACATCATGGAATTCCGCAAAAAGTACAAGGACGAGGTTCTCAAGAACACTGGTGTCAAGCTGGGCTTCATGAGTGCCTTCGCCAAGGCTGCCGTTCTAGCATTCAAGGATGTTCCCACCGCCAATGCTTCGATTGAGGGTCCTGGTGGCGGCGATACCATTGTTTACCGTGACTACGTCGATATCAGCGTCGCTGTCGCTACCCCCAAGGGTCTGGTCACTCCCGTTGTCCGGAACGCCGAGAGTATGGAGATGATCGAGATCGAGCAGTCCATTGCTGGTCTTGGCAAGAAGGTGAGTGGCCGGAGCTGACGACAGAATTGAGCTGACTGTTATCATAGGCTCGCGATGGCAAACTGACGATTGAGGATATGGCTGGCGGAACCTTCACCATCAGCAATGGCGGTGTTTTCGGGTCCATGATGGGTACTCCTATCATCAACTTGCCCCAGACGGCTGTATTGGGTCTGCACGCCATTAAGGATCGCCCCATGGTCGTCGATGGCAAGATCGAAATTCGACCAGTAAGCATGCACCTCACTCTATGGCTTCAATTCTAACGTTCGCCAGATGATGTATCTTGCTCTGACTTACGATCACCGCCTGCTGGACGGCAGGGAGGCTGTGACATTCCTGGTAAAGATCAAGGAGTATATTGAGGATCCCCGGAAGATGCTACTTGCATAAACTTGTGCATAGTCGAGCGCTGTCATCCTGGCCTGCTGGGGGTGTATAGATGACGAGCATCAACACATACAGACGAGCTGCGGCTGCAGGGGCGAGGCGTCGGTTCATGTATTGGCCTCGAGCCCTCGAAGCTTGCTTTGCTGACAAGAATATGACATGGTCGTCCTCGGATCGTAGATTCGCGATCTTGACTACCCATGACATCCAGTCTATCTGTTCTTTATGCACCTTCTTACTCCCTTTATCGCATCAGGCACTACCGCCTACAGCTTCGATTTCTCTTCCCTCACTTTCAGACCCCGCCCCTCGCCCTTCTGCTCCTTGACCTTGAGCACTCGGCGCAACAACTTTCCCGTTGGGCTCTTGGGCACCTCATTCACAAACTCCACCTCGGCCAACCACTTGTATCTCACCTTATTGTCCTTGACGTACTTCAACAGCTTTTGACCTTCGGCGATGTCTGCTGCGATTCCTTTCTTCAGGACAACAAACGCCTTCGGCTTTTCGCCAGCGTATTCGTCCTTGATACCGAGTACCGCACAGTCCTCGACCTCGGAGTGACCAAGAAGGAGATCTTCCAACTCCGCTGGCGGCACTTGCAGCCCCTTGACCTTGATCATCTCCTTAATTCGGTCCTCAATGTGCACGAGGCCTTCGGCGTCAAAGTGGCCTACATCCCCCGTGTGCAAGAATCCGTCTTGGTCGAATGTTTCCTTGGTTGCAGCGTCATTGCCCAGATATCCCATCGCGATCTGTGGGCCGCGTGCGCAGATCTCGCCCGTCTCGCCGATCCCGAGTTCTTTGCCCGTGTCTAGGTCCAAGACCTTGGCCACCGTGTTTGCCACCAACATGCCCCCCGTCGTTGCATACTTGTAGTCAAAATGGCTCGGCGGGTGGCAAGTGATGCAGGCAGTGCTTTCGGTTGCGCCGTAACCCTGCCGGAATCCGGTCCAGGGAAATTTGCGTTGCAGCTCCTTGATGATCTCCGGGCTGGTGGGCGCCGAGCCGCTGCTCCAGCGCTGCACGCATCTCAGGTCGTACTGGGCTGCCACTGGGTCGCGGACCAGGCGGATCAGGATGGGCGGCACGAGGATCAGCTCTGCGACCTGGAAGTCGACAATGGCCTGGCACATGGATGGGAGGGTGTAGGAGGGGAGCATGATTGATTTGCCATTCAGGAGGAGCGGGTAGGTGCAGAAGCGCACGAGCCCGGTGATGTGGAACAGTGGCATGACGGCGAGGATGGAGTAGCCGCTCGGAGGAATGACCTGGAGTTGTTGAAGCTGTAGGCATTGCGCTATTATGTTGTGATGCGAGAGCATGACCTGAATTTCGTTAGCAGTGGGATTTGACTGACATAGTGGGGTGCAGTACAGCTTTGGGGAGACCTGTCGTTCCAGAACTGAAGTTCAGGTAACCACAGACCTTGCGGTTGTCGGTATGGGGTGGGATTCGATACGGAATGGGTGCAGACAAGGAGCTGGCCTGCTTCATGAGCTCCTGGATGGTCTGGAAACCAGGCGCCGACCCTTCCAGGAGAAATATGCGTTCACGGGGGATTCCAGCGTTGTCCGCGGCTGTCATCGCCACAGGAAGAGCATTGGGAAGAGTCATGAGGATGGTCGACTTGGCCGTTTTGAGAGCATGTGTCATCTCCTCCGCCGTATAGGCGGGCGATGCGCCATTGACACGCCCTCCAACACGGATAACCGACCACATGGCCACTGGGTACCATATTGTGTTGGTGCTGAAGAGTGAGACCGTATCTCCGGGCTTAAGGCCATATTTGTGGACGAGGACGGTGCTTAGCTGTGTGGCTTTGTCTTTCACTTGCTGCCAGTCGAGTTGCTCTCGCGTGATTGCATTGACATAGGCCCCTAGTGGCTGCGACCTGGGACGATTGTACAACGGCGACCAGCGTGTGTTCTCAAACAGCCACTCCCATGTGGTTATAGTCGTTGGATCTTTGTCGCGTGAGCAGTGTAGCTAGGTGTGGTGGAGAGATCTTACATTCCAGGTCCGGATGTACGGACTTGAGGAGAACCATTGCGCCACCTCTCTTGTTGGTGATACTGTCTGCCTCTTCCTACCAAGACACATTGTCCAAGATACCCTTTAGATATGTCGCTCCGCTCGTGTTGGAGAAGGCCGAAACTCCGTGCGGAGGTAGCGGAGAGGCGGGCCTCGGATGTCGGGTTTGATGTCCGGCCGCCTTTGGATATGATTGTTCTGGGCCATGCTGGGTATCTGAGCAGGTTGGAAGATGCGGTATGTGCACGAGATTGCTCTATGTCTACGTTGACAAATATTTATTCTGGTGTAGTAGCTTGTGCCGCTGACGGAGGCATGATGGTATGTGTCTGTGAGTGATGGAGATATAATATAAATGCTCCCTTAATAATTTCCCCACCTGCACGCCTTAATCAGCAACATGTCACAGACAAGGCGCGCTGACAACGTCTGAACAGCTAACAAGACGCTGCTTCGTTAATAGATCCGACATCCTACTACGATCACTTTCAAGATCCGCAAGGCAAGGCTCCAACTAGGTTCCTACGCCGCAAGGGCAAGACCAGTTAACCTCAGCGACGCGGTTCATACAGTTTACACATTGAGCCAACTCGCAAATTTCGAATGGTCAAACGGTCATCTACCAGCTAGCTCAAACCCTTGAAGTGTTTATCGCCATCTCGAGAGCCAAAAGCCCGGCACACGAGAGGCCCGCCATGACCAAGAAAATCGAGGTGCTCCTATATGGACTCGGAGCCATAGGATCTTTCTACGCCTTCATACTCCAGCGCAATCCCCGCGTGCGGCTATCTGTCTGTGCGCGTTCCAACTATGAAGCAGTCAAGGCCAACGGCGTCACCATTCGCAGCAAGAATCATGGCCAGCACAACTATAAGCCTGCCAAGGTCCTCCGATCACCGGACGAGGCCCAGCAGACCTACGACCACATCGTCTGTGTGAACAAAGCCGTCAATACAGATTCAGTGCTTAAGCAGCTGGTGCCAGTAGTGGACCCGAAGAAGACCACGATAGCACTGATGCAGAATGGCGTGGGCATTGAGGACCCCTTCCGAAAGGCTTTCCCAAGCTGTACCATCATATCCGGCGTGGTAAGTTTAACTAAGTGACATGGCCTGCCCCACTACTCGAGAACTGACATCGCAACCACAGGTTTGGGTCGGAGCCACTCAGCATACCCCGGGCGTCGTTGACCACGGATCCGCGGAGAACACGGAGCTCGGCGTTTTCCCCAATCCAAACCTCGACGCGGGCCTCGAGCAGCAAAGACTCGAAGAGCTCGAATCCCTCTTTCGAGACGGTGGGACTGACATCACTGTCCCGCAGGACATCCAGACCGCTCGGTGGAAGAAGTGTATCTGGAATATGGCTTGGAACGGTCTGACCACCCTGACTGGTGCCGACACGGAGGCATGGCTCAATTCATCCGATCTTTCAACACCACTGACCCACCGGCTGATGACGGAGGCCATTGAAGTCGCCAGAGCACTTGGCGTGCCCGGTGTGGAGTACAGCCTCGCGGACGAGCTGCTAGCAAAGGTGCGGCCCATGGGAGCTTTGTACAGCAGCATGTATCACGACAGTCGAGCAGGCCGGCCGATGGAAGTCGAGGTCATTCTAGGGACGGCCGTGCGGAAGGGCCGGGAGTTGGGTGTGGCGATTCCGACGTTGGAGATCGTCTATGCTATGCTTCTGGCGATAGATCAGCGGTTGGTCAGGGAGAAGGCCCAAGACTCCAAATGAGTTCTCGGAGGAGCTCTGGAGGGCTCGCGGTGATGCGACGATTAAGGCATGGGCCGGTTGCAGACGTAGACAGCATCGACCATCCGGTGCCTGAATCACAAGCCTCTTGGAGATCCAGGACCTAGGTCGATGTCACCAATACTCTGGGCGATCCGCAAGATAGTGAGCACCTCATTCAGTGGAAAGTCAGAAAGCCGCGGGCCCGTGACATGTGGACAGGGGAACTTCGATGTCTGGCCAATGGAGGCCTGTTAAGGTATGCGGTAGAATGTTTGTCATTGTCGTGGCATGCAGCACTAACCAACCAGCCATCTCAGTCGTTCCAGAGAAACACCTGCTGTCTCACATTGCTGGAGGGCTGCAGATCGATTCCGCCCATCGGCTTCCGAATTTCGACTCAAGCCTCGAACCACTCTTCCCACACCTCCCATAATGCGTCCGGCTCCCGTGACGACAAGAAGAACTGAACCACGTTTCCCCTCTGCCCATCAGCCCGTGTCCTGCGAGGATGGACCATCGTAGCCTGCAATCTTGCTGCCTCGCGAGGCCGGTGTTCGCCCTCTAAGCGACCCTTCTCTTCTATCGCGATGACACGCTCCGAAATTGCAATTACCTGCTTAGCTTCCCATAGACCTTCCTGTTTCCTTCCTCTTGGGAGCAGATCAAGTGCAGCCCGGCGCACCGTTGAATCGCGGCACTTGCGGATGGTCATGTAGAGGGGCGCGATGAGGCCAATCTCGAGTGAGAATGGCTGTTGCTTGAATTCAGACCTGTCGAGAAGCTGCACGACAGTTTCGGCAACGTTGACAAGTCTTCGAAATGATGGCAGGTACACGTCGTAAGCACATTCGTCGACGGCTAGGGAGCACGCCAGCCATATGGACATGATGATGTAGGAGCATTGTAGAGTCAAGACAGCAATCTGGTTGGCGACATCATCATCGGAATAGAGACCCGGTTCAAGAAGTGGCCAGAATCTGGTCTTCCACTCGTGCAATCTGGTCTTCAAGACGTCTCTCTCGGGTGACAGCAGCTCAAGAATTCTGCTCTGAGGCACGTAAGTCAGCTTTGCCCTCGAACCTTCGGAGATGAGTTCATGAATGTCGCCAACAAGGTAGAAAAAAGCAGCCCGGGCCTCTTCGTGAGTATCGAAGGAGTTGTCAGGTGACCCAGCCGGCGTTCCAGTGATGGGGCTGCTGTAGTCTGCGTATGCTGGACCATACAGTAGTGCCAAGATTCTTAATCGTGCGAGCAACTGTCGAACACCATCTGTGATTGGGCTTGGAGGGACCGAGCCACCAAAATCGTTCCAGTACTGTTCGAAAATCTTTCTGCCTGATCGGAAGAGAGCCAATGCTTCTGAGTCATGGCCTTGGAGGCACTCTAGGCAAGTATATAGGACGTTCGAGACAAGGGCCGTCTCCTTCTTGACAGTGCCCGGCGCTGAGAGCATCTCCTGAATGGACTTGTTGTAGTAAGTGAGCGCGGAGCGTGCAGGCAGATCGGCATCTGGAAGACCCTGTATGTCCCTTCGTTGCATCATGAAAGCGCCAACTGCAATTGCAGCGTAGCGTATGGCTGGATCCGCTTCAGAGAGTTGGGGGACGAGGGTCTTCCAGAAATCCACATCGCTAGCCACGACACTTTGCTTACGCCCATCTTCGAGGAAGATCCGAAAGTACAGATCTTCTTCCTCATTGGCAGCTCTAAAAGGAGTGAGGACACGCGGAGATGGCGACTTTGAACTGGGACCAAGCTGTCTCCACGGTGCGTAACCCAAGCACTGTCGGCCGGCTTTAATGCAGCGCGCACAGGCAGGTTTCTGCTCATCGCATTTCACTCGCCTGGATCTGGGACAAAGTTAGTTAGCTGCAGGCATGCGCGGGAAGCGGAGACAACGCACTTGCAGGTGCGGCAGCCCGTAGTGCTCTTGGGCTTGCCTAACTGGCTCATGTTACAGTGTGCCGAGATATCGGGGTTGGATGAGGTTCTGTGGATTTGTGGAGTCAGATAATCGGGTACAGTATCTTCAATGTTTCCAACTTGCTCGTTATTTGGTGCTCACGAACGAAGCATGGGAGCCGGAGCACGGAAGGCTTTTCATATTGTTGACATCGCTTCAGGCGCCATCATTTCGATAAACAACATTGCCTGGGTTGAGGCTCAGAGCGTTGCTGATACAAGTGTGGGGGCCATTGTATGAGGGCCGTCTCGCGGATCCACAGCAACCCCTAGTAACATAGAAATGAGCTCGGAGGCTTCGAGGTCGCAAGTAGGTACCACAGGTGTTGCGAGGCTTGAGTGGGACTTTGGTTGACACTTGAACAAGGGGAAGTAGGATGATCGCAGCAAGGCTTGGCTCGTTTCTCGCGTTATGGGGCAACCCCAGGCTGTGACGACCAATCACAGACTGCCCGGCCTGCTATCTTTAGGAAAGCTAGGGGAAATTCTTCACTCGACCTCATGGCTGTGCGCCTTCATCTCCAGGCCGCCATCTCAATACACAACGCGGCGCCGAAACTTGACGGGCGATTGTCGAGGTTGCAAGTGCCAGTGATGGAGCGAGCTGTAGCTGCTCGCAGCAGCATTAGCGCTAATGTTGCTATAAGATGGAAGGCGTGCCTCAGTTCTAGCTGAGCTTTTCAAGGTAGGCCACGACCGTGTCTCATTTGCATCATGTCCCTCGTTGCTCTCTTTCTCGCATCTCTTCTATTCAGCTCTCTGGCTTTATCGCAGCCCGCTGGCTTCAAGCCGGTCCCATTGGCCGGCGCAGTCTACCCAGCTCCTGCCCATCTTAGCCAATCCGAGACCTTTGCAAAAGCCAACGAGACGTTCAACAATGAAATCGTGCGAGCCTTCAAATCGGAGAGCATCTATGGACCTTTGCACTACAACGCGTCCTTCTCGATCGAGATCTACTCCCTGAATGAAGACGCTCCCCTTCTCACCCACCATTTCACGGGCCCAAAACTACCAAGCGAGTCTGGCGTGAAGATTGTCAACTCCGACACCATCTACCGGCTAGGAAGCATCTCAAAACTGCTCACGACTTACGTCTACCTCATCAATGCAGGCTTCCAAGGTTGGAACGATCCGATCACCCAGTATGTTCCTGAGCTACAGCAGTACGCTGAGAAGAGCAAGACAAGTCCAATCGATGTAGTCGAATGGGATGCTGTGACCGTGGGTTCCCTGGCCAGTCACTTGTCCGGTATGACTCGAGATGGCTCGCAGCCTCCATCGACTGATGCGAAACTGGCTGTTGCTGGCCTTCCAAAGGTACCAGGCGTACCTGGAAACTACTGCGGCGACCCTGTAGTACAGGAATTCCCCTGTGACGATGAGAGTACGCATTCAACCGTCGTCAAGCCAAGATCGAGCTAATATGAACCAGGCTACCTAGAGAATGTCCTCTTCCGCCATCCGGTCCTCCAAACATTCGCCGCAAGCCCTATCTACTCCAACGCAGCTTGGAGGCTTTTCACAATGGCTTTGGAGAACATCACCGAGAGACCATTCTCCACTCTCTTTGAGGAAACGTTCGTCAATGCGCTCGATCTTACTGCAACCTCAGATACTGTTCCGTCGTCGGATGAACAAGCGGTTGTACCCGTCAATTCATCTATAAGCTGGTTCGATGCGGATCTGCGGGCATTCGAGCCCGCTGGCGGGCACTACTCCACGATCAACGACCTCACCAAAGTCGGCAAGGCTATCTTGAACTCGACCTTGATCCCTGGTAGCTACACACGACGATGGATGAAGCCGGCGGCGTTCACTTCCGACCCTAAAAGTATGGTTGGTGCACCCTGGGAGATCTTCAGAGCGCCAATGAATCGAACATCCTGGATGTATACCAAGTCTGGCGATCTCGGTCTTTACTCGAACAATATGATCCTCCTGCCGGAGTTTGGCATTGGTATTACTGTTCTCACTGCCGGTTTCCAAGCCTCAGCTACTTCACGGATTTTATCAGACATCATTACCTCTTCCTTTGTTCCTGCTTTTGATCAGGCAGCAAAAGAGGAAGCTGTTCCTGCATTCGCCGGTGTTTACACTGACGTGAAGACCAACTCGACAATGACTCTGGATGTTCTAACGGACGAACCAGGCCTAGTCATAACTAGCTGGACCTTCGGTGGCACAGACGTCTTTGCCATTATGCAGAAAGCCATGAGTACCACTGCTACCATTGTAGGTCACATGTACCCCTCCGGCCTGAACTCTCCAGACGGCAAGCAAGTAGGCTGGCGTGCAATCTTCGAGTCCCAGACAGCGAAACCAGCTGGCGTCTTTTCATCCAGTGGAACAACGTGGTTTTCAGCGGAAGGAGTGGTGTATGGAGGACAATCAATTGGCGAATTTATTTTCGATGTGGGCGACGAAGGGGCGGATGGGTTGGAATTCAGGTTGTTCGATCTACCGATGGAGAAAACTACGGGAAGCCTGAGGAAAAAGGGAATTTCAGGGCGGAGTTCGTAAGTCGAGAGTCCATACAGAAAACTTGTAGCTTCTGCAAGTCCCACCTGCTCGCACGTGGCGAGAGTTCTCTATGTTGAAAGCACGAGCCGCTGCTGGGGTTTAGGCTCTTGTCGACGGGATGAGACCCACATGCCGAGAGTACGACCGGCCCATGCTCCTTTAGCGAATCATGGGAAGGTTCCAAGAACGGAAGCGAGGCTGAGCAGGTCGGATTCGAGGCTGGTGGCTGTTTTCGACGAATCATTGTCACCTCCTGCAAACGCCATACCGGGACCCCGAATCAATAAGAACAAAGCAGTCAGCATCTGGGGATTGCTCAAGAACTCTCAACGTCACACTATAGCAGTGGATATCGCTCGACAGAATGGATGAAAGACGTCCATTGAAGCGCAAATTGAAACAACCACAGTCACCCCTCGCATGTGAAGCATGCCGAGTAAAGAAGGTCAGATGTGATATCGCTGCACGGAGATTCCAGTGCTCCCGATGCGAGCGAGGCCAAGTTGATTGTAATATCGTCCCAGGGAAGAGACGCCACCTCGTGTCCAGGATCTTCGGCTCTCATGGCCGCTCTTCGAGTACGGAGGCCTTTTCAATGAGCCCTTCTTCCAATGCAGAGTCTGGAAGCCCGAGGACAACTACGGACGAGCCTAGAACTCCGCTGTCGACGATGAGCTGGGCCAGCCAAGCGAGTAGCGTCACTACAGTGCCTTCCATCGGCGACCTGTCCCATGAGGATATTGCGTCAGCTGTCCATCTCAATGAGAAGAACTCCTTGCCTTCATCCGTCAAACCTCTGGCCACCACGCTCGCTCACCACACCCGGGACGAGCTTCTTTCACTAGGATGCTTCGAGCTGCCGGATTATGATACTTGTCGCGAACTCATACGAGCCTATGGCCGATGGATTCACCCCACCCTACCCATGGTTGATCTTCTTCAGCTCTCGGCTGTCTTTTCTGATAAAGATTCGGGCAGTGCGAGCTTGCTTTTGCTCAAAGCAGTTCTCATGGTTTCGTATCCTCTTGTAGGGCACGACACCAGTCGCCAACCTGCCCTCGCTCGCCAAGTTGAGTCCCTGGTCCGAGCCAACGCAGAAAGAGATCCGATACTGGTTCTGCAAACTCTCATCCTCATGACCTACAATGAAACCGACTCGCAAGGCCGGAATAGCTATTACTGGATGCGAATGGCAAGCAAATTTTCCGCTAGGCTGCTTGCTGATGCTCAGGTACTGTCAGACACACGTCCGGCTTTGCGAGCAACATTTTGGTCGCTAATGGCAAGGGATGCAACTGTGTCATTGGCGGCTCGGAGACCACGCCAATGCAAATTCGAGATTCCAGCCTCATTTCAAAAGCGGCCCGCGGTCGTCAAGATGCAAACGACTGGTTTCCTCGACTATGAGACGAATTCTCTACGATACAGCAATGTTCAAGAATCCTTGCACGAGCTATGCAACGCTATCCAGGTGACAATGGACAGCAAACACAGCCAGGACAGTCTTGCGTCCGTCCAAGAGCCTGCAGAGCTTCTAACAGCATGGTATGAGCACTGGCATGAGAGGCTGAGGAGCATTGCGGATCAGACTGGTGAGCCGAGCTTTCGAGTCCACCAAGCCGTCATCTTGGGTTACTGGTCCCTTGCCGTGGTGACACTGCACTGTTGGAACCCGTCTCACAAGCTCGAACCGACTCCTGAACAATCTAACAAGTCCGAGGTCGTAGCAACAGCACTGAACACCATAACCTCGGTCTACTTGTCATTGTATGAGCAGAACCTCACACAGTACATACCCAGTACCGCTGTTACTGCACTGGCACCGGCCGCAGTGGCCCATCTCATGAACAGCACCTCGCTCGACTGGGAGGTGCGTGCGATTAGCACCCACAAGTATTATCTCTGTTGGCAGGTTCTTCGAGATCTGAGCTCCAAATACGAATCAGCTGGTCAAGTCATGTCAATGATGGATACTCTCGGTCAAGGGCTCAAAGACTCGTTCGATACTGGCACTGCTGAACAAGCCGCAAGATTGAGAATTTGGTGCACCGATCTGAGGTCCTCGATGGGAGGTTAAAAGCATTTTCGATGGATCTTCCTATGTTGGACGGGACCTCTGATCGCATTGATGACTTGTAAGGGTTTTTAAACGGTGTCATGAAGAACATACTAGGATCACCACTGATATCACGGTCGGGAGAGAAGACGATACTCTGGTTCCAAGAGATAGCGCACCAGCGGGTCTCCACCGATGCTGCAACGCAGAGATGAGTACTCCATTGATCTTCAGCACAGAACTTCTGGCTACCATTCTGCTTGAGCAAGTTACTACAGTAGTTTGTGATGTAGCAGTAGCTGGTTTTGAATACTAGTAAACCTCACGCTGCCATTAATACTCAAGCTATACCTTTTTAATGTTTCCCATTGGTGCAACGTATTTCAGACACGTATCCAAAGACGCTGGGAACTTGGACCTGCGCAATAGCCCATTCTCATGGAGCTTACTCCGTGAATGCGATTCCCCCGCAGTGCTTGACGGCGACCTTGACGTCTTCGGTGCCTGGCCCAAGGGAGGACGGGACGCTCTACGCCGCAGCAGTGACCACGTCTCGATGTTGCAAATGCAAACAAAGTCTATGGACCAACTACATCCCGAAGCAGTTCAGGAATACTCGGTATGGGTGTTCACTACAGCATATACCTACTGTGTTCTTATATGGCGCCCGTGCTGGCATCTTCTGGCCCATCCTCACCACAGCTGCGGGGCCTGATGACTACTCACACCAAGAGAAGTCTGTGAGTGTAGGTAGAACACTCGTGTTTCTAGTTGTAAGTCCAGAGGAAAAGAGGTACCAGGGGTCTACAAATTGACAGTGAGGTTCCTGGGTTTCTTAGAAGGGCACAATAAAGAATCGACAAAGTTGAGCAGCGGGCTCCGAGTGCTTCATGTACCTACTGGGCCCGTAAAAATGTTTCTTCATGACCTGGGTCATTCCGAGGCTTAAGCTCCCCTCCCTTGGAAACAGTGTCAGCAACTCGCCTAAAGTAAACAACTAGACCAGCATCACTCCTAGATTCACCCGGTGATTGACAGCTAGAGGTAGCCTACCTACTTAGCCCTCCATCGTGCAGCCTCGCTGTCTATATGAAGGTTTAGTCCCCTGGCTATAGCCAAAGTCAAATCAGCCCACTCCTAGGTGATCAAATCCTGTGGTCAAGAGCACCCCAGCTGGTCTCAACATAGTCTGGACACACTAGAGTTGGTTTGGAAGTCCTGCCGGGCAGAAACAGCATTGCCGTCCCATCTACAGCATCGCTCTTATTGATAGCGACGCATTCTGAGGTCCATGCTGTCCTGTCCCCGCTCAAACGTTAGAAGTCAAGATACCACATTTCATTATAGCGGTGGAGACGAGCCTATGATGTTCTTGCAATTGGACAAAGCAAGCGAGAGGGGCTCGGCCATATAGTAAGTACATCGACTTATGTGTGAGCCGACCTCTATCAATGAGAAACAACATACTCGGTAGCTAAATGTACTCATCTCTCTTCAGAATGATCGGGGGTACGAAGAAATGTAGACGTCGATGAACAAGGAGCACCTGGTGCTGGACTTCACAGGTCTGCCTACCGTAGTGCTGCTAGTCGTTACTTATCTATCTGCATTGTTGTCAATCTAGCTGTGGTATCGTTATACCAGACGGCCACAACAGCAGGATCTTGCCTTCGATCCGGACTAAATGCTACAAGGTTCTTTATTGCCGTGACGGGGCTCTCGTTGGTGCCCATTACCGAGGCTTGCTCTATGTTCCACGGGTTGGGGAGGGACTGTGCTTTGCTCTGAGTAGGCTCTGAGCTTGCAGTATACCCGCCGACGTGTCTTGCCACACGGCCTAAGAACGAGGCAACCCCCAGCAGATTGTGACTCAAGCTGAAACTTGTACTACCTGGTGCAAATCTGTCCTTCTGCATCCTTAAGTACTGCTCATAACCACGCCAGAAATAGCAGCGCAGAACATCAAAGCAACGTTCGTGTGATCGTGACCATCGCCTCTAACATATCAGCACTCTGTATAGCATCGATTACTTTACAGTTGCATGCCAGTCTACATACTGACTACTTCTTCCGGACCCACAGTGTGCGGCTGCATCTTTGCTGTCTCCTCTGCATTGAGCTCAGTCCTAGCCACGATGGCTAGTGTGTTGTTGACTCACAGAGGCCGGTCGCCTACCATATTCAGCAAGTCAACAACCTTCTTTTCGGCCTCATTAGGCCTCGATGTGGCATGTTTACTATCGCGATCGAGGCTGGCTGCTGCGACTCACTAAACTGAGTCTGGTTTTCTTGAAGACAGTCGATGGTTTTGTGAACTTTGTTAGAGCTCTTTCTATCCCAGACTGGTTTTGGGGTACCCAGCAGTCGACTTCGCTCGTTGACATTGTCTTCACGCTACGTCAACGTTGACCTAAGGTGTCTGATTTATATGTCTACAGGGCTTGACCCTACGCAGCTCAACGCCATGAGCAGTGTCACTGCTGTCACTGTCGCCTCTACTATCACTGTCATTAAGTAGTATCGGACTGCACAAGACTGACGAGATAAGGTATAGAATCATGGTGCCAAGTCGTTCATTTGGGACATACTTAGGCATTTCATGGCTGCTAAAGGGATGATCGCCCTAACCTACAACCTCGTTGTCACTTCCGGTGCCACTTAACACCTAAAGGAAGGACATATATTAGACATGGCGCTTGCTACATAGGTAGTAAGACTTGAGAGTAAGCTTTAAACAATAGAATGGGGTATACCTAGGGTCCGCGGGTGGAAAACCTCGACCAAACTTCACTGGTACATATTATAGCTACTGAAATCAGGATTGAGTGTACAACAGAGGCAACGAAAACGATCAACATTTGCGTAAATGCATCCTGCTCGATTTGATAGCAGCCAAGTGATACAGAACACACAGTTCGCCATACTTATACTGCACGAGCTAGAAATCTTCTGATTCTGAAGAAAATTGCCGGCCGCGCATGTTTGGCCACAGTGAGGCTTTAGCTGTTCAATCCGCCATTGTCACCCTGGGCCCCGAACAATCGAAAGTACTCTCCTCAAGGCAGCGTTGTGAAGAAGATAATGGTCTCACAAACTTCGCCAAACCGAGCTACACAAGCCAGCTAGGTTCAACATATATCATCTTCCGGGGCTTCTTCTGATCTCGGTAGGTAATAGCGGGGCGGTAGTTGCGGTATCTCTTTCTCCATCGGTAATTTAGCGAAGCAGTCATATATCATGGAATGTTTGTAAGTCCTGGAGTGGGTGCAGAGGTTTAGCATGATACAGATGCCCATGATAACGTTGGGAATTGAAAAGTGAAATCATTTGGACAGGCTAGCAGGTGCTACGCGGTAAGTGCTTTTTTGTGCCCGGCTCCGTAGAATAACAAGTAGTATGTAACACCATTCGGTAATGCTCTAGGTTAGTCTAAGCTCACAAAGCTACCATCTGTCCTGGAGTGACGATGCAATAGGTGACCTAAATGAGGCCTAGATCCACCCAGTCAGTCTACTTCGGGCCACTTGGCAGGCACTAGCGACATGCTCGGGTTGTCAGCCATTCGGAATGCATTCGCGAGGTTGGCTTCGTGTGTCGGCGTTGACTTCGGCAACTAAATTTGATTCAAGTGCCGTCAAGATCTGAAGGAAAGTAGTTGTCGCTCTTAACACCGTACCAAGTGAAGCGAGCACTTCCGTTGTGCCAGCGCCGTCTGAGTCCGTCCGTCCTTGTTTATAAATCATCCTTTCTGCAGCGCATTCCCTACAAGCCCTGTGTAAGACAAGAGGAGGACCCAAGTGATACTCACATCGGGTTTGGGCAAGACATAAGAGATGATCAAGGAGACAGAGTAACATGAGTGTGATCTAGTATGCTGTCTCGGGGTGCCCAGGAGCGGTCTGGAAGATCTCCTAGGCGGTGCCTTGAACTGAAAAAAGGTACCCAAGAGGGGGTGTCCAAGAGGTTTACTTGATGGAGATGCCTTAAAGAAAGGTAAAAGTCATGGCATAACCCGAATTTTCAACCATATGGTTTCGGTAAAGCTCGCTGGTGTACTGATTCCTATCGTTGTGCTACATAAAACACTTAGGCATGTGGGGACCAGTCTACCGGTGTAATAAGTCAGTGGTTCTTGTACAATGTAGGGCAGCCTCTGCTTGTCATATCTCCAGTAAGTACCCATTATGTCGGCGAGATACACAACACCCGGCAGCAAGGAAGTGGTCCGCTTGATACATCATATTGTAGATCAGTGCCTCCTCGTCATCAGTGCACTTCATGCAACCCAACAGCCTCCATCATTGGGCGACACCTAGCCCGCAACAATCTCTTAGACCGTACATAGTCCATGCCTCAGACGGATAGGCAAGGTATACCTTATCGATGCAATCGAATGAATCGCCAGATAGAGAGCGAAGGCTTCAACAACTCATTAAGATGGGTCTGATAGCCCCGTCTAAACCAATGTTGTATGAAGAATATATGTTGATGAGTTTGGAACGGTCGCTTTCCAGATAACGGCCGAGAATGGGCTGATCATCGCGCTTGGGAAGACTTTTGTTGATGCCGCGGTTTCGCGTTTGATGAGGGAGGCATACCCTGCACAAGCCAGGCTAGCTCGGAGATCACAAGCGACGTCGACGTCCTCATCGCGAGATTTCCGATCAAAGTCCTCATAGGGATTTTAATGTGGTATCTGAATAGGGCCTTAGAGCTGAATAGTAGGTACTATTTGGGGATCACGTCATAGATGACCTGCGGGCGACACACATTTATCGCTGGGTGACGGGTGAGTGGTCTGTTCCCTCGAGACTGCTGCCGCTGCTAGCTGGGGTCTAATATGAATACTACATGGATCGCTCGTGATTTCATGTCGCGCAGACCGGGTGGCTAGGGTCCATGGGCCTGTGACTGAGTTGTGTAGTCTGAATTGAATCATGTTATCTGTGTAGATTCAGATATTGAGCTTTTATGCACGTTCATCAGCGATCGAAAAACTTGACAGGAAGGCTCCTGGGTTTGCTAGAAGGTTACCACAAAGGCTTGACAAATTGAGCAACGGGCTCCCTGGACCTATAGCAGATCACCTTCATAAGACGGCAAAAGTGACTGGCGCCCACAGAGGCTTATAGATGGTGGTCTGCTGTAATTCTTGCGAGCCTTCCCGTACGTTTCGTCGACTCCTGGTGGTCTCTTTGCAGCCTTGCCATTCTTCTGATCGTTTACCATTCTTGGTAAGAGGGGTTCAAATGGGTAGCTAGCTGATATGTCATCGAACACCGTCTATTTCATGATAACTCATGGAGTGTAGATCATTCTCTCTAATCATTTAGACAGTATCAGGCCTAGCTTAATACAACCAAGTCAATCTAGAGTCGTGACTTTTGACTAAGCATTCCAATATTCATGTGGCCCCCTTTGAGTAGGATTGTTAGAAAGGATACAAGCTTCGAGAGAGTTTTTGTTGAAGCATAGCCAGCATCTTGTCAAACCAGGGCCGTGGCCATCTAATCCGAGGTCACGTCAAGCTCCAGCGGAGCAGGTTGAAGCAAGCTAAGATTAAGCCGATATCTTGGATTAGACTCTAGATCAGAGGCGCTTAAGTCAGTCAATACCAGGCGCAAGCGAGTATTTTTCAGTGAACTTAAACGATGATGACTTAGAGGCAGGTGACCTAGCAACGACAGAGCGTGCGAAACAAGTAGGTATACCTAGATGTCGAATAGTGCTGAGCCGAAGTCGAGTAGTGCTACTAGTACTAGTAACGGAAGAGTGTTCAAGACGGCATTTATAGCTTCAACTACATTCCACGGTCTCTCTGGAATGGTATGCTTGGCAGCCTAGGTGAGAGCTGGAGATCAGCGGTATTGATGATGCTCTAGAAGCGATTCGCAGTATCTAACGCTGCCGTCTCCGCGGGAGCATGACACTGACGTTTGAAGCCGCAGCCGCACTTCACCAACGAAGACAAACACCTCGCTCATCGATGATGCAGTTGTGTCATTGGCGAAACCTTTGGCAGCGGGAGAGGCTCTAAGCACTCCTTCGACGGAATGCGTTTCAACTGGTGTGGACGAAGTGCATATAAAGCAATATATAAGCCCGACCTAGCCTATCGAAATACCTAATGCATGGCGTGTCGAGACGGGTAGGTCATAGATCCGTTAGACTTGCTCAGACTGCCCCCTTCGTTAGCTCAACTACCACTGTCTAGCTCGTTACGGCTGCGAATAATTAAGTCCGAACATCGACACTGGTCAGCGGTGCAGCATCGGATCATAATGTTACAGCTCCATCTACTGATGCGAGCGGTTATCATGGGAACATATCCTCTCATAACGCCCGTGTTATGCTGTTATCTAGTAGTTTTATCCTGTCACCTCGCAAAATTCGGCAGCCATTACCAATACTAGATATCGGTGCCGATATTGAGGAAATCCAGGTTCGTGATTTCCTGCATGAACCAGGCATTGCTCAGATTGAGAATGCTAAAGTCTTCTGCGGTCCAGTCGCGACGCTCAGGATCAGCGCGGAAAGAATTGTTCTCGGCCGCGGAAGTGGTCAGGTGCGACCGTTCGCCCATAGCCTCAACCTTTGAACCGAGCGCCTCCAGCACTTGCTTCGCACGCCCTGCAGAGCTGATACGATCTTCGTGGTAGCGCAGTATATCAATAATCTTCCCCCAAGTTTCCTGATAGTCCGAACTTTCCCAGGTCGACTCACTGAAGTCTTGGAGGCGACGAATGTTGTAGATCTTTGATGCCACGAGGACAGTGGCTGCAGAGAAAGTGAAGTAGACCGTGTACCAAACAGAATTGCGGAAAACAGAGTGCATGTTCGCGTGGATAGCTGCAACAAGCGACCTGGCAGCATCGGCACAGACACTTGAAGCTCGAGCATTGAGCTGTGACTCCAATGAACCCGCCACGCCTTGCGCACCGTGCAGATGATTTGATGACTGAGCATCTGCACAGGCCGAGAGAAGTGAAGGCCTGAGTAGTATAAGGCGTGCATATAGGTAGCGACAATGTAGGACATTAGACTGTAACTTAAAAACTTTGTCGATGTGCTCCTCGGCGCTTTCGTGCTGGTGCGGGGCATGAAACTGGAGATGGCGAGGAATGCTAGACGCAAACTTATCAAGAGCCGCACTCAATCTGATAACCTCGTGGAGGTTGTTCGTGCTGCCTTCGCTGGACGACTTCCCATCCTCCGAGGAGTAGACGGTAGCGAGAATATCTGACAGAATGTCAAATAAGTCTATAGAGAGAACGAAGAATGATAGTCGCGAACTTTGACCCGTCGGCTGAACACCACAGGCGAGATACTCGTCGTCTACTGCCACTGGAGGCTTCACGGCTGATTTTGTGAGCATTGATGGTCGGCCAAATGTCATCGACTGCAGCTTGTCCAGAATAACACAATTGTGCCAGACCCTTCGGCCAATCTCGCTTTGAAGTTGTGTAGGACATGACTGATGTCGTTGCTCAAGGTGAAGGCCCAGCCCCTGTGCAGAACGGATTGCGAGTCCGAGTATATTCCAACACCGGCTGGCATGATGTGTAGACTGAAGATATATGCTTATTAGGAGCAAGACCTGTACGCCCTCCATCGAACAAGTGTCAGCCAGGTGGCCCGCCAACAAGTCATGCGCGCGCCGATAGAACTGTGAAGATATACGCGCCCTCTCGGACGGCTCGACAAGCTCGCTGAACTGAGAGCCTAAGGCAAACACAAGGTTCGCGGTAGCCCAGAGTAAAGGGGTTTGACGTATCCTTGTTCCCTTCTGCAAGCTCGCGGTAGGCGTCCAGAGGGCATGATAATGGGTTGTAAATGTAGGTTGATGTAGAACGGGATAGAGAGGATGGACGATTGCGAAGAATGAGTCAACAACGCTGTCTGCAAGTTGACGGTTAGGTAAGGTCAATGTTGTAAGATCCAGATCCTCTGCTTCAGACACTGGCGCAAAAGATTCCGCGAGGTTGTTCGGTGGATGTTGAAGTGATGTGGTGCCGTCTACCATGGAGAGTAGATTGCGCAGGAATGCGATTGTTGAGGAATTACCAAACGAGACCGACTCGATTGCTTGGAGAGGCACCGGAGACACAGTGGCTAGCCCATCCACGGTCAAGCCAGCCTTAGCAGCATATTCCTCGCGGTGGTCCAAAAATGGTGGACGCGTTTGCGAAGGAGAGGTCCCAAGCTCATTCGTTCGTGCAAGAGGCAGCTGCGGAGTCAAGCCACTTGAACGCTGGCCCTTATCACGCGTTTCCCTTGCAGCCAACAACACGGCGTTGCCTTTCTCGAGCTCCTTTACCCTTCTCTCTAGCTCAGTGACATATCTCTGTGTCTTCAGGGCTGACTGCTGATACTGGCAGAAGTCTGATTGGCCGCGACTCTGGCACGGGGAGCAAACCGGCTGGACTCCATCACAGCGGGTCTTCCTTTCACGGCAGGAGTTGCAGACCAATTGTGCTTTCCGCCGCTTAGTCGGAGGTGAGCCAGGTTGTCGGGACCGTGACGAGACGTCCATGACGCTCTGCGAAAACACCAGGAAGGCAGTCAACAGATAGATGCTGGTGCGAAGGCTGGGCTTGGCGCGAGGACCCCATGACCAACAACGACTTAGGTATTAGATCTGATTCTCCACGCGTCAGGTGCCATTCTCCGACTCTTAGAACAATCTCAGAATCGTCCAAGTCGTGCAAGATAGAGTCACATCCAGAAAACAAGGATGAATGTTGCACTGCTCTAGTGTGGTCATCGGAGGCGTCGCTGCTGGTGCTGGAGGATGAGGAGGAGGGTGGTCGAAAAAAAGCGGGAGAGCACCGTGGACGTCTAGTAGCTGGCTCAGCTGACTGGTCGGGCCAATCGGGCTTAACTCTAACGGAACGGATTTTCTATCCGCCTAGAATACCTCTATGCATTTGCAGTTCGTTTGCTATTGACTGTAGTCTAGTATTGACACAACGTGTATCTGATATCTACAGCTACAACCACTATAGCTGTTTCTTCCACAAGAACAAAAGTAGCAGTTTCTGGGCAGGATCCACTGCATGAGCTGATTGATAGCTCGTGGCCTGCCTGAGACGCCCACCACCTTTCAATAAGTAAATCTGAACCTAGGATGGTCGTCGCCCAGGTTCTGTTGCTCCTGTACAGGGAGGTTCAGCCTATCATCACGGCCACCGATGTCGCGAACCTTATTCTCACGTCTAATAAGGAAGAGAAAGGTTATGGCCGCGAACCCGCACAACCAGACAAAGCCAAGGCCCATACCATAGCCGAGATGGTAAGTTGGCGCCTGGCTAGTCAGAAAGATGTTGCTTGCCACTACACCGCTGCAATTTCCAATAGAGAGCTGAACCGCGGCCCCGATTCCTCGCTTGTAGTGCCCTCCGAGGTTGTTGTTGAGCCATACCACAGTGATAGGTTGTGCCAGCCAGCACCCACAAGTGATGAGGTATAGCGCAAAATAGCGAGCTCCAACAGGAACCGTCATCATCGAGAGGAGTATGGCATATCCTATGGAACAAGTCAAACAACCGGCGATGATAAAACCAAAGCGGTGGCGTAGCTTGTCCGTGGCAATGCCGGTAATTAGTGTAACGACTGTTGCTGCAAGATAGATCGGAATTGACATGACTTGAGCTCTTAACGACGTGTATCCCAGCAGCTGGAGTATGGTAGGTGTAAAAAACGATGTCGCGTAGGTTGAAGTCACGATACCCAAGTACATTGCGGCGCTTTATGATCGTGAGTCTCCCGACCAGTTTTGGAACAAGGTCACTTACCCAAGGTAAATCTTGGCGTCCCCGAAAACGCGACCAGCAGTCCGTTTATTCCAGTGATTCATGCTGCTATCAGGTGTATCTGCGGCAAGTCGCTGTAGAACCATCTTTCGCTCGTCCTCGGACAAAAAGTGTGCTGTATTGGGCCAGTCCGGAACGACGAAATATGATCCAGATGCAATCAATACTGTCGCGGCACCTACAGAATTGGTCAGCGTGATCCGGGGGGAAGGGGGGTGCCCTCCAGCACTCACCTTCAAGGATGAAGATCCAGCGCCAGCCTTCGTAGCCTCCTATGCCATCCATGTGCGCGATAGCGTATGCGAGGAAGCCTGAAAAGGCCCCCGAGAGGATTGACGCGGCATAGAACAAGTTGATGCGCCACTGTAGCTCATGCCTTTTGTAGTACCTGGTGCTGATGAGTGTCTGCTACTCTCACGAACGAGCAGCCACTCACATGCTGATGAGATAGACGCAGCCAGGAACGAAACCAGCCTCAAAAAGTCCAATAAGAACTCGACAGGCAACAAGACCTTCAAAACTAGCTGTGACTCCCTGTCCAATGGTCACAACACCACAGCATCCGATGATCGCTGACAAGAATACCGAAGGTCTGATCTTCTTGAGTAGCATGTTGCAGGGCACCTCGAAGAGGACGTATGTAATGAAGAAGGTGTACAAAGCAGTATTATAGTCGCTGCCATGCATATTGAGAGATGCTTCGAGGCCTTGGATTCGAGCATTACCAATGTTGATTCTGTGAAAATTCTGGTCAGTAAGGGGATTGCGTCTGATGGAGCACGACATACCGGTCAACGAAAGCACAGATGAGCAACAGGCAGAGGATAGGTATCAGGTGGATATCGATCTTCCGGACCAATTTCTTGTCTGCTGTTGGGTCGAATGCAACCTCTTCAGGAGCCATATCTTCATGGTGCGAAGGTGGGAGCACCTTTTCAGACACAATGTCCACGCTGGTGTGAGACTTGACACTCATGGCTGCGAAGAACCCAGGAAACGGAGAACCTTCTTATCGGCTTAGGACAAGCTTGCGACCTTCGGTGGCAGAAGACAAGACGGAGTGCAAGTGCTGGATTGCCAGGATGGTATTCGGCGTCATTTATGTGTCCACGGCCCAGGTCCGCAGGCGAACAAAATGGGTCACACGAACCCCGTACCCCGGATCGTGCAGCGGCTGGGGACGACATAGGTGAATGCTGCAACTTTTAGCTAGACACCATCTCCCCGGTCGGCTGCTCCACACTGTCCTGGATGTACCTGTCGGAAACCCTATATTGGTCCGAGGTTCAGGTACACGCGGACATAAAGTCTTGGCGGCGTCGGATAGGTTCTCCATTTCCCCAACGATTCATCTCCCCAGGAACCTGGGGTGCTAGACTTCGAAAGCCATTATCCGGTGACAGAAACTGCTTGATACTATTGCTCGATATGTGGAGGAAGAGATGGAGAGCTATCCATCCTTAGAAGGCACCCTATCGGCCCCGTAGCGGGGCGCCCTCCCGCATGCCACTTAAGAGTTTCGCAGCGCTCCTGAAATCCCACCCGTTGTCTACCTTTGACCACCTGCAAGAAGATCAATCATGCTCTCGGCCGCCTCTGATTTGCTTTCGCAGCCACGCCACTTGGCGCTCGGCCTTCTGTTTGTTGCTGCCGCATACACAATTTCCACTCTCTCCTATAATCTCCTCCTACACCCCCTACGAAAGTTTCCGGGCCCGCCCCTAGCAAAAATATCCCGCCTATGGGCTCGCCATGGCAACCTCTACGGTCAGAAGTCGGAGCGAGTGCACGCCGCACATCTCAAGTATGGTCCTGTCGTGCGTGTTGGTCCCAACGAGCTGTCATTTGCTTCGCCGGCCGCTGTACGCGAAATCTATACCAGCGACGTCTTCGTCAAAGAAGAAGTCTTCTATCGCGCAAAACGCATCTTCCATGAGAACCATATGATGAGCTTCCGTGACCCTGAAGCCCATAGACAGCGGCGGAAGCTATTGAGTCGTGGGTTCTCACAGGCGGCAATGCTCGACTTTGAGGCAAACATCTCGGACAAGATTGAGACCATGCTTAACCAGTGGGCGGCTAGATGCGTCGATGGTTCCATTGACATCTACCCATGGTCTCACTGGCTAGGCTTTGATATTGTCTACCATTTGATGTTTGATGAGGATCCAGGTTCGATCCGAGCAGGAAAGCCACACGAAGTCATGCCGTACCTTCGCGCCTGGAAGCCGACATTTATCTATGTGCGTAAAATATTTCCCCATCTATGTTTTTGCGCTGAACTTTTGGCAGAAAGAATTCATGCCTTCTCTCGAGCAATGGGGCGTTTGGCTCCCGGGGCATGTGGGCGGCTACTTTCGAGACGTAAACACGTGGAAGAACTACGCTGTTAAAATAGTGCAGCGCTTACGTCAACGCGGTGCAAAGTCTCCATTCCTGCGCAACGTCTTAAATGGCGATAAGGACGGCTTTCTTGGTCGCCCACTAACGGATTCAGAAATTGCAGAAGAGTCTATGGGAGGGATGTTCGGAGGTTCTGGTACGACGGCCAACACTTTCGTATATGTTGTCTGGGCATGTCTGCAGAGACCCGACGTGGTAGAAAAGTTGAAGGTAGAACTTAACTCCCACTTCGGCGATCGTTCTCAGGTTCCGGATTACAAGTCCTGTGCAACGCTGCCTTATCTCCAGGCCGTCATCAGTGAGACTCTGCGAAGATACCCAACCATCATAGCAACCCTACCCCGAACGGCTCGGCAGCAGATCGACGTGGCAGGTGTTCGTGTACCGGCTGGCACAACTGTGGGTACACAAAACTATACAATTCACCGGGACCCGGAAGCTTTTCCAGATGCCGAAGCCTTCCGACCGGATAGATGGCTGGAAGAGGAAGGTGAGCAAGCTCGAAAGGATGCTTGGACGCCGTTCTCGGTGGGCACAAGAAAGTGCGTTGGGATAAAGTAAGCAGGTGCCCTCCTGTATCGATCTGGAGTTACTGACAAAATGTTATTTAGCCTGGCACAAATGGAGCTGACTAAACTTGTAGCCGCGTTCTTCTTGCGTTTTGATGGTGAGATTGATAAGAGCATGACTGATGCGGATATGAGAATGTACGACACGTTCAACGCAGCACCGGCGGGTGCAAAACTTTTGGTACAGCTAAGGGAAGATAAAGCCTGAAAAGGAAAGGCCGTCTTTCTCCTTGTATACCTCACGGTAGTCCTATTATATGGCATTTCCCTATCGCTTGAGACCTCCGTGCTAAAACTTCGGAACGGGGTTTCTCAAGCGTAAGTAATGGCCTTCAGCGTCTCACAAGTTCCCATCGAGCCATTCCACAGCTCTACAATCCGTTTTACTCCATCAAAGCCCAATCTCAGCATCTGCTCCGTTCCATCGAGCAAGAGATCTATCGACTGCTGTCCTCCACCGTAGTGCCTTGCGGGGATAGCAGCCGGTCTTAGGTTCAGGAGCACTCCGTCGACCCCCGCTACAGGCATACCGCTACATTCAGCAATCTGCCACTTACCCCACCAGCCGATCCATTCCTTCCAGCTGTCAGCATAACCAGTTTCGAGCGAACGAAAGGGTGCCTTGTAGTCCGCAGCCATGAAGAATAATGGAATTTCTGGCCAGGATTTGAGGTAAGAGATGGCATGCAACAGCTTCCACATAGCTGGGTTGGCCGAAGCAGAATTCGTCATGACCGTCATACCACAGTCTTGAGGTATTTGAGGTTTTGGCTCACTGCTGCCATTCTGCGGAAGGTCTGCGTATGCGATAAGCTGACAGCGAAAGCCAGGGAAATTGCCGCCTGAATGACCGAAACCTATCGAGTTCACGAACCAGGTCAAGGCAATGTCTTTGGTAACCCTTGTGAGCATGCGCTCCGCTGTCGCTTTTCGTAGGATGCCATCTCCCGTCAAGGACTTCTGAACGCCTCGACCCAGCTTCAGCAGGTCAGTAGGGGTCGTCCAAAGTCCGGCGGCCCCAGATTCAGGCTGGTAGTGCCACTGGGCTTCACATTCTTTGTAGCCATTCCAAAAACATCTTGTAGCATTTTCTCCTGCTTTCAGAGTGTAGCACGACCGCGTCATCCCCAACGGCTCGAAGACATGCTTCTGCATCAGCGCCGGAAACGACATCTTGGTTGCATGCTCCATCAGGCACTGCAGGATCGTGATACCACCGCCCGAGTAGATGAAGTCCGCGCCTGGGACGGAGCAGAACTGGATCCGCATAGTGTTGGAGTTCTCACGTCCCTGGAGTAGCTGATTGACCGTAGGGACATGATTGGCATCGGAGTAACCGGGGAAGCTAGGGACCGAGAGGCCTGCTGTATGGCTCATCAGATGGGCCACCGTCACAGCGTTGAAGGCTGCCTCGGTACGGGGATCTCGAGCTAATAGCTTCACTATCTCATTGGGGAGCAGATCTCGAATGCAGTCCTCGACGGAGAAGAAGCCCAGGTCGACCAATCTCATGGCGGCAACGCCAGCAGTGGGCTTAGAGATGCTGCAAGCTTGGAACAGCGTGTCCGTGTCATCTCCACAGGATGATATGCAGTGTGAAATAATCTCGCCGTTATCCAGGACGGCGATCGAAGCTGTGGAGCAACCTGCGTCCTGCAAAACATCTGCGGCTGACTCAAGATGTGGATCGTCTGTTGAGGACGCCACGAGCTGTTCAAGCTTGTTGAAGAACTTCGACATTGAGATGCTACTTACTATATGAGCCCAGTCTTGAGAAAATGACACCTTTGGAAGGCCAAAGGATGGGTTATTATGGCCGTCCATGCAAAAGACGCTGCCTGATCATTGTACTTGCCCAAATCAGATACAGCAGCTGCGGCCCGTTACTAGGTAGGCCCTGAGGCGGCAGCACCCCACTTCGCCCGCGGGGAAGTCAAAATTTACCCCTCTGAGGTGCAGGGGCACTTTACGGTATACGCGGCACAGCTTCTCAAGTTGTCACTATTGGAAAAGTTATGCATAAGATGGCTATCAGGTGTTTACGGCAATCGGCACATCAATATCCGACTGCCGGGGACCAGTCAGGCGTCCGATCCGCTGAACGAATGGCATAGTTTGGTGTTCCATGGACTGTCCTGGAATCACACGCGCTGCCCACTTGAAAGGTGTTATAAAAGCTCCACTGCCGCCTATCTTGCGAAAATTCTCACCCTCAATAAAGGCCACGTCTCTTGCCCCACCCGGCGTAAGCGCTGCGAGCACGTCACAGTCATGTCAGCAGCCACTCCCATCATTCTCTGTGGCAAAAGCCATGAAGTAGGCAACGTCGTAATGGAGCTGTTGAAGCCAGAATACGAAGGTCCGTAACCCGGTCTGAACATTCTTCCTGGCTGATTCTCCAGTCATCAACTTCGTCACAAGCGTGGAACAAGGGATTGCCGAGATTCCATCTGCATTGGACAAAGTATTCGCAGTCGTGACTGGTGGAGGGTACGATGATGAGGCGTTTGCAAAGATGAAGGACGCGACCATAGGTTGTAAGGAGATACCATGGCTGAGACCAGACAAGACAAAGCCTGGCCCGCAAGGTCTTCCAACTGAATATGCAAAGGCCGTGGCACAGAGGACGAAAGATACACTCAACTCGATAGATCGGAGCAAGAGCGGCGTGTTCCTGTACTAGCTGACCCGAGCCAAAACCTGTACAATTTCCCTGACCGTAGTTTCGTCCGTCTCCCATCTTTCCGTTTGGAAGAGGCTTGCCTCGCTCATTAACACCTGCTTGCAGCTCGCGTGGACTTCTTTAGCTCGGGTCTCCAAGAGCAGAGATTCCACGTTAAGCGACGTGACGCCGGCACCAGGCATTATCACGATCTTCTCACCTGCCTGTTCAACGAGCGATCGTAGCCTCGCCCGCGCAGACGGCTCTTCGGTAGACTGACCGCCGCCTGTCAGGACTCGGTCACATCCAAACTTGATGACATCCTCTAGCCCTTCATGCATGTCGACAACATCATCAAACGCACGATGAAATGTCACGCTCATGCCCCAGCGCTTGGCTAGGTCCACGAGTGACGCCACTCGAGGGTCAACCTTTTGCTTGCTTGTCAGTAAACCTACCACAACACCGTCGCAGCCCAGCTGCCCTGCAATGTCGATGTCGTGTTTAATGATCTCGATCTCTGCATCGGAATAGACAAATCCGCCGCTCCGAGGTCGAATGAGCACGTGGACAGGGATATGCAGCGCCTTTCTTGTTGCTCTTATGAGGCCATAGGAGGGGGTGATGCCACCAGTCTCTAGAAGTGAACACAGCTCAACCCGAGCTGCACCTCCGTCCTGTGCTGCGATGGCAGAAGGTAATGAGGCAGCGCAGACCTCTAGAAGCACCGACATGTTGTTGCACGCGCAGATTCACAGAGGAAGGAAGGGACGCGGTGTCGGCAAAAATAGCATTTTGAGGTGCGCCGGGAAATGATCCACAGCCCCCGCATAACCGGCAGGCCCTCCATCATTGGAACCATCAGATATGCACCACCTTCACCCTACCTGAAGGCTGATAGCATCGCTCATCCGAATATGCACGGATTGAGACGTCGGCATCGATATGCCTGGTGACTGGTACTTGAGCCTAGGTGGCTACTTGTGGAAGAGCCTCAATACCCCCTTCAGCACCTGATGAGCCATGAGCTGTGCAGGAGGCACTCGAGGTCCAACATATCCCTTGATCGGTGGGTGCCACATCGCATTAGCCCCGTTATTGAGCGCATGTTCAACCTCTCCAAGTTCAAACCATCTCGCTTCCTCCAACTCGGTCTCTGGATAAGTGATATCCTCCCCGCCTTCGACACATTGGCCCATTGCACCTATCAGCATAGTCGAGGGATATGGCCACGGTTGTGACGAATGGAGCTGGACTCGATCTATGCGAACGCCCGTCTCTTCATACGCCTCGCGGCGTGTTGCTGTCTCTAGGCTTTCCCCCGGCTCCACAAAGCCCGATAAGCAGGAGAAATAGTTCTCTGGCCAGCGTTTGCCACGACCTAGCAGCACGCGTTTTGCATCTGCAGAGATCGGGGCAATGACTACAGTGGGATCCGTTCGGGGAAATGCCTGGTTGTGTAGACCGACCCTGGTAGAACAGGCTCGCTGCCGAGGGACGCCTTGATCAGCTGGAGGGCATACAACCTTAGCTCCGCCATGAGTTGACAGCGTTCGACCTCCGCAGCTGGAGCAGAACCGGTTCCGGCTGTTCCAGTCTAGGAACGATCTGGCATGGCTGTATATGGCAGATTCTGGGTGAGAGAGTGTGAGATCCACCCTAGTGGGAGAGAACTTGTGGCCGCTTGAGGCAATGCTTCCTTTGAAAGTCGTGTAATGGCCGCCGGTGACATCAAGCGCAAAATAAGGCACGCCAGAGTAGCTGCCAAGTACCGCAGGTGTATCATCTGAGGGTTGAAGATCTAGACCGAGAAAGATGAGCGTGGGATGATGGGCAGCAGGGTCGAACTCGGCAATCTGTGCTTTCTCATTTTTCTCATAAGGCCTACCGATAGCATCTGCTACATCGTTGTATCCCAGGAACGCCAGATTCCCATCAGTAGTCCTCAGTGGATTAAGCTCCTCAAAGGTGAGGTACTTGGCGCTGGCATGCGTGGATGCTTTGTCCAGCAAATCATACTGAAGGCGAAGAAAGGACAGTCGAGTTATTGGACCGTTCGAGAAGTAGGCGTTATTGCCTTGACCAAAGATCTCGGTCAGCGACGCCATAGTTGCTCACAGGACGAGGAAGACAGAAGCCCTTGGTGCTAAGGTAGGCGGGTGTTTGAGGGGTCATCATTCAGCCGTAACGTTCAATTGCGGGGGAGCACTAGCCCGACAGTGGTAGCGCTGCAGGCGTAAACTCCGACCCGTGTGCCATGTCACGTGGGGAATGGTGGAAGATTGGGGAAGGCATTGCATACAATACTGGGTAGTGGAATGGCGAAGTGCAAGGTCGCCGTCGTGCAAGATGCCATACGGAATAGAGAACATCGAGCCCTGTGCTCGGCTGAAAGGCAGCCTTGCCGTGGGCTGTAGTGATCGCGGTTGGCGGGCCCCCGAATTTACCCCAAGATCTCCAAGTCTCTTTTTTGATAAGGTCCTCTTCACACAGACGCCCTCTTGGTCAACGACGCGGGCCCGTTGCATCAGGTGGCGAACATGGGTACTGCATCTTTCGAATCTCAAGCAGACCTCGGATCAACAGCATTCGATCGTGGGAACGCCGGGCCGTCCGAGCCTCCTCTTGCCTCGAAATGCCGGCAGAAACGAGTCCCAGAAAACGTCGAGTTACCTCGCGAGCCCGACACGCTTGCCAGAGATGCCGCGCACAGAAGCTTCGCGTCAGTCCAAAGTCGACGATCATTATGCCTCGGCCTAACTTAATCACAGTGCGACAACATGAGGCCGTGCAGTGGATGTACACGGCTCAAGATTGAGTGCCGAGAAACGTCGGCCAAAGCCACGTAGGTGAGGCCCGCAGATACAATACATTGCGCCTGACTTACGCTCCGGAGTGCACATATTATGCAAACATCGCTTCTACAGCAAGACCGAGGCACCGGCGAACGGCTCGAGCCGGCGACGACCACCTTTGTCGAAAGTCCATCGAATAGAGAACCTCCAGCATCAGAAATCAGCCCCTTAGACAGCCAAGCCTCTCCTGCCGTTTATTCACAGCGTCCATCGACTTATGAAGCTGCAGATCAGGTATGAGGCAAACCTATCATACGATAATTCCGGCTCAATCTGCTATAGGTATTTCGGCAAAGCTATCAAGCTTCTGGACTGCTCTCTGCCGCCGATGCTATTCCCGGAGGTTCCAGTATCATTAGACAGACACAACAAAAACGGATCGAACTACCTCTGGGAGATGTGCTCGGCACTGAGGTACCTCCGATCGCCATCATAGACTTCCTGCTCGATACATATCTCAGTTCAGTTCACTGGTTCATGTCTGTCATCCACGAGCCCACTTTGCGTGCCGAGATCCACGACATTCTCGCCCGAAATTCGGTTCCAGATCACCGCAGGCTCGTGCCCATCTTGATGCTTGTCATTCTTGCTTTCAGTGCTCGTTACGCGCAGCAAGATGCTGTCAAGCAAATTTTGCCTGGATATGACTTGTTAGAGATGGAGCCTCTATGGATCAAGCGGGTGGAAGAGAAATTGCTGGACGTTCTCGAGGATGGCGGCATCGAGGCTGTGCAGATCGCCATCATCCTGAAAAGCTACTACCTGTACGGCAACCGTCCAAAGCGTAGCTTTGCAATTCTCGGTGCCGGCATCAAGGTTGCTTTATCGATGAAGCTGCATCTTGAGGGCACATGGACTGTGGCCGACCCAGTGCGCAGGGAGGTACGACGACGCGTCTGGTGGTCGCTGTACGTGGCGGACGTATGGGCTGCGACGATATATGGAACTCCCTGCAATATTCACGACGACGACTGGGAGGTAGAGCTTCCTGGCACGATTGACGATGGCATCCCACGATGCCCAATGTTTAACTCAGAAGAAAATTTTGATGGTCGGACTTTCGGCCCCGTCACGATCTTCTCCTACCAGCGGTACAAATTCAGGCTCTACAAAATTGCCTTTTCCATCATCAACAACGTATACACACATCAGAGGGTTTCTCTCGCTGACACCATCGGCCATATCAAGCGACTGGATCAGAGGCTTCTGTATTTGGAGTCGCAGATTCCGCCTGAACTGCGCCTCGGCACCATCGATAGCAATACTGCCACCTATGACGAGACGGTGAAGGTGTTTCAGCGACAGGCGTTGGTACTGCAACTGTCGCTGGACAATTTTAAACTGCTTCTCCATCGCCCACTCCTGACATTGAATAGGCTTCAACGGCCTCTCATGGAGCCTCCGCGCGCAGTACACTCTTCGAACGACCCGGAAACGCATGTGATCGACGAAATGATAAAAGTCAGCAAATACCGATGCTGGGACGCGGCCGTGCGAACGTCACGCATTGGTCGCTTCACGCGAACATTGAGCGGAACACGCTACACTCTCGGGGCTTCATATATCATGATACAAGCCTTCACGGCAGCCATTGCACTTGGTATCTTTGCACTTTCTGATCCAGCGTCTAGACAAGCCTACGAAGCCAAGGGGGCTATCAGCAAGATAATGGGCTTTCCCAAGATCTATGGGTATAGATCCGTCATGTTCGATCAATGTACAGCCATTCTGGAAGAGCTGATCCGACTCATTCTGAATGCAGAGATGAGAAGCCTCGTCTCAAATACCACCAGGGATGCGACTCCAACAGAGCTCGGCACTAATGCGTTTCCGACACAGGGCAAGCAAATATCCGCGTCGGAAGCAACAGATACAAGCGCTGTCCAGCACAGTGAAGACGCCCTTCCGCGAGCCTTGCCATCCCTAAACATGGTTGAGGATATCAGCTACGGCAACTTTAGCGATGCTCTCCTCTCGCTTCATGACGGTAAACGCCCCCCCCCCCCCTCTTTTTTTCTACCTCTGCTTACATCTGATAGCCTTCAACGAGGCCCGACACGTGACTGGAGTCGCACCAGCGACCGAGAATGTGAATATGCCTCCAGGCCAAGGTATTGAACTGCAACCGGATGGTGGACTCGGCTCGTCTGCGTGGGCGTTCGGGACGGAGTCTCAAGGCTGGATATGGGACGAGTTCTGGCAAGTTCAGGATCTCCCTTTCTCGCAGCTCGACCCAAGCTGAACACGGCTTTCGATATTCCCATGATGGTCGGCATGACTTCTATGGATTCGTCATATGCTCACAATGAGCTTGCTGGCACTAACATACCGTCTTCGAGAGCACCGATATAGATGAGCCGCATCTACACGTCTAACAGCGGCGACGTGGGTGTAAGTCGTCTTTATTGGTGGCTACGGCTTCCCACTTCAATCCAGAATGCATGTCTCGCCAATGTTATGCACCATGTAATTGCAAGAAGGCGAGCGTCGAGGTCGGAAGCAGTTGCTCCCGAGAGCCGACTCGGGGCTTGGCATTGACGGCGGCACCGACCATCCGAAAGTCGTACAGCTGTAGGCATGCAGCAGTTCACAAAACATTTCGATCTCGCTCTTCAGACCATACGAATCTCTGGATTGCCCAGAAAACAGTATATTCTGGATACGTAGCCCTAAGAAGCAACTTGACTGCAGCCCAACCTGAGCCACTCGACTCGACCATCAGGCCTTCAGACATGCCGGTAAACTCAAGATCTAGGTCGACAGTCATTGCCAGCAGAAGCTCAAAGCGGACGAAGGTCCCTATCAACCAAGAGGCACGACCTCATTCAGCCAAGAAGTCGCCTGAAATGCGTCTATCGCCTGCCAAACCCCGCTCCTTCTACCTCATTTCCGCCTCCCGTGACCACGTCAACTCGGGCCGCTCCCAGTCTATTGTCCAGGCCAACCATGGCATCAAAGCGCCCCTGCAACGGATGCGCCCACGGGACGGAGTCGTGTTCTACTCCGCACGTCATCAGATAAAGGGAAAGGATCTCTGCCAGCGCTTCACCGCCATCGCGACGGTAGATTACGGAGAGCCATATCAGGAACAGGTATCGGAAACGTGGAAGCCCTGGCGGCGGGAGGCGACGTATGAGGAGGATAGTCACGAGGTCGATGTCAAGGATGTGCTGGGGAAGTTGGGGTGTCTGGGCAGGGGCAAGGAAGGGTGGGGCGTGTATCTGCGGAGAGGCTTTATGCAAATTGGACCAGAAGACTGGGAGGTATTGCGGGACTCGATGATGGGTGAGGTCGGCAGGAACAAGCGAGTAAGGTGTAGTGAGGAACGGTCAGTGTAGTGAACGCCGACGCTGGTACGAGCAAATAGTCCCTGCTGTAATCCTGGGATAGCAATCATAGAGCTTGACCTATGTATGGCGCGTCCGGCTCGAATGGATTCGGGTCTAATTTCTCCTTACAGACTGTCTTGCCATCAACCACGTAAAGCCGTGGGATACCAGAAGGGGCTGGCTGTGGGCGAAGCGGGTCTTTCTTGGTCTTGGACACCCGCATTGGTTCTGCTCGCTGGCCGCCCATTGCCATTCCGCTGAAGGGGCATCTTGACTGGTCCATGCTCTGCTTGCCCTCAAGTTCTTCGATATTGCGGCCGAGGCTTGTTTTGCCGCTGCTGGAGCTCCGTACCGAGGCCTCGTCGCCACTGTTGGGCTCTTTCTCTCCTAGTACCTTTTTGCCATGAAGATAACCTTCCGGCTCTGCCGCCTCGAGCTTCACCTCTTCGGCACCAAAGGAATCCTGGAATTCTTCGCCATCATGGACGTGCCATTTGGCCAACAAGTCGTTCTGGATCCAAATCACTTTCCCTATGGCTTTGACGATCGCAATTTTTCTTGTGAGATCAAGCGTTGGGTGTGAGAGAATAGCTTCTGTCATGGCATCCTGAATATAGCCCAGGCAGGCCCCAAGGAAAATGTAATCAACATGCAAAGGGTTTCGTCGACCGAGGCCCACATGCATGAGACCGACTTTGTCGAGGTACTCCCAGTATTCCATCTTTGTGGGGTCGCTGTTGAGCTTGGTCAAGTACCACCGTAAGAACATTTTCCGGTGTTGAATCTGAGCGCTGTCTTCGGAAACCCATGTGTCTGGATCGACCTCACTGCGGCTGTCGCGTTGCGTGAAGACTCTGGCTGTTATATCGTGCTTGAGCAGTTTCTTATAGACCATGTTGACGATGGCTGGAATGACGGTGCGGATATAGCGATGGCCGTCAATAAGGGCTGCAACATCGTCTATCACTGTCAGCGAGGTGATCCGGCTAAATCTCCGACGATCTTACCTGCTGAGAATTCCAAGAACTGATGAAGGTAGTGTACACGAGCGGGCAGGGAGGTGTACAGCTCTTTGCGATCGACATGCTCCATGCCACGTGGTAAGGCTACCATGATGTTTTAGTGCAAACGGAAAGGTATGCGAATGTTTACTCTCGGTGAGGGTGAACCATGTGGCGTTGTATGAACAACTTTATAACTTAGCACACCAACATCGAAAAGTTTTCGGGATTTCGTATCGGGACTGTGGTATGACAGTTGCATGGGGACCCTTGCTGGGTTGGTGGTGTGATAACCTGCCACTGTTCGGTACAATCACCCGGCGACCAGGCGACGACCGGAGCCATTCATCCAAAGAGCGTGTTGTCTCAATCGTTGACAATCACTTTCCAGTCTCCCAGTTGTCAATGTTCAATGCCATTTTACAGCCGCAGGTCCAGTCGTTGAGTGATCCTGGTCGGTCTTGAGTGGGTCAGATGGTAACGCCGATGACCCGAACCTCCGGGTGCACAGTCCGAGTAGCCCAGTAGGACCGGCCTTGAGACTAAGAACCCTCTCGTTGGCGCAAGAAACTGCCGTGAGAGACTTGTACAGGACCATGAAGCGAAATTGCCGTTGTAGGCCTTGCTGGTGGAGCTACTTGATATCTAGATCACTTGTCGCCAGGGCTGATGGTATTGTGCATTAGCATTGCGGAGTCTTTGAGCCGGCGTCGCCCGACGGAGGGGTCATGCGAGTCTCGCTTAGATGCCATTCGATGCGGTGAGGTCTACCGAGCAAGAAAATCGAGAAGCGAGACTGGCCAGTATGGCCCCAACTCGAAGGTGTGAATGCATTATTGGCTTGCAGATGTTTGCACCTCTGAAACGAATGCCAGTACTACGGTGAAGCATAAACCAACATGGGTGCAGGTCCACCTGGCGTTGCAAGATTGTTGAACAACAATATTCACGATGCCGCCACCACCTCATAATCAAGTCCACGACGAGGCTCTTGCGGCCATTGGGCCTTGAATCAGGTATTATCTGGGGATGTAAGCGAGGTCAGGCTCTTCTCTAGCTGCACACATGCTGGCCATACCGCCGTTAGGTAAGTGTTACAGATCCCAGCCTGACTCGCAGTCCAGTGCTTGGGTGCCAGAGTTCTTGCGGTGCACACTTTCATCAACCCAGATCTTCGCGCAGTATCAAGATCGCGTTCTTGCCGAGCACACCGCCGTCTTCCATTTCCCTACCAAAAGGTATAGTAGACTTCGAGGTCCTAAAACAATAAGGGATGCCCTCTTGGAAGGATGAGCAACCCTGTGCAACACTAGGTACTAGAACAAAGCGCTGAGTCAGATGTTGAAGAGACACCAGCGATAGTGTGTGCGCGAAATTCGCCTAATGGAATCGCGCATATTATTCGGCAGATCAGCTGGCCCCCAATGGTAAGAAGCTTCGAGCCGTCCAAGGTCTCACAATGGATGCCTTACTTTAAGGCATGAAGCTCCAACCTAACTCGGCTTTTTCAGTACTGGTTCTTTAGTCACACCGGACTATGAGCAGGAGGGGGGCCCTAGAGCTCCTATAAGTCCACGAGGCGCACCATGACTAGCCAGCAATTGAATCTGTCCTATACGACATGGCTGCTCTTTTCGCCTTTCCCAGGCATGTTAGCCGCTCTCTCTCGACCCTCCGTGTTGCAGCTCTATTTGGCCTTCTCAGCACATCCATCGCCAGTGGCGCTCATAAAGATGGCGATTCCGTCTGTCGATCTGCGCCTGGAGACGAATCCTGGCCCAGCGACGAGGTCTGGGCAAGTTTCAATGCTAGCATCGAGGGCAAGTTGATTCGCACTGTGCCCATTGCATCAGTCTGCCACGGACCAGCGTATGACGAAGCGCAGTGTGCTACGTTAAGGGACAACTGGTTCTTCCCCGAAACTCATCTACCTTCTCCATCGTCGCCAATGGCATATGAATTCAGCAACGACAGCTGTAATCCGTTCTCGGAGCCCGCTGCGCCCTGTACCGTCGGCAGCCACGTTGTGTACACGGTGAATGCCTCGACCGTGGACGACTACAGAGCGACCATCGGCTTCGTCCGGCAGCACAACATTCGCCTTGTCATTCGAAGCTCTGGACATGACTACCTCGGGAAATCAAGCGGCGCTCATGCTCTCGGGCTCTGGACCCTTCACCTCAAATCCACAGAGCTACTCAGTGATTATCAGTCTCAACACTACCAGGGCACGGCCATGAAGATCGGAGCTGGTGTGAATGGAGGAGAAGCTCAAGCTTTTGCTCATTCAAAGGGTCTCGTGGTTGTCGTGGGCAATTGTCCAACAGTGACTTTGGCCGGAGGGTGGGTCCAGGGCGGCGGTCATGGCTTGCTGTCCTCGCGCTACGGCCTAGGCGTTGACCAGGTCCTGGAATTCGAGGTGGTGACCGCTGACGGTGAACTGCTGACAGCGACGACAGATTCTAATTCAGACCTCTTTTGGGCGCTTGCCGGCGGAGGTGGCGGTACATACGGCATCGTTCTGTCCATGACCATCAAGACCTACCCGGAGTCCATCACCTCCAGAGCTCTATTGACAGTCCCAAGAACAGGGGAGAAACCTGAAGATTTCAGCAATTTCCTTGCCACTTTCCTACAGCATCTTCCTGCTACATTGGATGCTGGCGTGACGGTCATCTGGGCGATGATGCCGTTCGCATTCATGTTGGTGCCGGCCTTTGCTCCAGGATTGACCAAAGACGAGCTAGACAAGCTGATCGACCCAACCATAAACAGGTTGGAGGAGCTAGGCATTGGCTACCAATATGACTCGGCGGAATATCCAGATGCCTTGTCGGCCTTCGAATCCGTTCCTGCAACATGGAATGTCTCAGATATGCATCCGGCGGGCCGCCTGATCCCGCGCGATCTTCTGGAGACCAAGCTGACCGGACTCGTCGAAGCGTTGATACACATCGGCGACAACGCCTTGATGGCGGGTGTCTCGTACAACTTGACCAGAAACGCAGCTTCCTATCCGATGTCTGTGAACCCTCGGCTGCGAGAGACACTGTTCAACCTTGCCGTTGGCGCACCGGTCAATTACACCCACACAGAGCAATGGCCAGCAGCCTATGAATTCCTGCAGAATGATCTCCTGGCGCCCATCCGCCGCCTCGCACCAGACGGAGGTGCTTACTTGAGCGAGACCAATCCCTACGACCCGGAGTGGCAGCACCAATTCTATGGCGGCAACTACGAGAAGCTGCTCGCAATCAAGGACAAGTACGATCCGGACAACATCTTCTATGCGCGCACAGCCGTGGGTAGCCATCGCTGGGTTGAGAAGACTGATGGCCGCCTGTGTAGGCTGACGAAGGAAGCAGAGCAGTGGGCTCACAGTGAGTTGTGATTGCCTGGCCCTCAGTAAGCTGCGGGAGTGAACGTTCAGTCTCATCTGACTCGATGGTCTGAGGAGGGGAATGCACTGTCCTCCTCCAGGCAGGCACACGGGTTCATGAATTGGTCCATAGACAGCCGCCTTTAGGGCGAGATACGTGCCTAATGATCAGTGATATTGCTTTTTGCGTGCCCGGGAATCGGTGATTGGAAGGTCACGACGTGGACGCCGTTAGCCTCTTGTGATTTCCCATGATACTCTCAAAAACAAGTACCTAACATCGCAGACCCGCCATGTCCGATAGTCTCTGACAAGCAGGTTCAACGGGGCAGCCGCGCCCATCTCTGGGCGTCGCAAGTTAGTCATAAGGCGTCGAGGCGGCAAGAGGAACGGAGATCTGCGGCGGACAAAACCTTGCTTGTATCTCAAGTGAAACGGTCGTAGCATGAACCAAGACCGGTCCTATGCCTGTGCTTGATCTCTGTGTTGAAAATCTACTCTCCCTGAGAGTGAGACAGCCTCTCTTGTGCTCGGAAGAGCTACAATCGCAAAGTGGGCAACACTCACTGCGCTTATCAACCCCGCTAGCGAGATCGACCTCTCCAACGTTCTGAAGGGTACCAAACTACACGGGATGCCCCCAGCCATGTCGCAGAAGAATGTCGTCGTCGTAGGGTAAACGAGTCACGCCACTCTGGTCCAGGACTCGGCGTGCTGACGAGGATATGTAGAGCCGGCGTAGCGGGACTTACAACTGCCCTCCTGCTCTCCAAAGATGCTCGGTATAAGATCGTTGTGGCTGCGAAGCACATGCCCGGTGACTACGACATCGAATATGCCTCGCCTTGGGCAGGAGCGAACTACATGCCGCAAGTGAGCCCGAGAACCCAGTATCACACCTCATTGCTGACATCTATCAAAGCGTCTCCGTTCGCGGCACCGAAGCAGCCCAGTGGGACAAGAATACCTGGGCGCCTCTCGAAGACCTTGCGCGCGACCATCCCGAGGCAGGCGTCCACTTTCAGGAGTGTCAGATTCTCAGCAGAGCGAAAGACAAGGGGTCTGCGACGGCCTCCTGGTTTGCAGAGCTGCTGTCCCCGAGCCCATGGTTCAAGGATGTGGTGCCGAACGTAGGGATCCAAAGCTGCCATTGGATCTCGCTAAGTTGACGTGTTTGTAGTTCGAAGTCATACCCAAGGAGTCGCTACCATCGGGGATCGATTCGGCGACATCCTTCACGTCCGTTTGCATCAATACTGCCATCTACCTGCCTTGGCTGGTGTCGCAGTGTCTGAAGAACGGTGTCAAGTTCAGGCGAGCGGTCTTCAAGCACATCTCTGAGGCGGGATCTTCTTCTGTTCATCCAGCAGGCAAGGTCGATCTGGTTGTCAACTGTACAGGCCTCGGGTCATCCAAGCTTGGTGGAGTCGAGGACAAGAATGTGGTGCCCGCCAGAGGCCAAATCGTGGTAGTGCGCAACGACGCCGGAAAGATGCTGGACGTTTCTGGCACTGATGACGGAGACGATGAAGCTTGTTATGTGATGACGAGGGCCGCAGGTGGTGGCACTATCCTCGGGGGCTCGTATCAGAAGGGCAACTGGGAGTCTCAGGTTGATCCAAGCCTCGCAGTCAGAATCATGAAGCGTGCTGTGGGCATCTGTCCAGCTCTGACGGGCGGAAAGGGCATTGAGCACCTGGATATCGTTAGGCACGGCGTTGGCTTACGGCCAGTCAGAGAAGGTGGAACGAGGATCGAGAAGGAAAAGATTGAAGGAGTCTGGGTCGTTCACAACTACGGGGCGGGGGGTGCAGGTTATCAGTCGTCTTATGGCTGTGCGCAAGCTGCTGTCAAGCTCGTAGAGCAGGCGCTGGAGGCAAAGTCAAGACTGTAGCCGAGGGAAGGGCGAGCTTGCCATCAGATGCCGTGAGAGCGATCAATGACCGCTCAATTCACTCCTGGTTGGACTAACATCAACGTTATGAGTGCTGTATTTAGTCGTCTTCAGACTTTCAGAAAAGGATGTTCGCGTGGACTCGCACCATTAGTCACTGGACGAGGGAAGAAAATTGTTATCACGCCTGAATACCGGGCAACAAGTTCTGTCATTGTGCTTTAGAACCATCTCAAACACCTCGTCTATGACAGCCTGGTCTCGGCGTTTTGCTGCCTCATGCTTCAAGCATGTGTGATCTCGTCATCTGATTGTCCTGTCAGTCGTTGTTTGCCACTGGGCGAGTGAATGTTCCCAAAAAGCTTGCATCCAAACTTTTGTTCACCCATACCCAACGCCAGTATCCTAATCCCGTTTGAAAATGCTCGTGGCAAGTCGTCGTCGTAGTAGTAGTAATAGTAGTACAATGTCGAATCAAGAATCGGTCTACAGCACCGACGGAAGTTATCGCTCTCCAGTCAGGCGTCCGCGACCCCGGTAGGCGATGAGCACGTCCTCAGCCTCTCCGCTTGGGCTGACTGAGCATGTTGAGCCGGCTCATAGTCAAAGCAGCCTTTGCAGGAGTGCCTTTGACCTGGCCAAGTGCCACGGATTTGCGATCGCGTGCGTGCTTGGCTGCTGCCTCCCTCGCCGCGCTCCTCTTCTTGGGGCTGGTCTGCTGCTCCCCGGCTTCGATGTCTTTGAAGTCAATGGTTTTGACACGTTTGGCACGTCTGGCACTCTCATCATCGGCGTCATCGCCCTCAGTCCATGCGCCAGCCATGGGTCGGTTTTCCTTTGAAGCCTCCGCAGAGTCTTCGCTAGCCTCGAAGTACCTAGATTCGCGGCGGCGCTTCTTCGCAGGTATTCCGTGAGCCATAGTGTGCACCTCGGTATCCTCGAATGGTTGAACAGCTTCAGTGGTGCCAGAGCTTCGAACGCGTCTAATAGTCGAAGGACGCGATGACCGAGCACTCGTGTCATTAGTTGATCTGCTCGCTTGAAGGGCCTGGCTGGTGGGGTCAGCCCGCCCGACAGTGGCGTTGCTACTCGTCAGTGAGCCAGCTGAGCTAGGCCTAGACGGGTGGTGCAGAGTCGTGAAGATCGATTTGAACTCCTTGGATTCGCGGCGGCCCAGATCTTTGGCCTTCTGCGCCAGAGTTTGCACAACAGGTCCATTGCGAGGAGATGGTTGGGCGGACAGCGCGGGAAGAGTAGGATACTCGATGGGGCTGCTGGAAGCATCCTCCCATGCTTCGTCTTGGTCCTCTTGAATGACATAAGCCGCAGGATCGTAGGGGACGATAGGAGTTCTAGTTGCTCTGGGCGTCAAAGTCTGAGCAGATTTTACCGGGCTCGGGCTGTTGTTCGCAAGCTTCACCGCGTAGCGAGATTTGACACTGGGGGTGAAGTCCACCTTCTTCGAAGATTCCACAACGCCGGCAGAAGTGTTTGGTCGCTTTGGTGTGACGTCGCGTTCGGCAGGGGTGCTCCCGTCTTTACGGGGTGAGCGCAAGATTGACTTCAACCCGGAAAACGTGGGAAGCTTGGACGTGTGTGCCGTCGGCCTCGTGGTGGTAGACGACACCGACTGTACATTTGACGGAGCTGTGGATAGTTCATACGTGCTCTTGGATCGGGAAAGTGTTGGAGTGTCTTTGCGGCTTGTCTGTTGTGCTTCGAGGAGCTTGGAAGTGAATCTGGAGACGGCCGAGGTAGTGCGGCTCAGACTCATGCGACCGCTATTTCGGACGCCCTTGGCACTCTGCGATCGAGGTAGCATCAAGGGTTTGGCGGGTGAATTTGCAGTAGACTGGGCACGAGCCAGAGAAGCCTTGGTTGGTGAGAATAGGTTGCTGGTAGATGTGGATTTTGGTATGCCGGATGGTTTAACGGCGGCAGCTTCCTGCGGCCTGGAGCTTGACACGTCGTCGACTTCAGAACGTCGCAGGCGTTTCGCAGGAGCGGTGTTTTCCAGCCGATCCACAGATGCGGAATGCGAAGCAGGTTTATGGAGGCCACCGCCAGCCTGCGTCTGGTGGGAAAACGGAGGCGGAGCGCGACCAGGTGTCCCCTTACCAGCAGTACGTGGTCGCTCTGGCTCATCAAGGCCAGCCTTGGAGGGGCTGCGCTTAAGAGACTGCATGGTGGGTTGATTGTAGCCCAACCGGGTCCTGAATGAGGAGGCATGATTCTCGATGGAGTCCATCTTCTTGAACTGGGCCATATGAACATCGCTGAAGCGTCCAGCCTTGGCCTTTGGCTTTGCGATCTTGCGGCCAGAGAACATGCTCTCAGCCTCACCATCTTTCTGATCTTGCAGGTCTTTCTGATTCTTCATTTCCGCCTTGATACGCGCCGCATCTTCTCGTAGATTCTCCATCATGACCTTGGCTTCTTCAGATAATCCAGATTCGGAGGCGAAAGTGAACTTGAATCCGGGAGCACTGGCCGCTTGTGTGGACTTCTTGGAGGATCGAGTTGGGGTGTTCTGAATGCTGGCGACAGATGCGCGAGGGATGTGGGAAACGTCGGCAAAACCCAGTTTCGTGCCAGAATCAGGTGGCATCATGGTCTGGTGCATTGTCTTGGGGTCCATCTCCGACTTTGCAGGGCGAGGCTCGGTTTTGGGTGTATTGAGGGGAGATAATCGCTTCAACTGGCTCTTGACGTTGGCAGCCATGCCAGGAGTGTTGATGATGCTATCAATGGTCGGTACGGCGCTAGAATCCTCAACTGACTCGTCACGCTCCATTACTGAGTCGAGCTTGGGTGGATTGGGCAGAGGCTTGTTGACCTCGACCTATTTCATGTCAGTCAAAATCGGAGAAGTGGTGAAAGGGTAACGCACCTGGCCTGGCGAGGTCTTGCTCAGTCTAGCTGAGCGACGAGCCATTGTCGCAGTGTTCGGTCAGCCCAATGATATCCAGCTGCACGTCGCAGTAATCCCAGCAGAGAAGGGTCTAGGGAAGGGCGAAGGTGCAAAATGTGCATTTAGCGAAAGACGGCCGAGACTGCGAGCGAGTGGATTGCCAAATGCGTCAGTGTAAACACTGGCCGCCAAGCCACTAATGCCGACTACCTCCGCACGCGAGCTGCCGTCACCTCATTGGGCGATGCGACGGTCGTCTGCGGTTCACGTCTTTTGTTGTGCTTGATATACACCCATTCGTGCTCAGGACGACTGATCGAGGTAGGTCCAGAGTGAAGGATGGTTGCATTAGTGTCTCTGTCACCCACGGAATCTCAACGAGTTTGATGGATCAGGATATCAATCACAATGCTCCCTCGAATCTCGGCGAGTTCATTTCTATGAAGTAATGTTCGCTACAGGACATCATTCGAGCAAGTTGTGAGCTGTACATTCGTACAACGAGTTCACTAATTACCAGAGAAGCTGCAGGTCGTGGTGAACTACCCGACATATGATCTGCTACGCACGAAATCGGAAGCCGCTGAACCCACTTGGGATATGCTTTGCTGAATAGTAATCAAGTCTCTACCTCCTTTGCCCTATAAATCGGCCACAACTGGCACCTAATATTCCCTTCCAGAGACTGAACAGACATAATAGCCATGTCTGAATACAATGCCACGAAGATCTTTGTCGTTGGCGGCACCGGTGCCCAGGGCATTCCAGTCATCCGGGGCCTAGTCAAGGACAAGAAGTACGCATGTCGGGTCCTCACGCGTGATGCAAACTCTGCTCGAGCACAGCAACTTCTCGCTCTGGGAAACGTTGAGCTAGTCACGGGCAGCTTCGCATCAGAGCAAGACCTCCGCAACGGCTTTCGTGGGTGCGATGGAGCATTTGTGAACGTGAGTCCGAAACACTCCTCCCTCCAGGCTCCTTGTGGCAAGAAACCGTCCTATGCTTGTGCATTCCCACCCGCTAACAACGAAGATCGACGGATTCAATTGTGGCGAGAAGACAGAGATCTACTGGACGATCCGTGCCTACGAGCTTGCCCTGGAAGAAGGCATCAGATTCTACGTCCATGGAAACCTCGACTACACCTACAAGAAGAGCGGCTACGATCCCAAGTTCCGTACCGGCCACTATGACGCCAAAGGACGCATCAGCGAATGGATCCTCGCCCAGACCAAGGATAATCAACACCGCATGGGCGCCGCCAGCTTCACAACGGGACCATATATCGAAATGGCCATCGCTTCCCGCACCATTTTCACGCCTGTTATTGAAGACGGAGTAGTGACGTGGCGTGTGCCCCTTGGTGAAAGAGGGGGAGGCGTGGTGCACGTGGCCCTCGATGACTGCGAGTACTACGTCCGCTGGATGTTCGACAATCCGATGCGCATCAACGGTCGGGATCTCGAGGTGGCAGTCGAGCACGTTAGCTACCTTGAACTCGCAAAGGCCTTTGAGAAGGTGACGGGCCATCCTGCTCGGTACATCAACACAAGCCTCGCGGACTATTGGTCTACAGGCATCATGGCGGTCGCAGCCAAGTCAGCCTCGGGCTACAACTCGGATCTGAACGACCCGGCAGCGATGACGTTCGAACAGAACTTTACAGGATTCTTCAACACCTGGAAGTATTCGTGGGGCAACAACGAGCAAGCCGTGATCAAGCGGGACTACAAGCTACTGGACGAGATTCACCCCGAACGAATCAAATCTGTGGAGGAGTGGTTCCGCATCGAGGAAGAGAAGGGCAAGAAGTTGGGGAAGGGCGGGTTGTGGGACAGAGTGCAGACGGCAAACCTCAGACCGATCCTGAAACTTGGGGAGGACGGAAGGAGAGGCCGGCTGTAAAGCGAGTAGTCGACCTAAATAACTCTCAGCTCCTCCTATCAAGGGAAAATGAACTATTCCGTTTGCTAAGCCATTAATGAGGAGGGTGTAGTTACCATGTTCGCGCGTATGGCTACTTGACACAGGAGAGAGCAAGCACCGAGAAGTCAGCAGCCAGCAGAGCGATATAACAGATTGACGGCTCTGATATGCTTGGACGTCGCGAGTGTGGACCGTGGTAGCAGTTGTAGTGGAGGCAGATACCATGCACTATTTACACACTGCCGGTACAATATCTCATCACAGGTCTTCAGATACTGGTACACAATCCCTGCCTAACGCCACGCCTTTGAAAGTCAAAAATGCAAACTCCTTCATCATAGCGTGAATGATCCGACCCCAAGGACCGAGGGTCGGGTGGCTCAGAGCTCCCCACACCCTGAGCTCCCCGCCGGACATATGCCCACACTGTTCAAATCTAGAACTTCCGGCCGAGATTGTTGCTCATCTTTCCAATCTCCTTGGCACTGGCCTGCTTGAGCTTCGCACGGCGCGCGTCTTCCTGCGCCTCCAACTCCAGATTGCGGACATGCTGACGCGCATCCTGAACGGATGTGCGGGCGTGGGTGAGAGCGCGCTCGGCCTCACGCTCGGCCTGCTCGGCCATTTGCACACGCTCACGCGCGCCGACGATGCTGGGGTCCTCGGGCTCGCGGTTGCGGTTCTATTCGGTGCATTAGTTCGCTTTCGCCCCGACTGGATCGTAGACGGAGGAGTCAAACTTACAAAGAGGCCGCCCATGCCACCACTGGAGCGGTTGTGCTGATCCGTGGTGGGGCTGTGGCGACGGTTACCCATGTTTCCTCTGCGGCGTTCCTCGTCGGACGAGGAGAGAGAGCTGGAGCGACGGTTTCTGGAGAGTAGTCCGCCCTTGCGTTTGGTGTCGCTTGAGTGCCTGGTGTTGTGGTGACCGTGAGGCGCGTCGTTGTACGCAGTAGGGGGGCTCTGGTGAGCGGGCATTGGCTCTTCCTTCTTGCTGAAGAGGCCCATGATGTTGGCGGTTGATGTGTGGTTGAAGAGGTAAGATGGAGGTGTTTGAAGAGATCGGTGCAGGGGTACTGGATAATACGGAAGAGTATTATGTGTCAAGGAATAACAAGACTCGGTCGAGCAGGAGGTCCTGTTCCCAGTTTTTATGCTGACAAGGTCCGTGGTCTGGGTATGATGGTATGATGCAGATGGGGAAGGAAACTTGGCATGGATCGACAAGCGACGTCATGCAAGCGCCCCTGGAATGCGAAAGCGAGCGCCAACCGACGCCAAAGCCATCGAAAGACTGCAGATTGAGCCACAAGATCTTGTCGGCTAGTCTGTAAAGAGACTTTAAGTGTTGCTTGAATTCCTATGAGCATCATACCTGCATCTTGCCCATGTGCTGCATCTCGAAAATGATCCTGTGGCTTGCAATCTGTGGCGGTGCTGCAGAAAGCCTACCGCTATCATAGAGGGCTTCCCTGGCTTAAAGTCAACATTGGCCTGCAATTCAGTGGGGCGGCCAATAACACGACGCAAAAACATTGACAGCCGTGCTTGTGACATTGTTGTGATTCTGCCGTCTATGACACGTCGTTCCATTCTTCGTGACTTCATACATCGCGTGCAGACCCCTGACCACGCGCCATCTGCAAGGCCTCGATTCGTTGACCACACCCATACGGCCCTGACCAGGGACTAGGCCGTCATCTCCACGGTCTCGGGATCTAGAGCATAAGCAGGCTGAGGTTGCACCTAGAATTGATCTGCCACACGTTTAGCATCGTTCGCACCACACAGCGATACAGTACTCACCCAAAGTCATGCTCATGCTTACATCCGTGTTCTCGACCATAGCCTGGAACTCTTCGAAACTGATCTTCCCATCCCCGTCCTTGTCTGCTTCCATAATGGTCTTGTCCACAATCTGCTGCAACTGCTGGTCCTTGAGATTGCTGCCCACCATCATCTTGAGCACGATGAAAAGCTCGCCGTTGGAGATGTAACCGTCTCGATCAATGTCGTAGACCTTAAACGCGAACTTGTACTTCTCCTCTTTGTTGCCTCTTGCAGAGAATGCAGACAGGCCCAGAACGAACTCCTCGAAATCGACATCGCCGCCGCCGTCCTCGTCGAAGATGGCAATCATTCTAGGCAAGACGTTAGCGTTATAAGGCTCCATCGAGGGCACGTCGCGTTGACTGTGGAAGTTGCGTACCTCGTCGCAAGTGGGTTGGACGAGACCTGAGGCAGGGACAGGAATTCTTCTCGCTCAATTGTGCCGCTGTTGTCCTGTGTTTGCGGTCAGCCTGCTCAGGGCTAGACCAATCTCCTCATACCTTGTCCAGCTTCATGAACCGTTTGCGTAACCGGTCGACTTCATCTCTGTCGACTGTGCAATGGTCAGCCCCAGCCAACAATACCTTGGTCCGATCGTATACGCACAATTTGAGACCGACACGATGTTGTCCAATATTTGGGAACCAGTGACAGTCTGTCTTCGTCTGTGCTCGTATAGAGCGGCATTATTAGGCTCGGAGTCGCTGGCCGGCGACTGAGGCATGTCCGACGCAGACATCCTGATTTCGCACTCTCAGTGAGGGGCAATGGTGAGTGGAACAGCAAGGTTCAGAGTGGTCGCTTCTGAGTGTGCAAGGCGAGCCTCAAGACAACAAACGGAGGAACAGTTTCAAGGCTCGATTGAGGCAGTGGAGACGAGGAGTCTCGTTTTCTATGAAGGACGGTAAGATAGTGATGGTGAAAGGCTGGAACAGCCGCATGCGAGTCGGACTACTGTAGTGGAGCGATTCGGTCACCGTACTCAAGCCACACATGTTCAGGAACGAGCGCCGCAAACTGAGGCCGAGGAGCCGCTCTGATTGGTTCAACGAGGGAAGCCGCTCAGTTCGCGGGGATGGCGAGGTCTGTCTTCACGTGCCGCAAATGTTGTCAAGAAAGTGTCAATTGCCCTATTTTCATCGTTGTCTGTGTATGTTGTTTCGGCTTCGGTGACGCCAGAGTAGGCACTGTGGCTTCCATGGAGTTTCTACCTGGGATTCAGTCTCTACCAAGCCCATCTGGCACTTATACAATAGGTTGTGACTGGTGCGAGCTCGCAAATGTGCGCTGGACGGTGCGGGCCTACTCATATGCTTCTCAAGATCTCGAGCCGTTGCAAATCATGAGACTTTGTGTGGAGGGCAGAACACATGTCAATATAGGTACCGGTACATATCTGCTGTGGCTGTCGCGAAAGAAGAGGCGCAGGCAGAGCGAATTCAGGGGAAGGCGGTGGCGGTGCAACGATACGAAGGTAGTTTAGCGTGCGGGTGCCAGCAAAAGGCTTGGTCTCTGCTGTGTGGTGGGCGAGCAAGTTGAGCCCAAAGCCAGCCCGAGTTTAGGCGCAAGCACCAAAGCAAATGGGCACCCACTTGCGGCCTGAGCAGTCTCGTCACCCGCAGGCAGCCCCTCGCTCTCGCTCCTCGCTGCTTCTGCCACCCAAACACACCCGTCTATCTGTCACCATCGCGCCTTCCCAGTTTTCAGTCACGCATTCTCTTTCATCAAAATAAGTCGCACCACAGCACTTAATATTCATTCTGAGGACGCAGTCCATCTAAACTGGACCCTCGGAATCTTTTGACACCAATTTTAGCATTTTACGACCACCGATACGGTTTATCAAGGTGTGAGGTGGCCTCTTTTTTTCTCTTCTTCATGGTCGGGGCCGGCCTGCCAGCCGCCGTAGCGCTACTTCGCCCATGTCGGCGCGACAAAATCTTTCGCGCACTCGCCCCAAGAAACTTCAGTCGCGCCAGCACATTCAGATCGTCCGTGAGGACCAAGTTGATACACTCACCGATTTTGATGCTGGTCGTGCACCTATCGAAACTGGCGTCGAAAAAGCCGAAGAATCAGTTAGTTTGCCTCTTTTCTACCCTCATCTGCCTCTCACCTTGCCATGATTTTTTCGCCCTTCCCGTCGACACTTTGTCTTGGCATTCCATCGCCCTCTCCAGGCAACTATCGCGCCACCACGCATCACTCTTACTGACCTACAATCCAGGAATACCATCTTCAGCAAGCGATAAAAGCGTCGCAAGCTGACAAGCAAGATGCAAAACTTCGCGATGCATACATCCCCACTCCACCCATCATTGCCAGTGACATCCAGTATGAAGTTCTCTATCCGAAAGGATGGCAGCAGCCAGCGACCTACATTAGGTCATCGGCCACTGTCGAGGACTATTCTGGCACGCCGTATTGCATAGACGAGGACGATGAATTAGCTCTCAAGCTCATTAACTCGAAGTTGCAAGCAGGCCAGTCTCTTGTTACTGAAGACCAGTTCGAAAAAGTAATGAACTTCTTCGAGGAGGCCGCGCAGACAAGACAACCCTACGCAGCCGTCGATAGCCCGCCTGTTCTCGCACTCGAGGAGCTCGAAGAACAGTTTGATGACACTCACGATGCTGAAGTCCGCTCATTCACCAAGGTCGTGTACGATCATTGGGCGGCGCGTCGTAGCAACAACAACAATCGGGGCTTGGCTCCTCACCTGAAATTCGAGACTGGGCAGGAGCTGGATGACTCAGATCCGTATGTTTGCTTCCGACGCCGTGAGCTCCGTCAGATCCGCAAAACTCGCAACCGTGATGCTCAGAGTGCCGAGAAGCTTCGTAAGCTTCGTATGGAGCTAGAGGCGGCACGTAACCTGGTGTTGATGGTGAGGCGGCGCGAGTACAATCGGAGAGACACTCTTGAAATCGACCGTCAGGTGTACGAACAACGTCATCAATTCCGCGAGACGAAGCGCAAGCTAGCCATCAAAGGTGACGAGGAACTGCTGATCAATCAGAAGAAGCAGAAGGTGCCTCAAGGCATGACACCCAATCAAGCGGCTTTGGCTCAGCAGCTGCGTATGCCAGGTCTTACTCCTGGCGGACCAGGGCCCGACCTGCGCACCCTGGATGAGGTGCAAGCCGACAAGAACCGGGGTATAAATCAGGAAATATCCATCAACATTGAGAAACATGCCAGGTGGAATGAAGGATACGCAGATAGGACCAAGGCGCCACTTACTCCAGATTCCGAAGATGGCATTCAAAAGCCAGGTGACTTTCGAGAGGCGATGCCTGCCACTGAGTACCTGCCCACGCCGCCAGCTAGCAACCATGAGGAGGATGCGCAGAACCAGGGCGAGGCGTCTGTGATCGAAATGAAGGAAGAATCGGGTTCGTCAACGCCTTTCCGGTACGCCAGTCCAGCCGAGGACAGCGATACTGCGGCACCGATGCCTGCATTCCGTATGCGGAGAGGTCGAGGAGGTAGGATGCTGTTCGATCGGAGATTCCCCATTCGATGTCACCCTAAGCCAGATCATGGCAATCGGTGGAAGTATGACTCGGACAATGATGACGCTGACGACAGCGACGAGGAGCTCGACGTGACGAAGCAGATGGCGCAGCGTGCGTGGCTGGTAGGGACGAACCGCCCGCCAGATAACCAGGCTCAAGCCGCGTTGGTGGCCGCTCGCAAAGCTCAGATTGAGACGGTGGGCAGCTCCAGCCATCCAGGCGCCCCATCAACAGCGCAAGCATCCACATCGGCGGTCTCATAGACCAACGCTCACCTTTTCTTTTCCTCTTCACAAGAGAGCACAATTCAAAGACTCTCAGCTCTAAAAGAGCTCTGAACTGCACACAGCAGCTGTCACGAAGCATACAGGCGGGCTTCGGATGTACATGTACGATGGTCGATAGAAGCGTTGGATGCTACCTGTAACTCGGGGTCGGAACGGGTGGTCGGAACGGGTGGTCGGAACATGTGAGCGTTTTTTGGGAGGTCGGCTAGGACAGTAAATCATTCGTGATGCTCGCCATACAGCATATCCAGCGAGAAGGCCAGCGCCTTTGAAATGATATTAGACATGGGCAAAACTCCGAGATTATTCTTCCGTCTCAGCTGTGGGTCCTTTTTGCCTTCGAAGCCGTGGTGGCGGCGTTGGAGTGCTTCCGTTTTCGGTCAGTGTTGGCAATGTCGGTCGTTTTGGTCGCAATGTGATCTTGACAAAGCTTGATGAGATCCCGTAGGACCTCCTTCTCGCCGCAGCGTATGCGGAGGGCTGAAAGGTAGCGCTTGGCAGATGGGCCTGGTGGAAGGTGTGTCTCTGGATCGGCCTCGAGTTGCTTCCAGGTCTCGGCGTCTTCCTCGAGAGAAGTTTTGTATTCGGCCAGTCGTTTTGTGGCTACCGCGGAGAGCAACACGGCTTCTTCAATCGAGAGCGATTCGTCTTTTGACTTCGGTACCTTGGAGACGTTGGGATTGGCTGTCAAGGCTCGAAGCATCATATGAATGTCGCCTGGCACAGCGTCTTCCAATTTGGCGCCATCCGTTGGGCGTGGGAAAGCATACCCGTCATCGAGAATACCGATCTCGTCTAGTTGCTCCTCTCGCTTCAGCCACGTAGCGTTGTTCTTGGGGTTCTTCATGCCAGCGACTTCGACCAAGAGGTCATGGCTAAACTCGACAACATCATATTTAGCGTAATTTTCTGTGGTGTAGCCGTACATGCGAAGGAGATCTGAGCGTGGAAGTGGGCCGTAATCGTTGAAGATCTGCTGGCCTGCTTTGATGGCTTGAGTAGCCCTCATCTGAAGGCAGCCATTTTCCTGGTATAAGCGGGCATTGTTGCGATCGGCATCCGCATTAAACATATCGGCGAAAGGTACCAGCGCCTTGACAGGATCGTCTTCATCGTCTTCCTTGAACTCCTCACTATCGCCGCTTTCTGTATCCGAACCCTGTTCGTCGACGATGTCAAAAGCGTATGCTTGGATCAAGCTGCCAGCCATATGGCACAATTTGACCAGTTCGGCGGTCCTGGTTTCGAGGTCGGCGCCGTCAGTTGGGAACAGATCTTCGTTGACCAGCATGGTATCAATCATTGTTTCCCACTGGGCTTCGGCCTCTGCTTTGCCAATCTTGCCAACAACTGCACTAGCTTGAAGGTATTCCAGCTCGGTGTCGGTCCAATGCATCAAGGTGTCAAAATGAGTTGGTAAGACTTGGAAATAGGGATACCACTCGGAGTCTGTGTCCAAGAGGTACTCGTAGATGATCGTCACGATTAACGGCAGCCACTCGCCAGAATCAACGGTGCCGATGAGAGCGTGTGGCGGTATGTCGGAGCTGCTATGTGCCAGCACAGCACTGAGGGGGGTTTGACAGATAAGTTCATCCTCTGCAATATCCTGCACAGCAACTGCAGAACAAGTTAGTCAGTGTGTTACTTACGTTCAAGGAAGTGTCTCTCACCAACGCCTCTTCCGGCACCCATGCGCCTCATGTCGACAAGCTCGACCTTATCCGACAGCAACGTCCCTGGGCGTTTCTTGAACCATTCCACAAAAGCTGCGGTCCTCTGGGCGAAGGTTTCGCCTTCCTCGGTGGCGTCTGTTGCCATGATAGGCACAGACTGGAGAGTAGGACCAAAGAAAACGAGAAAGAGGTCCAAAATATGGGTGGGTGGTAGTGAGTACTGTGTGGGAAAGTATTCGATTGCAGGGACCGCCACGCAGCACTTCAGTATCCACATCGCCCACCACACTTCTCCGGCCGCAACTTATTCCGGCCGACAGCCGCTCCCCGCCGCGTTCTTCCACTGCCTGGTATCTGGCTGGGTACTTATGAATGATTACCCTCTGCTCCGGCTGCGACTAACATCTGAATTTCCAAAACAACCGTTGAGTCGCTCATCATGCTTGCTATAGGTCTCGAGGGCTCAGCCAACAAATTGGGTGTTGGCATCATCGAGCACCCTCTTCTCGGCAAAGGGCACGCTACAGCCAAAATTTTGTCCAATATCCGCCACACTTATGTCTCGCCGCCGGGTGAAGGCTTCCTGCCCAAGGATACGGCCTTGCACCACCGTGCGCATGTTGCCGACCTGGTGCGCCGGGCCCTCAAGGAGGCCGGCCGCACCATCGCCGACATAGCGTGTATCTGCTACACCAAAGGTCCTGGCATGGGTGCACCGCTGCAGTCCGTTGCCATTGCAGCGCGCACGCTGGCACTGCTCTGGGACAAGCCGCTTGTGGGAGTGAACCATTGCGTGGGCCACATAGAGATGGGCCGCACGATCACGCGCGCGATGAATCCGGTCGTGCTGTACGTATCCGGCGGGAACACACAAGTGATTGCGTATGCGAGCAATCGGTATCGAATCTTTGGGGAAACGCTGGATATTGCGGTGGGCAACTGTCTCGATCGCTTTGCCAGGACGCTGAACATCAGTAATGATCCGGCGCCCGGGTACAATATCGAACAACTCGCGAAGAATGGGAAATGGCTTCTGGATATCCCGTACGCAGTCAAGGGCATGGACGTAAGCTTCTCGGGAATTCTGGCAAGGATAGATGAGCTGGCGGCGCAGACGAAATCGGGAACACTGAAGGCGCCGGATGGGGGACTCATCACGCCTGAGGACCTTTGTTTCACACTACAGGAGACGGTGTTCGCTATGCTGGTGGAGATCACGGAACGAGCAATGGCGCATGTGGGTAGTACGCAGGTCCTGATTGTTGGGGGCGTGGGATGCAATCTGAGGGTGCAAGAGATGATGGGGATCATGGCTGAATCGCGGAGAGGCTCGGTTTTTGCCACGGATGAGCGATTCTGCATCGACAATGGGATAATGATTGCCCACGCCGGGTTGCTGGCTTTTGAGACAGGCCAAGTCACGAAGCTAGAAGACAGCACGTGCACGCAGCGATTCAGAACGGACGATGTTTGGGTGGGCTGGCGAGACGATTGAAAGACGCCCGTCTCCGAGAGCTCAAATGACCGGCAGGGAAAGAACACAAGGAGGACGGGAAACTGAATGGTATTGAACGCCATTCTCAGCCCGACAAGGCCAGCCAGGTCTCCTCGAGATACCCAGCTTACATGGCGATTATCCGATCAACAGGCCCAGGAAGTTCCCTTGGCGAAAAGCCTCCATCAAGATCCAATCGCAGCCTGACAGTCCAGATACTGGTCCCCGCGCCACGCTACCGAAAAGAGAGATGGTTAAGTCGTAGAGCATTCACTTATGACTTCGTCGGGTTTTGTAGCCTTACAGGCTTAAGACTTGCTGGGTTTGGGTACGGGCTTGAAGCTGATAGTAGTCACGTACTACAAATCCGTCAGTTATCTCGAAGTGGGGGACGATGCCTGGTAAACTAACCTTGTCCCTGTATCTTGTGGTTACACTGGTAGCCAGCACGCCGTTCTTAACGCTGCTGGTCATTAAGTGGTTCAAGACGGTGTGGTTAGGCAGGCCGAGGACACTGCTGTCGTCCTTATTCGGTAATTGACTGTTCAAGATGGCTTTACCGAGGAAGAGGGGCAATGTAGGCGGACCTGACAGGTCGCTGATAACACGAGCAGCATCCTGATACCGAGGATCATCGTCGGGGAGGTCGATGTCGCTTAGGGCTCGGGGTACGATTTGTCGAAAATCTCCAGGCTTGACCTCTTCGATAGTTTGGTCTGCATCGTGCAAAGGCTGCTCAACACCCTCTTCATCTTCCTCGGAGACCACTGCTGGATACACTACCTCGCGCTTCTCGGTGACTGTCTGATTACTTTCCCTTCTTGGCTTAACCAGGTCTTCCGTGGCAATCTCGACGTAGTTCACAAGCATGTTGTTAAAGTCGACAGCCGTGGGCAGGTCAGGATTGGTCATCATCACATCGTCGACCAGAAACATAAGATGATGGGTGCCCGGAGGCAGAGCAATCGTCACAAATTGACCCTGGTTGCCATCCTTCCTGCACGAAAACATCAGCATTCGTTAGGGGAAACACACACTCGTTGGAGCAAGCAGCTGCCTGAAAAGAACCCGAGCTAACCTCGAGACGGCAGAGTGCATAATGCTAGACAACAGGACAAAGAACTCACTTATGATGCATCCTGAACTTCTTTTCCCAGTTGGCAAATGTACCCGTCACGTAGACCCGGTGGCCGGGGCGGGTCCACTCAATCACAGTTTGGACTGTGCCAGCCCCAGGATCGGCAGCAGGTAGTTCCTCATCTACATCCTCCTCGTCTTGAGTTCCCAGGCTCATAACTGACGATTTCCGGCGCAGCGCAGACTCATCCGGTGCAATCGCCACATCATCGTCGAAGAGAGGGACATCTTGGGTTCCTTTGTTGACAGGGTCTAGAGTTGGGGATTCAGGAAATGCTGGGGCGCCAGCAATAGGCAATGGCATACGCTGAGGTCGTAGTTCCGCTGGTGGCACGTATCGACGATCATCATATGGGCTAGGCTCCGGTCGATCTTCCCAGTGCTTCTCAAGACCTTTCTTATCCAGACTGTCTTGCTTGCTTCTCGCAACTGGTACATTCATTGGGGTTGACGACTGGGGTACGGCAACGGGCGGCTGTTTAGGCCTATGCTCAAGCTCATCCCGCTTGCGCCGAGATGCTGTGCGACTGACCCTACTACTCCGGGAGCCGGATTCTGGGGAAGGAGACGCTTGGACATATTGCTGCAAATCATGGGGCTCGAAGGGTCGAGAGGAGGTTTGCGCGATAGCACTTGCTGGAGTCGCAGACGGGTCGGCAGGCGCTCCTCGAGTAAGGGAGACTTGTAAGGCTTGAACAGATTGCCGTCTATTGACCCTCTTATCCCTCTCAGCTTTGTCATGAGATGTCGCAGATCGCGAGCTGGAAGACTTTTCGGACGATGGTTGATTGCCCATCTTGAGCTTTGCGGGTCGGTCGGATAGTAAGAGTTCTTTCGGGTGTCGCGCGACCTCTGAACAGCGAAGGCGGGGGCCGGCCGTGCGCACGGTCAGGCTTCCTTATGACGGGAGGAAGTCAGAGGCTAAAGTCCACGGGTCAACAAGCATAACAAGGTCGCAGCCCGTGGATGACAATCTTCCAGCGTTTCCGGAGGCAGAAGACGTCAATTGTGTGCGTTAGAGAAAGTGTGACGTTGAGTGGCGGGTTCAAAAGCTAAAGAATCGAGCTGTGGGCGGTCGCTGGGCAGTTGGCGGAGGTGTTAGGCGGAGGGAGGGAGCGGTCGGGCGCTAGTTGAGGCCCGCCTTGGTGCCTGAAATGTGGAGCGCGTGCCAGCAGCATCCTCAACACGTTGCCTCACAACTACAGATCTCAAAGTCGCGCTTCTCGTTGCCCTCTGATACTCACGCCCGGTGGTGACACAGTCACGAGTGGTCTGTCCTATGGACATCGATGTCGGCTTTTGGCTGTCGATAGCCTCTGCCTTATTGTATTACACGGTATATCCCTTACTCGTCGTCGCAACATGGACATTCTACACCCTACGCGTGATTGCGAGTCCAATCATCCTTCTTGTCCATATAATGACCGAGGCCGTGCTCCTTCCACTGCGTTTCCTTGCACAATTTGAGGTACGTTACGTATTCTCCAGACCGATGAGACATACTGATGCACCTAGGCCATCTGGTACTTCTTGGGCGCAGCAGTCTTGGTCGGTGCATTCTTTGGGATTGCGCTGCATTTTGTGGGCCGTGTGTTGACAGTGGTCATTCCGGACCGCGAACCCCTGCCCAAAGATACGGCACCTACAGGCCACGATGCGGTGTCGTACAGAGCTGCACGCCGGGAAAAGAAGCAGAAGGATTTCGCCAAGCAGCAACGACTGGCCACCCAGGCAAGACTCATGGCGTCCCAACCATTACTCCAGGAAGCTGTTCGCGAAGCCCGACATCATATAACCGTTCCTGCCCCAGCCTCTTCGACTAGCAGTCCGTTGAGTCCGGGAACGCAGCGGCATGCACTATTACGTGAGACAATCCTCGAACACACCGACGAGGAAGATGACGACTCGATTTTTTAGAGGACCTCTCATCGCAGGCCTGCCTTTTTCAGTGCTTCGGAAAACATGGTTTTGCATTGCACCTGGCTGCCGAGTCGAGCACACAGCAGAAACGCTCCGCTGAGCTTGCGGTGAAGACTATATGTTTCTTCTGGTGGCGGCGCAAGGCGCTCCCGGACCATAACTGGAATAAGGCCACGAACGCGGTCGGTGATGGTCTGGTCTCGGAAATCATAGACGTCAGGCGCATCCGCCATGAAAGGCTCGGCGAGGGTAAGGACCGAATCGATATGGGCGTTGAGCATGGTCTTGGACTCATAGCCTGTCAAATATCCGAGCTCAATTGAGTAATCTTGGACCTCCTTGCGGTCTTTCCTCGAGGCGGAATCTAGGAGCTTTGTATATAATGTAATGAACCGCTCCGGATACTCTCGCGACGCGCCGAAGTCCAATAGCTCCAATTGGTTGGTCTCGCGGTTATAGAGGAAGTTGGTCCAGTTTGGGTCGGTCTGCATGTAACGGAACTCGATGATCTCCCGCAGGCAAAGGCGAAGAATTTGGGTCCCTATCCAGTCCTTCTGGTCCTGTGTGAAATCAGGAATCTTTGTAATGGCAGTGCCTTCCATCATTCCCATGGTCAGAACTCTCTTGCCCGACGCTTCCTGAATAATCTCCGGCACCTTGAAGACATCTTGCTCATCCGCAAGCAGATCCTTGAAGCGCCTCGCTCCTCCCGCTTCTCGCACATAGTCACACTCCCATCCGAGCTCGGTTCTGGCATTGGCGATGGTCTTCTCCAGATACAACCCTTTCGGAAGGAGCCGAGAGGCAGTCAGTAACAGTGAGAGATTATTCAGATCGGAGGAGATTGAGTCTGCTACTCCAGGATACTGAACTTTGACAGCAACACGCCGATCGTCTTTGAGGACTGCGCCATGTACTTGACCGATCGATGCTGCCGCCATGGGCTTCTCCTCGAATTGCTGGAATAGATCGCGCCAATTCGGGCCAAGATCTGCCTGAATGACTTGGTCCCTCTGTGAAGCCGGCATATAGTCGGCACTATCCTGTACTCGCTGGAGAACATCGTGGATCGGCTTTGGGAGCATTTTCGAGTCCTGAAAGCTCATCATTTGGCCGAGCTTGAGAGCAGCACCTCGCATCTTGGACAGCTTTGCGACGAGTCTCTCCATGTTGGCAGCACTCAACCAAAGCGAGCCATCGGGTCCCCCTCTTCGGCTGACGCTCTCACTGACGGCACCAAAGGCCATAGAAGCCGCAAGACCACCGTACTCGAAAATCCGCCCAAAGCGAGAGGAGGGCACACGGGATTCACGCATCTGATATGGCTGCGCTGAACTCATTGTCTACGGATATGCTGTCAGCTTATCAGCTGCAGGTTTGGACCAGCCCAACGGCTTTGCGTACCTGAGTCTGTTGCACATCCTTGGCCATGTCAGCTGCGAGTCTTTCGATGTCCTTCTTCTCGGCTTCAGCGTTTCGCTGCCGGATACGAGCGCTAGTGTGGAACTTCCTGCCAGCAACGCCACCCGGCGCATACTTTGCTTTGCCTTTGCCCAGCATGCTGGCGACCTTTGGACTTGAGAATATTTGAGATAGCTGCTCCTCTGACAGCTCTTGATCGTTGCCTTCGGCGTCGGCGTTCCCGTTGCCGGAGTAGTATACGTCTGCGTTGATATTCTGTGGGATATGAGAGTCCCCTGCTTGCACATCATTCTCGATCTTGGGCACACGCATGCGTGGGAGGCCAGACAGCACTGGCGAGGTTGTGCCTGGAGGCTGGTAGTAAACATCCTGCTCCTGCTCGATCTCAAACTCTCCCATGAGCTCTTCTGTGGGCGGCTTTGCAGCCCTTGCTGGGATCTGGTCTTCTGCCATACGTTGCGCTTCTCTTGCTTCCAACGAGCTCAGAGATCTCTGTGAAGATGGTCCTGGAATACTGGATCTTGTGGAGGATCGAACACCAAGACCCTCGTCGCCTCCTACAGGATTTTGCGCAGATTCAGCTGTAGGTCTCGTGTTGTATGTCTCCGGATCGCCATGTTCGTGTTGAAGCAAGTCGTCACGAGGAGGGATTGTCCCGTCGGGGAGAGGCCACCGATGCGCCTTCTTCTGTTCGATCTCGAGGTCATCTTGCGGCGCAGGGTCCACGGGATCGTTCTGCTTGGACCTCTTGTAGAAATGGTCTTGCTGTATACCTTCCTTCGCACCCAGGCCGCCAGCTTTTTGGGCTACCGACTGGCTGAAGTTCGCGGCAGCCGAGGCAAACGCGGGCGGTGCCCGAGTTCTAACGGCTTTGAATATGGAGGACGTCTGCGTATAGACAGCTGCTTGAGCGAGCCGAATGTCGAAGTGTCTCGCTGCTACCTTCCTCGAAGCGTTGAGCAACGCAATTGCGTCTAACACTCGCTTGCCCGACATGGTGGGCCAAAGATTGGGTCTAACGAACGACTACCGGGACATAGTCGAACAGGGACTGGAGTACTGTTGGGCTCCTTCAACAAGATTGATGGCGAAAAGGGCTTGATGCACCGTTTAGAATGAGGTTGCGAATGAGAAAGTCCTGACGCAGTTGGAGCAAAGCTACCGTACTAGTAGATCTAGATCGATGGAGCTTCGCTTCTCCACACTTCTGCCTCGTCTCTAGCTACACCATCCACATACCTGCATTGACGAGTTTCAACCATCCTTCGCACGGCCATCGTATCATATAGCATGACTTGATGAACGCGTCGGATGCCGAGCGTCTCCGAACGCAAGTCGCCCAGCTTGAGTTCGAGCTCCAAACTGCCAAACTTCTCTTAAAGACCGTTGAAGCGCGAAGCGCTGACCATTTGCCCAATGTCGATGTCCATCAGGCCACGAGGCCGAAGAACAACTATTTTGCCGTTCCAGTCTCTCTGCCGCTGGGACCATCGGTTCACAACTTGATGCTCCTCTCCGACTCGGCACTACCTTTGGGATCTTTCGCCTACTCCAGCGGCCTGGAGTCGTTCTTGGCTCACCACAAACCACTCCCTGAAGGAGGTACTGTCCTGTCCCTGTTCGACAAGTTCCTGAAGCTATCTATCCAGTCGGTCGCTCATACGAACGTACCATACGTACTGGCCGCTTTCCGAGATCCTCTATCGCTGATGGACCTAGACAACGATCTTGATGCTTCGACCCCGTGCACAGTTGCAAGACGAGCGAGCATTGCCCAAGGGAGAGCTCTGCTAAGTATATGGGAGAGAGCCTTGACCAAAACAGCCAGGCAACAATTCTTGGACAATGGTCTCGAGGCGGCCACCTGTGTCGACACCTTTGCTACAGATCTGAAAATCGCAGCTCTGTCACAAGACTCAGTGACTGTCAACGGTCACCTGGCTCCTATCTGGGGAGCCGTGTGTCTAGCCCTCGGCCTGAATTTGGAAGAAGCAGGCTATCTTTTCTTGCTAAATCATGCGAAAGCGGTCCTCAGTGCAGCTGTGCGAGCTTCGGTGATGGGACCGTACATGTCTAATTCAATATTGGCCTCGCAATCACTACAAGATCTGGTGAAGGAGAGCCTCGAATTGGTCTGGTTCCTACAGCCGGAGGATGCTGGCCAAGTGGTTCCTTCGCTAGATCTATGGGTCGGTCGACACGAGATGCTCTACAGCCGTATCTTCAATTCCTGAGCCAGCTAGGCCACGGAAGACGTCCAGTTTACTGTTTCACAACCTGTGTATTTAGAATGACATAGCCTCTAATGTCTAGTGTGGTTGCCAGAGTCAAACCGCCATGAGTGTCCATGAATGTCCGATGGCCCGAACACCTCAGAGTTCGACATCGCCAACATTGCCGATGCGCTCTTCCACGCCCTCCAAAGGCTTCTTGCCGCGGGTGCCTTTCTTGCCCGCCAAGCTAGCCCTGCTTGTACCGCTTTGCTCGCGCTGCTTCTGTGACTGCTTCTTCCGAGGCTGCACCGCTTTTCTGACAACCTTTTCGGCCAGTCCGGCAAAGCGGCCACCCTCCACACCTGGAGTTGACGATGGTCGCTCAACCTCACCTTCAGCAGCCTGGTCAGTTTCGATCGAATCCACAGGCCTGTCAGCATCGTCCTCGACAAAATGATCGCCTCGCTTAGCCTTCTCGTACTCTTCACGAATTCGCTTCTCTTCCGCTTCGAGCTCAGCCTCGATCTCCTTTGGGTCTCGCAATCCACTGACATCACCTTCGATCATCGCACCGTAGCTGTTTAGGTCAATATGCTCACGCTCAGCCAAGGCCGCTCGGATTCTGTGAAGATGAAGTCTCTCTTCACGCACGTATTTGGCTTTGATCTGCCGCCGAGTCCAGCCTCCACCAAAGAGGCTTGAAATCAGCTCAAAATCCGTGCCAAAAACGCGCAGCCCGTGATAGAACTTCTCTGTCAACTCGTCATTCCACCTGGTCAGCGTACGCAGTCCAGCTTTCTTGCCAATGCGGTTCTGGTTGACGTAATTGTAGATGCGTTCATCACTCTGAACCACAGCTTCGTCAATATCACGGGCACGAGCTTCGATGTTGTGGGCGAAGTCCACCTGACGGGATTCTTCTGCAATGACCATGCGACCATCCACAAGGATGAATTTCTCAACAGGCGGAGCAAAGTTTGACGTGTCATCAAGGACTTCATCTTCATCGCCTGCTCCTGTCGGTCTAGCCGCTTTCCGCTGAGCGGGCTTCATTTTGGCTTTTGAACGGTTATGCTCGAGTTTTTGGTCCCAGCGTTGTTTGATCTCGTCCCACTCAGTCTCAAGTCGCTTTCCGGTGTCCGAGCGCTTTCCGAGGCCAGTATCATTGGCGAGGTCCATCATCGATGTCTTTATTGTGTCAATCTCGTGGTCTTCGGCATCTTTAGGGGTCTGGCCACGGCGATGCCGCTTTCTGCCACGGTTGCTACTACGAACGGCCTTTGCAACAACGGCAGCTGCAGCGTCCTCGAGTGCTACACTTCTCGAAGCTCTTTGTCGGCTGCGGGGCGACTGTGACGCTAACTCCTCATACTCACTGTCTGGGTCTGCTGTTGAGCGATGCCCCGTACGGGACCGGGATGCACGAGTGCGCGTCTCGATTGAGTTGGCTAGCTCGGAGACTGCTCGCAGTCGAGAACTCACATCTTGCAATTCGGCATCGGTGCCAGGACTTGGTCCCTCACCAGAGCGGGCACTGCCCCTTCGAATCATTCCAAGCGGCTGCGAGGAGGTCGAGATGGCAGATGGGCCGGGTACAGGGCCTGCTTCGGGCGGCGCAACTCTTGGTCGCTTCGCCGGAGGTTCCGCAAAGTCTGGCACCGTATACGCGCTGTCTGTCGTTCCATTCTCGACACCAGATGCATTATTTTCGGCTTCGATGCGGTTCTTTTGCCGTGTGTTTGGGCTGGTATCTGTTGTAGCAACGATAGGAACAGCGCTCTGTCTTCGACGTTCGGGGCTCGCTACGTTAGCAATTGGCTGTGCTTCCGGTGTTGGCTCTCTTGCGCCCTCAATATCGCCTTCTCCAGCATTTTGCTCGGCTGCAGTGGCCGGTGGGGTCAGAGCAAGAGTGGTATCGCCAGCGGGACCAAGAGGTCCATCATCTGGTTGCAGCGTTTGCACAGGTTGAGTGACAGGACTTTGTGGTAGGCTTTCCGGAGTGAGCACACTCGCCTCTGTTGCAGCAGGCTTCTGTGAGTGGCGTTGCACGTTTCTTCGAGGGGCGGCTCTGGGAGTAATCTTCTGCCCTGGTTTGCGCACAACGGAGCTGAAGGACGACATCGTGGCGAACCGCTCTCAAGGCCTGACAAATCTTCCAATGTGAAAGCCTGTGTGCATTGCCTTCTTGAGCCTCAAGCACGTGGTCGACAGCAATCCATCAAAGTAAAGAATATACGAACGAGCAGCATCCACTGCCGCGCTGCGGACTGTCAGGGTTGGGGGCAGTGGACCCTGCGGCGACAGATAGCCACTAATCCACATTCACACTAGCGCGGGCCAAGTGCGGTCTCTCATTGCAGATTCTCGCTTTCTCGTTGACTTGAACCATCTCACTTCTTCACACCCATCTCATTGTCTTTCTGTATATTATTTTCTTCGAGATCTTCGCATCGCACCAGTGCGTCACCGCGACACTTGTCTTTCGGCTCTTTGTCATAGCCTCTCACTCAATATCTCAGGACTGATGACGGCCGTAGACCAGATCCCCCTTTCTCTCTCCCAATCTAGCCTCGTCAAGATGGAAGATAGAAAGCGTTCTATGCCATACGATGGCAGTGAAGCTCCTCCACACAAGAAGCAAGCAACAACCACCAATGGTGCTGGCAAGTCTCACATCGATGCTGACATGCCCTGGAAGGATGAACTCGAGGTAAGCCCCAATACGCGACAAACACTCCATCCTACTATTATTTTCGTTTAGCCGTGACTAATCCTCCTGCAGCGCTATCAAAAGGATGCAATCTACCGTCAAATGCGCGAGTACAAGCGCGAGCGAGACACCTTGTCGAGTCAACTAGAAGACATGCGAAAAAGGACCCAGTATCACGATGAACATATTCGCTCCATCGACGCCTGGTTCAAGCAGCTCATCAACGAAGTTAAACACATGGTACCTGGCGACGATGATCAGGACATGGATCTCGCATCGATGCCAACCTCGTTGCTATTCGAGGATCAGCCTCGATTCGCTAATCACATTTCCGAACGATCAGATGATATCCGCACCATGCTCAGTCGCCTATTCAGCAGATCGAAATCCTTCACACCGGAGGTGCTGGAGCTGCAAAAGCAAATATCCAAACTTCTTGCATCAGAACAGGCACATTTCGCCGAAGCGGATAGACTTCGTTCTGATTCTGAGAATCTTGAAGGAAGGCTCGAAACGGCTATTGAACGTTACGTTGTTGCCGAGAAGAAACTGGATCGTGCGAAGAGTCGTGCAGTGGCTGAGTTAGAAAAGCAAGCCATTCTCGGGCCTGCGAAAGCTGCAGATGATACGACCACTTCCAAGAAAGAAGAGCTCACCAATGGGGTTTCCGAGACGAGTGACGATCATGCGGAGCTCGAAAAGGAGCATAAAAAAGCTCTAGCGGTATCAGAGACGCTGAAAGCGCAGGTGGACAGTATCCGGCAGGAGAATTCCAAACTCCTGGCGCAAGTCACCGAGATCTCAGCCAAGACCGCCACCATGACTGACGATGATTACGCAAAAACTGAGCTCTTCAAGCAACTGAAGGCGCAACATGATGACGGCATCAAGAAGCTGAATGACTTGGAGGCTAGGATGGCTCAATTGAAGGACGAGAACAAGAAGTTGTCACAAGAGCGGACCAGCTTCCAGAACAAGCTCGATGACGAATCTCGCATCGTGATTGCCGAGAAGGATAACCAGCTCGGTATCATCGAGAAGGACCTGGCTCGAATTAGAGCCGAGCGCGACAATCTGCAGGCAGACGTGAGCATCAAAAAAGCCACCATGGACCAAGAGCAAGAAGCAAATCGCAAGATCAAGGAACTGAATGCTGCACTGGAGGACCGAGTAAAAGCTCTTGAATCGGAAACCGAAAGACTCTCAGCACAGGCAACCATGGCAATTGACGACGAACAATTTGATCAAATGAGTGCCGAGGATCTTCGGAGCAAGTATTTGGCTCTTGACAAAAACTACAAGATGCTGAGCGGCGAGCTAACGTCCATGTCAATGGCGTTTCAGCGGACTTCAAAGATTGCGAATCAGAAAATCGATGAGCAGAGGACTTTGGACGAAAAGGTGCAGCGATTGTCAGCAGAAAAGGCCAAAGCGGATCAGAAGTACTTTGCTGCGATGAAGAGCAAGGAGACCCGGGATCAGGAAATCCGTACGCTCAAGCTACAGACCAGCAAGTCTTCCGAGATCTTCAATCAACTGAAAGAGGCGGATGCGGCATCACGGACGTTGCTTGCAAATCTCGAACGTCAACTCGGGGAGATGAAGGAAGGTCACGCATCGAAGGTATCGGAGTGTCGCAACGCTCAGCAAGAGAAAGCAGTGCAGGATTTGGAAGTGTCACGTCTCAACAAGCAGGTCGCAGAATTGAAACAGCAGCTGGTGGCAAAGGACAGCGAGAATTCCAAGAGAGCCACCGCCTGCAACGAAATAGAGCTCGAGAAAACCGAGCTCACGACTACCTTGGGACACTGCCGCAAGGAATTGGAGAAGTGGAAGTCCAAGTCTGGCCACTCTGCTGTCTACGATGATCTCCACACGATGTTATTTTGCCATTGCAAGAAAAACATGAAGAATGCGGTTATCAAGACATGCGGCCACGTCATGTGCTTCGACTGCATCAACGAACGCGTGCAGAGTCGGAGTCGCAAGTGCCCAAGATGCAGCAAAAGCTTCGGCAGCAACGACTACATGATGGTGACGCTGTGAGCGCTGATCACAGAGAAACCGGCCACAGGGGGTCGGCGAAGATGTAACAATATAGACTGAAGGTAACGGTTGAGCCCGGAGCTCCAGATCCAACAACCCACAACTCAGGATAAACCCCGTCGATAGCTCGACGCCGTCCAGCATAGGTCACCATGCCCACTGCCTCGAGGCTTAACAGGGAATGTGCAAGACATCCACAGGTAGAAAACGGAGCCAAGACGCAGACTGCACGGTCCTCGTCAAGTTTCATTCAATATTTGCTGGAAGTCATCTTTCCATGGTTCCACTGGGAACTGAGATAGTAATGGCAATGTTTGTCCTCACCCCCGTATAGCTTGTCTTTAGTATCCGAAACAAGAGCCCTGCCCGGCGTATGTCATGGCAACCTGTACACTTTTGAGATGTCTCTGCTTCCTCGTCATAGATCCGGGTATCAGTTGTCAATCGTCCTTCATATCCACATCCTCGCCTTTGACCGCTTTGGCGTGGTCCACCAGCTGCCCCTTCTCCCTACGCACATCCACCTCACCCACCTCGTCTCCCTCGTAGCCATCGCCGTCTCCATCGTCATCATCGTCTTCCGCGTCACCCTCGCCGTCTTTATCCGGATTCTCACCATCCCCTTCCTCCATGCCCTCGATGGCCGGGTAATGCAAGTGCTTCCAATCCTCGATTTCTTCGGTCACGCTCTTTAGTCTGTCCCTGACGCTCTCGACCGCGTATGTGCCCAGCAGCATTCTCAGCGGCGGATAGCTGGAGTGGCCGAGCTGCCAGACCAGCTCGGCGGCCTTGACGACCGACGTGGGCTGATTGTTGCCGTACCACTGCACGAGGCGCTGCGCGTGCTTGGCGGGGGCATCTGCGCTCGAGTACGGAGCTGATGGTCGCAGTACCTTGAAATGCCCGTATAGTGGTAGATCCGCGTCACCATGCGTTTGCGTTTGCGTTTGCGTCGTCTGGCCGGCAGGCGGCTTCAGCTTCGCATTGGTCCTGCCACCGCCACTGCCGCTCTCCACAGGACTTGATGCCGAGTGCACGTCGTCCCTCCTGAGATGGCCGGGTTCTACTAGCGTGGGCTTGATGTTGTACTGATCGACCTCGTAGAGCATGCTTTCAATTAGTCCCTCCACCGCATACTTGGTCGCGCAGTACGGGCCCAGGCCTGGCACACCCAGCGCGCCCGAGGTTGACGAGAAAATCAAGTAGCGACCCTCCTGTCTTTCGCGAAAGTAGGGCAGTGACAGCTGGATGATGTTCAACGTGCCCATGAAGTTCGTCTCGAACTGGTTGCGGATCTCGAACTCGTCCTGGTCCTCGCATGCGCCGATGACGCCGTAGCCTGTGCAATTCGCAATGACTTCGATGCGACCGAAGCGCGCCATGGTCTTGTCGAGCACCGCGGCAACGGTTTCGCGGATGCGCACGTCGCACAGCAGGCCCAAGAAGCGGTCGTTGGCGGCTGGGTACCAGTCCTGCATGGCCGTGATGCTGGTCTCCGAGGTGCGTCCCACGGCGCAGACGAGATCATTGTGCTGCAGTGCGGCCTTGACGATGGAACGGCCCATATGCCCCGTGGCGCCGAAGACGAGCCATACCTTGGGCGAAGGCGGATTTGTGGAGGACGGGGGGTCCGTCGTGGCGGGCAGAGTGAGCTTCGGATCTGTGGTGAGGTGGGATGACTGGGAGAGACGACGCTCGGGGGGAGAGGTTTGTGCTGTTGGTTTGGGGCAAGTATCGGGCATTATATGAGCCCGAGACGGCGGCGGCGGAGCTCCAGTGGTGTGAGGAAGAGATAGGCGTGAGAGCCGGTATCAGGGTTGATGGGTCCGGGAGTTGTCAAGCATCTTCGGCAGATGCGAGAGCAAAACGGGCCCCGTCCGGCAGGGCAAAGAGCCTCGGAGTATTGAGGGCGATGTGTTGTGCACGTTGCCCTAGAGCGAGGATCGCAATAGCCGACTGCTTCTTCGCCAACTAATTGAGAAAGGTGTTTGGTGAATTCTAGATCAATCCTGTGATGGCTAGGTCGGGCGGCCGCCTCGTCCACCTATCCAGTGCTAGCAGCGATTGACTTTCTAGGACACTTACCAAAGGATGCACGTATATTGCTAGGTGAAGTTAGTCAAATCGTTCGCTGTGCTATTCTGCGTCCTCTTGCCGTGGTAGGTAAGCATCACTGTTACATGGTTGGCTCCCGGCTTTTTTGCGGTGCTCCGCGGCGGTCGAATCTGGCTTTGGTAAGGCTGCCCACCACCTGGAGATCGGTCCCTAGGCTGGGGGCGTGACGTAGCATCAGCCACTGAGTGGCTCTCCTCGACGACTGCGAACAAAATCCTTTTACATATTACACCATCCCGCGCCGGCCTCAATTATGCTGACTACCAGTCTGATCCAAATACGTCTGACCAAGGTTTGAGGATTTATAGCTGTCTCCTATTTCCTCCTGTCTTCCCCCCTAGACCTCACACGTGGCACACCTGAGCCTCAACTCACCACGCAGCTACACCCCACCGTCACAATGAAGGCATATTGGTTCGACAACGAGGAGGTGCGCACATCCACATCGTTGTCCGACTCACCATGATTGACCCTGTCACAGGGCGACCAACGCCTCCCCCACGATTCCCAGAAGCCGGTAGATCCCTCATACCTGGCCGCGCTGGGCGTCCTCTACTCGTCGCACCCGGAGCTCTCCACGGTAGACGAGCTGGCCAAGGAGCGCGACTACAAGAACCGCGACGAGATCACCGTATCGCCCAGCGCCATGGGCGCCGTCTACGAAGACAAGGTTAAAATGTTCTTCCACGAGCACCTGCACGAAGATGAGGAGATCCGCTACATTCGCGACGGAGCGGGCTATTTTGATGTGCGCAGCGAGGGCGACCAGTGGGTGCGCATCCGGCTGGAGAAGGACGACTTGATCATCTTGCCCGCTGGCATCTACCATCGCTTCACGACCGACCAGGATAATTATATCAAGGCCATGCGCTTGTTCAAAGACGTACGCTTTCGCCCGTTCTCACGGCCCTGGCTGGCACCCTGACTAATTCGTCGCAGGAACCCAAATGGACGCCCTTGAACCGGGGAGCCGAAACCGATACGAATGCTCATCGCAAGGCGTATCTTGAAGGGAGAGATGGTGGCAATTAAGGCTGACTGGCCCACCAGCAGCACATACCGAGAGCTAGAGCTCCCACATGAGCAATACGATTGATGAGTTGTCTAAAATTCGAAAAGTATTGGACATCAACCACCAACATGCTTTCAGTTCCCGTGTCCTCAGAGTGCTGAAATGAACCATACATCAAGAAGGCAGTGACCCTGGCATCCTGAGACCTGGCCCCGGGCCATCCTCTTCAGCCATGATGACCTGACTGTTGCTTCGGTCCCTCGTGGGCCTCATGTATGGAGACCTTTCTGCTCCTTGATTGCCTCCCCTCCTCCTCAGGCCCTCGAAGATCATTTCCGCTTCCTCCTGACTCGGGAAGCTGTCTAGCCCGCTTCTTCTTCTGTCCTTGCCAGTGGCCATGCCGCTCTGGCCCGCGCTGCTGCTTGGTCGCCCATCCCCACTTCCACTGGCCGTCTCGTCCTCGTGCCCCTCTCTGACCCTCACCTTGCCCATGCGTGGCCACATTCCTGGGAGCGGTACAACTTGCACACGAGGTTCCACCACACGCTCCTCAAACCACGCCTGCGCGCGCGCCTCCACCAGCTGGGCAATTTTGGGAATATCCTGCAGCCGCGAACGCGACCCGATCAGGCTGCGTACTGACAAATCAAGTCGATAATCCGGGAGGAAAGAGAACGCAAGGTTCGTCTTTGGCTTGCCGGTTGGCTGAGCAGGAGGCTCTTCACTGGTGGCTTCTTCGGTAGCTGGCACAAAGCTGATGGAAAGAGTCCCGGAGAAACGGACAACAGAGACCGATAAAGCTACAGGGAGTTTCGCGGACAAGGCTTTAGGATAGTTCAGAAGTAGCGAAGTTTCAATCGCTAACGTGAGGTTGTCGTCGGATACGTCTACGTCGACAAGAGCTTGAAGACGGCCGCCTTGCGGGTCGGACAAGGAAGGTGGCGAGGATATGATGCGGACGTTGCTGAAGATGGGGTACTCCTCGCCCATGGAAATTTCTGTGATCTTGATAGGTGATATGAACGAAGGTCTTTTGGAAGGGTCATTGAGGGTCGCTTCGAGGGAGGCGAGAACGGTGGGGGTGCCATTTGGGTTGAACAGAGAGGAGGCAGTGACGCGGTACTGGGCGATTGTCTGGGCGATGAGTACATTGAACCAGTCGAGCGATTCAGGCTGATGCGTGCTGTGGGCGTTGGAAGGATGTGGGGAGTAGTATGTCTTCCGCAGGATGGATTGTGGGCTTGTGGCGGTTGCCGCAGCGGGGCGGAGAATATGGGAGGAGGCCTTATGTTGCAGCGTTGGATGGGGTGATTTCGATGAGGAATGGCTATGTAGGGAGGGCGCTCGGTGGTGGGTTGCAGTGTGCCTCGGTGGATGGAGGGTAGGCGGCGAGGGCGCATTGGAAGAATGAGCCGACGGCGTCTGTGGCGCAAATATGAAGAACTTTATGAAGGCTCCGATCAGTAGAACGATTGTCAGCTGTCCCAGAAAGAAGCCCTGGGTGAAGGTGAGGGTGGAAGACATGACCGAGGTCGCGAGGATGTTGAGGAAGTGGTCGCGACGCGAAGGTTGCGGGCTCGACACCAAGTATCTGTGCTCATTCCGGTCGTCCTATCGTAGTCCTCCAGCTTGTGGCCATTGTTTGGGGTTCACTGTCACCGCAGTTCTCTCCTGCTCGCCAACAGACTGTACACCATATACACAGCGGGCCACTGACGCGGTCGGATTTTGCAGCGCTTGTGGATCAGCAACGTTAAGCATAACTTTTAGGCATAGGCCTGCATCTCTGGGCTGTCGTCATTGTAGCCCTTGTACAGGTTCGCGAGGGGCAGGGCGAATTAGCACTGCAGGGGCAACCTGGTGGGGCAAGTGCAACGCGCGGCGGCTCAACGAAGTACTTTGAAGGCCAGAACAAGCGAGCCAGCCGATCAATGTATTGCATATAATTATTGCCAGAAATTGATACCGGCGAGAGATGTCGTTTGGACGAATGCATTCAATTTGGGGAGGGGGGCCTGAGTTCGGAAGGGGAAAATCATAAAGGGCGGCTGCCGCGGAGCACAAAATTGAAGATGGCAGTCGTCCTTTATTACACCCCGAGGCCTCCCGTACTTTCATACTACTCAAGCCTACAATGGACATATTTTCTTCTATACCGCGTCTTCCCTTCCTATTTGCCTACGTCCTGCCAATATTTCTGTTGACAGTGTTCGTAATGTCGGTTGCCGATCCCCAGGGCCTGGCCAAAACCATGGGATTCAAAGCTTCACCCGAAAAGGGGCCCAATTTGTTCACCTACGCATTCGGGATTCGAGAGCTGTCACTAGCTGCGGCATTGTTAGCACTAATCGCCTACAACGAATGGCGAGCCGTTGCAATTCTCCTGGCTTGTATTGGCATCAACGGCACGGGTGACTTTCTCCTAGTCGGGCTGAAGGGCGAGGGATGGCTGCCAGCGTTCAAGACACACGGCATTCCAACATTGATCGGCTCCTGGGCGGTGTGGCAAATATGTCAAGAATTGTAGTAGAGCCGATTTGTGAATAACTCTGTTCAGCTCATCCTTCATTAGGATCGAGAATAAGGATGCTACTGTAATTGGGGCTCGTGTCTAGAAGACGGCCACTATTCCTCGAGACTCCATGCAGTCTAATAATGCAGACATCCACCCGTTTTCCGAACACCGTACCATGCAATGTAACCATGTCATCTGTACAAGTCGCTAGAACTTTCTCTCAGAAAACTCCGGAATAATGCTTAAGAGATAACGCGTTCTGTGCCGTGCGCGTCTTTCAAGTCGTGCTGCTGGGCTCAGACGGTTCCTCCTTGATGGCAGGGGTGGATGTGCCACTCTTCGGCTTTCCACTCTTGAGGATCGAATCGATAAGATCTTGCGTGGCTGCATTGCAGCTACGGTTCGAGATGTTGCTAGACGATCTAGCCAGCGGCGCACTCGTCACGGTCAGATTGACGCCGCTAGCAATCGAGCTGACAGTGCTTGCCCGACCGGTTGCAGCAAGACCTCTGATACTAGGAGCAGGAGTATTCTCTGGACTTTCACCTGGAGGAGACTCGCCAGTCGGGCTGGGAGTCGGCAGTGGAGTATGGGTGCTTGATCGAGGCCGAGTCACAGCGTACTGCGCGATGAAGTCGGTCTCCTCATCCGGATCGGGCCACGTAGCAAATTCGGTCTTGGTTAGAAAGGGATGATCCAGAAGCTGCTTCGCAGTCCACCGTTCCTCCGGGAGCCAGCAGATCATCTTCTTGGCGAAATCGATGAAAAGTTCGCGCTCCTCACCCTTCATGAATTTCTTGATCTGTGCATCCCACGTGCAACGAGCATTGATCAGCTTCGTTTTCCTGAGTTCACCTTTCTCATTGAAATAGGTAGCCGATGTTGATCCTCTCTCAAGCAGCTCTTTCGGTGGCGGGCCGAGAAGCGCGACCATAGCTCCGAGATGCTGGTCGGAGTGGTATTTCCCTGGCCCAGTTGCAATGACATCGAACAGGCCATCCTCTCCAACGATGTCCCACAGCATGACACCAAGGTTCCAGATGTCGGTTGGGTACGACCAACCCGCGGTGAGAATGACTTCCGGGGCTGTAAAGGCGTTGGACTGGATCGGCTTATTGTTCTCCTGATCTCCCCACTCGGCTAGGCCGATGTCGGTGATTTTGGCACTCTTGATGACCTCGTCAGTGGGTGCGACGCCAAAATCACTTCGCTCTTTGTAGATGATTCGACCATGGGAGTCTGGCATTTTCCGGGCTTGAGGATTCTTGATGAGGTCTTGGACAAAGTTTTCGAGAACTTCCGGGTTGCCTAATCCCATCATGATGTTGTCGGCCTTCAGGTCAGTATGGACAACACCGCTGGTGTGCATATAGTCCAGACCTAGGAGAAGAGAGGGCAGTAGCAGGCGTAGCTTGGCACCACTGAATCTCGCGTTGGGCCATCTCCTCATACACTCATCGATTGGCTCTCGAAGGACGTCGTACACGATGCAAAGATGCTCTGGGGAGCGATCAAGACCGTGCCGAGGACCTTTGATCCTGAAAGAATCAAGGGAGAACCGGACATGATTGTAGCCGGGATGAGTCGGATCTGCCGTAGCGAGGCGCTCGGAAATCTGTCGTCGAGATTTGAAATGCTCAGTCGACAGAGTGTTGACATTAATCTTGATGGTCACATATTTTCTGGAAGAGCTTGGAGTACTAATTGTTATCAGCAGGGTGTTGATGAGATAGAAAGAGTATGCTTACGCCTGAAGATCCTTCGCAAGCCACACGGTTGCAGTCATACCATGACCTAGCTTAGCCAGGAGTTTGTAGCGATTGTCGAGGATCTCATCGAGCTTGGCAGGGTAGAATGTAAGGGCATTGTACTTGGGGTTGTTCTCTTCGTCGATCTTGTCGTTGGAAGAAATGATCTTTACTTGTGGTGGCGTCACTGGCTTAGAACTGAACAAGTGCTTGACGCTTCTGCCATAGTCGTGCAAGTGGGACGTAGACCGATGAAGGACCCTGGAAGGCCGGTGCTCTGTTTCCATGGTGGTGGAACGCTGGTCACGTGCAGTACTCACACGTCTGAGAGTTGCAGCAGAGTCATTCTGGTCACCGGTAAAGGGTCGTTGTCTACCGTTGGGAGTGCGAGACATGGTGCATGTCGCTTCTGATGACGACTTTAATGTAGACGGGGGTCCGAGCGGCTCGTGCAGAGTAACTGAATAATCACAGAAAGCCAACGGCTGGTCGGAGAGCGAAACGCAAGGAAAGCTGCCGACAGAGTTTTGAAATCAGAGAATGAAGGCCGACTGCCGGTTGGCTTTCTGGACCTTCCTTGTCAGTTTTGTTTTGTGATCGAATTGTGCCAGAAGGGGCTCATAGTTGTAAGTTGGGCCAGAGTGGAGAGTGTGAGAGTAACGTACAAGAGTGGGAAGGCGAAATCTCCGTTGCAGCCAGGCTCTAGTACCGGCTAGCCGAACAGTCCGATGACCGCACGGGTGAGCGCCGGGTTTTTTCTCGTGTGGCGGCTTTTGAAAAGCTTTGCGGATAGGAAAGATGACTATCGGGATAATGTTCGATGGATAAAAGTAAGGACCCAGCACGTGGGGAAATGTGTGGAATTTTGATCAGAGGTTGAAGACCGGTTTCAGAGGTGGCAGCCACCTCAGGCGAGCTCAGTCGAACCCTAGCTGGACCGGTGGCTAGGGAGAGGTGATGGTCATGAGGTTCGTCTCGAGTCCTGCAGGAAAAGGAACTAAAGTAGAGCAACCAAGGAGCAGTTGCCTGTGGACCGGTAGTGGGCAATGGGGAAAGCGTCAGTCTGTAAAGCAATCAAAAGTGCCGCCCATTGGCAAGCCCAGTGAACCGACTGAACCGATTGAAGCCTACGCACAGGCACATGTCATGCCAAGCCTGGGCAGATCACGGCCTAAAATAATCGCGCATAGCCCTTTAAGCTGCTTCACCGCGCCTAAGTGTCGTATTTTCCAACAACAAAGTGTAACGCTAGTTTGTGTGTGTGTGTGTATCCCAGTCAGGGCTTGCTATGCGGGGGCATCGCCATTGTCCCACAAGCGCTGTTGCTCTCACCAAGGCGTCTTTCACCGCGATGAGGCTCTGCTGACCTGTATTTGTTGACCGACCAACAGGCTGTATGACCACTTATAGGCGTCTGATGCGCCTAATAGGTGACATTCCGGTGAGTGGGTACTCGATCCGTCCCTCGAAGTCGTATCAGGTACCTTAGGCAGCCCGACACATTCTCAGCACCGCAAATATGGCCTGCTGATCCTCGGTCTTTAAGTTATGTTGAAACGTGCGACTGGGGCCAGACGGACAGTGGCGTTGCGGGCCTTTCGGCCGAGCCTTATCTTGCCTCAGCATCAGGCTGATTTGGAGAACTGTTAATAGAAGAGAAGACCTGGACTAAACCAAGCAGTTAGGGTGGCAACCCTTGGACTTCGAGGTAGTCGGGCTGAAATAATCCACGGATCACGAAGTCCCAATACCGCAACACACGCCATTCGTGCCAGAACAGCTTCGATCAGGCTGTAGTTCAACAGTTCTGCTCAAGTTCGACCATCAAGACCGCTTTTCCTGGAGCAATTGGCTGCGGGAGCGTCGCATCTCAACATGCCGTATCTCTGTCGTGATGGGAACCTTCACAAGCAGGTGTACCACGACGAGAGCTCAGGCTACCACCAAGACGGAGCTCGTAACTGACAGTGATGATATCGGACCCCTACACCTGGACGAATGGACATCGGAAGACCGCTTTCCGCCAGCAGGTGGCGCCTCGGAGTCGACAAGGCAGTTCTTTGGTGATGGGACCTGACATCTCGTGCAATCAAGCATGATCGATGAGCATGCATCGTCCCACTCCTGGTGCAGCCTGGACAAGCCACAGGGTGGCAAGACAAGTACGGACTTAGGTGTTACCACTCCAGTCGAGTGAACTTGTCAGACTTGGCCGACACGGGCTCCTGAGTTCCAGGAATGCAAGCTCGCTGCAGTCACCAGGTCATGCTATCGACATGCTTCTGCTGACCGACACGGTCTTCCTACCACTTGGCCACAACGCAAAGAGTCACCTCGCTTTGGTAAGAACCATTCTTTGGCAGGTTTCGATTATCAAGAGCTGTTGAGAGATTTTGCAGCGTTTGAGTTTTGCATCTGGGCGATGGATATATGACCTGACCCATCAAGTCCCGTGTTCTTGACAGGTCGTTGATATGGTTCGGCACGAGGTGCGCCTTCAATGGTCCGCTATTGTCGTGTGCAGTCCATCCAACGAAGCCTTCTGTTCCACGCGGGGTTTGGGTCACTTGTTAGAGCAGACCTCCTCGAGCTTTAGCGTGAGATCTTCGCATCAGCGTTGACTGCGGTTACAGGTTTTGATGTTTAACGCGGGTGATGACAGCACTTCAGAGCGCACGAAGACCATCGGTGGCCGTGTAGGTTCACAATCTGGATGCTGATCTCGCCATTGTGCTTTCGAGGAGGTCAAGGATGACAATGGGTGGCACACCGACCTGGAGATTCTCTGCTTGGGTCTATGCATGGTGAGTCAATGTTCCAAAGACGACGATGAGGACGTCGTCTGTACTCAACCCAATAGCACTCACTGAAGAGACCGGTACCCTTTCGTCAATCTACCATTGATGCTGGCCGAGCTGGATGTGGCGGAGATATGGCCTTGTTCGATCTTCCCTGTGAACGTTTTTCTGGATCTTCAGCTCGTCGGTAAAGGAAATGCTTTCAGGACACCAACAAGCAATGGCCACCCTCTGGATACCAAGCATAAGCACAAGAACAAGTCCCGGTCAAAGTTGGCCTTGTCCTTGCTGGAGGATATTCAAGGTAATTGGTGCTGGGACGAGTGGTGGTGGAGCTCGTGGGCCAGAGCGTGGCAAGCAAGAGCGCAGCCTTGGCGTATCTGGCAGCATAGCTGCCATGCGTGTCGAACTCGAGTGCAGGCCCTAATCGATCAATAAGGGCCCCTTTGAACCTCACTGGGATTCCTCGAGGTTTGGTGATCCTCTCGTACTCTCTGGAGCTCAGTCGGGCTCTAAAATTATTGCTTTGTTCATCCCCAACGCACCTTTGCTCATTTCCTTGGTGCTGGAAGCGTGTGAACAACATCACCAGCATCTATTTAGCAGCGTGTGCTGGACTTTAGGCCGTTTCTATTTGACGGTAACATAGGGTGACCAACAACTTCTCCAATGCTCAATGCTCACACACCGTTATTGCGCAGCATGTGGAAGACGTCTGCTGGACTGGCCACGGATGGTGCAAAATGCAGCGCAATACAGGCCGTGCAAGTCGGCTCTTGCTAGGTCTCCTGTCTCAGCTGACTCGTGTCCAGACCTCGATACTGCCCTCGAATGCTCGGGAATCCCTCCATCCTTGATCCGAAATAAGCAAGAATGCTGCAGCAGAGCGAATCAGGTGTCGCATGGCAATAATGCCGTTGCCGCTCACTGTCTTCGTGGAGTTGTCTTGGACCGGAAATCTCTTCGACTACCGAGCGCGTTCCCTACACGACGCTTGATGGCCTTCGGACAGGCTGGAAAAGTTCAGAAAGAGATTCTTCAGAACACTTGCGTTTCTCATTTCGAGTTCAAAAAGCAGAACGTGGTCCAGACGTGCCCGTCAAGGCCCGCTGCCCACATTCTCGAATCGCGAGCGATCATTCGCCTTCCCTCCATCATGTCTCCGACGGCCACAGCACGGCTTTTCCATGCTGTAGAATTGCGTATGTAACACACGATTCCTCTAAGCTTGCTGTGGTGTCTGGAGGGGTCAACACTGGATGTGCATCGAACAATTCCAGAGCTCAGGGCCGACGGAAATATCTACAAGAACGCATGTACCTTTATGATGGCCAGCACCTGTAGCTTTTCATCTGTTGCTGGAAGACAGCCCTTGACTGTCCGTGAAGGTGCGCTCGAAGCCAGTCGCTCAGGAGGACTCTTGGCTACTACGTGAGTGAACTCGCCCTGGTGCTATGTCTAATCACGGGCAAGTCTTGCTCGTTGATGGCTCATGCTGAGCCCGGTGAGCCATGTGAGCCGTATGGCAGTCGTGCCAGCGGGTACGCGTTGAGCCAACAGCCACGCCAGCGCCCGAAGACAGGGACAATCATGAAGCATACACCGTCCTCTGTGTGAGCTAATATCCCTCGAGCTTCGACTGATGTCTTTCACCTCTTCTGTAGCTTTAACGGCTACGGCACTGCTTGGGCAATGTAGATTGCTGCAGTGAAGTGATGGCGCAAGGCTGTGAAAGGCTGAGTATTCAGGAGGTCTTGGCGCATCAAGTTCCCCCTTCTTGCGCTTCACTGCTTGGTGTCATAGAGCTTGGCCCGTCGCTTCACTATCTTGCGGTCTGTACTAATTGGACAAGCAGGGCATCAAAATACAATGGAGCACCAGTCAAGATGACCCTGTGTAGACCTGATCGTTGCCCTTGTTCAGTCAACTTCATCCTATCTCCTTCCCACCGGTGTCTCCTCTCCCATGCCGATGGTCTAGACTCTTGACAGCTTTTCCCGGTGCGCCAGAGGCTTTCTGTTCCGAATATCCCACGACACTGTCAAAGAAGCGAGCCAGGAGACTTGGGTGCTTCCCATAACGGCTGGATGGCACGCGGCTCAACACCAGTTGGGGCATATCATTCGACCCCATACTCCGAGGACGATGGGCATTCCTACGGCTTTTAACACTTTTTCATTGACACAGGATGGCATGACGTATAAATCTGGAACGATATAGAGCAGAAATCGGTAAAAGGCCTTCATCGAGTTCGGTGTCAACAGGTGAATTTATGTTAGCATGACCATTCCAAAGCCATATGTCCCAACCCAACAAGGCCAACCTTGAGGCGAATGATAAGTTGCTCAAGCCAACATCCGCGTTGACACTGCAGCGCCGTTACGGTAGGTTTGAAACGTCAAGATTTAAAGACGGCTACCATCTCACTCGTGCATGCTCTAAACGCTGCTCCTTACCAACTCAATACAGAACTCAGTCCACTGCCTACCCTCCTCGGTCTTCATGCCTGCAAGCACCTCCTTCTTGATCGCAGCTTCCACGCTCCGCCTGTACCGAGTCTCATACTGCGCCTTCACCTTTTCCAAGTGCTTTGGCTCCCAATGCAGCCGCACCAGTCTCGAGATCAGCAATTCCGCCCGCTCCTTCCCCGGCGCCGTCTCCGCAATAGCCTGATGCAGCAGCAACGCATCACGCATCGGCCGGTTCAGCGCGCCATTCAGCACGTGCGCCAGCGTTTCACCCACCAGGTTGCGGGATTTCTCGATCATGGCGCGCGCGAAATTCACTTCGTACGCCTTCTCAAACGCGCGCAGCACCTCGCGCAAATGCGCGTCGCTGCGCACCACGATGATCTCGATCATGGCTGTCTCGCCACCAGGCGACGCCAAGGCGCGATACAAGTCCTTACAGTCCGCCATCACGAGCCTCGAATCGAGGGGCGTCTGCTCCGGCATCCTTCGTTCCTCCAGCGCCAGTAGAATCGCGGTGCGGAACTTATCGGCCTTCAGTTCGGCCTTCATGCAGCGCTCCAAGTCGTCAGCATAACGCTTATCCTTGAAGCAGTTCTTGATTTCGCGGATATCGCTATTCGTGCGTCCCATCAAGGACTCAATGAGGAGCTCTCGCCGCGTGGCACCACCCTGGTACCAGCTGTTAGCCCAGTAGGCTTCTGATTCCCAGCGGCCGAGGGCGGTGGCATAGCAAGCTTTGCCTAGATTGCCGGGCACGCGCATCTTGATATGTTTGGCGATATTGATGCCTTGCCCACCGACTTTAGCCACGCTCTGGTTATGGTCAGCGATTTGCAGAAGTGCGTGCCTGGGTGGAAATACCTTGTAAGAGAGACGAAGCGCCATGATATCGTCATCAGAGAGGTAAGGGAGGATCTGGATCAGTGGTTTGACTTTGGGGGGACGCTGGGTGCCTTCCAATGCAGCCGCAATACGCTTTGCATCGTCATCGGCATCGTAGAAGGTGACTCGCTTCTTTCTCACACTGTTAGGAGATACCATCATGGAGGAGATATCGGAAACATTCGAATCGGCCCTGTCTCGTGGGGCTATCGTCTGATATTGAATGTCATCTTCCCTGGAAGACCGCGGATTCGTCTCCTTGGCTCTGTCGCGATCTTTGCCCTCGCCCTTTCCTCGGCTGCTTCCCTTTGACCGTTCCTTCTCCTGCTCGAGCTTCTTGATCTTACGCTTCAGGTCAGCGTTGGGATCTCGTGGGTCAATGTCATCATCCGACGCCCCCTCCAGGTCGAAGTCGGAAAGATCTGAATCATCCTTGTGCTTGCTCAGCACAAGGGCAGACGGCATAGGCGACATAGACTGATAGGTACCCTTGTACGCTTCGAGCAGGGGTGATGCAGGCGGCTTGCCATCGCCTCCCATGGCGTGCTGGGCCACACCAAGAGTGGCAGCACCGGTAGCGCCTCCGATCGCAAGCTTCCCGAGCTTCTTTGTGGTGCTTTCTTCTGGTGGTGGGCCATACCTGTCATTGTGGTAGTCTTTCTGCCGCTTGTCTCGAGGATCTTCGTCACGCCTTCGCTCGCGACGCTCCTCCCTACGATCGTCTCGTCTCTCGTCTCTGCGATCTTCCTTCCGCTCATGGCGGTCACCGTTATATCGTTTGTCCTTTCTGTCATCTTCATCGGAATCATCATCATCATCATCATCGTATCGCCGGTCCTTGGATGGCTTCCGGCGGTCACGGTCCCCGTCTGATGGTTTGATTTCCATCATTTGGGCCTGGCCATTGGCATCGTACGTCTTCACGTACTGCTTTCCATTTTCGCGTGGGTCGTTGCGCCGATAGTTGACAGGGATAGACTCGGGCGGAGCATGTTGAAATTGATCTGGCGGCTCGTATCGAGAGCTGGGTGGTGGCCCACTGAATGATCCTGGCCGCTGCGGTGCTGCAGGCTGAGGAAGGTATTGGCCTTGTGGAGGAGCAAATCGAGGATCACCGGAAACATAGCTCATGTGCCTTGCATCCTGGTAGCCATTTTGAGCTGGATGATAGCCAGGAGGGTATCCAGGAGGGTATCCAGGAGGGTACCCATATGCCCCAGGAGGTGCGTGACCATTCAGAGCCCGCTCTGCTTCCTTTCTATCACGCCTCGTCCTGGACTTATCTACATCGTCGGACTCGGTCGAATCACTTTCATACGCCTGCTTCCTCCTTGATTTTTCCTTCCTGCGACGCTCTTCGTCCGAACCATCCGTCCGCTTTTTTTCTCTCCGCTTGTCATACTTTCTATCATCGTCTGATGGCGAGGGTTCTCTCCTGTACGACTTGGACGTCTTCGAAGGCTTGTACCGATCACCATCTCCGACATCTTCATCAGAGTATTTTTTCGAGCTCTTTCGGCCACCCCGACGTCGATCGTCGTCCTCGTCTTCATAGCGCCTGCTCGACTTGCTCTTTCGACGCCTTCGATCGTCTTCGTCCTCTGATTCCTCGCTCTCGCTCTCCGAGTATTTATTGGATCTGCGCTCCGGTCTCGCCGGAGACGGAGCGCGGGCGTCACGCGAGCGCGAGCGGGATCGGTCCCTATCTCGTCCACTCGGAGATTTCGACCTGCTCCGACGATCATCACGCACTGACAGCATGGACGACATAGTGGCAGAGCCCGCAACACCGATTCACGCCACGGAAAGGTCGGTCAGAGGAGCAGAGCGACCGCAGACGAGAGGAGACGTGTATAATGCAGCGTCAATCCATCGCGCGCTCTGCTGGTGAGCTACGACTGGTCAAACAGCAGCATCCCAGCCCAACCGGTCAAAGCTGCACCTACTATTGGGTCCCAGCCGTCCGATATGCACGCGGCGCGGCTTGATTACAAGGGGTTTCATGCAGCTCGAAATTGGGCTGAACTCTCCAGCCTTGTTCGTCCGAGAGCGCGCGCCCCTCCAATGTTGCCCCGCAAGCTTGCCTCGCCTGGTCGTCGACCCCCAACCCCGGAGTCCATGACCGATGCATATTCATGCCAAACCCTCGGAGAAGAGGGTCGCGTACGTATCATGTACGCATCTAGTGGGAGCTTAAGTGGCTCACGATAGGTCTCGGAGCCGCACAATCTGCTCAGGCCCTTTATAGGCAAGTTGCGGGTGAATCTAGTCTCATAGCCCGTTGGTCTTAACAGTAAAAGACCACTACAATGCTGTTAACCCACTTTCGTCGCGCTACTATTTTGCCAGGTCGCTTGTCAAGACTACACCAGTCACGTCGCACGGTGCGGACGCTCCCTTCTTTCAGCCTGGAAGGCAAAGTGGCAGTCGTGACAGGTGCTGGGCGTGGACTCGGGCACGAGTTCCTGACCGGATTCGCCCTCTCTGGGGCCCGGGGCGCTTGCATAGACCTCACACAGCAGACTTCAGACGCTTCCATAGCGACCATCCGAGACAAGGTGAAGCAAGCGCAGCCCGACCTACCCGTGCCAACACTGCAAGGCTACGCGTGCGACGCAACAATCGAGTCCAACGTGAAAGCCACGGTCGACCAAATCCTCGCCGACTTCGGCCAGATCGACGTCCTCGTGACGGCCGCGGGCATGGTCGACAACGTCGAAGCCGAGAACTACGACTACGCCCGCTGGCGACGCATGCTGGACATCAACCTGGACGGCACCTTCATGACGGCGCGCGAGGTCGGCAAGCACATGATCGCGCGGGGCGTCAGGGGCTGCTCCATCATCCTCGTCGCGAGCATGACGGCCACGGCTTGTCCCAAGCCGCAGAAACAGGCCGCGTACAACGCGAGCAAGGGCGCCGTCGTCATGCTGGCCAAGTCGCTGGCCACGGAATGGGCTCCCCACGGCATCCGCGTCAACAGCTTGAGTCCCGGTTACACGCGGACGCCGCTGATACGGGGGCTACTGGAGAGTGATGGAAGGAGGGACTTGGTCGATTCCTGGAACGCGGATATCCCCATAGGCAGGATCGCGGAGCCGCACGAGATGATGGGCCCGGCGGTGTGGATGGCGAGCGATGCGAGCAGCTACTTGACCGGCAGCGACGTGGTGAGCTTCTTCTTCTTCTTCTTCTGTTCCTCCTCAAATGCGATCGAGAGTCGTCTCGCTGACTGAGTAGGTAGGTTGTTGATGGTGGGTATTGCGCATGGTAGGTAGCACCTTCACGTCAAAAGCAGCATGCATGGCGAACATAGCTATAGCGACTGATGCAAGTCAGTCATCAATCGGAGGCAAAAGGATGCGAAACAAGACCAAGACGGAGTCGCAAAGATGCGTGGTTATACACTGTATACCAATAGCCAAAACCCCCGATATGACCACTATGTATAATTCCGGTCTGATCCGCCAACACCGTGCCGGATATCAATACTTTGTCGTGCAATAATGGTACAGTACCGTGTACAGGCTTTCCAATCGATCTGCTGCCATTCGCGCCCCGAAAGGTCCAAGATCGCGCCATGCCAATGCAATAATGCGAATAATGCAAGTAATGATAATCGTAAAACTCTGGGCTCTTACACCGTAGCAATACACACAGCCCGATCGTTCCATAATGATGCCACTCACTCCTTTGTGCAATACCAATATCTTTCTCATCCTTCGTCTCTCTCTGTGACGCTCCCTCTTTTCGAAATTAATCATAGTGTGCGTAGTAAGCATCCACGGTGTGAATCGCCAGCGCGCCGAACTTTCCAAACTTCATTCTACGGAGGCGTGGCCTTGCCGTAGCCGGATGAAAGTAGATTCGAGGGTCCTAGTCTCTTCTTGATCTTGGAAGTGTATTGTGTTCTTCGGTGACTTCACTTTCTTCGATTAGAGCGCTGTCGTATCTCTCGTCAGGCCCGTCAATTTGGCGGAAACCGGCTTGGGTACCGGTCGCAACATCCGCAATCTGCTGCTGAGGGTTGAATACATGCAAGTCGGCATTTCTCCTGCCTCGCTCTCTCTCCAACTCCATTCTGAGAGCGTCATTGACTTCGTCTCTCTCTTCAAGTCGCTTCCTCATGCCAGTACGGTCGATCAATCGAGCTTCTCTCTCGGCCTTGAGGCGTCGTTCTAGCTCACGCAGACGATGGATCCACTTCTCCTGTCCAGGTCCGCCAGCACCATTGTTCAGGCTTCCAATATCAATGCCAGAGGCATTGCTGGGAGCAGTGGGGGGAAGCGGCGCAGGCTCTCTAGGTGGCATAGAGAAATTGCCATTTGCGGGAATACTCATATTTCCCGAGGGAACCATGAGGCCCCGTCGCTCATCGAGAGTGCGATCGTTGGTAATGATGTAGCCGGAATTCCTGCTGGATATCGAGTTTGAGCGCATCGAACGCACCTCGGGAGTGTCGTTGACCGAGGCAAGGTGTTCAACGATATTCGTGGTGTGATGGCGCTCGAGATTTGGGGCTTGGCTTGCTCTACGTACGCTGGATGAGCGTGGCGGTAGGCCAACAGCGCCCTCAATGATGGGCATACCATCATTGGACATTGCACCACCGGAGCGTAGCGAGGTACGACTTTCGGGTCGATGCTGACGCGAACTATGGCGATGATGTTGCTGCTGGTAGAGGGCTAGCTCGGCCTTTAGTAGGCGGTTCTCGCCTTTGAGCTTGCTAACTTCATTGGACACACCGGAACGAGCGCTGCTGGAACGGGAAGGACCGTCGTCACCGAATTTGGCCTTCATTCTCTCCCAGGCTTCTTCGATGCGCTCAAGCCTCTTGGTTCGGAGTTCGAGTGTGTGCTCCAGTCCTCGATAGTCTTTGTAGAGATCTCTCTCTACGCGCTTGATCTTATCTTTGAATGAAGCGAACACCCCCTCCACTTGCTTGGCGGCCAGCATGATATTGCGGCTGAAGCCAGGCCAGAAGAGCATGTTGCCAATCACCTCTTGCGATGGGAGATTCCCGTTGATGAGGCTGTTATTGTGAGCCCAATCTGGTCCGCAAAGGGCGGACATTTTCTTCCACAGGTCCAACAGTAATTTGTTTCTGTCGGCTAGTTGGTCTTTGTATTGATTCTCAAGCTGTGTGAGACGTCTGCGGTCGCTGGAACGGGCATGCTCCAGCTCATTGATCCTGGCACTGTTGGCGGTCATGGCGCGTGTGGCCTGCTGTTGAGCTCTGAGCGCTTGCTCGAACGAGTGCTTATCCTGTCTGCGGCCGGTTCGCTCGCGATCAAGCGCGTCTTGCAGTCTACGGCATTCGTGACTGCTGTTCTCCAGGAGGTCGTCTCGGTTCGCATTTACGCTGTGGAGTTCCTCGAGACGACGACGAGTAGATTCCAGATCGATAGTCACAGTCTCAAGGTCGTGGGCCATCTTGTCGACAGCAGTAATGAGGCTAGCTCTGCTGGCACTGGGATCGTGAATGATATCTCGGAGGCTTTCTTCGATCCCCTCCGCTTTCTCCTTCCACGCAGACAGCTCGATGTCACGCGAGGACAGAGTTTTACGAGTTTGTCGCACCTCTTCTGTCAATTGGCCGACTTGCTGATTGAGACCAGTAATCATCTTCTGGACGTCCTTGTCCTTCTTGCTGGCGATCATATCTCGCTGTTGCCGCTCCTCATTGATGCGGTGCTCAAGATCGCGGGATTTCTCTCTCTCCATGTCGAGATTGAGATGCACCTTCTTCAGGAGTGACTCGAGATCTCCGATCTTTATTTTGTCTCCATCCTGCTCCTCGCGCAAGAAGGCAATCTCGTTATGACTGCTCTCTTGCTGGACAGTCAGGCGCTGAATCTTACTGTCATTTTCAGCAAGAGACTTCTCCATGCTCTCGATCTCGCGGTTTGCGTCATCGAGTTCACCTTTGACGCTCTGGTAGCGTGCGAGATTTTGCTGAGCGTCATCTTCGAGGCGCACAAGACCTTCGCTCGCAGAATGCAGCTCGCTTCGTAAGGCCGACAAATTGTCCTCGGAAGCTTGAAGTCGCTGCTCGAGCTCTTCAATCTCTTTGTTTTTCGCATCAAGATCGTCACCGAAGGCGTCGAGTTCAGTCTGAGCCTCTTCCCTAAGAGCTTGGAAAGCTTGCTCATGTTCTTCAGCTGCTTGCAAAGCAACATCTCGCTCCCCAGCAAGCGCTTCTAGTTCTTGGTTGAATGTTTTCGCATCAGCTTCAGCCTGGAGATCAATGGCTTCGAGCTCTTGGAGGGCTTCTTCCACTTCCGCCGACAGCTGTTGCTTGTCCATTTTGAGTTGACTGTTCTCATCGCGCAGCTCATTGATGTAGTTTTCAAGCTCCTCCCTCTCTTGGTCGGTGAAAAGTTTGGTGCCATTGCTGGAGTGAGAGCGAGCGCGTGAAGCAGATCGATCGAGAATGCTGTCGCCAGCTACCGAACGACCGCCTCCCATACGAAGCTTCAGATCCTCGATTTCTTGATAGAGACGCTCCTTCTCCTTATTGCGGGAGGTGAGCGCCGAGGCCTGAGCGCTGATAGTCTTCTGCAATTCCGAAACCTCATGTCGGAGGCGCTCAAGCTCAGCACTTTGGGCTTGGAGAGTATCACCGCTGCTGGCACGAGAGATAACGGAAGTCGCGCCGTGGCCTCTGCGAGGTCGGCTTTGGACCACACTCAAAGTGTCCTGCTTCAGCTTGGCAACTTCTTCTCGGAGCTTTCGGTTTGCCTCATCAGCTTGCTCTCGAGCAATGCTTTCAGCTTCGAGCATATCCTTCCACATATCTCTCTCCTCTCTAGACCCAACATCGCTTGTGCCACGGCTGTTCTCGCCAAGAGAGCGTACCATCTCTGCTAAGCGACGCTTTTCACCTTCCTTGGCGATGTTCTCGGCGCGAAGTTTCGTTACTTCAATCTCGGTTGTTTCGACCCGTTCACGAAGGTATAAGACTTCCTCCTCCATAGTCGGACTCCGCTCGTCATCGGTGCCATAGCCTTGATCGGACCTGGGAGAGTTCTGGGCGTTACTTTCTTCAAGTTTCCTTTGTAGCTCCCTGTTCTGCTTTCGCAGGGTATGGTTCTCCTTCTCAAGACGCATGCGATCGCTCTTCAACTGCACATTCTCTGTAATCATCTCCTTTACGCCGTCATCCGATCTTTTCAGGAGGGCTTCGTTGAGGAAGTGGATCTTCATCTTCAAATCGAAGTTTTCTTTAGAATATTTCTCCACAGTACTTCGATGCTCTTTGAGAGTCAGACCTTTCTTGGGAGCCGGGGTCATTCCAGCCATCGACAGCGTCTTGCTGGGCGAGATGTCACGCTCTTGTCTGTACTGGCGGGCGAATGTGCCGGGGACCTCTATTCCACGGACATTCTCTGCAATGACGGTATCGGTAGGCATGACAATGGCAGGTTGGCGAGGAGTTTCCGGGCCGGTGGGCGTACGCCGAGAGTCATTGTTGGACTTGGGGCTCTCCTCTGGCAGGGTAGACAAGTCAGGATTGAAGGTCTGGGAGGGTCGACTCTCATCATCGCTCAATGCTATGCCCGATGCCATACTACCCAAACTCGTTTGACGTGAGATGGTGAGCTGTTCGTCGCGTCGCCTGCGTCGTTTCTCCGGAACCGCCCCGCCTGATTGCAAGGCATAGTCGGCGCCCAAGGTAGCATCACTGGCATCGGTAGTAGAGCTTGCAATGGAGTCGTAGGATAGTCTTGCCGTAGACGAGCGGCTGTTGAGGTATCTGGGTCTTCGGCTCTTATTTGCGGCGACATTTTCAGTGCTCATATTGGCACCATCGGCACCGGCACCAGGCACCGCGAGAAATGCTCCAGCAGACGGATCCAGAGTAGGCTTTCTGGGAGTAGGCTCATCTTCCTCGTCATCAATACTGTCATGCGCGGTCGCGGTTGGTTTCTTCGACGGCGACTCGGGTAATTCGCTTTCTTCTGCTGCGGTCTCGTAGCCGCCGATCGTCGCGAGCGACTGCACCCGAGAAACAGTCCTTGCTACAGTCATGGGTGAAGAGGACATATTTTCGAGCGCCGATGTGTTGGGCGCATCTGGGTTCGTAATCCTGGATTCATCGGGAACGGCAAAGCCGCTCTGATCTAGATGCGGTGTCTTATAGGTGCCTTCCGGGGTGCGAGGGGATTCAGCTTGCGCGTTCTCTTTTCGAGATTCTGTGCTAATGTCACGAAACGCAGATGTCACATCGATGGGATTTGGACGTTTGCGAATAGCGATATTGTCGTTTGGAACACCGAACATGAATGTGTCATCGGCGCCCGTGGTATGGCCATTGACTGGGGCCATATGGGAGATTTCTGGAAGGAAACTGGACTCGACATCGGCCAACTTTCGGTTCATTTCTCGCTCCTCCAGCATGGTGTTGTTGGGCAGTTCCATACCGCTGGCTGTGGTCTTGTCAAGAAGGCTGCTTGGTTCGTCTGGGCCGGGGAGAAACGAAGAAATGTGGGAAGACCCATCATCGTGGGAGGGCGTATGATCCATGGCTTGGGTGTTGTTGTTCACATCATCTTCCTCAGGCTCGAATTCGCCAGGCATTCGAGATGAGCGACGCTCAAATGGCGGACTCGACCGGACAAAGGAGGAAGACATGCTGTCGGTCGAGTCGCAATGACATTTGCGCTAGAATGTAGGTAGGGGAGTGGATCTAGAACGCGTTGACAGGCGTCGGGCACGGCAAGGTGGAAAGTCGACGCGGTGGGTGATGCTATTGTTTGGGTAGATTCGATACGCGTGCGAACGTCACGATGAATAGTCGCCGTGGTAAGAAATGTTCTCTAGCAGCTGATCCGAGCCACATCTATCGGTACGCCTGCGTGAAACTCGAGGGGAATATTAGTGGCAGCCGTAACGGGGGGAAACAGGTTCGCTTGTGAATGGTGAGGCAGACCAACGACGCCGAAGCGCAGGCGGAGTCGCGCCCAAGCTTGGCACTAAACTCAAAGGGAAGGGGCGACTTCGCTTGGGGTTGCCGCCCGGGAAAGGCAGACGAAAATAGGGGTGCTTCGTACATATCACCTGGGTACAGCTTGGTCGTCGTGCTTCTTAATTCGTACTACAAGTATATGGGTACTTGACAACTGCATGGCACCATGGCATGCTCAAGCGCATTCGTCTCTTGAAGTCACCACTCGCGCCCACGTGCTCATATCGTAAGTCATCAGCCCATAAGAACTAACATATCGACATAGTAATACACCTTGGCCTCACTGCTGGCCGAGAAGGTTGTTGAGGTCGTCTTGAACCTGTCGATTCTCCTCCTCCTGCTTCCTCATCTTGTGAATTCGTTCCTTCGTAGCCTGCGCATTCTGTAGTGTGTCAATGTACGTTCTGAACTTGACAATCTCCCGCAATAGGTAGCTGCTTTTCTTCTCCCAATTGTTCATCGCTTTGCTCGCGTTGATATGTCTGGACGAGTACGCCAGCTGCATCGGAGCCCGGAGCTCATTGTGTTTCTGAAGCTCTTCTTCCACACCATGCACGTATGCCTGCAAAGCCCGCAGCTGATCGACCTCCAGCAGCTGCGACGCAAACATCGACTGCTGAGGGGGGTTCCATTCATTGATGTAGGCGCGGTCGCCTGCTAATTTCGGCCTCACTGTACCGTTCTGATCGATCGAGCTACGGATTGACATTTGCGTGCTGGGTCGGGAGCCGCTGCTACTGCCCGTCGCGCGAGATGAGTCCGAATTAATGAGTGCGCGATTGATGACTGCGTCACTCCAACCGTACTCCATGTTGCTAACGCCGCCCATCATAGGCTCTTTAGACAGGCGCGCACTCCAGAAATTGGCCGTACAGACAAATTCCTTGACGATATCCGGAGTGCCGACAGAAAAAAGGTGCACAGCTCCTGTGGGAAGGCTGAGAGCCCATACGTAAGGTCTCGTTTTGGAGTATCCTGGCGGCGGTAGAGCACTGGCGATGGCGTGTCGCAGCATGAATTTCCACACCTCTTCGGCGTTGTCTTGCCAATTGCCACCACCCACCACACCGCTGGTTTTCTGGCTTTTTGCTTTCGTGCGCAATGATTTGGCCGTCATCGAAAATGAGAAGAGACGCATCCATCCACGTTCGATGACCGCGAAACAGTCGTTCCAGTTACGATCTTTCGACCGCTTGTCAACGCCTTCTAGATGACACTTGTGCTTCAGAATACCTTCCTTAGCCCACGGCGCCCCGGAAAGCTCGAGAGACTCGTCCTCCAGAAGAGGACCGGCTTTCATACCACCTTCGTCCGAATTGATCTCGAATTGATCTTCTCGTATGATGGCTTGGCTCAAGGCGTTGGCAAATCCGATAGATGACTGATAATCGCCGTGGGTAGCTTCAGTGCCAAAGGAGTCTACTGACATAGAGGTTAACGTCTTCCCCAGCGACACCTTGCTCCAGGTACTTGACAACGACGGGCTCCACGTTGACGACTGCTCATCTAGGCTGGTCCTACTAGAGCCAAAGCCTGGCGCCGATGGTAGCCTCGGCCGCGATCTAGCCTTTGTCGCCCACCGGGTTCCCAGAGACTTGCTCTCTGGCGCGTAGCGTGGTCGATTCATGTCTGAATGGGCCTTACTAATGGTGCTGGGTGTTCGCCTCAACATATTGGCACCCAGACTGAGTAGATTTTCCTTTGCTGGGGCTGAAGCAGCCGTCTCTGTAGATCCGAAGAGCGGCAATGGTTGCTGCGAGATTGAAGTATAGAACGCACGAAGCACAGCCTCGATCTGAGCCTCCCAGCCACGTTCTGATCCATTGTACGGCGCATCAATCAGTGGACCACCCGTGGCATTGACATCGACATCAGCCGAGTCCTCGCGGGCAAGGCGGTCGACCGGGCGCTTTGACAGACGCATCGTGGATTCTGCATCGGTTGAGGATGGCCGACCATGCTCGGCTATCGGGGAGGGTCTAGAGCCCGCTTTCAGATAGTCCGCTTCGGAGTTTTCGTCGCCCACTCCCATGATGGTGGGCAGTGCATTACGCACGAATTGGTTCTTCGTCATCTTCTGGCCAATATCTGCCAAGTGCAAGTCCGTGTTGAGAAGCAGAATAGAATAGCAAATGGTGTGGACCACGTCGCTAGACTTGAACCCATGTGTCCGGTTGCAAGCACACCAGCGTTGAGCAAATGCCAACAGCAACCGATCCATTTGCTGTGTCTCGCCTTTCAGAATGATAGTGTCACAGAGTCTGCGCAAAGATACGAGTATGTTTATGTGCGTGAAGTCAAACAGCTCCATAAACGCAGAACGAACCTTCTCCCTCTCTGGGCCTGCTTCCCCCAGCCAAGCTGCTGCGACATCTTGACCAAGCAGCTCATCGGAATTGTCAAAGATCTTTCGCGCTTTGACGGTGGGTGATTCTGTAGGTTGACCGCTGATGCTAGGATGAGATACGTGCACGGTGAGAGGGGGCTTCTTGGCTTCGGTTGGTACAGGTGTGCTCGGCGCAGAACGGTAGTCGCTGACAGGAGACGTAGATGGTGGAGAACCACGTGACGTCTGTAATGGCATGTCAAGAGTCGATGAGACATTGCTGCTGGTGGACACATTTCGGCTGTTCTGGCCGTTGGACGCTGCACGCCCTACAGCCAAATCGCCGGTCACAGAGCTCCATGATGACTGTCTGTCGGTTACTTTGGGGCGCTGGACAGCACCAAGCATCGGCGTGGGCGAATCAGTCCTCGACGAAGTATATGAGGCAGATGGCTTTCCGTGTTGGCTGAAATTTGATGCTGGGCTCGGGTCACGAGGCGAAGGTCGGGCACTGCGTTCGGTACTGCTACTATCGGCCAGAAAAGAATCCTGGTGAGGCACTCCGAGTGTTGAGATCTGTCTGATGGTCTGAGCATCCGTTCGCGATCCGTGCCGGCGATGAGACCCAGTTGTTGGAGTTCTTGTCCCGTCCTCGTTCGGAATCCCTATATTAGGGGTGTGAAAGCTGTCTTTAGACCCAGCCCGCTGTTTCATTGGAGGGTCTGATTCGTTGTTGACAAGGTAAGGGTCCATGAAAGCTCTCAAGCTGCTAATGGGGCTTGGTTCGCCCATGATTGCTGCCGAGTGGTGGTCTGTAGTAAGAGTCAGGGGCAGAGGCGGAGGCGGCGTGTTTGAGATCGACTTTTTGCGCCGTCTGAAGAAGGATGATGGCTTCTTGCTCAAAATCGGATGCTGGTTTTCTTTGTTGGCAGACAGCTCGGTTGATGTCCTCGTAGGTTTGTGCAGCTTTGATGAAGGAGTGCTCAACTCCTGCGAGGGCCTGGAGGGCTGTGCGCTTTGAAGAGCAGTTTCGTTGTGAGAAGCAGACCTCGAAGACCCAAATACTCGCCTAAAGAATCCGGGTTTGGGCGCAAATGCTGGCTCTTGAGGAGAGGGATTATCCGAGATCACGCCGGTCCGAACAGGCATCGGAGGTAGCGCCTCACCGGGCTTTGACTTGATGGCTGAAGTACCAAGAGTACCTGAGCGGCCTTTCCGAGCTACGGCACTTTTTGAGGATCGTGTACTGTTCTTTCGAACAGGAGGCTGAACAGGAAAGGCCGATTTCGAAGGGCTGCCCTGGCCGTCGGGACCAGCGGCTAAGACAGGCATGGCTGTAATTTCGGGACCGTCAGAGGTATTCAAGGTATTGGAGGGCCTTGAAGTTGAGCCAAAGTCGAAGCTACGAGATCTGCGGTTTCCTGCCGGACCCATCCGGCCAGTGAATGCAGCAAGATGGCCCAGGTCAATGCTTGAAGTAGTGCTATTGGCGCTGCCTTTCGTTGGTCGTCTAACTCTCGGCTTGGAGGGCCCCGCACGTTGTGCGTCGTAGACTTTCACGCGAACAGAGTCCTCATCTTCACCAAATATACTAGGTAGCTTCGCCAGGTTCTTCTGATATTTGGCACTGTCGCGTGGATTGACGCGTGGGAGACTTGACGTGATTGTGGGGGTGCGAATGTCGCCTTCAGAGGACACAGAGGATGAAAAAGTATGGCCCCGGACTCTTCCATCATTGTGTACGTAGCTGTTCGAGCGCGGAACATAGTTCGAAGACGGCGAGTCGAAGAAACCGGAAGAGAACTGGTCTAGTGCCAGGGCCATATTCTCGACCATGGACGCCCGAGGCGGCAGACTGGAAGAGAAGGAGAGGTCGTGTGGATCTTCCATGTCGACTGGGCTACTTCCTCGACCCCTGTCCTTTACAGCGTCCGCACGGACAGACTCTTCGGAGAAGTTGCCATGAGTATTCTTGACTGAGCGCAGGTGCTCGGGATCTGAGTTATGGACCATCCGGGTCCGTCGGGGGTTGCTGTGCGGCGAAGAGACCGAATCGCAGCGGTTATGGGCAGCCTTGGACGACTTGCGAGGGCTCGGGGTAATCTGGGAGGAAGGGGATAGTGCGGTGAGGGTCGGCATTGATCAGATTCTTGGTTCAGTGGCTCGATCGCGGTCGAAGGGGATACGCCAAAGGCGAGGGCCAATGCTCGTGGTAAGGTCTCGCCCATCTAAAGCGCCATAGAGTGCGGAGGCGCAGGCGATGGCACTTTAGAGCCCGCTTGTAGTGGCTTGAAGGACTCCGCTAGTCAAATCGCAAGAAATTCAGGAAGCGCAAAAGGGTTGTGGTACGGAGTACGTGCATTCAAGCACGTTGGAGGAGTACTGGACGGAGTACTGCAATGTTCCCACTCCTGCAGCTGCCAGGGCCAACTACCCCTGCATATTAAGGCGCTTGGCATTGACGCGTTAGCGCAGTCGGCTCCGTTGACGTGTCTCGCTTCGGGTAGATCGTCCGTCTGCAACAGTGCCTGATACAGGAGGTTTTACTGTGGTACTTTACCAGGTCATGTTGCTCGTTGTAGACTGCTCTTAACATAAGGCTCTAGGATATTCATCGCTCAAGAATTGAAGACCAAAATTGCCTAGCTGATTGTCATCCATTCGAGCGAAATAGACAGATCACGTATCTGTCACGGCACTACTTTCACTGCACGAAAACTATTTCCACCACGCTGTATCTTATCATGCCTCGCTCCCTTACCTGGGAAATGATGGCTCACAACACAGTGTGGATCGTAGAGTTGCTGTCGCCATGATTGCTCACAGCTTCTGGTGGAGATTTTCTGTCCCCTGTCAAGCCGCAATCTGGGGTTCCAAACAGCATGTTCTGCATGACTAGCCAAAAGCTACGGAGCGGGAGTTGCGGTACCTGACTTAGCCTCATCTGGACACCACCGTTGGGCACCAACCCGAGGCTGTGACAATTCACCGTACCAAGGTACTCCTGCCGTTTTTGAAACATTGTCTCGCTACATGTCTTCCATCTGGTGATTGACTCCGAATGATTGCGTGTACCCGCCGCAGACAGTGCAAGAGTGGTCGGTGAATGACGGCTGTAGACCGCCGCATGATGTACAAAAGATTACACAAACGCAGTCCCTGGACAGACTCTCGTTGACGATGCATTGTCCTGCCTAGCTCTTAACTCCCAGGAAAAGCCATCTCACACCCCACATCTCCAGGTTTATGCCCAGGATTGTGCAAACCAGCCAGATCCCAATCCACCCTAGCATTGGCGTCAGGAGTAGCTGCGTATGGTGTAGAAAGTGCAGAGCGTTGTAACCAAGAAAGATGATCAAACTCCAGTAGACCCCGGCTGCGAGGTAGAGCAAGTTGGCGAAAAATGTCGACACCCGGTTCGGATGGTTGATGGCCGGCATCAAGATGTACTGGACGATGTAGAGCAGCACATAAGGAGGAAAGAATGCCCTGATTGACACGTCAAAGCAGTATCCGAATTCCAGAGCGTCCGTTCCTCGCCCTCCTCCAGGCGGACCGAAGAGCCCTTGCTGCCTTCTGCGTCCAGGTAGGCCTGAGATGCCGGGGCCCAGCAGCCGGCCAACCACCAAGTATGATATTGCTGATACTGCGAGTGAACCGGCAAGGAAGTGGACAAATATAAACATGAGAGCCAGCTTCACCACTGACGAAAACGCCGGCGTATAGGCAAGCGACCAGGCGAATGAGGTTAGAAGAAGGAAGAAGGACAGGAGATAGGTGAAGGACGGATCTGGCCGGTGCCACGTATTTCGGGTTTCTTGGAGCAGTTAGTGAGCAACCTCATCATGCAGAGCTGATTTGACCAACGCTTGTGGTAGTATATTGACTTGAACACTTTCTTCGGCGCGATGAGTAGATGCGTCATCTCCCACACGGCCATCTCAAAGTCCATCTGTGGGAATTTGAACAGTCTAGCAGATCACAGTCAGCCTCATTCGTTTAGATCGGTCTCCAAACCTACCTTTTGAAGAAGCGTGGCAATCGAAATTCCGACCCTCTGCGGTCAGGCCCGAAAGATGCGCCATATTGACGAGAGGTCGCGATTCGGGGACTGCTCATCGGCTTGTCTGTGAAGTTGAAGTGGCCCGGGTCGGGTGCGCAGAAGACTGCAAGAGGAGCTGGCGTGTTACGAGGTGTACAGGCGAAGCAAACAGGAATGAAAGACAATTGAGATCAAACTGTCAATCTGATTGAAGACAGATGCGCAGCCGCGCTGGCGACAGGTAAGTGCCAAGGCCGCCTCGCGCAGTCGTCATTGGGAGCATACCTCGCCAGTACATCACTACAGCCACTACTGGCCTAAGACACGCACGGAGAATCACAAGTGGCACGAGAGATTCTGCATTCTACCTCTGTGGCGGCATTTGTGTCAATGCCGCTCGATCTAGCTCGAAGGTCCGGTAATCACCTTCTATGATGTTTGCCAGTAATGATGGCATATTTTCAGAAGACAGCCTCTTTTCCGACAATTTTCCAACTGTGTCATCCCATTGGCGCATCGCCTGAGATAGAATACTGCGTAGAGCGATGATCGTGGCTTGCATATCTCTGACCTTGACGACAGATTTTCCCAGGTTGTTCGAGGGGTCTGCCGGATCCTCGAGGTACATATACTGATACCCTGTACGCCTAAAATGCTGTTGAATGGGATTACTTGTATCCTCGAAATCAGTCTGGGTAAGGATTTTGAATGGAGTGATAGATATGCCTGTCGAATCGAAGTCGAGGTCGGAATACATCTCAAGGAAGTGGAGAAATTGGTCTGCAACGTCGCCCGAGCCGTGTTGTTCCTCATGGTCTTTCAGAGCCGCAACAATCATGTTGAGGAGCGGGTAAGAAGTAATTCCCCCCGACCATCCATTTGTCAGCCCCCGAACCGCCAATGCCTGTCTGACGACCATGAACAATCGCTTGAGGGTAGGATACTCGCGGATAAACGTCTTTGCGTACTCCGTCGTGTTGTATCCGACGTTGGTATGTTGTATCTGCATTTCCAAGCCCGAAGGTAAGTGGAAGACTCGAAGTATAGGCACTCGAGCCTTGCTGATCAAGAAGGACACCGCAAATTTGGATTTCAGAGAGGGCGTCTGTACACGTATCTGGCGCAAAACCCGAGCAAGCTTTCTCAATACTTGTAATGCCTGCGGGCGGTCCTCCACAACGTCGGGCCGTCGACTGTCTCTGGGCACGAGGTTGACATCGATATCAGAAAGAGGTGATGCGAGTCCAGTGGCTCGGGAACCCATGAGCTCTACTTTGAAATCTGTCATGCTATCACTGAGAGTCAACTCAAGATCGCTGACGACCTGCGCCACCACCTCTTCCTCTGCGACAGATGGTGTATAATATGAATCGAATGCCTCTATTTCCATAGCAAGCCTGGCTCGGCTGACGAGGGCTTTGGTGCGGACATCCTTGTCCACGCATATAAGCCATGGCAATCGGAATCTAGCAGGCACAGCGCCATGGAGCTCCCATTGAGTTGACAGAGGCGGTACTTCGCCACCTGGCCCAGTGACAGGCAATTCGTTGACAGGCACAACGAATTGCCTTTTCGATGGGACTGGGGGTCCTGGGCCCCGATCAGTCTGGGATGTATTTAGGTTCAGTCGCGGAAGGTCACTGGGATGCTCATCGTGTACATCTTGCTTCGTACGTTTCTTTTCCTCCTGCGGAACCACATCGTTGGGTCGCTCGTCAAGCGGAAGCCCCAGCAAGTTGGGCAGAGAGAGACGTTGACTATTGCCCGCCTCGTCGACTTTGCGAATGAGACGGGTCCGATTAGCAGCTTTGACTGCTTCGAGAGTATTACGGAGGCTGGAGGTGTCTATGAGGGCGGCATGCTCGTCTTCGATGGTGTGCCGATCGTTGTCTCGACTGCGCGAGGTTGGCCCGCGACCTGGTTGCGCGGTGGAGGTTTGCCGACCGGCCGAATTCAACGACCATCGACCAGGCGAGCGGATGCGACGGGCCAGAAACGAGGCGGTATCCCAGCTACATCTAGGCATACAGCAAGAATCAAAGGAGGTAACTTGCCGAGCAAAGCAAAGCCAAGGAGTACCTTGCTGAGCGAGCGGGAAGAAGTGAAGTCAGCGGTCGCCGGCCTAGTTTTCCGAGCTTTGCCCAGCGTCGCCAAACCTGACTTCACATGGCAAGAAGGTCTCAAAAGGTCTCCAAAACCACATGCTTTCCCTGGATCTTGATTCCGAACTCGATCGAGCTTTGTTGACCTTCCTCCGTTTCTGCAACGGTGTCTCTCGCTCATCATCTTTACACTGAACCATCTCATGCCGAAGATGGACAACGCTGTTCGCCTCAAGCTGTAAAAAGAAAGCGGTGCCGCGGCCACTGACTAACTTGAGCGCGCTCACGAAGAAGGAAACCCACAGCTCCACCACCTCTGTTCGATGAAAGTGACCAAAGGCTTCTTGTTCATTTGATTATTGCTTCTGCATCAATTTCGTTCGCTTCTTCCATGCGGCAATTCGACTATTCAGTCGGCGACTAAATTATTCGGCATCGTCCATTATCTGTTAGTGCTAAGGCTCTTTTACGCTGTCCGCTTTCACCCCGTCAACGCTCTTGTCTATCACGAAAATACAGCAGAACGCATCGTCCGAGCGCCATAGGCTTTTTTGCCTGTCCATATCCCTGAGCTTCTGAGCGTCTCGCTTCTGCATATGGTTGCTGTCACGAGGACACATTCCCGATCTGGCCCGGCCAACACGTGCCCAATCATCTCCCTCTCTCTCCTGTCTGCAGGCTAGCAATTCATACGTAGTCGACCAGCACCATGGCGACCGCAAGAGTGGGCGAAGGCCTGCCGTCCAGCGGCTCTGTGCCTCCTGATGTCGATGCCGCCATACCCCTCAACGACGGTGACCCTCAATCTCGCCATGAGTCTGAGCCCCGACCGGCCACATCATATTTCGCTAACACTCATGGCTTCGGCGGTTCGATTTCACCATCTGAGTCTGTTGCCGATGCCGCCAAAGGAGTCAAGACTGGCGCAGAACTCCTGCGTCGCCTCAGCCTAGCAGAGCCACACAAGCCGGAAACTTTCAACTTTAATCCTACCAAGGTCTACCCCGGGCTCAAACTTAGCGGCAACATCATCAGTGCTTCGATCTGCCTCCCTTATCAGTTCAAACATCAAGCCGGTGGAGACTGGAAGCTGTCGCCTCGCAAAGGAACTTCGGCTCTTTTCGACTCTTTCGAGTACATTGCGTCTGACAAGACGCCCTGGAACCATACCCTTGTCGGCTGGACGGGCGAGATCACACCCGTTCAGGAGAAGTACTACACCCCAAGCGCTCTCTCCTCTGCCAACCTTGCAAGAAACCAGACTCAGACCACGACTCCGTTTCAGTCAAGCAGACGGCCGTTAGCCGACGGCACAAAGGCTTCAGCTGCCTTGCCTCCCCCAGGTATGCAGGCACACGTCTACAACCCCGCGACGGATACCATCACGGTCACCAAGGCCGACAGGGACCGGTTGGACGAGCAGCTGCAGGCCGAATGTAGTGGGAAGATGGTGCCTATATGGCTTTCTGAAGATCATGAGGAGGGCATGGTAGATCTGAAGCTCAAAGACCAGGGCCGCTGGCGCCGTTACGCTGAGCACGAGCTCTACACACTTTTCCACTACCGTCAGCACGCACCGGACGATGGCCGGGCCGAAAAGGTCTCTTGGAACGACTATCTTCGCATGAATCAGATTTTCGCCGAGAAGATCATACAGACATATAAACCAGGCGACATCATCTGGATTCACGATTATCATCTTATGCTGCTGCCAAATTTCTTGCGCCAGAGGATACCCAATGCCTATATTGGCTTCTTCTTGCATATCCCCTTCCCGAGCTCGGAATATATGCGTTGTCTGCCGCGGCGGAAAGACGTTCTCAGTGGGCCGCTAGGAGCTACAATGATTGGTTTTCAATCGTACAACTTCGCACGCCACTTCAATTCCTGCTGCAAACGGATACTGGGGTTCGAGTCGAGCTCGGCTGGAGTCGATGCCTATGGTGCTCATGTTGCTGTTGACGTCTTTCCCATTGGCATCGATGTTGCAGCTGTACAAAAGGCAGCATTCGGAGATTCAGCGGTGCAAGAGAACATGACAGCGCTCAGACAGGTATACGCTGGGAAGAAGCTCATCGTGGGCCGAGATCGACTAGACACCGTTAGAGGCGTGTCACAGAAGCTTCAGGCCTTCGAAATCTTCCTCGATCGTTACCCAGAGTGGCGTGATAAGGTTGTCCTCATCCAAGTCACTTCCCCAACAAGCGTGCAGGAGGAAAAAGAAGACAGTGGCCACAAGATCGAGAGCAAGATATCGAGCCTAGTCTCCCGGATCAATGGAGAATTTGGATCACTCTCTCACACTCCAGTCCAACACTATCCACAGTACCTCGACACCGCGCAATACTTTGCCCTCCTGCGACTTGCAGATGTCGGTCTGATCACTTCCGTCCGTGATGGAATGAATACTACTTCCTTAGAGTACATCATCTGTCAGAAAGACCACTTTGGCCCGCTCATTCTTTCGGAGTTCTCTGGAACGGCATCATCACTCGCCAACGCCATACACATCAACCCTTGGGACCTCGGGAACGTCGCAGATACGCTGAATGAAGCTCTGCTCAAACCCAAAGCAGAAAAGAAAGCCGACCACGATAAATTGTACGATTATGTTACAACTCACACGGTCTCCACGTGGACGAACAACTACCTCAAGCGTCTGCTCACAAACCTCACATCTTTCTCTCAATTCGATCTGACTCCTGTACTCGATCGCAAGAAGCTGCTGTCGCGCTACCGCAATAGCTCTAAAAGACTTTTCATGTTCGACTACGACGGGACGCTTACGCCCATAGTGAAAGATCCAAACGCCGCTATCCCCACGGATCGGGTGCTTCGCACACTTAAGGCCCTCGCTGAAGACCCACGAAACAATGTTTGGATCATCTCCGGTCGCGACGCCAGCTTCTTGGAGGAATGGATGGGCCATATTTCGGAACTGGGTTTGTCTGCCGAGCACGGTTGCTTTCTTCGGCGGCCTGGGTCCGAGACCTGGGAGAATCTCACCGAGAGCATGGATATGTCATGGCAGAAAGAGGTTTTCGATGTCTTCTCACATTATACCGAGCGAACTCCCGGCAGCTGGATCGAGCGGAAGCGCGTGGCACTGACGTGGCACTACCGGCAAGTAGACCCCGACTTTGGCTCACATCAGGCTCGGGAATGCACAAAGGTGCTCCAAGACGGAGTCGCTAAGAAGTGGGAAGTGGAAGTGATGAGTGGCAAGGCGAACTTGGAAGTGAGGCCGACATTCGTCAATAAGGGCTTCATCGCCAACCGCTTGGTCAGTGAATACGGATATCAGGACGGTGGCGAGCCTCCCGGGTTTGTACTTTGCCTGGGCGATGACACGACTGACGAACGTAAGTTCCAACGCTTTCTTGATCTACTGGTTGATCCAAATTTGCTAACAGCACCGAAAAGACATGTTTGAAGCCCTCCAGAACTCAAAGCTCCCGCGCGAGCATATCTTTGCCTGCACGGTCGGCGCGAGCAGCAAACGCACAAAAGCCACCTACCACGTCCTCGAGCCGGCAGACGTCATTGCAGCCGTGAGCAGCTTGGTGAAGCCCCGGACTCAGACCATCAACGAACACCGGTAGTACCGAGAAGTTCTCACTCACGCCGAAGAAAATCGTCAGGTGCAGAATGCGCTTCAAGAGCCGCGAGACATGGTCGTAGGACGGCCCCCATTGGGGTGGGAACGGGCAGTCAGGGTATCGACTCGAGTACTGCAGCAGACACCACCTCAGGAGCTCTTCTCCACAAGGGGCCTGAACGAAGGGTTTTTATTGGGTCGCTGGCCTAGCTTGAGACTCCATGAATGTATGTCTCTTGCTCGGGGCAAGCCGTCGTCGTCGGCCAGCCAGGCCTGACAGCGAGACTTCGAATACAGGTCTGTCTGTGGATTCCGTAGGAACCCGCCTGCCGGCCGGGAGCCGAAAGAAAACGCGTTTGGCGCTTGCGTTTGGCGTTTGGCGGCGGATGATGACGAAAAAAGTGACGCAGAAGTGACGCGGATACTGTAGATACATAAGATAGACGACTATCCGTAAAAAGGGCGGGCAGCTGCCACTAGATTTTAAGACGTTTTGAGAAGAAAGGCGCAAGGAAAGCCGTGAATACACAAGCCTAACACAACACTTGAAAATCAGACCCGGCTTCGCGATCCGTGGTTCGTGTAAGAAGTGGGCGATTGTGAATGACTGACTGACTGACACACTGCCTAGGTGTGATATATCTTACATAGATGATGGATGGAAAAGGGACAAGCAGACTCGCGGTCAACAGTCGACAGTCGACAGTCGACGCGGACAGCCTCTTCTACTGTACCTCCAGGCTCTGCACAGGTCAAGAAGAAACTACAGTAGATGATGGACGATGGATGAAGGAGTGCTTTTCCACCACTACTACCACTATAGAAATGGCTATCAGTATCCATATCAGCCAGGCCCAAGGCCGGTAAGGTGGTGGAGACGCATTGAGCTGCCTTCCTCACCTGTACCCCCCTGAGACAAATAGCATTGTCGGTTCGTATATCATTAACTCATCACAGATCTTGCATCTGGGCGTCAGGTCTGCGTGGGAGCCTGCACCTGTCCATCGCTGATCTGGGTGACCACGGTGGTTGCAGACCCGCCGGCCGTCTTGCTGCCGGGCCACGTCGGTGGGTATGGCACAGTCTGGTTGCCATGCCCGGAGGGAGGCGGGGTGCCGCTGCCGCCACCAGATGAGCCACCAGAGAGCGTTCCCTGCAGCGGTGTGTTACGACTCGAGCTTCCCACGTAGATGGTGGGGCTGTCCACTTGCACCCAGTCCTGAGATACAACATCCCAGACACTCACGTCCCTGCGCGCCAGCTCCGCCGTGAAGGTCGCGGAGCCGCCGGCGGGGATGGTGATGCGATCGAAGCCGCGAAGAACCTTGGGTGGCTCATCCTCGCCCAGACCAACATACAGCTGCGCGACCTCGTCGCCGTCGACCCCACCGGTGTTGGTGATGGTGGCGGTGACCGTCGCGACCGTCTCCCAAAGGCCAGGGTTGCCACCGGGGGCGCCACCGGCTGCTAGGATCGGCTGCGGTGAGGCATCGTCGAAGCCGGCGGGCAGGTAATTCGCCGAGGGCTCCCCGTAATCGGGGTCAGTGGAGGCAGCTTCCAGGTCGGTGGTGTTGAGATAAGGATAGATGTACAGGTAGGTGCGGTCAGGGATGCTGTCGTTAGGGAAGAGGTAGTCAGCGACGTTGGTGCTGATGTTGCCATACGTGGGGGCAGGACTTGTCTGCACGAGGCCACCACCCGGGACGTAAGGTGAGGGGTTCCCGGGGGTGATGACTAGGTCAGAGTACTCAAAGGTTGTGTAGCTAAGACCGAAGCCAAACTCGTAGATGGGCTCGATATCGTACTCGTCGAAGTGGCGGTAGTCGATGTAGACGCCCGTGGTGGAGAAGTCATCTTGCGGGGCATCAAATTGGCCATTGTTGGGTTCGTAGATGACATCGGCGCCGTAGTCTTCGCGATTCCTGGCAATGGTGAACGGGAGTTTGCCACCAGGATTGACGGCGCCGTAGATGACATCGACGAGAGAATTGCCGCTTTCTTGGCCAGGAAGCCCGGCCCATAGAATAGCCGTGACGTTCGGATTGTCGTACCAAGCGGTGACGTTGACGATGCCGACGGAGTGAATGATGACAATGGTGTTGTTGTTGTAGGTGGTAACGTTTTCGATGAGTCGATCGCCACCGTTCCACAGAGAAAGGTTTCGGCGATCGCCAACGTTGTCGTCAACGGAAATAAAGCCCTCTCCCGAATCAGCATTGACGAAGACCAGAGCTGTTTGCGCAGTGGTTGCCAGTCTTTGGATTTGGGTGTCGGCGTAATCGTCACAGATGGTTTGCACATCTCCGCTGCCTTGAGTGCGGACATAGGACTCGATTGCGCCCTGTGGAGTAACGAGGTAAGGGAAGTCGGCTGTACCGGATCCCCAGCCCATTGCGAGCGTGCCGTTATCACAGCCACGGTCGGCACAACCGTTGGGGCCCTGAGGATTGCTGCAAGCGTCATAGCCAAAGATACCGAGCTGTTTCTCACTACCGGTCAGGGGTAGCCCTCCCTCGTTCTTGAGCAGGACTGCAGACTGCTGGCCGACTCTGCGCACCACGGAAGCATGGTCATCCTGAACATTGACGTGCTCGTTGACAAGCTCGATGGGCGAATTGGGATCGGCAGCGTGGATATGGTCAAAGGTATCGTAGCCCCAGGAGAAAAAGTTGGTAGGAGTATAGTGTGTGTCACGACCAACATAGTAGTATGCAGCCATGATCCTGACGGCCATGTCGTCAAGACGGAAGTGGGGCATGGTGCCGTTGAGAACGGCAATGGTAAGGTTTGTGCCCCAGTATGTGAGACCAGTGTTGAAGACGGTGTCACCGGGCATGCTCATGTCAAGACCTGCGGTTGCGGTGCCCAATCCACTGTGCTGGGCTTGCCAATCGGACATGACGAAGCCTTGGAATCCAAGTTCGTTCTTCAGCAGGTGATTGAGGGTGTATGAGTTCGCACAGCCGTACGAATTGTTGATCTGCTGGTAAGAGCACATGATGGCCCCGGTACCAGCGCGCACGGCGTCGGCGAAAGGCCAGAGGTAGAGCTCGTGCATGGTCTTGTCGTCAATGTTGGATGACAGGGTTGCAGTGATGTTATAGCCGCGATCCTGGGATTCGCCGGTCTGGCGGAAGTGCTCTTGCTCGTTGGCAATGTAGTGCTTGGTGGTAGCAATGACGCCGGCGCTCTGCATGCCCTGGATGGTCTCGGCGACGAGCTTGCCGGAGAGGTAGGGGTCGGGGCTGAATCCTTCCCAATTACGACCTCCGGTGGGGAAACGACCGATGGGACCAACAACGGGACCAAGTTGAGCGTCGACACCCTTGCCAACGGATTCTTGGCCCATGGCAACTCCGCGCTCGTTGGCAAGCTCACGGTTCCAAGTTGCAGCGACATTCATGCCGGCAGGGAATGCGGTCACGAAGTCGACAAAGCGAAGACCGAGAGGAGAATCTTGCATGCAGAGCGATGGAAAGCCGAGACGCGGGATTGCACCGACGTTGCCGACGCATTTGTCGCTCGACCAGCTAGAAGGGTGTCAGCCTGTTTGCCTGTTTTCGCAGCGTGGTGCGGTTCACTACTCACCCGGTGCCGGTGGTCAAGTTCACTTTCTCAGGCAGCGTCAGCTGGCTGACAAAAGCAATGGCCTTCTGGTATGCAGCACCCCAGTCGCCCGCGCCGGAACCCCATGGGGAAGGGTAGCTGGGGGGAGATTCGAGGATTGGGCCATCGTAGTCGTTGTTGAATGGCTGCTGCTCTTGTCGCTTTGCCAGTGGCTGTGGCTCTTGTTGGGGCTCAGAAGGCTGTGAAGTCGATTAGTATTCCGGGTTGATTGACAAGGACGGCCGCAACGTACCCTTGCAGACACGATGCTGGGCAGCGCCAGGCCAATGACGGCCACTGAAGCAAGCCACATGGCGTATACCCAAGCTCAAGTACAGGTGATGCGAGACACAGTATAATTGATCAGACTGCTCTCGAGTTCCAGAGACAGAGACTGCGTCATGAAGAGAGAGAGAAGGTACGACTGAAAGGGCGGATGGCAACTTTTTTCAAGCTATGGACGAGCTCAAGCTTAGCAGCTCCATCATCCATGAGCATGACAGCTCTCCGCAGATGTTGATCCCAGGTGATCCCAGGTGATCCCAGGCACTGCTGCACAACAGGCGGAGTGTTGCATCCAGCGTCTGTCACTTGCCTCAAGCAGCTACGCCGCTGCACCCCGGCCGCTCGGATCCAGGCAGCCTAAACCCAAGCTGTTTACCCGTAAGCCTTGGCCGGGAGGTGCTTAGCAACGTCTTCTTTTGCCCCGCGCAGACAGTCATCAGTGCTAGTTTCGCGACCTAGGAGATGGTCTCACAATAATTGTCAATGTCTAGAAACCCCTTGCCGATCTTGTTGTTCGTGGCATGCTGAGATACTCCTTGAGCCAACACTCGAGAGGACTGACGATCAGACAATTTCCTCAACAATGCCGCGGTGTGTCACTCGTGTTCTGTACCGTTGATCGGCGCTACCAGGAGCCGGCCGGACAGCTAACCACACTGGGCAGCTCGGCCTCTTTGTCCAAGAACCTGGGGTCGCATACACTGCGGATGAGTATACAAAGAGCCACCTCTGGGCCAATTCCCGCACTGGGTACATCATCTGTCCGGCCTTTCCGCAGAGCGACCTAAGCTGTCATCCCGGTGGCAACGTCGCGCTTTCATGTTCTCACCAGAGAGTACAGGACTGCGGACTAGGACGCGGATTTTCGGGCATGTGCTCCGCAGAGTCTGCGATGGTCATGGTGATTCATGGACTAAAAAACGAGCTGCAGATGCGCATCCTACCCCACGGCCGCCCCCCGAAGATTACCCTCCGCCGTCAGTCGCGCGGTGGACTGGAAGATGGGTGTCACCGTCGCATTGTCCAAGGTACTCCATACCAGGGCTCTTCGTCAGCCCACTGCATGTATGCTTCGTGCTCTTGGTCAACGTGACCTGGGCCATGAACCTGCATGTTACGGCAGGTCATGTCGACCAGCGTCGGCATGCTGGCATGCGTCATCTCGCTGTCGGACTCGCCGCGAAGCGTTGAGCGCGCTTACGGACCACGTTCCTCGCACCCGTTCCCCGCGAAACGAGCTCAGATACAGCTCACAGGTCAGTGTAGGACGGTCCGGATGGGCTGATGCCGCGACGGGCGCTGCGATGGAAACGCGTGTGACATCATACCTGTGGCGTTCCCAGCCACCTCGCCTCCTCTCATTTCGTCTCTGTCGCTGGAAACCGCTGGTGTCCCTTGCATATTCCGTACTGCGGCTTCTTGCCTTACACGTGCTCGGAATCGCTCGTGCTATCAGTCTGGTATAAAACAATATCTAAACCTTGCACGACCGCCTCTAATCATGGTATCTACACGGCATCACCCAAGGCCGTTTCCTGAAGCTCCCTCTCCAACCGGGCGTTCTTCTGCCACCAGCAGTCCTGCGCCGCCGTCGCCCACCTCACCGACTCCCAACGGAATGACCGCGGTCGCAAAGGCGCGCCCCGTGCGGAAGCGCAAATCCGCTGCGGCAACCACCAACACTTATGCTCATGTCATCGAACCCTCCGTCATCCTCTGGCTATTTGTCTCGCTGATCCTGGTGGCTTGGGATACCGGCTACATCTTCATGCGACCACTGTCCATGCCGGGCGGCTCGGCGCATTCGCCCGTCTGGTCGCCATATGCCCTATACGGTACCGTCGATTACATTTACGGCTGGCCGGCCTGGAACGATGGCGTTGGCTTCACCGCTGCTCAGGGCTTTATGAACATCATCGAGTCTTCCATGTATCTGTACTATCTGTACAAGGTTTTCCAACACGGCGAGGGCACTGGGTGGTACAGCGTCTGGGACACGAAACGCTGGTCTCAGAAGGCAGTGGTCGAAGGCGACGGCATGGCAACAGCTGTACTCATCTGCTTGACCGGCGCTGTCATGACTGTGAGCAAGACCGTGCTGTATTGTGAGTACTTCTCTGCTGGCGCATGGGCATCGGTGGTGCTAATAATTCCCTTCGCAGTCCTCAACGAATACTTTTCAAGCTGGATGAACGTCGGACACAACAACTGGTCGCGGCTCATAGTCCTCTGGATCATTCCCAACGGTGCCTGGCTTGTGGTTCCCACCTGGGTCATCTATCTGCTCAGCCGGGAGGTCGTCTCCGCCATGCAACTCGCGGGGAGGAGTGCACCAGAAAAGGACGATTAAACCTTCTGGCCTCCATGCCACGAAAAGAGGTTATGAAGCCAGCCACTCTACCTGTACATAGGATACCCTCACAGGGCGCAATTGTAAAGAGCTTTCTTATGCACAAACATACGGCGCATGAAAGTCTAGTTCCATTTTCCGGAGTATCAATTGGTAGATCTGCCGTCTCAGATCTTCTGTCTGTCGATCCCCTGCCTCTAGCTCGCTGCGACCTGCACATGGCGGAGAATTTAAATGTCGTCACCACTCAGTGACTTCAGGTACCATCAGACTCTAGACGAGGCTCTCCCCATCACCACCAACCTCAAGCAAGGCTGCGATATATTCATCCCAGAGCTGCGAAGGTGCCCATCACCTGGTCTTAAAGGCATTTGACAGCACCAGCGATTAGGGTACCACTTTGTGTGTCCGAGACGCATCACAGATTCAAAACGCGCGCCAAGAACACCAGGCAGTGAACGAGCGAGCTTCCAACGACCGACCACTTCTTCAATTCACCAGCGCCCATCACCTCACGTCGAACTCTGCGTTCTGCGTGGCCTGACTCACCGCTACCACCCCACAATTAGCGCCACTCAAACAACCATTCGCCCACCCACCCTTTCTTGACAGCACCATGCCGCCCAAATCCCGCTTCAAAGCACCGCCATCACCCTCCAAGGCAAACAAACCCAACGCCACCTCCGGCCCCGTCGTCCTCTACTGGCACCGCACCGACCTCCGCCTGCACGACTCCCCCGCCCTGACGCACGCCCTCTCGCTGCGGCCCTCGGCCTTCTACCCCGTCTGGACCTGGGACCCGCACTACGTCTACACGGCGCGCGGCGGCGCCAACCGCTGGCGCTTCCTGACCGAGTGCATGGCCGGGCTGTCGGCCGGGTACGAGCGCGTCACGCGGGGAGACAACCGGCTGTGGGTGGTGCGGGAGGCGCCGGCGACGGTGCTGCCGAAGCTGTGGACGAAGTGGGGCGTGGATGTGCTGGTGTTTGAGGGGGATGGGGACTGGTATGCGCGCAGCCGGGACGCGGAGGTGCGCAGGTTGGCCGAGGAGGCGGGCGTGCGGGTCGTGGTCAGGCATGGGAGGACGCTGTGGGAGGAGGGGAAGGTGGTGGAGCGCAATGGCGGTCAGCCGACGATGAGTATGGCGCAGTTGGTCAAGGCGACGCAGGGCTGCGAGGTCGAGCGGCCACAGGGAGAGCCGGGGGTTGTGCCGCCGCCGGGGTGCGATGTGCTCCAGAGCTTGAAGGAGATCGAGGAGGAGGGCCACCAAGTGCCACAGGCGGAGGGTTCGGTCGATATGAATGAGGACGCGAGGACGAAGGGTCAGAGTAAAGAGTACGTGAGCCTGTTGGGGGCAAATGGCGATGCCGGAGTTCCCACACTGGAGGAAATGGGCATGGACCCCGGGGACGCAAAGAGTCCACATCACGGTGGCGAAGAGAACGCGCTGGCCGAGCTCAAGCGAGTCCTGGACGACGAGGAATACACCGCGACGTTTGAGAAGCCCAAGTCGGCACCCACCGACTTTTCTCCAAGGTCCACCACCGTGTTGAGCGCGCACCTACACTTCGGGAGCCTGGGCATCCGCCAATTCTACTGGGGCGTGCTGGACGTGTTTGACAAGAGGAAAAAGGCCGGCAAGCACGTGGCCGCGGAGCCGATGAACCTGATCGGACAGCTCAAGTTCCGCGACATGTACTTCTCGGCACAGTACGCCATCGGCGACGCCTTTCAGCGAGAGGAGGGCAACTCGGTCGTCAGGGTGGTCGACTGGTACCTGCCGAGTGATGGCCAGGGGGGCTACGAAGTCGACAGCGAGGAGGCCGAGCAGTGGTTCCTGCGCTGGAAGGAGGGCAGGACGGGGTTTCCGTTCATCGACGCGCTGATGAGGCAGCTGAAGCAGGAAGGCTGGATCCACCATTTGGGGAGGCACATGGTGGCGTGCTTCCTGACGAGGGGGGGCTGCTATGTACATTGGGAGAGGGGCAAGGAGGTGTTCGAGGAGTGGCTGATCGACCATGAGAGTGCCAGCAATGCGGGCAACTGGATGTGGTAAGCATGCTATCTACTCCGTTTTCGCGCATCAGATCTCGATCATATCTTTGCTAACCATATCTTTCTACAGGCTGAGCTGCACAGCTTTCTTCAGCCAGTTCTACCGATGCTACAGCCCAGTCAGCTTCGGCAAGAAGTGGGATCCGCAGGGGACGTTCGTACGACATTACGTGCCCGAACTGGAGAAGTTCGACAAGAAGTACATCTACGAGCCTTGGAAGGCGCCCATCGCCGACCAAAAGAAATGGGGGTGTCAGATCAAGGGCGATGGTTCTTCCGACACAGGAGACGGCGCGACTACTGTATACCCAAAACCAATGTTTGACTTCAACGAAAGACGAGAAATATGTATCAATGGCATAAAGCATGCTTACAGCATCGGCATGTATGGTACAGACAAGCGGCGACTGAGCGGCGAGTGGAAGAAGGTCTTTGGCAAGGAGGAGGGAGGTAAACCGGCAAAGGGCCAGAAGCGGGTCAGGGGTGCTGATGCGGATAATGAGGGGCATGAAAGTGATGACGGTCAGGACGCTGATCAAGGAGATGTGACTGAAGAAGACAGGCCAAAGAAGAAGGCTACCAAGACGGCAAAAAGCGGAAAAGCACAGATGAAGCTTGATGCTATGGTAACGAGGGGAAAAGAGAAATAGATGCCAAAATGACCTGGTACGCCCGCGATGTTGATGAGCTACATTCACACTTCACAACCTGCGTTCTTGCCAAGTTGCTACGTGAAGTTTTGATACCATTACCCGCATTTCCATCCCTCCACGAGCATGTCAAGTACGCCAAACAGCTTCGACAGCGCTGTTAAGCGAGTTGGCCGTAACTTGGTTGCGACTTTGGCATGATGCAACGAGAGCCGGGACACTTAGCGTCGGCATCTGCTGCGACTCCGACCTCAAGAGGCTATCCTGAGGACTGCACTGTTGCTACTAGGGGCCGACGAAACCGAAGGGCAGGCTCCCCGAGCTGACAACTGATTACCCCCCAAAGGCCTCTGCTGTAAGCCCAGGGACTCTTTCGGTCAATTTGGTCGACTCTCGGTACCTGAGGTAAAAGGATCTATAGCATGAGGTGGACCGAGCGCTTTGGCTTTTTGAGGTGATGGAGATGGACTCGTTTGAGCTGTGGATGCCGGGAGGTTGGAGCTACGAGCGCTGATCGATGACCACGTGAATGAGGGCGTCTCGGGAGGGGATTTGGACTCTGTAGATGGCTCAGGCTGCGGTGGCGAGTGTGGCCGACGGAAGCGAGGGATTGTCGGCGACGAGATTGAGCCAGGCTCAGTCTTCCCCTCGAGCGGTTGATCAGATACCCTGGAGGGTTCCGAGGTCGGTTTGTAGCTCTTGCATAGACGACGGCCAGCTTCAAGCTTGTCCCGTCTCTTCAGAAGCCGGTCTCGCCTTTCTGCGTCCCAGCTAAATTCTGCAGCTAGTGCTTGGACGGTTTGCTCACTTTCGCTGATTAACGTGCTGGGGGACATTATCTCTGCAAGGCCTTGCATAAGGCAATCTTCTATTCCCAGTAGGAACAGATTGTCGAGAAAAGCAGGTTCCGCGATTTGATAGTGCGCATACACATGAAGTCCCAGTCGCTTGCAAGCGTATCGTTTGAGTGCGTGCGCCATACCGGTAGAATCCAATTCTCCGTGAGGGAGTTCATCTTTTGCGATTTGCAGCTCGTCGGCCAGTATCAGTTGCGAAAGTCTTGCATCCCATGTCATGGGGCGACGGCTGGTATGAGGTCTCAACAGCATGACCAAGCGCTTGTCCAGTGCTGCTTTTCGCTTCCGTAATTCAGGCTCGAACTTCAACCCTATCAAGAGCTCTGACCTGTGCTGGTTGGTTAGAGTTGCAACAGTCTGACAGACATGGTCGTGCACGAGCCCGTATACATCGTCAACGAACCGTGTCGCCAGATCTGCCCATCTGCTTGTTTGATCGTGGAAAAGAACCTCGAGCATTGCAGGGTCGAGAGTACCAGGCATTTGCCAGCCACGATGCTCCTCCCAGAGCGTCGCGACCTTCTCAATGTATGCATCTGCAGTGATCTTGAGTGGAGAGTCTTGCGTTGCTGACGATCTGCCAATGACAGCGCTTTGGGCTGCGGCATCCGTCTCGTTCGCAGACCAAAGCCATCGCATCCCTGTTGCACTAAACCCTGCAGCGAATGAGTCGCAACGCGACCGCACCTCGCCCGCAAGGGGCAGTCCTTTTTGTGCCGAGAAATCGTTCTTCAGGGGGGTCTTCAGAGTGGCCTCCATCCTTTTGTAGTACTCCTGCCCGATGGCAGATAAGTATTCAAGGTTATCGGAATGACTGAAGCGTGGACGGCCTAATCTGTCGAGTTCTGTCTCACATTCTGCAAGTTTCTCGTCCAAACAAGCAACAACGTGTTGCAACTCTTTGCTCACATGGTTTGTGAGCAGCCGACTGAGCTTGGATCGTAACGATGCGGCTCCCTTGTCGGTATCGGAAACTCGAATCCATGAGGGATCTTTCCGAAAGAGTTCCGTTTCGTGGGAGTCGCGATCAAATCCCTCAATCGCCCGTTCCTCCAGGCCAGGGTTTCGCAGTGCATGCCACCCCAAACCTAGGTCGGACTCCCTGCTGGACTCAAACAGCTCCAGATATTCAGTATGACGAGGTCCAGTTCTCGGCAGTTGGTCGGCGTGGGTAATGACGCCAATCGCTCGAGCAGTTGCTTTGTCCGTGTCCGACTGTGAGCCCCCGGCCACGTTCTTCAGCAGTTTCAGGATGGCTTGGGAGTTGTAGTCTCTCAAAGTGGTGATCACGGAAAGAATAATAGAACGCTCATTCCGCACGTATTCCTTGACCATGTCTTCAACCAGATCTGGGGCACTAACATCGTCACGTGAGTGGAAGATGATACCAGGGAGGTCGATCAGAGTAAGATGATCCTGTGCTGGACCTTTAACTTCGATCTGTAGGATGTCTCTGGAGTAAGACTCATTGTCGTCCAGGTTCATTGCCGTAGTGGCTTTGCGCATGATGTCCGGAATCTGTTCCAGACGCAGGGGGCCTTCTTCTGTCATTTCCTGGACCTGCCGTTCGAACATATCTAGACGTTGGTGTCTCTGAGGAGAGCCCTCCAACTCATCATGTAGCTTGATGCGTACATCGGTACTTTCTGACCGAGCATGTCGTAATATGACTTCAGTGGCAAACCGCGTGGATCGGCCTTGATTCGCGGGGAAGCGGATACCCGAAATGGCTTCGAGGACGCTGCTCTTGCCAGCCGACTGCTCACCAACGACGATGATCTGTGGCAGCGGTATTTCGTTGTTGATTCCTAGAGCACGGAGACCGTCAATAGTGTCGAGAAGTTCCAGGCTTCGTTCGTCCCTAATGCTAGTGCAGCCAGCATCTTGCTGCTGGGGAGCCGTCTTGATAGGCTGATCAGATGCGCTGGTCTCCATAGCGAAGGAGATGAAGTTCAACTTGGAGGTTGATGCGCCGGACGTCTCTAAGAGTGGCGCAGAAGCAACAGTAAAGGTCTTGAGTGTAAAAGCGAATGATGGAGGATATCTGAAGTTCTTCGATCAGTTCCCACCGAACTTCAAGGCTACTTATAGCACTGTCCGCCTGGAGCATGGTTACCAAAGCACGTTGCACTTCCCAACGGTCGTCTCCTGGTTGTACTCATCGTGACGGCGTATCGCCCGGACAGTTGGTTGCAGGATGGCCGGACGAGCGAGACATCGAGCGCGAACGCATAACGTGCATATCTGTTTCGGATAGCGATGACAAGAGCTAGACGCGATGACTGTGCTTGCCGTTGGGAGCTTCGCATAGCAGAGTAGATTTAACACAGATGAGACCTGCGGCCAGGCACGAGCCGACTAGCAAGGATACCATCGGCGACCTGTAGTAGTCTGCAGCGGAACACTGTCATACTGCCTTCATAGACTTCTCCTGCACAAAGTCGCGGCTGAACCGCCACGGAGTCAGGGTTGAGGTTGGACCCCTTCTGCAGAAACCTGGTATGGGAAGGTCGACCTGGATTCTCTTGCCATGGCCGGATCAAGTCACTTCTAGGATTGGCCCAGACGAATGACTCTTCGGTGTGATGGCCAGCAAGGTCGGGGGTCAGTCTAAAGCTCAGCTATTTGAACATGAGACAAACCCAAATGAACCGTGGCGGTAATGAGAATGCAGCAGGACCGATAAGGACTAGCGCGACACCGACAGGATACATCCACGCAGGCGGAGACAAAGTACCCTATCTCTCATCACGCTCTCGAGCCCTTCCGGTCCAGTGCGGGACTTAACAGGCGATATTGAAATGCGTGGGCCCCTGGCTGTCTTCTTCCAGCATGGCCGTGGTCCGGGTCAGTCTGGTGACAGACTGGCGCTGGAAGCCTCGGTCCTCGATAAGCAGCCCATCGCACCCGGCACGAGGCGCATGTGATTACATCAGGCCTCGTCAGCTTTCGTCGCTTGAGACGTTCCTGGCTCCCGGACTGGTTCTTCCTCTTGTGAAGCGACGTCGCTTGCTTGGAATGTGGCCTCGCAGAATCTGCCACGAGTTCGTTCACTTCCGCCAGGCATTTCTGCTCACTTCCGACATCCGGTGGTTGGACGTTTCTCACCACACGAATAACTCTCAGCTTGATCGAAGTGCAAGAGCGGCAAATGGCGGGACTGTCGGTGGCCTTAGTAACGCTGGCTTGTTCGCCTTAAAGCTGGAGAGCCTCGGTAGTACCTGAATATTGCTGCCACTGTCAGTACGTATAACATACAGTCTGGATAACAACCTGTCGGCTCTGCTCACCATTCGTCCCATCCGAGAGATCACAGCTTAGTTGCCGCTGGCAAGATGTCGCTTACACCCATAGACCTTGGACGTTGCGGCATATCCTTTCGCGACTTCGCTTACCAGGATTGTCATGTTGCTCTTTCGTCCACACAACGCCGTCGAAACTCCAGAGGCATTCTGCAACGTCTAGCGAGCTTTCGACAAGAACAGAACCCTGGTAGGACCTACCTACTGAGCGTATCTCAGTTACGTATGTTGCACAATACTTTCCCCCTCGACACAATCAGAACCCTCCTAATTCAACCACATACAATCGTCTTCTTTCTCATCCCAATCAAGCTTCTGATGCATCCTCATCTTTTCAACTACTCCAGGCTGCCGAAAGCGCGTGGAAGCTGTCTGGAAATTCTGCCATTCGATCCCATCGATGACAAAGATGATCATCAGATAGTGAGCTGCATCAGCAAGTTCTGCAAACTTAGACCCATAGACGGGTTTATGTCCTTCGACGAAGACTGGCCATCGCGATGTCGCTTAGCTGCTGTTGTTAGAGGCGTGAACCAGGGCTGAAAGAGAGGCAAGTGCCAGGCTTGAGACGAAACGTGCGCGGAGGCCGGACAGGGACGTATCGGTGAGGTGCGAGTCGTTGTGAGGCAACAACGAGGCGGTCTCCGCCGTCCACTCCGAAATATACCTCCTCATGGTACGCTGCATGGAGTCTCATCTATGAGGGAGGACGGTTAAGCGTGGAGATGAAGACTGAAGTTCTGGACTGCGCGAAAGGAAGTTGTAAGTGCCCAGGTCTCGCCTGCTTCCCATGTGTCATCTCTGATAAATGTCGATTAGCGTGAGGGAATGACGATAAGCCCCTAAAGTGTGGCTTCGTTGCAGAGAACAAGAGATCGTGAATTGGCAAGTCGAGGTGGTACTCAAAGAGTTCGGGAGGCAAAGCCAGGAGGAAGAGGCTAGGTGATGCCAAGACAAGGCAACACGCTTAGACTTCCTTCCTTTACTTGCCAACGATTCATGTGTGTGTGCAATCTGAACACCTTCTCTGTCTACCGCCACTGGTCATTCCTGTTGTCTTTCATCAGCGGAGAGACACGCAAGAACGATGGCTTCACCGAAAGAACGTCTGGACCTCTTCCGGCGCCAGGAGACAAACCAGGCTGGTCTACGGAACGATCTGCTTGACGCAAGTTTCACATCCGCCGTAGCTCAACTTCTCAACTGACAATGGACAGGAGTTCCTTGAGAAGATCGAGTCACTACAGAAAGAGCTGGATCAGTCAAGAAATGCCGAAAAGCACTATTACGATCTCATGAACCAAGCGATGCAAGAAAACCGGGACTTGCAGAAGTCGATGGACTGCAACCGATTCATCGCCGCACTCATCGATGGTGACAGTATGCCCTTCCTTGACAAATTCGTTGTCCGAGGTTTTGATGGTGGAGTCGAGGTTGGCCGGCGGCTTCGACTCGCGCTGTCCAACTATCACCGGACAAATCCTCTCCACCGAGGTGATGACAAGATCGTCATATACATTTCTGCCAACCTGCATGGATTGACTTGGGCATATACACTCGCGGGTATAACTCAAGAGCAGTCTAGAGTTCGGGATTTCTTTGTCGGCCTGAGCCAGAGCCACCCCCTGACCAGCTTCGTTGATGCAGGTCAACAAAAAGAAGCTGCAGACTCCAAACTACGTGCACAGGTGGAGTTATACTATTCCAACTCACATTGCCAACAAGTCATCTTTGGTGGCTCTGACTGTGGCTATGCTCCCTTTCTCGATATGCTTGCCAATGCCGAAGACATCAATCGGAGGGTCACGATACTCAGCCCTGCCCATATGCCACATCGTATGTTGCGGACCGTTGCCCAATTTCTGAGGGTAGACTTCCCTGAGATTTTCCGGGCAACGAAAATAGTCACCATCCAGTCCGATATCGAGCCGCTGCCGCTATCCGGCCTCAAGCGACGCCTCAATGATGAAACGCCGCCTCAGCAGCGACATCCGCCTCCCCCCTTTTATAGTGGATCCCATGAGGCTCCTACCGATATTAATAGGGTCGATGAGTACAGCGCCGGAAGGCACTCCCCGCCCAACCCTGACGAGTATCAACCTGAAAACCCTTTTCTGATCAATAACGCCCTTTCAGCGCAAACATACTATGTCAATCAGTACGGCCAAAGACTCGACCAACCCCTGCTGTACGACAAGCAGTATCTGCGTTTCCTTTTCACGAAGAAGGCTCGCCTATGCAACAACTTTTATCTCCGATGTCATTGTCCATACGGCGATAGCTGCCAATGGGATCACTCAGAGGATCTGACTCCTCTTCAAATCGACACTCTGAGACACAAGGCCAGAACTTCTGCCTGTCGTGACCCTTATTGCAATGATGTCGCATGTACGCTCGGCCACATGTGCCCACGCCCGCCGGGTGCATGCCATATGGATGCCTGCAAGTTCTCGGAACAACAGCATAACGTCTGTGTGGAACAAGTCTTTGAGATAGACCCAGCTACGGGGTCCCGAACACAGGTGACCATGTCCACTCCTGCAGACATGGCATTGGACTGACGCTCGAAAAGTGCTCGGGATCTCCGTTCCAACATCATGATCAACCCGTCAGCCAAAGCTATAAAAGCCCACCAGCTTTTGTCACGACCGGGCTGATCTATGGTGATTATAGAGCGCGACACGAACAGCAGCCAGGGAGATGTTACAGCTCTGATGAGACCTTGGTCAAGTTGGAACATCGCAGCCCGCAGGCACCTGGATTTGCTACCCATAGCATGAATTTTGACGACGCTTCTATCAACGATCTGATTGCAGCCCTTGGGCCCGGCGTCGAAGCTCGCGGCGAGTCCTCGCGAAAGTCTGCGGCCGACTACTTTGAGTGACGGGGTAGTTGTCACACCCCTGCCAGCACTCCGATGTTTCACTCAACTTCTACCATTCCACCCATGCAGCATGATACCATTACTACTATTTTGACATCCGCACGGACAGGCGCTGCCCCTGTGTATACACTCTCGCAGGGAAAGAGCTGGAATTGCTGCATCTCTCTGGTGTCTAACCGGCCCCTCCAGTTCGGAGCAACGGCTGAGATACATACCGCAGCTTCAATGAATAAATTTCCTCTGAAAATCATTGATGTGTATTCTACCAGTCTGGTGCCCTGCTGCTTCACCTGTGAAGTGGCTCCTTGACGGCTATACTGATTTTGCAGGTCTTTAGCTTTTGCTGCTTAATTGCGGAATCTCTTCCCAAGAACAAGGGAGCAGAAGTCGGCCATAGCTAGACCTCTGCTTGCGCACCCTATGGGATACAGTGATACGGAGCTGTGCGGTCTCCAACCTTGACTGCAAAATGTCTGGGACCAATCGACAGACGCGCTGGAACGAGCGCTACTATCCTCCAGATATCTCGATGCCGAACTGTTGCGCATGCCCTTGCGCTCACAGTGCTTTACGCTGCCCTGAGATATAGTCGAGGAAAGATCCGATGCTGTATGTCCGTTTCGAGAATCAAAACGCATCGATATTGCGGCAGCCGTCTTCTTCGGCCCTGTAGAACAGGGTTACCGACCGACCAAGATTTTGGGCCTCGTTCCTTTTGTAACAGTGAACTCGTCCGAAAGCTCCCTGAAACTCGGTCCGACTTCCTCATCCATGTCGCCCCGATTTCTGTGATGATGCCATTTTCCCAGGCGCTCGAGGAAGGCTTGACAAATGTCGGCTTTCTTGATCCAAGTTCACAGCTCAACTGGCGAACATTGGAGCGGTCGTCGACTTGAGATCGATCTTCCCTCAGTCTCTCACAAAGGCCATACTTTTCCTCAACTCACGCTCCTTCTGCTTTGTTTCCAACTCCAGGCGCTGGATCGTATACTGCAAGCGCTCCTTTTTCTGCTGAAGCCGCTTCATCTCCAACGACCTCGCATCACTCAATGGCGGAGCTTGGCTCTTGGTACCGCTTTGCGCCTCAGCAAGACTGGATTTGCGTCCGTACTGTAGCCGTCCTTCGAGCAATTCGGAACGCGCTTTGAGACTGTCTTCTTTGCGCGCTAGTTGGTTCACGTAGTTCTCCGCGGTCGAGAGAAGCTGGCTGATGGCTGGAGCGATCTCGTCGACAAGCGACTGCTGTGCTTCGCGCAACTGGGGTTCTGGCAGCAGTTCGAAGTGCTTCTGAGTTTGCAGGACCTTGCACAGGCGTGGAAAATCGTTCACGCCCTCATCGAGGATGGAGATGCTTGATTCGAGGAGCGTGAGTGATGAGCGCAGCGAGGACACTGCGGGTCCCAGTGTCGCCATCGCAGCGACCGACACGATCCACAGTCGTCGCGCGAACGTCTTTGATCTTGTAGTCGAGGGTGAGTAGTAAAACCGTAATATGACCGACACGTCGCGACCACAGGCAGTGAATCCAAACAGCCCGGAGATCTACTACGGTGGCCCTGACGCCCGTGCGTCTAGTGACTTCTCACGCAACCGTAAGTTACCATATTTGGCCTAGTGCTCGAAGCTCAATTCCATCCTGCAACCTCCAAGCTCCCAATCACCGGCACCTTACCAGCTTAACCACCGCCTTCGCCTCTACTCTCACACATATCCCGATACAATCGTCACTATGCCCAAGCTGCTCCCCAAGAAGTTCAACGGCAAAATCGGTACTTCCCTCCCGACACACCTCTCCAACGCAGACCGAAAACTGACCTGTTACAAGCCGAGCCGATGACGCCCTTCTTCGTCGCTGGCCTCATCGTTCTGTACGGTGTGAACGCCGGTGCGAACGCCATGATGGACAGCGAGGAGTTCAGAAACGATCCGCGTAAGTGCCGCTGGACAGCCGGAACCTGCCAGAAGAAGCGCGTACTAATAGGGAACAGGAAACCCAAGGGCCGGCGCGCACAAGAGTGGCACGGACAAGCACTAGATTCTCGACGAACCTGCGATTGACAGCATGAACTTCTGGTTGGACGAGCCCGCATTGGGGATCGACGCATGGGAAACAGCAAATACTGTACATAACGCATGGCATAGACACTCCAACATGAAGGTTGCGCAACCGAGCGTCACCGAGTTGGTTTGAAGGAAAGCGCCATTACCAAATGCACTTTCGTGAAGAACAGCTTCCCTCCGCAGTCATCGTCCCTTCTGCCGTCCGCTGCTGTCCCAAACAGCCCCTTTTGAATGAGGTTCTTCTGGATCAGAAGGCCATCGGCCTGTGTCCAAATTCTGTCGATGGACGGCGGCGGTCCACTGATGTCTCAGGGAGGCGAATTGAAACAGTTATGTCATGACTCCGAAATTCCAGAACACTCGGGGGACATTTTGTGCCCGAAACTCGCATGGAAAATGCCTCGATTCGACCCGGCCGCTTTGATCACAGCTGCAGGGACGGACTGTGGCCGTCCGTTGACAGTGGAGGTGCTCAGCTCAAATTGACTCCGAAAAGCAGCATTATGGGACGTTCTCGAACCACGTTCACTGATATGTATTTGTAGATACTCTCCACTCCGCAAGGCTAAGTCAAAAGGGGCTGGGGACCGACACCATTTCAAAGGTCTACCATTTTGGGAGAGTCTGCTTCCCAACAGCGATCTCTTCATCCAATTCACCACTGAGCATGGAAGTTTCCCGCTTTTGAAGGCTCGTAACATTGAACGAATCTTTCTATCTAATAATTGGACGGACCCCACGTGGTCAGGATACTTAAAACACCAACACCTGGTCGTCCATACTGAATCCGCTCTCATCCTTGCACAGCAGCTGTCTACCATCCATGGAACCGTTCTGAGCCCAAAGCTGGGATATGCCAAGAAGCCCAACGGCATGGCCACCACCGTGATACTTCTTTTAAACACAGCAGAGACCTGTTACTACTCACGATACGATGAACGAGCTCTGCTAGGATTGACAAGCTGAGCTTCTTGCGAATGATATATGTCGCCAGTAATTTCGACAGGCGTGGGTTGGCAGCTCTATTTTCAGTGTGCCTGTCAGTACATCTCCAGATCTGGCATCGGACTTACTTTTGATCGGCCGTGAAACCTTGAGTAGGTAGGATCGATTCGACGCCCGGCAGCACGTGCGAACATTGCGGCATTCACTCGATGAAGATGTACACGAGCCACAGACTCCGAGTTCGTGGATAGGATTTCAAAAGCCCGGTGACCAGCATGAGATGACGAAGAGGGACTCCTGCATAAGCTCAATAGGTAAGAAGTACTTGAGAAATTCGTGAGGACAAGTTCGTCCTCGTCGCGAAGCTTAGCACGCTAGGAGAGCACTTGGGGAGCGCTGTTCGGATGTCGTCCCCGAAGCTTGCAAAGCGGCCAGCCTGGAGCGGATATCCGAGGCTCACCCCTATCGATAGCGGAGCGGATGTGCGTCCTAGACGACCCAACATCCTCACTTCATCCTTCGAGAGATTCGCACCGAGTACCCGAGCATATTCCTTATTACTGACTACCAGTGCCAACAACACCGAAATTCAAACCAGGGACTCGTCCTCTGCCAGTCGGCGACTTCCAAGTCCGGGGCTTTCCTACGTATCAAAGTGGGGGAAGGTACTTTAGGTGGGGATAATACCAAGCCCGCTCTTGAGACCCTGCCTCGCCTGCGCTCCTAGTCATCATTCAAACCTCAGCCAACTCCTACAACTTATATGCTCTCGGTGTCACTCAGATCACATAGGCTGATACTGCAGCTCATCTGCCAGAGCCTATGCGGCAGTGATTTGTCGTACCTCATTGCAGTCACTACACCTCGATTACGAATCCACTTCCCCGTTTGACGGCCGATTGCTTCAGTCCCCTCGCCGGCATTGGCCGCCTGGACAGACCGCGTGACCTAGTACCTCGTTTTATCAAAGTGTCCTCTGAAATCACCTACGCCGGCTCAAAGCGGATAATTTTCGAACGCGAAAGACAACTTGTCTGCCTGTTGAATACCGCTCGCCTTTGGCGAAGACTAGCCAAGAAGATACAAGATACATTGAAGCATCACAGATAGCCCACCCGAGCCCTTGCGAAACCTACGAGATACTTGTTCGAAAGCTCAAGGCAGAACCAAGTCTTCTGCTGTTCGCACTCGCTTTAGCAATTCTACAAGACGTACCGCGCAGGAAACAGGCACCGCAACTATGGGCCTTTCGTATAACATCTACCTCAACTCCAACAAGATTTTTGGCTGCAAAGTAAGTGGACCGACATCTTCAGGGTTCATTTCGAATAACCAATGTAGGTATGCAAGACGCATCTAGCAGACTTCGATGACATAATCTCTCGCAACTTCCGAGGCCAGCACGGCAAGGCATTCTTGTTCTCCGCAGTGGTCAACATCAGACAAGGCGAGGCGATGGAGCGAAACATGACCACTGGAAGGCACATTGTACGCGATATAATGTGCAAGCAGTGCAACGAGACAGTGGGTTGGAAGTACGACAAGGCTTACGAGGCCAGTGAGAAGTACAAGGAAAACAAGTACATTCTCGAATCAGAGCTGCTGTGCACGGTCAATTGAGGAGTGTATGACACGGGCGGAACAATTATATTTGCATGACCGGAGTCAATGGAATACTAGGGTCGGGCATGGATCGGACGTTGCACGTACGGACGATGGTTACAATAGACTGGTTGCATTATCATATTGAAAACCTCGATGGTCTTCGGGGTAAACCTCCACAAAGCTGAAACATCAATAGCACGGGGAGGCAATGGAAGCCAGGATGCTATCCAAGTGATATTACCCAATTCCCATTTCTCAACTGTCCAACTGATTTGATAACGAAGGACACTCATCGAAGTGGGCTGCTGGAGGGGAATAATTAGGTACGAAGAATCGTTCGTATAAGAGCTCGTCACGCAGCCAATGTGTCGGCAAGAACACGCCAGGTGTGTCGGTCTCGACCATGTTCGGTGGCAACGGATCTGAAAAATAATGCAATTCGTCTAGTAGTGGACGAGGTGGAGGTCCCAATGAGCGTGCTCGAGCCTGGTAGATAGCAGAAGAGACCGGCGCAGAGAAGGTCACCTCCTCATGTGTCTAATACCGACTTTCGCTTGCAGATCAGCTCAATTACCAGCATTACGGTCACACGTTTTGGCTGTGTCAGTCCATTACTGTAAGGCGGTCAATCAAGGATCTTCGACCCCGAGTTCCGTATGCTGATCGGGGATGCAAACACGGGGGAGCAACTCTATTGTAGCCTTCCGTAGCTCCTACAGAAGTTGCTACACACATTGGTCTACCAGAGTGCCCATCTTCAGTGTGATGTGATACAGAGTACGTGCATTGTTAGTGGCGTATTGAAAGCTGTTGGATGCAGCGTGTGTGCTTCAGATGTGGAGTCCCGCATGCGGTTCATGCTTGGCAGAAGGCCAAAGCTTCTCGCTGGATGATAACTTCGGGGCCAGGCTTTGAGGAATGCTTCTGCGGTTCTTGTTCTCCTTCACCTCCACCCCTCCTCTCCACCCTTTGATCACCTCTCTCACCTTGTCGAATCTACGCTACCTCACGTACCTCCGCCCTCTTTACAATCTCGTAGTTGTCAGGCTGCATTTTTCCTCCACTCCGCCCGCCACCCCGCTCTGCGTCAAAGTCGCCGACACCACACCTGTCTCCCCAACCTCTTCCAGAAGCCTTCGCTTTGCCCTTTGCAACCTGATCGCCTTGTTGCAGCCACAATAATCCTCCTCCGACATGTCTTCCGATCAAGTCATCTCCCCCAGTCATGCCGAAGGTGATGCTTTGGCCGACCAGTTGAACCGAGCCGACCTGAATGATAGGGAGGATGCACCGCCCAAGACCGAGGAGGAGTACGCCCAGTCGACCCTCACCCTTCGCGCGATCGTCTCGTCCAAGGAAGCCGGCGTCATCATAGGCAAGCAAGGAAAGAATGTTGCAGATCTACGCGACGAGACTGGAGTCAAAGCTGGTGTCAGCAAGGTAGTTCAAGGCGTCCATGATCGCGTCTTGACGGTGACTGGGCCCCTTGCCGGCATCTCCAAGGCATATAACCTTGTTGCCAAATCTCTGCTTGAAGGCGCCCCCCAAATGGGCATGGGTGGTGTTGTTCAGAACGCGGGCACTCACCGTGAGTCGCATCGCGTCCCCTTTCTGTCCATCCCGACTAATTCAAGTATAGCCATCCGTCTGCTCATATCGCACAACCAGATGGGCACCATCATTGGTCGCCAGGGCCTCAAGATCAAGCATATCCAGGACGTGTCAGGCGTTCGTATGGTGGCACAGAAGGAGATGCTTCCCCAGTCAACCGAGCGCATTGTCGAGGTTCAGGGCACTCCCGAGGGTATCGAGAAGGCTGTGTGGGAGATTGGTCAGTGCTTGGTTGATGACTGGCAGCGTGGCACCGGGACTGTGCTGTATAACCCCGCGGTTCGTGTTCAGGTTGGGTCTGGTCCACTACCTCCCGCTGTGGGCGCACCAGCCGCGAGCGCTTTCAACGGGCGGCCGTTCAACCGCACTGGCAGCGGAGCCGACTTCACCGACAACCGTGGCTATGCGCGCACCCAGGAAGGTGCGGCTCGTGGCGGCGGAATCCCTATGGTCACCGAGGATGGTGAAGAAGTCCAGACGCAGAATATCAGCATCCCCGCTGATATGGTCGGCTGTATCATTGGCCGTGGCGGCTCTAAGATTAGTGAGATTCGAAAGACAAGCGGGGCTAGGATCAGTATTGCCAAAGCGCCCCACGACGAGACGGGCGAGCGCATGTTCACCATCATGGGAAGCGCCGCCGCCAACGAGAAGGCGCTATACCTCCTCTACGAGAATCTCGAAGCTGAGAAAGGCCGCCGTCAGCAAATCTCATCCGAGTAATACATCTCACGCCTCGACAACTCTCTACACTGACACTAAACATCATCGACCGCGCGGCACGTCACCTTACACTCCTTCACCCCTTCTCCTTCTGTTCCACCAAGCTCGAAACCTACAAACGCACCTCAACCAACAAACAATCAAAAGCATGGGCGAATTTTCATTTCTCTTTTGGCGTCTGATAGACTGATTGCGCAAAGCGAACTTGATGATGATGCTATGATACCTGCCTCGCACGGCATGCGAGAGTTGACGAGTTACGATACTTGAGATTTCCAACTTTTCGACCGACATCCTCTTATTACGGTCGGCAAAAGGCCTCGGTCGAGGGAGGCCTCTCCAGCCGCTAATATCAAACTACCAACTTAACACACCCCTATTCGTTCCCTCCCCAGCGCCAACCCCAATCCCAACCCCCTAAACCGAAAACTACCCGATAAGATGGAAACACCGTTGCCAGGAGAAACGCCAGCAGCTACGGGGGCGGCAAGGAGTCCTGGGCAGGCAGAGAGGCACGTCGCGGCAAAGCAGACTGCCCTCGTAGCATGGGTGCTGGCTGAGTGTTTCCATAGTCACAAAATGATACTCCCATACCTTCTGAGAACCTCCTCCTTCGTCTGTTCACACCATCTAATCCGCTCCCCTTCCCTTCTGTTGCAACCCTTCTGAGAAAGAAAGGGGCCACGCCCAACACCACAGTAGGTCCGTACGAAATTAGACACATATTCACAAAGCTTACTAGTAGCGACCACGTCTTCTTTTGAAGTATTTTCCTTTTTTCTGATTTCTGGCCCTTTTCAAGCAGGCCATCAGCATCAGAAGCCGCGCCTTCTAAATTGGGCGGGGGACACATTTTGCTTTGCATGGCTAATTATACAAAGTTCGTCAACAACAGCGTCGTCGTCGTCGTCGTTGTCTTCCAGCGAGTGATGTCGCTTGATGGCGCATCTCACTTGGCAAAACACCTCTCCAAGCGAAACCGCTGCATGCTCACGTTTCCTCTTCTGTTCCATCCCTCGCATTACCATGGCCATGGCTATCTTGCGCCCCTCTCTATCTCTCTCTCGGTCTCTCTCTCTCGCTGTGCTACTAAAAATACAATGCTTCAAATCGCTGGGTTGTCTCGGACAACTACACAGGCTGTTGTTGCTCGTTTCTTCATCAGACATCATAAAGTGTCGGGCACTTTACTCCAAAGTTCGGGGCCGCTCACGCCAGCCAGGCTTTTCCAAAATCAACAGAACTCACAACCGCGCTCCGGCTAATATGGCAGGTCTTTTAAAGAAAATCGTCAATATGGCGCAAGATCTCTCGTGGCTCGCCGAGCTGATGCGGGCTGCGAGGATCAATAGCCACTGGAACCTGCGTCGCGATCTCAGCAGGAGTCTCCTGCATCGTAGGTGCGCGAATATGCGTAAAGCCAACAAACCCTGGGCTTGGGGTAGGTGGCGGTATCGATTTCATGGAACGCGCGGACTTCGGGCCACTGCCAATAGCCAACTCTCCTGCTCGAAGTGAGAAAGGCGATGCTAGGAACTCCGTTGCTCGTGGCGAGAACAACGATGGCGTTTCCGGTACATCTTGGTACGCCAGATCCATCGAAGGCCTCGAGACATGCAAGCGAGCCGGCGATGCGGGAATGACTCCCACCTTCGGGCGATGTGGCGGTATTGCTGCTGGATTGGAATATTCCGCAAGCTTTCGGAAAGGCAATGGTCGAGGCTCAACACTCTGCTTCTTGGCCGCAGGCTCGTTCCGTGGCGGCGTAGGAGGCGCAGCATTGCTCTTGGGTGGTCCAGCTGAGGCATGCCGCTGAGCAAGCTCAATTGGCTTCTTCTCTTCTTTGGGAAACAGAGGTACGGGAGGCAGTTCCTTGTCGAGCTTCAGCGACCTGAGTGGCTTCGCAATTGGCGTCGTGGACGGATCTGTTTCTGGCGACGCTGACGCATCACTCTCATGATGCAAATATGAGAGTCTGGGGTTCTTGAAGGACAGTGAGTCTGGAGGCGAGTACTTGAACCACTGAGACGGAGCTTTGCGCTCACTATCTGTATAGAAGCCCTTCTCGATATTGGCTCGAAAGTCGCTGAGTTGATATATCAAGCTCATGTTGGGACCAACCCATCGACTTTTGCTCTTAACTTGTTGATACATTGAATGGAAGTCGCGCTGGTAGCCCTTGAAGAGGCCATAGGCAATGACAAGGGAGGCAGATCGGCTTACGCCCAACTGGCAGTGAATGAGCACTTTCTTATCAGCCTTGACTCTCTCATCAATGACGCGACATAGCGGCCAGAGATCCTCTAGAATCTCAGAGTTGTGGTCCCAAGGCACGTGGAGATACTCGGGATCATTTTTGACGGCCGACGCAGGTCGAGGCGTCGTGGGCGTGGCATCAGCGGGCTGAAACTCCCAAGCCGATTTGAAAGAGAACTCAGACATGGCTGTCTGGGGCTCGATCATCGAGTTACGGTTGCTCCTCCAGACCGACATGACGGTGTCTTTTTCGGCTGGGTTGTTCTCGAAAGGATTCTTGATTTCCTTGGCAACGTTGATCACAGTATCAAAGTCCTTTGCCTCTTCCGCTTTTGGTTCGAGATAGAGCCAGACTCCACAGTCATAGATCTTGATCGGGCCCTCTGGATAGCCGCGCTCTGGCGCTTCAAAGGATCTGCGAGGTTCGTCTTCCTCTCGTAATCCCGGTAATAGACTGGCTGACTGATGGCTGGAGAAACTGGAATCTGAGCCGGGTCTAGAATGCCCCGAGCTAAATGACGGCAATGATAGGTGGAGGCCACTTGAACCGGATGTGGTCGGCGTTTGAAGAGACGGTAATGATGGTGAAGACTGTAGCGTCGGCAGCGTCGGTCTTGAGCTGGGTGTGGGCGGCACATCTCCAGCCGCACCTCTGGGAAAGCTCATTTGATTGAAGCCGGGTGTTCGGATCGTCAGATTCGTTGGCTTCTTTCGCGCGCTTCTCAGTGGCTCTTTCAAGGGCGATACTGGCACCGATAACGCGTTCATTCGAGACTCGGCGCCATGCGAGGTGGCCGGTCGCGTAATGTTAACCGCAGTGTTCATATTGAGCGACAAGTTTTTGACATTCCGAGTTGGCGAGGCTGGACGTGCAAAAGTAGAAGGCGGCATCTGCAGCACTTGCGTACCTTGGTCCCTTGAATCTCCCGTCGATTGCCGGTCGTGGTTAGAAGTCTGCATGATATTGGCGAAAGGTGATAGTGGGGGATTGGAGGAGGAAGCGGACTCGGGGGAGGATGATGGCGATGGATCGGTAAACAGAGGAGACGACTGATTCGTGGCTGGCGAGGATGTCGAGGAGTTGGTTGCTATAGACGCAACGCTGTCTCGGTGATAGATCGGATAGGGTAAAGGGTGATTCGACAGTGTGTTGGGTGAATTAATGTTCAATTGTCCAATAGCTGCTTCTGGCTCTTTTGGTTGCGATATCTCTGCATATTCTCTATCCATGGGAAGATCGTCGCTGTCGTACACCGACATGAAGGTGGGAAGTGGCGCTACAACGGAAGATGCTATATGTACAGGCATAGTCGGGCTCGGGGGAATGGTACGCAGGCGACGCTTCGGGCTTGAAGAGGTCGGCGAGGGATGTAGGCCTTGTCGAGATGTCACTGGATAAGGACGGAAGCCATTCTGAAGCGTAGGTCGTTGGTGGGAGCGGATGGATTGTTCGGAGTGCTCGGTGACGAGGTCAAAAGACCTTTTGCGACAGTGCATGTTAGCTTTGGATGCTCCTCGAACCGTCGCCATGGTGATTGCGAGCCAACGATACAATCGCAACACCATGGCAATGCAGATGGGTAGGTGGGAGGGGAAAGATGAGAACATACTGGAGCAGGATAATGGCAAGTGGCGGGTAACCGGTGACGCTCGAAGCGATTCAGCGATCAGTTGACGCGGCGATTACGAAACCGAGGGTGGAGGAAGATGGTAAGAGAGTCGAAAGAGCCAGGAGGAGGTGTTGAAGCGTTTCAAGTCGCAGGCCGAGGCGCAGCGAAGAAAGAGCGTGAGGCTTTCTTCCAGGCTTCCCTTTCGTCTGTACGGTCCAGCCGTGCTCAGAAAGGGGCGTCTACAAGGCAGAACGATGGTCGCATACAATGCGACCGAGGGTATCTGCAATGCACGAGATGCTCTAGTGTACTGCGGTGTGAAGGTGGCGCTGGTCGCAGGGCAGTAGTCGACAATGAGGATCCAAGATTCGCCGGCGGGGTCAAAGTCAAGGATCGCGCACGCGCCAGTGTCGAAAGCCGCTCAAATAAAGGGCAATTAGCACGACCAGAACATTTGGAAGCAGAAGATGTCGCAATAATCGGACTCGATAGTGTTGTGAGCACGATGGGATTGAATGGACGAAAGGTCCTGGAGCGATCGAGGCCAGGGAGTGCTGGCGAGGGCGCTTGCTGCCGCGCTGAGAGGGTGCTCGGGCTGGCTTCATTGGCTGCGGCGCCCAAGATGAAACTCGAGGGGTTGACCATCGTCAGCCAAAGGGCACGCATGGTGGCACAAGCCAATGCTGCTAACAATAGCCTGGCCCTTTTTTTTTGCCGCGCACCACCGCTACAGCAAATCATGGCCTGAGGCGCGACCAGGGTTCTCCCAGCTGGATCGCCGTCCCAGGCCAAATGGGTGGCAGCCAATCCTAGCTGGTCTTGTCCCAAGGCCTGTAGACGAGCGCGGCGAGCGCGGTCCTTGGTATTATTGATGCATGCCACCTAAACAGCCCGTGCTCCAGGCCTCACCTGCTGGAATCGACAAAAGATCCTTTGTACAGCTTTTCCTGCCCATATCCGCCTTGGTCATCGAGAGTAGCAGCAGCAGCAGCAGCAGCAGCACTGGCCTTCCGCCTCTATCTGTCTTGCACTCCCGCCCGTAGGAGGATCAACAAGATGCGCAGACACTTAATCTCAATGACGCCGCTCAGCTCGCTCGAGGGTCCACGAACACCGAAAGATGGTCCATGATCCGCAAATTGCACTTCTCAGCATTCCCACTTCAGTTTCATCCCCTCGACAGGGGCGGTACCACTTGGCCCTCGACAAACCTCGGTGCATCGCTTCTTCGCCATTTTTATCCTGGACTATAGCTCGTCGTCGTGCTCTGTCGCTTCAGAACCGCCCCCTCCTAGTCTCGCTCTGTGTCAGATCCCATACCCGAAGCTAGGTGACCGCTGTTCAGACACTGTGCTCGGTTTCCATGGCGATCAGGCCATCTCGGCACACCGTGCGCGTGTTTATATTTTTGGCGGTATGAGCTGGTTCACGAATGGTCTGTGATGCGAAGAGGACTTAGCATTGCGACTTCTGGACAAGCTCTCGTAGCATAACAGCGAAACCACGCACGGTGTTTTTCGTTCTGGACCGGCAATGTTGAGCAACTGATTACAAAATGCATATAATGCTCCTACCGTCACAACAGTACAGTACGATTCACAGACTGACCCTACACGCATCTAGACATCGATCTGACTTGAGGGCGAGAGAGGTCAGACAGGACCTTGCTTACCGAAGAACAGGCCTGACTACCTGACTGGCAAGGCCGTGATTAGGTGAGTGTTTCTGGATGGCTTCTCGCCTGCGCTGCTGAGCTCCTGGTGTCGTCTAAAATTCGGGCCAAAGAGAATTGCGAAAGCTACTGATGTAGGATGTTTGCTACAGGAAGATGAAGGCAAGTGCTCGCCAGCCCTTATCGATGCATGTTCTGAGGCCTATTTCCGCTCAGGTCAATTATTCTCTACCTATGCCCATTTCCTGAAAGAAAAACTTTTTGATCCTCTTCCCCAAGTGATGCTCAAGCAACTTCTCCCGTACTGTGCGAGCGATGAAGTATAATGCACCGGCCCTATCCCATTGTCATACAGACTGGAGAATGTTATTGCTGAGTTGAGATATAAAAGTGTCGTTAGTCATGTCGTTCGGTGCCGTAGCCCTGGTCTACCTCCTTTCCTTGTGCAGCAACTGCTGGTTCCGCAGGTACGCGGCTCCGATACCCAGACCCAGCTCTCTCTGCATGCCGGCCATGCCAGGCTTGGGTTTGTACGGGTTGGCAGCCCTGGCCCTCGGATTCGCGGCCGCGCCATAGTGGCTGAAGCTGAAGTAACTCCAATCTCTTTGGCCGGGATGCCGTTGTTCCCGGGAAGAGGAGCTGACCTCGACGACGCGTGGGATCTTGCGTTGAGGCCGGTCGAAGGTGAAGACGTCATCAAAGTCGAAGTCTTTCGATGATAGGTCCAAGTCGTCAAATCGGCTTTCGGTTTCGGCCACGAGCCTTTGTTCCGAGGGTGTCAGAGGCTGGTCGAAATAGGTAGGTGAGTGGGAGTGCGGCACGAGTTGGACCGAAGACTCTCGACGGGGCAATGCTGGCTTTGATGCTGTTGAAGAAATGCTCGCGTTACTGGCAATTGTGGATATCGACGTGATGGAAGCACGTTTATTGGCGGTAGAGGACTCAGATGCGGCCATGATGTGTATGTATGACTTTGGGGACTGGTCTCGTAGGCTGAAGGTTCACGTCCTCAACGGTACGAGCAGACTTATGCCGACGAAGAGAGTCCTGATTTGCTGTGGCCCAAGCCTGGATCTGTATCTGGACAAAGTTGCCTAAGGCTGCAGCAAGGACGAGGCTCCCTGGGCTTTTCGTAGTCAGATGTCGATCGCCCAGTATGCTAGTGCAACTACCCCAGGTGAGGTATGACTTGTCAACGTTAGTTGCTTTGGCCGTGAGGTACACACTGTTGATGGTGTCAGACCGAGTGCTTAACAACGGCAAGTCCTGGCGTGATGCGTGATGTCCAAGGTACGCGAGAAGATTGTTGATCGGATGGCTGAGGAATTGACGAGCAGGAATGATCAACAGTCATATATCCGCGATGACAGTCAGATACCACGAGTCCACAATTTCAGGAACAAAATCACACCATAACCAATGGAGATGGCACACTCTCCTCTTAAGGTCCTGGAAGAGGACTCCGTTAGGTGCTCGCTCGCTTGTGATAGGCTCGACACAAACCTATGCAAGGTCACGGTGGAATTGCGTGTTCTCGAATCCAGAAGCAACACGGCGGCTTTTTCTGCTCACGCCTTTCCATTGCTGGATGAGATGATTGTGGGTTATTGAGGCTGACTGGGTCCTCAATAATTCCTGAATCCTCCCTGCTTCATGCCGCAGGCTGCTTCTTTCCTGAAACAACACTTGCTTCGAGCCGGAACTCCAGCATCGTGGAGGGATTATTGGCTGCTACCGAGCCACATTGCTTGTGGTCAGGCACCGTGCCTTGCTCCCCACAACAGCGGATCGAATCAGCGCTGAATCGGTACTCCATACTGAGAAGTACATTGAGCTGAGTCACCGCTGGATTTCAACGTCGATCCACGTGTAACATGATGATCACATCTGATTGGTATGCACCAAGCCGCAAGTGGCACTTCCTCCTTACAAACGGAATCTTGATTGACTGTGTTCTACACCGTTCATCCCTCACAGCGCAGACACGTTGCAATCCACTATCCAGTTGCAAGGAGATGGCGCTGCAAATTTTTTCCGTTGTGATCGGCTCCGAAATATTCGTGGCACGATCGCACGATGGCCCGGTCATTTACTGCATGTTGCAAGGAACATCGTTGTTCCGCGGCGTCCAGTTCCGCCTGGTGTAGGTTGTGGCATGGAGTATCAGAAACCTGGAACAACTGCACGAGCCACCAAGCCATACCAATGCACAGCCTCATGAGATACTGGAACCTGCCTCCCTGACACTGAACATGGGATCATACAACATTCGCATCTGTCGTCCAAACAGTTTCGGGGGAATTGACTGCCGAATGGGTGTTTCCCACGAGTCGTCAGCCGTGGAGGTGCCCTTTGCGTCGTCACCACATCGACCAACGGCGTAAATCTGGTCCACGTCTCACATTTTCTGCTCCCGCTGCAAAATGTGCTCGGCATCTATGGAGTGGTATGATGCTCATACCACCATTGCAAGGGGCTGTGGGCCACGACGCGACGACTGCCATCAGGCTCCGGAAGGGATGAAAGTTTGCAACAAATTCGAGCAGAGGACTACTCTTGCAGTTTGTGTTGAAGGGAGAACTGAAACGGATGCCAAGGTCAGTGCAAGAGTAAACCTGCGTGGATGAGGACGGGCCGGGGCTGAAGAGTAGTACTACCACTTCGTTAGAAAAATTATCGCCGAAAAGATGATCGCTTGCTTTTCATTTACTGATCCTGCCCGGGTCACTAGTAATGCTGAGTGACGCTCACACTTGTGGCTCAACGGTATCGATACTGTACAGATACATTGTTTGTCCTTGTTGTAGGCTACTCTCCCTAGAGTAAACCCTCCAGTTCCCTCACCAATCGCTCGCAGGCGGCCAAGTCTCTTCGCTCTTCCCATCGATCCACGTGTTCCTGGCTTGCCCTCCTCTCCACCTTTCGAGCTTCTGCCGCGTCTGCCTTCGCTTTCCTCTCGCCTCTTTCCCTCTCTCTTTGCTGTTTCCACTCTTTGGCCCACTTCTTCTCCTCATGCCCGCAACGGGCAAACAAACGCGCAGCAGACAAGAATGGTGTTTTCTAAACAGGATTAGCCCCAGAACCACCGGCGGCGGCGAGGCTGGCAAGACGCTGCTCTCTAGCGGCCTTGAGACGAGATGAGACTGAAGAAACGCGGGCCGCGAAGCCGGTTCGGCGTCCTGGAGCACGAGGGGATGCCTCGCTTACCACCGACGCTGGCGAGTCAGGGAACGTGGTAGGGCGAGGTAGGGCGGTCGGCGGATTGCGCTCGATTGAGATAGTGAAAGGCACCGGAGAAGATTGTACCGCCGGAGACGCGGCAGTGGGTGTTGTATTCACAGCCCCAGTCCGACGGGAGACGAGGCTGGCCTGGGGCGTAGCCGCCTTGATGCCATCAGTCACTGGTAATGGGTGCTGCCTCGTATATTCACGAGAAAAGTTCGTCCGCGAAGCAGTGGCTTGGCGATACGAAGATGGCGCCTCGGTCATGGCTCGCGAGACTGGCCGCGGCGAAGGCTCTGCGCTGTTGGCGAGCGAAGTGCGGCGTGACACGATGCGAGAAGAAACCACAGGTGGGTGCTCGGTGGAATCGGATCGACGACGAGAACGAAGTTGGCCACCCGTAAAAGGATCTCGGCTGCCTGGGCGAGACGTCGGTGAGTTGTTAGCTCGCGAATCGTCCAGCATTGCGATGGCCAATTCGGTCAAACTTCGACATAGCGATTCAGTACGGCGGCGGATCATACGCTCGGACTGAGGTGTCATGTTCGAAGTTCCAGTATAATCATGGTTTACCATAGTCGAAAGCTGCAAGGCATCTTGAGCCGTGGCCTGAAGCTTTTGATAAATTTCGGTCCGGACCGAGGACCTGGCATTTGTGAGAGCCTCATGGAGCGTAGGGTGGACTGTTGATGGAACGCCTGGAACGGCCGAGGGTGTTTCGTTGTTGGGGCCAGATGGTTTGTTTTTTGGTGAAGACGACAAAGCCGTGGCTTGGGTAGAACCTGTCCTGGGTCGTTCATTGGAAGTGGTCATGGCCGCTGCTGACGAAGAAGGGATCTTGCCAGTAAGCTCCAATTTCTTTATCCTGGACTTCAAGTCGTCAAGCTCATCCCATACAGTGGATGGAGCTGTGGTTGAAATCGTAGACTCGGTCTTAGTAGGCTCTTGCATTCGCATCCGATCTGCATAGACGTTCTCTGAAGCGAGTCTGAGTCGGGCCTGATACGAACGGGTCGGTGGGCGTAAGGTCTCTGGGTTGGCATTGGAGTGACGACGAGAGCGAGCTTGGGAACGAATGTCGCTCGTGTCGGCATTAGAGGATTGATCTACGGGGACGCCAGCTCGAGATGGGGTTTCGGAATAGTATGTGGAGGAAGTCAAAGCACCAGGGACGTGGGGTCCTAACGAGGCCCGTTTGCCGAGACGCTGAGGCAGGCTTTGTGTTTCAGGTTCGAAGTGGGTCGACATGGGGGATGGCTTTAGTGAAGTAGTTGGTCGTGATGAGGAGAGGAACGGCAACGAAATCCGTGATCTTCGTGAACCGCTGGTGGGCTTCTCCTGAGCAGAAGCAGCGTGACGATTGATGGCCGCATCCTTAGCGATGTGGAGGTACAGGTCACTGGTGCTCTCCGTGGTAGCCCCTTCAGTCTCGCCAGCAGCGGACTCGTCTCCGCTCTTCGCTGAGCTGATCGCATGAAGATTATCCTCGCTGCTCGAGTTCTGGAGAGAATCATCAGCCTTTGGCTCGATGCTGGTGGCGGTTACACCGTATTCGTTATGCATTTTGTTGTTCGCCACGCCGGGAGGCGGGGTCAACTTGGGATTTCTGGGTTTCTCGATGCCGAAGTGGTCGTTCGTGTCCGGACTCGAGAGATTCAGTAGTGGGTCAAGAGTAGGCGTCGAAAGTGAAGGACTGTGACATGCAGTGTTAGTGACATCATCTACGAGCCTGTGCAGCAGTTTCACGCCGGAAGAGATGAGTGCAGTACCCTAACGACAGATTTAAGATACCAAGGAGCAGAGTCGACCCAAGCAACCAAGGAATACGGGGTGTGAACGTACCTTGTGGTAGAAGTGGTCGTAACAGGTTGTGTGATAGTACAGGATTCGCGATTTTGGGTCGCAAGTTGGGTATCGTCGGAATCGTTAGTGAAGTGGTTTAGAGAAGATGAAGTGTGGCCAATGGCGGTTGGATCCAAAGTTGGGCCTTGATTTATTTTGAACGCGTTCTGGTCTTTTGATCTGGTGGTTCGGTATTGGATGACCCTATCATATGAGGCGGTATGATGAAGCGCGTCAGGCACCGGCTTCTGCGAACGACCGCGTTCTTGAGGCCGGACCCGTTCCTGCGACAGCGTCTGCTGGGTCGAGTACGATGGAGGAGGGCCGTTGCTTGTTTCGATGCCGTAGCTCGAATGTGAGGCAGGTGGTTTGCGCTTCTGCGAGGGAGAGAGTCGCAGCAGAGAAGGTGTAGTGTGGGCGCGCAGTAAGGGGGTTGATGGCGGCTGCGCCCCGGGGGACGATGAAGGTCTGCCGTCGTCCTCGACCCGAGAGGAAAGATTAGGGAAGCTGAAAGTCTTTGAAATCCCGGATAGCCTCTTCATGTGTACATGTTTCCGCGACGGTTGCAATTCGTGAAGAGGGGCAGACGCGCTGCTGTCAGGTGACGTTTCTCGACGACTGCGGTTTCGCGACCTCAACCCACGCGGGTCGTGCGTTGCAGCTGCAGAGATGTTGGAAGCATGTCGTCGATGCCGATATGATTGATAGTTGCTGAGCTCGTCCTCTCGGAGCGCTTCGAGGACGCTGTAACTGCAATGGACTCCATCACGATCCATTGGGCCCGACCAGGACCAGGATTTGGGATGAGCGTGATTTGTCTGAGCCGCGCCAGGATGACCGACAAACCCCTGTAACTAAGCTAGTGTCCTTCCGCTACCCGAACCTGGAGCATGAAGGCTAGGCGCGTTCTTTGCTTGCACACATCAGCGTTGGTAGCGTACAACGCCATCTACGGGGAAGGGAATCAAAGTGAATCCAGATTACGAAGCTATGTACACTGAGGGAGGGAGTAGGGCACTCGCTCCGGTGCGGAGGCAGATCACGGCAGGATATCCCACTAGGAGAAGCCGGAGCCGTGTGATTCGCAGAGTGTGTGCTGAAAGTTCTATCACCTCGAAAACACCCCTTTGATGGCTTGTCATGGCTGAAGTACTCCCACACAAGAGACTCATTCAGGCCCGCTTTAGCCATAAGCACCGGAATCTCGATCTGCGACTATGTCTCGACAGTCGAGCTTGCAGCGCAACCCTTGCTCGACCTCCGTCTAATGGCTCTTCTACACATTACAATAATGCCAAAATGGCAGGGTGTCTGTGCTAGTTGTGGGGGCTCTTGACACCATCGTTTCAGAATCTGAAAGCCTCTCGCCTGCTGCCGTATTAATTTCCGGCTATCAAACTCCGGCTATAAGACACTCGCGGGCTCCGTCCTAACTTGCGCTTGGACCATGTCCTTTTATGAGTAGTCAGGGCAGTGATGATCAGTCGCAGCATGTGTTGGGCCCATGGCACGCAGCCATGAGGAGGCTTCGGCTCATGCTATAGGCGCGACGATCGAAACTCCGAATCTAAACAACTCGGGATGTTTGTTTATTTGGGGAGGACACTGACAGAGCGGGGCAACGTGGGACAAAGACAGCTAATGCAACTTAATGCTGCAGGTCCAGTTTCGTGCCTGGCCGGCCACTGCGAACAACAACCGGCTCATAGACGATCTTGAGGCTGCTTGCGCATCGGCATGCTACGACCAGAGAGTATCATGACCAAACAAATGATAAACACCGGGTGCACAAGGTGCACCTCACTGCCATCAACCACGTTGCCTACATCGATTTGCACCGGATGCATGACAAGAAAGCTCTTTTTGAATCTCGCCTTATGTAGTGCATAGTTTCGTGTCGATGATTGTCATTCAACAGCGTGGCCAGCTATGAAACACGAATGCCGGTCTCTGAGTTGACGGAATCGTGACAATCTAGGAGCAGCAGGGAAGACTTTGTCAGCTTGCTAAGTCTCAAAGGAATATCAATGACTTTCAGAAATACCCAGACCTTCAAGTTGGCCTCCACGTGGCCGCCCTACTGAAACAGCGCATGTCTTGCTGCGGCTGCTACACAAAAGTGCTCGCGACAACCATGATGGCAGTGACGACGATTTGCGGTTACGTGTGTGAAGAAGCATGTCAGGATGCCAGGTGAACTACTTAAATATAGCTCTTAAGAATGCTCCGGATCTGTTGTACTGTAGCCTTCTTGTCTGCTTAATTACCTAAGCATCAAAAAGTCATCAACGTTGAGCAAGGCTGAGCAGGGCTGAAGTCATGGCACCACAGTGGGGTCCAGGCTTAACGTCACTAAGATCTGGTGTTTGCCGGCGGCTGGCAAGCAGGTAGCAGTTCTCTGCCACTCCTACTCATTAACCTACGTGTGCACCTTCTGCTGAGCAAGCCTCGTTACACACTCACTGCGTTAATCAGTTATCATGTTTTCAGAATGACTGCCACTGCGTGAGGTCAAGGCTGAATGAAGTGAAAGTCCGCAGCGCCGCCCGTCAAGATGGCTATGGAGCGCACTCGCGCCGCAAAGGTTGATTCCCCTGCCAATGCTTCTTCATGTTTCTCGAGGGTTACTTAAGCTGACAACGTTATTCGCAGGCTGAGAATGTCATCCTCGCTCGCCGTGGAGAGCAGACCCAGGGCACATTGCACCTCACTCCCCACCACCTGATCTTCCAATATAGTCCACCAACCACTTCACCGGCAGCTGCCGCCTTTTCACAACAACAGCCGTCGACCGACCAACGCGCCGGCTCCACACCCAGCGCCCGACCCCGCGAGCTTTGGATCGGCTACCCTATCATTCACACCTGCGTCTTCCGCCCGTCCCCAACCGCCTCTCGCCAACCCTCATCTATCCGGCTGCGAGGCCGCGACTTCTCCTTCGTCTGCTTTTATATCTCCGACGAGCGCAGAGCGCGGGACGTCTATGACAGTATCAGATCTTGGACTTGCAAAATTGGCCGACTTGATAAGCTTTACGCCTTCTCTTACACCCCCGCCTTCCCGCCCGAGCGCGAGTTCGCAGCACAGCCTGGTGGAGGTGGCTGGTCAGTCTACGAACCCATGAGGGAATGGCGCCGGCAGGGAGTTGAAGGAAACAAAAATTGGAGGGTCAGCAAGATCAACAGAGATTATGCATTCAGCGAGACGTACCCAGCAACATTCGTGGTCCCCAGTGCAATCAGCGACAATACACTCAACTACGCGGGAAGGTATCGAAGCCGGGCGCGGATACCAGCTCTTACGTACCTGCATCCGGTAAACAACTGCACGATCTCACGAAGTAGCCAGCCGATGGTTGGGGTTAGGGGTAATCGCAGCATCCAGGATGAAAAATTGCTGGCTGCTATCTTCAACACCACTAGGGCGGAGCGGCCCTTGAGTGGTATCACAAGTATCGTGGCAGGCGGAGCACCTGCAGCCCTTGCTACGCCACCACCCGAGAAGGAAGAGCCAACCAAAGATGGCACAGCGTCGCCGGCTCTGCCACTCTCCCTAGAAGGTGAAATCTCTAACCCGGAGGCTTTAGAGGATGCAGTCATCGCCAAGTTGAGAGAAGAGGGAGGATTGGAGAGGGATGAGGAGGAGAACGACGAAAAGAAGCCGAAAATCTATGGTGCTCAGCAACGAAACATGATCATTGACGCCCGGCCAACGATCAATGCTGCGGCAATGAAGATGGTTGGCATGGGCTCGGAGAATATGGAAAACTACAGCTTCGCAACCAAAGCTTACCTAGGCATCGACAACATTCATGTCATGCGTGATAGCCTGCAAAAGGTAGTGGATGCGTTGAAGGATTCGGATCTGACCCCGCTGGGACCGAACAAAGAAGCGCTCAACAACAGCAAGTGGCTCAAGCACATTGCGAACATGATGGACGGAGTAGGACTAATCGTCCGTCAAGTGGGACTTCAGCATTCGCATGTGCTGATCCATTGCTCTGATGGCTGGGATCGAACGAGTCAGCTCAGCGCCTTGAGCCAGGTTTGTCTCGACCCTTACTACCGAACTCTTGAGGGCTTCATCATTCTTGTCGAAAAAGACTGGGTCTCCTTTGGCCACCGCTTCCGCTACCGCAGCGGACCGCTGAACTCTGAGAAGTGGTTCCAAGTCGAAAATGAGCGAGTCGGCGGACGCGTTGAAGAAGATCGTGATGACGGAACTCAGAGAGATGCAGGTGTCAGGGCAGCGGAAGCATTGCACGGCGCGCAGAAGTCGCTGGGCAATGCCCTTCTAAGCGCCAAAGGCTGGTTCAAGCAGAATAACGACAGCCGTGAGAGTCTAAACGTCGACAGCGAGACGGAAGCTGGAGCCGACACTGAGGCGATAAGAAAGATTTCCAGCAGCGGCGGTGGTAAGGTCGATAAGCACGCCACAAAGCCCAACGAGGTGTCACCCATCTTTCATCAATTCCTGGACGCCACATACCAGCTCATGTACCAATACCCAGCCCGGTTTGAGTTCAACGAGCGATTCTTGCGGCGGCTGCTCTATCATCTCTACTCCTCTCAATACGGTACCTTCCTCTACGACAATGAGAAAGAACGTGTTGATGCGAAGATTGGCCAGAAGACTAAGAGTGTTTGGGATTACTTTCTTTCGCGGAAGAAGGAGTTCACGAATCCAGAATATGACCCCACTATCGACGATAATGTGAGGGGCAAGGAGCGCCTTATCTTCCCTCGTACGGAAGAAGTCAGATGGTGGCACGGCCTCTTCGGACGTACAGATGAGGAGATGAACGGCGGCCTTAGACAAGCCAAGGTCAATGGCGAGAGTGATCGGGAGAGCGAGATGAGCAGCTATGGTATGCAGAGCCAGGTCAGCGCGAGTGTACCAGCTAGTCGTGCGAGGACTCCGGTGTTGACAGGTGTTGAGACCGCAGAGGCTGCAGTCGGTGTTGCGGTACCGCCAAAGGAGGTTTCGGAGGTCAAGCTAGACGCAGAGGCAGAGCAGTCAGCGCCCAAGGTCGCAGAGGCGATGGCCGAGCAGTTGCATGCGCCAGTGTCAGTATCTCCGCAGGAGACTACCGAGGCTCAAGTGTCTTCTGGGGCGGCTGAGCCAACACAGACTCAACGATCGCCGAGCCAGCCACCACCAAGTGCGCACAGCGACAAGCCCGAAGAGAAGGACTCTGGCCCACTCATCGATTCTGCGTACCAGCAGCAGCAAGTCCAGGATGAGGCAATGACTGCTCTCTCGGATGATTTGGATCCGCTCGGCATCGGTGATGTTAAGGATCACGTACCCCAAAGCGATAAGGCGCAGCAGCGGCTCGAGAAGCGAAGACAGCAGATGGAGGCCCTTTTACAGTGATCTGAAAGTCACCATTCAGCCGGAAAGCATTCGTGTGCTATCACTCAAGATAGGCAATGGGAAGGAGAAACGAAGTTACGACTTGACGCAGCATCAGGATAAGGGCATGGCAAGGCAAGCCAGCGTGGTGACAGAACTAGATAGACTGGCGCTTTTCATGGAGCATAAAACTCCATGCGCAAGCCATGACTGCTTCCAATCGATGGTATGGGCTCAGCGTCACCAGCGATAGACTCGGGCATAAACCCCCCCGTTACTTGTCTTCTCATGAACAAGGCGTCGACCGCCTGCCAAGATTTCCACTGCCTGAGAGTGGGGCTCACTGCAGTACACTTCCCTCGCACGTCCACCACCCCCACACAACAGCTGTCGCCCGACTATGTTGATTGAGTAACTCTTCTTTTGTCGACACTCCGACTTGGCCCAGTTTCGAAGTTTCTCGACCGAAGTTTCTCAATGGATACTCGCTGCCAACACGGATCATGCCTTTTTGGCGCCAATTCCCTGCGAATTCGCTTGTTGAGGGGTCGTGTAGGTACGTTTGCCGGGTCTTGCACTCGCCGATACAAATTGTCTCACTATGTTTCCCCCCGGGCGCACGGCGACCTCGCACACGGCCTTAGTAGGAGCCATTATGGGTAGCAAAAGATACACCCCTGGTTGCAAGATACATATCCGAGAGAGAGAGAATTTAGTGAGCTCCACTTTCGCTCGATGGTGCGGAGCCGTAGTTGCCTTGTTCCCCTCGAACAGCCAATGTACCCTGTCCGGCCCACCTTTGCATCTCATCCTGTAGTTGCATCACTTCTGAGGCGCTGAGACCGAGGGTGAATGATGGATCCTCGGCGTCACCGTCACCGTCACCGTCACCATCAAAGGTGGTAGTGGCATCCGTCCCAAAAAGTTTTTCCGACAACCCGTATCGAATCGCCACTGCGACTCCTCGAATGGAGAACCAGCGACCGTCGCTGCGCGCCATCAAGGCCGCCTTCCAGCCCATGGAGAGCACCCAGAGAAGGAGAGTGGCTTCGCCAGAGTTCAAGTACTGCTGGTCAAGCTGTAAGTTGCTCAGCATGCTGGAAAGTCTTCTCTGTATCCGTTGCATGAGCATGCCAAAGATGAAGACTGAGTTTTGTTCGCGGAGGTTGGCGTACGAGCAGACGATGGCGGCGTCCCTGAAGGCTCGGATTGTATCTCGCTCGCTCCACGGATCGGACTGCTCCGCCAGATCTTCGATGTTGGCGAGGTCGTACTCCAGCTTCCACAGAGAACTGCTGAATAGGCGCCGGAGTTCGCGATTGCGTTTTGGTCGAATGATGATGGCCTTGAGGTCCATGAGAAGGGAGACGTGGGACTTGATATCGTACAGGCGTCCCACCGTGCCGCCGTAGGCGTGACCACGCCGTCTAGAGTGCTTGAAGTCTTTGGCCCCAGCGGCGCGTATGTCCTCTGGAGTCGCCGTCAGTGCCATGCTCGGGGTGCCCAGGCTAGGGCGTTGTTCGCCCAACGTGGCGTGCAAGAGATCCACCCAGCCAAGCACGAGTCGAAGCGCGTCGCTGATCTGGGGCGAATCGATCCCCCCGCGTTCTTGCACGAGCGCCGCCACCGCTTGGAGATGCGTATCCTTCGTCTCGGAAGACAGCTGCGAATGATCGTCCAGGCTCGCCAGCAGTGCAACTGTGCCAATAACACCGTCATCCCTTGATGAATCACCCTGCTCCAGCCGTCGCTTGATGTTCAGCATGGCCTGCCCTCGATGGTAGAGATACTCTGGCGTTCCGCCATCTTGGCCGCGGTCTGCGCGATGCAGGGCGACCAGACTTAGCTTGGCGTGGATCATGGCAGGATCGGCGAGCGTCAGAGTTGTCCACGCTCCGTCTGGATTGACGGCTATTGAGTTTGTCCAATACGCGTGGAGATAGTAGTCGAGCAAAGCTCGCGTCCGAGCGGTCGGATTCTCGATGCGGATGAATGCGCGGACAGAAGCCGCGGGGGTCTGGGGAATACTTTCAGTCGTGTCCCCATCCGAAATGGTGTTGTTGAGCCGACTGGAAGCTGGAGAAACAGAAGGCCTTGCCTCCTGTGACTGCTTCACACGAAATCTAGTCTTGTGGTGACTTAGCGGTTTGTTTGTCCTTGGCGCAGATCTGACAGTATCCAGGCTCCTGGTTTTCCTCAAGCTGTTGACAGAGATGTCAGTAATCGTGTAGCGAAACACAAGCGGGGATCAAGATGTAGGTGACACTCTCACGCTGTCTTTCAGGAAGCCCTCAGATTCAGCAGGAGGACCACTTCTGTTCCAATGCAAATTCACGGAGACTTACAAATCCTTCATAACCAGTACTCTTGCGCGGCGTCTGACTTCCGGCTTGAGACGCGCTCTGCCCGACGCCGCCACAGAATAGTCAATAAACTCGAAGCGGTTGTTTGATGGTGCCATCGTTGGAAGTATGCTGTGGTATTGGGAATTTGGACGACGAATGTCTGTTGTCTATGGTTCCTGGCAGAGGCAAGCAATATCTGTTGCCTATCGATGACGGTTACCCCATGTTGACCAGTAGCAGTACAGAACCGTCGTGTCCGGCTTCGCCGTAGGGAGGTAGTGGACGGGTATGGTTAGCTGAGCAGAAGTCACCTTTGATTCACCCGATGTGATGGACTCTAAACAGGATCTTGAAAGACTGAAAGGGCGAGACAACAGCTTGGACATTGACCAGTATTCCAATCCACGGAAGACGTGGCCACCATACATTAAAGGTGGTGATTGGTCTCAACAGTGCGTCAGAAAGACCCTGAAAACATGTGGGCTGACTAACAAGCCGCAGCCTCGAATGACCAATAAAGTAAATAGTAATCCGCAATCATCATGAGCTCAATACGAGGTTCGTGATGCTACTCAACTCTATTCAAGACTTGCGACATTGTGGCGTTTTGTCCGGTATGACAGACACTACCAGGGCATTTGTTTCCCGTTCTGGTCCCAAAACTTGCCACTGTGCTCCTCCTTGTTGGCTGCATCAAACAACTTCATCAGACCCTCAACGCTGGCTTCCAGTGTCACTGGGACATCACTTGGCTCCATCCCGGCGAAAGTGGCCGCTTTCTCCCCCATGGCAGTTTGGACCCACCCTGGCTGTGCTGGAACGACAACAATGTCCTTTTCTTCACGGTGTATGCGGCTTGCGGCAAAATTGACGGCCGCCTTTGAAAGCCCATATGCAAGCATAGGCATAGGATAATTGTCCATCAAACCATTGGAGCCAATATTCGATGAGATGATGAAGAACTTCGGCGTCTGCCTCGATCGTCTAAGCAAGGGAGCTGTAGCCTTGTAAAGAAGAATGGGTGCAACGGTGTTGACGTTGAAGTGCTCCTGGAGATCCTCGGCCGTGATGTTCTCTGCGAGGCCGAAATGTTTGAGAATTCCCGCGTTCGCAATGACAACGTTGAGGCTATCGATGTGATGCTCGTTTCGAAGTGTAGACACAAGTTCGCTTGCCGCTTTTGGCAAGCTTGCATTGTATTCGACAACAACGATCTCGCTGCCCTGGCCCGTCTGAATATTCTCTAGGGCTTTGGCGGCGACGGATCCGGTCCCGTCACGTATGGCTGCAATGACTCTGGTTGAGGGTCTTGCTGCGTAGGCAGAAAGGAGACCCTTACCGATTCCAGCCTTGGCTCCAGTGATGAGTACTGTTGTGTTGAACGCCATTTGAGCCGAAAAGTGCCGACCTTAGATACTTTTTAAGTGGTGCTTTCGTGGAACTGGTTTCTATTGTTTCTACGGAGCGAGAGAGGTCTGAGAAGCACGGCGATGTATATATACGTGGCCCCAGCCGTTGGGATCACTTGGGACCGTCAATCGGCTTGCTAAATCTACTACTAAACAACATCCTCAACAATTTCAAATCACAATGGCCTTTGTCGTCGTCATCGAGGGGACTTGGTAATACACCGACGCCATTAATTGCATATTGGCAAGTAATTCAGTGTTATGAGAGGTATATAATAAAGCCTTTGACCAACTTGGGCAACAATTAGTCAAGCCATCGAATTGACTAGGGGATGCTCCCCTGTCCTAGTTCTTGTGGTCGATGTGGTGGCCAACACTTGTACGGCGAAATGTCTCTGTAACTGATCAGGCATGTCTGTCAGCCAGTGAATGCCCACAGCCATTTCCAACTGGTCTTCGCGAGGTTTCTGCACCCTATGAGACGGGCTACTACCATACTACGTTCGCGGGTGCCAGCCTGGTGCCGCTCGTTGGCTAGATCGGCTACCCAATACAGAGAATAGGTCTGTACTTTCACGACCACCCTACTGAGACTGTTGAGGCAAGCAACTCAAAGGTATCGGCCTATGGGTATCTGCCTGGCAATGCTGAATGCCTAACGTTGAGCCCGGGTGGACCGAGTCTCGTGGAAATATTGGCTAGACCTCATGGGTACCTGGATTGGGTCAAAAGTGACAAGGCACATGAGTACGATGCCAACTTGGTTGATGGCGCAGCCCAAACACCACTACGCGTAGGGCAGGGATGCCCTGGTCGTGGTTACCTGAGCATCGTGAACACCAACATTGCCGGATTCGGCCAATGGTCTCGGTCCGTGATTGGTTGGGTTCGGCTGGGCTCAGATACGGATAGACCTCCTGCGCCCTCAAAAAGGACCGCGTACATGGAAGCTGTCAGATGTGCGCAACGGAAGCATGAAAAAGGCGACAAAGAGAAACCTACTCGTACCTAGACGCCCAATGACCCAAGGGACATTCTCCCGCGTTGTTGCCTGCATAAAGCTACGAAGTGAGGCGGCAATGAACTTAAGTCTTGTAATTCGATGGTCTAGTTGGAATACATTATTTAGGCGCTGCATTCGAGGCCGACCTGAACTAAACGGCGCAAGCTCAGCATCGTCGTTCGAAAACAGATTTCTTCAGTCATTACTCGAAGTCACTACCATCCAGGAATCGGTTCGTGTCTTCGGCGACCCTCTTCGCGTAATGCCACAGAAACCCATGTCCGCTGCGTGGGTAAATAATGAGCTGTGCGTTCTCGATCCTCTGCAATAGCTCCCAGCTGCGGCTCGTAGGAACGAGCGTGTCCTCATCACCGTTGATTACCAGTACTGGCATATTGAGCTCCCCAAGCCTGTCAAAGGAGGAATTATGTTGGGGCTGGTTTGCGCCTAACACCGAAGCGATCTGGTTGTTGCCATTCGGTTCCATTGGTAGCAGCTCGAGATTGGGTGGCTCAGCTGTGCGAGACGAAATTCGTTGCCAATAGCGATCGAATGCAGCTGAGGCAATGTCCGTTGCTGGGAAGGTTGAGAACCTGAGCGCTTCTCGACCTTCGTCAAGGGAAGTCGCGGAGACCAAGCTTGTGAAGTACTTCATCGGTGGCTCTTCTTGTGGCCATACGATGCCATCGATCGGGCCTTTCTCTGGCACGGACGCTCTTGAGCCGGCGATTATGAGCTTCCGGACAAGCTCAGGAGCGGCTAGAGCAGCCTCGAGAACTGCATGGCGCATTCGTCAGCCTTGGCATAACTACGGTAGTAGACCAGGAGCTCACCAGCCAAACCTCCCATCGAAAAGCCGAACAAGTCCACCTGCTTGAGCTCAAGCGCGCGGATGAAGCCGATCAGGTCCCGAGCCCAGCCAGCGAATGTGGTGGGAACCTCGCCGCTGCTTCTGCCAACGCCTGCGTTATCAAAGAGGATGACCTCACGCCTCTCTGCAATGGTATTCACGAGCAGTGGATCCCTGAAGCACACATATCAGACACTGAGCTGAAGACCGACCAGTCATGGGCTTACCAGAAATCCATATTACCTCGAAAGTGAATATGATGGACGATTGGAACGCCGCTGGCGTTGCCAAACCTGCGGTACGCAAATGTAACATTGCCGGGCCCCTGGATGAACTGGGTTGGTGCTGTTTCTGCGGTAGACATGGCTGGGTTATGGCAAGTGCTCTGTAGGTCTGCGATGCTAGGGGAGAGCCTAGATGCCCTAGTCCGGCCATCTAATTGCTTTATAGTCTGGCTGGAGCTGCAAGTAGAGTTTTTCTCATCAGCTGTACGTCCCGAACATTTACCAATCGCCGGAGAAAGTGCTAGCAAGGACCTTTGTCAGCGGGCCAACTCATGCCTTCTTTTAATTACCGCTTGGGGTGAAAGGACTTACTAGTTAGAGATGGAAAGTTTGCCAGGTGTGCTACAGAAACATGTGTATCGGCAGGCGTAGTAAGTTTCTGCTGTCGTGATGGGTTCAAGTTAGATTCGATGTCCCATTTGTCAGGATGAATCTTCCATTTCTCTCCTGAGACTTAGGGCATTCCAATGGCCTAGGGCTATCGCATCTCCTGGCTGGTGTCACCGTAGCACTCGATAACCAGTGCAATGTTCAGGCTCCAAAGACACATTGCAGAAATTTGACCAGCTATGTTCGCGATTTGGTGATCATATCTTTCCTGGTCGTGCTGATATCCAGAGTCCCTTCACCTGCACGCAGACATGACCTTCTACGCCCTCAATCTGCCCACTGAGCCAATACTTCCTACCTTCTACCTTCGTCACCCATGACTTGATGACGGCGACGCCAGGAGTGACAACGGGCTGTCTGAAGTCGATGTTCAGATTCGCGGTGAAGAGGTGCTCTCTGGCCTCGTAGCGTCTTTGACGTGCAAACTCCACACAATAGCTCAAGGTTTCGTCAAGAAGTGCACTCAGCAGGCCTCCATGAGCGACAGCCTTGAAGCCATTTGTGCCCTGTTCGAGGTTGACAAGCAGAATGATGTCGGGCTTGTCCGCAGAGCCGTTGGGTGGTTCATCTCGCCGGTCAGGCCGAGGGTCGACTGCTTCATCACGGACAACGAGGAGCCATTTGGGAATCGTCGATGTCGTTTTGAGGGTAATGGCAAACAGATCGTTCTCGCCATCGTCTCTGGGAATGCGCGCGCTCGTGCCGACGACGGAATAATGGGGGTTGCCGAGCCATTGCTGTAAGGATGGGACGGTCTTGAAAAAGTCCAAATCCTGCGGATCGACTGGCAGTTTCCTGCTATCCTGTATGAAGCTTGACGATTTCCAGGCAGACATGTTTCTCATATGCTTGATTGTTGATGGATTTGTGCGTGTTGAAAGTCGAAAGGAAAGCATCGATGCTCGACCAGAGAGCCTGGAATATTCTGCCGAGGCACAGATGCTGGCCGTCCGCTGTAGCACCCAAGCTAGATGGCCCCACCTTTGGGGTTGGGATAGCATTGGTGTTGCCCAGCTTCGCCAGCGGCTTGCCCCCTTCATTGCGGTCATCAGACCTTGCATCTGATGTACCACCTTCGACAAGGCTAGTCGTCAGCGTCCATCTCGCCCAGCTGTGTCCTGGTCGGAAAGGATCAGACCATGCGAATGAGAGGAAAGTCAACTACGAAACCCCCGCTCGGCTTTCTCAGCTTGGTGCTTGGCAAAGAACCGCATCTGTATGCCACATCCAAATCTGGCATACACGTACGAATTGGTATGATCCGCGAAGGCCTCCGCATAAGCAATTTGATTCGATACCTGGGAAAGCCAACATCAGTAGTACCCCGAATACATGTAAGCCGTATGGACTCTTCGTGGCGCAGTATACGCCGTCGCTGACCTAGACAACTCGAACCGCCCAACGAGTGTTAGCAGGCAGAACACTTGCAATACCCCCCCCCTCCCCTCCCACAAGACACTGAGCGAATCGAAGCTGGGCAGCCTCCGTTCTACGCTGGTTACATACGCTCTCAGAAGCTTGAGTGCACCAGCCTAAGCCCGTCTCGCGGAGGTCCAGCCAACTAATCGATGTTTCAACCCTTTCAAAAAGCTTCGTTCCGGATCTACAAGATCCCCTTCACCCTGGGCCAGGTCGTTACTGCAAATGAATGGCCGGATTCCAAGGTAAGTCTGTCTACTCGGCCAGCATGGTAGTGCCCACCTACTTCCAATACCCTTTCTTAGACGTTATAGATTCAAGCGACATAGTCACCCGGTGACGATCGGCACAACAGCACCGGCATCTGAGCATAGATATCTGCTTCTCAGAAGAAGCGAGCGTATTCCTCACCAGTCAGTATCGAGAGCCACCCAAGGGCCATAGAAGAATATTCCCACAAAGGACCGGAGCAATTGCTTTCCTCAGAGTGCTGTGCCTTATTTGGCTTAAGGTGATCATGTCTTGAGCCAGAAACAGGAACCTGCACGCCCCTCCTCAGCATCGGTCATGGCTCGGCCGGTTTCAGACCACCGCAGCCATTCGTGGCACCTGTGTGACATGTCAATCAGATAGGCTCCCCATCCGTGGGGAGCTTTTGGCACCGGCCAGCCTGTGCATCCGCCGTGATTGCGTTGGACTTTTCCACAACGGGTTCTCAAGGGCTGCTGCAGGCCAGAGGTTGTCTGGCCGGGTTTGCTTACTTTCATTGTGATGGTGCTGTAGTAGCCTTTTGTCATGTAACAGTTTGTGGACCGGGCGGGTGTCTCGCAACGTCTGGAAGGATTCCTCTTTGGCTTCGAAATTATCGGTCTAGCTCAGAGTTCGACTCTCCATATCTGTTCTGTCTCGGCACAGGCCGTGTCCGCTATCCCGTGATAACACGCTTACTCGCATAAGTTAATCACCGCCAAGTTGTGCATCTGAACCTGGTTTCTAGAAAGTCGAAGATATCCTTTCCACCTCAGAGGCTCGCGGAGTCGATGCTCTGGCTCCGAAGGAACTAGGTACCAGGCTTGCTAGGGTTGTTGAAGGAAAGGGTTAAAACGCTCTGCTTCACGCTAATATAGCGGAGGTAAGCTCGAGTAGCGTAAGCAGCATCTCTTCCACTGGATACTTCGACGTTGTCGAATCTGACAAGACGACACCACTCTGGTGGTCGCCAACGCCCCAGGTCACAAATATTCCAGGAACTTCTACTCTAGATACTTCCTCACTAATGTCTGGAACGACTGGAGATGGGTCCTATACCTCTAACGGCCCCGCGTCCTCCCCTGTTGCGGGTATGTTGACATATGGTGCGCTTGAAACTCACGACCTGAGCTGATCACAACCACAGTACCTCCAATGTTCCCTGCTGGTACCAGCATCGAGAGGCAGCCGGGAAATAGCTCCACGTCACCGCAGCCGTCCTGGCAAGGACCGCAGGGTGGCCAGCCAACATCTCCGGCTCCTCTGCAAGACTCCGTTCCAAGGGGTCAGCTTGCAGGGGCGGTAGTGGGAAGCCTTCTCGGCGGTGCAGTTGCGACAAGTGCTGGTATCATCGCTTTCCTTGCATGGAGAAAGCGCAAGAAGCGTCGGCACCGGCGACACTTGCGCATTCAAAACTCATTCCTGATGCAGCAACCGGAGGACGACGGGAAGCCACCTCCGGGCATCGGTTTGTCGCACAGCACTGGACACGAGCACCAAGACGCGGCAACTGGCAGCGAAAATGCTATGCCCAAACGGAGTATCATTGCTGCCGGGCCAAACCATATCGCCTCGCACGTGAACCTCCTCGAGGAGCAGAAGCGCTACGTGCATGGCGAGAACGCTACGACCTCTAGCGCTACACAGCTCAGCGGCCCCATGCAAGCAAAGAGGCAGTCCCTTCCGCGGGCCTTGAGTAGTGGCAACCCTCGCAGAACCATCTCAATCAGTGCGTCCGGCCTGATCTCACCAGTGGCAGCGACCCACGCAGCAAAGGAGAAGGCTGGCATGGGCGAAATCGTCCGACAGCTCCGCATGCAAGTCTCCACGCTCTTCGAACAGATAGGGTTGCATGTGGACAACTTCTATCAGGACCAAATGGCAGCTGGTAGCGGCTCCAGGCTCGATGCAGAGCAACAGAGGCAGCTCCAGCTCTTTGATTCTCCGTATTTGGACGACTCCCTTGCCGGTCTACTCCCATTCGCTCAAGACGCACGCGTGTTGTTAAAGCACAGCATAACCGAGACTGTCGTCTCGAGACTCGACTATAGCAGCCGCATTGACGCCAATGAAGCTCTGCTGCCTTCCGGCCTTCTGAACACGTACCGATTGATGACAGCATCGACACTGCACGACTCAGCCACAGACGTTCAGCACTGGCGCACCCACACACTTGGTTTGCTCGGCATCGACAGTATTGAGAAGTCCATGAGTTTGCAGGTGCAGAGTCTTGCTGCAGCAATCACTGGCGCTTTCGAGCCATGGGCAGTGAGTCGGTACGGAACCGAGGCAAAGACAAGCCACCTAGGGAATCTCTTAAAGGAGGCCGTTGAACTAGGATTGGAGATCTTTGGGATGCAAAACGCTGTCCACTGGTCGTGGGAGATTCCTGAGGGAAGTAAAGGAGAGGTTGTCGTTTTCCCGAGCTTGCTTATCCTGCAGGAGAGTTCTGGCAATGCCGGAGGGAGCAAAAGAAGCAGCCGTGTTCTGGTCGGCACAGAGATCGAAGTCGTGCAGCCGGTGCTTGGGTATCTGAAGTTCGAGACATAATGATAATGTACCGGCGTTAGTTGGGATTTTTCATAACTTTGGCGGGCCTTCCGCGAAGTCTTTCATAAGGTCGTCTTCCTTCTTGATTTCGACCACCGCTTTACCCCATACCTTCCTCTCATACAACTCCTGCAGCCCCTCGCCTACCTTGTCTAAGCCCTGGTGCGCCTTGTAGATCAAGGGCTTCATCTTCTTCTTCGAAAGCAGCTCCTCCGTCCCTCGCCAGCACTCCGCCGTGTGTTTCGGATCTCTTCTACCGCTCTCTCCATATCTGTAACCCAGCACCTTCACATTTTTCAGCAATATCCTGTTCATCGCTACCTTCTCCATTTCGCCTTTTCTCCCTGCAAATCCGGCGATGACCACCGTGCCACCGAATCTTACGCATCTGATCGACGACAGGACCAGACCGACTGTATCATACACAACATCCACACCCTCCTTCCCCAATCCCTCTGCGATCCGAACCACCTCCTTCTCCCAGCCGTCTCTTCCATAATTCACCACTCCCACTACATCGCCCCGGAAGTTTTCCCTCACAACCCTTGCCTTCTCCTCACTCCCCACCGTAGCAACGACCTGCGCACCCATTGCTCTAGCAATCTGCACTGCCGGCACACCCAGCCCTCCCGTTGCGGCATGCACAAGCACTAGATCCCCCTTTTGCACATCTGCGCAGAGCCTCAAAGCCCCATAGCTTACCGTCGGGCTGGCAGCCCCCATACCCGCCGCCTCCAAAAAGCTCGTCTCATCCGGAAGCCGCCGCAGCGCGGAGGTTGGTACGGATACGTACTCCGCATAGCTCCCGACCGTGGAGCCCCAGACTCGGTCTCCAACCTGGAATCCGCACGCGGCACGGGCGGATGCAGAGGTGGGTAGTGCGGCAACAACGCCGCAGAACTCAAGTCCGAGGGTGAGGGGCGGGCGCACGAGGCCAGAGGCGTTGTTTTGGTGCAGGCCGCGGGCGTAGAGGAGGTCGACGTGGTTGAGGGATGCGTGGCTGACCGCCACGATGATGCGATCGGGTGTAGGCCGAGGTCGAGGGATTATGGCGGGGCTGAGGGATGCGTAGCCTCTGGAGGGCGGCAGCCAGTCGGTGATGTGGATGGCTTTCATGTTCGCCATTGCGAGACCGCAAGAAGCGTATGTATATTTCGGAGAGCGATGCCGGTATCACCCCAGTTGCAACCATGCGGAATATCAACCTAAAGTAGGCCGGTGGAACTCGGTCTGAAACGAAGCCCTTCCAGTGCTGATCAGAGTAATACAAATGTCAACGATTTGTTTGCAACCCTGCTGGGAGAGTGCCCGGTATCTGAGAAAGGAAGGACAGCCAGTATGTATATACGCAAGAGCCGAGGTACTCTTCGGGGGAAGGCTTGGCATGGTGTGCCTCGTCGCCTTACGCCGAGCGATGAAATGGTACCAGTAGTACTTACTACGTCAAGAAAACTCCGAAGACACTGGAATTTGTGAGAGAGAAAAAAACCACTGAAACACGTAGTGCAAGTGAGGCGGAATGATTTTCATTGTCCGCCGAGAAGGATAGAGGACCGCCCTGCGGGTCGCTGCCTTTCACTTGAATCATATACTCCACTCCCTAGGCACCTAAGGATTGGTATTCCATGATGTGGTGGGAACTCGCTCGTTTGGCGGTATGACGCTGTTCTTAAGCCGGGATGCTGCATCATACGACCTTGCTAAATTACCAAATAAACCATTATTGATGGCCGCCCCACGGCCTGGTGCCTTCCGGCCCGAGGCCAAACAGACCGAAGCGCATCGCCGAGGTTATGACAATTCTGTGATCAATTTCTCGTGACGAGTCCCAAGAGGGGGGGTTTTGACCAGGCCTGCGACCCTTTCCAAGCCAATGTGGTCGACTTCGGGGGTCCAAATCGTGAGTGAAACGATCGTGACTGAGGGATTTGGCAGAAGCGCGGGCGGGCGCAATGTCAACTCCAGCATACCTCTAGCCCTCACTGTCGTGGATGAAGATCGGCCAGCGCCCTCAAGCTGAACAAGGACTTGTTTGTGCGGGAGGATGCCGTGCACAGCAGGCCCGCCCGAAAATTAGTACTTCAGCGCTCAGCCCTTGCGGCCTCGTAAGCCCGCTCATCTTCAGGCTGTTCAACCTTCCACCAATACACCACGGTCAGCACATACAGCGCCTGTCCACTGAGCCACGTCGCCGCGGCGGCCCACCAGAGCTTGTCGCTTACCCACGGCCACAAAACATATCTCCCCCGCCATGTGAGGTAGAATCGGGCGCGGACGGCGGGTAGAACTGAGAGGGCAGTGAGGAAGAGCAGTGGCCGTCTGAGCTGGCTGAGTGACAGAAGTGTCGTGAAGGTGACGGGGAACGCGCGTGCGATGCGGGGTTGATCGCGGGAAGGAGATTTGGATGGTGAGCGGTTGGCAGCAGTGGGAGGGCGGCCACGTCTAATGGGCGGTGGTGCAGGGGCGCCTTCCGTGGGGGTGTTTGGGGGTGGCATGGCTGAAGCTTCAATAGAAACTCCGGACGGAGTAATTCGCCCAGTTTCCCGGCCCAGGTTCAGCACGCCGATGTGGCTGTGGTGGCCTCGATGGCGTTCGAACAAACACAAGCTATGCCTGTTCGGTGTCGAGGAGCGCTGATGCAGCGGATCGTTGATGAGGGCACCGTTGGAACGCTTCGCAAGGGGTGGGGCCGGCGGCTTGTTCGGTATGCGAGAATGCGATCCTCTCTTGGAGTTGCCAGGAGGAAGTCAAAGCAGTTGCTGCGGAGCGGATCGCAACGGGTCAGCGCACGTGCGGAATCGTCAATGTCAGACTGGTGTGCCGATGGAAGAGCGGAAGGAGTGTAGAAAGAATGGAGGTTGATAATCGCGATCCACGACGATTGGCAGCCGGGGTCAGGCGGGAGATTGCGATGAAACTGATGTTCCACTCAGCGAAGTTTGTGTCCCAGCAGCAGACTGTTCGAGTCTTAGCTAGCCTGATGTCAGAGCCGAAGAGGATGCGCAAGGGTTCGCAAACATGCAGCTCTTGATGATGGATCGTGGTGTGTTGAAAGATTCTTGATGAGGCAAGGAGCAGAGTACTGGAGAGGGCGTGCGAGGCGTAATCATCAAGCGTGTCTCCACTTTCGATTGATGCAAGCCAATTGAAATCGCTCCAAGCAACGTGAGTAAACCAGTACACCAAACATGTTGCAAACAGTATAGACGAAGGAGGTGTGACGTTTATCAAAAATCATGTCATGTTTCCAACGAAAGTAGAAACTCCTAATGAAGGGCTGAATGTTCTATCGAAAGATTGTCGTTCGCTTGCTCGCTTGCTTCGTGGACTGCAAAGCGCAGTCTGACCAGACATCATCCGTGCATCTCTACCAGCCGAATCCCTCTTCCACAAACTCAACGTTGCTCCCTTTGGACAAAAGGACACGCGTCGCCCGTCTGACCTCATCGGCGAGACCGCCTCCAGCACAGACGCTGACGCCAACGCAGCCCAACTGCTCCTCAGCCTCAACCTCCATCAATGATTGCACATCCGGCCGGCCTCTCAGCATCTTCACCGTCTCACTGGGTGAGCGAATCGGTTGGCTGAGACCTGCGCGAGTAATGTAGAGGATGATCTTGAGCACATCGCGTCGGTTCTCAATGCCAAGGATCTCGTGCATCCAAGGCCGGATCCATTCTAAGCAATCGGTGGAAGTGACTGACCACACCAGAGTAACTCTGCGGGCGGCAACGGTACCATCGTTGTAGCCTTCCAGGAGCTGCTTGATGTAAGGAATCTGGTGCGTGATACCAACGCCACTGGCAAAGAGCATAACGGTGCCATAGCTGGCCATGCTTCGATCGCCACCATAAGGCCCTTCAATGCAGGCATTGAACGTCATCTTGCCAGGCTCAGGACCATTGGAACGGGCAACACGATCGTAGAGTTTTCCTGTCATACCGGTTCTGGCCTTGATGACAAGCGAGTATGTAGCCTTTTCCATCTCTGATGACTTGGGTCGCGATCGAACGATGGGTGCCTTTTCGGGATCAACAAATGCTTTGACGGTATTGGATCTTTTCACAGTTGTGGAGCGAGACAGACCATGCTCAGCATCACTCCAGGCAATCGAAAAGGGATGCGCAGTCCAGAGGCCGACAGATGGGATGGTGAGGTACAGAGACTGGCCGGACTTGTACTTCCAGGGGCGAGGGGTTGTAAGCGTGACCCGAAGAGCATCACCAGGCAGGGCCTCGACCTCAGCCTGGCAGCGGCCGGAGCCTCCCCATGTACGGTAGGCGAGAGTGGCGAAGCGCCATCCACGGGTTGCAGCCCAGATCGCGATGCTGGCGATGAGGAAGGCAAGTTGGGGATACTCCAGAAGATGGATCCACAGAAAGGCGAACGTTACCGCTACTATGATGAAGTGGGCGTGTAGGAACACCTCATATGCCCACGATCGCACGACTTTGGGAGCCTGGAAGAACAACATGACGAAGCCAATGGTAGCAGCGAGACCGGCATAGATGAACTCATGCTGGACTGACTTGTTCAGACCTTCCCAGCCTTCCTTCTCGACCTTAGCAATCATGTAGCACACGGTATGAGCAACGCCTTGCAGGATGCAGAGCCGTCCGAGCCATCGGTGCATCAAGTTGAAGGTGTCGTAAGAAATGTCGAGAATCTCGATGAGTGGGTTCTTGATCGTGGCCATGATCAGGACGGGGACCAGGTTGGCGACAGAGAGGGTGCCCGTCCGGTTGCGGAGGATGGGAAGAACTTGGAGACGCTCATCATTCCAGGGCACCTCCCAACAGCAAGCCCAGACGTTGACGACAATGCAGGCGGTGATAAAGACGGTCTGGAAACGAGTCGGGATGCTGCCAAAGTTGAGGTACCGGTGAAACTGGATCTCTGTCGCCCGCTTGTGACGGAATGTGGGTGCATACAGAATATGGCGCTTGAGCCAGTTGACACGCGAGTCGCCTTCTGCGAAATATTTCTGTGATGTGGCAGTCAAGCTGGCGAGATGTCTCATATGTGCGTATACGCGGACGGAACTGCGGTAGATGAAGATGCAGGCCGCGAAGGCCAGCAGGGACCAGGCATAGTTCTCTGAGAGGTTCTTGTTGAGGTACGTGAGATACTCTTGAGTTTCGGCGTTCTGTTGATTGCCTCCAGCAGGAGCTGCGGCGGCAGCTGACGCCAAGAGGGCCAGAGGGACGAGGTGTGACATCTCGTGTTCGGGCAATAAGGAAGACGATGAGGTACCAAGTGTTGCAGATGTGGGAGAACCAGCCCGAGATTGCCGACAATCGGTAACTGCAGTCAACCGGGACCAGTTTACAGCGACACAACAAACAGATGCTCCTGGTAAAAGAGTGTGGTGATGGTCGGGAGTCCAGAAGCAATGTTGTGTGTGTAAAGAGAGCGAAACAAAGACAAAGCAGAGCAAGCCGTAATGTATGGATCGGTGGCTGAGATTGCTACTGGAGCTAATCGAAAGCAAACAGGGAGGGCTGTCGCCAAGGCTGGGTGGGCTCCTGATTCACAAGACAGGCCTTTGTCTAAAGCCTGGGCCGGTCGAACTCTTTATCGCTCTGGGAGATTCTCCCACCCTGCACCGTTGCTTGCCGTCCTTTGGCTTGCCCTGAGACGACCAGTTGTCGCGAAGCAGGGAGTGACGAGTACATAGTCTCTATCCACGCGTCGGAATGGTTTGTGCATGGTCTGCGCCAACGGCGGGCATATGACCGTTCCCCGACCTTGCAGCGAGCTTCTCCAGGCTAGCTGAACCAAGACGGAGCGAACAAATTGCCAGGGATACGGCTGGTTGGGTCCCCAGGCGAAGTTGGCGTCAGTCGGCAGACCGCCAGGGCACCAATGAGATTTGCAGGGTGCCTGGCAGTGGCAGGCTTGGTGCAGAACCGTGGCCCAAACATGTCCACTTCGTCAATTCTTCCTTGTTGTTTATTCACAGCCGCTTCCTCCGTACTCCGTTCGTTCTGGATGCTATTCGGCTATCTATTCTCCCACCCCACTGAAGGCCACTCAAGGTTCTCGTCGTCAACCAACGCTTCCTACGGAGTAGCCCACATGAAACCGAGAGCCTGCTCCGGCAATGACTCGTGGCATGATACCATGATCGGTCTCCTGGCCTCAAGTACTGTGGTTTGCCCTCCACTCAAGGAGGGCCCCGACTATTTTCCAAGCCCGGTCCAAGAATGCGTGGCTGATTCTACATGAAACATGCCCCCCCAACTGACGTAGGGGGCACCCTTGAACTCTATCGGCGCTGCTTGCGCCGCTCACAGCCACTGAGTCGGCCGGATCCTCCGTTGCAGAAGCATAAGCTGACGAGGCCTGTTGCAAGATGTGTACATCTTTATCCTCTCGGCGCTCAATGGTCAGTGTCGTTCTTAAGAATCATGCCGGGCCACACGCTTGGCTCAAAGGCCCAGTCTTTGAGCTAAAAGAGACATGCTCCGGTGCTAATCTCGTCCCGGAGAGGCGAGCTCAGCCAATCTTTGCCTGTCAAGGATCGCGTTTCAGGCATAGCAGGGCTTGTGCGTCTCGATGTCTTGCAGCTTACGGGATTCTCGATCCTTCTCTATATCGAGCATCGGACAGCGCCTACTGCACGTTGGTCCGCAAGCATGGGTTGTAATGCGCCGGACATGCACCCAACGTTTGAAGCGCACATTGCCTTGTCCTCCTATCCATATCTTATGGAATACTCCCGAATGCAGAATCTTGAGATATGTTACGTGGTCATCGACAGGCCATGAGGGTCAGAGAAATTGACGCACAGGCTGCCTGGACTCACGGGGGAGATTCTTGGCTGGATTTGCTGCGAGCCTGGGGAGCCTGTCAGTCTATTTCGTCGACCCCTGGTGGTCCGCCGTCGCTCTTTGGTTGCTTCTCCAGAGGTTGACCATCCGTATCAGCTGCGGGAACTGCTTCAAGCGAGTTACACGCTCAGCTGCAAATATGGAATGCATGCGTTGTGACGTACTTCTGCTTACGAAGTACGTTAGTACAGTGTACTTATCCGTGGGTGCAGCAACAGCACTCTGACTCCTGTTGGTAGTCTGTCCTGGCCTTTCATGTCAACAGCGTTGTTTACTCCAGTTCTATGCTGATTGCTCGCACTTGATGACAAGGTTCTGGTTTTAGTTACGATGCGGTCACCAAATTAGGCAATTTGTTGGCGGAATCGAGAGCATCCTGTAGTACAGGCAATGTTCGTCAAGGCAGAGACGTGCATGCGGTACTCGTGCAAGGTATCTGGCCCCGATGCGGACGCCCTAGAAACTTCCCAAGCTGCAGCACTGGACGACCAGAGGTCTGGCTCTTTCAGCGTCGGACAAGTATCCTGTGTGATGTCCTCGGGGCAAATGCGACGGTACTCGCGATAGCTGCGAAACGATACGCTCAGAATCCTGCATCTATGAGCCAATTGTTGATTGTATTCTAGGTCAAGGTTCATGTATCCTTGCGCCAACAATTGTCCGCTCGCCTCGAGAGGGTCGCCATCTTTGCGCAACCATGAGGCCCATGTATCCCAAGATCCACGCCCTGTCCTGCAGTAACCGCCGTTCACAGCACTTCTGATACATCCATTCGCGTTCTTGCTGACGACGCTTTTGACCTTGAGCATCCTGGACGAGTATACGTACCAAGCGGGGCGGTTGAAGCTTGGTAAGTCTCTGATACACCCTTCGTCTCAGACAAATCAGCGTCTTTCGGCTCGGCTTGCACCTTCGATGTCGCTTTCCCACGTGCGCATTCGCGCTCTTCCTCGCTTCCATCATCTAGAATACCGAATGTGATGATGTGATGATTGCCTCCGAAATTGTCACCTGATTAAGTAATCTTGGCATCTCACTCAGAATCGCTGGCACTGCCGGTCGGTCCCTCGTCCTCGTCCTGCTGCTGTCCGCTTTTCAAGCCCTCGTTCATAACATACTCGGCTTCTAGTAGCTTTTTGCGCAGTTGCTCGGTCCGTGGTGTGCAGATCTGACTCGGTTTCCTTCCGTGGGAGTCTTTGACCCGAGGATCACCGCCGGCTTCAATCAGCATAGTAGCCATAGCTTCCCCTAGGTCAACTTCCCGCTCATTGCCATACTTGACTGCAGAGTGAATTGGAGTCTCTTTGTCACGGCGGGTGAGGGGGTCGCACTCAAGGAATTCAACGTTGAGCAATTCGTCCATGACATCGTCTGGAGGATGTCAGCGATGCGAGGATGATTGGGAGAGAAGCCCCGTACAAGAACCGTAGCTCGCGCATACGTGTAATAGGTAGTTACCCATTGTGTCAGTGATCGAGTTGAAGAACTCGGCGACCCTCTCCTTGGACTGGCCGTTGGAGATGCCCTCGTGGACTTCATGGAAAAGATCCACGTTGTCTCTTCGACAGGCTTCGAGGATCTGCTCCTTCGGTGAGGCGCCGTCGACTTCTGCCATATTTCTAGCGTGCTGATGTTGTATGAGAATTAAAGAAAGAGGGCCGGTTCACACTTCGTGGTGAGTGCCACGTCAAGGGCAGGGCTGTGTCCGGGGTAGGCTGTGTCGTGCTTTAGAAGTCTGACGTCGGCTGCAGGGTTTGGCAAGCAGGCTTGTAGCGATAGTTCGAAGGTATGAGCCTCGTACTCTGCTACGGTCTAGATAACGTAAATTATATACTCGCCGACTGCAGAGACATAGTAGTAGTAGTTGAAAAGCGCAGGCTACACTTTCCACCGACAATGCCGCCCCGCGATGCCAAGGCCGGAGAAAGTCTGTCTCGGGATTGGACTCGTTCGACTCAATCCGCTTCACCACGCGATGCAAGAAATGTTTGGAAGTGCAAGTGATGGTGCATTTCATGGACTGCTGATACCGTTGGGTTCGAGGGGGCGGCAGTAAGCAGGACTTCACTACTCCAGGCATCTGCTTTGACCTGCGCCGTTCATTATTCCGAAATGCCTCCCACATGTGAGAAGATGGACTCGACCCATCACGACGCACGGCTCTAACATGCCTAGTTTGCCCCTACTGCTGCAATTCCTTGACGATCTCGAAGGCTGCAGCGACCCCCGATAACCCTCACGGTCGGAATGCTTTCACCTGTCGAACCTGTCCATACCAATTCGTTTTGGACCAGCCATACTACGAGCGTACCTACATGAAAAGGAAACAGAAAGACGACATTCTCGGTGAAGATCAGACTGACTTACCGGTCAACGAAGGTAAAGTCATGACACCTGTCAAATACTTTCTGGCTGACTTGTCTGCGCAGTGCCTGGCGGTTGTCCCAACGAGAAATGCAGTTCGAAGCGCGCATACTTTTATCAGCTGCAGACACGCAGTGCCGACGAGCCTCCTACATCTTTCTATAAGGTACGACGCTACTTCACATCCCGTGGATCGAATGTTCCTGACTTTGCGCCTAGTGTATCGAATGCTCCAAGCAATGGCGCGAATACTGAGCTGCAGCCTCGCTTTCCGATCTCAACTTGCCCGCGCTGGCGGAGCGATATATCTCGCATGAGCAGCTCATGGCTGATAGCCTGCGAAAATCTGTCAACAAGCGAGCGAGGAGACAACACATCGATTCCGTGGGTAATGTCCTACAGTACCACCAGCGCCTGGGTCTTTTGATTGCTCGCCAGCGGAGTACAAAACATTGGCGACGCCATCGAGGATGTCGCTTCGATTGCACATCTCAGGATCATCGAGCAATGATCTGTCGACGAAGTCACATATCAAGATGAACGCCTTCTACCAGCTCAAAAACTCCTTGCAGTCCTTTTCGGGAACTGAGGGCAGGAGTCAGTGATCTGGCCGGCTCAGCCTTAGCACTTGTGGCTGCGATAGAGATCATGCAACTGAAAAGCGAGGAGCATAACTATGTTGCATGTTGTGGCGCTCGGAAACTCCGGTCTACTATTGGCAGCGTTTATGACTCGATAGTGGTCTGTTCACAGGATGAGGTATTTGTGCGGCGACCCCTTGCGCGCATCATGCCGAAGCATTTTCGGCAAATCCAGGCTTCGACGACTTCGTTGCGCAACCAGCATCTGTGTTATCACGAGGGGCACACAGTGGGGGCGGGAACAGCGAGTCAATGGAACCAGTCATGGCCGTGAGTCAGAGCAGTCAGGCCGGGGCCACGTTCTATTTGATAGCAGAATGAGACTCCATTGATCCTCCGCCATATTTAGCGGTGCAAGGCTGTCCGGAGCCTCTGTAGAACAACCCTGCATCCTCACGTTAGAGGGCCCCAGCTGGCCTAGCGGGGTCATTCATCTCCTATCGTCGTTCTAGTAAAAAGCCCTGCGGTTTTGAACAGCTATCGACTTTTGAGCGGCAATTAATTGGAGCACATGCTTTCAGAGGCTAAACAACAAACGGCCCTTCGATCGAATCATAATAGCCAGAACGAAGCAAAATCTGACTGGATAGTGGGGCAAGGGTTGCTGGGTTGCGGCGGACGTGGCGAGTGAATTATTGCCAAGCCCCTGCCTGCGGTCGACTCCTACAAAATTCGCACAAGCCGGCCGCAAATTGTCCTTTCTCTTCTTTCGTCGCTCAGTGAGTTTCTCCATCTACACCTATCCTCTGCATCGATACTGACATTGCTCAGCACCTCTACGCAAGCTGTAGTATCTGAGCATTCGTACGAAAGCCTCAAGTCTCTGACACAGAACTTCAAGCCTTCGAAAGCCACATCTTCAAACAAAACCGCAACCATGGGGTAAGTCGGCAGCCTGCGCTCGTCTTTGGATCATCGCCTGGCAGCCTTTGCCAGTGTCAACGAGCATAGCTAACATGATCGCTCAACAGTAAGGAAAAGACTCACGTTAACGTCGTCGTTATCGGCCACGTCGACTCCGGCAAGTCCACCACCACCGGTAAGCAGAATATGACATCTACAATCAAGGCCAAACGCTCACATATCTCAAGGCCACTTGATCTACAAGTGCGGTGGTATTGACAAGCGTACCATTGAGAAGTTCGAGAAGGTGAGCGGCGCCCTCTCGTCATCGCTGGCTCGTTATCCCTCAACCGCAAAAATTTTGGCGGGGGAGGGGCAGCCATCACGTGATTTAGTACTTCCGATAAACTTTTGCTAACTCCGATAACAGGAAGCCGCTGAACTCGGCAAGGGCTCCTTCAAGTATGCGTGGGTGCTCGACAAGCTCAAGGCTGAGCGTGAGCGTGGTATCACCATTGATATCGCCCTCTGGAAGTTCGAGACCCCTCGTTATTTCGTCACAGTTAGTTAGTACTCCCAGTGTTTTTTTTTCTGTTCGTTCCTTCCGTGGGATGTGGTGTGCCAAGGTTGGAAGTCGCGGAGCGTACGTCACCTCCATGGGTGCTAGCTGTTCGGGGCTCTCTCTTCTCTCATCCACCATCCACCATACATGGACGCCTCAGCCACACCAAGCTAGCCTTGCTCCCGGTCTTTGGGCTCGTTTCCCGGTCCTCGAAACAGTCTTCACAATTGTTTTCTGTGTCCGGTTCAAAGGAATATTCCTAAGGTAAGTCTGCAGTGCTCATCCTTGGAGATTCAGCTAACATGATCTAGGTACCTCTGTACACACATCTACCTCTGTCTATCAGCATCAAGGGTCATCTTCCCCTTGTTGCTAAGGAGTCTCATATTGCCGCTGCTGCTCACCTCACAAGAGCTATTGAGCATACACAACCTACACAATCATGGAATTCTATCAAGTCAGTGATGGGCCTATTGAGGTTTTCATCGATGACTCCGCCGCTCGTCTACTCAGCGTTCCACTTCCAGACTGGTACCTCAACGTTGAAATCAAGACTGTGTTCAGAGATCGCGCAGCTTAGGATGCTGTCGTGAGCTCTTTCCCACTATGTACCGCAGATGGCCTTGACGCCATCATCGGCTCAGAGACTCCTCCATCACTTGAGTTCTTCAGAAGTCTTCCAAGGCCTTCAGAGGTTGACAAAGCATGGGGTATCTATGCTGTCATTCTTGAGCTTCCCAATCATAAGCCAAAGCTCTACATTGGTTCCGGTACCAGCCTTGACGGCGGGGTCCGAAGCCGTGTCAACTCCTACCTCAACGGCTCTGGGACTTTTGCTCGTCTTGTTCGAAAGGCTCTGGACGAACACTACAAGATCACATCTATCGGCATGCTATGCTGGACCAAGCTTCCTGAAGCTCATCTTGCTCCCCGTCTTCGGGCGCGTTTCCTGATCCTCGAATCACTCTTCACAATCATTTTCTACGGTTGTGTCAAGACGATTATGGATAAGGTCTTCATTCCAGATTTCTTCCTCTGGGAGCGAGATGATATGATCTGGGAACCTCTATGCACACATCTACCTCTGTCTGAAAGTGTTAAGGGTGATCTAAACCTTACTGCTGAGGAGATTCAGATTGCTGCTGCTGCTCGTCTCAAGAGAGCTGCTGAGAGACAACAGCGTTATCGTAAGCGGAAGCGTGTTGAGGATGAAGAGGCCTATCTGGAAGCTGGACGCAATGCTGCCGCCATTTTCAAAGCCAACAATCCAGATCGAGTTCTTCAAATTGCTGCTGATGTCCGGAAGAAGGCTAAAGATACAGCCCGTTTCCGCTGCGACACCTGCGATTTCAATGCCGCCACTCAGTCCGCTCTCGACCTACATCAGACAAGTCAAGCACATCGCGACGCTGTCAAGAATGGCGGCAAGGTCCTGAAACCGCCCTCGGAAGCTCTGCTTCGAAAGAGGAAGAGAGAGGAGACTGCTCTGGCAACTAAGGACCACTATTGCTCAACATGTGAGAAGGCTTTCCCAAACGCCTGGGCTCTCTCACGCCATAACGGGAAGAAGAGACACCTCGATGCCGTTGAGAAGGCGCAGAAGGCCGCAGCACCATCGGCTTTCTGATCCTCTATTCTCGTCCCGTCCATCCTTACGCCAACAGCCTACGCCACATCCCATACTGACCACGATATTGGTTTTTCTGCATATTCCAACGTGTACTAACGGAATCACTTTTAGTTGACGCCCCCGGTCACCGTGACTTCATCAAGAACATGATCACTGGTACCTCCCAGGCTGATTGCGCCATTCTCATCATTGCCGCTGGTACTGGTGAGTTCGAGGCTGGTATCTCCAAGGATGGCCAGACCCGTGAGCACGCTCTGCTTGCCTACACCCTGGGTGTCAAGCAGCTCATCATCGCTGTCAACAAGATGGACACCACCAAGTGGTCCGAGGATCGTTTCCAGGAAATCATCAAGGAGACCTCCACCTTCGTCAAGAAGGTCGGCTACAACCCCAAGGCCGTTCCTTTCGTCCCCATCTCCGGCTTCAACGGTGATAATATGATTGATGTCTCCACCAACTGCCCCTGGTACAAGGGTTGGGAGAAGGAGAGCAAGGCTGGCAAGGCCACTGGCAAGACCCTCCTCGAGGCCATTGACTCCATCGACCCTCCTAGCCGTCCCACCGACAAGCCCCTCCGTCTTCCTCTCCAGGATGTCTACAAGATCTCCGGTATTGGCACAGTGCCCGTCGGCCGTGTCGAGACCGGTATTATCAAGGCCGGCATGGTCGTCACCTTCGCTCCCGCCAACGTTACCACTGAAGTCAAGTCCGTCGAGATGCACCACGAGCAGCTTGCTCAGGGTGTTCCCGGTGACAACGTCGGCTTCAACGTGAAGAACGTCAGTGTCAAGGAAGTCCGCCGTGGCAACGTCGCTGGTGACTCCAAGAACGACCCTCCCAAGGGTGCCGACTCATTCAACGCCCAGGTCATCGTCCTCAACCACCCCGGTCAGGTCGGTGCCGGCTACGCCCCAGTCTTGGACTGCCACACTGCCCACATTGCCTGCAAGTTCGCCGAGCTTCTCGAGAAGATCGATCGTCGTACTGGCAAGTCCGTTGAGAAGGAGCCCAAGTTCATCAAGTCTGGTGATGCTGCCATCGTCAAGATGATTCCCAGCAAGCCCATGTGTGTTGAGGCTTTCAGTAAGTTCCCCACTTCCCTAAAGTCCTGATCAACCATGCTGATGTTCTGTGAAGCCGATTACCCGCCCCTGGGAAGATTCGCTGTCCGTGACATGCGTCAGACCGTCGCCGTTGGTGTCATCAAGTCTGTTGCCAAGTCCGAGAAGGCCGGCGGCAAGGTCACCAAGGCCGCTGTCAAGGCTGGTAAGAAATAAGCAGCTCGAAGAAGCCGCCGTGGAGTAGTGTCTCGAGCATATGTACCAGACTTGAGGACTTCTGTCTTTTGGGTTTGCTACAGCGTGCTTGATGCTCTTTCTACCATCTTCTTCACCTTGCTGTCTTACTTTCTTCCACAATATCACCGATCTCACGAATTGAGCTACTGAGTCCGAAGGCTCTGCACAAGCTCATAACTACCTGACAAGAAGGTCTCTCGATCCATGGAGTTCACGATTTGACGAGCTCGATGATAGATGGGATGGATCAAAAGCAGATAGACAATTCAAAGAATTTGATCCAATGTTGTTGTCATTATTCCTTTGTTTTCTCGCCCTTTTAAACCTGCTCCAGCAGTGGTTGGATCAGTGTAGACCCTCCCTCCTGTTTCTCGATCGGACCAACCTCCCTTACGGGCCTTGACAGGCCTCGTTGCGTATGTCAACGGCCTCCCTGATATTTTAGCAACGGTCTTAAACCATGCTCCGCTCCCTGTAGAGCCAGGTCCCTGAAAGGCTACAAAGTCATAGGACCACCGGTCGCGGCTGATGCGCGGAGGCCTCCTCACCTGCGCAAGTCTGGCTCTGTGACTAGAAACAGGTCCTGGTCAAGAAGGAGTCCCTTAGTAGCTGGGTCCCGACAGCAGTGGTGGTCGCAATTGATATACCGAAGGCCTCCCCAGTTACAAAACAGCGACCGCATGGTTCTGTGAGGTGACCGATCGTGGCGCAGACTCGAACCATCGAGTTGTGAAATCACTGGTTGTGGCAGACGGACGAAGCCCTGCCTGGCTCTGGAAGTACGATCGTGTGGTCTCAATGGAATGCTGATGGAGTAGCAGCCGAGACATGGAGATCCTGGTCGTGGTCGACGACCGAAGGGCACCTCAGTTGCGCAAGTGCGACTGTTGTGCGGCTGTGTCGGAGTGCCGGTCAAAAAGTAGACATTAGTCGTTGAGCCGTGAGGCTATTAGTAGGTCGAAGCTGACGCACCGACGCCTTCTTGACTCTGGAAGCTGGACTGTGTAGTTTCTAATGGGACTAGGAGAAAGTACACGTAGGAGGAGCTGGAGAGAAGTCTGTTCATGTGAGCTGAGAATGTGGCATCAACGTTCGCGAGAGCCTGCAAAAGCCGGATCGAAAGGACAGCTGGTAGCAGTGTTCGCTATTCACTGTAGCTCTGCTTTTGAGTATCTCGTAGTCTCGTAAAGGTGCAGTACTGAGCATCGACGTCTCCGGGCTGGCCTGCCAATGCCGGTCAAGCTGCCGTTCCTACTGCCGCCGTATCCTCTGGTGCCGCTTTGTCAATCTGAGCATCCGCATCTTCCACCATTATCTTTCCATTCGCAGGCTGCGACGGTGGAGGGTCTACCAGCTCAAGTCCGTATGCAACCTGATGCCGTAGGTTCGGGTTGACCAGATCTTTCTTGAACTGCTCTTGTTGTAACAACTCAAGGTTTCGCAAAACGGTACCAGGATGTGTGAGGTACTGTGCATATTCTGGCTTCCTCCAATAGTCGTAAAGGTAGGCGAGATACCGACCGAAGCGCGCGGCATCTGAATCTTCGGGTTTGGTGTTGAGAGGTAGCACGTCCGGTGGCACGAGCAGGTGAGGGAAGATGTGCGCGAGATGGAGTAAATACCCGGGAACCGCCAGGCAGAGAACGAACTCGAGCTCCATTGTGAAGCGAGCTGAGACGGGGGCAGGCGACTCAGATGGTGTTGTCGTTGCCATATCGCCGTTGTAGGTAGCGACACGAGCGTACGCAACAAACAGTTACGCAGCCTCGAGAACTTTTTGACGAGCTAAGGTTTAGCCGCCAGGGACTCTATCGATAGGCTTGATCTCTAGCTAGCTGGGATGCCTGGCCTGGAGCTTCGATGGCGTGGAGAGCATGGCTGACATCAAGCCACCAAGGTCTGTATTCGGCCTGAAACCGCCAAGGCACGACCTGACGACCACCTGTCAGGCAGCAGAAGAATGATCAAAGTCTCAAGCGTTTCCAGAGGATTTCGTTGCGCAGGAGTAGATAGAAATGGCCTGCGACAGGAGTCGGCAGATCACACGCGCAAATTAATCTAAAACTTCCTCTGGGCGATCTTCACCCGGAGCGAGCAAGTTCCTGGTGATCGAAAGGGCTTGGGTGAAAAGCGGGCTCATTATTGGAAAACTGCTTCGGTGCGCGGAGGGCAAAGGTACGCCCCATTAGTGGCCGCTGAGGCTTTGTTATGGTCTAACCTTTAGTTCGGCAGAGCATTGGGGGGAGCCGAAGGCCCCCAATTTTTCGCAGCCAAAGCCTAAGTGGTCGCGATCGGGTCACGCCTCAACTCAAACAAGAAGGGCACTCCCCTTTTGCCTCCCTCCCCGCTCCCCTATATCGACGACTGTCCTCTCCATTCCCCTTGTCTTCTTGAGCTCGTCTCGTATCACGTCGACTACATTTCTTCCGTTTGCATTGCATTCCGCTTGCAGCGATACCCTCTTGGTTACTTACGTAGAACTGGTCAATCATCCGACAACCGAATAATCTTGACGTTCCGCTTCCGTGTTGACAAGACCCCTAGACCGAGCAGGGTATCCAGCAGGAAATCCGGGCAGCGTTTCCAGGGCTATCCTACTACATCATCGATCTGGGCTCAAGTCCAGTTCGACCAGATCTAGACGGCTGCCTGCGCTGGTCTGAAGCGCAAACAGTCTTAATTCGCTCACTGCGCTGCCAGTGAACATCGACCCAAACGCCTCGAGCGCAACCTTTTCGGACAGACAATTCAAATCCAACTACTGCCAGCGCGTGCTCACAATGGCCGCCGCTCAACTTGCACCAGGTAAGGAGAGCCCCTTTATTCCTGTACCCAAAATACTCTACCTGTCGTCCGGGCACGAGCGTCTTTGTTACGCGCTACTGCACCTCGCCTTTCTAGTCCCGCTGTGTGATACCGCGACTGACCCTATCTTCAGATCGCGTCAATTCTCCCCTAGCATCCAACAATCCTTTCCGCAATAAAGTCGCCCCTAGCCCACGGCCGATATCTACAAATCCTTTCCTAGACGAGCCCATCCCTGAGCCAACAACAATGTCTTCGACCACGAAAGAAGCTTCCAAGAGCGGAGCAGTTGAAACAACCACGGACTTATTGGTATGTAGCCACGCGCAGATCGCACCCACCAATCTCTGACTTCTTGGCAGGGAGATCTCGACATAAATTCCAAGGCGAGGGCAGCCCCTCGTCCTCGTGGTCCTCCACCGAATGCCGTTCCGAGGCGGGAGAACATGCCACCTCCGCCTCATATGAGACGCCCCCCTGGCCACCGACCTACGACCTCCGACGAAGACAGACGACGCCGAGAAGCAAAGATGCGTGCAGAAAAGGGCGAGCTCGACATCTTCGCTGACCCAGCAGATAAGAAGCCTCGGGAGAAGACTCACCGACGTCGCAACTCTGAGAGCTCGGTCCGTGAGAAGCCTACCATGGATCCCGAAGAAGAGAAAAAGCGACGCGAGAGGAAATATCGTGAATCCAAGAAGAGCGGCAAACAGCAGAAACGTCTGGACGTGATTGACAAGCTCGATGTCACGTCCATCTACGGTACTGGCTGTAGGTTGTTGTGCCCCAAAGTCAATCAACCAGCTGACATTAGCAGTGTTCCATCATGATGGCCCGTTTGATGCCTGCAACCCGCACAGAAACCGTAAGGGCTCTCGCAAGGCTCCTATGCATGCATTTCCCGAAGACTCACTCAACATGCGTTTGGGAGGAGCTGGTCCTCTTAAGAAGAATATCGACATTGACCAATTCCACGGCCGCCATGCTGAAGGCTACAATGACTACAATGAGGCAGCCATCGCTGAAGGAGATGCCGAGCCTGTCGCACGCCCGCTGCCTGCACGAACCACAAGCTTCAACCCTACCGCTCGCGATATTGTGCATGGTGCTGAATCTGCTGGACTGGGTACAAGCACCTTCTTGGACGGCGCTCCGGCCAGCCGCAAGGCGATTGAGGAGGGCGAGAAAGAGGCCTTTGAGCAGCAGCAACAATTACAGCAGCAACAACAACTGTCGCGGAAGAAGAGCTTAGCCCAGCGCTTCCGGGCGAATCGCTCCAATACTCTGGAGGGCAAGATTCCCGGTAGACGCGTTCAGTCTCCTGACGGAACCCCTATTACTCCTCTTGAATCCGCCAAGAGTGATAACGGCAACAACCCTTTCTTCCAGAACTATGACCAAGAATATGAGAAGAAAGGCGCAGCCATCGCTTTCGCAGAGGCTGAGCAAAAGCCTGGTCGCGCCCGGGCTCCAAGTAGCCCGAGGAGAGACCTGCCCAACCCACTGGAGCGCTCTCGAACCGCGGACAGCGCGGCCATGCAAGATGAGCGCAAGTCTTCGACAGAAGCGAAGCCGAGCGGCGGCTTTCTCAGTCGCATGAAGTCCTTGAAAGCTAAGAAGCCACGACCGGAACGGAGGGAAACCAGTGGTTGATTGGTATCAAGTAGCCGAGTCCAAGCAGTCACTTTGGCATTGGAAATTGTATGCGGTTCCTGCCCGTTGTTGGCTGGCAGTAACGAAGATTTCTACCATCCGAAATTTGGATAATGCATCAACAAATTGTTCTGTTATCTGCAGTGCCCTTGTGATTCCCATTCGTACAATTGCACTATATTATCTTCATGGGCTAGCTCCGGGTCCCGGTTCGCATCTTTCCTTAGGCCCTTTCCGCAGCACAGCCAAGACGATCTGAACTCTTTTTCAACATCGTCTCGGGCCGTGGGGAAACCGGGCATCTAGTCCGTCATTCATGCATACCGTTCCAGCCTACGAACTGACAGCGGATCTAGACTTTACTGCTTCAAATGGTGATTACGAGCCCAGCGAACCTGCCGAGTAGCCAGCACAGGTACGCCGCCAGCCAGTAGAGGCTGCTGACCCCCGGTCTGCGGCAAGGCTAGTATCCAAGGGGCTTGAGGCGACAAATGTTCCCCACCTCAAGTTTGTCAACTGTTTGCAGACATCTCTTGTGGCAGGCTCTCTGCTCTGTGAGAAGTTGGTCCAGAGGAAAAACCAGAGTGAATATGAATGTCTCGAACCGGACCCATTCGCCTGTTTGGGTCCTATTTGAGAGCTGCATGATGCACTTGCAGGAAAAGAGTCGTTCTATGGTATGCTTAGGCTACGCTGCGTACGCTATGCCACTCCATAACCGCAGCCAGCTCGGCACGCCACTCGGAAGCATCAGCAGCAGCGCAGGCGCGGCTCTCAGCATCTGTATCATCGGTGAGCTGCGCCTCGGCTTCCAAAATATGCATCCAAATGGCGCGCACGGCGGTTTGCAGACGTCGCGCTATCGAGGTTTGTGGTAGTGTGTACGTGTTGGTGCCCAGGCGGATGATCAGGGGGCCCTGTGGACGTACTGGGTTTGGTGTTGATGCCGGACATCTTGTGGCTGGGAATTGTTGCTTTGGTGCCAGCATGGAAGGCTGGACGCCGGAACTGGATGCTGGGGCCCGCCCTGATGATACGAGGAAGGAAAACCGTGCTTTGACGACGATGGGTTGATCCGGCTCTGCAGAACGGGGCGGAACCCTCGGCGCTGCAGGATTCGTCGGCGTTGACGATGCCCTTGTCAATTGCTCCTGTCGCTGCTTCCTGTCACGGGATAGACGCTTCTGTAGCGGAGCATCGTCCTCAAAGTCAGAGTCATAGTCCAACTGGTTTGGTACCTCATAATTTAGATTGCCCAAACGATCAATCGCGCGGCATTTGGCTGGGCGGGAAGAATCATCTGGTTCAGCATTGCTTCTTTTCTGCTCCCTCAAGCCTTTCTCAACATGATCCGCCAGTAGTTTGAGCCGAGATGTTTTCGTGCTGCCCAGGTCTGGTGGAGGCGGGCTGCGCGCAGCAATGGGTCGTGAAGAAGTAAGTTCAGGTGAAGATGGACGCGTCCGGAACGGGATATTGTAGCGGAAGGGCACTTCGTTGTCAGATGGCAGGTCGAAGAAGTGGCTGCGCTGCGACAGGACTGCTGATGATATATGCGCGTCTAGCTGCTTGGAGGTCGCGGGGGAGGGTGGCATTGTGAGGG